CCACCTAGACAACACATGCCTGTCGTCAGCTTATTGCTGACAATTACCTGTCGATAAACCTTCGGGGTATGATTCGCATGGCATTATAACTTAGAAACTCACTGTGAGTGGAATCATATAAGCCAGGACAAAGAGAGCCATGATGGCTCCTCACCTTCTCCGGCGCGCGCCGCATTCTGCTCCTCAGCCAGCAACATTGCCAGCGCCACACCAGTTGCAGCCTCTTCGACGTTCATGGGCGAGCTCCCGGCAGCGCCTCCGAGAGCCACCTTCAGCCGTTTTGGATGACAGAGGGCCGCTGCAATGTGCCGGTAGTCGATCACCAGCACAGCCATTTTGGCCGGCGATGCGGCATGCCCCTGCATGCTCAGCCGCACGTTGGGGACTGGCACAGGCTGCGGCGACTCATCTGCCAGCAAGCAGCCGTGCAACGGCGACTGGCTCGCACAAGCTGTGGGCTGCGGCGGCACTTCGCTGGCCTCAGGCAGGACACCCTCTGCCTGCCCTTCTGGCTCTGCTGGGTCACTGTGCTGCTGCGCTGGCTGGTCATCCGCATCTGACTCAGAGAAGAGGTTCCCAACCTCGTCTTCGTCGCCCTCAGTGGGGGGACCCCAAAACTCTGCGGCTCTGGCGGTTGGGCGCCTGAGCCTGCCTCGGCTGCCCCTTCTGGGCCGATTGCTGCCACGCGCCCCGCCTGTGCCGCGGCGGCCACGCTTCCTGCCCCGACCCCGCCCATGCCCTTCCTGCACGCCCCCACCGGTGGCTGCCTCTCCTGCACCCCGTCCCTCCACATCTGCGCGTGCCCCACCGCCTTCCCCTGCCACCGCTGCCTCGGGCTCCCCCTGGCTATCTGTCTGCACGCGCGCCTCGAGGAACCATATCTCCATATGCAGCTGGGTGCCATCGCTGCCTGGCTGCACAGCGCGCACCAAACCAACAGGAGCCTTGGCAGCACGACCCAACTGGGACAAGTTGCGTGCTGGGAACTCCCCGTCGCGGTGCAGCGTGCTTGTGACGGCCCAGAGAGCGACACCAATCGAGGGAGTGCTCTCCCCCAACTGCGGCAGGTAGTGGCACTTGTCGAAGGTCCAGAGCAACTCGTCAATCTGCTTGAGTTTGACCACGGGCAGGCCGCTGCTCACTCCTGCAAACATGTGAGCGCCTCAATTGACTGGCTATCATTCCCTTCCATCAAATCTGCAGAAGTTAAAGCCTTCTCGGGTGTGCAACAGTCACCAGGTGATCAGAGCTTCCAGCTGAGAGCGCCCACTCACCCTTGTTAACAATGGACTTGGCCGCTTCCATCTGAAGCTGTGACTTCTTCGGCGCCTGTAACAACAATAACTTACAATCAGTGTGTTCAGCCAAACTCGCTTTCACTGCACCAGCAGCTTGACAGATGAGAGGCGTTCACAAAGCACATGCAAACATAAGGATCCTCAACAAGATGCCCACCTTCTGCCTTGCTGGTCTTTGCCGTGCCGGTTGGGCTGCGGCCTCAACAGCGGCTGTGATCTCTTCAACCGCCGCCGCACTCGGCTCCAGTCCACCTGCATGACAGCATCCATTAGCTGCCAGCGCATAAGATGTCCAGAGGAAATGGTGAGGACATGTTATTAATTTGCCAGGCATAAGATGTGTAGGCGCTGATCGTTACAGCCATCATGGATAGCTACCTTCTGGATGCTCAAATCTAAGCAGCCCTTCCACCCTGGCGAGCAGCGCGCTTCTGGTGAAGATCACTGGCCGCTGGCCTCTGTCAAGCAGGAACCGCTTCAGCTCTGCAACGGTGGATGAGGCCTTGAGGCTGAACGCAAGCCACCGTTGGACGATGTCCTGCTCGGCTCCCTGAGCGCTGAGCTGCCTGCGGCTGATCCCTGGCTGTGGCGCTTGCGAAGGTCCTGCAGCTTCTGCCTCTGGGGCTGCGGGACCCTGCATGCCGCCTGCTGCAGCTGTGGCGCCCCTCTGCGCCTGTCCTTGGGCTGTCTGGCCTGCCTGAAGTCCACTGGCCTGGAGATACGAGGCTGCCATCACTGTCCTGTTCAGGTTGGGCACTGCTGCCAGCAATCTGCTGGCGCTCTTGCTGAAGCTGACTTTCTGATTGAGGTGTCTCGTTGCAAAGATGGCGGTCGAAGTCGTCCCATTGTCTTCGAGGCGAGCCTGCTGACCACCAATGATGCCTCGAATCTTGCTTGATCGCCTATCGGCTCTCTTCCTCTCCAAGTCGCCGGTCTCTGCCTCTGAACGCAACGCAAAAGTCAGAGTTAGTTACTCTGTGTCAAGGTCATGGGGAGATTCAAAACATAGGTGTTCCCAACCTTCAAAGATGGAGTGCTTATTGAGACCTACCAATCACTCCTTGATGCATGATAAAATTCAACTTATCCTCATTGAGATCCTTGCCCCTGGTTTGGGCTGCAATGACGCAGTCCTCACAGCATTTGTGGGTAATATTTCTGAGCTCTGGATACTTTTCGCTCTCAATCTTCCCGCGAATAGAATAGTAGCCATTAGCTCTGGACAATGCTGAAGGTTCATCTCGGCCAAGGCAGCTCTGATGGAAATATCTGACCCCTGAGTCCACGGCATTGCAACGTTGCAATGGCACCCTTGCCTCTTGTTTGAAGACCCAGTCGGCAACAGCGTCGTGGCCGTATTCGTCCTTTGTCAGACCTTCTGAATAGAATCTGATAATATAATCACAACCTACACAGCGAGTCAAGCGTTCTGAACTTGCGCAGTTCGGATGAAGCTTCTCCTTGTCACTGCCACACTTGTAACACGGGATCCTAGCAATAATAAGTGACATGCTCGGTACAGAAACACATCACTGATCATTCTCCATGCTTACTGACGAAAGGCCTAATTTTTATTACCAAAATGGCATGCTATGGAATGTGTTACCAGGTGGCATGGCCCCTGATTGCCAATAATCCACCACATTAGTAGCGTTTACATCCACTAAAGTAGTGGATTTTGATTACTCGATACTATCAGATATCATCGATGTGAACACATGCATGGTTAACCAACGTTGCCTTTACTGCCCAGAGGCGAGGCCTTGGTCTGCCGCATCGGGTCAGATGATGGTCTTTGGAGTACTTGTACCACCCTTACACCATGTTAAAGTAGTCTCCCATGTCGTTCTACCCTCAGAAGGCTATCCTCCGGCAAGGAGAGGTGCTGCATCGGGCTGAGCAAGCTCTGGTCGGGTCATACTTGACCGACCCCGAGATGGAGGGGGCATGCAAGCGGGTGAACTGGATCAGGTCCGAGATTGTAGCTCTGGGAGTGGGGCTGCCCCTGGCTTACCACTGCTGGGTCCCCATGAGACAAAAGTTTAGCAGCAGCAGCAGCAGTGTGAACAAGCAGAAGTAGATGAGCGCAGCTCTATCTGCTCAGCAAAGCGCTTGCCTGAGACAGCAAGGATCTCTTACCACCAGCAAACTCTGTGCATTGTTTGCACACCTGTCATGCTTTCACATTCTGCCCTTCTAGCATCAGGAGATGGTTCTCTTCCTGCGTATCAGCCAGGGTGCTTTTCCTGCCATCATTTGGGTCCTTTGGAGGTGTTTTATGGCTGTTCAGATGCCCAACATATTTTGAGAGCCAGTCATTTGGTACTTTATCCCTGCCGGTTGTGATTGCAGGTGTATCTACATTGCCAGCTGACCCTGCACCAGCCCAAAGGAATCCGATCATTTATGTACCACAAAGTATTAGTATTACAGCCCTGCCTTAGCCGCCCCTTCTATTGAAAATCAGTGCATTGGCCCACTCCATTGGAGGCGCGTCCTACCTCACACAGCGCAGTAATTAGCAAGCTGCAAAACTCTTCAACTCACCCAACTTTTGGGTGTGAAGTTAGATTTTCTGACCCGGGAGCCTATCCTTCAGGACTCTTACTGAGGGCCTTGGGAGCTCCGTGGTTGACTCAAGGCAATAGGATTACTTCACCAGGGCCCTTCCGAGAACAAGTGACAGCAGTTAAGCCTTGTGCAGGTGCTGTATTATATTATATGTGAGGCATTGATCTGTAGGACTATTAGGCGCTTGATTTCTGACTTCAGCTTTAGGCCTTTGTGGCTTGCATGCGCTCCTATCGCCTTCTCTGCGTGTCATTTTTCCTCTGTACTGTTCCCATTAAGTATTGCTGCTGTGGCTGTGTACCATGGCAGGGCCTCTGTACATTTTTCATTGCACATATGTGTAGCTTGTTTTTTTCACACTGAGGCTGATTCCTGCATAATGCAATTTGACTCAATCGGATTGACACATTGTCAATGAGAACGTCTCTGGTTAGCAGAAGTCATGCATGTGCAAAGTGCGACCATTGGAAACTTGGATGTACACATGTTTAAAGGGCCCTGTTGCACCAGCTATTTGTCAAAAGTGCTGGCATGTAAATATTGAGGTTTAGGTCTAGAGCTACTCCTCCAAGTGAACATTGGGCATCTTGACGCGAACGGGTTGTTCAAACTACCCAATTCACTAGCAGAATTGGAAGCATTGCAAGCTACTTGCCCATCGGTGCACACCCTTTGCACTACAATGCAGGTGTGCCAGCAATCAGACGTGAGGACTGCAACGCCGCTCATAGCCTGACCAGATCTATTGGATTGCAAGTCTTCCAACAAATGAAGCAGCCTCAACACGGCTTCTTGCTATCCTTATTTTTCCAGCACCATTCATGAACTGGCCCCGGCTGGCGGGGGGCGGTATAAATACTGAGCACCGTGCCCACGGTTGATTGGGTCTTGCTTGGATCTGGCGAGTCCATCAAGGGGTAGGATTTTGGCAGCCTTTACTGCAGCTTGTCTGCAGGCGCACCTTGCTTCTGGCAGGAAAAGCGTGTAATAATAATAATAATAATAATTCATGAACATGGCTGTGGGTGAGACACACATGGGCCTGTTGCGTCCTGTACAGGTGCAGCCACCGGAAACCAGAATTATTGCCCTCTCTGTGACAGTGTCACATGCGCCACCAGCTGCGCAGAATCAGGGCTCAAAGAGCATGTTGTCCACGGTTGACATGACATTGTCGGGGAAGTGCGCCATGTCGTTGTCGGTCGTCCTTGTGTCCATCACATTTGAATCTGCACCCACAACCAGCGAGCATGACAACTAAGGAGTCACAGATTGCCCCCCTCAATCAACCCAGCCACATTGTCCAAGGATGAAATGGGAGCTGCGTCTTGCATTGATCTGGCCCCACAAGCAATTCCCACCTATGCATGTTTAACAGGGGCATAGATTTTGTTGGGGCACATTTGATCAATTCATGAGAGCAACTTGCAGAAACGCAGAGGAGAGGCGGACTCACAGAGGGGCCCGTTGCCGGCGTGGCTGCGGCGGCGGCCGTCCTTGGGGGAAGAGCGCATGCGAAGCCCGGCAAACTTGGCCGCCGCGTTGGCGTGCCGGGCCGCCGCGGCCGCGTGCCGCGCAGCCGCCGCCGCGTGGCGCGCGGCCAGCTCCGGGTTGCGCCGCGGCCGGCCAGCCGCGCCTGCAGACATCACTCTTTACCGATTAGTCACCCATATTTGTGCATGTCCTGAACATTACTGGAACCTTCACTGTTGGAGCCTTTCCTCTGAGGTATCAACGCTATTTCTTCCAAACGGAGCCGGAAGTTATCATGGCGCGCATGCTGCCAATATAGGATTTCACCAAATTCTCAGTGGCACCTCCCAAGTGCACCCTTTGGCTATTCTGTACAGTGCACTTTCAGAAGAGAGCATTCTCAGGTTCTGCCGCGCACCGCCGCCGAACGCACAGTAGTCGGAGGAGAAGGACGAGTTGAAAGGGGACCACAGTGTGCGCTCGTTCACGTCGTCGTAGATCGGGTTTGTGTCGAAGAGCTGCGCAGACGGCGTGCTGAATGTGGCCGTTTCCGTCACGCCGCGCTTGGGCGGCGTTGCCGGGGGCATCGCCTGCGCGCAGGATACGCTAATTTGGATGCCGCAACGTGTGCAAGTGTGAAGTCCTGCTGATGTCCCGGTAGCCCAGGATCAGTTGCCAAGAGAAGATCCTCCACAGGTCAAATTGCTTTTAGCAATTTTATGCTTTAGAAAAAAGATAAAAGTCTCAGTGCACGGTGTCATCCAAGGTCGGCACTTTGCAGAGCCGTACCCAGTGGATTTTCATCAAAATGCAGGCGCCCACCTGGCTGTGGCCGCTCTTGAAGGGGTGCTCATCGCGCAGCTGCTCAGCAGCTGCCGCAATGGGCGAGGACACCTCATCGGTACCCCCGCCCTGAAGCCAGGTGGAGACTGTGTTGGTGGCGGCCTGCACCGCCGACAAGTATCGCGATGTGTATCCGCGCGGCGTCAGTGGCTGCGCAAACCACAACAGGAAGTCAGCAGCCCGATTAAGCATGCCTCACTTACATATCGATATAAAAAAGGGGTGGTGCCTACTCAGCCACTAGTCTGTCCCCATGAAAAAAATGTCTAGTGTTTGCTCAGGGACTTGTCACAGCGGCTTCGTGTGGGCTCCAAGGTACAATTTCAGAGCCTTTCTGATCCTGCTGGTCTGCAGGCATATCAAGAACTCCGCATGTGCTTCAAGGCAGCTCCCCACTGCTGAACTGCGGCTTGTCGGACACGCCGTTCCCTGTGAATTTCGCCATTTTCTTGGATGAGTAATTTACAGGAGGGGGCGCACACCTCTCGGGAGGGGGAGTCTGGTGTGGCGATGGGGTGCTTGGGGATGAGCGGCTCCGAAAACTTCTCAGACGGCAGCGGGCTCTTGCGCGCGCCGATGCGCGGCGACGTGTGGCGCGAGTTGCTCTCCTCGAGGCCTGCCGGGGGATGCATGCATTTTGTCAGCCCTGGCAAGCGCATGCATGCGCCCTTCGCCGACCCCATGTAAAGGAGGTCCCAAACAGTGCCCCCTGTACTTTCCTTTGCAAAGACACATGCCATGCACAGCAGACAAATCTGGCCGTTCAGCCGTGTGCTTCTGGACTGGAGCAGATCATCACAGTCATATGAATCGCCATCCCACTTTATTTGGGCACATGTTGCCCTCCTAGCAGGCACTCTCCGGGTGATATTGTCAAAATTTACACCAAATAAACCTCCACTCTCCTCTAGTATTGACAAGACGCACATATTTCTTCTTGGCACTGAAATTAATCAGTTTCTTGTACAGACGGAAGTGTGCTGCATGAGGGGCGCTAACGCACCCTGGTACATTTTGACCATGTTGGCGACCTTGCTGCGGTTGAGCCTGGCCAGCTCAGCCTCTGTGTCCTCCACCACCGTCTCCAGCGCCTTTATATTCGCACCCTGCACCGCCTGTTCAGGCACCGCACCCAGGTTTTATACATTACTCACCCTTAGGATTTTATGCAATTAAAAACTACACAGAGGTCATCTCAATGCGCATTTCCAGAGGCACCAGCATAAAAAGGGCGCACAGCAGATGATATCGCATCTCAACCTTGCCCTTTCTTAGACTTCTCCCTTCCGGCTTGTCTGCAGTGTCAGCGCGGCTAGAAGACATGTGTGAAGGAACATGTGCAATGATTATATGGCTGCTGCAAGAAAGCTATTGGTTGAGGCTGAGGGGGCCACCTGTGCAGCGGCGTTGACGTTGCGCTCCCCAGTCTCTGTCGACATGGTGTCCATCAGCGCTCCCAGCTGCACACAATAACATCCATTGGATCAGGCCAACTGCAGAATGCACTGTCGACTATCTGTTTAGGCATCTTTGAAGCACGGCTATCCAATTTCTCTTCAGGCTTCTGCCCATTGTTATGAGAACTACACATATCCACTGCACTCTGAAACCGGTCTGCCATCATAATTTGGACGCATGCCCATCAATAATCTTTCCATTCTTCTGCCGATTGCTAGGTTGAGGTACATGACAGATGCTCACCTCCACGCGGCCTGGGGCGTTCCTGTCGGCTTGATCGGCATCGGCTGCGGCCTGCGCGGCTGAGACCCGGGCCGCAGCCGATGCGCGCCCGGCCGCCTCCGCCAACGCTTTCTTCTCGGAGTCAACAGCAGCCGCCGCTTCCTTGCGCTGGGCATTTCCCCTGAGACGCGCGCGCGCCTCGTCTGCAGCAGATCCCACCTCAGCCCCTGCCTGTTCTAAATATATTTGAGGTGGATGCTGCATTTTTGCGTTGAGATGGCTGACTTGCTACGCAATCCCAACTTGTACAGCTTGCCCCTCTCAGGTTGAGTCACCCAGCAAGAGCAGTACGCATTGCTTGTACGCAAGCCCTAAAGCGGCCCATCGCATCTCTGAAAATGAACAAAAATTGCTGGACTATGCTGCAGTATTGTGGCAAAGGCATCAGTTTTCTCATGGTGACCAAGCTCGCGGAGGGGCGAAGCAAGGGGAGAGTGACTCACCGCGAGTCTCAGTAATGGAGTACATGACGGGGACGGGGCCGTTGAGGGATGAGACGGTGGAAGATGTGGCTGTGATCTTGATGACCGGCTGGCTCATGCCGTGCCGCTTGGGTGACGCACTGCGCTTCATGTCTGCATGCACACCAGCGCAGCACACCTCACTTGGCAGCACCAGACTCACTCTTCACACTCATAGAGCTCTGTGAGCTTGAAGACGCACTAAACTTCTTTCTGACTTCCCTGTGGCCTGTCGGAGTCCCTCAAGTACCTCGTACCTCGGCACATTTAGCTCATTTTGCTGACAGTTCAGCACAATGGTATTGCAGCTTTGGATGATGTTGCATATCAGAAGTGGCAAACGGGGGATGCAGGCAAGAGAAGATACTTTGGCAGACGCACTGGCAATGCAGAGTAACATGACGCATGCAAGGTTTTCACTACGGAAGGTATATTTAGGGGCCACGCAGCTGACGGGTGCCGCACCGTCTTGGGCCGCGCGCAGGGGGGACCCGAGCAGCGCGCGGTAGTCACTCTCGCTGCATGAGCTGGCGTCGTCGCGAGCAGTCTCACGCGGCGATCCATACTCTTCCTCACACAATTCCGCCTCCTCAGGCAATACTGCCTCCTCCACCGCTGCCTCTTCTGCGCCAGGCACAAGAATAATTTAGTCTTGCAGTGTCTGGAGCAAAGGAAATTTGTGGCATCTGAACACAGGCAATTGATTTAAGTGCTTGCAACCTTGAAGCACATGCACATCCGTTGAGGCCAAGGATGTGTGTATGGCAGTGCCTATGGCTCATCAAAGCCGTGCCTGTCAAGCTTGTCTTGAGCATGGCATGCTTCAATGTACAAGAGCTTGTTGTGCTCCTGTCCCCATCATGCAAAACCCCAGCCTTCTGCCTGCCTGTCAGCGATAGGGAGGGCTGAGATATTGCCCCAGCAATGCACAGCGCTGCACTCAAGAGACAGGGGTGCTGGGATACATCTTCACAGAGGGAGCTGTCCCACCCTCTTCGGTGTGGTCCATCCAGTCTTTGAGTTCGGGCTCCTGCTCCATAGCAGCAGCCAGAGCTTCGCCGCCGAATGCTTCATCTAGGCGGCAGGCTGCGGTGCCTGTGCTGGCCAGCCTCGTCAGCACCTGAGTCACCTCTTCGTCATCTTCAGCCGGGTATGACTCGTCCTCCGCCATGGAGAACCCCTCCTGTGCCTCCTGCAGGCACCGCCCCAGTCTCAGCCCAGAATACACTGATGTCTGTCGTTGATGTTGCTCATGATATAGGAATCTGTCCCAGTCTCAGCACATGGAACAAGCTGATGTCTGTCAGCCAACGAGGCCTCAAGAGAAGCAAGGTGTATATGCTCTTGCTGGATGCTGAGTCAGGCAATCCCAGACCACATGCAGCTGGGACGCCACTCCCACGGCATTGCTGCTGCACAGGATCAGTCCTGCTCCAATGAGGCAGTGTGCATTATGGGAGGAGTTTGAAACACTGTCGATTGACCCCTTTCACTGATGGGCCATCCCTTCAAGTAAAGCCCTCCCTTGCAATATAATGTGGGCTCGTCCCCCACCTAGCCAGAACAGCACTGTACTAGGCGCACTATATGTGTACAAGAACACAGCTCTGCGCACCTCCTGCTCTGAGTCATCATCGTAGAACTCTTCGTCTTCCTCGTTATCGTAGAAGATAAGAGTTCTGTGGTACTCCAGAAGATCCAGCAGCCTTGGAGGGACGCGGGGAGCGATCCAGGGATCCCCCATCAGGCTGTCATACAGCACCTGCGCCCATCACCACCCCCATCACTTCCAGATAATATACTTAATGTTACAGTAGCACAGAGCAGGTCACAGGCGCATGAAACTACCTTCGAAATCACAGAGAGTGCTATTTGAGAGGTAGATTGAATGACAAACCTGCAGCATGACTGCACGAGGATGTAGCCAGTGGACTGGGTACAGCACCTGGATCTGCTGTGACAACCACACAAGGTGTCAGTGCAGGTTCAACTCGCGATCCTCTTTGACCCCACATGGACAAGAGTGAAGAACGTTGCTTGCTGTATTTCTCAGTACTTCAACAGTCGAGCAAGGCCCTCTGGGGCCCTCCCTAAACCCGCACAATGTCACAAATGACGATTCTAGTCAACACTGGGCATCCTGCAGTCCCGGACACAGGATTCCGCGGTGAGCACCGGGAGAATCTGGACACCCTGAAATCCGGTAACAAGATTATACCGAGTTCTCGGAAGTGCCGGAGCGTGCCGTGCTGCCTAGTGCAGCTCAACAGAAGCTAACGGACTATAGTTCTCACCTGGTGGGTTCGCTTTCTGCGCCAATGCATTTTCCTGAACTCTTCCACTGTCATGAGAGGCTCCTCGTCCACCACGGCAGGAGGCCCAAAGCACCATGTCATCCCCTTGCTACGCTGCTGCGCTGCTTTCTGCTTCCTGCGAGACTGCATAGACCTTTTCTGTCTTGAGCCCGGCATCCTAGCTACTCTATGCCGTTCTCCGAAAGCTAGTACTGAGCCCTTGGGCTAGTCCGCAAAGGCCCCATTAATCCCTGTACAGCTGACAACGAAAGGCTCGAGTTCCTCTTCTCGGTACTCTTTTGTGTACAAGACAGTCTAACAGCTGCCGGGCGCAATTCAGCTGCGATTCTCGAGTTCAGAGGCCGTTGTGACTCCCCCGTCGGGGTCCCCTCCGCTTTGGTGAGTCTGCCCGATTTGGGCAGCCAATCAAGCTGCCCAGCAATACCAAGCTATGTCTGGCTGGAACGCCGCCCCGTGCGCGGTGCAAGATGGGGTGGAAGCGCTATCCACGCGAAATGAGAGGCCCAGCCAAGTTCAGTTGTCGGTCAGTTCGGTGCTAAACATCACGCTCCGATCGAATTTCACATTTGGCCAGCCATGGCTCAGGTTATGACATTCTCTGCGTCGCCGCGCCTTGTGGCTGGCCAGCGTGTTTCCGCGCCTCGTCGCAGTGGAGCTCAGGTGAGAGGAGGGAGGCTCTTATGGAGGCTGGAAGACGCCATCTTTTCATGGAGATGTCCAAAACAATGAGCAGGCCTGATCTGGGTGGAGTGCATGTGAGAGCAGCGGGGAGAATCATTCCCCAGTGTCAGATTGCATTGGAGATAGTAGCCAGATGGGGAGTATCTTTGGGGCATACAAGGAGCCTCTCAATGCTGCACGTGTGTAGTATTGGCTAACAGAGGGACTAGCCTCACTCAAGACTGTTGAATGCATTAGTACTTTTCTTATCAGCAGTCCTATCTTTTGTCTGGTTGCTGATGCACAAGTGCCTGTGTGCCTGCCAACAGGCTGCCCTGAACGAGTTCACGGGATTCAAGGCTGCCGGCGCTCTCCGCCTCGGAAACAACCAGAACCAGAGCCTCGCCGCCCGCGTCGCTGCTCAGGCCACCACAGTGCGTCCCGGACAAGTCCATTCCGATCCAAACCTTCAGAGCGTCAGCCACCTTGATGAGCTCTGAAGGAACTATCTTTCTCTTCAGTGGTTTGCATATATTGGTGTGTAGGCTGCTCGTAGTATAGAGCCCACGTGAAAGCAGCGGTATGTGTGCACGAGACCGACAGTCTTCGCTGGATATCTTGCAGGGCACCGTGGGCTCGAAGCAGGTGACCCAGGCAAAGAAGATCAACGTTGCCATCAACGGATTCGGCCGCATTGGTGAGTCCCTTCCCTTGCAAGGCTCCTGCTGCAGCTATATCCTCAAAGCAGGTTGTGAATAGGGATTCTCTTTGGCAGTGAATGTCCCAAGTATGACTCTAGCTCTGAAGCAACGTTGGCATGCGCAGGCCGCAACTTCCTTAGGTGTGTGGAGGGTCGCGAGAACTCCAACCTCAACATCACCGTCATCAACGACTCCGGTGCGCGGCTGCACCGTTCCACTATCTCGCCGATCTTTGCCTGGTTCCTCTATTATGTGCCAGTACAATGCCTGGCCTCGACTAATAACAGCGATGCCAACAATGTGGACAAAGTTTGGAGAGTGCTCTTAATTGCATGTCTCTTGCGTGCAGGCGGCGTGAAGCAGGCATCTCACCTGCTCAAGTACGACTCTACCCTCGGGACCTTCAACGCTGACATCAAGTGCGCTCCCCCACACTTGTGCCCCATCTTGCTTTCTCTGGCTGTGCAGTGATGTTTACATACCCCAGAAGAAAGCAGCCTGACAGGTTCTGCTGGTGCAGCACCTCTTGGCTCTGCATTGATCGCCTGCATGCGTTCCACGCAGTCCCAGAGGAGAAGCGACGTTGACAGTCTTTGGGCAGCACTCTGTGCGCTCGGTATGGTAAACATTGGTGTTGAAGTTCTGCATGCTACTGCGCAGGGTCATTGATGACAGCACTGTTTCGGTCAACGGCAAGCAGATCAAGATCGTGTCCAACAGGGATCCTCTGCAGCTGCCGTGGGGAGAGATGGTGCGCCCCCTGCCGCCAACTTAGTCACGCTGCTGACTTGTGTCTTCTTGACCTGCAGCACTGAACCTTTATTTGTTCGAAGCCCAAACATCATGATGAGTGCTGCAGACGAAAGTATCGCACAATCTTGTCAGTGAGAAGTTCAGTTGCTTGTGAAGTTATTTGCAAGCAATTGCACACCTGCCAACACATTATCTTGTTGCACTTTGTCCTCTGTTGGCATTGTCAGGTCGTTTTCTCAAGTTTTGTGTGCGCAGCAGTGAGATCTGATGAGTGCTGCAGACATATAAACAACCGCACAATCCCCGTAAGTAATATCCCCTAAATCCTGAACCTGCAGGGCGATCTGCTGCAATCAGGGAATTAATAGGGTCTGTGTGTGGCTGCAGGGCATTGACCTGGTCATTGAGGGGACCGGTGTCTTCGTGAGCAGTGACGGCGCAGGCAAGCACATCAAGGCCGGCGCCAAGAAGGTAGGCTGTTGTCATAATGAATCACAAAGCACACACATTCCAGGCCGCACCTGATCTGCAGTGGCGAACAGCTGCATGCGAATGCAAGCCGTTTCAGGTGTTCTGTGGATGCTGTTCTTTGCCTCGCTTGCACAGCCATATCATCGCTGAACTCCACAAGCTTGCAAGGTTCAGCAGATGCGAAGCCAGCGAGACTTGACCTACAAACTCGATCATTTACTGCATGCATTGCTGCTCTGCACGAATTCCTCCGTCAGGCAGGCCTGCATGCCGCAGTCCTTGATAAGTTCTGTGCTTATCTGTATTCTGTGGCAGGTGTTGATCAGTGTTTGTGTTCTGTGTCGGCAGGTGCTGATTACAGCCCCGGCCAAGGGCAATGACATCCCCACATACGTCATTGGTGTGAACGATGACACATTCGACCCCTCAGCGCCCATCATCTCCAACGCTTCGTGCACCACCAATTGCCTGGCCCCCTTCGCCAAGGTGCGCTCAACTGCTTGCATCTACCTCTGCAGTGCGACTATTCTCTGCTCCAAATTGTCGGCCCTGAGCAAGCAGATGGAGCTTTGACGGTCTCAGTCCATTGTCGGTGTGCACACCCATGAGAAAGAGGCCAAACCCATGGTCAGGTGCACCAGCTGCTGATGATTAGAGGCCGAAGGACAGTCTCTGATGCACAAGTGCAGGGGGCTGCACATTGAGTGTGGCTCTCTTGTGGAAAACACTGTCTCAGGGCTTTCAGCAGGTCAGAGATGCAGCAAGATAATTGGCTCATGGACCTTGGGAGATATGTGGCACTGGTTACTTGTGCTCTTGGGGCGCAATTGCCTGTACGTTTGCACCCAGTTTGAACCACGAGGCAGCCTTCCGCCCTGCACTGGCGCCCGCACAACTCACCTGTGATGCACTTCTTTCAAGTATGGCTCTGAGTGGTGCGCGTGCTGTGGCAGGTGCTGCACGAGAAGTTCGGCATCGTCAAGGGGACGATGACGACCACCCACTCCTACACCGGAGACCAGAGGCTGCTGGACGCTTCCCATCGCGACCTGCGCCGTGCGCGCGCAGCCGCGCTCAACATCGTGCCCACCACCACCGGTGCCGCCAAGGCCGTCGCCCTCGTGCTCCCCGAGCTCAAGGGCAAGCTCAACGGTGCGCAGCCCCCTTTGTGTGTGGCATATACCCCTGAAGCGTTGTCTGGGCACTGTGTACGAAGACGTGATAGCCTGCCATAGTACAAGCAGCAAGTGTGAATCGGCAGTGTACCTACCACTGCTTGTGACCAAGCAGACATGCAAGCAGCAAGTAGATTGCGTAGAAGCAAGGCCTGCTGCTGCATCCTGGCGTGCTGTCCTTGCTTGGTGCCCATGCTCGTGTACTGCAAGGGAGTCATCAGAAGTGGCAAGACATAATTCACGGGAGTGTATCTAGAGCCGCCCCGTGCATCTGCAGCTACCACTCAAGTCTCTGTCCACCCATGCATGTCTTTTTGCCTCTGCTCTGGTCTGTAGCTTGGCCAGTGCGTGAAGCCCGGCACAGAGCTGTTCTTGCTGTCTGCTTCGTGCGCCAATTGAGATTCTTCTGGCGGTCAAGCGTGGTCATGTGAAATTGTGTACCTTTCAGCTGACAGGTTTGTGTGCGGCTGTGCAGGCATTGCGCTGCGCGTGCCCACCCCCAACGTGTCCGTGGTGGACCTGGTGATCCAGGTGGAGAAGAAGACTTTGGCAGAGGAGGTGAACGAGGCCTTCCGCAACGCCGCGGCCAACGAGCTCAAGGGCATCTTGGCCGTCTCCGACGTGCCCCTGGTGTCCAGGGACTTCGCGCTCACAGACGTGTCCACCACCATCGACTCCTCCCTCACCATGGTCATGGTGCGGCCCCTTTCTTAAATACCTTAAGTTGTTTCTAATTGGGTGAATGAAGGTGGTGGTGGTGGTGGTGGTTGGGCACACTCTCTAAACAGGCCCACCGAGCCTGTATTGGCTTGCTGACTTCAGGCTTGAGCTCCTCATTGAGGTTTGGCATGGTCATGGTTCGGCCCCTTTGTTAAAAGCTTACAATATTGGGGCTGAGAAAGGCTAAGGAGCCCTTTCTCCACACTCAGGCGGTCGCTCTGCCTTTATGTTTGCATTCCTATTTTCCTAACTGGGTCAGCTGGGGGAGCTGTCAGGGACTTATCAGGGCTGTTTGAACTCCGCCCTTTGCTCGATTATTTTGTTTGGAATCTGGCAAAATAAGGCTGTCATTACTGTACTGCATCATTCATTCTGGATGAAGTCTCGATGCATGGATCTGCTGTTGGAGTCGGGCATCCATGTTCTCAGCCGCCCCTTGGTTGTGTCACCTGATACTAGGAATCTCTTCACTACTGTGACCAGAAGTTTGATCGCTGGTGTGCTGTGTGGCAGGGAGACGACATGGTCAAGGTGGTGGCATGGTACGACAACGAGTGGGGCTACAGCCAGCGTGTTGTGGACCTCGCCGAGCTTGTTGCCAAGAACATGTGAACAGCTTGCCTTGATTCCTTGAGCCCATTTCAAACTTGAGCGGCCCCTGCGAATGCATGCCCACAGGCTGCCGGCCTGTGCAGCGCTGCTGCAAGGGCGGTCACTGCCTCAGCACTGACTAGGAACTGGGATCTGGTTGGGAACGTGCGAGAGCTTCCGGCAGCAGCTGCTGCGAATGTTCGTCTGCGCGCAGCTTGCTGTCCGGTTGCATGACATGAGTAGAGTGAAGGCCATTTCTGGAGAGAGGGTCCGGACACGGTTGAGAAGATTTCAAGCAATGTAGGCACGCCTTCAGGATTTTGTGCGGCGGTCCTGGAACGTATTTTTGTGTGACCTGAAAAGTTTTGACGGGGAGCGTTTAGCTTCACTGGTGTTTTGACTCAGGCCCAGATGCGGGCACTGCCCATGCCGTCTCCTTGTTGCCACTACATGAGAAAGTGTAAGATCTTACAGTGGTGTCGCACAACTGACAAGCAGTCCTACTAGTGCCCACGGCTCGTTAACTGGCAGCGGGCTCTGACTTGTAGCCCTGGAGCTCGAGGCCTTTAATTGCAGAGGTGTCCACTGCATATAGGCTTGCCATGGGCTGCCAATTACTACAGACATGTCTGTAAAATTGCATCAACATTGCAATTATATCGACTTGATTTCATGCGCAATCTTGTACCGCATGCCCGGCACTCAGTATTACTTTTGAGCCAGTGACATTGCATCGCTTCCAGCCAACTTAGGGCTGACCCGATGCTAGAGTTATTTATAACATTCAGCGCCCATCCCACTGATCAGTGAAATTCAGGAGGTGGTGATCACTGATCACTAAAACACTGTAAATTCCAGCAGGAACGCCGTGTGAAGACCTGCAATTACGGGACATTCCTCCTCCTGGTGGAGTCTCCCATGCTTGTGCTCCAGCCTGGTGTGCAGGGGCCTACTAGTAACCTAGACGTCCCGGGCTGCGCCTGTCCTACTCTGGAAGAAATGAAATGCTCAGGAGCTCATGTTTCTTGCGTAGCAACATCGCCCTGCAGGCGACGCCAAAAAACAGCAGGTTTGGAGCCACATTCGGCACCGTGCAGTAATAGATCGCTCACAAGATGGATCATGGATCTGCCAGACACTCAGCGACACTCCTGATGTGCTCAGGCGTAGTTCTGCAGCAGCCGCCGATGATGCTGGCCCCACTGTCAGCCCATTGGCGCGCACTGCAACCAAAGTTCTGCACCTCCAGCCCAGAGCTGCCCTTCCAATCCCTGGCAGCCGCATCCCACTCCTCACCCGAATTTGGATATGCCAACAACAGCTTTGTTGGGAGGCCCTGCTGCCGGCCCGCCGCAGCCATCCCCTGTGAGCACAAAGAAGATACACTGAACTTGGGAAACTGCACGCAAATGCCAAGGAGGAATGGATTGGCATTGATGTAGTGATTGAAGCATACATGCACAGCCTTGCCAAGGAGACGAAAGCAGCAAGCTTGGAGGGAATCCTGCGAATTTGAGACAGGGAGCGCGTTTACAGAAGGGTAACATCACCTTGATCAGTGGGTCCACAAGCTGAGGCGGCAAGCAGTTGACACCGACTGCCACCACTGAAGCCGGCTCGCACATCACAGGCAAGCATTCCTCTGCGCACACCCTTCAGTAGATGAGCATCTTCTGCTTGAATGCAAATGTGCACCCCCGACCATGTAGAGCTGCATCAATCTCAGTGCACAGCTCTCCTTGTAATCAAGGTGATGCATGCAACCCTGGCATAGGCCTCATCAATGCCAAATCGGTAGAGTTGGCGGGAAGATTAGAGCATGTGTGTCTCCAAGACACAGCAGGCAACTTTGATACCCCCTCCCACGAGCGCTCACCTAAAAGGTCCTCTCCATGACAGATGGCAGTGCCAGATCTGGCGCTGCAGGATATCCAGGCTGGTATCCCCAACTGCTCAGTACACAGCAGCCGCGAAATTGCGCGCAGCTCCTTCAGACAGGGCACCGTCTCGAACGCAATGAGGTCAACGCCGGGCGCTCCAACAATTGCCTGCCAAAAGCCACAGTCCCTTTCAACGCAAAATCACTGCAACCAGAGCATCTGCAAACCGCCAGCATGGTGCGAATGTTCGGTGCCCAATTGCACATGGAATGCTTGCAACATAATGCCACAGGAGCCTTACATCATCAAACCTCTCCCGTGTGTCATGTGTTGTTCTGACAAGCTGCCATAATAAATGTGCATTGGGGCCCCAGACTCTCATGCTTGTCCAGTTTTGTTCAGACAAGCTCTAATACAGCCCCGCATCGGTGTACCAGTTAGCAGTGTCTCCATGAGTAAATCCATTACCTGCAGCCGCTGTCGATGGAAGTCCATCAACTGCTCCTCGCTGACCCGCTCTGCATAACTGCCATCATATTCCGATCCATCGGCCAGCGCTGCGCCATAGGGGCCAGCTGAGAATGCCACCAGCGGCCGCAGTCTTTTAGCCCGCCACCCATGTAACTCCGACCCTTCACCTTTTAAACAAGAAAATTTCTCATCTCAGGGGTCTGAAGGCCTGCACACTGAGATGGGGAGGCCTCATCGATGCAGAATGCCATGTTTCTGGTAAAGGGCACCAGAGCATCATCAAGGCCTGCGCAGCTGGCCTGTGGGAAGACCAGGGGATGGGTGAGGAAGAGGGGTTGCAAGCCTTACCAGGGCCAGCTGACAGTGATTGAAGCCAGTCCTGGTGTGCACTCCAGAAAAGGCGCCGGGCATTGTCTGCCAGCTGTACACTTTTGCGCAACAGCTCCTCTGCATCGGCCCTGCCAAAGCCGGCCTGCTCGAATCCCTTGAAGGACGCCTGATATGAGGCTGTAGTGGCCACATCAGCCCCTGCGCGCAAGGACATGAATGTGTCTGCAGCTTGTCGGATCAGTTGTTATTCCTGTTTAGGTTGGCTAGCAAAGTTAGCAGGTGCAGTGGCAACAGATACACAAGTGTTGCACGAGATGTGGGGCCATGCCTGCCTCATAGAAAGCAGCGTGCACTTGCGTGACTGCCGCAGGATCTTCTGCCAACATTCGAGCGCTCCAAAGGCGATCCTGTGTGACAGCTGTCGTCATGCAGTTGCCAAAATTCTCACTTCTGAGGCCCCTTCTTTGTGACGCAGGACAGGCCATTCAGGGCACTATGGCATGGGATCAGATCTGCTATGTCGAGGAGCTGATGCAATCGAATGCTACTCTGGAACTGAAATGCAGATATGTGCATATTGTCCTCCTTTCTGCACAAGATCGCAAAGCCAAGCGTACCTGAGAGAGGTCTTTGCCCATCCTCTCGAGCTGCGTCGCAAATCCCCCGTCGAGGACAGCGGCTCTTTTGCCGCCCCCAGAAATGATTATTGAGATAGGATCTTTGGACATTGTTTCAATCCTTATCGATCACCCAGATCCTGTCTTTACGGTAACATCCTTATACCGTGCAACGTGTACATGTTATGCGGACCTGAACAGCACTAGCGTACAGCGACAGGCGACCATTACAGATGTTGAGAGGCAGCTCATTGTACAGTGTCCACCCATACCTGTCCAGGGGCCCTTCCTTTCTATCGCCACTCCGTTCCGGAAGGGTGTCGGAAATATCCTGAGCACGTGCTCGTGCACGTGGCCTGCTGCATTTCGTCCAGCTTCTCTTGCGACAACGAACTCGTTGTCGTCGCAAAATCTTCCGTGAATCTTATCGACTTGGTAAAGTAGTTGAGAATCATGAATGCCAGATCGCAAAAATTGCAAGGTGCAGGGAAAGATTTTTGCTGCACTCCACTTCACAAGAGCTGCAGTGTATCCACCGCATCAAGGCAATCACCTAAGGCAAGACTAAATCGCCGAAGATCGCCAACCATGGCAATAGCTGCAGAGCCGGCTGTTGCAGAGAGGCCACCTGTTGCACAGCGGCCAGACAGTGACGGCCGGTTTGGACGCTTTGGAGGCAAATACGTGAGGATATACTTGGCTCACGTGAAAGCGTTGATCGAAAATAATCCTGAACGTGACTCCTTCGAAAGGAATGAGCGTATCCTATGGATCGGGGCCCATTCAGCCTGCAGCTCTCACTGCTCTATCCAACGCCTGAGAGGTGCTTTGTCAATCAACAGGTACCAGAGACATTGATTGGCGCTTTGAAAGAGCTGGAGGAGGAGTATGCGAAGGCTATGGCTGATCCTGGTTTCCAGGCGCGCACCTTCCCATCATGCTTGTCGCAGCTTGCCTTACATCTCCAGTACCCCTTGTATGATCATAATTCTCCCCTTCTTTGCAACAGGCAGAGTTCGCGGCCATCCTGAAGGACTATGTGGGCCGCGAGTCCCCCCTGTACCATGCAGAGCGACTGTCCGAGCGATACAGGAGGTAGCTCTAGAGACTATTCTCTTTGCTCCACTCTACATTCCAGCTACTGCTAAGCACGCGCAGAACCCAGTGGCACACTGTGTGAATTGTTATATGCTGCATCCGAGAATTTGCATTTGCGGGCATCTGCAGGCCTGACGGGTCAAGGCCAGAGATCTACCTGAAGCGGGAGGACCTCAACCACACAGGCGCTCACAAGATTAACAACTCTCTGGGGCAGGCGCTGCTCTGCCTGCGCATGAAGAAGCGCCGCATCATTGCCGAGACCGGCGCAGGCCAGCACGGTGTTGCTACAGTGCGGGCACTTCCCTTCTACTAATGGCTGCTTGACAATTTCTGTCATCTTGTCTTTTTCTTTCCAGTCTAGCATTGCATTGTCATGGCGCAGCACCTTGCTTCTCACCTGTGGTGGTTTCATTGGGGGTTGTGATGCTGTGCATTTCATAATAAATGATAGCCTGCCTGGGTCACCTTCAAAGTACAAGTTGCAGGACTCAGACCCACTGGAACCTGTGAGGCAGACATGGCAGCGAGGGTGCACAAATGGTGGCATACAATTGACCTGCTACTACTGTGATTGGGTTGTTGTGTGGCTGACAGATGCAAGCCAGGGAAGCCAGGGAACAGTTGCTGGATGCTGAGGTTGGTGGGTTTTCATGACATGCAGGCAACAGTGTGCGCCAAGTTCGGGCTGCCCTGCATCATCTACATGGGAGCCAAGGACATGGAGAGGCAGGCGCTGAATGTGTTCAGGATGCGCCTCCTAGGAGCAGAGGTCAGCTCTCCAGTCACCGTGAAATCTGATTCACAGTGCATGATCACTTAAAGACAGCAACAGTGGCTTGTGCACACCACTACTATTCCTTTTCAATGCTTGGCTGTGTTGCCAGAGGAGGATCGTACACCTTCAGTGGTCTGTAGCAAACAGATACAGTCAGCCGAGCTTAGTCAGCAGTGCCACATCAGGCGCAATGCTGTCTGACGAAGTTAGCTCAGTGTTAAGGCTGTGCTCATTACAGGTCTGCTCATGCAGAGTTTCTTTGTGTGTGATCTGGAAGCTGTGGGCGCAGGTGCGGCCCGTGCATTCAGGCACGGCGACGCTGAAGGATGCCACCAGCGAGGCCATCAGGGACTGGGTGACTAATGTGGAGACCACCCACTACATCCTGGGCAGCGCTGCTGGCCCCCATCCCTACCCCATGATGGTACGCGCAATTCATCCATCAATTATCCACCCAGCCCAAACGCTGCCGCAGTTTCTACCCTTTGGGGAGCCAGGGAAGCCCCTTAAGGCTTCCCTGAGGGCACCTTGACGTCAGGCACAGAGCATGCACCATTTGTGTTTGTGCTGCAAGGTGCTGCCATACTTGCGATGCAGGATGGATGTTCAGAACAGCATGCACTTCAGAAAACATGGTCTCTTGCGCTGTGATTTATCAACGCTTTCACCCTCACAGAAGCTTGTTAAGATTACTTGTCCACTGGCAGAACTTATGCTCTACTACCGGCACTGCTGTATGCCCATGTATCCAGAAAGTTGGCCTGTTTTTCTCCTCAGGTGCGGGACTTCCAGGCAGTGATCGGAAGGGAGACGAGACGGCAGTGCCAGGCAGCGTTTGGAGGCAAGCCGGACGTGCTACTTGCCTGTGTCGGTGGCGGTTCCAACGCCATTGGCCTCTTCCATGAGGTGAGCGCTGCTTTGATCCCTTTCACAAACAGCCTAGGACACGTGCAGCAGAAAGGGGATCGGCAACAAAACCTACCGTCCGTGCCTGCACAAGCTTGCAAGCAAACAGACAGACAATGCTGCACCTGATAAAACCAATGATCCATAGTCCCAAGCTTTCCTTCTCACCCCTGTCCCTGCATGACGAGGTGAAGGTGGATGGCAGTACGGCTACTCTTGTGATGCTAGATGTGCATTGAAAGTTGAAAATTTCTGTGTGAATTTGCTTGTTCTCCCTTTCGCATTTTTTGGTGGTGGATGTTTGCGCTGCTGTGAAGCTGCCTGTGGCCATGGTGTCCTGGAAGGACACCCACTACAAGCCACTTCTTTGCACTCTTTACCACTCGTTGCTGGGCGAGCCTAGAGCGCCATTTACTGGCTCTACCATGTTCCAATCAAATGATATTTTGTCACTCCTGATCCTATGCTGCAGTTTGTGGACGATGAGGACATTCGGATGATTGGGATTGAGGCGGGTGGCGAGGGTGTTGACACAGAGAAGCATGCAGCCACGCTGACGAAGGGCTCCCCTGGAGTGCTGCACGGCTCATTCTCCTACCTGCTGCAAGACGATGAGGGCCAGATCATCGACCCCCACTCCATCAGCGCCGGGTGAGGCCTCTTTACTGTCTCAGCGTTGGAGATTTTCCTGTGGGGCTCTGAAGGGTGCTAGAAGCTTATTGGCCTTTGGTGATTTGGCCATAGCAAATTCTCAGCAAGAACACCCTTCTTGTGAGGCTGTAAAGAGCGCAAGAAGCTTTTGGGCCGTTGGAGAGTTGAATGAATCATCAGAATCATCAGAAGTGCCTGGAAGCCCATACGGTGGAGACTATCTGGGTCATACCTCAAGTCAAGTTTCCGGTGAATGTGCCATGCGAAGAGTAATGCTTTGCTGTGAACAGTCTAAAAGGTTTTAGGGAGCACCTGTCAAACGGATGTTGCATCTGGTAATCTTCATTGGGGTTCCCTACTTTGGTGTAAGTGCCAGTGCTTGAGACGCTGCAATGCGGAATGCTGGAGTCTTTGTTTCCTGTGCATGGTGAGCTGACTGGCTTTGCTGCAGGCTGGACTACCCAGGCATTGGCCCAGAGCACAGCTACCTGAAGGACCTGGGCCGTGCAGAGTACTATGCCGTGACTGATGCTGAGGCGCTGGAGGCATTCGTGCTTGTCAGCCGCCTCGAGGGCATCATTCCTGCGCTCGAGACCTCCCACGCATTCGCCTACTTGGAAAAGTGAGTCGCCCAATTCTTATTTTTTAGTGTGCTTTGATGTCCAAAATTCAGTCCCCAAGATCTTACTTCTGTACTGTGCTTTTCATGGGAGGCTCTTGTACTTGGAAAAATGGAGGTGTCTTCATTTTTGCGCACATTGCATTTCACACGGCAAGGCAATTCTTTCTCCTTATTTTTGGCGCTCACTCTGCTGTGATTTCTGCAGTGCTCTTTCTCTGAAATTTCTTCTGAAGCTTGCTTGCAATGCTGGGAAGCAAGGCAAGGCACCTTTTGGACAAAGGAGTGTATCGAGAAAGGGTGCTTGGTGTCAGGTTGTGCCCTGATCTGCCCAATGGCACTCGCGTGGTCATCAACCTGAGTGGGAGAGGCGACAAGGATGTCAACACTGCTGCCAAGTTCCTGGACATCTCTGGAGAGTAGGCTCGCTCCCGGCCGCATGAGACCACTGGGATGCTGAGGGGAAATGACAGCAGCGCCCTATAATCTTCCCTTTTTGGTGCTCATGAAGCTGAAGCGTGTGGTCGTCATTTCATCAAGGCTCCATGCTGCTTTCCAGCCCATGTAATCTGTGGCTCTCGTCAGAAATGCACCATGGCCAAGGCTTGGCAGATGCACCCATTAAGTGGCTACTTGAGACTCCCCAAAAATCGCGCTGCGTCAAAGCACCCTAAAAATCAGCTCAATTCGAAATACATATACACGCATTTGCACTTCTGTCGATGCTTCTCAGATGCATGTGGTCCACCCACTGGAACACTCCTACTAGGTAGTACACAGCGTTTGTGCTAGGCAGCTTCATCATAACCCTCACAGAGAGAAGTACAGACTACTTAGGACACACTGGCATCACATAGGGCTGGCAGATAATATCAGCATAGCACCATTTTGCCATGATTGTTCAGATCCAACTGCAGGTCATGTCTATTGATTGGCAGCTCCTCAACCCCTGCCGTGATCATGCCTCATGCTTCCAATCCATGAGCGCTGCAGTAGCGTCGGCAGAAGAAGTTAGCATGTGACAATGTAACAGTTCCTCAGGGACTCACAAATCAGTGGCTATACTGAGTCAGACTGCGCATGTCATACCTTTGAGGTCCTTCTCTGCCACGTTGTAATTCCCCAGGATGCTCTGCACACAAATGCAAATCCTTAAGATGCATCAATCAGGTGACAGGAATCATGCACATGCACAAAGAGATAATAGCTCCAAAAAGAATGAAGGATCACAAGCTGCGGTATTCCACCTTCAGCTTGGAGAGTTCTGACTGGGCATGGTCTTCAGCTTCTTTGGTATCCACCTGCCACAGGCAAATGCACATGTTGACTCACTGTGCCTCCAAGAAAATATTCACGGGGCATTCGTGCACTGCATGATCCAGAATAGCTTGGATTGATGCACTGCCATCGTCACCTTGTCAGCCTGAGCCTTCACTTTCTCCAGGAGCTTGCGCAGCAACTTCTCGTCCTCTTTCCTGAAGTGGACAAGCTCCTCGCCCTTCTCCCTGTCGGAGAAGGTTACGGAACGCTCGCTGATGTAGTACATTGCTGGACGCTGCGCGGAAAGGGAGCGCAGGGTTGGGGCAATCCTCGAGACTCGCTGAAGGAAGGCCATCTTCACGTATGATCAGACCTGAAACAACACACAATCCCGAATAAGCACCTTTTAGTACATCAATTTTTCATCGGTGGTCCATTGTTGTCGAAGAAGAGGTTGGCAATCCAGATAGGAAAGTTTTGTGCTGCACCTCAGGTCTGACACAGCAGGGTGATGGATAATGGAAGCCTTGGTTACAACCTGAAGACACAAATTTTTCTGATGTGGAGAAAGGATCCGAGCAAATTCTTCGATACCTGCAGGATCCTGTCTTCTAGTTGAGTCATCTGCTGAGCCAAACTTGGCATTCTGGGGCGTCTTGCTCCAGACTGGTCCCAGGATTTCAGTGTGTTTCCCTGGCTTTGCACAATATATTTTGAAGAATTAAAGGTTGTAGAGTGCTGAGACTGAAGAGTGCAGCGTCTATATCCAGTTTACCCAACAAACAGTGACAACCCAAACCAACCACTTTTGATTGCTTAGGCAGAGTGGTACTCTTGGTTGCTTTTGTAGGTGAAGCCTCTCAGATAATTCTTTGAAATCACTTCTAACGATGGAAGAATTCACAGCTGCTAATATTGCCGTTTCTGATGAGAAACGAGAGGAGGAGCTAGAAAAGACAAAGAAGGGCACTGTTGACTACTCTAAGCTAGAGGAAGAGGTGGCAGCAGCGAAGAAACATGCCGAGGAGGTGGGGCACGCAAAATAGTGACAACGTGCTGTGACGTTTAAGCAGGAATAATCCTTGGCGAGATTATTGCTGCCCTCTGCCAGTAAAGGAAGATAGCCGCTCTATCTCAATGAACCATCTACATAACAAAAATCCTGCCAATCTGCAGGGTGACTTGACAGCAGCACTGGAGTGCTTGCTTTCTCTTGAAAAGCAGCACAGGCTGGGAGAAGACATCACAGCAACAAAGCTTTGCTGCACAGCAATCCTGGATGCTCTTTATGAAGCAAAGGAGTGGAAGCTTCTCAATGAGCACATACTATTGCTGGCAAAGCGACGATCACAACTAAAGCAGGTCTGTTTGCATTCTTGAGCCTCACGAAGCTTCATAGTGGCTGTCAACTGTGGCTCGCTGGTTGACCACCAAAACATCTCTCTCTGCCTGATCACCTGACTGTGGCAGGCTGTGCAAGCTTTCGTGCGGCAAGCGATGGGATACATTGACCAAACCCCTGACAAGGAGTCAAGGGTGGAGCTAATAAAGACGCTTCAGACTGTTACAGAGGGAAAGGTGCTCTTCCTCATGCCTTGCGATGCGCTGGCTGCTGGTTGTGAATTTCTCACGATTGCGTCTCAATATCCTGCAGCTGGTCAATCTGCAGTGTAGAGTTGGATAGAGGTTTCTTAGAGCTCTGAGCGTTATTGCAGATCTTTGTGGAGATAGAGCGCGCACGGCTGACTCGGCAGCTGGCCAAGTTGAAGGAAGAGGAGGGCAAGATTGACGAGGCGGCAGAGATCCTGCAAGAGGTGGCAGTGGTACGTCCCTGGCTCGTCGAAAGGCATTTATGCATGCCTGCCATGCATGCTGTCCTAGGATGCCACATCTAGAGGTCATTTGGGTACTAATGACCCAGAGGAATACAAGCGCCTTCTTCTCACCCTGACAAACATTCCTGGAGTGGCCTCCTTGAGTTGACTGCAAATACTTGCCAAGGATGGTATGGACAGCCAACAACTGCGGTATGGGCGTGCATGTGTAAAGGATGGTCGTCATAAGTATTTCCTTCGAGTTGGTGGTACAGCCCATGCAATTGCCACTTGACTGTGAGTGCAGGAGACGTTTGGGGCGATGGCGAAGACAGAGAAGATCTTCTACATCCTGGAGCAAGTGCGGCTGTGCCTGGACCGCAAAGATTTCATCAGGTGCTGCGCCACAGCTCTTCTGGGGCGTGCACCTCTATCTTGAGCGTCACATAAGCCTTGTAACATTTCATCCCTATGTCTGGCATGTTTTGGCCGTCTGGTAGCATGCATTGTGCACCCTACTCACCTTTGCAGTCCCACTGCACCCATCTTCCAAACGCCGCTGGAGCAGGTTCAGGAGCCGCAGGTTTCTCTCCTAGCTGTGTAATAATGCTGATGTATCGCTGGAATGCAGGGCCCAGATCCTGGCCAAGAAGGTGAGCCCGCGCGCATTTGTGGACCAATCACACAAGAAGGGGCAGAACGCTGGCGAGGTGGGCATTGAGGGGACCACCATCCAGGCAGCCGACGCGGTGAGTCATTTCTTTGGCCTTGCCTTCTCTTTAACATCATGGGAATGTGCATAGGTACTCTACTTCACTTCAACCTTACGACATGGTGTGAGACAATGACTTGGACAGTCACTTGCTTCACATGCACTGATGTCGAAAAGGCTTCTGCCAGCCAAAGTGGTTCAGACCAGATGCTGCGTATTGTATTTTGATGCATTGCCTTGCCTGCCCATTATCAGGGCACCCCAAGCCTGCCGGAGCTGAAGCTGATGTACTACCAGCTGCTCATCCGCTACCACGAGCACAACAACTCCTACATCGATATCTGCCGCTGCTACAGAAGCATCTATGAGGTGAGCCCTCTTTTAAGCTCCCACCACTGTCCATTCACCACCAGATTCTCCTGTATAGTGCTCAGAAAATTCTCTGCTCCTAACCCAACCAGCACGCTGATGCCGGATCCTCATGTTACCGCCATCATGTGATACCAATCTGCTGCTGAGAGACTCTCGGCGCCCAATAACTGTTTCTCATCCTGTGTTGCGACTGCTTCTGTGTTGTTGACTGGATGAGAGAGCCTTTGCGTCACAGTGCTGTATCGCAATGTACCTGTCCTTGTCTCTGTGGTGCTTATAAGAGCTACGGCCCTCTTCTTTCCCTTCCTCTTCTGCTTGATCTTCTTGGCCTTGGCTGGCTGACCGCTGCCGGCTGCAGGCGCTGAGACTGGCGCTGTGCTGCTGTCCATGGCATCAGCGTCTGGCTCCCTGGCTGCCAATGACAGAGCCAGCTTTGCGGCAGCTACGGTGCTGCTTCTGTGACGTTGAAGGGGGGGTCATTGCCTTGCTTGTACAGGTGCCCAGCATCGCAGAAGACCCGGCCAAGTGGGGCCCTGTGCTGAAGCGCATCTGCTGGTATGTGATCCTGGCGCCAGCTTCCAGCGACCAGGTCACTCTGCTCGCCACCACAGCCGCCGACAAGAAGCTCGTGGAGCTGCCCGCTTACAAGGAGCTGCTGCAGAGCTTCATCACCAAAGAGGCGCGTTTTTAAAATGTAAAAGTGTCAGCAAATGAAGTGCGTCTTACCGAGCTGGTAAGGGCAGCTGGTCATCTGTGCGATACTAGTGCAGAAAAAATGATTGATTTAGGGAGAATCCAGTGAATACCCTTAGGATAATCACATCTGGTGGCAGAGCCCCCGTGCTGTGCCATAGCATCTGAAATAGGGCCACGAGCCGCTGTGATGCCAGCAGGCATTGCAATCGAAGCATTGACATGCACATTTATCGCAAAGGGTAGCAAATTAGAGAAAGAGGTGTGCAGACATCAAGGCAAAGCGAGCGCCAGAAGATAGGAGAAAGGGCTACCTCGCAAGTGTAACTACAGGGGGTCTTGAACCTGCTTCTAAGAGTATTTAGTATTCCCCAGTACCCAGCAAAGTTGAGGGTATATCTCTTACGGGGGGCAGGTGCGCTGGTGGTCTGCTTTTGAGAAGGAGTACTCAGGGGAGGTGGATGCGGAGGCCATCATCTTTGGCGGCGAGGCCGGGGCCAAGCGCCGCGCGGACCTGCGGCTGCGAGTCATCGAGCACAACGTGTTAGTCATCGCCAAGTACTACGCGCGCATCACCCTCGCTCGCCTCGCCCAGCTCCTCGACCTGTCCGCCGCCGACGTACGCCGCTCCTTTCGCTGTCCCTAGAGATAGCCTGAGATTGCTGCTGCACCTAGACTTGCCTCCCATTGCCTTTGTAATGCATATCTAGCCATGGGACATTGGAATCAAGCTTCCGACACATGATGCAATTGATTGCATGCATTGCATTGCAGTACGCTTTTCCCTCGAGCCAGGCCATAGTTGGGCTGCATGAGAGAGGTAGAGAGGTTACATCGTTCCAGCCACACAGGGCTGATCAGATGTTTCACAGCTTCCCAACCGTCCAACATAATGTCAAGTGGTGTATGTGATTGATGCGTGTGTGGCTTGCGTGCGCGCAGACGGAGAAGCACCTGTCAGACATGGTGGTGGCCGGGGCGCTGACGGCGCGCATCGACCGGCCAGCCAGCATCGTGCGATTCGCCGCGCGGCGCGAGCCGGCCGTGCTGCTGAACGGCTGGGCGTGCAACATTCGGCGGCTGCTGGACGTTGTGGAGAACGCGACGCAGAACATCCAGAAGGAGTCCATGGTGCACAAGGTCGCCATTGGCGCTGCATGAGGAAACTGATCTTTCCTGTGAGAGCTTCCCTCGTGTGGAGGTAGTTCTTAGCCTCAGGGTCCAAAAGGCAGCAGATGGCTGGTGTACCTGGTTTGAGGCACTCAAGAGAACTGTCTGAAGTCTTGTGCGGTCCTCGTGGACCCAAGGTGCGTGGGAAACACAAGCAGGCTCAAGTCCCAAGGAAGCGGCAATCTCCATGAGATTGGAATGAGAATGTGTTTGGCTGCGGTGGGTGTTGCTTTGCCGCATAGACCCGTGATGCCACGAAACAGACTTTCGGTTGTGTCTTGCAAAGACATGCTTGAGCTTAAATTGTATGATGCTACATAACTTATGTCTGTAATGATAACAGACTCCAGTGACAATGCAGTCAGGTACCACCGGTGCCCTGCTAGTGCTTTGCATGCAATGTTGCTGTTGACGACCGCACAAAGGAGCCATACTAGAAAGTCTGCAATCTTCCCTTGTGGCTCTTGCATGGGCAGAAATGCCATCGCAAATGCATGCATGGCAAAAGCAACGTCAGAAGTCTAGGTCGTCGTCTGGATCTTCGTCTGAATCGGGGTCAGTCTCTGAGTCACGCTCATACATGATCTGCCCCAGGCCAGGATTGGGAGCTGCCTCCTTGAACTCATCCTGCACAAGCCATTACATTAATTTTAATAAGGTTCTCATCTCGTGCAAAAGCACACAGCGGTGCACCACAACTGCCCAGCTCTTCACAGAGAACATAAGAGTGCACTGGCTTTGCACTGTGCTCACATCTCAGAGAAATAGGAGTGCAGACATCAAAGCAGAGCGAACAGGAGAAAGGGCTGCCGCCTCCGGCATGCATCAACGATGCAATGATTCCCCCGCCCAGGAGTAGTAACTTGCACATCAAAAGGAGATGCACAGCTCAAGTAACATGGAGCACGCCTGTGACTGGGCCCCGTTCTGGCGCTGCTCCCAGGGAAGGACGACGTTCTGCCGTGCAGCCGCCTCCTGCTGAGTCAGCGTTAGTCGCATTCCCCCACCCATCTTCTCCGCCAGCGCCGCCAGTGCAGCCGCTTCTTTGGACGCATCTTCACTTCTGGTGCCCCCTGTTGAACGAAGAAGGGCTCAATATCTTTTTGTCTTCAACTTGTAGCAGACATCATACCGTGTGCGCCTGACTTGTAACGAAACCTGTTGCAGGTCTTCTGTAGGACAGTCATGATTTCTTGATTCTCGTTAATGACACAAGAACCTAACATACCATATTTTCTTTACCGCCACCACAGTTTAATGACGAGTCTAATCACATCTGAACGGCACCCACCTGGAGCATTGCCAAGTTTTCCAGCCGCTGGGGTAGCTCCCACTTCAGGCTTCACCTCTAGGAGAGTCCCATCCGTCAGGAGTTGGTAGCAATCCTTAACCACCTTCACTCTGCCTGTCTCACAGACACACTCAAAAGCCTGATCAGCAGCCATACATTGTCTCCATTGACCCCATTTGGAGCAGCTAAAACAATCCTGCACTGGCAAAAATGACGCGCTGAAACATCTGCTTGCCCTAGCTGTCAAGCTCATGTGCAGGAAAAAATCGAGAACCGCTCGTGACCAGCATGTCTTTTCACATTGCAGAGAGTCAGGGAAGGACCTGTGCGCTGCTTGATTCGTGTTTCCAAGAAGACATCGGCAGCAGATGGGCTGACTGCTTCGGGCGGTGGCATGAGCTCAGCCACACACGCAGACATCCGCTCCAGGGCCTGGACAGTCAATGCCTTATGCAAATCCTGTCCACCCAGCAGACAAATGTATCAGCACTTAGCACAGCCCTGAACAACACTTCGGCACTTCCTGTAATTGTGCTGAAGGGCATGATAACATCTTCATTGTCTACGTGGAGCACAGACACCACGTGCTAGATCTATTGGCAACAGATGACAACAATCGACACTGATGGGCTTGTCTGAATCCTACGTCCTGCAACATGCCGGGGGTAGGCCATTCACCGAGTGGAGAGTCGCCAAGACGCAAGACACCGATGGCGCATGCAGGATCCTGTCTAGCAATTCCAAGACCTGCGGGATCAGGAATCAGCTCCGTTTGAAGGCAGTCCTGGCTTTGTCTATTCAACTGAAACGAAGGACCTGACTCCTGCACAGCAGAAGTGGCATCTGGAGGATCAGATTACCTTATGCTCTGGGTGCAGGAACAGCAGCGAGCTCAGAGAGTCAATAATGACCGCCACGGTCGGAGCTGCAGCTGCACTGCTGTCCGAAGGTCTCCCACTTGTGCTTGCGCGGATTGTTGTGGGCTCTTCTGACCCTTCTCCAGACTGTCTGGGTTCTCGAAGAGGGACTGCCTCTGAAAGTTCCTCCAACGCCCTGCAACATGCTATTGTTGTCACTCTCACATCAATGTGCATGCCCCCATGCTTTGATTGCGCACGCACAGGCATTGCCCGAGCCTTCTGCGATGCTGTGCCTTGAAGCTTGTCTCACAGTAACCGCGAGATACAATTGCAGCGCAAGTTGGCAGCAGGGAGGGTATGTCACCTGTCGCTGTGCGCATCAAGCCGTGTGACGTGCAGCTGTGCGCCCAGTATTCCCTTGCAAGTGCTCGAATAGCCAGCGCTGGTACCGCTCAAAGAGATGCAAAGCACCTCCTTGGCCTGGGCGCGAAGCTGTTTCACAGCGTTGCAAAGGTCCACTACAGCCTGCATGACAGCAATGCACATACGTTATCTATCAGCTGCAGCACAAGATCTATCTATCTATCTATCTATCTATCTATCTATCTATCTATCTATCTATCTATCTATCTATCCATCAGCATAGATTGTGTCGGCACCAAGCGCATCAAAGAACACCTGATGGACACGGGTGCACAGATCCTATAATCGTGTGCAAGGATATGGCGGATCTTGCAGCTACTGTGTATATCGATATCACCTTCGAGGCAACAGCTGGGCCACCAATTGATGGCACACTGTCCTGGAAAAGCGCCAGCGGAGGAGGTCTGGTACCAATGGATCCATCTCTCAAACATCTCAGCAGCTCGTCCATTGCTGATGAGAAGGAAGATGAGATTGCGGCAATCTTATTGCCTACTTTAATGCTGCTCTACCGCTGATGCAAGTCGCACATAACGTTTATGTTTGCACACGCCCTCTCGTGAATTGATTTTTCGTTGAAGCACAGCCTGGCACATGCTAGAGAAACAGGATCAAACATTCGGTGCATTTGCTGTGAGATGGTACTGTCACACGCAGATCAGCGATCTCCGAAACCGCGTTTCGAAAGTGCACAACCTGACGTCACAGCTGCAGGGAAATAAATTACAAGCGGGCCTTACAGCATCCTTCTGGCAAAGCACCAGAAATGCAGCAATTCTCAAAATTCCCAGTGCTTGCAGCAACGTAACGGAGATTTGAGGAGGTTGTCTGGGTCTGGTCTGTGTCCGTGGTTGTGCCTATCCGTAGAGGACGCCATACCTTTTGTCAGGATGAGCCACGAGTGCCCAGGAGACCAATTTGAGCAGGAAGCCAACCAAGCCCGGCTGTGCAGCGCTGGCTGTGGGTTCTTCGCGTGAGTTCCTCTGCAACCTGTGCATTGAAGTCCTGGGTCCTGGCTGATATCTTGCGCAGCACCTGTCCTTAAATCTGGTTTGCTGGACAGTCCCTATTCCTGTTTGTCCGTCAGCTCAGGCGTTTTGGTCGACTTTTACAATAATCAAATATATTGTTTCCCTCTGCATTGCTGGTCAGGGGATCGTCAGATGGGTTACATTGGTGGGCCACGCGGTCCAGACTCTCCAGAGACTGAGCCTGGTTTTGGTCATCTCTGTATAGGAACCCCGCCTGTTTGGATATGTGCTCCAAGTGCTACCGGGAGCGCACGGCAGAGGATGAGCGAACAGCGGCAAATGGTAAAGCAGCGGCAGCGGCCTTGAACTCTTCGCGGATGGATATTGGGAAGCCAGCCAGCCCGGTCCTTCCACCGCCTCGCCCAGCCCCTGAACCTGTGCCCTCGGCCGATGAGCCCAAGATGGAGGCCATGCGTGCGATAGAGGAGCCAGTTCAGGAGGAGGCGCATGCCCCGACTACCTCGGCGTCCGCTGAGGAGACCAGCGAGGAAGAGAAGCGGCCAGCGCAAAAGAACCCCGGGCGCTGCTTCTCCTGCAACAAGCGCGTGGGCCTGACCGGGTTCAAGTGCCGTTGCGACTACGTGTTCTGTGCTGCACACAGGTGAGTTGAGCGTTATGATCCAATGCACGTTCCAGACAACCTCGTTGCAAGACCTTTTAGGGAGATTTGGGGTTTGGCTAGAAGCAGTTGCTCAGGTGCGAGGTAGGTGGGGCCTGCCCTTGGATCAAGTCAGCCTTTTATTTGTCTTTTTTGTAGTCACGAGCCTGGATCATCAGGGGCATGAGCTTTGAGCTAGATAGTTGTGGGTACTTTCTCATCGGGAATCTGAGCTGGCACTCTTGTTTGTTTTGTAGATACGCAGAGGCCCACGAGTGCAAGTTTGACTACAAGTCAGCAGGGCGGCAGCAGCTTGCAAAGAATAACCCACTGGTGCAGGCTGCCAAAATCGACAAGTTATAAGGGAGGCACAACGCCGCAATCTAGGATGTTCTAAACGTGCGCGCGGCCCCAATTGGGCCTCTGCCTTGCAAAAAGAGATGTGAAAGGTTCTTGTGTACAGTGTTGGTCTTGCTGCTGTGTCACCGCTTGCAGGCAGTCCTGCACGGCCCAAAGTGGGCTCCTAGGTGGGGTCAAGACTGGAAAATTGTTCTCAGGACCCACGGTTCACAGATCTCTTGTGTGGCGTGCTAGCACGTGCACAGAGGATGCAGGCTGCAGTGACATGGGGTGGAAAACCAGTGGTGGGCGAGATTTGCTGACATTCTTTGCTGCTACCCAATTGGGCTGGGGAGGGGGCCTGGCAAACGAGCTGCCCTTCTCAGTTCCCAACCGAGCATCACCCTGCTTGGCTGTGCGCGGCATAGGACAATGAGTGAATTCTGGGCTGAAAAAGGACGGAAATGAGTGGGAAGGGTCTAGGAGGGCTGCTGGTGTTTGTTGGCTGCCCTGTTGCTTGACAGGTTGTGCGACAATGCTCCCATTGTGTTGATCTGTACCATAGAGCAGTTGCATGCTTAGGTGTGGTTGTTCGTCAGTCTGTGCGACGTTGTACCTTGATCATGATGCAAGCATCTGTATTCTTCTATCAGGCTTCTTTGAATCAATCAAGATCTGAGCCTCCCCCGGACGTACAGACCATGCTGACATCGCCATTGCAAGCTGGCATTTATGACCAAGTGACCTGAGAGAGCAGCTGGAGTTTTTGCAGCGCTGCTTGAAAAATCAATCCCCGCCATGCTTCAGCTCTGATGCTGCTTGACAGAGCTCGTGTCCTGTGAGACCTGGTGCTGCAGGACATCAGGCACGTTGCAAACATGTACATGGACCTCCTCCACACACTGATGTGAAGCCACAGCGCCTGCAGCTGCCTCGCGTCCCTACACTGGTGACTCTACAATGTGCAGGAGCTTAAGAGACTTACTGATTACAGGCAGCACTCTTAAATATCAATTTGCAGCCAAGGCGAGCTTGACAGAGCACCACTAAAATTTGCAAGAACAGCACATGCTGTACAATCATACAAATTAACACCACAGTGGCCAAACTTTCAGAGCACTTCTTTGAATTCCTACACATGTACAGGTCCAAGCAGTGACTGCATAGCAGTCCAACACACCATATACTATAGTATGCATTCCTGTGCACCTTGCTGACCGAACTGTTTATAATGCGCTACAGCATGAATCACCACAAAAAGAACCCTTTGCAACATGTACAAATCTGCCCAGATGGGCCGTGCCTCTAGCCTTGCCGCACTTTTCCACCCCTGAATTGTCACCGCGAAGCTATCGAATTGGCACTGTAGAGGCTAACCCGTGTAAAAGGCCTACATTTCGTCCACTGCGCATATTTATGGGCTTGGCTGCTCTGCTTCCTGCGCCGGGCTCTCAGGCTCAGGCGAAGCCGCACCCGCAGCGGTGCTGATGCCGGCATCGGCCGAAGCGACGGATGCCGGAGGGGAGACCGGGTGCGCGGCCGGGACCGGCCGGGGGATTGACGGCTGAGGCACGGCGGGCGGCTTCCATGCATCTGCGACATGCAACATAGGCTCAGAAGGCGGCATTAACTCCGCAGACTCAACATGTTCCCCATGTTATTTGATTGTAAAAAGACAAGTTTGCAGCGCACAGTAGCTTTGCGCTTGCTACTTTGTCTTGTCAGATGTCTTGACGACGGCGGTGGAAAAGCCATGGACCCTCGGCACCGACTTGCAGCAGTGCATCTTGCATGCAGCACAAGCAGGTGCCCAGTGCATGAAGATATCTGCAGCCCTTCAATAATAAAGAGATCAAGGGCAAAACCTGACCATTCGACATGAACATCAAACCGTCATCCTGTTCAGCTTCCCGCACGCGCACTCGCGCACAGAAGACCAGAGCACCGCACAACATGATTCAAACAAGTGGTAGCCTGCCTAGGTCACATGCAAATCCTAAGGCGCACCAGCAGGGGGACTGCTGCTGCTGCCGCTGGCGCCGGCGGTTTTGGCAGATGTGGCCTGGTCAGCGGCCTTTACTGCGGGTTTTGCAGCCTGCGCAGCGAAGGAGGGGCCTCCGTCCGCCCAGGGGGCACGCGGGGGGGACCGCTCCACGTCAGCCGGGGGGACCGCGGCGCGAGTCGCGGGAGGGAACGCCCCGGCAGAGGACGTGCGTGGGACGGCTGCACAGACAAGGCATCCTGCTTCAGCGCTCAGCTGATTGAGTATCAGACAGACCTGGAGCCAGACATACTGTACCCTGCAAAGAAAATGCCAGCAGAATGGCAAGGAACGACCCTTGCGCTTGTAACCAGGATGGGCATTCTGTATACCCTGCAATTGCACAGCATGTTTGACAAGCTTCTGTCAGCACGGCCATAGATAGATGCCTGTCTGTGCAAGCGCATGTCTGAGGCCGGACGCAGGCTCTTAGTTGGTAGCAACCCTTATATCGTCACCAATGGGTTGAAGTCGCCCGCGCTGGTGGTCTCGACACGCATTCTCTTCACAAAGACAAGGCTGTGAGTCGCGTTCAGTCATGTGACGGCATGCCGCGCGCACCTGCGGTGGCAGGGAAGGCGCCGTTGGCGACAGGGGAGTCGGGCGCGGAGGCGGCACGCTCCCATGGCTTGGGCCGCGGCTTCATGCGCGCACCGGGCGGCGGCGCGGACGGATTGGGTGGCACATCAACAATGTCATCGCGGATCCCCGGCGGCGTCTGACCCTTCTCCAGCATCTCCAGCACCTGCGCGCGCAATTTCTCTATGTTTGTGTCTAGTTATTCTCTCTCTTGGATGATTGCCAGCGCGGACCATGCATCTCATGATACATGAGTGGAAAGCAGTTCCTGCCCGATGCTGCCGCTTTAGCGTCTGACGCGCGTGTGTTAAAGGGCGCAGCAACAGATGCCATAGAGAATATATGGCGACTGATAGGATTCAGACCCCTGCAGGCAAGAATCACTGCTTTGCAGGACCCAGTGAAAAAAAAGTGCAATTGGGCAAAGTACAGAAGCTTCCCACCTCCATATAGGAGGCTGGGTGGGGCGGCTGCGGCAGAGGCTCCGGCTCTGCTGTGGCGTTCTCAGCGACCCCATTGGCCATGAAAGGAGAGGCCCCGCAAATCTCCTGGATCCCATTTGTCTGCACACCTGTGTTGAGCACCACAGCCCCTGTTAGCCCACCATCTGGATGGTGTGCAATGAGCACTTGTAAGCGATTGCTTGAGAAAGGGAATACCGTATCTGTGCCCGGCGCTGCCATAGAGACTGTAGATACAGCCCCTCTTGAAAGGCAATGCTATGGGTCAATTTTCACCCCGGTACATGGCTCGTGACCTCTCTGCAAAAGATTGCCATGCAAGAATGTGCCAGGCGTTCCTCGTGACCCACAAGCAAGAAGCCCTACGTACACATTAACGCACGCAGAGTGCATGAGTGTGTATTATCAGGGTCCATGGGTTGATTGAATTGTGGCTTTGTCCTTGGTTGATAGGTTTTGAGTGCATATGGTGCATCTCACCAGGGGATGTGAAGGGGTCTTGCACAGTAGAGATGGGCACAGGCCGCGCGGACAGCTGTCCGGCCACCATTGCAACCATTGTCTTGATCTCATCCAGTTTTCGGCCCTCCGCGGGATCCGCCACCGCCTTGGCCGGGCTGCCAAACCTGCAGCAGCACACCAGTGTTACTTATGGCCGTGAGTAGGCGCACAATGACCTCAAAGCAACGGAATGCTCATCATGAATTCGCTCTCCACTTGCACCAGCTCGTTAATTCCAGCAACTGGCAAAAAATGGTATAAAGTCAGCAATCATAATTTTTCGAACACGCTCATCAGCTGCGCTGTCAGCAGGGTCGCTACAACAAGGAGGCAGCACCTCGAAACCATTGCCCAGTGAGCACCTTTGCAGAAGACAGATGCCCACGAAACATCACTAGACTTTGGAACATCACTAGACCCCCCCCATAAATATGAAAGGCCATGAAAGAGCAGGCGCACTCGTTGAGAGAGGTTGCGAGCACTCGCAGCTCTGAGCGCAGCTGCGCGAGGGTGACGGTGTCTGGCGTTCCCTCCACTGCGGCCGCCTTGCCCTTCTCCAGCGTCCCGATGGCCTCCTTCAGGTCCCCCAGAGTCTTCTGCATCTCCGCCGTCTGCACAAGCCAAAAAAGATGATTCGGGATTATTTTTTATGCGAATCACGTCCTGCGCATGCCATTGCCTGGCGGTTTGCCTTGATGGATGTCAGGATGCAGCGCTGCAGACTGCCTGTTTGCAACTTTTCAAAGAACACTCCACATCCGATGTGGTAGAAGAGCGGTCTGCAGGTCCGGGCACAAAGCCACCTTTATACCCAACATGCACACATTCTTCCAAGTCCTTTCTGGAATTTCAGTGGCTATGGCTGAATGATGCAGCACAGGCAGTTGGAGCACCAACCTGAGCCTGGATGGCAGTGGCGACCAGCCGGGCAGTCTCCTCCGCCTTCTGCTCGGCAGCGGCCTTGTCGGAGTCACTGCGCCACTCCTTGTACCACTGCGAGACCTTGGGCAGCGCATACTCTTTCACTGCGTAGCCCAGCGCTGCCACCAGGCCCAGGCCAACCACAACCTGCAGCATGCAAGCAAATGTCAAAGGGAACGCATGCAGCAGGACACGAAGTCGAGAAATGTCATGATTTCAAACTGACATGGAAAGACAGGCATGCACTCATGTGATGGTACCATATCATGCAGAAAGTGCATGCACAGACAAATCGCTTGACTAACAATAGCAGATCAGAAATGGAAGGGGTTGGCAACACACAAAAGCGTTCATGTCACCCACCCTTCACTAGGGCAACAATACATGGCGGCCATTCCTTCTCAGCTTGGCTCGCACCAAGAGCACAGCCTGTTCCCAGTAGATGAACGATCGCATGGACATGACGAGGGAGTTCAAGACGGCAGTAGCGCACCTGCGTCCATCTGATGGGCTGCGGAGGCTGGGCAATCGGCTGCGGCTGCAGCTGCTGCAGCGTGGCAGCGGTGCCAGTAGGGAAGGGCTTGGGTGGGGGCTGAGCAGCAGGCTGCGCAGGCAGGCCAGAAGAGCCGGCTGGCACTGAGGCTGTGGGGGTGTCTGGCACGCGGCGGAAGGCCTCCTCGATCTCGGCTGCTGTCAGGCCCTTCTTCTCCAGGAAGCTCACCTTGGAGGCTGCTGAGGAGCCGCGCACCTGCGCAGGTGATCAGGCCTGAGGTCCGAGGTGGAATATTGTGGAAGGCCCTCGAGGCTCTGGACACGTAACCTGTTAGCAAGACCAGTTTTAGAGCAACTGCTTAAACGTTTGATCTGCTTCATATCCTTGGGGGTTGACGTGCAATCAGAGGGGACAAGGAGAGTGAAACGTAGACACATGAGGTGGCGCCATGGCATTGGTGTGTGGGAGCGTCTCTTGCAGGCTACCGAATGCAAACACAAAGAATAACCCAGGAAGACAAGGATCACGACAGAGGCAGTACACCTTATGGTCGGTTGAACCCACCAAGGTGACTTCACGATCGGGATACCAAAAAGATTTCATTACGCACCTTGGGATGAGACAGGAAAGAGACGGCGTTCTGAATCTGGTCTTCTCGCAGAGATGCTGCCGGGCTGCTGGCCTGGAGAAGACCGTGAGCAGCGTCAACAGGAACATCCTGTAGGTTCTTTGCAGTGCCATCTTGCCCTTGTTCAGCTCCCGGCTCCTGATTATCGACATCTGCCATTTCTTGTGCTTCTTTAGGATCTCTAGATCCCAGCCAATTTTGTTGTAGTCAGAAAGCACAGATCAGCTTCACAGGTATTCTGGAAGCAGACCTCCGATCTGCCCTACAGAAAGGAAGGGCACAGCCAAACTATGGTACTACCTGCAGAGTATATGGCGTAGGGCCGTGCTTGGGACATTCCCATTGAAACGTTCTGCAAACTGAAACAGGTCCATCGTCCAGCTCAGCCTGATCGGGGGGTCCAGGTACTAGCGACGGGGGAACCGCTTGTAGCGGCGCTAGGGCATAGCGTGGGTGGCAAGCGGATTCTCTCGTTGGATGTGGGAGTTCTGGGAGAAGTGAATCAAGAAACAGCGCCGAGTCATCCGTTGGCATCAGATAACGAGCAGCAATGGGCAACACTGTGTCATACTGTGAGCCTAGCAGCAAGGTGTGCACCATTTGCTCCTGCTATCAGTTTCGTGTGTTCGTCGTCATCGATATTAGGATTAAATATCTTGTCATCCAAGGTTTGGTATATTAGACTATCTTGTTCCAATGGGCCGTCCCATCCCTGCCGCAGACCAACCCAGATTCCCTGTTCTTTCTCACCAAGACTCTGTAGTGACTGCACTGTAGCACATTCGCTCTCAGTGTAGCAGGGATGTGAAGTGTAGGAGGGATGGCAAATAATAGGTTTGGATCTGGCACCCATAGGTCTTGCTTTGCTTCTCAAGTGAAAGGTTTCTACTATCTCTAGTGGGCAGACTCATTTCTTCAAAAACATACCCGTCTGACAACTGATTCTGAATGACGGCTTTGTCCCACTCCAGGAGGAGCTCACAGCCGATGAGCCTGCAGCGGAGGAGCCAGCAGAGGAGCAGGAATCAGAGGAGCCTGCAGCAGTTGAAGAGGAGGAAGAGGCGGAGCCAGCCCCTGAAATAGTGGTGCGTAGGGATATCTTTTCCAAACTTCAGTGAAACGTCATGGACTCGATGCTGTGCTGCACAGACCTTGCTGCGTGCAAGAACAGCTCCGAATGGCTCTGGAGGACCCGGGTACTTGCAAGGAAGGTTCTGGTGCTGAGCTGATGCTGCTCTGCACAGGTTCGGACAGCGCCATACGACCCGCGATTCCCATCCACAAACCAGGCCAGGAACTGCTACACTCGCTACAATGAGTTCTACAAGTGAGCCTTCGGTCCTCCAGTAACTCATTCTATTGGTGGGAACATTGCAGTCAACATGGCCGTCTCCACGCTAGTCTGATTTTGACATCTTGTGCCCTGAGTAAATAACCCAATTTATTGACAGAGGGTCTCAGGAAGCTCTTGCTCCAATGTATCTGAGTTCCTGTGCTATCTGACATGGCCCCTGGATGCATCTGTGTCAGGTGTGCGGCTGAGGCAGGCGAGGATGATGACAAGTGCAAGTTCTACCAGAGGGCCTACCGGTCAATCTGCCCAGGCGAATGGGTGCGTCCAAGCCACGGGAACGGAGTGTGCTTAGACGGATACCTGCACAGGAGTGCTCTGTGGCGCTTAATAGGCCAGTAGTATTGGTGTGCATGTTCGTGCCCATCTTGATGTCAAATCAGAATAAGTAGACTTAATACCAATTGGTATGGAACTGGCAATATTGAAAGTGAGATAACCACCATGCGCCATGTCACACTTGTGTCTTCAGTTTAAGAGCGCACAATATTTCACAGTTCCTGCTGCGGTGAATCGTTTATGTATCTCAACTACTCACTTCTGGGGGCTTGATCTGAGACAGGTAGCATTTTTAATGTCCTGTCTTGACAGAATGCTGCCTACTTGAATGTGCAGGTTGAGAGGTGGAATGAGGCGAGGGATGCAGGCAACTGGCCTGGCAAGTACTGAGAGAGTTTGATTCTGCTGTGGTTATGCAAGCGAGTCTCTGCAATACGTCATGGCAGTTCCTCCGGAGTTTGCAGGCACCGAGGCTGCGTGCAGGGATTGTTTCATCGCTGATTTGCTCACCACCTATTACTGCCGAGCCTGCACTGCTTGTGTTTTGAATATGGGGAATAAGATTTGCCTTCAAAGCATGGTTGTTGAGGGGTCCTGTTGGTTTCATTACGAATGGTGACATCACCCTGCTGGACATAGTGTGAAACTTTGCCAGTGTGGCAAGGATGTGACTGTATCCTGCCTTGTAAGCCTCAGTATGGGTACTCTGTTGGCGCCGTGGCGCATGCAGAGCAGTGCAGCATTTGCATTGGCGGCAGGTGCAGGCATGCGCAGGCACAGCTGAGACTACTGGTATGTGGCAGGGGCACTGGTAAGGGCTGCGGGCACATGTACATTGTGATACATGCATCTGGAATTTTGGTGGTCCTGCATGCAGTGTGGATCTTACGCGAGCATGCGCGCAGTGTGCTCATTGTGAACAGATGGCACGCACATGAGCTGGGAGGGCTGCTGACCGGCATCATCATTGCACGCCTGTACAATCTCCAGTTCGGACTAGTCATATACATTACTATGGTCATGACCAGCCAGCGCTGGCTGGTCCAGCATAGCTCCAGCTCCAGCGCTGGAGCTATAGCGCCGATCATGATCATGACTATTTCAGTATATGTCAAGCAAGGTCCCAGGTCTTGTTCCATCGTGCATCTTCAAATCACCTCTGCTCATGCAAGCTAGAATTTCAAAAGGCCCAGCGTTGCACGCTGCGACCAGAAATTAATCTGGTGCAGTTGCAAGCACGAGACGCTTGATTAGGCACTCAGTCCAGCTTGAAAATTTACGAGAAGCGGGAAGGCTTCCCGATCTTGGGCCCAGGCGAATTCCGCCACTTGCATAAGATCGCAGGTAGACATCGGGCATCATTGCAAAGTCGCGCGCCTGCCGCAGCGTCCAGCAATTGTCGTACAGCTTAGTCTGCGGTTGACCAGGAAAGGAATAACCCACATCCTGCAGTCTGGAAGCTTTCTTGAGGCTTCCAGTCAGCATTCGGATTCCTGAGAGTGGAAATACTCTTGGAATGCAAGTCGGGCTGCTGACAGACGCCTAGTAGATGAAAGCGGCTTTTCTGGGCGCAAGGGCAAAAGGCATCAGTTCTACTTGAGGACTGCCTTTGGGTATAAACACGATCAGGCAAGTCGAGAGTCTGCGTGATCCCATGCAAGACAAACTCATGCGCTCTGATTCCCGATCAGCGCAGACTATGCATGCTGATGGTCAAGAGTGACTCCTGCTAGAGCTGAAGAACTTGGGGATCTCTACAAAGCAAAGTAGTCATGGTCTACTTTCCATGCATCACTTATTCGGAGTTGAAATGCACATATGCATTACAGTTCTGATATTACGACCTCGCTGGCGGCCGTTTCACTGCAGGGTTGTCCGGGTCCTGAGGTTTACACAGCATGGGCCTCTCGGAACAGAAACTGGTGATGGACATGGCGGCATGGGCCGGCAATGTTTCTTCATCAGTGATGATCATTTTTGTCAACAAGGTCCTGATGAACGCCACCGGCTATGGCTTCAAATACGGTGGGTGCCCTTTGAACGTATATATTACGATGGATAGCGTCCTGAGACTTTCAAGTCGTAGCTTGTGCACTCGGATGCATTGAAGGCCCCCATTCTGATGCAGTATCATTCCATTTCTCTGCGCAAGCTGTGCCACTGGAAGAATTCCGCACAGTGCATGAAACTCGTTTGGATGCTGCTGTTGTCCACTTTGATTACCACTTGGAAGATGAATATGTCTCTATCTGCTGTGCAGCCACGACACTTTGTGCTCTGCATTACATGGCTTGCACCATCAGTATCTGGATAACTCAGGCCATGGGAGGCGTGAAAAAGGTCACCTTACCCTTTACAGGTATTCCAAACTCCTGAGAAGTGTGCTTGTTTGCAAGATTGCCTGGACACGGAAGTTTGCAGTCCATTTGCTCAATGTTTCCAAACAAGGATACAACTCTGAGGCTAACTTCTTTCATCATGCTTGTAGATCTTCTGCTCTTCACTGCCACAGCCAACCTGTCCATTGTCTCACTCAACCTGTCCCTCATGATCAATAGAGTTGGTTTCTACCAGGTAATCCACCTCTTCCATACCTGCCTCAGGCCTTTCACGCATTTCTCAGGACCTCTGCAATTTTGCTCTGTTGTCATGCAATTTGCAATCCTTTGCTGCATGTCATCCACGTATTGCTTTTGTGTTTGGCTATGCCCGGCTTGAATAACCAGCCCGCCATTTCATGTCCTTCGTTCGCTTGTTGCATTACACTGTATGAATGGGTGATGGCGTGCCTGAGCACATGCAGCAACAGTGGATCAGCAATGGAATTTGTCAGACAGACATGCAAGCAACAAAGGGGATGACATGCAATTTGCCTGGCTCTGTCTCTAAGAGTGTAGTATCTGTGTGCAAATGCGTGCAGATTGCAAAGCTGCTCATTGTCCCCTTCGTGTGTCTGGTGGAGAGATTCTGGTTGCAGCGCCACTTCAGCCGTCCAGTCATTGCTTCCATTCTGGTCGTTGTCGCAGGCGTCGGCATTGTGTAAGTTCCGTGCTGCCGCCTTGTCTTCTGTTCATTTGACAGGATCAGTGCTCACCTGATAAAACGCAAGACAGAACCGTGGTTCTTTGAGGTGACAGCAAGACTTGACCAGTCTGGCAAAGCTACATTCTGCATTCAATCTGTGATCATATGACTCTAAAGCACCTGCTGATCCTGCACTGTTTGTCTCTGCATTGTCTTGAATTATGCCCTCATAGCCTGGTAGATGGGAGTGCTGCGGTGACCACAAGAGAAGAAGTGATTCACGGCAGCTCTCTTACGCCCTTGTCTGCTCTAAACTGTCAAGGCAGCAATCTTAAAGCCAACAGCGTTGGTCACTGCAGCGCGCGCATGCAGAAGTCAGCCCTGCAGGCTGCTTCCGTGCATCTTTTCGGAGGCTCAACTACTGCAGCAAATATGCGAGATGCACACCAGGAGGCTGCGCGCATGCAGCCATAAGAATTGCAGCTTGCTCGCAAGAGTACCAAGCCTTACTTGGGAATGGCTCGTTGACGGGCTGTGCTGGTTTGGTGGGGTGCAGGACGGTGACGGATCTGCAGGTGGAGAACAATATGTTGGGGCTGGTGGTGGCGGGCCTGTCGGTGGTGTCCAGCGGCATGCAGCAGATCTTCTGCCGCACCATGCAGCAGAAGCACGGCCTGTCCAGCCACGAGCTGCTCTCCAACACAGCCCCTGCGCAGGTGCCGCCCCATCATGATTATGGCAATGTACACCTGGTGCATCTACATCGCCCCTGACACATCTTCTGTGCCGTCTGCTGCTGGTGTCCCCCAGTCTTCTGTTGTGCACCAGTAGGATCAGAATAATGTATGATTGAATAAATATCCGTAGGAAAACTTCAGCAAATTTCCTGCAATTGAACTCATTTTGCGCAACGCTTGAAACAGCTGCGAGTGAGGCCCCCGCTTTCAGCAAAGAAACACCTGCGCATGGGGATTGAATAGAAACAGACCATCAAGCATGCGCAAGCCTGCACAGGTACTGGCATGACAGGTCATCTTCTGATCGGATGTCCAGTCAGCATTGGCACGCATGCATGCAGCGCGCGACTCAGCCGGTTGTGTGGGCACTTCACAGGGGTGGACACTGATGCTGCTGGGGCCTTTCTTGGACCGCTACATCAGCGCCGCCTGGGTGTTCAACTACGACTGGAACGTTCCGGCGCTCACGTTCCTGGCGCTGTCCTGCGCGTGCGCTGTCGGCGTCAACGTATCCCAATTCATGTGCCTCGGCCGCTTCTCCGCCGTATCCTACCAGGTTGGCACCCGCGCTCCTAGCAGTCACCTCATCTTGACTACTTTGACGTGGGCATGTCCCAGAGCTTCTACACCACAGAAAGCACGTTGCGCTTGATAAAGTGTTCCAAGTGGGGCTCAAACTTTGCCCAATAGATAGTCAAGAGGAAGGGGACCAGTCGAAAACCAATGTACAATTTTACGTGTCACTTCCATGCACCGCAAGTCATTGCGGCTCAAACTTTGCAGACAGCAACCCCTGCGGAATGCTTCCTTAAAACAGCTGGCCGCTGAGCTTACATCCTAGACAGCACAGTTGATTCATTTCCTCTGCATCCATCTCATGCTCTTTTGGAGACCCAGAATTTCGGGGACTCTCTGCTTTCCCGTCATGTGTCCTCACAGGGCTCTCAAAGTCAGGGCAAGGCACCTGCGCGGCATGCAATGCTGTAATGCTTCTCAGCCCTTGACAGGGAAGCATCCACCGCGCAGCAGTACTTGAACTAGATCCCGGCTCCTCGTGCAAGATCTTGACGGTTGACTCAGTCCTTCAACACTGACAGTATGTGGTGTGCGTGCAGGTGTTGGGCCACAGCAAGACGATGCTGGTGCTGCTGGGCGGCTGGGCATTCCTGGGGGACCAGATCAATCTGAAGCAGCTGGCAGGCATGGCCCTCGCAGTCGTGGGCATGGTGGCTTATGGCGTTGCCTCCAACCAGTACGCCACACTTCCCCACATGCTCGTGCCCTTGAACCTCCCTGACTGCGCCACTGGTCCCCTAATGCTGATCCCCTGGCAGCTCCCTGACTGCCTCAGAAGTCCCCACTTGAACAAATATTGACGAATGCATGACTGTACACCAGATGAAAGGCAGTTTGGCCTGATCATGCACAGCAAGGCTCGGGTATGCTGACATGGCGCATGTGCATGCACTGCTCGTACCTTCCTCCAATCTTGGATGATGGTGTGCCAGCAGCTGCTGTTGATCTAAGCACAGGGTGTCCATGAATCGTGAGCCTCAGTTTTGAGTTCAGTGGACCCCAAGGTGCCACCTTGACATGCTAAAACATGCAGCACCTTCCAGTAAAGACAGAGTTGCAGAGATAGCCCGGGTCGCTCACAGGGGCAGTAAATCTTTCTGGTACTGTGAGACAGGACATGGTCAGAAGTTCCCACACCAATTGCACCCAAACAGGGACTCCTTTTGCCGACACCATGTCATGCGCGCCCACAGGAAGTCGGCCGCGCCGAAGGAGAAGCCAGAGGAAGCTGCGTCCCTGCTGGGTAACAAGGCACATGACAAGGGCAGCGAGACGCGCGTCGACATCCAGGTCCACGCTGGTAGCCAGGTCAGCCTTTCAGCCTGTCTCCCATGGAAGTCAAACATGCATTACATCCCCAGTCACCGGATCCCAACAGCAGCAATAAATGGGCCCTGACCTGTTACATCCTTCCCCTGGAGCTCCAGGGATACTGCTTCATACCCCGTCCTCATCCCCTGAGTCTCAGCAGAGAGAATGGCAGCGTACATGTTGTTGATCGCAGGCTGCAGCCGATGCTAGGTTGAGCCTCATTGTTTGATGACAGAGAAAGTGTGTCTGGAGCTTGCATGGACTCTGTTCTGACAGCACAGAGGGACATGACATGCTGTCCTCAGAGGGAAAGAAGGTGACACTTGTACTGAGATAACATTGCTGTGCGCAGGGTTCGTTCGGCACAGCCAAGAAGGAGGAGGTGTGAAGGCTGCGCGCCAGCAGGAGCCATGAGACTGACAATACACAGCGGGCGCCCTTGAGGCGATTGGCAGAAACGTAAACGGCTGTATCAGGGGCTCAACCGGAAGAGTATCGAGTTCATGCTCTACTGTACTGTGATTGCACAGCTGCTAGCTTGCAGCACTGTCGTGAGGATGAGCGCTGGGACTGCCAGTATTGAATGATAAATTATAGTAATTGCATAGGTGTATTCAGGGGTACGGGTACCCTAGTTTGATCTGAACCATAATTTAAAACATACTCCTGGTGGCAACCTATTTGAGCAGGCTGTCTTGCCACAGATGCATTTCTGTTACCAGCGCAGGATTGATGCGTAGCATTGATTGTGGATGATCATGGTTCACATTCCATGCATGGGATTTAGCATGCACTGCATTGCAAACTGATAGTATGACAGGGGGAACGCCCAATAGCACTTTCGTTGCCCACATTGTTTGGGGCTACAATACTGGCAGGTTTGAGAGTACAGTTCATTGTGCCCATGTGCACATGTTTTTAGGCTTTCCTGAACAAGAATCTTGTTACAGTCTTGGTGGTCTTAAGATCATTGGTGGAAAGGCCGGCGGGGGGCGCAGCCGAAGCCCTCGCCGCCGCCTCCGCAATATAGAGCCGGCTGCGCAGGTAGCCCTGCAGACACAGGGATGATAGGAGCTTGTTGGCCAACGGAAGGGAGATAGAAGCTGATTAGCGGCGGTCTAAGCGGCTCGGGTAGAGGAAGACCACGCATTGGAAGCGCGGCGCACACCACTAAAGGCGGCTGGCAAGGAGAAGGCTGGCCACGCCAGAAGGGCGCAGCTGCATTCCTCAATGATGATATTGTAAGAGAAGTGCTGTGCACTCGCTCATGTATTATCGTCCTTGTTATTATTATTTTCTGCATTTTTGGCCTACAGCACATTTTCAGACGTAAGTTTACAGATTACCATTGCAAGCTGGACAGCTGGACCCTCCTGTAGACGGTACAAACACTGAGCACATGACAAGACAAGGGCTAGCCAAAAGAACTCACACGGTCGGCACTGACCATCATCATCCATGGAGATGCGTGAACGTTGCGCTCACACAATAAGTGCCCAAACACTCAACATGCTACACGTCTTGCCACGTGGTCACCCATTTAGAATGCAATCTGCACAATGGCAGCATTACATGGCCCATGGACGCCAATTCGCGGTCTGGCAAGCTGTTCAGGGTGTCCACATCCACCAGGACCACTTTGGGCTGGTAGAAGGCGCCGATCATGTTCTTGCTAAGCGGGTGGTTCACGCCAGTCTTGCCTCCCACTGACGAGTCCACCATGGCCATATGCATAATTGTAGTTGGCTACACTGTAGGAAGACAGGTCAATAACGAAGTTATTGCTCACATTTCGGTCCCACCCCCGCCGCAACCCGGCTCAAGGCTCCTTATTGCTCACCGAGCTGGTGCTGTCCAGCAAACAATCAAACTGCTCGTACTGATCCCTCCAGCGCACACCAGCATTCACACTATGGTGAGCTGCTTGCTCTCCCAGCCCGGCGTGAGGTGCTTGTGGGTGTCGAAGAGCTCTGTGATGGCAGCGACAAAGCGCGCATGCACTGCATCCACCTCCTGCTGGCTGGGATCATCCTGCTGCACCACTGCATGCAGAGACACAAGTGGCAGTCAGGCTGAAACTGCTGAAAATGCAAAATGTACACAATATAGAAACTACATTTATTCTTAGAGATTATCAGGCATTCTCTCTTCAGCATGGCTGAAGAAAAGAAGGCCACTATATGCATACTGTGACTCACTGAAGAATTTACAGAAAGAGCCTCTTTGCACAGAAGCTTGCGTCAGCCGCCTCACTCCACCTCTGTAGTACTTAGCCCCCAGTATATGTGTGGCGCCTGCAGAACCTAACCAGCAAAAGTGTGATCGTGGGAGGTCACCGCGCACAGGAGTGCCCACGAGGGAGATGATGTCGTGCTTGTAGGGCAAAGGGAGCCCCCATCGGCCCCAGAAGAGACACACGGACATTCGCATGCGGCGTGACCAGTCGCTGCTGCCCGTGCATCGCAGCATCTGGCTGCTGCCCAAGTGATACACCGGCACAATATCTGCACGCAGCAATCTGAAAATCAATATCAAAGTCAGCATCAATAGCTGGCTGCCAGGCATGCATCCGGCGCCTCGGATTTGCCCTGGTGGACCAAATGGGCAGGCCATGCTGCGATAGCTATAAAGCAGATGTTCCGCATCTCAGCTAAAAGATGTTTGACGCAGATTCTCGTGCTCTCAGGGGGTGGGTTGCCATTAATTTAGAAAATAGACTGCCTGGCATCTTTTCACAAATTTTCACCCTCCAGCCAGAGCATAGACAAAAAAGCAGCGGTGGAAATCGGTTGTTGCATAATTTCCACTTGTGAGAGAGCACATTCTCTCATCCCCGGCGCTCTCTCTGCCTATAGTGTTTGTGTTTGCATCTTTTTTTCGTTAAAAGAGTGGACGCGAGGGTCTCACCGACACCAGACTGGATGGCACATTTGATAAAGCCCTTGCGCTGCTGCAGGAATATGCGCTCATGCTGCAGCGTTGCCCCATGGAAGATACCAGCCACGCCCTCCACTATGATCCCCACGGACGCCCTCTTCAGCAGCCGCATCGTCACCGGCTTGTCTGCACACGCATTTTATATAATGGTTATAAGTATACAATCATTATGGATGGTTTTTTTTGAAGGCAAGGCTCTCAGAGGGGGAAGCATTGATATGGACACTGGCTCTCAGCGACTGTCAGAGTGCCATTCCTTTGATTCTGGGAACCACGTGATGCTGAGCGAATCGCAGTGATCCAACATGGCCATTCATGCCTTCCTTCTGCCGCGGGGTTTGTCCAACCAAGAAGAGATTTGCACATCTTCCCAAATGATGCTATTTGGAAATGATAACAGCACTGAATCAGCCAAATGCATGCTTACTGAGAGGTTTCTCGGCACTCAAACGTTCCTGCAGCATTTTTGCCTTGATCTACAAGGGAATGTGGCTGGTAGCGGTGAGACTGACCTGCCGGCTTGCAGCCCATCCAAGCAAACATGTGCTTGAAGAATGGGATCTGCAGCAGCACGGTGGCCACCAGTCCAATCATGGGAGCCGGGACACCTGCATGCAGCACGAGAAAAGTATGAGATCTGCCCTCACCTGTGCCAAATGAAGAGCAGCAATGGAATCAAGTTTACTAGATTGGTCCCACACACTCGCAATGAGCGAGCTGTAGGCTAGTTTTATATCTTTTTGGGACTCATATGCAGGAACTTGGTGCACAAGTGCCAAATGTGCACACGATTCACCCAAGAAACATCAACAGCATGTTCAGCAAACTTCAGAGGGCATTCCATAAGGAGGATGGTGCGCCAGTAGCATAGGAAGCGCATGCATGCAAAGCCACGCCTCTCCTAGGTCACCACTGTCACCGTGCAGACCTTTATAAAAGCTTTGCACATTGAGTGAGGGTGTTTGAGATACGTGCAATGCATTGCATGTTGTTCCTATTGATGCCCTCCTTATTTTCAGATGTCTTGTGAACAAGTGGCCATGGGCAGTATTACCTGAGAGAGGGTCGCCGCAGAGTGGAAACGAGAGCCAGGAGCCCATGGGGAAGACTGCATGGGGGAAATGCGCGAAAATGTAGTGGCGCCCGGGGTCGCAGAAGGGCGGTTTCGGGACAATGCCCCGGAACCTAAAATAGCGTCGCCAGGTGTCCCACACCCAGTGGTGCAGGAACGCCTCCCACCTCTGACCCAAGCCAGGCACAGTCATCAATAAACTAACAAAATGAGTAAAGCTAAATCTACTGAGATTCCACAATGATATAGCTACTGCAGTGGGTCTGTTTGGGTGGAGCAAAAAGGAGCCCAGAGATACTGGAATTCATGGAAAAACACCAACACATGTGCGGCATCAGTTTCTGCATGCACAGAGAACAGAACTTGAAAAGGTGACATGGCAAAGTTCTCAAGATGGACCGGCACACACTAGTTCTGAATCCCACTGAGGGGACCATCCCTCCACTTTTGGACAACGGAGGTTGGGGGGCAGCTCACCTTGCCTGGAGGCAGGTAGGCTGCTGCAACTGTGACTGCCAAGAAGGCTGCGGCCAATTTGCTGCCATACAAGAGCGTCCCAATCATGCATGCCAGCCACAGAGGCGGAAGTACCCATGCCGACCTGCGCATGACAGGCACAAATGTCATGCCAGCTGTGGCTGCGGTCATCCCTTTCATACGCGAGGTGACGGTCCCCTCATCCCTAATCAAATGTGATAGCCATGCCTTGCTGTCAGCATGATTGGCCATTTCCGAAGGGTCCCATGCATGCATAATTATGGATTGATGTGCCTGCTAGGTTGGACACATGCCGTGTCCATGGCCATGCACCCATGTCATTTCTTGCCTTGAGACAACCCAAGGCAGATTGCCTCTAGCGAGGATCTGTTTGCCAGCGTACACCTAGAGTGGTCCGCACGTAGGCACTTGCCCTGAGCAATTCCTAGTATCTCATCCATCTGTGAATTTGCCATTGTTTCGAGCTCCCCAGCCCCTCTCTTTGCAGCTCGATTTACATTTGGGCAGGCCATAACAGGACTGTCCCACCTTTCTCAGGTGCTCTTCTGCATTGCGCGGACTAACCAATTGTTTGTAATGATACGTACGAGACTGAATCAGGAATGCATGCTGGATCAAATGAGAGGCTCACCCAAACACCAGCTGCATTGTGACGAGCGCTGCAGCCTCTTCCCACCACGTGTTAGGCCGAGGGAAGGGTATGTCCTCACTGCACAGTGACTGCCCTTTGCTGTAGTATGCGACGCTCGCACTGCAGTTGTGAATGTACCCGGCAAAGCCTGCGCAGCATGCACACTGCCATGATGCCAAAAGAGTGACCGGACGCAGTAGTAGAGGGATGACAACTACACATGTGTGGAACCTTTCAAAGGCATGCAACACGCTCACACCTGCAGCAAGGGCTTTGCCATAGGCTTGCAGCTTTTGCTGATCGTCCAGGGTTCCGTCGGCACCGTTGGCTGCTCTGGGGCTTGAGAACCCACTGCCCCCCATCCCCTGCAACAGCAAATGCGTAGCTCGATGAAGCAGGCAGCAATATGTAGTGGATTCATTCTATATGATCCTCCTTTACGTCAAAAGCCTCGAGCATCAAGGTGTGTTGTCTGGATGCTACAAGACCACAAACCCTTTGCAATCATGCTATGGCACACAGCCTTGGACTAGATTAAAAGGATGCATTTCGCAACTTATAACGGCTCACGTCCCGTAAGTAAGCAAACTATAAATAATATATCATCCGATATCATATAAGCACTTCAGTAGCAATCAATAAGGCACTCTCACTGATTGGGTCGTCGTACACGCACCATCTTGCAGCTAGATTCCTCCACGCGCTACTAAACAACGCTCCAGTTTCCTTTCGACAAGCTTCGTGCTCGCGTATCAAAGCAGCCTTCTTGATATATTTCAGCCTTCAGCCTGAGGGCTGACCGTGTGCATCTCACATTGTTTGAATCGATATGTATGATTTGGACTCGAACAGGAGATCGGACAAGAAATAATTCCCACTGCTCGAGTTTCCAATCCAATAAATGCTCTCATTGCATGCTGAATCCGATGAATTCACGAAGAGGAACAAACAGATCTGACTTGCATTGCCTGTTCAGGTCTGAAGTCCAGCATGCAAGTGACGTCACCTTGAAGTCCACTCAGCCTGGAAGCTGTTTGTGAAGGACAGCTTTCCTTGTTTCCAAACGCCAGCACGATATATATTGCAGCTGTTGAATTACTGCTGGTCTCTCTGGATTATAATAAACTTATTGTACGTTGTTTTGGTATTGCACGGCGAGCTTTTTACCTGTGATCGACTGGACCAAATCTGCACCTTGCTGCTGTAGTCGCTACTGGTATCATATATCGTGATGAATTTGGCTCTGTAGTAGCATATGTAGAGCAGCAGGATTGCTGCAATAGAGGAAACGTTGGTTAATCGACGCCTCCACCGTGCATTGGAAGTGCCGGTCAGGCGGACTGACGTTCAGCAGGGCACCTGTATTGAGAAAATAAGCATGGACGACGCCGTTGACGCAAGGCGAGCCAGATTGTCAAAGTGAGTGGTCCCACATGGCCACTATGGCGATCACAGTCTTGTCCACAGCACCCCTAGTTGACAGCATAGCTTCTTGATCTATCAGTTCTCAAGTCATTTGCCGGATAAGAGGTGTCAATGTTCGATACCAGTGTATTTTGAGGCGGTTCACATGTCTGTTCGCAGCATGAAGTCGTTCTTTGGAGGCAAGGCATGCACAAGGGAGGCCTGCGCGATCCGCAGCCTAAGGCCTGAAGCGCCGTCTGCTGCCCCCAGCAAAGCTCCTGGTGTGCAGAGGAAGGCAGCTGGCAGCAGCACAGCCGGCAGCAAGACAGCCACCAAAGGCACTCAGCCTAGAAAGGCTGCCCCGGCTGCGCAGAAGCGGCGCCGCAGCCATTATGCAGACTTCAGCGAACTCGACGACGATACCCCTGGGCCCAGCGCGCCTTCCACCCGCATTCCCACAGCGGTGTGCACTTCTTCAGAAATACTCTCGTACGCAGTCGTCTCCTGCACGGAGCCTTCAGAAGGACCTACTTTGCGCGCTCGGCAGCAACAATATGCCTGAGGCAGCTTGGCCAATATGCACATGCTGACTTGGGATACGTGCTTGAGCTGTACTGACGCCATTACTTGTGACAGGGCGAGCGTGCTCTGGCGGCAGTGGAAGCCGTGGAGCGAATGCGGCAGCAGAAGTCCGGCGCGCGGCCGCAGCCGGCTCCCTCGCCGCAGACGGCGCGTTACGGCGGCGGGCCGCCCGCGGCTGCCGCGGCAGCCGGCAACGGCCGGCCATCTTCTCGGCCGGCGGCGGCGGCGCAGAAAACGAAGGTGGTGCATTCGCGGTCAAAGTTCGGTGCTGGAGCCCGCGGAGATGCTCTCCCTCCACAGGTGCCTCGCTGCGCATTCCCCTTGCGTGCCCTTCGGTAGTACTGTAAGTTAGAGCGCTGAGGCAGCCCTTCCTTCGTTCTTAGGGCTCGCACTGCCTTGCATGTCTTGCTTTGTACTTTAGCTTAATGTGTGCTGTCCCCAATCAGATGTTCATGTCTCGGCAGTATGACCTGCTGGTAGAGTTTCTGTCCCTGTAAAGGATAGGAATGGATGCCTGTATGAAGTAAGTCGTGACAACTGTGAATTACAAATATGAAAAGACACAGATTGCATTTGGGTGTGTCAATGCGCAGGAGAGGATGAAGGGGCTGACAGAACGGCAGAAGGCCGACATGGTAATGCAGAGGATGCAGGCCAGCAGCATCAGCAGGCAAAAGGCATCTCAGACCTCCTCATCCACAGTCAGCAAGCAGCACCGACCATCACCTCTACCTAGCAGTGGTGCGGCCTCTTTTCCTCTTGTGTGCCTGGCAGTCCAAGAGGGTGCCATGGATTGAATTAAGAAAGTGTATCTTTTGAGTGGAGGCCAAAGTTGTATGAATCAGAGATCTGACTGCCTACTGGGTCGCACCGAGGTAGGCAGGTTTCTGGGTCGTCTTGAAGCCTTCTGGCATGGAAATTTCCCACTGCAGCCCGGCATTGGCATGCTATTGTGATGTGTGACCTGCTCGTTGCGCAGGTGTGCAACGTCCACTGCCCAGCAATGGGCGGCCGGGCAGCGCCGACGGACAGCCGCCGCGGCTGAAGAGGGGCAGGGAGCCAGATTTGGACAATGACTACGACAGCGATTTTGTGGCGAGCGACGACGATGTCGGTGAGGACTGGCACTCAGCGCTGCGCAGCCTCACCGGCTACGACCCGCGCAAGTGGGTTCTGCTCTTCTCTGCATTGCTGATTTCTTCTCAGGTTATTGCAAGATGTCAATCGAGGCATAAAGTTGGGATACCGCAGTAGCAGTCTCGAGCAGTCTCCCCAGCATCCAGGATTATTAGTCCTGATTCCGCAATGAGTCCGGCCCGACCTTGAAAGCCAGCCTTCATAAGGCTCCAATTCAAAAGTTCTGAATCATGGGCAGTCCATTGTCTGACCACCTGCTCCTTCTGTTTTGCTGGTCCAATGTTGCTTCAATCGCACTCTGTGCAACACATGCATAGTGTAATATTGCATTTGACCGGGTGGCGTAGGTTCAACCCTGCAGACGACAGAGATGACAGGCGGATGGTGGCGAGCAAAAGGGAGATAGAGGCAGAGGAGCGGCGGTCTAAGCGGCTGGGGGTAGAGGAAGATCGCGCAGAGGAAGCACGCGAAGCGCAGCGCGCATCACTGAAAGCAGCTCGCAAGGAGAAGGCTGGCCGCGCCAGAAAAGGCGCAGCTGCATTCCTGGACGACTGATTGGCTGCAGTATATGCATGCTTTGAGATTTCTCAGGAGGAAGGTGTACTGTGGCTCCGTTTAAAAAATGGCTGCATGCATGTTTGGCAGGAGACTGGCATTGCTGACATGCATCGTTTGCCGGTCTCTCATTCCAAATTGTGAACTGTGGACAATGTCCTCGCAGTTGCTTCTAAGAGACACTGATGTTGACAGCAATGCTTGGCATTAGAACATAGCTGGTCAAGAGCACACTGTTGATCAAGGGTTTTTGCATCAAGAGCATGCCTCCCACCAACACCAGATTCTAGCTCCACTGTGTTGTCAGACGATGCGATTGGCCTGATAGATTACGTGACGAAGTAATATCAATTCGGAACTTTCAAGATTTACAAATCTCGGCTGAGCCGGCTCGCTATGTTCGGAGATTTATTTCCTGCGTGTATCTATCGAAAATGACGAGGCAGAGCATTTTCAAGTCTTTCCGAAAACAGCTGTTTGGGAGAAGGCAAAAATCTGAGAGTACTGAGAGGTGTAGCGGTTGGGAAACATTGAAGCATGAGGACGGAATTCGGAAGCCTTTTCTACTCCTGTTCTGTAGGACCACCATGGCTGACACAGGAAACACCAGAGAGATTTGACAATTGAGGGATACTTGAGGTGGACTTTTCAGGTCCGGGCACGTCACTGCACCATGCTCACAGAGCTAAGCCTGGTTACTGCGGCTTCTCTGCACACCGGGTGCAACTGACGCATACACAGCACCCCCGCGTTCGTCCTGCCTCCATATTTCCCGTCCAAGTGGGTGAGTACGAACCACTGGAGATTATCTCTACGACCGCAATAGCTTGTCATGGCTCGCTTATACAGTGAAAATGCTTATACTTGACGCCTTTTTCTGCTCTCGAAAGACACTTCTGGTTCTTCTTCATATTTTGCCTTCACTGGCGAACGTGACAGGTGCATACCGCAAACGCACGAACACTTTCCCGGTCCCGCGCAAGGAAAGGGCTGTCATATAACACAATGTTTCCCTGCTCTGTTGCAGCCGCCATTTTACTCGAGGTCGACGGCACCTGCCAGGATGCCAAAAGGCAAAACTAAGCAACAATCTACAGGTACACATGCGTCTTATTCACATTCTCCATGTGAACTCACACCATGAATGCTTAGCAAATCTGGACAGCTGAATTCAGGCGACAGCAAGGGCAGGAGGCCCATACATAGCAAGGAAGCACTTGTTAAACTTTCTCAGCATACTCATATCAGGGGAACAGCCTCCTTCAGGCTGGCCGCGTCCTTAAGTCTTTCACAATTTCATAGAAGTTGAGATGGCCTCCGCACAGCAATGAAAGCTTGGGTGCTGGCGTGCAGAGCCAGCCAACCCCGCACTGCCACCCATCAGCGTGGAAGAGGCAGTGGAGAATGTTGTGGCCAGCCTGCGCATGAGGGCTGCTGGCACGCAGCGCAGAGTCCTCCAATGGCAGGAACTGGCCCGCGCCTTGGGTGAGCACCCCCTGAGAGCCTCTGCTGTCCCCCTGCATCCAGCTGAGATGCATCCTTATGCCTCATATGACCTTAATGCGGGACACACTGTTTGCATCACGTCGAAACCATGGGGGCGTTAGGGCAACCCTGGCTCGGTCTATCAGGCACTCGGTCATTTTGAAGTCTGAAAGAGGTGAGATGGGCAGGATTTCAACCTGCACCAGAGGGAGAGGTTGCATGGCTGGGTGAAGGCTGCTGTGCAGCTCCTTGAGAATGGCCCTGTGCCAAGGTTTTACTGGAGAGCGCTGTGGTCAGCGCACCAGATAGAGCAGAGTGAACCTGGCACAATTTGTGTCACTATTCTGTTGCCGCTTTAAAGTTGGGGTTGGCTTGTGCAGGCAAGGGCAAGGGAGCTGCGCGAATTGCCTTCCTCAGGAATCTCAAGTGAGCGCCCAATACACCTACCTTGACAACGTCCTTAACGGCCTGTCAAAGAAAAACCAACAAATGAGCTCCGCCACTTGTGTTGCAAGGGGGCGGCTCAGCATTATCGTGTCCAGCTGTACCAGCATTGGCATGCAAAACTCAGTAGCTCGCCATGCGCATTGGGGCCAGCTTCACTACTTGGCTGCAGTCCTTCCTAACATTCTATTTGGGCACGCTTATCTGAAAGGGTGTCTGGAGCTAGATTGTTGACAAGAGCATGTGCATGCAGCCCTAACCTGCGGCGAGGGGCGTTCAGTGCGGACGAGGTGATGCTTGTGGCCTGCCTGCACCTGAAGCTGTGCCGCACCTGCGAGTCACCCATCTCCGAGATCGGTATCGCGCTGGGCACCACGGACGCTTATGGCCTGCCGCTCGATTTCCGCAGCCCCTTTGACATCAGCGACCTGCTGCGCAAGACAGCCGAGAAGGTGCGAGGCGTTCCCTTTGCCATTCCACATCAGCCTCACCCTTCTCAGAGCAATCTGTATACTTCTAGACCTTAAGGCCACAGATGACCTCAGAGTGGGGCAATCTATCGTCCCTTGAGCACTGTCACCCAGATTGCCTACCCAACTAAGGCAGATCAGAAACCCAGCATGTGTTGCATAACATACAAGGCAGGGATGCATTGAAGACAGTCCAGGCTTGGTCTATGGGGCGCTCAGTCTCAATGGCATGCAATTACACTGTTGGCAGCTTGGCAGCAGCTGCAGAGGATTCTTTTTGCTTCGCAAAGATAGTTTGAGGAGTGGACACTGCCATTGACTTGGAGAATGCCCTCGAGTACTGTGTCTACTATGCAGTACAGCAGGAGCTCTGCACAAGGGACAACTGCATTTCTCCTATCCTACTGCTGCATGTTGTCAGTGAATGATGACGACATGAGCCTTCATATAATGTAATACTGTGATGATGATGACTTGTCTTGTGCAGGACTGCCCGCCGCGCAGCGCAGCGAAGAGTGTTTTCTTCTTCCATTACGCGCGGCGGCTGGCGGCCGTCATGGCGTCCGATGACTTTGCTGGCGACCGCGCATGGGACCATCTCGCCGGGTGCGCGGTGTTCCAGTCATTAGTTCATATTACTACTGCCTTGTTAGTCATGCCTGTGGCAGATTTCTCCCTGCAGAGTTTGTCAAACAGCCGCAGAGCCATGACACAGCAAATATTGATCAACGACTGCATTGTTCACAGTGCTTTCTCACAAGAAACTCCCTTCGGACGGTCAACAGTGTTTCTTGAAGTGTCCTGATAGACATTGGGGGTGGCGCACAAGCCCTCCTGCCGGCCTTCTGTATTGTTATGGGTCCCGGCCCCTGAGTGGAGGATGCCTGACTTTGGTCAGCAGAGCAGCCCAGCCGCTCTAGTGAAGGGAGCCTGGATCAAGTGATTATTTTGCTCCTGTGATGCAGTATATCATCGCATGAGATACTGTAGTAGTCATATTTAAACCCGCACCCTCGGCGGCGCGGGAAAATTTCAAAGCTTTTTGGGGGTCTTCCTGACATCACCAGGGTCATGCTCCACTGAGTTGGGCTTCTCGAGAGCTTTCCGAATTTGGTCTCAAAACTATCATAGGATTTATATTATGGGAGATTTGGGAGGTAATTATCCACCCTCTTTGGCCATAATTTATTATTTATTACGGTTTTCAGAATGACTACTATTACAGTATTTTTCCATGACATTGCCACGCATGCTGTGTCAGGGTGCCCTACCTGTAGGTCATCATACTCCCAAAGGACAGAGGATGACAAAAACATCCACCAAAAATGAAAAATTGGATGATTTTTGGAATTGAACGGTGGAGTGTGTCCTTGCGCAGGCATTTCCGGAGGGCCATTCTCGCGGTTGCCCCACACAGCAGCAAGGAGCTGGAGCTGCTGATCAAAGCGCTGCACAAGACTGGGCAGCTCGCCAAGTTTGGCTTTCACTCCAACGCGCTGCCGGCCGAAATGCGCAGGTGAGAAAGCAGATAATTCTGGGGTTTGCAAGTGAATGCATGCGCATCCCTCTGCACCATAAAGCCTCAAATGACCTCAGAACGGGGCACCCGATTGCAAGACATGCAGAGCAGGGAGTGCTTCAAGACAGGCCTGGCTCAGCCAAAGGCGCTCCAAGCCGCTCTAAGGTCTGGAAGACACGACATGTGTAGGAAAATGAGCCTGCGCCAGAGAGGGACAATCCAGATCCGGCATTTGCAATATAGAAGCAGCATTCATGCTGGTCTGGAATCATATAGTACATGAACACTGCAGCAGCCATGCAGGCCGGCTCAAATTTCCAGCAAGAGCAGCCGATCGGGCCCCTGGCTGAATAAACATCGCTTGCAGTGCCCGGAGGCAGACCTCCTTGAGATCCCAGGGAGCGCTGTGAATACAATGCACTGCAGCCATGCTACACCTATTGCAACTCTGAGGGGTTATGGTGTTCAGGGCGGTGCGGCAGCTGAGGAGTTATTGTGTGAGGCGCAACGACCCTTTGAGCTTCCTGTGGGGCCGCACCCGCCAAAGGACCCCCACACAGGTGCCCCCCCGGTTCCCCCCACATTTGAAAAGTCTTACTCTTTCTTGAAGTGCCAGACTCTCTATGCCGGAGCAGTAGCTGGGCTACTTTTCGGGGCAGTGCAGAAGCTCAAGCCCATGTGCCTTGCCAGCTTGGTTCTGCGCAACGGACATAAGTGTTTGGACTTTGAACATCACTCTTCAGCCCTTTGTCCTGGGTCCTTACTGGTCCGTATTTGTCCTTTACTATGATTATCCCTGTGCTGAGTTCGCTTTCCCAAAGCTCATTGCCGCTCTGTGCATGGCCCGCAGACGGTGGACATTGCACCAAGCGCCGACGCATCCGTGCAGATAACCGCCGGGCCGATGGGGCCGGCAGCCGCCTGCGAAGGAAATGGCAACGCCTCGCCAGACAAGCTCCTTGCACTGCTGACGGCAGCCGGCCTGGCCAATGGCGGCGGCAGCCCGGGGTCCCCCCTCACGACCGGGGGGCGCCCACAGCTGTGGCAGCCGCCCTCCGCCGCCAAGGGGTCCCACCAGCCGCCAAGAAAGAGCGCGCGCCACGTCCAGCGGCGGCTGATCAATGCGTAGGAGTGATAATTCGCGCATCTGATCCTCCGAGGATGACTCCAAACACTGGTTTGGCACTGCTTCACAGCGTTCTTGCGCCGAAAGAGGGAAAGAGATCCTGCCTTCATCATCATGGCAGGATCGTTGTAGGGAGATGGAAGGGGGCAAGCATGCACATGTGCAAAGTATACAGAACATGTTTTTGTCTGGGTTTGCTTTGAGTTTCGCTTTTCAGATCGATTCAGTCCGTCCTGCTCATGAGCTTTACATTTCTAAGTCCTTGTTCTGTGGCAAGATTGGTTCGCGAGCCGTATCAGAGGGCACATGCGCCCAGATCTGCTTGGCATGGATATCCCTCCGCAGCCGTCTTGCTGCCCTGGAAATTCCAACTGTGGTTGCTCTTCCAGCCTGGGTCAATGACTTAGCTGTGGGAAACTACATCTGGTGTTGTTTTGTTCAGCAAATGCTGCGTCAAGTCGATAGCACCTCACTTGATCTCCATAGATGAACCCCAACGAATTCTTACCGATCTGCTTGCCAAAATGTGGCAACATGGGCTTTTGGGGGCACCATTTAACTGGGTCTTGACATCATGTGAGAACAGACGTCTATATATTTTTGGGTCTATTGCACATGGAACAAAACGATTTTGTGGGCTGAATTTCCTTGTGAAGGGTGACTTGGCCCACATATACTAGTACTGTCAAATGGGATTGCACATACAGCAGGGCAATGCTTCCACCAGCTGGGAACTCTATGTATAATATTCAATACGGTCATGTCGATATTGTCACAAAAAGGGAATCTCCCGTAGACAGGGGATATATTGTACATGAGGGGTTTTTGCTAATCAAGGTTCCTGAAACCTGCAGCTGTAAGGTGTAACAGCATTGGGAGAAGAAATTGTCCTGGTGTGCCACGTGCACCATGTGGCGTTACAATATTTCCAAATCGACCTCATACTTTCACAACATGACGTAGACCATCAATAATCATTATTATTTGTACATGCTGTTCCTGCCAGAGCTCTCGAGGCGAGGTGCGTCTGCAGACAAGCTGAAGGGTGGCAGCAGCTGCCATAGGCCATGGGTGCCAAATGCAAACAAGTACAATGACTGCATCTTGCCCCCCGTAGTGAGGTACAGCACACTTGGAAACATCTGCAGGCCGCTCAAATTCCATCTTGCAGCGGTTTGAGATCCACTGAGGTTTCATTAGCCTCCAGGCTGATTTTCTTTGGGTCCTCAGAGGTGCTTGTCGCCGCGGCGGCGGCTGTAGTGGCGGTGGCGTTGAGTGTTGAGGTGCGAAGCTGGGTCTGATAAAAGACCAGAGCAATTCGGTGGGAGTCTTTCTGCGGCAGCCAGAGGCCGCTGTTGCCATGTGTGCCCACTCCCTTGTCGCCGCTGCGATGAAACAACACGAGTCCTGCGTTTTCACACCGCCATCATCGCCCCAGCTGCAAATGTTAACAATGTTAACAATTTTGGGGAGGCCACTGCTACAGAAATCTAGACCGCTGCGCAAGATGGTCAGGTTAGTAGTGCGCGGTTGCAGGCATGCTGCTGCTGTCAGCGGCAGGTTTGCACAGCTCAGTCCATATCTCAGCATACCGAGAGCTTCATCCCAATTGCACCTGTCACCACTCTCGGGAGGCCAAGTTGCCTCAGAAAAGCGCACCATTGTCACCATCTGGTGCAAGACAGCACATTTATCCAAGAGGTCGCTGGTGTTCTTAGAGCTACTGTTCGGCTTCGCATTTTATCTAACACATACTGAAGACTGCATGGGAATGGGCCGGCTAACTTTTCTCGATGCAATTATGCTCCGTTCTGGGCAGCCAGCAAAACTGACACAAATCTCAAGTTTCCGCATATCTTCAACACCCAATTGCCAATGGCTTTCACCGGCTTGGAATCTGTACACGTGTTGCATGTCTGGGCTTCTCACCATGACTAACATACATGCCAAAAGAGGCATCAATCCATTCAACGGCAATGTTCCAGGGTGCAGTCAAGCGGGCATCCCTCACCCTGTCGCATGTCCAGCGCTTTGTGGTATTGCGGAAGCAGGTAGAAGCAGCCGGCAAAGGGCGCCGCGCCAGTCTCGCACACCACAAGTGCACTGTACGAGCCCGCTGTGTTCTTCCCGTCCAGGTGCTTGCCTGCATGAGAGGAACAGGTGGTTGCAAATCTCACGTCTGTGACAGAGTGCGCAGTGCAGCTCACGAGAAGGGGATTCAGGGCCACAGAGCAAGTGCTTTCTGTCCATGGTACAGAGTCAGGCTGCTTGCCGAAAGCATGGGACGGCACCATTCGACCACAGCCTCACAGCTTGCCGTGCAAGACATGGATGCATGACATGGATACATCCACAGCTAGCGGTGTGCTAGTGCAGCCGGGTTTTTTGCTCACCTGTCCATTGCCTAATCCAATCAACATGCAGCTGAATGCTCTGCTCAGCGCTATACCGGCCATGCAGCTTCTCAAACAGTTTCCAGGGCGTGTGCATGGCATGAGGCATGGCTAGTTGTCTTGCATCCTGGGGTTCTCGTGCTTTTAGGTCTCTTCCAGGCTCTGCAGAATATCCTGACTTTACAAGTGCTCGGACGCACGTGCAGGTGATGGTGTTTCTAGCCATTCACTAGCTAACATGCTCAGAATTCTGAGTGTCCTCATGCTGAGGCAGGCCCGTCTCTGCCTCCATCCGTTTCTATCAGGTGTTAACATGTACAGCAGCTGCAGCTGGCTTTCTAGGGTGGAGCCAATGCAACAGCCAGCTTCTGAGGGAGGAAAAAACGAGCCCTGGCAGGACGTCACCTACAGTGTTGCTCGACATTCATATCTCCTCTCAAACAGGGGGTGTGCGCGCATGAGCAATCATAGTAATCCAATACAGTGCAGATCTGAACCTCCATAAATCTCCACAGCTTCAGTATTTATGCAGTCGCTCTCACTCTAAAATCCCCTGCAAGAAACCCTACTCTCCAATCATCAAACTGGGCAGGCGATGACCTGTGGTCCCAAATGGCAAACACTGTTGGGAAAACATAGGCGATTTTGATCTAAGCAGATGACTACACGCGTGAAAACACTCACCGGTGCGGTAGTCCAGGTTGAAGGAATAGGCGTTCCAGGCGGTGCGGCCGAGCGCGGTGGCGGCCTGTAGCGGGCACTGCGCCGTGCGCTCAAGCATGCGCGCGGCCGCGCCGGCCGTCGCCGGGTGCGCCGCGAAGACATCCCACAGCGCCTCCGCAGCCGAGACCAGACCCGGCTCCTGCGCAGTGCAGTCAATTTCACGTCTCCCCTGCTGGATTTGTGCAGCCTTTGCAGCCGCCACCAGTCCCGGCTCCCGCAAATACATCCGGCAGAGCATACTATGTTGCCAACTACCTGCAGTTCAAAAGTGCTGCCAGAGAATTGCTGCAAGTGCTGTGCCATGCAGACAGAGATGTTGCGCAAAGTGCACGGTATACCCAGATGCATCGGCACCACATGCAGTGTGTACTTCATAGGCACGTCCTGGCATGCAAAAGACCAGGAGCTCCTCAGGCAATTCCACGCGAAGTTGTAGACGGTCCAAAGGTCTGTAACGCAGTGTCTCACCTCAGGTGCGAGCAGCGCAGAGAGCAAGGACTGCATGGCATTGCTGCATTGGCTTGTTGCAATCTGGATCAACAGCTTTGAAAGTCCAATCAAATACTGGCCATAGATGTGAAAGGCCAGACTGCAGACTCCTTCATCACTCACCTCGGGCGCGAGCAGGGCGGAGAGCGTGGACTGCACGGGCCGCGGCGGCTGCGCTCCAGGCATGTCGGCCATTTTGACGCCGCCGCTCCAGGAGCGGATGGGGAGGGAACGCCACGACTTGCAGAAGCCCATTATCGAGCCGCCGTTGCGCGTCACGTCGCACTCCTCGCCGATGTATATCTGCGCACGTGTGACGCAGCCGCGACCCACTTTCATTTTTGCTATCAGCACCCGTTCAACAGAACTGTAATGAAAGTTTTCTTACATTCATGACCCCTGCGTATGAAGGCGCAAGGTGACCTCTATTTGATTATTTGTTAGATATAAATTTGCCCTGAAAGGCGCTTGATAAGCAGATGGGTAGAACTGTACTTGTGCTGAGAACCACAATTGAGACCAGATGGACAGTACTCATTGCACTTATCGAAAGAAGAGCTATGCAACTGCCAGGAGTTGTGCAAAAGGACTGTGCATGCATGCAGGCCCACATCCATTTCTGATGAAACCCAAGCCATACTCCCTCAATGTCACTGTCATGACTTTGAGTTGCTGCAAGGCTAAGTAGGACGGGGTCAGCTGCAAACCTTGCGTGAGTCGGGTGAGACATGCACGACGTGAGACAGCATCAGAGCGTGGCACTTGGACGCCTCAGCATTCTTGGGTGCAGACTCCTCAGATGCCGCCTCTGTGCGCTCCCCAACCCCCAGCCGTGTCTTCCTCCTGACGCCAATCGTGCACAAAATAATCATTCCAAGCACACCACATTCTTGGAGTGCAAATTAATTGCAAAGAGATTATGCTGCAGAATGTGCATCTGCGGGTAGCAGCTCCTTCACCCATGCTGGGTTGTGAAGTGGTGGGCACTGCCTGCATGTATGCGCAGCTTTTACGGAGACCCTCTTCTACGGAGACCGTCTTTGGGTCTTCTTGCCTCACATATGTGAAATAAGACCCAATCAAAATCCAAGGTTTTGGACCCAACAAGGCACCTGTGCACTGCTTGCTTGACGGCCTCCTTGACATGCGGCTGTGCCAGGAACGCCGCGATATCGACTGGGCCAGCGCTCAGGCGCCCGTCTGTGCACTCCGGCAGCCGCCCCTGCTGGTACAGCTGCAGAGCCCTGCAACACTCAACCATGAACTCTACATGTCAGCAAGCTTCTGCCTTCCTAAGGCAACTGAATGATGTTTAAAAGCCCCAATTGTGGCATGCTCTAGAGCTGCGCCGCTGATACACATCAACGCAAGCAGGTGGATGAATTGAAGTGAGTACAGTGGGCTTCCCTCTCCATTTGCCCAAGCAATGCAGTGTTAACAACTGCAAGGGCTGCAAGCTGTTGCGTCAGTGTCAGCTCATGCCCGAGTTTGGCCCAGCATGCAGATCAATGTAAATACTAGCATGTGTGTTCTGCTGATGTGCATGATGAGGCTGGAGTGATCCCGCTTAAGATACAAAATTACTGTCAGCATGGTTGCTGTCAAGCTCCTGCCAGAGGCAACGTGCATCTGCAGACAGCTCTGATATACAGTACATAGTTTGAAAGTGCTTCTCCAGAGTCTGGTTTCCCATTGTGCAAACATGCCAAGCAAGCACCCTCCATGGCACTTTCATTAGCAAAATGTCACCACCCACAAGAAGAGGAATGGTGAATGCTCCCCTGGTCCATGACAAGGTGAGCAACACCCACCGCAGGACAAAGGGGCTCGCCAGATCGAGAGCAGCAGTGGGCAGTGCAGCGGCCCACAGCACATGCTCCCCGCTGCTCGCATCAAATGCGTCCAGACCGGCAGCCATCTCAGGCGCAGAAATCATCGCGTCCCGGCCGGGCACGTAGTCCAGAAGCTGCGAGGAAACCGGGAGGGGATGACTGGACCAGTGCTGCGCCTGATCTGGTGCGGACTTATCTGGCGCCTGCGCGAAACGCGCGCTGAGCTCCAGCGCCGCGCTCTGCGCCCTCTCCTGCGTCAGCGCATGACGAGTAGATTAGTCACTCTGTGCCAAATTTGTCTCTGTGCTGCTGTATGTGTAGCATTTTCCGAGCCACACGATCTCGAAGTTGCAAACTTTCAGGTTGCAAATGTTCTGGACATTCTTTGCCATCTTTGCATTTGCTGCCTACGTACTTCAAATTCGAAGGGGTCTCCTTGGATCTATGAAGGTTTTGCCAAAATGCAGGCAGCTTATGGCTGCTCAGAGGAGCTTGCAGGGCCATGCATGCCCACTGAAAATCTACTTGTTTTTATGATGATTCAGCCAGATCGATGATCACAGTAAGGCGCTGCGCGGCTGCATCGCGTCGGACGGCGCTGGCCCAATCGCCGGCGCTTGATTTGCAGGAGGCGCCCGAGCGTAGCTGGGAGCAAGTCCATGACGGCGATCCCTCCACCTGCGCACATGCAGATTCGCTTACCTGGCGTTCTTGACCCAAGCGGTGCATACCTACGTGTGAGCTGATGTCAGCAAAGAAAGAAATCCATTGCAGCTCCCAGGCAGGAAGAAAAACAATGCATTGCTCTTTGCATGCAGGAAATGAAAACAGAGCATTCAACGTCACATGGAGGAAATGATGACGCTGCATCGTAGGTCGCATGCGACATGCAGGAACTTAACGGAGTGCTGACAGATGCAGATACCTCTTTGAGCAGGCAGCGAGCGATAGAGCGCCATTTGCCGCAGGTGTCGCATTGCACCCATGACTCCAGCTCATTGTACTGCTTCCTGTGCACCTGCATGCATGACAGACGACTGCTGAGCATCCTCAAGGTGCTGACGCTTACATCTGCTCGGAAGGCCTTCCCCTTAAATAGGGGGGAGGTAGTTATTTGACACCTATTATAAAAAGTGATAAAATTAACAGAGATGATTTGTGTCATGCCATTAACGCCTTCCCCCTAAAACTGTGAGAGCTGCCTAGATACTCAGTAGGCAGCAATACATCACGCAGTATTGCTGTGCCTTGCGTCTTTGCTGGTCAATCTCACTCGCATGATTGCCAGGTAACTTGATCTTGCCCACATGTCAGAATCAGGTTAAAGCAGGAGAGGTTGAAAGTATGCAGACTCACCTCTTCCCCGCAGCATGAGCAAGCCTTGCTGGCCTCTGTTCCAAGCTCAATCCAGGTGCTGCACCGCATGCACTCCTCCCAGTGACTAAGCTTTGGATCATATGATACATCCACTTCAGCGCTCCCAACTCCATCTGCCTCTGGTGTTCTCTCAGGGCCAAGTGACAGTGGAGCAGTTCCTTTCCTGCCCTTCTTCTTGGCACCTCCCTCGACCAACTCCTGCAGCACAGCTGCCAGGCAATCACAGGCCTGTATCTTGCATAATGTAAGCGTCTATAACATCTCGAGGTCCAATATACCTCGTGCATGCTTCATTCAACAACCTTGTGCATGGCCAATAGTCCCAAAAGCTAGCAGCAAAGTGGCAGAACAGTCTGCTACAAGGATAGGGGACAAGAAACAGGAGAGGGAGCTTTGCACCTGGCAGATCTCTGGCTGCACAGTCTCTCCAGGGACATGGCGCTCGGCTGCAGAGACGCCTTGTGCGCGCTCAGCTGCGCGCTTTGCACGCTTTGCATCATGCTTTGACTTCGCCTGCATACATCAGCAACACCCGCAACATGACTGCGAAATACATGTCCTTTAACATTTACGCCTTGCATGCCCAGCAGCTTGACGATAATTTCGCTGGCCTGCATGCATGTGTTGAGACAGGGGTGGGAAGATCTGGACCTGTTGGGCAGAGTCCCGCTCCTCAATGAGCGCTCTGCGCTTCCTTTCAGTCAAGGTGAGTTCTTTAGGTCGCGTATGGAGCTTCCAGTCATCGCGCATCCTGCATGAGGCCCCCTTGAAGAGCTGGCTGCACTGCCATGCACCACCTTCTGCCTGTCCAGCAGAAGGAGCACTCGGACTACTAGATGCTAGCAATTGCATTGTGGAGGTCGTAACTTTCAGCATATGCGATTGACACAAAGAGGTAGTCACATGTCAAGATGATGAACGCAAGCCCAACGTCTTGGAGCAGCAATAAGGTTAGGCATCCAGCTCAATGCACAGGGTTGACAAGCACCTCTATCTGGGAAAGATGCTTCTCATCTATGGCCCTCCATTTGTTGCAAGCATCGCATTGCACCCAGGAGAGGCCCTTTTCGTCGTCGACAGCGGTTTCGGATTCGCTTTTCCCCATCCGATTGCCCATCAATTGAGTACACCTTTAAATGGGTTCTACTTCCAAGAGTAACTCTGGACCTCACCAAAATGATCTATCAAGGTAAAACAAAATCAGAAAGTCCAGATTTTTCTGGGACTGCAGGAGCAATGACTGCAGATCAACATGGCGATCTACACGGACAAGAGACAAGGCGAAATGGATATATATTGGCAAATTCCTTTTCTACATATCGAGGCAACACACTTTATGTTGCCAGCAAGCTGAAAGAACGGAATTCTTCAGATGATATATCATCTCACAAATGACGAATTAGAAAGCCGAATGAGCACGTTGCACAACGGTTCTTTTCGGACACTTTTGCGCTTTTGGCATCCATAGGAGAGCGCTTTTGCAAACGTCTTGCATGAAGTGGATCAGAGAACTCTGGGATTGTCCTGTGAACCACCACAGGCTACGTGGTTACAGATTTTCACTTCAAGTACACGCTATTCCTGCCATAGGCAAGGTGCGTCTGCAGACAAACTGGCAGGGAACAAATACACTGGCCAGAAAGCTGCTAAATTGGTGGAAGCTGACGGCATCGACGGACATCTCAGACAATTACAGCCATCATAGGACACAAAATGACATCCCTGGGCATGCTCACAAAACACTGGAGTTCTTCCTGACATTGCCCCAGGGGGCACTAAAGACTGAAGTAATTATTACTTCCTCCATGTGATCACCCATGTGACCACCCCTGTTCTCAGGGTGATCACATGGGTGATCACATCATGAAATCATCCGTGTCATCCGAATTCTGCGTCCACGCCGCAAGCCTCGGCCCGGCCGCCTGACCGCCACGGCGCGCCAGCGCCTCCGCCTGATTCCTCGACAGCGCGCAGCGCTTGCGCTCGTGGCCTGCTGCGTCCTGATCTGGCGCCGGGTTCCCTCCGCTCCCCCCCTTATTACCCCCGTCACTCCCCCGCTTCTGCCCCGACCTCCCGCCGCTGCCGCTGTCATCTCTGCCGAGCGGTGCAGCATGGGACTTTGGACCTGTCCTTCCCTCTGCACCCGCCTGGAGGAGCTTTGCTTCTCCAGCAAAGCTCGGCTCACGCCCACGGTTGGCTGCAGTCGGGGACAGGGGAGCACGCAGGGGAGCATCTGACTGGGGCAAGGGGCTTCTCCATGGCACTGGCTCCGCAGCAGCCTCTGAGTCTCGCACAGGGACAGCAGGACTGCCATAGCCGCCGCCTTCACTGTGAGGCTCTGCGCCGCTGGGGGGCTGGAGCATGCCAGATCTTACATGAGGCGGGGTGAAGATTCCGGAGCCATCGACTGCAGAATCACTGCTCGCGCTCCCTACAGATGCTCTGTTGGGAAGGGACTGCGGCCAGGCGGCTGCATCTGGCTGTGGTGCTGAAGCGTACTGCTGGGTTCGCACTGGCGTGCTGCTAACGAATGACAGCTCTCCCGCCTCAGCATACACTGCTTGCATCTCCTGGAGAGCAACAAACCAATAAACTCTGTATTTTTTAAATAAGCGCAAACACTGTATATATTTGCTATAAATTGCCAGACGCATGTTCAATTGATGGCGACACTCACGCATGCACGAGGGAATGTTGACTGAGGAATCCCAAAACTTGGAAGTGTTCTCGATTTATCGTCATCTCATTCAAGAACCAGAAATGAGAGCTTCAAAAACCACAGAGAGGATCATAGCAGCCACCTGGACGGCCTGGAGGGAAGGCAGGGACTGCAGATGCGCCAGCAGGGCGGCTGACGCGGCAGCAACCATTCCCGGCAGAGGCGGCGGCTCTGCGCCGCAGCCGCAGGCGGCAGCAATGGCCTGCATGCCCATCGGCGGGGGACAAGCCCAGCTGTTGAGCAGCTGTTCCAGCTCTCCTCCCTCCTCCAGAAGTTCCCTGCGAGCACATTTTCTAGGCTGTCACTTCACCGCTCACCATTTCATTTTTTGTCAAAAGAAGAACCTATAGACTTGCCTTCCCCCTGCTGCAGCAAGCTATTTATAACCTTGGCGTTTTGCGCCTGAAAGGCCTTATTCGCCATTTGTGCCGTGAAAGGGTGTCGTGCATTGCCCCTTGCCTAGATGTAAACACGAGTGGGGAGAGCCTAATCCAACCAGAATCATGCAAGCATTCTCAAGACATTGTCCTAGCAGGCAATACACCACACAGCTCCTACAGATATCGTAAACGTTACGCAAAGATGCATCTGTGCTATTTAAACACACGCGGCATCACCTGGCGTAGTCAAAGCAGAACTGGATCGCCTCGTGTGCCTTCTCTTCTACTTCAGCCATGTCATTGTGCATGACACCCTGCACATGCACCCAAAATACTTCATGCCTTCATGTCTCAAATATCGCCATAAGCGCCGTGGGCAAAGCACTCCATTTTTTATGGTGCTAAAGCATGAAGCCCAGTATAATGACTGTAGCGCCCAGCATATCCAACAAGTCACTGCAACAAGCACTGCTGGATATGCCACTGCTGGCCATCGATGGGACTGCGCTGAATGCAGCCTCACTGAAGTCTCAACACGTCAGATTCACCAGGTTTGCCACATGCAACTGCTGAATATGCAACAATGATAGGAGCAAAAACGCCAATGAACACACCGGCTCGTTGAGGAGGTAAGCAACGTTCTCTGCCACATCAGCCCGCAGCCACTCCTGCACGACGCTCACAGGCAGCAACTCGACAAGCGCCGATGCCTCTTCTTGCCCATTAACCCACTGGCACTCCCCATCCGTCCAGGCTGCCTGCATCTCCCTCACAGCTGCCTCCTGCTGCAGTGGTGGAGGAGAGGTAGGAGCTGCACTGGCATGAGTTGCCGCTGCTGCCAGAGAATGGGGAGGGTGAGTGATGCGAGCAGAGAAGGCTGCAGGCTGCCAGGAAGCATGGTCTCGGCCGCTGACACTTGGGGGCGTCTCTGGGCAATGCAGCTGCCCCGGCAGCCGCTGCGCCTGCCAGCTGGCACTGACAAGTCCCCCCGGAGTCCTCCCAGAATTCCCCCCCGGGCCCCCATGCGCACCACCCCCCTGCAGCACCTGCTGCTGCTGCTGCTGCCATGCTGGTGTCCCCGCCTGTTGGCCACTCCTGACTGCAGTCTGTGACCCTCCTGGGCTGTCATGTGAAACGTGGCCCGGCTGCTGCCATGCTGGCGTGCCCACCTGTTGGTCCCCCCCGGCAAGTGTGCAGGACCCTCCTGGGCTGTCATGTGACACGTGGCCCGGCTGCTGCCATGCTGGCGGCGCCCCACATCGGTTCACCCAGTCCTGGGTGTTGGTGTCCCTGGCGGACTCCCTGGGACTCTCCTGCGCTCCGGAGCCGCTCTGCTGCGGCCAGCTCGGCTGATTGCCGTGCTGCAACCCACCACTCTGGTTGGACGAGGCTGCATGCAAATGCCCTGGGCTGTCTTCTGCACCCCATCTCTGCTGCTGCTGCTCCGTGAAGGAGGCAGGATTTGGGGCCCCCCACTGTGAGGGTGAGGGACCACCCGGGCTCTGCAGGAGCCCTGGAGCGCCGCCGCGGCCGCGGCCCCGGTGGAGGCCGGAGCGGCTCATGAGGTGCTGGGCTGCGTTGGCAGGCGCCTGCTGCCAGGGCCGCTGAGGGGACAGGGTGTCCTGCGCCAAAGTTGGCGCCTGCCCTGGGGTGGGCTGCAGGGTGGACCTCGCGGGGGAGGCAGCCTCAACCGTGCTGCAGGAGGATCACACAATTCGTGAGTCGTCCCTGTGCAGATGAGGCAAGGCAGACGCGGCAACGTGAGCAGTCATAAGCATGCAGCTGTCTAGAGACAGAGTGCAAAGTGCAGAAAGCAGGGTGTGAAACAAAGGCAATACAGGTGGTCCCAAAGCAATTAGAAATGCACAACCAGTGAGTACAGAGCAATATACCTTCTATGTATGGGAGCCTCACGCTGCGCAAAGTCCCTGTAACTCCCCTGCTGGCCGCTCTGCCACGCGTCACGCGGTCCTGCGCTGCTCTGGCCGTCTCCCCTTCGCGTTCCACCGCTGAACATGGCAGAGGTCGAGGCTTCTGCATGGCTGTTGAGGCGAGGCTCGGGGTGTGTCTCTCCAGAGCCTGGAGGGAGCGTTGATGCTTCGGAGGCTGGTGATGTGGGGTCCAGAGCGCTCCCAAAGACGGCCTCCACCCCCCTGCCCCTTGTCTGTGTTGGCGGCAGCTGCGCCTGCAGAAGCCAGGAGCCGCCATGAGTTTGTGTTTGCATACAAGTTGTGTTTGTACAAGCTGGCGACACATAATTTTCCCATCTAGTGAGACCGCATGACACTAATGTCGGCAGATAGAGACCATGTAATGGCTGCACTGTTCTGTATGGCTCGTGTGGCTTCATCACAAGCATGTGCCGTGCAATGGGTTTATCACAGCCACTAGGATGTACCAGCCATTTCAGATATTCCGGGGTTAAGGTGACAGTATTGAGATTGACATTAGTTGAGGGCCATGGGGGAATGGGATCCTCACCTCTGCAGGCTCAAGAGCGGCAGGGGCAGGCTCCGCATCACAGTGATTGGGCGGTAGCGGCTCCATCTTCAGCGCAGGTACCCGCTGGGCAGGCGGGCAGGGCCGGCCGGGCAGCTGGCGCAGGCGGCTGGGCACATGCTTCCAGACCGCGTTAAGGGTCGGCTGCGAGTGGCTCGCAAATTGGCTGCTCTTTGCATCTGCTGGCACAAGCCACACACATCTGATCAACACCAGTCATACAATGCTGGAGTTCGCTGATCCAGCATCTAGAAAGATTTTGGTAGTCCTCTGCGGCAATCTGTTTGGAACATGTACTCAGAAAGTGGTTTTGTGAAAAGGGGTTTCTAATTTATAATGTCCTGATGCCGTGAATCCACACAAGCAAGCCCAACAGAGACTGCCTGGCAAAGGTGTTGAGCATCTCAACAGTGTTGACAGAGCAATAATGAGTGGTTGATGCCTCACAGAAGAGTGCCGCACCCTCTTTCAGCTGGGTCTTCTCATTTTGGCCGGCAGCTCCTGTGCGAGCGTCCTTGGCTGCTGGGTACTCAGGCTCCTTGGGGAGCACATTGCCAGGAGGGTTCGCCTCCAGTCGCGCAAAGAACTCCTTCATCGACTCCAGCGCCGGGGCAAACGACTCGTGCACATTGATAGATGTCCGCACCCTGCACGCGCACATGAGCTCAGCACATTTTAGCCTTGCAAGCTTGCATCATCATGATACAAAGGTTTGCATTAGTAACTGCAAGGCTTGCATTCTGGCAGGATCAACCTGCATGCATACTTGCAGCCCCCGCGCATGATGCTAGTGGCACCCTAATGTGGCCTTTCAACGCCCTTCCATAAGACTGCAGTTGGCACTCCTGACAGGCAGCATTCACGCACGCATGATACGCGTGTATGTCAAGGGAGAAGAGCGCAGAATGCAAACACCCTGTGCACCAGGTCTCACACAGCACAGCAACATCCACTTTTGCCCTGCTGCCCTGGCTCAATGGAGTTGTGCTTTCAACATGCCAAATGGTTCTCTGGTCAAGCTGTGACTAGGAGATGTATCTGATATCTAAAACAAAACGACCAGATAAGAAAAACATCAAGGGCAGAAGGGCGCACCAGCGTGACAGGTGGCGCTGGTTGGCTGTGTTGCTGAAGCGGCGGTCGAGCAGGACAATGGCCCCGTAGTCCAGCTTGTGGCGGATGCAGCGCCCCACCGCCTGATTCAGCGCCCTGCGCCAAATAAAATGCCTGTACCTGTCATGACCCGCAGGGTCCCTACATGCATTAACTGATAAATTCCATTTTTGCTGCAGCATATAAAATAGAGCACTTTCAGACACTAAGGTTCTGGACAGATAGCACGTCCGCAAGAAAGTCAGCATTCTCAAGCTGAGCACGGCCAATGCTCAAAGCATTTGGAGGCTCATAACCGCTGATGAAATGGGAGTGTTGCGGATCTAAGCTGCCCGGTCAGTCAGGGCAAACCTGACCATGAAGATTCCAGACGACAAAGTAGGCATGCAAAGCCCGCTGCGTGACACGGGGGGACGGGGATAATAAGATATATACGTAAGTTCAGGGCGCGCACCTGAAGGCCTGCTGGCTGTACCACTGGTCGCCGGTGAGCAGGCTGCGCGAGCGGTCGCGCTGCCCGGCGTCGTTGTACTTCTTCTTGAGGTTGACCTTGGTGTCCTTGACGTTGGGGAAGGGGATGCCCACCACTATCACCGCGCGCGCGTTCTTGTCCGTGAAGTCCAGCCCCTCAGACACCTGCAGGCTCAAGTAATATCTAATTAGCTGACTATAGTGGAAACCTCTTTCTCCGTAACTTTTCATACATTCATATCCCCGGAGCTTTTACCGCTTACTGGGCACATGTCACTGTGTCACAGCGCCTGGGCATCTGTTCTTTGGAGTGCATTGAAAATTTCATCTGTCAGCAATGCATGGGCATGGGCACTGGCAAAATCTCACTGTCAAGATTGGCATTTGTGTAGGATGCATGAACATTACGACCTCCTCATGCAAAACCACCAATTAAATTTGTGCGCAGCAGGTTTAATAGCCAGCATGCAAGCATTTATACGAACGGGCAGGCCTGCCGTGCGCGCAGCAATTCACTTGAAATGGGTCTGGTTGGTCGCACCTTGCCGCGGCAAATGGCGAAGAAAATGGCGCCGCGGCCCTCGCGGATGGCGGTGTAGAAATCAGACATGACGGCATCAAACGCGTCGCCGGTGCCGCGCGGCTCGCACACGATGGCCTTGGTCTGCTGCAGCTGCGCCCAGACCCCCGTCACCTGCACGCATGTGACATCATCTGTCAGTAGGTGTCAGGAGTGTGTCATCAGATGACATCGTCGCATGCGCAAGAATATTCAACCTCTGCTTGATCAGCGAGATGCAAGGACGGCGCTGCGATATTGATCAGGCACTAGTGCTATGCATGTAATGGTCATGTTATCTAAAAATGACCATCCGATCTTCATCAAGCATATCCATAAGTGGCCGCAACAGCGAATGCCAGCACAAGCGCCTCGACTGGCCAATGACGGACTTGTGTTTGCATGCTAGATTCCAGGAAATTTCACAGAAAAGAGCATTTGTGACCCAAAACTTCCAGGGGTGTAATACTTATGAGTCTAATCCAGGGGTCCGGACCTTCCAGCGCTCCATCAGGCGATCCAGCATGACATAGGAGGGAAGAAAGACCAGAAGCCCATCTGGCACGATGCCAGCAATGGCCGCAATGCTGGCGCCAACGCTGTCCTGGAAATCTGGCTTGAGGCTGTGCTCATATGTCGCGGCTATCTTCACGTCGTCTGGGCCTGCACAGATGGAGCCTGCCCACACCTGAGCCATCCCGAAAATAAGGCTGATCAGTATCTTTGGCAAAATTTAAAATGCTTCTTGGAATTCTCACCGTTGCAGGCAAGGCACATATGTGGTGTGCATGTGATGCAAAGTTGTGCCTCATTTTCTATTGAGGTTGCTGGGTTCCTGCAGCCAGACCATAAGGAACATGTAGTTATCTGGACCATGAGGCCTCAGATGACCTCTGAGTGAGGCATTCTTTGCCGCGAAGTTTATTTACAGGTCTTTGAAGGTCTTTAATTGTATAGGAAGAGTGGGCAACAAGAGCTGCTGAGGTCAGAAAGCTACCTGCAGGCGAGCGTTGATGACGTGTGGCGCTTCAAAGCGTACAGGGAAGGAGGTATCCAGCTGCACAACGCGCATAGGCCATGTCAGCGTCGACAATGTGCCCACATCAAGATGTGCAAGAGATCAGGCAGCTGACCACCTTTTCTGAGGACTGATCAGACCATGCATGGAATTCTGAGCATTGATTAGCGTCGACAACGTGCCCACATCATGATGTGCAAGAGATCGGGCAGCTGAGCACCTTTCTTGAGGACTGATCAGACCACGCATGGAATTTTGAGCATTGAACACTCTTCTCTGAAGCCCCAGCAGGCACAGCATCATGTGAGTTGCAGCAATCCTGATGCAAAGGAGTCCCGTAATACCCGTGGAAAAAAGCATTGAGTTGCCTCAAAATCTCGCCTCTCACGCCAAAAGTTCCCATGCAAGGCAGCATGCGTTGTCTATGTGCGCACCTCTGAGGCAAAAGAGTCCAGCGGAGAGAGAGTGCCGGAGGTGAGTATGATGGAGCGGGCTGCTGCGGCGATGCTGTGAAAGGCAACGGCCGGGTTGAGGCACCAAAGGCAGAACTGTAACGCCCACCCCGCCACCTCATCTTCCTCATCATCCTCACGCCTGCACCACAGCCCCACAACTACTGACTAAAGGCATTATATTTCCGCACCTAAATGCTCCTGTGCGAAAGCAGCACCTGCCTTATTGGCTTGAGGACAGCCTGTCCTTCTAGACTTTGCAACTCTGACAAATAAAGTGCCTCAGAGCACTTTAAAAACAGTTTGAATAGTTACTTGGTGGACAACCTGCCAAAGTACAGAATCTGAGAATAGATGCGCAGTGTACTGTAGTACTGCAGCTTGAATGCACATAGCCTTAGATGGCTGCAAACGCGTGTAACACCAACACCAGTACGCAATTAGATGATCCACTTCTTTGAAAAAGTACTGTATATATGTATTTATAGATCAGCTGGGGGGTGCTGAGCGCACCTGCGGCCCCTGCGGCGTGGTTGACTGGACCGGTACCAGCGCTGGAGAGCCAGGCGGTAGTCGCTGACATTACTCGAGTACATCAGGTTCAGGATCGTCAGCAGCCGTGAAGTTTGCCCCAGCGCAAACCCAGCCCCCTTCTTCTTTGCCTGCATATACACCACAATACACTAGGCAGCACATATCTCTACAGCATTAATTGCCGATCAAAATTCACCTGCTCCACAGCAGAAGAAAACCTCATGCAAGCGGCCTTCGGGCAGTGCAGAGTTGTCATGAGTTAGTAAAGCACCTGGCTGGATGCAACGTTCTGCAGCTGGTGCTCGGAAGCCCCATCTTCCTCAGCCAGGGCTGGTGCAGGAGGTTCCTCCTTCTTCTGCTCCTCTGCCCTTGCCTTCACGTACAATTCATGCAGGAGATCCACCTGCTCTTTCCCCAGGCCAGCTTCCTCCAATTCCTCACGCATCTGCCCCCACATGCCGTGTCTATAATTCCTCGATAAAGTGAGCGCCATTTAAAGCGTAGAATGAATGTAGCTGCTTTGCATGGAGCGTGAAAAAATTGTGTGAAGATGTGCTAGAGGAGCATTATTCTTCACGCTCTTCACGTGTCTTTTCCAAGAGAAATATTCCTTTCTCGTGCATAGAACAATACTGGCATGGTCTCCTAAAAGGGGTCAAGTATAGACACATGCATGACTCTCAACACATGCAAGCTTCGCAGGGTGGGAAACTTGAGCTCGGCTGCCGAGCAGCGCATGCAATGCACCTTGCGGGCGAGCATGCTGTGCCGGATCTGAGAATCACTTGCAACTATCAGGAACAGCAGATTTCCTTATCATAAGGGTGTGCACCTGCAGCCCTGAGGTGATGCCTTCATAGCGCTGGCCTGCTCCCTGCTGCTTGCGCACATCCGGCCGCTCACACCTCTCCTTCAGCCAGTTTGCAAACCTGCATGCATGCCACATTGCAGTGTTCAGCTTCTGATAATGTCCATGGTTTCTGGGGCCATGTTGAGACACACAGAGCGGCAGAGAAAGCTTCTCTTCATATCCTGATCCATATTAGGTTCCGAACGCTTGATCATGGCCAGTCAGCCTCACGCGTCCCACACAAGGAGGTCCAAACCCTGCACATGATTTACACGCAGCAATTTGCACCTTGCTACAGGAAATATGAAGTGTTTGCAATTGCACCTGCCAAAGGCATCTGCCAGGGGTCCATAGATCTCCCTGCTGTCGGCCTCAAGGCACTTGTACTCGAAGGCCTTCTGCACATCCACCATTGAGGCACGCTCCATCTCCACGGAGGCAGCGTCCCTGCATTGCACACATGCAATGCCCATTTTCCCCCACCCTTCTTACACCCTGTGATGAGCAGATCAACCCCTTAACGCCAGGCGCTCCATGACTGTGCATCTCGAGTAAAATTACTTCACCCGCTTAGAGGCGGCCATTATCAGGATATGCACAGCAGACAATGCAATCCTGTCTAGCAGGCACTGCTGGCTGTATGATAGATAGGCAAGGCTGAAGACGTAGTGGGCGCCTGACCTGCTGATGTCTTCAATGTTGTGGGCTTCATCGAAGATGATGACAGCGTGCTGGATGTTGATGCCCATGGAACTGCGGATGACGGGGTCTATGAGGTAGTTGTAGGGGCAGAACAGCAGCTCAGCATGCTCTGCAGGAAACATGCATATGCTTCAGTGTTTCCTGTGAAGATGTCAAATGAACACTAAAGAGGCATCATGCTGATACTATGGAGCAGGCACCCAGAAAGAAACGAAAATACAAGGAATGTATCGAAAATGGGTTGGCGGATTCACAACAAATTATCAGGCTTTGTCACCTGCGATTTTGCGAGCTACAAAGTATGGGCAGGCCTTGATCTCCTTCCCCACTTGCACCAAGTCCTCAATGTCATGCACCTGCAGCATGCAACCCTTGAGTTGCCACAGCAGTGGCACAAACAAATGACCAAGCATGCAGAACTCTGCTGAAATTGAAGAGGTATGTTCTCATATCTGAACCCAAAGCAAGAGATTCTAGCATGCGATTGCAATGAGGCTAAGTAGCAGGCATTGGAGGACAACCTGTGGAACATAGGTGGCCAGCCCGTTGAGCACTTTGGGCAAGTTGTTGAAGTATCGGCAGGAGCGGTCCTCCAGGAGCTTTTCGCACTCCTCATCCACATTGGGCTTCTTTGAGACCCCGCTGTGCACGCAGTAATGGCTCCGAGAAGCCTGGAATAAAACACCTCAAAATGAATGACATTTGCTCTGCTTTAGTGCCTTCTGCCTTGATGAGCATGAGCTGTAGGAACAGTGGGTTGTAGGAACAATGGCACAGACCATCAAAGTTTGAATGCATGCATCCAAACCAAATTCATAATGCAAGAGGCACCACATGCCATGACATTCATGAAGTGCCAGACAGACTTGAGAGTGTGCAAGGAGTCCTTACCAGGACACCCATGCTTGGAGTATACCCCGTTCGTTTCAACTCCCGAACCACCTGGAAATCACACAACAATCAATCAAGATCACACCACATGAAAATTCTGTACGCTGCTGCTTGGATTCTTCTTATGACATGAAAACAGCATGGCGGGAAGTCCAGACTCCGTCGTCACGAGTGTGACTGTACCTGCGCGATCTGACTGTGGGTGCGGGTGGCATAGAAAATTCTGGGGAGCGGCTCCCGAGGGGGGGCTCCATTGGGGGTGACCTCGCCCTCAGTGCTCCCTGCTGAACCTGATCCTGGCGGCGTGCAGCTGATGGGCTCTGGAGGTGTCTTGACAGACTTGCCTTCTGGAGTTTCCTGGCCTTGGCCATCGTCCGGTATGTTCGGCCTGCCTTCCCATGCTTCTGAATACCTGCAAGGACACAGTGATGACATTATATATATTCTGCGAACCATGCTGCCATTTGGGGCATCTTGATAACTAGAAAGCGGCTGATATCTGGCACGCACGATCTCGGGAATCCTGCAACCATGCGCTTCGGTTTGAATTTTTTTTTTAAGCATGTACGCACCCTTCCTGTTTCAACTTGCGCTGCCAAGACAGGGCTGAGCATAGTAAGCTCAGGGTCTTTCCACTGCCTGTTGGAGCTTCCAGCAAGGCATTCTCCCTGTTGGCGACCGTCTGGATGACCTTCGCCATGAAGCTGTACTGGACTCCATAGGGCTGATGCGGGAATTGTACATCATGTCCAGCGATTTTGGGCATTGGACAGGAATGTCCATATGAGTTCTGACAAGAACTTACGGCATACTCTCCCTTCTGAGCTCAAACCGCTTAATAAGTTCACTTTTGTAATATTGAGGTGATGTGCGCAGCCAACAGACCACCCACATCAGCAGCTCTCTAACAGCATCTACTGCTAGACAGGCGATTTCATAGCTGCTATTTGAGGGAAGTACAATACTATTAGATGCTTCAGCACGAGATTACTTCAATGGGCTACACAGAACGGTGTACTCTTCTGCAATGGGTGGTTTCCAAGGTCCTCGCCAAATTGCTCCAGCTCACTCCAGCTCACTCCAGCAGCGCAGCATGACACGGTGAGTCACCGCCTTCGCCTGACTCCTGTTGCAGTGCGGCCAAGGCAATTCTGCTAGTCCCACTGTTACTCCTCACATAGCTGGCACGTATAAGGTAGGTGCCATGTATTTATCCTGCAGAGAATATCCATATTTGACGATCCTGTGACCTCGAGGTGGGCGATCTCACTCAGCAAGGATCAGGAGTACAATACGCAACCTACATTTTATTCTGTCTTAAGCGCAAATATTTTGCAATGGCTGATAGCAAATCATTCTTGCTGGGTGTCGGGGCTGGTGCGGCTGCAGCAATGGCCATGGCGCTTGCAGCCCACCGAGCTTGGGGGACGGGTATGCCTCGTTTAATAGGATTCTCATGTTTTTAATAATATATTCTTTGATGTCTGATTGATCTCAGAGCTTAGCCACGCTTGCAGGGAAAAGCAGGGGCCATAGTAATTTTTTGCGAGCCTCTCATTGTCTGGGCCTCTTGTCCATTTATCGTTGCATTCGTTATGGACCTTCTTCCATATGCTTGTAGGACGCAGTGGAGAACCGCACCGTGAGCAGCTCGGATCTTTGAAGCAAGTTTTCCACCACCAGCATCCTCCAGCCACCAGCACATCCAGCCACTCCCTGGAGGATGACATTGTGGCAGAGCACTTCACGCGCAACGTGCAGTTCTTTGGGAGAGAAGCGCAGCAGAAGATCATGGGCTCCTTCGTTGTGGTTGTTGGACTGGGGGTGAGCAGCCAGCTCCCTCAAGATTTGCTTCCTTTCTCGATCTTCCTAGCTAGCACAGGTCATCTCCGGGAACATGTGCTCTCTCCATGTAGCACCTCTGCATCCGGCAAGTGCGACGTCCTAAGTAGCCCAAGAGCGCAGGCTGCAAGGTCCCAACATGCACACACGGAAAATTGCTTCTCAGAAGAGCATCAACAGTGGACAGCAGGCCTTCAACCTGTGAAAAGGGCCCTGCCGATGCAATGGTGCAATATAAATTCTTGCAGCTGTCTTAAAAGGGCTGTGTGTGTGTTCTCAGCACAGGGTGTGGGCAGCCATGCAGCACACTTATTACTGCGCTCGGGAGTGGGGCGGCTGCGGCTGATAGATTTTGACCAGGTGTCGCTGTCATCGCTGAATCGCCACGCTGTCGCCACGCGTGCGGACGTCGGCATGCCCAAGGCCACCTGCCTGCAGGTGCAGCACCTCAGGATGCATCTGCCATGCATATGGATGTCATCATGCTCCTCGACTTCCATTTCTGCTATCCAAGGGATATCCTGTTGAGGAGGATGGTTGTAGCTATTTGCATGCCCAAATAGCTCGCATGCGCAATGATCCTGAAAACATGCTTTTGGAAAGGGCTTCCCTCTGATGCATCTTCGGAGCACCACTTCAACAATATTCAAAGCTGAATTTCTAGTTTGATTTCTAACGTTTGCGCGCATGGCAGGAGCACTTTCGGCGAATGGTGCCGGAGGCGCGTGTGGAGGCGCTGGTGCAGATGTACACGGCGGAGGACGAGGACGCCCTTTTAGACGGGGCACCGGATTATGTAATCGATGCTATAGACAACATCGACACGAAGATCTCGCTGTTGGCCGCATGCAATCGCCGCGGCATCCCCGTCATCTGCGTGGCGGGCGCAGGTGGGAGATTTTTTTGCATCTTTCTTTAATCTCAGCCCCGCCAGACAATATCATACATGATGCTGTGGGCTTGAATGCGCATGCAGCTGGAGGATTGGGCTGCACATCACCAGTGTAATTGCATCTTACAAAATGAAGTTCTGAAGCTTGTGATGCCCAGAAGTTTGACGCCAGCACAGGCTATGCTCATGCACAGAATCCCTTTGCTGCAAAGTGCTGCTCTTGTGGCGCATCCTGCAGTGCCGATGATGTACCGGCACCATCTTCATGGGGCTGATCTCTTGGGGTCACAAGCGCAAGTGCTGAAGTTTTGAATATGGCTGATATCAGCGAGAACAAGAGCACGCAGCAAGCAAATAGTCATGAAATCATCTTTTGAGAATATCTCAGAGGGAGTCGCCAGTGATCAGGCTTCCCAATTTGAGACTGAAATGTGCATGTCTTGTGCACAAGCGCCAATGTCAACCAGGCGCGCATCCGCATCGCTGACATCAGCAAAACCAAGACATGCAGCCGGGACTAACATGTGCCTGTGCTCAGGCGCCAAGGCGGACCCGACGCGGATCAGAATAGCTGACGTCAGCGACAGCATCGTGGACCCTCTGGCGCGCGCGGTGCGGCAGCGGCTGCGGCGGGATCACAGCATCGAGGCCGGGATTCCCATAGTGCTGTCAACCGAGAAGCCGCGGTGCACGCTGGTGCCCATCCAGGAAGTGGGCGACAACCCACTCGACTACCAGGTGCTGCAAATTTGCGGTCTTCCCATTGGTTCCTTTGGGTTTCCTTGAGTGGCGACGATCTAGATAAATACTAGGTGTACCAGTCTTCACCTTCTCTGACAGGATGCAATGAATGTGTTATATGTTCATGAAATGGGCGACAACCCATTGGACTGCCAATTGCTGCTTGCATGCTTCCTTCTCCTTGAATGATGCAACGGATATTAGAAATCCATGAAGTCCGCGATGAGCTGGACTATTCGGTGCTGCATGCTTGCATGTACACTCCTCCACAAAGAGCATGTAAAATTATGCAACAAATGTGTACGATGACGTGGGCAAGAAGCCGTTCGACTACCAGTTACTGCAACCCTGCACTCTCTTGAAATTTGTGAAGTGGGCGACAAGTGGGTCTTGCACGCCCGCTATCATCTTCAGAGAAGGTTCAGGATGCTGAGCTAAGCTTGTCAGGCAGAGGCAGGCAGAGGTGCATTACAAGCGAGTCACAATGAGAACTGCGGGAGTGTAGTGCAAACCAGAGACAGAGCAAGGTTGTACTCGAGGTCTTGTCAGGCGCAGCCAACGTGCTGCATGAACAATAGATGCTGCCCACATAGCAGACTCACCAGTCAATAAGCTTATGCGCACCACTCAGTTCAAGAATGTGTGTCTGTTTTGCAGATTGTGCCCAACTTCCGAGTGCGCACAATCCCAGTGCTGGGCACGCTGCCGGCCATGTTTGGCCTGGCAGCCGCCTCGCACGTTCTCTGCGAGCTCGCGTCAGCGCCCTTCGCGCCAGAACCGGTGCGGTCAAATTTTCACGACATCCACGTGTAGTGTGATGCGATGTTAATTGCAAGTATCTCTCATGTGATCATGTGCCCCTCATCTGTGGCTTCGGCAATAAAGGTGCACGCCCCACACAGCCTTTGTTGCTGCCGCAGATTGTGCCAAGTCATTTGCAGCGGCAGCAATCTTTGACGAGGCCACCTGAATATTGATCAAAGATCATCTTGCATGGAGGTGTGCATGACTGCATGCTGAGATTAGTCACATGCTGAGGTCAGTCATGATTACCAGGTGTTCCGGCTGCTGGAGGCGCAATACCAGACGCAGCTGGATCGGCTGACGGAGCGTGAGGACCTAGTTTTTAACAATGCCGAGGGGCCCAGCGTCGACCTGGATGACGTGCGAATTCATACCCCCAAACCCTACTTATTTGAGGACCCCAAACCATAATTTATCAGAGACACCAAAATAAAAACGTATTCAGAGCCCCCTGTGTTAACGTGATATTGTGGCTGAAGATTGTGGGTGGTTGCGCCTGAGTGCTGAGTCATCTCAGCGCCCCTGAAAGTCCTTGACAGGGTGCTTGATTCCTTTAAGGAAGGAGGGTCCTGGAGATAATTATTCCAGATCTTTTGTGCCCAATTCTTGGCATGATTCAGGCTGACAGTTAAAGGCTCAGTTGAGGCTAATACCATCTGCAATTAACACCAGGAGATCACAAGCAAATTTCCCTTGCCAGCTGGGTTGCAGCCATCTCACAGCTGCAGAGCCTCTGGCAAAGCTGCCAGTGCCCTGGAGAGGAACATCTCAGCTATGTGTGCAGAATGCAGGATAGGAGCACATCAGCGATTAGAAGAGTACTGCTGCAATCTTAGCATTGTGGTTCGTGTGTGCTGGTGCAGGTAATTTACCTGGTGAGGGAAGTCTGGCGGGGCCTCAGTGCAAAGGGGCCGCCTTATGTGCTGAGCGGAGGCGACAAGGGGTTCAAGCGATCGCTAGCAAATCTGACACTCACAAGGTGAGGCCACGATCATGCTGCCTTCAAGTGGTTGTACCTGATAGGACGGAATGCTTCAGCTTGCAGATGTAATGATCAGGAGGAGGTCAGGCCAGTGTTTGATAATGTCATAGCTGAGACATAATATAGAAAGTAGAGGGCTGTTGCTTACTGCAGCAGTCAAGTCTGCGACGGAGATCGATTGAGGGGAGTGCATGCATCTGAGGAGTGCATGCACAGCATACTCATTCTTTTATTCAACTTTGCAATTTTCCTCTACCCCTTGCTTAGATATTCAATGCTCTACCTTGATGTCTGCATCTTGCATCTCTATTTCTCTACATTTTCGACTCACGTTGGTTGCACGTTGCGTGTTTCCCTAAAACAAAATCCAGGATAATTCTATGTTGCGGGTTTGTGTACATCCTGAAGAAGAAGAAAAAAAATTGGCTGCATGCTGCGCGCAGGTGGGACAAGGAATGCCCCGCCACGGTGGACAATCTAGTACTGCTGACTTTTGGAGAGGCAGAGCAGCACGAGGAAATGAGACCGGAAGATGTCAAAACCGAAGACCCCAACTTCTTTAGAAGGGTGCAGCAGGGAATCGCGCGAGTGCGATATGAGCTCGCTCTGTGATTGCACGTCCAGATGCAGATCTGGATCTCTCCAGACATTCCGTGTGAGGGATTATCGATCTGCAGCTATAAGTAAATAGTGTACAGAGTATTCACCGAGTGTCCCATGATGGTGCCATCATGCCATCAGTGATGACATGTCGTTAATGATGATTTTGAATGCGAAATATGCATGCATGTGTTCTGAGCTCTGAGAGTCTCGTAATCGTAATTTGCCGCAAACAGGACACATCTAGAAATGCACTACCAGATTTTAATAGAACGAGCAGAGAAACAAAAGCGCAGAGAGGTTTTTACAGACACATGTGCCGCCATGTGAGGCCAGCATGCCGACCCAGCCCCCGCAGCACGCCGAACAGGACGCATTAATAATTCCAAATTCCTCCCGGACAGCAGGATACACATTGCTGGGAGAATGCTCCCAGTTGTTTCCGTAACAAATTTTGATGCACAGGCTGTGAACAGAGCTTTTCAGCGTTCAGAAGGTATATCAATACTGCGGGGCTTTCGTCGAGACGTCGGCTAGAAGTGTTGGTCTTCTCATTGATTGTGCTGGCTCAATTTCTGAAAAGAAGCATCTTCTGCCGGTGACTTCGCCAGTTTTAGGCGCTGAGAGTGTTGAACGCCATACAATTGAACGTCTGACGGGCTGTTGAAGGTCACGATGAACCTTTCGTCAGCCTGAGCATATCGTCTCCCTAAACTCGTGGCAAGCACTTCTTCAATTATATCTTGTTGACACAACCAATATGGCATCCCATAGGTGAGACCGATATCTCTCTCGGACAGAACCACGTTTGGTGTCAGCATCTCTGCAGAATGCAACAGACCCAGGATTATGGCAAGCCTCAGCGCAACGCAATACATATAGAATCACGTCAAAAGCATCTTAAATTAACTTCAAACTCACCACCAGCCTTTCCCAAAAATAAGCCACAGCAGTGTCCTGATATCTCGTCATCTTGTTACATACACTGACCAATGCACTGTGGTGGTTCACTCCCAGGTCGGCCAGCTGCAAAAAGTGCCCTGGAGCGCTACTGTTCGTGCAGGTTTTATACATAATCAGCTGCACAGCACCTGCGGCAGGGAAGACTGCAGGTAGGACCTCATGCCAGGAAATCACTCTAGCAAAAACATTGCGCTGGTGTTCAGCCAAGTTGTCGTGGCAGGGACTTTATGACGGTCAATTTATGGTGCTGCTGCAGGTGCTAAATTCAACAGCAGTGACTTGAGCCACCTGTACACCCCCGTCAAGGCAGCAGTGGTGAGTCTTGCCCAGTGGCTGGAATTGTCACAAATCTTCTCATGTCTTGTGCCACACCATTTATAGGATACAGCCCTGGCTTTGGTACAACAATAAAGTCCCCCGACTGTGAGAGGGGGCATCCTTCAGCACATCATCGGACTGTCTACGGACTTGAGGCAAGTGAAAGTGGCTCAGAGGTGACGCGGTGGCAATCACATGCATGCAAGGTGCCAGGTCACCCCACTGACGGGTCATCTTAAGGCCAGAGAAGTGCAAGGTGAGCCAGGCAGTTTACAAGGGGTGTTGCATGTAGGATGGGCTCATTGCGCTGGGCGGAGAGCATGTGGCCGATGCGCAGACTGACATCAAGGCAGCTGCCAACCACTTGGTCCAGAAGCTGCACAAAGGCAAGGGGGAGACTCCAACGCCGCGGCCGTCCAATGCACGGGCTACGCCCACGCTTCAGCCTTCGACCACCCCCTCAGTCCGCTACCCGTCAACACTTACCCTGACTGCCACCCCAGCAGCGGGCGTTGCCACCGAGGCTGTCACTTTCCTTGTTACTCTGAGATCCACCCCACCGGGCGCGCCTGTTCTGGCAGGCAAACCCGTCTCCATTGATTTTGGAGACGGGTCGCACAAGCGCCGGAGGCTCTTGGCTGCGATCGCCACCACTGGCGCGAACGGGCAGGCCACCTTCACACACTCCTATCTGACGGCTCAGACCTACAACGTGACTGCAGCTTTCGCTGGTGAGACAGTGTCTATCCTGCTTGCTTGATATGTAGGGTGTACCTGTGACTAAGTTGCCTTGTACGCCTAGATGTGCTGGAAGGTGCAGCCATGCATGCATCCAAAATAGTAGAGGTTTTATTGCCTACTGATTCTCAAGACATCCCAAAACATTGCCACTGCCCCTGGTCAATGAGGTGTTGCTTCAGATCCTGCCACGGCTGATAGTACCATCCATGCCCCAAGTGCGCAGTAAGAATTGTCTTCTATCTCAACATGCTGATGCCCTCTGCAGGTGATGCAAGCTCTGGGGATGTGGCGGCCAGCCTTTCCCTTGTCATCAGCCTGGAGAGCACCTCACTCAGTCTGACAGTGGCCCCAAAATTTTTGAAGCCGCTGCAAAATGCCAGCCATAGCATTACACTCCAGTTTGGTGGACCGGGCCCTGCCAGCAAGGCTGGGTACCAAATCTTCATCGACTACCAGGACGGCACAACAGAGACGGTCGTGACTGACAGCAATGGCCAGGCCTTCCCTGTGCACGCCTACATCAGATTTTCTAACCCGGCCTTCAACGTCACTGCAAGCTTTGCAGGTAAGATGATTTCACCAGCTGTGTTGCTGAAGCGTTACTCCTGTAGCACTTAATGTGCATTGGTTGCGCACCGCAAGCTTTGCAGCGCTTTGTCGTGTCTCCAGCCGGGTGTTGGACACCCGGTTCTGCGTTTTGGTTTTAATAGCCCTTTCAAATAATTTCTCCCTAATTTATATTTCTTTGGTTTTTTTGGGGTTATATTCATTTGGGGTGTAGGAGTTACCTCCCAAACCCTAAACTATAGCGCCCCTCTCTGCGGGTTGGTGTGCTTTGCTGCGTACACTCACTGGTAGTTTGGACACCAAATGACCATGATGGTTTTAGATGTTTTGAAAGGCTGCAGAGGCTACCAAATGGTTCACGGCTATCTATGGTTCTTCAGGTGATGGAACGTATGCTGGGTCCACGGCAGCCGCTGCATCTGTGGTCGTGCGAGATTGCAGTGCAGCCTGCTCAGGAAATTATCACGCATGCGCTATCCGGCTGAACACCACGCTCGAGTGCTTTGGGGATAACAATGTCGGTCAACTCGACATCCCAGCACCAAATGCTGGTTTCATTGGCGTGTCTTGCGGGGGCGGCGTCACTTGCGCGATAAGATCAGACACAACGCTCGTCTGCGTCGGACAGTTTTACCGTCCGCCGCCAGCCGCCAACCAGCCGCCAACAGTGCCGCAACCAGCGACCGGGTTCGCCTTTGTTTCCGTGGGTTTCAACTTTGTGTGCGCGATTAGATTCAACAGCTCGCTCGAGTGCTGGGGCGACAACCGCTACGGTCAGCTCAACATCCCGGCGCCAGCAACAGACTTTGTTGCTGTGTCTGCGGGATTATATCAAACCTGCGCCATCAAATCCGATACCACGCTGTTGTGCTGGGGCGCCATGGGAACGTTTTTTGGGCAGCCTGTGAATTTTGGGCAGACGACTGTGCCTCTGCCGGCTACTGGCTTCGTCGCCGTTGATTCAGGGACCGCTCACACATGCGCGATTAGATCAGACGCCACCCTTGTCTGCTTTGGGAGCAGCGAATTTTATCCCCCGACTCCGCAGGCCGGCATCGTCGCTGTTTCGTGCGGTGATGTACAGACGGTAGCACTCAGGTCGAACACTTCCCTCATGTATGCCCAGTTTGAAAGTGAAGGTGGAAGCCAGGAGCAGCAATACCTCGTCCCGTCGCCAAACAGCGGCTTTGTGGGTGTGTATGCTGGTGATGCACAGACATGCGCCATCAGGATAGACACGTCCTTCCAATGCTGGGTGCCGGAGTTTTACGGCAGCTCGCCCGTTTACGATGAGCTTGCAAGCATGCCGCAACCGGTGAATGGCTTTGGCGCGCCCTGTCTCTACCAGTGATTTTTAGGATAGTGCACGGGGGCACTCGATGCAAAGTGACAGTGCTGCCTGCGAAGCTGGCGTGGGAAGAAGTGATGGAGCAAGTCTGAGAGCTCCATGAGAATTGTGTGCAAGCTGAGCTACTTGCACATGCCATGATTGAAGTATGGACCATCTGATGACAAGATTTTGCGGATTATCTTTTGAACATCATTGGAAATTTGGTGCAAACGGCATTTGCATGTCATGAAGGGCGACAAGTTGTCGCCGACAACTGAATTCAATTTTTATTATAAATTCAAAAACAAAAATTTCGAAATGTTGAGTCTTAATTTTGACACTGCCCTGTAATCTTGTCATATTACGTGGAATAAGCCAAGGACCGATGTAAAGCCAGTATGGATATCCCAGCAATACAAGTGACCAGGCAATCTGCCAATCTGTATAATCGTTCATGAGAACCACCGATACAGCTGAAGCACAAAGCTGTGGTACAGAGCTTTCTGCTCTTCTACTCCACCTTTGTACCTGGACTTAGGCACAACCGGCATCTCCTGTTGCTTATTCTTTAGGTTAAGAGAGCCACATCATGTCGCCGACATGGCTTTGCCAAAACAACCCCGGACACATGCCTCAGCAACCCCTGGTGAACGGGATTTGCTTATACATACAGGGGCCTTTTCCAAGGGGGGAAACAGCGGCCGGCAATAGCGCAGACGCTGACACAGCGTGAGGCAAGCTTGGTTGGGCATTAGGTTGCAAATAAGGCCGAGTTGCCAACCTGCAAGCTGGCTTATAAAAGTGTCAGGAATCATCCGCATAGGTGCCAAACTTGGCGGGCCGGTAAGTCGACGGCGTTCTTACACGCGCTGACATCAGCGCAGGGGTGCGCAGGGACGAACGGCTGACATCACCGCTGCCGCCAGATGGCAGCCACCTGGTGCTGCTGACATCAGCATCCCCATTACTGTCTGACCCGCTGCTCCCAGAACCGCTGCTGCGCCTTTCAATTCTCCCCTGCCCTGCCAGCATGCGTGCCTCTGCATTTTGCACCTCTGCTCGCAGCCTCTCCATTTTCCTGAAAGGACAAATCGTCATCTTTGATGGGGGCGCAAAATTGGAATGCGCTAGAAGCAGGCGACCACTTCAGGGCAGGAGATTAAAGGATCCTCTGCCAGCTGGTGGCCAGAAAAGTCATCTAGGGTGTGTGCCACTGTGTTCAAAATATTCAAGGTGTCCTGTTGGACACGATTAAACATGCTGGATGGAGTCTAGGGAGCGTGCCTCTGGGATTCTCCGGCACGAGCAAAGGCCCCCGCTCGCTGCTGCCTGATCTGCGCGTGCATCCACTCCATGTTGCGCGTCCTGCATGTATGCAGACACACAGCCCCTCACGAAACTGCATGACGAGACCTCAGAATTCCAAGCCCTTTTTCTGCAAGCGACACTTTTGAATCCTGGAGGTGCTCCAACCTTAAAATTAATGGGTCACGTTTTGCTCTTAAGTCACCACATCCCTGCTGCAACACATGCAACAGAAATAACAGTGTCAACAAGAATAGTCTGTGATTCAGTCTCATTTCAGTGCTTTCAGCCAATTCAGGGGGAAAAAATGCCTGTCTCTGGCTCTCATGTGCTGCCTGTGTTGCAGGAGTGCGTGTGAGAATGCCAGCCAGTTGTCTTTAAATCTTCTGGTAGGCGCTGACTGACAAAGCTGCCTTGATCAGGACGGTGTGGGATACTCACGCCTGATTGTACTCGTCAAAGAGCGCTTGCAGCTGCACCCGGAGTGTATCTTCATCGGCCGCGTGTGCCGGCCGCGCCGCCGCCAACGCCTCAAGCCGGGTCGCCGCGCAGCGGACCTCGGCCCGTCACCGCTCCAGCGCGCCCGCAAGGCCCCTACGGATCGTGGTGTGACAAAAGCATTAGTCTACTATTGCACGCTTTCTCTGCAAGAGGCAGGGTGCATACAGACAAGCTGCAGATATTGGCTTTTTACGTCCTGTCCCTTGTTGGGACTGCCCGCGCTCTCAAAGGCTCACTAATCGCCACCAAATGACCTCGACATCTACGGGGGAGTCACGGAGTCCAGTGCGCCCTTGATGCTGCAGCATCACAACTCAGAAGCCTCATCATCTGATTACATCCTCCGTGAGAGAAAACCTCCACTGTCAGAGGCAGTGCATGGTTCTATTGGCGGGGTTCTAATACCACTCTCCAGGGAGCATGTTCTTTGTGTGTACAAGATTTGCCATCTGTGCTGCTCTGCTGAGTTTGAATTTCGTCCTGAAAATTATCACTGCTGCTCAGGAAGTGAGGGTAAGTTGGGCGCACCTCTCCCGCTCCTGGAGCTCACATATAGCCTGCCGGGTGTCGGCCAGCTGCTGCTGGGCCTCTGCTGTGGCCGCGGTCATATGCTGCTGGACTGCCTGCATTTCCACCTTGCGCGCAACAGTGCCCTGCATGCACACCAAATTTGGCATTCCATCTGATGATGGTACGTTGCAGGCACGGAGAATATTCCTGCACTTATTAGATTATGATTATAGTGTCGGCAAACCCAAAGCGCGAAGGCCATAGGGCTTTTCATATTTCTTTGAATCAGTATTAATGCGGATTCTCACCGTGATCATGTGAGTCTCGTATTCTTTCCGATACACAAAAGTCTGTGCAACTAAATACCATGCCTAGCATTCTGAGTCGTGCCTCGTCCACTCTTTGGATTCGTGTTTGGGGAACACTCGAGGCGTCCTGCTCTCATATCATCTTCAAGTTTCGTGATACAGTCAAGGGATCTTGTGGTGGGCTTGCCTCTGACGCTCCTCTCGCAGGCCCATCTCCTGCTGCAGCAGCACCGGCAGTGCTTCAGCCAGCCTCTGCAGCTTTGAGGCCGCGTGCTGTGCTTCTGAAATGCCCACTGGATCCGTGCATGGGATGAGCTCCTCTGCACTCCTGCCTGGTGCAGCCTGTGCTGGCACTCCTCTATTTGGCATATATCCTCTAATTAGGACAGCAGGCCATCTTGGCAAGAAGTTGCAAGCAGTGTCAGGAATACTGGCGATTGGTTGCTTATGTTGTGGTGGGTTGAGCACACCTTGTTGGCTGATTGCAGCAGGGATGCTAGCTTGAGCAGTTCCGGCATAGCGGCACTATCTGCCGAATAAAGGGCGACAAGGTCCAGTGTCACGACATACTCGCTTCTCAAACTCTCATTGATGGCCTTTTTGAAAGCTGACACGCTTCCCTCTTGTGCCGATGTCATTAAAGACGGCCACCCCGGTCCCAAACCTGCACAGAAAAAATCTCGAGCCGCCTGCCTCCGAGGATTTTTGGCAGTTGTGTGGATTGTCTGACTCAGTTTTGCCTCTACTTTGAGCAAGCAAAGGCTCGTTGGTTAAAATTCTCACCGCAAAAACAACCAGTGTAGGGATCTTGGATCACCAAGGGAAAATTTGGGTCCTTGAAACCTCGTATATGAGACACTCCAGGATACTTCAAATCTGGGATAATCGGTACAAAGTTTTCAACGCCTGCTCGCAACAACAGGTCAATAAATTTTCAGCTGGGAAACCAACGGGAGTGGTAGCGTGGGTGACCATCTCGAAGCGATACGTACGCCGTAAATTGATGCAATCGCTCATTAATGCAGTTTGTAATCTGTAACTTGTGCTGTCTAGCGATAATATTATGCTGCTAAGACCGATGGAGCATGTAACGCGAGCATCGTGCGGCACCCAATATGGAGAATGCACTGGTAAGAACTGCTCTTTACTTCAATTAAAAAAGGCAAGAAATATCTTAGCAGCAGGTTTCTGTTATATCTGATCCTGCAGATTAGAAAAATCGTGCAGGATCGACCAAGATTGTGACGTCACTCTCTCTCTCTCTTTCTCTCTCTCTCTACATATCGACATAATTGCACCATGCTCCTGTCCTCAATTAAACAAAAGATAGCCGCGCAGAGATCACTTGCAACCGACAGAAGTGTCTAATCTTGAAAACTCAGAGATTCATCAATAATTCTTTCTCTGCGCACGTGCCGTCGTGGGGTACCAGAGATGACGCCGAAATAACGAAAAGGAGAAAAGTAGTGTGGCGGGTATTTTTCGGAAGTAGCATCTTCTCTAGTATCATAAGATGTGCTAATGCATCAGCTCTTCCATACGTGTGCGTGGTGAGCAGTCTGGTGCTCAAAGATCTCTTGTTCGTCTTCTAGAGAATTCCTAGAACTCCAGAAGACGCCTTTGAATCTCTTCTGTAAAACTTTAGATCTTCCAGATCCGCACTTTCTTACTGTCTTTTTAGCAGGACTTGTGTTCGCAGATCGTTGGCTCTTCCACGAGTCTGCACAAAACAGCCCTGGTGTGTGCCTGCCCGTTTTTCCGATATTTTGCAAACGCCAATTTTTTGCCCGTGGGTTTCTTTTCAATTTACTCATGCTGTTTGTTCTGGTTGTGAAGGGCATGACAGATCCAAAAGAGGTCGCAGAGCTTAAGGGCCTGTTAACTTCCAGATTGCGGCCAGACGATCTAAAAAAATTCAAGGACCACGACCTGGAAAGCATGGTGAGAAAGGGGTTCTGGTGCGAGCATGCGCTTCAGCAAGCAACACCAGATATGTTGCGAGGGCCGCCCGGTCCGCCACTGTCCTTATCCCGGGTCGTCATTATCTTGGAAGCTTTCAACCCTGCAGCACTTTCCTACATAGGTGCTGGCCTTCTACTCTTGCAGCGCCTTCATTCCCTTTGCTTTCATGATGCTCCCTTTCTTCGTTCTGCTTCTAGATCTACAGTCAGACGTGGAGTCATCTTTGATGTGTAAGTGCAGGAAGTCTTCAGGCATCCGATGATCGGTATTTGGCCACAGGTCTGAGGAGTTATAGGCTTTGCTCGAATTGTACTGTTGCTACATGCACATTCTTGCCAAGTGCAAAAGCGACCACACGGGGTTGCTTTGCTGTATATTTGCATTATGGTTGCGCAGCTGAGGGACGGCTTGAAGGTATGTCATGGTGTGACGCAGATTTGACAAATTTCTGGGAGGTCCTGAGCTGCGCGAAGATGAAGGACGATTCGCGGATTCTGAGCCTGGCCGACGGCACGCAGTTCTTTGCCTTCAAAGGTATGGGCAGCGCCATCTTCGTGCGCGACTGCTGTGAGGCCCTGGCAGAGGAAGCTCTGTCCATGAAGCCGCCGTCCGACGACCATCAAGCCCCCATGAGTGCGCGCTCGTGCATCTCTCAACAACAATTTCTGTTGCACACCGTGTACAAGCAAGCAGGGATATTGACAAAGACTGCTGTTTGGCATCTTGTGTGATCGTGATGCCCTGCAATCTGCAGTACAACCCATACAAACCTGTCTCTGAAACGCAATGTGCGCTGTGTAGGTGGGTTTTCTAACAAGATATTAGTGGTGGGCAGTTCTGGCACAGGCAAGACAATCTGGCAACTGTACCTGTTGTGGTGATTGTCGCAGCTTGGTGTTACAGTGGTGGTGGATTGCAAAAGGTTTGACGAGCGCATGCTCTTCACCAGGTGGGCCTCCTCCTTGGCATTGCTCCATTGGATCCAAACACTCCCCATGCTTATGGTTATTGCATACTTGCAGAGGGAAGCTATCTGTAGAAGGCCCTCAAACACTGCTCCGCATGCCTGGACTGCCGAGTACACTGTGCATGTGTGCCTCCAGCAATGGAGCCTATAGAGGCAGCAGGACGGCGTTCCGGGAGGAGCTCCGTGATCCGAACACCTGGTATCTTGTGGACGCGCAGCTGCCGACACTGGTTCCGGCCATCACAGTGCAGACCTCCTCCCCCCACCATAAAAAGACCTATGTAAGTATCTACTGCCCAAGTAATTGGCAAGCCTGGCTTGCACTGACCGCGCGACATCCCCTGCCACCTGCTCGTGCACTTGAAAGAATGATGTTAAGAAGTACCTGCCCAGAAGTCTGTAACTATGTACACGGCAAAACTTATTGCTATTAAATCGTGGGCTGGGTATCGCCCTTGTCGCAAGGACCTTGTGCGTGGAGCCCTGCTTGTGATCGCAGCTGTGTCAGTAGGCGACAGCTCTGCTGCACTGTGCTCATTCTGGAGGGTCATCCCACTGCTTTTTTTGGCTCACCCCTGCTTGTGCTCGTGCAGGAGTTCCGGAAGGATGGGGCGAGAATGAGGGTCATGAAGACCTGGAGCTTGGAGGAATTGGAGGCGGCCAGGCATCTCTTTCCAGGGGTGTCACATGACAGGCTTTGCCAGCTGTTCTCCATATTTGGCGGCGTCATCCGGCACTGCCTTGCTCTGGCGCTCGAGGAGGAGGCTGAGGCGATGCTGATGGAGTCCATCGGCTACACCAACATCCATACCCTCCTCTCTGCCATCGGCCGACCTGAGCTGGTGAGGAACAATCCATGGTAACAATTACACCGGATGTGGTTTTAATGTAGAAGCCGGTTGGGTGCAAAATGAGAAGGTGCTTCAATCTATTAGCTTCTCTAATCATGCTGACATATGCACCAAATCGCAGGTGCCTGATGGTACAATCCATATGATCGCTTCCGATGACTTGCGCATGAGCCATTACGCATACGCATCTGCCTTTGTAGCCGAGAATATTAATGCGCGATTTTGTTTGGGGGACCAAATGTACGTGGAGCGCTTTCTGCTGCGCTCTTCTGGCCTTCCGCAGTTCGCCCAGATACACAATCAGCTCTTCAGTGATTATGTCCTCAGAACTCTGCCATATGGTGGCAAGTTTGACTTCAGAGATCTTACGACAGGTCAGGCTATGACTTCATTTGGGTACCCTGCTGGCTATCCTGCCCTTTTAATTGCATGCTCGCGCACAACCCTCACACATTCTTGCTCCCGCCCTGCCCTCTGAGAGTGGGAGCTGTATGATATCTCAAATCAGAGAAATCAAGATTGCATATATGTGCCTATATAGGTTACACGAGCAATTGTCATTTTCTGTGGCATGTTGATTGCAGGTGTCATTTTTTTTTGTATTCGCAGGAGAAACGGGGAAAGTCTGCTTGCCACGGGCCATCCCTTACATTTTCAATGACCTCAGTGAAGTGGAAAATTTAGATGACGGAGTGTACTGTCATGCCAGGGAGCCCAATTTGATCAAGCCAGACTTCATAATGCAGCCGAACAATATTGGGTACTTTAACATCCACATGGACCGCGAGGTCCGAGCCGATGGGCTGCGCAAGGCCTATGCAGTGTTGAGGGGGCCTAAGGATGGCAGCCATGCATGGCTGACCTGGGTTGTCCCACCCAACAAGTATGACGATTTCAGCAAGCAACAAATACTGAACAACATACACCTCAAGAAGTTTAAAATCCGACAACGGGTTTTGAAGTTCCCGCTGCGCATGCACATCCAAGCCTTCCTAGGCAAGGTGCTTTGATGTGCTTTGAGGTGCTCTAAAATTTGAGCTGATGCTTCACCAAATGTCAAATTGTCCAGCTTATCTGTGGGAATGCCTGTTAGATGCAGCAACATGTAAAATATTTGTTTTACATCAATCCAAATCTTCTCTGTCAAATGAGAGCTTGCACATATCGTCGACATCAATAAGTGCAGTCGCTGTGGGGCTGTTGCGGTGGCAAGCTGCAGCTGCCTGGAGAAAATTTAAACTATTCCCATTGTCGCTGCCACATGTGTGGCTTGAACGTTAATAGTAGTCCTGCCAGACTATCAGTCAGACCCTTTGATTTCAACTAGGGATGCACATGCATGCTCTGCATAGGCTGCCAATCCACCCAATCTTTCAATTTTGCAGTGACTGCTGCCACATCAAAAAGCTTTGAGAGCAGTGCTGGAATATTGACATTTGGGTTGCCGCGTCAAATTCAGTGTCCTGTCCTGCGTGCAGTGCTGCTGGCATGCATGGTCAAAAACTGCGCGCATGCCTTGAGGTGGGGGAAGAGGTGGGGCCTGATAAGACCGCTGAACCAGACCTCTCAAAAGTCATCTGCGTAGGTGCCAAACTTCGCGAGCCCAGGTCTGTAAGAAGACGGCATTCCCACTCGCGCTGACATCAGCGCAGGGGTGCGTAACAACGATCGGCTGACATCACCGCTGACGCCAGCTGGCAGCCACCTGGCGCTGCTGACATCAGCGTCCTTGTCACTGTCTGACCCGCTACTACCAGAACCGCTGTCACTGCTGCAGCTACTGCGTCGTTTGATTCTCCCCTGCCCTGCCAGCATGCGCGCCTCTGCATCTTGGATCTCTGCCCGCAGCCTCTCCGTTTTCCTACGGTTCAAGGGAGGAGCAGTGTCAACATGAAGTCAGCATATCTGACACTGTGGGGATACTTTCTTGAAATGAAGACAGGCCATAATCGTGCTACACTTGCCTGCATGGCGGTGATTGGGGCTACATTTGAATCTACATGCAATTTGTCACGCTGAGCCTTGCGCTCAGGTATCAGCGATGCAACAGATAGGGCCTTCAGAGCAACCGTCGAGGAAAAATTAAATACCTCTTGGTATGCAATGCGGAGAACTATTTGAAGTGAAGCGTCAGAGATGAAGCGTGCCTGTGAGACTCTTCGGCAAGGATGGTGTCTCCAGCTCGCTGCTGCCTGATCTGAGCATGCAGCCACTCCCTGTTGCGCGTCCTGCATCACCCATCAAAACTTACCTTCACGCCTACAGAAATGTCTCCTGCATGCCACAGCTTTCAGGACCCCTTCTGTGCTTCCGCTCCTCACAGTCTGCTTGCACGTCTGCACACATGATTTGCAGTGGGAGCTCTGCCCATGCTTGAGTAGACTTGACAGACACAACGAAGGCAGCAAGATCCAGCCAAGGAGGGACCGCTCTATCTGACGCAAGTACATGCAACGTCAATTTTGCCATTTGCAATGAAGGAATATGCTACTCACGCTTGGTTGTACTCGTCGAACAGCGCGTGCAGCTGCGCCCGGAGTGTATCTTCCTCGGCCGCGTGCGCCGGCCGCGCCGCCGCCAGCGCCTCGACCCGCGCCGCCGCGCCGCGGACCTCGGCTCGTCGCCGCTCCAGCGCGCCCGCAAGACCCCTACGGATCGCAGTGTGACAAATCCATCATTACACAGCACCCCAAAAGGTTGCCACGCCTGATTGATTGACTTCACTACACGGCAGACACATGCAATGGATAGCTGCAGCCCACACCACAAAGTGGTGGTATTGTGAGATAATTCTTATATTTTTTACACGCTGTGCGTGGTAACAAACTGATGGCTTTAAAGTCCACTAGGTCACTAGCATGCTCACAGCGCTTACGTGATCCACGTGCCCTTGAACTGCTCCACTGAAAGTTATCTGAAACCTTTTTGCTGCTGTTGAGGGAGTGAGGGGCAAGATTGGGGCGCACATCTCCCGCTCCTGCAGCTCGGTTATGGCCTGCCGGGTGTCGGCCAGCTGCTGCCGGACCTCTGCTGTGGCGGCGATTATGTGCTGCTGGACTGCCTGCATGTCCACCTCACGAGACAGCGCCCTGAATGCAAATGAAACAAAAACAAATTTTACTCCTGCACAGATCGCTTAAGGAGCTGTACCAGAGCTGATACTCTGTAGAGTGCAGGGATAACTTTGTGTCTCAATTGGATGTGTGGCGTTGGGGGTATCTCCATATAATGGTCCCTGGGATCATGTCAAGAAGATTTGGGATCTGCATTGCGCGCGTAATTTCCCACAGCATGCTCATGCCTGGCATTGTAAGCTGTGGCTCTGCATTTTCAGCCGTGTCTCTTTTACCCTTGGAAGGTAATTCCTGTCAGTCTTTGGGACACTCTCAAGGGATCCTGCAATAACTACATCTGTCTTGTTCAGGAGGCACTCTGGAGGCACTGTGTGCTGGGCTTGCCTCTGGCGCTCCTCTCGCAGGCCCATCTCCTGCTGCAGAAGAGCTGGCAGCGACTCAGCCAGCCTGCTCAGCTCTGAGGCCGAGCGTTGTGCTTCTAGAATATCCCCTGGTTCCGCGTAGGGGATGAGCTCCTCTGCATCCTTGCCTGGCGCCGCCTGTGCCGGCCCGTTAACTGCTCAAAATGAGAGAGACACATTATGTCTAGGCCTGGGAATATGGGCTGATTGACTGCCGGGTGATTGGCTTCTGCAGTTTGAGATTGCAGGCAAGCGTTTCAAGGAAAGCACTAGAAGAGATTCTGGGTGTTGGTTGATGCAAGAAAGTTTTGGGGCTTGCTTGGATCTGGCAAGTCCAGCAAGGGATAGGATTGTGGCAGCCTTCAACTGCAGCTTGTCTGCAGGACGCACCTTGCCTCTTGGCAGGAAAAGCTTGGGATATTTCTACTTTGAAAAAAAAAATGTTGTTGAGGCGCACCTTGTGGGCTGATTGCAGCAGGGCTGCCAGCTTGAGGAGCTCCGGTACAGCGGCACTATCTGCCGAATAGAGGGCGACAAGGTCCAGTATTACGCCATAATGGCTAGTCAAACTCTGACCAATGGCCTTCAGAAAGCGTACTCGCTTTCCTTTCGTGCCAATGTCGTCAGACACCTCGGCCCCTGTCCCAAACCTGCACAAAAGATGTCTCCAGCCAACTAACCACTGGGATATCTGACACCTAGGTGGTGCGCCGATTAGTAGCTTATTTTCATTCATATGAACAATTAAGAAAGTAATTCGATGGTACAAGGGGCTCACCGCGAAAACAACCAGTGCAGGCATCTTGCCACCACAGGGAAGTTTGGGTCCTCAAAACTTTGTATCTCAGAGACTCCAGGATAATTTAGGTCTGAGAGAATTTTTACAAGTGTATCAACGCCTGCTCACAAAGAAAAGGTCAGTCGAACCAAATGGGAAGCCAACGGAAAGGGATGCTTGGCTGGACGGGTTCAAGCGAAACGTACGTTTGGTTCTATTGATTTCGTCCATCGATGCAACGTCAGAATTCTCTGTTCTCCTGTCTAATGGTGATGATAGTGCTGCCAAGGCCGATGGATCTCAGGCGAGCTTCAAAATGCATGTAACGCCCTTGACAGCGGACAATATGCTCCCTATCTCCTGTCTTGATATAAAGGAAAGTGATCCGCTATAAAATGACAGGCGATTGCATATGCAATGCCAGTCAATGTTCGTGGGTAACGTGAACGTCTCAGAAAATTTACAAAGCCATACTTTATGGTCGACACATTGCCTTTCAATGAAACTTGTGACGTGCACAACTTATCAACCACGGTGTCAAGAATGTCTGCTGCACTGCTGCCATGCCTTAGGACCAGCCATTGTCACACGCCCTTTTCAGTTCTGCTCTCTTGATGGTGCGCAACTTTTCATTATTTTTCATCTTTTCAAGCCCATCAGACGATGAAAGTCAGTACAGCTCCAATTCACCCCTCAAAATGGCGCCTGCAGCTGCCTGGTGTTTTGAGCTACAGTCTGGGGTCCCCTTGAAGTTGATATGCCAGAACAGTCTGCCAGCAAAGCCCATCTGACAGCTTGGTGCACACGCTGATGCAGCAGCTGACTAAGCGGAGCTGCTTATGCCGAGGGATCCTTGATAGCTTCCGATGGCTTCTTGTTGATCTTGTGGGTGACATCCACCGGCTGCTGTGCGCTGTGCGGGTGTGCCTCTCCCTTGTACACCTATAAGGATGCAGCAGTTGTCATTAGATAGACACTCAAGTAAAAGTCGACATTTGCTATAGCATGATTAGAGAAAAAGGTATGCAGGCATCAAGGCGGAGCGAGCGCCAGAAGATAGGAGGAAGGGCTGCCTCGCCAGTGCACGTCATGTAACAACAATACAATGATCCCCCGGCCCAGGAGCACAAAATCACATGATTCAAGTGCAGTGTGAAGCTACAAAAACGTCATTGAGACAGCCAAGCTGAAACACCAAGCTGATAAGGACACTATTGCTCTTGCACAGAATGGCTGCTGCTGCCAGATGATCTGAACTCAGGTCTGAACATACCAGGCAGCAGCTGCTGCTAGCCCATTATCTGTTGCCACCATCTAGCACCGTCCTGAGCCTGACCAAATATCTTGCGGCAGGCCCAAAGCACCCAATTCGGGGCCCTGGCCTCAAGGGGTCCAAAGCTTTTGACTTTAAGGCCAAGTATGGTGTGTGACTAAGGGGTCGAGGTCTTTATTACAGGGGGTTGTGCGCGCACACCTTGAGATGGGTGAAGAGGTGACGCCCGATGCGTCCGCTGGGCAGCATGCCCTTCACAGCCTGCTCCACTATGCGCTGCGGGATGCGCTGCGCAGACACAAATAGCACGCTTGCCAGAGCCCCCCACAGAGTTTCATCACCATAAGTATACCTAAGACCTCTCCAGGCGACTGCTCTGGGGTGCTCTGAGCGGCTTGTGCTTCTCAGTTGAGCGGGCTGTGAGCTTCAGTACACCTGAAAAGGACAAGCCCCCATGCCTGGACGGCATGCTTTCTGCTGCATCTCAGGCAGCCATGTGACAGAGTTCGCATACCTGTCTGAGGGACGACGAGGTACCTAATACCCCACTGACAAGCAGGGCTGATAGGGCGGATACTCCCCTGATAGGGACATTCTCCAAGGGGGCATCACTTCTCAGCAGCAAAGTAATTGCAAAGCAGTGGCGGACAAATGCCACAGCTTCTTCTAGGCTTGACACCGGGAAATGGGGGCGGTTATGGCCCCCGTAGGTTGGATTGCAGCAAAGAGCTCTTGTACAGGGAAGCATGCCGCACACAGAAGAGGCTTTGCCTATTGCAACTCTATGGCGAGATACATCGAAATGAAGTCTGCTGCTGATATAAGGAACAGCATGCTCGAGGTAGACAGGAGAAGCAGGGCCTCACCGCCTGCAGCTTCTTGAAGGTCTCCTCCTTGAGGCTACCAGGTCGCCCTGTGTGGCGCCGGTACATCTTGTCATTGAACTTATTGCCTGACACCGTCACCTTCTCAGCGTTCACCACCACGACGTAGGCCCCCATGTCCATGCTCGGCGCATATGTCGGCACCGTCTTTCCCCTGCACAGCGGAAAAGATGCCAGGCTCTAAGAAGTTGGTGTCAGTAAGGATACAAATCTCTGCAGTGCTAGGCTCTAATAAAATGGTCTCAGTAAGCGTACAAATATCTGCAGTGCAATGTGAGCACTGGCAACACCTCGCTGACTGCGGCTTTCCACTGTGCCTGCCGACTTGAGAGTCACGTCATACATTCAGTCGCTGTGTGCAAGCACAGGGGCCAGCTTGCCCCTCACAGGAAGCAGCGCGCCGACGGAATTCCAACATTGGCGAGTGCAACTTTTAGACCCCTCGACTGATATTAGCGTGTGGAATGCCCGCAGTCGCGATCCTCTGTGTGAGAAAAAATTCAAAAAGGCAGCCTGTGTAAGCTGGACAGCTGATTGGCAGGGCACTCTCCACCACTGGCATTTCAAGAGTTGCCTTTGCTCTGAGTATCCAGCATGGAAAGTCACCCCACCTGATGTGGTCTGCCACGAGGACTGAAAGCCTGCCCAGTGTTTGGCCCTCCGCATCCACCACATACCAGGGCTTCTTCACAGTGTTGGCATCCTCCTTTGTGGGGTAGTACGTCCGGTTCCAAAGGTCCGGCCCCAAGCTGGCAATCTGCCTGCTCTCCTCTGTCGCTGCTGCTGCTGCAAGGCAACGGATTGATTCAGAAATATGCTTTCACCTCTGCCAAGCCAGGTCACGATCGTTGCCAGAGATGCATGTCAAGATCAGGTCTCAGCTAGGTGGCATGGTTGTTGTCTGTTTGAGAGACCAACAAAGGGCCAGGATTGCACCTGAGCATGAAACACTCAGGCCTGATCGCCTGGCATCTAGTCTCAAAGAAGGTGCAGCTGCTAGTCTGTTGTGTCCTGTTGCAGGTGCCTGAACGACAAAGAAAGTAGAGGAGTCAGTGGCTGGCAGATGCACGATGCTTCCCGCGCAACATCATTCACAAGGCTGGCACTTTACTATTAATTGATCCCATGGTTTCCTTTCGTCAAAAGGACATCAGGTAGTCCACGTTGCAGCACCCCCACTTCACAGATTCTGGACTCAGCACGTGCAACTCACCGCACAGAGTCGCCTGTTGTGGAGATTGCAAGCGACAGAAAACGTCGAGGTGACCGCCGGGCTCTGCATCGTGGTGAGAGGTCTGCGAATACAAGACGACAGTGCTGTTTGCAACTTGTGGCAGCGCTAGATAACCCGAGTCTGTCGCCGCCGGCGTTGTTCAAAATGTCCACTCGAAGCACCTGATTTGGCTCCACAACCCTGGCACCCTCAAGTCTAGCCGAGCAAATCAAGAGCGCCATTTCGTACGGTGAAATCTGCGTTCATAAAAAGCATAGAATAAAGCAGTGCAGCTCGAGATGTGCGAGGCGTGTATGCTATGTCAAACTGCGAATTAATTAACCTTCCTGTGTTGGTGAGTGTTCTGTCTCAACGTACCTTCAATGCATCAATTTTGTCTGTGCAGCTGAAGTGCAATGAGCTGATGGTACTATCTCACTCTTACTGTAGGAGTTGGAGCAACACCAAGTGCGCGAAGTCCTCCGATGTAGGTCTCATCAAAGTCTTTCTTCCTTCTTGTGTACTGCCTTGGGTCGTACACATGACTGCAGATCGGTCGTTTGCATTCGACATGCAAGCTTATACACAATCGTGATGCGTCTAGAGCAGCACTTTTTTTCCATGTTCACCCATGCCCTTTAGGTCCAACTGCCTGCTCAAAGCAACGACAAGGACACATTTGATGAGACTCTTGTAGAGTTGATCAGAGACACCGATGATTCTGCAGGTGTTTTGCATACCATAATCTTCAACAGGGCTCTTGGACCTGTGAGACCTAGAGAAGTGGACTCTGAGCTCTTTGAGATCACATACGTGCGGTCTGAATCCCTCAATATGATGCTCATGGACCTGTCTGCATCATACCGGCATCTTCAAACCACTGCTCTTGTACCTGTCTGCAACAGGTCCTCATCTCAGGGCTTTTGTCCTTGCTATGGCGTCCGAGCCTCTTGCTTGTGTCCAACAGGTGCAGTGCGGAGACACACTCGTGGAGAGGGTGATAGAGGAGAAGATAGACCAGTTCTACGGCTGGGTGGAGAAGCACCCAGGCAAGAGGGGCCAGGTGAGCGGCACACATCAGCCCCCAAGTTTAGACAAGATCCCACTTCTTTCTATGGCAGGCCTGCTCCTGAACTCGAGCATGTGGGATCGTTGTTTGAGCAGTAACACAAGCCCCAACCTTGCTGTTGCAAATGGGAATCCCCTCTACCCTTGCAGATTTATGATCCATGGAAAGACACGAACTTGTGGGAAATAATATCAACGCTTGAACCTTCTATATGGCATCATACTTGCGGGCATGGCACTGCTTACCAGTATCAGCCAGTACAATCCAGTATGAAGCAAGCATGAATTTTCTTTGCAGTGATCTTAACCAGTAAGATGCGTTGTGCAGGTGAGCTTGGCCTTCTTTGAGAAGCGTAAGACACAGCGCTGGTCCCTCATTGGCGGCAAGCAGGAGGAGCGCCTCTACTGGGAGCAGTGGTGAGCCTCTCTGTGACCCATGAGATTTGCGTGTCACACTGACTCCAAGTGCTCGTCTGCACCAGCAGCTGGGGAATTCTGCGGGATGCTGCTTAGGACTATTACGGGGTGATGTGCTTGAGTCTCTCCTACAAACAAGGGGAGGCTGAGGCGATCCGGGTGTTGTGCAGGTACATCAACATCAGCATTGTCGAGCCAAGCATAAGCGAAGAGGAGCAGAGCTCTTTCTCGCTGACCAATCGTGAGCCCCCTTTTTGGTTGCTGACCCCACTTATGCTGCAATTCTTGGGAATGACACCCCCCCCTCTTGATTTGCCTTACATGACTCTGCCTCGTCAGCATGGATCTGTTGCACATGTCATGATTTGGATTATGTATGTGGTGCACGGAAAGCATGAGAGCCGTGCAGTTGCCAACTTGACAAATTGTTGGCAATGCCGAGGTGACCAATGCCTTTTGTTGCAAAGACACACCGATGCATCTCTGCTGCATGGGGATCGTTGCCCCTAGACTGTCTCTGTTTGCGTCTTTGTAGCTATCACCCGGCGAAAGCTAAATAAGTATAAACTGAAATCTTGAATGCGTACGTCTGCTGCTGCGCAGTTCGGGAGAAGAGGCATGCGAAGCTGCAGGAAGCTGTGGAGCAGGTGATGACGCTCATAATCCGCGCTGTCAACGAGAAGAAAGACCATATCCCGCCAGTCACCTCTGCTGCAGTCCTCACCTTCCCCTTTGAGATCACCGTTGCCGGGTGAGCCATCCCTTGTCACCTCTTTCGGACTCCTCAGATGGCCGCCAGTAGGACGGATCAGTGAAGTGCTGACGGCTTGTCAGTCCCTATGGGAATTTCTCCTCTATTGCAATCTGGTTGTGGATTGTACATGTGTGGAGGGGGTGAAGGAAAATGACAAGTTGTCACCAAATGGACATGAATTATGATTCATGCATCTAGCCTCAATTGAAATAATTCAGCAGACACGATGCGCAAAGACATCTGATGGGGGTTGCATGTTGTCGCAGAGATGGCAACATTGGCTATGGCCTGGAGACTATGAAGCGGCTGCTGATGCACACCAGCCCCCCACCAGTGCTCAGCTGAACAGATAGATCGCGCGTAGATATTCCAGGGGCATATCACCTTAAAAAACAAAAACAGCCCCAGTCAACAATGCAGCACTGGGGCTCAAGCCTCATATAGATTGTAATAACGAATCTCAATTAGCAAAATTCTTCTCAAGAGCAGGCAATTGCGCCGCTTATAGCTCCCAACAGGCGTCAGCGTCAGTGAGTGGAGGTTGGACAGTGTGCAACAGCCAAGCAAGGACAATCTAGTATACCAGCTGCAGTGCATGATCAGCCGCATTTCCGGCGGGAAAAACCTTATCAAAGTACCAACAAGGTGGTCAGTGCGTTTGGAACCCGGAGGCTCACAGCAGCAGCAGACAGCACCTGGAAAGGGGGCGGACAAGGCAGCCAGACAGCTAAATTACGGAGCGTCCAAAGAGGTCGCTGTACCCTTGAAGCCAGATATTCCAACAGGCGGGTGCCTTCCGTTTTTGGTCCGTTGCTACCTGCAGCCTTCCTTGAGGGCAAAACACCCATTCACTTGAGTTCTGTTCGTGAGTTGCAACACGGTAAATGGCAGATGGAGAGGGAAATGTGAATGAGTGGTTTGGTGCTGGTGTTCGAGGGCGATGTCGCACCACTAGCAGGTGGTTAGAGGCTTTGCGCTTCATGACCACCTGTCTGGAGCTGCTGAGATACCTCCTGCCCAGTCCAACTAGATTTGTTTCTCGACGCTAATGCATTACAGTAACTACCTTTGTACACTTGTTGCATGACCACATAGTGCTGAGCAAGTGTTTGTGTGCTCTGCAGTCGCACCGGCTTCTGGGGCGATGACTCGGCAGCAGAATGGCGGCGGCCATAGCGCGCCGGCAGAGCAGAGCCGCTCAGGGCTGCTCGTGGCGCAGCAGATCCTCAGCGACAAGCTTGCCAGCAGCGGCGAGGTGGGCGCCTTGTTTCCCGTTTCTTAGGGAACATGATGAGCACGCCTCTAATGTTCCTTGGTATCTTGTACCTGTCCTGTTGATTCGCAGCCATGGTACAAGGCATCACGGGACTTTTGAAGCGAGAAGCCAGTCAGATTCTACAAGCGCCGCAAGTTGCACTGCCTTCACACCTGTTCCTTGCCTTTACCCCTTTGCCTGGCCCATGTGCATTTCTGAGGAAGCCTCATTCATGGCAGTGTGACTATTTGAAGAGGACAGCAGATGACTCAGCGCCGCGCCTCAACAGTGCATATTTGATAGGATCCGTGATGGTGCATAGGCGGTGTACTGGAGGTTGCTTTGGCCTGCAGTGCTCTTTGCCTCCCTTGCACAATCCGGACACATCCTAACGGACAAGGGCACAGAAAATGACACCTCTCTTTACAGTGCAGCGCCTTCTGCGCATGACCATTGGCTGCACAGGAGCCGGCATGACTTTGCTCCCCGCCCCCAAAGGATGGAAGAGGCTGTTGGATCTTGGGATTAGTAATCGAGATCATAAATGCAGTGCTTCTGCACATACCTGATAGGATCCACGATTGTTGCACAGGCGGTGTACCGGGAGTTTGAGCGGCTGCGGCGGGGGCGGCTGCCGGGAAGCTGCCAAGCGGCGCAGCTGCCGGCCAACGAGCGGCGCAACCGCTACACCAACGTGCTGCCCTTTGACGAGAACCGCGTTCGGCTCAACTCTCCGACCCACGACTACATCAACGCCAGCTCCCTTGCCAGCCCAGCCAGCGAGGCGCCAGCCTGGCACTACATCGCCACGCAGGCGCGTACCTCCCTTGACTTGCATGCACAGCAGCATACGCCATTTTCCTTTGCCTTTTTCACTCTTGTGTGCCGTGCTGGCAAAAGCTGGTGCAAATGATGGTAATTCTGCCCATGTCCTATCTGTCAATGCTCAAGAGTCTAAGTGCCTCTTTGACCGAGCCCTGCCTTTTACGCATCCCTGCTATGCCTTCTGTAATAGGGTGCCCCAGCTAGATATCATCTGGTTACTAATGACCAGAGGAATGGCTGTGTTGGAGGATGTTCTCTCTAGAGCAGTAGTTCCAGGTGTTGTCACGGCATCGTGGCCTTTTCAAGCAATGCGCTCGAGGTGCGAAAATAATGTACACAAGCTGCACCTGACGTCCATAAAGTCAGGTCTCTCAGCTCATCACCCCTCAAAACACATTTCCAGTCTGCATTTGCACAAGCTCCATATACGCCAGGTCTGCTGCGTGTCCTAGTTCACCCTCACAGCAATGGATCTTAGGGTTGTGTGCATGTGTGCAGGGCCCCAAGGACTCCACGGTGGGAGACTTTTGGCAGATGGTGTACGAGAGCAACAGCGCCGTCGTAGTCATGCTGACTCGCCTCACAGAGAGCGGCGCCATGAAGAAGGTGCGCATAAAAATACTGATCTGTGAGTAATGCTTGTTCTGTCTGAGGCTGCCAGGTATTGCGCAGGAAGCGGCTGTTGTCTCTGCACGGCTTACTTCCCGCAATTCAGGGGGAGTTTCAGCATTTAGACAGCAAGGAAATGACCAGGAGGATTAATTGCATGGTTGTTAAAACCAGGGGGGGTTGAGGTGTGACCTGTCAGGCCTTGCTGCCGGGCATAAATATGCGTGTTTCCTTTTCTGTCAGATGCATGGTCTCTCTCAGGGAGACAAATCGTGTTTCTGCGGGAATGCTCCGGCAATATCCAGCAGCCATGAAGGCTCCAATTGCGGTGGTTATATCAACAATGACCCTTGTATACCTGCAGTCAGGGTATCCCCTGTAGTCTTTAGTGCCCCATGCTGCAATGCGCGAAGGATCAAGACTGATGTACTTGCGGCCAAACACCCCCTTGTGGCAACACCACAATCAACAGTGCACAGCCTTCTTGCTGCCTTTCTGTGTGGTTCCATTCAATTCGGCAGTGCCCAGGGGGAACGAATTACATATTTCATGTTACCCTGCAGTGCGCGGAGTATTTCCCCGATGAGCTGGACCAGCCGGTGACGTACAAGGGCGGCTGGACGGTCACATGCGTCTCCATGCGCGAAGTGGACTGCGATGTGCGCCACCGGGACCTCTTAGTCACTCCCCCCTCGCCCACCACAGGTGCGCCGTTTTGATACCGCTCTGTCATACATCTCTTACCAAGCGCACCAGTGCGATTCCTGGTGTTGCTGCAGCTTCACGCATACAGATCTTTCGGCTTATGCCTTGATTGGACAGCTTAGAACAGGGCTCTGGCTGCAACACCATGGTCCACCACCGTGGCAGAGAAGCGCCAAGGACCTGGGCACGTGGCAATGCAAATCTAAAATCAAAACGACGACCACAAAAATACTGAAATTAGTCATGACTGTGCATGTGCAGGGCCGTCGCGCAGGGTGTGCCACTTCCACTACCACGCGTGGCCGGACCACGGGGTTCCCTCCACCACGCAGCCCCTCAGGGATCTGCTGGCTGCCGTGCGCGGTCTGCAAGCACCTGCCGCCGGGCCGCCCGTCGTCCACTGCAGCGCAGGTGAGGCGTTACATGTCAAAGTCGTGTGTTCTGAAGAGCTGATGTTGTGTCTTGGGGCAGCCTAGTACTGCCTTGAGCAGTCAGTCGGGACGGCACTGAATCATGGCGTCCACATACCGTCTCGAGAATATGTCGTTCAACCGTTCTGTGCTGGCTGGAAATAACACTGTGCTGCAAATTGCCAGTGGGAAGCCACTCAAGAAATCTTGCATTTGAAAGCCCAGCCCCTGATACGTCGGAAGAAACATGGCTTCACTCGTGCAATCCCTGCGGCATTGCAGTCTTGCCCTCGGCTTCTTTGGATCCATTGCACGAATCACTCACAGGGCCTTCCCAGTGTATCTGCTGTCATTTTTCTTTTTGATGTTTGAGTATTGGCACTCGCGCAGGCATCGGGCGCACGGGAACGTTCTGCGCGGTGGACGTGGCGTTGCAGCGGCTGCGCAGTGGCGATTACGGAATTGCGGTGAGCGCGGCGGAGCTGAAGCCCGTAGTGGCCGAGCTACGGCGGCAGCGGTCCGGAATGGTGCAGACAGCCGAGCAGTACCTCTTCTGCTACCGGGTGCGCACCAAATTTGAGAAGAAATTTCTAGATAGCCGCCGGCTCTAGGAAATTGGCCACTTTTCTCTAGGCCAGATTTTTCTCTAGGCTTGAGCCGCAGCGCGCACAGGTGGGCATGCTCCAAGTGTCTCATCACAGGCATTCTGCACAGAATTTTGGAGGTCTAGTCTTCGGCCAGGGGTAGCATGCATACCTGCACGCACACCTCCTCTGTTGCCAAGTGCTTGCACTACTAGTGTGCAACCTATCTGTTCACAGAAGAGCTTTGGCGGAGAGTGACGGAAATGTCTGCTTTGACAGGCAGTCAAAGACGAGGTGGACAAGGAAGTTGGGTTGGCCTAAGAAGGTGCTCTGAAGGAGGAGCGGAGCAGTGTGGTGATCTGAGCTCACTCTCCAGGTCTCGATTGCGTTGATGTGCTAAGGCGTAGTTGCCAGTTGGGTGGCAAAATAAAGGTTGTGCTGACTGTACCAAGAATACTTACTTGCAAGTACTACCTGCAAGTTTTGAACATGCCTGGATTTCCTCCTGATGCAACCAGGGTCCGTAATAAAAATGTTGATCGTTTCGTTAGCTGAAATGCTCGAGAGTCTTCTTGGTGTTTTGCTTCTTCAGGTACACAGATCACCTCGTTGATCCTTCCAGTTTTCTGCGTATGCTACTCAAGTGGTCGTACCTGTTTTGTGCAATCTCTGTGAAGTCTAAATGATGGGCATCAAAGGCAATTACGGTCTAGCAAACGTTGGGCAAGCACTTGGCAACTTTGCATTTTGCGAAACCCTCTCGCATGTGGTTGAGGAACCCTACGGTCGTATGAAAACGTTCAAAGCAGCTTGACATTTTGCAGGCTGTAAAAAAGGCGCATGGCCTCCAAGGCATCTCAAAGGCCCTGCGTAGCCAATATTCGGCATTTCAACGCCCTTCTTTACCCAGTGCATTCAAAAAGCGGTCATCTGAAAACAACGGTCATTTTGTCCCACTGTGTCCCTAAAGAAAGAGCATTCTCGGGATAAGGGAGGAACAATTGTTTCAATAAAGATCCCAGTATGTCAGGTGTTGAAATTTCCATGGAGTTCAGCCCAGAGATGCCAGCTGAAGTGGACACCTGCAACCTGGACATGGAGGTATGAGGAATCCCTGAAGGGAAAGTTATCGGGCGCAAGTTTCCCTATCGTCTACAGTAATCCCTGTTCTTATAAGTAAATCTGTATTTGAAGAGCGCCATGGTGCACTCAATATGCGACCCGCTTTCTCGTACAACCAAGCATAACATCATTTTTTCCTTTACTGCCAAAGCTTTTCTTTAAGGCTCTTGAAAACCATCCAAGGCCTTTGTCATCTATTCGAAACGCATCAAATTCATACGGTGAACGGATTCTCGGAGAATTTGTGGGGAATATCTTGGTTTGTAGCTCACAGGCCAACATGTCAGCACCTGTGGGTCTGCAGGAGATGCTTGGAGAGAGTCTGCTGGACAAGAAGCTCCTTCAAGAGAAGGAGCACCTAGGCCACAGGGCCATAAAGCTGCTGCAAAGGAGGGCACGCATGCTGTCCTCCACTGCCAACACAGGCTTCAGGAAGCTCCAGGATGAGAGGACTGAACTGGAACGCCAGCTGCAGGGCGAGCTGGCCACTCGTCACTGTCAGGTACTTGAAACAAGTACCTTCCTCTTCAGGGGTTCCTGCACATCACAATTAGATTAACAAATGCATTGCGCAAACTGACACCTCACTGGGTTTTCCTTCAGCATCTTCCTCTACTGTCTCAAATTAACCTTACTCTGAAAGTAAGGGTAACTTCCCCTTCATGTGTCTTTTAAGGAATCTTTTGCATAAACCAGAGGCATGATATATGTCCAGATGTACTGCACATGAAGGGTGAAAACTAGTTGTGCTTGCACAGCTGATGGCCGCGCAAGTTGATGTGGAGATGTGGAAGAGGCGGACGGGGCTGCTGCAGCTGCAGCTGTCCAGCGTGCAGGAGGATGTGGACATGTATGCCATGCGCGTGCGGCTGCTGGAGAGCGAGATCGCGCAGGAATCTGCTGCCAAGGCACATGCGCAGGCAATGCACTTGACCACTACCCTTCCACCTCCCTAATCTTCATTTCATAGCTTGATCCTTTTGGCCTCCACGCGTAGAGGCATGTATGTGAGCTGCAATGGCACGTGTTGAGAAATTTTTAAGATGAGCCGACTGCTTGTTCTATATTGGCCAATCTTTGCATCATGCTGTGTGATGCATGTGCAAAATGCCACAGGCGCATGCGTCTGTTCTTGTAGGACGCGATCACTACAGTAGAATACTATAGCATCACTAGAAGAGTCAGTGGGGATCACTTTTGTAGACAGTTGGGCTATTAGTACTCAGCACAACGGACTGCGGGATGTGACTCTCAAAGTCGTTTACCAGAGACTCCACTTCTGACTACCATGTGGATGCATGCATGCAAGCTGCAGGTTTGCTGCTGACATGCGAGATTTGCTGACTGCCTGCAGGCGGGCCTGGCAGCAGCCAATAGCGATCTGGGCAGCCTCAAGGAACAGCTGCTGGAACTGCAGGCTCAAGAGAATGCTTTGCAGGCATGTCCACCTCAAAATTTGCATCACATCACTCTGCACGTGCCTGTTATATTTGCCTCACTCACTACAGCCACACTAGTCACAAGGAAGAGCATACAGAAATTTATATGCAAGTACTTCATGCTCTGGCGCAGCATGTCTGCATGCCATGAAAGAGAGTCACACGCATGTTTTTCTGCCCACCTTTGACGTGTTTTGAAGTAATGTCGCAGATTGGCTTGTTTTAAAATGAAATGCTATGCTACTATGTGCAGGCAACAGTGGCAGAGTACAGGTCCTTACAGCAGCAGCTGGAGGGGAAGCTGAGCGCTGCTGCTGACAATTTCAAAGCTGCCCAGAAGGAGGCAGCTACAGCTGCGCAGGCAGCCGAGCAGCGCCTGACTCAAACCCAGGTCAGCATATTGAAATCTGATGCAGGATGTGTCATGTACTGTCACTCCGCCACACGGCCGTTAGAGGTTTTTTAAGATGTACTGAAAAAGGTGTCATTACCTGCATGCAGTCTTGTCAGAGGCTTGACAGAAGTGCAGTCAAGCATGACTATTGCGTGTGCTTGTTTCTGAAAACACTTCACCAAGGGCACTTACCAGCCACTTGAGCAGGCCAGTGTGCACTTGGGGCCAGAGCATTTTTGAAATTGCCAGGGACTCCGGACAGAATCCACTGCAGTCCCTGCAGACACAGTAGAAGTCTGTGAGATGGACTCAGACAGTGACGGACTATCTGTATGACCAACGAGCCTCAGGCAGCTCCCACAGGTCTCAACATTGCGATGATCATCATTCAAATTTCACTGTAAGTTGTGATAGTTATGTGCGGTTCCTGCCAAAAGAGGCTAGGTGCATCTGCAGGCAGGCTGCAGGTAAAGGCTGCCACATCCCATACCACCTGATGGACGCTCCAGACCCAAGCAAGACCCACACAATGAGAACGGTGCTCAGTATCTACATTCCCACCAATCGGGGCCAAATTCATGTCATGATCATGTGAATTGTGCAGGAGGAGCTTGTGGCAGCCAGGACGCAGCTGAAGGAGTCAGCGCATGCGGCGGCTGCAGCCACCGAGCGCGCGGACGAGTTGGAGTGGCGGCTGAAGCGGCAGGAGGCAACGCTGGCTGAACGGCTGCGCATGGCCGACCAGGCCAAGCAGGCCACGGAGGGGCTGTCAGAGGTGCCCACATGATGATCTATCTGCCTCTGTCTTGCAGCATGTGCCAGTCTCTCAATGCTTGCCCATGAACGGGTTGCAGATTTTACTGTGACCTTTCCTTGGAAAAGCTGTTGTGCGCAGCTGTGCAATGGGATGCGCACAGGCATGATCTGTTAATTCGGATCTCAGGCACATGACTTACCTGACATGTTGACAACAAGGCAGTCCCATGTACTTGATCCTGTGAAACCGCTCTGCCTAGACACACTTTCAAAGGCTCACCCGACAGCATGCCAGGCGATGCAGCAGCCCAGGACCGCTTTTGCAGGGACAGCGTTTCACATGACAGGGTAAGGACCGTCTTTGATGATAGGGAAGATTGCTGAAAGGGTCGACTTATTCCCCTTGCCCAGGAGGGGCTGCGAGCGGTGCGCGAGAAGGCGGCGTTTCTGGGAGAGGAACTGCGCGCGCAGCTGGCATACTCGCGAGAGATGCTCGCGGAGGAGCGGCGGCTGCGGCGCGCAGCCGAGGCGGCCGCCGCGGAGACGGAAGCCGGCCTGAAGCTGCGCCTGGAGGCGGCCTCCGCTGACATCAGCGCCCTGCGCGACCAGGTGCGCTGTAAATTCCTGGCCTCATGGGTGAATGCATAGTAGTGGGTTTTGTAAGAAGGAGGCTGCAGAAATTAAGCACACTGACATTTGCTGTGTGATATCAAAGCGTGCTTGCTGATGGCTTGTCAGCTGCACATGGGATACCGTATCTCACTTTATTGTACTCTGATCCACTGACTTGCCGACGGCACATAGAATTTTCTTGATTTGCAGTGGCTCCACTGTGTTTTTTGTGCAACCCATTGTGCCCTAGAGCCTCTGTGAGATCCAAAGTTGCCCATGTCTTGACTGAATGTATATGAAGATACATGGAGATATAAGAGGTGTCCAAATTTTTTGTTTGATGATGTTTGGCGCAGGTGAACTCGAAGCGCACAAGAATCCATGGCCTGGAGGAGGCATGCCGCCAGCAGCAGGTCAGATTCCTGCTCTATAATATCACACTCTTGTGACTGGAGCTTTGTCTCGCAGATTTCACCTGTAAGACCCTCCCGAGAGTCATGTGCTCCAGAAATGCTGTGAATGCTGCTGCGGATATCCTGCCAAAGTCCTGAAGGCTTTCATGAAGGCATCTTGAATGCTCTTCTTGGCCATCACTGGCCATCCGCGCGGCGGGCTCGGCGGCCGCAGGGGCTGGGCCATGCCTCCAGGAGCTCTGGTGCACAGCAATCGGAGACTCTGAGGCCTGTTCTTTTCTGTTCGAGTTTAGTGACCAGAAAGGCCTAAGATACACCTGAACTTGGTGCAGACAAAGGCGGCCATGGATGTGGTGACCTCACTCGTGGGCGATCTCGATCCGCCGGACACAGAGCCGCGCAGGCGGCCGTCCCTGGGCGACGCGGCTGCTGCGCAGCTGCCGCCCTTGCCTGAAGCTGACTCGCTGGCTGCGCCGCCCCCGCAGCAGCACGCCCCCCATGCAGGTGCGGCTTTTATAGCTCAGAATCATTCTTTATCCTGGTCGAGCAACCTCGGTATGTTGGCCAGTTCTGAATAATTGAGTGCAAGATTGGCTGGATGGAGGTTCAAAAGACTGATGCATGACGCAGGCGCAGATGCAGCAGAACCTGGCAGGGAGCAGCAGCCCCCCAAGAAGCAGAAGCGGGGCAGCAAGAGCAAGGCAGCACAAGCCGAGCAGCTGGTGGCAGCTGGAAGCTTTGCAGAAACCGCGCAGCCTGCAGCCAAGCCATCTCAAGCAGCAACAAGCGCCGCACAAGATCCAAGCGACAAGAAGAGCCAGGCGAGGGCTGCAAAGAAACAAGCCAAGGCCGCAGCTGGGGCAGAAGAGGCAGAAATTGTGGGTGCTGCCAAAGTAGACAAGCGGGGTGACAAGGCATCAAAGAAGCGCAAGACGGAGGAGGCGGCTGCATCAGCCGCCAATACCAGCGAGCAGCAGGCAGATGAGTCAACGCACGACGCAACGATGACTCATGATGAGTCCGCAATGACTCAAGGCGGCGGGCGCGCCAGAGCCGCCCGCACGCGCGCCAGCAAGGCGCCCTACTGGATGGGCGGCGCGGCCGATGATGACTCAGCGCCAGCTGGCGATGACTCACCCACTGATAAGTCACCGGGCGGCGCAGACCCGGAGGCCGACAGCGACTGGGAGGCGCCGAAGCCAGCGGCCAAGAAGCACAAGGGTCAGGAGCCTCATCAGGTAGGCTTGACTTTCCTGTTTCCTTTGGCACTCTTATTATTGCATGGTGTTCTTTTCAGAGGCAAATTGCGTCTGCAGACAAGCTGCGGGTGAAGGCTGCCACATCCTACCCCTTGGTGGACTGGCCAGATCCAAGCAAGACCCAACCATACCACTGGCATTGTGCTCAGTGTTTATACCCACACCCGCCAGCCGGGGCTCTTCAGTGGAAAGTGAATGTTTTTACTGTCGAAGAGCCAGAAGCCAAGCAATATCGTAGTATTACTTACAGATTAAAGGACCTGTAGAGCCGGAGGCTGTGAATATTGCAATAGCAGTGGACTCCTCTCTGCTCACTTCTTAGCGATGATCGACGCAGGCTATGGCAGAGGAATCCAAGCCTGACAAGCCGAAGCGCGCGCGCAAGAAAGCGCAGGAAACTGCGCAGCAGCCGCCGGACGATGCTGAGGTGGCGGAGGGGTCCGCTGACGTGGCAGAGAAGCCGGCAGCTGCCGGGAAGGGGCGCCGAAAGCTGGTCAAGGCCGGCCAGGCAGCTGCCGGCGAGGAGGAAGCTGCTGAGCTGGCGGCAGATGCGGTGGAAGAAGCACAGCCACATGCCAAGAAGGGAGCTCAGAGGAGGAAGGGCAAGGGCGCTGTGTCAGCTGCTTTGGGAGAGGCAGCGCAGCCGGAGCAGCCACAAGAGGATGTCACCACTGCAGATCATGCCGGTAAGGTTCTTCTCCTCACCGCCTGTCACAGGTGCTGTCAGCCCAAGGCCCCCAATAAGCCGCTGGCGGTTTCCATGAAATCTGTCCCACAGGTATCTGTGCAGTGCTTGTCTTGTCTTTTCAGTGCATATCTCGGACATTCATTCCCAGTGCAAGCGAGAATCATGCATCAATATGTAAACTGTTGATGCATGATTCTCGCTTGCATTGGACCCTATAACGACCTGTTGGATATAAAACTTCCTCCTTCTGCTCGCAGTCACAGACAGTGGCGTCAACACGGAGGTGGAGCAGGAAGAGCAGCAAGATGTGAAGATCGCTGCAACACAGGTGCAGGCTTTTGTATATTCCTTGAAACCCATGAGAGACTGTCACCTTTTCTGGCATGAGGAAGTCGTTAATAAACAGCTGCCCAGCACCTGGCTTCAATATTTCTGCTCTGTCATGCACAACAGACGCGGCGTAAGAATTTTTCTCCGAGTCCACACCGCTCCAATGCAGATGGCAGGGCTGTACTTCAAATTCCTGCATTAGTAGTATTTACTAACCCCTGTGTGGTAATTGCTGACCGTTGATTTCCATGCGGCAGGAGTTGAGCCAGGGACCTGCACAGAGTGCAGCTGAGTTCACAGTCAATCCCAGAAAGGTGTCTCAGTGGCAGCAAAGCCGCCCCGAAGGCGTCTCAAAGGTCGACCTGACCACTGTCTGGGGCCACACTCGGACGCCGCTGGCCGACACTGCAACTGCCGCAGGTGCGAAGCTTGCTTTTACACCCTTTGCTCCTGAAGCACAGGGGGGCACTGAAGACTACCTTGATCTTTAACACCCAAGCACTGAAGTTCAGAGGAGCTCTTAGGAATTGACGCACATGTCGATCCTGGAAAGCTTACTTCAGACCTTGAGGTAGCACAACTTGCACTTCCTGCTGCTGGTTGCAAGCTCTTCCTGTGTAGCCCACTGCATGCCGCTGTATCTTATCAACCCGCATTAGTACAGGCACCCGTCATTATAGCAGTGCTGTATGTAGAGGAGGTTTCCGATGCTGCAGGAGTTGCAGCAGACAAGGAGGCCGCCGGACCAGGAAAGGAGAAAGAAAATGGCGACGCAGCGAAGGCGGCGGCAGGGCATGAGCTGATAAAGCCGGTGCCGGGGCGCTCACGCTTCGGCAGCCAGTCGGAGGCGAACCCTCTCGCGGCCCTCAACCCCGGGTGCGCGCCCCTTCTTATGCACATTATCTCCCTATCCCTGTCACATCGCCAAGAGACTGTAAAATGTTGGACCTAGCCCAACATCCCCTGGACATCAGTCTTGTGCACTGTCATGCAGCAGCAATGCGGTGCTAATAGCTGGCAAAGAATTATCATCTGGCATTATCGTCTGGTTCTTAAAGTGGGTATTCTGGTAGTGATGGAAAAATGTTTGGCTGTGCTTTTTGCAGGGTGCTGGCAGCTGCAGTGAAGGCGCAGCCGCGGGGATCATATGTGTCTGGACTCAGTGCTCCCAACAGAGGGTAAGGACAGCCTTGTTCGCCACGAGCCTTGTTTGATACCCTGAGTACAATGCATAGCCCCTCCCTGCACTTGTCTTCCTGCTACATCGCTCCCCATCAGGCCTTTCAATGTCATGTATATAGGACGAGGTCTTGCAGTGTGCCCTGGTTGCTCTGACTGTGCTGCCTGTGATAAATATGGGGGGAGCTATCGCATGTTGATCTAGGGGCCTGCTGGGACAGAGCTGCAGATGAGTTCATTAGCGCTGCGGGACACTGAATCATCTCGATCCAAAGCCGCGGTTCTCTTGGGCTGTTTGATGATGCTTGCTCATGACATGGCACTCTTGACATGTGCGCTGATGTCACAGGGGTGAGGTGGCGGCAGGCAAGCGGCGGCTGCTGCCCGCGCCCAAGCCCATGGGCAGCGTGGCTGCCCTGCCACGCAGCATGCTCTTTGGGCAGAACTTCCAGATTCCCAAGCTCAGCCAGTGAGGACAAAGTCCCACTTCTTGTTTTTCTGTGAGACTGGCCAAGAATGGCATTGCTTCCTATCCAGGGTGCACTGCGCCTGCCGCTCGGGAATTGATGTAGTTGTGAATGAGGTCCGTGCAGCATAACAATGCCCAAGCAGATCTTCGGCCAGAATTTCCAGATACCGGGTTCAGCCAGTGAGGATAACGTTGTCACACCTTGCACTTCTTTGTGACTGGCCGGGAACGGATGCCGTTTATATATAGGGTGCACCTGGAGCTTGAGATGAAGAATTACCAGCTTTCCAAGCTCAGCCAGTGACGCACTCTTGTTAGTCCTTTCACCCTGAACATTTTCGTGCTTGGCCAAGACTGGCATGCTTCCTTCCCCAGAAGGCATTACAGCCCTGAAAATTGCACTTGTGGTGAGAGTGGAGCCCGAAAGTGCGCCCTTCAAGCCTCCAGCTTGGCCATGAACGACACAATATCAATTGCAAGCGATTGCAAGCGACTAAATTAGCCAAAGATTAGGAATTGAAACGAAAATTCTAGAAACTGACTAGTCTGGGGATTGTGCACGATAGTGCAGAGCAGTGAAAGCTGGTTGCACCCTGTACTTCAGAAATCACTGAAAGGCTGCAGTTGCTGAGACCGTTATCAGTGTCAGACAGCTGCATGCGTACGCTGCGCCTCTGTCGGCTCTGATGAGCAATATTAGTAGTACTAATCAGTACGCACTGCGCATGTGGGATACGTACTTGCAATTGCACATGCATGCAGCATGTGACCCTGCAAGGAGGGTGCTTCTTGAATCAATTGAATCTTGATGCATGATCAGGCCCGCGTAATCTCCCCTTTGCCAAGACAGTGACGGACGACATCTTTCTTGATCTGATCTTCATGGCAGAATACATGCTGACCTACAAACCCCCCTAAACACCCCTCTGCCCTCAGATTCACTCGGGCAATAACTTACAACTTATTGACACACGTAACGTGTGTTTACTTCAAATTGGTCAATGACGCCTCGCAACAGATACGAGACGCAGCGTGACTGAAGATGCAGGCATTACAATTTTTTCAAGAGATGTGTTGTATGAGACAGCTTTGCTGACCCAGTACAGAATCAGCTCATAGGGCGAGACAGAGTTGCGCTTAGGTAAGAACAACTTTTCACCTGTTTGTCGCTGTCATTGGCATCTTGGCGCACTTGGAAGAATCAAACGGTTCTCGCAGAGGTGTGGGAGTTGTGCTGTGTGTCACAAGCAGGACGATAACATATCGCGGAACCCTGACTGTCAGGCTGAGGTGTCATTGTATTCGGACTGTTTTTGTTCCTATGTCCCGGCATATCTGGGCAGATTTCACTCCTTCAGCAACTGTCCAGTATCATAAATGGACCTATGCAGTAGCTTCTCGAGAGCATAAGATCGAAGAAATTGCGTGCCTCCGCAAAAGAGTCACTCGTCGGACCTTTGGCCTGCCCGTTAAGTGCGTCATACCTTGGGGGCAGCCGGGCGCCATCTTTGGCAAAAATGGCTGTCATGAGGCTTCAAAGGTGTTAAGAGCCCTAATCATGCAGGGACCTAGCTCCCTGACCCTTGATATTGTGCGTGTTGTGAACAGGTGCGCAGGCTGTATTTGAGTTCGGGCGAACATCCAGCGCAGCGTCCCAGGCGCAGGACTTCGATGTCTGTTTTCGCCAGGGCAATTTTGCATCCTATTTTTGGTGGGGATCATCTTTGCCACCACCCAAGCATCCCAAGCTGGTGACCATTCCCTCACTGTCGACACCCTTTGAACAGACACAACCCAAGTTTACACTTTTCACAGGGAACAGCCGCCTTAAAGCTTGGTGTTTTTCTCCTTGAACATATGCCTTTCATGTCCCTGGCAGTTTATTAAACTAGGCTTGAAACGTGTGGCTCGTCATGAAAAAATCACTACCTCTGAACTCTGGGATCCAAATGAACCTCATATCAATTACCTAACATGAAAGACAGGGACGCTTGGACAAGCCTGTGCTTCAGAGCATGGCGCCTGCAGTGCTTCATGACGCAGTGTGTTGCTTTCCTTGTGGCCCCAGGTGAAAAGCAGTTCGACGCGCTTCAGCCTCTGAATATATCAAAGGTGGCAGACGATGCACTGAAGAAGCTACAAGCCTCGTTTGGCTTTCTGCCAGACAGCAAGGCAGAGAGAGCCGCGGGCGATATGGCATTGCGAGCAGAGATCGATGACTTGCGGCAGCAGATTGCCAGGCTCAAAGCCGCAAATGGCACGGTGACTCCCTAATTTCTGATGATCTTTCCCGGCTGTGAGCGCACTCCACATTGTGGTGTCCACATGCTTTGAGGCCACTGCATAGTGACCTCGATCAAGGGCCTTAAGTCCGCTCGAAGAAGACTTCGAAGGCAGATATTTTAGATATATCAGATATTGGTCCCTTGATTGGGTCTCCCTTGGATCTGGCATATCCATCAAGGGGTAGATTTTGTGGCAGCATTCAGCCTTCACCTGCAGCTGCTGCAGGCAGACCTTGCCATTGGCAGGAACAGCATGTGATGATAAAAGCAAATTATTGTTTTTGTTGATGAACGGTCTCTGTGTGACAGGGAACGCCTGGTACCCCCGGCACAACAGGTTCCCCCGGCATTGGCGGCACAGGAGACCGTGGCGACACAGGTGCTTTTCAACCGCTACTGACCTTAATTTTGGTATAAAAATCCCACTCACAAGTGCTTTAAAGCACCAAACAAAACACAGTGTGAAAATCTGTTGTGGGCATGCAAATCTGATGATGGGTGCTGGGCTGGTGTGAGCCCTGTTAGCGGTAATGCTTTCAAACTTATTGGGAGCAGGAAACTGGGGCTGAGCTGGACGACATTTTTGTGGCATTCCACGATTGAAAGGACCAAGGATTTTGTGTCTGAGGATGACATTGCTTTTGTGCAGGTGCCACCGGCCGAGACGGTTATACAGGAGACACAGGCCGCGATGGTAGTACAGGAGCCACCGGCCGCGACGGTTATGCAGGAGCCACCGGTCGCGATGGTAATACAGGAGCCACAGGCCGCGATGGTAAGTGCGATTCGCAACATGCTCTATTGCAACTGCACGCTATTTGTGCTTTTGGCTCAAAGTGCATGTTTCCATTGCCATATTGGGATATAATATCCCAGCTGCTTGCTAGTCCACCTTCTGCATTAGTCCAATTTGGTTGTTCCTAGATGATGTGCAGTTTCTGACCAACCAAAGCAATAGCAGGACCGCACCAATGTCTTTTTTTCCAATAACTTCAGGGGTTAATGATTGGTTGTGCATGCTGGTGGTTGCAGGCGATACTGGCACTACTGGCCCGACAGGTGATTTCGCCAATCAATTGTTGTTTTAAGGAATATGCATGTACTTCACTGTTGGCATTTGCAGTCTCTTCTAGTGAAGCAGATGACCCTTGGAGTCTCTGCGGCATGCCTGGCCCCTAGGGGACTCTTGACTAGTTAGCCATTGTCTGGGCCAGGATGTGCTGAAAATGAACGAGACCCCAACAAACAAGCTCGCCTCCTGATCATCATGCAGAAGGTCATCATATAGTGTTTGAGGCACATTTGCAAGCCATGTCGGGATGCGTCTGAGGGATGTCTGTTTGCATATGCAGGTCCCACGGGAGTGGGTGAGAATCTGATGCCCCCGGTGCTGACTTCAGCAATTTCAGCAATCATATATTTGCTTGCATGTGATTTGGCACCAGACAAGCACTGCAACTTGTTTAGTATACTCACACAAAGGAAGCTTGCATGGAACGCCCCCTCAGAGCATGTTAGGCTGTGCCGAGGGGCGCACGGCAGCCTGAATGCCAAAGCACAAAGCGCACAGCATGGTCAATGCAAAGGTTCAGTAGCGTGCCATTTATTGGTGTCATCGAGCAGTCGCAGCTGTAGCCCTGTCATGACATGTGCTCTCAAGGTCAGGAGGTCTGTCTAAAAGGCAGTGTTGCCTGAGCTTGGGATGTCACGTGTGAGCAGGCAATTGCTCAGCGCTGGTGCTGCAACCGTCTCTGGCCGACACCTGCTGCACCGCAGCTGCAAACCAGTGCCTGAAAATCACACCAGGTGTGCCGCACATGTGGGGCAAATTACTGTATGCAAAGCGCACCCTGCTGTCTGCTGCCATTCATGCCTGTGGATAATGAGCCAATCAGGATCTATTATGAGGCCTTGCATGGCATGTCAAGGGAGGTTGCCGCAACAATGACTTTGAAAGGATCCTATGTATGACCCGTATATGCCATGCAGTGGAACACATTTTGTGGATTGATATTTCAGGGTAGGCCAGCTGTCACACACAAGCAAAAACCGTCTGTTTGATGGGATTGAACTTACTCAGCTTTTGGGCTATCCTGTATGGTGCCGAACCCTCCTTTCCTCACAAATTCAGATCGTTTTAAAGGCATCTCCTTGTTGTGGCAGAATCCAAACCCCTCCTATGGAGTCTGCATTGCCACATCCCCAGTCCTCTGCCGCGCAAGCAGCGGGCCCCCAACACCCGGTGTCTGCTACGATGTCCAAAACTCAGAATGCGCCAGCGACTCGCCAGACTACGATTGCGTCACACTGGCCTCCTCAACAGAATGCACCCAGAACCGCGACAATTCCCCCGTCTTCGGCATTTGTGATGGGTCCGGCTATTGCGGTGCGCGCTCTTTTGCGTCGGTTAGATGTGTAACATTCCAAACAAATTTCTCCTTTGAAGAGCCTGGTGCGTGCATGCACCCTGTAGTATGGCTCCTATGCATGCGTCCTGTGTTAGTTTTCGATGTGGCAATGCTTTGCACCCTATTCCTCTCAGAGTAGTGGCTCTGGGTTGGAGTTTTGGTCCAATTTCTGTAACATGGGTCTGATTTCCTGACAGAGGTGCAGCACAATTTTTAGATCTCTGAAGTTCTTCATAGGCACGAGCAAGTGCTCCCTTGCATTCTTGGGGATTTCCAAAGGCTCTGAGCATGTGGCGGGATGTTCATGGCTCACAGGTGCTGGATATGCGGCTGTCAAGGGCACGGTTACCTTTGCAGGCAATGTTTTCGGCGGCGTCGGGGTTGGCCTGCAAAATTGCCTGCGCTACTGCGATGCCATTGACTGCACTGCGGCCATCACTAATGGCATCACTGGCATCGGCAGCAGCTGCCAAGCCTACCTAGATGCTACCCCCCTCACAGGCGACGTTAATGCAGCCACCACCACCTACATCTACGTGCCAACAACCGGGGGCGGCTATGCCATGCTCGGCGGATTCGCTTACTCGGCCGCGCCTCCGCTGAGCACCCTTTCCCTGAGTGCTCCCACGGCGTGCACCGCTGCTTGCACCGCTGCGTCGTGCACATTTGCAACTTTTGACACCAACTTTGTCCCATCTCCGGGTCTGGGCACGTGCATTCTCTATGCGGTGGCGCCACAGGCTCTGCTGGACACAAATAGCGGCTCAGTGACCAGCTACTTTCCTGTCACAGTCTACTCTTGAAGCTCCTGAAGCCGGGGGAGTCTTTACCAACTATTTAAGAGTCCCCTGAGAAGCCCCTTAAGGGGAGAAAGGGGCAGTTGAAGGGGAGGGGCACAGATGCGGGCATGCATGTGATAGAGCCGGGGACACGTGTCAAACTCAGATTCGAGGTTTATGGTTACCCTTCAAACTAAAAAAAAATCTAAGCGGGAAGCACCTTGTGCAGTGGCGGGCCATGCGCATGCGCGATGATATGACATGGGGAATCTGAGGGCATATCATGGTTGCTGATATGCAATCCACTGCGGAAAGTCATCCAATGGACTCATGAGTTGTATCATGAGTTTGATCAAACACACAAGCGCCAGAAAGGCCTGACGCTGTCAGCTTTAGGCAGGTGCAGTGGATGTCTTGGGCAGTACCAGGGCGTGAGTTTCTATTGAGCTCAGGTGCTGGCTAGCTGCAACCACAAGCGCAGTAAAGAGTAACATCCTGGAACTATTTTTACAGCTGAACTGTGCCGGGCATGGCGTGCCCGGTGTGCCCACATTCTGGACAGGCAAATAATCACCCGCAACGGCTATCAAGGAAGCAATCCCAGGCTGCAAACAAGTTGATCAACTAATTGCAGAATGGATCAGTGCCTGCAAATTGTGAGCTCGAGGTGCCAGGCATGGCGTACTCTCAAGCAGCTTGAGTCAAGCTTGGCAAGCTTAGCTGGCACCGACTGTCAACTTTTGATATTTTGGAGGTGTTCTTGCGCTGCGACATGCTGCTTTTCTCTCTGCATGCAAATTCCAACGATGGATACTAAAGAGTAGTCATCCCTGTGACAGGTACCTTGTCTTTAAATTTGACTTGACAGAGACAGCCCAAAACGTTGCTCGTGTATCCAAGATTTGAGTATTCTACCATGAAGATGTACCCCTTGACTGAACACTGATTGGACCCGCCTAAATAGGCTGCATGCTATGACCTGCACCCATGTCAGGGTGTGAAGGAGATTATTGTGTAATTTTGCCAGAAGAACAGCTGACAACGAGTCTGACGGTCCCGGAAGTACCCTGCTGTGTCAGCAAATGATTAATATCGATAGTAGGAAAAAGGAATATTCTGGTGTGCAATAAATGGTAATTTGAATCTGAAATAGGAGCTGTTGTTCTAGAAAAGTGATTTGCGTGGTCTTGGTGCTGAGATCTGCAGCATTTAATTTGTTTAAAGAGCATCCGTGTTATCTAGGGAAAGTCCCAGGGTGGGGGAGAGCATGTTTTGAATTACACATGGCGTTGGTCTAGCCGCAATTCACTGCAAAATTCAAATTTGGGCTCGTGCATCTGAATCTTTGCAGGGAGAATGTAAAGAAGCATTTTCTCTACACCATTCCTAATCATTAGTCCGCCCAATCTAGAAAAGCCTGAGAATTTGGGGCCATCCTTGTTATGGCCTGCCCACATGCAAATGCAGCTGCAGACAGATGCAGAGTAGCGATCTGGAATTTTATCAAGCAAGCGCCTATGTGCAGACCACTCTACTTGCGGCTGTTGAGAAGGATCAGATCAGAATGCCAGAACAGGCACCGCCAGTCTAAATATAGACCCATAACCTGGGCACCGCATATTTTGTGATTATCAGAGGCATCCATTCATGTGAACAGCATAGGTTTTCGAACAATCTGTCGTTCTTCAAGAGAATTGTTCAAAAGTCTGTCGCAACCATGCCGCCCAAAATGTCTAAAGCATCAGCAGCGAAGGTGGGGTCCACGGATTGATCGTGGGAATATCTGCCGAATTTATTTACATACAGAGGAACGCTCTCAGAAAAAGACATTATCTGTCGCAGGAAGCGAAGGAGAAGGAGAAAAAGCAGAAGGCAGCCAATGCAGAGGAGGGAGGCGTCAGCATCGACGAGCTCACGCTGAAATTTCAGAATCTCCAAGCGGAAAAGAGAATGGAAGAGGAGGCGAGGAATCGCATGCAGCTGGAAAGGGTGAGTTTTCCAGATTTCAAGACGGCATCTGCCCACCCAACGAAACATGTTTTGCTGAGCCTGACGCCACGGTTCGACGAGATTGTAGCTTGCACCTTGCTGCAAATATGCTGGAACAACGCAATAATCTCTGCCGATCCCTTTTTGTCGTTGCCATCTGCGCAGGACAAGATTCAGTCCTTCTGGGACATCACCAGGAAGGAGCTGGACAGTTGCAGAGCGGAGCTGCGCATCAAGGACAGGGAGATAGAAGACCTGCAAGACAGGCATCAAGTGGAGATCAAGGTGGGGCAGGTTCTGACAAGGCTTCAACAGAGGTGTGGGGTTGCCTGTGACCCCATCGGGGTGATTCACTGGGCAAGCCCAGGGATCTTGCCAAGTAAACATGGCAGTCTATGTGGCACAGAGTTCTGAGCGGACCAGAACTCTTCCCAGGAGCGTATCCAGGAGCATAGACCCATCCGAGGGGATGATCCCCCCTCCTGCTGTGAGAGATTCATCTGCAATCCAGCTCATCGCCCTTCTGTCCAAGATCTTTTCCTTGGTGCATCATGCTTTTGTGCCCGGTTACTCTGGTGTCCTATCTTGCTTTTTGCAATATAAACTCCTTCTTCTGTGCTTGATACCTTATGTCAGGCTGTCAAACACAGCTTCTCTAGGAGGAGGGAGATACAAGATATAAAAGGCAGTGCAAGCGCCAAGTAGGGACACAGCTTCTTTTGCTGCAGGTGTACAAGCAGCGGGTGAAGCATCTGATGTACGAGCACCAGAACAGCTTGGCAGTGCTCAAATCGGATGCAGAACTGGGGCTGAAGCAGGCTGAGGAGCAGGCAGCGGGGAGGGAACAACAGCTGCTCGCAGACCAGCGCGCCCTCCAGCAGCAATTCAGAGAGCAGGCAAGACGCTTGCACCCCTTTGGCATACATCGAACACTGCTTGAGCGCAATTTTCAAAGCGCAAGAATCAGCCCACTGCTGCACGGGCTGCGTGCGAGTTGCAAGACCATCTGTCTGGTGAAGGCAGCGGGCTGTGCTAAATTTCTGCACATGCAAACTGATGAGAGTTGGATTTTGACAAGTTTACAACTCTGTTGCTGTTGGCTGTAGCAACATCGATGGCAGCACTGTCAGCCCATCGCCCTACCTGCAAAGTCCAATGGAAGTGATCTGGAGCTGTGATCATTTTTGTTTCCTGGTGCGAAAATGGAAGGAATAAAGAAGCCTCGTGAGGCATGAGCGCGTCGCGCTTTGCATGCTGTGCTATGCTCTGTGCGTCATGCTGTACAGGAAGCAGCGCACGAGGAGGCGCTGAGGCAGGAGCAGCTGGAGCACGCTAAGCAGGCCAGCAAGATGCGGCAGGAAGTCGAAAACGGCGCCCGACAGCTGGCGGAAAAGTATGACAGGTCGGTTCCATTTACCATCAGCGTCATTGGCTGGCAAAGACTTGATGCGTCCTTCCTCTCCTCGTTCCTCGGTTGCGCGGTCACAGGAGTCCATTGCTGGACTTTGGCCGCTGCAAACGCTGCCAACACATCACTTTCAAATATGTCTCCACAGGCCATCAAATTGGGATGCAGATCGTTGGCTTAAACAGAGAAACATGTGTGACGCCAGGCTATGGCAGAGCCTGGACACGTTGCCTAGCCAGCACTGCAGATCTCAGATGCAATCCCAGGGATAGATGATATGCATGTTTTGGCAGTCGATGCGGCAGAAGTTTCTGGGCGGACCAGAACCCGTCTCCAATATCAAAAGCTTGTTGCATTGCTGTGACATAGGTTGTAGCGTGATGCGGTTGTAGTGTGATGGTGCTGTGCTTTTGTCCTGTGAGTGTAATAGGATTGCACAAATTTCTCCCCCTGGGAGGTCCCGTAACCATTTGTATTTAAAAGCATGAGCTGCATCAGGGTGTGACAGCCCTATTGCTCCTCCAAGGGATGGTCCAAAAGAATCAGGGCTGTTCAAGGAAGAGGCAAAGCACCCGCCCGCTGTTGCCCTACTTAGAGCCTGGCCTGACATTCTCTGGGACCCCTGTTACTCCCTGAGCCCGATCCAATGTGGGATGTTTTGTGTCACAGGCGCGTGAGGGCACTGACAGAGGAGGCGGATGCGCGGCGCAAGGCCGAGGCGGCTGAGATGGAGGAGCGCAGGAACGCGCACGTCCAGGTCAGCGCATTTCTAAGCTTAGTCATGCCCGCTATGCCATGCGGGTCCAGATGTCAGGCCTCTGCTGGTGACGGCGGCGCAATGTCATGCTCTGGTCGATCACATCCGTGTTGGCCATCTTTGTCCTGCTATTGATACAGGGTTTCTGTAATGGCAAAGGAACCAAAGCACCTTCCACCATGTGTGCATGGATCCGAGGAAACAGAGGAGATAATTTGCGGCTTGGCAGCATCGAATATGCAGCTATAAAGTCAGAAAACCAGCCTTGCAACACCCACTTCAGGTGCCTGACTAAAACTTGACAGATCCGTTTGATGTGCACTGCAGGACCTGATGCAGCAGTATGTGACGGCGTTCGCTGACATGCGCGAGTACTACAACGGCGTCACCACGACTAACCTCGACACAATCAAATCCCTGCGCGAGGAAGCTGCGGAGCTCAAGCGGCGAGACACTGCCTCTGCCAAGCTTGCAGCAGAGATCGCAGCTGAGAACAAGCGGCTTGTTGAGCCCCTAGCGCAGGTCCGTGCTATACTGTAACCACACACAAGTATTGACTCAGTACTGCAGAAGACTGAGGTCTCAGCTGTGCACCCAAGTTTGGCTTCTACTGCACTTCTGAGCTCTGTGGTATAGTCCTAGCTGTGGCCTGAGCTGAGCGTCTGGCGAGGATTATCAGAAGCCTGCGCATGGACTGAATTGGGTCCATGCACATACTGTAGTAGTCATTCTGAAACCCGCAACCTCGGCGGTGCGGAATTTTTTTCTAAAGCAACTTCTAGGGCTCTCCCTATAATTACATATACCAGGATCATGCTCCATTGGACTGAGCTTGTTGAGAACTTTCCAAAAGTGGTCTCAAAATTGTCATATGTGTCATATATTGGCAGATAGGGTATTATTTATCCACCCTTTTTGGCCGAAAACAATTATTTTTTGCGGGTTTTAGAATGACTACTACAGGATTTCAACTGGCTTACTCTGTGCTCCCCACCGGAGAAGCTGTGCGGCAGCCATCCTTACGAAAGAAATGATGTTTTTGCTAGATATCATGTGTCAAGTGCGTGTGCAGGCACAAAAGACAGTGGAGGCTCAGAGGGCTGCTCTGGCCGGCCTTGAGAAAGTGCAGGCCAATGCAGCACAGACAAAAGCTCGCATGAAACTTGCGCAGCAGCGGCTGAAGGCTCTGGAGTGGGAACACGAGGTGCTGCACTGGCCCTCAACTAAAGTGCTTGCCCCAAATGTCGGCCATAGTATCTCTGAGATTCTGGTGTGAGCCAACTGGCTTCCAACCATGACGCAAGCCTTCTTTAATGCTGATGAGGGCTTCTGTTCAATCTAGAGGCAATCATCATGGCATCATCGGTAGACGCTTTTCCTGCCAGGAAGTAGTGTGCATACCAGACAAGCCTGCCACAATCCTACCCCTTCTTGGACTCGCCAGATCCAAGACCCAACCAAGCATGGGCACGGTGCACGGCCCCCGCCAGCCGGGGCCAAAGGTCATGGGGTACCTTTTATCACTGTCATGGGATAGGCAATTGGTAGATTTGGAAAAATGCACATAGCATGCACCACGTAGAGCTGCTTTCAGCTGGGCTGGGTGCATGAACAGCGCTGTGCTCCTGCCAAGTTGGAAGGCCAACGAGGTTGACAATGATCCTGACCCATCAATCATCACTCCTCTGATTTGTTGCTAAATTGGTGTCATGTTGACAGGTGTTGGAGCAGCGGTACGCACGGATGGAGGTGGAGAGAGATACACTCAGGGCAGCTCTAGAGGCAATGGAGGATGGCGCCAGGCGATTGGCTAGCTAGCAGTACTATATACAAATATATGACTAGATCCTAACAATGGCCCCGGCTGGCGGGGGGCGGTATACATACTGAGCACCGTGCCCACGGTTGATTGGGTCTTGCTTGGAACTCGCGAGTCCAACAAGGGTTAGGATTGTGGCAGCCTTCAATTGCAGCTTGTCTGCAGGACATACCTTCCCTTTTGGCAGGAAAAGCCTGGGATAATAACAATAGTTATGTGTTTGGCTAACATGGAGGAGAGGTGCTGACCACTAGCTAAATATTCCGAGTTGAGTGCACCACGGGTGAATTTGACAATTATAGTATAGGAATGAGATTTAGATCAGGTGAGAGAGTTGAAGAAACATGGCAGAAGCTAGAGCTCCTTCCAGCAGTAGCTTCGTCCAGGTGGGAAGCTGACCTTTAGTCATCGGTATCTCCACGTGCAAAATTTCTCTTCAAGCGAAGAGATGCAGCTTTGCTCATGCATCTTGGAGAAAATTCTTTCACAGTCTCATTGAAATCCATTCTAGCATGTTCAGCCAGTGCTACAATCATTGATCCTTCTCTTCTCTATATCACGAGACAGATGTGCACGCAAGTGCACTTGAGAAGCAGTTTCTACAAAGGCTTGCAGAGTTTTGCTATCAGAAATGCGATATAAAGGTGGCGGGATTTCATACAGACAAAGACCATGAAACCAGACTGCGAAACTTTTATTGATGTGTCTTGATCAAGTGGAAAGGGAACCATCACTTCCTGGCATTGGCGACACGCATGCGTGGAGCGATGCAAATAGCATGAATTTGCAAAAGTGTGTCATTGTGGCGCTTATCAACGATCTGGACCTTTCAAAAGCGAGATCCAATTACCACTGATGGTTGGCATGCGCTATGCCCCGACGTCATTCAAGCATAATGCCAGGATCGGGGCAATATTACTGCCAACCCTCGTCGTCCTGGTCGGTTTCGGGGGCAAGCTGCCAGTCGGAGTTTTCTTAGCGGGCGCGATGGTGGGCACTCACCCTCTCCATGAATAATCCTGCAGGGAGCTATTTCCTTTCTTTACAGGAAGCATAGCGTGACAGCTATCTCGGTTCAAGAAGATCAAGCAAATCCTAAGAAGCAGTGGTCATGCTCTTGGAACAGTCCTTCTTGCATGTTCTGCATCTTGTGCCCAGGTCGTAATGCAACCAAAGCTGATCTAAATCTTGCAATCGTTACAGTGGACATGTGCTCACCTGTTGCGCATGACTGTGTAAATCAGAGTCAGGCATCGTATCAGCCCTAAGCTACCTGGAAGCGATGTGACATGACTGATTGGCTGTGCCAGGTGGCGTATATCATGGACGCGCTTCGCTACAGAGAGGGGGCGCTGGGCGCGATTTGGATAACTCTGGGGTTAGTCAACCTCAGCATGCTGGTCTCGGAGGCCTCTTTTGGCGGCCCCAGCCCGCTCATCCTGTCAGCAGCTGTCAGCCTGTGCAGCGGATCCACCCTCTTCCTAGTGGGTGCGCCCCTGCCTGGCGCCATGACTCCACACCTTTACAGGATACTGCATAGACCGGACCAGTCAGCAAATGCTACTGTAGTGCTCATTCTACAACCCGCACCCCCGGCGGTACAAGATATTTTTAAAGCACCATTCAGGGGTATTCCTGAATGCAATAATACTAGGGTCTCATTTATCCACCCTTTTTGGCCAAAAATAATCATTCATTGCGGGTTTGAGAATGAGCACTACAGTATATACAAATAAAGGCAGCATTGCTCAGCAAGCTGACACTAGTATTCCCTGTCTGAACCTTCCGTAAGGCATGCGCAAACACAATTTCGGGTTCAACAAAGAATTGTGCACCCAATAGATCCTAGCGTTTTGCGACATGCACAGCGCCTTAAGCTGGTGGCAACGTTGCACATGCTTATGAGTGTAAAGGCACGAGGGGGCTTGACTGCAATTCCTACAAGTCGAGCATTACATTGTTCGCCCTTGTTACAAGTGCTTTATACTAGAGAAACAGGAAAGTCAAGCCTGCCAATATCTTCCCTCTTGAGCCCTTTGAGGCTACAGATCACAGCAAAACAAGCTGTATGATATGTGTCTGGCCTTACACTTGAGCCTCAAAGGGCTCAAGTATAAGGCCAGCTTATTCCAATCTTTGAAGGCTTCCAACTTATTGTTGTGCCCTGGCAGGCGTGTGGGCGACCATCCAGTTCAAGTGGGTGCAGCTGCAATACCCAGTGGTCTGCTTGGCACTTGAGAAGCTGCTGGTCTCTGCATCGTTCCCTTCTGCCGCCATGATCCTCTCCTGGGGAGCCTTTGCTGCTGTCGGCGCCTCCGCTGCTCCCTACTACCAGGCCGTCATCCTCGCAGGCACGCTTCAGCTTTTTGCATGTCCGAGGTTGGAGATGAAGAATTGAAAGAAAAGAAGCATTGGTGACGGGCACACTCAAAAGTTTGCCCTGGATATCTCTCATAAAGCTTGGAATTAGAGGCAGGGTATGTCGAGAAGTTGAAATTGTGATACATGCTTTGTTGAGCACAAATGTTCATGCAGTGAAGGCATGCCGCATGCTGCGTGCAGTCAGGCACAACAACAACTTCAATACACACTATTTTCCTGGTCAGTTTTAACAACCCAACACATCACCATTGTTTAATTTACTGATGCAGGGCTGTACTGCCTGCTGGCGCTGCCGTTGGAGCCGTCATTCGGGCCGCGGGCAAACGGCGCGCGGCGGCGGCCGGGGGACCGTAAGGGGTCCGTAACGGGCGACGACGCGCGTATCCAGTCAGCGGTGGAGGGATTTGCGGCGGCTGCTCTCTGCATAGCGCTGCCGCCAATAGTGTATGCTGTGGCGCACCGGCATGTGCTGCTGGCAAGTGCGCAGCATGCCTGGAGCCTGCTTCTGCTGGCTTCCGCTCCGCTGCTGTTCCTCACCTGCCTGCAGGTGCGCCTCCTAGGAGCCAGTCCGCATTTAGTCAGGGACGCACTGATGCAATTTCTCTGATTTATGGAGGCTTTTGCTGGACAAGATTCTTGAATATGCAGCGCAGCATGTTTGTCTGCCACTCTGTGGTGCCTCGCCACCATCTTAAGCCTTGTTTTGTCGCTGTCTCCTCCTTCAATAGCCTTTTCTTATTTGGGGGTCCTGCGGGCGTCCTGCATCCTTTACTGCAAGCAATGAAGAGCACAGTGTATAAAGGTGGCTGTGATCTGAAAGTCGGACAATCTTCCTGACCAGAGGCTGAAGCAGGGGAATTTCGATGCACAGGAGGGGCTGTGGTGGCTGCCGCTGGACGTGCCTCACAGGAATGCAGTGAGGAAGCTGCTTCTATTAGTCGCGCTGGCGGCGGCACTGGGGGGATTGGAGGGGCGCGTGATATTCAGAGCATTTGGGCAGTACATCTGGCTTCAGCCCCCCTGGAGCTACGTATTAGTCACCCTCGCTCTGTACGGCTCGGCGGCCCTTGGAATCCTGCACTTTGCCGGTGCGTCACATCCACCTCAAAACTGATGTCAAATTTGTATTCCGCCATCTGAAAGGCCTGTCACATTCCATTTTTGGAGCAAGCAATCAGGCATTTTGTATAAGATTGGCCCAGCAGAGGATAGCTTCTCTTCTACTGGCTGGATGAACTAGCAAGAAATTCAATCCCTCAGCAGCCTCACCTCGAGCATGCATTGCCAATTTGTTAGAAGGAACTGGAATGTCCCAGCTGACACTCAGATTTCTTTGTGTCCCCATCTGGTACAGGCCTGCTGGGCACTCACGCGCAAAACTCCTTCATGAGCACGGTCGGCGCGTCCTTAGTCATAATATCGGCATGCGCGGGCGCCTTCGCGGCCGGTGTTCCTGTTGCAATGATGCCGGCGCCTCTTGTGGCCGCGTCGGGATTAGTGCTGTGGTACGAGAGCGGGCAGCTGCGAGACTATGTGATTTTCGTCGGCGGCGCGCTCGTGACGGCTGCGTGGTTTGTGGGGCACCATTTCTGGTTCCTGGAGGTGCGCTGTCTCCTGTGGCGTGCCCTTGCCCTTTGAATATCAGCCTGTGAGGGACTGGAACTGTTCATGAAGGGTTGCCTTAAGACTGTTGCTTGCAATGGCAATTCTGTCCTGCGGAGGAGGTTTCACAAGTTGGCGCCCTTGCATCTCATTTACTTTCGGGTATGTCGCGTTTGCCTGGGAACTTGAATCTGGCGACTGAGGAACATCCTGTCTTGTCTCTGCTTCTTGCTGGGGGTTCAAAAGTTCATAACGTCAGGCATGAACGAGCATATTTGATGAAGTGTCATCTTTGAGCTCGAGGTCCCTCACCCACAGGTGAATCTGGCGCATCACAGCCTGCAGTTTGTGTGCAAGCTGCTGATGGCGGCCATAGCGGCGGCTGCGCTGCTGCCGGGCATGGTGCACAGCAAAGCGCCACCTGGCGCTACCTCCACGCTGCTCCTTATACAGGTACTGTCTCTCTCATCCATAGTCAGTGGGCGGGGAAGTTTGGATGCCTTGTGCATCCGGATTGTTGCCATGACAGAAGGAGCAATCGCAGCGGTGTTCTCTTCATGCCGCAAGCACTGTGCTCAGTCAAGGCAGAATATTTGTATTGTTCGTTTCTCCGGGGCCTGTCCTGTCGATACCTAGGAGGAACTTTTCCCTTTCTGGCATGTCAATTTATATAATATGAAATTGGAAATTTCAAGTTTGAATTTAAATTTGAATTTGAATTTGAATACCAATTTGAACAGGCGGTGGTGGTGGCGGCGATGGAGGAGAACCTGTTTGCCGGGGTGCATGAGGACGGCGGCGATGACATGTACCCGGCGGTGTTTGTCGTGCTGACATCAGCGCTGGGTCTGGCGCTCACGCGGAAGCTGCAGGCCGGCTTCCGCGTCGGCGTGGCCGCCTCGTGGCTCGTCCAGTGCATCTACGTTGCCAAACTCTCCATGCTTGCCATCCCCGAGGTGGGCCACGTTTCATGCTTCTCAAGGCCTTTGTTTTTTGCCCTCTCAATTGCATAGTCCTTTTCTTCTTTGCCGGGACCTGACCTCTGTAATGGTGAGGGATGTCCTTTCCGTGATGCTACTGGCAGAGCTCAAATCACTGCCGCACAGCGCCATCAAGCTGCTGCATTGATCAGCAGGAAGCTCTGTGCCTCATGTGACGTGCCTGGATAAGCAGAATCTTACTTGCTGGATGAGCCGTGCAACAGGCGGAGTCCCTGCTGTTCCAAAATCGAGGGGTTACTACGTGATTGTGTATTAGTCATTTCGTTGAGTCTGACTACTCTGCGGACGCGGCCAGGTGCAGTCCCTGCTCAAGGTTTAAGGTTCTGTGATCCTTCCTTCATGTTGTTGAGCCTGACTAATCTTACCAATCTGCGGCGGCCAGGCGCGGCTGACGCTGCCGGTGCTGCTGGTGACGCTGGCGGTGACGCCGCCCTTCCTGCTGCGTTCCCTCCCGCCTGATGACTCATCCCTCACCCCGCAGCAGGCACGCCGCGGCTACAGCACACCCGTCTGGCAGGCGCGTTCCCTCCGTGCATACCATGTATGCTCATATTGCACTGCATTTCTTGCACAACACAGCTGCTTGCCCATATTGAGAACGGCCTTGACTGCATGCACTGACCGGCAACACAAGTCAGAGCTTGAGGAGGCACCATCTTTCTGAAAATCACAAAAAATCAAAGCACTAAGCAAAGTGGTCTTAATGTGCACGGCTGTATTGACAGCCAGCCTCGCTATGGCAAGCACAACGCTCAGATAACCGTCAGCACTTCAGGATATTTGCATCTCGGCTCAGCTGCTTGCGTGCAGCTCTGCAGACGCTACCTGACTTCTTAAAATTCAGGCTTTGAATTCATTTGAATGTTTGCTGCGCCTACAGGGGCTGGTTCAGGCGGCTGGAGTGGCGGTGTCGGTGCTGCATGCGCGCTATGCGCTGTTCGAGGTCCTCCAGAGAGTGATGGGTGGTCGCCCCACAGAGGCGGTGCTGCTCGGCTGCCTCCTGCTAGGTGCGACGAGACCGCCTGGGAATCTTATTGTGTGGGGTTGCACTGGCATGCCGAGACGGTCTGTTTCTTTCAACGGGCGTGTGGATCTTGTCTGCATGACTGTGAGGGCTTATGCCCATCTTTGTGGTACTTCTTCCCGTGCTTTTCTCACTAAGCCAGTCTTAAAAAGAGCACATGCAGGCTGGCAATCCACCTGCTGGGCATATATTTCCAGCAGATTTGAAGAGGCCCGGTGGCCTGGAATATCAATTTTAAAAGTGACAAAAATTCAGGCAATGATTCGATTTCATTGAGCGTCTGACTGGAATGAGCAGGGGTGGCGGCCGGCTGCGCACCGATTGTGGCCTGCCAGTACGGGGCGAGTCAGCGCGCGCGCCGTTCGCTGGCGTTCCTGGCCGCGGCCGGCGCGCTGTTAGTCATGCTACGGCCGCCGCTGCCGACCAAGGTGCGCGCCCGATCAGGCGACTGCTTAGTCGTACTTATGTCAATATCAGCACTCTGCGGGGTGCAGACCCAAGTGTGGGTACTATGGGTACAGCAAGATTGTTCTGCTGTCTGTGTCCTCCCCCGCTTACTGCAGACAGACATTGCTGGGTAGCAATGCCCGAGTGCTCAATGGGTAGTATTTACAGTGGTGCTGTAAGAGGGCTCGCTCGTGCTATTACACAGGTGCTGTCACAGCGCTGCTGCAACAGTGCTGAGGCATGCTATTACAGTGGTGCTGTCACAACACTTTTATAGCAGTGCTCAGGCGCTCTGTTACAGTGGTGCTGTAACAAGCTGGGAGGTTGTGTTACTGGGTTACTTGTGCTAGGGATATTTTGCAACAAGGAAGCAGGTGAATTCAGCAGATGATCACTGGGGGCTAAGACTCAATAAGGAAGCTTTTATAGTGGCTCACTGGTGCTGCTTATCGCCATGACGCCCTTGCAAAGGGCCCTGCTGCAGAGAGAATGACCGGCAGACATGACGAGAGTTGCTGGCCAAGTATTGAAGAGTGATGCTGAAAGGGTATTTAAGGGGAACTGACGCACCAAGCTGATCTAGCCACATAGGTCTGGGAGCTGTGGGACTCTTCTCCCAAAACTTGCAATCACTTGTGCTGGCTAAGTGTTTGGGCTGCCCGCAGGGCGGAGTGGGCTGCCCGGCGCTGCCGTTCGGGTTCTGCCCTCGGCTGTGGGACGAGCGCCATGTACCGGGGGCCGAAGAGGACGACGCTGCCATCTACAGCGAAGCACTCGCGCGCCGCCGTCACTGGCCTCTCTGGCTCATCATCGTGCGTTCCTCCTGTGCCTTGAATGACTTGTTGTTCTGCCTCTTGTTATTACACGCTTGTTCCAGCCCGCAGGGCTAATGCATCGCAGCAACGTCTCAAGGATTCCCTGCCAGCCTTCACTGCCCTTCAGTCGGCCCAAACTGTAGTGCATTGGCATTTCACCTTAATTTGCGGTACTGAGATGGAATCTTGTAGAGCTGCTAATAATCAAATGGCAGCAGTAGGCCTGACAGATTTGTGCACACAGCTCTTTGCATGCACTCGCGCCAGAGTTTTGAGACGAGCACATCAGACCGTATCCTTGTATGGGTGGAATGACCTTAACAAGCTAAATTCATGCGCAGGGTGCGGTGCTGGCGGGCCTGTCGGCGGCGGGCAGCGGGCAGCAGAGCGTGCGCAGCGTGCGCAGCGTGGCCGGCCAGGCCGCGTTTGCCGGCGTCAGCGGAGCCTGCGTCGGCGCGTACCTCATGTGGGAGTTCTTCCCGGGGGAGCCCCCGCTGCAGGTTTAATTTTCTTCCTCTTTTTCTTTCTTTTTTTGGGTTTTATTATTTGTATTGCCACGGCAGGACAGATGTCTTAGGGTGCAAGACTGTGAGATATCCCTGCGGCTGCCCAGGCAGGGCGCGGAATTGCTGCTGGAATTGATAGCTAGCGTGTTGTTCGCATGCCTTTTGCTTGGAATCGGGGAGTGCAAGTCACATCTTGGTAGCTTGGATGTTATTTGGTTTTCCCAGCTATGTTTTGTCCAGTAAATCGTTGCTACAATAAGACGTGAAAAGCCATTTGGGGAGGCTCTTCCTGACCAGAATCAAGGATCACAAGTCAAGAACAAGGATCAAGGATGTCAAGATCAACACTATAGCTGGAGTGTATTTCAGGTGCTGGTATTTGCGGCCACGATGCTAGCGGCGGCATTTCTGGCGCTTCTGCAGCGGCCGGTGGCGGCACCGCCGGCGCTGCTGCCATGGATCGCCTCAGCATGGGCGCTCCTGCTGCCCCTCGCCAGCTTCCTGCAGGTTCCACTCTGCCCACCTCTTGTCCTCCAAAAGTCAAAGGGGCTGATTGCCCCTCAGACAGAGCCAGGCCTGTCTTCGCATACCTGATTTGCACCATATGATAAAGTGCCCCACCCAGAGGTCAGGCTGGCCTCAGGGTCCAGCTTCCTGCAGGTTCCCCTCTACGCACGCCCTCTTGCCATAATTGATGCAATGGCGCTGGAGCTGCATTGTCACATGAACCGAATTTTGTGCAAGTGACTCGTTGGTTGGGGTTTGATTGTCATCATGGTTGACTGTGTTTGTGCCCAGGGATTTACCTTGTACTTTGCTTCAGCGCGTGGACTCCGGAGTCTGCATAGTGTGAATTTGGGTTTCATGGGGGATGGAATAGCCCTACAGGAGGGAAATTCTAGAATTTTCATCAACATCAACACAAACTTGGGGTGGATTGCAGGGTTCGCTGCCGCTGCCGCCGCTGCCGAGCGATGCGCTGCGTCTGCACAGCGATCCCTCCGCGCAGCTCGACCTCGAACGCTCCGCCAACCAGCGGTGCGCTGCCGTAACACTGCTCACATGCATCTGTCAAAAAATTACAGTGTATAGAATTCCAAGACTTCTGCAGCATTGAGTGCTGGGGGATACAAACTACAACAATAATTCTTGGTGAGAAATTGCCGAATTCAGCGCAGAGAGGAGGCTTTCTTTACTGTTGCAGCCATGACTAATTAGAGTGCTGGAAGCGCAGCAGGCAGTCCACTACCCATTCTTCATTTTAATCTAGGGGTGACAAGAAATATAGATCTAGGAGGACGTGGCGTCCATTTGCGAGGCAGCCCTTTCTCTTGTCTTCTGGCGCTCGCGCTGCCTTGATGCCTGCATTCCACTGTTTTCATCTACATCTTGTCCTGTCTACTCGTGTCCAAATCTGATCATGCGGCTGTTCTGCAGCATATAATCCGATCCTTTGCCCAATTGTAACACAGCGTGGAGCCTAATTTTGCGTGTCATAGCTGTAGCAAGTGAGGTGCTGGGGGCTAGGCAGACAGCCCGCTTCCTGTGCCTTCCTTGATCCCAGTGCAACTCTGATCGCGCGGATAATTGATAGCCTGTATTCTGCATGCAGAGCGGCTCTGCTGGCAGTGTGGGCGGCGCAAGCTCTGCTGCTGGCGTTTGCACTGAAACTGAAAGTGTCGGCGGCGGCCGCTGACGTGGCGGCTGACGGGCCGGGAGCAACAAGGCTGGGATCCTTCCAGGTGCAGCCACCTCTGCTTATTATTATTATTATTATTATTATTATTATTATTATTATTATTATTATTATTATTATTATTATTATTATTATTATTATTATTATTATTATTATTATTATTATTATTATTATTATTATTATTATTATTATTATTATTATTATTATTATTACAGGGTCGGCGATCCCAAAGCCAGAGGCCTTAGGGCATACACGCAGGGCGTCTGCAGCCTATCATGATCATAGAGTTATTATGTGGGGATTTTAATTGGGGTTTCCCTAACCCCTATAAACACTAGTGTTATCGGCGATCATTGTTTGAAGAATTGCACCTGGTTTGTAGATGCTGTCAGCTGCGTGTATCTCGGTGCTTGCATGACAGACTTGTCTGGCATGGTCACAGAGTGAACAACAACTTGCATGACAGACTTGTCTGGCATGGTCACAGAGTGAACAACTACTTGTAGCCGGCAGGGTGGAAAAAAATCAGCAGAAGTAGAGCAGCTGAGGAATCCGGTTTCCTCTAGGATTTTCACAGTGAGGGTCTGCATTTTTGCCAAAACGGCTTTTCAAAGCATTGATTTGGTTGCGAGAATTTGAGGATGGAAGAGCTGTGGCCGCAGATGGGCAGCGCTGCGGCGGAGAGGGCGGCGGGCTTCCTTGGGGCGTGTCTGCCTGCTGGGGCGTTCCCTGCAGCGCCACAGATGAGGGGACCCGGGGGCGCGCTCCTCAACAGGCATGCCCATCTCTGATTTTCACTGTCTTGCATGTTTAGCCCCTTCTGGCAGAAGTGATGTCTGGAGAGTGGGGCACCTCTATCCTAAGCTCTGCATACACGGCACACAGTGCTGGTAGAGATGCAGGAGCTTGCATCCTCCGTGAACAGAACTCGTGGGCACACAGAAAGGGGGTAGAATATCCGTGGAGGTGGATCTTGGCTCAACGTGGAGCAAAGGACTTGCTGCAGAACAGCCTTAAAAAGGGCTGCAGCAATTTGGGCGCCCCAACTTGAGCCTGGATCAGCGACCACGAGGATGTTCCAACCTCTGTGTACACGATTCTTGCAGCAAGTAACTGTGCCAACAGTATTAACGTTGCCTGGAAATAGCTGTCTGCCTCTTTTCCAGGCTGGCCACAGAGGGATTGGCATGGGCACCAACCGCAGGCAATCTGGCGACCCTGCTCTGCCTCGCGCTCTGCTTGGCGCTCAACGCAGCCCTGACACAGGTGCGGCTCTATGCTGCATCTTAACTCACACCCGTACTGTACTGTCCATGCAAATCATTGCACATTGTGGAGTTTGAAGTTCTTCAGAGTACAAATGGTCGCTGAGGAAGCATTACATGATGGTGCTTAACACTCTACTTGTAGAGTTTCCTGCATGGCTTTCCTGTGGTCTGGTGCCAGCCTGTCTCAATTGCGACCTTTCCAAGAATCCGCAACTGACTAAGTTTGCATGCATGCAGGGAGCGGACGAGGCAATCTTTGTGCTGGCGCCGATTCTCCTGCCGCTGAACCAGGACCCTCTGCTTTTCCGGGGGCTGACAAACCGGCGGCGGTACTTTCCCCCGGTCCTCTGCGCGAGCGCGTACCTGTCGATAGGAGCCGTCACAACAGCGCTAGCAAAGCACAGCGCGTTTACAGAGCGGTCGCCGTTTGTGGTGGACGACGCGCAGTTTGGGACTTGGTTCCTGGTCAAGAACCTCGGGCTGCTGGCTGCGACGCTGCCAAATCATGTGTTCTTCCTGCAGGTGAGAAATGGCTTGCTTTTTATTTAATTGTCAAGCATTGGGAGTTCTGAAGGCCCTACTTTGCAGCATCAGCCGGTGTTTGCATGCTCAGCTCAAGTGAAGAAGCCTCGTCAGATTGCTGCCATTCTTGCAGGCCAGACTGTATCCACTGTGTTCCTCAAGGAGCTAAGCAGCTCTTGCACCACCAAATTGCAGCTTTCCCATTCATGCATTTCGTAGAATTCAGAAGGGAGCGGCACTGTAGCAGTAGTCAGCATCCGTCTCACTCACGTGCACATAAAGTTTCACTGAGGTTGTCTCCTTTTCTGCGCAGTACATGTGGAGCCGCACAGGGGCGTCCCCTTTTGCACTGGTGGCGCTCTCCCCTCTTGCGGCGCTGGCGGCTCTCGCTACCGACATCGGCGCGGTGCGGCTGCTTGCCGGTGGCGCCATTGCGGCTGCGGCCGTCCAGTTCGGCCTCATGCGCACCGTGCGGAGGCAGGGCATGAAGCTAATCTGAGGGTCCTTGACTCATCTGCGCGGCAGTTTGAGGGCGTTTCTTGGCTGGGAACAAAGGCATGAAGCTCATCTGAGCGGTAATTAAGCGGCTATTTGAGGGCGTCTTTCCCAAGAGGACAAGGGAAGAGGCGCTGTCACGGCAATCCTGGGTGGTGCAAAGGGTGCACAGCGGCGGCGGGGCACGAAGCTCATCTCATGTTGGGATCCCTCATCTGGGATGCTGATTGAGAGCAAGGCTTGGCAGCAATAACACGGCGTGTCAGGTTCCTTGCTGCTGCCATTTGAGCGCATGTATTGGTGGAGCAACTGGTGCACAGCAGCGGCAGGGCATGTAGCTCATGTGAGTAGGTTTGGTTTTTCAAGTCTAGGCCGTTGATTCCCTGTTGTTGGTCCGGTGTCTGCGGATTGAGGGCATACACCCATCTGTTCTCAAACTTTAGTGGCGCCTTCTAGCCTGAGATGAACAATGGCACTCTTCCTCTTAGGATTTAGGGGAAGAGATCTGCAGAACGTGGAGCAGAAGCAAGCGACATAGAGGAGAGGAGTGTGCTTTGCAAGTGAACAATGTGTAGCAGTGCTACAATAAATCCCCAGCTTTTAGTGCTCGTCTGTCCTGCGGTGATATTATACTGAGCTGATGCAGTGATAGTGATAAAGCATGATGTCTTCCCATACTTGATGTCTTCCCATGTTTCCAGCGTGGCTGTCAGGCACCCCACTTACAATTGTGCAGCTATTATATATATATTCCTGTGCTTGCGGCAGATCAAAGGATAATTCCATGGTGCACGTGCTTCTCAAAGCTTATGACATAAACCATCTCGATCAAGTTGGCAGAGACAAACTCCCCCCCTTCAGACTCAGCCCCTTCAGAGCTAACAACTCTGCTCAAATCCCCTAAAAACTCACCATAACTATAATAGAACAACAAGCACAGCCCCAATATTTGCTGACCAAGTCGTCCAGGTTGAAGCTTGTCGAACTCATGCGCACTGGGCGCTTAACAAAACAAAGTGCCCAATGTGCATGTTAGCAAGCTGCTACCAAATATTAAGCACGGTATGCCACGAAATATGCAGCGCAAGAGACCAAGTGTAGTCAAAGCACCTTGACCACATGCGAAATTTGCAAATCCATTAAAGTTACCATCCCAAATGCAAACTCAATACAACTCACAAGGGAAAAAAAGTGAGGCTGCCTGGCACGTATTGCTAGGCAGAACCACAGCAAAAGGAGCCCAAGACCACATTTCTTTCACTCCGACCTTCTGCACCGGGAAGCTCTCCACCAGAATTTAATGTCAAAAGCAGGACATTCAAAAAGACAGTACAGTGTGGCACAGTTGTATCAATTGCATCAACTTTGCCCATAACAGGGCAAACGTAAAAAGCTAATATTAATGTACTGCAATATGCTGCTCTGGGAGCTTGAAAACCTCTTGGCATCTGCCAAAGGGTCGGATGCTGGGCACCACCAGCTAGAACCAGACTCAGACAGTTTCGGTGCCGAGTCTTGGCCAGACAGATGGATCAAAGCGACAGCAGAACAATTCTGTGAACATGAAGCCCTCACTGTGTGAGTAGGATCTGATCAGGGGCTGGATGTCCTTTACTGCAAGCCTCCTGATAGCCCATCGAAGTGGAGGCATCACGTCACTAAAGTTGATCAGGTCGACCTGGATGAAGTGTTCCATGTAGTTGAGGTGCCACAGCAGGGCCTCGAAGCAATCCTTCACAAAGACCACTTCGTCGGTTGTTAACTTGCCGTGACGTGGGCTCAAGGCATCAATCACCTGTAGCAGCACGCAACGGTGTCGAAACACAGTTGTGCCTGTTAAAACCACTGCCGAGGGTGTTGGGTTTGATTCATAAAGCAGAAGCATGAAGCAGCGCATGGCATCTGAAAAGTGTGAACTTCTGTCTGTTCAGCCAAGCTGCCCACTGCAAATGTGCGTCAAGAACGTCTTAAGTTCTCAGTCTCACCGTCTGCCGGTCGATGAGTTCCTTTTTTCCAGGAGATATCTCAAATTGTTCCCCTTCATGCCAGGTCAATATCTTTAGGGCAGCGCAGCACGTAGGATTATCGAACATCTCGTCAATGAGAGTCTTGGCCTTTTCCGCCTGTGTCCATCTGTGCTCTTTCCTGCGTTGTGCCCTGGTCTGGGCGTATTGTCGCAACCCAAAGATCACGCCGTACAGAGCAGCAATGACGGTGACCAACTTGGACGTTACATCCAGGAGGTCCTGAATGTGTTCATCCATGGACCTGTAGATACAACCAACTTTGTCAGGAGATTAGGGATAGCTTTGATAGATGACTTGCGCATCTCCTGCACAGTGTACGACGGCAAGGCGATCATACCTCTGCTAGTCTTCTCGGCCCGGACGTGGACCCCTTTTTAGGGATCCAGGCGACCTCTTGCGATCAGAACTTTTGTTGGAGGGAATCCTAATGCGCAGCCTCCATCGAGCCGCTCGTGGGTTGTTCTTCTGATGTGGCACCTGCGAGCACGGGTGCGCATCACGTGGGCGAGGGAAGCAGGGGTAATTACCATACTAACTAGTTCCCCTAGAGGGAAGGGCATGCTGAAATTTCTCCTCTTTGAAGCCTTCAAGTCGAAGGTTAGATCTGGCTTTGTTATCGTTGTCTCCGATTGCGTGCCTTGCCTAAAGAGGCCACCTTGGCAGATTTGAATTGGATCCTTCATGCCTCTAGAGATCTCTCTCTTGCTCGATGGAAGCTCAATCTCATTCACGTGCCAATCGACTCTCTTTGGCACTGCCTTGCAAATTGTCACCTGTCAACCAGTGAGCCCCTTGGTTGCGCATCATCAAGAAAGGCCAATATGCATGCATGATCAGGCACCAAACTTTTGGGCCTGGGAACGTTTATACTCATGTCCCTGCAAGCCCGCCAGTCCTTCAAGAAAAATATGGCCCAAATTCTGTTCTTGCAAGCTACATACTCTGATGGGAATCAGACGAAGCACGACTATCTGCAGCAGTGTGCAATTTGCATCCCGGTAAGAACATTAATAAATGTCATGCACATGTTGAGCATTTGCCGCCCACAAACCCAGGAAATTTCACACCCAGATCTGGGTCTAGAAAATCGTATATCGGTGGCCATGCTTTATCTGTCTTGAGAGCAACATGCAGCAGTCATCCTGCCAGACTGCCTGGAACATAACAATCTCCGCAGTAAGCCCATCTCTTGCCCCCTTGCCAACCTTCCTTCAGACATCCTATAAGGCAGCGTATTCTCATGACCTGGACTCAGTACTGTTGCCTTTCAGTTGCCGGCGGCCAGGCCCCTGAGCATGTCAAAGGCAGGGAATGCAGATTTGAGCTGCTCCTGGAAAGTCTTCAGCTGCACCAAATCTCCCCACTCCCCGCCAGCCATCGCCTTGCGCAGCTCGCTGGTGTCCTTGTTTTTGCCATACACGGCCTGCAAAATACAGCAGAGAAGTCATTGATTTGCATTGCTCTGTGTGAAATCAGAGACAGGATCTATTGGGTGTGCAGCTTGGCACTGCAGGCATTCGCGCAACATTAGAGCATCAGACAGTCGATCTCTGTGGTGGGCATGTCTTCCCCCTGCTATTACTACAGTGCGGCTGCGAGATTCTAGATCTCCTAGATCTCAGATGTTCAGAATGGGCTTCTGTGAGGAATGACTTGTATCCAATCAGCAGCGCAAGGGACAAAGATTGTCGGGTTGCATGCTATTGCCAATAAGAGCTTGTTCAGCAGTGGTGAGCTGACACAGGCTGTAGAGCAGTAAATGTTTTTGCTGGCGTTGCACGCTTGCACTGGAGGCTTTTGTTGAGGTGGGTTCGTGCTCTGCGCGTGAATTTCTCTCTATATCGTCCATTACCTTGAGGCCGGCAATGTAGAGGGCGACGGATGACTCATAGATGCCGCCGCGGTTGCCGGTGCGCCAGCGCAGCAGAGCGTGCACAGCGTCCGCGCGCTCGAATGAGTCACCGTCAGTCACCGCCGCGAGCAGAGCTAGCACCAGGCCCACGTCCGTCTCCCTGCATACCATAATTGAATTTGAAGTCGTGAATTTGAACTCGAGTATTTTATGTTTGATCCCAACCAGATCATCTGGGAGGTGCTTCAACCAGTGATTGCCCAGTCATGGTAACTTGGTGCTTCCCGTACGATTTCCTTGGAGGTATTTTGCAATCCTGCCTGGAAATATCGGGGTCACGCATCTTACCAAAGCTAACCCCTGGTCTGGAGTCAAGGGATTGCTGTCTTCCAGCAGGGGACGCAAACATGTGGTACCTGGCATTCAGCTGAGCTTATATGCAAGACACCAAATTGACAGGATGCAAAAGGCTAGGGCAAAATTCCTTACTGCGTGTCCATGTGCACCTATTCATAGCACTGCTGCCCACCTGCATGAGGCGGTGGGGTCGAGGGGTTTGATGAAGTCGTGCAGCACGATTCGCATCAGGTGCTGGAAACGAGGCATCGCCGTCTCAGACAGCACCCGCCGCAGCACAGCTTCGGCCACCGCCGCCGTCTGGATTGTCGCCTGCCCCCGTCCATATTCGAATTTCAATTTGGGTTTCTCTGGCCTGTAGTACCCAGATGACCTCTAGGTTTGGTCACCTATAATAGCATACATAGCAGGTGCGTGCAAGTGGCAATCATGGCTTTGGCAAAGGGGCACCTCAGTATTTTGGATATGTATTTTTGCTGGTCAAAGTGGGCTGACACTTGCCACCTGACCATTGGCAGGCATGCTAGAAAAAGCATTGCGCGTTGTTTTGAGTTGCGTTGACTGGGGATGTTTTGACGAAGGACTTTGCAGCAATGGAGGGATGAGCGCACCTGAGTGGATGAACCAGCGGCGGCTGGGCTAGGGCAGGCAGATGCCAGGAAGCCTTCCTCGGTGACCTGCATGAACAAAAAAAAGAAAGTAAGAAATGTGAAATTATGATCCAGTATGCATATGACAAACATGGTGCCCGTCACATGCAAGCACCTGCACCGTGCAACCAGCTTCGCACTGCCACATGCCAAGTATGAAAAGGACAGGCAAGATAGCAGAATTGGCATCTACTCAAAGCAGGCACGCTGGATGATCTAATTGACTCAACGCTACAATTGTCAATCCCCTGACTGGTCAGCACCCTGCAGTCAGGGCATAGCTTACTCCAATGTCCTCAAATGACTGTGATGCCCCTTTAATTAAGCCAGGCTTGCCTTGTGCACATACCTGCTGCAATGAGTCACCCCACCTAGAGGCCATGTGATTCCTAAAGACCAGAGAATTACAAAGTCAATGCAGCAAGACCATTCCATGCTACTTTTGAGCATGCTGCTCAAGGGGCAGACACCAAAGAGCAGAGACTGGCAAAACAGGTGGAAGAGTAGAAGCTTCCCTCAATGGGTAAGCCCACCTAGAGGTCATCTGAAGGGTCGGAGAATTACAGGATTTTAAGGTATTTATTAATTCCCCACCTGGGCCTCTAGGCGGTAGGGGTGGATGGCAGCGATGGGCCCCAGCTGCTTGAGAAGTCCCTCGTCGATTGACGCCTGCAGTGACTCAGCGCTGTTGGCCGCAGCGGCTGGCGATGGCCGCCGCAGCAGCCCCGACAGCCCCCGCTTGGGCATCTCCGGCCAGCCCTTCTGCGCACGCAGCACTGATTGCTTTAGAAGATATTGAGCACACAGGGTGACTTTTTGCGCCCCCTTCTTATGTAGACTGGGGTTACTGGCAAGCGTTTGTTGTGCAGCCCTGTGGCGAATGCAATCCTGTGTCGTGTATGAAAAGACTGCAGGGGCCGTCCTCTGCCATAAGAAAGCTGAGGAGCATGTCATACACCAGAGCATGCACAACAAGAAATCAAGCCGTCAGTCTCATCTCTTCAGAGTCTCCAGTCTTGTCGCAGCTCCCTCCGCGCCTTCCACTTAGCAATGTAACAACAAACCCCATTCACACTGTTGTCTTGTCACCAATGCCGTTGGCCGCCAAGCGCCAAGCAATGCAGTGCAGGACGCTTACTATAGATCAATAAAATCTTACATACCTTAGTTAGGCTGGGCTTGTCGGGCTTGGTGGCGACGGCGACTGTGGCGGTGTCAGTGATGATTTCCATAAGGGCAGTGAGCTCCGTGCGGTGAAGTCCCCTCCGCGCCATCGCCTTGAGCTTGTTGATCTCCGCCGTCACGCGTGCGTTGGAGCCTGCCCGCGCATGCCACCATGTTCATCACTCTTAGTCACCTGGCCAGGAGTCAATAATCCCTTTGGTGATTCTATGGCGTTGTTTTACATCCTTTCATGGTGGCCTGAAACAGCGCTGTGGGAGTCCGCAATTACTGCTAAAGTCTCACGGCAGATGCGCAGGGGGGTATATATCGTCAAGGACGGTCCCGCGCCGGAGGTTTTGATAGGGGGTTTAAGCATGCATGTACTCAGGCTCTTGCACGGCACTCCCGCCAACGAGGGGCGCACACAGGAGTCACTAGGAAGGAAGTGCATGCAACACCACATGGAGCATGCACAGGATGTAGCATGCAGACCCTGCAAAAATGGAGCGGCGCACAAGAGGTTTTGAAGGCGAACGATTAGCAAGCGTATAGTCAGCATGCAATTCCATGCAAGAACAGGGTCACTCATTCTAAGACTTAAAAGAGAAACAATAGGAGGGTACGCCGTCACACTGGGCATGCATACATTCCTCATCAACCCTTGCAAGGGAAGGGGCGCGCACGGGAGGCGGTGAAGAATTGCACCGTGCATGCGCACAGTCAGAGGTCATTACACAAAACCCCGCGAGAGAAAAGGGGCGCGCACCGGAGGCCTTGAACGACGCGCGCAGCGCCTTGTGCGCCTCGGAGTTGCGGCCAAGGCCGGCCAGCGCCACAGACAGGTTGAGAAGAGCGCGCCAGTGGCCGGGGGCCGCCGTGAGCACATTCTGGTAGCAGCGCTCGGCCGCCTCAAACTCGCCGCACTGCCGGAACACGTTGCCCAGGTTGAAGTGTGCCTGCGCAGGGGACCATCCAAGTTTGAATCTGAATTGTGGCGTCCTGGTGAGACCTGGGGTGACATTGAAGGGACCAAGGCAATGCAGAGTTGGGTTAAAGTGTGCCTGCATGCATTGGAGTACTTCTCGTCGGCAATGCAGAATTTAGCCCAATAAATTAAGACCTGTATCCTCCCTAGATTTGGAACCTTGGGAGGCTGCAGGCTTCATGCGTTCCAGGCAGAGACAGGATGATGGCAGCTATCGACTTGCATGCATTCCTACCGCACAATTGATCTACTGCACAACTGACTAATTCGTCTGCTGTTTCAACGGCGCCAGAGTGATGTCAACCTAGGTTCCCAGTACATCATGCCTCTAAGATGTTAGTGGGTCTCCCACCTCGATGCTGTGCTCTGGCTGCGATGCGATGGCCCTCTTGAATGCCACCTTGGCCTCCTCCGGACGCTGCAGCGCGCACAGAACGCACCCTGCCAGCAGACACACCAAACATGAAACATATCCTGCAGGAAGCAGGGAAGTACGGTGCAGTATAAAATCTCTCTGTACGCTGTCCTCTGCATGCAGATACTGTTGGCGCTGTCAATCGGAATTGGGTATCGCATGCGAAGCTTTCTTCATGCAATTACAATTCTACAAATGAACAGCTGACCCGGGTGTGCTAAGTGCTGCATGCCTGCCTGCCATCATGAAGGGCCTGTGCAGTCATCGATAATTTATGATAAATAACATATAATGAACTCACGCCCTTGCTTCATGTTAATTGCATGCAGCAAGCCTGCGTCTGTCCAGGTGGAAGACAGCCCTGGACATTTTAGTCGCCTTTGCCCCTAGTGGCAGGGCCAGCATAAGTACTGAGCACCATGCCCACGGTTGATTGGGTCCTGCTTGATCTGGCGAGTCCATCATATGTAGGAGTCTTCACGTGCAGCTTGTCTGCAGATGCACCCTGCCTGTAGCAGGAAGAGCGTGTCATATAATATCAATAACCCTAGGGAAAAGGGGCGCGCACCGAGGTCCGAGTTGGTGTCGGAGTAGTCGGGGTTGATGGCAAGGGAAGCGCGCAGAGCGCTCTCCGCTTCCTCTAAATCCCCCAGCGCATACAGGGCACTTCCCAGCAGCTTCAGCGCGCGGAAATGCTCCGGATTCAGCCGCACCGCCTCCCTGCAGATTCAAATTCAAATTTAAAAATTCAAAATCACTTCTCGAGATTAAATTTATATCGTCATGCCTCAGCAGTCTAAGGAACCCGACTACTGTTTTCACATTTGTTCTCGGCTCTTACTGGCAGGTGGTAAGGTACATGCACCGGGCGGTCAAATACACCGCTTTGGCGCCTCTCTGATCCCACAAGATTGCGGTGCCAGCAGCAAGACATTACGGTATATTCAATGTTAGAAGCTTCACTCATTGACCTCAAGGACAGAAATGTTAGCCATGCCACATGTAGCAGGGACATTGCTACTGTGCTGCAGCATGCATCATGCTTGGAAGTGCATGCCATGCATGCCAAGGACGGAGAATAGAAATTGGCACCAGCATGCCGGCATGTACACATAACAAGAATGCATCATGTTGGAGGGCAATGCCATGCATGCCAAGGACGGAGATAGAAATTGGCACCAGCATGCCGACCTGTACGAGTAATAAGAATGCATCATGTTGGCGGGCAATGCCATGCATGCCAAGGACGGAGGATAGAAATTGGCACCAGCATGCCGACCTGGACGAGTAGTAAGAATGCATCATGTTGGAGGGCAATGCCATGCATGCCAAGGACGGAGAATAGAGATTGGCACCAGCATGCTGACCTGTACGATTAATAAGAATGCATCATGTTGGAGGGCAATGCCATGCATGCCAAGGACGGAGATCAGAGACCAGTGACTGCAGAGTCAGGTTCATGCAGTGCGTGAGCAAGAAGAGACAATCACCTGTAAGCATCGCAGGCGGCAAGCAGGCGGCCGTCACCCTCGAGTGTGATGCCCAGGTTGACGTGGATCTTGGGCATCAGCCGCGCATCCTTTGGCATTGTCACCTCCTGCATGCAGAGAAATACATCATCATTCAGACCGCCCGGCAAAGCCTGCAACAAACCACACATTCATCTGAGTTTCAACGCGCACATCTACTTACAACTCCACGCAGAAGCCGCCTGATCATGGCCATTGCAACCTCCTGCATGCATTCAGCCACTGCCCATCACCGCACGCTGAATTCCAGTTACTAGGGTCCAGAAGGGGTTCAATATGAAAGCATCTCCGCCACGTGTACACCTAAACAGCCTTCCCTCCTTCAAAACAGAGGAAGCAGTTCATCACATTTGTCTGACGCTCTCTTGGATGCAAATTATCTGTCAACAGGGTGTCTGTGTCTGCCTGTGGCGGATAGCGTGGCCGGCTCTGCAAATTTTTGAAACAGTGCTGCTGCGTGGCGGTCCTCTAATGAACTGCTAGATCACACATGCCCGATCTCTCTCTTTCACCCTCTCTTTATACATTGCTGTCCCTTGGATGGATGTCTGCATGACTTAGGTATTTACTGGCCTCTTGGACAGGCAGATGCCAGTCACAAGAGCTTAATTGTATCACTCTTGTTGGTCTTCAATACTGATCAGCAAGAGGGAACGCGCCTGCATGGCGCGCAAGTAGGCCTGTTCTGCGTCCAGGAAGCGGCTGACGGCGAAGAGCGAGATGCCCAGGCGGAACCAGGCCTTGGCGTTGCTCGGCTGCTGACTCAGCGCCGCCTCATAGCAGGGGATCGCCTCGTCATGACGGCGCCTGCAGACATGGTTTCCGAGGTCAAGAAGGTGCAGCGATAGCTGATTCGCTTGCATGGCACAAGATGCTCTGACTACCAATGCTCGGATTCGCACCGGCTTCTGAACAGGTCAAGACAACACAAGGCACTTTGAGAGACACAAGGCACTTTTCACCAACTCTCCCCCCCCCCCCCCCCCCCTCCCCCGGAGAAGCGTGCATGCAGCTCTTAACCGCACACTGCAAGATTGGCTAGGAGAGTGGCTCTTGAAGAGAGCAGGAAGAGTCTTTTCAATAAACATTGAATGGCGTTGTATTGGTGGCAGACAAGGGTCACAGCTGCTGTCCGAACAGACAGGGATGCAACACCACATCAGCAGAAAGTTTCTCTGACCAGACGCACATGCCGAGGGTGAGAGAAGGATTGATTTCTGCTGGATGCAGATCAGAACAGCGCGAATATCTGGGGGATACTAAATACAACTGTTGTATTTAGGATCCCCCTGCAAAAAGTGAGACAGAGGTGGGTAATTAAACGCACATGGAAGCCAGAAGGCCGGCAGTGGCGATGTGGGCGGAGTAGGCCTCGTCAGCATCCAATGCATCTGCCCGCGCGCGCAGCTTTGCCAGCTGCTGATTGGTCCACTCTGCGTGCAAATAACATACTCATATAGTGCTTTGGCCCCGGCTGGCGGGGGGCCGGTACAGATACTGAGCACCGTGCCCACGGTTGATTGGGTCTTGCTTGGAATTGGCGAGTCTAACAAGGGGTAGGAATTTGGCAGCCTTTACATGCAGCTTGTCTGCAGACGCACCTTGCCATCGGCAGGGAAGCGTGTATAAATAATAATAATAATAAAGTACTCAAATCATGCTGATATGCCGAGATGCGACTGCTAATCCAGAAAGGGCTCTCTGGACTCTTCCTGGCTGCATAACATCTCTGCGGATTGGTTCTTTTTATGGTTATTTTTTAGGTTCACACCCCGCAGCAAAGCTCAGCAGCAGATCTCTCAAAGGCTGCCTACATCCTGCTAGAGCTACAATGGAATCAATCTATATCAAAGTGCAACTGCAGGATCAATTTTGCAGGACCTCAATCGCTTTGTGAGGCGGCAATGAGGTGAACCATTCTTTTTCTGGAGCAGACTGGGTAAGGAAGGCAATATTCAAAGCTTCCAGAAGTCCTGCACTGGCCCGTGCAGAGCAAAGCATCTCAACTTGAACTTTTCAGGCTATGACATGCATTTCATTCAGTGACCGAATGGCTGAGTGGTCCCTGAGACCGAGCCAGGACAGTCTTCAAGCATCCCTGCCTTGATTGTTATATTCCCAGACTGCCCCACATGGAGGTCATCTGAGGCCTTGGGGCCTCAGATGAATGAGGCCCCAAAACCTCATTCATCGAATTCAGCGAATTAAAAAAATACAACACGGAAAAAAGTTACCTGCGTCGCCGTTGAAGTTGATGATGCGCTGCACAGATTCAAGCACGAGCTGCAGGGTGTCGCTCTCGCCCTCGCGAAGCTGCAGCGCAGCTTCCGCCTCGACCCGCTCGGCAGCCGCCGCTGCGGCCGCCTCCGCCGCGCGCGCTGCCTGCCTGACACATATTAATCGTACCTTTTAGACCTTGAGTCCCGCAAGTGTCACTGGCTTCTGTTTGTTTATGTTATTGCCGGATCCCTTCAAGCTGTGTGCAGCTAAGAACAGTGCTGCGCTGTCAACCCCAAATATATACCAGAGCATGCTGCTTCAGATCAGGATTATTTGTTGTTTGCACTGCCATCTTGACCTCCTTTACACATATCACACATGCCCCCTGTTGATGCTGAAGTCATTCAGGCACAATGCAGCAGCCGAATGACAGATTTTGATTAGACGGTAGCGGCCTATGGTACCTTGGAGTGGCGGTGGGAAGAGCAGCGGCTGCGGAGCCCCCCGCCGTGGCAGGGAGGTCCGCAGCGGTGGCGGCCCGGGGGGTGCGCGGGGGGGTCCCGAGGCAGGAGAGCATGCCGTTGGGACCGGACAGCCGCGCCGACAGCGCATGCACCAGCGGCGGCTCCTGCTGCTGCTTTGTTGGGGACGCGGCGGAGTGCGCGGACGTGAAACTGTCGGCCGTGTGCATCTCCTCCTTTGCCTGCATGCAGCATGCCAACAGGTGTGAACTCTAGCAAGCGCTCTTGCAATGTCCTGGAGTACATGCAGGCAATGTGCTTGCATCTTTCATCCAAGAGGGCATGCCACATACAGCCAGGCGGCCTGATGCCCGAACTTGCCAGTCCTGCAGGCTTTGTTGCAGCCTACCGGTCGCTGCTTTGCCATATCAGAAGGTACCCAACTTTTATCAAAAGGCGCTGTGGTCGCTAGGAATGCAGTATGCCAAGGGTGAGCAGGAGGGAACGCCGCACGTCAACAAAGTTTTCCGCGTCGGAGGTGGTACGTTCCGGCTGAGGCCGGCGCGATTGATTTGGGTCCCATGCGTGGTTGAACCACTTTGAGAGCTCCTCCTGTCCCCTTGTGGGCGTGACCGCCTCCTGCGCCACGTGTGATTAACATCGTGCGGTTCCCAGTAAGGCAAACGCATCAGATTTTCTGATATGACAGTGACAAAACGGATCTCTGACCGTGACAGGACGTATTGAGACAAATCTATGAAGTGCCCAGAAGACCAATGAGCCTCAGGTGGCTCCCGACAGGCCTCAAGGAATCTATACCTACATGATTTCCAACTATCTTGTGATGAACCCAGTAAGGAAGCATGCTGCATCCGACTCTTTAGCAAAGGCTGGCCTCAATATGAATAGTCTGCAGTGCTGGCAGGAAAATTCCAGCAGCAACGAAACTGTCCTGAGAGGTTTTAACTCTGGTGGGTAATTCTGCAGGACACCAGCTAGCCAAGCTGCGGGCTGGCAAGACGGGCGACTTTGCAACACAACAGCAACTTGTGCTATGGGGATAAAGCCTCGAAGGAGGACCTGTTGGTTCTCCATGAAACGACACTGTGAGGTCTCACCAATGGGCTGCCTTCCTCCGGCTCCTGCTGGTCCACATACTTCACAGCAGGCACGTCCTCCTCCTGGAAACACATTGCATTTCTACGTAAGTACAGCATGCAACGGCTCACCAATCAAACATCTGACCGGCCAACAGGCCAATGCAAGTCTCATTAACATTCTCATCCCAAAAAAGTCTCGGCAAAGGCATCTCTGCATCAGCCTGCATGCTGACAGAAGGTTGAGCATCAGAAAAAAAACGCGAGCTTGGCTACTTGAAGCGGTGGAGAACACCGCAGCGGGGTAAATGCCTCTGGGGATGCTCTCAAAATTTCGAGGACAGTTCAACTGTCTGCTCCCTGTAATGTGGTTTGCCAGCAATCACTTGTCTTGTGTTCGTGGCTCTCCTGTCCCACACAAAGGCACGCAGAGAAGAAGTGGCAAGAAAAGGCGCACCTTGGCATCCTTGGCAGGAGCATCGGGAAGGAAGGTGTGCTCGGACAGAGACGGCCGCGGCGCGGCCGCGCCCTTACTGGCGGCTCCCGGTACGAAGCGGTGCGCCAGCTTAGTCAGCGACTTCCGCAGCGTCTTGGCGCCATTCGGCTTGCCGTCCGGCACGTACGAGTGCCCCTGCAAGTTTGCAAATAGCTTAGCTAATGATTTCAAGTATAAAATTGATGGTCAAGTAGACCCAGTGTATCGCCAAGCAAGGAATATATGGGGAATACGTTTGGCACCCTTCAGGCTATTCAGCAGCTATCCAAGACCCACATCTCCAATACATGTTCTCCATTCCCTCCAAACTCAAAGCCGCTAATCGTATTTCTCACGTTCAACCCTTTAAGCGAGACCTCCGCGTTCGCTGGTGCCATGAATGATGCACGCACCGCGGCGGCAGAAGCGCCGTTGGCGGTCGGGCCCCCCTCTGGCGCGGGGGGGACATACGCGTGCCCCCTCGGCTGCCCGGCGGTGGCCACCGCGGGGGGACCCCCGGAGGAGGGAACGTAGCCGTGCGCGGCGCCGCCGCGGGCCGCTCCGTCTCCGTCGAGGCTCTTGCGCGCGGCTTCCGGCGCGTAGGAGTGGTGCGATGGAGATGCGGTGATATGGATTCGGTGCGACTTGGGGCCCGGTGAAAGGCTGGCCGGCAGCGGGGAGCCCGGCTCTGCTGCCAGAGGGTACCTCTCCAGCGCCTGTGCGGAAGCGAGAGTTTCTAAGCAAGCGCCGGATGGAAGTGCAGTGGGCAGAGTAGCATGGACAGAGCTTTGAGCAGATCGAGGCACTGTGGACTGGGTCTGTTTGCCAGGATTGATTGATGTTCACTGGGCGCCATGCTCTTCGCTCGCAAGGAAGGCGTCTTGGGAGACTTGAAACAAGGCAACGGCTTGAAGGGATACTCTAGGATTGAGACATGACAGCCCATCAGGCTACAGGAAAGGAGAGGGGTCTTAGTCACCTCTCTGGCAGCCTCGATGGCGGCCAGGGTCTCGGGCAGCGGCGGTACGGGGCCGTCGTCGTCGTACTCCGTAGGGATCACGGCCAGTGCCCGTTGCGCGTCCGTAACGGACTCCGCGGCCCCGGCCGGCTGCGCCGCATCCGGCAGCGGGTGGGAGTTCAGCGCGCGCTTCGCGTCGGCCACCGCATCCAGCGCTGCTGCACATGTGAGATCCAAAAAGGAAAATAAAAAGGGGTCTCAAAAAGGGAGCATGGTGGTAAAAGTTTATGTAGGAACGCATGCAAAGATCAAAAGGGGCAGCAAATAACAGGGAAACAGTGAGTGGTGGAGGGAGTGCAATCCTGCTGCTTGGGAACCCACAAAAACTAACAAAACATGTGTTGAGGATAATTAAGCTAACGGCTATCAGACCGGATGTGCAGCACGTTTCCAAAATGTACTTCCACAGGGACCCCACATCCGAGAGCCAAATTGGATGGCCCATGCCGGCGAAATTGCAAGAGCAGGATTTGGGTGTACCGGCCATGGCGGCTGTGCCGTCGATGTCGGCCGATGCACCGGCGCCGCGGCCGAGCGCGCGTTTGGCGGCCGTGACGGCGCGGATGGCCGCCTCGTGCTTGACCTGCTTGTAGCTCGCCAGCTCGCGCTTCGCAGTGGCTATCGACTCCTCCGCCGTCTTTGTTTGCGCCTATTCCCACAGCAATTGTTACTTGTGAAGTTCCTGAAGCATCTGTCATATACAGCTCAGTCACTGCAGTACCTGGCTCGTTTGAGCAAGTAAGTTGCTCGTCTACGTGGCAGGGACTGATGAGCCATGTGACATTGCCAAGTCCATAAGCGCAGCTATGCACTCGCTGTGCCGATGCATCAAGATCCTGCTGTCCTTCAGCATGCTGCCAGACTCTCTCGCAAGGCCTATTCTCCAAGAACAGATGGCTCCACGTAAGGGTGCGGCGGCTGACTCTGTTCTTGAAACGTGTGAATGTATGTTGAGGAAACTGCATGCCTGTCCGATGTGCGCATTGCTGATGTCCACGGTTGCGCGGCGGACTTCAATCTGGGAAGACGTCTCGGCATGCGCCTTGATGGTCCATGCATCCTCGGCCGCGCCTGCAGCTGCCCCCAGCGCCAGCTTTGGCACTGTCACTTTCTCCCGCCCTGCACCATCCAGTTGCTTGATGATGTCATCTGTACCCTTCAGAATGGTGATGGCCTCTTTCCCAAGATCCTTGCTCAACACATACAGGATGGTATCTGAACTGCAAGTGCAGCACAGCACAGGAAGAGAACTTGCTTGCCATGGTCAGTACTTCATACAGCCGCCACAGGCTTCACTCGTTCCCCTTCAATCAGAAGTCAGCCAGGCAGAACTTCATCTTCTGTGCACCCACAAGGAAAGACAAAAAAAACCCAAAGTGCACCCACCTGCGCCCTTGGCAGCTTGTGCCTGCTTCATGTCAGCCGATAGGATGTCAACAGCGCCTTCTGCAGTGTGGTGCTCTGGGGAAGCCTGCTTCGGCTCTGCTGCCGGCGCAGCAGCTATGGTGGGCTTGAGGGCAGCTGCCCACTTGCCCAGCTTGCCTGCCCATGACTCCCGGACGCTCGGCTCTGCCTCGGCAGTATCCGACTCATTCACATCGATATTCTCCTTCTGAGGGACAACCTCATGCGGCTGGGTTGCTGCATCTGCTGTTGCTGCCCCTGATGACTCATCCAGCTCTGCTAATGTATGCAGCACCTGCAGGATTCACAGCAATTCTTCAGACAGTCTTTGAGCTCACAAGTCACTCAATGGATATGGACTTGAAGCGTTTCTGCCTTGAAGCAGCGACACTTGAAGAACCTTCATACCCCCAAAAAGTATATACTTCTTAGCTGGCGTGTTGAGGGCCAGAGAAGAAGAGACATCAGGCTTCCATTAGATTTGCTGAGAAAGGGAAGGCAGCAGCGTTGCCTGTTCGGGCTTCAGAGGGCTGGTGGCCGAGAAACCCAGTGCCTCATAGTCATCGTTCACATTGCCGTTGCCCGACTCGTACATTGCACGCAGCCCATCCTCTGTGAGACCTGCCTTCACCACATGCTGTGCATATTCCAAACACACCTGCAGCAGCACCACAGAGATACCAAGAACAATTTGAATTTGTTGCACCTCAACCCACTTGCAGGAGGGATCCAGTTTGCACAAGAGGCACATTGGCACAGAGTGGATGGGACCAGAATGATGGTGCGGATTACTAGTTGGACTTGATTGTGTGTGAGGAGGTTTGGTATTCGACGTGTTTGCGATGTCAATGGATCTGCTTGAAGGTCATTCAGAAGCAGGGTCACACCTCATCAGCGATGGCCGTGAGCTGCACAGGTGTGAATTTGACTGTGGGATTCACCCTCGCTACAAATGTCAGCAGCTCAGCCTGCATTTATTTTGGCACACTCAGCAAACCTTGATTGATGGCATTGACGAGCGAACACTTCAAGTCTTACGGGCCTTCGCAGCATACCCTGGCTTTGCATCTTGCAGTACACAGCACTTTCATACTGACGCAAGATAGAGGCTGTCAACGATCTATGTTTACCCAGGCGCACAAAACCCCTATGATGCTTGTCCAATGTTTGCATGCCCAAATTTAAAATCCCAATAATACTCTACCTTGCTGAGGCCTCCATCGCAGTTGGCGTCGAAAGCCTTGAAGATCCGCGCAACCTTTGCAGATTGCACTTCTGCCTCATTCATGTCCGTTTGCTGGCCTCTTTCCTGATTTGTACTCTAAAGCTGCCTCAGCTTCTGTCTGAAGACAAGCCCCCACCCTATGACCAATCTGCAAGCTGAGGCCTCAAGTGTGGGATGTCCATCAAAACAATCAATCCTCAATCAACTCCAGGAACTGCCTCAGGGAATAAATCTGAAAATGCTGCCGCTCCGGTGGCAACACCCATCATCTGTTGCTGGAAGTTTGAACTGATCCAGCTTGGCAAACGGGCGTAGCCATCGGTTCGCCTGAAGAGGCTGCTTTATCGGCTCCGCCTCTTCATGAACGCTGGACGTCCAAACCTGCACTCGGCTGTCGTCCTGAAATCAACTTGTATTAAGCATATGCTGCAGGTTTTACAGACTGGAATTCTTCTATCTCTTTACGGCGCCAAACACTCATCCGCGCAGCCATGCGGGACTACAAGATGCTGGAGAAGATCGGGGAGGGCACGTACGGGCAGGTGTACAAGGCGATAAACAGGGAAGGGAGGGTTGTGGCAATAAAGAAGACTCGACTTGATGTATGTTCTATCCGTCCCATTAAGTGATGATCCCTGGCAAGATACATGAGCTAGCTCAAGGGACATCTTGAGTACTGGTTTAATGTGCAGCTGGAGCAAGGAGGCGTTCCTTCCACAACTCTGCGTGAAGTCTCCGTGCTACAGTCACTCAATGAAAGCATCCACATCGTGAGGTGCGAGAAAGTCTGTATTATCTCACTTTCCAAACCCAGCAACTTCGCCATGCACAGAAAAACTTCCATATGCTGCTTCAAGGAAAACGTGCCACCATTCTGCATTGGTTTGACTGCCGTGCAGGCTTTTGGACGTGGAGCACACCAGAGAACAGGAGAGATCCGTGCTGTTCATGGTGATCCCTTGGCTACTGGTTTACTGTTTAGCAGCGATGCCAGGCCAGCCCCAAGCACTCAGCAGACCAACGGCAGGTTCCCTCGGTGGTGCAAGCGTTCGAATATCTCCCCATGGACCTCAAGAAATTCCTGGAAGACCAATGGAAACACGAGTTGTTGCCACTGGAACTCGTGAAGGTGAACCCCTCCTATTCTTCCATCCTGGACCTACAGGAGATCCCCTGCACTTTTAACAATCCATCAATTGATCTGAGTTCGTTCAGGCACACCCTTGCAGACCATCAATTGTCATGTGATTCAGCATGCCTGTAAGTTACAAGGCATGCATGACGCAACGCTCTTCTGTGCAGATTGAGTAAAATATGTGTCCTGAAAGAATATAGACATGTGTAATCTCTGGATTGAGATGTGCTGATCTTACCGTGGGCAGATGAGATGTTGTCACATTTGTCGCAATGCATGACTTTGAGAATATGATGAGGATGCAGGCGAATGAATGCATGCATGCATGGGATGCATGCAGGTGCTGATGTACCAGCTGCTTAAGGGCGTTGCCTACCTCCACGGCCGAGGCATGATGCACAGAGACCTGAAGCCCAGCAACCTGCTCATCAATGACTCAAACCCGGACGTCCCCTGCCTCAAGATTGCCGACCTGGGCCTCGCGCGAGTCTTCCACATCCCCATCAGACCATACACACACGAGGTAGCCATGCCTGTGATGGTTCTCCTTTCCTGCATGCTGTCATCATCCTAACGCATGAGCAGGGTTGCACTCTTTACATGCAGCTGACTGCCGTAGAAAAGCAGACCAGTGGTCAGTCTGAGACCACTTGACCAAAGGCATGCATCCCTGTTGCGCTTTTTGTTGAATTGGATGGTGAACACTCCAAAGCAATTGGCACAAGAATGCTGTATTGGGGAGCACATCTGCTCTTGCTCCTATTTGCTGTGAGTCACAGCCTGTGATGGGCTGGCTGCTCAGCACATCAATAGAAAGAGCCTTAAAGGAGTAAGGCTGCGCATGCATGGCCCCTGCCAGCAGGAGGCGGTAAAGTTGCTGACCTCGGTGCCCAGGGTTGACTGGGTCTTGCTTAAATCTGGCGAGCAAGGGGCGGGATACGCGGCAGCCTTATGCCGCAGCTTGTCTGCAGGACACACCTTACCTCTTTCCAGGAAAGCATGTGATAATAATTGCTGAAATTAGCACTGCATAGCCTCTGATCACATGTGTATTTGTTCGGCAGATCATGACACTGTGGTATTGGGCGCCAGAAGTGCTGCTGGGCACAACGCATTATGCGCTGCCCATAGACATGTGGAGCGTGGGCTGCATCTTCTCAGAGCTTCTCACTGGGGTGCGACCCCCTTTGCAGCTCTCACCTCATTAACTGGATTTGCCTTGTTTATTACTATTAATACACGCCTTTTTAATCCATGAGGATCAGGTGCCTCGCAGCAGCGTTTCTTTGACCGCCAGAGTGCCTTATTTACAAGTTACAGTCAAAATGGAACCCATGTTTGTCATGGTCATGATGATCATTGTCAGCATGCCTGCATGAGAATGTGCAGCATAAACAAACGTATGCCCACTACATGACTGCTCAGACTAGCGGCTTGTGCATTGCTGAGCCTGTCGCCTTGGGGTCCTTGTGAAACACCGGGGCACAAAAAAAACTCAGATCAAAGGGAGCGCAAAGAGTCAGGATGGGGATTCAATCTGTTGTTTTGGGCTGACTGAAAGCTGACCAAAGCTGGTGCTGGTGCGGTGCAGCAACCGCTGTTCGAATCAGATTGTGAGATCCAGCAGCTGATGTGCATCTTCCAGGTGCTCGGGACCCCCACAGAAGAGGTGCCCCCCTCTCCCCACTTCACCATGCCTGCCCGAAAATTCCAAGGACCACACCACAGACATGGCCCCGGATGTTACCTGACCTTGACTGCCTTGACATCTCAAGCTGTCGAGGATGGTTCAGAGTGGGCCAGGGAGACTTCTGTGCAGATGCTTCTCCATGCCGAACTGTTGCACTTTGGCAATGCGGAAGCAACTTCCAGAAAAGACTACTGTAATGGAGACTCACTGTAACTGGGATAACCTGGGATTCATGATGGGACCGACATGCTAATGATGGAGGAAGCATGCAGCAGTAGCAGTGACAGACATGACAGTATGGAGGGCTCCGGTATCCTTGGATCAGCCTTGTTGGGGGCAAGCTGCAAGTCGGCTGGAAGCAATGTGAGCACCTGACTGACAGACTGGCTCTTTGTGCAGACATGAGGTCAAGAGTTTGGAAGGGTTGATCTTTGACTTAGGGAGAGTTGAATTGACCATACTTGACAAAGCATGCAGCAGTACTGGTGATTTTATGATCAAGAAGTCATGTGGGGGTATGCATGCATGCGCAGGTGTGGAAGGGGGTGACTAAGCTGCAGGACTGGCACACCTTTCCCCAGTGGAAACCCAGGGATCTGGCCCGAGCGTATCCAGATCTGGGCTCCGACAGCGTTGACCTTCTTAGAGGAATGCTCCAGTACCAGCCCGCCCGGCGCATCTCGGTGCGCATCGATTTTGAAAACATCTTGCAAGCGTGCCAGCGTCCAGATTGTTGAGCCCTTGAGAATCCTAGAGCACCTAGGCAAAGTATATTGTATTGGGTTTGCAGGCTCTGTTCACAAATGATATCAAATTTTTGAATTAGGATTGCTTATCTCTGCACTTGGTATCACTGTCGCCGGAAGGCTTGACACATTTTGGTTCAATTGGTTCACAAAATGGTCATGTCAAGCAGTCAGTATCAGGCCTGCATCCTTGAGGCCGCAGCAGATTCTTGGAACAGACTTATTGATAGACCTACACAGACTGATTTGCTTGAATATCATAATGGCCAGCAAGGCAAAAGGATTGCTGAGTCATTCACATTGTGCATTGCTGTGGTCAGGCAAAGGAGGCCTTGAAGCACCCCTTCTTTGCAGAGCTGGACAAGGAGGGAATTGATGAGTACTTGGCTGTCCAATGCGCTTCAAATAATCCTTCATCAGCAGGACAAGGACAGGGAGAATGAATAGACCTGGTGTAATGGGTCGACGAGCATTGGCTTCTGCTTGGTATTTGAGTGACAGCGATCCTGCCCGCCTTTGCAATGTTTTCCAATTTCCCTGAGCACATCAGGAGTGTCGCTGACCGTTTGGCCAATTAGTGATCACTTGTTGTCACTGTGCGCCTGCTGGACGATGCTGAAATGGGATTTCCCGATCTGACAAACGCAATATCAATTCTCCGCAATATCAAATCTCCGCAATATTGTCTTTGCTCGCTAAGGCCTTCCGTTGACACGGAGTTTTAAGGCTGATGTTTGATGGCCAAGGCACAACAAGGGGCAGCCAGCTGGGGACATTGGATGCCCGAGCCTGTACTCATAAGCTGCTGTTCAGCTAGTCATTGCAATGGGCTGTGCAGATCATGCAGTGGTGAATGGTGACCATTGAGGTTTGGTTATGGGGAAGGACTGCCATCTGGGATGTATGCATGCTGGTTAGATGCATCATGCAATGATTGCGCTGCTCAGCGCCCATGACTTGCACACGCGCAAACGGCATGGGCATGTAACCAATGCAGCTTTATGGGAGTCATTGTGGTCTGATTATAGGTTGCATGTAAAACACATTACATGAAACAGGAAGGCGTATCTTGCATTTGCAGTACAGCCCGCCAAATTCAAGGTGATCACTAGCACCAACGGACCACCCGAGCAGACAGAGAAGTTTGTAAAACTTAAGTCTAGGACCGCATGCTCAAAGACTGACGACACCTCAAGGAAGTCTCTATTACATGTGCCTCGCCTAAAACTACAAAATAGCACCCTAATTCTCTGTCTACACTTTTTTACATATTTACAGCAAACTTACAAGGACAAGTACAAATCTTAGAACTGGAGAAGCTTCCACAGGAGAGTTTTGGTGATATCAAATGCTCCAGACATCACCATTATGACCACCAGCAGGAGCACTAGACCCCACCGTGTGTTTAGCTTCACACTGAGGAGGTCCTTGCTCAGTGCCTGGAGGTCCTTGCTCAGTGCCTGGAGGTCACCGTCGACCTTATCCAATTTTGTAACCTGAGACACATGCAAACACGCATAATTGTGAACACACACTCGAAGGAAGGCTTGCCTCACACCCATAAGCACTTTGCTAAAATTAGATCTCAATCAAACAAGACATTATGCACTCACCAGGAGGTTCTCCTGCTTTGATAATTTCGATCCTAGGGAGTCCTCCAGGGCCTCCATTTTTGCTCCCTGCGCACATTCCCACGCTCGCTTAAGACTGCCAAGGGTAAGCCAGGCTACAATACAAAGTTAAGGCGTGTCAATTGCGCTGGTCACACACCAGTACATCGGTCTTCTGTGTCAGGAGGCTCAGGCTTGGAGCCATTTCGCTGGTTGTCTCCTGCTTTGCCTGTGCAGTTCCAAGAGCTGTTAGTGCATCCAAATTCCTTGAGGGCTTCTTCATGACTTGTGAACAGGAAGATGCAAATCACAGTGACAGCGCACTTGTTTGCTTGCAGCTGTAGTCATCTCAGCGTGGACGCTGGCCTGCTCAGCGTCCACACCGACTTTCTGCAGCTGCCTCCTATGATCTGCAGCTGTATAGCTGCACGCTCGTGGTATTATAGAATCCCTGTCAACACAACAGTGGCAAGTAGAATTAATACGGACAGCAGAAAGTCTGCGTCACAGTTAGACCACAAAGCAGGAAAAACAAGCTGCTGACCTGCATCGGGGTGGCCGAGAAATTGGTGGGGCGCTATACGGAGGGACAGCCCTTCCACGCAGCATTGCTCCTTTGTGAGCGGTACAGCATGAAAAAATATAGGCATGCCTCAATAAACATTGCGAGCTGAGCTGAGCTCGCCGAGCTCCCAGGCCCCCTCCCCGATGTACCCCATTCCAATTGGGGTCAACGGGCAGGCCATGAGGATGCACTTACGGGCAGCTGCAGGAATAATTGATGTAGACCCATTTAAACCCCGCGCTCCCCCAGATTGAGTTTCGGTGTGTTGAGAAACTTATCAGCAAGCCGAGTGTGGGTAGCTTTGACTTTAGCACGTTTCCATCGTGAAGCGATTGCCCCCAGTTCGCCCAACCGGCAGTCATCACCTGCTCTTCTCTCTGGTTTCATATTCTTGTTCATATGTTTTACACTGTTTATGGTCGGCCTGGCTGCAAAATTGTGCCGCAGACCTGAGACTTGCCGCTCATTGGCTCAGGCTCAGCGCACAACCATATGTTCAGATTTTCTTTACTGTCATTCCAAACATCTTCTCGACGCTGATCCTTCGAGAGGAGTTCAGGTATTGTTCACCACCTCTGATATGCAGCAGGATGCTTTCATCGTCCTTCTCCCCGGTGATCTGTGCGGGTGAAGTCTTCTCTCCATAGTTGTGCGTCAAGGATGATCATACGTTCAGGGAGAAATAGCATAGTCAAGCATTGTTGTAGCAATGCAATCATTGTTTTTGCAGTGGTACATCAGCTTGTCTTCTCTTGGTTGCTCTCAAGTTGCTACACTGACCTGACTAACCTGCCCATTTCACAGGCGTTGGAAGAAAGGGTCGCATGATTCGTCGAGGAACACCACCCTGCCCATCCCCGCTCCGCAGCAGATGTCGAAAGACAGGCCTGTGCCTGCCTTCTGTTCGTCTGTGCCATAAGTTGCATGCAAATTGTGGTGGGCACAAATCCCACGGCTGGTGTTTGATTGCTGAGTTAGACACTAAACTTATTATTTATGTCCATACAGGTCATTGGGCACGGGATTGCATGGTCCCTTCCAGTACATGGCCAGTACTCGGAGCCTAGCAGCCCCCTCCAGCAAATCAAGCATCGCTGCAGCAGAGAAGCCGAGCAAAGGGATGAAGGCCCTCACAGGCGCCTTGCAAGCGACAGCGGGGTCAAGCCGAAAGGAACAGCAATGCAGGAGGCAGCCATTCCAGCAGCAAGCAGTCAGAGTCGGATGACGAGGGCAGCACCTCAGGCGATGCTTCAGGTATAAAAGACGCAGATGGTGGCTCACAAGGCACGAGTAACTCAGCTGGCTGCACGTTGCAGAGGAGGAGGGGCGGAAGTATACCACCAACATCGGCAAACGCTATAAGAAGTGGATGAACGTCTGCTTCAAAAGGGGCATGCATGATTTGGAAAGTTACCCCAAAGAGGAGTGGACTCGACAGACTGCCGGCAAGTTAACTGAACATCTCATCTGTTGCCATGCATGCACGAGGATGTGACCAGTAAGGACCACACTGATTGCGAGAGGTTAGGCAAGCATAATCAGCTCAGCTTCCAAGTCTGACACATCACTTTCACGTGCGCAAAATAATTTTGATCAGTCAGAAATGTATCTGGTAGGCAGACTTCAAGTATTCCTACGAGAAGGCTCGTTGCCTAGATTGAGCACATCCGCACACTTCTCCACGCTGCAGTTGAAAAGAGAAACTGACATCCGCCAACCTGGGCGCCGCCTAAAAGTCTCGTCTGCAACCACAGGCGCCAGCACCGGCTTCAAACTCCGAGCATAGGCGCCAGGATATAATGCCACAAGCTTGACGGCAATCTTATTTACGATGCAGCCACGGGCGCCAGCGCTGGCCGCACGGCGAACGCGCCCGGGTTGATGGTGACGGATTTGGTGGCGTTGTCGGTCTTATAGATGCCCACGAGGCGATCGGCCAGCTCGAACATGTTGTTGCGCAGGCTGATGATGACAAACTGCGCGTTCTTCGTGCGCTCCTTTATGTAGTGCGCCACGATGCTCACGTTCTTGAAATCTGCGCGCATGCACAGGGACGGTGTCAGATAGACGGTGTCAGATAGGTGCTGAGGATTGGTGTATTTCCTTGATTTCTGCCTTCAAAAGTCAGTCTTCAGCACTCAGCTATCAGACTAACCCAAGCCTGGAGGTACACACACAAGTGTGCAAAGCAAGGCTATTGCCGCAACTATCTTAGGCCAGCTAGCCCGGCTTCACAGGCTGGCCCCTTTGGTGTCAGGCAGGAACCTGCGAGCCTACCAGCATGCTTGTTGTCCAGGTGCCCACTGCCATGCAGCACAGAGGCTGCCACAGTCAAGAACAGAACACGGGGTCCAGAGCTAGTGGTACGTAAAGGTACGGTTGTGTCAAGAGTCCCCGGAGGGGTGCATGAAAGGGGCAGATTGCGCACCGAGCGCGGCGTCGATTTCGTCCATGACATAGAGCGGCGTGGGCTTGTAGTGGTGCAGCGCGAAGACAAGCGAGAGGCTGGAGAGTGTCTTCTCGCCGCCGCTCAGATTCGCGATGTTCTTCCAACTCTTCTTGGGTGGCCGCACGCTGAAGACAATGCCCTGCGCTCACAGTCATGGGTTACGCATTATTAAACTGTCATACGAATGCTTTCCACGGCTTGTATTCCGCTAGTGGCCCCTGGTCTGTTGGGATAGCAGTGCAGACCATGCAGTGCTTCGCTGGTGGCGTCTGCCTTTGCATATGTCCTAATCACGGCAGCCAATCTTGCACAAATGACTGCCTATCAAAACTCAGTGGACATTAAGGCGGCGCTCACACAGATTTCCTTGACATCTCAGAATGCTACCAATGCCAGGCCAGCGCTCTGCATGGAGACTTGTGGTGTCATGGAAATGGACACGTGGGGCATCCACACTGCACACACTTCATCAAGGCATACAAGCGGGCAAGAGAAGGGCAGGCCACCCACCTCAGAGAAGGGGTCAAGGGAGTCGACGAGCTCCAGCTCAGCGTCGCCGCCCAGTGTGATCATCTGGTACATCTCCTTGAGCTTGAGGCTGATCGCGTTGAAGCCCGCCATGAACTCGTCCAGCCGCCGCTTGCGCAGCGTCTCGTGCGCCTCCCGCACCTGCATGCATGCGATTTTCAGATTCAAAACCGTCATTTCCAGATCCAAATTTACAGGGGCATTTTACAGCATGCAAACCGGAGACATCTCAGCCAACATGCCCCACGGCAGCAAGCAGCAACTCACATCGGCAGCAAGCCCAAAATTTGTGCAGCATGGCGGTTCAGGCAAAGGGTTTTTCATGCGCCCCTGTGTCAGGTTAGGCAGACGGAATATAAAGAACTTTGTGTATGGGGGGTTTCCCCTGTTTCGGCAGCGGACAGAAATTGGGTGTTGGAGCCAGAATTGGCATCAGCGCCAAGGGAGCACTGAAACAGATTTGGTGAGGCAGCCGCATCAGGCAATGCGCCCCACAGAGGTCCCCTCAACCAAGCCTTTCCAGCCCATGAGCCTTGGGCCGCAAATTCCTACTGTCTGACAATATTCTGTCCACAGCAGCTGACCCGCACAATGCGCCGCTTGTGACGCGTGCGTGGCAGGACAGGCCACATGCATATTTTAAGTGCCTTGTTAGAGTTCCGGCTGGCGGGGGGCGATATAAATACTGAGCACCGTGCCCGCGGTTGACTGGGTCTTGCTTGAATCTGGCGAGTCCAACAAGGGGTAGGATTGTGGCAGCCTTCAACGCAACTTGTCTGCAGGACGCACCTTGCCTCTCGGCAGGAAAAGCGTGTAAGAATAAGAATAAGAGTTAGAGTTCTGATATGGTCCCCTGCATGTCAGTACTGAAGGGGCGCGCCTCGTTGCGCGCGGCGGTGGCGGCCTCGAGGTCCGCCAGGCGGGTGGTGTAGTCAGCGTCCTTGCGCTTCCACTCCTCGATCACCCCCAGGTCCGGCGCCATGCGGCCCAGCTCCTCCTCCAGCATCGTCACCCTGGGGCGCGCAGGGGTGAACGGTTCTACTCAAAGGGAGATGATTCAAATTTAAAAGGGCAGAAGAGGACTGTCAGAGCAGGAGTGTGCTGAAGGGATACTTCTGGTCGCAGGCATGCAGGCACGCCGGCTACTAAAAAATTAGTTGGCCACAGCACAGTAAGCAGAGGAAGTCAACAGCTAAATGTGCTTTGAAAATTGAAATTGCAAGTCATTCTCGGTTTTTCTCTGTCCAGATCGGCAGGGCGCATGTCTCAAGCCCAGGACAGTTCCCCGGCCAAGAGGGTCATTCAATAAACAGGCCTCCATGTTTGCTTGATTTTGCAGCGACTGATTGTCACCTGTACTCGAGCTCCTTGGGGTCCAGAGCATCCAGCTCCTCAGGCGTCAGCGGCGCAGGCGCCTCACCTGCTGAGCCGACAGTGAAACTGTCAGACACCATGTTACAACTATCATCCCTCTGAACCCTGGGGCTTAATTAGAACTGTGTGGGGCATTATAATACATGGGAAGGTGGGGCTGCCTGGGTCACCCTGGTTAGCTGCATTCTTCACATTGCTTGGGCACTCTTTTCATTGAGACACACCCTGCAGAAGCAACCCAAGCGCAAACAGAGATCCCATGCGCCGCAGCATGTGAAGTGCAGCTATCAACAGCCTTGCGCACCAGCTGGCTGTTCTGGACATCATCTGTGTTTGGAGGCTTCGTCTGAGGCCCTGATGCTTGGGGAAGAGGCATGCGGAATAAGTGAGGCATGCAGAGTAAGTGTGCCGGGAGATTGCCGGCTGGGTGTGGGCTTGTCAGAGCTCATAGTAAATCTACAGGCGCACACACTGAGCGCATCACGGCAGCAACTGGGAATGCACTCCTTAGAGCTGTGGCTATCAGCTGTGGCCGTTCTGAGCCTTTGCCAGCACTGTCTAAAGTCAGGGTTACAATGCGCGTTACTCAATAAGGAAGGGGCTGGGACGTGCCTTCGCCCTGTGCGAGCTTCTTGGTAGCTTCGGCGAGCTTGCGCGTCCACTGCTTCTGCATGCTCTTCTCGGCCGCCGCGCTGTCGCTCTGGTCCTTGATCGCGTTGGATATATTTACCTCCGCCACCTGTATGATGTTCACCTGCCCCCAGCGCATGCTTCAGTAGGTTATTGTTCCCTTAGTAATCAACATTCCCTTAGTAATCATCATCCTCTTTGATCTACCCCTACATTCTGCACCTGGATGACATCCCTATGTCATCCATGCGATGTCATGGGGAGTAACACTTGGTTGCATAGCATGGAAAATACCGCCCATGAGAGGAGGAGAGAATGCAAATGTGATTGAATAGCCAAGATTTGTGTGTCAGAAGGAGCTTCTGTCATGTTTTTTTGTTTTGCTGTGGGGACATGACACCAGGCAGCGCATGAGGACATACAGTGCGCAGATCAGTTGGTACTTCTCCTGTCAGAGGAAATTAAGAGAAGTGGGGGAGAGGGAGAGGGAGGGGTGGCCGCACCTCCTTCTGCTTGCGCTCAAACTCGCTGCGGATGGCCGCCAGAGACTCGGCCTTCTGTGCGAGGATGGCCTCTGTCGCCTTGGCCGCCTGGAGCACCTCCAATGCCTGATCATCCAGCTCCTGCACCGCATCACCACCCCATCAGAATTTGAATTTAAATTGGCCAAGTACTCAGCATCACAGCTCCTGATGTCTCAGTTCTCCTTCTGACCTCACTCACAGGTCAGAGAGATGTATGAACCTGGCAAATCTGCGCATGCCTGTGACCTTGGCAGGACGGTGGACAGACACTCTTCTGAGAGCAAAACAGCGGGGGGTGGGCATTTATTGTCCTTGTCGAAAGGAATGCCATCCTGCTCACACTGCAGGACGCTCGAGTGGCTCCCCTATGCTGCCAAGCAATGGGTACCTGACAAGACCTATACTTCATGACACACACCAACCAGGCAATTATGTTGGTATAATGTGTATAAGAGGTAGACCTGGCAAGTCCTGGAATGATTATGTCAGACAGGACCTGGCTTCGCTTGGATTATCTCTGACCTGGTGGAGGAAAGCCCAAGATAGAGAAGGTTGGAAGGCTGTCTTAGAAACGCTGCTGCGACGCACCTGATCCTCATGGATTGGAAAGGCGAATAATAATAGAAATAAAAATATCAAAAAATTCTAATAATAATAATAACAATCATAATAATAATAAGCACACCTTGTGCTCGTGCTTCCTGGCGGCCAGGTCGGCTTCGGCGGCGGCCGCGTCGGATTCGGTCTTGGTGGCCTCCTTGCGCAGCTTCTCCAGCTGCTTCGCGGCAGCTGCCGCGCCCACCTTCTTCTTGGCAGATTCCTCCTCGGCCGCAGCGATGTCCTGCACGCAACACACTTCTGAAGTTGCCAACGCTTCTGCTGCAAAAAAAAAGTCCGCAGCAAATTGGCTGCTGCAGTGGCGCCACGAGCTTCAGTGCATGTAGCAGGTCATGCCCCACATCCAGCTGGGCAGCGTCATTGCCAGCGACTGTGGGAGGCAAGCAATTTTGGTGGGGCAGTCTTTGTTTCGTCTGCTCGTCTCAGTCGCTCTCAGCCGTCTTTTTGGCCTAACACAGATCCCCACCCATTCAAGCTCTTGTTTGGTCAGGATGTCGGGCAGAGGGCTTCATCTTCGAAAGCCGGGTTTGTCGCACAAGGAGGCAGAACCCACACACAATGTCATGCATGCTCGACATTCCGTGCTCGCATTGTATCTTGTCGGGATGGCATGTGACTTGCGTTCAACATCACAACTGCAAGGCAGCCCTCCTCCCAGGTTGACGCACGCACTTCTTTTCCCTTCATAGTTGTTTGTCATGGGTTGGTCATTGCATGCAGGGGAAAAGGGAACACTGACATGCAGCAGCTGGGCGACCTTCTGGCGCTGCTTCGTGAGGGGCGGCCCCCCGGCGTCCTCCATGCGCGCCTCCAAGGCGGCCAGCTTCGCCTGCAGCGGCGCCAGCTTCTTGCTGATGGGCTCCAGGTCCTTCTGCGCCGCCTTGACCTCCGCCTCCAGCCGCTTGATCGCCGCGGCGTCCTCAGTTGCGACCTGCAGTTGCCACATCGCCGCAGGATGAGGTTTGCTCGTCTGTCCTGTTGGCTCATTTGAGGCATCAGCCCATCTGTCATGATCTTGAAATGGGTGGCACAAACTCACTGCTTCTGGCAACTTGAGGGGCCTGAAAGTATAGGGTACATGCAGTGTTGAAATCAGTTTCTTGTTTCAGGACTGCATGTGATGCGGTGCTGCACTTAACAGGTGCGGCAGAAGCCAAGGAAATACAATTTGAACCTGCATATCCGTGCGTGCCTTCCAGCTGACCTTGCAGTCAGGAAGGCACGGAGGCCAAGGCACAGCAGCACCAAAAAGGAGAAACAAATCATCATTTTCCCGCTCTCCAGGCCGAAGACCAAACAAAAGACACTCAAATTGAGCAAGGCTGGTGAAAACTGAGCTCTTGGCCCTTCAATATGTGCAACAGATTCTGCTAGAGACGGCCAATGCAGTACTGTAAAAGTGAAGCTAAGCTGACCTTGGTGGCGGCGCGCAGGCTGTCCACCTTCAATTGTGCAACAGATTCTGCTGGAACGGCCAATAGAGTACTGTAAAAGTGAAGCTGAGCTGACCTTGATGGCGGCGCGCAGCCTGTCGACCTTCAATTGTGCAACAGATTCTGCTAGAACGGCCGATGCAGTACTGTAAAAGTGAACCTAAGCGGACCTTGGTGGCGGCGCGCAGGCTGTCGAGGCGGGCGGCAAGGTCGTCGGCCTTGGCACGCTGCGCTGCGGCCTCCATGCGCGCCTTGGAGATGCTTGTCTCCAGGGAAGACAGCGCCTTCTCGGCAGATGACAACGCCGCTCCAGACCGCTCCGCCATCTGCCGCGCCTCGGCCAACGCCTGAAGAAGACAACTCGTTGAAACGATTCCTCGGGGTCTCTTCCCACCGATTTTTTGTCAACATGGGCCATTTTGCAGAACAGCCAGAATAAGAGAAACTTCTGTGACACGATGTCTGATGCCCTGCAAGATGCTGTGTGCAAGGACGTAGCCGGGGTAGTGCCCCATCTGGCGTACATGTGTCAGCAGCCTGTCCCAGCAAGGTGACTCATGCATTTTTTGACAGAGATGTGGTCTGATGGCCAAGGGATCACCTTCAGGCTGGCTTCCTCCTGCTTCTCGGCGGCAGCCAGCTCGGCGGCTGCCGCTGCAGTTTCAACCGGCCGTGGTGCCCCGCTGCCAAGGCGCATGCGGCCGCCTCGCGCCCTGCCGCCGCCGCCCGTCATCGTGCCGCTGTCATTGATTATCTCGCCCTGTGAAACATATTGCATTATGAACATTGTCTTCAGGACTGCAAAGCAGAGCGGCGGCGCAGCATAAGTGTTGCACTGGCACACAAACATGCGCATCGCAATGCTGGACCGCCACTGCCTGAGAAAAGACCCACATCCAGCAGATTTAGCCCGCAGTGCACGACATCAGCTCTTCTGTTCGCCCGCTGCTTCACGCCAAAATGGAGACATCGAGGCATAGCGCCGTTTGTGAAGTGCAAGCTTGGAAACAAGGCAGACCTGGACAGTAACGACGCGCGCCCAGCGCTTATCGCGGCCGTAGGCGATGCGCGACGCCTGCTCCAGATCAGCAGCGACCACAGTGTCCCCGAGCGCGTAGAAGAACGCCGGCCGCAGCGCCGCCTCGCTGCACTTGACCAAGTCGAACAGTCGCTGCACGCCTGCGCAGACAGGGCCCAGGATATCAGTAACATGAGGGTGAGGTGATTGCCAGCGTGGCGGAGTGGCGCGCCTAGTCAGGCGCCCTGCTCTGGAGATCTGGTCAAGCCCATGTCATCATCGCCCCCATCTTGTCCTTTCATGGGCATGGCCGGGCTCAGCTCGGGTGTGTTGCTTGCATGCTGCGCAGTGCTTTCGTTGCAGAGCCCTGCATCGCTGCTCGGGCATGGCAAGTGCATTGCAAGCGTATATGCTCTGCATGGAAAGGCAGAATGCGGCTCTTGCATGTGGCCCGAAACAAGAAAGCCTGGTCATGTTGATGACAAAACACAAGTCCAAGGCATTTGACACACGGACGAGGATGAGCAGAGCGTTAGCCCAGGCAGCGGCAGATCTGGCCTCTGCTCGTTCAGCAGATGCATGCTTGACTTCATATCAGGTGGCACACGTCATTGCCGCCAATACCTGGTCTTAAAACACCAAATATATGCAGAAGGGAGCGCACCTTCTGGGGGCGAGACGCTCTGCGCGCATTTGGCGGCCAGGTGGGCCTGCTTGTCCAGGATGAGGAAGGTTGCCACGCCCAGCTTCCGGCTACGAAGAAGTTCCACGCACGCCTGCGCGCAGCATTTTTTATTTTTTATTCTTGACTTGAAGCTAAGTTACAAAAAGTGACTGTATTTTTTGCGTTCTACTGGTATCCTGGGCTTGCCTCGACTTTCCTGGTCCCCACGAGCAAGGGGGAAAGCAGCTGGCAACTCAGCTGCGGTCAACCCCAAACAGCGGACACTAATCTGAAATCAGGGGAGAATAAGAAGATCCCTGCCAGTGCCACATGCTGCCCAGATTGAAGGGCTTCCCATGCACAAAAGTAGTGCACATGTAAGAACCCATTACTGAGCAGGTGTAAAATTTCCTGCCTGCGCGCTGGCAGTGTCGTCCACAACCACATAATCCAGCGCAGGCGCGGCCGTCGACACCGCGACGTCAAATTTGGCGTCGATTGCGCCCAGCTCACCTGCGCACACTTGGCGGCATTACGCAAGCAGGGGCCTTGTAATGAGCAATGCTGAATCTCTGTCTTTTGAGTGGTCAGCGCCGAAAGAGGAATCAGCGTGCAGCTGTCAGCTGCCCAAGAGACAGCCAGCGACAAAGGGCACATGCTTTAAATGGTGACAGATAATCCTACAGTGAGCTTTTTAAAGCCCAGAAAATCAACATGCCAACATCGTTACATAAACGCATATTAATGACCCAATTAAGCATCCTGAGGGCCATATCTTTAGGGCAGCAAATTTCAGGGCAAGCATGCAACGCTTGAGAGCAGATCAGGCGCGCACCGAGGCGGCCGCGGATGCCAGGGATGTCCTTGCGCGCGGCCATGAGCGCCTGAATGACGGCGCTCTGGCTGCTTTGCGCGCTGCGCTCCGCTCTGCGCTGCGCCACCGTGCCGCGCACCTGGCAGCAAAAACGGAAGATTGAATGCTGCTCTTCATTGAAATTGCAGAAACGCAAGACAGACATCCTTGTGTGGACCCAGCATGGGTACGGAAAGGGCCAAACCGGCTGAGCAGGTGAGATCACTTCAAGAGCTAGCTCCCAACATGACAGGGGCGACCTGGTGCAGTCACTGATGCCAGGTTGGGCAGGTGAACAATTCAGGCACATGGTAAAATTAGGCGACAAGCCAAAACAGGCACCGAGCAGTGGACCACGCAACAAGCCAAAACAGGCACCGGGCGCCACATCAGCAGTGGACAACGCAACAAGCTAAAGCAGGCACCTTGCGCAGGGTTCCCTGCAGCCGCTCCGCCTCAGCCGTGGCGGCTGCCGCCTCTTTCCGCGCCGCCTCGGCCTCCCGCCTGCGACAGGTGCGTGCATCTGTGCTTAGAGCAGTGGTCGCCGTGGCTTGCAGGAACCATTATTGAGGCTGATATGCCACAAGCAAGCACTGCCCACATGCCGCTCAAAGGGACGTTCTCGCAGAATTGCAGATCGCCTTGAATTATGCATTTAATATACCCAAGCTGGCGGGGGCCGGAATACCACTGAGCACCATCCCCCCGGTTGATGAGTCTAGCTTGGATCTGGCAACTCCAAGAAGGCATACACTTTTGGCAGCCTTTATCTGCAGCTTGCCTGCAGACCGACCTTGCCTCTGGCAAGAAAACCGTGTAATGTTAATAATGGAAATGTTTTCGTCTGTAATGCGTGTGCATGCGTACCTGTGCTTGCCCACGGCCTCGTCCATGCGCTTGATGTCTTCCTCCTTTGCATCAGCTGCAGCAGTGGCCGCCTTCAGCCCGTCCTCAGCATCCTGCACATGCGTCAGAGCCTCAGAAGTTTGACAGCAATCCTCCATCCAAATTGAGTGCTTCCAGCATCATCCACCATCTCACATGATAGTGAGATGTGTAAGGTCTACCATTGAGATATGGTACGCTTTATCGTCCTTGCAGCTGCTTGTCAGAGGACATCAAGCAGCGGCCGTGAGAGCGGCATGCATGGCACAAATTTCAGTGTGGTTCAATGCTACCCGCTTCAGTTCTATCCATGACTATGTGTCACGACTGCAGAACTCTACAGGAATGAGCAGGATCCACGCTTGCAATAATAAGGCGACTGCCAATATGATCAGGAGGCCAGCATGCATTTTGCAAGCTGATATGAACAACATTCTGGCTATTGTTGGGCACGCAACGTTTGCGCCCGGGTTTCTGGGATCTCAGAAAATGGATGATTGCACTTGCCTTGAGGCGCTTCTTTGCATCGCCCTGTTTCTTGAGCAGCTCAGCAGTTGCTCTCTTGAGACGGACGTCACAAAAGCATTAATGGCAGCCATTCCCTCTATCTCAACACTATCCACCTATTATCTTAGGCTGCAATACAGAGAGGATGCTTGCCTTGAGGCGTTTCTGCGCGTCGCCTTGTTTTTTTAGCAGCAGGTCGCGCTCTGCAGTTGCGACACTTATGCGACCGTTGACCTCGGCAGCTTGTGCTTCCCAGGGGGCCTGCTGCGTCCTGATCTGGCTCGCCTCGGTTCGCAACCCCTCCACTTCTCCTTTGATCCCCTCGCACATCCTCGCCAGCTCCTGGTTAGGCAGGTCACAACAGTGATGCACGGAATTGAAATTGGTGGCAAATGGGAGCAGCCGAATATGAGCACCAAATGTGCGCGTCCGCATGAATGCACCCTCTTCCTTGCTGCGTCTGAATGGCATTAGCATCTCGTTTCCAACTCTATTACTCATGCATGCATGGTGAGCTGATATCGTTGCGCCCCCAGCACACAGGCAGCCATTTCCAACAAACACAGACTGGCAAATAGGCGTTTGCCTGTGATGAGAGTCCTGCCCGAACATTCCCAAGCAATTCCTATCGGATGTAGGGAATTTGCTTGGCGCTCTGATCTTGCAGATCATGATTAGCTTGCAAGACATAGTTGCCTGCAAATACCACAATTGCAGTACGATTGTGGGAAGACCATTAAGTGGTGATGTCATGTTAGCAGCTTTGGAATGTGGCATTTGCTTGCCATGGCTCTTTTTGGTTCTTTTCGAGCTTGTGGTGTGATGAGTTGATGTGTATAAATTCCTTGCAGCTGTACCCTACCTCTTCCTCCTTTTGCAGCTGCTTGGCCAGCTCCACGGCCTTGGCTGCCAGCTTTGGCGCCTGCTGCTCCAGAGACGCTGCCTCCTCCGTCAGCACCTGCCGGGAGTAGCAGAAAATCTATTACATGTGAGTGTAAGGCACCATGCATTGCAAGCAGAAGCAGATTTGCAAGTTTGACTCTGGTCTGGGCCTCTGTAAATGCACCGAGGCTGCCCTGACACACTATGACGGGCTGACTCCCATATTCCTATTATTGTGGCATATGTTTTGCAGCCCCAAGGACTAGGCATGTCAAGCAAGGCCTTTCGTGTTCCCTTGCTTTGTGAAGGTTTTCATTTCCATCCCAACCTGTTGAAGGCATGAGCAATGGCACAGAAACCTCTGGCTTCCCAAGGGAAGCCATCCCTCTCTGCAAAACTGCATGTAACTTACACAGATTACCTTCACCCTTAAATCACAGGAGGTGAACAGCTCGCGCCTGGGCTTTGGCAGCACCTACACTTAACTCACATTGACCACGATCTAAGCATAATCGTCACCTCCGAACAACATGTCCCATGCCATGGACGCCTGTGGATCAAACAAGGGAAGTCCCCACACCGCAGGGATGCATGCACCACATACAGCAAACGCTGGGCGCCATTGCCCAAATACAAGAAGCTCTCACACAATATGTGGGACCGCCAATCCTTTGGGTCAAAAGTGTTTTGTACACATTTTTAATAGGTGAACAGCTCGCGCCTGGGCCTTGGCAGAGTCCTTGGAGCGTTTGTCGGCCAGCTTCTTCTGCTTGGCCAGCAGGTGCTTGATGTCCTCCCGCAGCTTCACGTCCTTGCGCTCATACTCTTTAAAACGCTCATTCGCAGCATCCAGCTCCTTCTGCATCTTCCCGTGCTCCTTCTTCTCCGCCTCAAACCTGCACATCAATCTGAGGCTGACTGTTCTTCTCCAAAGCAAGCGGAGGGAAGTATGCTGAGGAGGTTCTGCCCTTTGCCACCCTGCCAGCTGTAGAGCGTCCTCTTTGCGTACAGACACCACTCCCACCCATGCATGCATGCTAAATGTACCAAATTGCTCCTTGGAACATCTGCATGGTTGCACATTAATGGCCTTGTTGCACCAGGTTGCTTGCAGGAATGAAACGCGCAAGGGGAGCCAGCTCTGTCTTGAGGGTGCTGCGTCAGGTGCAATTCGAATCAACACAAGCCACTCATGCGTGCACAGCACCCATTGAGACAGGCTCATCTGCTCCCAGAATGCATTGCGATCCTGGGAGGCGCACTCACTTGCTCTCGGCGTCCTTGAGGTCCTGGCCATAGGTTTGGAACTTGTCCTGCTCGTGCTTCAGCTTGGCCTCCAGCTCCACCAGATTGCTGGCAATCTTGTCAATATTCCTCTGCGGCAGCACACCACTTCGCAATTTTCAACCCAGCACCATCGTCTGCCCGGTCCACCTCGGAATGCAAGTGGCTGAATTTCCTCCTTGTGCTCTATGTCCTGAACCCAGGAGCACCCTCAACAAGGCGCAGTGCGCGAGAGCTCCATCCTTGGTAAATTCACAAGGATGCACTGATCCCCAGGGCATGTGAAAGCATGCCAGTGACTGGCGAAGACCGATCAAGACTCATGTCAGTGCATCCACCACATATCTGCAGACAGCGTGTAGGTGCAGGTTTGTGCGCGCCTGGCCGTCGCGGACGAAGATCTGGAAGATGGTGGACTGCGTAGCGGTGCACTCCCGCTCCTTGGCAAGGTATGCCTCTGCGACGGCTTTGGCGCCGTCCAAGCCGTCCCGCTCTTTCTCGGCCGCCTTCACCCGGTTCACCACGCTCTGGCGCGCCTCGCTCAGCTCCTCCAGCCTGATCAGGCGCGATACCATTACTCATACCTTAGTAACATTAGTAACCATTCATATTAACAGATCACCCGGGTCACCACGCTCTGCCGAGCCTCGCTCAGTTCCTCCAGCCTGATCAGGCGCGCAACCTTTCACTGTCAAAGCAACCGGCCTTGCCCGCAATATGCTGTGGATACCTCCAGTGGCAAACGGTGAGACATTCAATGACAGAGGCGCATGTGAAATATTTCGATTGCACACATCAAGAGACCGTAGGAGAAACGAAACAAGGCGAGCTTGCCACTCCTCCTGTACTGCTGTCAGGTGGGGAATGTCATGTAACGCGATTGCCAGTCGCCAGGCAACATCTTGCCGCCTGGATAGACATCTTTGGTGAACTTGGGCAGATGGGAATGGGGATGGTCGGGCGGCACCTCTTGGCGCCCTCCTCCAGCTGGGACTTGTACTTGTCGGTCCCGATGATGTCCTCCAGGTACTCCAGCAGGCCTGTGTCGTGGGGGCCCTGAGCCACCGGCTTCATCATACTGATCTGCTCCACCTCCCCCTGTAAACACAACAAGACACCCCAGATTCAGCGCCAAATGATTTCCCCACTAATCCCAGAATACCTCGTGCAAGATTCCTGTGCTGTAGTTCGCCTGCTGACTCATGACGACGACTGCAGGAGTAGGAGCTAGGCTGCCACACAATGCCTTGTACTCCAGATTCAGTGCCAGAAGATTCTCCAGTGTCAGGCTGCCACAGAACGCCTTGTACTCCCAGAGTAGACTGAAAGGCTCCTGTATCAGGCTGCTGCGCATTGGTTTGCCCTTGACACATCGGTGTGCGCCCACATGAAGGAGCGCTGCATCATGCATGATGCTGATTTGGACTGCCTGGCTGTGCGCATGGTGCAGCACCAGTCAAGTTCTGTAATTAACTTGTCAGCGTCAGGTGTCTGGCCGATGATGTGCAGCTGTCTGCTGGGAGACCGCAGCTGGCAACAACGGCTCCTTGGATTGAGCAGCAGATGCTCACCCTGATCCAGAAATGAGGAGGTTTCCATACACCAGCATGCATGTGACAAAGGACAATGGTGCCCCTTTGCCCGAGCCCTTTGTCTGTCTGTCCCCTGCATGCCATACTATAGAATGCCCCACTTAGAGGTCATCTGCGGCCTTAGGTCCAGAGAAATATACATCACACAGAGTATTATATCACACATCTGCCAGAACTTGGCATAAGGGAATGGCATGAGAGTGACAGGGGTGGATGACCTGCAGGATGAGGAAGCGGTTGTTGTCCAGGTCGATGCCCTTCCCCTTCAGCATGTCGGTGACCTCCCCAAAGCTGCTCTTGCGGCCGTCCACGTAATAATTGCTGCTGTTGTTGCGCATCGCTGTGCGCGAGACCACAAAGCCTGTGCCTGGCACCACCTCGAACGCCTCGTCATCCTGCAGAAGAGCAGATTTAATTTTGAGTTTATACTGATGAGCATCCAGGGGTGATTGTCACACTGATTCTCATCTGCACGCCAAGAGAACAGTCTTGTGCATGTCAGAGTCTGCCTTCGGCTCACTCTTACAATCATGCATTGCACATCTCTGTCGTCTTGTGCTGCATCTCTAAATCTGCATGACACTGCCTGAGAAAGAGGGCATGAAACACCGCTGAAGCATCAAGCAGAAAGAACTTTCAGGAATGCAAGATGTATGTAGGCTTGACAAAATTGAGGATTCCAGGGTAATTGAGAGTGCTCAAACGCACCAGATCGATGATCTCCTGGAAGTAGACTGAGACCTTGGCCGAGTCCAGGTGCTTGTGGTTTGTGGAGTTGTGTATGAGCTCCGAGACTTTGCTGAGTCGCAACTGTTGTGCACGACACATAAAAGATGTTTGATTGCTTCTACATCCATCGCTGCTCGCTCCCTGCTGGGAGGTTGGTATAGTGACGGGAAGGAAGCATAGGAGGAAGGAAGCAGGATGCACACCTGCTTCGCCTTTTTCCCAAATACGAAAAGCATTGCGTCGATGACGTTTGATTTGCCGCTGCCATTGGGGCCCACCACCGAGGAAAAGCACTGCAACATCCAAATTTTACAGTCACACACAAAAGCTGCCGCTGTGGGATATTTTGGAAAATGATCGTCAACTCACAATCTGTGCAAAGGCAAAGCATAGAAATATGACAGCGTTTGTTTAATGGATGGATGCACGATGCCACGACGTTGTTAAGGAAGTACCTTATGGAAGGGTCCTACACGTTGTTCCCCGGCGTAGGACTTGAAATTTTCCAGCACCATCTCTGTAATGATAAGTCGCCTGGGCCCAGCCCCAGTGGCTTCGCCTTCTACCTCCATCTTGTTGTATTCTTTGCTGGTTATGCTCTACTCGGCTTTCAATCAAGGTTGTGATAGATAGTTCCTGGCACTCCGACTTGGCTAGCCAATTAATGCCTCCATTGACGGACGCGGCATGATGTGCTTTGTCAGCAAGAGTTCCAACAATCTCAAGTACATTCAAACCTTCTTGTGGCCATTGAGGGCGTGATGGTGCTCACATCGCCACCTACAGCGACAAGTGTTTGTCAAGGAAACTAAGGGCTGCTTTGTTTTGGTTTGTTGAGCACGACATGCTGAAAAACTTCAATATCATTGTCGCGAATCGCACGTGCCTTAAGCATCGACACGTGCCCGCTAGCCGCGTTTACCGAGCCTGGTTTGACTCCTTTACTAATCCTTTTGCTGTCCCTGTGCTGAGAGAAGAGCATCCGAAGCTGACTGTTTGCGAGTTCAAACTCAATGAAAGTGAACACTTGTTGTACCCTGGGAACGATCGGTGCTTGTCAAATCGGCAACGGAGCGTTCGGCTGCCAGCTCGGCTGCCGGGTGCAGGCCGGTGTTGTCTAGGGTCTATTTGAGTGAGTTCTTGACATCCATACGGTGCGATCGCAATCCCTGCTGCATAATGTCAGGTATGGTTGTTTTTTGTCCCTTCCAAAGCAGCAGAGAGAGTCGCGCTGTGTCCCTACTGCCCGTCAAATTCGATTCTTGGCCTGAGAGGCGCAGTAATGCTTTTTGCAGGAGATTGATCTTTCTTCATCAAAGCAGAGGGGCTGCAAAAAAATTCACAACATCTAGTGTCTTTGTTGAGCACGGGCGCGAGGCAGGAAGGAAAAGCTCGGCACACGCCAAAAACCTCCCAGTATCTACATCGGGGCGATTGCGTCAGGCCTGTATTTCAGGAGATTCCTGCAGCCCGATGCCCCTCTTCAGATGTGACAAGAAGTAATACCAGCAAAGAAAGGGGGGACTGGAGTTAGCTTGGAAGCTGATGGAACGACCCCAAGAGTTCCACACTCAGATGTGGCCCCAGCTGCAGGACCTTCCCAGCACAAGCGAGAGCCAGCCACCTCTATGCCGATCATACACCTCGACAGCCGCCATATACTGCGAATTTGGGCACGAGGACCGCCTGGCATTTTCCAGTGGCAGGAGGCAGCTGCGCTGGTGGCACAACTTCAACCAGATGTTGGAGATTGTTCTGGGTCGTTATGGCGCTGTTTCGGCCGAGAGGAGCGAAGTGGGCGTCTGTGGGGTGCTGGGTGTGAGCAGCGCTGATCAGGAGACAGACCCCTGGCGAGAGCTTAAGGCAGTGCAGTGTGCCCTGGACCTCCTGGATGCAATCCAAGAGGCGAGGCTTCTGCCCCATGCATTCTATGTAAACCCACACTACACAGTGATGCGTGCATCTATACTGTGGCCTGCCTGGTGGCAGAATCCTGACACACACATATGGAAGATGTCCGCAACCCTGGTTGCTTCGTAGTGGGAATTTGCAGACCTGGTATGTCATGATCTTTAGCCTGCCGTGATGAAGGGTTGTACACGCAGATGCAATTACCAGGCGGGGGCACAATGCCGGCGCGCATAGGCGTGCATATGGGGGCAGCAGCTGATGGGCTGGTGGGCTCTGCAAACACACTACAGTACAGGTGAGATTACAATCGCCAATGAAAGTGGCATGCTACCCAAAACAGGAAAGCCCCTTGCTCGCACCATATGCACGGGCAGATCTGTACAACAAGCGACACAAGACATGCATGCCATGTCTTGGCATGGCTGGCCTGATTTGCATGACAAATATGGATCCTGCATCAGTGTGTCCGGTGTCCCAGCTCTGCTCGATTACGATAAGTGAACGCCCTCAGACTTCTCTCTGTTCTGATTGATCAATATACGGCTTGCTTTTGTGAAACAGATTGGCGGGCCCGGCGCTGTCAGTGGCGCGCTCACTGGCGAGGGCAGCACCCTGGGACGGAGTTCTGGCCTCAGCTGAAGTGGTCACGAGGCAATTGGAGCTGAAGTCACTGTGGCGACCTGCACAGCCGCTGACCCTGAGCAGGGGCGCCGTCCTAGACACGTATCTGCTGCCAATTCAGGCTGCGCCGGCCTACGCCCAGCACCCTTCCGCCCCCCAGGCCAGGACCTTTGGTGAGCCGCTATTCCTAAGTCCATTGCGGGGCATGCTGCATATGCACAATGTGTTGCGTCTAACAAGGGACCTCAAGGAGGCATGCGACACTGCCTTACGTCCAGACTGAAAGGCTGCGTTGAGTCTCTTACAGCTCGTTCTTATTTAAGCAATGAGTGTTCTAGTTCCTCAGTCTTAACACAAAAGCAATTGTTGGTGGCACTCTTTGCTCAGAGTTATGAGCTGGCATGCAATCATGGGGCTGCCTGCAGGCCCCAGCGACTGGACGGCGTGCAAACAACCATGTGCCGCGGCGGCCTGGCGCGTGCACGACGGCGGCGGCACCGCGCTGCACGGCGGTCTGCCACCCGGCTACCAGACGTGGGTCCTCTCCGCACGCGCGACCGCCGCCAGCTTCGCCGGCCGCGGTAGCTCGGCTGCACCCGAGCCGGCCGACGACCCGGGCGGCAACTCGCGCGCGACAGGCAGCCGCGCCGCGCAGCCGGCGGGCGCCGAAGATGCGGGCCCGCAGCACTGGCCTGCCCAGAAGCCACCCAAAGCCGTGCCCGCGCCGGGCAGCGCCGCCGGCCGGCCAAAGCCGGCGGCGCCGGAGGCGGCAGCCGCCGCGGCGGATGCTGCGTACCGGCTCCTGCAGGACGATGCAGGCAGCGCAGAGGGGGAGCCGGACGCAGCCGATGCAGCCTCTTTTGAGGAGGAGACAGCCAGCAGCGATGGGTCTGACTCTGGTGCAGCGTCGGTGTCGGAGGACGGCTCTGGCTCTGGCGCGCTGTGGGATTACTCAGACGCGGGGCCAACTGCAGTGATCACAGGGGCGGAGGCACCCATGGGCCTGGCGGCATTCCCTTCGCCGAGGCCGCGGCGGTGGGTTTCTGTGGCGCCAAGTGCTTGGCAACCGACGGGACCGGGCGCAGGGCTCAGCTTGCACAGCCTCCCAATTTTGGATGACAGCCTTTTGCTGGGAGGCGTTGAGCAGCTGCCAGCGCTCAGCCACCGCGCCAGTTCGGCGCAGCCGCCACGCAGCTTCCCCGCGACTCCCGCGGCGTCCACGTCAGCTCCGGCGCAATTGAGCAGCCGGCCCGCGGCGGCCGCTCCCGCGCAGGGCAAAAAAGTGGCTGCGGCGTCCTCGCAGCCCGAGCTGCGGCTACGTGGGGGGAGGGCGCAGAGCAATGAGCTCCCAAAGGAAATTTTCCTGCCACAGGCGTCATGTTCGAGGCCGGCCGGCAGTTCGGCGTGGCGGTGGCGGCAGTGCGAAGAGGAGCCGGCCTCGTGTTGGCGCGGCGTTGCGGCAGCCGTCGCGGCGCGGTGCAGTGGCCGGGGCGGCCGTCTCGTCTCCCTGGACCTCCCGGACGGCACCGAGGTGCTGCAGGACGCAAGGCTGCAGTTTGCGTGAGTCCCGCACAAGCACAATATCGACAAAGAAGCTGTGTTAGAGCTTCACGATAGCATCTTTCTCGCATTCTTGGTTGGCAGGAAGAGCGTGTAATAATATTAGTAATAATAATAAGTACAGACGCTGTCATGCACCTATACTTTGCTGCTGTGACATAGGCTGTATTGCATGTCAAATTGATCCACTGCTCACACTGACCTACACGGGGTGATGTGGGTGCAAGATTCGCTTAAAATGCATGCCCCACCGAAATATTTGGGCGTGTTGTGCAGGGATGCTGCTTTGGAACGGCGTTTCCAGGCCATGTGGGCGCGGCACAAGCGCTCACACGATCGCGCAGTCATCTTCTTCTTCCTCGCCATGTTTGCCCTTCGCGAGCTTCGCCTGCTTTACTTCCCAGGCTTTGCCCAGGTGCTCCCTTCTTGGATTTGGGTCTTCATCACTACTGCCTTTGTGGCGCTTCAATAAATGGCTTGAGGCCCTGCCCCCTGCGCGTCACCTGGCATTCAAGTCAGAAGATAATGGTGCTGTGCAGCATATAAGGTTGTGTTCGATATGATCTCTATCCGGGGCCCGCTGAGCAGCTCGCTCTTGTCACGTTCCAATGCCTGCAAGAACATGATGCAAAGAGTTTACATGTAGATAGCGTGTGCGGAAGCTGATGTGATGTGCTGGGCATGCAGGTGACGGGCTACACACCAGGGGCGACGAATGTGCTGGTCACCTGCTTCCTGTTCGGCCTGATGGCGCTTATGCATATTGACCAGCAGCTCTTCGAGCGTCAGCGCACCAGACTGACCCTTCTCATGCGCATCATCAGGTCAGCCCCAGCTGATGGCAAGACATCTTCTAGCGTCGTGCAATTCCTAGCCCACCTAGGAATCAAACATCTAGCTTCAATCTTTTGGACGGCCCTCTCGATTGCTTGTTGAAGAGGGCTGATTGGGGCCACTCGCGTACCATGGTTCTCTCCTTAGCAACAGCTAATGTTGTTGCAATATTCCAAGAGTCTGTCTTGTTGATCTGCTCCATGTGCATCTGATGCATGTCTTCTTGCTGTCTGGATACCTAACTAGAGGTGGCATGGATGGGGAGAAGAACACGCAAAAAGTCCCAAATACCCAGCCTTCATCAGCATGTTGTCTCAAAATGTTTGGGCATTTGGTGAAGTGTGTTCCCTGATCTGATAGAGCATCGTGCTGCTGTGGTGCAGGACTTTGGCGGTGAGCTGGCACCACGTGAGGTACTACGGCGTTGCCTCCTCGGTTGCGCAAGGCACCTGCCGCCCAGGCTTTCCCTTCTTCTCAGTGCTCGCCAAGAATGCTCTGCCCTGGGTGCGCACCAAGCCATGCTTTTCATATATTCATCTACTGTATCTTCCTTATAGCTTTTGGGCACTGCAAGCTTTTTCCTCTGCACTTAGTTCCACAGTTCGACAGTAGCATCGCTCTAGCATGCACCAAGATGGGCGATCATACATGCATGCACGACTGCCTTCATGCATGAAGTCTGATTGCATTGGAAAACACCCAAATGGTGAACGTTCAGTATGGCAGAATTCTTGACTATTACGGGCACTAGCACTGCAGGATAGATACAATTCTACCGTTACAGAAGTCCAAAATGAATACCTGTCCTCCACCGGCATGTGTAGCATGCATCACATGCATCAGCGTGTGTGGCATGCATGTCATGTAAAGCTGACAGATGCTTGCCAAACAAAGGCTAGAAGCCACCAATCTACTCAGCTCGAAGGCTTGTTTTGTCATACTCCTTGTAAATCCGCAAATGCTTCAGAAAGGGCTTACAAGAGGCATGGGATGCTTGTGTAATTTTGGGACTCTGGCGCAGGCCGCCAATGAGTGCGCATTTCATGCATGCGTGACTGCGAGCAGTTACTGAAAGTTGGATTGCCATGGTATTTTAGGGAGGCAGTGATGCATGCATCAGCATTTGTGCATGCACACGCAGGCTGCCATGAGCATGTGCGAGGGTAATTTACTGAGCGCGCATCTGATCGGCGATGCTATAGCGCTGGCGGCAGCTGCCGCGCAGGCGCCGTGGTTGTGCGGCGACATGTGCTCCGGGCTGGGCCAATTTTGCTGCTCCTCATGGGTCATCCTGCAGGTGGGCTTTATTTCCTTTTCCTCCTGGAACACGCCTTAAGTCTAGTCACCACCAGAAGGTTTTGTAAAATGTTGGTATTATCACCTCTGCTGAAGACATCATGTGGGTACTCCACCTACAACAGACAGCATGCAAAGAAGCTCTTGAAAAAGCCGCTCGGGTCACAGAGTAGGAGGTCATCTTGGTCGTATAAGAGATATGAGGATTTGCAGCTCTATTGCCATGCAATGCATGACGTGCTGCACTGCTCGCTACGCAGACAAGACAACCATGAAATCTTGACAGATCATTGGCAGTGCAATACATATTGCATGCAGCCCTGGTGCAGAGGTGTCGAGCAGGAGAGGACCGTTGCTGGGATGCTGTGTCATTTTGCTGCTAGCTGACCTGATGGATTTAAATAGCTTGTTTCCCTGATGAAAAACCATCGCTAATGAGATCACCGATGCTCGGCTGCAGGCGGTGGGGGGACTGCTGCTGCCGACAGCCACAATGTATGTGCTGGAGCGACGCGTACGCGTGGCGTTCCTGCATTCTCTTTATGCCCCTGGCGGCAAGGCCGCTCCCGCCAAAAAAGAGGGCTTCGAGCACCTGCCTTTGGGCTCCAACAGCCTCGATGTGGGGCCTAGCAGATGATGTTGTCTAGGGGTTGTGGTCCCTGGCCACACCAGGCACAGGGGCCTCTATATCTGACTAGTCTGATTCAGTACCCCCTGCCAGGCAAGAGATAGCTCAGAGTTTGTTCTCAGCCCGACGAAGAGGCGGGCGTGCCGGTGCGCGCACGCCGTTCTACGACCTTGACCTGGTGCCGTCGGAAGGTGATCACAGGTCAGGGGTGTTGCGGCAATGTGTGTCATGGCTGGGAGTGAAGTAACCAGGGACCCATGCAGGATCATGTATGGGCCCCATATAAGCCCATCCAGCCATGCCGAGGGTTTTGGATCTCAATTTCCCCATCTCCAGGCCTCATGGCCAATGGTCAAGTCGCCCCATGTCTTAGGTGCCGTCTGCCTCCTGGACAAGGATGGGTGGCAGCAGTCAAAGCGCCGAATGGCATCGCCGACTTTCTCGGCAACAGGATCATTTCTCTTATCTTTTGCACGGCTGTCAGACCTACCTTTTATACACTCCGGGCTATCCGTAGCAGGGGATTTTTTAGTCCCAGTGGGCACAGTCAAAGGTGGAGTTCTCCACGTTTTGCTGCTCCTCCGGCCGAGTCTTCGTCGTGCTTCGCTTCCATCGTGTTCTTTTTTTAGGTTGACTGCGGTGCAAAAGGAGCACCCAGACAAGGCTTCCGAACAGTATTAATTATATCCCCTCCTCCCCAGATCAGGTACCCGAGAAGACTTTCCAGGTTCTATTCCTACGGTGCCTCTGCTTTTTGTGCATGCAAGCGCATGCGCAGCCCTGGTGTCAGCAGTCCAAGACAGCAGTTCGATGCCTTTCCTTGTCTCAGGCTTGTCTCCCTGCTGCTAATCTATGGGCATCGTTGGGTGCCGAAGAGCCACTGCTAGCGAGGCGGTCATACTTTCAGCTGATTCGACCATGCATGCAGATCTCTGATCGCTGCCCATATGCAGCGCTGTCATGACTGTAGGAAACTTCATGGCTTGGCAGTGTTGAAAATCCAGCTTCTGGACTTTGCAGAGTCGCCCCAGCGTAGAAAACCAAGAGAGGATTTGAAAGCAGCAGCGTAGTAGCCATGAAAACATCGCCTAGTAGGGTGATGCTTGATGTTTTGATGTGTGCTCCATTGGGCTGACCAATGTGAGGACCCCTGATCGATGCAGTGCTCGCTGCGAGCTGCAAGGTGATTGGTGAGAGTGCGGCTGGGGACTTCAGAAGACTCTGCAAGAGGACAGAGCAAGTGCTTGGAAGTGTGCTAGTGTGCGATAAGGAGTGGAAGGGCGGTGGTAGCTTTTCAGCCATTATTATTATTATTACACGCTTTGCCTGCCAAGAGGCAAGGTGCGTCCTGCAGACAAGCTGCAAATGAAGGCTTCCACAATTCTGCCCCTTGTTGGACTCGCCAGATCCAAGCAAGACCCAATCAACCGTGGGCACGGTGCTCAGTATTTGTACCGCCCCCCGCCAGCCGGGGCCAAAATGAGATGAAGTAGAGAGGGGCAACAGTTGGGAAATACGCAGTTGAGAAGGCCACGTTGCTGATATTTTAAAGGTGACATGGTTTTGTGTCAGGCACACATGCTGTGCCACATGCAAGCAAGTTGGGTGCATCAACTCAAGAGGGAATGTCCAAGTAATCTGCCATTGCAGGAGTTGATGATAAGTGTCAAGAGACGGTACGTGTACAAGTCGTTTGTAGAGAGACCATTGTTATGTATTACTTAAATCACTCAAATTTTCATATTGCTGAGCTGCCAGACCTGCCACGGGTGTCCACTTCTTAGCTTTGCATGCTGTCTGCCTGCTAGGGACCGCCCAAACAGTAAAGCACCATCTTGTCAAGCAACTGCCAGGGTGCTCTTCCCTTATACTAATCTATCTTAATTCTGAGGAAGACTGTCAGCGGAGTTGTGTTATTGTGGGATAACATAAAGGTGCATCCTGACCAGCGCGGTGTGGGTCACAACAAGTTAATTCTTATGACCGTTGATTCGACGGTTATGACCGTTTATTCATATGACCGTTATAAGTGTTACTTCTAGTTGCTGCTTGCACCTTACCAAACCTGGTAAACTCAGCTGAAAATCATTTACATGAATCTAAAGCATTGCAGAGAACCCGGCAAATCCTGACACACGCTTGAGTGGAGCTCTCAGCATCTTTTGAGACAGGCTCCCCACAAGGGCATTTGCAAGGGGCGCACACAAGTTCGATGCACCTAGTTGACACAACAAAAACCGTCATACGAAAAATTCTTCAAAGTCATTCTTGCATGCCTGGCTGTGAAGAGCATCATTCACACAAATTGTACAGTGCGCCTTGAGGGTCGTGGCCATGACTCATGGCACTCTATGGCATGTGCCATGTTGTAGATTGTACAAAGTACCCATGTGCTTGTACACCTTTCCTTTATTTATGCCATCCATCCTTCCACAAATTGGATCATCATCTTAGAAAGGCATTCATAAAAAATCATTCCATCTTGCCGCTAGCATGCCTAAGACCCATGGACAACAGCCATGCAAGTCATATCCTCACCACATTTGTGCTTGAGCTAGGGACATCCTTCCCTCCTTACTCATCCACATCAACCCTCAATCACACGTAGCCACCCCGGCCGGCGGGGTATGGTATAAATTCTGAGCACTGCCCACGGTTGATCGGGTCTTGCTTGGACCGGGCGAGTCCATCAAGGGGTGGGACTTGTGGCAGCCTTCACATGCAGCTTGTCTGCAGCCGCACCTTGCCTTTGGCAGGAAATGCGTGTACAGAAATCAAAACAACATTACTTATCCATAGGGATACTGGTGGGTGGGGCTCCGCAGCACCTGCCTCGCATAGTGCGCCTTGCAGGCCACAACTGCAGAGACTGCAGCATGCACTCCGTACATCACAACAGTCGCCACCATCCTGCACAGCGCACATCAGCCCTTTAACTGGAATGTCTTTCTGGAGTATTGAAAGATGATCCCAAGTACCTTGTACTGAGGAGAATCTATCGATCCATTGACTCAATGGCTTGGAGCCATTGACGCCCCCATCTGACCATATTAGCTTCCCGTTGAAGGGAAGAAGATTACTAGGCCGCCAGAGCAGTCGGTGAATGCCTGAAGGATGTGTACAGGCAGGTCCTGCTGTGTCACTTGTAAGAGCAAACAAGGGGCTTTATTAAGCATCCCCTGTCATGAAGGACCTCCAAGTTTGGCAAGCAAGTCGGGTGATTTCACGGGATGAGCAGCAAGCTACAGGCCTCGGCGCGCATATACAGCTCAGATAGAAGATATCTCAATCAAGCAAAGACCCCCAGGGTTTATAGACAGAGGGGAAGTATGGGGCGCTCACAGGACTAGGAGCAGGTTGTAGGTCTCTGCGCAGACGCGTTGGTCGGGCGCACATGGCGGCAGGTGCGCGTCATGCGTGAACAGCTGCAGCACAAAGAGGTGCACCAGCGAGGCCAGCGATGACAGCGCCGTAGTCATGAACGCCAGCATGGCAACCGCCTGCATGCATGCATGAATAATCCCACAATCCAGCTTTATCGCTCTCTGTTGCGAAGTACAGTCCTGGTCATCCACCCTACATGAGAGTGCAAGGAAATCCATATAGGTCCATGAACTTCCTTGAGGTCCGTACAGGAAGTCCATGAAGATGCGGACCCTTTAAGTATAGCGCATTGGGGTTACACCAGTCCATCTGTGAAGTGCCAATCAATGTATCAATGATCACGAGCGCCACAGATATCCCCTGTCACAGCCAGTTGCTAGAGGCTGCAAAGGGGCCCCAGAGCTTAATATTCTGGCTAGCTCTTTGAGCTTATAATTATCACCCAGCGATCTCAGATCCCGGGTCCCTGCACTGGCCGAACAAGAAAAAGTGACCAGCTGAAGGGAGGCTTGCCTTGAGCCCAAGCGAGCCGGCGGCTGCTTCGATGTTTGACCGCTGCCGCGCAACGCAGTCAGCTGCCAGAGCTTGAGTTCCGCCCACAGTGCCCAACAGACCCGTCCAGCAGAACAGCACCGCGCACACCTGGCACCCACATGGCAAATCAGTAATGCTTGCCAGGATGACTGATTCAAAGGAAGTGCAGCATTGTGACAAATAACAACGTTGAGCATAATGATGCTGCGCCACTGATAGTTCTGCCTTGGGAAGGGTTAAGTTAGGACTGCTGCAGCATGCAGCAAAGAATGTTTTCAGCTAAGGCCTGAAGGTTCAAATACGGGGAATGGAGACACTTCAGTGCAGAGAGAACGCTGAGGAACCAAGCACTAGGAGAGTCACAGGCATGTGGGCACAGCTGCAAGCCAGGTGACACATGTCCTAGTGTCCTTACATCGGGAAGAGAGCACAGACAAACAAGGCAGTGCGAGCGCCAAGACAGGAGGTAGAGCTGCCTTTTAAATCAAATGCAATGCGATGCAAACATACAAGACACTCCAAGAGCAAGAGGGGCCAACCTTTGCAATTGGCACATCATAGAGGGCGGCTATGAGCGCCCCGGCATGCAGCAGGGTGAGCACGGACAGCAGCAGCCACAGAGCCACCCACGTGGTCGCACCCTTCCACAGCCGCATCTGCAGCAGATCAGGACATTCTCACAACTAACATTTTTCATGTTACTGATTTTTTTCTTCTTATTTCCCGCATTCCCTGCCAGAGGCAATTCGCCTCTGCAAACAACTGTGATACACAAAGGTAACAAATGGTTCTCCAGAGTCTGGTTTCCCATTGTACAAACATGCCATGCAAGCACCCACCACGGCAGGATGTTAACAGCAAAATGTCACCCACAAAACCCAAATTGGTGACTCCAACATATGACCCTTCCCCATAGGCATACACAGCATCGTATAGCTGTAGATGACAAAAGCTTTGTCATCATAATAGCAATGACCTGAGTATCCGGTTTAAATTGTGCAAACATGCCATGCAAGCACTCCCGTGCCAGGATACCAATCTCAAATGTCACCACCCAAAAGAAAATCGACTGGCAACTCCAATGACCCCTTCCCCTCACAGCAGCGTACAGAGCAGCACACAGCTGTAGATGGTTACTAATCTGCTTAATAACGTGATGACTCAGCGCACCGCGTCCCGGGCACGCTCGGTGCGCGGGTCGGCGGCGGCCGCCGCTGACGTGGCAGATGACATGGCGCCAGCTGGCACTGCTATGACCTGCCCACTGGGGTGCACATAGGGCAGCCACTGCACTGCCTGGGCAGGGGCAGCGGATAATGTAGCTGCGGAGTGAGAACCTACAGATGAAGCATCGGTGTCCAGCAGAGCGTGCCATGATTTTGGGGCCTGCGGTCACCACAGCAATACAGTTTCCTGATAAGCCTGCAGAAAGAGGTTCAGATGAAGAATATTTGGCGTCCGCATGCTCCTTTCCTCTCTGATTGTGCATTGGGCAGACGCAATTTAAGGTTTCATTTCAAAAAATATCAGCAATTGACGCTGAAAATTGACCTGAAGGACCGTTAAGGTTGGGACTGTTAAGGTTGCAGAGCAACGCTGCTTTATGGGTACAGTTTTCAACTTTTAGATTTGGAAGTTGAAGTGGGGCACCAGGCTGCTGGAGTGGGAGAGCGTGGAACGCCTGCTGCCGGAGGGCACGCTGTGCAGGGTGGATCGTCGGGGCGGCTGGGGGGGGGGTGCCCGGCTCCTGCTGAGATGAACACATCTCTGTCAGCAAATCCACAGATTCACCTTGAGTCAGACTCACTCAAGAACTCTCAGGTAATCCTTTCCAAGCAGTGTTTTATACAGGAGTTAATCTATCAATTGGGGAACCGAGGGCATCCAGTGTAGTCCTGTTTGATCCTACCCAAGCCCCAGCAAGACTCCCTCTCCATTCCAAACTTGTACGTCATCCCAAATCCGTCAAAAAGGGAGGTCAAGGGGAAATTCCAGCAGCGCGCATGCGCACCAGGTCATCAGACAGGAACTCCCCCCCAGACGCGCGGCCGCAGCACTTCACGCCGCACCCGGCCGCGACCGGCCGCTTGAACGCCGACAGCCGCCGCGAGCCGCTGCTGCGCCGAGAAGAACCCCCGGTGCAATTCGCGCTGTCAGCGTACCACAGCCGCCGCTGCTGCGGACAGCAGCACTCCTGAACCCCGCCCATTTGCCCCTCGCTTGGCCCATGCATCAAGCATTTCTGCTGCATTTCTGAATTTTGGTAACCGCTAAAGCCGCGGCTGCATCCATGGCAGCTGCAGGGTGAATTGTTGAATGTGTCCTGATCAGGCGGGTCTGAGGGGGTTCCCTCCCTCCAATGCGCCGGGGGGTCCGCCGGGGGTTCCCCCGCTGCGCAGGACCCCCCGATATGGCGGCCGGCGCGCGCCAGCTGGACTGCCGCCGCCGGCCAGCCCGGCAATAACTCATGCGATGTGCAATCTGCATCTGCATGTGTCTGCACCCTGTCCGGCCAACAATTGACTTTTCTCGCATCTGCTGTGCTGCTCTCTGCCGGCAGCAGAGGCTCCGTCAGGGGCTGGTATGCACCAAAGGGATCTGGGGCGATCCCTGACTGCTGCTGCATTGGCGAGCTGACAGAGGCCCAACTGCTGCTGTAGGGGATGGCTTGGCTGGCTGCTGACTCAGCCCTGCTTAGTGAGATCAGGTTGGGCGTTTCAGGCCGGCTGCGAGGGGTTGATCCACTCGTTGAGAGTGGCAGCCTGTCACCAGTTGGACGCTGCGATTTATGGTGCAGTATGTTGACTGGATGGTTGTGTGACTGCCTGCGCCCCTGACTTGGGCCCTGGTTAGAGGCCTGCCCCCAAGATGGCTCCGGCAACCCTGGCCAGCAACAAACAGTCTTCTTGTTTTTGTTTGTTTAGGGGCAAGCTTGGATCTGGCGAGTCCAACAAGGGGCAGGATGTTGCTAGCCTGTACCTGCAGCTTGTCTGCAGACGCACCTTGCCAGGCAGGAAACGCGTGTGACAAAGTAGTAAACGGGCAAGGGAGCTCTGATTGTGTGAGAGGAGATGGAAGAAAGCTTATGTGGGTGATTGTCCCCAAGGTCTGTCACCCAAAGATGCATGAGATGGGCTTGCCTGAGGATTGGAGGAGGGGATCTTGGAGGGGATCTGCAGGTCGACTGCCTCGCACCCATGATGCAAGGGACCACATATTCGAGGCCTCTGCATACCAAACAACGTCTTTCCGTTCAGGTCAAGGCCTGTGAATCTGCCTGCAGTTTAGCCTGCTAATCGAGATTACAATCGCGGCTTACTTAAACGAATGAAATGTGGAGAATGACCATCTCATCCCCAGTAAAGATCGATCAAGTTTAAAAAAAATACCCGGTCGATGCAGAAGTAAGAGCTCAACGTAAATGCTCCCCCGTAGCGCCTTATTGCTCTTGAATGTTCTTCATGTAATATTTATTTGATTTCCGGTCACTTTGACCGAAGATGTCATGGTGACGGCCTCATTGACCGTAAGCAATATCACGGCATGTGGTGAAATGTGACACGACCTGTCGTCCAGGACCTTCATTTTCAACCACTTTGCCTCTCTTGACCGTTTAAACCAACATGTTGAACCGCATGATCGAACAATCTGGCAATCAAGTCGCGCATGATCCTATGTTCTGGTCAATCCAGAAATTTTGAATCGCGCAGCCAACTTAGGCTTTCGATGTGAAGAGCACGGGAACTTCTCCCTCTGCGCCTTTCTTGAGCAGGCAAAGCAACAGTGCGACTCGCAAATAATAAAATCCAGATTGTCACTCGACTACGAAGGGGTGCAAAAGCTGTCATCGTCGCTCTCAGACTTTTGATCTCATGCTCCTCGCACGTGCCAGTAAGTCTCGTTCGAAGTTCCTGTTTTCGTGCCGTTCAAGTAAGGTTGCCCAAACTTGCACTTTTGAGCACTTTTGAGAGCAAAATCCTCTGAATACGTGGATTTCGGGTCTCGCCAGCATCTCCGGACGACGGGCATGCCTTGTAGCTCGCACGGCGCGGCTCTCGATGGGGATTCCCGCACGGCTGTGGCTCTGCATAGCACTGTGCTCGCTGGTTCTTTTCTTGACAAGTACACCATGCCAAGGTACTGAGAAGCTTTCTCTTCGCTAAAACCTCAAATATACTAGTAACCAGGAAAATTGCACGTCTATGTCCTGCTCATGGGTCCTTTGTCCACCACGTGTTGACCCCTCTGTCTGATACTAATAATTTATTTGACATGTATGCATCTTAAGAAAAAACGATTTCGAGCTCAACCCCAAGGGATAATAAGGGTCGCTACGTCAACCGATGCTCGCCTCTATTACCATCCTACAGCACGATCACCCTACCTCGAGGGACAAACCCACGCAAAGCATCTCTGGACGTGCAGCAGCTCATCACTGCTCAGTCAGATGTGTCTCAAGTAGCAGCTCGAGATAACGCTGTGCACTTGTGTCACGTTCTCAGGCCAGAGGCTCCGCGCAGCCAGCGAGCTAGCACCTGCGCCAGCTCCGCTGCGCTCGGTAACTCGGCCGCCTAAGCAGGCAGCGCGCAGCGGCGTTCCTCGCTCGGCAGCTGCCGCCGGCGAGCCCAGCCCCGGCCCCGGCCGAGCGGCCATCGCCCGGCTGGCCGCCGTGCGGCCGCCAGCGCCTCACCGGCCGGCTTTGCCGGATGCGCCGATTGCGCCGGCTTCAGCAGCCGCAGCGGACGCAGCGAATGCGCCGGCCGGGGCGGCCGAGCCGGCCGCTGCCGCGGCCGCTCCCGCCGCCGCCGCCTCGACGCTGTTTGTCGTCTGCGCTAAGAGCGCTACCGTGACTCAGCTCGGCAGGGGCAGGTGCGCGCCGTGCCCAATTCCGCTATACAACTCGGCCGGTGTGCAAGTGACGTATTCTCGCCACGGCTGTTGATTTGTCGTGTGAACGACTTTTTAGTCGGGTGGGTCACTCGTCAGCCCGATCCATGTGGTCACCCGGTGATGCTGGGGTTATGCCACGGCTGAAAACCAGCTAGGGCGCTGCAGATTTCTGCTTCAAAACGCAGTTTCTCATAACATGAATGCCTTGCAGGAATGCTTCCGTGGTGCTGGAGGGCGTGGATCCCTGGGCGACCTGGTTCACCGACAAGCCGGTGCACCGAGGCGGCAGAATAATGTCATCGCGATTCTTTGGGCCGGAGTTTCAGAACAATGGTAGGCGCTGGGCTCCCAACCTGCAACCTGCACCAATATTTGCAAAACCTTGAAATGCTTTCAACAGTCTGGTCTGTGGTAGCAACAAAACCAAACTGGACCGTGGGGCAAATCTCTTCCCTGAATTCTAGAAGAGAGGTTTGTGCTCGTCAAGTTGAGGCGTTTTGTCATGGACCTTGATGTCTTCTGTCTGGCTGGTTCCAGATGAATCCATGTGTGAGTGTGTTGATCCGCACTGTGTCACTGCAGGCTCTTGGATGCTCTTCCCAAACCTAGCACTGTACTCTGGGTGAGGCTCCTGGCTTTCTCTGATTCCAATCATGCCTGCATCCCCTATAATGTGCTGTAGCTGTGGCGCTGCATGCATCACTTGGAGCACAAATCCCTCCCTCTATTGTATTGTGCGCACCAGCAATCGTGCGTCACTTTCAATTGTGTGAAGCGCTTGAAACAGAAGCCTGCAGGCCTGCATGGCTATGGCTTTGTGCTTTACTTATGCTGACGATCGCTGCAGCTTACTCATCAGTGCTGCAGCAGCAGGATCACACAGTTTGTTAGTCATCCCTGTGGAGCAGAAGCTTGCTCATTTCGTGTATACACTTGCAGGGGATTAACAGGGACAAGGGAGCCAATTGACAGGGTGTTGATAATCACAGTGGGGTCCAACCCTGCTTACAGCAACTTCAGTGACTCATCCAGCATGCTGTCATCGATGTCCATTCTGTCCGATGGATCTGTCACATTCCCAGCCGTCACCCTGGGTAAAAGGTGAGCCGCCTGCGGGATCCACCCAACTCCTCATAGGACATGCTTACATCACACAGGTGTGCCAGTGTTGGATTTGATCATTTGCGTAGCACGAAGGAAGTTCTAGTGATCCCAGTGAGACGCATGTGATTCGGCTCTGGCCAGGCAATTGCTCATGTCTGCATTGCTAGCTAAGCATGCAAGAAGGCGGGAGTTTCATACAACGTGTTAAAAAACTTTGCCATCAGTAAGAAACACTGTCTCAGCTCACGCTCCGTACTCATCTGTGTCAGAATCATCTTGCCATCACCGGCACTTGTGAAAGATGGCCTTTGTGATCAAAGTCATCTCTGTCTGCCTTGGTGATTGCAGGCACCTGTATGCTCTGGAGATGGACTGAATTTGAGATGTGCATGCGCAGGGATATTGGCAAAGACACTGTGGCGGGCTACTACAGCAGCGTAAGAGGCACTTTCGCAGATGTGCCCACAGTTGTAAACGGCACAGCGATGGGACGCAGCAGAAACGCTGTCTTCTCAAACGTGGCACTCTTTGTGTGAGCCCCCTCATCCACCTCTGCTTCATAGGCACAGCTCGCATGTTTGATCCTGCATTAGTATCGGCTGGACCAGTCACAGCCATGATCTTACATCGGGATTACCTACAACAGTCAGAGCTAGAAATTCACCTTGGGATTGGCTACAACTGTCGCTGCTATATTCCTCAAGCCATCATGAGCAAGCTTGGCAGAAGCTTGACCATGGGCACCATAGTCAGTGCCCATACACACACTGTCTTACAGAGGAATTTATGATCAACAATGCTTTGCTGAGCCAGGAGAGCATCAAACAGGAAACAAAGGAGAATTATAGGCACAATGATACAGCTTACTGATCCTGTTGTAGGTAACACTGAAGTGCTGGATGTGTTGTGTTTTGCACAGGGAGACATCACTGTGTGGATGCAGCGTGCTGGGCACTTGTGGATGTCATAGTGCCAATGATGCACAAACCAGCGTCTAATTTCACAGCACACAGCGCTGCAGCAACTGCCGTTGAGCTCCTGAGCTGTGGTACAATGAAGTTTGAGCCACAGAGGGCAGATTTCTGGAGAGGAATAGTCGAAACGGCAACCACAAAAAGGCAGCAACAGGCGCAGCAAATGCTGCCAGGTCAGATAAGGGGTCTCACATGATGGAGTGGCACAGAATTGCCACCAAATGAGACCCGGGAGAAGCAAGCGTTTAAATGCACCCCTGGGAATTCAAATTCAAATTCAGTTTCTTGGAGTGGGGGTGCCAAACTGCTGCTGTCTGCCATTTTTCTTGGCCTTTCAAGTATTTGTCAGGCCAAGGCCCTGTGGGAAAATTTTGCCGCAAGGGAGAGAGGGATATTTCTGAGCACATCCTTTCAAATCTCTTATCCCCGATATGACAAAAAAGGGCGACCTCTTTTCTTCCTTGGCTCTTCTTGGTGTTTCTTTTCATCTCCTGTGACGAGGGTCGGTGCGTTTGATGCCAGCAATGCAGTTCTTGTATTTTATTAGATACCAGGGGCGCTTATGGCTAACTGTTCATTTTGGGGTTTCATTCGAGTTGAATCCGCTGTTCTGTGACGGACAAAGAGTTTTGATTTCATTCTGGACTGTGAAGACAGCCTTTTTGGGCAGTGAATAGGGAGAGCTCGTATGTGTTGTGTGACTGGGCTTGGCAATGACTCATGATTATGGGAACAATGGCATTTGGATGGTGCAACATCCATCCAAACTCCATGATGTTTGGGGTGTGTTTCAAATGTTGCTGCTGCTGTTTGTTTGCATCGGTGTTGTTTAGGTTGCTGGAAATGATGAGAGTTTGAGGTTGAAATCCTGAAATGCTGCAGGATAGTAGCATGCAATCCTCCCTGCATGCTACATCCCCATGGGGTGTGTACATGTGCCATGATGATTTTGGTGGTCACGAAAAAGTCTTTGTTGTTGAGAGTTGTGTGACAATTTGTGCCTGAGTGATGCCATGCGTGCGAGACTTGGCATATGGATGTCATATTGGAGACAGTCTGAGGTGTCAGTTTGTGTGCAAACTCAATTTTGTGTGCTGTGAGGGGCTGACCCTGAACAGCTGTCATCCGAGGTGCAGAGGAAGTCATTTGCAAATTGCCCGCTGCAGTCAAAAGTTATCAAAGTGGTGAGTAGTTATAATTCATGAAAGCAGCAAGTAAATGACGTTGATTGCAGAATTTGTGATAAAAGTATTATATGGACTGCTGTAGCCACGATACGTCATCTCAAGTTCTGAAGCCTCAAATATGCACGAGATGATTATTGTGCATGTCTGCAGCCTGCCCAACTTGCTAGGTCAGTTGTTGGCATGCTTCACTGAAGTGCTCAATCATTTGCTGAAAGTCACAACCGGTCTAGAGCTAGGGAAAATCCCCGCCCCATTGAACACATCTTGCAGTCCAGTTTATTGTCCTTGAAAAGTCCTTCGGTATCCCTATATTGCCTTCCTCTCTCCCTCTCACAACTCCTCTACTTCATACACTCCCTAAAAAACGACTAGCAGCCCAGAAGCAATACTTAGATCAGTGAGAGAGCTGCCAAGGCTATACTCCTTGCATGTGCTTGCCAGGCCTGACGGCCCGATCAAGCTGACACCGCCCGAACTGGTAACATAGATATGCAGTATAGTGTAACAGCGTGCTCCGCCTACAGGTCATCGGCTTACTAATGACCAGGGGATCACACAATCTGGTCACATGGACTTTTTGCGTGCCGGCAGCGAGCCAAGTCGCGGCGACAGCATCGGCCGCGGCGAATTCTGCGGCGAGGCGAGGCCGTTTGGGTACCGGAAATAGGTCCAAACGTTCGCCATGTAGTTTGACAGCGACCACACCTGCAGCAGCACGGGCAAGCTGAAATGCCCAACCAACTGATCATTTTGTATCCACAGGAATACATGACACAGGAAAGATTTTACAAATGTATCCCAGCGGCTGTTGAACAACAACGCTATGCTGGGCACCAGAAAGCCTAAATTTGCAAGATTCGTCACCGCTGCACACTATGCGACAGCTCATGCATTGCTACAAGTGGCAATTGTTGCAGTCTCAATACATGCGGCGATTTCCCTCCTAGTCGCATGGACACGCGTTTGATACAGTCAACTCTGGATCTGACCAGCTGATGATGCACCACAACAAGAGTAACTGCCCCGCTCTTCAGTCTGCACCCAACGCGCACCTCTGAGTGGCTTGAATGCCCTCAACCTGCCCTGTTCCGAAGACACAGCAAAGAACTCTAATGTGTGCTGCAACCTAATTCAGCACCCCTGAAGGGTGAGAAACACGCGCGCACCGCCAGGAACGCCCCCGCCCAGAGCACGATGAGCGCCGCGCGGGCGGCCCAGTGCAGGGCCTCTAGCACTTCCTCGCTGCGCCCCAGAACATTGTGCGCCTTGTGCAGCAGCAGCAGCGCGCTCAGCGCCGCCATCTGCAGCGCTGTCTTCCACTTGCCCAGCGAGTTCACCTTCACCGCCTGCGCAGCCGTGCATGCGGATCAGAAATGAGTTCAAAGTGCCCTGCGCGGAGCTCACGATCTTGGCGGAGCGCATCTCCTGGCACATATAGAAGCAGGCCTCTCAGGATCTGCGAGAGGTTTCTGCACAGTTACAGGAGCCATAAGACGCCCCTGCCTTTGGCTGACACACCCATCCCCAGCACAAAAAGAGAATGCACACCAGCTGCATGGCTGCCTCCGTAAGAACAATCACCGCAGGTCAAAGGTTGCAAGCGCATGCACGGAAAACGATGGAGGGACTCCATGGACCACTTGGAGCATGCAGCGCACAAGCCTGTCACCAACGGCAGCTGCAGAAGCTCGTTGTGCATTCATCAACGAGCTTGGTGCTCCCGATTGTGCCTGAGCCACTACCGCAGGGGGGCAATGTACCACACGCAGGGAGACACAGACGCAGGCTTCTGCCTCGTCACCAGGCATTGTGAATGCAACATCTCCCCGCAATCCCCTCAAAGGACCGCCCCATACTTAATACGGGCCCATTCACACACATCTCCCTCTTTCAGAAGATGACGATTGGGAACCTCAATGGAGAATTGCAGATTGCAAGGAAGAAGTACCTTGTGCGCGCCGCCTCCGGATGAGGCGGCCCACTCGCGCAGGGCGCTCATGGTGATCTCCCGCCCGATCATGATGACTACAGGGATCGCTAAGTCCTTGTGACTAAGCGGCTCTGGTGGCGACACAGCCAGGAGCACCAGCACTGTGGACACCATGATCTTGTCCGCCACCGGGTCCAGAAACGCCCCAAACGCCGTGGTCACTTTCATCTGCGCGCGCACCCCAGGACAGCATTTCGGTTCATTTCTCCAGGATGTACCCAATTTATTTCGGAAGCCACCCCGCGCATATGAAGCGGGTTTCCAGGGGCATTGCTGCTTGTGCGCGGTTGCAAAAAACCACTGACTCATCCCATGCATGACAGAAGAATGCACATGCCCACATGCTACTGAGGGCAACCATGCACAAGGCATATGCCCTTTCCTGACGAAATGGTGATCACATGATCATCTCTTCACAACCCACTGGTTATTGTGACGAGGAGTTCTTGATTCTGGGTCCTGTGCCGTGCATGCAGAGAATTTGTGGACTAAATCGCAGCCCCATGGCATGTGTAAGCAGGCTGCACGCTGCCTGCTTGTGCCATGCGCGCTGTAATTGGGTGCCTCATCTGGTTGCTATTGACGAGAGGAATACACACCCTGCGCGCAAGGTAGCCGTCGGCCCAGTCGGTGATGGCAGCGACTATGAAGGTGATGGCCGCCATCAGAGGCGCCAGCCGGTGGGGATGGAACCAGAGCACGACTAGTACAGGCACCAGCAGGACCCGCAGGAAGGTGAGCAGGTTTGGCGCTGTCAGCAGCGGCTGTGCCTGCCTGCTCTGCTGCTGCAGCACGCCTGAGGGCCGCTCCTCCCTGGCCCGCTGCCTGTAGTAGTCGCTGCGGCGGTCTATGGGCGAATCCAAGGATTCCTGCAGGTGCAGATTGTGGCTGTCACGTGTGGTTCATGCAAAGTGCAAAGCAATCACGGATGAAAGATCATCGTATCACTGCCGATGCATTAAATGAAGTAGACATTCGCTGCATCACAGTGAATGTCCTGCTGGTTTTGGACGTGCTGAGCAATCGCGAAGGCTGCAACAGGCTAAGATGCGTCGAACACGACAGAAGAGTACAGTGATCGCTCAAAAGAAATCAAAGATAATTCGTGAGATTCACTGCATTAGATTCGAAAGGTGCGCTCACTTCAGGGCTGACTCCAAGCAAGGGAATCCTCTGGATGGGAGGGCCTGGTTTGCTGCCCATGCTGGTGGCAGGGCGCCACCAACGCTTCTCTTACGTAATTACAGCGATGTCAATACTTGTCTGAACTACCTAACTGGTTTCTAAGGGCCCCTTCTCTTTACTAGTCGCAAGTAGCCACCGACCTAGGTTTCGCTAGAAGGCAGCAGATCGTAAGGCGGGCACCTAACCCGAGCAAGGTCACCCTGCAAGTATTTATATGGGTCAGTAAACGATTGGACTCTGTAAACATCTCCAGGATCACCATTTGGCCATTTCGCGGCTTTTGGAGATTTTCATATGACGACCCCTGTCATGCACATCTAGGGTTGTGAACGTAACCCTATCTCTGATGTGCATTGCGGCTGCGCTGCAGAATTTGCAAAAGAGAGGCTGCCAAGAGGTGCAAGCAGCAGCCCGGACGCGTGGGATAGTGTTGGCAGACAGCAGACACCATGCCGCCCGCCGCTGCAAAGAAGTCTGTGAGTTTCAGAAGTGGATTTCTCCTGGTTGCCTGTCACAAAGAAGCTTCACTGGGCTTGTTTGGATCAGATCGCAACATCGCAGCCTTGAAAGTGTATTCACAGTCAGAAAATTCAGAAGCTGATTAGCAAGGGATGTGCCCCAATCTTACCTGCTGCTGTATGTGTCTGTGCAGAAAAAGTCCCAGGAGGGCATCAACACAAGGCTCGCCCTTGTGATGAAGAGTGGGAAATTCACACTGGGCACAAAGACTTGCCTAAAGTGCTTGAGATCAGGCAAAGGTGAGATGCCTTCTGTCTTGGAGCCGAAGGGACAACTACCGAGTTCAGCCACACTAGGAGGAGCAGCGATCACTGTTTACAGCTCGCAGCAGCCATTCTGCTACGATAACGTTGGATGTACATGGATAAATGGCAGCCTGGAGTGCACATATAAGCGAATTAGTCAGGCTGAGAGTTTTCCTGTGGAGGATGCTCACCGATTTAGTATATATATGTACTGATTTTGGTGCTGTTTGTGTTGCTGCAGCCAAGCTGATCATCATCAGCAACAACACACCCCCGATCAAGAAGTCTGAGATCGAGTACTACGCCATGCTCTCAAAGACTGGCGTGCACCACTACACTGGAAGTGAGTTGCTTTCCTACCTTTCCACCCAGCCTATAAAGGATTTGGCGATCACTTCAGAGATGCATTGGACTCCATGACTGCAGTCATTTGCACTTTTTACTGTGCATGTGTATTATATTGCTCAAGTATCCACCCATTTGTTGATGATCAAAGAAGTGGTGTCTGTGGTGACTTGTTCTGTGCACGTTGATTGTATTAATATGCATATTCACAGTTGCTGGTGCTCCTGCAGACAATGTGGAGCTTGGTACAGCCTGCGGAAAGTTGCATCGTGTCTCAGTGCTTGCCATCACAGATGCAGGTGCGCTGCCTTTCCCTCCTGAGCCAAGGCTGCACTGCTGCCTTGATGTTGCTGTGTGCTTCAAAGGGCGCTTTGGTGCTGTGGAAGAGGCGGCTTGTGCACAGTATCGTATTTATGGCGCGTCAGCAGAGAGCATCTTGCCTAATGCGGGTGGACAATGGCTCTGTATCCGCATGGGTCACTAATGCTAATGCATGTTTGTATCTTGCAGGTGACTCTGACATCATCAAGGCGACCCCCAACGAGTAAATGCAGCCTCAATATGCGTTACCAGATGCACAGCGGGTCTTTTTTGGCGTGTTGTTGTCAGATCAGACAGCAAGCCTTGGCTCGGCTGGAGAGCAGATGGTAAGGCTCAGCCAAGTAGAGGTCATGCGACTGAGCCATTGGGAGCCATGCTGTTGCGGATGGGATCATTGTTTCTTTAGTTCTATTGGGACACCTCTGCTGAGCATGGCATCTGAAGCCCTTACCTACAAGTGACTGCTGTAACAATAGGAGATTTGGCCCATTAGTGAGAGAGGCGGCAGCATCAGGCGACAAAATTTGCGACTACTGCATAGCTCTTGCCTGTCACAAACATGGGCATGCACATCATGAAGACATGGAGGCATTCAGAGGTGCAGATTGCACTAGGTCACACTTGCGCCGCGCAAGTCCACGTGTGGGCTGTTCCACCTCAGGTGGCTGGTGCATGCACCGATGTGTTACCCAAATCATTGGCTTTGCCTGCATATGGACCATTTAATATGCATTGCAGCTCCAGCTTCTTCACCAAATGCAGTCCACACATACACAGAAAGTAGCGCATAGAAGGAGGGCTTCAGTCACGGGTCACACCAATGGAGGGTTCGCCGCCCACTGGCCGAAAGGGGTTCCAGGCTGGCGGTGGCAACTGCTCTCGAGCTCCTGCACGCGACTCAACATCGAGAACCCAGCAATTTCGGTCTCAATTGAACTGCTTGGAGTCTTCTCAAATATAACGACAAATCCGTCCAGAGCAGACGGAAGAAATGGCGGAGAACGGCAAGGGAGAAGAGATCAAGGTGTGTGTCTATCGCCTGGTACTCGAAAAGTAGCCATTGCTGTATTTCAAAAAACATGCCCTAATGTATGGTGGAGCTTTCAATGTCAAATTTGACTCTGACGCACGTAGTTGTTAAGCAACAAACCGATCTTTCTGCACTGTAATGTGTTGATGGTAACTTTTTTGCTCCATTTCACATGTTGAGATTATGGAGGATGTGAGACCATGGGAATTACAACATCTGACTTCCATCAACCATCAAGTCGAGAGCATCGCCGGTCGTTAGCAAAGCGTGGGCTTCAGTGACGAGCTGGACCCTGTTTTGCGTGCGTAGGCATCATCCCCTTCACCAGTCTTTGGATCGGCGTCTACTTTCGGTGCTGGTACTGGGTTTGGTGGATTTAAGGGCGTGGGCGCCGCGGCATCTAGCAGCCAGGCTGAGAAGCCTGAGGATGACACGCCTCCTGAGGAGGGAAGTGGTGAGACGGAGGAGGAGTGCCAGGCCGAGTTCAGACCAATTGTGCAATTGGAAGAAGTCGAGCGCGTCTCTGGCGAGGAGGGCGAGAAGACTCTTGCTGACTTGTACGCTCCTTCATCCTAACCAGTCTGATTGCTGCATTTGCTGCTCATTTTCGCATATGCATGTGCCATTATCTGGCTGAGATGTAAAGGTTCCCATCTTTCACATCTTCGTAATTTTTCCTGAAAGTCTTTTCTCGAGTGACCCTTGAAATAGCTCTCTGTAGGATCCCGTCCTTACCAGCATGCGTGTGCCTGCAGCAAGAGCAAGCTGTACCGCTTCGACAACGACTCTGGGGAGTGGAAGGAGCGTGGCATTGGGCAGGTGAGGCTGCTGGAGAGCAACGACACCGGCAAGATCCGCCTGCTCATGCGCCAGGAGAAAACCCTCAAGATCCGCGCCAACCATTTCGGTGCGTTACTGCCCCCTGGCAGATAATATAGGGGCTGCTGTGCCCGCTGACTTTGCACTTCACCAATGATTTTCAAGTTCACACAAGCTGCCCTATGCTTGTGGAGCCTGACATTGTTGGCATGATTTGCCCTCAGTCAACTGTCACCTGCAAATCGTGCAGGAGAAATGCGATGCAGTTGACTTTGTTGCAGATCGGCCCTGCTCTGAAGCTTCTTGATAGCTCCTTCACCCTGCTCTTGCTGTGGCGCCGGTATTAGTGCCATGCCAGACTCCCCTATGCACTTGTGCGTCAGGCAAACTTCGCTGCACGCCCTTCCGTGCACCATATCCTGTGTGATTCATGCATCTTAATACCTTCCCTATTTCTTTCTCTTGTGGATTAGATAATCGCTCACATGGCGCGTGCTGGTGCCCTGCAGTGATGCCCGGCACGAAGCTGCAGGAGCACAGCGGCAGCGAGAAGGCCTGGGTCTACTCCACTGTCGACTTTGCCGACGAGGAGCAGAGGCCTGAGCTCTTCTGCTTCCGCTTCTCCAGCATAGAGAGTGCGCCCCTCCTGACTTTTTAATTAAGTTTTATGCTTCACCAAGTCAGGGCGTATTTTGAGTGTCTGATGACGACTTTTTGTGCTCTGTGGACCTGCTTGCTATCGTCAGGGCATGCATGGTTGTTCCAGGCATTGTGGTTGCCTAACACAATGCGCTTTGTCTCTCTGCTTCCTGAACGTGGCACGATGTCTCGCGTGCTGAGGTTATGGCAGCTGAAAAGAAACAAGTGCAACGGCAGCTTCAGCCCAGTGCAGAGGTCACGTCTTTCTGAGTTGATTATTTGGCCTACGGCTTTATGCGTCAACGTTGCAGAGTGCCAGATAGGTTGCTGGTTGCCTGATGGTGGACTCCGTCAATGTTGCATGAGTGTCAGGTCTTGCTGAGCTGGCTGTTTGGCTGACGGCAGGGGCCCAGGAGTTCAAGAAGAACTTTGAGGACGCGATGGCGCACAATGAGAAGTCCCTGGCTGCAGACGAGGAGCAGGGCGAGAGCCCTGGAGAGGAAAAGGAAGAGGCAGGGGCCGCCAAGGCAGAGCACGCAGCCAAGGAGGCTGCGGCAGACGAGCTTGCCGGCAAGGTCGGACAGGTCAAGGTGTCCGAGGAAGATGACAAGTCGAGCCAGGCCTGATACATGGCTGAGTCATATCAGTGCCAAGGGCAGGACGTGACGGGCTTGATGAGACAGTAGATTGCTCAGATGGCTGCCTTGCCCCCTGGCAGGGTCAGAGACAGAATGTGGAATTAGTCGTGGCTCAGGTGCAGACGTCAGCAAGAGCCGTAAAGCAACTATTGCAGTGTCATGCGGCGCTTGGCTGCTGCCAACAATCTGCCGCGCCGGGTGTGCTTGGGAAACCTACCCTGTCGCAGAACAGGTTTGTCCCGTAAGACCGCAGGATCAGTGGCGGCTGGCAATCAATATTTGCTGATTTGGTGAGGCAGATTACACTCTGGTGTCGGCTGTGAGGATGGATCTGTTTCTTGGTGTGTGTGCCTGGGTGCTGGGTTTTTTTCTGATCCCCTGCATGCACATGGGCGCACCTTGCTTGATGTGTGGGGTAATATGCTGGGTGTGCCACAACTGTGGCAAACATCTTGGTGTGTGATTTGTCAGTCCTTGTCTTGTGGTGCAGAAACTGAGAATAGCCTTGAATTAGACATGTTGTGTCTTCCTTGGGTTAGGAGGGATGAAGGGTGGGTTTTGGGACGTCTGTAGGGGTATTGTGTGCCAATCGAGGCGGCTGCATGTTTGATGACTCAAATCACTCAAGGAAATCTTATATCACCCGTAGGAATAAAGAAGAGCAATGCTCTGACCCAACAGCATTACAACCAAATGAGAAGGTATTGCATGCATCTCAGTAAGTCTAATATTGCATTTGAAGCTTCTACATTTTGTCCTCCTCTGTCCAATTATTGGCCTCCATAACTGTCCCAAACTGTTTTTAAGACTGGAAAAAGATACGTGGTGCTGCATTTGCAGCATTCGCAATTCTTGCCCACACACAAATTACATGCAAGGCCCTGCAACATCCCACACATGGGATGCCATATGCATCACCGCTTAAGCTTGGGCGATTCTTGCACGGGCACTTCATTTGCAGGGCGCGCTGAGCCGACAGCAGCTGCAGCTCCACCTGTAGAGCATTTGCATAGAAACATCATAGACTCGGCATCTTTGCACGAAACTTATTGCTACCCCATAGGCAGGAACAGCTGCTGTGTCATAAATATGAGTTGGTGTCATGATGGTGCTTTGAAGAGAAGGTAGGAGAGACCCACCTCCCACTGCCAAGAGGCCAGCCCCCTTAGCGAGGCCACCCAAGCCACCTCCACTCTTCACCACCATGGCAGCTTTCGATCCCAGCGCCAGCATGCCGGCACCCATAGCCCTGAAGCAATAGCAACCGAGCGATATATTCTGCAATTCTGAGTACCGTATTGTCTAGATAGATTTACAGAAGGTCCTGTGCGTGAAGACACTGTTGTGAGAATTTAATTTGTGGTCTCTTGAATTGTGAGACAAATAGCAGAATACCTAAGCACGACGCCCAGCTTGTAATCCCCCATGACCTCTTCAATTTCTTACCTTACGCTGGTTTGACACCAGTGCTTCACATGAAAACTTCTACAACATGTAATGTACTGTTGAAATTTCTCGTATGGAGACAGGTGCTGTTCGATCTACAGGTACGATGAAAAGTCTGATCCGATCGGTGCAAGCCACTTCTGAAACTTCCTTTTGCAGCACGGCACAGTCTAATATGGTTTCAGATTCCAATCTCTCTTCAATATTCCTTCCAAGAAAGAGTGATAACAGTGCATGCTCCAGGAAATGTGTTGGGCAATCGGGAGCAGCAGCTTCCTCGCTCTGGGAAGCTAGAAACTTTACGCGACCTCGCCGTCAAATGTGCATCTTTCTGTCTCCTCTCCGATCGGAGTATTCCTTGATATACCAGTACATATATCGCAGATCTACAATACACCTGAACAATCCGTACAATCTAACAAGGCCAATACGTGTTTCTGAAATGGTCCCCTTTAGCTTTTCTCAGCTGCTTTTGCGATCGAGGAGATAACAGCAGAGATTTCTTGAATATAAATCTAATGAATATTGTGCAGTGGTTTTGAGCGCGCAACTCGATATGAATAGTGTATGTGAGCTTGTTGGCTGGCGACTGCTGCTGTCTACCTTTTCAGAGGTTGACAGCAGACTCCTTGAAGATGAGGCATTTACATGTCAGGGTGAGCAACTGTAACCTCCAGAATTCTAATATCGATCTGACTCCGCCATTCTGACACTCATTCTAATGTGAAGTGTAATCGCTCGTCCTGCCCACCTAGCCATCGGTTGAGCTGGTTGGTTCATCGAGACTTTGTTCAGGAGTCTTGCAGAGTAAAACATTTCGTCAGCTCTGCATGTGTGCAAGCCTAGTGCGACTAAGCTCTTCCCTGCTGAGATGCATGCGTATTCACCGCTGAGAATTCGAGCCTCGGTCTTGACATGTTGCCTGGATTGCTGCAGACACAGCTCTGGAAGAGGCGCTGAACGATGTCCTTAAGGGTCAGTACTTGGCAGCACTGCAATCAGAGCCAGCTAAAAGGCTGCTTAGGTCAGCAGTGCAAAGCAGGCCACAAGGCGACACGGAGCTCGATGCAGATTCATTCTTCCAAGCGCTTGCCGCCTCGGTCAATGACACACAGGTGAGAGGTCTTGCATAGGCCCATCTACAAGCAAACACACAGTGCAGCTGCTTGAGCACGGATCGGTGAGAGGGGCGTTTTCTGAAATTATTTGATTGTGGCGCAGGATGAGAGGGCATCTGGTACTCAGCTCCTTGTCGCAGTGGCGGCATTGCTGGTTTTCCTGCAAGCCAATCTTACAGGGTGAGGGTTGTTCCTCCAACTGAATCACCTCAGTTGAAGTAGCAAATATTTGTCCTTGGGGACATGGTGGCTGGACCCAGCCGTTGAGGAGCTGTTGAATGACAAGGTGACATTCACAGTAGATATCGCGGATGCGCCAGCGGGGGCGGAGGGGTTTGTGTCAGAAGTTATTGTGCCTCCCTTGGTTTGGTACCAAAAAGATGATTACCTCGTGTTTGTGTACGAGCTGCTGGTCCATCATTTCGATCCTGAGACCTTACGGCTATGTGGCAAGGAAATCGCCTACGCGTCTCACTCGTGTAGCTCTGCAAGTAGCTGTCTCTTAGCTCAGTGCGCCGCAGGTGGCCTGGTTTCATGACCCTCCTTGGCTAGCAAGCATGAGTGTGTGTTCCTGCCGCAGGCCGATAAATGAGAAAGTTCCCGAGACTGTGGCGGACCTTGCAAGCGGGGCTGACTTGGGGCATGAGACGCCAGCTCAGCAGCGCCCTTTGGGCACAGAGACCGTCTCACCAGGTGTGATTTACATGCAAAACACCCTTCGCCTGATCAAACCATCTCAGCAACATTGCTGTAAGTCACGTCTGGCTCCAGCACAAAAGAGGTGTCGAGCAACAAGCGGAGTGTATTGGGACCGTGCAGGTGACAGGTGGGCAGTGGCTCAGCTGAGTGCGAGCGGAGAGGATGTGGTTGGCCACTTGAAAAAGCCGCAGTATCTTCTGCTTGCCAGGACCCTGCTTCTGCCCCCGCTTGGTGCGTGCCATCTCGCAAACACATCTTCAGGCTACTGTTATAGCGCGGTGATTGTGATGGTTGTGAATCCTGACCCTAGATGCTCCAGAGCTGTCTGCAAAGAGGGATACAGTGCTGCAGATCCAAAGAAAGCCACGCATATATTGAAGCCAGATCTGACACCTCGTCTGCATGCATGCAGGGCTGGAGTCCACGGAGGGAGGCACCGACGAAACAGAAGCTTCCGGCGCAGCTCCCGGGCAGCTTCAGGGAGCGGGCAGCATCGGCGCGCCCAACGGGCACAGCGGGCAGCTGCAGCGGCCGCTGCCGTGGCTGTGGTGGGCCGCGCGCGTTCTGGCGGTGCAGCAGAGGGTGTTATCGGGGCCTGCCGCCAGCCTGCAGTCCGGCCTCTCCCAGCTCATGCCTCAGGCGAGTGTGTGATTCTGGCTCACTGATGAATATCACGCGCCATTCCTGCCAAGTGGCATGATGCGCCTGCCGACAAGCTACACATCAGACCGCCAGAATCAGACCCGTTGTTGGACGCGCCGGATCCAAGCAAGACCCGATTAGCCGTGGGCACGATGCTCAGCATTGGTGCTGGCCCCCTCAGTCATTGGCCCTGTTGAGATCTATATATACAAGCAGCTTGCCCATGTCTGCTGCCCTGCAGCAGTGTGGAGCTTGGGCTGATTTGTACTCTGATGACAGCTTGTGACTTTGCGATCAATGTCAACAAGGAGTCAAGGCGGTCTTTTAATTTCCCTGCTTGCATAAATGTGCGCAGCCCTGAGGTGTATCTGCTTCATCAGAGGTCTGCGTACTTGGGGATTTTCCATGAAGCAAGTGTGCCTCACCGTGTAAGTAAGCAGGGGACCTCAATGTCCGCCAGAAAATTTTTCCAAGGGCTTCCATGTAGACATCATGCAGTGCTGGCATCTTGAAAGCAATCATTCTTGACTGCAGGTGATTGATGGGCTACAAGCAGAGAAGCTGCCGGGCGAGATGCATGCAGCAGCTTCCCGGCTGGAGGCAGCTGCGCACCTGGAGGCAGGTGCCCGAGATCACGATGTGGGCCGCGTCGCTGACGCCGAAGGGCACCTGGAAGCTGCCGGGAAGCTTCTTGGCACCGAAGTGGAGGTCACTGGTGAGTATGCATCGGTTTTTAGGGGCGTTCATAGGTTGGGGAATTAATCCCCTGTTGTCCAGCACTTTAAGCAACTAAGTTATATTCGCCGTCTTTATGGACGCTCCACAACATTCTCGATGCAGTGGGAGGCCTGGTTGGCCATCTCTCTGTGTCCATGCAGCACGAGATAAACCCTCGAGGGGGCAACCGGCTAAATACTGTCATAGATGAAGGGGTCTGAACGGCTTGAGCCGTGTGCGGTTTGAGCCTAAATATAGTAGAAACAGCCATAGGTTAGGCTTGAGTGGTCTGTGTATGCACCAGGCTTTCTGCCTGACCTCAGTGTTGAATTGTACATGCTGATTCAGTACCAAGAAAGCAGGCCGGTCCTCGGCTAGATTACATCATTGCGAGTTGTGCTTTACTTGTCAATGAGCTGTCCACCTTCGACTTCCGCCATCTGGACCTTGGATCAGAGATTCTCTGAAGAGACCATGAAGTTTTGCTTTCACTGCGAAAGGTTTGGTGGTAATGTGCATCGCATTATGAAAGCATGACCATTCTTCCATTGACAATGTCAATCTCCCTTCTTTTGTTGAGATGGTGGAAGTCGACCTGGAATTCTCGGTAAAGGCAGGCAGATAATAGTGGGAGCTTCTATGCGCAATTAGTAAGGCATGTGCCGGCAGGTGCGATGGGGGTGAGAACGGTGCACCAGAAGGACGCGTGGGCGCAGCTGGTGGTGAAGGCCATTTGCTCATCGGTGACTACCGACGACTCTGCACCCGATGACTCAGCGGCTGACAGCGGCGACGAGGCGGAGTGGCTCGACGCGGCGGCGGCCGGCAGCTTAGTCAGCGGCGAGGGCGGCGCCAGTTCAGGCGAGGCGCAGCGCAGCGCGCAGCAGAATGTGCGCAGCGTGGAGATGCAGGGCCTCAGCAGCGATTCGGACGTGCTGCCTGTGCCCCGCTTCGTCAATGCAGAAGGTGCGTTGGGGTTCTCGGTCTTGCAAGTTGACCATGAGGACAGATTCAATGACTCTGTCTTCATGGGGAGCAGCAGAGTCTTTATCCTATGCATGAGTGGCGAAATCGCCCAGGTTGCATGGACTGGGAGGTCTTCGTTCCTTAAGATCCTGTTGAGCTTGAAGCGTCAGAGTTCCAAGCACTCAGGAAAGCAAGGAAGGTGACCCCCGCAACCTTGCTCGGTAACGTTATCAGTCTGCGGGCAGAATGATATGCAGAGCAGCTCTCCATGCACCAGGCAGGCAGCACATGCTCCTAGGAACCCCCCTCTCCCTTTATTGTGGCATGCTTGCATTTCTTTCAAGCCGGCCTGTGGGCTGTCACGGCTCGTCTTGGTAGCATCTGTCTTTTTCTCTTTCCAGCTTCCTCGCATTGTGTGCACCTGCGAAGCGTTGGCTGCCCTTTTTGGGCAGGCGGGGAGGAGGCGGGCAGCCGGCTGGGCAGCGGGCAGCAGGCGCTCCTGCTGGGCCGAGCGCAGGCCGTGCACCGGGGCACGGCGGCCGACGAGCTGCGCGCATGGCGCATGGCACCTTATATCGACGCCGTGCTGCAGCAAGAAAGGTCCCGGTATCTCCTGCGCTCCTCTGCGCGCCTGCTGCGGTGCGCTGCTCTCCCACAAGAGAATATACACAAAACTGAATGGCTATAATTAAGAGAAATCCAAAGTGATGGGAAACACCCTAGATGCTTCTATCTATTGCAGGCACTCCAAATGAGGGTGTCAAGACTCTATCAGACACCTGGTGGCGCCCACTTGCACAGATAATTTCAGGCCTTCTAGCATCTAGGGTGATTTAACCGCTGTTGCCCACGGTGGATGCATTGTGGCATGGCTTGGGAACGGAGCACCATTTCCACACAGTGATTTTCCCGCCCATCCTTGCTCTTTCGGAAGCCCCAGACAGAAGCGGAAATGCTACTCTGCTGAGAATCGCAATAGAGCTGGTATGATACTGTTGTAGCTGCAGCACCTCTTGGACGCCTAGCTGATGGCACTTTTCTTCAAGGCAATTTCTTAAACAGCATTGCTCTAGATATTTTTTCTTTCAGGAAAGTGATTTGCCCCACGATCTAGTGTGGAGTTGCTACCACACACCAGACTGTTGAAAGCATTTTAAGGTCTTGCAAATCTAGCATCTACATGCCCACCATTCAGCAGCTCGGCTGTCAGTGGTGAGCATCCCCCTCTCAAGAAAATAAGGATACTGTTATGATTCTCTGATGTTGTAACTGCAGGGCGCGGCACGAGAGGGAACGCAACAGGACGCGCGAGCGCGCACTGTTGTCGCTGCAGCAGGTTGTGGAAGCCACCGAGCAGCAGCTCCCAGCGCCCAGCCACCGCATGAGGTATGCATGCCTTTCCAGTCCCATCTAGATAGTTGACAAGCTCCCGCCAAAAAACCACCTCGCACAAAACGTTTCCCTTTGCCGAATCAAAAGGCTGCAATCAGCAGCAAGCGCAGCAAGAGGGGGGAGAGTTTCCTTGAAGGGAGCTTAGTTCTGTCTGTGTTCTGTCTAAGACAGGCTTCTAGTGATGTGCGTCTCTTGAGGGCATGGCCAACATGTGCTGACGTGCGAAACACTGGCGGATGCTCCCCCATATCATCAATCGGGATTCCTCCCTATACACTACGGATCCCTCTTACGGAGCCAGCACACATCGGATGGCTTATTTGGCAGCATCCCTGAAGTAGGACTTGTGATCAAGCCTGAAACGGATTCTCATAAATATAGGATGCCGGATGCAGGCACGCCTTCAGCGTGAGATTTCCGATGGGCCCATCACTGCGCAAGGAGTTGGGCGAGCAGCTGATAGCGGCGGGACTGGTGGGCAGTGCGATGGATCTGTTTGAGGAGCTGGAGCTCTGGGACGCACTCATCCTGTGCTACCGGCTGCTGGAGAAGAACGTTCAGGCTGAGGAGCTTGTGCACCGGCGGCTCGAGGTGCGCCATGGACTGGCCTGACAATTCCACTGTGCCTTCCAGAATATCGGTCGGATTTTTCTTCAGGCACGATTGAGCGGATGGTTGCGCATGCATACACGGTGAGAAAATGAAAATCTGCTGCAAGGTGAGCGTGCTGCAGCTCAGAGGGAATGGCAAGCAAGGCCGGGGGTTCTGCCAGATTGTCATAGTTCATTGCATTGCCCTGGAATGACCTCAGCTAGCTCAGCATGGAGGGTTGCCGTCCATGGTGTACGCTTTCATGTTCGTGGCAAGTGTCACATCTCCTGCGTCTCAGTCGGGCCGATTTGAGGTCCCAAGCACTGAGAAGCAGCCCTATCCAGGCACAAGAGTGGGGACAGCTGCCGGGTGCAGACGGGTGCTCATTTGTTTTGCGATAGCATACCTCTCGTAACACGTGCTATCGCATGCATGAATACGAAAATATGCATGGTGCTTTTGCCGAGAGAGGCACGGCATGAGAACAAAGGGGAGTGTGTGCGAGTCAAGCTAATGAAGAATTCACCGGACTTGGAAGTGTGATTTGTAATTCGCCAGGCAGGGCGGTATACATACTGAGCACAGTGCCCACGGTTGATTGGGTCTTGTTTGGGGTCTGGCGAGTCCACCAGGGGTAGGATTTGGCAGCCTTCACATGCAGCTTGTCTGCATGTGCACCTTGCCTCTGGCAGGAAAGGCATGTAATAATAAGAAGAATAATATGAAGTTTTATTTGTTTCGCGCAGGTGACGGCGGACGATGCGCGGCTGTGGTGTGCTCTGGGGGACCTTACCCTAAAAGAGGAGCACTATGAGACGGCCTGGCAGCGGTCCAGTCACCGCAGCGTCCGTGCACAACGTTCCCTCGCACGCAGCGCGCAGCGTGAGAAAAACTACGAGAAGGTGCCGTCCTTCTGCTTTTATTATTATCATTTATTCCACGCTTTTCCTGCCAGAGGCAAGGTGCGTCTGCAGACATGCTGCAGGTGAAGGCTGCCACATATTCAGTTTTGTACCGCCCCCCGCCAGCCGGGGCCCTTCTTCTGCTTTGTCTGATCATATCCCCTGGTAGACAGTGGTATGGAAATGCAGTGATGTTTGCCGCTCAGGTTGCACTGTCCTTGCATGGATGTGGACCTGTCGTTTGGCTGATCAGAGGACTGTCCTTCCCTGTTGTGGCGGGCTCAAAGGCTTCCATGGTCTCTCAGGCCTTCCTGCAATGCTCATCAGCATCTCAGGACGCCAGGAAGATCTTGGAACACTGTTGGGCGGGTTGCCACAGGAAAGACCAATCCATGGGTGTATCTGTGAAATATACATTACCATCCGCAGGCTCTTGTGGCTCGTGTCGTACTGGAAGTACAGCATGCGAGCAGACATGCAGCAACTGCTCGGTGAAGGTCTCATAACAGGATGGCAAAGGGCCCTCACATGCAGCTTCAGCCCTGCTGATCCGGTTCCACTACACAAGGTTGACTGGGAGCTTTGCCTGGTCACAGGCATGGTGCAAGGGTCCCTTCGGGGGGGCCTGAATCCCATTCAAATCAAATTCAAATATGGTGTACTTACACTGGCTAATTACTTTGCAATCACAATGCGCAGGCGGCAAGTCACTGGGAGCTGGCACTGGCGGTGAATCCGCTGCACTCGGAGGGCTGGTTTGCGCTCGGCTACTGCTGCATAAAGGCGAGCAACTTCGGCCGCGCGCTGCAGGCGTTCAGCCGCGCCGCGCAGCAGGAGCCGGAGAATGGCGATGCCTGGAACAACCTGGCAGCCATCCACCTGCAGGTGCCTCCTGGGCCCTCTTTCGATTTCATTATGAGCATGGCCCAGCAAATCTCGTCTTCCAAGACCCCTGGAAAAGGGACCTTCCATGTTGACATCGCAAGCTTTCAAGGTTGCAGACAAGCAAGATCGATGGTTGCAGAGATCTAGAACTGGGTGTGTTGCCCTGTCCCGGCTCTGGGATGCTGTAATGGCTTTATGGCACCAAGGTCCTGCATGATGTGAATGCTTTAAGTAAACCTGGGAACTTCCCCAGTGGGAACACTGGAGGTTTTTTTTGGTTTGGTCAAAGTAGAGGAAAATGGCGATGCCTGAAACAACCCGGCCGCCATTCACCTGCAAGGTTGCCCTGCCCCTGCTCTGCTGGGCTGCTCCCAGGGACTTTTGACACCAAATAGACAGTTGGGGGTTATCCATATGCAGGTGCTGGGCAGCTGGGCCCTCTTCCTGACGTCAAGCTCACCTTTCAAGTTTGCACACATAAAAAATGGATGGTTCCAGAGAGCCAGATACTGTGAGTGTGTCGCGGTCCGCCCTCTGCTGGGGCTGCTGTCAGGGGTCTATAACACCAATGTCCTGGATTGATCTGAAACTCTCAGATACATCTCGGGACACTGGCGATTTCCCGGTGCTGGACTTGGGAGGATTCGTGGGTTTTGCTGAGTGACAGTTGTAGCTCTGCGTGCATGTAGCAAGAGCAGTAGGAAGGAGCAGATCAAGTGATTGCACGCATGCCATGCAAACAAAGGCTTTCTCCTCCCGGAGCTTGTTCTGCCTTGTTAGGGTGCTGGGTTTGAGCGATCGTCATGGCCTCCAGATCAATGCAGTTTTTTCATCTGCAATACCAATTTGCAACTGTCTGCTGTGATCTGTGGCAGTTATGAAGGTTGCCCAGACCCAGCATGGCGGTGCCTCTTCGTCAGTAGGTTGCATGGCAGACCGCAGCAAAAACGTGCTGGTACTACTTTGTACATGGGGTGACCCTCCTTTCCCTGACCTTTTTCGTTCCACACTGTGTGTTTGAAGATTTGACTTTGATTTGGATTTTGAATCGCAGGAGCGGCGCTACAAGGAGGCATTCTCTGCGCTGAGCGAGGCGGTGAAGTACAAGCGCGAGAGCTGGCAGACCTGGGCCAACTACGCGCATGCCGCCGTTCAAACCAGCAACTTCCTGCAAGCAGCCCGCGGCGTCAACCAGGTGGGCACTGCTGAGTTGGCTACTTTAAAGCGAGCTACTCTTGCTGATGCATGCATTGAGACATGGGAGTACTTCAGGACCTTGAGCGCCGATAAGAGGCGTCTGGCTAGCAGCCCCCGCGGCGTTAGCAGGTGGGCATGCTGAGTTGGCTGTAGTGAACAGCATAAAATGAGGCACTTTTGCTCATGCATACAATGAGATGTAGGACCAGATGAGCACCTTGAGCTGCCGAAAAGAGGTGTCTGAGAAGCGGCCCCCGCGCTGTCAGCCCAGTGAGCTGTTGTTCTATACATCCAAACATGCCCCTTTGGTGGCACATTGCGGCCTCGAGTCAGGGCATTGAACATCTTGATCATGAGTCTGAATACACAATCGTCCTGCCAGAGGCAAGGTGCGTCTGCAGACCAGTAGAGGTAGAGGCTGTCACACATCCTACCTCTTGATGGACCGCCAAATCCACGGAACACCCAATCAATTGTAGGAAATGCTCAGTCTTCACACCGGCCCCCGCCAGCCGGGCCAAGAGCACAAGTGGCCCGAAATTATTATTTATTATTACTTTTTAGAGACCTTGTGGGAGCCACCTGAGGCTCATTGGTCTTGTAGGCAGTCTGTCACTGCCCATCTACATATCATTCTCTTCTTAAGTGTCTGCATTCCGTCAGAAATTTGGCAATCCTGATACTGCTCTGGCCCTAATATGCATGCAAACAAAATATAATGGATGCCCTGGATGCAGTTGCTGACAGAAGTTTTACCATGGCCAGTGACACCAATGCTCAAGGAGGCACAGGGACTTTTTAGGGTCTCACTGGCAGCTGTTGTTTTGGTGGCCACGGTCAGACTTCCCTTCTGCAGCAAGGGTAAATCCAACCATTGCAGCAAGGGTAAATCCACCATCATATTTCTACAGTTTGAAGTAGGGAGAATTTGCGCGATTTTGCAACAATTCAGGAAGAGGGTGGGTGCGGGTGCTGCAGGTGATAGCGTTCTCTCAGGGGCAGCGGAGGGAGGAGGATCTTTTACGGGCGCTGGTGGATGCCGTCACGGGCGCGCGCGAAGCAGCCGGCACTCTGGGCCAGGAGCTGCCAGGTGTGTGTCCTTCAGAGTAAATTCTACTGGTCGCGCAGTGATGTACCTCATCAAAGTCTTGTGGTCTTGCAATGGTTGCCTCAGTGCTCATCACTTGGCGGGCTTTTGCTGCAGCTATGCAGCCCTTTCGCACCATAACCCTCCACCTGCAGCCTGCTACTACAAGTGTCTCATGGCCATATTGCATTGGCGTACGACCCTGTCAGCCTTTGCAGAGTTTCATCCAGCAGTGGTCAAGACCGGCAAGAGTCGGCCACAGCTGACACCATTCTGAATTTGAATTTGAATTCGACAGGCGGCAGGCGGGACCCAGACACGCAGCTGGAGAGGGCGGTCGGAGAGGCGCTGAAACAGGCGAGCGCTGCAGCCTCAGGGGCTGGCGGCCTAGTTTGGGATTTGTGCGCGGATTACTACGCGGCCACCGGCTTTCCCGCTAGCGCGCGCGAAGCCGCCCTGAAGCAGGTCAGAAGCTGCTGGGGATGCATTATCTCAAATAGTTGTGCCAGGAAGCGTAAGAGAAACTGCTATGTCTATTAGCCTCTGTGCCTGTGTTTTTGTGCCACTAGGTAGAAGGGCTCCTGCTTTTCGGAACATGATGTTTGGGTGGCATTATCTAATTTTCCATCCTTGTATTCGCTCTTGGTAGCTGCCCTTTCTCTGTAAGGGGAAAGTCAGGGGACAGAGACCCCAGCTAGAGCTGCAACGCTTCCTTCAGTGTGCATTTTCTGAGCTTGGAGGTACACTTGCAGAAGGGCAGCTAATGATGGTCAGAGCTCCAGAAGTGGCTCTTTGCAATGCACATGGAGGAAATTCCCGGTGATCTGTCATCATGCGGCAGCCCTATATCTGTGAGAAAAGCGCCATTCAAGAACTCTTGAGAAACAGGCAACAAAAAGATCTCTGATGAAAAAATTTGGTTGTCCAGGTGAGGGCGCTGCAGGGCTCTGGATGGCAGAAGAGCGAGGGCCATTTTAGCGCCTATTCAGGCGCTGTGGCTAAGTATGCCAGGTGGCAGCTGGAGGGGGTTCGCCAGGGGGACCTGCAGCCTAGAGAAATCTCTTCAGTGCGCATGCTGCTGCGCGGCGCCATCAAACAGGTGATCTGCTCACCTTTGTGGGGATTCGAGTTATCAACCCAAATGAGTCTGGCAAATTGGGTGCAGCTCTTGGGGATGTGACTCTTTGCAGATGTAGCTCGCTGCTGAGATGGCACCTGAGAGCCTGCCTTCATGCACTGTGTGTGTTCCTGTTCTGCAAGAGCAGGAGAGCCCTTGTCTGGTATTACATGAGCTGTTGGTGTCTATATAATGGCACTCCACTGGGGCCATAATGTGGGGGTCACCAAATGTTGAGTCAAGAAGATCCTTTTTAGAGAATGAACACTGCTTCTGGGATCTTACGCAGAAATGTGGCTGTCCTAGACAATGATATTGAGCTCTTGGGATCAATCAGGAGCGAGTATAGTCTGCTTTTCTTCATGAGCGCTTCTGCTGGGTTGCAGGCTATGGAGCGCTTTGAGGAGACCCCAAAGTATGCGCAGCTCACTGCAATTCTCAAGGAGGTTGAGGACATTGAGAAGGGAACTTGAAATACATTATTACCATTGCAAGGTTGCAAGCCAAGGGTATCGTTGCAACAGCATTTGTGAAAAGCGTCAAGTGCGGTATTTAGATGGTGGTGTATCCTTGAAATTGTACAGAATGCATTTCTAGGATCGTGCTAGCATAGTTTCGGGAGACCTCCTGTTGCAACTTTTGCCACTCTGTCAGCCGCTGGATGTGTGGAATCCACTTGATCTGCATTTAAGGAAACATGCGCGTTCATCGGTAATTTTTCCCCACATCACTGTTTACACAGGCATCAATTGACGCCAGGGACAATTGACTACATGGCAAGTGCCGCCATCAGACTTGTAAAATGCCGCCATCATGCAAACTTTGACAGCTAGTCTTCATGCACATGCCGAAGCAATACGTTCTTCGACCTTTAAAAATACACATTGTACAAGAGAAGCACATGTTTTACACATATACACACCATTACAATTACATCTGCAAGCATGTCATCCCTCATATCGCCTCTTCTCAGCATCTGATAGCGCCTTCCATGCCCTCCCAAGGATCTTGGCTCGCTCTGGAAATGGTGCCGGGCCATGCTCATCCAGGATGGCAGGGCCCCTTTGCTGGCGGAAGATATCATATGCAGATCTGCGTCTCGGCTTTCTGAGCTTCTTGCCAGATCTGTATGTACAACAGCTCCCATCAGCAACAGCACAGCCACATATAAAGCATGTGCAATGACCTCAGACAGAGAATAGTGGAGACCTCACTCTGCGGAGCTTGGAGCTTTCTTGGTCAAGGCCCGTCCTCACAAGCAACTCGGCACACATTCACATCTAGAAGAAGCATGCACCCCTCCTCCCCACTTATCGGCACTTGCCTTATCTTTTCAAGTTTTGGAGTCTGTTTCAGTTGGGTGAGGCTCCTCAGGATCTTTCCAAGGAATGACTTGTTCCCAACACACACCTGTGGGAGGGACTGCCAGATGGCAGAGCGGATGGAGTGGCAGAGGGCACTGGCGAAGGTGCTGAGGGCGCTGTTGCAGGAGCAGGCGCGGGTGGAGATGATTGCGCTCCGGTGGTTGTGCCCCGCATATCCTGGAAATCCTGCATAATAACAGTCGGATACCATGTTGAGACATGTGAACACGGACAAGCATGTGCAACATCTCGACAGGTGCATGTCTTCAAAGCTGTGGATTGCAGTTTGACATGGACGAGGTCAAGTACTTCCTAGCCCCCCCTGGCATCCCTCTCAAAGCATCACCGGATAGGCAAGCAGCAACTCCGCCATAGACCACAGCACATGTATCTTCATGGCTTCAAAGCGCACATTACCTGCGCAAGACCCTGTACAATGCTGACCAATGCATCCACTTTATCTTCCAGCCTCGCCATATCCCCGGCAACTGTGTTGAAGGCCTGCGACAAACATCAGGCTCAACTCAATATTTAACATATAATGGCCAACCCAACTGAACGCACCAGTGCAGCAGACGATGGACTGGCATGTTGCATGGACTTACCAATGATGTCTCCTTTCTTGCAAACAGGAGCTTAGCTCGCTCGGACTCAGAGCGGACGAATGCCTGCACAATGCAGTCACAAGCTTGCAAAACAGTCCCTATGCATGTTCCATGGAGAACAAAGATGTGAACGGTTCAGGAATGACATGCACATGGAATCATACCAGGTTGCCCACGATTGCCATCACGAAGCAGCGAGGGAATCGCGCCCAGCGATCTGCTGACAGCCGTTTAGTCAAGGTGACCGGCGCGGGGTACAAGACAAGCGCCATGGCTCGAAGGTGAAGTACCTGGCGTGACGCTCAACACGCCTCAACTCGACAAATCTACCAACAAGCAATGGACATGTAAGGTCATTGGGAAGACATTGTTTAACAGGGACACTTTGCACTTACATCCAGGGGATGCCGCTGGGCGGGGTCCGCTTTCGCCCCCGCAGCATAGAGCGCCACTTCCAGCTGCCCAATCTTATTCAAGACGCTTAGTGGATTCTTTGTCACGACCACTTCCCCAATCAGCTGGGTCAGCTCAATCTCCCCTGGGTGCTCGCTTGCTTTCAGAGCGCCTGGCCCCACGTATGATCATACTTCATGAGTGAAGATTTTTGGTAAGCAGCTCGCAGCAGACTCACACGCAATCATTGACATGTCTGGGGAGAAGGAGGGCATGTTCAATACGCACCGGTATCCACTTGCACCCGGGCACCAAGACTCACTGGTTCAAAGTTCAAGTCCCCGCCCATGAGCATGTCCTCGATAGACACCCTCGATATCCCTTTCACAGGAAAGAAGATGTCTGGTGCGACAGTGATGTCCCTGCCAACAAATGCACACACTGACCCTCATGGCAATCTTAAGGTATTGAAAGGCATTCGAAACCATGAACATCAGGCAGGACATCAGCAGACTGTCCAATCTCACGCACCCTTTGTCATCAGAGCGCCTCAAAGCCCCCAAGGCCATTTCTTCTTGCAATTTGAATTTGTGATCCTGTCGAGCCAAGGCAAACATGATCTTAGAGGCACACCTGAATTTGAACTCCTGTGAAGAAATGAGTGCACAAGGCTGAGCCTCTTGTACAACTGTGAACAGCTGCAGCAACAAGAAAGCCACATACCTGAGCCTTCTCGGGGATGTCAATGTCGAGCGCCAAGCTCAACTCCTTCTTCAACAGCAGATCTGCCTCCTCCCCTACAGCTTCATCAATGCCAAGATCAGATGATCCAGACGCTGTCTCCTCCGCGGTCCCCTTGATCTGTTGTCCATGGAGGCCATAATAGCTGCGCTTCACTTTGGCAACATGAGCAGCTCCGACCTGCGAGGTCCCCTGCACATGCAACATGTCTCTATTCTTTGAGCCCCTTGCCACCCTGCCCTGTGTCAAGTTGCGCTTGAAATAATTCCCATGGCAAAAAATGAAAGCTTTACAGAATCATGGGGCGCACCATTCCACAGATGTACTGTGCAAAGGCAACGGCTGCTTGCTCCTCCGTCACGCCGCTTTGGGCATGCACTGCCAGAGCCCTTTGATGCGCCCAGAAATCGGCCCACACAATGCCGCCGTCGCAGCCGGAGGGGCTGACATGGACCTTCGCCTGGATCACTGCTGGCAGTCCCAAAGTCAGCAGCACTGACAGGACAGCATGGTCGATCTGTTGATTCAGCCGGCGTTTGACCAAAGGCTCACTCCAAGGAGCCTTGCCAGAGATGGCTGCTGCGCATATCAGCCTGCAAGAATACGGGAAATATCAGCTCATTTTGCCATGCGTGGATGTACTCTCTGCTCATAAACTTGCTTGGTCCCCTACCAAGGGGGTTCTACATGGCTGTTGCAATGCTCACTCTGTACAACACCGCCTGTGAGTTTGCATCGAGGTACCAGAGGTGCAGGCAACAACAAAATGTACATGCATTTGACCTGCGCGCACCCAAAGCTGCCAAAATCTCCAGCGACGGAAGGTCCATATCCCAGGTGCGTGGAGGGTGCGGCCCAAGTGGGTGTGCCCTCAAATACGCCCCAAAAGTGCTCATGCGGCAGCTGCTTGAGGTAGATGTCCTTTTGAAAGCCCTTCTTTACCCATTCGTGCACCTTTGTCCCCCCTGTCTTCGTGCGGAACGCTCCCAAATCCCAGTCAGCAATTGAGACCCTGTGCAAGCGTACAGGAATACAGCCATGGGTGATGTCAGCATTGGCAGATAGAAGAATGGAAACCACATGCAAAGCATTGGAAATTCACAGCAGACCGCACAGAATTCCCAATCCAAGAAAGATGAGGAATTCACCTGCCCTTGTCATCAACCCTGATGTGTGATGGTTTCAGGTCTCCGTTCACGACGCCGCAACAGTGTACCTCAGTCAAAACATCCGCAAGCTGTTTGCGAACCTGCGTGACAAATGATACACTCATGTAGTGCCATGTGTTCACCAGGCCATGGCAGCAAAACCTGAGTCATCAATGCATTACCTCGGGTTTCTTTAGCTCATCCAACGGCAGTTGTTTGCCCAAATAGGTGAGTACGATGACATGCATCTCATTTTCTTTCGCGCGCTGGAATGTGCTGGTACCTAGGCAGCGAGGCACGCCCATGGCACCTGCATGCAACAATCCCCTTAACAGGTGCCTTGGCTGCCTGCAGGCTGAATAAAGAAACGATGAGAGTGATTGCTTGAACATATTGGATAGCACCGACATGACAGGATGGACACCACGAGAAGTACCTTGCTCAGCCAGGTGCTCTAGGATGATTGCCTCGTTCTCACATGTCTCGCTGCTTTTTGCGCGTTTCACAACAAAGTGCTCATCCTGGCGGGTTACAATCACTGCTGTGACTGCTGCATCCTCGGCCAGGTATGCACCTCCCTCATCGATGAGGCTTTGCAAGTTGTCAACACAAGCTGCTGGAGAACTCTTTTCCTGTTTCAAGAGCCCAAATATCGTTTTGAGCCGGGCCTTAAGGAGACTCTAGCATCATCTTACAGGAGTCAAGTGTGATATATTAGGACACCACAGCCCATACCGGCGACTGTTGCGGGTCCAAGGGTATGGCGCTGCATGTGATTACTGCGTCTGGGCTGGCAGACCAGCATCTGCTCCTTGAGTAATTTCCCTTAGTCGTGGCGTACTGTATTCACAACAATACAAACTTAGCCAGCTGGCCTTGCCCTGCGGAGAAAACTTTGCATATACTGAACGCTACAACCCATCCTCCTTGGTCAGAGATCGAAACACAGACCTTGCGCAGTCCTTGGATGTTACGTGACCTTTGAAGGCTTGGAAAGTGGACCACTCTCGGCCACAGCGTCCTGTGGGGAGTGCAAAGCCCCCACATCTTCTCACAAAACTACAACGCCTCAGGCATACATGCACAACGGTGATTGCACCCGATTTCAGAGAAACGGATTCAGATGAACGAACGCTACTCAGACGCTGAGTGTTGAAGCCTACAAGCTTGGAGCAGGAGCAGGATGAGTGCCCACAGCTGCCCAGCGCAGGCGCAGCTGCCCATGTGGGCAGCTGCCCTCAAGGGAAGGCTGCCCAGCTGGAAGCTGGTGGCACCTGCGCAGCTACCAATCAATTCTAGAGAAAAATTGAAATCGCCTTAAAATTCGCAGAACCTCACAACTCCTTGTCTTGAAATCACCTTGCTTTCTTTTCACGAGCTACGTCATACGAATACCCGAAACAGTCTTGCTGAGGGAATCTGAAAGACTGCTTCTCACTCACTATTCTCAGGCTGGATGTTCCAGCAGTTTGCACATTTTCATATTGCGCATGTTCTTCGTGAAAGTTCGAGTCCATATGCCAGCAAGTGGCCTCGATTTCGTTCAATTGATATTTCACAGGTGAAGAGCTCAACGGGTGCTTCTTGACGCTCTCTTGATCCCTACGCATTCACCAGTGTCGCGATGATACACCCGAATCGCCTGCTTGCTGCCAATGTGGTCGTGTGCTTCCTTTAAACACCAGATGCAGCAAGCTCCCTCTTTGCGCTGGGGGAGCGGCTGTTTGCGACTGCCAACCATGCCACGAACTCCTTAAGGACGGCCTGGAGGTGATATGCGTTGCGTTGGCTTCCTACCGCAGCAGGCCTTCAATCTGGGCATAGCGGTGTTTATGCCCTGGGGCTGGGGCGCATGTGGCCTGTCATTAGGTGCTCCAGCTCCCACTGTCGTATGGATGCCTAACCTGAACTTCATTTGACAGTCACGCCTCATCCCAGTGAAGTTGTTGGTCATCAAGCGGTCAGTTCTACAAACGCTCTACACCTGCAGACTGCTGGGCAATGATGTGTAACCTGAAGTCTCTTTGACATTTGCGCTTCTTCTTGGCGAACGCTGTGATAAAGCTGCAGACTGCTGGGCAAAAAATGTGCCCTGCATAATGTTAGTTAAGAACTCCATTACTGAGGCACGTCTATGGAGAAGGCCCAGGAGCAGGGGTACACCTGCTGGACGCTGACCCGCTCATAAAGCATAGACAGAATCTTGGCACCAATGGCAAGCCAGGCCATTGCCAACAGAAGAACAGTGCGGCAGCGGCAGCAGCAGCAGCAGCAGTGACACGAGCAGGAAGAAGAACAGCAACAAACGCAGCAGTCCCCCCGCTGCCGCCAGAGCTTCTGGAGGGCCTCATGAGCATTAAACATTGGCCTCCAAGTGGCATAATTCTCAAGGCTGCAACCTTTGCGGTGCAGCCAGCCGACTGACGTCAGCTTGGGAAGCAGCAGCGTCCCAGCGCCGCATTCCCGGCGCAGCCAGCGCGCCAGGTGGCACCAGCTCAGCGACTAGGCGGTCGCGGGAGCGGCTGGGAGCGGCCGGGTGGCTAGCAATGGCGGCGTGGCATAGCATGGGGCTTGGTGGGAGCCGGTGGGACACCGGGCAGCAGCAGTGGCCATGGGTTCTCGGAGGTCCCAGTCGGCAAGTGGCGGCGACCACTGTCAGCCGGAACGGACCCGGCGCAACGGCGTGCAAACATAGTGTTCATGGGGTTTCTCTTCTCAACGCAGGCAGAAGTATTGCAGTGCCAGTGCTTTTTGGCGTGCAATACCCGCACAGCATGGACCCCAGGCACGCATCCTCACTTTTCTCCCTACCAAAGAGATGCAACCAATTGGCTGTGACACTGCGAAACCTTTCTATACTTCTCCTTCGGCTCTTGTATAAGTGGCATGGGCAATTTGAGGCCGACCACAAGCATCCGCTGAAAGGCGCCAGAGTGTTGGGTTCTTTGCTTCGACACCCCAAGCATGTGCCAATCTTATTAGGCTAGGGGTGATTTATTACACTAATTGTACTAGTACAGCAATTACCCCTATGTTAGGCCACTTAAGTCATTCACCAGCTGGGACGAGCGCATGCAGAAGCAGATTTGTCGGCACCAAATTGTTTCAGAAAGTAAGGCTACGAGTCTGTGGGGTGCAAATTTTTTTTTGTTGAAACGTCCTCTGTAGGAATTTTCCTGTTGGCACCCTCTGAGATGCCAGGATAATCGTGTGTTTGTGCTGCAAGCCGATAATGAAGAGTATCAGAGACCTTGCGAGCGGGGCCACCTGAGGCATGAGGCGCCAGCTGAGCAGCAACCTCTAGGAACATAGACTGTCTCACCAGGTGCAAACTGCACACCACACACCCCTCTCAGAAGGCCAATTCCTGACACCGGACTGAATCACATCTGGCTCTGGCATGCAGGATGTGTTGAATAGCACGCTGAGTGCTTGGGCTGCTCTGGTGCGGAGGTGACAGGTGGGTGGTGACTCAGCTGAGTGCAAGGGAGAGGATGTGGTTGGCCGCTTGAGGGTGCCGCAGTATCTTCTGCTTGCCAGGACCCTGCTCCTGCCTCCGTTCGGTGAGTGCTGCAGCCCCTTTCAGTGTGATAAGTCAAGTATGCACGCAGGAGGTCTGCACATTAAGGTGATTGTCACATCCCTGCGCCTACGATTACGCATTCTGAGACACTTGAGACTCTTGAGAACTTTTTGTAAAGATTGGTCTGCAGATCTGCAGCTGTTGCAACTGGTTTGGGCGAGATTCAATTTGATGCAAGATCTGACTCTTTGCATGCATGGCTGGAGTCCAAAGAGGGAGGCGGTGCAGCCTCCGCCGTCGCAAGCGATGGAGAAGCTTCCGGCGCAGCTGCCGGGCAGCTTCTGGCGCCGGGCAGCGGCGGCGGGCCCATCAGGCACAATGGGCAGCTGCAGCGGCCGCTGCCGTGGCTGTGGTGGGCCGCGCGCGCTCTGGCGGTGCAGCAGAGAGTGTTATCGGGGCCTGCCGCCAGCGCCAGCAGCCAGATAGGACTCTTCCCTGGGGCATGATATGAGACAGGCCAGACTGCAGCAGCAGGTTGTCTCTGCTGATGTGGCAGGGCATTTGCTGGGAGAGGCAGGACTGCAGGCAGGCAAATGGCCTGGGGTGCAACCGTGCCGATGCAACTTTTTGCACCCTGCCAACCACTGTATGTGACGAGCCCTGATCATATGCAATGGCACGTTACATCTGTGTAGTTGTCTGACAGAAGGAAGGGATCATGCCCCTCCACTGATGATCAATGTGTTCACAAAGTCAGGGACTACATTTCTAATCTCAAAGCAATGCAACCGCCACATCAGCCACAATTGAAATCCAGATGAACACCATCACCAGGCCTGTCTTAATATCAAGATAGAGGCAACTCCACATGCCATGTCAGTGACCCTTGCAGGAAGACCAGAAAACTTCAACCTTTTGATACAACATTTCTTCAATTCACTGAACTTCAACATCCAGAAGGCAGCAAATGTGGAGGCAGCTCTGCAGCATTGAGTTGCAAGTTGCAAAATAAAAGCAGTACTCACAAACTTGACCAGCAGTATCATCTGCAGACCATGGGCACCAATGGGCGCCTGGCAAAATGCGGGCATGTAAGGCTGTACACTGTATTTTTACAGAGCAAGAGAAAGCCTGCTGGCCCTCAGGGACTCGGCAACTCACCGGCGCGTGCAAAGCTGCCCGGTAAGCCAGACACTCCTGCTCTCTCCTACCTATTTTGAAGCGTTCCTATACAATCACATGCCCTCCTACAGGGGTCCTTTGCCCCTTGTACTTATATAAAACCTCCTTCATAGAGTAATCTGAAAGATGTCTCTTCCAGAGGCAAAAGCATCTCTAGACAAGCTGCCTGTCAATACTACTACATGCGGGTGCTGTAGCCCTTGTAAAACATGCCAGATCCAAGCAAGTTCAAGTCAAGCGTGGGCGTGCTGCTCACTAGTGTACCGGTTCCCAGCCGGCAAGGGGCTGAGATTGAAGCATCCAAAGTGCTAATAAGCAGCAACGCAGGTCTGGTTTGTGGCATCGCTGTAGCAGATGAAGTTGGAGATGCCTTGGGGGCAGGTTGCCAAGAGACGGGGATTTCGTTTGCAGGGATGTAGTCTGCCGGGTTGGCATTCTCGGCTGCTGTTGGGTATTTGCATCCCTCCCCGCCATAACTGCATGAGATGATCCTGATTGGGCACTGCATACCACAGACAAGGATTGTGGCTCACATTCTTGTATTGTTGTGACTATTGAGCACCATGCCCACGGTGGATTGCGTCTTACTTCAATCTGTTGAGTCCAACAAGGGTAACCGGTTAGGATTGTGGCAGCATTTAACTGCAGCTTGTCTGCAGGACATACCTTTCGCAACCTTTGGTTCCAAGGCTTCATGCCAACTTACTATTTCTAAGAAGGGTCGGAAATAGATTAGCATTTTTCAAAGAAATCGATCGCAAGAATCTCTAAGAAGATTCTAATTGAAATTTCTGAGTTCCTAGTGCCCAAGCATGTTCTGAGAATATTTCGAGTGCAAAACCTTTCTCAGAAACATCTCGAAATGTCTAAGATAATAATGATAATATTAATAATAATAATAATAATAATAATGGTTCTTGACCGTCTAATTAGAAACAGAAGAGCAACGGCAGTGATATAGACACGAGCATCTGGGCAATTCGGCCAGCTATCTTTCTTCACGAAGGCACTGGCCGTGACTAAGACCAGATCCCTCTAGAGGTCTCATTTGAATCGCCCCCAAGTGAGCAGCAAGCTGTCTGAGAAGAGACTGGGAAAGGCCAGCTTCAGGCAGGTCTCACCTGTACTGCACAGGGGAGTTCAGGGTAGTATGTGTCTCGCAGGGATGCTTGAGGCACGTCTCCAATCCGGCCATAGTCCACTGCACAAGGGCACATACAGCGCTGAGACAACAGCCCAAGACAACCCCATGCAAAAACATTGTATAAACGAGTGAACCCTGGACCAGCAAACCCACCACAGTAATAAACCTATGATATATTGTCCTGAAAACTCCGTGCCATCGTGGCCACCTCTTCAGTGAGGGTCGAAGGATTCTGAATAGAACCACATGCATAGCAGGACATTGTTTGAGTGCCAGCAATGCGCTCAGGTGATCTTTCTCTAGGGATGTGAGAGGTGCAGAATATGGGCAGAGGGATCTTAAGAGAAGACAGATGCAAGGCATATACATATATACAAAGAAGCGGTGACTTTAGACATCATGTTGGACATGGATCTGCGCACCTGCTATTGTGACATTCGCATAGCTGATAGTGAGGTTCTCATAATGTGAGCTGACAGAAGGCTGCAGGCTGAAGCTCTGGTTGCCAGGCTCTGCTGTAGTAGAATTGATCACCGCTGTCACTGGCCCTTCTAAGCTCATGCCCTCAGTGCTGTATTTGATGCGTCGCCGTTCGTCCACACAATGCGGCCGCCTCGCCTGATCCGCACCGGAGAAAATCTGTTTGAATTCATGACTCGGATGTCTTCAATGCATGGCTGAACTTTATTTCGCCATACAGAGGTCTGAAGGATGCTGCTTGGGTCTGCCAGAGAGCAGGCACGAAACCCAAGGAGAGAAGGAAGTTGCACATCAACTCAACCCAATTGCTCCTCTGTACAGATCAGGTAAGCGAAGGTGTTTTTGCATGCAACAGGAGTCGCCCTGGCATGCAGGGGTTTCGAGCATCGGCCGGCAGGCAGCAGTGAAGAGAAAGGGACGACATGGGCTGCAGACTTACTTGAAAGGAAACTCGATGCTGGAACCGTCTGCCTCGAATGTGAGGGGTCCGCGCACTGTGACGTTGGGTGCAAGGAGGAGCGCGCCTGACGGCACAAAGAAGACGCCGGGAGCGTCTGCGATCTGGAAACCGGTTGCAAGAGACACCTGGGTCCCCTGTGTGACGTCGAGGGTCTCCAGCTTCTGCATCAGTAAAGACAATGCTGCTCAGACAATACTCGATGCGCCAGCAATGGGAAACTCCAACGAGATAGGAAAGAGGCAATCAATTAGCACAGTGCGTTACCTTCGGTGGAATTCTGATGGTGAGTTGCACTGGCCCATCCGACTTGAAGAACGATGAATTTGCGGGTATACCTAGGGCCCCGGGTTGGGGCATTTGACTGAATCCCTCCAGGCCCGGCGACCAGGTCGTGTTCACAGCCGATATCACAGAGGGGTCCGCGTCAATTATCACCTTATAATCTTGGCCATTGGCTGGATGCTCAATCCTGACGTTGAAGGGGACACAAAGGCCAATCGCAGCGAATGGCTTGATTACCCGTTCATCAGCACAGTGCGCCGGACTGGCAATTAGAGCGCACGCAAGGAGCACACAGAGAAAGACCCTTGCATCCATCTCTTATACGGTGCCACCAGAAATGTTACGGTACGATGAGCAATTGGTGTGTTGAGATGTGCAGACGCCCCACACCCGTACACGTCATTGCATGGCAAGTCCAAGAAAACCAAGATTACGTCCAAGGATAGAAAGGGTGCAATGGATTTCTGTCAATTCTGCCCTCACACCCTTTCAATCGATCAGCGCATCATTCCTGCAAACGATTCCATTCATATAATTTGAGTTTTTCTGTTCAGCTGTCTTCAATTCGTCAAGCGCCAGCACCTACGCTTGATATCGTACGAAGGCCACGTCCTCCACATCGCTCGGCCGGTTTCTGAGAGGTGCTCAGCCCTTGCGAAAGCTAGTTGTAGCGAATGAGCATCAGATCGATCGGCACCTTTGTGCTTGGTCTGGTGCTTTTGCTGGCATGTGGCATGATTAATAAGAAGAAAGGTGTCGCACAGATGTCGGTGTGTCAAATACTTGTACTTCGACGGGTATTGTCTAGGAGACGCCAGATCAAGACAATACTATGCCCAGGCGTAAAAGGAACAGGGAGGATCAACCAGTTCTGCAGTAGACGCTAGTCGTGCGAAGCAGATCCTTTCTTTAGTCAGAGCGCAGTTGCTCGTACAGCTGTCTCGGCATTCTTGTACACAGCTTCGAATATCTGTTGGAATTTGAACTCCCTTTTCAAGGATTTCAACTGCTCGAGAGCACCTCAAGAGCTATTTGCCAAAAAAAGAGGCGACTTCTTTACACTAAATCTGCCACACCCTTGCCAGCTGGTCTGATGCTGCATGTGAAGGCCTGCCAATTCTTTTCCGAGTGTTTGGCTGTCATGCTAGGAGCTGACTCTGAGATTCCCAGTCAGGCATCGCATCAGCCCTGAGTTCAATGTATTTTGTCTGACTGACTGTCGTGCAGCAATGAAGCTCTTGTCTTCTTCACACCTATGACTTGTTTATAAAGCTTTATAAAGCTCACACTGGCCCCGGCTGGCGGGGGCGGTACAAATACTGAGCACTGTGCCCACGGTTGATTGCTCCTTGCTTGGATCTGGTGAGTCCAACAAGGGGTAGGAATTTGGCAGCCTTTACATGCAGCTTGTCTGCAGACGCACCTTGCCTTAAGCAGGAAAAGCGTGTAATAATAATAATAAAGCTCACAGCCAAAGCTAAGAGTGATTGCAGGAATGCAGGGCAGTGCAAGCACAAAGCGGGGAGAAGGGGCTGCCTCCCGGTTTCTATGCTATGCAACATACAAGAAATCTCCGAGGCAATTTGCCGCCATTTTATCATGCACCCTGCATTGCTGCAGGACTCTACGCTGCAGCAATGAAGTTCTTCCACACCGGCATGCTGTCCCTCGTGCTCTGCACAGCCATGCTGCTTGGCGCATTGGCCGCCGACAGCCGCCGCCACTTGGTGCAGGCACCGGCAGGTTCGCATGCACAACCTCCTGACAAGCTTTTGCGTGCCCTTCTCTATTAGCTTTTCTTGTTGTTCGGGCCCCGGCTGGCGGGGGGCGGTAAAAATAGTGGGCACTGTGCCCACGGTTGATTGGGTCTTGCTTGGATCTGGCGAGTCCAACGAGGGGTAGGATTGTGGCAGCCTTCAACTGCAGCTTGTCTGCAGAAATTTGGAGCCAGCATGAGGGCGCGCTTGCACTTGCAGCGTGCTTGGTCATTTGTGGCGTGTAACCTTAGTCTCTGTGACTCACCCAACTGTTGCCGTTTGAGTGCTGCCTGCTCAGGCAAATGATGCATGAAGTCTGGCTCACTGTGTCTGACCCGTCACTGTTGTGTGTGTCCAGCGGACTGCGTGACTCGCCTAACAAGCCTGGCTGCTGACTGCAGTGCACAGATCGCGTCCATCACTGTGAGCCTCCCCTCTACAAGAGAGAACACCCTTCGATGCCCAACACACTTGCCCATGTGACCGTCTCATGCTCTCGCCCAAAACAAGCTGCACCAGAGCAGCTGCGCTTCGGCAAGCATGCGGTGGCGCGCAATAAATTGCTGCCTGACGCTCATCAGTCGGAGTCCTTTTTGCAAGCCATGCATTGCTGTCAATCATGCTTTGTTTGGGGAAGTTGTGGGCCAAGTCGTAAGTAATTTGCAGGTCTGCAGCTTCCCTGCAGACGCCCCAGGCAGGAAATGTATTTGATATTAGGTTACATTTTATTATATATTAGATGCTGTTCCTGCATGAGGCAAGGTGTGTCTGCAGATGAGCTGCAGGTAGAGGTTACCAAAATATCACCCCTTGCTGGACTCAATGAGCCGTGGGCACGGTGCTCAGTGATTATAACGCCCCCCGCCAGCTGGGGCTTAATATGATAGATGATGATTGACAGGCATGCTGTGCTGGTGCAGTCTCTGGGCCAGAACATTCCAGCGGACGCCACGGACGACCAGATCAAGGCTCAATTGGCCGGCCAGCCTCTGCCAGACGCCAAGTGCTGCGCCACCGCCGGCAACTTTATCACCGGGGTGAGTCACCCGGCAGTCAGTCACCCTGAGTCACCCTTTATTGTGGTCATTTGCAACCGATTGCAGCATGCATGGCAGGGATGCTTGCGTGGGCTTTGATAAATTTCTGACACTTCCTTACCTGTCTTGAAGAATGGGTTCGTCAAGCAACACCTGTATCATTGCTCAAAGTCGTGGGATTCTGGCTGCTTAGATGAGTGATTGACCTAGAAAGCATTCCTCCACGGAGGCTTGGAATGCCTGCTCTATGCAGCTCGCAGTGTTCTATTGGAACAAGCGCAGTGACCTTGCAAATCCTGGCAAGGAGTGCGCTCTTTATTGGCATAAGTTGCGCTCTTGCAATCACCGAGTTAAAACAAATACACCCTCAAGATAATGGCATCTGGCAAGGGTAGTATGATGTTCCACATTATACTCCCCTTGGATCTGGTTGAGAAACGGTCAACTGGTGGCAGGGGTGCCGCTGTGATCCCCAGGTGCTGACCATCGTGCAGGGCCAGAACATCAACCCCGCCAGCCTCAAGACCCGTAAGTTTTTGACCCATTCTCTGTGATGACTGATTCCTGACGAAATGCCATCCTAAAATGACTTCATCATATTTGTGCTGCAAGCCCTAGGGCTGCACAGAACTTCCCACATCCAGTAACGAGTCATAGATCAGCCCGTGCAATTGTCTAATGCTGTGCTTGCCCAAGTAATTCACCGGCGCAAGTGTGTTCGACAAATCTGCACCACGGCCTTCCGGGACAAACAGCAGGCGACTCAAAGACCGGGATGTTCAGCCGTGAGCAGGCGCTGCTGAGCACTTGTTGTGATTGCGCAGTCGTGAAAGCCACGCAGCTCTCCTGCAACAATGCTGGCATTGTTGACACCTGCAAGTGAGCGCCTGCTTGCATGCATGCAAGACACCTCCCCCGCAGCTGCCTCACCATGCCCGCCAGAACACAGAATGGAAGTAAAAAAAAGTTTCCTGCTGGGAAGGAGCCTTTTGGCAGAAGGAGACAGACCTGACTTTGGCCCAGTCGGAATATTGAGCATTCTTCCTGCTCAGAGTGCAGTTCTGGCCCAAGTGTCAGTTTAAGAGGCCGTGACATGCGTTTTCAGATTCTTTGAACGACAGCACACGGCGCGTGCAGAAAGTGCGTGTGCAGAGATGTAAAATATATCCCTGACAAAAAGACAAGAACAAGACAATTGAATGGCACTGCGCGTTGGAGAGATTGGAATGCGGGGGAATTCTTATGGTGCCCACAGTGGCAGGCTCAAAGCACCCGTATGTATGGACAAGAACAATCTGTGACTTGCTGCTTTCAGCGTGGACTTTTGCGTTACATACAAAGCTGAAGCTCCTAGCATGCCTAGCAAGAACACAGACTATCGTGTAATGACTGAGAAGTGCCTCTTTTAAGATCCGATCAGTTAATGTACACCCAGAATGATACCTCTATAGCTGTCAGACCCGCAAGCACAAAGCAGACTGCTTCATGCATACACTTGAGCAAAGCTTCGAAAGCAATGACTTGACTAACCCCTTGATGACTACCCCTTGATGAGTGTTATGAACTCCCTAACTTTTCCCCTGAAACCATCAGCATGTACTTCTAGTCAATGTGCATGGCTCTCATTGGCAGAGAGATCAGCTGCCAGGCAAAATTAGCAAGCGGTATGTGATGCTGACTCAGCACTGGCGACTGTCCAGAAGCTGAGTGACCTTGAGCCACTCAAGGCTCTGCTCTCAAGATATTGACTGATATTGACTCGAGCCACTCAAGGCTCTGCTCTTTCGGACCATTTGCCTCAGTCACTGCAGCGCAGTGAAGGGGTTTTTGCGTCAGCTGATGAAATCAGCTGCCAGACAAATCTGGTGAGCTGCATGTAATAGTGATGACTCAGCATGCAAGTGCCCAAAAGTTCACTATACACGAGTGTCTTTATGCTCTGCTTTTCAAGATTACTGGGCCAAAAATCTGATTGGCTGACTAAGCTTGGGCCACTCAAGGCTCTGCACTCTGGGACAATCAGCTTCAGTCACTGCAGCGCAGTGTGCATCACTGAATCCCCCAGGTTTGTGTCACCGTGACTCAGCATGCACCTGCCCGAAAGCTGACTACGCTCGAGCCACTCAAGGCTCTGCTCAGCAAGATGATCGGCTTCAGTCACTGCAGCGCAGTGAAGGGGTTTGTGTAATTTCTTGACTCATCTGCCGGAAGAATCTGGTGAGCGGTATGTAACGATGAGTCAGCACTGGCAAGCGCCCAGAAACCGACACGAAGATCTGCTATTTGAGGCGATCAGCTTCAGTCACTGCAGCGCAGTGAAGGGGTTTGCATCGCTGAATTCCTCGCCGGCAGGCACTTGCACATGCATGCCATGTGGCGCCGGGCGCAGCTTTGGGTATGCTGCGGTCTGCGCCGGCACCGGCTTGTGCGCCGGCCTCTTCTGCTTCAGCTTGGCAGAGCCTGCCAGCACCACACGAGGCTCAGCTCGGTTCAGCACCATTTCTGCTGCAGCGTGCAGCTCCCTCCCCATGTGCTGCAGTGCTCCAGTCAAGTTCATCAATCACTGCTCGCTTGTCCTGAGAGTGTTGATTGCGCAAGCTGGCGGAGCAGCAGCAGCTTTGTGTTAACTTGCATCAGTAAAGCGGCATGCCGCGTCATGTTGCGTCATGCTTGAACAAGGGTGGCCGTTGTCTTTCTTCCTGCATGTTCTAGAACCGCCTAACAAGGGTGGCCAAATGACAGAAAAACCTCGTAGGTGGCTAAGCAACCGGACATGTATCTCTCCTGTCATTTGTGCATGTGCAGACCAGCTCGGCAGCAGTCGCGCGCATACCCATGGGCATCTATGCTGTGACTGGCTCGGCTAGAAAGCTAAAATCGATAATATTTGCCATCTTCACTCATGGAAGCCAGGGGAAGTGATGCATGTTTGCACCCATGGGCTTCTGCGCTGAGATCGGTTCGGCTAAAAAGCTGAAATCACGCAAGTTTGTCATCTTTACTTATTTTGATCCAGGGGGGATTGATTGTATGCGCACCGATGGGCATCTGAGTGGGGGCCAGCAGGCCGAGGCGGTCAAAGTCGTCCAGTTCGCGGCTGACGGCCATCGTGTTGTCTGCGCGCCGCTCGCCGCCGTACACTTCCTGCCGCAGCATTCTCATGTTACAGCATAGTTCCCACAGGATTTGCAATATTTTGAAAAGTGTGCCCATTATTGGAGAAGTGTGCCCACAGGTGACTGTTCTTGCTTGCAAGCGGAGTCCATGCATGCGAGTCCACCAAGCCGCAGGCAAATGCACCTCGTCTCCCGGCAGAAGCAGCGGGTGAGTACATGATATGTCAAAGCTTGCAGATGGCCTCAATTTGTGCCAGATGTGCACACTTCAGCAAGTAAAATATGCACAGCCCCCACTTTGGCTCAAACTCGTGCTGGCAGGGGGAAGGGATAAAAGCACCGCACCTGCATCTGGACCACAGTCGCTGCGCCGGTGTCGGTCTCCCACCAGCGAACCTTCTTGCTCGGCTTCGCCTCGGCTGCCGGGGCCTCCCTGCGCGCCACAGGCATCTCTGGCTGTACCGGGATCCTGCACGCGCAACATGGGATTTCTTTTTGATCAATGACGACTTGCAAGTGCTTCTGCTTTTGTGAGGCCACTGCCGCATTGCAAGGCAATCTGAAAGATTTTTATGATGTCCAAGCTATCGTCATCGTAGCAATTCTGAACGCCTTCAGATATCAAGAAAATGCATGCAAGCCATGGATGCTCCTGTCTCTTGCTCATTTTCATGTGATGAATGAATCGTCCCTTGTCGCTGGACCAAATTGCTCTGATGCAGGTTTGTCTGCGCCAGATGCAAGCCAGCAAGCTGGACAGTATATCAGTTGGCACAGGTGCCAAATGGCGCAAGATTGTTCAACAAAACTGTTGGCAAATTGGAACCATCCCGAAGAGTTGTCTTCTCGAGTGCATGTGTGTAGTTTCTGTGTAGGGCGCACTTCTTGGGCTCGGAAGCCGAGGGCCGGCGGTAGCTGCTGGCGGCCACAGCGCTGGCAAAGAGCCGGCTTGGGGCAGGCATGGGAGGAGGGCGTTCCATATTAGCTGCCGGCTGCACCACCACCGGCGGCGCGAGCGGCGGCTGCTGCGGATTGGCGGCCCTGGGATGCTGGGAAATTGACAGGTCGTACAGCGTCGGCAGCTTGTGGGCCCAGGCTCCTGCTGGCGGTGCATTGGCGCTGCACCCAGAAACGCTGCATTTTGTGGGATCCTTAGTAATGTCAAGGAAGATGCAACCGCCCTCCGGTCACAGTACGCTAACAAGAGTTGAAAGCATGCTTCGTTACCCTTCGCTTGCCTGTGCCTCGCTCAGTGAAGGCTGGTGTGTGTATAAACAGCAGCATTTAGTGCAACGTCACCAAAAACCCAATAACTGTGAAAAAAAAGAATGCTCCCCGTGTGCACAAGCACGCCAGCCAGTCAGCGTCACCACTGCTGCAGCTCAGTGACTCTGACTTGCACACCTGACAACAATTAGGCAACAACTCATTGTCAGACATGCAGAGGTGACAGGCGGCAGGGGACTTTTTTACCTCTGGTTGACTGTCGGCTGCAGGGTGCTGGCTGGAGGCGGCTGCACAGCTGGCAGCAGGCCATTGGGGACAGCAGCGGCTTCTGATGACTTCTGCTGGCAGTACAGATGGCCTTGAGTACTGTCATCAGGCGTTCCCTCTGGGGCCTTGGGCTTGCTGACTGCCAGGAAGAGCGGGCCGAGGTCCGCGGGCCGGCCCGGCTTGAAGCGGCTCACCTTGGCTGCCGCTGCCGCCTGTGACAAAGCGTCCGCTTTTGATGACTCATGCTTATGACTAAGCTGTCTAAGTTCTGCTTCAATTAGAGCATCTTGAGCCTCACTGATGTGTCTGTGCTCCACACAGAATATATCAGCCACCAAGATTTGGGCATGCATTTGCAAAGCAGGTATACCTGTACTGCCCCTAATCATTAGTCAGAAAACTAGAGCCTCCTGACAATTTCGTTTCTATCTGATGAATTATGAGGGCTCAAACTTGTTTTGGAACGCGCGTTCGGGAAGCTCTCAACAGGGCGTTCCATTGCACTTGCAAAGAACCCCTCTTGCATTGTGTTGCCTGAGCAATACCTTTCTAAAGATCATCTGACTAAGGCGCAATAACCATTTCATCAGGGACAGCATGTTATATCACACCTGCTTCTTGACCACGTCTGCAAAGCTGGTGTGCGCAGCGCTGTCGGATTCTGAGCGCGGGGACTCTTTCTCCTTTGGCTGCCACGCAGTCCAGACCGAGGTTTTTATGGCGGCATCCGCTGTGCGAATGGGCTGCAGTGTGGGAAGGGCGGGGATTGGAGCTGCTGAGCTGGCCTGCTCCTGGATGGGAGTCTGTGCTGCAGTCTGATACATGATGTCTTGATATTTGGCGGCAATCAGGGGCCCCTCTGCTGCAGCTGCCGCTGCCCCCTGCAAGCCATGAGTCGCAAAACTCACTGCCTCAATGAGGATCATGCGCACACATCCTTTGCCCAAGCAGGCAAGAGCAAGTGTGCATGAAATTGCCCTAATCCTTCAATCTTGGAGCCAAGAAGGCGTCTTTTCTGCATCGCCCAACAATGCCCATTTCGGCTGAAGAAGCTAGAAGTTGGAGCATGATCAGCACGAACATTATTGCATGGAAGGGATGCCGTCTGCATTGAACACATTGCTTGGAGTTCCTTGCGACGGTGCAATCTGAGTGAATCCCGCACCTGCTGTCAGTCTTTTTTGCCCCTGTGCCAGACTCCAGTGATTGGGCGTGCCCACAGAGGAGCTGCAGGTGCAGTGGCAGATGTGCAAATTTGCTCCTTGCTGCCTTGGCCGGTCCTGCGCAGAAATATTATTATTACTATTATACACGCTTTTCCTGCCAAAAGGCAATGTACCTCCTGCAGACAAGCTGCTGTTAAAGGCTGCCAAAATCCTACCCCTTGATGGATTCGCCAGATCCAAATATAGCAGCTGATTAATAACTATTATTGTTGTATTGAGATTCTAGATACCTTTCGGGAGCCATGTGATGCTCATTGGTCTTGTAAGAAGTCTGTCACTGCCCTCAGATCATTTTTCTCATGTGTTTGCATCCCGTAATTTTTTGGCATTACTGAAATCCTGTGATCATATAAAGAAGTTTGGGGTGGCTGTCGTAGAAGCGCTGTGCGACAAACCTGTTTCCCATAGACTGGAAAGCGTACAATAAGTAATAAAATCAGCAAAAGCAGTGGTATACAGTACCCACAGCACTTTTCAGCAAGCCTATATGAAGATTGGCTCCAGACGGTCGCCATTCTCGACCAAGAGACCGGGCCCTATTTCCCGAAAAGCCACTATTACACCCGTATGACAGGTCCAGAGCAAGATACAGGAGTCAACAGTTCAAGTACAGCAGATCCATGGAAAAACAGGAAAGCCCAAACAGTTTCTGGTCTCATGTAAAGAGGAAATGGCTCTCATCCTATGTTTAAGAGCCCCCAAGAATGGACTGCTGCCTACCGGGGGGTGGATTCGGAGAGGCAATGGTGATGTTGACTCGGCTGCTGGTGACCTCCTGCGCTGCAATTATGAAAGGGGGCGCCTCCAAGCGCAGCGTGCTTACCAGAGCAGCAGGCTTCCTTGGCAAATTCACACCCTGGCACCCAAACATAATTCAAACTTCTACATTTTTACTACAAGTTTCGCAGTCCTCAAGGAGTAGGTACGTCAAGCAACACCTGATTATTGCTCTGGAGTCTTCTCGATTCTTGCACCTCCCGCCACATGCATGCCCGATAGCATCAAGGTCATCTCTCACCTGAGAGTAACAAAAATACAATATGCTGTTCCTGCCAGAGGCAAGGCGCGTCAGCAGACATGCCGTAGGTGAAGGTTGCCAAATCTTTATCCCTTGTTGGGCACGCCAGATCCAAGCAAGACCCAATCGTGGTCACAGTGCTCAGTATCCTTAGCCAGCCGGGGCCCAATCAATCCATGCCTTCAGAGACAGGGATCTGCTATTTTGACAGTCCTGGCTCGCTCCAAGCAAGAGTCAACCGTGGGCACAGTGCTCAGTATCTTAAGCCAGCCGGGGCCTAATCAGTCCATGCCATTAGAGACAGGGATCTGCTATTTTGGCAATCCTGGCTCGGTCCATGGGTCCGCTCTTGGCACTTGAGCATTGTTGATAAAAATAGGTAAAGGAGGTGGTTTCTCACCTGATGCACGACAGCTGAGGGCAGCTTGTTGTGTGCGGGCAGCTCCTGCAGAGTAGTGCTCACAAACTCCGGTGCCTCGTGGCGAAGGGTCGCCCTGGAATGCATGCAGCCTCTCATCAGTGTTTCTCGTAAGGACTTAGGCTGGAAGCCAATGTGGCTACAAACATGTTCGATGTCAAAAGTTTTGAAGCTACAAAGGTGGGCCACAAATGCCCTATTTATTTATTGAGAGCCACATTGGCTTCAGGACGCCAGGGTTCCCCTCAAAAGAAACCCTGCCTCTCATACAACCTCTAATGCAGCCTCTAATTGAATACTGCCACACATGCATTGCACTCAGTGGGAAACACAACAAGAGCCAAGCACGGCATGATGAAGGGTCTGCACCTGAGCCTTGCTCTAGCACATCTCACACACAGGAAGCGTGTTCATGTCTACATCAAACTAGTATTACAGATCGGCAACCTCAATGCACACACCCCCTATTTCTGCAAATCCTTGAGAGCCACATTAAGGGAACAAGAGTCCTCTGGATGCCTCGTGAGCAACTGCCAGTTGTTGAATGCACAGAGGCATGCAGCGCCAGCTGAGTGGTCCGAACAGACTGGACCCAAAAGGCTCGACAAGACAGTAAGACAAGACAAGGAAGTCAAATAATTAAGTAAGGAGAAGGCCATAGGGCATAAACGCAGGGCGTCTGCAGCCAGATCTGGTGGGTCTACAAAATCCTGCAGCCTAGTACACTTTTGCATTGCACCAAGATTTCAAAGGGCGCCACCTGGCAGGAGCCTTCTGTGCTGCAGCGCTGACGAAGACAGGCGCGTCCACGCGCAGAGTGGTGCCGACAGAATCCTTGGATGAGCCGCTGCTGTCCGTCTCGGGGGAGTTCCCTCCTGACTCTTCGCGCCTGGAATCTGCATGATACGAGAGCGGGACAGTCTCAGTCGACCTGAACATTCCTTAGCTTCCCTTGAGGCTTCTTGCTGGAGGCCAAGCTCAATGATCCCAGGACAATATGTTATCATTTGGCCTTCAGTAAAGTTGCACCGTCATTTATTCTTAACCTGTCAAAAGCTGTGCATGCATGCACAAATGAGGAGGGCAGGCACGAAGCAAACGAGCTATCAAGACAAGCATTTCTGCCCATATGCCAAGCACAAGTTCTGCACAACGGGCATGGCTCTCATTGCATACGCACACCGTTGCATCATTGCATGTGTCACACTGCGCAAGTGGCAACATGGCATATATATGGTGTCTGTAATGTTGAGACCTTGCAGGTGGGTGGGTGGGAGGGAACGCACGCTTGCTGGCCTGAGGTACAGGGAAGCCTGGAGGCACGTCTGGTTTCTTGGTAGCAGGTTTCTGTGGTGGTGATAGTGCCTTCTGCAGCTGCTCACATGTCTGGGTCGCCTTGTGTAGCAGAACTGGCTTGGCTGCCTTGGGAAGCAGATCCTCCATGATGTTGTGCGGCCCCTCTGCCTCTGGCCTGCTGATGGCTGGGATGGTCCAGTCAGCGCCCTCCTCATCCCTGCGTGCATGCACATGAATTAAATCAGCCCTCCTAATGCAATTCTTACACCACACTACACTACACTCCGTTACACTCTTGCAGTAATGGCCTAGAGACAAAGCAGAAATGTAGCTGCCTGCGCACCCCATCCTTGTTCTTAGCTACCAGACACAAATCTGATCCTTGGGCCCACATCAGCAGTCATCAATGCAGTCAAGGGCCTATGGGTAGTTGCGCCAAATGAAGATAGAGATATGCAACATCATCGAACAGAGGCAAGCTAGCATGCATTGAGGTGGCGGACCCGGGAGGATGCTTGGAGCGCGCATCGGGCTTTTCTTGGCGGAAATCCGGCTCCAGGAATCTGGGCGGCGCGTGGCGCGGCTGCACCGAACCTTCCGCCCATGTCTTCTGCAGCTTCCCGGCAGCTTTGCTGTCAGCTTCCTCCTCGCCGCTCCTGAAGAGGGTCGGCTGCGGGCGCTTGGGCATGACATAGTCGGCGCTGGCGCTGCTCTCTGTGCTGTCAGCGCCTGACCAGCTGGACTGGCCAGACACTATCCTCCTGTTGCCGGGCTGTGAAGCGCTGGGAGCCGCTGTGCTGGCAGTGGTTGAGCTGCTAGACTGGCCGGACACCGTGCTCTTCTTGCCGGGCAGCGCGACGTTCGGAGCAGCCTTCCACTCTGGCTCCAGTTGAGGCTGGCCTGGGGGTCTCACAATTGGCTGCCTCATGAGCCGGTGTGGGGGTCCAGGGTAGCCGTTAGTCATAGCATTCTGCCGTGCAGGCGCTAGGTAGGGTGACGATATTTGCTGCAAGGGCTGCGGCAGCGGCGGCTGCTGCGGGCGCCAGGTGGAGCCGCGCTCATTCTGCATCATTGCTGAGTTACCTGCTGACAAAGGCAAAGCTCAGGAAAAGAGAAGGGCATGATGAATATGACCTCGGCATTTTGCTGCTGTACTGATCCTTTCGGGTTGTCTTTGGACATCCGTGGGGTAATAAGATCTGGTATTTCTTCTTCAGTGAACATACATGCAACAATGACCAATACCAGAGTCACTAACAAGATTGCGGGCATCTGTCATAGGGTGTATTTGACGATGTCACCTGACAATGACGTCATGTGCATATGCATGTGTCACATATGATCATGCCAATATGCTGCATCATGAGCAAGTGGAAGTAATATCTTTGAATACGGTATATCATGCAAGGGGCTTCACATTCCGGGGGCCGTTGTGGGCATCTGTAAAATGGACTAATATGACGATGTCACTTGACCACGACATCATGTGCAAGCACATGCGTGTCACATGATCATGTCAATGTGCTACAAGCAACTGCAAAAACTTGGTGAGTATCCATGCAAGAAAGATCGCTGGCGGGGCACCACCGATCCGGGGGCCGTTGCTCAGCCTCTCTGGGCTCTCTTTGGCAGGCGGCAGCAGCTCGCTGGCCCTCAGCAAGAAGTCCTCGTCCTCCTGTGTTGCGGTCCAGTTTGGCAGGCAGCCGCTGCGGACATGCCTTCGCATGTCCAGCAGTGTCTTGCGCATGTAGCACAGCTTGCCCACCTGCATGAATTGCCCAAATGCAAGGGATATTCAAGATGTCAGCAATAACCGAGACACGCAGTGCTTCAGGACAGTTGATTTATGGCTCGGTCCTATTTGCACCAAAAGGCCTTGCAATATGTTGCTGCATGTACCATATTGGTTCCATGGACAGGTGCTGCATTGCATGCAAGAGTGAACACAGCAAGTGAGACACCGCATGCATGACTATAGAGCAAATGACAAGTGGCATGCATGATGTGACAATTGTCATGCATGAGGATGCTGCGTCTGTCTATCAGACAATCTGATCCATGAAAGCCAGGTGGGATGAGGTTGCGCACATGCATTGTCAGCAGCACACTCTCCTCCGCCCAGTTGGTCTGCATGTCCACTCTCATATGCCGCTCCTCACCCGCAACTGCTTGCTGCCTCTGCGCGCTTGTGACTGAATCCTTGGCTTCTCCAGTGCTGACAGGGATGGCCACTTTGCCTGGTGCGCTGCTTTCTGGTGCCTTGATGTCTGCTGCCTGCCGATCAGTTTGTGCTGCGCCCACAGTGATTGCAGGCTTCCCTTGCTCATACTTTGCAGCCGCACCCACCATGGCTGGCTGCTTCCCCTCAGCCAGTGTGTCTTCCCCCTCACACACTGCATCCTCCATTGCAGTGATGCTCAACTGCACCGGCCCTAAGATGTCACCTTTGCTGCCTGGACTCTGACCGGCCTCTGCCGTCTTGTCATCTCTGTCACTCATGCTGACTGCACTGGCTGCCTTCTTGGATGGTGAGGTGGCAGGGGAGGTCAGGACCAGGGCTGCAGCAGGCATCAGAGCCTGCAAGACCCCGCTCAGAGAGCTCACAGCAGCTGACAGGGACTTGTCAGCTGAACCTGTGTCCTTGTCAGAGCATGTGGCTGCTTCCTTGGTGCCCGTGGCTGCAGGTGTGTCTTGCTGCTGTGGGGGCTCCTCCACATGCAGCTCCATGATCGCTGGCTGGAGGGGAGCCGGCTGGAAGTCCTGCATGCATGTCACAATTGACAGTTTGGATGCAACCAGACAACAGTGTTGCATGCACCTGCAGCTTGCATACAAGAGGCAGGCACGGTGGAGGACAGCTCACCGTCATTCCAATGTCTTGAATGCACTGTAATAAACACAAGTGCTGCCACGTAGAGAGGCATGGCAGGCAAACACCATGATTCAACTTCAACGAGATGCCCCAACAATAGCATGAGAACTTGCCTCGGCAATGGAGGGCGGCAGCAGATTATCCTTGTTTGCATTCTCTGCAGCAGTATGCTCTGTTCCAGCATTTGCATCTCCCACCACTGCAAGAACTGTATCCTCCGTCGCAGCTGCAGGGTCATCTGTATTGGAAACATCAGCCATGGCCCCTGCTGGCTCCAGCGGTGCTTCAGTCAGGTGCTGCCCTGCAAGAAGCAGTGGCATGCATCTCGCAAGCTCGTCCACTTCAGCAGGCAAGTAAGCATGCTGTGATATGTCTGCTGAAGGCTCACGCTTTCTGCAGCAAAGTTGCACACGTTCCGATGGAGAATGGAAATGTGGAGGACATTTGCTGGCAGTATTGTGTTGAAGGTAAAATCTCACCTGATGTGTCTTGGGTGGTGTTTAGATGAGGATCTTCACTTGCTGCAGGCTGACAATCTGCATGTTGGTCTGCGCATGCTAATGTGTCCAGCTCAGTTGTTGATGAGAACTTGTTGGCAGCGGCTGTTAGACCTGACTCCTCTGCGGTTGCTGTGGCAGGATCTTGCATGGTCTGCATCCACCATCACAGAACATCATGTGAATTTTCTACTACTCAGGAAACCAAATGGAAGCACTCAGAAGTCACACAGGCACGGAGAAGTGCTGGAATACTCACTGCAAGAGCATCAGATGGCTTGTTGGAGGGGGTTGTGCTGAGAGAGAGCAGCAGAGCGACTCTGGAATCCTCTGCTCCCTTGGTAGAAGGAAGGGCACAAGTCACCGCTGGAGTGTCACTGCCCATTCTGGTGCATCACATCAGCAGTCAGCACCTACCACAGGGCAGCCAATTCAGCTTCTGAAAGCTTATTGTCATCAGTTGTGAAGCGCACAAGGCGAGTCCGTGTAGTATGAACATCCCCTCCTCTTCTGTGTGCTCGTCCTAAGATATCCTCTACAAATTTCAGGAGTGTACGAGCGGAGTCCAAAAAAATGCTGGGACCTGTGAAAAGATATCAATAAAATTTTATGTGGAGATCCAGCATCCTTCAACTTCTCATCAGAGCCGGAGGTTCCAAAAGGAAACTGGTGATCACCGCAACACGATGAAGGTTTTCACACCTTTGCCAAATGCCTCGAAAGTGTACCTGCAGGCATACAACCAATGTAATTTTAACCATTATATCAATTAACGGTGCCCATTCAACAAGCGCTAAATGATCGAAAGGGTCCAGCCTCTGCCATGGCTTGGCGTCTGTGCAAACCTCGACGGCCGCTGATGTAGCGTTGAGGGGTGCAGCAATGCTATGGAGTAGGGATATATTTCTGCAAACACTACTGCATTGTCATATCTCTAGCCGCATTGCACATCAGTCCCAAGTCAACACGGAACTTCAGATCCCCTGCGCTTCTTTCTGAGAGTCCACAGCTATTTGATCTCGGACGAATTCTGCAGACCTGCTGCTTCTGCTCTCACTGCATCCTTGGAGGTGGCATTCACTTCCTGTCTGTTTTCGCTTATGGAAACAGTCCTATGGAGGAATACTGACGTGCCTAGCTGCCTAATCTGGCCGCCTACTTCAAGGAATTCATGCAATTCATTGATGCATGGGAAGACAATCTCCCTTCGTTTGGAAGTTGATTGTTCAGGACAACAGACGTGATAGGTGGACAGCAGAACCTCTGGAGAATGGCGAGATAGACAGCTGCAGGTTGTCTGTGTCTAAACCATCATAGACTGGTTGCCTTCTCATGCCACAGTGACTGATGCTAAATTGGTTAGGCAGGAAGGCAGAGCACTATGAGCAGGACTCTAGAGATCTGCATATCACAGAGCCTAGCAGCCACCTTATGCATCAGTTGTACAGCTTTAATGTCCACCTTCTGAAAGGTGTCCTTTCGAATACAATGCGTCTTGTCATAAGCACTTGCAAGGCGCTTCGTCTGAGAAGTTATGCTATCTTTCATCAGTACGCATGCTTGACCAGTGGTCAGGGAGCTCCCAAGCCACTCCATGCTGTAGTGCCGAGTCCCTCCCACATCTCAGCTCCCATGTTCTCCGCGCCATCTAGACCCAACATACCACTGTCCTGCAGCATGCATGCACAGCCAGCCCTTCAGAGGAGTGATGATAGCAGCGGTTGTGGGCTTCACAATCATGCCCTTGATTTGGTGTGCACAGCCGGTGTAATTCTTCCGCTCTGAACAGCCGGTTTCCTGCAGCCAGTTCGCAGAGCAGCATCGGAGGCGCTCACGTCCTGCTCTGGAAGAGCACACATTCATCACTCAAGCGCAAACATAGCAGCAGAAGCTTTCCGCAGAGGAGTATCCGCATGTGGTTCTGGCTGTCTAGGAATCTGTTTCAGCAACGCGGGCATACATATGTGATCTATAACACCATGGCAGGAGCACCTGTGGGAATCAGAGCTGCTCACCCAGAAGCCATGTCCTGTGCTGTAGTGGTTGAACCTGATCGCTGCTGCTGTCTGCCTGCTAACGACTGCCTTAGCCCTCTTTGGCGGGTTGTCCTTTTCGCTGTGCCTGTCTCCTCCCAGCACCAGAACCTGCAGCAGCTCACATGCTCCCTGTCAAGATATGCTGACAGCCGCCATCTGTGAATGCAGTTCTGCGAGCGTCCGTGAGCAGTCAGAAAAGTGTGAGGCAAATTCAGGAACATGCACCTTGGACGATGGTGCGCCTGCCCTGCGTGTGCCTTCTGCCCGCTGTGGGTGCTGCCTGCCCCTTCCACGCGCCTTGGTCACCCCGCGGCAGCCAGCGCCTGACTTGGCCCCCTGCTCCTCTGCACAGCTCCTGCTGCCTCCGTGCAAGTGCTGATGAAAGTCATACCCTCCCTTGTTTGCGGCCCCTGCTGCACGATGTGCCAGCTGGCGGTCCATGTCTTGTGCTGCTGCACCAAATTGCTGCCTGAGGCCTCTGCCATCTGCACAGCGGGGTTCCTCCAACTGACAGAGCCCTCCTGATCTGCTTCTGCCATGGCCGGTTAGCTGTGACCCCTGCTGCTCACAGGCGGTGCCACCTCTTCTTCTAAAGGTTTCTGGATGTGCGCCAGTCTCATCTAGAACTGCGCTCTGCTTACTGCTGCGTGGCAGTCTAGCCGCTGTGAATTTGTCCCTCTGCATGGGCCTGCTTGATGCATGCGCAGTGATGGCAGCGGCGCCCGGTATTTGAGAGCTGTCCTCTGTTGTCAAAATTCCATCCAGCTCCCTGTTTATGTGCTCCTGGAGGGCGTGAGTGGGCAGCAGCTGTTGGCACAAGGGGCATTGCTGCAGGGATCCCTCTGCTGCTGTGTCTTGGGCCCTGGTGGTAGCTGTGCCCCTGCTGCTGCTCTGACACTCTCTGCTGGCAGTAGGGCGAGAGTGCTCAGCTGGTAGTGCACTCTTTGGCTGATCAGTGGCACCGCTTGCCGCATCAGTGCTGCATGCTTGTGGTGTGGGAATTTTCGATGTGCTACCAGAGCTGCACAGCAGACCAATAAGAGCAGAGGAGCTCTGTGCACCTGATGTCGTTTTGCCCTGAACTCCGCAGCCTGTCTTTGCCCTACAGATGTGACTTTCTCAAGGTTAAAGACAGAGAAAGACAGCATGAAACTCACTTTTGCGAGGAAAGTCAAAATGGTCCTTTGAATCTCAATCCTGCAAGCATCCCTATATTGAACGCAATTCTGAATTGCTACGTACAATTAAAATGTTGTAAGTACCTACCGTGCTCTACTGGATTCTGTCCTGGAGATTACTTCCTTAAGGTTTTGCTGCACTGCTTTCCGGTTCACGTCCAAGACCATCTCTCCGTATCTGCCCTTACATGGGATGAAAGTGAACTCTTTTCAATCCCTGTGGTGTGTCACGGCCCCCCGTGACAATGATGAACAAGTATATTTTCTGAATCTTGTCAGGAAAGGGCCTCCTTTCATTGAGCAGATAATTGACGGGGTTACATGCTATACTGTGTCTAGCAGAAAGCAAGCAATCGGCCAAATGTCTACTCGCACAAGGCTGGAGCTGTCCCTGCCCCGTTTCGAAAGCAACGCGTGACACGTGCCGCTTTCGGAGCGCGATGTCGGGTTTCAAGCGGGGGCAAACTTCTTCGCGATCCACGACGATCCAAATCGATGGCAGATATGTACAAGTCATTCACGGTTTGCAAGGGGACTTAGGACTGCATTCATTGCAGTTGCACTCCTTTTGGGCTTAATAGTTTCACAATGGAATTGATCTGTTTCGTGACTAGTTGGGTTTTTAGATGCCAAGCCTTTTTGGGTCTGGGATTGTCGAACTTAGTGGTTAAAAGTGCAAAGAAACACATCTGACACAATGATCTAGATCGTTCCATATGCAAGGCAGATACTGGCTGGCTAGCTAGTACTGCCTGCAACAGGAATGTCCGGCTAATCCATAGCTCCTGTGGTCATCTGACAGCTATGTATCAGAGCACACGATACATTTCATGGATATCAGGCATTACCTGCTACCGGTGATGCCATGGCTGTATTTTCCATGAAAGACGTTGCACGATGGTTTCCTCCGTCAGTGCGAGTTGCTCTCTTTCTAGGCGCTCTGGTGCGCTCCAGTCGTTGATCATGATACATTCAATCCATATGCCAGTAAACTTGTGAGATCGCACACCCGTAATATGCAAGCGGTACACACCAAGTGCTAGAGAAGCTGTGCTATTGGCGCAGATTGTCTTTGGCATAGTGGACATCGATATCCTCTTGCCAAAGCTTACCGTCTCCAGGGAGAATGACTCTGTGTAAGGCCCCCTTGCTGACTTGATCCGCCAGCCCCTCTACTATGATCTGCACATCCTCCTGCGCAATGCTATGTCTCTTCAACAAGAGACCGGCATGTCAGGGGTACCGATGTCCAAAATATGCATATGCCCTTATCCATGACTCCCGCGCTCTTGCAGACGCCGGTGACTGATTTCCTTTGCCATGATGAACGGTTTCGTTGCCTTCCTTATTGATCTTGTCAGCTGACACGTTTTTGCTGCACTCTCTCATGCTGACAAGATTGGAAACGCAGAGAGGCCTGGGACAAATCAACCCCCGACATTTCCTCAGCAAGTTGTGCAGCTGGGAGCACATGAACCTGCTGTGATGACTGAAAGTGTTGAGATGCCATTGAAATCCTCTCAATTCCCCCCGCAGGGTGTTCAAGCACGGGGGATGGGAGCGAATGGGCCTTCGAAATCGCAACCGCACCCTGGCACCGGGGAACCGGCTGCAGCCGCTGGACGAGCTGGCAGGCGCCAAGAAGGCCAGCCCCTACGGCGGCGTGCTTCCTCCCAGCCCCTACGCGAGACTGCGCAAGTGCAAGCGCTTCCTGGGCAACATCCAGTCAACAAGCACCCTCAAGGCTGCGCTGCAGGTGCAGCCCAGTCGCACCCCATGTTGCTGTCATGGATAATATGTCCAATAAGTCTGGGTACTACATATGGGTGCCTGTTTGCTACATCAAGAAGGCAAGCAGGAAGACTGTTGGCATCACGCGTGATGCCACTTAAGTATGGATGGAGGGCTCTATGGGCAGCCTTCAGGTCACCTGCATCACATAATGAGTTGTAATCACAGCAAGTCAGACAATACTTCCTCAGAGGGTATTCAGTGTCGCAGTGAAGGCGCACAGCGCAACATACATTCTGGATGCATTCTGATCTGATTCTAAGAATCGCGGTGCTAGGAATGGTGTTTGGAGCCACACACTTGTGAGCCTTGGGCACGTCCAAGTGCTTCCATTGAAGCACAATAGTATCACTATTTTTATTACACGCTTTCCTGCCAAAAGGCAAGGTACGTCCTGCAGACAAGCTGCAGTTGAAGGCTGCCACAATCCTACCACTTGTTGGACTCGCCAGATTAAGCAAGACCCAATCAACCGTGGGCACGGTGCTCAGTATTTATACCGGCCCCCGCCAGCCGGGGCCAAGCCACTGAAGCACAGTATGCGCGTTACTAAAACATGACTGAGGTTGGGTATGCATGCAGGCGCGCAGCCACAAGGGAGAGGTGATCCTGGTGGCCTTCAGCGAGCCAGAGCTGCCACTGGCGCTCAACATGGTCCTCAACCTGCGCAAGCTCTCCTTCGAGCACTTCCTGCTGCTGGGTCTGGACGAAGCCTGCTGCCTGCATGCCGCAACCGTCATCTCTGACATCGGTCCGTGCTCGACCACCTCATCAGCCATTCGAGAGTCCTTTGTCCTGTGTTTTCCGCCTCTATTTGGTCATTCTAGTCCAGGGGCTGGGTGGATGGAGCCAGTTGCTTGACTATAATACCTCACAATGGGGAGGACAGCGTGCCTTGGATATTGGGTCTTGAGGTATTCTAGCAGCGGGTCTCATCTGCCCAGCTCAAAGGGAGAGCCGTGCCTGGGGAATTGCTCTAAACGGAAGGGAGAGCACATACTGTTGGCGGCTTCTTTTTGCTGCAGCTACTGAGTGGTAAAATCGTCCTGCATGTTGCTGTATACTATGGCAGGAAGTATGCATTGGATGCATGTGGTGTGCAGTTTGCGGCTTGTTTGCTGCTGCTGTCGAGAGATGACAATGTCCTGCATATTGCAGCATGTTTTGGCGGGAAATTTTATCATGCGCATGTGGCGTGCAGGCTGTGTGTGGACGAGCTATCTGGCCAATGGGGAGCTGAATATGTTCCCCAGGGATGGGCTTGGGGGTGAGCGTGACATCGAGAAGCTGCAGCTGCTCAGGTGACTGCCTGAGACCGACTCCAAGGGACGAGCCTGATGCATGCCCTTGAATACCTTGCATTCAACCCTTTGCAGCCGAGGTGGCTAGGTGGAGATGAAGTGGTGTCCCTGATCCCCTCCCCAAAGGAGACTAGGCCTCTTAAGTACTGGTGGAGGGCATTGCATGCAGCCAATGCCTCAACAAGAGGACGGGCTCACAGCCATTCTTGCCACGAGCCTATGCTCGGAGTCATCTTCTGGTGCTGCCATGCAAGCAATGATGTTGCAATGCTTATTCTTGACAGCTTCGATAGTCCCCTGGGCATGTTAATGAAGTCGAGTGCTGCCTCTTCAAAGGCACGCACTAAGGTGGCGCTGTGTAGATGATATCACTGAAATTTCTGTATGTCTGGTCATGCCTAGGTGGCACATGGCGGCGCGTATCGTGCGGCAGGGGTTGAATGTGCTGACGATGGACGCTGAGGGCCATTTGAGCGACGACCCCTACGCATACCTGAAGGCATCGCCGCTGCAGACCGCGCACTTAGTCACCATGACTCACGGCGGCTGGGGCGGCATGACGGCCGGGTTTGTGTACGTCCAGAATGCAGCGGTGAACGGGCCGGTCGCCTGGGCTCTGAGTGAGACTGTGTACAGGGTACGCGCCCTCCACTACTGCACCCTGGCAGGTCAATGATATTGGCATGCAGGATTGTTACAGTGTAGCATTGCAAGTTAGCAGCAAGTTGTATGCATGCACTTTTTTGGCGCTACATCATTTTTCATTACTTTGTGTCATCATGCTCGGGCTAGGCAATGGTTGTTCCTTTGTGCTTGAAAGCACATGAGGAGCACAGGAATCAATGGCAGACCGTATACTAACGGTTAATTTTGCTTTTGTCACTGCAGAGCACTGGATGTGCACCCTGCATGTGAGGCCACAACCTGCCGAGGAAAGCTTGAGTCTGGTGGATTTCCTGTCCGGCTGTCATGGTTATACAGTTGTGATCGTTGGGTCATTCGTGGTGGCAGCTGAGTGGGAGCCAGGTTATCTTGCCTTCCAGCCGCGTCGGCGTGTCTCCAAAAATCTGTCCTTTCTTCAAGCATGTGCATTGTAGTGCAGGCGCTTCAGTATGCAGAGCACCCGGGGTTCATGGAAGTGAAGGGCCTGTCATCGCCAGGCAGCCTCCTGGAGATGCTAAGGGACTCAAGCCTTCTGAACGATGCAGCCGTCAGCGCCTGTGTCGGCCGGCCTGTGGGCTGGCACAGCATCTGGCACAATCACTGGGGCCGCGCAAAGAGCGACGAGCACTTCAAGAAGATATATGAGGCTCACTCGCAGCTGGCAGAGGAGGTGCGCAGGCCATTCGCTTGCCTCCAAGATGTGAATGTCCTGAAGTAACTATGGAAGAGCAGAGCAATACCTGTGCTGATGCTGGAAGGGATTTCTGCACTGCTTTTCCTAGCACGCCCAGAATGGTGGTCAATGCACATCTTCCTCTCTTGAAGCCCCGCCCGGAAGAGTGCTCATATAGGCGCGAATATCTGTGTTTCCTTACAAATTGTTGCTGTTGTGCAGGAATGCCACAGGAAGGACAGAGATGTTGACCTGGACTCCGGGCTGCAGGCTCGCCTGGGCATGAAGGGAGGTAGGCTATTTACTCCTGCTTGTCAAATGTCTTTTAGTGCTTCTTACCCAATCATTCCTTGCTCAGCACAATTAGTTACCTGTGTACCATGCTTCCTGTGCTCTCGCCCTGGCGTGTGGTCAATGTATGTCGTGGAAGAGAAGACTTCAGGGTGGGTCCGGTAATCAGACTGGATCCATTTCTGCCAATTAACCCAGGCACGCACACCTTTTATCAGCATGTTGAGGGCTTCAGCGATATTTCCATGTGGAGGCTGTCCCAGATGAGAGTCTCATGCTGACTGTGCCACGTCATTGTTTCGACAGGCCGCTTTTATGATATGCCGCTGCGGGTGCCTCACGAGTCATCCGGGGAGCTGCCGGAGCGCCTCGGCGGCCGAGTGTATCCGGCGGAGCCGGGGAGGCTGGGCCGAGAGTGGCGGCAGCTGCTGGAAGCCGAGCAGGGAACGCCCTGGAACACTACGGCTTCCGAGCAGCTGCTGCAGCCCGTCATGTACGGGCGCTACATGGAATACGGGCACAACGGTGTGCCGCTTTTACGGTCCTCCACTCTAAATTTCAAAATGAAGCTCCTGTGCAGCAGCAGGCCTGGAGACTGTCTGTTCAGCCTTCAGCTCAGCCTGCGTAGGTGCCTACAATGTATTGCTGCTTACTTCGATTTTAGCTTTTAACAAGTCCATGCATGCAGCCTCTGTTGTGCCTGCTCAAATCACTCGAGCGGAGAGAGACACACCCGCCTTTGTTTCTACGTTTTTGTGCACATTGGAGAAAACCTTGTGGCCTTGAACAACGCTTGATGTTGGAATTTGCATTTCGTGCGTGGCTCTGAGTGAAGTACCTGTAAAACAATAGGAAGACAGAACAGGCGCGCAGAGCAAAACTTGCGTTGGGGTGTGCAGGGTTGAGAAATGGGGCGTTTTATGTAGAGCCGCGGCCGGTGTTCTTCGCTCACATGATGGGCATCAGAGCCGCGCTGCCCAGTCGCGCCATTGTCATGAAGGCGCTTGGCATGTGGCACTGGGAGGTGCGTTACTTCTTCTTACCAATGCGAACACGGCAGATGACTCTCTTGGAAAAAGTGCCAGGAAGAAGGCTCTGTGAAGCGGCCAAGTGGAACAAAATATCTGTGACATGCAGCAGCGCTGTGCTGCCCATGCAATTGATTTGCTTCCCTGGCATAAGATGCTAATTAGTAGCCTTGTGCCAAAGCGCATGCTGAGGCCGCTCGAATCGACATACACTCACACCGAAGCAGTCACACAGCATTGAAGCCAGGCACACACACACAGCTGAGTTGAGCTTCAGCTTCCTGCATTGTGTCAAGCGAGGGTGGGGATGACACATACATTACACATATGTGGCAGGTGGTGAGCATGCTGGAGGAGGTTGGATTCCAGCAGGGAGCGCCCCTGGCAGCGCGCAAGGTCCTGGCATTTGCACCAGACGTGCTGCCTCTCAAGCTTGACTCCGAGCGGCAGGTTCGCGCCGCGCTGATAGGCCTGGTGCAGGTATGCACGAACGCCTCTCACTGGCCTCTTTGACAGCAATGAAGCTAGAGAAATGCCAATGCTTCTGAAACCCAACCATGGTAGCGCCTATGAACAGTGGCTTGGAGAGGCCAGATGTTACCACAAAATTGCTGGTTGCTGTCTCTGCATGTTTACAATCCTAGCAAACAAGTGCTTCAGGGAACTTATAGACCTGATATCAACAGCTAAAATTTGGAGAGGGTCCAAATATTCGGGGCAAAGTCCATGCATGCGGGCATGCTTGCCGGTACCAACAAGCTGTGCAGCGTGAGGAGTGCAAGACACGAGCACTGTGCAGCGATACTGAAGCTAGGTTTGTGTATACTCTGTGGTACACTGTCTGCATTGCCTCCAGGCACAGAGTGTGAATAGGCTCGCATCGTGAAAGCTGCTGAACCTGCCTCCCACACTGAAACTTGTGTGCTTTGCCTGCACAGCTGGCGGTGCTGTCTGGCAGAGTGCCAGTGTGGCCAGACTTTTCCTGCAATTCCCCCTGGCTGTACGAGGAAGGGGCGTCACAGAAGAGCAACGAGAAAGACCCCAAGCGCTGGTTCGGGGCCGACTGGCGCTCGGACTTGGAGATTGTCCCGCGGCAGCCGGTCGACGGCGCTCCTCCCTCGCGGCGATGCCTGGTCTGGCACTATTATGACATCCCCTGCAACGTGCATGTGAGTTCTCCTGGCCCTCTCCTCATTTGCCACAACAGCTTGCTTTGCTGTTGACTCGACATGACCTGACTTGGATGATGTTATGGTCCTGCACTGCTTTTTGCCAGCAATGTGAACGCAGCTGAGGACGCATGCATGGCTTCCAAAGAACACGGCGCCAGCCGTGAATATGTGGCGCTGAACACAGCTCTGGAGAAAACCAGAAGGCCTCTTCATCAGGAGGACGGCACTTCATATCCAGAGGATTGACATCCTTGCTAAGCAAGCAGGAAAAGCAAGCAGGAAAAGGAAGATTTTAAAGGTGATATTGGATTGAGGATGAGGGTGTTTGGTGCAGGGGATGAACCTGATGGACTTCTTCTTTCTACGGGACGATCTGCTGCCGCCAGAGAGGGCGCAGCCCAGCGCAAGGAACACCCTCCTGCATAACTCCAAGGAGTCGGGAATCGCCAAATTTAGCAGCGCTTCTGACATTGACTGGCTCGACTCCCACATGAAGGAGATTGGGGACGAGCCCATCGCGTATCTAGGTGTGCAGTGATTCATTTCTTTGCCTATAGTCAAGCATCTGATGACACATTGTATTGCCTCACAGCACAGATGCCTGACATGTTAATGTCACACATGCATGTTCTTGTGCCTGCACTCCTGCTGCAGTCCTCACATCAGGAGACCTGTCGTTGGCAACAGAGAAGAGAAGAAATTTGAGCCTCTGCGTATGCTCATGCTGTTCAATTAATTGACATGATCCCTTGCGCAAAGCCTTCATCCACTCTCTTGGACTTTGTGTGAAGCCGCGAGCTTGAGCATTCATCATATTTACACTTGGGCATTAGATATGCGGCATGGAGGATAATGTATGTCATATTATAGGCATGAAAAAGGGAGTTACCTGATGTGGCAGGAAGGGTGGTGAACATAGAGAGCCTGGGGAGCCGAGAGGGGCTGGAGGAAGCCGTGGAGAAGGTGCAGGGCAGCTGCCTGGCAGGCATGTTCCAGGTCAGCATGGACCGGCGGAGGTACGCCGCTGTAGGGGCGCAGGCCGACAAGGGTGAGGTAATCGCTATGGAGGAGATCCGCGCACTGGAGGAAGCCTCCCCGGTGAGCTCTTATTTTGAAATTTGTATCTGAATTTGAGCAAATGTTTCCTTTTGATGCCCTTCCTTATGTGCTGGCCACACACCTGGCCATGTGTGGTGTACATCTGTGTCCCGAGTCTGCTTCTATGTTGGGTCCTCTTTCTGGCACAGCACGTGTAAAGTGCCAATCGTCTTTTGTGCCAAACTTCCTGCCTGAATGCTGTCAGAGCATTGTCTTGCTGTGTACAGATGAAGCTGTTAGCGTGCGCTCAGTCAACACAATTTGCAAGGGAGCGCGCAAGAAGTGCCAGCCGGGCAACAAGGGTTCCTTCCTGCGGCGCGATATGCTCTGGTCAAAGCCAGAGAAATAGCTGCAGAGTGATGTATTTCTGATTTCTTGCAGGCTGAAGCTGACAGGCTGGCTGGTCCAGTTGAAGAGGCAGCGGCGGCTTCTGTGGGGCAGCATGCGGACAGGCAGGCAGGCGAGAATGCCAGGAAGGCAGAAGTTGACCTGGCAGCTTCCGGTGCTGACAGCACTGGTGCGCCCATCATTGTAGTATTTCCCTCAGCAATAATATGATATATCCTAAGTCACATCTCTATGCTAGCTGCATACCAGGGCCCATTAACACCAAAGTCCTGCAGACTTACAGTGGCGGGCTTGTTGCACGTGTTGAGACCGCACTGTGCATAAATGGCTGAGATCGCCTGTAGGTCCACCACATTTAATTGATTTTGTTTGACGCATACATCAGCGGCAAGCCGCAGAGCGCACGAGCAGAGGGTTGCAGCCTATACACAGCAGATCCTGAAAATATTGAATGTAAATGCAGAAGCCATCAGGGAGCTGGACACGTTCGCCAACCTGGAGGAGCAAATCAATCGGCGAGCAGAAGGCGCGCAGAAAAGTGAGGGCCTCAAATTCAAACAGGATGCAGATTCACGACGAAGTTCTGAGGAGGGGGCTGAGAAGGAGAGGGGCTCAGGGGAGATGCAAGGGGGAATGAAGCGGGAGAGAGAGGGCGAGGGTGGCCGAGAGACACTGCAGGAAGCGGGCCGGAGCGCGGAAGCTGCCGGGGAAGCTGGCCGGGAACCTTCCCCGGAAGCTGCGGAGGAGGCGGTGGACGAGGAAGCCGAGCAGAAGCAGGCAGAAATTGACGCGATCGCGGCGGAGGAGGCGGCGAGGAGGGAAGCTGAGAGGGAAGCTGCCGGGAAGGCGGCGGCTGCCGAGGCGGCCAGAAAAGAGGCGCAAGAGAGGGAGGTTGCTCGGTTGGCCGAGCTGGAACGGCGGCAGCAGGAGATCCGGCAGGCAAGGCGCCATAATATCTCCTTTTGCACATTGAGAACCGTATTAATATTTGGGATGATCGATGGATGGGAGGGGCCACGTTCTCAGCTGGCATCGTGTAGTGCAGGCTGTGCTGTGATAATTGGAGCCAGTGACATGCCTTTCAAGCACTGATACCATTCTACTGCCGGCCAGAATTCCTGCAGGACGTGTAGTAGGCATAAGCACGGGCCATAATCGCTGCAGCGTCTGCATGGAAGCACGGCACACAGCTCAGCTAGACTCTACTGCAACCTCACTCACTAAAGCATGCATGTGTTTGTTGTTTAATGCATGCGCTGCACATGCAGGCGCAGGAGCGCGCGGCGGCAGAGGACAAGAGGATAAACGAGGCCGAGAGGGCGGAGCTGGACTTGGAGGGCAGCGGAGGAGAGCTATTGGATCCGCAGCAGCTGGGCTTCCACGAGCCTGAACGGGACGCTGCAGGGGTGAGCGATGAATCGGCGGGGATGAGCGACGGCGCTGGAGATCGGGGAGATGACGCGCACGGACAGAGAATCAAGGCACCGACACAAGAAGGAGCTGAGAACCGCCCTGCGTCAGAGGATGCAACAGATGCACTAGGGGGAGCGTTGCAGAGAGCTTCACTGTTGAAGCCGGGATCATCAGATACTGGCGAAGAGCCTTTCACAGAAGGAGAGGGTCTTGACTCAGGTGGTGGGGAGCGCGAAAGAGCAGGGGAGCAATTGAGGCAGAGGGGTGATAAAGAAATAGGTTCAAGGCCAGAGGATGCTTTCGCGTCAGAGGAGAGGGATATTGTACAGATGGGTCGGAGGAATGAGGGGGACCTATTCAGGACTGAGGGTGACCGATCATGGGGTTTTGATCTAAACAACAGCAAACAAAGAAACCATGCTGTTTCACATAGGGCAGGAGACAGTGTAGGAGAAGGAGGCATTCCAGATACTGTTGTGTTAGGAGGCAGGAGCAGAGACAAGCCTGCTGGTGCGGAGGTGAACCCTGTACAGTTGGCTGACGAAGCACCGCGGCTGGTAGGCTACAGGCGAGCAAAGGATGAGGCAACGCGTGAGAGCAACGATGAAAATATTGGAGACCTAGAGGAGGGTGACAAAGATGTTCAAGAGGGGGGTAGGAAAGATATAGAGGAGGGAGATGATAAGGATGTAGGAGAGGGTGATGAAATGATGGCACTGCTAGACGAAGATGACGCTCGGCCTACTTAAGAGTTCAAGGTAAGATCTTGATTATGCCAGAAATCTGCATGCGCGGTGTGTCTTAAGACAACTCGGTAGCTAGAAACCCAATTGGCGCAAATGAGATCCGACGAGTGTCATTGCAGAGGCTTGCAATGCCTGTCTGAAACAAAATTCAGTTTGGGAAGGTACAGCAAGAGAAGACCACAGATTGCTGCAAGCACAACCGCGCTGCCGTCTGGCAAAACTGTCGATAAAAGAAATGATTATACGAGTCCTGGATGGCTGTTTCAAACAGTGCTTTCACTGACAGAGCCACAGCAGCGAACCAGAAGTGTCATGTCAGACTCTTTAGACCTTGCAAAGCTGGAAGTCAAAATTACCATAGACCTTAGGTCATGAAGCCGGTGCCGGCAACAGTCATGCACAACAAAGCCCACTTGTCGGGTAATTGACTGTTTTTTATATCAGTCATGAACATGCATTATGCGCAACGCTTGCGCCATTTTGTACAGTCACATGGCTGTCCTGTGATCATTCTGTCCAACTGCTCCAATTCAGTCTTGACCCGATCTCAGCTGATGCCTTCAGATCCAGCCCTTCTGGGCTCACAGTCAAGCAATGCACCACGTGACATAACAGCACTGAGTACATACACAGTATGCTTGCAGTGCATTCAACGGTAAGAGTGCCTGCCAATATTGCCGTGCCCAAGCCTTGTCACAACACCCTGACATTCATGCACTCATAAGTCGAAGCAACAGTGCCAGCAGCTGTCTGTCAGGGAGAGCATTAACGGGTCACAGCTCCATCACAAACAGAGTTGTGACAACAATTCCGTTTGCAGTTGGCCCAAAATGTCACCTGAGCACTTGTACCTACCATAAAACAGCCCTTGGGCAACTCAACACTTTGTTCAGAAACACAACTTGTACAATGCCTTCTTACCATGCAACTCATCATCTCAACTAATGCACACAGCACGACATAGCTGCAAGGGCTGCCTCATCAAATTGACTGCAACCTGGTTTAGGATAGCTCCATTGACTGCACAATGATGACCTGGCAGGCTTGCAAGCCGGAGGCCAACAAATTTTGATTTCAATTTTACACTAGGTCAAAGCTGACGCTCCAAGCGCAAAGTTGCATTCAACCGACGCGCGATGAATGATCAAATGCTGGTGATCCAACATGACTGCGAGCCAGCGATATGGTTGCCACTGACTCCCTGATTGGCTGCGATGACTCATCCCTGATAACACCCATTCCCGGTGACTCACTCAAGTGCATTGCCACCGGAGATGCGCCCGTAGCAGGTTGGGGCGGGATAATTGTGGGGCTAAATGACTTATTCCAGGTGACTCATCCGCGGTGATGACTCAGTCGCGTGCATCGCCCCCGGAGATGCGCCCATAGCAGGGCGGGGTCAGGGGTTGATAGTTGTGGGGCCTCGAGGCGGTGCCAGATTTGGCTTCGTGATGTGTCTCCACTTCCAGGCCGCCATGTGGCGTGTCCACGACGCCAGCTGGCGTTCCCTCGGGGTCAAAGTTTCGAGTTTCAACCTGCACAAGCACATGATGATGAAGGCTTAGATCCTTCCAAAACCTCCTATATCTTTTTTCCTTTTGCCCATGCGCTATGTTCACACCGCTAGGGAGTTCCTTCTCCCGGCATTAGCGCCCAAACTAGTAAAAATCCTGCATTCTGAATGCAGGAGGCTTCTAAAGCCTAGGATGTAGCAGTGTGCCTGGTGGTTCCCTGCTAGAGTTTTGCATTGGCAGATGTCCATTACAACTATTACAATACAGGATGAAGACCTGCCTAAAGAGAGATGTCAGCATCAAGATGTCTGGCAAAGCACGGCAAATTCCGAAGTCTGGTTGCAGCAACAAAGCAACTAAAAAGGCAGCAGGTGAAAATGCAATGCAGCGGTGATTCCACACTCCCCAAGCAGATCCCAGCAGATCCCTACAGTGTTGAAATTGCCCAAGAGTGTGACACGGTGCTACAGAAAGGGATTAATAAATGTTTCCAAAGAGCGCACCTTTTTGTACTTGTACATCCTGGCGACAGAGATGAAGAAGAAGACATTGAGGACGGACATGATGACTAGGACGACGTAGTAATAGTCCAAGCGCCCCTGATTCAGATTGTTGGGTAGCCATCCAACTGCGCCGTTCCTGGCACAATCAGAGAGACAATATAATAAATATCTGCTTTTCAAATCGACTCCTGGGCCAGGGATTTGCAGTATTCCTGCTGCATGACGTGCACTCGCGAGGCACCTCTTTCTCCTATCTTTTGGCGCTCGCTCTGCCCTAAACTCTTTGAATATTTTCTTTATTTATTTTTGAGATACTCTAGCGCTAATTCTGCCTTGATGTCTGCGTTCCTCTTCCTCTACTCTGCATGCTGGAACCAGACTGGTGAAAATCTTAGAAAGACTGTTACAAGAGATCTGACAGGTGGCATTGGCCTATGAGACAAAGAAGAACCCGGCAACACGCAAGATAGCAGAGAGCACTGCAAACCCGCCATGGATTTCTGAGCTGTGATCGCAATTGTGACCTGCTGTGGCATGACATCAGGGAAGAGCTTGTTGGAATGCGATGCAATGGGAAGAACGAGAGCTTTATCTGGCACTGCATGGCAAACAGTGGTGATGTCTGCTCTAGGCTTCAACAAAATTATTCAACTTACTTGGTAGTGGCAGAGGCGACGATGCTGGTGACGGCAGATGCCAGGTAGCTGCCGAGGGAGGTGGTCAGCAGCTGCAGCGCACTGCCCAGTGACCGCATGGCGTCAGGTGCCTGCACATGCACACTCAGCAAGCTCACGGCACTGGTATCTGAGCCATGTGAACAGACATGTTTCTTCCGCTTGCCAAAACAAGTGGCTCATCTCAACAAGGCCCTCATAGATCCTGCCAGGATGCTCGTTTCAGCCCCTTCGCTGCTGTCCATGTGACCTCCGGGATGCACAGATCACCAATAGGCTGAACAAGATCAACCCCCATAGCAAGATGCAGCCATGCCTCATGGGGAGTGACTAACCTCGGAGTAAAACATCTCGAGGGTGCCGATGTTGACCATAATTTCTGCAGCGCCAATGATGAAGTATTGGGGTACCAGCCAGAAGACGCTCATCGGCACTGGGTCTGTGCTGTTCTCAAGGCCGAGCCGGTGCACCTCGCCCAGCCTCACTGCCTCCACTATTGCTGCCACCACCATGGAGAATGTGGATATCTGCGCCGTGAAACGACAGACGTCAAGTCATGCCCACACCGTTGAGAATGTGGATATCTGCGCCGTAAAATGACAGACGTCAAGTCATGCCCACACCGTTGAGAATGTGGATCTCTGCACCGTAAAATAACAGACGTCAAGTCATGCCCACACCGTCGAGAATGCGGATATTTGCACTATAGAGATTACACGCATCAAGGCATGCTCATTGACTGTCATTGGCATGCTTGATGCTGATGGTCTGGATTAAGAGGAACTGACGTGGGACCTAGCGATTGGACAGCATAAGCGCAAAATGTGACAGCAAGCATGGTGTCTGTATCCGTCAAGGCATGCAGTCATCGCTGCACACTCTGCTGTCTGTCAAGATAATAATCCTGTCACAAGCAGCTTCTCTGCGCAATTATATTCCTTGGCATGCATGCTGCATTTTTCTTAGAACAAGGGCTGTTGCCGATGTTTGCAGCGCAGCTCAGCAAGCAGATGTCTGTACTTGTCAGAAGTTGCGCACCACAGCCGCGGAGGGACAGCTTCACTGCCAGCTCCTGTGTTCAGTCAGGTAGGTAATTATTTTTCTTTCCCAGAGTAGCAAAGCGCACCACAAGGCCGATTCCCACACGCTGCAGGTAGGAGGGCTGCAGGTTGTAGCGGGTGAGGAAGGGGATCAATATCCGGTCGTAGAAGGGAATTAGCAGAATGATGGCAATCGTATCAAAGGCCGACAGCGACGCCGACGTGATGCTGAAGTTGGGGCCCATGCTCAGGTCCATCGTCAGCCCCTGATGTTGCACACATAAGCAGTTGTCATCATCTGCCTTTGAGTAACTCTAGAAGTCTGGGTAGGGGACTTCATCGCGGCATGTAGAGCATACACAGTCGTATAGAATCCTCTTTCAGTAAGAAAGGATATCTGGGTGGAGCTATTTCAGCATGCAGAGCAGGAACAGATATCTGCAATGCACGCAACTCAGTGACTAGAATGATCTCTATGTAGGGGCACCCCTTTGCAGCATGCAGAGCAGGGACAGGCATTTGCTTGGCAGGGCAAAGGTCAGGCATACATGAGGGAAAGCTGTGTTCCCATATGCCGCCCTCAAGGTTCATGGGGTGTGAAAGGGTCTACATGCTCTTGTCCAAACCAGCATCAAGCCAGTCATGCTGCATGGGACCAACCAGAGCAAAGTGGGCTTCAGCTCACCTGCTCCACAAAGACGGTGGACATCTGAGCGTACACTGCACAGCACCACATGAAGGTTTCTCAGCCTGCTGCTGTCTACATACAGGCCCAGGGAAGTTCACATACAGCTAAGGCAGCTACTATCAAAGACGAGCATCTCTATTCACCAACAATCTGCAAGGTACCCCTTGGACACAGCTCAAACTTGTCTTTTATAATGGCGTTCATGATTGCTTCAACTCTATGTGGGATCAGTCTCGATGATCTGAACCCTTGCTTATCACCCCACGTTGCTTTCAATGACATGCAGCAAGGCAGGCGACACCAAACACAACAACAGTGTACATTGTCAAAATAAATTATTTGTTTATAACACGTTTTTCCCGCCAAGAGGTAAGGTGTGTCCTGCAGACAAGCTGCAATTGAAGGCTGCCACAGTCCTACCCCTTGTTGGTCTCGCCACATCCAAGCAAGACCCAATCAGACATGGGCACGGTGCTCAGCATTTTATACCGCCCCCTGCCAGCCGGGCCAAATTAAGTTAATATATGTCTAGCATTTCTACTGAGGGTGGGTGCAGGAGGTCACCTGTGTTGAAGACGATGGTGGCGATCATGATGGGAACAAATCCCAGCATGCGTTTGACTTCCTCCACCTGCGTTACTGTGTACAGCCACTTCTCCTGCCGGCCCGGGGCCCGTTGTGGCATGGGCGTGGCCGCACGGTCCAACCACCTGTAATCACAGAAGTTATACCATAGTTAGCACCGTAATTCCCGCACCCCTCAAAATGCGCGAAATGTTCTGGACCTGGACCTACAACTGGACCTGGACCTGGACCTGGACCTGGACCTGTCAAGAGACTGCCTTTCCTTGAAATGATGCTTCATCATCACCAATGGGTCGGGCTCGGCGAGAGTCTGGCTTTCCAAAATTGGCGAAAAAGAAATGTCATAGGTTTTATATTTCGCATTTTAGGGTTTAGTTTTTCGACCCCTCTTCTTAAATTATGTTTTAAGCGGTTAAGCGGAAAACATGGTGCTGACTTCGGTATCATACAATCAAAGCATCGGAAGTGTGCAATGCAAGTCCTGACCTGCTTGCAATCCCCATCATCACTGTGATTGCAACATGATGAGTCTCTGTGTGCCAAAATGCCAACACTGTGCTGCCAAACGCGCTGCCCATGATCCTGTTCCCTCCCATGCGTCACTTCACAGCAAACACACATGCGCAAGTGACGGGGGCAGATGATTGGTGCAGTGAGGCTCTTTGGCGGTGATACACTGCCCGAAAGGGAGGGTGTCTTGTGGAGGCACCCACCTCATCTGCTCAGTGTGGGTCAGTTTCCTGCTCCCTTTCACGGCCGACTGCTTGTCATCCACTTCATAAAGCAGCTTGTTATCCTTGGGCGGCTTCACTCGGATCTTCCTCACGCATGCAAACAGCACCTGTGCAAACGCAGCCCTTGCCCTCAACGTCTGAGCTGTCCTCTAAGACCTGTAACATTTCAATCACCTTGTACTAATTGTCTTATCTAAGTGTCATCTAAGTGTCTACTAGCCTGCGAGACACCCCTTGCTGGCTAGTAGTTCTCCCTAAGTCTAGCAATAGCCCAACAGGACAGGCAAAAAACATCTTGAATTCACCCTTAGACCTTGAGTGTGGCAACTCCCCATTTACATCCCCCCATGCCAGAGTGAAGCAGTCATGCTCAGCTCGACATAAACACATGAGGCATCTGCTGGCGCTCACTAATTGAGCACACGCATAATTACAGTGTCCAGGGGAATCATTTATTAAGAGCGAAACCCCAAAAATCCCTCACCTGCCCGATGCGCGTGAGGGCTGATCCGCCAGGGGGCACGTGTTGATACAGCCGGGTGCCTAACAAAAACAGAGCCAGAGCCACTCCAAACGCCATTGTGGGCACTGCGTAACCCCACGCCCAGCTGACCTTTGTCTGGAGGTTGACCACGAGCAGACTGGCGATGAGCGCTCCTATGTTGATCATCCTGCCAGCGGCACAGGTATCTTTCATCCTCTGCAAGTTTGTCAAGGGGAGGAGCTTTGCTGTGACTCAGAACCTCCAAGTTTCCCAGTATTTGCCAGCTTGCGCTCTCTTGCTTGTCTAATGCCGGCTGCATGAGCAGCGCCTAGGACTGATGAATTGCCATTTCATAAACCTGGTGCGCATGCTACTGGTGCGCATGCTACTGGAGTGCGAGTAGTGTGTCTGGGGCCACCTTGGGGGGTGCCTGGCACACATGCACAGTAGCCCCCATCGTGGGCGTGCAATAACTGTGCACTTAGCGTGGCTACATGAACCAACCAGAAAAATCTGGCACATGCAGATTTCCCCCATTTGGTCCGCGCTCATTTAGAGGCGGGTGTGGAGAATCTGTATTTCTGCACGCCCTGCTTGGAAAGCGCATGCACAAAAGGACTGAAGCAACAAAAAGGCAGGCAGCAAGCAGTGTAAGCCAGGTGGCTGAAGCGCACCAGTAGAACCAGTTGAAGAAGGAGCTCTTCTCGCGAGCCTGCTTTGGATCGCTCTCATCGAATTGGTCCGCGCCAAAAGAGGACACGCAGGGCTTGATGCCCCCCGTCCCTGCGCCACAGCCGACAGGCGCATTAATTGAATATTTCCACTCCCTACCCATCCCCATATTACACGCAAATGAGCTGGTCTCTTCTGCTTCCTGTTGCATCTTGCTGCTGCATGCAACTCCCTATGAGAAGTGTACTGTCTGCTACTCCTCTCTCACCCTGCGGTTCTGCAAAATAATGCTTGTCCCCCTTGGCTCCTATACCTGCCCCAAGCCATAAGGAGACAAAACCCCATAGACGTGCCAGAGAGACAGACAGATAAAGAATAGGCATGGTGCGCATCAGTGCACGTTCAGGTGCCCAAGACCTTCATGAGGTGCAGTAAGGGCAGGTACTTCTGTAAATAGTCAGTACTTAGTCACCCCTAACAGGGTGAGTAGTACGCACCCAGAGCCACGATGTAGAGCATGCCAATGAAAAATGAGCTGGAATTGATGCCATTGTAGCCCTCATTCAGCGCCGGAACTCCAGCGCTTAGCGTGACACCCACCAAGCCCTGCAGTGCACATGCATGCAATTAGTAAGTAGTACTTAGTAAGCATTGATACTTCTTACTTCTAGTGCACAGCATTTATGCCAGAGGCAATGTGCGTCTGCAGACAACTGCAAGGAGAGGCTGCTATGTATTCTCCCCCTTGATGGACTCGCCAGATCCACGCAAGACCCAATAGATTATGGGCACGGTGCTCAGTAATATTTTGGTGCCTCCCCGCCAGCGCATGCATTGCTCCCAGCCAATGGCTTATTGCAGGCGCGCCCTGAATGCTGAACCCTGACCTCTCTGCGAACACAGCAATGCAGGATTCATACCAGGATGTAGATGATGGAGAAGATGATGATGGTGTTGTAGCGGCCCCAGTAGGAGTCTGCCAGGAAGGCTCCCAGCAGGGGGAAGATGTAGACTGTCCCTGACCAGTTGGTCACCTGTGATGTCATCCCCAGCATATACAGTCAGGCCAACTCCAGGCATGCTTTGTCATCTGTGCGATGTCACTGAGGGGGCTTGCTGCAGAGAGTCAGCAAGGGGTACTGGCTCATGCAGCATGAAGGTGCATGAGCCAGTGTAGCACTGTGCGAAGATTGAGGCCACGTAGGGTACCGTATTATTGGCATCCACAGTCCCAAAGTGCAGAACCTGCATGGGCAGATGCTCACTTAGTCCATCGGCTCTGACGGTGCACCATGGTGACACATATCTGTGAGGCATGTTGTGTGATGAACCTGATACTGTGCAAGTCTTGACAGAGCACAAAGGCGATAGGGACTTACATCTATGAGGTACTGGACCAAATTCGTGGAGATACTGCATAAGGGCAGCGCAAAGTTAATCCCTTTTCCTTGAACATGCAAACAACGAACTGACGCTTTCGTGGAACTCAAAATGTGTGAGATACACTATTCGGATCCTGTCAGCTGCGTACCTGTAGTACGCCAGTCGTTCACAGAGTTCGTTTCCTGCAAGCAAGGCAAGTGTGAAGTCAGAGCGCCATCTACTCTGACGTTACGGGTAAAGCCTCCGTTATCACATATGATTCACTGATAGCAGCATGCGGTCTGGGAGTAGAGGGAGACACAAACATCAAACAAAAACAGAACAAGAGCAAACAACCCTCTTACACAGCACTGGGGACTGACATCAATCTCGTAACAATTCTCTGGCCCCCTTACAGAATACATACGAGTCTGAAACGCTAAGTGCCGAAAGCTCTTGATACGGCTTAATATTTATTGGACCGGATCTCGTGAATTTTTTTTTACCGAGGATGTAAGGGCAAACAGTGAGCAATTTGGAGCGGCTTTTCGGCGCTTCATCCTTTGCATCTTTCGACCGACTGAGGTCAATCTCGTCGAAGCCGCCTTTCGACGCGGAAGAGGCCGCAGCTTTTTCATCGGATGCCATTTAAACAAGATGATTCTGTTTCGTGGGGGACCTGCCAATTCAATCCTCTCAAGCTGTCTCACTGCTTCTTGTCATATGAACATAGTGACTTGGCCTTATGAGGTACCTGTACGGAAGGCTCCTTCGGGAGCTGGTTGTTCTGGGGTTTCGCATGCGTAATTGGCTCCATTCTGACGAATCCGCGTCAGCTGCAGAGAAGGTGTGCATGCATGACTCTCCAAAGAGGAACGTGCTATTTTGGGGTCGCCACATGTACATCACCAGGACTTTGTGCTCTTTTGCAGCATGCAGGAGACAAGAGGAGACGTAATTCTCAGTGCCCTTATTTGGATTATAGTAGATCTCAAAAAGAGGCCTCGCCAGTCAGCTACGAAGCTATGTGTACAGTGCCAGCTGAACATGATATCTCTCTCTCTCTCTATCTGAGCACATAGATGTCACAAGGAGCAAATTGTTTAGTAGTCATATTTGGCAGCGCTGCATCAGTACAGAGCCGGCAGATGCTTGCACGGTAACGTTTCTCAAAAATTGAATTCACGCGAGTTCGAATTCTCATGAATTCACATAGATGTCACAAGGAGCAAATTGTTTAGTAGTCATATTGGCAGCGCTGCATCAGTACAGAGCCGGCAGATGCTTGCACGGTAACGTTTTCCAAAAATTGAATTCACGCGAGTTCGAATTCTCATGAATTCACGACTCGAACACTGTGGAAGCTACAATTCTAGTTTTTCTACTAGGTAAGCCGCAAACTTGTGTCTCCAAGACACCGCAACACTTGCAGCGCTCAATTATTGTAAGTGAAGCCCATCCAAGAACTCACAACAGCGCGGCCGCCCCCATGCGCGCGCCTCATCTATTGCAGTGTTCCCTTTGGCGCTCTTGATCCCCAAGAGCCGCTTGAGCTCACCAGTAGCCTCTACTGGAGGAATTCTTTCCTCAGGGGCTCTTTGCACAGGCGCAGCTGGCTCCAAAACAGGCGTCGGCTGTCCCGTCTGCAGATGACTATCCAGCAGCTCGAGCACCGGCACATGGCCCCATCGTGCCGCCAGGTGCATCGCTGTGAGGCCCTCTGGCTGCGACTGCACTGTGATGTCCGCGCCACCTTCTCTCAGAAGCGCTTCTGCCACCTGCATTGGTGTCCTTTTTCATCCAACAGCGGTTTCACGGTGCCACAAGACAAGATGCACAGACCACGAGTAAGAGACCCTTTGAGCCTGTCGCGATCAGAACCCAACTCGGGGATGTTTACAGTTTATGATTGCATGTAGCAGACTGCGACTGGATCTTCCCACAAACAAGAGATGCACAAAGCAGGCAAAGAAATCTTGAGCTTGTGGGGATCAACCCCCAACTTGGGGATGATCGCAATGTCATGATTGCGCGTAGCAGACTGGCATATGGATCTTCCAAGAAACAAGAGATGCACAAAGCAGGCAAAGGAAATCTTGAGCTTGTGGCGATCAACAACCAACTTGGGCATGGTTGCAATGTCATAATAGCGCGTTGCAGACTGGCAGATGGATCATCACAAAGCAGGCAAAAGAAAATATTGAGCTTGTCGTGGTCAACACCCAATTTTTGGATGGCTGCAATGTCATGAATGCGCATAGCAGACTAATAGTTGGATGTCACCTCTCTGTGTCCCCACTGGGCAGCGCTGTGCAGGCATGCATGCCCCGCCCCGTCCAACGCATCAACAACCCTATCTCGATACCACTGCTCCCCTGCAGCGTGGATGAGCGCTCGGGCTGCAGCTGCGTGGCCAAACCTGCATGCCTGCATGCAAGAACTTTCCTGACTCATTCATGCTCACAACTATGCGGAAACGGTGCCCATGAGATCATACACAGCAAATCGAGGGCTTGCGTTGCAGCAAAAGTTCCAAGAGCATGGTAACATGTTATGGAAGTCTATGGCACTCACCAAGTGTAGCGATGTGCAGCCATCGGAGTCTACACTAGCCACATCGGCGCCATTGCGCAAAAAGCACCCTATGATATTCGCGTGTCCCCTGGCAGCTGCCCTGCGGCAGCACTCAGGCATTTAAAGTGTGCAGTATCTTTAAGGCTGCTGTGAGCAACTTCTTATAATGCAATGAGAGGATAGCATGCGTGCCAATCCTGACATGTTGGGCTAGAGTAGGGGCATGTGTGGCATGAAGCAAGAGGCTTACCTGTGCAGGGCGCTGACACCGCAAGCAGAAGCTGCAACGCTCGCTCCGGCATCCAGAAGAAGCTGCACGGCAGCTTCCCGGCCGTAGCCAGCTGCAAACACCAACGGCGTGCGGCCCTGCTCATCGAGGATGTCTGGAGAGCCGCCTGCATTGAGATAACTGCGTATGGATTTTGTGTCCCCTACCCAGGCCGCCCTGGTTGGACAGTGCACAGGTCATCAGCACTGTGAGAATGACATTCCATTGCAAAATGCAGACGTTCTCAATTTTGATGGCAACAATTTTCATGGTCTCTCAGAGTCTCATTGATAGTAAGCAGCAAGAGGGAGGCAGGAGGTGAAAGCATGCCTGTGTGCAGCCAAGAAGATGAGTGAGGAGGAAGGAGGAAGGAAGAGTGTTGCGCACCTCCATATGTCTGCTTTGAGCCCCTTCTGGGAGTCACGGCTGAGACCATATCCCCTGTCCCTCAATCTTGGGCAATCTCTGTCAACTGGGCTGTTGCCTGCTGTGCTCTGCGCCCTGTTTCAACACGCCTGGGTCAGTACCCATTTGTCAATTGCCCACTGCCGCTGCTGTCATCTCCTCAGCCATCATCAACGTGAACAAGAAAAGGACAATCTGCCAGAACGAAAGCTGCATCATATACTCAGCGCTCTACAGAGACAGATCGCATTCTATTACCTGTGTGACGGGTTCTGTTGCAAGCCAATTCTTGCTGCTGGAAGAGGATTGCTTGTGAAGCTCCTATCGATCAGTCTGTCAGCGACTCCGTTATGAAACACAGCAATCGCCCGACAGGCAGCGCCTGGTCGCTCCTCTGCTATGAGCCTGTGCAGCTGCAACCCATGGTATGCACCCCTTGCCTGCAGCCAGTGATGTAGCGCCTGCCTGGTGCTGCAACCTGGACATAAGCATGCAAGTCTTGACACACCACATGGCATGACAGGTAAAGATCCAATAAAAGAGCATATGAAGACTCCTGCCTGCTTTGAACACTTGAGAGCGCCACATTGACATTTGTGACATGAGGGCATTTGTGGGGATCTGACTCCCCTGAAAAAGCATGCATTTCAAGCGGAAATATGCTGTCAGGCTCACCATCGGCAGTGCTGCCAAGCCACTCCTGTGTGAAGGGCAGCCAGGTCACTAGGGAGCCACCTCCCTTCAGCACAGCTGCTGCAAGACAGAAGAGTGCCTCTAGCACGTTCTGAAAGCTTTCAATCTGGCTGTCTCGTTTCTGCATGCAGATGACCAGGGAATCAATTGACCATGGCAGATCAGATGATCAGCATGCAAAATGACATCATGTGGGCTGTTGCTCGAGCATCAGGCAATTCAAGGAACGGCTTGAAAAAAGCGAAGATTGTCAGGAGCTCACATTGAATCGGCCAGCGCCAAATGAGGCTCTCTGCCCATATGGGGGATCTGTGATTATGGCATCAATTATGCCACACCTCAGAGGGCTCCGCCTGACATCTGCTATGGCACAATCCATCTGCGCCCTGATCGGCGATGCTGAACCTGGGAAGAAGTCCGATGTGATGTCACATGCCAGGGTGCAGGAGGCACCTGCCTCGCTTGCTGCGCGCAAGAGGCTGCAGCTGCCAGCAAACGGGTCCAACACAATGCTGCCCTGCGAGCAAAACCAGGCCCTCATACTTGGTGAAGACCACAAAATTGCGACCCCTTTTGTGATATATATGTGGAAATGCTTTCTACTTTGGGCTGCAGTGGCACAAAGTATCACCTGTTGCACATTGGCCAGATGGCTAGTGACAAGAGCGGCCTCAGCTCGCATGCATGTGGGTCCCTTGGCTGAGTCAGCATCCCTCTGCACTCTTGAATTTGATTTTGATTTCGATTTCACTGCTACTAGCCTGCCCACCAGGACATTCCCATCCGGCAGAACCACGCAGCAACCTGCAACGACTGGCCCTTCCGCTATGCCATTGCTGGGACCGTGCGCGGATGCTCTGCTCCTCAGCGCAGGCAGCAAGTCTACTACACCTGTGGGCATGGTGAGGCAGTTGACACATCATAGTCATGCCATGTGCGCAAAGCTGCAATGGTCGCTGTACAGGCTGCACTGCACCAGCTGCGACAAGATAAGGAATACCACACAACTGCTTTGACAAGCCTCGAAGAGGGGCAGCTTGGTGCAAATAGAGTTATACCTGGCGTGCCCGTTTTTGATGTCCCTGTGGACAAATCAAACACACAGAGGTCTTCCAAAGAGTGCTCCTCATCCCTCTCCTTTCTGGCAGGCACATGTAAATTGTCCTGCTCTAAATCCCACACCTGCCAAGAGTACAGAGGTGTGTCTGATCAATACACTGATGAGAGCTGATGGAGGAGCAAGGCTGGCCTTTCTGAGGTGCACTGGGACTCTGGCAGACTGTTGTACCTCAATGATGGCTGTGAGGAGGCTGCACCGCTGCAACGCCTTCCTAGCAACACTGTCGTCCACAAATTGCACCCATCGTAGCAAACAGGCAGATTTGCCATCGGAATGGCTGGCATGAGTCTGTGGCTGGTCAGCTGAAGAATGGGCCTCGAAAGAGTCTGCATGATCTCCCGAATTGGCTGGCAGAGAGTCAAGTGGGACTTCAGGACTCGGCTGGCTGTGTTGCCTGTCTGTGGGCACAGTGTTCGCCTCTGGGTTTTGTATGCTGATCCAAGGCTTTATCTCGGATGGCGTGGTCTGAAGGACTGTCAAGGCTACCTCAAGCTCTGGGACACAGATATCGATGAGCTCTCTCTGAAATTGCCGAGACAGGTTCCACAAGCAGAGGAGCTGAGGCATAGGCATGTAAATAGAAGATGCCTGTACCAACAGAAGTAGAGATCCAAAAAGGCTGTCAGTGGCAGGCCTGTCACAATCTTTGTGTCAGCAGTAATGGCCATGGGCAATGGAAGGTAAAGAACTGGGAGAACTGGCGAGCAGAGAGAAATAACGCGTCCTAGAAACCCCAAATACATACCTATATAGTTTAGGCGTAGAGCCTTTGCTATCATGCTCGAGCTCCCAATCAAAAGAACTAAATTGATTCGCAGGAAATCCAACTCTGTTTAGCGAGCTTTCAAGATTGTGCAGGAGTGAAAGGGGTGGTTGGGGGCCAGTGGGAGCTCGCGCGATGACGACGCTGTCGAGATCTGAAGTCTCGAGAGAACTGCAATCTCTCGAGAGCGTCGTCATCGTGCGAGCTCCCATCGGCCCCCAACCACTCTTTCACTCCTGCAAGATCCTGAAAAGTTTGCTATCGGACATGATATAATTGCATCGCACACCTGTTGGAAATTGTAACAGTGAACAAGTGATGCACAGTCACCACCGAGCGTCGATTACTTTGACATGAACATGGGAGTGACGAGAAGGCGGGTGATGACGGCTGCGAAAGGTTCTCTGAAGCAGCGCCGCAACGGGCGTGGGCGGATGACAATTGCCGGGAGCAAAGGTGAACTTTTGAAGGGGGATTTCCAAACAAGACACGAACCATTGTGAGGAGGGAACGCCTCACCAAATATTCTGAAAACACTTTCCAGTGCTGCGCCCAGGAAAGCATGATTTCCAAACAATTCAATTGATCCTGGCGCCCACAGAGACTTTTGACCATTGAACAACGATGCTTGCGGCTTCGAGCATTGCGACAGTTTCTAGCGTTGTCCTCCGGCGTGGCGATCTCGAGAACTTGCAAAGGTACCCTTTATTCTGCATACGTTGCTTTTCTTCTCTGCTCACAACCACTGTCAGATTTCAATGTATCCTATCGCTTGTGTAGTGCTTTACCTTGCACACTGCCACGCTACCCTACGAGCAGCATGCCAGTGTGCAAGGTAAAGCAGCCAAGGAAGGCGGCTCTTGCGAAGCACGGGGGACGCAAAAAGAAGGTCTCTTCTTCTTTGAAGCAGCAGGTGAGTCAATTCTAATGCTGATTTGTATGTTGCTGCTGAACGTTTCCGTGACTGTTGGTGGGGATCTGATCCTGCTTTGTGCAACAGTCAGACCATGAAGGCCTCATGGATGCCATAGCGGAGACTTTCTGGGAGCAGAAATACTCGATGATATTTATTGCCGCAGTTCTGGTGGCAATTGGAGCCACGTACCCCAAGCAGGTGTGGGGTAGCAATTCTCCGCGATGCTCTTCACAAGCTAGTCGCTCGTTTCAAATGTCAATCTTTGCATTTGTTGCCTGGGCTTGCAGGGTGGATATAATTGAAAGTTGTGACATGTGAATGGCTCAGAGGGCAGCCCGAGGGCAAGATATCTCGAATTCTTGTCCGAAAGCCTTGCCAACGGATGCTAAATTTGGATCTTAATCTGGAAAGTTACTGCGCAGGTTCCTTGTGCTGAAGACCTGCGTGCAGGGGCAGTAGTTTGCATGTGGTGCATGCGTTTGGTGCATTGATGCATGCAGCGCTCTACCTACTTCTGAAGTCACCTCCTGCTCAACAAGTTAAAATGGTGATGAATGACCTTTGGCAGGAAAATGATTAGTCTATTCAGCAAACTCGGAAAGTCGCAATTTGAGATCACCCTTCCCATGCTCCCTTCCTGGATAGCAGTGTCACTGCCAATCAAAACCACACAATATTGGCGCTTTCCAGGTTGAGGCAGCGCTCTGGGTTGGAGCGCGTTTGAGGCCCCTTTAACTCAGACAGTCATGTGAACTATGCAGCAACAGGTTGCGCTGCGTCGTCAAGCAGCTGCTGCACTTGACTATTGGTCCTCAAGTCTGTGGCCATCAGACGCTCCAACAAGTGCTTGTAGCGCGCTTCCATAGCAGCCTGTCTCTCGCTCTTCTTGCCCTCCAGGGCACTGCCTTTGCTGCGATGCTCCAATACCTGCAAGCCCATCTCCCTGTCTATCACTAACAGGGGATTTTTAGTGGCGCCCTGAAGTCAATGTGGCTCTAAAAAAATAAACATGGAAATCTTGAGGCGTATAAACAAAAAATGTAAAGATGTAAAAACTCTTTGTTCCTCCAACCAAACCCCTTATGAGAAAGATTGGTCATTAGTGTCTTTCCCATGTGGCACCTGACACGCCTTAGAATTGTAGTCTGAAGCCTTGCTGGGGAAAAAAACCCATGCCATATCGGAGGCATCAAAATCAGAGCCTAAAACATCGCTGAGAGAATAGATAGGAGGATTGACACCCTCTGCTTCGATTTCTTGCAGAAATGCGGGCAGTCAAAGCATGGCTTGACCAGACGCAGATGGTAACACACTGTGAGCGTTGAAAAGGTATGGTTTTAACACAGCATACAATGAATATCAGCAGTTCCCTTTTCACCTGCTTGGCCCGCTGCAGTATGTTCTGGCTGACCCCTGCCAGCTGTGCGCAATGGATGCCAAAGCTGGGCGCTGCATAGCCTGGGCACATGCACATTCATCACGTAAGCCACACAAATGAACACCTTCACGCAGGGCACGAGATCGGCCCAACAGCAGGTACAAGGGCAAGCGTACCAACTTTTTTAGTAAACTCTCACCGCAGTGAAGACTGCAGGACCCAAGCACTGCCCAAGCATGGTGCCATTTATTTTAAGCTGCACTAACAAGAGCTGTAATCTAATTTGATACAATGCCCAATCAGACTATGGCAGAGGACACAGAAACCACTGAGAATTACTGCTCAGTGGAGGATTTGCAGGCAGGGGTTGTAAGAAAAAGTGCAGGGGGTGAGGGATTTGGGGGCGTTGGCTGACCTGGCACGAGGGTGTAGAGAAAGACGACGCGGTCCGCCTGGCCTGGGGTGGATGAGTCAGCTTCTGTCAGCACGTTCATAGTGAAGAACGCCAGCTGAGGAGACCTGCAGTGCATCCAAATTAATATGATTATTACACGCTTTTCCTGCCAAGAGGAAAGGTGCGTCGTGCAGACAAGCTGCAGCTGAAGGCTGCCACAATACTACCCTGTGTTGGACTCGCCAGATCCAAACAAGACCAATCAACCATGGGCACCCAAAATCGCGGCATGTTAAATTCCTGCAATCATTCTGACACATTTGTAGATGCTTCTCAGGGTCTGACTCGGCACACAAGGTCTACTGCGTTCAGATGGGAGAACACCATGTCACATGTGAATTTCAACACAGGTCCAACCGCAATGAATGTGCTGAGAGCATAGCTGGACTGCAAGCCTTGCGGCAGAGTCTTTCCTGAAAGGATCTATAACTTGCCATCCCATGCTTTTCCTGATGACAGAAGCGCAGTCCACAGGGCGCGTTGCCAATACCAAACCCCAATCCTTTTGGGACTCGCCAGTTCAATTCATGGGCCAAACAAGCCCTGGGGTTCCTTCATGTGCAGTTTTTGTTTTGTCCCCGGAATCTAAGGGACTGATAGGCCGGCCCCTCACCTGCGGAGGTACGCCTCATGCAGCACCTCGATGAAGTGAGTCACAGCGATGACTCGCGGCGACGGCCGCTGCGCTGTAAAGTGACGCAGCACAGCGCACAGCAGGCCAAAGCCGTCTGCAGCCAGCGTTCCCTTCCCAAACTCATCTATGATGCACAGCGACCTGCGCACAAAAATCAGAATCATCTGCACGTGCTCTTCAGGCACAGCCAGTCAATTAATGCACAACACGCGCCCAGCAGCGATTCTTTCAGTTCTATGCGCCCGGCAGCATTTCAGCTCTGTGCACAGACATGTGCGCAGCATTTCTCAGATAGCCTGCTTGTGCCCAAAATAACCCAGACAGCTCAGCTGGTCAATACATCACGACACTCTATCAATGTAACCTATATAAATGTGGAGCTACTTCTCAGCAAGTAATATGGTATTATGTCCTCAGTGCCTACAGCCCTGAGCGGCGCGCTGCAGCATCCTTCCAACCAGTACTGATATTCAGCCGTGATACATGAGAGTATTATGTCCTGTGACCTTGCACAAGGATATCAGTAGGGTGTGGATTCTGCCCTTGCAACACACCTGGGGCCGGCATGGCGCAGCATGTTTGAGACCTGGCTCATGTCGATCATGAAGGCACTCTGAGGTACGCTCTGGGCTTCTGTGGTCACAATTCGAGTGAATATCCTGTCTGTCAGGCCCACCGTTGCTTCCGCTGCCGGCACAAAAGACCTGCGCAGGGCAGGGGTGGGGCTGAGGTTCCACACCAAGAGACCCGTCTATTTTTGGCCATTGGGCACTGTCCATAACACACGCCCTCCCTTTCTAATAAACATTCGTGTCTTTTCCGAACGGCCAGGAACGGATTCCACAGATGCTTGCTCGTCAACAGGGGCCTTGGATCAGGGGCACGTTGAAGCAAACAGAAGAACAGTAAAGATGATGTCACTGGTCAGGTGGAAGGGAAGGGCTGGAGACTTTCACCCGATGTGCGCCAGGAAGACAATGAGCGCAACCTGTTTTGCGTAGCAGCTCTTGCCTGCATGGCATGAGCAGGAGCGCTTCGGAGTGCAGTCAAACAAACAAACGAATTATGATGGAAAGTTACCAAAGCAGACGCCAATGCAGATGTCAAACGGAGCTTACCCGAGTAATTTGGACCTGTGATGACCTGCAGGCAAGCACAGGACGCTCTGAGACATACGGATCAAGCCACCCACGGACAAGAAGGGAAGGTTCAAAGTGACACATACAAGAGAAAGAGACGGTCACCTGCACTCTGGCTGAGTCAGCATGCATGGCGGTGTCATTTGGGATGAAGCGGTCCACCACAAGCTCTGCTAGAGGGTGCCTCCCTGCACATGCAATGATTAGTAACTTTCTCAGCACATGGATGACCACCTAAGCAGTGCCACTCTGACTTGACCAGAAAAACGCGAAAAATTGCATTGCACCACCGGTCTGACATCAGACAGACATGCTGAAGTCACTCACTGCAACACATTCATCTGAAAGCTTGATTGCAGGCTGTTTGGCACTTAGCCTAGAAGCTTCATTGGACACAGGCACTTAACATTGGCACATGCCAAGCCACTGTGCTACGAGAAGAGCCTAGTGCAGATCAGAAGCATGCACCTTGCTTGATATGCAACACATTGTCCTGGGTGACACAACATCTGCACAGATAAAGCCAGTGGAAAACAAGCAGCAAGCAGCACATTAAGCACGATGTCCTGGGTGACACAAGCATGCACACACGAAAATTAGAGCAACAGAAGCAGCATGCACCTTGCTTGATGTTCAGCACGTCGTCCTGGGGTTCACAAGAGGAACACTACTGGGAGAGAAGCAGCATGCACCTTGCTTGATGTGCAGCACGATGTCTTGAGTGACACAAGTATGCAACAATGTATATCACTGGGGACACTTTAACGGGAGACAAGCAGCACACACCTTGCTTGATGTGCAGCACGTTGTCCTGGGTAAGCCGGGGGCGGCTGTAGCCGAAGTCGCGCGCGCACTGTGCCAGGGAGAGAAGGCAGTCCACCTCGGCAGCCAGGGCCACAGCGCGGCTCAGGCTGGGGCCGAACGCTGCCAGCCTCTGGATCAGCTCCGAGCATATGCTGTTCTGCGTAAAAAGGAAGAGCAGGATATCAGCAAGCCTTGCCTGCTTAATCCTCTGCAGAACGACTTGTGAAGCGGCCCCTCTGGTGAAGCAGTGTGCATGCGAAAGCACTAGAAGCAGAGCATTGAATGCTGCACATATTCACCACTGCCTTGGAGCACAAGCACCATCTGGTGGCCAAGTCACCACCCCTTCAAAGCTCTGGGTGGTCAGCTTGGAGAGTCCTTGCCTGATGTCAAAGCGATCTGAGCAAATCTGCCTGGCATGTCCTTCTCATTTCTTGCACAGGATGCAACACGCTGGAGTAGCAGGGCCTCTCACACAAAATTCGCTCCACTGGGACCAGGCCACTGTACATAACAAAATGTGCTTCTTTTCCACAGGGATCAAGGGGTTCCAATTCTCCTCTAAGACCAGGATAATGTTAAATGCACGAAAATTCTTTTGGGCTGAGGAGGGAACGCAGCGCACCTCCAGGTCGTGGATGCGGTGCAGCATGTCGCCAAACTCAGCCTGCAGGTCGCGCGTGCGCTCGCAGCGGTAGTACATTCCGGAGCCTTCAGCCGAGGCGTCCTCAAAGGCAAACTCGTAGTCTGGCAGATACTCTTCCACATCCGCTGTCATTCGCCTGCCCTCAACGCGCACCAAGAAGCCCACCTGCAGCAGAGTGTATTCCATCGTGCACTTATTTATTATGTAATGCTGTTCCTGCCATAGGCAAGGTGCGTCTGCAGACAAGCTGCAGGTAAAGGCTGCCCAAGCTGTGCCCCTTGATGGACTCCCAGATCCTGGCAAGACAATAAAACGTGAGCATGGTGCTGAGAGTTTGGCAACGCCCCCTACCAGCCGGCGCCAAGCAAATCTACTTCAACAAGTCCCAGCAGAAGTATGGACAAGGTATGGATCCTGAGATGAGTGCTGAGACCTCAGCTGAGTGGGCCACAGTGACACGCGTGGCTGCAAGTCAGTGGCGGCACAACCTGGCATTCTGGTAATCTTCTGCAAGATGACCAATTTTGTACTACAGAGTGACTTGAGCACAGCAGAGCAGAACGGAGCAAAGCAGAGCATAGCAGAGCCGAACCTTCTGGCTGCGGGGCGTGCACGGCAAGCATGTGCGCATGCAGTGCCGGCATGTGCCGGCATGTGGACGCACCTGTGGCATATAGATGATGGACCAGAGCTGCTGCTTGAAGGCGTCGCTGAGGTGGCGTGGGATGCGACCCATCTCAGCCTCCACCACGCGAGTCAGGAAGTCCGGCAGGCCATGATACGCGTGCTTCAGGGCGTCCAATTTGTCGGAGACCCCTACTGCTATTAGCATTGCCTCCTCCTGGTCGGGGTTTATAACGTTAGCTATCATGGAGTGGCCTGCAGGTTGCACGCATGACTAATTGGATCACGGAAAACTTTTTCATTTCACGCGCTTTTTTCCCGCGAGATGCAAGGTGCGTCTGCAGACAAGCACAGATAGGCGTTGGGAACAGCCATGACCACACCCTTCCAAGTTTTCATGGATCATAGCACGCTGGCTTTTTAATTATCTCTACGCCTAGAGAAGACATGCATGCACGCATGCATGCATGCACAGAAATCTTGATTACCTTGATTGGAATGGTACCCATTTCATCTGAGAAGGAGTCAGACGCTGCCAGGAAGCATGCAGCATGCAAGAGCTTGACAGTCTGAAGACTCTGTGCGGCGGTGTGTTCGAGGACATGGACATGCAAGATAAAATCAGGTAAGAGCACACAGGATGAGTCAGGAGGCCTCACATGTCAGCAGAGCGCTGTCAATACAGTCTGCGGCCTTGCGCACAATGCCCAAAGCTGCTGCTATGTGGGCGGTGCCTGTAGAGGCGCCGCCTGCGGTGAAGTCTGTGCTGCCTGGTACTCCAGGCGCTGACTGCACCTGCTGTGGGCTGCGCAGCTCGTATGATGTTGGTCCCAGGGGGTAGCCAGATTGGCCTGTACTTGCAGAACAACACATCATTTCCTCCACTGATGTTTTAAGGGCCCTAGATGCTCCAGGGTTCTGGTAGATTTGATTCACAGTTCACGACATGTAGATGACTGGATTCAAAAAGGGAGGGGGTTGATTGGGAAAAAAGATGCAGAGCATCCATAGCAGCCAAGTCCTTTGCGCCTGGTAAGCAGTTGAAGCACCAGGGAAGGGGCACTTCGGTATCATCAAGATAGCACCCACAGCAAGCAAGCCCGAAGAGCCTGCAAGCCCGTTGAAGAACGCTGTTGGGATCCTAAATGCAGGGCATTTACAGCCAGCAAGTCCTTTGCACCTGGAAGGCTGTTGAAGCGCCCCACTGCCCTAGAAGATTAATATTTATCACACGTTTTCCAAAAAAAACACTGGGTACGTCAAGCAGCACCTGGATTGCTCTCCAGTCTTCTCGGTTCTTCGTCACGAGAAAACTGTTTACCTGGATAGAAGCACTCTTCCAGAAGAGGATTTACCTGGATGGTCGGCCACAGAGCAGGAGCTGTGTGAGAAGCCAGGGCCAGCAGCCACATCAGCGCTGTTGACACCCCCGGGAGTGGCTGCATGGCGGGTGCTGCTACTGCACGCGAGATCGGCAGACAGCAGTGTGTCGCGCAGCAGCAGCAGGCTGGAAATGCTGTCCAGCATGCACGTGAAGTCCCTCACATCCAGCAAGCTCTGCATCGCCTGTGAGAAACACCCCACGCCCAGTTGCAGTCCTAATATTACTGTCTTGTGGTGTTTTACGGAGTACCTCCTGATCACTACTGATTATCACCATTGTACCCGCTGCCCGCCAGAAGCAGTGTGCGTCTGCAGCCAAGCTGCAGGTGAATGCTGCCCGAAATTCAATATTCTTGCGCCACATTTTGTCGATGACCTCGTTGAATGCTTCTGTTTGGCTGTAAGAAACAAAGAATGATGCCTTGTGTCTGGAACCGGCAATTCCCATGCTGCTGCAAAGCTATCTCAAAGGTGATGCCTGCTTGAGGGATACAGGCAAGGGGCAGCCTTCTCAAAAGAATCTTTACCTGCAGCCTCTGCAGAAGCTTTGGCACATCCTTGATCTTGCGCAGGACATCTCGCAGTGACTTCATCACGTCTGGAGCTCGCATGAGCGCCTCAATTGTGTCCTGCATGACATATTCCAGCATAACTTTTACCATCATAAATCGTATTCTATGCTGCTCCAGCCAGAGGCAAAGTACCCCAGCAGACGAGCTGCAGGAAAATTGATGACAAATCCCCTTCTTGGACTTGCCAGATCCAAGCACGACCCAATCAACGTTGTTCCGCCCTATGCCAGACGGGGCCAGCACATTCCTGACACCCATTCAGTACAGTGGCAACAACTGTGATTTGATGAAGGATGAGAACACAGTGTGCCTGTGGCTATTAGCGTTGAAGTCTTCAATAATTGTTTGATAGGTGACAAGCATGCGCACATGCTAGCCAATGTCAGTGGCACTATCAAGCTGCGAGGCATTGGCGAATTTTTTTTTGACAAGGTCAACAATACGAAGGCAGTGTGATTCACGCTTCAAGGAATGGAAGATCAATTAAGTGCAGAGGAGAAAAGAGTGTTCACCTGCCTGTCTTGCAGCACAGCCAGATTGACAATGGGCCGAGAGAACCACAGCTTGAGCAGGCGCTTGCCCATGGGGGACACACACTTGTTGAGCATGCCAAAAATGCTGAAGCCCTCCTTGGACTGTCCAACTCCCATCGCAGATGGGTGCTGTTCCTCCTGCATACCACAAAAGAGGTCCATGTGTCACTGTAAGACCCATTCCCAGTATTTGAAGGGTCTGGTATTGTGCTGGGATGCTGGCGGGGGGGCGTGTAAATACTGAGCACCGGCCAACAGTTGATTGGGTCTACCATGGATTTGGCAAGAGAATCATCGCGGGACGGGAATTCTAGCAGGCTTTACCTGCAGGCTGTCTGCAGTTGCACCCCGGCTCTGGCTGGAACAGCATGTATTACCAACAACAACTGTATATAAAGAAGCACCACTTTTGCAGTACTGTAATAGGGCACAGACAAGCCTAGCACAGAGTGATCCTACTAGTCACTGAAGTCCAGTAGGAAGCTTGGTTATATGAGTGGCAAATCAAGGAAGGACAGAAATAATTCCAGAGGAAAATCTGTTCAACCTGGAAAATCTGCAGAGCGCGCATGGATGCAGGATCCACGATCAATTGGCCGTGCAGTAAAAACTCAGCCAGGCGATCGACTGAAAACTGAAACTCCATTTCGCTGTCCATGTCTGTTGGCGCAGTCAGGAGACCCTGCTTGTGCAATATTGCCAGAAGAGCCCCTGCTGTGCAGACCTGCAATAAGAGAGTGCGTGCATTTAGCATTCTTTGCAGTGCATGCGCGGCTTCATATCGGTGGCTAAATTCTTGCCACATAGACAAGAAGCCCTCCTACACAAGTGCATGAAGAAGCCCACCACAGAGCACATGTCCTGAAACTTCGCAGAGCGGGATGCTGCTGCTTACTAAGCTCCCTTTTAGGCACAGAACCCCTACTACACAATTGCATGCATGTTGCAGGGTGACCGGCATTCCACCACAGAGCAATGTCCTGAGGCTTTCAAGGCATGGTAATTGCATGGCTGCATTGTTGGCTATGCTCCGGCTGGCGGTGGGCGGTATAAATACTGAGCACCGTGCCTACGGTTGATGGGGTCTTGCTTGGATCTGGCGAGTCCAAAGAGGGGTAGGATTGTGGCAGCCTTTCGCTGCAGCTTGTCCGACAGACAGAGGCTGCAGGAGGTACCTTGCCTTTCGGCAGAAAAGCTTGTATTAATATTAATACTAATTATTGGCTTACCTGCTGTGTGGCAGACAGGCTCATCATGGTGTTGAGCACATGCATTCTCTCCTGCACTGAGAGCCCTTCCCTCATCCCGCGCACATGCAGCATCTGCAGGTAACCCATGGCTTCATTTGGATGGAACAGACGGCTCTTCTCCAGCCGGACCTGCAGCACAGCATTTAAGCAGCTAATGTCAACACATGCCATCAGTGTGGACCCAGTTCTCCATCTTTGCAGAGTGCTTGGAAGGGTCAGCTTGTCGTTGGATGCCTGTTCACAAGTCTGTGCAGATGTGGAGATGTGCAGAGAGGAACCTCGAACTCTCCATCTGATGCATCCACACCACTTCCCTGTTTCAGGGCATCCAGAAACTCCTGGTCTGCTTTGGCGCTTGTGTAAATGACCTGCAGTGCACAGGCAATGACACTGAAGCATTCTCTACTGCTACCAAGCAATGGTCTGGATCAAGGCCTGCCAGTGGATGGAACTCTGCTATATGTTACCTCGGGATTGAACTGGAGCTTTGCAAGCTGCAAAGACTGGTATGCAAAGGGGCCTCTGCTCTCCTCGTTTGTCTGCATCACAAGCACCTGCGAAAGCAAGGCTGCCATTAACACGATCGAAGAAACGATCTAAATTGCATTCAATGTTTGCATTGAATACAAGGTTGCTAGTTACAGGTGCCAGGGCGTTGCAGCTGCTCAGTGAACGAAAGGCTTCAGCAAGGCGACCTCAGCGGTGCTTGAGTCAAAGCAGGCCAGCCCCAGGCTGCCTGACTGATGAAAGGCAGCCATGAAGACCCCTGTCTTGGCGTCATTTGCGTCGTCAGCCGTGGCCGTGTCCTCGGTTACAGGCGGGTCACCGGACACTGGCATTAAGGAACTCTTTGGCTTCTACTTGTGGCCAGGAATTGATAAATAGGGAAACAGATGTCTGCTTGCTGTCGATCTTTTTGGCCCGTGTGCCTTCCCTCCCAAATAATTCGGGGAGCGTCGAGATGCATGCATTTGCTGAAGTGATGTCATCATGCTATGGCCACGTCACGATATTCTTTCAGAGCGCTATCTTGCATTCATTTACTTTATGCGCAGATGCTTTCGCTGCTTTGAGATCATAACTATCATCATTTGCATTAAGACCTATTATCAGCTGCATACCAAATCCTGATCTCGCGAAGAAAGGTTTGGAGCAGAGGACAGCGCGCCATGGCGTCTTGCCTCTTTCAGACAGTACATTGCCCAACACCATTTCTGAGCAATCGGCATTGCAGTCGTGGATACTTGCCCACAAGGATGTCCGTTCGGTCGCCAGTAGTGTGTGGTAGGGGTCATTTGACTTCAGATGCCAAGTCACTCATCCTGTACGTTTTGAGTATTAAGTGTTAATTATTACTTGACTAATAGTTTTCATTCTAAATCAGAATAATGTGGTCATTGCAGTCAAGCAAAGTCACAGCCTTGGATGCTCAGAGTCACTGCCCAAGGGGGCCGGTTTTCTCCTGAGCCTCGCTGCTGCCCTTACCGTGACAGCAGCTCCTGCTCTGGCTGAAGTCCGCCTGCCACCTATTGACAGGGGTACGATATTCTGCATCTGTTGATGGTCTTTTACTGGATCGCACCATACATTTCAGCGGAAGAGTGAGCCGTCCATCGCTGAGAAGATTGCAAATGATTTCTGTGCTTTGCAGATCCTACCCGCTGCGAAAGAGCCTACACAGGAAACACCATTGGTCAGGTCCGTTTTGAGCCATCAAGAAGCCTGTAGCTTAGATGGGTAGGGCGTGGCTGCCTGAGACGACAGAGATCCACAACAAAGAGGACACTTGCTTATGCGTTGCTTGCGTGCAGGCAAATGCGGTCTCAGACAAGGTGCTGGACCTGCGTATGTGCGACTTCACTGGCAAGGATCTGTCCGGCAAGACCCTCTCGGGGGCCTTGCTGAAAGATGCCATCCTGCCCAACAGTACTATGAGGGAGACAGTCCTCACAAAGGTGTGGCCTGTTGTGTTCCCCTCCCACACACAAAGCAGCTTTCCAAGTCGTCAAACCTGACAAAAGAAGCAATTCCTCTGCGGTCTGCAGGCATATGCTGTCGGAGCTAATTTCTCAGGTGGGCACCTGCAAGGCCTTTGCTTTCACCTGCAGAGGCATATTGCTTGGACAGCTGCACAGCAATCGCATGGCTCTTTCGCTTTGATATCTCAGCAAGCTGCTCACCTTTGAGCCACCATAGAGCAGATCAGGACATTTTTTGTTTCACTTCAATGCAATGGACTCAAGATGACTTCGGCTACTTGCAGGCGCAGACATGACCAATGCGGTCATAGACAGAGTGGACTTCCGCAAGGCAAACCTGAGCAATGTCAAGTTTATCAATGCAGTCATCACTGGGACCGCCTTCGACGGCGCCAACCTGGACGGCGCAATTTTTGAGGATGCACTCATTGGCAACGAGGATGTCAAGCGCTTGTAAGCCTCTATATATTCCTTAATTCCTGCGTAGCTTGGCAGTTGCAGCAATGATCCAGCATTGCCTTGCAGTATGCTGCTGTGCAATGGAGAGGCACCGTCTTTCAACATTTGCCGTTTACTTTGGGCCATAGTTGCACATACGGATTCGGCCATTCGGCATACGGTGAATATTCGGTCGTATATTCGGTGTTTTGGGCCAAAATAGGCCGTATTTGACCGTACTCCGTATATTTAAAACCGTATGACCGTATATTCGGCCGTGTATACGGTCCCCAAAAAGTGTTCTGACCGAATGGTGCAACTATGCTTTGGGCCATGCTTTAGCCCTCAGGGACTTGGGGCTCTTGCAGCTTATCCCTGGTCGGTCAAAGTTTCAAAGTGTCAGCGTCTTCTTGCTGATACTCGGCTGTGTCTGCATCGAGCAGGTGTTTGAACCCAACTTTGACCGGAGAGAGCCGCATGGGCGTGGGCTGCAGGATGAAATGAGGAGCTTGAGCCAGCATTAGGATGCATTCTGTTCTGCCGTTACTTTCTATAGCCAGAACCTCACGGCTTTCACGAAGCTGCATTTTTGGACTGCCTTTCGCTGATTGCAGTGCTTAGCTAAATTAAATTGATGCCTTAATAAGAATAAAAGCGAGTAATGGCCGCGGAGAGGCATGTGTGGACTGTATCCCTGACGATCTGAGCTTGATGACACAAAGTAATGAAAAATGACGTAGCGCCAAAAAATTGCATGTATACGTATGTATACAACTTGCGGCTAACTTGCAATGCTACATTGTGACTTACAACAGCACACGCTACCATGCATCACGCAATAACTGGCAGTTGCGCATCCATGTGGATGACCAATATAGCTTCACTGTCATAACATCAATACCCAACAATGGCCTCCTTGCAGACAAAGAATTTGGCATTTCAAAAGCAAAGTAAGCTCCTCAAGCCCGGGCGGGCACGGCTCCCAGAGACTCTGGAGGCACAGAGGGGTTCTGTGAGATGACTCGCATGATATACAGCGAACACAGCAGCGACGCAAAGTGCGACAGCAGTGTGTTTGTCGATGCCTGCATGCACACCCCTCAGCTGTCAGATATGCTACATTATTACCAATCCTTTCCTTTCTGTCTTAGGAACAAACCACAGCATTGCATAAGGATAAATTCCTTTACCTTTTTGATATCCGACATGCCAGCAGAGTCACCCTACAACATGCAGCATGTTCCTATTTATGGAATTATTACGTGCTGAGCTCACCTGTACAAGGAAAACATCGAGTGCGAGTACAGGGTTGTAGGCTCCTGCTCCACCTGCCAGGAAGGGGTTGGCTGTGGCGTTTGTGAGTGTTTTGGCCACTAGCAGGCCTACTGTAGCCTGCAGTAAATCCAAGTGTCATTTTCTGTCGGGCACTTTTCACACCAGATTGCAGCCATGTGTTCCATCAATTGGAGAGAAAAAGGCAAGTCTGCCAGAAACAATACCAATGGCGCTATTCCTTGATTGATGCGCTTTTGAAAGCTCTCTTCTGGCGTAATATGTCCTGCCTGGCTGGACAGCAAAAGTAATACAGCAAGCGCTCAGGTGAATGTACTGGTCGGCATGACACATGCACTGATGACTTCAGGAGCAAGGCTCCCCGAACTTCCAGGGACAGAGCTCATATTCAAATTCACTGCTTCCAACAGAAGAATGGAGCCCAGTAGCCAGCAGTCCGATAGAGGGGCGCGCCTGCAGCCCCAGCAGCGTGGCAGCCATGCCGAGGATGTTGATCCAGCAGCCGGTTTGAAGCGTGTAGACAACATCGCTCTTTCGCACCCGACGCAGCTCCCCCTGCAGATAGCCGCGCAGCCGCCGCGCCAGCCGGGTGTAGCCAAAGGACCAAAAGGTGCTCACAAAGCCCGCCACTATGCCGAACAGCGTCAGGTAGACCGACACCGCCGGGCCGTTCTGCGCGCGCAAACAGAGGGAATTTTTCTCAGCGCTGAATAATGATATGCCATCCAAGGTGCGCGTGCACACAAAGAGGTTGTTCCTCAGCGCTGATCAGTGATCCATCCATGGCTTGCCAGCTGCATGGCCAAGGAAGTGATGCAGTCTCCCTGGCCGTGCCTGTCCCCCCTTCTTGACAACAGTATCCCTGGTCAGCATCCGGAGAGGCTGAGGGCTCTATTGGGAAGTCTGTAGCCTCTGAGGCCTGTTGCCAGTAGGATGGAATGAGTTGTCTGGCTTATAGAAAACAGGCTGCACTGAAGGATCTGTCTGGACAAATATCGTTGCATTTGTTCTGCTTAGACTTTTCCTGCTCTGGTACGGGTGCTTTTCTGCCCATGTCCTGATTCTCAATCACGATTTAAGTCCTTAGAATTCTGAGTGCCCCCATGACCGAGCTAGCCTGTCTTTGCATCCTGCCCTTCCTACCAGGTTCTTTCATGTATAGCAGGTCAAGCTGGCGCCTTAGGGTCCAGTGGATTCCATTTGTTCTACTTAGAAGGGACACACCTGGGATGTGAATGCGACAGAGAAGAGGAGGATGCCGGCAGAGACGATGGACAGGCTGAGCTGCGTCCAGAAGCTGAACCAGCCAATCTGCCTGCAAGACTTTGCCGCCCGTGATAGAGACTTCTTAGCTGCCTCTGACACGGCTGGGCTGATCTCCAAGGGATCTACTGTCTCCTTCGCTGCTTCGACCCTCCTTCCCTGCACAGCATGTTTTCTTTTTCATAGAGAGTGTGGGTGCACAATCATCAGCTTGCTGCATAATATACAGTGTCAAAAGTGTTCGGACAAGAGCTTCCAATGTAATCCTGGCACGAACTGCTCTTCTTCTTGCCACATGCACTTTTAATTTGCACATCATCATACGAAAGTATGATAATTGTGCACCGATGCGATGCCATTTTAATCTCAAGAACGACTAGGTTGGCGAGGTTGGACGTCTTGCAGCATACCAGTCGCTGGCGCCTATTATAAAACGCCCCTTTCACAGCAAGTGGGGTCCATTGTAGGGGTTGAAGTCGCTTCAATGCATTTTGCTGGGTGCTGCTGGTGCTAGCTGACGCTCTGCTCCTGTGGAAGTTACCAGATGGTGGAAGGCATCTGGTGCTCAGCTTCCCGAGGCATACTGGCTGCCGAAGTGCGTCCGCAGCATGTCTTTGCATCATACTGACGACACAACACAATGTGCACCGTGCAGAGAACTCTTCCCATGTCCAAATTCTTCCATGGAGACAGCATGCAGAGATTACATCAATTATCCCCTGTCGGTGGAAGGTGGAAGGCCGATGGAAGCTGTCGGTCCCTGCATAAAGCAAGCTAGCCATTCTCACAATAGCAACAGACCGTTTTCCATTCGTACTGCAGGTTTACCCTTTTGCAGATTCCCACACCCCGCTCCAGAGGATATCCTGCAACCTAGGTTGCGGTCTCCCCATGGCTCTCAAGGTGGGCCCTCTCCTTCCTGGCTGACACTGAGGGAGGCCTGAGGGAGCTCACACGATTCACTACAGACAGAATTGAAATTGTTTTGCAATCGAGTTGTTAGCCCAAGGCCGTCACGTCTGCTGGGGTTCCTGGATCAGATTAATCAACCATGTGAGTAGACAAACTCAGTTGGCACAAACATCGACGGTATAAATAATAAAAATTGTTCTGATAACAACGCAGGAAGATTTTGACAAGGCCGCTGACGACGCAAAGACACAGGTTCCTGACAAAGCTGCCAATGCTGACAAGCTCGCTCTGTACGGTCTTTTCAAGCAGGCAACCGTCGGAGATGTGAACACTGGTAAGAGCACCAGTCAGCTATTAGATTCGAACCTGCTGGATGCGTAACAGCCACCGTCAATGAGGGAGATCTTGTCTGGTTAACTGCGTTCACCACCCATCGCAGAATTGGCTGAAACTGACGAGTTGGTTCTGACCTGCAGGCAAGCCGGGAATTTTCGACCAGAAAGGTGACCTACATGCCTTCATTAGACCCTTTCAAAAAAATTCTCTTGCAGTGCTAAGGCCACATTACAAGCAAACACAGTCCCAGCCAAAAATCCTCATAGAACTGCTTGGTGCTCTGCAGGCCGTGCAAAGTGGGAAGCGTGGGAGAAGCAGAAAGGTGTGCTCCTCTTCTCTGTTGAAAGGTTCATTCCTTTTGTTGATTGCCAAAAGCATGCCATGTCCGAGAAGCATGGTGGCGCTGATCTGTCCCTAATCCTGTTTGCAGGCAAGGAGAAAGAGACTGCCATGAAGGAGTACATAGCGTGAGTGATCTATTGCCCATGCCCATCCTGCATTGCTACAGCAATACACGGCATGACTTGCGTGTTTCACAAGAACCAGTGTTACACCGAGAGGCAGCCTTTCCTCCCTTCTTGATGCTCGCACTGCCTTGCATGTCTTGCATGTTCGTGGTGTACGAACCATTGCATGCAGCAGTTTGACAGGAAGCATGACAAATTGTGTGTCATGCATGTGATGCAGGTTGGTCGAGGAGCTGACTGCAAAGTATGCCACAGAAGTGGCGGCTGCCATCTGATGCAGCTCCTTCTTTGGCGCCTCAACGGACCTAAAATGTAGATCAATGGCTATTATTTGACAGGGCCAAATGCGTTCTGGGTACTTGGGATTCTGGGTGTTCAGCTTGTGGCAATCTGACAGGCCTAGATAAGCACTGTCTGCTATACTCTTGGACCACCTTCAGACATCTGGTCATTTCAAAGATGGCACCTTACAGAAGCTTATGTGGCAGTTCTTTGACTGTGCGGATGGAGAATGAGCACAGGATCTGCAAGCAAATCAGCAGAGCCAGACCGCTTTGGCCGACGGGCAGAGAAATTTAAATTATATAACAGTGGTGTTGTGCTAGCTGAATCATGACTCATAACGTACAAGACGTCCTTTCCAAGATGTCTTTACAATCTAGTCAAGCTCATTATTGCAGAGCACATGTGCAATAATTATAAAATCCCAGGAAAAGCACTTTGTACATGCCCTCATTTACTATCTGGATCGGGAGGTCTCCACTTCTACCAATTTCCTGATCGGCACACTGCACTCAGGGACAAACAACCACCAGATCTCTACAGCGTTTGCAAGTACTATTTTGAAGTTATTTGAAACCTCGAATTATCTGTTCAACACAGCAGATCCTCTCTAAATCTGCAAGCAGCGCCAATCACTCAGGGTTGAACGCACACAAGAAACACGCTGACCGGGCAAGTATACACAACACTGAACCTCACAGGCAACGCCCACCTGGCAAGCACAATTTTTATTGATCTGGTCTAGAGCTGCTCACACCATTATTTCAATTTAGCTGCACAATCTGGCCAGGGATGCAGACGCAACTGCAAGCGATCCATTACAACCTGTTGACATCACAAACTTGCCACAGGCAAAGAGGACACAAAATGTACGCATCACAAAAGGGCACCAGTGTGTTCCACCAACACAATATACAGGTAGTTGGGAGAGCATGCGCCTGCTGACAGATATGACTGCCACTGAGCTGCACTCCACACTGCATGCAGGTCTCTGGGATGTTCAAAACATTGGAGGTTGTTCTCCAAGCAACACTGCTCAGTTGAGGCGCTTGCGGCAGTTTCTGGCTCCACAGGTGCATGGGATGGGCGCTTCTCCTGGAGTGGGCTGGAACTGCAAAACATGACAATGCACAGCGTCGGACACAATTCTTGAGTCTGAACGCCTGCTGCAGGCGACAGCTTGCTTCACTATGGACGCCTCTGAGGCCTGTTGCCAGTACAATGGAATGTGCTGTAAAGCTTCTAGGGAACAGGCTGCACTGAAGGATCTGTCTGGAAACACAGCGTTGCATTTGTTCTGCTTAGACTCTTCCTGCTCTGGTACAGGTGGTTTTCAGCCCATGTCCTAACTCTCAATCCTCAAAAAGCCTGCTGCAGATCAGCGGATGACAGCTCGCTTCATTTGGATAGTGGCTACGGATAAGCAAATAGCTCTGCGAGTCATCAAATGCAGGGCTCTATCGACGCACTCTGTCATGGCCTTTTTGTCATGGAGAGTCACCCCGGTCCCTTGTGTCCTTTGCAGGAGGCAGGTATCCTCAGATGCATGCTAACGGTCTCAAACCAGCAGGATTGTTCTACCCTTGATTATTTGGTGGGGAGTCGGGGACATGACTAGAGTGACTCTACTTCTGACCCGCCACCGATTATTGACTCAGATTAGTCAACTCCCCGACTCCCCACATTTGGTCAGGCACAGTCAGCATGAGGCGACAAAGGGTTAGTCACCTTGTAGTCATAGCTGAGCTCCTCCCCCTCGGCGATGGCGCGCTTGGAGCAGATCATGATGTGCAGCTGGCCGCCCACACTGACAGTCTTGGTGACGCAGTTCGGGTCGCAGCAGTGGTTTATGAATCGCGCCTTGCCGCCCTGAGACACAAGCACCGAGCATCAGCCTCGTAACCAGTAGAACGTGCAGTCGGGCCCCGAGCAAATCAAATTCTACGGCGGCACGCTCTCTTTGGTGAACTCAACGCAACTGCATTTGAACCTGCCTTTTTTCTCAACACACACACCTTGCGCGAGGGGAGGCCTCTCACTATGGCCCCTGCTGTCATGATGACAGCAGGTTCCAATGTACACATTTGTCTGATAAAGACAGGGGATTGAAATGGTTTCAGGTGAAAGACGTGAATTGCATTGGCCTTGCAGCATGATATCAAAGGGCACCTAGACTATGTAGGCTCCTTAGAGATGACAAGGCGGCAAAAATAATCAAGGGGAAATACCCTGCGAGTGGCGTCGACGACCCAGTCAGCGTCCACGCGGAAGCGGTAGTCGCTGTCGGCGTCGACGCGTTCGCGGACGTCGTTGACTGTTCGGCGGATAAGCTCACCCACGTACTCGATCACAAACTCGTTGGCCGGTATGGGCTTGTGCGCAAACAGGCCCCACGCATGCACCCCGCTGCGTCCTAGCCGCAACTCGTCCGCCCTCCCCTGCGGAACAATAGCCACCGTCAATGGTAGGCCGGCGGATGCCTGCACGAAGTCTGCTGGTGATTGCAACACGGGACTTGGCGATCCCAGCCGCCCGGATTGCTCCTGCACAGAGCCTGGGCGCACGCAAGTCCCCTAGTATGCACAAGGGACAGTTGCATGCATTCTCTCTTACTGTGGCAATCAGAAATGCAGCTGTGGCATCACCACACAAGTACGCCTTGAGGCGAAGATGCCGAAAGAGGGAGACTGCCGAAAGAGGGAGAAGGCAGCTATCCGAACAGGCGCACTTCATACCTGCAGCTTCTGCCAGGTGGCAAGGTCCTGCGTGACCACCGAGCGCGCCAGCTGCCGCGCATGCACGCGGCCGGCCCGGCCCTCCACGGCCGCCGCCGGCTGCGCCGCCACGCGCATTGCCGCCTGCCTCGCCTGAGCCGCCAGCGCCGACTTCCTGCAATGCACCGGCACAGGCACCGCCTCAAGAATGGATCATCCGGCGGTATAAAGCACCAGGACCCAAATCATCAGTCGTGATTGGCTACTCCGGAGCCCAGCACTTACTGAGTGTGAGGGGGCAGGCCCCCCCACGAACCACTCAATAAATGATAGTAATTTGTTACACTAACGCCCCTTTCGAGAACCCAGCTTCAGCTTGGATTCGCCTCCAGTAGTGCAACTCCTTGAACGCTGTCTGAATGTTCATTTGAATGATTACACCTCCTATGTTATTCCTCGTTGCTTTGCACCCAAGTGGGCAAGACCTCAGAATTGCCTGCTGTCAGCATTTGCCTCTTCTGTGTAAGTCATGGCGCAGATTGCCAGACCTGGAGTGCGAGGGCATGCTACACTCGCACAGGCACCCGCGAACCTGCAGCTTTTCTGTGTTTCCGTGCCATGCACGAGCAGTTCAGCCAGCTCAAAATTCTGATCCTGGTAACGGTGCTTCCGGACTGAATAAGTGCAATCTCCAGTGAAGAAGGGGCGCTGATTGTGGAGTTTTTTTCTGAAGTTCTCACGATGAAATATGCAGTTCACAATCTGTTCTAATCAAAGCCTTGTGGCTATCCCTCCTGCAATTCATGGGCTGACTGTGAAGCGCACCGGGAAACAGCCTCAACAGGCAGGGCTCGGGAGCAGACGTCCTCAAATTGAAGCGAGGCGCTGTCTCCAGTCTCTGCAGGTATGCTGCTGCTGTTGCTGCGCACTGTCTTACCCGACCGCTTGCCTGCGCACACAAAAATCAATGAGAATTGCTCGCCTGACAGGTACTCAATTGACAGACAAGTTTGGGGAATAGGTATCAAGGCAGCGTGAAACCAGAACGAAAGAAAGGGCTGTCTTGCTGTGTAGGTACAATGCGTGCACCGTTTTGCACCGGACTCGTCTAAGGCCATGCATGCCATGGCAGAATTGAAAGTATCCCCACCAGCACTGGCAAGACACGCAAAGACCCCTGCTCTGTCTGGCAGAGAGATACAAGCTGCTGTACTACACATGCCTAACTACCACCTGCTGCAGGGTGAACTTCATGGCCGTGATGCTTACTGCCTACTTCCGCCACACTTTGGCTCTCAAAGCCCAAAGCATGCATTTACATCGGTGCAATTTTCTAGCATACCTGCTTTGCTGGCGCCCTTGACTTTCTGTACCGCTGCTGCCTTGGTCTGCGGCTTGAGGAACTTTGCCTTCAGGCTCACATGCTTCTGCTTCTCCTTCCTGCGCACAGGAAAGGGAACGTATTAAAAACGCACGCTGCTCCTATTTCGAGCCCCTTGCCAAGGCAAATGCATGACACAGCGGTAAAAATAGCAAACCATAACAAGATTTGAACCTTGGACACGGCTGGCGGGGTGCCGGTATATATACTGAGGACATGCCCACGATTGATTAGGTCTTGCTTGTATCCCGCGAGAGTCCAACAGTGGCAGCCTTGAAGAGCAGCTTGTCTGCAGGATGCACCTTACCTCTTGGCAGACAGAGCGTTTAATGATAATAATATTTCAACATGTGGTAGTAGTATAAATCCTACCTGGCATGCTTCGGCGGCGCGGGCACAGGCGGCGGCTGCGTGCTCTTGCGAACCTTGTGCATGGGTTGTCGCTCCACATCGCAGGCCAGACCCAGAAGCTCGCGCAATCCGCCGCTCACCCTTGCAGTCGCCCTATCCGCCCCGTCGTCGGCATCGTCCACGTCAGCGTACTCGTCAGCGTCATAATCATCGTCGCCTGAGGATGACAAGTCACGGTCAGCAAGAAAGCGGTGTTCCCTGCTCTCCCCAATGCAACTTTTAAATCGATCAGCTTGCACAATATTGATGCTGAATTAAGGGAGACAAGTGCGGAATCCCTTCTTCCCCCATGATGCAATTCTTTGAGTGATCACCTTCCACATGTAGTACGGAGTAATACAGGTACAGGAGAGAAGGCTACCTGAGGATGATTCGCTGTCTGAAATGTCACAGGGGGCGGTGGACGGGACTGGCTCGCCCTCAGGGATGATGCAATGGGTCAAGCCAGCCGCTATCGCCAACTCCTTCAGCTCCAGGAAGGTCAGCTTCCACTCCTCCAGTGTGTACTGCACGAATAATAGCAATAATACTCGAGACTCCCTGTCGTGTACCTCTACTTAGGGATGCACAAGTGCAGTGCCACCCGTGACACATCAAGGCAGCTGGAGGCGCATAGGGATGATGCCTCCAAGGTTATTTCAGCCTGACTTTGCCACACGCAACGCAGGATTCCGTATAAAAGAGAAAATATAGGCAGCAGCAGTTAGCGCAAGGATTCGACACACACATCGCAGAATTGTGCATGAGAGAGAATAAACAAAAATAGAAAGCATGTAGGCCAGGGGCGCACGTCTTTGACCACCCAGGGCTTCCCATCGATCTCCCCGATGCACACGCAGTTTTCGGCGTCGCCACCCTCGGCCGCATCCATCATCAACGCCTGCGCGCCCCCGGCCCTCGCCTCCTGTGATTGGGCGCTAAGCGCCGTCTCATCTGGGGATGCATCCCTCCCCTCACTCCCGCCGCCCTCTGCATGCACGATGGGTGCTGCAGGCAAATAGACACACAATCACTTGGTAAGACTTGCAGCTGCGTGTGGAGAGCAGACTTGGGAGACCCAATCACCCACCCGCCAATGCTTCTTGCGATGCAGATTAAACGTGAAGCGTTGCAGTTCGGCTGAGACGTGACTGACAACAAATACAGGAACTAGAAAGAGCGACAGCGGCATTTGGGAACAGATTTACAGGGGTGGGAAATACAGAGTGTGGGCTAGGACGAAGCACATGCCTGGCTCTACATCCATGTCAGCTGCTCCGGAGCTCTCCAACTGCTCCTGACCCGTCTCTTCCAGGCCGCCGCTGCTGTCTTTTGGACCTGGTGCATACGAGGACGGCACCTCTGCAGCTGCTTGCACACTGCTTTGCGGCTGCAGCGCCCACGAATGCGGCTGAGCCTCTGCACTGCTCTGTGTGGGCTCCGGTGCCGCGTCGGACGGCTCTGGACACCACACAGCCTCCAACACCAGAGGAGCACCGCCGCTCACAGCGGTGTCGGCGGCGGCCGCGGCGGGGGCTGAGGTCAGCACACCGGCTTGACCATTGGATGGCTCGTTTGGAGCGATCTGCTGCGCTGGTGAGGCTGCGCCCGGCTGTGCAGGTGAACGGTCCTCCACGCAGGCGCCAGCGCTTGCAGCTGCGACTGCTTTGGCGGCTGATGGAGCCTCTGGGAGCGCGGCACAGTTCGCCCCAGGACCGGTTGGGGCCAGGTCAATGCCGCCTGCACCCTGCGCGCTTGCTGCTGCTGCAGACCTGTCCGGGCCGTTTGGGGGGTCGCTGTCATGCTGAGGAGGATCTGCTATGGCAGCTCCCTGCACCTTAGAAGCTTTCTCCCCCTTTTCAGTGCTGTGCAGCTGCTTGCCGTTGAGCGACGTGCCTGAGCCGTCCGGGGCGACTGCACGCGCAGTAGCAGGCTGCCCTTTGCTTGGCAGCCGCTCCTCAGTAGCCGCCTTATCAGCTGACGTCGCCTGCTTGCCGTTCGCTGGGGGGATGCTGTCTGGGCTGCCGACTGGCTCTGCTGCCGGTGCGAACGCTCGCCACTCCTGTGCATCCTCAGACACTGCCAAGCGGGCGGGTTTGGACACCTGCGTCGGCGCTGCCTGGTCTGTGGTGGCCCTCTCTGGGGCGGGAGCACCTGGCACGGCTCTGAGGGCGTTGTCATCTGCGCCAGCGCTGGGGTGCACCGCTCTTGTACCGCCATTCTGCTCTGCCGGGTTATGCACAGTCGTGTCTGGCACACTGAAGACCGCTGAAAGCCTGACTGCGTTGCTGCCGCTGCGCGCATTTGATCCGTTGCGCTGCTGCGGGGGGCTGAAGGCTGGCTGCTTTGAACCCGGCCGGGACAGCCGCTCGAAGGCGCTCTTGCGGGCCGGCGGCGGCGATGGCTTGAAACTTATAAGTTCGCGCTTGCCGGACTTGCTGCGCTGCAGTGTGGGAGCCCCGTTTGCCGCCTGCATGGGAGCTGCTGACTTGGCGGCAGCTGCGCCTGGAAGCTGCCCGTTGACCAAGCCCGCCTGCTTCTTGTGCAGCCCTTCTGCGCTGCCCGGTGCCTTCGCAGCTGACTCAGCTGCACCAGGAGCAGCAATCAATGCAGCTGCTGTAGAGACTGCGGCAGCAGGGCTTGCAGCAGGCGCGGCCATGGGCGCGGGAGCAGGTGTCTCTGGAGGGATATCCCTGCGCATGTCATGCTCTGGCGGCTGCTGCGCAGTGGGGCTGACAGGCTCTTCTGCAGGGCTCCTGGCCCTGTCTCCAGGCGCAGCCTTACCATTCTGTAGCTCCGTTCGTGGCTCGTCTGCAGCGCTCGAGCATCCGGTGTGCCTCTGGGGAGACGGCGCTTGGTTGGGCATGTGCATCTCGCCGTTGCGAGCGCGCTTTGGGCTCTTCTGCTCCTGCTCGGGGGCCTCAGCGGAGCCGAGGACCTCGCCCAAGAACACCTCTGCATTGTTGACCCAGCCGTTGCAGCCGCCGTTCTGCAAATGAGATGTTGGCTGCTCGGCTCCGGCATCCCAGTGGTCCTGCGAGCGAGGCCGCTTCCTGCTCTCTTGGCCGTCCTCCCCCGCTGCTGGCGTGAAGCCATTTGTCCTGCCCTGAAGCTTTGCGCTGCCCTGAAGCTCCATGTCGCGCGCAGCGTCGTCCCAGGATGCGCCGTCCTTCTGCTGTGCAGAGCCAAGGCGTTGGGCGCCTGACGAGGCCATGTCCGGCAGGGTGTCATCCCTTGGTGCGCCAGGCTCGTGCAGCCCGTTGCCGAGGCTCGATGAAACCGATGTGACCTTATCCCGCGCAGCTTTGCCCCTCGGTGCGTCAGACCTCTGCTGTGCAGCGCCGATGCTGTGGCCCTCCGGCATGACCGTGTCAGGTGTGGCCCTTGCCCCGCTCGCCTGCCCTTGCTCATCAGGGCTTGCCATGCTGCCACGATGGTCCATGTCATGCACAGCGTCGTCCCACGACGCGCCGGGCGCCTGCTGCGCTGCGCTCTGCAAGCTGCCGTTGGCTTTGGGGGAGCCGGCAAGGACTGGGCCATTTGCGCTCCGCTCTGCGGCGGCCAGCGGAGGTGCGCCGCCGGCCGAACGGCTGCTCGGCCCAGCAGCTGCGGCGGAAGCTGCCCGATGCGCGGCAGCCGCCTGCAGAGCAGGGAACGCCGCCGGCTCCTGCTGCCGCCCGCTGGCACCAGCATTTGTCATCGGCGGCTGAGGTGGCAGCTGAAGTGGCGGAAGGCACCCGGCTTCCCTGTCGGCGAGCCACTTGCCCAGAACTCCTTCAATCTTTGCAGCGACTACGTTTTTGAAGAGGTTCTTGCGCTCGCAATCTGCCACGATTCGCTCGCCCAATGGGCCCCTCAAGGTCCTCTGCGCGTGCACGAAACACATTGGTGTCCTCTGTCATGCTTTCTGCACTTGAGCGCAAGGACGTTCATGTGAAAGTACTACAGGTGGACTCTTGCACATTCATTTGATTGGGTGTGCAGCGATCAGAGACCATCTGTGTCATATTCGGTATTCCTAGCACCTTGAGTTAGCACCTTGAGGGGCAAAGTGTATGACACAGGCATTCAGGCAACCACCTAACAATCCTTGTCGGAAAATAAGAACGGCTGGTTGCAATCTGCACTGCAAACTGCAGCTCACATGCTGGAAATTTACTGGGTGAAAGTTGCTTAGCCGACCAGGAGGGCGCTGTACCTTGATGCCCAGCTGCTGTGCAATGCCGAGCTCTGTCTCCACGCTGGCGACGACTGATCGCAGGGAGTCAATGCTGATGGAGACATTGTGATTACTCACATGGTGCACACGCTCTACGCCCCTCCGCTTCCCACTCTGCACCGAAGCCAGCCACTGCTCCGCAGTGAAGGCAGGCTGCATCAGCACATTTTATAGTCATTTTTCACTTATTTTAGAAAAAATTAATCATTGCAACATTCCAGAGACCTGTCGAGAGCCACCTCAGGGTCATTGGTCTTGTGGGCAGTTGTTCACTGCCCATCTTCATATCACAGACTTTTATGTGTCTGCATTCCCTGACAAAATAGTACTTCAAGGTGACTCACAATTCAAAGGGACACAGCATGCAGGGAAACATGTGCAGATTTTGAAACGTAAGCCAAGCTCTCTTCGTCACTGTAGACAAGCATTGAGGACAAGACTTTGAAGGTCGTCTTCACGCTGCACATCCGCATAAGAAGAATAGAGGACTGTGGGTGTTGAACTAAGTGTCTGAGCAGATTCTGATGCAGGTTGAACGAGAGTGTGGAGGGGCCCACCTGAACGCCTGGTCCAGAGTAGGACCAGCAAATCTCCTTGCCTGCTTCAAAGGTGGCTGCCTCTGTTGTCCCTGATTGCAGGTTTCCTGCAGAATACATATTGGTATTGGGTTTCCTGAATGGGTTTGCTGCGCATCACCTTGCTGCCACATGTGATCTGGTGAGCGGGTGAAGGTTCCATGTCACCACAAATACCAAGGCCAAGTTAATGCTGTGAGGCATGACAGCATTCAAGAAACAATAGTAATGTAAGGCCTGAGCAATACCTACAGGCCCCAGCAGCAGCAGTGTGACGTAAGCCTCTCTCCATTTGTCGACAATATTGCGAGCGGTCATAACAACTCCGCCGTCAGCGCGGCAGAATTCCTCATATCCCTGCAAGATTCAAGCAACAACACCCTTGCTGACAATTATTTTTGGGATGAAAAGATCACTCACAAAAAAAAGGCCAGAACTGAAATAGGAGTGACTTCCACCACAGCTGTGGTTGACCTATTCTGTCCTTGCGCATTTGAAGATGATCAGGACCAGGAGCAGTTGCAGGGACATGAAGACCTGTGGCCCACCTGCAGTTTGAGGAAATGCATGGCTTCGTCCAGGTCTCTCTGAGACATCGTTTCGCTCTGCAGGGAACCATTCTCAAGCTTCCTCATCCACCGCTCCCCACTCCTCTCAGCCATTCTGATCATCATGCGCCGTACCACATACACAAGCTCTGCATGCCTCAACTTCGCCTGTGGCACAAGACCTAGACAAGTCATTCGTTGCTTCTCTTCAGGACAGCTCACATAGCCTCGCCTTTTGCGCCTCTTCTGCTAAGAAGGGATCACCAACAGCTTGTGTGATTGTTTTGTGTTTCACAGCATTGCTATCTGCTGTTCTGCTTTCTCAGTGCATGTCTTATAAAAGAGAGGCGTCCAGTACTTTACTTGCTACCAGAAGCTGGAACATCTATAAGATCACTTGTGTGCACACCTATTCAGGGCTCAGATAGTCTCTCATTGCATGAGCAGGGCTCCACGGTTTGCATGGTGGGCATGACATGCATGAGTGCATTGAGCAGGCACGGTGTATGCATGTGCTCTCATCAGCAGAAGTATGATGTGATGCATGTGCAGTCATCAACAGAAGAATGAAGTGGCCTACCGCGCTTTCCTCCCCTTGCCTCTTGGCCTCCTCTGCAGCTTCTCTCAAGGGTTGAAGCTGCTGTACAATTTCCTGCAGGTCTGGTCGATCTCTGATCAGGCGCTGGAAAGTGGTGCAGTAGTTGTCCATGGATCGAGTGTTGATCACCGTTGCATTTTCGTATTGGCCCTCTGCAACAGCCAGAACTTCTTAAGCGCTGTCTGGCCCTCTTGTCACTGACAAGGGTTGATACAGAAATGGACTTTATGTGACAAAGCTTGGCAGTGGCAGCTGGTATTGCGGCGTGGCACGGCATTGGCATCAGGTCATAAATGCAGCCAATGAGGGCCCTGAATCAGAGCCCTTCCGTGCCATAAGATATGTGCAGTTACCTGCATAGCACGCGTACAGCAGGAGATCCAGGCTCTCCGGATCATCATGTTCACCGTTGGAATACTGGATGCTCCACTCCTTCTCATGCAGATCTGCAAGGGGAGATAACAAGCACAGCTGCAGACCTCCCATCTTGGCCACCTGAATACATGCCCCGCACCAGTAGGCGCTTGAATGACACGAAAATTTATTATTGTACTATACTCTGTTGACCTGTGTTGCGCATGACCATACTTTTAGCGTGATCACCGTGGTACAAGCAAGTGCAGCAGCTGTATGTAGCAGGGGATGACAGGATCACCTCGGCGGCCTTTATGCTCTCTTGAGCTTGCGCATGTCTCACTCCCGCCTCGATAACATCCTCCACCGCAGCATTGAGCTGCTTCCGTAGATTTTGGAAGTCATCCATGGGTGTGTGTCCCTCTCACAGTCTGTGAGTGGCAGCTGCCCTGCGCTCGTCAAAGCACACAACCTGGATTCGGCGGTACTCTTCTTTCGCATACAAGGCCATTCAATTTTCGGTCTTGGTGCATGCATGCTGGCAAGTCATGTCGCCCAAGCGCTAGCCGATGCCTTGTGAAGCGCCATAGACGGGACCCACAAGGCACCATGCATCAGAAAAGGGATAGTACACATTGTATATATTCAGAAAGCGCACGAGATAAAGCAGAACACACCCGAAGCCGCTCAAGAAGGTAACCATATGGGGCTTTTGCCAACTGACCGCCACATTATGAAATGAAGCGTTCAAGAGACTGTACCATTTGAAGCAAACCAAGATGATTTTAATGGACTTTCACGAGACCCTTGACGGCCTGACTGAGTTGCTGACTGCAGTATTCACCACGAGCTGGATTGAGCAGATCTTTCACACCGCCATGACTGCTAGCCGCCTTTCGTGGTTGACGATCTGGCAGTCATACACGTTCTTTGTGCAGATCTTTCTTATTGAAATGCCTTGATCTTTGGTATCTGCGTTTTTGAGCTGCAATTCTTGGAAACTGCCACTTTCGCACTTGGGGTGGACCACGTGGTGCACTCGAGGTGGGCAACCCTTAAGGGGCAATGACATATCTTCCCTATCCACTTTGTGGCTGAGCAGTTCAGGGCGGCCTTGCTGGAAGGTTAGAACACCAGGAGTGGTGTCATCTGTCTTTTCACGTACACCAAGGCTGCTTGGGAAGCACATCTACCCAGTGGTCAGAGGCAACCCCTGTGCGAGTGGCAGAGCAATCTCGGGAGCTGCTCCTCTGAAAGTTTGTCTCTTTTTACTGTTGAGATAGTGCTTTCCAGTCACGATCATCAGTAGGGTGACCTGAACGGGCGTCATCCTGTGGTAAGGAGAGATGAACACAACTGCTTTGCTGCAGACCCCCAAGCCTTGCTGCCATTCCAGGTGGACCTCGGCAACTTTCACCACCACACCAAGTGACGATTGGGAACAATGACAGAGAACCTTGAAAGACTTGCAGCTCTATTGATTGATTGATGAAGAGAGCAGCAAAGTGTCATCCTTGCCCTTACAAGGCTGAGGTCACCTCCATATGCCTGGCTATTATTTGGAAGTAAGGAATGTGCTTGGTCTAAGCTAATATGAATGAGCTAGTTGTGTTGACGCAGCATGCGCGCGTCAACATCCTGCCCTACACAGTCTCTGTCCTTCCGCTCCTCTGTCAGCAATGTGGTGGCATTCAGACCGCAGCAGCAGGCGTCGCAGCGAGGATGCAGGCAATCACTGGTGCGCCTGCCTCTTTTGTTTCCTGGCCAAATTCACAGCCCTCATCGCAGAGGATCCGCGTATCTTCTGGACAAGCCACTGATATCACACTGTGCAGTGAACAGTGTGGAGACGTGGACCGACAGGGTGTGTGTGCGTGTTTTTGACAGGTGGAGTGCGCCATCAGCCGGGCGACAAAGGAGAAGAGGGTTGCAGAGCTTGAGGAGGCGCTGAGGAACAGTACCGTGGCTTTTGGCGTGCGCTACAACAAAGTCAATGTGAGCGCCCCTGCAAACTTTTCTTCTGGACTTCAATTTTCCCAACGTTGCACCCTTGAAGCTTTGAGGCCGGCAAGTGCGCTACCTGCCAGCAAGCTTACTTTGCCTGGCTCCCATCATCAGATGTAGCACTCTGGAGACTGTGGAAGGGCAGCCACTCAGCTATTTTATATGAAGTGCTGTGAAGCAGCATTCATACTGAGGAGTGGGTGCTCTGCACAAGGCATGGTTGTGATGTGCCTGCATGGAGGCTATCTGCTGTGGAGCAATGCACAGGATGTACCCAGGCAGAAATGACGTCGTTTCTTCACATCTGAAAAGAGCTTTTAGTCAAATGCTACAAAATTACAAATTTTCTGCTGCTCAGCAGCGTTTATGGTGTCACTGCCCGGCCCAGACCTCAAGAGCCACCTGCAATGGGGGGCATCAAAAGCGCTGCCAATGAGTGCATCTTGCGCGTGCATGACACTCCATGCAAGTAGTAGTCGCTGAGCTGGAGGGATGACTGGACTGCTTTCCACATGCAGGTGAAGAATCTGGAGGCATTCAGGCGGTCGCTGCCAGCAGAGGCCAAGATGTACGTGGCCAAAAACACGCTGCTGAGCCTGGCAGCGGACAGGGTGGAGGGCTGGAGTGAGCTGAAGAAGGGGATCAAGCTGGAGAACGCCTGGGTGTTTGCCCCCGAGGAGGCCATTTCCTCCTCGGTCAAGGCCTTCTTGGACTTTGAGAAGAAGCTGCTGGAACCCATCCCCAAGGCCGAGCGCTCCAAGTTTCAGCTCACCGACGTGACTGGTGCGAGTTCCCTCCATCAAGTACAGTCATCAGAGCGCTGTTCTGTGAAGTCACAATGCGAGCTCTCAGAGCCCTGTTCTATGCACTCACAGAAGTTCTATGGCTCAAGAGGCGAGCTTCACCCCGTCACAGGGCACTCTCCTGTTTCATGTGGACGCTAGATGACATTGTGCCTGATTGAGCAAGTCCCAAAACAAGTGCACCAGAGGCACATCATGGCACGAGGGCAGTGTCTTGCAGCCCAAAGCATGTGACCGCGCTCAATGGAGAGGAAAACCAATCAAAAGGTTGCTGTGGAAGCGCGTGAGTCTAGCAGGGCCATAAAGCTCTCGGTGCACAAGATCTCTGCTTCGAATGGAATATCTCCAGAAAGACAGCCATCCTTAAGGGAATCCTGGGGATCTGAGCCATTTAAGGGCGTTCAGGGCATTGTTTGGGCGAAGGCTTGAGCTGCTATCAGACACCCTCGGGTGTGCCCCTGGCAACATGTGATGACGGGGTCATCCTGATCCCTTTTGTGCTGCAACCCCATGCGCATATGGGAAGATAAGGGCGCAATTGAACCATGTGCAGACTCCCATGGTCAGAGGAGCACGAAATCAGATTAACAATTTTCTCGTTGCGCGCTGCAGGTGGTGCGATGTCGGGTAGCTTCCTGGACGGGGAGCAGGTGCGCAAGCTGGAGAAGATGCCCACCAAGAAGGAGCTCATCACTGCCATCGCAGTCATGGTCAAGAAGGTGTGCGCACGCATCCTCCCTCTTTACAATACCTGAACATGCCATAGCCGGAGGATTCTTGGAGTTTGACCGGAAGGTGCATAAACACTGCGAAATAGCAGGAATGGCTGTGCTGGGTAATTTTTGAGATGCCGGTGGCAGGCATTTGGTCAAGTAATTGCTGCTTACCAATGTTATGGATTGGGAATCCCAATTAGGAATTGGCGGCATGCCCCGCTCCTGCATATCGACTGCTATGCAAGTTGTCTGCCAGGTTTAGAATAATTGCCTGAGGGAACCTGAGAAAAGAGAACCTGAGGGGGTGCAGATTTGTATCTGTGTGCCCCTTGTTGGCTTATTCAGCGTGTGATACCAAGCAACGGATGGCAAAGGACGGAATGTTCCTGCTGGGGCTAACCAGATACCTGATCTTGAAATACGAGCTTCCTGGGATGCTGCTGCGCAGGTGCCCACGAAGGTGGCGGTAGCTATCAAGCAGGTGCCGACCAAGCTGGCCTATGGCATCAAGGCACTGGCGGATGGGGATGACAACAAGGATCTCATTGTGGGCGATGTGTTTCCCAAGGCCTAGGCCACACCTCCATGTGAGCAGCCAGCAGGGATTCGCCGTAAAACGCAAGAGAATTTAAGTTGAAGGCACTGTCTAAGATGGTCAGGACATGATTCATGAGCATGTGAGCTGAAATATTAGGTGTTTCATCCCATGATCCATCAAATGAGCTTAAGCTGGTTTTTTTATACGCACATGTGAAAATAGATTGGCATGTGACACAGCCAATTTTGAGGTGGTCATGTCACTGTGACGTCAATAATTGACGTCAGTGAATGGAATTTCAGAAATAATAACCCTCACACTTGTCATCAGTCGCTACTGCAGCTGCATTCCCTGGGCAGGTCATAACACCACCGGCAGGCCGCAATTTACACCCCCTATACTCAAACTCCCAAATACTAAACACGGCTGGCAAGAGGCATAAAAACGGTGCAGTCGCAATGCCGACACCACCATAACAATAATTCGCTGGTGCAAATGTACATTTGCAAATGTACATCAGAAGCAAAACATAGTGCCATCGCACTCTGTACCGTGCGTTAGATGCAAGCAGTTCATCTCAAGTTCCTATACCTTCAGACGGGGTTCCTAGGCATTCCTAGAGTTGGGCAACTTCCAGACCAATGCAAGCATCACAAAGAAAGGAGTCGCATGCACCAGGGAACTACTAATAACCCTCCATGGAGGCCCTGATGCGCAGATTTCAATAGATATCTGCTGCTCTGAAGCAGCAAATCGTGCATTTAGTCCAGGCCTGCTTGTATCGTATTCTCACCCCAGATTGCTTTCCCTGCCCTGACGCATGAACGACGCAGCTCCTCATGTTCTGTACAAACGAGTTCGTAATAGGAGTGCCTTCAAGGATTGACATGTGCAGCCAGTTCTGCAGTGTATCGAGATATTTAAACTGCCATGTTCACTCCAGCTTTGCCTTGAGGGCAGCAGCGTTGGCCTCAGCCCACTCCTTGAAGGTGGGTCCGGCGACTAAGCGCTGACTCAGCGGCCTCAGGTTATCGTAGTAGCTCCACTGCTTGTAGTACGAATTCATGTTGGCCAGGTTCTGCGCGCCGGGGATCGGCAGCGATGCAAAGATTTCATCAGACACCGGCTGGTACCTGCACAGGCCAGGAGGACAGCGTATGAGCAGGGTTGCATGCTATTCCCATGCTAATTTTGCAAGCTCACAGCATTCTAGCGGTGAAAGGGAGAATAAACTAGCCCCAGGTAAGACGTCACATGCAAAAGCTACGCTGTTTTAGCCAGAGCAGTGAGAGGATATTCCTATAAAGTTGCCAAAGGCAATCTGCGGCAGCTGCACTGTTCTGGCCAACAAAGACACCTTCCACTGTTGCGCATCGACCAGGAATGTGCAGCAACAGCTGATATGGGAAGCTATCCAAGGAGACCCTGCTGGAATGCATCCTGCTCTGAGAGACTGAAAATGTGTGTAAATGGCATACTAACAGTCAGGAAGGCATTCGCACTTGACGGTCTTGCCGGTGACATCGCTCACAATCTTTGCCATGTCTGTCAGGGATATGTGCTCTCCCAGGGCCGGCACACTCTTGCCCTTGTACTTCTTCGGGTCCTCCAGTATTGCTGCAGGTTGCACACAACACAGCTGCAGGTTCAAATTGTCCACAATTTTGGCAAGCCCACCCAGCCCCGTACGAAGGTCTGTGCAAATTTTTTAGGCGCGGTGAGTACCAATACCAGCATGTAAATGCATGGATGCCGTGTCTATCTTGACGAGCTCAGCTGTGTTTTAAGCAAGTATGAATACTGTAGGATGCTCGGACGCATGCAGATTTTGACAATCCCTGAGGGGTGGGCAAAAACCCGGCGGATCCCCTGATTTTGTTCGAAAGGACCAGGGCCATGCCCCAATATATGTGCAGCGGCAAAGCTGTAATTCTGGAGCGTGCCTTGTGGGGATACTGCTCTGCTGTTTGCTCAGCAAGACAGCTGCACCTCTTCCTCTTCACTTCGGCACTAACACTGACCTTTAGGCATGTTTCTAATGCAGAAATCCGCATGACATCATATTTCCACGAAGAAAACAGTCAGCAGGAAGTGCACACAGCTCACCTGCGGGTGTGAGCCCCGCACTTCTCTCTTCATCACAGAAGGTGTACATTTTCGGCACGCACATACACCACAAGACTGAAGTTTGCGGGCAGATGGATATATCGAGTCTGAACAAGTGCAGGGCGCAGAACGAGAAGAGCTGCAAGGCTGCTGAGCAAATTGGTCACCTGCGGCTGTGAGGCCAATGGTACTGACAGAGTTCCAGGCATGGGGAGTGGTGCCATGTTATCACTGGCATTTTATAAGTTTTGGCATGCAAGTGTACCTTGACAGACATAGTCGCCGGGCCTTCGAGGTTGCAAATTACTTTCATGTGTTGATACTGAACATTTGCATGGCGATAAATCAGAAGTGTTGTAGAGGTGATATAGCTCACCTGCGGCTGTCAGGCCGATTGTGCTGACAGAGTGCCAGGCATGGGGAGCGGTGCCCATGTTGTCGCTGAAGGCGTAGGAGCCATCTGCCTGCGGCTGGTAGAAGGTGAAGTTGATCATGTTCTCGTAGAAGTTGCACGGCCGCAGCAGCGCATAGGACAGTCCTGACTGGGCTAGGTACTCCTGCACCAGAAATGCAAATTTGTATCTCGATCACTCTTTTTATCACACGCCTGTTCCAGCCCTCAGGGCTAGGCGCGTTGCAGCAGCCTCTCAATGATCTTGATGACATGTCGCCAATTGCATGGCCAGAAGCCGTAGAGGATATATGCAGACGTCTACAGCCGAGTTTGCAGTGCCTACAAGAGTCTTCAGCTCAGCACTGATACGCACGAACAGTATCTCAATTGTGGCGGCCAATCGTGCAGTAATGTCTGGCCATCTTGTTGCAGCCATGCCCTTCATGCCACTCTCAAAATTATGTATTGGATAAATGGATGGCCCAGAAGCAATACCAGGCACCAAAATTGGCTGCATGAAATTAAGCAATCACCCGCCCTGATTCCAGTTCATTGAATTTGCTGTCACTTTTGCTTAATGTATAAGGAACCCGTGATGTGGCACCGGTAATCATCACGTGCAGGGAAATCAATGTGGGGGCGCAAGAAACTGATTATTAAGTTTGAAGCCGAGTTTGGATGGGCTGCTCACCGCGACAGCATTCTTGGACTCAAAATGGGCGACTGTGCGGCCGTCAGGCAGAGCCGGCAGCTTCTCCTTGACATCCGCTGGGATGCCCTCCAGGGCACTGAAGATCACAAAGCCAACACCGGCCTGCAAAAAGGGGATTACATTGGGAAAATTTTGGTGTAAATCTTACTAATCTTCTTTTTCAAAATGCTGCTCCTATCCACTGGCAAGGTGCATCTGTAGTAAGAATACAGGTAAAAACTGCCACATGTCCTGGCCCCTTGTTGGACTCGCCAGCTTCAAGCAGTGCCCAGTATACCAGCCGGGGCCATTGAGACACGCAAATGGGGTTGGTCCTTTGGGCATTGATTGGTGTAAGGATAGATGGATGCATCAGATATGGTCAAGTGTGGACATAATTTGCATGACAGGTATTGCAGAGATATGATCTGAGCTTTGGCTAGCGCCCCAAAATGCACAGGGACAGGGCGCCAGTAATGGCCAATGCCAGTCAGGAATGGAGTCTTGCAGATTTGCTAAGTGAAGAAGTGAATTGCAGCCTTACCTCTTTGGCTGCATCCACAGCAGTTTTTCCCTGCTGTAACTCGCCCTCGAAGCTGGCTCCCGCCCCGAAGAAGTCCGTGACAAGGAAGAGAGCATCGGCCCCAGCGAATGCCTGCGCCAAAATGCACCTTGTCATGACCGACACCAGGGTCTTCGGTACAATAGCCACATGCCTTTAGGTATGTGTACGCTGTATCCGCCGGAAAGGTTTCATGATCAAGTGCTTCTTAGATCTAACGCGGACACCTTGGACAGCGATGCCTGATTCCCGAGGTCAGCCTCGACCACCTCGACGCCCTTTGCGGCCAGATCCTTGGCCTTCTTAGACGATGAACTCCTCGTGATACCTCTGATGCTCTTGCTGCCAGCCGAGAGCAGGGCGTCCACCACACCACCACCTGCGCCATCGACTGTCACCTTTTACGGACAAAATATCTCCGAACCTATCTCGCCTCTCAGCGCTGTTCGAGTGCACCGCATGCCCGAATTGTATTTTTCTTGCGCCATTCGACAACCTCATAACCACAACGGAGCCATCTGAACGCGTTTTAAATTTGAAGATAATTCCCAGAGCACCATCAAGCTCACCTTGAGCCCCTGTGGCTCCAGTCACGACGACGGTCTTCACGAGGGCAGCCATTTCTTAGTCGGATTCCTTTGAACTACGTAGCAAGTATTTGCCCTTTACGTTTGTTTTGCTTGACGACGCAGTTCCTGATAAAATCTTCAGTCCTTTTTCTATATCCCGGGATGTTCGGGATACTCTGAGAACCTCATCCCTTCATTTGCCCTTCCCAGGAACATGGAGAGTATGGCTTACGTCAGAGGCATGCCATTCTCGTGAAGCACGAGGGACCCAGTGGATCTGCCCTGTTCCCTCTGGTAAGCAAGACTCCAGAAGCTGCAGTGGATGCAAATACTCCTCAGTGACCGTCACCGAGTCAAAAATCTTCAGTGGGGAAGTTTAGCAGCTACTAGCAATAAGTAATTGTTGCCCAGGAAAGGATGCCCAGGAAAATCTGGGTGAGAAAAAGTGGCCACCAGTAATAATTAGCCCTGCTGGCGGTACTGAGATTAAACAAAGAACTTCATGTTTTGCATCATCCCGCATCTGCTTTTGCACCTCCTGCTCAGATCCTGCATATGCTCATATGCATAGGATCACATGTGCATGCCAGGTGGTCGAATAAGTGCTCCTTGGTAAGGCGCTGGGTGCAAATCCCCGCCATGCAGAGTGGCAGGCACCATGCATGCATATGCGCAAGTTGAAACCATGTTCTTCGCCTGCATTTGGGCATGCACTTGTGGGCTTGGCACAATCCTGCGGCAAAGCCATGCAAATGTGTTGGAGGCTGTCACGTGATTATTATATTATGACAATCTCTTAATAAGGCAAGTGCATGTCATGTCTAACAAAAAAGCCAAGTATGTGCAAGATCCATTAAAGGCAGCTCCTATCTTGTACGAGTACATCTCGATACGCTGGCCAGCTATACCGAACTCTTTTCTTGCACACATGAGGTCTACTCAAATAGGCCCCAAGCCAGACGAAACAAAGCCGGTGACACATGCAAAATGCAAGAGCTCTATACGCAGTCACAGCTATTGATAATTCACGTGTCAATCTCCTGCATCTCTCCATGGAACCGACGTCTCTGTTAATAAAATGCCCAGGCAACTAGAGCCCCAGTATATAATGCGCTCAGCTCATATTCTGTAATTCGCTGCTGGACTCACACAGACTCCAGAATATTCTTTTCCACGGCCGTTAGTTTCACAAACCTTTGCCAAGTTCAAAATGTCTCTCAGGCAGCCATAGCATTGAGTACAAGATACATCACCCCCTGCATGTTTCTATGCAGCTGACCTTTACAATTTTTTTTTGAAAATTCAGAAATTCAGAAATTACTTCAGGCACTTTGGGCATCGCTGGCAGCCTCCAGCCTCTTCTTGAGGGCATCTTTATGCGCCTCAGCCCACTCTTTGAACTTCTGTCCCCTGACCACGGGGTCAGAGTAGGGCCGCAGGTCATCGTATTGGCTCCAGCCTCTGTAGTAGTGGAACATGTTGGCGATGTCGGCAGCTCCGGGGAAGGGCAGCGATGCATATTGCTCATCGGAGATCGGCTGATACCTGCATTGCATGGAGCGCACGTCAGTCTAAACCAGGGCTTCAAAAAGCCTCAAATTTGCAGGATTTGGCAGGGGGCCTATAAAATCTCAGGCCAGCCCCTAAGTAGGGCATGAGCTGCAGCGGTAGTAGCTGCAATTTAGGGGCGTCCCTGAGATTTCCATGGATTGTCAAGAGGGAGATGCAAATCTCCCTTTGAATCTGGCCTCTGATTGGTTTAAATTGTAAAAAATTGGATGGTGCCCCTTAGTCACTGCCACGTGGCTTTGAGGCGCTGCCCTGAGGCGCTGCCCTTTTTGTGTGTGTGCCAGATCCACTTTTTCCAAGGGCTGCCCTGACATCTAGCCCCTTACCCTGAACCACTCTGCCCAATCCCTTGGGGGGCCTTTGGGGGCTGTCAAACCCTGCCCAACAGACTTCCGAGTTGTTCAGACAGCTTCAATGCCTCTGGGCACAGACAGCTTCTTGAATGTCCCTGGGGAGCCCCAAGCATATCTGCCTAAAACAAATGACATAGAATTCGGTAGGAAAGTCCTCGACAAACCAGAATCCCGCTCTAGAACCCAGAGTTCTCAGCGCAACCCCAGGAGGATCACTCATTCCTGGGATGTCAAATTTTATTTCCCACCACAAGAATATTTACAGGTGAACCCACTTTTAGCGTCATGCTGGGCTGGAATCAGTCGGGCACAAAGAGACGGATCCCGGCGGGACGCCTGTTTTTTTGGCGAATGAAAGAAAGTCTTCACTGTCATTCAAAGCATGAGAGGATGCCGTCTCATTCGCACCTTATTGTTTTGCCGGTCACATCGCTCAGGATCTGGGTGATTTGTGGGAATGAAATGCGCTCTCCCACAATTGGAATAGTCTTGCCCTGGTGCTTCTGTGGATCGTCCATCACAGCTGCGTGCAAGACAGAACAGTAGACTCAAACTCTTTTTCTTCTCCATTTTTCAGGCAAATTGGCAGCAAGATGCCCCCTGTCAGCATGTGCTCTGGTGCACAGGACTCACAAGCAGGACAATCCCTTCCAAGAGAAGAATATTGGAGGAACTCTTGGGACTCAAAACCTCCATTTCTAAACGAAGAAGTTGGCACACAGGTCACCCCATCAGACCTGCTCGCATGGACTTTGCGGCTAGAGGTTGATTTGTCATATTATGCACAAGTCATCAGTCAGGGCAGGTACAAACACTGAGCACCATGCCCACAGTTGATTGGGTATTGCTGGCAATTCCAGCAAGGGGTATTAATGATCCTGGATTATGGCAGCCTTAAACAGTAGCTTGACTGCAGTTGAAGCTTGCCTCTTGGCAGGAAAAGTGTGAAAGAAGAAGATCAGCATCAGCGTTCTCTGGCTGCCTGTAGCTCACCTGCAGCTGTCAGCCCGATGGTGCCCACAGAGTGCCAAGAGTGGGGATCGGTGCCCAGATTATCGCTGAAGACATAGGAGCCGTCGGGCTGCTTCTGGTAGAAGAAGAAGTTGATTGAGTTCTCATAGAAGGCGCTGGTGAGCAGCAGCCCGTAGGGCAGCCCTGACTGTGCCAGGTACTCCTGCAAGATGTTCACTGTGCTCAGGGCACATATAGCGTCTCCACTGCCAAATGGGGAGGGGGTACTGAAGACTACTATGGTCTTACTCTGGCCTTTCCTCTGTTCTTTGGTAGTCTTTGATACCCCCTGACATGGACATTTTCAGGGCTGAGTCTGGAACACTGGGTCATGACTGTCGGCCAAGGCTGGCGCTGCTAGCCCAAGCATCACAGGCAGTGTGCAAAATGCCCACGGTTGATTGGGTCTTGCTTGGATCTGGCAGGTTCAAGCATGGGGAGGATCCCAGACCAGGATTCCCAGTGGCATTCACATGCAGCATGTTTGGAGACGCCTCTTGCCTCTCAGCCGGAGAATCGTCTAAAAGCTCTGAAATACAGTTGTGCCAGAGATCAACTCACCGCCACGGCAGCTTTGGACTCAAAGTGAGCGATCTTCCGGCCGTCATGCAGGGTCGGCAGCCCTTTCTTGGCATCCTCTGGGATGTCCTCAAGGGTGCTGAATACCACAAAGCCAATGCCGGCCTACGCATGCGCACACCAAGCAGAGATCAGTGACATTCTTGTGTGCAGACCACAGGGCAAAGGTCAGCCACTGCAGAAGCTTGCTGCGCATGCAAGTCCAGATGTGCGCAGGCCATACCTCCTTGGCTGCATCAACGGCGTTCTTGCCTTGCTGCAGCTCCGTATCATAGCTCATTGATGCATAGTAGTCTGTGACCAGAAACAGCATGTCTGCTCCTGTGAATGCCTGAGCCAGAATATAAGATGTGATCAGGATCCACTCCTTCCAGGAAACATGTTGCTCCGTAAGTGAACAGAACTCAAGCTGAGCAGCGGCAACAATAGGGTGATCAAGGGTGGCAACAGGCCCCAAGCCAAACCTTGATCAGCGATGACTTGTTGGACAAGTCAGCTTCCACGACACCCACGCCTCTTGCCACGAGATCCTTGGCCTTCTGAGAAGTAGCATTTCTGGTGATTGCCCTGACGTTCTTATCGTCCGCAGAAAGAAGCGCGTCCACCACGCCACCACCTGCCCGAGGACATCGCTCAGATCCCGGAAGCGATATTCGTCATTCGTTCAGTAAACCTAATTGTGGGCAATTGAATAATCAAAGATGTTCTAAATGACATTTACAGGAGGTACATAAACGTGAATAACACTTCGTGGCCATTCCAAGGCCAAGCGCGTTGTGGTGATCAAGTGCCCGCACCTTGGGCCCCAGTAGCTCCAGTCACAACAACGGTCTTTTTGGCCGAATTCATATTGTTTATAGGTCTTCTCTATCTCAACAGCGTGTGATGGGCTAGGATGTTGGATCTAAATTGAGGATTTCTTACGTCACCATGCTGCACCTGCTGCGCTGCTGACAAGACATCCACAGGAGCCCAGCCACCCAGTGAGATCTAAGCTCAATATACATTAGGACATGTGGGTGATGATCTGCATACAGGCTGCACCATGCTCTGAAAGTTATCGCCCTGCTCTTGTTGCTCTGACCCTGTGCACTTGGAGCTGCAACAGCTTATTGAGAGCTTGCAAAGTGCTAGGTAAGATGAAATATTCATTCCTACTGCCTTGTAAACTTTGGATGTACAGCAATAGGCCGGTACTGCTTCATGGGTGTGCCTTGTGATTGCAGATATTCTTTTCGCAGCTAGACATTTGTATCATGATTCCACAGCATCAAGCGCCCATGAGCTTTGAGCACCCATGAAGCACATGCCAGCACCTGCCGGCTTTGCTGCAACGCCCTCCCTGCGCAGGATGCTGCACACAGGCGCCTCCATGCCATGTGCCCAGTAGCCGATCCCCATTGAGGTACTGTTGTGCACTGCCCCAAACTCAACATGCACAGTTCCCTGATCCCGTTTCTCCCTCTCAGAGCCAACACTTGGGCCTTGAAGTGATTCTGCTAGCATCCTAGCTGCATTGTCTTCACTGCAGCCAGCGCTAATACATTGCACAGACGCCCATTTCGGCAACAGAGGTCCATTGCTGTAGCTGTCAGATCCTGCATCCCCTGACCAATCAGCTCCATAATCTGAACGTCCGCCGTCATCCATAGCACCTGCTGTGACAGCGCTGCAGCAATTCCTCTCCTGGATCCCCCAGGGTTCCCCCGGTCCGCCCGCACCCCCCGCGCCACCACTTGCGCCCCCCGGCAAGTGGCTCCTCTCATGGACCTCCCGGGGGACTTCCCGGGGTTCCCCCGCTCGACCACCGTCTGCGCCCCCCGCGCCACCGCCCGCGCCCCCCCGACCCCCCGCGATGGCGGCGGCTGAGCGGCTGACGCGCACTGCCAGCACGCCGCAGTCTTGATGCGGGCAGGCGAGGCCGGCCGGCTGCCCGAGCTCGATGCGGTCTCTGATCTCCTGAGCGCAGACTGCGTCCACAGTTGATGCTGCAGACAAGTCGGGGCTGGCGGCGGCGGCTGCATCGGCCCGCAGAGAATCCGCGCAGGCCCGGGCCAGGCCGGCGCGCATTATCGCCTCACCGACTCCTGTCACGCTGCACGCCACTGCCGGCCTGCGCACACAGCCACGGGTCAATGCAACCAGAGAGCGCTGGAAGGGGCTCAAGCACAGGTACCATAGACAGAAGGACTGTCTGCAAGCGTATAAGGCAGAATCAGGAGAGGGAGAATGCAAGACATGAAGGCATTCCGAGCGCGACAGTAGGAGAACGGGTGCCGTGCGGTGTACACAGAGTGCATCGGACAGAACAAGCATGTCCCGGCGTGGGCCTCCAGGGCCCAGCAGCACTGATGATCAGCATGAAATTGATCAGCCTGCATAAGAAGAGCTCTCAAGCCAAGCCAGGAGATGAAAGGACAAGTAACATACCTTCCAGAGTGTGAATCGGCAGCCCAGCAACCGCAGCCAAACATGGCTGCCTCGCCCACTCGGCCGTCCGTCTTCATCGCTATGCCGCCGGACGAGACACTGGCCGCAACTCGCCCTGCTCGAGACCCAGCATTGCCATGAATGGCATGGACGCTGATGCACTCTCCTAAACGCTGAGGCATGTGCCTTTGAAACACCATGAAAGACCAGGTGCACCGCCGAGTACAAGAGGTAAGTCTGAAGCGCAAAAGACCCCTTCCAGTGGTAAGTCTGAATCGCAAAAGACCCCTTCCAGTGCCCATTTGTGGCCGAGATCTTGTCACCGAACAAGAAGGTGCAAAGGGAAGGGGGGCTACACTGACCTAGAGCATCTACGCAAACGGCGCCCACTGTGTCAAATGCCAGGCATTCGGCATCCTCTTTGCTAGAGCTGCAGGCCGGCAGCTGCGCTGCTGCGCCGCTGCTGATGTCTGTGCGCAGTCTCTTAGCTGCGGGATTTGCGACGTCCATCATGCTGATGCGGGGCTCACCTGCCTGACTTGTACAAACTATATCAGGCACTAGGTACATCTGTCGAGGTTGATTCCATGGACGCTCAGTATGTGTCCTGGTTCTTAGGGTCACTGGTGAATATAAGGGCTGTCCAAGTCCTGTTAGCTGATCTTATGAAAAAGGCCTGATTGTACCTGCAGGCTAGGCAATTTTTTGTGGATGCCAGCGGGATTTGAAGGAGCCTCTCGGCTTTGCACAGCCTCATCAATCATGCGCTTGTAGCGCTGCCACCGCCGCTGAGCTGCACCGTTGATGTGCCACTGCAGCACAAAATGTCAAGGATCATGCCCCTGAATACAATTACATTCCATCAAGCTATCACAGTGAATCTGCCTTGTGAGAGTGACACTGCACTGATACTGAACAACGTCCTCTACTCCTGCCAAGCGCTCGCGTTTACCTGTCTGAACCTCCACTGATTTCCAAGCAGGATAAATATATCTTAATAAATACAGTAGAGTACACTCTTAATTCACAAAAAAGTGCAATGAAGAGATGCGTTGCATGAGGAGCTGACCTGGCTGGCAGCTTCTGCAGATGGAGCAGCCGGCAGGCCTTGCTCCTTTGCCCACTCCCTTGCCCCATCTCCAGCCAGGAACCTGCACCCAATACAACGTTTGACCCGTTCAGCCTCATGCATACAATAGTATTTGCTGGACGCTGCCAAGAGACCTGGGATGTATAGTACTTTGTCTCAGCACTTCAGGGGTGTAAGGGCATGACACAGACGGGCTGTTGCATGGGAGTTCTAATCCAACAAGCAGGATGCTCACATGGGACGTACTCTCCCCAGTGCCATTGGCTCGCGGCTCTGCCTCGCCAGCTCGCCAGCTACACGCACAGGATTCTCAACACCTGCAGGCAGCATTGAAGATTACACTACACATGTCTGCAACTCCCTTCACAGCTGGTTTGCGCTGATGCCGCGAAATTACAGGCCATATACGCGCGGTCGCAATCTAGGAATGAGTGGTCTTTTACCGCACCCGAGACTGCGCCAACTGCGCCAAAGGCTCCATCTCCGGCCATGGTGCTTGCATCGCACTGGACCACTCCCTTGACTGTGAGATTGGATCCCACGCCTGCGTTGCCCAGTGGAGCATCCTGCATGCTTGCATTGGGACCTTGTGACTCATGCTTACTGGTGTACAGTCTTGATGCAGTCGTAAATCTAGTACGAGCAGGAGATCATGAGGCTTACCTCGAGGGATGACACTGCAGCCACGACTGCCTTGAGCGGATCTCCAGACAGATGCAATTCTTGTGCGGCCTGGCGGCAGGCTTGACGCATCACTGCAGGACAGAGTTGTCATACTTGTCAGACACGAATGCCTCACTTGCAAGCATTCTTCCTTAAGGCTCTTGCAGACGTCAGTCGGCACACCTGACTTGTAAGCCTTCTCTCGCTGTGCAGAGTGGTGCCCCACACCAACGTGTACTGCAATAAAGAACGGGCGATCTCCAAGGGATGGTGTCTGGTCGACAACATGCTGGCTCCCGTTACCTTCCATGATATCCTTTTCGAGTTGTGCAATCTTCTCGAAATTGTTTTCTATGTATAGAAAAGATATCAAAACTCCCTCTGCGTTTTTAGATCCGCCCTCCTATGGACATCCGCATAGGCGGCTTCAAAGTCATCCTGGCTGAGGTCAGTGTCTATCTGTAGCAGACATTTAAGCACTTGAAGTCAATATGTCGTAAATTAAGTTTCGATCTGAAGAAACAAAACTGTCTTTCTTGAAGTGTCTCACGATTGGCAGCCACTTGTACGCCTCTTCAGAAAGAGGCATTCTCATCTCCTTGAGGCGACACCCCAACATGCCTGAATTTAATTGCCTGCTTAGAAAGTTCGAGCGAAACAAGGAATCAGTGTGGCTGAAGTCATTGCTTAATGTGCATCACAACGATGCTCACACATGAAAGGGTATAACGCGACTACTGCGTCCTCTCACACCCTCTCTATCTCACTAATGTTGTCTCCTTAACCACTTCCAACCAATTAAAGCTGTCCTTCTGAAGATCGCATGTGGGGAAGAAGCCAAGAAGCTAGCCAAATGGGCCCGAATTTTGGGCAGCGGGCAGGTGGCATGACGTAAGACTCGCTTGCATGAGCAGATGCATCCAAGTCCAGATCAGGCAACCGAACCATCGGCCAAAACAATATTCAGCGCTCAGATCCTCGACACTGCTCAGCACATCGCGCAACTGTGAGCATCCCAGCGTTTAATATCTTCACGGTGCTTGCCACCGGCGTATGGGCAACTGCTGGTCTTCGCCAAAGCAAGCGGAGAGCGCAGCACCTCCATTGGTAGACCCGAAACCAGGTGCAGCTCACGCTGTCTTCACAATCACAGTCGTTTCCTGTGGGTTTTCTCGTGGTGCATAGTTACTGAGAAGCATGTGTAACAGCGTTAGATCTTAGCAACATCGAAGGGGGACATGACCTAATAACGTCCGTCAATGGTGCAGTCCCATCGGCAGTCAAGGAGCCCGTCGTCGAGATCCAGAAGCCAGCAAGAATGACCGTCAAGATCTACATCGTCTTTTACTCCACGTAAGTGCTGCAGAACAGCTCATGTCTGTGAGCACATCCTGGCGCATGTCACAACTAAAACGCCTTGCCTCCCTTGAAGTTGCCTCTTCATGAATTAACTGACAGCATTAAGAAGACAAACGCGTGTAAGGTCGAATCACTGACGTGGTATTGCAAATCTGCAGGTATGGTCACATCTACAAGCTTGCACAGCAGCAGAAGAAGGGTGTGGATTCTGTGGAGGGTGTCGAAGGTATTCTGTACCAGGTGGGTCGCAAATGCTTCGGATCAGGCATTACTGCTCCTATTAATGATTGTGATGGCCAAACATCTTCCTAAGATGGCCTGTAAGGATTGGAAGGCTTCTCGCTTTTTCCAACTGAATGTTGATCTGTGGCCTCACGAAATTTTTTCGCAGGTTCCAGAGCTTCTGTCGGAAGAGGTGCTAACCAAAATGCATGCACCCCCAAAGCCAGATGTACCCATCCTGGATGTACATGACCTGCCCAATGCAGACGGCTTCATCTTTGGCTTCCCCACAAGGTGTGCCACTCATTTCTCGTCACTGCTCAGGGACTATGGTATCCTGCATGATACATGATAGAACAGGATCCCCTACCAGGAGTTAGACATGTGATCAGCATTCTACTTACTTGCGCGCTTCATCATTACAGAGCAGTGCCAGGTCAGTGCAATAGCATGCGTGCGCAACAGCTTTTCAGAGGACAGTGCCACGAGGATCTCAGTGTACAGAAACCCAGTAAATACATAGAGCGCAAGGCCATTACAGGATTACATGCAGATCTGCATCTTTTGCTGCGCAGGTACGGGACCATGGCAGCTCAGTTTAAGGCCTTCTGGGATGCCACCGGCAGCCTGTGGCAGAAGGGGGCCCTGGTGGGCAAGCCTGCCACGATGTTCACCTCCACTGCCAGCCAGGGCGGCGGCCAAGAGACCACAATCCTCACATGTGAGCCTGTCATACACTCCTTTGAACAGTGACATGTCAGCCTTGAGCACGCCATGGTTAAGGTGTTGCTGGACCTGCTAGACAGAGATTAAGCCATACCTCTGCCTAGCCGTGCTCGCATGGAGTTCGCTGCTCCTTGTTTTGATGCAGCGGCCTCGCTAACGTGAAGCGTAAGACTTCACGCGGATAGGGAAGGATGGCAGTTGCTGCTGTCATTGCGAGCGTAAGTGCATGCATCCTGAGTTTTTGGGCATGCAATGCTGTGGCTCTAAACTTTCGTCACAGCTGCTGAACATCGTTGCAACTCCCTGTGCATAATGCACTCTGCCCATTCATGCCGGTCTCAATGGCATTTTGGGAAGGCCTCTGTCATTTGATTTTGATTGGAGGACTGGACAGCTCCATTCAGAAGCCCAACGAGGGCCCTGCGCTATCGACTCCTGATGTGGAAAGCATGTTGACTAAAAATATCTGCCCTGGCTGGCGGTGGGCGGTGTAAATACCGAGCACCGTGCCCATGGTTGTTTGGGCCTTGCTTGGATCTGGCGAGTCCATCGAGGGGTAGGATATGTGGCAGTCTTTACCTGCAGCTTGTCTGCAGGCGCACCTTGCCTCTGGCAGGACCAGCGTGTCATTTTTATAAAAAGTTCTCTTTGTGACTGTGCAGCGCTGCCGAACCTTGTGCACCACGGCATGGTTTACGTGCCGCCCGGCTACGCATTTGGCGCTGCCCTCTACGACCTGAACGCGGTGCGCGCCCCTTTGTCTGGCTTAGGGTTCAGGGTCCTGGCAGTGTAGGGTTTTGGTGAGGAGGGAGTGCAGATTGGTTCCCATACTTTGGATTTGCTGACTGGCCCTTTCTGCATGACTATATGTGTCTCCTCTTCTGCTCCGCTCTTACTCATCCTGCTGGATGCCATATTTACGTTTGCAGCGCTGACGAATAGTGGCAGCATCCCTGCCTCAACCCCTTTTTTGTCTTGCTGCAAGACTCGTGCCTGCAATGGTGGGCGTGAGATGTAAGGTTGATGAAGGATGAAAAGACACTAGTTATAATGAAATGATTTCCAGGGTAAAATTAAACACCAGTTGGGCTCCGCAGTTGGGGTACTCCCGTTGCTCAGGCACTGGTAAGACTGCAGTCCAGTCAGCAGTCCACTGTGACCATTACAGTAACGTGTTATTTGGCTGCAGGTGCGCGGGGGCAGCGGCTACGGCGCCGGGACATTTGCTGGCGGCGACGGCTCGCGCCAGCCGTCTGAAACCGAGCTCGAGTTTGCCGAGTTTCAGGTACGGTCACCCGCTTACTGCTCAATTGTCAAGCTGTGTCAAGCTTGATATCTGAGGTATCTCAGCATTGAGCTTCAATGACTACAGTCTGCAAAGGACTATTGTACAAGGAAGGCCTCTCAGGTGTGCACACTGTGGGCTGTTATGGAGCCTTGGCAGTAGCTGCTCGTCTGAACACAGTGATCATGGTGTACGCCTGGAGGATCCTTGGCGGTACCTGTTTCTGCAAGAAAAAAATTGGCATGCTGCAGATGATCATGTTGCATGGCTGCTTTGCAATTGCTCCTGGTAGCTCTTGCAAGCAGTCTTGCAAGTATCTTCCATTTCACTCTACTGCTTTGCATGATAAACACATTTGGGTGCATCTTAATGTAGTGGTCAGGGCATGGATAAATGAAGCAAATGTGGCTATTGAAAGCTGCGTGCACTTTGTAGGTTCGCAATTATGCTGATTGATGGGCGCTGTGTATTGCTGCAGGGCGCGTACTTTGCAAAGGTGGCCAAGAAGCTGGCAGCATAATAGGATGAGCTGACACCTCGGTAATACTGAACTTCGGGGAGCGTTCAGCTTCAATGTGTATTCGTGACTGGGACTCAGAACTGCAAATGCGTACAAACACTGCACAACAGTAGCTTTGACTCTGAAAGCTTGAAAGAAACACTGCACGGCGCTGGACTGTACAGAGCAAGTGGCATCTAGGGCTGGAAGCCCCAGGGCTGCTTTGCAATTGTTTTTCATGTCCAAGCAGACTATACAGACATTGGCCCGCCGCTGCTGTGCGTATCTTGATCTGCAACCATATCCAGAGCTTGAGCAGGAGGCCGAGTAATGTTTAAGGTTCAAGATTAATGCCGGCCTGTTTGTCCTGCTGCAGCTTTGCAGCGAGCAGCTGCAAGAGCATTCTGCCTGTTGTAAAAGAGGCGAATACACAAGCAACAGACACTGTCATTTTAACATGCATGCATGCATATGCAGCCTGATTAACCAATATCCTGGTGCACACTGCATGTAAAGACAAAGACATGGCCAGGCATCTGTGGGATGCAGTGACTCGTGCTAGCAGTTGACATGTGCATGCATGTGCACAGTTGCCTGTTCTGGACGACGACTTCTCAGACAAGGGCTCGACAAGGGACTTGACGATGACAGTAGTTCGCGCAACGTCCTCCATCAGATAATTGATCTTCTTGCGTCTGTTCCAATCATCGATGCTCCCACGTTCACTGGGCAGAGGGTGCGGGCAATTGCTGGCCCTCGCCACAGGAAGCGGAGCACGCAGCACTCCCTTCTGTAGACCCGCAAGCAGGTTCTAGACACTCGAATTCTTGTTTTCCGCTATTATTGTATTCTTTGAAGGTGGATCTTTCTAGCTTGTATCCATTTGTGCGTTTGAAGGGTTCGCGTGCCTCACACCTTCCACACTGCAACCCAAGCTCAAGCCAGCGTTGAACGCCAAAAGCCAGCGATGACGGTCAAGATCTACATCCTCTTCTACTCAACGTGAGCCTTGCCACCACCAAGACGTCCGTGTGAGCAAATGCTGGTACAATTTGACGTATGTGTCGTGATAAGTCACCTCTGAAGATCGCCTGCAAATCATGTGCTACCGAATTTGCTGGCAAGGAACTCCCATGTTGCAGGTATGGCCACACCTACAAGCTGGCCCTGCAGCAGCAAAAGGGAGTGAATTCTGTGGAGGGTGTTGAGAGCATCTTGTACCAGGTGACTTTGCCTTAGTTTCTTTTCAATGAGGCGCACAGACTGCGCTACGCAGATAGTTTTGAATGCAGGTCCTTTAAACAGAGCACTTAATCTGAACATCTGAAGCACGAGCATGGCAGAGCTGTGCATGCATGCTCTTAGCAAAAGTAAAGCTTCAGCCCCGGCTGACGGGGGCGGTCCAAAATATGTCCACCGTGCCCACGGTTGATTGGGTCTTGCTTGGATCTGGCGACGACACCATCAGGGGGTAGGACATGTGGCAGCCTTCACCTGCAGTGTGCCTGCGCGACGCACCTTGCCTCTGGCAGCAACAGCATGTCAAAAACACGAAAGCTTTGGTGTGATTGGACAGGTTCCCGAGACATTGCCGCCTGAAATTTTGGAGAAGATCCATGCACCCCCAAAGCCAGATGTGCCAACCCTGGAGGTGCAGCAACTGCCAGATGCAGACGGCTTCATCTTTGGCTTCCCCACAAGGTGTGCGCCTCAATGCATGCCTTCATTGGCTGTGACATGGAAAGCTGCTTTTTGTCAAGGACACCCTACGTCAGCAAGTGCCACATGACATGGCAATAAAGTCTGAACGCTAGAGGTTGTCATGATGACTCTTGCATGGGACCGAAAACTTCACCAATCCTCAAAAAGATGCGGCTGCCGGCAAACAGCCAGCACATGGCATACTGCAGGGAGCCAGTCTCATGTCCTGAGATACTTGATCTCCCAGTGATTCCTCTTGCAACATATGGCGCTCTCCAGTTGCATCATCCCAGTGTCCTGTCTTAAGAGTGTGAGCCCTGGCCAGAAATCGCAGCAAGGAAACCATCTCAAGCAGATTTCATGACCCAACTGCTGCATGGATCTGGCGAGTCCATCATGGAATGGGATAGGAGGCAGCCTTTGCCTGCAGCTTGCCTGCGTGCACACCTTGCCTCTGGCAGGAACAGCGTGTGATAGTAGCAACAACTATAATTTTAAGGGATACATGTTGGCAGCCTTTACCTGCAGCTTGCCTGCAGCTGCACCCTTGCTAGTTATGTCAAATTTAATAAGTGTGATATTGATAATGTTTATGCCAGTGATTGCTGCATGCAGGTATGGGACGATGCCGGCTCAATTCAAGGCCTTCTGGGACGGCACAGGCGGCCTGTGGGCAAAGGGGTCGCTGGTGGGCAAGCCTGCCACAATGTTCACCTCCACTGCCAGCCAGGGCGGCGGCCAAGAGACCACCATCCTCACATGTGAGCCTGTCATACACTCCCGTATTGGGTACCTTAACATCCACATGGACCGCGAGGTTTGAGCCGATGGGCTGCGCAAGGCCTATGCAGCACCAGCCCTCATGCACTCCTCTAGGCCCTGAGGTCACCTCAATAAGGTGCCAGCTTGACCTGCTAGACATGACGGAACCTGGTACAAAAGGCGGGATACAAATGACAGGCCTGGAACGGTCATGGATGAACCTGTTGCTGTATTGCTGCTTGCTGTCAAGTCTGCTGCACCAGCTGCTTGCCCACAAGCCATGGAGGGCTGCCTTACTGATTTAGAGTGCGGTGGTACGCGGGCATTTTTGCTGCAGGCATCGACTCTGGCAATTTGCCTTCAACCTGCCCCTTTTGTGCATCACTGCAATGTGCATGAAGCAATCCTGCCTGTACCACAGTGGCACTGCCACGACATCTGATGCCTCTCAGGCTCAGCTTCCCAGGGCCCACGGCCTTTTGTCATCTTACACCGTGCTGTCCTCGCCCTCTGGTGGCACCTTTTCTCCCTGACAGGACAGTCCTCACTGAGGTCTTCTCAGCACAAGAATTGACTCGATCTAGCTCGAACAATTGGTGGATGTGCGCAGCGCTGTCCAACTTTGTGCACCACGGAATGATCTACGTGCCGCCCGGCTACGCATTTGGCGCGCCCATGTACCGCCTGGACGAGGCGATCACCCTTTAAATCCCTTTTAATTCTATTCGCCCTCTTTTGTAGCTTGGGGTGTTCAAATGACTTGTTTCTCATCAGACCGAGCCAGGCACACCTGTCCGCTCATGCCAGTAATGCAATTTGTAATGTCCTGACCTGTGACAGGATTGCCTGATCGTGGTCTAAAGAGGCACTCCCCACTGGTTCAGGGGTTTGGGGTTTTGGGTCAGGGTTTATGGCACGGGTACCTACAAGTGATGCTCGTCATCGTGCATGCAATGAATAGGTGAAAGCCGCAATTGGTCGCAGAAGGGGGGAAGATTCTATTAGGAAGTGGTATTCGAATTGTCCTGGAATGAAAAACACTTCGAATATGAGTTTCAACTGCAGGTGCGCGGCGGCAGCGGGTGGGGTGCAGGGACATTTGCCGGCGGCGACGGCTCTCGCCAGCCGTCTGAGACCGAGCTGGAATACGCTGAATTCCAGGTGTGTTCACCTGATTGCGATCCCTGCTGCATTTTTTGAATGGCTGCAGACTGCATGCGGCGCCGGCAGCTGCACGGTAGCTGCTGCCTGGCAGCCGCCGGTAGCCACGCAGCAGCAGGTTCTGCAGGAGATGTGTGTAGTTTTCTGGCATTCAGTGATCAGGTGGCTTTAGGTGAGATTACCTAATACAGAATGCATAGCAGGTATGTGCAATAGGGAAGCCTGGCTCGGGCAAGGACATGCTATGTAACGTCGTGCAGCATTGAGACCTGCTTGCGATAGCCGCCATAATTGATCGTGAGTTTGGAAGATGCAGTTGCAAGGGGCCTGTGAGGTTCATTAAGCATGCCAGCACTGACTTGGAGCGCCTGCTTGTGTGCGTTGCAGGGCGCCTACTTTGCAAAGGTGGCCAAGAAGCTGGCAGGGTAGGAGAGGTAAAATCAAGACTCTTGAGTCAAGAGCCACGTGAATTGGCGTGAGCTAGTAGATGGTGCATGTGTGCAACGTGCAGCTTGTAATATCAAGAGAAATTGACAATTCCAGGCACAGCCAGCATGCGAAGAATTGGTATGATATCACTTTATTGTTGCAACGTTTGTCAGAAATGTCAGAATGTTGAATTTGTCGTTGCGAATATCAGTGTGATTTGGTGCACCGCATTCAAACATATCCAGCTGTAGATTGAGGAAGGAGAAGAAGGGAAATGTTCTTGACGATGAATTGGCTGGATTTGCAAATTCTTGTTACACTGCAGTTGCCTGCACAGGTTTCTGCACTCAGCATTTGCACAAGACGCTTGGTCACGACGTTTTAGTAAAGAATAATCACCCAGGTTTTGTACATGCCAGCACTTTGCATGCATGGCTCTCACATTATGCACCAAACTACACAAATGGACAACCCACGTGCCTTTCTTAGACACAGAAATTCAAAGTGGTGCTGTCACCAGGACAGTTCTCAAGGGGAGCAGTCACTGGCAATTCCTCAAAGACAATTCCTCAGAGTGTTGAAGGGCAGCACACAAACACCCTGCTGCGACCACAGGTACAAGTCGGCTTACTCGGCAGGTAGCCCAAAATAAGTGATCTTGATTGCAGGAAATTGGTTCTTGCAAGCTGGGGGAACTCCAGCCAGAAAGGACAAGTCTTTCTCCCAGAGTTGGCACACCACAAAGGACCCAACACGGATACACCCCCTTGATTGCTGCTAACAGCTGTTTTTGTTCTTGATGCAATGGCGGCTGGCGTTCATGCAATGGTGTCTGCAAGGGGGGAGACTGATTCCCCACTACAAGAAAACTTCCTCAGTGCGAGCGCATCTGCATGCAGGCTCACCAGCTCTCTCGGGTCACCCAATGTCACGCCAGCAAATGACACAAGGTACTCCTTCGCTTTAACAATTTCCTTGGGCAGGCCACAATGACTGTCCAGCGTTGCTTTGCAACACACCTGCCTCTAACTGCCCCTACTCTATGCGTTGGGCCACGGGCATGTTTACAGAGCACACTGCATCCAATCCAGACCTCCTCTTCAGGGAGCCCTGGTGCTTATTTGAGCTGCTCAAAGCGAGTAGAGCTGGCTTGCCCATCAAATAGCCTACAGCTCTCTGAGGGGAGAGAAACCTCCTCTTGAGACCACTAGTTCTCCGCCAGCAGGGGGCTTCTTCTTCTGAGTGTACTGCTTGGGGAGGCCTGTGCTTATTCCTGCCTCGCTAGTACTCTGTGACCGCCCTGGCACAGCCCTTCCCATCAAATTTACCTTGGCTGCCCATAAATGCCCACAGCAGGGCTACTCCCCTTCACAAGAGTCACAAGCCTCAGCTCGCATAAAGCCGGCGATTCGTTTTACAAACAGCCTTCTACCTGGCTGCAGGACTCTGTCTTGAAGTAAATACCATGCATCCTTCTGATGACATGTCCCTGCTCCTAAAGCCTCTCCGACATTGCATGCGTCTCCAAGAATGGCTGCTAGTAAAAAGGGGTGTGCCTTGCTGAAGCATTGATTGAGTGCACATCCGGCCGTCGAACGGCGGTTGAGCAGTGGTGTCTCAGTGCATGAGGGAGACGCCTTGGGACTCGGACCGCTGCTGCGCGGCAGCTGCCAGCAGCTGCTCGTGGAAGCTGGCCATGTTCATGGGCGGGGGGACTGCGCCGTTGGGCATGGTGCGGCCGTTGAGCATGGCCGGGGGGACCCCGAGCGCGTGAAGCCGCGCGGCAGCTTCCGACGGCAGCCCCAGCTTCAGCATGTCTTCCGGCTTCATCCCGGCCGCCACAGCCGCGCGCTTGATGGCCGCCATGTCGCCCGACAGCCCGTCCTGCGATGCGCCAAAATCGGCAAAGCTCAGCACAGCGCTGACAGAGATGCAAGTATAGTTGTGGAGCTGTACTTTCCAGACACAAACACTGTACATGAAACAGCGATCACCCTGCCAAATCAAGCCCGGCTCAGCAAGAGACTGATGGATGTAAGTGTGGACAGTAGCTGCATGTTCATCAACATGTCCGTGGCTTCCCTTGCTGAGCCAGGAATGATGGTCTATAGAATGGACTCATCTGGGGCTTGTTGCTATTTTACACTCCTACCTACATACCCAGTCCATCATGCCGGCCAATGTATCTGACCAAGGTTGAACAGAGAGAGGGCGAAAAAATTGTCAGGCACCTTGAGGTCAATCTTGCGCGGGCCAAAGCCATTGGTGAGGCCGTTGGCGCCGTTAAGCTGCTGGCTGAGGTTGCCAAAGCCGGCCAGGCCCAGCATATGCGCGCTGGCCGGGAAGGGGAACGAGGCCGCCACCGCCGCTGCCTGCTGGGGGGTCAGCCCCCCGTTGGCACCCCCCAGAAACTGCCCTCCCAGATGCTGCATGCCTGCACATGCCGCAGCAGTGGAAACCTCAGCCCACAACTCTCAATGGCATTTCCTTTTGCCAAAACCAGCACTCACACACTGTTCACCACAAGCAGCTTCTACAGTATGACATGTGCTCTAATGCTTTTATTTTGTACAGTACAACAGCAGCAACCCCAGAACCCCCACATGTAGCAGTTCTGCGCAGCAAACAGCCTGTGGAAGCAGCGATGAATATCTTGGAGCCGCCCCAACAGAATCAGGCAAGCACACGATGAGATATCAGGGGTCCAAAGGGGCGCGCACCCGGAGGCAAGAAGGGGAATGCGCCGCTCTGCTGCAGCAGCAGATGGTTCTGCAGCTGCTGCGCGTACTGCGGTGTGAAGCCGTTCTGCTGCGCCTGCATGGCCTGCCCCTGCCGGCCCAGATTGCCGGCCGCCTGCGGCGCCGACGCCGGCTGAGAGAACCCGTACGAGCCATTCATGGCCTGCATATGCACACAGCATCATGTCAATTTTTAGTCCAACATGCTGACACTTAGCAATGCACCATTGATGGCCTGAGCATGCACACGCCATACAGGTCACCGATGACCCAAATCTCCCAAGGAGCCCTGCATTCTGTTGCATGATGGATTCCTGCAGGCTGCAGTGATGACTCCAGCCAACCTCATAATAGGTGTTGGGTTTCCGCTCACAAGACAGGGGAATAGATGCAAGAAGAGGACAAGCAACATGCCTGTGATCCATTGAGGAGCGGGAGAGGGAGGGGCTGCACGGCAGCCGAGCTGGCAGCAGCGGCCACGGCGGCGGCCCGATGTGCGTCGGCCGCCTGCGAGCGGCTGGCCGGGTCCGGCGGCGTGGCCGCGGCGCCGTTCGCCTGCAGCAGGTCCGGCGAGGCAACCGCTTCGGTGCCCAGGGCGCGCAACGCCTGCCGCTTCTGCTTCTCCAGCCTGCTGTGCGCACCTCAAGACTCAAGACGCATGCTGAAGTATGCCGGGTGCCAAGAACATGCATGCCGGAACTCCCGCCAACATGACATGCATGGCTCTCCAAGTTTGCATGCTTGCTCAGCCCATCTGGTATCTGCTCACTGCAGGCATGCTCTGCCACCGTCCAACATCACAATTGATGTCCTGACGTTGTGAGCCGCTGCAGGCCTAGGAGTTGGTCAAAGATGATCGATCCGGCACGGCAGTGAGAGGCTGGCAGGGGTGCGCACCTATTGGTCTGAATCTGGTAATCGATGAAGTGCGCGATGTACACGTGGGACGCGCATCGCTTCCAGTTGCGCCGCTGGGGAGGCATCAGCACCTCCTGTCCGCTGGTGGAGGGCTCACCCAACTCCTCCCTGCCGTGGCCTGTCGAAACAAGGCCAGCCATGTATTAATGATCCTATCCAAGGCACAGGATGAATCAGATGATCGCCTGAAACGAGTCCAGACGCACGTGGAGTACAAGAGCGGTGAGCTCGCAGCAGCGTAGACACCGAGGTGGACCAACCTGCTCGACGACTGGGCACACCCCTAATCCGAGGTGTCCAATCAGATACTCAATCATAATGCTCGGAGAATATAATGTCTCGCTGCCTGGACTTCAGCACACTGTGCAGGCTCGGCCGGGGACGGACCTGGGAAGGAAGGGGGCCACAGGGTGCCCTGGGCCTGGGCTGCTGCAGCGGCGTGGGCGGCAGCAGCCGCGTTCGTGGATGATGGGGTGTAGTAGGAGCCGTTCATGCCGTTGGGGAAGGTGCCTGCGAAGGCGCCCAGCCCCATCCCCAGCCCGATGTTGGCACCTCCAGAGGCCGGGAGGGCGGGCAGGGGTAGGGAAGGCCCCGCTGCCGCGGTGCTGGTGCTCGCCTTGACCGCTTTGGGCGTTGCGATGAGGCTGCGAGCGGCGCTGGGCTCGCTGGCTGCCCACTGCCTCGCATCTTCCACCTCCCGAGGCTGCTTGCGCCGATCGCCGCTGCCCCTCCCCTGACCCCGGCCGCTGTGGGATCCGGACCTGTTTCGTGGCGTCGGCTCCTCGGCCTTGACCCGCTCGGCGGGCTGCTCTGCCTGATACGTGCCGGCCCCACCTCCGCTCGCAAGGTTGAACAACGCCTCTGCCACCTCCTGCTCGGTTTCCTGCTCCGCTGCGACCGCCTGCGTCGTCCACAGGGGCACATGAGAGGCTCACAGCTGTTCAAGGGCGTGCAGGAGCCCGCTGCAGTGCCCTGGGGCGTAGCATGACAGACGCCAGCTGGGGCACTTTTCACCGCGACCAGATACTGGAGCCCCAGTGAGCGCAGGCAGGTTGCGTCAGGGGCTGCTGGGACGGCACCGGGCTGGTTATGACTTCAGATCAGGGCAGGAGAGGCGCAAGAGCGGCACGCACCTGCCGATGCCGTTGCCTGCGCTGTGTGGGGCCAGGATTCCCGTTTACTGCCTGCACCAGCAGCAGGCAGGCCTGAGTACGGCACCCACGCTGACCCAGGTGTTTTAGGCTGACAGAAGCATGAGTACAGCCAGGGACGTACCAGCTTGGCCCTTTTGGCGACCTCACTCCAGCAATCCCCTCCTCGCTTGCGGACTCCTGCGCACAGGATAAAGGCGACACGTTGGCCAAAGCGCAAAAGTGGTGGTGCTGGGTGGTGAGGATGGCGTAAAGGCCAGGCCTTGCAGCACTGCGGGAGGTGTCTGATGTGCTGGACCAGGGTGAGGGTTGCCCCAGCGCACCGGTTCGAGGCCTGCGAGGTACGCCAGCGATCCCGTCCGCTGGAAACATTGCGCGCAGTTCAGAGATGGACGCCAAACCTGCTGCCACCGCTTGGACGTTGTGAACAGGAGTCTTGAACACTCTCCTGCAGGGATATCGAGGCAGAGAAGAGAACCAAACGCCGATTTGTGCGTGGTGGAAAATATCACCGTCAAGCTCTTTGTAAGCAACGTTACCGTAGTCACTCGTACTAACTCGGGGATCTGGTGACTTTTACTTATGTCATTTACCCCGCGTGTTCAGTCGAGCGTTCCATCTATCTCAAAATCGGAATCGTTTTCCTTGCATTGCTCCTTTTATTGGTCCTTCGAGCGGCAAGTCACCTGCTCGATGCTGCGCCCGTCATCCGGGGCACACTCAGCTACTCACCTAGGTGTACAAATATCGTGAGTACCGTATACAACGGCTGCATCATGCGACGCTGAGGGGCATGGAGGGATTGGGTGATTATGGTGATACTGATTCTGAGGAAGAGCATCCGAGCACTATTGAATCGCCTCCCTCAAAGTCATCTGCAGGTTTGCCAGGATCTCCCTGACACCGAACTTTTTACTCACACTGTCTTCGATGTACTTTATCACAGGATGCAGTTTGTGCAAGGGCCCCAGTGGGATGTCTGCTTGCTTGCCTCACAGTGCTAGTGCCCTGATCCAGTGTCCCCTACTGCACCACCCTACCGGGCTGCACCCACCGTGCCTCAACCCGGCACTCTGAAGCTCCCCAGCGCTGCAGATCTGCTCTCTGGCAAGGGCTTGGACAGGTATCACAGCGCCCCACGTGGGGAAATCTTTGATTGATGATTACCGCTTCTGTAAAATAATTTAGTGTCCAGCATATATGCACACAAGCCCCATGTTGCACACGCTCGGTCTAAGCACTCGGACGTCAATCCGTCAAAACAATTCTGCACTTTAGGAAAGGTAAACATGCAGCCAACAGGCGGCTCCGCAGTGCCGGCACAGGTCACGGAGGCGGCATTGCACCACCTATGAGGGTCTGAGGCAACTGTGTGCCTTTGAAGTGGTGGCTAAGAGCTGAATGCAGCCTTGTGGTCTGGAGGGGCATCTGTCTGCCGCCTCAACGTTGTGCAAATGAGGATGTCTTGCAGTTTGCGCGCAGGGCCGGGCCCCCGTAGGCCGGCGCCGCCGAAGCGCGGCCAGCCGGCCGCGGCACATGGGCGGCACATGCCGCCGCCTGGCGGGGCAAAGCAGGCGCGCACGGGGGCGGCCAGTGCAGCGACTGACGCCAGAAGAGCTGGCAGCCATGGCGGTCTCTTCCTGCCACCCCAGCTAAAGGGCAGGTGAGGGCTTTAAGAATAAGGAGCAGTGGGGCAGATGTGCACTGCGCGTACCTTCTGGGCAGCTTAAGCTAAAAGCTGCCATTTTGGGCAAATGCAACGTTACAGTGGAAGTAGGTACATCAATATCTTCATTACCTGTTCTGCTACGGGAGTTTGCTCTCCAGGAACCAGCTGATCACGTTCGCAAGGTCATGGTAGCAATTTGGGACTGGGCTAGCGGCCAAATTTGCCTCATGAGATCTCTAGAGGCTTGTTACACCTGGCAACGGACAGAGAGTTGAATTGATTCTGCTGTGCAGGATCTTATCTAGTTTCTTATACTCTGGGGTTGCTGGCTGACTGATCTGCTCGGCCTGCTGCAGGCCGAACGTTGTCACAGAAGACCTGGACAAGATGGGCGTCAAGGTGAAGTCTAAAGCGCGTGAAGGATAGGAACTTCCTATGAGGAAGGGAGACAAAGGCGAGCTTGAAAGTGACAGCGTTGTATGATACACAAGAGCGCATGCCATGCAGTGGCTGCATGCTGGATAGCAGCAACTATGTCTCATAGGTACAGAATAATTCAATGACAACTGGATGAACAAGTTCGAACCTCCGTCTCACGTGAGTGCACTCATGGGCGCTGCCAGATGTTATGACTGGCTGACAAGTGCAGTAATGCTACAATACATGCTCGCTGGGACAAAGGCTTTGCAGTCATACAGAGCACATGACACACGAGGTGTAAAGGGGAGTGTACCAGCTGAACAATCAAGAGCCCCAATCCAGCAAATTATTTTCACTCTTGCCACCACTTCTCCCTAGTTCTGCAGTGCGCTTCGCACGCACTCCTGTTTGTTCTCTGAGCAAGACCATTGCGAGCTGCTGATCGCCACAAAAGAATTCCATTGCTCGTGAAGAGCAGCCGAGATACTACACCCCATGCCAGTGAAGCTCATACCGCCCGAGAGAGGCAGGGTGTCTGTATTCATCTAGCAGCTAGACTCTAGGTGTTCTCCTCCCCGACCTTCTTGATCTCATTCACATTCATGGTCTCTCCCGTGCTGCCATACAGGACAATCTTCTGCACCTGCGTTGTCTCTTCCTCTTCCTGGTTGTCCTCGATGAAGATGCTCAAAATGTTGACGCTCTGGAACTTCACCAGCCTGCACCATTCATGCAGAGATCAGGACACCACAATCAGAGCACAGATCTGTCGACAGCGAACGCGCTCGTCAGCTGTTTGGCCTCTGTTGATGGCTAGACACAGATCGTATATACTGCCAGAAAAGTCAAAAGCTCTAAAAAAATTTCCTGTAGAGAGCCAGACATATCTAGGAAAGTCTCTGGGACATAATCGGAGGTGACATACATAGGAACATGGGAGTGCCATCGAGATTTGCACCGCCTCAATTCTGCCAATGGCACAACCAAAAGGCGTGAAGACTCTCACTTGAGTGGCAAAAGCTTGCCCTCCAAGTCTTCTTCAGAGAGCTGAAATTCCTGCACCGCTGGGAAGTCTGCAGCCTCTGAGAATCCCAAGGAAGGACGGTTGATGAAGAGCCGTACTTTCCGCGGCGCGTGCCCCTTGCTCCCCACGCTCTTGATGGCCCAAGAGTGCAGCTTCACCGCTGTGAGTTGCAAGCTCATCACCATCAGGAGATTCAGGGGGTGCAGCATATGTTCGGCTGCTCCTCAGCCAATGGTGCCCAAGCATCTTGACGTACACATAAACGTGGAAGCACTGATGTATGGAGATACTGGCAATTGCCAGATGCTCTTTGTGTTTATGGTTGTCTACTGAGCCTCACCTTGATTGAACGGTATATGCAAGAGCAGCTGCTCATCTGTGTCTGACTCCAGGTATAGTCCGTCGTCTTCCCTGTATCCCTACATCATGCATCGAAAGATTCAAAGCAGTGCTCCGAAAAGAGAGGCCTGACTTCCAAGCCATCACAGCAGATCTATTCAGGAAATCAAATAAATGGCACGTTTTAACGTACTCACCTGCTTCAAGGCATTACCAATGTTCCGTGACGGATTCTGGTTGAGGCATTCCACACAGGACCACTCTATGATATCCAGCAGGTCGGTCATGGTGTGCACGAGGCGTTCAAGCTGTTCAGTGATATGCTGAAGAATGAGCACACAATTCAATAGCTGTAGGAACACCAAATGTGCGCTGTTTGTCTTGAACAAAGTCCCCTCCTTTGACTCCTGCGTTGTTCCCCATGACAACCGGATCCGCTGGCGTCATCAAAGTGTGCTTATAAGTAATTACTCACTGTTAGTAACTGATCTGCCGGTCTGCAGCACGCAGAAGGATCAGGTGGACAAATAGACAATTGGAAGTGTCACAGGTAGATATAAAAGATTTCATTTGGAGTGCTGCATTTCCTCCCTTTCATGCAATAGCAGGGGTCTCTTTGTGGAGGCTTTTCACTCCCCAGACTTTTGAGCAAACATTGCGATCTCGAGGCATGTTACCTTGCTTGCAGAGGTGGCAAAATTTGCTGAGCGATTGAGTGCTTATTGCCGTCCAATCGGTAGTTGCAACATCACGACCTCCTATCTCAATGTCGCGTGCTTGTGGTCGTCTTCTGTCTCTTGCACGTTTGATTGGTGTCAAATGCGAATCAAAATTGAGCACATCAAGTGCCGCACCAGCTGCTGTTTTTGAGGTACAGGTCCCCTACTCACTCAGCTGCTTGTTGCAGCTACTATCTGGTGCTAAAATACCCACGGTTGGACATAAATTGATTTGCAAAGTCATGTTCGATTGTTGGACTAACCTCTTTTCATTGATGGTGCAGTCACGGGGTCAACCTCTGAGGTGCAGCACCTTCTTGCACCACACGCGGCTGTTCAGTGGCTCGGATGCATCGACATCGTCGTCTTCAGAGCAGGAGTTTATTTCCTTGAACAACCTGTCAGACAACCGTGGAGCCACTCACTACGTTAGCATCTGACAGGCCTCCCAGCCTGCCTTCCTCTATCTTCGCGCTGTACTGGTTTGCATGCACGTGGTCAGGCTCATTTGGGAACATGTCAGGAGCTTCATTGAGCGAGGGACATTGCTCTGCGCAGAAAAAACGACTGGGGAGGGGCATCGGCTCTGGCCTGGGCAAAACTTCAGGGCGGGGGCACAAGGGGCAGGGGGCACGGACAGGTGGCACCTCTTGTCTCATGTGATTCGTTGAAGTGCTCCCAGAGCTAGAGGAGATCTGGAGGCCCACAGTCACTTAGTCATTGCTAAACAATTATGAAGGGGCTTGGATGAGTCAAATGCTTGAAGATACTTCCTGACATGACATGCAGGGCGAAGTCCAAAGCTGGGCTTTGAGGGCGGTCAAACTCCCCTGCGGCAGAGAGCGCCCAAGAGAGGTTTCCACAACCCGTAAGCTCCGCGCAGGCCTCAATTTGCCATGTACGATATACAGGGCACAGTGGCACAAAGTAGTTGCTGATAAGTGCTGCGAAGATATTTGCCCAGCTGTGGCTGACATGAGAGAAGCAGCATGGTCCGCACTTGAGAATTGTCAAAGTGCAGCAGTGCCATGCTGAGTGCGTTGGCATCTGGAACAAAGAGGTCTCCTGAACTGGACTTGAATGCTCTCGATATAAGACACCTCTCTTGACTCGTTGTTGACTACTTTGGGTTCATGACTACTCATTACTATTTATGTGGGGCGCTGCAGGCACGCCGTGGTATGGGAGCCGCTGAATCTGGGCACCCTCCAGGAAGCTGTGGAGAAGGGGCGGCTGCAGCCGGGCGCAGTCATCACCATGAAGACCCTCCACGACGCCGGGCTGCTATCCAAAAAGATCCACCACGGTGTCAAGCTGCTGGGCTCGGTGAGCTCCTCTTGTCTGCCACCTGCTCGTGCTTTATTCCTTCTCGCGTGTAGAGCTTTTCTTGCACTGCCGGCATGAGCCGCTGGAGCAGTGAACAAGGGTCGACCCAAAGATTGTGCTGGCACACAGTGCGTACCACTGCTGCGCAATGCACGCTCCAGTCAGAGTCTTGTGCCTATCCTGTGACACTCTTTTTTTTCTCCCATGAGTACACAAATGCCAAAACACATGCCTCTGGGGTCCCTGTGTGGCAGAGGCACAATAATTCCCTCCACTTGCAGCTCTCTTCAGCTTGACGCTCATCCGCTGCGCTCGCTGCTGATATTCACTTGTAATGAAAGGCAAGTTGACAATTGCAGCGCAGCCCTGCTTTAATGCCGACTTGTTCCTGGTGAAATTCTTCCCCAATGTCTGGCTCTGTAGCAGCACTGTCTATCCTAGGGCCTGCTGCAAGGTCCCAGATACTTTTGTACTCGAGAGTTCACTCAGATATCATAGTCCTGGCTTTAATCTTTGCGTTGTAAGAACAATCTCAGTAAAGTCAGCCTAATGCGTGCAGGGGGCGGAGACCTTCAACAAGCCGCTGCATCTGCAGGTGAGCCAGGCATCGGCCAGCGCGGTTGCGGCAGTAGAGCGCGCCGGAGGCAGCGTGACAACCGTCTACTACAACAAGCTAGGCATGCGCGCGCTGCTCAAGCCGGAGTGGTTTGCTCGCAAGGAGCGGCTGCTGCCGCGGCCGGCCCGGCCGCCCGCCGCCGTCGCCCCGAAGTGCGCCGCCCTCCCTCCTCTTGCACTGTTTTTTTTTTCTTTTCAAATCTGGAGCCAGTTTTGGCATGGCGGCCGGCCGCAGTGGCCCCCAAGCGCGCCGCGTTCTCTCTCGTCTGTTTGCTCTGTCTTCATTTATGCTCTTCTCGTGGTGGTTGGAATTGCGTTGATTATCAACCCAGGTGCTAGTCTTGCGTCGAGGTGTGGGGCCCAGCTCCTGGTTTCCTATAGAGTAATTGAACAGTGTCCAAATATGAAAGATAATTTAACAGTGCGTGCATTTCCCAGAATTCGCACTTTTGGTCAAGTCTTGTGGCAGGTGGACACTGCCAAATTGATGCTTCAAGTTTTGATAGTGTCGAAGTTGTGCTAGGCTCGTTGTTCAGACGATGCTGCTGAGCGGTAGCTGAAATCCTACTGCTTTCCAGGTTTGACATGCAAGGGAGCTTGCCGCCTGTCACTATTCTGGATCCTGCCACATCGACGTCAGCAATTTGAACTTATCAGTTAGTGGCTGCTCGTCTGGATGTTCATTTGAAAGAAAGGCGCAGTACGAACTGGCAGCAAGAATTTGCAGTCAGCAGGCTGCAATGGTGCATAACTATAGTGATTGCTGAACCAAAGCACTAGCATGTTATTGACTGGCATGCAAGCAAGATTCTGCCTGAAAGGTCTCCATATAACACTGCTTAGAACAGTGCTGATATCGAATTTGAGGCAATGACATCTGATTCATCATGAGTTTACTTGCAGCTTTATCTCTTTCCCCATGCGGGAGTGGTTTTATAACATGTAGAGGGGTGATGCATACTTTATCAACTTATTCTTGCATATCTGCACACGCCGTCAATGGCAAATTATAGATAGAATTGTCAAAAATTGTGTCTGGCTCCATCCAACAAAGACGATTAAAAAACCCACACTCTAAGAATGGCATTACCATTTCCCAGCGTTTGAACCGAATCACCAATTTGAAGCCTGAAGCAGTTGCAACTACAGTTGATCATTTAATCATGATCACGAGTCGCCCTGAAGAAGCAAAATGGGAAAGTGCCAAACTCCATACATTTGAAGAACATTCAAGCCAAGGTGGTGGCACGCTGAGCCATTTTGGCATCAAACTCGTACACTCCGAGGCCCTTGCCCACACGTCGCAGCTGTGCCACATATTCTGACACCTCCTTCACTCCCTGGGCCTGCAGAATTCAAACATAACATGTCAGCCTGACTCTGCATGATGACCTCATGCCAACCGTGAAAAAAGATTATGCCAAAAGATTATGCCTAAACCAAGCACACGGATGCATGCTTTGAGATTTAAGTGAATCATCCGGATAGGATTCAGACAAGGCTGGCAGTGCAAAATCAAGCAGTGGCCTTCACAAGACAGCGCCCTTTGCTGGAAATGTTCAAAGCCTTCCCAACAACAACAGCAGACACTCAAATTCTGCACTTCTCTGCGTCTGAGGATGTCAGCAGTCCGCAAGATGATCTGCCCTGCATGTGAGACCACAGCATAGCAGAAAGCCCACCTGCTCTGAGAGCATCTCCTCCACAAAATCAGTCATATTGGCGTCCTTGCGCTTCTCAGCAGTCTCGTGCAGCTCGAAGAGCATCTTGAAGTTGAGCTTCTCAAGCGCCAAAGCCAGCTCCATTGCGTATAAAGCATCCCCCTTCTGCTCATGGTTGTAGTCTGAGGGGGGCGCTGCCAGTGCTGCCAGCTTCACCCGGCCTCCGCGCGTGGCCTGCCCACATGCGAACGTCTCATCAGTACTAATGTTTTGTGGCACTGTAATTTTTATTACTATTCCTTTCACAACATGCATTTTTCTGCCAAGAGGCAAAGTACGTTATTTTTAGTACTGTTGATACACGCATTTCCTGCCAAGAGGCAAGGGGTGTCTGCAGACAAGCTGCCTAGTAATGGCTGCCAAATTCCTACTCCTTGTTGGACTCGTCAGATCCAAGCAAGACCCAATCAACCGTGGGCACGGTGCTCAGTACTTGCACCGCCCCCCGCCACTCTGGGCCGGACTATAATGGGACTAAGAATTTCTGCTATTCTGGACTTGCAGAAGCAACTACAGAGACAGATGGCTGGTGCCACCCACTGGCAATGTACATCCCACTCTTCAAGCAGCCAAGGAGGGGCAAAGTGCCCCCAGTAGGTCATCAGCAGGCAATGAAGAGCATTTGCCTACTCAGTGCCAAGCAGTAGAATTTCCTAAATTCTTGCAAGCTTAGAGTGAGCTTCTGGCCCACCGGAACAAGATTACTGACTATTACTTATTAAAGCCCGCAACATGTGAACATGAGAAAATTTATGCACCTGGAAGTCCATAAGCTGCTGGGCATGGTTTCGCTCCTCCAGGCTGGAAGCACGAAAGAAAGCTGCAAAGCCGGGCAGGCCGACGTTGTCCCTGTTGAAGTAGTTGGACATGGCGTGGTACTGGTATGACATCGAGTACTCGTGGCTGCACATGGAAAGAGACACACTGTCAGGCGATGATCACAACATTTGAGCAAACTCTGCACTAGGCACTAAATCGTGGGAGGAACATGCATCTGACATTTCAATGAAATTTGGGCACTGTATCTATGCATCGCTCTTGAAATAACACACCAATGTTTCAGGCTTCCTCTGTGATCCTGCAAAGCCTCAAGCTTGTTTGACGAGACTGCGACCTGAAGGTTAGAAGACTCACTTAATCTGCTCGTTGACGCCGATCTCGCTGTCCTGATGGTAATTCAAGCGTGCAAATGAGTCATCCACGTCGGGGCTGTTCATCTCTGCTGCCTGCACCTGCTCCAGCTGCTGCTCACCCTGTACACAGTACACTGCTCTCTGTGAGACAGCCGAGTTCTCAGGCCTGCACTGGGGACGATGGCAGAACTTTCGAGCACTCAAACTCACCGCTGGCATGGGCTTGAAGATGATATCGTCATCCTTGTATTCCGTGCGGTCCACTGGGTGAGTGTTCTGTCCCTGTGCGCGACTGATAGAGAAGTTCCGGCTGCTGGTGTGTAGAGGAAAAATTGACGGCCTGCACCACGAATTTTCACATGTAAGACTCATTGCAAATTATGAATGTAAGCAGGACAATGTAAGGAAAAGGAAGACGTGGTCGCTTTAAGAAGTGCCCACGATGAATATGCGCGTGTTCTAGCCAACAGTGTATCCCGCAGATTACAAAATGTGGTCTCAAGGTATCCAGATCTACATCAGTATGTTATCGACCTGGAAGTGGAGGCCACGAGAGGCCTTCCGCTCCTACACGACGTCGAGAGCTGAGCAAATGCGGCTCTGCAAACTGAGCGTCCAACGAGCTGCATGCTGTGCACTGATGTATATGGCAAGCAAGTGTGCTTTTCAATTAAACACAGTTGGTTCTCAAATTAGCAGAAAGGGAATGATAAAGAATCGGCTCTGGGCTGAGGACAACATTCCAAGAGAAGGAGCTGCCGCTCAACAGGAAGCTGGTGAGAAGGCCGTTGCCCGATTTGGCAACCACCATCGTGGGGCATGTGGAATGGACTCCTTTCATCATTGGACATTGAAACTGTTGCACATTCTGTCATAGATTGGTTCACCATTTGGATGCTGTTAGTACATCTAATCAGCCCCGGCTGGATGATGTGTAATCTTCCTTCCTTCCTTCCTTCCTCAATCACAAAGGCTGCGTTTTGAGCAAAAGGAAGTTGCCAAGCTGGCTTCGCCATCCTTCCAAATCCGCGCCATTGTGCCATCTCAATTGAATCTCTCCTTGATCAATCTACTCTCTGCCTCAAGCATGCCTTTCTTTTGGTGGGGTCAGCTGCCTTGTACAAGGCAATGGTCAGATGTTGCCGTTCAAGGTTGTGTCACCGCTGGCACAAGGGTATTCGTGTGAAAAACACTTACAGAGTGGCACTTTCCTTGGCGGATCACAAGGACTATCCCTAATCTAGATGGGGGTCTCCCATATATATATGTACAGTACTATACATGCGGAGGGTCTTAATGTGCTCACTGCCATTGGACACAAGCACAATATTGCCTCAAAGCAAATTCAACATGACATGGAGGCCATCAGAGCAGCCCTCTAGCAACTCTACAAGCTGCTGTCTTCTTACCGAAATATTTTTTTGACTGAAACTCTGGGACGCTGCCAGGGCAGCTATCCGTGCGGCAAGCCCGCCCTCAGAGCAATGTAATCCCCCTTAGCAAGGAGCGCACGGCAATACGTACCGCGAGCTTGTTTTACCGCTGATGCTAACATGAGACAGAGCATGATCTGCGAAGTTTCTCAACTAGTAAAGCAGATCTCTAGAGATGCGACTACAATCAACAAGGGACTTTCACAGCATGCTGTGTAGAGCGACGCACATTTGGGGCATGACATTACCTGGCACTCCAACTAGGGACAGTGGGCGAGGAAGCGTATGGTGCTGGGGCGCATAGGCTCTGGCAGGCTTGGTGCAGAGTAAGGGTCTGTATTGCTTTGCTGAAGCGCCAGCAGGGCAAGGCTGGCAGGTCCAACTCAGGAACATCAGCACCCAGCTGGCATTTCGTGCCCTTGGCAGGGCATGGCACTCCCTGCAGCATGGCGATGACACGATCATCTAAATAGTACTTCCCATTGCACACTGGCCATGGCATAGTGTGAAGTCACGAGGGAGTGATAGCGTGCAGCTGGCCAGCTGGCCAGGGGATGCAGAAAGCGGGGGATGTTGTGCACCTCTTCTGCCAAGTGTTGCTGCTTTGCAAAGGTGTGTGTGCCAGGCACTCGTACAGGGCCTTCCTCAGATCTCCCACAAGCTGCACACACAAGGAGGTATCTCAGCACAAAAGACATGCCAATCTTCTGACATCACATGCATGGGCGGATATAATAACACCAGTACAGCATAACACCTATTGAAGTCCCTGAGATGGCTCGAGCTAGATTTGGGCAAGCAGCATGCATGCGCATGGAATGATGAACAAAGTAGAGCCTATCTTTACTGACGTCTTCTGAGGTATTCGAAAGGCCTGGAGCTGTTCAAGCAGTGAGAATTGGGGCAGAGGCCCACATGGTCCACATGACAATGACTCACCACTCAGCTCACCACCACCAGTGACATCCTCCTCCGCTGTTGCGTGTTTCTAGAGTCGTTTGGGGACAGGCTACTCGAAGAAAAGCAGCGAGTAGGATTATGCAAGCTCCACTTTTCTAATGAGTTACTTGCTTCCCCATCTCCACACAGGCTTTGCAGTTGATCAAGCTATCCTCTCGGTAAGTTAAACCATCCTTTGCGTGGAAGAAATCTCAGATGTCTCGTGATTTTCATAGCATCTTAACTTGCACCTGAACTGGAATCGATTGGACTGCGGTGTTGCCTGACCTATTGTCATGCTCCTGCACAGGAAGAGTCTCGGGTTGTCATAATCAGATTTGGACACGATTGGGACCAAGTATGCATGCAAATGGATGAGGTACGTTATCCTGAAGATGCGGCACGGTTTCCATGCACCCAAAGATTGGTGTTTTGGTTCGATCGCCAACAGGGTTGGTCACATGATGAAGACTAAGGACAAATTTGTGCACGCAGATCCTGGCGTCATGCGCCGATCAGTTGAAAAATTTTGCTGGTAAGCCTCGTGGGGGATATTTCTCACTAAAACCTGAGGTTGGGTTATGACGTTCTGCTCCTCCTTGTATCAGATGTGTCTATGGATGTGAGAGCATATGTCCTCCCACACTAACGGAGAGTTTTGAATGATGTGCAGTCATTTACTTGGTGGACATCTCTGAGTGCCCAGACTTCAACACGATGTATGAGCTGTACGACCCATGCACATGCATGTTCTTCTTCAGAAACAAGGTATGTAAGTCACAATGTTTTGCTGTCACTCCGCTGGCGGTCTTACTGTGCCTGCACATTCCCTCCAGAAGTCTGTTGCAGTGCTCATATGCACCCTTTTCTTTGCAATCCACTTGACCAATTTGCTGAACATTACCTGGATGCCTGCAGCACATCATGATCGATCTCGGGACAGGAAATAACAACAAGGTACGGCCTCATCTAAATGCAGCAATCTTCCTGAGCACCCTTTGCGACTGCAGCAGCAATTGCACTGGAGCAGCGTTTCAGGCATGACCTGATGGCAAGGAATGCCTCAAGACATGTGCTGTAAGGCATTTGCTGTGGGTGCAGATCAACTGGGCCATGACTGACAAGCAGGAGTTCATAGACATTGTGGAGGTCATTTACAGGGGAGCGCGGAAAGGGAGGGGTCTTGTTGTGTCCCCAAAAGGTATAATTCACACACAAGTACCCCAAAATTGTCTTGAGGTCATGGCGCCTCCTTCAAGTTTTCAGATCCCAGCATACAGCAGATTTCTGAAGCCAAGTCCTGCAGCGCTCAGGAACTATGTGCAGCATGCAAGAGAGTGGCGTCTGCCCAATAATTTCTCAGGGTACCTGACTATGACAGCTGGTGCTGAACTTTGTTCTTCATGCCCTGTGCAGATTACTCGACCAAGTACCGGTATTGAGGAGCGTTTCGGCCCATCAGCTTTGGTTTTTGCAGGCACTGCAGGATTCTTTCTCAGCTTGGCACTAAAATTGAGCGCCTCAGGCCTTTGCATGTTGGGCTTCTAGGAGAGCATGTATGTATGCAATGTCCAGCATTGCTATGCCTGCCCTTAGCAGATGGGTGGGCCACGCCTATGGTTTGCAAGTCTTTAGTAAACATTTCAGATAACACTGCAACACCTGAACAAACCAGCAAACTGCCTGTGTCACAGAGAGCATGCCAGATCAATCAGGCACTGCTCAGTCCTACTAACAGAACTTCCTGAACCCAGTACACACATTATGACTCTAGTCTTTTTGCCTTTTCAGTGACCCAATCCAGTGCTTCATACAACACAACATTGCGCAGCTTCTACTCAACTGCAGCAGCGGAAAGCCACCTTCCAACTGTCTTGAAATGGAGCGTCTGATCTTTACTGTAAGGTCCCTACTGCCGTGATGGTCCTGAGCGCACACACTCTGCTCGGCAAATCCGGTACCTGCAAATATATGATCTGCGTCTGCAAAGGGATTCTCTGCATCTGCTGACACTCTTGCCACATCCAGTGCGCTGCAAATATCTGTCACATGCCAGAATATCTTGATGAACTATGTGTGTTCGAGTATCTTGAACAAGCCGCTGAACCCCACACAGTGTCTTGGTCTTGCAGTTTCTGCAAACAGGGGCCCTGTGAGAGCACACTCAGTCTTCTGCATGCAGGCTATTCGAATATCAAAATGGCAGTCCTCTCACAGCTCACAGCAGTGCTGGATGGAGAGTTGGGGCTAAGAGTTCTTCTGAACGACACAGAACTAAAAGAAATGAAAACTACAAAACGAGACACCCTCTTCTGGGGATCCCTCATTATTTGCTGGTCCACAATGCCGCTTCTTGATCATTGTTGTACAAAATTTCTCGCACGCTCTCTCTGCTGCCAGCGTTTCATGCATCTTGTCTCTTGCTTCTCCCACGCCTACTGATCTGAACATGCCTCCCAAGCCACACAAGTTTCGGGAGGCAGCCTCTGCATGCAGCTGTAAAGCTGCAGCTCATACCACCACCTGCTAGCTGCCTTGCTTGAAGAAGCCCAGATCTGACAGCAGACCCTCGCAACTGCCTCAGCGCTGGTCCATGCCAACATCCACCCTCATTTCTGAACTTGATTTGGAAGATTCAAACCCGCTCTGACTACTGGCGGCAAGGATTGAACACCATGCACGGCCGGGACAGCGGGCCGCATTCGAATTTATTACTCAGACCCGCTCGAGTGACTGGCGGCAAGGGATGGGTACCATGGGCAGCTGGTGCTGGGTTCTTTCCATCCTGATGTCCAGCAGCCCGGCATCTGACATCTGACGGCTGCCCAGTCTCGTCACCTTGGCCTCCCTAAGAGGACTTTCCCTGCCCGCCTGCCTGCACGCAATTGAATATTTCCCTGTCAGTTCCCTGCAGGTTCACGCAAAGGCAGGACTCCCTAGACACCTGATTGCATTTCAACCAGGCTGCTGTCCACGCTCTCTTGCTTGAGGCGCTCTGTTGCTGCTTAGACAGGCCCCAGCATAGGATAGATTGCAACGACCAATGAGCTTGGCAGAATGTTGTGGGGTGCATTCAGCCCGGCACTGGTCACGCCCGCCCCAAGGCAGTGCGCCGCAGGTCACCCGGGAGTGTAAACACCCACTTCACAAGTGCACAATGAAAAGGACGGAGGCGTGCCTGCTGTCCATGCGCTCGGCGAGCTTGAAGGGGAAGCTGCCGGAGAGCTGCCGGCTGGGCTGGCGCATGGGAACCACGCTGGCCGCGCGCGGCCCGTCGAATCGCAGCGACACGCCCGACTGCGCGCGGCTCTCCGGCCGCAACCCCTGCCGCATCGGCATCGCCGTCACCTGCGCGCAGACACATGACACTTTCAAAGTGTGCTCTCACATTTCTATTGCACCGAGCGCCACATGCCCGTTTTGTTCTCAAGGAAAGCTGTGACAACAGAGCAGGGATGCTAATCACTTCACACAATCAAATTTGCTGGTCGCAATGGCCGGCAGTTACGCACCAACACATTAATCGATTGCTCGTTTCTATTGTCAGGCTGTATGATGAGACACTGAAAAGCTGCCTCAAAACAATATTTGCAGTTTTCTGGGACAAAACGTTCTCTGAAACTAACATACCTGCAGCGTGACGCCCTCCATGGGACCGTCCTTGTACAGCGCGTTCGGCGCCGGTTGCTGGTCCACGGCCGACGAGATGTACAGCCGCGGACTGCGCTCCTTGCTGTGGGGGTGTTGCACTCCGAACAGCATCAGCAGCGCCAAGTCGGCCAGCGTCAACAAGAGGAACCCCAAAAATACCACGTTAGCGCGCCGCTGCACCGTGTCCGTCCCGGCCGACAGCAGCCGCCGCCGGCCGCTGCCGGCGCCGGCCGGCTGGGACCCCCCGGGGCCTCCCGGCTGCTGCTGCTGCTGCCGCGGATCCGCCCCCGACGGCTCCCACCGGCTCCCCTGGGTGCAAAAGTGGGGACAACTCAGCTCCACAGATTTGCCATTTTTTATTCGGGCCAGACCGGGCCTAAGGGAAGGGGTCCGCCTGCAGTGCCTGAAGCACCACTGCCTTTTGCAAGGCGAGTGGTCCCATCGAACCGTATGGCCGACTTTTGTCCAGGCGCGACATGTTGGTTCCGCAGTCAGGCAGACTGTACCCTCTGCCCTCTTGCACTGGTTTCCAACCAGCTTGAGTCTGCCTTAGCATGCTATCGTTACTGTGTAGACAATCGTGATCATGCAACGCACCATGCCGCCGTCCCCGGGCCCCCCACCACCCCCCCCGCCGATCCGTGCGCCCCCCGCGGTGGCCGCCGGCGGGTTACCCCCGCCGGGGGCCGCTGAGCTGGCGTCAGCTGGCGCCGAGCCGGCCGCGCCAAGCCCGCTGCTCGGGACCGCTACATTGCTGCTCGGTACCGGAACGCTGCTGCTACTCATGCTGGCGTTCTGCAGGGCGCTCGCAGCCTTGAGAGCCATGCTGCTGTCCAGGCCGCTAATGATGCCTGTGAGGCCCTGCAGCAGCTCTGGCGGCAGTTGGGGGATCTGCTGTGGTTGCTGCTGCTGCTGCTGTTGCTGCTGCTGCTGGCCATTGCCCCTGCTGTTTGCAATGGCCTGGCTCGCTATTGCTGCAGCGAGGTTCTGCGTCTGCTGTATCAGCGGGTTTGCATCTAACAGCGGCGCCCCTGCCCCCACCACCTGCACAGAAAGTGCCTCCCAGTCAAAGCTTACATCACAGAGTCTTCTGCCCGCCGGATACTTGTTTATGCCTCTTCCTTTGCTTTTGTTGTTGACTTCCGCTGCAAGATACTTTCTCGCTGTATACTACGCACAATGCCTTGCACGTCTTCATTCTCTTTGGCTCAGTTCTCTTTGGCAGGCATGCATACTTAAGTCCCAAAAGTGTGTGTGATAACGGCAGTGAGAATGCCAGAGAAAAAGGTTGTCAGAAGGCGGCTCACCTGTCGCTGGTAATTGGCCACGTTGGTTTGAGCCATCAGCATGGCTGTGAGCACGCACATGAGTCCCATGATGGCGTTGCGCGCTCCAAACCACTCCTTGTACTGAACAAGACCGGCCGCAAAGAGCGCCCCCAGCTGAAACCAGATGATCCACCATTGCAGCTGCAACCAAACACCGACGGTGAGACGTTGTCCCGGTTCCAAGGAAATCACAGGGCCAATTTGGTGTCTAAGCCACTTGTATTGGAAGGCGCTTATGTGTCCCAAAGTTTCACTAGCATTTCCAAGGTGCGAGAGCCCGAGCTGCGCTGGGAGGCCTGCAATCGCGTGGAGTGTCCCTCTCTTGGAGTATAAGATAGCGAGTGAACACCCGTGTGAGCAACGTTGCATCGAACAATATTGGGAAAGCAAAGCCTTCGAGCTCTGACAGGACCTGACAAACTTCGGGAAGAGCCCATGGTGCCTCATCTCAGCGTCGCAAGCTAGCGATCCTCGATATAAATAGATACCATCACATCTATATCATACGCGGCACCATCGGTCCGGCGCGAAAACGAAACACGAATAGTCCGACGCATGCCGGCAAACGTCTCCGTGCAGGGAGACAGCGTATTTTGATCCCATATCATTATAATCTTTTAGCTTAGCAGTGCGCAGTCGTTACCTGCTGAGCATTGTTGGGATCCTGGTAGATCCTTGATAATGCAGCGAGGCCCGAGAGCCCAATCACCCAGAAGACGAGCGCACAGGCGAGTGCGATCCAGGTCAAGAAATTTACACGGCGACCCCAATTGGCCATCGTCCCCCGTCTTCGGGTTCTCAATCAGATCCTATGCTCACTGTGTCACTATCGACAAATTTTTTTGTTCCTCAAGCTGGGGGGAAGAGCACCAAACCAAAGCCCACCTCATGCCACTGGTTAATCTGGCGGAACAGGCGAAAGCTTTAGGGGTGGATTTATCCTGGCAAAAACCGCTGCTATTCTAAAATGATCCGTGGTCTGATTTCAGAGAGTTTTGCGAGCCCTTAATCCATCAAGTTGGGTTCCCTGTTATCTCATGAGATATCAGGAGAAGCCTGCGATGAGTTCTCTCGTGTGGTCGTTTCTCATGGACGTGTAGATCGAGTGGGGCAGATCACGTGCTGCACTTATGAATTCTGTGGCCATTGGGCTGTCGATATTAGCAGCGTATGCGGCATTTAGAGTGTCATTTGTCCACTTCCTGGGGCCAGATCCTGCATCGGTGTTCTCCAGCTTGCCTGACTTCCAGCATGTTGACATCGGATTGAAGGATACACAGGAAGCTCTGCAGCGGTTCTCGAAAGCATTGAGCTTCCAAACAGTCAGCAATTTAACTCAAGATAATCACGTCGAGAGTTCAGACTCCTTTGCAGGCCTTCATTCTCATATTGAGCATTCATTCCCTCTGGTACATGCGAAGCTTCAAGTGGAGAAGGCAAGTGCCCATTCTGCACGCAATGGATCTGCAGATGCTACTTAAAAATATGGAGCTACAACTGGTGAAGATTGGATCGTGAAGTTCAGTATGTGAAGTAGCTGAGTCCAAGGCAGAACACGTCCTGGCAGTGACAGCTGACCTTTGCAGGTCAACGATTGGAGCTTGCTGTACCAATGGACAGGGAGCAACTCCACCTTGAAGCCACTTCTCTGCATCAGCCACTTAGATGTGGTGCCTGTGACATCACCAGCTGCATGGACAGAGCGACCCTTTAGTGGTGCCATCAAGGATGGGTAAAATCCCCCAGCGCCAATCAATGCACCTGTATGTGACAGTATCGGTCAGGACGAGGGGATGTTCATGTTACCTGAGATGTTGCATACTATAAGACGCATTTTAGACATAGGACCCCTTGGTCAAGAGCATGCTGGGGTGGACATCTCACGCTGGTTGCCAGTGATTTTGGCTGAGCCAATTGACAAAGCCGGTTAACCTGCGGGCATGGGAGTGCTCATCTACCTTGCATGTTTTCAGGTATGTGTGGGGCCGGGGCGCGCAAGATGTGAAGATCACAGCATTCGCACTTCTGGAGGCCGTGACAGCATTGATTGAACAGGGGTGCGCATGCAACTCCACCCCAGCACCTCTTCACATGCAACTCTGTTCAGTGGCTTTTCATGAAGATGTGTATAGTCCTGCCACATATAAACCAACCTAGTGGCAGCTTGGTGCACTCTGCAGCATGCATTATTCAGTTTTTCTGAACCTGCACGTTGAGATTCTCTGGAAAGCAGTACGAGAGGAAGTCTGAGAGGAAGTCTGCGAAAGACTGGAAAGAGAGTAGTAGAAGAGCTATCTTAGCTATGTTCCACTGCAAATGCGAGTAATGCTGCGACTGTTGCTTCATTGCAACATGAAATATTTTGAACCTTTTTAATCAGTTCATGCAGATTCAATATCAAACTCAATTTCAAACTCACAGGTATGTGCCAAGGAGGACGCTGTACCTGGCTTTCGGTCACGATGAAGAGGTGGGCGGTGGTAAGGGAGCGAAGGCGATTGCTGCCCTGCTGCAGGACCGGGGGGTGGAACTAGACTTTGTCTTGGATGAGGGGGGACCTCTGCTGGTCGATGGGCTGCGGCCCTTTGTGAGTCACACAGCTGTGGCACTTGTGGGGACTGCAGAGAAGGTGCGCTGATATTTTCTGCAGAGTATGAAAAGGGTTTGCAATGTGCACATGCTGAAGTGCAGAAGACTGTAAATGCACCACAAGATGTGCCTCAAGATTGTTCTGCTGGCCGGCATGAACCGAGCACACTGGGGGAAAGAGGCTAACGCCTGGGCTGCAAATTGCAGTGAAACAGGCAGGATGGAGCGAATTGACTGCACTTTAGATTTCTTGTAATTTTATAAACAATCCCCAGGATCAATGGCGTGACAGGGCTACGTGAGCGTGGATGTGAATATGGAAGGCAAGGGGGGGCACTCCAGTCTGCCTCCCGTTGACGGCTCCACGGTGCGCAGCCCGTCCATTTTGGAATTTCTTCTAGTGTCATTTTCTCCAATGCAGTCATCGTGCCAGCGTCTGTCCTGCCACATGTGGCTGCGTGGGTGACCAGCTCATCAAGCATCCAGGCGAGACAAATCAGAGAAGTGCTATGTCAACGCTCTCTGATACCGGCACACCTGACCCTCCGAGGTCTTATATTTAGGGCTTGTTCAGTGCATATATATTTATATATAGGCCTAGTGGGAAAGATGGTGCAACCCTATTACCCTAGTGAATGTTCAGTGCGACCCATGGTTGAAGTCATCTGCATTTTACTGTGCGATTTGGGCAGATTATTACTGAAATCTGTTTTGTGATGCATGCACAGGCAGTCTCACGACTGGCCAAGCTGATAACAGCAATAGATGGGAGCCTGCCTCCGGCCAAGATCGTCTCACCCACTCTGGAGTTTCTCCAAGGGGTGGGGCACGCCAGCAACAACCCAGTCATCCAGTGGGTGCTGTCACGCTGCCACAGATGGTGAGTAAGCCGCACTTGGACAATATTTATAGACCTGTTATATGTATAGACCTGAGCCACCTGAGGCTCATTGGTCTTGTGGGCAGTAAGAGACTGCCCATCATGCTGAGCTGGCGCATCTTACTGAGCTGAGCTTAAGCTGCACAGCATCCCTGCACCTGTGATGTGGTGCGGTAGAATAAACATGGGTCACCATGTTGCAAAGTCGTATGAATGTGTGTGTGCTCTGCACAAGATTTCTGAAGCTTCTGCTCTGTGTCTGGCAGAGCTGGGTTGACGTAAATCTGTCCCCGAATGGGGCGTTGTCACTGCACTGCAGCCAACAGAAAATCCAGCTGATACACTAGTCAGGTCTCTCATGCATGTGTCAGATATGTGCGCAGAAGCCCCTCGACCCCTTAGAACATGACACCAGGAACCTGATGCATTCAGACCTTGCGCACCGGACACGTGATATAATTACAATGACGAGTGATTGCTAGCATGAACTAAGGATTACTAATGGCATGACTAATGGCGCCGGTTGCCTGTTCAGGCCGCTGAGGCAGCTGCTGGCGCGTTTCCTGGCATCTCAGCCGGGCGAGGTCGCCTCCGGCGTGCGCACGACTGTCGCCGCCACCGGGATCACCACGCATCCGGCGGCCGGCAATGTTCTGCCGTCCCTTGCTACCGCACACTTCAATTTCCGATACCTTCCTGGTAAGCCTGACTCCCTGCATACGGGAATGTCCTGGTAAGCCATGTCCCCTGCATCCGGCGGCCGGCAACGTGCTGCCGTCACTCGCGACCGCGCAATTTAACTTTAGATACCTTCCCGGTACGCACATGTATTGCCTGACTTTCGGACATGTGTGTTGCTGTGTGATGTGTGTACATGTGCTTCGATGAGGACTCGCCAGCGGTTTAGTGGTGTGTGACGCTAATATGGAGCTATAGTGACGCGGACAGCACTCGCTCTTGCTGTACATGGCACTCACTTTGCATGCAAGCTGCGCAGAACGTGCGCATGTTGTCCAAGATACGTTGATCCAAGCTGGGGCTCGAGCTTCATATGGCGCAAGCTTGCACGGGCTAAATTGCACAAAATCTCATTTTGGGCTTCAGCACCGTGCGGGTGCCTGCAAAATTAGCACTGCAGAGGTCAAATTCAGTCATGTCGCTATCTAGATCGGTGAATGCTGCGTGTGTGGCTCAAAACGTAAGGGCTGCGGCCCTGAGGGATTTTCTGCTGGGAATGCAGGTGAGGAGGAAGGCTTTGCGGAGAAATACCTGCAGGGGTTTCTACAGGGAGATGACAAGCTCGGCGCGTCAGGTCTAAAGGTGCACGAGCGGTTTGAGATGGCGAGCACCGTCACTCCGGTTGACAGCCGCGCATTTGCGCTCGTCCGGCAGGCCATACTGGAAACTCTGGCCAAGGACAGGGTACGTTCACATGATCTTCTCTCACCAATTGCCTTCATGCATATGGTAGTGGTTGGGCACACCTGCAGCAATGATAGTGCAGCTGATGGTCCTGGAGACTTTGGCCAAGGACAGGGTGCAAGAAAACCATTAAATCCCAGTTCTGCAGGGTCTTCAAGCTGCATTCACACAGGCTACAGGTACACATGCACATTGTGCGCCTGTGACAGGCTTACAGGCGGGCCCCTTGGCATGTTGTGATGCAGCTCACATTGCTTCAATTCCAATGCACGTTGCACACTGCAAAAGCAGGCAGAGAAGTGTACTCACGTCACTTTTCAAGGAGCGCACAGAGCTGCATAGACTGGGCTGTGGCATGTCGTTGCACCAGGCTTCTAGAGCACTGATAATTCTACTCACCCCTTCCGCAGCAATGTTGAGACCTTGCGTGCCTGTTCAGGCTGTGGCGGTGGTGCCATTTCTGCTGACGGGGGGCACCGACTCAAAGCACTACCAGGCGCTGTGCGGCGGCCGCACGCTGCGCTTTGCTCCGGTGGCAATGAATCGAACGGCGGGGGATTTGAAGCGCGTGCACGGCATTGATGAGCGCGTGTCTACAGAGGCATTCCTGGACGCCATCCGATCCTACAACAGATTTCTCACCCTCGCCCTCAGCTGAGGAGGAATTTTTATGTCCCTCCTGATGTAGGTCAGATAGATTTCCCTGAGCTGACAGAGAGTTTACTGTAGACTGGAGGGGGGAGTCATTTGTACGTACCAACTGAGTTGAAGACCTGCCAGAGAAAATTTGTTCATTTGGCAATTGTACCTCACATTGATCAACATATGCAAGGAGCATGATTATGATTGAAACCGTTGCCACAGTTGTAGATCTAAAAATGAGATCTAGATCACGAGCGATGCCTTACCGAACAAGAAGAGATTGTCAAGAACGCCGCGTGCGGCACTGTCCTGTGTGTTACTGACCATGGTACTCCAACCTTTTTAGCATGGTTCCATTGGGATCCTCCGGAGGGACAACAATTGTTGTTTGGAATAGAAACAGCTGGTAAATGGTTGATGGGGACCCATTGCGGCGTACAATGTTTGTCACACACCGTAGCATGCTCTGAGACTGCCTCTCAGATTCTACTTATCACTCATGCATGCCATGCGCATGCATGCATCAGTGATCATGATTATAATTATACATGACCTCACATGAGGTGCATGACTGGGGAGCGAGTTGCAGGAGAGCTTGCGCGCTTTCCTTCATTGCTCACTTGAATTACCTAATCAAAAATATATAACAAATTTGCAAGGAACGAAACAAGGGACAATGGCCCAAGCTTCAATGCATGCATGCAGGCATATGCCCATCACGTGACACACGTGAGGCTGACGATGCTCCGGAACCCACAAGCTGTCCTTCGGTTCTTCCGACACCCCAATGGCTGCATATGTGGCTGCACCACTGCCAAGATTGCCGCGCACAATATAAAAGACAAGCTACAACCCAACAAATTTCTATGACGGGTCTCGAACGATTCAGATGATCGCCTTTGAGCTGTAGCCGAAAACGCATCCTGACAGCATCTTTTGCAAGCAGAACCCCTTAAGTTTTCACTCGTTGCTACATCGCCAGCTGTGGCGTTAGGTTTTTCACATCTTTATCTCGAAGCAGGCCTCAGATCCTTGAAAGTAGATGTCTCTCTGGTAATCAGCAGTTGTGATCTATCATTCAGGTGAAAGACGTTTCCTTGATTGAGCATATCTTATCTAAATTTCAGATGCCAGGTATTGAAAGTGGAAATTGATAGCCGATTGCTTAATAACCATTGATGTATGCAGAGGCTGTTGACACATGCTTTTGTTCTTTTCTTGCAGACTGACGTCCTACACCTTCAACAGTCCTTCTGGCACAGATGTGCCTGTCAAAGTGCGCGTTGGTCCTCGTGGAATCCATTTTGATACTGAACCCCTGCTTGAATTTAGTGTCAATTTAGGCGTGCTGTCTGAGTTTGCTGGTGTGTGTCATTGCAGCGGTCAAGGCGGTGAGACACACGAACGGCAACTTCAATTGCGCTCACGCCTTGTCAAGATAGACTCGACGAAAGAATCCCACCAGAGCGAGATCATGACAAAGCCGGGTACAGCACCAATTGAAGTTCTGTCCTTGGCAATACCCTACCCATCTCCCCGGAACGGCATGTCTCTCTGCAAGATAGTAGCTGGTGCTTCATCACATGCACAGAAGGTCTGGACATGAGGAAAGCCAGCCACAGGCCAGAATGGCCCAGTGAGTTGTGAGACTTCTCTTGGAAGGACTTGCATACCAGTCACTCGGGCCTAATTTGATCAATGGGGAGTCAGTCCCTCATGAGTGATTGACTGAATCTCATGCATTTGCGACGCCAGGTAAGTTGGGGGTGGATTCGAATGGGCAAAGAGGGCAGCAGGGCTCTCAACAGCAGGCAAGCCAGAAGGCCTCAGAGGACTCGGAGAAGCCTCACATACCCAGCGTGCCAGCTGGGCCGTTAGTCATCAGTGCTGGCTGGGGCAGAACGGGCACATCCTCTTTGAAGGTCAGATCCCTTCCTGATCTTCACACGCCCTCTTACATCATGCCACAGCATGTGTTCAGAATTTAGACGGTCACTTGTGACTATGTGCCTCACCTCGTACATGCAAGCCTGCACTCTAAAAGATCTGCCCAGAGTTTGTCACTGAAGTGAGCCCACCTGACTTAGGCGCCCGATGTCAAAGCTTGCTCAATGAGCAAAATTTCTTGTACCTCTTCAAAAAGCGCGCATTATATGATAGATATATTTTTATTTTCACACCTGCATTACCTGCCAATGCAAGGTTGCAACTGCAGGCAAGCTACAGGTAAAGGCTGCCGCACATCCTACCCCTTGATGGGCTCGCCAGATCCAAGCAAGACCCACTCCCCAATTCAAATGTGCGCCTGCAGGTGACACATCTAGCGCGTTTGATTATGAATTTGAATCTGCGCCTGCAGGTGGCTCTGGATCAGCTGGGATATTCCCCCTGCTTCCATGCGCGCTTCATGCCATACATTACAGACCTCTTCGATGCCATGTATGACTACGCAGAAGGACGCAGGCCGGATTTCCCAGCAAGAGACCTGTTTCGGCAGTTCAATGCGGCTGTCGATATCCCAGCCCCCCTCATACCCCTTGTGCTAGAGGCGTACCCTGATGCCAAGGTGCCAACCTGCCCTAAGGGCAGATGCTGTCACGACCCAACCTGCAGGATAATGATCTGCTGATGCTTGTCTTGTTCATGTCTGATTATGAAAGCATGTATGCTGGCAGTCAGATTGCTGTTGCTTCGTTTGCCAAGCATGCTCTGTGAATCGAGCACGCCCCTTTCTGCAGAGAAATGGCCTTTGCTTGCTTTCATGGTGTTGGCCTGTTGGCTCCTGTGAAAAGTTGTTGGCTTGCTTCACATGTTGCATAGGCGTTGAGTGCATGACAGGAATCTTGAGGTGCAAGGTTCTGTGCTGCAGGTGATACTCACAGTGCGCGAGCCAGAGAAGTGGTATGAGAGCTATGTGAACTCGCTGCTGTGGCTCTACCAGACATGGCTGTTCAAGCCCTTCGCCTACATTCTCCCCATGGGCCAAAAGCTGCAGGTCTGATCCTCCCAGCAAGCCTCCCAAGCCCACCACTTCCCAAAGCACAAGATGGCATTGCACTGGTCGAGGTGCATAGTGCAGCAGGATCAATGTGACATCAGCAGAGCCCTGCTCTCTGCTGCAATGATGCATGGATTTTGCCCTGTAGTTGTCTTCATTCCTATTCCTATTTGCAGCCCTGCACTTATGTCATGTGTGGGTGATTCCCCAATCATGGGTACTGTTCTTGCATTCAAGTTAATGCATGGGCAAGGAACGGCTGCAAGTAAGTAGGAATCTGCTTGTGCTTGTCACCAAATTTCTCTTCTTCACTGCAGAAGTGGGCGCCTATTTCGTTCCCCTGATGTTTACCGTATGTTTTTCAAGATGAAGTGCATGCATGAAATGCGCATGGGTCTGAATTCATGTAGCTGACAGTGATTACTTGCTTGCACAGGCGATTGGTAGATGGTGGCTGATTTGGGAGTTTGGCGACGACACCATGTCGGACAAGGAAGCGTGCATCCAGGCGTACCTCAAGCACAACGCCCACATCAGAGCCACAATTCCTCCAGAGCGCCTGCTGGAGTGGGAGGCCAAGGATGGCTGGGAGCCCCTTTGCAGGTATTCTTGGGTCGTTCAGAGCCTTTTATCGGAGTTTTGGCTTGGATCTACTGCTCTCGATTGGTTTTTTGTGAAGGCTACACTGCTTGAAGTATCCCCCGTCAGCTGGAAGCCTGTTCGTATCAGGCAGGGGCTGTTGACAAACTGGCAAATTTTCACTTTGCTGTAGGCTTGTTGCATATGTTCGGTTGCAATTGTTGCAGCATGCACGTGCTGTTACAACAGTCTTGATGCAGCCTGATAGGGCCCTCCTGCTCAATCATGCAGGCAATTCACTGCCAGGCTGCCAGTGGCAGCCTGGTTTGCCTAGAGCCCTTCAGCTTGCTACAAAAGCATCACTCACATGCCAGTCTGGTGATGCAGGTTTTTGGGTCATCCTGCGCCGAAGGAGCCTTTCCCCAGGAAGAATGAGGGCGCTTCCGAGATGGCCTGGCAGATCGTGCGCTTCATTGCATGCAACCCGCTCGCCGCCGCAGGGCTCATAAAGTACCAGCACAAGGGTCCGCTGGACTTTGACCTGGTCTGAACGTGACTCTACAAATGTTTGAAGAAAAATGTCGCAGGAGGAGTTTACGTTGGCCTTGACGTTGTGGGAGGTGAAAGTGATTGAAACTCACCCGTTTGAACAAATTTGCTTGTTAGGAGATGTGTCATGAGTTGCTTTTGTTCCATGCTGGTGAAGGACTAAGCTTCCTACAGCATATGCATACTTGATGTATCCATTACAGCGCCATGAGCAAACTCTGAAATTTTACATTCCTGGATGACAGCTGGATCCCAGCATGACAGCTTTCCGTTCCAAACCACCCAATGAACCATTTGCATGACGAGAATGTTCTCTCTGGTTCCGGTGTACAAAAATTCGCTACTGCGTGCTCAAGGGGGTTCCTTGCACTTCAAGCACGTGCACAGACTACTGCTGTTCAGACTGTGTTCTTTGCTTCAAACCATACCTGACCTTTTCAGAACGCTCTGCAAGCTTCAAGGCTGCCTACATTCGTCCAATGTACTCTGAATTCCCACAACTTTCCTGCAATTCTTGGTGCGGGCGGCTCCATCCACCTCCACCCACTTCTCCTTGCCACCAGGGCGCCTGACTCGACAAGACAAATGTGCCCATGAAGCCGTTGAGGTCAGCAAAGAGGAAACAAATGTAAGCTTATTTTGTGAAAATCAAGCTTCTCCTCCTTATCCCTTTGTGTCCTGCACAAGCCTTCATACAGGTTGGAAAAGGGGGAATGGTGCTCACAATCTTGGGGCCACCGTAGCGCTGCACAGGGGTTTGGCGCGCCTCCTTGAGACTGGTCACACTTCGCTCCGCCGCCGCGTTCTCCATACCATCAATCATCGCGTTTTGCCACCCGTTCAAAACTGTGAGCATCATGAGTGGTCAGCGTTGAGTCACCAGATAGCGAAGGCATTTGAGCTGAATACAGAGGAGGAGGAGGTGAAGACACACACTTGGGCGTTTAGGGAAGGCTCTGCCTGATAGATAACATATGTTGCACCGTCCTCAAAGTCGTACTCTCTCAATGCGCCTAGACTGTACTCGTCCATCTCACTGGGCTGCTCCACGCCCGGGGGCCCAACCCACTCAGCGTTGTGCAAGCTCAGGAATGCCAGGACGTCCGACTTCAATATATCGGTGAGATTGACCTTGCGGAAAGGACGTTTGAGCTCTTCAGTGGGCACAAGAAAGCTCAGCTTCTTATACCGAGCACCTGCATGACAAAGGTCATTACAATCAACTCTGACATCACCAATGTGAATCACGCCGTCAGGCCCTGACATTATGTGATGTCATAGCAGCGCTGACAACATGTCCAGCACAATGCATTACTACACACCTGTGTCGTATGTAAGCAGCTCCGTTTGCTCCCACGCAAAATCAGTCCTCAGCTCCTCTGTGTCCTCAACCTGCAACCTTGAGGCAGTGAGCTCACTATGTAGAAGGGCAGCAGAAAATTAATAAGGCGCATCAAGAAAACAACTCTGCTACTTCAACAGTGCTAATACTCACCTTCACCCTCCTCATTATCCCTTCCTCGAAAATAACAGAGTTCTGGCAAAGTTCAATGCACTGCAATGCCGCACGCACCAGTCATTCAGTGAAGCTCACAGAAAGCGTTGCAAGAGACGTTGCTTACACACCCCTACAGACTTCCTCTCTCAAGCAATGTGCACAACGTGCCCAGGGAATGGACGTGCCCAGTCATTCTGGCACCTACTCACTCGCAGTATCATGACTCACCTTGAAATCTATTGTGGTACCTGCAGGGATCTCAACGGTGGTTGTCCACACATGCCCCTGACTCCTCTCCATGCTGGGAGCAGAGTCTGGATTCCAGGCTCCCAAGCTAGCATGGTCGCCTACCACCTTGTGAATATTGCCTGGGGGGACCTGGACCAAGAATGACAATGAAGTGGGGGAACCCCTGCCAGACTCATATCGCCTACCAAGAAGTCTTATTCTTTAAATGCTCCAGGAGAAACCATCATGCACCATCGGCATAATGTTAAATTATATCCTGGATTATTTCATCACATTCGTGTTGCGCTAACCATCCATGAGCAAGGATGTGGACAACTCACCCGTCTGGTAGTCTGGAAGCGCACTTTGGACATGCAACATACTGCACGCAGACCCCTCATCCCAAGTCGCTGAGATCCATTAGCTGTATAAAGACCTGATCACACGGCAAGGATCGCAGATCAGAACTACATTTTCGCCCTTCTGGATAGTTCAATGATAATGATTCGAGAGGCAGTACTTCGACCACTCACCAAATTTCGTAGTGTTCATCTTCTTCAGTTTTTCAGGCTAATAATGTTGTAAAGCAACGACTGGTCCGCCTGATATGATTGGGTGTCCTTTTCCAGCAAGGGAGACCTCTTACACTACAGCTTTGCCTGCTATGACAGCTTTAGAGAACGCATCAATGCTTCTAGCCCATACTGAATGCAATTTTCCCAACAACACTTTGCTTAGAGGATTGTATACATCACTTGTGTGGGAATACTGGCTAGTACTGGCAAGCAGGTGGAGGAAGAGTGCCTAAATAGAAACTGCACCCATGGGCCAGCATCGAGCGAGAGCATGCCATGATGGCATGCTGAAATTGCTCACCAGCTACTGAAGCTCATTGCTCCCGTCATTACAGATCGCACTAGATTTGCAAATTCCCCATATTTGTCCGATGCAGAGGTTTTTTCTGTTACTGACAGTCACTGTTTGGTTTGACCATGGAGAAAGACATCCTTGCCAGTAAAGCAAGGCTTGTTGTGAGATACAAAGCGGGCGAATAATTAAATGACGGATTTTGAAGGTTAGACACATAAAATTAAAATATACTTCCTGAATGGTGAAAGGTGCGCATATTCTTGACTAAGCTTTACAGTTCTGCACAGCACAGCTGTAAATATATACCATAGTTTCTGAACATGGATGTTCGCGCTGCATCAAACTGAAGAATCAAGTTTCTATTCCTAGGTTCACAGATGCACGGGTGGCTTCAGCACCTGTCGCCCTGCAACAGCCGGCACAAGTCGCTATCGTTCATGCTTCTAAAGCCTTATGCAGCATTGACTATGAGCCGATGCAAAGTACTCTCACCAGGAACGTCTCTCCCCTGGAGGCAAGCTGGATGGTCAGCATCAGTTCCCAAGGGGAGGAGACTATCTCATACTGCCGCTGCTGCTGCTGCTGCTGCATACAAGCCTCCCACAGGACAGCAGACAGGGCTGAACAGGCCCAGGGGCAGCACACAGGTTCTTGCGCCCACATCCCGAGAAAGTGACACACCTTCAGTCTCAGACGACCCACTCAACAGAAGTACAGAAACAGATGTTGGCAGTGATAATGATTTTGGGGAAAGGCAGGCAAGCCATGCTGAAGCAAGCTCGTCAGGTATTACCATTCCTCCCAAAAACCTCTACACACACCTCTGCTCTTGGTGTGCGTACTGACGAGCCTCTCGTTGCAACTGAGTCATCATTAAGTTAGACGAACCCATGCACAGAGTGGAGTTTCTCAATCAAAATCTCATGGTGTCTGCCTCCACTGAAAGCACTTTTGCTCGCAGGTCACAGCGAGGTACAGCAGGAGTCTCTGCAGCTGCTGGACTGGCCAGCGCTGTGCAGACAGGTGGCGGCCTTCGCGGCCACTCCCATGGCAGCTGAGGAGCTGCTCCAAGAGGGACTGCCCATCGGAAAGTGCCAGGTGCAGTCTGTCATTCCTCCTTGATTTCACTTGGCACTTCACCGTCAATTTCACTTTCACTTTTACTTGGCATTTCACTTTCACTTGGCGGCGGAACACTGCTGCACCAAATGGCGTTGGCTTGGACTTGGGCCCTTAAATCACTGGCACATAATATGGCTGCGGTGTTTAACTCGCATGCCAAGCCATCTTATTCACTGGGCAGTGCAAAACTGCTGCACTTCAACAGCTTCAGCTAGGGTTCAGATTGCCACCATTAGCGCCCAATTCTGTCTGCTGCGTCTAGCTCCATCGCATCTTCATCAGTGCCTAGAAGCCAGCGCTCAGCAGATTCCTCAATCAATTGATGTCATGATGAAGTCCCGGCACTGTGAAGTTGCAAGTGGAGGCTGCCGCGGCAGAGCCAGTCGATTCCGTGCTAATGGTGGATGTTGAATTCAGAATCCCAGCACCATTGCAAAATTAGTCCACCCAATGCGAAGGAGCGCCAAAGAAAATGGGTGGGCCGCACAGAGTTGTAATCTACCTAAGTCCAGATCGAGCTGCAAAAGCTGGGGATGGGGGCTAAAAAATTAGCAGCTTCGCAAAATGAAGGGTAGAGATCAATCGGTCTTGAAGCAAGTGTTCTTACTGACCTTGCCAGGTTGTGAGGGTGCAGGAGGAGAGCGAGAGGCTGCTAGAGGAGACAGCAGAGGCGCAGGCGGCACAGCTGGACTTCAGGGGGGTGCAAGACGTAAGGCTGATGCTAGAGGCTGTGCAGCAGGGGCGTTCCCTGCACCCGCTGCACCTCACAGCCATAGCCGGCACTCTTGCGGCAGCCGCACGGGTGGAACAGCAGGTGTTAGCGGGTGACAGGGGCAGCGGCAATGGCAGCAGGTAAGTCAGCAGAATCCCTGCACATCTTTTCCTCTCAGTTGCCATGTGGGGAACTTGCATCAATCCTGGCATGCTGGTTTGCGTTGGGCTCTTGACCCCACATCAGGGGCATCCAGCAGCTTAGTGGGTGATAGAGGCAGCACCAAGGGAGAACAGCAGAGTTTCGGCACGCCAGCCCATATTCAGCGATTTATCAATGCTGGCATGCAATGTGGCATTGCATGCCCAAACTACCATACCAGGGGCCTGTTGCGGACATGGGAGCCATGTTAAAATTAGGGGCTAAGGATGTAAAATCAGTGAAGTCATGCAAAGAAGATGTGCCCGGTGCCTTGCAACCAGGCCTCCAGTGCATTTTGCATCACAGCCTTATGGCGTTTGGTGGTTTGCAGCTTTCCCGCACTGGAACGGTTGGCCGGGGGGATTAAGGGGTCTCTGCCGGGGTTGGCGAGCCAGATCTGGCGCTGCATCAGCGCCGGCGACGGCCGCGTGCTGGACGGCGCCAGCTCAGCGCTTGCTGACACGCGCGCGCGACGTCAGCAAAATCTAGGAGAGCTGCGGTCAACCATCGAAGAGTGGGCGCGCAGCATGCACCGGCTCGGGGCCGCAGAGCGGGCGCAGGTGATTTGTTTTTGTCACCATGGTGATTTGAATCTGTAATAACCCCGATGGTGTTTGTCTTCCTGTGCATTTTACACATGCAGCACACGTTGCTGGCCTGGTTTCCGCGCAGATACTGAGGAGTGCACGTCACAGCAGCGGTGTCTGGACCTGATCAGTTGATGATCAGGACTGTATGTCACGATGAGGTCAAAGATTGACGCGCATGCAGGTTGTGGTGCGGAGGGATCGTCTCTGCGTGGCTTTGAAGGCGGGAAGGCAATCCGATCTGCCCAAGGGCAGCGTCACGCTAGCCACATCCTCGACAGGTACAATCTAATCTCATCCCCGTCCTTCCGGGAGCCAGAATCAAGGACTACGGCGCAGACATGCAGAGGTTGTGTGCCCCGTAGTGCTTTGGTCCCCATTTGTAGACAACCTACTCCTTTGTCGCAAACACAATTATCTAGCCGATTTTATCACTGGCTGTGATCTGTCTCTTCATGGGTATTCATGGGAGCTATAAGAAGCCCAAAATCCAGAAAATGATTTAATGTGCCGCAGGAGCAACGTTCTACATGGATCCGGCCCCAACGGTGCCACTGAACAATGCGGAGGCCGTGCTTGCGGCGCAGGAGAGAGAGGAGGTCGCGCGAATTCTGGCGCACCTCTCTGCCGCCGTGGCCGACAACGCCGCACGCATCTGGCAGGTGAGGGAAGGCATGCAGCATGCAGGCAGGTACACGCACAAGACGCCTGACGGTGTTTGTTGCTTTGCGCACAGACCCCTTTTAGAATAAGAGATACGCTGACATCAAAGCAGTGGGGAGCGCCAAGGAGGCACCTAGCACGAGCCCTGTCTTCATGCCTGACTAGGAGCAGCAAAGCTCATCTGCGCAAGTTGGTCGGATCTCTGAAAGTCGTGCTTGCGGCAGGTGCTGGATGCAGTGACAGCGTTAGACATATGCTCCGCCCGTGGCCGCCATGCGGTGTGGTGCGGCGGCGTGCGGCTGCGCTTCCTTCTGCCCGAAGTGGCTGCCCAGAATGGCAGCGTTCAGGTGTGAGGGGATATATATTTTATATCACAAAAGTCCCCAAAAGTCCCCATTAGACGGAAGGATTTGGTGCCTAAATAAAACGAGCAGCATAAACCAGGTTTCAAATAGGACCTTGTCAATTTCAAAGGCTTGTGAGGCATTGTCTGTTGCAGGCTACCTGCTGCTCAGCGGCTTTTTGCGACCGAGCAAGTGCATCAAGTAATTTTGTTACATCAACGAACAGGACGTGCCTGTAGCAAGTCACTTGATCTTGGCAGGATTGGTCTTGTTGTGACAATTGCATCTGCAAAGAGTGGCCTGGGGTGGAATGCAGGTGAAGGGCATGCGGCATCCGCTGCTGCTACAGCGTTCCCTCCCGCGGCTTCCGCCCCTGCCGCTAGCAGCTGCCCAGGACCTGGACACCAGCTTCCTGGACATGGCTGGACCCCCCGGCAGCAGCATAACCGCCCAAGGCCCACCTGAGGCGCCCAAAGCACAGGTGCTACTTTGAAAATACGTCGAAACAGTATTTTTTGACTACCTTTGTTGACAGAGCACCGGTGCAAGTCATTAGAGCGTCTGTGCAGCAGCTCACATGCACCGAGCTTATCTGAGCAATGTGCTGCTCAGTGGCTATTGTATCTCTTATCTCTGGCTGTCACGACATACACATGCCGGCCACCCTGCAACACCAGCTCAATCGAAATATATTTTGGAAGATAGCAAAGCTTGAGTCCTCCCGTGTGTGCGATGCTTTTCATTAGGAAAGCTACAGCTGAACAGCAACACATTGTGAAAGCACGCATACTTTTTAAGGGTTCAAAGGGGGTCCGAAGGATTATGGCGGACTGACGGTAGTGGTTGATGGGTTGAACAGGTGCTGCAGCCGCCGCCGCGGGCCGTGGACTTTACGGTGCCTGCGGGTGTGAGGGTGGTGACCGTAACGGGCCCAAACACAGGCGGCAAGACGGCCTCCCTCAAGGCGCTCGGCCTCGCCGCGCTCATGCCCAAGGCCGGGCTCTTCCTCCCCCTAGAGCCCACCCCAGGCAAGGGACCTCCCACGCCTTTGTTTTGGTCTCCGGGGTCCTCGGGGGCCTTGCGCATGCTTCCAGGCACTGTCATGTGCCAGCAGCCTATGTGCCAACAGCTTCCTCTTTACCCTGTTGGCAATATCTCCGTATCTGGAGGATTTCCTTTCAACCAGCTGACTAGGTTCTCAACTGGCTGATTCTATTAGTACTGTTGCAGCTTTTCTAACGCCTTCATCATGCCAAGAATGCACCGTGAGTGGACTGCTGAGGTGCTCGTCCGTCCCGATGGCACTGAAGAGGAACGCTGCAATGCAGGCGAGGAGTTGAGCGATGCTCCAGCGGTGGCATGGTTCGACATGGTTCTGGCGGACGTGGGGGACGGGCAGAGCTTGCAGCAGAGCCTATCCACATTCTCGGGGCACATCCGCCGAGTGCGCGCCATCCTGGCAGCCCTCACGCGGCGTTCCCTCGTCCTTTTAGACGAGGTGACCAATCACCGTCGAACACCTCCATTACCCCTCTTCTGTCTCGCAGCCACACTCTTGTGTAGTACCACCGGCGTCAGTGCGGGTCTCTGATCTTCTCTCATCTGGACCCCACTAATGTCTACCCCACACAGCACCCTCATCTTCTTGAAAGCTCCTTTATTTTGCTATTGCTTCCAAACTGCTGTGAGCGATGACCTGAATCCCTTCAGGTGTGGGTGTGGGTCCCAACTGTTGACCCCTCAGCTGCAATTTCAGAAGTGATGGCACACATCAGGTGTAGCACCCTAGCATCATCTAAATATAAGCAGGATTAAGGATTGGAGTTCAAATTCTATCAGGCGGGCAGCGGGACGGATCCTGCGGAGGGAGCGGCTCTGGCGAGCGCACTGCTGGCGGCTCTGGCCGACCGCGCAGCACTCACACTGGCCACAACTCACCACGCCAGCCTCAAGGATCTCGCGGTGAGGCCCTCCTCTTGACTGCATCTGCGCATTGCGCGCGCCGCTTTCTCATCGCATGCATGTGCATTGCAGAGTCCATTGTGTGCGGCTGCTCTGTGTGTGCAAACTTGCAGATACGATACAGATACGATGCGGATACTTTTTCCGATGGTCAGAGATGCCTGCAACCTTCCACTGCATCATGGCTGGCATTGCTGGACAGTAACGTGCATGTCACCTGAACACTTCTGCACGTGAAAACCGAAATCTGAAGGTGTGCGCAGATGTGCAGGCAAATGATTCCCGCTTCTGCAACGCCGGGGTCGAATTTGATCTGGCCTCTCTCCGGCCGACCTATCGGCTCATCTGGGGCTCTGTGGGCGCCTCGAACGCTCTGGCCGTCGCTGAGGGGCTCGGCTTTGACCCCCTGGTCGTAGCTGAAGCGCGCAAGGTCTGCCTCCATTTTCTTGCATGCATTGTGCTATCGGCTTGCCCTGCACACTGTTCGCATCTGTGTCTGGGCCGCGCCTCTTCATACACTGTATATGTGCTTTCTGCAGGGGTGCCACATATTCTTTTGGAAGGCCAGCCATGCGAACATCAGTCTAGGATCACTCAGCTGGACATCAGAGCGTTAGTGTATTTCCCTGGATAGTCCCCTTGGATTATATATGGAGAAGTTCTTGTTGAAAGAGTTTCCTGTGGCTCCAGGTGGCGGCGGACGCTTCATTTGCGGTGGCGAGCGGGGGGTCCAACGTACGGGCGGAGGCCCTACGGGAGTCGCTGCAGGAGGAGCTAGATCTGGCGCGGCGCACAGCTGCCACAGCAGCTGCCGCGCGGCTGCGCGCCCAGGAGGAAGCTTCCCGCCTGGAGCAGGAGCTGACCTGTTCACAGCGCGATGCGGCCGCCCCCGACAAGGCAGGTCCCTCGCCTAAAATACTGCATGCGTGTCCGGGGTCTGTGCCTTGTTCTCTTGATTTCTTCCTGCATACAGCTTACCTGTGCTTTCTGGCTGGTGTGCTGTCCCTTGTGCCAGTGCAGCGCCCTGCTGGAAGCGTGGCCTGCAAAAGGCTCCACAGCAGAGCTGCTCGAGTTTTTCCAACCGCTGCATGGCTGCAATGAATTTGAAAGATCTGTCTGGCACACAGGCGGGTGCGTCAGAAGCCAAGGAGCTTGCAGCGAAGAAGGCGGCACTAGCGGAGATGGTGGCATCCTACTGCAAAGGCAACATGCCTCTGGAGGAGGCACGCCGTCTCCTCAGCCAGGTGGGGCAAAGCTCATGGAAGCTCATAAGTGCTCCCTTGACATGCAGCTTTTTGCGGTTGGGGAAGTCTGCTTGATGCAGTGCCAGCCGGCCATTCTCCCTGAGTAGGCGCTGGCTCAGCTTTTGACAGATCTCATGGCATCTTCCCTGCTTGCTATGAGCAATCTGACTAGTCCACAAGCAGGCGGCAGGCACATGAGGAGTTTGTTGAAGGCAAGACGGCTGCTTGTGTTGAACTTTTCAACCCCCGTGGATGAAGACACACAAAACAAAGCGCATCAGTTGAATAATGTACAGTAGTACAGAACTGCAAATCCGTTCTTGCTCAAAATGAATGGTGGCCCTGTTTCTCGTCTGCAGGTCAGGGCAGAGGCGCCGGACGCGCAGGAGGCGGCGGCCAAAGTGCAGGGCATAGACCGGCCGCCTGTGCCTGAGGGGTGGATTCCAGCGGTGGGCGATGATGTCATCGTGATGTCGATGGGGGGAGCCGGCGGGAAGGTGGCGGCCACCGCCGGGCCCAAGGGCAGGATCACTGTCAAGGCGCGCACCCCGGCTCATTAATCGCACAATTAGGGGATTTTAAGGTTGATTGTCTAGGCTTTATAGGGAGAAGAGAATCTCTTCAGTCCTCCAGATTGTGGTCTGGCTTTCGCTTTCCATTTGCTTGTCGTGTCCTGCAAAGACTGATAACTCTCTTGTAGAATCTCAGCAGATAATGTATTGTGGTCAGAAGCAAGGAACGGAGATGGGACCTGCTGTAAACTGTATTGCGGTGGAGATTGGTGGAAAATGAAATTGTGCTTATGAGACTGTTGCAGGTGGGCAAGCTCACGATCCAGAGCCATGCTGAGGATCTGGCGCCCGCTGAAAAGGGCCCCGCCAAGGCAAAGAAGGGCGGCAGCCAGCCGCAGCAAAGAGCCAAAGCACAGGTACCTACCGCCTCCTGTATGCCCTCTTGAGCATTTCCAATTGCGATCCTGTTGCCATTGCACATGCAAAGAGGAAGATTGCCTTGCCATCGAGAGTCCCTGATAAGTGGCGACCCACAGCAGGCTTTTTTTTGAGACGCCAATGGCAAAGCTTGGCCTCCTGAGTTTATCTCCTATCCGTGTCCAGGGGCTGTGTTTATAAACGTAATTATTCATCTGTCATTCCCACTGGTGTTGCTGTGTGTTGTGTGCTGTGTACTGTGTGATCGGCACCTGCCCTGACATGTAACAGTATTGCTTGATTGTGATCCCTGGAAGCAGCCCCCAGTATTATTTACTATACTGTATGCATTAGAAATGATAGCCCCTCTTGTGTCATTGGAAGGTTGCTTTGTGCATGTTTACAAAATCTTTGTTTTTTGGCGCAGGCCGGTGCACGGAGGGGCGGCGCGGCGGAGCCGGCAAACGGCGCGGCCGATCTGCAGCAGCTGACGATCCAATTTGACCACAACTCGGTGGACGTTCGTGGCATGCGCGTGGATGAGGTGTCCTCCTTGAACTTTGTTTCTCAAACCTGTTTTGATTTAATTTCATGTCTTCAAGGGCTCCAAGGTTTAGGAAATTACCGAACATTACATTTCATTGCATTTTGTAACGTCTGTAGGGCTCCGGGAAGGGGTCCTTGCAAGTGCTCGCATGCCACGTTGAGGTTGAAAGCTAAATATCGGACAATTTGTCAATCCTGTTGGGACGCAGGTGTCTGGGGTGATTGATGAGGCCATTGCAGCCACACCCAGTGGGACAGCGGTGTTCATAGTGCACGGAATGGGGACCGGAAGATTGAAGGCTGAGGTTCAGAGCCTGCTCAAACGCAGCCGCCAGGTGTGCTACCAATAAGAGGCCATTGATTCCTGGGGTGTTGCTATCTCCTTTTTAAAAAGAGTGAAATGAGTGTTATTTGATTTATTCAAGGGGTCCTGCTGGCTTGTTTGAGAGTGGAAGCTTCTGCTTGTATGTGTGCGAGCGCTGCGGTCTTTTCTACAGCACGAGCCATGTTCGTTGCAAATACGTCAGCAAGGCATGATGTACGGATGTTCTTTAGGTGCCCATTTGTATGCAGCTGATATTGGGTTGCATGCCAGACAGGCAAAAAAGAGGGTGCAAAGACTTAATAATCTTTTTTTGTGCATGCATGCACCAGGTGGCTCAATTTGAAGACCATGAAGCCTCGGCTGGTGGCTGCACGATGGCAATCATAAAATGACCATTCAGCTGATCGCTATTACTGCCCACACGTACGAAAACGTTACTTATTAGTATTTGTAGACTGTGCTAGCAGCGCGATTTGTGCGCGGACAGACAAGTTTAATCCTCTTCCGAATTCGAAGATCTTCGAAGAAAATTGATACTTGATATTCTTTTGTTGTCTTGTGCTGTGGGAAGAAGGGCAATGTTGGGTCCTTCGTAAAATTGAGAGGGATGTGGAATAAATATTTTGCAACAGAGCCCTCAATGAAGTGAGGTACATGCGCCCTTGTGTGCTCAAATTAGAATGCAAGGCCCGCTTGTAATGGCGCCCTTTGTGGATCCAGCAGTTCCCCACTGTCATTACTATTTGGTCACCCACATTGAACCTCCCATTGCACATTGTAGATATCAGCATCCTCCAGCGCTGCTAGCATGCAAGCACAATTGTCAACAACCTGAAACATTTACGGATCAGGCAATCCTTATTGTACGGCATCTCTGCGCTCTGGTGGCGCCACAGCATTCCAGAGCTCCAAGTAGGCAGGCAAGCCGGTGGGATCCACCCCAAACTTCTTGACGTGGGTTCCATACTCCTGCGCGCAAAACCATCACTTTTCTATGAGAGGGAACGCACAGGGCAATGTGCTCGCGCAAAATCAGTCAGAGCTCTTCGCGGTTTCACTGCAAATTCTCTACAAAAGCCAGAGCCCTGAGCTGCAGTGAAAAATCCTGATGGGTGTGTGTGAGATTTTCCATGGCCTCATTTGCGCTCCCCGCATACAACGTACAATGCTACAGTCGCGAGCTGACAACTGTTGTTTTATGCTTGTAGGACCTGAAAGGTCTTATGAGACCTGCACTACCAGGAAAAACCTCCGGCCTTTGATTTCCCTCCCAAAAACAACTGCAGCCGCACCTGAGCGTCCAGGAAGAGCTGCACGTTGACCTTGTCAGCGTCCGAAAGGGCTCCCGGCCCGTCTGCAGCAGCGTCCCCTGCTCGGCTCTTTTTGAGGCGCTTGAGGCTGGACTCGGTCTTGCGCAGGTTTTCCAATAACTCCCCTGCCTGGTTCGCGAATCGCTGCGTCACCCCTGCAATCACCCCCTGCAGACACAAGCATAGATGATATATAATACGACAACCGCGGGGTCATTGGTATGACAAGCGAGGCAATTATCAAACACCAGATATGGCTAAATTCCCAGCAAGTCATCTTCTGCTTGCAGCTTCACCCACTCTCACGGCCTTACCCAAGGCACTCATGCGATTAGCTAGTGCCTGTCACAATACAAGTCCAATGCCGTAAAGTGTGGTGGTAGCAACTTAGCAAGATGCATCAGCAGCTTTAATCCTTGTTCCATGCATCCCCAGCACCATTTCCAGCACCATTTCCAGCACAATGGGGCAACATCACAGAAAGCAGCATTTCTACTTGACTCCACACCAAGTCAAAATGATGGTTTGACACAAGGGATGAATTCTGGTTCCCAGCAGAAAACGAACAGCACCTGTGCGATTTCCGCGCGCGCGTCCGGGCTCAGCCGGCCGGCGGCTTGGCCGTCCAGGAAGCTTCTGAGGCCACTCAGGATCCCGGCCACATAATGGCTCGCCTTGGTCGGCGCCGGCCGCGTCGTCATCCTGCAGAACATAAAAAATTTGGTCTTTAATAACCTGCAATGCCCATTAATCACATCAAAAACCAATGCTGCGTGTGCAATTTCAGACTACCATGCAAGGCATCTTCCACGCACGCTTTTGACAGGCTGCAGCTGTAAAGGGGCAATAGCTGAAAATAACAGCAGCCTATGGAGCACGAGTTTCTTTCCAGCACCAGTGTTGAATGTCAAGTCTTCTTCAACCACCCATTTTCACCCATCCCTTTCCTACCAGGTGCTCGCATGTTGATTTCATGCTGGCACATGGAGGTTCAGTGCGCTACAAATTCTCTAATTTGGCGCTCGCACTGCCTTATATGTCTTGCATCTCTTCTTCTAGGTATTCAGGTATTCAGAAAGCAACGCAGCGGCCTATAAAATCAGCACCTGTAGGTGGCAGTAATGCCTCGCAGCTGCTTGAGGACGCCCGCGCATGCATCTGCCAGCTCATCAATTACCGCCCGCACCACCGCCGCCGCATGCGCCGCCACCGCCGATGTCCCCTCCCTCAGCGCCCCCCTCACCTCCTCCAATGCCTGCACTTTTTTTTTAATATTAGACATCAGGTTCGGTTAGGGTCTGGGATTGGGATGATTTGGGGTGATTTTAGGGGTGATTGTGGAGGCAACAAAAAATGATCTTGTTCTCTGGACTGCTCCACTCGACAAAGGGACACATGGAGAAATATCGTGGCAGTGCTCATGTCCTCGATGTGGTGAGTGGTTTTACGAACTCCCCCCCCCCCCCCCTGAGAACCGTGCATGCAGCTCTAACCGCACACGGCTAGTGGAACGAGCATGCCGAGCCACGGTTGGGGGTAGCAGAGCACATGGTAGCATGGTTTCAAGCGTGCAGTTGAAGATGGCACCAGAACACACGGGTAGGGCAAGGTGCACATGCGTGAGGGATGTTGAATTCGATGCAATCGAAGTCCTCAATGACTTAGCCCCACCTTCTGGTGGATCGACAATGAAGTACACAGTTGACGATCAGAATCACGGCAATATTGGCATGTCTAGCCCCAGCGCAGGGCGCACCTCGGCAGGCAGGAAGGGCATGAGCTGTGTGAGCTGGTCCACATAGTCGGAGTCGACCCAGTGCAGCAGCACATCGGTGTCCGCCCGAACTGAGCACAGCACGTCCGCCTTGGCACCCACCGCCCATGTGCCCCCAGCCTGCACGCAGATGGTGCGCGATGGAGCTGCTCCTTGACCGCACAACTTCAAGGGGCCTCGAGCTCGCAGCAGTGCTATGCTTGCCTGTCTTCCATGACTTCCAGCACACATGCATGCATGCATGCAGCTTAGCACTCGGTATGACCCGTGTTTGGCACTTTGGGGACCGCACTCTGGATTGCCGTGACATATTGATGAAACCTTTCCTTCACCCCGCATGGTAGATATCCTTGGTAGACTCAAGCAGGACATTGCAATAACTCTGGCTTCTGTAGTGCTGGCCCCCCAAGTCCTGAGGACCCGCAAGACCAGTCATCAGAAGATGTTGTGCGCACCGAGGGAGAGGGCTGTGCCGGGTCTGAGTCATCGGCGGCCGGGGCGGCCGGCGTGCCGGAGCGGGCGACCATGCCGGCGGCAAGCCAGGCGGCGAAACGCGCGAGCAGCTGCAGCGCCAGCCGCGCGAACTTGTCCGCCAGCGGCTGCAGCCACACGTCATCCGCAATGCACCTGCATTCCATGATAAGATTTTCTCAGGCATGCATTTAATTTAGCCCTGAGCTTCGATTATAAACTCAAGCCCAACAAGTTGTGTATTCTGCATGTCTATGCACAAAGGCAGAGAGTCCTGCAATCGTGAATTGCCAGAAATGAGCAACAGTTGGTGCCTGCTCGCAGCGGTGTAAGAGGGACGGGGATGAATGAGACACTGGGTATCGAGTGAGGAAGGGGCTTGCCTGTTGAGGCTGTGGTGCAGGGCCAGCGTGGGGCGCAGGTGCAGACTCAGGGGGTTGGGCAGATCCGCCGCTGCCGAGGCGGCCTCGAGCGCCGGCGCCGAGACTGCCGCGTCCAAACCTCCGGCAATGTTCTGCGCAAGCAGTCACATATTACTTGTCAACTCTAAGTATGCTCAACCACAGTAAACGTATTATGTCTGGGCATCACCGCTCTATTATGAGCAAATGCACCAAGACAGGCTGCAATCTACTTGATCAACCAGGCTTCATGCAGACCCCAAGCCTATCCCAATCAGAGGATCAGCCCCGAGAGAGCGAGAGCATTAGGGAATAGAATCAACCAATGTCAACACGCCCCCCAAGAGACAAGCATTCTCCTGGGGATGCTGTGTGGAGGAAGTTCTGCCACGAATGTTTCACAAGCTTCTTGCTTTTTAAATTTGGCATTTCATTCCTCCTATTCCTTTTTTATTCTGTCTTTCTATATAAACATTTCACCAGATGTAGAGCAAAGTGAGGTCTGACCTGGAAGCACAGCCCGTACATACAGCTTCCAGCGGCATAAACTTACTTTCTTTATAATTCTTTCATATTCCTCTCACGGTTTTTCTTAATATAAACATTTCATCAGATGTAGAGCAAACTGAGGTCTGACCTGGAAGCGCAGCCAGTACAGTACAGCTTCCAGCGGCATAAAGTACCCTCGCTTTGATTTTTTCATATTCCTCTCACCGTTTTTCTATCATAAACAACTCATCAGATGTAGAGCAAACTGAGGTCTGACCTGGAAGCGCAGCCCGTAGTAGACAGACAGCTTCCAGCGGCCTAAACTCACTCTCTTGTTTATTTTTTCATATTCCTCTCACCGTTCTTCTAATATATACGACTCATCAGATGTAGAGCAAAGTGAGGTCTGACCTGGAAGCGCAGCCCGTAGTAGACAGACAGCTTCCAGCGGCCCTGGAAGGAGGCATAGGCATCGCTGTCACGCAGGGTTGTTAGACCGCGGCGGTCCCGGCACAGGGCCTCCAGAGCACCCAGGAACGCCTGCGCAGCCCGATAGTTGCCCACAAACTTCTGTGGGACGCCCACTGAAAACGCGCCTGCACGTGACACCAATGCATATCATTTTTTCCAACATCGTCATTTGACATCTTCCCACTATGAGAGCGGGCACCGCAGCCCTCATCAGAAAGACAGGCTCCCCCGCAAACTTGACGAAATTTCAAAGTATTAAAAGAATTTGCTGCCAAAAGGGAAGGTGTGTCTGAAGGCGCCCTCAAAATTAAGGTGCTCTGATAGGGGGCACTGCATCTCATCGTTGGCATTAGCTGCCCACAGTAAGAAAAGTCAGCTCAGAATACTACGTGTGCCTTCTAGAAACTCCTGAGGTGTGTTTTGGCAGAGCCAAGGATCAAAGAATATGGCCTGAACATCAAAGGCAGCAACCACAGTTGTGCACAGGTCCGTGCCCCTTTTGGAGGTCCCCACGAAAGGACTCCTGGGCATCGTCACAATAATATCTACATCCCGCCATCTGTAATTCGTTTACAAATGTACCTGGGAAGGCAGCGGCCATCTGCGCGTCGGCTTCCTGCAGCACGGAGTTGGCCAGGAAGTTGAAGGTGTGCAGGCCGGCCTGGTCACTCAGGGTATCCGCCAAAACAGGCCCCACCTGCTCCCTCACAGCCTCTGCCAACCGCTCCAACACCTGCGCAGATTAGCACTGTTATTCCCTGTCCTCTGCTGTAGCACACATTCTTGTAGGACTGTGGGAAAGAATAAATAAAAAAGGGTTTCACTACTAGTTCTAGCGCAGCAGGGTCCGGGTAGCAGCGGCAAGATTGTGTAACTTCGGCTCGCAGAAGTCAGCGCTGCATGTGCTCCAGATGCTTGCTCTTCTAATAAAACTTGCATTGGTCACATGTGCCACTAGATTTGCGTTCTTCTGTATGGCAGGGGTGTAGCATTTCTAGCCTCACAACACGTAGAAGAGGTTGACCTTTCACTCGGGGCTGGCGCACCTGGATGTAGTTGTCACTGGTGCCGGCTGCAGGTGCGCCGCTCTTGGATGCTTGCACTGCTGAGATGCAGCCCTCCACCAGTGGACCCCCCAGCACCTTGCGCACAATCTGCACGGCAGTATTCAGACTCATCAGCCGACATGCCTCATACCCAGACAATATTGTAATCTACAAATTCCCTGGGAAAGCTTCCCAGCAAACACAAACTGCCTTCCGAGGCTGCGGGGCATGCGCATGAAGCAGAGCAAGAGAGCAGTGACAGATGCCGGGGAGAGAGACTGCTGCGTAGAAAAATCACCAATCCCACCCAGAAATGCTCTTGCAGGCTGCAGGAAAATGCACACCACAGACAGCTGAGCTATTGGCCCAATGCCATCTTAAAGATCTTAGGGATAGCTGAGTCACTGCTGTTGGCAGTAGCATTCTTAAATTTGCCGGAGCGGAAGTTTCACGTACACATTTCCAAACTAAGTTTTCCCTTTACTTGCAAGGAACACGCGGCATGTGCAGGCACCTGCTCGGCGCTGGCGGCGTCGCCGACGGCGGAGAAGGCCTGGAGGCAGTGGGCGCGCGCAGGGGAGTTCCCTTCTCTGAGCGCCTGCGCCAGCGCGTCTGAGAGAAGCTGCTGCAGCCGCTGTGCAGCTGCCCCCATGCGCGGCTCCAGCTGCTCCACAAATGCCAGCTCCTGAACAAGCCAGCTTGCTCAGTCATGTCTGCACAAAGTGCCTTGACAGGTAGCTTTGTAGCGATTTAGCCCAATCATGTTTGTCCACAGTGACTGTGCAGGTTATCCTGTGCTGTATTTCTGTATGTGTCAATTGCATTGTTTGCTGTTGTTGTGTAGCTTAGCTCGCAGCTGCAGATGTCTTCTGGATCCGTCAGCACATGCCTGGGGATTAATTTTAGTCATAGTCATAGGAACATCGGCCGGCACAGCATGCACGGAGTCTCAACATGCTTGACAAAGGCACAGGGAACAATTTCATGCACCACCATTCCAACGTGACTATAACTTAGCTACTGCGATCAGGTGCGCGTTAAGGACGTGAACACAATATTGGGTGAACACGTTGGCATCAGAGCAAGACAAAGCAGGAAGTCGGTAGAGGTACGCGCACCTTTCCGCGCACGGCATAGAAGTTGAGGCGGGCGACCTCGGAGGCCAGCCGCTCAAACATGCGCACCCGGCCGTCCAGCCCGCCCCGGCCCACGGGGCCTGGCTTCTCGGGGGACTGCCCCTCCATCGCTTGGATCTCTGCCAGCAGCTTCTCCACCTGCACACATGACAAGGCGCTCCCTCACTCCCATGCTGTATTTGGCACTGTCTGCGGCAGTCAGATGGGACAGAGACTGAACCTTGCAGTGCTTGATTGCTCCGGAGTAGCAAGGCTGCGCGGATTTTGATCTCTGGCCCGGCAAATCCCTGTGCTCTCTACTACTCGGAGACCTTGCTGAACACCAAGGATCTGTATCCTTGGGCTTCCACTTCTATTTTGGGCAATTGCAGGGATGATTACCTTGGACATGACATGGGCAGTGTCCTGCATCAGCTCCAGCAGGGCCTTGGCAGAGGCCACACTCTGCCGCCGCTCCAGCCCCTCTCTCAGTGCATCCAACGCTGCTGTCACCTCCCCACGCACACCCAACAGCTTTTCCTGCACATGCATGTTCCTATATCAAGATTTGTCACCTTTTCAGTGCTCAGTACGGCATGCAAGAGATCCTTGCCTTCCTACCTGCCTGAAGCACGCAACAGTGTCCCAGTTGACCACAGGTGATGACAGGCACTTGATGGGTGATGCTGTGGTGGGTGCTAAAGGCACCTTTATTTCCGTCAGGGGCTTCTGCATGCGGATGACGGCGCTGTCGACGTTGACGAGCTTGGAACTGAGGCTGACGAAGTCCCCATAGTGCTCGTTGATGACCTCCACCAGCCTGTTGCGCAGCACCTGCAGATGTGCCTCCAGCTCCGAGCTGAGAGCTTCCAAGGGGACCTGCAACAAACAAATGAGATTGATGCACGCGCCCTGACGTAGACAGCTTTGCAAAGGCATGAATTGAGGGGCAGAGCACTACAACCTGTGCTCCAGAGTGATGTTCCCATCGACAGTGCCTTGCGTCCCTGATTTCAGAATGGAAAACAATGGAAAGTACAGGAACTCACGTATCTTCGCAGATCAGCGACGTAGGTCTCTGCATCGAACTGTGGCTCCACGAAGCGTTCTGGATTGAACCAGTGTGGAGCACTGTCCTCATGCTGGTTTGCAGCCTTCAAGCTATCAATTGATGTCATGCGAGTTGCTACAGCCATTGTTAGTTTTCAATCGCTCTCAGCAATAAGACATGAGGCCTTAAGTTTCCCAAAGTTTAAGGACGACCCCCTGATGGCTTGTGGACTTGGAAAATCAAAACACCAAGCTCTTCGATGTACATAAGCCACTGAAGAATGCAGGGCATCTGGTTTGTATTGATGCTATTCTTTGGCATTCCTTAATCATTGAAAGATCCCTCTGAGCCTTCTTATCTTGCCATCACATTATGTTCTGGTGTAAGTATGTCACAGACCCAACCACTGACTAAATATCTGAAAGGACACTTCCAGAGCAAATTGAATGTACATGAATATAATACCCTGCTGTTATAAAATCGGAAGTGGCAGACCAGATCTCCCATTCGCTTGGTGCATGCGTATGGAGGACCACGCCTACTTTGGCGCTCAAAGGGTGGCACTTCATTGCATGCATACTTCCCAAGTAGAGGTTACATAATTTTCATGAGCATGCAAGGAACTAAAGCCATGTCAGGTCTTACACCCTTCCAAGCCATAATGCATGTCGAATTACAGACTGTGAGTCAAAGAGGATAACCATGATCAAAGGTTCTGACATATATGACGTATATACAGATCAGACTCTACAGTCCCACAGCCTGTGTAAGAGTGGAATATCATGAAATCAAGGCCCTTGCCTTCATTGTAACCAAGCTTTGTCAACACCAGCACAGCTGCAAATCTTGCAAATAAAGCTACAGAGATCAAGCATGTCCTGCCTTGTCGATTATGCCCCCAGTCTATGACTACAAATGAATGGAGGGACACCAAAGAATGGGTGCCAAACATGCTGTGCTATTCTCTCATGAAGCTGGTGCACGACGCGGGTCTGGGGCATGCCTTGCTTGATGCAAGAATGCAACCTATTCTACTCCAACTTTTGCCGTGATGACTGCTTTCTTCTCTGCACGTCTCTGCACAAGCTTTCAGCCATCCCTGCAATGTAGGCCTAGTCAGTGCGCTGTGTGACTGTTATTATTATTATAATTATTACACGCTTTCCTGCCAAGAGGCAAGGTGCGTCCTGCAGACAAACTGCACTTAAACTTTAAGTCTTAAAGGCTGCCAGAATCTTTACCCCCAGATCCGAGCATGACCCAATCAACTGTGGGCACGGTGCTCAGTAATTGACGCCAGCCGGGTGTGACTGTAAAGGCCATAAATATGCGTTTTGACTTTCCCTCGCCGCCACTGAGGGTGTCTTTACATGTCCGAAAGCGCAGCAGACTGCTCAGAGATCAGCTGCAATGTCTTCTCCCAGCCGTCGTTGAAGATGTCCACACCTGCAGCAAGAAAAACGGGCATTATCATTGCTGTTACACACTTTTCCTGCCAGAGGCAAGGTGCGTCTCGAGAGGCTCCACGTAAAGGGCTGCCAAAAATCCTGCCCTTTGATGGACTTGCCAAAACCAAGCAAAGACCCAAAAATACGTGGGCACGGTGCACAACAGGCATGATGCAACCCAATATGCTCTGTCGCCTAACAGATGCACAAGCCATGTCCAAAACTTTCTTTGTCAATCTCCAGGAAGGCTGATACAATGAGCATTGCGCCAAAACATTCTCAGATATCCACACGGGATAAAGAAGAGTTCTTGCGTCATAGGTGAATATGGTGAGGTACAGACGAGGCTTACTGGCGTTCAGTACGAGAGGGACATGGTTGGCTGCGCATTGTAGGTATGGTCTCGACTGGAAGAAGTCCTGCATTGGCACATGCTCTTCCTTTAGTACATCAGATAAGAAGCCAATATTTCTTTCACTGACCAAATCCAAAGGAGCACCTCTTCCAGCCTCCAAAGAAATATTTCCAAGGTGCAAGCTCCTAATAAGGTTCTTCACCGGTGTATGGTTGCATGCTCACTATTCGCGGCTAACGACAGCCATCATACATGACACTCTGCCCTCTGTAATATTTCCTTCCCATATTATATGTGGGGAAGGCCTCTGTCGTTTGTTTTTATTGGAGGACTGGACAGCTCCATTCAGAAGCCCAACGAGGGCCCTGCGCTATCGACTCCTGATGTGGAAAGCATGTTGACTAAATATATCTGCCCCGGCTGGCGGGGGCCGGTACAAATACTGAGCACCGTGCCCACCGTTGATTGGGTCTTGCTTGAATCTGGCGAGTCAACAAGGGTTAGGAATTTAGCAAGCCTTCACATGCAGCTTGTCTGCAGACGCACCTTGCCTTTGGCAGGAAAAGCGTGTAATAGTAATAATATTATCATATGTGGCATTCTGCTCTCTATTCCCAACTTCAAATTTGAATCACGATCGTCACCGTCGCATCTGGTGGAGGGTTGCAGGGGGCGTCCCCAGGCAGTGGCGCATTCAGAATGGGGTTGGGTGGGTACTTTGAAGCATCCGTGTAGATTGTGTAGTCATCAAAGTCTGCATGCACAGTCGATGACAGGATCCAGAACAGGCTGCCTGCATGCACTTGAGCCCAGTCAATTTTGAGCAGTGCAACTGTCATGTGAGACTGAAAACACTCGGAAAACAGCGCTTTTCGCATAGAGTCCTTTACGTACACATGTCCTCTCCTAATCGAGCCTCACGAAGATTCGAGAAGTTTCCACGGGCTTGCCATAACTTCTTGTTATTTTCTGCCCAAGGCAGTTGTTGCAGCAGACTTTTAAGGCGTGAGGGAAGATTGCCTGCCGCGGGTAGACCCTCCATAGCTGACTGAAGGATCTCATCGTACACTGCACAAACAAAGGGTGTATCATCACCATCCTTTGTCCTGTGCCAGTCCATGGAAGAAAGCATCTCTTGAAATGCGTGCATAAGATGAAACTGCCAAATGCACAGATTGCAAATTATGTCCAGGTATTGACTCAAGAAGCTGATGCTGACAGGAAGATGGACATTGGTTGGAGCTGTTTTAAGTGACTCGCCTGCTGCATAGATGGCGTTGCGCGTCTGCATGGGGCGTTGACTCCCAAACTCGCCAACGATCACAGGCTTGCCTGCAACAGAGCAATCCTGAGTCAGCACGAGCAATTTGTTTGTGTTTAAGAAATGCAGTATCACTGGCTCAAGATTTAGGAAGCCTGCAGCGTATTGCTCAAATTGGCGTCCAAGTTTCAGAGCATTCATCACAATCATATACATATTGTGGCCCCGTAAGCAACCCATCTTGTGCTGTTTGTATACTTTTCAGAAGAGTGAATGAATAGGAGGAGAAGACGCCACCGATTGCTGCGCCTTCCTCAAAATGCACGCGCAGCCAGCGCTTGAGAAATCTCACTCGGCAGTCTACGCTGCAAAGTGTCCAGTAGCCCAGATTAGTCAGCGTCGCCTGAACTGGCACCGGAACTGTACCCAGGCTCACCTTGCAGTCACTGCAACCCAGCACATCACATCAGCCAGCGCAGCACAGAGTAGCAACTGTAAAGTATGTTTACTCCTGTGAGATTTGCAGAGCACTGTTTAGAAGAGCGTGTTGGCCTTCTGGCGATGCTTTTTATTTCTAGTGCAAATGCACCATGTACGATTGATGATGACACCAGAAGGGTCTTGCGATTATTTGCAGGACTTTGCAACACTGGGTTTCTAATACATGCCTTTCCTGCCCGTGGCAAGGTGCGTGCGTACGCAAACAAGCTGCAAGGACAGGCTGCCAAATCCTACCCCTTGATGGACTCGCCAGGTCCAAGCAATACCAGCCAACCATGGGCATGGCGCTCAGTTATAAATTCACATTACGCACCCTGCCAGCCTATGTTTTATGGATTAGGGTTCAGGACAAAAATTGCACTCTGAGATACAGCGGGGGTCAATAGTGCTGATATGCAAGCTCCAAAACGTAGACATTCAGATGCCATTATATTGGATGCTTGTGTGGTGGTAGCGAGAGGTGGAGGGCTTACTCTGTGCAGACTTGCCAGAACTCTGGGTACAGGTGCACAGAGCCTATATCCACGCTGGTGTTGGACATTAAGGCCCTGAAGTCCTCCCCCTTGCACACAGGATCTGCAGGACCAGAAGATCAATTTAGTCATAGATTTGAAATTCATTAATTGAGCATTGACGGTGTTGCTTGACGTACCTAGTCCTTCAGAACTGGAAACGTAATAATGATAATGACTGAGTCAATGATGCTTACTCAAAGGCTGGGAGCTTCTGGTCATAAACCATGGCTGGCTTGTGCGTACACCCCAGAACAGAGGACCACAAAGTGCATACTTTTGCCTTTAACCGAGCAAGACATGCCTCTTGAAAGGGGTCAGTTGATAGGCTTCACACAGCAATGCTCAGCCGATCCGAGCTTAGGAACAGAGGCCCTGATTTCAGGGAAGGGTATCCAAAAAAGGAGCTGTGCCATGAGCCTGGCTTTAAGTTTCCCTGGACTCCTAGCATCACCATATCTTGAGCAGGTCAGCTTTGGGGAGACCAGGGTCAAAGCTGTCGATTTCAAATTTGAATGCAAGCGGGTCAGCTGCTCACCTGCGGACCAGATGCCTGCATTATTGCTGGAGTCACTGGCTCGCCAGGAGAGGTCTTGTGGGTTTTCAGCTAGCAGTCCTGGGCTGGAAGCACCAAAGTAGCCCCATGTGCCCACCATGACTAAGTGGTTTGGATCGACCGCCTTCACAAAATCCGCCATGTCTTTCACCCATGCCTGCAGCCAGCCAAATCATCCTTCCTCACATGACATATTATTACAAGCTTGTTGTTTCCTTGAACCAGTCTTGCAAGTCAGAATGCCCTGCTAGCACATATTATGCTTGCTAAGACCTTTCCCTGAGAAGCCTGCCCTCCTGCGTGCTGACTGTGTTTCCCCTATAGAGCCTCGCAATATTTAAGTACCGCAATGCACGTTCCTTTCCATGACCTCATCATCACAGTCTTGTGCCTGAAAGTTTTCCACAGGACACCAGACTCGAACAAGGCAAGCATGTCAGTAGCGAGGGGTTACTAATCCACGTACTGGTAAAGAATGCATAGTAGCAGGGTTTGACAGCCCCTAGGGCCCCCCAAGGGACTGACCAACCTGCTTCAGGGCTAGGGGCAAGATTTCAGGGCAAATCTGGGATTAAATTTAGATATGCCAGAAGGGCATGAGGGCATGAGTCCCGAAGCCACTTGCTGTCATTCAAGGACACCCTAGACATTTGAGGCAATTTGAACCTTTTGGAGGCTTGGATTCAAGGTAAAAAACTGCATTTATTTTTTATTATTATTATTACATGCTGTTCCTGCCAAGTGGCAAGGTGCATCCTGCAGACAAGCTGCAGCTAAAGGCTTCCATAATCCTACCCCTTGGACTGCCAGATCCAAGCAAGACCCATCAACCGTGGGCGCGGTGCTCAGTACTTATATCGCCCCCCGCCAGCTGGGGCCAAACTGCATTTACCAGCTGAAAAATCTTGGGTACCTCAAAGATGCCCCGGAGGGTCAGCGACTATCATGGCAGCGGGCGGGGACAAAGCCCCCGCCCGCTCTTGCCTATTTAGGGGTTGGCCTGAGATTTTCTAGGACCCCTGTCAAACGCTGCATGGTAGGGTGACTCACCGTGAGGGTCTGGCCTGAGTCATCTCCCAGAACCCACGGCTCATTGGCAAGATCCCAGGCCATAATTGTGGGGTCGTCCTTGTAGAGAACTCCTGTGATGCTGTTGCGCCGCGTCAGAATTGCCTTCACATAGTCCTTAAATGCGTTCCTGCAATGCAGCACACGCGATATGAAAGACCTTGTCAGAGTATACTTATATGCTTCATTCTCACATGGTTTCCGGTCCTCAAGCACTAGGAATGCCAAACAAGAGCTGGATTTCGTCAGATGTGAATGGCCTAAGTCTTCTACCGTAGTACTTTCATTAAGGAAGGAAGATTACACATCGTCCAGCCGCCTAGGGCTGATGAGATGTACTAACAGCATCCAAATGGTGAAAACAATCCATGACAAAATATCGTTAACATCATACGCTGTTTGCTTTGCCAGGAGGCAAGGTGCGCCTGCAGACAAGAAGCTACAAGCAAAAGCTGCCACACACCCGTCCCCTCACTGGAATCAGATTCAAGCATGTGTGGAATATGTGAAATCATGTCGAATATGTGAATTAAAAATATAGAAAAAAGAATTGGCATGCCGATCCGACAGCAGCTTCCTCCATGGCTCAAGGCATCACAGAGGCTCCTGAGATTCAGACAATCTTGGGTTCTATCTTGCCGTCACCTCTCTATTATTCTGGTCCAGAGGAGCACCCCAGGAACTTTGTTCTTTTGCTCCAGATCGGACTCTACTGAGGCAGGTCAGGAAATGACGGGAGAAATGTGAATTACAGCGTCTGCGAGTGTCCAGCCTGGCAGCATGGGAAGTGGCGTGCTAGGAAATGCTGCTTGCCTGATGTCCTGCCGCTTGTAGAATTCGGAGATGTTTTCCCCCTGGAACCACTGCACCCACGTCTGCATTCCCCCAAAGGCCGTCAGGTAGTTGGTCAATGTCAGCACCAGCCGCATGTTGTGACTGCATGCCATTGCGACCACATAGTCCAGCCCCTGCGTCCACAGCACACCTAATGTTCAAGTAAGGTAATATTAGTAATATTAGTAACATCATCACAGCCATGTTGGCAGTCAGATTTTGACCTGCATCACCTGCATGCATGCATGCGCGCACATTCTGGCCTTTTGTGAGCCAGAAAACAGACACCTGTAATTTTCACCAAGAAAAAACATTTCATTGTGACTGCTCCTCTTCCTGCCAGAGGCAGGGTGCGTCTGGAGACAAGCTACAGGTAAAGGCTGTCAAAATGGTACCCCTTGTTGGACTCGCAAGATCCAAGCAGTATCCAATCAACCATGGGCACGGTGCTCAGTATTTATACTGCTCCCAGCCAGCCGGGACCGCATAGGTGTGATTGTTATTTCAAAAGAAGGGCAGCAAGGATGGGAAGGGAAGATGGGCAGGTAAAGACTGCCTGCAAGATCAGTGAGTCTCAGGTGGCTCCCAACAGGACTCTCAAAAGCAAAGACACACATTATTTGCCAGAGGCAAGGAGCACATGCAGACATGCTGCATGCACATGACAGTGCATGATCAGAGGGGTCACTAATGCGAGAATTTCCTAGTATGAGCATCCGATGCTGGAATGACTCGGGTGGCTGATGATAGCGGGCCCTCACATCACATGCTCTCAGAAGAAGAAAGAGAAAGTTGCCTACAGTAAACAACTGTACTGTGTATTATTTCTGGTTAAGCACGGTCTTCACAACATGCAGGCAATTGGCCCCTCGATCATGTCAATTCTATTAGACGCATGTCCTGATATAGTTCTGCCGGACTGACTGACATCCGGGTCCTTCAAGGTGTGACATTCGGAGAGTTTTAGCACATGATACTTCTTTTTGCCTGAGTTGGAGGTTGGATCAAAGCGCACCCCGCTGAGGACTCGCTCGTCCAGAATGCCCAGAGACGGCTGGATGGCATTCCACTGGGAGCCGTCTGCAAAAGCCCATGTGCGCAGCACTGTCAGGCCCAGTTTCTTCGCGTCCCTGTCCATTCCAAGACAACCATTGTCACTGCTTTGCACTGCCTGAGCTTGGCTGGGAAACTCTGCTGTCTGACAGATCAGTGGCTTTCTGCTGCTTGCCCTGCACTGCTGGTGATAGGACCATTCGCAACAGAGTGGCAATCAAGCCGTGTCTCTAGGGCTCATATTCATATGTTGGGTGGCAGAAGAGTATTAATCTGTTTGGTGTGCATTGGCATGTTTCTCGTGCATTCTTAAGTGTCCTGCTTGGGCGATGATTTGCTGCAGCAGTGCGATGATTCGCTGCAGCAGAAGCCATCTTGCAAGAGTAAGCGGGTTACTAACAGTTCGGTACCCTCGGACATTAGGGCTGAAGTAAGACTGGGCACCTGAAAACGACGTCCACATCGCCGGTGCGCTCGATGAGGAAGTGCGGGTCGGCTGCATAGGTGGGCAGGTAGTAGTTGTTGAAGCCTGCAAAGTGGAAGCGCTCCCCATTGACCTGCAAGACTCCACGTTTCCATCAAGAAGTCCAAGTGCACATGATGGTTTTTCTGGCATGTCCTGTCTTTCATTACTCGAATGACTGGTGTGCCCTGTTGCCTGAGCCAGGCTTGCCTTTTCTGCACATGCCTGCTATGCATGCTGTGATGGGCGACCCCCTCTAGGGACCATCTGCTGAAGTAAGACCAGAGAAGTATGAGTAGTCGCTGTAACAAGTCATATGCAGAAGTCCCTGAGATTTGTCTTTCTAGGGTGATAGCATGCAAAGCATCAGACTTTACACAGTGCTGCAGCTGTGTTTGTGCAAGCCGGAAGTGATCAGCATTGAGGACTGAGGGAAACATGGCTGCTCGTGAGTTGGGGCTTGGAGGCTAACAAGGGCAGCGGATGAAGCTTGGACAGGCTAATTCTAAGGTGTTACCTGTAGCTGGGACCCATTTCTGACGACGAAGTCCTCTGGATAGGAGGCAGAGTATGGGTTTTCTGGCAGAGCCTTCTCAGAAATCGAGAATGCACTGGTCTGGAATTCGCACTGGAGCTCACGAATCTTGGCCCCTGAGCACACAATAACGGCAGAGCTCTCATTTACGAATACTGGCCATCTCTGGCTTTCACAGGCTCATCTTATGCTGGGTTCCATCATAAGCAGCAGTTCCTTATTTGAGTTGGAGGTTACAGTCATCCAAGAGGCCAGACCAAAGAATCGCAGACTAAAGAAGAGTAAGGTCGCGTCGATTCGGTACAACAGGATTGATGAAGCGTAACACTGAAAAGGCCACGAGTGGTCAAGCACGAGGTGGAAGGACGACACCTGTTTCAGGTGTGCTCAGGAGGAAGCCCACGCACAGGAAGACGAAGCGCGCAATCCAGGGAAGACACCCAAGCCACTGTTGGCGAGGTCTGGCGTATTCCATCGCCGTGGTGCACGCTTGCTAGCAGAACTACTAGCAGGCCTCAAGAGAGCTCAGGTTCATTTCGGTTTTACGGAGAGATGGAGAAAATCTTAGCTTGCTTGGGCCTTCATGTGTGCCGTCAAAATTTGTCAAACGACGAATATGTCTGTCGTTGGGCCATGTCGAAGACTCTGGATTGGCCAGGTGGCCACCATTGCTTTGGACGAATCCTTGGACTCGAGTTGCATGCATGATCACCTCATACAAGATGACTCACTACATCCATACAACCTCGCTTACAATCCATCGAGACGTACAGTAGGTTTGGAAGGCGAAAGCTGCACAGGTCAACATAGAAGCTCAAATTTGCATCCATGCTTCGAGTCCGTTCTGTTACAATATAGCAGAGCCTTTATAGAGCATTGAGATGATGTCAACTTTTGTTCCTGTGGGCGGTGAAATATGTCCTCTTTAACGAGATGAACACTACAAATAATCCTTAGGAGGCTGCGTGGATTACCTCAAGGTCGCTTTGGCACCCTGATGAGTTTGTACACAACTTTAGGCTCTCAAGAAATGTATCTGCTCTGCCACTTCAATCTAGTGGCAATTTTGTATCGCAAACATACTGAGAAATTCGATAAAAATTTCCGTGAAGAAGATCAGGGCCTTTCTGCCCTGCTCTGGCTTGGCGATGGGTGTTCTAATCCTGCGATGCTTGATGCCTTGCAGGTAGGAGCATGGAGGGTGCAGCGGCCTTCCAGCCATTCCAGTCTTTGCAGAACTTGCAGCAGACAGCATGCGCATGTCCATCTCCATTCAACGTGCCTGTGCAGCTTACCCTTGGCTTGACATCCTTGCACCAAACAGGTGCTGACACCCCATCATATGGAGAACCAGGAGTACATTGTGTAGCAAGCATGTCCTTGATAATCTCCTGTCTTTTTATTTCACTTTTTAAAAATCTACGACATGCTCAGCGCTCCTTCTTTTATCAACAACTCTACAGCGCTTGTGACGTTGAGCTGTGGTGCATCAGGGAAGGAGGGGGCAAAGACACCAGCGCAGGCGCCAAGCCTGGTCAATCAGACGCTGGGGGATGGGAGGCTGAACGTGGGGACGCACATGCCGCTGCTGGCTAAGCGATACAGCTACCTCAGCGTCATTGGGGAGGGAGTGTCTGCTCAGGCGCGATCAGCACTCCAAGCTCAAGTATTGAAGCTCAAATGAGTTCAATTCGTCATGCCACTGCCCTGCAGACGTCTGATGAGCACCCAGCACACAGACATCACCAGCTTCAATAAGTGCTTCCAAGAACACTTACATGTGGCATCTGTGAGGAATGGCTGCCTGTGTCACTGTGTCACCGGTGGTTCTGGGGATGAGCATAAAATAGTAATATTGGCGCAGGTGATACTGGCAGAGGATACACTGCGCCAGGGTGGACACCTGGTGGCTATCAAGATCATGAAGCGGCAGTATGCGTATGCCGGACAGAAGGTGGGCTGACTCATATTTTCGCGAATGCATGCCAGTGTCTTGAACTCTCATAAAACGAAGATCATATGAGAGTTTGACACATGCCTTGCAAGCTCCACGGCTGCATGTATGTTCAAGGGCCGCACGCCACACTCAAGCCGTGATTCCATGGCCCCGTGATTTAAATTTTCCGGGCCGATAACACTCTTTACACCAGACATTTCTGAACCTCGGCTGAGCAGTTGTTGGGGACTGCGCTGTTCCTGGTGTGTGCCTGGCACTGCTGCGGGCTCTGTCAGCCTGGAAAGCAGCATTTGGGCCGCACACTGTCAATCTCTGCTCAGGAGGGGCGATAGCTGGGCTGCTTTCTTGATGCGCCGCTGCGGGCTCTCCCACCCAATGCAATCTCAGGCAGACTAGAGGCGCACAGAACCTAATTCCCAAAGCTCTGTTGAGCGGTTGTGGGGCTCGCACCGCAGGAGGTGCGGGCGCTGCGCTACATTCAGGCAAGGGCTCCGGATTGCGCGCGGGTGGTACGGCTGCTGGGGACGTTCATGCATGCCGGCCACATGTGCCTGGTGCTTGAGCGGCTGCACCCCTCGCTGCTGGACTACCTGTCCGGCTCCGCCACGCTCGCCCCCTGCACCCGCATCGCCAACCTGCGCAGCATCGCCTACCAGCTCCTGGTGTGCTTTCTTTATTTTTCCAGCTGGAATTCTGCCCCAGTACAAATTCTGAGCGCTGTGCTCAGGGTTGATTGGGTCCCTTGCTTGTGATCTGGCGAGTCCATCAAGGGGTAGAAGCGCGCTATTGTTTTTTTGCAAATCTTTTAAACTGCGTCCCACATTGCGGCACAGCATGCTTGTGTTGGTGGGCACTGAACATTGTGCCGTCAGTGATGTAGTTGTGGCTTGAGGCCTCCTGGCCTTATGTGACGTCTTCTTGAACTAACTTGGTGACTCGTTAATATAAACTTTGAAAGTAAGCAGAGGCAGGAATGGGTCCTTGGAGTTGTCAAGCTGGGTTGATGTGGGCGAAACTTTAGGATTCTACAATTCAAATTTGTGTGCAGGGTACAGTGGCGGTGTTGCATGCAAGCGGGGTGGTGAACGCGGATCTGAAACCAGACAACGTCCTGCTCAGGCAACCCCATGGCGTCAATCCGGGGGCGTGCCCGGAGGTAGTCATCAGTGATTTTGGCAGCGCCTTCAGTGAGACTGAGACAGACACCATGCGCCTGGTCTACGAGATGCAGACTCTGCCCTACAGAGCGCCTGAGGTGATTCACCCTCTGCTGGGTTGGGGGCCTCTATTTCGACTCTAATTTGAGTCCCCTGGGATACAAGATTGCCCCACCCAGAGGCCATTTGTGGCCTTAGGGGAATCCACATAGCGCCGAAAGCACTCACAAGCATATCAGGGGGTTGTATATAGATACCCTGAGAACATGACTCAGGCCATGCATCTGCGAGCTGTGCCGTGTATTGCACTGTGCACCTGTCTCCAGAATTATATCTGAGAGTGTTTGCATCTTAAGATTGACGGCCCCTAACAGGCCATGCATAAGGTCGCAGGCGGGCATGTCAGCGTGTCAATAGTGTGCACAATATGTTCCTTCAGATTTCGAATGGCAGATCTTAGGAAGGGCATGTCTCTGCGTGGCATGTGAGTCCTCGGGAGACTCTGCACAGGACAGCTGTACAGCTGTCATATTTTTGAGTTGACTGTATTTGACATGTGGCTGTACAGGTGGCGCTTGCGCTGGGCTCTCCAGTGGGGACTGCAATTGACGTCTGGTCTCTGGGCTGCATGCTGGCTGAGCTGGCCCTGCAGCAGCCCCTCTTCCCATGCCACTCCCCTGCACAACTGCTAAAACAGGTATTGTGTTTTCCTGCCCACTGTTTCCTTTTTCCGGAGTTCAATCTTGCAATCAGGGCTGGCAGAAGCTTATTGCTGCCGTCCCACCTGATAATGTTCTGGTCACAAGAATCCATGAGCTGCCACATCTTGCTTCTTTCAGGCAATTGCAAAAATATCAGGCATGGGAACTACTCAGGTCATATCTGCCATATCGCCTTCAGCAGTCCTGATCATTCTTGTCTGAGCTACCTGATTAGCATACTTGGAAAATCCCGTAACAAACCTGAACCCACATGTGACATTATGCATGCACTGCAAACGCAGATAGAGCAGCTTCTGGGGCCGCTACCGCCGCAGCTTCAGCGCAGCATGTGCCGGCCCGGCAGCTGCGCGCCGGCCGGCTCCTCCGCTCCGGCAAAGCCGGCCGCGGCCGAGGCGAGCCCGGCCGGGCAGCCCGAGCTGCCCTGGCTGGGCTCGACCGGGGAGAGCGCCAAATCTGGCGCTGCAGTGGTTGTCACAGGCAATGGCCGCTCCTTCAGACCGGCAGAGATGCCTAAGCAGATCTGGCATGAGAGTCTGAGTCCCCTCGGACAGGAGCTGGCAAAGGTAGGCGCCTTTCTGTTGACGCACCAGAATGTGTGCATGCAACAGCATCTTTGTGTCTTCCTCTTGCTCACAATGCCCTTCACAAAAGTTGACTGTTTACCTATTCCTTGGCAATACTGTTGAGGAATCATCTCTGCCACTGAGGATTCCAGCATAAGCCTATACGAATGTCCAAGGATGGGCAAGGTGTTGAGAATATGCACAGCTGGCACTATTTCCAAGAGGCCTTTTTGCCTCTTCCCAAGGCAAGGACTGCTTTTGTGCAAAATAAGGCATGATGGTGTCGCTCAATGTCTTGCAGGTGGATCGAGGACTGGCGGATCTGGTGTTGGGCATGCTGCAACTGGACCCCACACAGCGGCTGACAGCCGCTGCTGCGCTGCTGCACCCCTTCTTCGATGCAGTCTCGCCCATGCGCGCTCTCATGCAGGTGACTCACGGCTTTTTTTCTGTATGTGCAAAGAATACCTTGCATTTGAGGTATTATGCATAAAAGTCTTGCAATTGATTGGAGCTAGCATAGAGGATGGAGCTCAGCACCACCATAGGAGCTGTTTGTCCTAATAGGAGCTAAATTTGCCTCCTCCTGGCTGTCTATGAGAGCAGAGTGACGCCGTTCAATTCAATCTTCTGCACGGTCTGACGGCATGAGCTCTGTCTTTGCAATACAGGCCACTCTGCAGCCGGCGTTGGCCTGGGACGTCAATGCAAACAGCGCGCAGCCGCAGCCGCAGTCCGCCTCGGCCCTCACTCACGCGCTGCGGCAGGTGTGTGAGGGCCGGCCAGCGCGCCATGCAGCCACTGGGAATGGGGCAGTGACAGCTCAAACAGGAGCCAGCGAAGAGGCGGAACCTTTAAGGAAAACGCAGCTGGAAGCCGGATCAGTCAGCGCAGGGCGGCAGGACGGCGCAGCGCCGAAGAGTGATGCCAAGGGAATGCAGTTGGGCACCGACAGGGCGCCTGTTCAGGCCGCTGGATTAGTCAGCACACGACTGGGCTCTCCGGGCGCGTCTGGGCAGCCCAATGGGCCATCCTCGTCGGCTGCGGCGGCGGAAAAGGCTGCAGCAGATACGGTGCAGGAGGCTCTGGCACTTGGGAATGTCGAGCAGAAGGATGCAGCAGACTCAAGAAAAGCAGAGGGGCAGTGCTCGTCCTGGAGCCACAGAGGCGCTCCGTCAGCCAAGAGGGGCGCACAGAAAAGGGTGTTTGCCACGCTGGAGCCGGAGCTGCCACGCTCGCTGTCCAAGTCTGCCGGCTACACAGACAAATTTGCTTTTCCAGAGGCTGACGGCGACACTATGGCTGCGGCAAGCAGCGCAGCAAACGAAGCAGCTCCAGAGCAGCCCTGTGTCAGGGGCGGAGCTGACGCCGTTGTGCCTGGTGCGGCTGGCAAGGCTAACGGTCTTGCAGAGAAAAGGGGAGCTGGAGGGTTGCAGGGGAGGAAACCAGGATATGGGGTGCCGGAGACGGAGGCGGAGGGAGGGAACGCGTCGCAAATCTCGCCGGCCTCGCCGGGCACGCCGGGCAGCCCGGCCGGGGCCACCCGGGCAGCCGGGCAGCCGCCGGCTGCCGTGGCCGACGGCGCCGGGTCGGCCTCCGAGGACTCCGGCACCGCCGACCGCCCGGCCGCGCCGTCTTGCACCAGCGGAGTTGCGCCGCCCAATGAAACCGCTAGTGCAGCTGCCTCTAGCCCGCGTAAGGCAGACCGCGCGGCTGCTGCCGCCCTAGAGCGCGACCCGAGTGCTGGTGAAACTGTCGCCAGGCCTTCAGCAACGGCTAAGGCGCTTGTCGGCCAGAGCGCTGCCACAGAATCTGGGGATGCCAGAGTGTTGCAAAGGGAATCCTCACGTCAGGAGCAGAGGCCAACCCCGGGTGCCCCCCAGCAGTCCGGCCTGGTCAAACAGCAGGGGAGCATGCGCAGCGAAGCGCGTCCGCTCGTGAATCCGGCCATGGAGCGCGCTCGGGCGGCCAGTGGGAGCGCAGGCTCCCTCCCAAAGCCGGCAAGAAAAGATGCGGCACAGTCTGGTGTATCTCCTGCGGCGGAGGCAACGCCACGGCAGACCAGCACTGCAGCAGATGCGGCAGAGCAGCCCGCAGCCGTGGATCAAGCCAAGTCAGGCGCCACCGGCACGACACTCACGGCCAAGGAGGCAGGCGAGGCGGGCGGCACAGGCGCCAAACGGCGACGGAAGCTCGAGGGCGACTCCGGCGAGAGCAGGGCAAAGCGAGGCCGGCTGGCCGACGCCGATGCGGTGCAGCCAAAATCCGAGCAACCCAGCCAAGGCGGCGTGCACGGCGCTCCCCAGGAGGCTCTCCCCACGCAGGAGCCGGCGGCGGCTGAGAGCGCTGGCGATCTGAGCCTGGACGTGCTGGCAGCGGCTGCCTCGAGCGTTGCAGCCGCCCCGTTGCACTGCTGGCCGCGCCGCAGGACCTCCATCGGAGAATTGCCCCCTTCAAAGGGCGGCGGCGGCCAGAGGAGGGCAGGGGAAAAATCTCCCGGCAAGGCGAAGCGGCCGTCACCGCTATTTACGTGGCCGGCCGCCGCAGAGGCGGTGCGAGACAAGAGCGCCCCGACGTCCCCGGTCCGCGCCAATACTGCGGCCGGCCAGCTGTTGCCGCAGGCCGGGCGGTCTTCGGCGCACGCACGGAAGAAGCAGCCGGGCGAAGCGGCGCAGGCTAGGGCGAAGGAGAGCAGGGTTGAAAAGACTCCAAAACCGGGAACGCCATCTTCCGGACACGCCCTGCGCGACCGATCTGCCAGCGCTAGGAAATCCAGCAAGCCCTGGTGGGTTGTGTGAGTTGTCTAATTGCCGCTTCGACAAGTTGGAGGATTTACAGATGAATGCGAGCTTGTTTGAGAGCAGACAGCACAGCAGGAAAGTTCCTGGTGGTGCTGGGATTCTGGAACTGATCTGCAAATGTCATGTACTTGTGTTGCGAATCTGGGACACATTTGAGTCTATCTTAGAGTGTCTTCACTTTTTACGTGTATCAGTGTTTGTCAATATCTTGCAGATGAATGGCAGTTGAGTATCTTTGTCACGTTGGCATGTGATTGAATTTATGATCTGCTGCTGGCTGCGTCGCTGCAGCGTGTCATGAATGGACTAATTGCTACCCATGGTCAGTCTGTGTTCCTCAGCAGCAAGGCAATGAAAGGTGTGTGCCGCCAGAGCCTCTTTGTCGTTGCATTGCAATTTTATTTTCCGCGAATGCTTCCAATTCTCCATGATGGGCTGATCAGATGTAATTGTACATGTACGACTACAAGTTCACTGATGGCCCTGGAGCCGCACATACAAGGTGATATGTGGTAGCATACTGCACTGCAACTGTGCTGGGTGCAGATAGCTCCACAGCACCCAGCCTAACGCCACAACAGCATAATTTGGTTTAGATACAGTGGACATCTACTCAGCCTTGTTGGCTGGCACGATGTAATCTCTCTCTCTCTCCCTCTCCTAAAGTTTTCCCCTGACAACTTTCCACAGCCTGCACACAAGTTTGGAGACGTATGGTCAAGGTGTTGCACAATCGTTTTCCAGCTGCTCAATGCATCTAGATCTGTTCCAGAAGTTCAAAGACTTTCTGTTATCGTTCCTTGAATTTGAAGAATTGCCAGCTGCGTCCCCAAATTTGCGCCAGCCACATGAGCCCCGATAATTCAAGCGGCAACTTGTTGGACATCAGCTTTCCTAGGACGGCCGCGCTTTGCCTTCATTGGCTCAACTGCGGTAATAGCCCCATCAGCGTGGGACACAGCAGCCTTCACTGCTTTCTTCCAAACCCTTGCCCCCTTGACTTCAGGCAGACTCCCACCACTGCAAACACTAGCCACTGGTGATCCCTCATCGGTGTCCACTGCCTTGCCCCTGGACCTTCTCATGGGTCTTTCGGGGGAGTCCACTTCTCCTGCAATTCTGCTCATGTTCACCCTTGCCGCTGTCACCATAAGTCCATCTCTGCATCTGCCTCGCCTGCAACATTTACAGCCGTCCTGTTGCATGTGTCCTCAACACACGACATCGTCATGACGAATACTGTGGCCCCAGATAGTGTTAAATGTTGATGAATGGCACTTGGACACAGTCACAGAAGCACCAAAGAAAAAGTATTCAAAGAGTCCTTAGGTGGGTACACCACAAGGTACCCAGGAAATCATGACTTAGCAACGCACCGCTACTGCTTCACAACATTGTTGAGCTGCTGCTGAAGCCATCTAGGGATCCAGGGCACCTGCGCCAGCTCCTTCAGCGCTCCACGCTTATCGCTGGGCTCAAGGTTGTAGAGGCCTGTCAGGCTAGCGATGCTCAGCCCAAGCGACGCCCAGTCATCCAGCGCTTGAAAGCTCCTAGGCCCAGCCCCATCCAAACGGGGAGAGCGGAATGCAGGAGTTCCCGCATCAGTGTTTTTTTTCACGGTGGGGTCCCTCTCCAGACAAGCGGCATCGAAGTCGTTGAGCAACAGGTTGCCATCCCCGCTGAGCAGCATGTTGTCTGGCTTGATATCCCTATGCAGGGTGCCACTAGCATGTATGGCCCGCAGCGCTTGACAAGCCTGCAAGAGCACCACGGAGGTTGATTTTGCAAGTTACGTTTTGCGTGGTAATGCTCAAGGTAACACTCAGTCCGTACAACCATCTTCCATCCTCAACCACTATGCAAAGCCCGGTGTACAGTGCAACGCTGGGGCTGCTATGCGGGGCTGACAGATCCTTATAAACGGCTAAAAAGGCACTTACATAAGGCTAGAAAGGCACCTGGCTGCTATATTTCTGCTTCCCGTCAACCGTGGCAAGGTCCGCAGCTGTGATGTTTCGTGGGCAGAAGTGCTGCAGCCCGATGAAGCTCAGCCCGCTACCCGCACCTTCCACCGACCCATGCATGCCTGGCACTGCTTTCCGCAGGTAAAGACAGCCTTCCTTGTCGATGTACGCATGCGCCCTCAGCTCCGTGCTGACATGATCGTCGCTGCCGACCTTGACAACAAAGTCTGCATCTGGCTGTGTTCGCAGCATCAGCGAGCGGTGGCCGCGTGCGATGACGGTGGCGTCAGTGAGGGGACATGTCGTGCCATCTGTGGACCTGAGCTGCACGGGGCTCAGCTGCAGGTTGTGAAGCGCAGCAAGCCGATCTGAGTACCGCGACAAGTAGCGGAAGCCTGGGGGCGGGTCTGAGCTGCCAAGATTCGCCCACTGCATGAGTTCGCTGAATCCAATCCGGCCTGCTTCTTTCCCAAGCTCATCCTCTACCTCCTCCCACTTCAGCCTTACCATCAGCTCCCCCTCTGCCAAGACCTTATATTTGGGTATGGCCGGAGCAACGCGGCAGCGCTGCACCTCCCAATCTGGCCATACACTCCTCTGCCACTGCAGCTCCAAGAACCAGACATACTGGGAGCGGCTGACCAAGACGCCAAGGGTTGTGACGGGAGGGTCGCGTTCGCCTAAGCTGCGCAGCTTCGCGCACTTGAGAATCTGCTCGTCAACAGCCACACAAAAACGCTCAAAGCCACTCGTGATAGCATACCCAGCATCCATACAGGAAAGTGGGGGCAACCCTGTCGGTTGTTCCAATCATTGCAAGAAATCCGCTATTATCAAGCTGGTCCAGTAACCATGAAGACCTTCATTTTTCATTTTGTCTTCAAAACATCCAAGGTATGGGCTCGCAAGATCTCATAGAAGGCTTCAGTTCTAGTTGTAGCACTTGGGTCGGCAATGCTAGCTCGCATAGTGCCTATGCGAGAGCCATCAGCCTTTTCAGACTGTCTCAGAAACGACAAAGTTCAGTGCCAGATCCGGTCCGCTTCAAAGCTCCAAAGCAGGAGGCAGTGTGCTTTAAAACACCAGGACCTAATTGTTGCAGCAAGGGATCGTTGGGATAGCTTCGTGCCCTAAACAAGCTTCCACAAACTTACACCACTTACCTGTAAACTAATTGGTTAGGCACTCTACCATAACTTGAAGTCAGGCCAACGATGGATCCAGCTAGAGCACACCTTTCCAAAGCCATCGGCGTTCGCGTGGATCCCGCTCACAGGATCTCCTGGCTGGCTTGGGAAGTCAAATGCCTTGATCTCACTGGGCTCCAACTGCATCCATGAACCATCCACAAGGATCATCCCTCGCACATCTTCCCGCGAAGCATCGTCCGCAGTTTGATTCTCGCGCTCAAACCTCAGGCCAACCTGGCCTGCACTGGCGGCCTGCACAGACACATGCACACCCTGGGCGATCTCAAGCATAATAAATTTTGCGCCGTGGAAGTACGTCTGTAGCTAAATTCAACAGCTGGAGAGGGGTTACGCGTGCTCCTGCTGCACTGCCTCTATGACTTCGTGGAAGTGCAAGTTGGCTCAAGCTCTTGATGCGTGCCTGGAACAAGTGGACCACAAGCGGATGGTATGGGAGCTCCAGGTCCTTCTGGCCAATTATGCGCGCTTTGCGGGCAGATATCAGAGTAGAGATCTCTGACGCAAGCGTGTTGGGGTCTTCCAGCAGCATCCGCAGGTACCTCAAGTCCGCCAGCAAGCCTGTGGTTTCATGTCCTAGTAAGCTGTCAACAGTAGCCACCTCGCAAGGCACCTGCAAAGGGGCAGAGCTAAACGTCAGCAGCTGCAACAGCCATGGCTGCACACAGAGACCGCAACTGCAGAAGAGGTGCTACTCCATGCAAGACTGCCAGAGGTTTGAGAAGATCCATCGCTGCACCTTAAATAACAAATCGCACCTCTCGTCCCTCAATGTCATTTCTCCAGAGCGCCGCAGCCGCGCAGTCCTCAGTATTTATCCAGGACTTACTGGGCGTGCCCTCGCCGACTCCTGTCTTCGTACGCTTGTAAGGGCGCAGCAACGCGTGGCGCAGCTTTTCCATGGCGTTGTTATTGGAGACCAGGAGGTCCACTGGCGAAACTGTTTTGCACCCAAACAATGTCTTACGCCATTTACCATACACAGTGGTCAGTAAGCAAGTAAGCAGCATTAATTGCCGCAACAAGCCAGTGGCATCAAGCCAAAAATCGCTGAATACAAAGGCGCGCAACCTAAGGTTGCAGCGTCAAGGTCTGCTGAGGCCAAGGCAGACTGTGCGGGTCTGGCCAGGATAACAACTGGCAGCAGACGCCGAGCTCTACTACCTCCAGAGTAGAGAGGGAACATCACAGAGCTGCAGCCAAGGCGCGCAGTGCAGACTGGCAACTACGCGGACGTAGATGGACCATCACTGGTGCTTTTCTGGCTCTAGCCAGATGCTGATAGAGTCTGAAGTGTTGTGTGCAGCCAAATCACAGCGGCACAGGGAGGGAAGCTACCCAAAGCTGCAGAGTTCCAGTGGCATCAAGCCCAACACCACTAGTAATCAAGGCGCGCAGTACGGGGTGACTGCTGTGCGGACGCACCTAGACCTCAACAGTGTTTGGAGCTCTAGCCAGGTTCTGATAGAGCCTTGATACAAGCCCACAACCACTGACAACAAAGGCACTGCGATCTCTGTGCAAGCTCAGCCAATAAAAGCTACCTGCTGTGACCTCCTTGACGAAGGTGTACTCCTTGCCAGCCTCCAGGATGCGTGAGTGCAGCACAAGGTCACCGCCCTCCCGCAGTGTGCCCACGCCCAAAGTGTCGAGTACGTCCTTGCAAGATGGAGGCGGGTTTGCAGGCAGTGGCAGCGTCTCACTTGAAGAGGCCAAATTGATATATATCTTGTCAGCCATCCTGCAGCAAACAGACACCTTAGACTTCTCAGGTAGCTACCAAGGAAAGCTCCTCATATATATGGCATATATGCCAGAAGGCTTGGGAAGGAGGGCAACCAAACAGAGTCTGCACACCTTCACAATCTGACCTGCGCTGCTATTGATATGTTCAAAACCAGCAGGCAGCAAAGTGGCAGTCTGATGCAGCAACTTTGAGAGTGCAGCTACCGATGCAGTCAAACAGATGCCAGCAAGCCAGGCCGATTTAAAAAAATTGTGTGTCCTGGTTGGGAAGGACGTGGCAAGAGTTTTAAACAGCAAGATTGTGGTTTCCAATTTGCCGAATTGGTTCGTCTCCAGAGATTTGTAGCTTGATCACTTTTGACCTCCAGTGACCTCCAACCCTATAGACCCTTATATATATATATATATGTTAAAAGAAGATATCTCCCCACATATCCCTTAGTCTATTACATGGACCCTTCACACTTCCTGCATGCGAGTGTGAGAACAAGGAGCATCCCACGACAGCCCTTGGAAAAAACAATTGTTTCACAGTTGGGCATCGACCCTTTTGCTGTCTCAGCTCCCACTGTCTTTGTGCGGTGCACTGACTAAGGCATCGCTTCAATATCATATACTGATACCTCATCAAGCTCACTCCAGAGGCCTGGCTTGTCCCCAGCAAGCGCCAGAAGTTGATTTTTCTCCTGTGGACTTTCACCGCCTGCTTGATAAGGCGCACCACATCCGCTTTGGTGACTGGCATCCTGTATGAAGAGTGCACAAGATCAGCCCTGCTATGATGAAGCCGTTGCACTGGAACCCTTCAAGACGGGGAAAATCATCAGACCACGGTTTTCTAAGGCATAAGTACAGATGTCAAAACAATCAGGACCATGGCACTTGTGTAAAGTTCTTGTGCATAGTGGCTCCAAATAGCAACAGCCTGTGAAAGGAGGAATTTTCTGTGAAATTAACAAATGGAGAGATAACACATTTCCTCCAAGCTCTTGATGTACAAATACAGGCTGAGGTGCTTAGCAAAGCTTGGACATTGGACATTCTGCTGCAAAATGAGGCTTCGAGACAATACTCACAGAAACGATGCAGACCGGATGAAGTAAAAGATAAGAACAGGGGCACGTTCCTGGGAATGGCCAAGCAAATATTGAACGTCAAAATAGCATCAGTGCTGACTGAGAAAGATACATAGGCATTATAAAGACACGAAGACGGTCTCTGAGCTGTGCTCAAAAAAAATTCATAGGAGAGCAGACGGCGATAGCAACTATCGGACACCTTTCGGATCTTCACGGAGACATGGGGCATCTTATCCTGAGAATTAAGAAGAAGAACAAGAGTTCACCTGAAGTTGGAGAGCTACCCACGGTTCTCTTTGCCTTGCCTGACGCCTGTGCGAAAGTCACGCCGAGAACAAGCCATAAGTTTTGCGTAAAACTGCAATGTGATCTAAGACAGGAAATCCACTGTGTTTGATAGCCATCCACAGCACAAGACTTATTTGTTTTCCAAGGTTAACTCCTCTGGGCCTCGAGTGTTGCCAATCAAGGAAACCATACTGTGTCCCAATATTGGCATTTCCTTGGCACTCTCTTGCCGCACTCTTGCCAAAGCCCAGATATCCTGGCGCATGTCGACGAAGTATGGATGTGATCACGGAGGAAGTGTCCGTCTTGACGAAAGAGGGTGCTCCGCAGCGTAAGACTGCTGTGATTGCTCAACACGTTTCAGTCTCGACGTACAACTCAGGAAGCATCACTACATTAACATACTGACATTGTTGTGACCTTTGTCAATTATTGTCTGGGTTGCTCTAGGCTGGTGTAGTCCAGGGGGACGCGACTCGTCTCTGCGTGAGGACTAGTGCTGACAAAGCAAGGTGATCCCTTGTTGGGCTCATTGTGACAGCCTTGATCAAGCACTCTGTTACAACGATCACATTGACTACGCAAAATGTCCCTGCAGTGTTCTCACAAGGGTTTCACCACTCTTGCGTCCTGGGTATAGCTGCACATCGTACCAGCTTCCTGCCTCGTTGAGGCATTGTTTCTCGCGGTGCACGACCTTGGCTTATCAGCAGAATGAATGTTCTGCCACTTCTGAATGAATGACTGATCCCTGCGTGATACATCCCTCATTTTGGCAGCACGCCCCCCTGGCATCACAGGTGACCTAGTACATGCTTAATGCCGAAGTGCAATCTTAGGTGACGTCTGTAAGACTTCAGCGCATATTGTTGATGGCCAGGTACTGTCATGGCGTCAGAGCAGCTGCAAGCCCTGCCTGATGCGCACCCGGGGCTGGCAGGCGAGAGCATTGAGAAGGGCAAAGGAGATCGCTACAACATCCATGTCTCCAATGCAAAGGGATACCTGTGCCACATCCACATGGAGGTACGAGTCCTGTCAAGCCTCTGCCTTATGCTGATGTCACAGAGCAGCGTGCACCAGTACCTTGGACTATATTACCACCCCTGGGCATCTGCATTCCATGATGAAGTCTGTTATCTACTGAGGTTGTGTGCCTGCCTGACAGTCCAAGTATGAGTGTCCACCGGAGATGCTGTTTGCAATATTCACAAACCCAGGTCAGGCATTCCAATCCTCCTTTTCAAATTGTGGTACCAGACGCTCTCATGTATGCCTTCTTCGTATTGCTGGGCCCTGCCTGGAGACAATTTGATAGTCTCACAGACCACGCGGAAGACTGACTAAATCGCAATGCGCTTCCCCTACAGACAACACGGGCGTCTTCAGGGATATAAAGAAGCGCGGCAAGCGCAAAGTGCTCGAGTTGGACCCAGCCGGCCGGAAGATTGTAGAGGCAAGTATTGACTGAAACACTCCAGGGCGGTAACCAAAACATTTGGATAGCATCTCGTCTCCGTTCCAGCCGGACCAGCGCTCAAAGCACATCATATGATTGCACTGCGCCAATGCAGAGCAAAGGCTTCACTTGATATGGCACTGTGTGCTAAGAGAACGCTGCACTGTTCCCTGACATGGCAGTACTGCGATGGATACATAACCTGATCAGCCCCTCGTGAGAACTTCTGCTGTTGTGTGTGCTGCAGGTGGAGCAGATTGGGGAGGCGAAAGTGCTGTTCAAGAGCCGCGAGTTCACGACGCTGCTGAAGGTGGACGAGGACGCGCGAAACCCTGAGAAGCTGCTCACTGCATTCACCCTCATCCGTTCTGTGCGCCCCCGCACACTCCTGTGTCTCTCTGTACCTACAGTTGTAGTTAGTCCTCCCCATTTAGAGTCGCACCTGAGGAGATGGGCCCATTCGTGATATGGCCTGCCCCAAATTTCATTGAGCTGCAACAACAGGGGGTGGGGAGCTCAGACAACAGCAGAATAAATATTGGAGACTAGTGCTTGTTCTAGCAATGGCCTACGTGCGGACCACTTGAGTTCCGGCTTCTAGTGCCTGCCATTCCTGATTAAATAACTCCATTGTGCCTGCTAGTGGGCTTCCTGTCCCATATGGCTTGCTACTCTTTATCCAAGGGAAGGGGGCATGTCTTTGATTGGCCCGGGCTGGCGGGGGGCGGTGCAAATACTGAGCACCGTACTGACGGCTGATGGGGTCTTGCTTTTATCTGGCGAGTCCAGCGAAGGGTTAGGATCTTGGCAGCCTCTGCAGGCAGCTTGTACTCTGCACACGCACCTTGCCTATGGCAGGAAAGGCGTTGAATAAAAATATATATCAGTTTACTATTACATATATTATAAAAACGACTGTTGGGTTTCGGCGCGTCCGTGTGCAGAGCTACCAAGGGAGCCCAGCTCTTGTTCGAGGAGTTGAAGAATGAAGTGTCGCTGCAGGACATTCTGAGCCGCTTCAACGGCTGCTGGTCGATGAGTCCCATAAGGAATGCTGAGGGGACTGAAGTGGTGGGCACAGCCGCCACCCTGGAACAGGACATCCTCCCAGCAGGTCTGCTGGGCCTGCCTTCTCCTTTTCTTTTCTATTTTTGCCCTCGGCCTTCTTCCCTGGAACCTGGCACTGCCCCGTGCTCTGCAACCCGCATTTAGATCCTTCGTCTAAGTGTAGAATTGAACCTGCAAGGCGCTGGCAGCAGAACATTGTAGGGATTGCAGCAGACTCCTGCGCAGTGCCTTCTTCCTGAACAATGAAGGGCCCTGCATGTAGGATACAAGCGGAGTCCTGAATACATTCCTCAACTTTGCAGCGCTTAGCTTTGTGGATTTCGATGCAGGCGCCCCTGAATTCCTGAAGCATGTGCCGTTGCTGGGCAATGCGCTGCGCGGCATCTGTGTGCGCGCAGTCAAGCGCATGGTCGAGGTGAGCCATACACCTGTCCCCGCATCCTTTGCGGGACACCTCAGTACACGGCGCCGAAATTCTGACCACAGGGTCTTGCTTGGTGGCATCGACACAAGCTATGAAGATTGCTGTCAACTCATGGCAAGCCCATGAGTTGACAGCGTAAGGGCTCAATCTCCGGCTGCCGCTCAACTCGTTCGCATGTCTGCATTGCGGTCCCAGGCTGTCTCTCAGAAGCATGTACCAGCAATCCAATACACATCACAGATTCATCTGGCTCGTACATCAAGTACATCTGAAGCTACGTCCGTGCACCCCCATCAGCTCTTCAGGGGTACTGGCACTCCCAGGCTCGTAGAACATCTGCGGGATGGGTGGCCCAAGGGCTTCGCTTGTGAGCAGACTTCTTATGACCCCTGGTCGGATTCCTGATGGACTTCCTAGGTGCTGGACTGTGCACAGGACTCCGTAATGTAGGGTACATTTGGGGGTCACAGAAAGCATGAGGATGGCCTGTTGTATTGGTCACGCATCAATCACTTTCAATTCGAGCCTGGAATTTTTTTTGCAGGATCTGGATAATGTTCTGGACAAGGTGAGGGCAGGAACGCCGCTGGACGACATCCTCAAGCCGCCGCAGCCGGTGTCATCGCATGTGCTCGATTTTGATGACTTCAGCGACGGCGAGGACGCTGATGTCAGCGACGGCCCCCCATCCGTCCAAAAGGCGGACGGCTCTGAGGTGCGCCACTCATGCTCTGCAGAAAAATGTTACGCACTTGCTGTAGAAAATTGACTGATCTTGCCATCGAAAAAGGATATGCAGCAGATTGCTCAACGCACAGAAAAAGCCCGTGCAACTGCTCTTCCAAGGATGGTCGTCAGTCCTGCCACGATGTGCAGAATTGTGAGCTACAGACAATTGCTCTCTGCACAGAAGATCCTATGCAATTCCTTATGAAACCTGGTCGGTGTTTGAGCAAGGCGAATAGCTCTGCGCTTTGGCATCAAGTGCTCTCTGCGCAAAAGATTTCTTAGAGGTCGGTGAGGGGTGGTTCTCTTTAAACCAATTTCTGTGGACTCTCTGCAGTACGATCGAGCCTGGCATGTCCAATATCATAACAAGGGCATTGCTGCATTGAGTGCGCTAAGATGGCTTGACCCTTGTTTTACCCCTGTAGGCCCGCAACTGACCTCCTTGATGCGCCCCACAGAACCACAGCCTCGACAGCGCTGCAGCGAGCGAGGCAAAGGCTGCAGCAGTGAGGAGCGCGTCTGCCCCTCAGACCACAGCAGGACACACAAATCCACTCGATGATGGGCACAGCATGGATAAGGCTCCTGGGGATTTCTGGGACAGGCAAAGCTGGCCCAGTCCCTCTAAGCAGCGGGCCGGCGAATGCCCCAACTGATATTCTTTCCAAGGAAACCATTGCAATTGCTCTGTGGTTTCTTGGGCTTGCAAGGTGGGCTGGTGAGCCTGTGCAAGGAGGGTTTGATTTGGTGGTGGTGGTGTGTGTAGATCTCTTGAGCAAGGGGCTCTCTGAGCAGGTTTGCTTGTTAGGCGTTTTGCAGAAGACGGGTTTGTTGCTGCAGGGATTGCGCGCGGGTATTGTGTCGGATTGTGCACCTGTATCCACCTCGGCGTCTTAGTTGTTGTTGTCTCCTAGCAGCAGGACATTTGCATGTATTTGTATAGGCACATTGGCTCATGACTTCCAAGCACAATACTTTGTCAGAAGACTAGTAATGATCACTGCACACCCGTTTCAGAAATCTTAGGACTCTGCAGCGCCAGAGGTCTAGGCAGTGAGAACCGCACAGAGTATGACCTTTGACTTTTTACAGAGCTGTCACTATAAGAGCATGTCACTATTAGATTTGTCGCAAACGGAACCAACCTTCAAACAGTTGACTTCAAGACTTGTAATTACCGCGGTATATAATTCTTTAGAGACTTGGGGACCAGTCTAGACCCTTCTGACAGCCTCAAACGCTCACAAGGCTCCTTTGGAGTGTTCTCACACACCCAAATAATGCCGTTCCATTCTTACCAAAAACCTTGCTCCTACACCTGCTGTCAGACTTGCTAGATGACCACAGTCTGCATGCAGACCTCTCTGCAGACTTCCCTGCGTCGATCTTCTGCTCCGCCATATTGACGCCCTGTGCAAGCTTCTTCGGCATTCGTCCCCCGCTTGAAGAGGCACTGATCAAGCGTCTGCTCCGTCTGTAGAACAAGTGTCATCTCAAGGTTGGCAGCTCTTGGCTGGAGATGATGCTGCTGCTAGGCTGCTCCCCCGCAGTGAAGAGCAGACTCTGTTGCTCGCTACACAGCAATGGTCTGCCTCGCGCGAGCGGCCGGCTGGGAAGCTGGCGGAAGCCGCAGGCGGCTGCCGGCGTTAGCCGGGCGCTCAGTACACCTCGACGTGCCACTGGTTGTTCTTCTTGAGCTTCTGGAAGAACTCCTCCCACACCATGCCCTTCTCCGACGCCACGCGCTCCAACATCTCCTGGATGCCTGCGCACAGCAAAACACACCCAATCGTTTTCTGTGCAGAAACACACGTCCTGTCTATCAATGCGCACGTGTATGGAGTGCCCCTCTGCCCAAGCCAGGCCTGTCTATCACGCCATCATTGCTCTTATAGGGTGTCTCGTCTAAACCTCATCTGAGTACTGGTATCCAGAGGTCACCTGGTCACTAATGACCAGAAGATAACATTTTGCTCACTTGCTCATTGGGACCAATCTTTGTGCATGCGACTCATCTGTTCAACTAGGCTCTCAATGCGTGCTCGTGTTGGGGCATTTTCAGACATGAGGCGCAATGAACATATTGTTGAGGCCCTCTCAGACATTAAGGATGACTGGCAAGGTAGATATAGCGTGTGTAATTATGTGAGTGCGTAATCACTGAAAGGAAAGGGAACAGTGGTCGCACCAGGCATCATGCCCTTGAGGCCGCAGAAGTAGATGTGTGCGCCATTGTCCAGCAGGTCAAACACCTCGTCAGAGTACTCCTCCACCTGTGCCACAACCAAACAACCACCCTTGATGACTGAGCATGACAGCACTGATCAAATTTGCTCGCACAGCCTGGTTTCTGCACACTGTCCCCATGTGCGGAGGCAACAGGGCGGGGGCGTGCCTTGTCCTGGATGTACATCTTGCCTCCGTTCTTGTTGGTCTGCTCCCTGGAAAGGGCATAGTCCACCCGGAACTGCGCAGCCACACGAATATTTAGTGCCAACGCTGCTCGCAAGCACCATTGCATGCTAGCAGCTCAGCCGGCTCCTATCTGCATCACTTCCATGCCCAACAACAGATACTTCCAGAAGTCTCCCCGCCTGAAGATAGTAAGGAGTGATGTAGCTGATCGGCAATCTTGCTCAGCTGCTCCGCACTGCTCTCATTGCTGCTGCTGCTGCTACAAACTCACTCCTTATGAAGGATCCAATGACCCCAGCAGGACTCTGATCGCCAAGGCTGCTGTCTCGGCATCATCGGCTGACCCCACAGCCATATTGAGCTGTCCCTAGTCAACCCAACATCAAGACTGATATACCTGGTCCGGGGAGGCCTTGAGGATGGCCTATCACTCATCATTACAAGGCGCCCCACACATTCCTGTTTCCCTAGTCATGCTGAGTAATTCACCTGGAATTTACATGGCTTCGCTAAGCCCTGCAACCACAACGTGATGAACTACTCACCTGGTCTGGGTGGGCCTTGAGGATGGCCTGCAGCTCGTCGTCGTAGAGCTTGGCGTCTGAGTTTGCGACGCCCATGAAGAGCCAGGCGAGGCCGGTGTACTTGTAGCCTTCGATCTCCTCCAGGAAGAAACGCCGCCAGAATGCGCGGTAGGGGGCGATCCCTGTCCCGGTCGCCACCATGATGATGGCCGCGTTTTTGTCTTCGGGCAGCAGCAGAATCTTGCCGGTGGGTCCTGCACGGGGCAGCAGAACAGGGGACAGATCAGGGTGTCAGCTGTGCAGAAAAGGCTGTTCTGGGTAGCTTCGGAGTATGACAGAGTGGCGTGCGGAGTCTTGAGATCTCAGGAGACTCTCCATTGCAATTGGGATGGGTAAGGCATGCCGTCTGCTCCAAAAGGAGCCAGGAAAAGACAACAGTGTTCTGCTCAAGTCTATTGCTTCACAGATAGATATCAAAGGAGGGCGCATGTGGCATCCCAGCTCGCCCAGGGACTGGACATGAAACCTTGCACCACAACTCAAGCTGCCATTCAATCTATATAAAAACCTCCTTTATGTTAAGAAGTATCTGTTGACCAGACTGGCCTGTGCAGGATATCCAGCATCAGATAGGGACGATGGAACGTGAAAGCCTGTGGGAGACACGCACCAGTCATGGTGATCTCATCGCCTGGCTTGGCATCGCAGAGGAAGTTGGAGCAGATGCCCTTCTTGGCAGGGTCATTGGCCTTCATCTCTGGGCACCAGTACTCGGCACGACGAACGCACAAGGATGTTGTCTTGCCGTCGAAAGTGTCTCCGTAACGAGTGGCCGCAATGGAGTATAACCTAGTACCGTGGGGGACCTCCTTGCCCTTCGAGTTGATTTTTGTGCCCTGCGAAGGAAGGTCTCAACATCAAGAGTGTCGGAGGATCTCATCACCGCCGGCAGATCAGGGCAGACCGGAACCAATTCAAGAGTCACCACATATATCCTCCAATGTCTTCAAAAGCGTAAGTTCGGATGTTAAATTAAATACTGTAGCATTGATCAGGCCCATACCAGCTCCCAGAGTTACAGTCTAGAGGCGTACCGGAGGAATGACACCATATGACTGGCCCTCCCAGTATGGGATCTCTCCCCTGGTCTCAATCACGATGTGGCATGTCTCTCCAGTAGCCTTGGGACCCACGATGCGCTCCACTGACTTGACGGTTGCCTTGAAAGGCTTCTTGTTGTTGAAGGTGTTCATTGGCAGGTCACCCTTCTCCAGCTCTGCAGGGACCTTGTTCTTTTTCAGGGTCTGCGTGGCTGCCTCAGCGACAACACGGTGACTTCTCCTCGCTGCAGGCTGCTGACGGTTGGCCTTGCATTGCACTGAGGCGCCCAAGAAGGACTGCAAGCCACAAAACCTATTCTCAATCCTGCAGTCCTCAGGCAGTATTCCATAAATGCAATTGGCTGTCAGGGGTTCGTACTATATTGATCCAAGTACTAGGCAGAGCGCATGCAGTACACTCTGACAACGAACACAGACCACAGGGCGCACCTTGCTGGAAAGATGGACCTGCATCGCTCAAAGTCTCTGCAACAATTCTATATAGACGTCTTTTGCAATCAAATACGGTACCACGCTGATGTACAGAGTCTCACTTGAGGAGCCAGATCTGATGACAAGCAGGGAGTGAGCAGATGCACAGAAGCAAGCAACCCATTGCCGCAGAGCCACAGAACAGGGTGAGGTTGGGCAGGCTACATATCTATCTATATTACCCTACATTCAAGGGGATGAATTGCAGGGTTCCGACAGCAGGTTTCGGAGAATCTGGGCACGAGCTGACTCGTCTCGCCAGTTCACGTGGTTCTATCAGTTCTGTTCGACCACAAACGGGTGCTGCGCCTGATTGACTGTGTCTGAGAAAAATACGACGAGATAGGGGTGCCGAGCAGCGGTGGGGTTACAGACAAGGCATCGAGCAGCAGCAGCTAGGCGCCGTCCATAGCTGATTCCGGTTTATGTGAATAGGACGAGGCCGTGAGAGGGTGGTTTTCGCGCGCCTTGCGACTTGTAAATGACGTTCGGTCAAAGCACGGTATTGAGACAGATTCAGAAACTCGCGAACGAGGGTCCACAGTCGCCCGCATGGCGTGCTGTGAAAGAGGGCGGTCGCAGTCAGCAGACTTTTAGGCACGCACCTTGCACCTGTTCCAGAGTGCAATGTCTTCTAAATTGATTTCATAAATAAGATGCTTCACGTTGCTGCTTAGCCCCGCCTTCCAAGCACAGTGAGAACATATGCCGCTGATGCGCGTGTCCCATGAGCGTTGGGCCCAGTCTGGAATTGCAATTTAGATGGTGCACAGCCGGTTCATGACTGACTGTTAATGGAATAGCACGCAAAAGATTCTGTCTTTCTGCCTGCTGAGAGTGCTTGATTGGGCTGCGCAGAGCACCAGCAAAAGGGCTGCTGCCATGGCGCCAGAGGAGGCTCGAATCAGTGCAGCAGCTGAGGGTGGCACGAACCGGCATCGATCTGCTGGGCAGTTTCGATGTGTTGGAGGAGCAGAGCTTGGAGTCCATTACAGGTGAGGCATCCAGAGCATTTCGCCCCCCTTTATCTGCTTCCGTGCGTCCTCATCACTGGAAATACAGAAACCTGTCCTGCCAAGAGTATTTGAGTGAAGAGACCAGTGAAAAGTACACAGAGTCAACCCTCGGACGGCTGGCAGTCCCGAGTTGCAGTTACCTTACACTGCAACTGGCCACAGCTGGCCAGGTACATCGAGCACCGGTACCATGCCCCACGCTTGATTGGATCCGGCGAGTCCAACAATGGATAAGTTGAATTAATGATTTGGTAGCTTGTAACTGCAGCTTGTCTGCAGACACATTTTACTATTGGCAGGAACTGCACAAACACCCCATCGGCGATGGTGAACGGGCTTGAGTGAGAACATCTACAAGTTTGTGAGACACGTGTGATCTAATATTGAGAGCAGGTCTCAAAGGGTGTCTATAACTGGCGCAGATGCAGAGGAGGTTGTACCCGAAGTGCTGGCATCAGTGGACGCTGTTGAGGCTTTGGAGGCAGCTCTGGCTGCCAGGTCAGCAGCAGAGCCTGAGCTGGCGCCACCTGGCCCCAACGGCCTTATGTCACCGGCAGTGCAGGGCATGATTCTGCTCAACATCAGCGCCGCCCTATTCGGGTCCAATCAGGTCTTGCTTCCTGTCAAGTTGAAGTTGGGAACATCAACCAGCACTTTTACAGGGCATCTGTCATTTAGCATATCACGATATTCATGTCTTGTTGGAGCATTATCAAGCAATTTGGATCCGAGGCTGCCCAGCATTCAACCGAACAACTGCCCAATGGAAAGGGCAAGGTTTTCGAGTCTGAATTGCTGATTTCCTGCTCCTGTTAGGTGCATGCATAGCTTTTACAATCGTAAGAAGCCTGCAGAGACTTAGTTATTTGGTCCTCGGCTCTCGCTTAAGAACTCACCCCACTGAACAACACTCCAAAGTGGTTCCAACTCCAAAAATGTCTCCCTTTGATTGTTGCTTTTGACCGGTGCTAAGAATAATTGCAATATTATTGCCGAGCAGGTAGTCATTAAGCTGGCGGAGGCTGATGTGAGCGTGAGCGCGCTGTCAGCGCTGCGCTTCGGCATCGCTGCGATATGTTTCCTGCCCGCCGCCAGCCGCGGCCTTCGCATGCCCCAGCTGCGCGCCACCGCCCTCGAGCTCGGAGTCTGGCTCTTTGGTGAGAACTTCCTTTCTCTCTTTCATTTTCCTATTTCACTATTCCTCAGTTGTTCACACCTTCTGAATGCTGTGCTTCAGTTGCTGCATGAGGTGCACGATTCCGAGCTAGCTTCGCTGCCGTTCTCACTCTCCGGTTTATTGTGCTTCCTTAATTTAATGGGCATATTGACACAGTGGCTACCCCTTGTCCTGCTCCTTCCCTGCATAAGCAGCACCTTCTCAGTGACAATGTGCTCATGCTAGGACTTGCTTAGCACAGGTGTAGCAGGTCTCTCTCCCATTTCTCTCTAGCCGTGCATGCCTCTACAAAGGGTGCATGGTGTCCCATATGAAAGGTAAGTTCGCGTAGTCTTGGGAACTCCTCTCATTCACTGTGCGGTTGGAGGAAGCCTTTGCCGATGGGCAGCATCGATGACGTATCCGACTGGAGCGCTGACTGGAGTATTCACTGCTAAAGCAGTCCTGCAGTATTCACTGCCAAAACAGTATTCCCCAGTATTGACCGCTAAAGAATTCCCATTCATCTTCTCGTGCAGGCGGCTACACGCTGCAGGCGATGGGGTTGGAGTACACGACTGCCTCGCGTGGGGCATTCACGGGCACCTTCACAGTGCTGGCCGTGCCAATCCTGGTCGGTCTGTCAGGACGCAAGATCCCCTGGTCCACATGGGCCGCCGCGGCCGGCGCGCTCACCGGTTCGCACCCTGCTTTCCACTCGTTTTTTTGCTTGTTGGCTTCTGTGCCGAACGCATCGTGTCGCCCTTATCGGCCGTGCTTGTGCACTGCACCATCCATGTCATGTGTGCGCTTGCAGCCCTTATTGAAGGGACCATGTTCCCTTCGATGCAAGCAAGAGTGACGCAAGTTCCTGATTGCCCTATACAGAATGTCTTTGCGGAGATTACCATGCAAGGAGCCGTAGGTGACAAGCGCAGATCGAGCAAAGTCTCTCCTGCAACGTGGCACCCCAATTAGAGGTCATCTGAGGCCTCAGGGTCCAGGGGAATACACGACCTGCCCGTCACCCCAAAGAACAAGGGAGTTGAACGAGGGTTGTATCAACTGCAGGCGTGGGTCTCCTGACGACGAGCGGCGCCGACCCGAACGTGGGCGACGCGCTATGCATCGCGTCTGCGGCGCTGTTCGGAGTGCATAAATGGCGCAGCGAGGCGGCGACCACGCGCCACAGCGAGAGCACCAGCGAGCTCATCGCGGTGCAGCTGCTCGTGCTGGCGTCGGCTTCCGCGCTGTTCTGCACTCCGGAGCTCCTTGGGCAGATTTCCCAGGGCCCAGGTGTGCGCCCACTGGCATCAGATGAACAAGGATGACGGTGGTACAAGTGATGTGGAGGTGATCCAGAGTACTGAGCAAGTCTGACAAGATCTGTTCCCCCTAGGCCTTCCTCTTTACTTCCATGTGAAATTGGCTGTGCATGGATGCGTCTGCATCGTGCTAGCAGTGTGATGGCGGGGGGGTTTAGGACAGCTGCTGACAGGTCAAGAAGAGCATGTGAATTTTTCGAGGGGTGGCTGGGATACATGCCATGAGCTGGTCTGCTCCTAAGGTTCTCGCACTTAGAGAGCCTTGCACTCCGCACATGTAGCTGCATCGTTGGAAGTTTCCCCCACTGAGGTGATTGTTTGCGCATTTGCTTCCCTGCGAGCACAGTTCCACCTCAGCTGCAACACAGCACCCTGCAATCATGCATCCATATGTTTTTTTGCATTTCAAATTCAAATTCAATTTTCTCATGTGCGTGTGCAGAGCACCTGCTGGCAGCTGCAGAGGGCCTCCCCTGGCCGGCACTGGCCTTCATGGGCCTGGCAACGACGGCGTTCACTCTCTCAGTGGAGATGCACGCCCTCAAGTCAGTCTCTTCCCCGCTCGCTGCTCTCATCTACACGGCTGAGCCACTTTGGGGAGCGCTGTTCGCCTGGGTGCTGCTTGGAGAGCGTTGGGGGCCCACTGGCTGGGCAGGCGCCGCTCTCATAATCGCTTCCACTCTTGCCGCGCAGTTTCTTGGCGGCAGCGAGAAGACCAAGGAGGCTTGAGGGATCCCCTCTGCTAGTGAGAAAGTCACACTGTGCAATCTCAAGCACCAGGCGCTGAATCCCCAATGGCATGCATTGAGTGACTTGCGGAGGTTCACCTGCAAAGCACACTCAACCAGCAGCCGCTGTGGTAAGAATAATTTGCAATGCGTGGCTGGCAGAACTTCAGCTGCATTGCAGATGCGAGCAGCAGGCGCTGCCGCTGCAATGAAGTCATATCGATGAATGTCGTATCCGCGTTGCGGATTCCAGCTGCAGGCAATGCGCTTGTAATGCCTTGCATTAATAGTTTGCAGAGGTTCATGCGCAGTGCAGACTCAAGCAGCAGGCGTTGCGCTCATACAGTGGCGTCAGTCTGCAATTTTTTACCTGCAATGCCGACAATAAGCAGATGGTGCTGCGCTTAAATTGGCATTAAGGCAGTCTTTTGCAAAGCTTATACGGTAGTGTGAGGGCCAGTGAAGGCGCAGAGTATCATAATCTATTCGATGTGCAGAAGCAGTATTCCTCGTAGGCAAGCATGTGAGCAGCAAACGTCTAGATCAAAAGTGAGAGTCACAGCCGTGACTCTCCCTTGAGATGAATATTTGGGGCACTGAGCCTGAAGCATTGAAGGGCATTACTGCAGATGCATACGTGCCAGAAGAACAGTGTGAGGTATGGGCTGCTAAAGTGCCAGAGGGAATGGTGGTGTGTGGTATTTGCCGAATCATAGGTTGCAGGAGAGAGGTTGATTTTGCTGTGAGATATTTGCTGAGCGTGGAAAAGCTGCAAGGCCATTTTGGGTTAGCCTATGCTTTCTGGCATGCAGACATTTTGAAAAGGAATTTTTGATTGATCCTTTTGGCAGGAGTGACGAGTGCTTGATTTTTTATGATGCGGCAGCATATGAGTATTCAATTGCGCCAGTCAAGGCGCCTCAAAATGTGGCATTGAGGATAGATCTGCAAGGCAAGAGATATGCAGGAAAAAGGAAGGGGCGTAGAGCAGAGGATAGCCCCATTGATGTAGAAATTTTGGTCCAAGAAGGTGCACTGGTATAGAAACTTGATGACGGAACACAGCATAGTGCTCTGAGCCTCAAGGCAGCTTGAGGACATCTTTCTTATGTGTTGCTGGGAGATGCTCTCTGGCTGAGATAGGATAAATTCTAGGAGATCTTCTAGAAGGGCAAATCTCTTAGATGGTCAGCAATGTGCTTGTGGGTACATGCAGGATGGCGGTTGGGATGCAGCTTGAAAGCGTGCACTGCTTTTGCATTGGCGGTCATTAGCTGCGGGCTCTTCTAGCTGTTCTGCATGCTGCTCGCTGTGTGAGTGGATTGCTGATATGGGAACAATTGATGGAGCACTGTAGGCAGGAGCAGTGTGGCACATAATAAGCAGAAGTAGAATGCACCATTGCTTGGCACCATATTGGGCATCGTATCGGACTGTGTCACAGTGTGTTCACGCCAAACCCCATGGATAGCCCAGGATATGGGGTGCAGTCAGCATTCTTAGCTACCCCTTGATGTGTTGCTGGCAAAGCGATTCTTGATTGATGAAAGATAGAGTGCGTGCTCTTTTAGACCCATATGGTAAGTTCCCCTTTCTGTTGGTTGGAGCAAGCGCTGCGCGAACAACAAATGCTTGAAATTTGCTGCAAGTGACTCTGATTTAGAACCTCTCAACATGCTGCTCTTCTTGGTTTGTTCCTATTACATAGCGTCTTTATCAAGCTGCCCCCCAGCATGCAGTCAATAGTCCATGACAATGAGCGCCATGATTCATATGCATGATGCACGTTGACAATTTCCGGATAGGTCCCGGGCAGTTATCATGAAACATTCACCCCTTCTACACCAATTTAGAGAGTCTTGTCACCAGTGAATGAGCATTTGATACTTGCTTTGACATTATTGTGCACTTAAAAACACCCTTAGGACCTCCAAGACTGTCAGATGAAAGCAGCTTCACAGATGACTTGAATGCAAGACAGTGCTATACTTTCATGTAGCTGGCGATGTCTAGCTTCAGGCAAAGAGGCTGGCATAGTCGGTGTTGGACAACCTGCAGAGGTCGTTGTAGGCACTGAGATCTGCACACGCACAGCGCTTGTGAGTTTCAGCTTAAGTGCCCTAGACCTGAGAGGTACAAATGAAGTGGTAGCTCCCAGATTCAATGACGATGAAAACAGAAATGGGCAAGCTGATATAGGATAGTGATTGCACGCCACTTACCAAAGTTCCCTCCAAAGTATGCTCTGTCTGTCTCCCTCAGCTGGTCTGGAGCCTCTACAGTGCCCTCAAATTCCACAAATTGTGTGTCCACGGCTGTCTGCTTCAACGATACGATGACACGTCCCCCATCCGATGTGACGACGTTCGCTCGATTGCCTTCCACAGATTCCACCTGCAGAAGCGTGCCAGTGATGTAGTGATGCAGTGACGGAGTCAGCTTCTGACAGATAATTCGCTGCAGAGACAGAACAGATGTGCTGCACAGACCCACAGCTGCTCATATGACGAGCACCATATACACAAAAGAATCACATCATCAATGTCTTCTTTGAACCTTCACGCTCCCTTTCACACTGTTGATTCCAACATTCCAGGGGGTGAGGTAAGCACCTTGCAGACGAGGAGCACATTTCTGCCCATGTATCTTTCCATCGACTGAAAGTTCACACGAGGGCTGGGGACAGCGTGTTCCATTGAGAGTGGCTGAAGCTATAGCTTAAGAGGTGATGATGCCTTCTGCCTCTAAAAATTAGCACGGCAGCTGAGATTTGACAGCGACAAATAAGAGTGTACCAGAATCGTTGAACTGTAAGATGAATGTTTGTTTTTTTCTATGCGGAAATCGAGTCTTGTCAAAACATCAAGTGTCTGTGAAAAGCGCGCAGCATGCGCAGCACAGCAGGAGCCAAAATAGAGAGCAGGCCCAACCTTTCTCCTAGCTCCATTGAGTGCGGTTTAAATGCTTCACTTCGGAGCTCATGATGCATTCTTGTGAGAAAGTCCCAGAGGTTTAGAAAACAGAGAGATGTTTAATATTGAAGCTTGCATCATGGCATGCATCCATATGGCATGGCGCAACTAAATTCAACTGTGCTGCTAATTATAATATCATATAATGATTACGACATAGTATACCATCAAAAGTATAGAAGTTTACTATCATGCAAATATTTGGTCAGTATTATACATGATGATCATGATCTATGTGGCCCATGGGCACGCACGGCCTGTCAGATATATCAGGTTAGTAACTGAGGTTACCTGATTCAGGTATATATATACATGTACATCGTGAATTACATTCCACAGCACCGATCACTCCGGACGCTGGTTAACATTGTCTCACAGCATCTAAGTCCATGGCCATTATACCTCACATGCAGGGACAGAGAATTGCTGCAAAACACCCTTGCTCCTTACTGAGCAAGAGGTGTGCACTGCCGACTAGCAACACTTCCAGAATAGCCCGCATGACTATAAACAAGCTCTCAAGAACCTAGCACCCTTCACATTCCACTGCTTTGCAGGCCTGTCTGACAGTTCAGTGCATTCTGCCATTCCAGTGTGGGTTTGTCCTAGCGCTAGCAGTGAAAACCATTCAATAGACAACAAGGGCAAGTTCCAAGCCTGAGGGTGCATCACTATTGACATGGGCTGTACAGGCACAATGCCACTGAAGCTTTCAGGCCCCTGAGACTGGGAATTCTTGGCCAGGCAGAAATACAGCAACAATTGCTCGCAGCAGACATCCTTTGACTGCACTGAATACCAGCAGTCAAAGGATGGCTGAAATACAGGTACAACTCTGTGCCTACATCTCGTTTCTTTCCGCAGTTGCAATAAGCTAATTGCTGGTACACCTGACAGCCAACTGATGTGGCATTTTCCACAGCACTGATGCTCCTTCTTTAAGGCACAAAAGACATGAGCACAGACATGTCAGCTTCTTGTGCCGCAGGGCCTCTGATCACAATTGAGCAAGTCTCGTCACGTCCCGGCCCCTAAAGAATATCGGCGCATACGCGCCGTTCTTAGATCTTGCCTCATCAATTTCGTGCTACGCTCGGAGTTCTACAAGGCTTGGCAGCGACTATTGAATACACCGGGCGCGCTTGTCACTGCCAAGATCTAGCTGACAGAGATTAACAACCGCAGGACCCATATATCCTCGCTGCATATGTGCAAGGCCTGCTAAGAATTTCTTAGCTGCCAGATTGGGTATCAGGGGAAAATAAGATCCGCCAGCCGCCGGCCTGATCAGGAGGCCGTCAGCCGACCGATGCAGCGCCTGATCAGGTGTCACCAGCACCCTGGCCTGATCAGGAGTCCCCTGAATGCGGCAGTGCCTGATCACAACCTCTTATGGAGGCAATACATCCTCAGCAATCGTTTTTTCAGCCGGCGCCGCATCTGGTGTGAGAGGCCCAATAGAGCAGGCCCTATCAGGAGTGGTTCTGTTGATGGCCCTGTCTCTTTTGGCAATATCGACCGATCATGAGTCGTCGTCGGAGGACGGCGATTCGGCAGTGGCGGCGGCTGCGACCTGGTCAGCCTCAACAAGCTCGTCGACTAGGGAGCGCCAGTCGCCGCGCGTGGCTGCACCGGCGTAAGGCGGCCGGAGCGCGCTCGCCGCGTGGCGGAGAATGCGCAGCCGGCCCTCCTTCGTCCCATACGCGATGCCGCCGCCCTGGGACACATGACACCTTTGTTACGAGCCGGCATTTTTGGCTTTACAATAGTTGCTTCAGTGGCATTATCAGGCGGCTGGCAAAGAGAATTGTGCTATGCCCTATTGCATTCCTTCCGGGAAAATTCCAGGGCGATGACTTTCAGGTGGTCCCACATGGGATTCCATGCCGCATAGCCATGATGGGTACGTGTATTCCAGGGACCCGACTCCCCAGTAAGCAACTTCTTGCATGTGGCAGCGTTTCTGCTATTTCAACGCAGCAGTGGGCTCGGCAAGCAATGCCCATGGCTCCCCTGGCTAATGACTGAGACCTCCACTTGCAGGGATGCACAGCCCCCTCAACGTTATTATATTGGCTCGGCTCTGTTATGTTGCCACAAACATACATTTCGGTCGACAGGGCGACGAGTATCGAGTCGTCTTCTGAGGGGCAGGCCACCTTGCCAAGGAACCGTGGCCACCCATGTACCCTAGCCACACAGGAGGCCAAGCACCTTTATCCACCCAAACGTTCCTTCAACAATGGGGCTGCGTCGCTGCCGCATACCTTGCAGCCCTGGGGTCCACAGAAACACAATCCGCTTGGAAAAAATGACAAACATTGCTGTTTTTTGGTGCGCGGACAAGTTTGAGGGGGGCGCGAATGCGGGTACCAATGAGCCCTAGCCACAGCGGACTGTGATGCAGCGGAGTGTACCTTGAACGGGTGGAAGGCGGCCGCATTGACTTCGTCGGCGGCTGAAGGCAGCACGCGAACGAGCGGCATGCCAGCGGCCACCCGGTAAACTTCCATGATAGTGTGCACCGGGACCACGCTCGCGCCCGCGTCCGCCACCAGGCTCCGCAGCAGCGATATGTGCCGCCTGCAAGATACAGCGCATGCATATGTAGCCCTGAATTTACATGTTGACAGATGGTCAGATTGTGTGGACTGCCTTTTTATGAGTGGCTTTGGTGGGTGCCTGGTGGGTGCTTGGCTCCGGCATTGTTTCACCACGTTCAACTCCACAACATTCTCTGCCCATACCAAAAGAGCACTGAACACAAAATACGGGGGGCACTCCATAAAGGACAATGGTGGCACTCCCCTTGGGTCTGGGAAGGATGCTCTGAATTGCTCGCAACCATCCTTATGTTGTGTTGCAGATACTAGGATGGGGAGCAGACCGTCTTGCTCCCTACCAGAGTCCAGACAGAGGCAGATAAAGCTGAAACCAAATCAGGTACTACTCTTTATCCTAGGAAACCTTGTGATGCACATAAGAAGGGGCGTGAGGGGGCCGCGCACCGTCCGTAGGCCAGCAGGATGTGCTCTGAGGAGGGCGAGAACTGGATGGAGGTGAGGCAGTGTGCGGCGCGGATCGCCTTGGCCGCCAGAACCGCGCCCAGGCTGTCGCTCAGAAGGCTGTACACTCGAACCTCGTACACAACGGGGTTCTCCGGGGGTCCCTGCGCGCAGAAAACACCGCTCAGGGCCTGCTCAGCAGGGGGCGTTCAACCCTAAAGCAGGAGGTAGCATACGTACCCCATGTGCTCAGGTACACGTGAGAGAGGGGCAGCAAGAGGGTGAAATTGCCGGATGCAAATACTGTAAATAGCCTGTCTGTGAGGCCCTGTATTCCGAGCTGTTGGGATGCATGGCGGCTCCGGCAAGCCATTGGGCGATATTGATCATCCTGTGGCTCGATGTGGACCGCCTTTAGGCAACACGCCAAGAGAGCAAGAGAGGTGCACCTTGCAGGCGATACAGGCGGCGAGGTAGCGGCCGCAGGGCGAGAAGTGAACACCCATTTCGCTGCACAGAACCGCGTCCGTGATGGTCAGCTCCGTTTTGTCCAGCGGCCGGGGCGCCGGAAATGAGCTGGCCGGCGGCGCCCCCAGCGGCAAGCCCGGCGGCCGCAGCACGGCTGCGCCGCCCTGGCCGGCACCACCCTGCTGCGCCCCTGCGCCACCAGCCAAAATGGTGTTCAGCAATTCTTGCAGTGTGCCGAGAACGACTGGAAGGCTGCACAAGGGGGTGATCAAACTGCAACCTTGAAGGGAAATACATTGTCGAGGCACAGATGTGCAGGCAAGGAAGGCCGTTTCAGGACGTGGGAAAATAGCCAGGCAACAATCGCCAGGCAACTCCCAGAAAGTCATCTATGCAAAAGTCGCCGTGCTCCAGGAGTCAATGCAGCCTGGTCAGAACGAGCCATGAAAGCCAGCTACAATTGCGTCGAGCTGCCGGCACGGGCGGTTCGTTCGGAGTGGCCAGCACACCTGCAGCGATGGCGCGATCTTGCTCCATAGCCTTGGCCATCTGCGCCTCCGGAGTCATCGGCGGGACCAGTAGCACCGGCCGCTCCGGGTGCTCGACACGCGCGCGCTCCGCAGCAGCGCAGAGCTCGTGCTGGGCCTTGAAGGCCGTCAACAAGAGATCGGGCGCGGCCCCGGCCGCGGCCGGCGGCGCGATCTCGCGGGCCGGGTGGCAGTCGTAGGGGCTGTAGCGCCACAAGCGCAGCTTCACGCGGCACGGCTGCTCCTGCCCGATGACGTTCGCGGCCGCCGCCGACGCGCGAACGGCTGCCGCGTCCTGTGGTGTGCATTGTCCTCACAGGTCAGCACGGACAGGAGTTTGTTTGAATGGAAACGGCCCAGATTGGCCAATTCCCATGTACAGGACACGTGCAAAATACCAGAGCGCACGGCCGCCGCGTCCTGAGGTGTGCATCTCCTTTCTTAAATTCGCACGTAGATTATGTTTTTGACAGACTGGCCAATAACAATACAAAGAACTGTGATGCCAGAGCACATGGCTGCCGCGTCCAGCAGGCAGTGTCTCAGCTCTCAATCAAGTTAACAATGCCAAGAATGATACTTGTATGATTGGAGAATGAAGGATGACTTGACAAACCAACGTACAAAATACCGCTCAGGCTATCCTCATCTCAAGATGAGCAGTGTGTCACACTGCAGGGCTCGCTCGCTCTTGACCCGTGGTCCTGCAAGTGCCTATGGGAATAACAAGATGGGAGGGGGTGAGTTAAGCTGGGGCGCACTGCTTGGGTTGGTGCACCACCGCGGTTGGACGGCCCAGGGGCCTCGGAGGGTTGCCCGGGGGGCGCCTGCGCAAGATGCGTTGCTGACTGGTGCAGCAGCTGCGCTGGAAACTCCCAGCCCATGTTCACCATGCTCGGCGGCAGCGCTGCAGCACACATTCAATATGGCTGAGACAAGGGCAGCTCAGACATAAGCTCACAACATTCTGTACACATAAGTGCCCGCTCTCTGCATGTTGTGGTGTCGAGCCTCTCACCGGCACCGCAGCCGACAATCTGAGGCAGAGAGATGCAACGCACACATTTGAAGTGATTGAGACAGCACGAGCAGCATCCTTTGCAATATGCAGGCTCACATGAGCACAGCTGTTCTTGTGCAGACAGCTGGGAGCAGTGCCTCCACTGTTAAAATCAGAGGCAGACCAGAAAAAAGCACTGCTATAATAGCATTCTGAATGGCCAGAGCAGGTCTCAGAATGAATTTCAGGGGCGTGAAAATTTTCTTCACCGCATCTGTGCGAGCGGAGCTCAGAGCGGATGACCCAAAGCAGCAAAATCAGGAATCAAACATGGATGAGTTGATAAGTGCGCACTTGCGACTGCGGCAGCATTGGGCGGCGGCTGCGGCTGCCCCGGGGCCGGCCCCATCCACCCCTGCTCTATAACATCCACAAGGGAGTTGATTGGCTCGCTGAAGCTGCGCCCCACGCCCGGGCCAAAGGCGGGGGGAACCAAGGGGCCTCCGGTGGCGCCGCGGTGGCGCTGGTAGACGCGCATCATGAACTGCGGGTCCACCCAGCCTCGCGGCGGTGGCCAGTGGCGGGAGTCCGGGTGGGGGACGTGGGAATCCAGCAGGTGCTGCAGATGTGGCGGGACCCCAGGCCTCATTTGACCGGCCTGCGGTGCAATGCAGAAAGAACATAAAACATCTTCTTTCATCTCTCTGATGAATTGGTGTTCTGAAGAACACATGTGCCTGCGATCTACATGCCCTACATTCCTCCAGAAGAGTGTGTAAACGCTGCTGATGTGATTGTTGTTCCTCGTGCACGCCATGAATACACATGTCAGCGTGCCAGAACTTGCATTCTGCTGGACTGAAAAACTTGTTTTCTTCACAGCAAGTGCCTTGGCCTTGCCATGGCAACAAACAATACATGGGAATGAAACCACTGGCAAATAGATGCTAAGGGAACCCAACGCACAAGTGACAAGTAACCCCGATCACCTGAGGTCCTGGGTTGGTTTGGAAGCCAGCAGGATTGGGGGGCACGCGTGGGCCGGCCACGGCCCTGGGAAGTTGCCAGGTGCCCATCTGAGGGTGCTGCGGTTGGAAGTGGGGCCTCTGAAGGCCTGGACCCAGCATCATTGGCATTGGCATTGGCTGGCCCGGGGGTCCCGCAAGCGGCTGCCCCTGCTGCTGCTGCGGACCTGCGCGGGATAAATGAGTGTGAATTGCCGTATCCACAAGGTAGGTCATTGATACACAGTCCTTCAGGGGTGTCCACAACCTGGACAGCAAAGAGGCCGCACTGTGAAGTTCTGCTCAGCCTGGCAAGGACAGCGTGCTCCTGCAGAAGGGCAGGCAGACAACATCCTCAACAGAGGCGCGCAACACACCCTCATCAAAGAGGTCTTCAGATTTTGCCACTGGCAAGAACTGCAGGCATGCATAGCCTAGGGTCAATGCCGCACCTTCCCACCAGCGCCAGCCCGGGGGCGGCCCGGGCGCGGCTGGCCGCGCCACCGGCGCGGCGACCGGGAACGGCTCGGCCGGCTCCGCGGCGTCGGCCGGCGGCTGCCGCCGCCAGGCGTGCCGCCGGCGCAGCGCCTCGCGCTCCAACGCCAACGCGGCCGGCAGCGACCATGCGCGCTGCTGCTCCCCGCCAAGCTCCTGCCCCCCAATGCGCTGCGGCACATCCGGCGTGTTGGGGCGCCCGGCCTGCAGTCATACATAACATCAGCTCCCTTTCCTGCTGATTTTTCAAGTTTGCCTCATCAACGCCAGAGCTGCCCAGGAGCCACCCCGAACATGGCTTGCACTGTACGCAGGACATATGCCTGCATGCCTAACGTTGAGCACACGCAGCTGCTTGACTTGAGCTGCAAGCGGTGACACCCCAAATTAGCAAGGTACTTTGTCCAACCCAAATAAGAGCCTGCACTACTGGCAACAAGAGGGGCGGAGCGCTCGCACCTGGCCGCGCGGCGGCGAGGGGGTTTGCTGGGGCGGCGGCTGCTGCTGCTGCGCGGGCGGCCGGCCGTCGCGCGATCGGCGGTAGCCGGCCGCGGAGCCGCTGCGGGAGCGGCCGCCGCGCGTGAGCGACTGCTCCGTCGGCTGCCGCGGCCGGCTGCGCAGATCCAGCGTGCTCACTCCCGGCGCGGGGGAGGCCTGCGGCCCGGGTGCAAACAGGATTTAACAAATAAGTGCTTGTTTGAAACATGATCCGGGCCATGGGCCTTGCATAGGCAGTGTGCTGTGAATGGACATCCCTTGACTGTACAGTAGACTTACCGTTTGGCCAGAGAGACTTGCACAATAGAGAGGTACTTGGCAAAGAGTACATATGACAAGATTTTGTTGGGTCCGGCCACCAGCTACAAGACCAACCAAGACATCCAGACGTTATGAGGAAGGGCTCAAGCAGGATGAAGAAGCTCTGAACACTCCAGAGAAACATCAAATGTGGATTAAGCAGATGTTGCCGCGCACCTGCTCCAGAGCAGCTCGCTCAAACACTCCCCGCAGGGCCATGGGCCAGAATCCGAAGGTCTGCTGCTGCCCGGCAGCTGGCTGCCCGGGCTGCCCGGGTCCCCCCACCCTCAGCGAATTCAGATTTGGGGGGGACGGCGGTGGCATGGCCGGGGGACCCGGGGGGTGGAGGAACTGTGAATAGGTGGACCTTTCTGGCGGCGATGATCCTGGCGGCGGGGGCGGGGGCATTTCCTCGTCCTCTTGGGGATCTGCCTGAGCAGCACCTGCCTGCTGCGCTGCCCGCTGAGTTCCAGAAAATAGGCCCAGAATCTGCAGGACACATGCAATCATCAAGAGCAGTACACTTGACCACAGGAGCTCTCTATAATCTCTCGACCTTTGGCAGGCACCTCGTCTGATTTACTGCATTTCATGCAGGATTGGTCAATCACAGTTCTGTCTTGGTGAGATGCACACTCCTGCTTCCGGACTATGCATAGCCAATACCAACAAGTTGAGCTCGGGGCTTTGTCACAAGCATGCTCCGGAGGACATGGACCTATCCTGTCAACCACAGCCCACAACCTTCTTGGACAGTAAAAGAGAAGGAAAGTAAATGCGGCAGGGCACGCGCCTGCTGCGCGGCTGAGTAGGGCTGCGCCTGCGCGAGTGAGGGAGTGAGGTTCGATGGCGGGGCCGGGCCGGCAGCGGCGGCGGCCGCGGCGTCGCCGAGAAGCTGCGAGATGGTCTCGCTGGGGCGCTCGGCCGGGGCGGCTGGCCGCGGCACGGCCGGAGGGCCCTCCGCGCTGCGGTCAAACGGCTGCGGCAGCAACGTATTCGCGCTCGGGTCGTTCACCTGCGCAGGCAACATGATTTCCTGGAGGTGATTAGACAGCAGTACCTAGAACCGTCGATGAGACCGCGCCGGTCACCTTGGGGATCAACAACTCGGCGAGGATGTTTGGAGAAGCTGTGTTCAAACGGATCCCAATGCAGTCTTGCTGCCATGCATTGCAATTTTCTGGGCGTGCAGGTCTCCAAGACCTCCTGAGATATCACACTCCAACCCCCAGAACAGGTGCGATGAAAACCCCGGCACGCAGGTGAATGCCATGGCAGCGCAGAAGCCAGCTTTCTGCTGAAAAGGAGAGGCCCTGCAGATGTGGCTGCAGACGCCCTGCATCTATGCCCCAAAGCTTCTGGCGTTCTGTACTTGCCGAACAAGTACACAACGCCAACAGTATTAAAAATAAATGTAAGAATGGAAAAGAGCGCACCTCTGCTGTGAGCAGGTAGGGGACGCCGTGCGGCTGAAAATGGACCGCACGGAGGGAACGCCGCGTTTTCAGGACCACGACAGGCACTGAGTCAGCCTTGTTGTACTCCCAAATGTACAGCTGCAAAAATAGCACCCCACAAAATCAAAATTCTGCACCCCCCAAATTATTTAATTTGTCTTTGTACTGTCAGAGAGAAGAGGGTGTCGAGAGGATCCCATCCGCTCAAGACCACTGCTGGGATGGATGAGACACAGAAACGCAGACGGTTTTGGATGAGATTATTAGACACTGTGCACTGTCATCTTCCTTGAGTACAACTTGTACTGTACAAGCATACAATAAGAAATGTCCGCCTGCCATTGAGGACAGAACCACCAGAGGCAAAAGCCACCAGAGCTGCCTTGTGAAGGTTTAGTGTCTGACGGGGCACAAGGGATTCAGCTAGATTCTGTAATTCTCATTCCAAAACCCGCACCCCTGGCAGTGCAAAATGAAGATTTCCAGGCAACTTTCAGGGGTCTTCCTGACTTCAAAAATACCAAGGTCATGCTCCATAGGATTGGGCTTGTCGAGAGCTTCCCGAATTCTGGAAAATTATCATTCGGTATTATTTTGGGAGATAGGGTCTTATTTATCCACTATTGTTGGCAATAAGTGTTCATTGCGGGTTTTAGAATGAACTCGAGGCGGTGAAGTATGATTGAAGAGGAACTTCACCTTGTGCCCAGAGGCAACTGCGAGGAAGTCGCCGCCAGCATGGAATGCCAGGCTGGCAATGGGGCGGCCGAAGTTGTGGAATATCTTGCACCGCCCAGAATCGGCGTCCCACACGCGTACCTGCGCACAGCACCGCCATCAGCTTTCTTCCCTTATATTTTTAAAAAGTTGTCACTCGCACACTTTCACATGATGTCTGCCAGCACAATGTCATAGCTGCCAATTCACTTAGTGTGGCCTCCTGAATGGTCACTGATCTAACATATAGGTCAAGAGCAAGGACTGTGACATCATGGTGGGCAATACCAGGACAACATGCATGCAATATGCGACACTCATCCATCAGCCTTAGCCTCCGCATGATGGTGCTCCTCATGGAGCATGATACATGCAATAGAGGAGCACCCTCTCAAGCAGTCCTGATACTATGCCTGGCAATTTGGCTGAGCACTGCTTTGGCCTTAGCATTTCAGTGGCGCACCTCGTAGTCTAGGGAGCCTGAAGCGAGGAGGCGGGGCGAGGTGGGGTGGAATCTGACCACCCAGGGGGTGCGTCGGTGGCCATTCAACACCTTGAGGCACTTCCCCGTGCGGCAGGAGATCAGCTTCACCGTGTGATCGCCGCTGCAGCCACCAGAACAATCCAAATTTAGGGAGCATCCTAATAAAAAACTGCATCCAACCCCTGCCTGAGCTTCTAGAAAGACACGGGCTTCCATGATAGGCCACTACGTTGACTCACCACTCTGCTGCACACACCAAGAGGACTGCGCCTGACAGGTGCAGGGCCTGGGATCCCAGTCCGTGTCTCTAAAACATGTACTAGAACCCTCCAGTGGCCATACACAGCCTGAAATGCACCCTCCATACCCTCCCTCACCTCCCTTTTCTTTCCCTCCCTCGCCACATGCAAGCTCTCTTCATGCGAGTCTCCAACTGACACCACATAGAGTACTACCATGCATGGGACGCACTGTGTTGAGGCGAGCAATTCTCCATCAGGGCTGAAGGCGGCTGCTATAGTGGAGCGAGGCGGCGGGTTGAGCTCGCAGTAGGTGGCGGCGCAGCGACGCAAAAAGTCACCTTCCGCGAAGCTGCCCAGCCGCTGCCCAGGGTCCGCGTCTACTGGCAGTACGGGCGCGTCCCGGGCCGGCCCAGTCGCGAGCGTTCCCTGCGCAATGAGTTAGTAATCTGTCAGGCTGATAAACATCCCCCCAGCCCGTCTATCCCATGCCTTGCAACGCTTACAAGCTGCTGGTATCCCCAGACCCAAGACCCTGCATGGATGTCTCTAACATCCCTGTCTCGATGGCATGCCACAAATAGGGCCCATCTGGAAGCCAGGGTCCTGATGCATTAAAGGAATTGAGAAGATCTGAAGAAGCTGATAATGGCCGTGTCTGGTTTTCGCAAAGAGCCGTCCGGGCAGAGTGCGCCCCGCTTTTGAATGGCTGTTGACCAACGAGCAGTGCTGGCAAGGAGTGGCATGGCTGTGCGCTGGCTCATGCACATGCAGAGGCTGCTATCCGCGAAGTGCTGTGGCAGCGCCTGGCTGATTGAATGGCTGCTCTGCTGGACAACGCTCCCCTCCCAACAGGAGCTGGAAGGACTGAATGATGGATGCCATGGGCGTCCAACATCATGCTGAGCATCCAGCGCAGTGCTCAAATGCAGAGACGCGATTCAAATACACGGCTCGCCTACATTACGGTTTCGCCCCAGCTGGCGGGGGACAGTACTGCCACTGAGCACCATGCCTACAATTGTCTGGGTCTTGCTCGGACCTGGCGAGTCCAACAAGGGGTGGGACACTGCCATCCTTTAGAGCGCAGCTTGTCTGCAGACGCATCTTGCCTCTGAAAGGAAAATATGACAATTATGGGAGAAAGCCTACATGTGCACGGCCGCCCACGGGCCGCTTGGGAGCCAGCTCGCGCTGGCGCACCCAGTGCAGAACATTGCGGCTGGGCTGCTGCGCCTCCTCCCTGCGCGCAGATACACTCAGCTTCAATCGCTGCCAGTGGCTCATTGTAGCACACTCTCTGGACAGAGGCTGGCTCTTCAGCAGAAGCCCAGTCCTCTCCTGGATGGAGTGGAATCCGTGCCTGCTTTGAAACATGGCATGCGCAAGAATAGGACCTTTTTGACATCAGCAGTGATTGATTCACATGCGCAGTAGCAAGAATGAAAATTATATCAGAGGTCCCCAATCTGCCCATGGTTCGAATATCTGCCAGGCTCAGATTTGAGTCATCAAACGAATCTGTGCGGCGAAACCCAGCACGATGGCAATCAACATGAGAATGCCAGAGCCTAGAAGCCAAAGACCATATGATGCTGAAAAGCACGCTGACCAGTATAATGGGTATTAACAATGGCATTGTCTGGATCTCTGCCACATCTGATAAACTCATTACTTAAGTAGTGATACATTTGTACACGACATTCGCATTGAAACTTGTTATGTCCAGCGATGCCGCCCTAGATATTGAGGCTCAGGACAACAGCAGAGCTTTAAGCGATTTTGGGCGCACCCTGACATATGGATCCAGCCTAAGTTCTCAAGTCGCTGGTGTGCACAAATATTGTTACTTGACGGATTACAGTCCAGGGGAAGCTTCAAGACCCGTCGGAATCACGAGGGCCCCACCCCGACAACTCATTCGTAGTTCAGACACTCACAACACCCTACCAACCAATCCACCATAAGTTCTGGCTATCCCTGTCCAGTAGAGCTTCGCTGACCTCACGAAACGCGCATTTCCCAGGCAGAATTCCGGTCCGAAACATTTCGTTGATTGAAATCGATCAGTCACCGCCAAACCCTTCAAGGGCCTTGGAAATCTTCAAAACCCTGCCTGACAATTCTTGGACGACATCTTCAGAACGTTGAAATTTCTTCAATAGTAGAAGGTATCTCTTGGAGGTGTTCTTCGAAATCTCGCGATCTCTGGCATGGCGTTGTCAAAAACGGCCGTTGTGGTCGGAGTTGGGCCAGGTGCGCTTCGATGTGATCTGTGATCTTGCCTCACGTAATATGTAAATTACGATTGCATCCTACTTCAAGTCACAAACGCAGCAAAAACAATTCGAGTTTGGTCGATTGCACGATTGCGCTGGTGCATCTGTGAGCATCATTTTTCCCAGAGATCACCTCGTGGCATGTACCTAAAATTAAGTTTTATGCTAGTGCTTGTTTCGTGTGCATATTGGTGGATATATCGGAAATTTCATTATGTGGATAAGGTAGTAATTCACAGACAGTGTCGATTTTTCTGTGGCAGCAGCCACATCACAGCACATGCGTGTTCAGGCGCTGGAGCTGGCATTGCCAGGCGCTTTGCTCGCGAAGGATATAAGGTCGCGCTGGTGTCCAGGCGTCAGGAGACCATCGAACCCATTGAGAGGGAGCTTAAGGCAGCTGGCGCCACGACTCTGTCAGTGCCATCAGATGCAGGCACGCATGCCCTGTATGCAAAATATGCATTTCCTTGTCATGTGAGCTTGCATGGAAGGCCCACACCTGCCAAGAGGAGGCACGATCTTGCCTTGTGTTCACTCACATGCATCATGGCGAGCCCCGGTGGGTAGTATTTGTGTAATTAGCCCTGTCAAGTCATCAAGCAAATGCCCAGATCGCAGCACATGGGAATGCATGCCATGCCACCCGAGAAGATTCCGTCAACTAATACAGCACAGTCCGTAATAGCAGGGATTGCGTGCAGGCAAGACACAGGACGTGATCGCAGCGCATGCAAGAGTTTCTGAAGCATTCGGCAATCCAGAGGTGCTCGTCTACAACGCTGGCCCTGGAATGACCTGGCCACCCCCTGCCGCTCTCGACATTGACCCAGACACCTTCAGCCGCAGCTTTGATGCTGGCGTCACTGGCGCTCTTGTGTGGGCGCAGCAGGTGCATTTGCATCTAATCAATCTAGAATGTGATAGATAAGTAGATTTGAGTCGCACAAGATTACGTCTGGTGCCGACGTACCCTGGAGCTTCAGCAAATCTGGTTCATTGTGTTGTTGCTGCATGATGAGAACTTGCGAGGCAGCCCTTCGTCACATCTCTGGCGCTCGCTCTGTCGTGATGTCTGCACTCCTCTTCCTCTGACAGGTAGGTGGCAGGCTTGCACTGTATTTGCATGATTATGCTGGCTTCTTGGAAGACACCAATCGTCCACCTTGACGTGCCAAAGGCTGCTGCCATAAAGACAGATGCCTGTGATAGGGAAATCAATGTGTGGCTACCAAGCGGATCTGCCTGAATCTGCATGCATCTCATTTAGAATCAGAGTTTAACTGTTCCACATTTGCAGCTGTCGGCCTCTGAGCCCATTCTGTCTGGCACCTCTGCCAGGAAATCGTTTAGGCAGCCCAACCATCGACTCTGTCTTATCTTAGACAACTCACCAGAGCTCCTGTTCAATACAATCTTGGATACTGTGGTGCCTTATCTGTAAGCAGGAGCCCATGTGCCGGCATGTGCGCGCAGGTGCTGCCGGCCATGCTGCAGGCCGGGAAGGGCACAATCATCTTCACAGGCGCAACTGCGTCGATCCGGGGCGGCGCAAAATTCGCATTGCTGGCATGCCCCAAATTTGCCCTGCGCTCTCTCGCTCAGTCCCTGGCCAGAGAGTTCCAGCCGCAGGTACGCCTTGTATTCAGCAGTTGCAGCATTGTCTCATCATCAAGCAGCACACTCAAAATGATTAATTCAAGGATCAGACAATTGTCTGGCTCGCTGGGTGTGACTGGTGCGGTATGTTACTAGGCAACAAACTGGAACATCTTGCTTGGATCTGGTGAGTTCAGCAAGGGAGTAGGATATGCGGCGGCTCTTGCACCTTCCCTCCTTTGGCAGTAACGCCGTGCAATGAACAAATGCATTAAAATAATCCTTTTGTGCATGCAGGGGGTGCATGTGTCGCACGCCGTCATAGACGGGGTGATTGACTCACCCCGGCTGCGCAGCATGCTACCAGATCGGGACCCAAAAAATTTCTTGAGTCCGGACGCAATTGCAGACGCGTATTGGCACCTGCATGCTCAGGACAGCACGGCATGGACGCATGAGATCGACCTCAGGCCGGCGTCCGAGAAGTTTTGATCAGCAGCGTTTTGTGGGCACCTGAGCCGAGAGATAATCGTAGACATGGAGACAGGAAGCGCCAAAGTAGGGAGGAAGGCTGCTCGCAGGTCTTGCAGAGTGCATCAACAATCATAGAAAACCTCCTGGCCTAGGAGCACTGATGAATCACAATGCATATATTCCGTCAAGTGTTGGTGAGGGTTAGATATGGTGAGGTGAGTAATAGTAATGCATCTGGTGGCGCCATGGTTCAAGCTGCGAGTGTGAGAGAGTTGAGGTGCACATGGACGAGATACTTCAAATCAGGAGAGAATGCATGCATGAAAGCCAGTGCGAGAGCCAAAGTAGGGGGGAAGGGCTTTCTCGCTGTACAATAGAGAAAGAGGAGTGCAAAAATCAAAGTAGAGTAATTCGAGAAAATGCTGACATGAAAGCAGAGCTAGCGCCAAAAATGTGGAAGGGCTGCCTCGCAGTGGAAGTGGAACATGTGAATCATAAAAAAGACTCCAGTGATAGTAAAGCTCACATACCATATTGCTCCTGTTGCCAGCCAAGGATTCCAATATTATTCAGTCAGGCAATTGCATGCACTCGAATTTTCACTGGTTGTATACAGGCGTATTTTGCGTATTCAGGCGTTATAAGGCCTTTTGAGTGTGCTGGAACATTGAGATTGCGCCCCGAGAGGTGGCAACTCCATTCAGTCTTTGCTTGTGAGCCGTGTAATGCTACATAGAAGACTGGCAGGATCGTACGAGTAATTGAGCAAACAGCAGGTGCAGCTTTTGGCACATACCCTCGAGCTTGTATGATGCATGCACACCAGCCCTTCATTGTTGAGAACTGCAAACCATTATTTTTGGTCCTCTGTGCAGATCAAATAGACCCTAAGGCCTCTGCTCTCACGGATCCTAAAAATGAAAGCAAGCATCCTAAGGTTCTAGGAAGATGCCTGATCATGAAAAGATGGTCACTTTGGCATCAGCACTAGTGTCAGGTCAGCCCCCTGCTCTCGGCATCTGTAGGGACAATAGGCAGCTGCAGGCCCACAAGATTTGCAGTGCGCTCTATCATTGAACGCTGCCTCTCCTCTGGATCAATGCCAATGTTGTAAGACAGCAGAAGCTCCTGTGTAGGCAGTCGCAATCGTGAGCAGCTTCACCAAAACAACCAGTTGGGGGGCTGTGAACTGGATCACACGAATGACACCTGTCTGGAGTTCACGATGTTCACCTGCGGGCGTGACATTTTCATAGCTATTGCCTGCCAATATGAGAGGAGATCAGGTGTGGTAAGAGCACTTACCTTCTCGTAGTTCACACCCTGCACGAGTTGTGCATAATCTTTCGCTAGTCGAAGTAGTTCCTGAACTTTTGCTGGATTTTTTTCTGTGGCATTGCGATGGAACTCTTCGACAATGTAGTCATGCCAGATGGAATTCTGGTTTCTGGAACTTATGCGATCCCGTACCGTACGCAATAGAATTCTATACACCTGTCTGACTTCTGCCATTGATGCATATTCAAGTCATCCGCGTTTCGGACTGAGAAGACTTTGATCAAAGCGTGCAGATCGTGATCTAAAACGTTTCAGAGGCTTGTTTCCACTTCCTGAAAGCTTCCACCAGGAACGTCACTTTAAATCTGATTAGTTCAGCTTCGTGTCCTTGGTCTATTTGTGCTCTCAAGGATGAGTTGAGGGGAGACCACATCAGGTGATCAGGATAGCATGTGCGCACAGCATGCACAGCATGTAGGATTGCTACAGGTCGGTCCATCTGTGCATGAACTCACCTGTACTTGTGACTGACTCTGGCAAGCAGTTTGAATGACTGTGACACTGCCGGTTCCGATGTGTAGACTTCTGCACCTTTTGGACATATGCATGCAATTGCATAGTCGCACAAATTACGCCAGCAGCATGCAACAATACATTTATATAAATATATGTGGCAAAGCTGCAAGCCACCGGTGATATTACAATTGATCAAGTCGTATGGCAATACAAGTCATATTACATCAAAGTCAACGGTGTGAGCACCAGCAGATTTCACACGAAATTGAAATGTCTTAGACAACACATACCCGGCAAAAACCGATTTGAGTCAACCTTTCTGTCTGTCATTCGCAACAACAAGTGTTTAGAGACACATATATGGGCAGAAGATAATCGTCACCCTTAGGTGCAGCACAGCAACAAGCTTACAGCAGAGCAGCTACTAAACTCTTGGAGGGATTATCCTGGCGCAGAGCTGTTGGTGTTGTTGAGGATCCCCCGCCCAAAGAACTCTGCAATAACGTTGAAGCCGTCTGTGCTGTTCTTGAGCTGCGTGAAGAACTTGTCCTGCGAAGCACACACAACTGCCGCATTCAGTGCGTGTCCAGCATTGGCCAGGAAGTCTGCAAATAGCTGAGGTAGTGCACTGTCTGTCCACCATGTCTCACAGCCCTCAGGCCTCTTGGAGGAGGTGTTTAAATCTCAGCGGGCCCATGCTGCAGACAGGCAAAAAGGGGGCTATCAAAGAGGGTCCTGGTAGTACCACGGTCACAACTTTCACACACAAATTCTGTCCGCAGGTCCCGATGCCCTGAGAGTGCACAAGCAAGGCCCCCAGCCCCCAGAAGCCCTGCTGTGAATAGAGGTGCGCTACAAGAACCTGCTCAGCGGCGCTGGCGTGCAGGTAGCAGCGAATGTACGAGGATATGTGGCTCGTCTAGATTTAAGGTTCGCAGGTATTGTTTATCGGTTCCAAATACTTGGTTGTAAAACCGGGGGTGAGACGTGAACCTGTTCGGCGGCGCCGGCGCGGAGGGAACGGCGGATGTCGAGGATGGTGCGGAACTGGGGGGCGCAGAGGGGGCACTCGCGCTCGTTCTCGCCCAGGCTTCGCGCATTGAAGGAGTGGCCGCACATGAAGTGCACCGCCGGCAGCTCCAGCGCGCTCCCGCTCAGCGCGCACCGGCTGTTCTGAAACACCCGCGCCTGCGCAGCCAGCTCAGCATTTTCAATTTCGAAATTCAAGCTGCTGTGAATGTGTCAGCCTCACAGCTGGTGCCAGAGAAGGCGGCAACTGAAACACCCACGTCCGCGATAGCCAGCTTGAACATTTTCAGAGTCAAATCCGCAGTGGCTATTCTGAAACATCCGCGCCTGCCCAGCCAAGCCTGAATGTATCAGTTATCGGATTTAACATATTGAGTACGGCTGGGCCTGGAACCCAGATGGGCCTGATATCTACACATGGAAGGGTGGAATGTGAAGACAAGAGAATTTGCGATGCTGCAAAGTGTGCATGCCCGTGTGGACCTCTGGAAAGTCAGGGTCCTCTTCCAAGGCTTTAGCTAAAAGCTTAGCACCACCGCCATCTCGATTAGCACGCACCAGCAACACGTCTTCCCAAGTCAGTTCAACAAGTCCTCAATTCTTCGTATGGGTGACAACAGGACGATATCTGCATGAGACCTGCTCTCCTTCAGACATAACAACAAGCTGCTTGAACCAGGACACGCACCTTGGTCTTGAGCTCGGTGATCTCTGCACGCATGGCGCCGGTCTCCTCCTGGAACCGAGCGATCACTTTACGGTCCTCGTCCACGGCAGCCGCCTCGGCCGCCAGAGTGCGCGCCGCAAACCCCTTGACCACGCTCAGTTTCAGCGCCGGATTTGCTGCCAGCGCTTGCAGCACCACCAGTGGGGGGAGCAGGCCCCCCGCCTCTATGTGCGCCAACACCTCCTTCACCTGCGCGCAGGCGCCACAGCAATATAACCTTAATCACATTTATTATTATTATTATTACACGCTTTTCCTGCCAAGAGGCAAGGTGCGTCCTGCAGAGAAGCTGCAGTTGAAGGCTGCCATAATCCTACCCCTTGTTGGACTCGCCAGATCCAAGCAAGACCCAATCAACCGTGGGCGCGGTGCTCAGTATTTATACCGCCCCCCGTCAGCCAGGGCCACACATCTTAACCACATTCATGTCGAGAAAAGACCGTGGAAGCTACAAAGGAAGGTGTAGAAGAGAGGGGGAGGGCTTGCAATGGTCGCGGCTTTGTTTCAACATGTTACCAGGCAGCCTCTGTCTGCGCCAGAATCTCCTTTACATGCATGCGGACGCCACTGGAACTTTAATCTTGGCCCTTGCAGGCACTGTCATGCTTGTGTCCAGTAAATATCATGAGCTGAGAGGGAGACGTGCACGAGCAACGGGCTTGCACATATGGCGGCATTGCAGCAGCAACAACAGATAGATGTCGCATAGGCGGTTTGGGTTCTATCACGGTTGCATTTGCTGCCTCGAGAGCGTCGCTTGTGAGCAATGGAACATTTTTAAAGAAGTTCTCTATAAATGTGAGGTCTGCCAGAGCTCTTGGAAAGGTTGCATGAGGGTTAAAACAAGCTTCTCAGCATGGGTCAAATCAGAGGGGTCACCTGCGCTGAGCAGTCATAGTTCTGGGAGCCAAAGTACTGGAGCACCTCCGTCCACAGGTGAGGGTCGCCTCCTCGGGACACATCCCCCAGCCTCGCACATGCCTCTATCAGCCCTGCATGGTCCCCCGCTGCCATGTGCACCTGCGCAATGAAACCAATTTGTTGGAAGGTCAATCTCAGGCAACTCTTAAATGCTGCTGCAGTGCAGCTGTCCCTCTGAGTACCCTGCAAAAGACAATCGTTCACAGGCTGAGAACTGCCTTAAAAGGCGTTCTCAGACTTTTAGTAAGTGACATGCACCACAGTCCCAGAGTTAGGTCACTTTGTCCTGAAAAGTGGTAACCTCAACAAAATGCTTCAGTTCAGCGCATAAGAATGAAGATTTCAGCTCGCCTGCAGAACTTCGCGGAAGAGGCGCAGGTTCTCATAGAGGAAGGTGAGGCCCGGGCGGAAGCTCATCATGCGGCAGAGCATAAGCGCATGATCCGGGTCGTAGCGCGGATCGTCGCCTGCCGGCCAGCCCCGCCTCAGGAGCTCCAACGCCTGCTCCCTGCAGAGGCACATGCCCCAGGATTACACACTTTGCGCAGGGCATAAAGTAGATTGGCGTATTGAGAAGCGCACTTTACCGGTGGTAAAAGCTAAGCATGCAATCCATCGCCCATGCTGCCTTGCACGCTGCAGGCCATGGAACAGATATCCCTCCTCTCTGCTGTGATACAGGGCCGCGTTTGACTCCTTGCTTATGTCCTGTCCTGGCCTGCTCTGAATGTTTAAAGAATCCTAGAGACCGAGCGAGCCAGGTTTGTTCTCCATCTCCATTGCAGCTTGCTTCTCTGCCTGACAGGTGTCTTTGACACTGATGGCAGGTCTTGTGCTAAGTGCAGTTTGCTGTGCGTTCCCGGCAGGATGTCACTCGTTGAACATAGATATGATCCCCTGAGACAAGGGAGATATAACCATTCCACCTATGAAAACATGCATGAGCACTTCCAGGCTGTAATTGCCATTTCTGAAGAATATTACACTGCACAAACAGTTGTCCGCCATGCAAAACCCCGAGCTGCATGGGACGTGCCAACAGCCCTGCACGCATGCACCACACTTCCTTCCGTGCCCTGCTTCAATTCACATTAATGGGCTCCGCCAAATTCACACCTGCGCTTGGTCTGGGAGGTGGAGGCCTCCCCGTCGGCCTCTTCGTCCGGCAGGCGGTCTGCCAGATAGAGCTGCAGCAGGGTGTGGTACAGGAATGCCTCTGACGGCGGGGCGCGCGTCGAGTTGAGCACAAACTCGCACAGCAGCATCAGCGCCTGCGGCCTGCATGCATCAACACCTATGTTCAGGGCCGTGACCCAATGTGACAGATGTATGCATGTGCAGAATGTGGACTGGCAATGTTAGCTGACATGCCAGACAGCCGTGCAGCAGGACAGCAGCATAAGGGCCTGCCGCCTGCATTCAGCACTGCCACATTAGGAGTGCTTCAGACTCTGATAATGATCATGGCCCCGGATGGTGGGAGATTTTGAGCACCGTGCTCACAATTGAAGGGGTTTTGCTTGGATCTGGTGAGTCCACCAAAGGGGTAGGATCTTGGTAGCCTTGAACTGCAGCTTGTCTGCAGACGCACCTTGCCTCTTGGCAGGATCTGGTGAGTCCACCAGAGGGGTAATATTTTGATGGCTTTGAACAGCAGCTTGTCTGCAGACGCACCTTGCCTCTTGGCAGGAAAAGAGTGTAAGGACAAGAATAGCAATGATCATGACGCTCGCCGCCAATTTGGGCAACCAGCAAATGTGCTGATAGATTTGCTGAGACTCGATAATGAAGCACAGATGGACACCAACTGGTTTTAATTCTCAAAAAAATGAGAAGCAAAGGAAGCAATCTGAGCCTCAACAAGCGCCTCAGACCGAGCCCAATTGTGACACATTGAGACCACCACGGGGTCATGCACTGAAGACTACCAAAAGCCTGGTTCAAGGTGGAAAGAGAAGGAGAGATGACTTTTCTGCTCACCGCTCTGTGTAGAGGTGTGCAAAGTCGGCAACCTTGGCAATCCAGTCCCCGTCGACCTTGCTCTCGTCGCCCATGTCAGTGCACAGCTGCATCAGCTGCGCCGTAGTGGCCTCCGCCCTGTTGTTTATCAGCGACTGCGCGCACATTTCTACCCCGTCAGACACCACGGGTATTCGCCTTTCCAGTCCTTCTCCAATTGCCGATTTGGTGATGGTGCATTTGCAGGTCCACTCCAGCAGACAGCACAGGTTTTCCCCATTCCAGTACTTCTTCAATTGCCGATTTAGTGATGCTGCAATTGCAGCATTGGTGACTCATCTGCTTCAATGCAGAGCATGTCAATATGCTACGATAGACCTCGTGAATTTAGATGCATTGTGATCCATCAGCCATCACACCGTGTGCAATGATCGTCAAAAAGTGCCCTCAGCAACCTGAGCAATACTGCAGATAGCAGTCAAGTGCAACACTCTAGCGGAGGGCTTCATTGCAGGGTCACCTTGCCGTGCCGGCCGAGCGCAGCGGCAGCCTGCTGGCGCGGTAGGGACTGCAGATACACGAGCGCCTCGTCATAGGAGTGGCAGTCTTCCAGTAAAATGTCCAGGTACCACTCCGGCTCGCCGGCAGACTGCGCTACTGCTAGCGCATGCTCGTAGTAGCCTGCCGCCCGGCACACCTGCGCGCACATGCCGGCACCTGCCGTAAGCATGCAATTCTCGAGTTCTTTTGTCTGGCCAGGTGCTCTGCTATGTGCCCCTCTGCAAAGATGCTCCTTGCAAAGCACCCATGCCCATCAAAGTCTCAAGCACTTGCAGCAATATCATGCCACACGATTTCCCTGTCGAGCTTTGCCGCGTGTAGCGTAGACGTAGCTGCGTCCAGGTGAAGGCTCTCTAGATAAAAGGCCAGATGATGGTGGAAGAGTAAATAGTATTTGGGATAAGAAGTGGGCATGAAGTGGAAGCAATTGCCTTGACAGCGGTCTCGACGTCAAAGGGGAGTGAGGAGGCGCCCTCAGTCGCGCCAGAGCCGCGCAGGAAAGCGTCCAGTTTGGCCACGTCCTTCAGCTTTGTGTAGCAGTTCAGCAGCAGCGTCGTGTGATCCGCGCCTGCCCGCCCCTGCACATTGGCAGAAGACACATCTTGCACAACGTTATCACCAGGCACAAGACGTGACCATTACAGTAGAATCACACACTCACAAAGCAGCTGCGTTCCAATAGGTGTCAGAGTATTTCACTTCCACTCAATGCTGTGCAGCGAGTAAGATAATGATTCAAGCATTTAAATCGAAACCTACCAGGGAGTGGAGCTGCTCCAGGTAGGAGGTCAAGTTGTGGATGCGTTGGGCGTCCAGGAATTTGCGGATGACATAAGAGGGTTCCAGGTAGCCTATAGTGGCAACGTACTGCCCCATGGCCGCGTCGTAGTCATGCTTTGCATAAAGATGGTCCCCGTAACGCCGCTGTATCTCTGCCACCATGCTCGGCTCCGCCTGGAGCGCCAGATGCACTCAGCATGTTGAGCAATTTAACTTTTGACATTTCTCACGCCCGCATTAATTCCCAGATTACTGTTGTCCCTCACGCAGGGACAATCCAATCATGGCAAGCGCAGGTTTTGGAGAAGCAACCAAGGACATGGAACCCACAGCCGTCAGATCTCCCAGTACCAGCTAGCGAATTCAGTAAATCTGCAAGCCAACATCGGGAGATTCAAAGGGTTTGCTGAAGATACCTTTCATTGATAGACGCTATGTGAACAGAAAACACAGGGGGTGTTCAGGTGAGGCAGGGATACTTTTGCGGCAGCTCTGACCTCTTCGCTGGTGGCCAGATTGAGGGAGACGAGGTACAGGCTCTTGCTGTACAGCAGCTCCAGCTTGGCGCTGAGCTCCTTTTCATGGAGGTAGGCAACGCCGCCGTCCGCCTGCACCACGACCACCTGGCCCCATGCCGTCTCCACATGCCGCGGCTCCTGCCAAAACAGGCACGAGCGCTCAGAGCTGAGCAGGGAAGGCATGAAGCTCAGAGTATGTCAACGGTAAAAGCAATTCTTATAGTCCATACTCTACTCGCAACCCAGACATTTCCTGCTGACGCGGGCCTGAACAGCTGCAGAGCACAATAATGCTTGAGAGGACTTCTAAGAGCAAAGCACACATGCACACGGAGAGCGTTTTCTAAAAAGTCCAAGGGTACGGCATTGTGCAGATGTGGGGTGCACAAACAAACCTGCTGCAGGGGCAGCGTGGCTGCTATGAGCTTGTTGCGCAGGTCGTACAGGTGCAGCGCGGTGGATGAGGGGCCGCCTCCAGGGATGCTGCTGCGAGTGACTGACACCAGATAGTGCCTGAGCCACCTTAGGCTGCGTTTCTGACCTGCAAAATCAATGATATCGCCTTGAAAACCGAGCAAGCTTGACATCCCATCCACATGCCAAGGATAAAAAGAACGCAGTGGCGTGTCTCTCATTTTTTTGACGGTTTGTAAAGCACACTGTTATTATTGTTGGCGGCCGACGCACGCTGATACCCTTGCTGGACCTCCAGCAACCGCAGCAAAGGAGAATGTTATGCTGCTTCCTCAAGTGGCCAGACACTCGGCACTGGGCTTTAGGCAAGAGGTATTCCATCGTGCAGCAGGCACTGAAGTCTCAGCGAAGGGTGCCAGAGACGCTGCATCCCAAAGCGTTTACCTTCGAAAACAAAGCAGGGGCCACGGCCGTCCATAGAGTAGAAGTAGACGGCTTCAGGCCGGGCCACAACGAGGTCTCCTGAGCTGGTCTGAGTAGTGCTGTCACGCTCAGCGCCCATCTCATCCAGCAAGGACTGCATGCACACGCAAGCCCTCAAGGCATGCAGCAACACCGCAAGTGAGTGTTACAAGACAGCACCTTTAAGGCAACATGCATGTAAGTTTGGTGTCAGAACGCTGCAGAATGCAACATGCAGCACATGCAGAACATGCTTCAATTGCTGGACGCATTGAGAAAGATTACCTTGCCAGATGTGGCGATATCGAAGGCCACTGTCTGTGACTGGGTGACGGCAAAGAGGCAGAGGTTGCTGCCTTCGCCTGACAAACACATGACCTAGTGAACAGAAACCCAGCTGGCAGAGCAAGCCTTATAAGGTCTCCATTTTCTTCTTGCTTTCAGGAAAAGGCTGGGTCATGGTGAGGCAATTTGTTCGGTGCTCTTGCACACAAGATGCTCAAAGCATGGTACTTTCTTCCATGGTCGGCTGCACCTGTGAATGCCATGCCAGTGATGGGCTCTGAGGCGTTCCCTTCTCGCACATGCAGCACGCTCCGCTGCAGCTTCTCCCGACCTGCATGGAGGCCAAAGTCTCCTATTAGTATCCATGATAATAGGTCATGCATTCGCACCGCGTAAGTGAACTCACATTTGCGCTCAATCCAATTGGCAATTAGCCAGTGGGCTCTCTTCTCTCAGCTGCGCTCAAGACTGGCAGCAAGACGAGGCCCTTCAGACACAGCTCAGCCGGCCGGTAGGAGGAACCTCAATCTTGAGCAGAGCTCGAGCTTGCTATTCCATGACCTGCCTGAGGTCGTCAAAATGCCATGCACGCACGTATGAATCAGATTATTTAAATGTAGCCCATCAGTCTCATGGCATTGATATCAGCAGCTAGACATGCATGCGTGCTGGATGCTGCATGCATGCAGCGGCTCGCACCGAGCTCCCCACGCAGCAGATGGATGTGGCTGGCAGAGGTCCCAATAGCGATGCTGAAACGAGGCCATGCAGCTTCATGCACCTGCAGCCCAGTCACCTCCACCTCCGGCGCCTTGGAGGCTGCAGGGAACACCTTGATCGTGCGCACCAGCGCTGGGGAACCACCCGCAGGAATAACTTCCAGGTTCCACACCTGTCAGTCACATCCCTTTTTGATATTACATTTCATCTTGAGCACATCAGAATGTCTCTATGAGGTGCAGCGCCAAGGCAGACTTTGCTATGGTGTGCTCGGCATGGTGACAGCCACATGCACCGGAGTTTGATGCCATGATCACAGCAATGATGGCTGCACGCAGATGCATTAAGTACCTTGAGCTTTGTGGAACCCATGGACGCGTCATCCCTGCCCAGTGTGATGAGGAGCTTGTGCTCCTGCATGCAACAGAAATTGTTTGATGAACAAAAGCCAAGACCGCCCCGACATGGACAGGTCTTGCCTTTGTGGAGATGCAACATCTGTTCAAACAGGCGGTTATGTGAAGTCAGTCCTACCTTTAAGCACACCATCTGCACGACCCTCTGCTGGTGGGCCTCAAACGCCACCTGGTTTGTGAATGCCCTCTCATACAGAATCACCTGCAGCAGCGGTGTAATTGTACATCCCTGTCCATGCCTCGTGAACCTCAGAAGACTTAATAGTCGAAAAAGCGTTCCCGATCAAGAGAGGTCTGCGATTCTTCACTTCCTACCTGACCATCGTCACAACCGAATGCGATGTGATCTGCGCTTCCGCTGCAGCACGTTGTGTTCTCTGGAAGCTGCACTCCTCTCCGATCATCTTTTTCAAAGAAGGAAAACTTCTTCCATCCAAGGCTCATGTTCCCACACTAAGTGTTGAAGCGAACCACCTTCAATGCCAATGGCCTTCCATAGTGCCACTGAACACGGAAGTGCTTGAAGGAACAGACCATATATCACAAATCTGGAGCTTTTGCCAAGGGGCCATTTACAAGGGTTTCATATTCAAATCAATGGTCTTCTAATATATCAGACTCGTGATGATGTATGAATACTGAGCTTATGCTCCATGACCTGCATTTCTTGTAGGGCTTCCCTCTAGCTCTTGCAAAGAAATACTTCAGCAACAATCAAATCAATGCCCAGTTTATTGAGCAAGGAGTAAAGATCGAAAATAGAATGCATGGAGGGAACGTTACTCTCCACGTTACCCTACTCATGTACAGCGTGCTGCGACGCAAACAATCCAGATGAGCAATGCTCAAGGACTCAATCTAGTAATGGCCCTTCCAAAATATGCTTGAATGCATAGAGCATCCTATCTTGCCAGCCCTGTGTTCGCCCTGAGAAAAACTGTTAATGGTGGGCTCGCACAGGATTGCTGCTTGCAGTGGACTTGAAATTCATGGCAGAGCAAGTAGAGCACATCAAGTGGGTGCCAAACACACGCTTCATGGTGGACGGATTCCGATTCCAGTCTTCTCGCTGCAAGCATTATTGGCTGTCACACTACCACTCGGACCACACCACAGGTGACTGCTCCTGAAGCCTGTCAAATATCCTTATCGTCAACCTTTTTAGCTTTCAAGCGTAAGCTTGTTTCGAACTCAGAAGAGATTGCAATTCTTTCCACCTGCAGCTTTTGAAGACTGTCAAGGTCAAAGAGGCCACCAGAGCACAGAATACGTGTTGTGGCATGGCGCTCTGTTTATCATTTCTCAACATGCTGTCCAGACGATATTGTGTGTAGAGTGAAACAACAACAAGGCTGAGCATGGTACTGCCACCCGCAGGCCTGACCACATCCTTCAGCTCCGGCACCATCTACTGCAGCGCTGTCACCGCCAATCTGCTGGTCAAAGACATGCACATCAACCCCAGCTGCATCCAGCCGCTGCCGCTGAACATTCCCCTCCTGGTCGATGGCATCAATGTGACCCTCATTGATGCCAACCACTGCCCTGGAGCCGTCCTGTTCCTCTTCAAGACACCCCCTCCCCCTGGCAGCGAGTTCAGTGAGCAGGTAGTCTTTGCAGGACCTCAAGATGGCCCACCTTCCTTCCCTGCGCATGCACAAACACCTTTATGTGTCCACCATTTTATTCGGATGACATCTGTACATAAGTGCAAGAAGCTAAGTGCCTGCACTCGAAAGGAATCTAACGCTGCTCAATTCCTGCTAGGACTGTTGGACTGTGTGCTAAGGCTTCTGACCGCCATTACTCAATGTCATCATGGTTGCTGCTGCATGAAATTTGGCGCAGTTCAGCATGGACAGCGGTGCTGTGTTCAGGTGATCCTGCACACTGGGGACATGCGCTGGCACCCGCGCATGGGGCGACACCCTGCACTCAAGAACCAGCGCATTGACATGCTCTTCCTGGACACCACTTATGCCTCGCCAAAGCATGTCTTCCCCTGCCAGGTGAGCTGCCCTCTTCCTTCTGTCATCCTCATGCTGATTCTCCAATCAGCGCCACCAAGATAGAGACCTCCCTGATTCTGGGAGCATTGGCGATTCATGTACCTTGAGAGAGCCTTGACCCCAAGTTTAGCACCATATGGGACCACGGTCAGCGCATTGTGTTCTTGTATTGCTTTGGAATAATTTGATGGCCTGAAAACAAGCCTTCATCGTTTGTGTCCTGGTGGTTATACCCACACCGGGGCATTTCCATAAGGGGGCGAGATCTACCTGCCTGGATAATTGCGCCATGCCGGGATACCCACCGGCATGGGGTTATGCTTCTAGGCTACATCTCATTCCTTCTCTGCATTCCTATTCTTGTCGTCGCTTCTCCACATCTTGACAAATTCACTGGTGCAAGCCACATTCAAAATCTGTGTGGGGCAGGCTGGGAGTGACCTTGGCTGTCTGAGTTTCTTGCAGCTCTTGGCGCGACTTTTGCAAGGCAGGGATGCAGGCCTTGGAGCTCTTTCAAGTGCGAGTGCGAGGCATGCGAGCGGGGTTTCTACCCTTGAGTGAGTCATAATTGTTCTAATATTGATCTTTATTTCTTCGTTGGCCGTAGGAGGACGCCATTGCAGATATTGTCAGGGTGATGAAGCAGGAAGCCAAGGCTCGTCCGGGCACGCTGTTCATCATGGGTTCGTACCGCATCGGCAAAGAGCGCGCCTATCTTGGCGCGGCCAAGGCCCTCGGATGGAAGGTGCATGTGAATGCGGACAAGCTGCGGGTGAGGCTTCCTCTTCCCACACCTATCTACTTTGTATCCATCACAGGATTTTCCTGCATTCCAGGAGGAGCTGCTGCAGATATGAGCATGCAGTGCTCCTCTAACGAATTGCATTGTCTCGTTCCAGGTAGTGGCGTTTCACATCCTCTTATCAGTCTGTCATCTGCATGATGCAGGTAGCAAATGGGCCAAGAAGCCCTGAGCGGTCTCCTCTGCCTGATTTCTCAGCCAATTGTACTGTTGGTGAAGCACCACTAGGCTGCAGACTTTTGTAGGCTCCGCAGACATGGCTGCAGACGCCCTGCGTGTATGCCCTACGGCCTCTGGCTTTGGCCCTGTGATATGAATAAAAATTGTTGGTGCAGGTGCTGCGGCTGCTGGGCCTGCCCGAGAATGACATGGCACTGCTGACGCGCGACGCGGCTGCTGCGCGCATCCACGTCAGCTTCATGGGCAAATTACTCACCCCCGATGCCCTCACCGACCGCATACGCGCCGGCCCCTGGACCCATGTTGTTGCCTTCCGCCCAACAGGTCAGCGCGCCCCATTGTCTGCACAGTGATGTAGAGTAGAGCCAAGCTGTGGGTGCCTGCGCTTGAATTTGCCTTGCCTCCATGCATGGCAAGACAATACATGTCTTAGACAACCGGGAAACACAAACCCTTGCAGCAAGTAAACTTATCATGCAAGGTTGCTTCAATCAGGCAGCTGATCTCAGTGGCTGCCTGGTCCTTTGCTACTTGCAATTCCACGTTTCTCAAGACCCTGACAAGCATCCTTGGTTGGATTGGAAATGCTGATGCGTTTCAGCTCTGCCTCGCAGGTTGGTCCTTCCAGAAGAGCGGGCTGAGCTGTCGGCGCGAGGGTGACGTGGCAATTTACGGCGTTCCCTACTCAGAGCACTCCTCCTTTGCAGAGCTGCGCGACTGCGTCAAGACTCTGCGGCCGCGCCGCATCGTCCCCACCGTCAATGCCTCGACGCCGGCTGCCGCGCGCGCTCTGGTCGACAGGTGGGCCCACCCAGGATCCACCCCTCGATTGATTTCTTTTCCTCTAGCTACTAAGATGGTTCAATACACTAGGTAAATTTATGTTGAAACTTACCAACAAGGAAGCCTTGGAGTAGTTTTGAGTGGGCTGCTGCAGCTCTCAAAGGGGCAGGCATGTTGGCTGTTATGGCACGCAAACACCTTTATGACAACAGACACACGTTTGTGGCGTGCCTGTGCCCCTGCCGGCAAGCGCGACAGGAGGTGCTCTGCTGCCTTGTTGGTGATGTGTGACGTCCGCATGTGCAGATTTGCGGATGTGATGGATCTGTCGAAGGACCGCTCGCGGCTGGACTTCTTCCTGCGCAAGGCCAAGACGGCACCCTCCAATTTGCCCACAGCAGCTCCCTGCAGCCTGTCGAAAAGTTGCCCCATCATCCCCTTTGCGCCAGCAGCAGCAACAAGGGACACACATACAGATGCACAGGCGGCAGCTTCCGGGCAGCCGGCATCCGCCGCGATGCAGAGCGTGCACAGCGCGCCGGCCGAGCTGGCGGCTCACTCAGCGCCAGGTGGCGCATGCTTGTGCTCAGAAGCCGGGCGCGGCTGTGATGGGGAAGAGGAAAACGGCTGCTGGTCGGAGGCATGCAGCGAGCGGGGTGAGGATGCAGATGGAGAGGGGGACGCCGCGATAGACCTGGTCTCACCAGAGAAAATTGCAGCCCCACACAAGGAGTGGCGGGAGCAGCGGTCAGGGGTTGGCGAGCGGCGAGTGGGGGAGATGAGAGAATTTGAGCAGGGAGATAACGTATCGAACGCGCAGCGTGCAGAGCGCGCGGCAGAGCTGGTGCATCTGGGATTGGACAGCCCGCCGCAGATATGTCCAGCCGCTGAGGCGCCATCTGCGGCTGCAGCTGCGCCGCTGCACAGCTGTGCAAGCGATGAAGGGCCAGTTACTGATCCGTGGCCGCCGGAGAGTGTTGCTGAGGCTGATGTAGATGATCAGAGAGGGGAGGAAGCAGAGGGGCGGAAATACCAGTGCGCCTGGCCGCAGCCGACGGGGAGGGCTGACCCGGAAGGTGACTCAGCCAATGACTCCTGGAGCAGCGATTCGTGGGACGACACAGTCAGGCCGGCCAGTCAACTGGATGCGCAGGACCTTCCAGCGAAGGAGAGCAATGAGGGTTGTGACAGGACTCAACTGGCACAGTTGTCAGGCTGTGACCAGCAGCAGTTGGTGCCTGGCCTCAGACCTGAGCAGCTGGAGGCTGCGCACAAAGCTGCTGCCATTGGGCTGCACTGGAAGAGCAAGCCAGCGGTCATGCCTGCCATGCATGTGGGAGTAGAAGGGCTGGCAGAAGGGGAGAGCACTCGGAGCAGAACAGATGCCGAGGCGGCAAGTAATAGCAGCAGCCAAGGTGATAGGACTGAGGCTGTGCCAAAGGAGGCAGCAGTCGACCTATCAGCGGTTGACGTGGCGGAGCAGGAGCGTATCCTGCGCATGATCGAGCTGCAGAGGAGGGCGCAGCCGAGGAAGAGCGGCAGCGAGCAAGGGCCTACGAGAAAAAGAGGGCCGGCTCTGGTCGCAGGAGGCAACGCCGTCGCTATGGTGCATGGTGGTGTGCTGGGCACCCAGACAAAGCGGCGGCAGCTATCCATAGGGGCCTTCATCTTCAAGGCACCCTCAGCCAAAGATTGATCTGGAATTCTCCTCTTTCCGCCTCTCATACCGGCACGCTCCTAATTCTGATCAGATGCTGACATGAAAGCACAATTTTGGACAGCTCATACTTGCAGTAGAGCACAATGGGTATTCATTGTACGGCTTGAAAGCAGCCAGTGTATGTGACAGCTCCACATGTGATTGCACCATCAAGTGAAGTGAAATGTGTACCTTATATGATGTACCTTGTTGGTGTACTTTTAATTTTATTTTGACAATTTTGTTGTTCGAAATATTTAATTGGCGTGCGTGAGGCGCTTGAAAGGCAACTAAAGGAACGCACGAGCTGTAGAGGGTTATTCAAGGCCTTGAGCTAGCTAGGAGGGAACTTGAGCAAGATTGCATCCGCTGGGATCTTGACAATGTAAAAAGGGCCAAGAAAGATTGGCAGTATCGAATCACAAACAAATGTGCTGTCAACATTAACATCAGAATGCTCTTTACAACGGTGACAAATGTTCCATGTTCTCTGCATCAACCTCCTCAGTCCATATAGACTCCCTCAGAGACGATCAAGTAAACATCTCTAACGAGACAAAACTAATGAATACTCTTCTCAGTCATTCTCAACAATGCACATCCACTCCTCTCTGAAGCAAACCCGCCGTTCACCCACGGCGACGCTCGATCAAGTTCATTAAGTCTCTAACAAAGTCATCAGATTTACCAAGCCGGCAAGTGCTGCATGACAAGACTTGCCCAATCCCTCATGCCAAGCCTCTGCTGCTCTGATTAATTCGCAGACAGTCGCCTCATACTGAAAACCGCGTCTCAGGTTTCGCAATCTAGAGCAGCGCGTCAGCATGCGCGTGCTGCATGCCGGCATGTGCGAGCATGTGTGCGCACACTCAGGCAGTGGCCAGCGCTGGGCCGTTGGTGAGCTCCAGGGTGATCTTGTCGAGCTGGCCCTTCACTGACAGGTCGATCTGGCTGCTGCCGTACTCCACAATGAAGCCGGCGATGAGTGACTCATCGATGACGGGCTTGAGCTTGATGTTCTTGGATCCAGTCAGCTCCTGCAGCTTCTTGGCGATCAGGAATTGCTGCTCCTGCTCCAGCCTCACCGCTGACCTCAGCGTCGCCACCTGCGCAATACGCACAGAAACTTGTTCAGGAGAACTCTGCGGCGGGGATAAAGCAAATGCCCTGCTTTGAACTGGACAGCTAACCTACCATCCTAGCCCTCGGCAGAGACGCCTTCCGTGGCCCATTGGCAACTATCAGCTAGATTCTGGATATAGATGAGTAAGGAGTTCTCAGAATTCCTTTGCCTCGCAAGAAAACCAGACATGTCTTTGTATCCCTGCCAGGCACCTGCATGTCTAAGAGGTAAAATTGGCACCTGGGGGTCAGCCTTCATTACAAGTCTTTGAACTGCTGCTGCATGATGTTCACTTCCAAGGCAGCCATTCCTATTTTGTCTGGCGCCCGCTCTGCCTTGATATCTGCATCTTTCTTGTACCTCTTCTACAGCAGCAAACGGGAGCGCAAACGGCTCGCACCTGGGTGTCTGTGAGCTTGCAGTACTGGATCTCGAACTGGTCGAAGATCTCCTGGATGGCGACCAGGCGGTCCTGGTCCAGGAGCAGGTTGAGGAAGTTGAGCGTGTGCTTGCTCAGGCCGGCGTCGTTTGCCAGGCTGGACAGCAGCTCGCGCTTGCGCTTGTCCGCAACCACCGGGTTGAACAGAAAGTCCTTCACGTCCGGGGTCTCCTTGAACGCGCTCTGCACGACAAGATGACACAACAGCATTCAGCACACTCGAGCACGGGAAAGCTATTGATTGAATTGAGAGTGCAACGGTGTGTTTGTGCAGCAGCAGACTAGCAGCACCAGATTGTGGACACTTGAGAATCTCAGCATCTGCTCGATCCAGAGGCCAGAGAAGGAAGGAGAGATAATTGGGGCTTGCACGCTGCTCAACTACCCCCCACTTTTGAGCGGCGCTGTGCATGGCAAACACTCCCATACAACGTGGCTTATTTGCGATTGGTATTTCTGCCCCATTCCGCATTTGCAGAACAACGACACGCTGAACCATGAGGACCCGAGAGGTGGCTGGACAGTTGCATTGATTTATGAGCTACGTGATCTTCACTGACCTGAAGGGAGTCCACATCTGCATGTACTGTGTCCAGGGCGTTCTTGCCCTGTGCTAGGTCCACCAAGGCGTTAGCGTAGACGGCAGCAACCTTGTCCACGTCTCCCTGCAGCAAAGATCACATCTTGATCGCGTTACATTCTGGGTGTGCACACTGCACATGATTCACAACCCTCTCTCTGGAACAGCAGCCTGCGCTCTTGGGGTCAGCACAATCTTTGGCAGCATTATTATACATTCAATCGATATTGCTTGACCCCAAAAATCGCACACTGCTTTTGCTGAAAGTTGTATCCACTTATTGAGGTCCAAAACTTTGTTGGAGCAAGCTGTTGAAAGGGGCACGATTCTACAGCGGGGCCTCTGCTCAACAGCTTGTTTCATGCTGCACTCACCGCCATGCGGGTGACTTGGCGAGCATTCTGCCTTCTGAGCTGGGGCCTGCTAGCCAGGAGGACCTTCGGCCTGCCTGCAAACTGCTGGAGGGCTGATGTGGGTCTGCAGGTGCGCGCGGCCATTGTCTCGGAGCAGGCAAACGCGGTGGCCATTGCAGCGATTGCAGATCCAAAAGTTCAGGCTCACGCGCGCAATGCACTCCTTTCACTCGCTTGTGGCTCGCAGAGTTGGCCGGCCTCATCTTATCGACCCCCAATGTAATCCGGACAGGCCTGATTAGGCCGTTTAGGGGCAGGGTTTTCGGGGAGTTGTACTGATGTTGCCAACACTACAAACCAAAGATGAAAGTGCAGCCTGTATCTGGGGACAGAATGATGGCTGCTGACTGTCACATGACATGAACGACGGGCCCTTTGTAAATCTTGCATGTTCACTCTTAAGTGTAATTACATTATTGAGCGCTCAGCTAGCTTGTGTGAGCATGCATGCGCATTTGCATTTGCATTTGCATTTGCATTTACAAGAGCTACTCCTAGTTGCCAGGACGGGACAAGAGTGCGTGAAAACTCAGCCGCCCAGGGCCTCTTCTACAACATATGAGTGTCAAACCCCAGAATCTTCAACATTACGCAGATCTGAAACACTCCAATGCTCTTCAATCTAGTAAGTCACTGGTAGTGACTGCATGCATCTGCCGCTGTCTCCAGCCTAGAATTTGGCTAACTTTCAATCTGACATGCCGCAAAAGCAGGTGCACAAAAACCGAAGTAACAATGCCTCAGAGACACTGGCTCAATCCACCAAGGCCACGTCATATTGATCTGTCTAGACCCATTCCCATGTAATGGACTAGTAAGAATTGTCATGGTCGTTACGACACCCTCAGGGAAATGGTCCATCGACAGCTTGATGTAAGGAACAGCTATTCATTGAAGTCCTATATAAGACATATGTATTCAGGAGTGACTAAGACATGCTTATGCACGAAGGCAGGCCTTGCGAGAGTGCTTGCAGAGTACAGGAATCCTTTGTTGCTTCAAGGACAGGCACACCACCACAAACCAGACATCATTGTAACCATAAATATTACAATCCAATCTTCTCTGGTGGTGCGATAGCCTTGCAGAATTCGCATGCTTTCATCATTGCTCATCTTTGACGGCGCCGTTCGGCACACCTGCAGCCTGCTGCTGCTGCTGTTGCTGCTGCAGCAGCTGCGCTGTCGTTGGCGTAGCCGACAGCGCCTTGTCATGTGCACCTGTCCGCAGCTGATCGCTGCTGCCAGGCAGGCTTGGCTGCTGAGGAAAGGACCCAGCATGCTGCGCTTGCTGCTGCGAGGGGCGCAGCTCAGGCTGGATCCCGGGCGGCCCGGCCGGCGCAAGGCCGGCGCCGGCGAACGGCCGCGCGCCGCCGGCCGGCCGCGGCGGCTGCACCGGCCCACCGGGGGCCGTCCAGGGACCGCCGCGCTGCAGCAGCACCGGCAGGCCCAGCGGCATTGTCCCCACCGGCGGCTGCTGCGGCCGGGGGTGCCCCTGGTACGCGGCCGAGGAGGTGATTGTCGGCGCAGAGATCATCCCCGGCATCGGCTGCGACTGCGGCGCGGCCATCTTCGCAGGCGCTGGCGGCCGCGGCGAGAGCACGATGGACACCGACGGCTGCGGCGGGCCGCCACGCCGCAGCGGGGGCGGCCGCACGGCGCCGGCTGGCCGCGGCGCGCCCTGCTGGTGCTGCATGGCGGGCCTGTAGGAGCCTGCAGGCCCGGGGAACGGCCCCTGGCGACCTGCGTAGTCTGCAGCGTCCGGCGTCGCTCTTGGCGGCGTCAAAGTTGGGCCCTCGCCATGCCCCTGCTGCCTCATGGGCGCTGTCTGCTGCTGCTGGCCCAGACCTGGAGACACCCACGCACAAAAATCAAGCTCAGACACACGCACCGCTTCTGCCTTTAACTATAGCACACATGTGCCGATCAATGGCACAAACCATCTTGTGACAACAAGTGCACTTGCTATTCCACAGGGGATTTTAGTAGTGCTGCACACCTGCGGGGCGGCCCAGCGTGGAGAGGTTGACCATGCGCTGGGCTGAAGGCTGGCTGGCTTGCAGGCCGCCGGGGCTGCCAAGGGTGAGAACCCTCACATTGCCGCCCAGCCCCTGCCCTGGCATCACCGGACTGGCTCCTGCAGCACAACACATAGCGTGATTACCCCTGCCGTCCACCTAGTACAAAGACTTTCACATGTGATACAGATAGACATCCTCACATGAAGTTCTGTTGAGAAGGGGCAAGCATGGCACAGAATAGGCAATTTTTGCTTGATCAGTGAAAGATGAGGGGGGCCCTCGCACCAGATCTTGACATTCCTGGGCTGTTGTTGATGAAGTAAGCCGGCCGTGGAGAGCTCATCGGCGATGTCAGCTGTGGGGAGCCCGTAATGGAGCCCAGCAGATTCCCTGCAGAAATCATCGTTCGCCATGAGTCTCGAACAGTGTTCATGTCATATCAGAATTTCGAGATGGTCGCCCATGTGAGAACCTAAATCCCTAAATCAAGATACGCTGCACAGACCTCCTGAGCACACAAACCCTGGGCAAGACGGCAAGTGCTTTTGTTTGTTAGGCTCACCCCCTCTCAATCATTGCCAAGGACAGCTCGGGTCCCAGATTGACAGCTGCAGACCAGCATTCAGCCGAGCACCTCACATTATACAGGAGCTCTTAGGGAGGCAAAAAGTATGGGTAACACACCGGGCACGGCGGCCAGCGCGGCGCTAGCTGTGGCGCGGGCGGCAGCAGTGGCGTCGAAATCCGCGGCCGTCTTCTTCTGGACGCGGTCGAGGATTTTCTTGAGGATGAAGTGGTACTCCTGCAGCACCGCGCGCTCCTGCGCCTCGTACACCCCGCTCGGCACATTCGCGGCAGCTGCCGTCGGCGGAGCCCCTGCACCATGCACACCATCTTATTGATATCATCAATACACACTATCCCTGCCAAGACATGCAAGTGGTGCCCGAGCAGACAAGCTGCAGGTACCGTCTGCGAGCATAATCTTGGCCCCAGGTGATCTCCAAATCCACAATCTCCAATCTCTGGTGCAAAGGCATACTGCCCAGAGCGGCATGCTGTGACCGGTGAAGCATGTCCCTTCCAAAACAATTGAGCAGCCAGACATGTGGCTGACAATAGACAACGTCGTGAGGTACAGGCTTAAAAGGCCAGAGATACAACGCACCTGACTGCTCTGGTGTCCGCACGGCTGCGCCCTCCTGTGTTACGCCCACTGTGGTGCCAGGGCCGTCCATGTTGGTGTCTCCATCTGCGTCAAGGCTCTTGCTGCCTGCAGCGCCCGTCCCAGCCTGCAAAATACAAAGCCACTAATGTTCACAGATTTCCTCTGCTAACTACGACAACAAAACCTTCATCACACAGCGTCATGTACTTGCGAAGGTGGCCATCTGACAGTGGACTTCATTCGGGCTTCATGGACACAGTAGAATTATTGGTGATTTCGTGGTGGAACAGTAGAATAAGTGAAGTACGGCTGAAACGGCTTAGATGGCAGGGGGGCATTGCGCACCTCTGAGGGCTGCTCAGAGGGTGGTGTAGTCTTGGCGCTCGCTTGCTGCAGCTTCTGCTGCTCCTCCTGCGCCACCAGCAGCAGCAGCGAGCACATCTCCTCCACGCCGCCTCGCTTCACCATCTGCACAAAACATGATGATCACAACTCTTGATTGAACATCAAGGGCTCAACGTGCGGCATCTGACTGGTGTGATAAATTAAGAGGGCAGGCTGCTGCACCCATTAATCCTCTTGGATTCAATACAGGCGGCTTTGAGATCCGCGGCACCTGGCTACTGGGGGGCCACATGCAGCAGACGCACCACTGTCTCCCCAGTAGCTTGGCAGCGGGGCCCCGAGCCATTTGTGTTTGCAGATGGACACACCCCACTCACTCTTCACAGGCCCTCTAGAGCGTCAAAGGCAGACACGCAGAAGTGGCACCATCAGTCAATGAGGATGAAATTCCATACCTCGCGCATGGTCTCCTGCAGCACCGATTTGGGCTTGACGAGCGGCTGCCCGGGTGAGCGCGCCGGCTGCCCGGCCGGGCGGTCCCCTGCGCTGGGGGCCCTCGTGGGAGGCAACGCCGGGCTACGGTGCATGGTCGGGGTGGATGCGCCGTCCGGTCGGTGCATTTCCCTCGACTGCACCGCTGCCCCACCCGGCGGCCCACCGCTGCTGTACACTCTCTGATATGACTGCGCGCATCAGGCAACCTCTCATATTATGATGCCACCCACAAACCATGGACACATGGTGGCAGCTCATCAGCTCTCTGCATGCACGGCTTGGCATGGATTGGTGCTGGATGCGGCAGGCATGCGTTTGGCTGCAAGAACGGTGCTGCGTGAAGGTCCAGAAATGGAATTATGGGAGAGGATTTACCTTGGAAGGGTGAGCGCCCTGGTGGGGAGAGGGGGCTGGCATGAGTTGGGAGCTGACGCCGGGCTGCCCAGAGCTGGTCCCGGGCTGCCCGGGCAGGCGGCTGTCCACTGGCTGCATCCCAGTGGATGCGCCCAGGTTGGGTGAGCCCAGTGTGGCAGTCATGCTCATGCCTGCACAATAGTCACAGTTTCATTCCATCGTCCTCATGCCAGGCACATCACTGCCTTAGTAGGCGGGATGCACTGGCAGAGGTGCAGCTTTGGCAGGCAACTGAGCATCAGTTTTGCTGATCCTACAAGCCTTCCATGCACATCCCAAGTTATAGAACACTTAGAGTGCTCAGAAATTCTCTTGAGACACCAGTAAGGAACAAAGTGAGCTTACACCGCCAGCGGTGGCTTTTGCAGGGGCTAACACGTTCGTTTCATGAAAGGGGACTACCTCCAGTGAAGACTGGCTGCAGAGGGGTGCTGGTCGGCTGGGAGTGCATGCGCGCGCGCTTGACCATGCCGGCCTGGCCAACGCGGTTGTGCTCGTGCACCAGGCTCATCATCACCATCTCCCTGGCATCCGACCCCTGAAGAAGGTATCAAGAAACTCCACTCAATGCACAGGCTTCACTGCCCTGCCAAGGACAGTGCAGTGCACAGGGCACTCTTAGCTCCACGTACCGAGCCGTCAGACAACCTATGACAGGTTTGCTCAGGCTGCAACTTGGAGGAGCCCATAGCTCATGCATGAAAAAGGCATTTGCAGCTTGAGCTTCGATTGCCCAGACAAGCCTATGGCGGGGAGGTGAGCGCACCTCGAAGTTTTTGCAGTCGATGCACTTGCAGTTGTCGGAGCAGAAGATGGAAGCCTGGAAGCACTCGCAGTATTTTTTGAGGCACCCGCTCTTCTTGCAGTTGCACCCCTTGTTATGGCGCGCCGCCGCCCCCTGGATCGCCACATGCGTCCCTTCCTCCGTCCCGCCCTGCGATTGCATGCTTCAATCATCGGCTCCATTCGCAAAGAATGATTCCTCTCCATTCTTGAGTTTTAAGAGCTGTGAACCTGTCGTGCAGAAGGGCTCAAGCACCTGGATCTTGGGCCGGAAGGCATTGGGGTTGCGCTCGAGAATGGCCTCCACGGCGGCCTGGCGGACTTGCTCGCTCTCTTTGTTGTTGCAGCAGTTGACGCAGTTGCAGCCGTCGCAGTAGCGCCCGGACGCAAAGCACTCGCAGTACAGCTTGAGGCAGCGCGAGTTCTTGCAGTTGCAGTGCTTCTTCGCCGGCAGCGCCGCCACCGCCGCGCGCCCCACCTTCGGGCTCGGCCGCGGCGCATGCTGCCTGCAATCAAGCGCACCACGGTTCAAACCCACCAAGCTCCTTGAACCTTTTTATGCTTTCGTTTTTCTCTTGGTCCTGCAGCTCCCCAAGGCATGCATTTGTCAACGCAGCTTGGCCTCGCAACTCCATAACTCCCTGGTTCCTGCTGCAATTAAAACCACAGAACAGCACGCTCCACCCCAGGTGAAAATGCACGTTGTTGGGTGAGACCAGAAAAAATTCACGGCGGCAAATTTACTCGCAGACTAGGGGATTCACACCTAACAGGGGACTGGAGGGACTGCAGCTGCCCAGAGGAGGTGGGAGGCGCAGAGGAGGCAGGAACGCCGTTGGATCCAGGGCCGCCAATGGGGGGCATCCCCTGCAGGTGCTGCTGCTGCAACTGCTGCGGCTGTGGCTGCGGCTGAGGCTGCGATGGCGCCTGCTGCTGCTGCTGCGGATGGGCTTGCGTCTGGTGTGGGTGCTGCTGCATGTGCAGCGGCCGCGCGCCCTGCTGCTGCTGCTGCAAGTGCGGCCCCTGATGACACAGACATGATCAGCACAAGCAGTGTACTCCTTGTCACACCATGCATGCCATGCTGATATGCAACCAGAGTAGGCGGTAAATACATCTCGATACGCAGAAAGGGGCTTCTTGCACACCTGCACTTGACTGGGGCGCATAAAGTAGGTGTGCCCGGCCTGCAATTGCTGCTGGGCTGGCCGAGGCCCCTGGCCAGGCATATGGTGAGCGCCGGGATGCTGCATCTGAGGGCGCGGCTGCTGCTGGTACTGTGAGGGGCCCTGCTGGCCCTGCAGGAATGGCGCCCCCTGCTGCTGCTGTGGCATGCCCATCCGCTGCGGCAGCATGCCTGCGGCTGGACAAGGCAGATTGCCTCAATCTCTCGATGCAATAATCACAGCCTTAACGCTTTTGAAGCCCTCTGGAAGGATGTCATGACATGGTGCACAGGAACACAATGGATCATGCAAGATCAAAGCTGTATCAATCTCATGACATGACATGTTTTGAACTGCGCAAGACTCCCATGCAGATCCCTCCTGGTTTTGGGAAAAGTCCAGTGAATTCAAGGCTTAGGCAAGTAACGCACCGTTGTGTTTCTGCTCAGCCATCTGCATGAAGCGTGGCCTCTGCAGGTGCTGCTCATGTAGCTGCTGTTGCATTGGCTGCTGCGGCAATTGTTGCTGTAACTGTTGTGGATGTTGTTGTTGCTGCTGCTGCTGGTGAGGCTTCGCCGCATTCATACCTGATCCCTCCTGTGGCTGCTGGACAAAAGGAACCCTGCGCAAAGCAGAGAGATTTCAGGGAAAGCTACGCTGCTTGAGAACATGTCTTGTGTCTGCAGGATCAGCAGACAGCGGACTGACCGCCCTTGAGTGTTGCATGGCACTCCCCATGTCCTTTCCATGCTTGTATCTAAACAATGCTCTCGGTTTTGCTCTGTGCTACACGCAAGGCCCCGCTTTCTTGCAAAGACCTCAGGCTAGTTGCAACTAACCTTTCCAGCAGGGGAAGGCGACCCAGAATTAACACATTACAAGATATACAGGAATTTTTTTACACATCAATCACAACATTGAATATCTAAATCGCCAGCAAAGAAAGATGAAAAGCTTCATTTTTTCTGCAAGAAAGACTGCCGCTGATCATACCCTTGTGGCAAGGGAGTTGGCTGCACGCCGGGTCCCGATTGCTCCTCAGCAACTTGTGATGCCGAGTATTTAGGGCCATCCATCGGTAGCTGCCTGAGGTTCAACGCTCCTCCGGCGCCTACTCTCCCTTATGACAGCGATGCAGATCTCGCAGCGTTGACTCCCGGATACGACAGCAGGCTTGCTCTTCTCACTACTGCAGCTCCGCACCACAAATATAAAGACTACGCGGGGTGCAAGACGCCCTCGGAACGCAGGGCAGCGTCGGGCAGAAATTTCCTGAAGTGACTACAACAATTCCTCAGCTTTTATCCCACAAGCTCTGCCACAAGCTTCAACTCAACGGCCCGGGAAGATGAAGGATACCGAAGGAACATTGCATATGTGTTCCTATGCAAGGATTCGACGGCTGCTGGAGAAGGCCAAAGGCTAGGTGGTGGCCCTAGTACATCCAAGGGAAGGGCTACTAAAGCTCTTCCAGCCCCCCAGGAACCCAAGACCGCCCTCCTCACAGATAGATCTAGTAAGCTTCAACAGCAATGTGCGTGTGTCTAGGCCCTTAACCTGCCCCTTCGTTGCATGGGCCGGAAAAACTTAGCGCAGCTCTCTTTCATGTTTCAAAACTACAGAAACCTTTCGAACCTGAGGCAGGGCAGGGCATAATAGGAGGGGTCCAATCACCTCTGATCTGACCTGGCTAGCTGATGTTGGAAATTTCGAGTGTGGATTTGCGACATAAGAAACACTCGTGATCATCCCTTCCTTTCAGATCTCATCTTTAGAGTACTCCTTGCTGAGGACCATCTTTCCCTACAGGCTTCACCATATAACCGTCTGATGGGTGTGTTGCCTTTAGAGCGGCATCTGCTGGAATTGACATCCAGACCGACACTTACCTTTACCACATACAGGATTAAAGTCACCAGGTGGGCTGTTCCATTGCGAAACCTTTGCAGCAAGCAGCAGAGTACACCAGATCGGTCTGAGCACCATCTGCTGAGTCTGTTAGAAAGCAAGACCGTGATCCAACGGTATTCTTGTACCTGCATGAGCATCCTGACTAGAAGCCGTGAAGATCGCATGGCATGTCACAGGTACCGAAAGTGCAGAGGCAGCTCGAGGTGTAGAGCTGTCCTTGGGGAAGCAGGCCCCCCAGACAGCCAGGGCGATCCGAACGTTCAGGAGGGTCTCGTACAGATGGTGCGGCTGCAGATAGGCAAGGAGCGAGTGAAAGAAAGCGTGGAAGAGGAGAGGCAGAAGCTGCAAAAGCTTGCTGAGGAGGTGTGGCCTACAGAGCAACTATGCGTTTTGGACTGCACCTTTTGCCGCGCACATTTCCTTGGCCATTTGTGTGCTGGATATGCCTTTGCCTTGCCATGACTTCAGCATAACTAATTCTCTGTGTGGGTCACCAATCGACACTGGCTGGTGCTCTCATCTTTCACAGGCCAAAGAAGATGTCGACAGGCTGCAGCAGCTGACAACGGACAGATCAAACCTGGCGTTTGGGAGCGCTATTGTGAGGGCCCTTCTGACAATCATGTGCTGCTTGTTAATCCTGCCAACAGCGCAGGGCATACATCTTATCTTGACATTGCCTGCCTTTTTAAAAGGACAGAACCATGGCTCAGTGCTAGCATTTATCGTCTCTGTATGCCCTGCTGGGAATGCGGCCAATTCCTCCGCAGTTGAAAGGTTCAGCGTAGTAGCACAGTCCCCCTCGCTGGCCTTGCTTGGCACGCGGCAGGCCACCCAAAGTAGCGAGGGTTGTGTACGCACAGAAGTTGGACTTTAGGAGCATCCTATGGAGGATTCTAAATCAAGACCAGTTGTGGCTGCCGGCCGACAGGCGGACATCAACAAGTCGGCGGATGATTACGAGGAGATCTTACGGGCCAGCCGCGCGCGGGCCGAGGCGTACACGCGCGAGCTGGCCGACTGGGAAGCACAAACCGCGAAAGCCCGTAATGAGGGAACATTCTTCAAAGGGCTCTTCAAGGCCGATATCCTGCAGCGGCCGGGGGACCAGGCCAGAAGCTCTGCTGAGCCCAGCACCTCCCAGGTATGTTTGTGTTCCTGGGAAAATCAAGACCCAGGTGACCTCTAGATGGGGCACCATGTTGCATCAGGCAACCGCTGACCTCTGGGCGGCTCACTATATCAGCGCATGCACCGGGTGACCCCTAGGTGTGGCACCATATCACATGCATAGCAGGGAGCCAGACCTGGCTGTGGCTATTGAGTCGCTGCAGACTTTTCAATATGAAGAGAGACGAAACCTGCAAAATTGCCATTCCCTCCTCTTGAACGAGACAGATCACTTTGTTACAAGCAAACGTAGCAACTCCATATATCATGCTGATGTCACGATGTCCCCATAGGTGAGGTGGCATTTCTGGTGTGAAGGGTGATGGTATGGGGAACAGGTAGAAGGTACAGATTCCTCTCTGGGAGATCAGTACACCGACAAAAATGCTGCACTGAGGGCCAGCAGCGATGTACTGAAATACTCTTTCAGCTTCCTAGCATTCATGCTCTTCAGCACCGTGATTGGAGGTGCGACCGTGGGAATCAGCACAACTTGATGCAAAACCAAACGTTTCCCGCCACAACCCATGCAATTTCTGTGCTCTTATATGCACATCAAATGACGCCACTGCAAAGCAATTTATGTGCCGCACATGTGTCAGAGGCATGTGATGGATATCGTGCACTGGGTGATAATTTGAGGTCATCCCTGTGTGCGTTTCTCAGTCTGGTCAGATATAAATAAATGTGTGCTACTTGCTACCAGATTTGGCGGGAGGATCACCATCTGTGGGCATGGACGGGCGCAATTTGCTGCTCGGGCTGCTGCTCAGCTATGGAGCTTGGAAAGCCAGCCAGTACAGTGTAAAGTAATCTGCATTCATGTAGCCTGTGACTCAGGAGAGCACTGGCAACCAATACGGCTTCTGAAGGCATTATCTAGGCACTTGCGGTATCATTGACACCCTGAGCCTGAACAAAATCTTCTCAGGTCATTTTAGACAAAGTCCCCTGTTGGGAGGCCTTGCATGGACGTGGCATGCAGTGTCTGCTGCAACAAATACTTGTCACAGTCCAAGCAGAGGACCGGGGATAAGACCGTCAGCGCGCCAGATGTCACGAAGGAGACGGCCAAGTGCTGGAAATTTGGCGGGCCCCTGGTTGTTTTTTGCTATGTCACGGACCAGAAGGTGCTAGGGCAGGATGAGCTGGCAGCATACTTGTGTTTGACAAGGCGAAGCAGCTGTCATTCTATGCTGCTCTGTCACCCCTGAAGGCGGCTCTGGCACTGTGCTCACAGCAGGGCCTGACAAAAGAAAACTCGGCTGACAATGCTTAGTGTTGCAAAGCCCGGTATATTGAAGTGAAGATGCAGGCCATCCACCTGTGTGGGATTTGGGATCATTCGCAGACATCTACAGTGGGCACCCTCTGCAGCTGATGAAGTACAGATTTACTCATGACGGCAAACGAATTACAATTTGTCCATGTCATGGATCACAATCAGAGAAAATGGTATGCTGACATCAAAGCAGTGCGAGTGCCAGGAGATAGGAGGATCACAATTGCAAAGGACATATAATATCTGTCAAAATGATCGCCCCTGATCTCCCAGAGCTACAAGTCTCCGGAGTCTGCGGATCCGCATTGTCTGGTTACATGAACTAGATTTCATGGTATCTGGATGTCCCCTCATGGAGCAGAGACACATCATGCGATGTACCGTTCAGATCAGTTCAAGAATTGTCAACAATCATTGTCACCTCTGATAACACTTAGGCTAAAGATCAGATCTACAGCCTGTGTCTATTGCCACTACGTGCACAGGTCTCTGTAGTCTATAGCCTCTTTCTATAGGCACCTGTGCTCCCATTGATCAATGGGAGTACGAGGACAAGACTGGCTGTCACAGCATGCGCATGCGGCGGGGCTTCCTGGTGCTGTGGGGGATCTTCCCCTGCCTGTCCAACTTCTGATAGGCCTCCTGCAGGTGCGCTGGCCTCAGCGGTCCATTGTCCCCCATCTCTGCTGCCACCATCCTCGCTGCAAGACAGCACCACACAAATACTTCAGACGGGCCTGAAATTCTCAAGAACACCATTGGTCAGGTCTGGATAAGGGAATCGGTACCATAAAGCAGAGAGCTCCTTCGTGATGGAGAGCTCATCAAAAGCCTGAAGGCCACGCTGTGCATGCAGATTGCCAGCAATCCGCCATGGGAATGAGCCAAAAAGTCTTGGCACAGCAGCGTTCTGTGACCTACTTTGCCAAGAGCAGAAAGCCAAGATGCCGGCCTATTGCAGCCAGGTCCATGACACAGCAAGGGACAGGAAAGAGCCCAGATGGAATACCTGTCTCCACTAGATCGCCCACAAAGAGCTTTGCTATGCCGCACATGACGATGGTCGAGTTCATATGAGGCGCCTGCCCGGTCACGCTGTGCAGCAACTGCATGCACATGCAGGATGACATCATATTTCAATATGGCTCTGAAATGTAGTGAACTTTGTAAGCTGAATTGCGCTGTGCTGGAAGCTGTGCCCAATTCAATGTCAGGTCTGAGCTCACAAGCAAGGTGGAATGCTGGCAAGCTGATATAAAAGGCAAAGGCACTCTGACTGATACCTTCGCATTCTCAGCGTGCAGGTCATGACAGCGACATTCCGGCAGAATTGTGAGATCGTTGATTGACACTTTCATGGAGGAAGTATGGGGCATGGGGTCATGCTGCACCTTTCTCATACTCGGCTTGGCCAGCTTGGATCGCCTGAAGGCCTCATACCGATCCATCTGCTCTGGTGTCAGCAGCTTGAGCACCTCCCTGCTCAGCCAAGCCCAAAGCGATCTTCAACAGCTGTGTCACCAAGGTGCAGCAAATAAATGCACAAAATGACACAAGTGAAGACAAATACGGATCAGATGAACGCAAAGGGGAGCCACCATGCCAGTTGCTGCCAAACGGCAATGCTACTGCAGATGCCAATAGACCTGCTGACGTTGTGAGCAAGCACAAATTGTGGCATGGGGTGCACTTACTGGTTCTTTCTTTGCCTCTCCTGTTTCAGTGCCTCCAGCTGCTGAACTGCATCAAACGCTTGAGTCTTGCCAAGCTCAACAGCTGCAACTGCACTGGTAAGGTCATCTGCAGCTCCCTCGCCTGAGGGCTGAGGTCCTGATGACACAGCTGCAGATGTGGCTGCTACCGCATGCGTTGCTGCTGAAGCCTCCTCGTCTTCTGTGTGCACACGGAAAACTTTGGGTTGAAGGATTAGGTCTTTAGGCCGTCGAGGGTGAACCCAAAAGAGGTGCAGCTCTGCCTGAGCCAATATTAATCTAGCCAAATCAACAGCTCAAAGCTCCAGAGCACAACAGATCGATAGCACACCACATTTCTTGAAGTTTACCTTCGTCCACATCCATTCCCGCCTCTAACTCGCGCTCCAGCTCATCCTCGAGATTGAAGTCATCATCTTCTTCCATGTTCCGATGCTGATCACTCAATGGTGATTGCTGTGATCCCAGAGTCGAGCAGAATTATAACACAGGTATCAATCCTTAGATGTGCACTGGTGAATGTAGCAAAGCTTGCACAGCGATCTAGCAATGCACTTCAAAGTAGTTCTTGCAGTGTATGTTTGGATGGGCGAAACAAATGTCCTGCTGCTGTTGATCGGTGATACTGCTGGTGCATGTCTAGTCAGCCAAGCATGTGCAGTCACATGTACGGGACCTAGAATCTCATTGTCAATTCCGTGATCATATCTAGAAATGTTTCAGTGAGAACACATGATCACTGTGAGTTCGATTAGGTCGGTGAGAGGATTATTGGAAAAGACAGTAGTACTCCTTGGAAGTTGTGCTGGTTTGCGTCTGTATTTTACAGACAGCCACTCGCTTTCAAGTCATATGCAATTAGATTTGCAGAGTGCAATCTGAAGGAATTCAAAATACAATTGACCAATCGAACGTGATTCTTGCCAGATTTTATCTGCCATCTACCATGGCACGAGCATGCCACTGGCCGATCTCCTCCTTTTTGACTGATACTCTGTTATCTTATGCATTGTTATTGGACTGATATATGATGACTAGACATACAGTACTCATGCAGTACACCCTGTGATGAATTAATTCCCAGGACTGGTGCTTCAGCAAGATGCGTCACGACAACAGCTCCAAAGTGAGTCCATGAAGGCCCAAGACCATAACAACGAAGCATGGTCGGAGGGCCGGGCCATGCGCCCTCGCCCGAAGGTGAGAGCAATTCTGTCCTCCGAGTCATTCTCTGTAATACATCCGTACATGCCCTCTGCTTTGGAAGCCAACCAGCTCACCAATCTTCCTAGTCATAATCGCCTCTGAGTTGACGTTGTACTCTCTGTGTTGCTGCAGGATGTGGCCTACCAGGAGTGCGAAGTGGACGATGCTGAGGCAGCACCTCGAGTGCCCTATGAGCAGCTGTCCCGCCTGCTCACTGAAGGAAGCTTTGCACGCCTCTCAGCGGCAACGCCTGCCGGGTCCGCCCCTGCACAGCTTGTTCATTTCACCTTTCTTACATGCTGCAGCTGGCATGCAGCACAAGCCAGCTGCTGTCATGCATTCACTTGAAGCAGTGCTGCATGCATGAGGCATGCAGGACATTGCTGGCATATGATACAGGATTAAGGGTTCTACATGGCAGTCCAAAAGTCCGCAGATTACATGGGAAGATTCCAAACGGGCTCAGCATTCCTGTGGTGCTCTGGCACAGGGATCTGACGGCGGATCTGCTGAGGAGCACAGGTTTCCAGGACCCCATCCTTGTGAGGCCATGCGAATCCATTGCCGCCACTCATGAGGTATGCAGCCCTCTCTTGCAGCACCCTGCAGCCTTCGATCTACTTCTGCATGCACCAGTTTAACCATGTCTTGCCTGCACCACAAGTCCATGCGCGGCATCTACAGTTGCCTGCCAGATCCGCATATCCCCACGCACCGAATAACTGATGTCGCATATGCATGCTGCATGGTCATCAAATTCCCAGTGGCAATTCTCAGTCTCATATTTCTACCTGCAGAAGCTCGGCATGCGCGCACCGGCTGGCCTGGATGCAGCAGTGATTGCAGCAGAGGCTGGGCCAGATCTGCTGGTGCCGACCATTGATGTGGAGACACAGCAGTCGGGGCCGCGCATGACGCTGCAGCAGTGGGCTGACTACTTTGCGCATCCACCCGACAGCATGCCGTCTGGCCGGCCCCGGCGCCGCCGGCCGCTGCTGAACGTCGTGTCGCTGTCACTGGCTGGCACTCCTCTCGAGGTACCCTTTGGGAATCTGCCCTAAGGAGCAGGGACCTGTTACTTATATGCAGGCAATGCCAACCTTGAAAGCTCGGCAGTTGAACAAGGGGTTATTGCTCATGCTGCATTTGCCGGGCCAACGGGAGCCAGCTTATCTCCAATCGAGTGCAACTTTGCGTCACGCATGTGAATCCTGTGCTGTGAAGCTTCTTTTGTGTTGCTAGCTGAGAGGGAGATGATGCTTTCAGTGATGATCATACTGATTTTGTGCCAAACCTTTTTCATGCTTGATGTCACTTTGATGGCGTGCGTGTGCAGGATGAGGTGCAGGCTCCCCTGGCCGTGCGAGCTGTGGATCTTGTGGATGCAGTCTGGCCTCCCACAGAGGAGCCCCGGCCCGAGGTGGGCTTTCTGTGCAGGGACCGTGGCTAATGCTGACGGTTGTGACATGTGCTTTTGGCTCCAGAAATGGCTTTACCCTGATTCTGTAAGGCACATTTGTCTTTCATTTCTACCCTTGGGAGTGTGCAGCTGCGGAGTGTGATGGCATGCATCTGCATCTTCTCCTTGCTAAGAGACCCTGGCATTGCAATGTCGTTACGTTGGTGGCCGTATGTCATATTTTGTGTAGCAGTGTCAGTGCAAGAATAGCAGACACAAGGTAACAGCAAATGCATGCATGCAGGTGCTTCTATACGCCCTCATGAGCCCAGCGGGGGCCTATACCGACTTCCACATGGATTTTGGCGGCAGCTCTGTCTGGTACCAAGTCATCAGCGGCCGCAAGACATTCCTGCTGGTGCCGCCAACTCCACCAAACCTGGCCGCCTTTGAATCCTGGGCATCTTCTCAAAAGCAGGTATTATTTTAATTTTAATTTTAATTTGTATTTTTTTTTTGATTTTAATTCAGATTAAAGTTTTAATTATTACATTGCCGAAGCACTTCGATTCGTCTGCTTTGTGTCACCCTGGACCCTGCCGATCATTGAGGTGCTTGCCTGTAATTGATTTATCTCCTGATCTTTCTATTTTGTCAATGCTGTTTTACAAAAATATCTAAAATAATATTATTTCTGTTAGCCTAATGACCTTGGACTGTCTTAGCATCGCTGCTTTCCCTTCAGGTGCCTTCATGCGCATAAGGTCAAGCTGGCACCGTTGTCAAAGGATGTATGCTTTAGACTTATAAATTTAAGTTGAATTTGAGGGGATCTTCTTTCGGGGCAGGCGGGCAGATTCTTTGGGCACGAGGTGGAGGGGGCGCTGCTGGCAGAGCTGGGCCCTGGAGACACCATGCTTATCCCAGGCTCGTGGCCACACGCAGTGGCCACGCTCGAGGACTCTGTCGTGGTGGGAGGAAACTTCCTGCACGCCCTGGACCTCAGGTGAGGCCTGTCACAGTGAACGAGGGCCAATGTGATCAATATAAGGGGCGTGTAAACAAATTACAAGGGCTGAAGGGGAGGCAGCAGATCACTTTGCAGCTCGACCTGCCTCTGAGCACTTGTCCATTGCCCATTTCAGTCAACATGCAGCTAAATGCTCTGCTCAGCGCTATACCGGCCATGCAGCTTCTCAAACAGTTCGCAGGGCCTGTGCATGGCATGAGGCATGGCTACTTGTCGTGCATCCTGGGAGTCCCGTGCTTTTGGCTCTCGTCCAGGCTCTGCAAAATATCTTGACACATCCTGCATGATTTGTTGCAAAAAATTGGTCCTGTCATTTGACTGCTTGGCTTCCTAAACACAACATTCTGCCCTTCATGAATATATGCCGTGAAATGAGGGAAGAGATTGTGGTGCGCCAATAATCAGAGCAAGCTCCATTGTCTTCACCATGCGCAGGCGCGCTGTGGAGACATGGGACATGGAGACCAGGTTGGGTGTGGGGCAGGCAGCGCGCTTCCCCCTCTTCAGGCAACTGATGTGGCACACCGCTGTGCACTACCATGTTCTGCTGTGCGGTGGCGCGGCGGCGCCGGTGGATGACTCAGCGGCGAGTCATGCGGCAGGCCACGATAGGCGGCCGGCCGTCAGCGCCTGGGAGATGAGCGGCCTGGCGGCTGTGCTGTCCCTCCTGCGGCGTTCTCTCCGCATGGTCGCCAGATTTGGCCCCTCTGTCTGCCCCGCTAGCATTGCCGACCCAGCAGGTGACCTTTTGCCTCCACTTCCAGCATCCAAAGTCGTCGAACTATCCGTTTATGTGGGACTCTTCTACTCATGCCTGTAGTGGTGGAGTGTAAAATGCTGAATGGGAAGGGCAAATGGCAGCAAGCATGCAGGCCAGGGATGGGCCCTCATCCTTTGTCCTCGTCCCTGGTTGGCTGGGTCACAGAGGCTCTGATAATGATAAGGGAAGAAGGTCCCCAGGAAGACTTGATGCTTAAATTGTGCAATTTGTTTTGAGTGTGCGTTGTGTGATTGCAGGCATGTTGCAGGAGCTTGACACTGCCATCAGCAAACGACTGCCTGGCGGGCTCAGCCTGCAAGTGTCCGATTACTTTCTGGATCTTGACCCCCTTGACGACAACTTCCTTCTTGCTGAGGACATCATGCCAGAGGGCTTCCTGCTGAAAGGGGATGAGGGCGTTCTGGGCATGGGGGGTGACATGGCACAGGAGGCTGCAGCAGCATACCGGCACGAATACCATTTGCTGGATTTTGGGACGGCCTCTCCGCAGCAGCCGCGCCTTGTGAACGGTCCTCACGAGACCCACACTTTGTCAGGTGCGATCCCAGATTGTCTTGTTACAAGTCATAGCCTCACGGACTCATGCTGATAACATAAGTGCAAGCTGTTGGCATGTCTGTGTAATGATTCCAGTGGCAATGATGTTCCTTGAGACCTTTCATGCATATCAATCCTTCTTGACATACAGCAACTGTCGCATGCATTTTTTTGCTTGCTTCTCTGCATGCATGCCAGGCAACTTATTCATGCATGCATGCAGAGGAGGATGCTGAGATTGGAGAGGAGCGGCCTGGAAAGCTTGAGGACAGCGGCTCTGACTGGTCAGGGGCCAAGGGTGATGATGGGGACGCCCACAGGGTGCGCAAGAGACAGCGTGCCAGCAAATCCAAAGCCCAAGGCCGGCCTGGGGAGCCAGGCAAAGGAGCACGTTTGAGGAGGCTTGTTAAGCGCAGGCCAGCTGCAGGTGCTCTTTCTGCTTTAATGGATAGCACGCTTCAGCCTCCCGTCCGGATTCCTGCGAAGGATGACACACACTTCAGGCTCATGTAAAGGAGGACATACCTTCCAAGCTTATTGCGTTATGCTTGCCCTCATTCTGAATGTACCTGGATACGGTATGCACTGGACCCCTTGTTTTCCTGGGTGTACCGAGGGGTGAGACTCATAGCAGTTGCAGGCAGAGGGTACACGTGTATTGATGCCAACATCGATGGGTCTGTGTGCAGTGGGTAATGGTGTAGCCACGAGGACAGCACCGGACGAGGCCCTGCTAGTGAAGCTTGGCAGCCCACGGCCGCGGCTGGTGCATTCAGGGGACAGGATGGCTCAGCAGATAGCAGCCTATGCATCCTTGGACGATGATGATGTGCGCCCCAGCAGCGCCCAAAATGGGCAGAGACAGAGATCTAGAGGGCCCCACGACAAGGTGAGGCGTGTGTCCAGACTGCGCTCCTGTTTTTAATGTGGGTGGAGATGCAATCGTCTGATATCGCCGTCAGCTGCTGCTGTTGCTTGGCCAGCTCTCAATGCAAGCGGAGGAAGGTCAGGATGATCGGGCTGTCCTGATATGTTCCATGACCACAGGGTGTATTGTTGTTCTGCAGTGTGCGTATCCGCGCAACACCCATCTTGAGATATGTGCGGGTTCACATTGCTGGCAGGAACCGCCGCGCAGTGCAGAGGAGGAAGCGCAGAGCAAGGCCCATGCGGCTGTGTGGCACTTGCGCGCGCGCTTGCAGCAGCAGCTTGCTCTGCAGGTGCCCCACTCTCACTGTCGTTGTGTGTTCCTTCTCAGGAGACCTGTACTAGGACGTCTCATCCCAACCTTGTTTAATTGTGTCGGGCTCCTTGCTTTTTGCTTTGGTGATATGCCAGGCATACCACGCCCCTGCTGCAAAGGTGTAGGATTGCATTTTTTTTCACTTCATTGTGGCAATTCTGTGCAGCCCGGCACACCCTGAGCATGCTTAGCAGAGACTCTTGGACAATTGCAGCCAAGGATGACGCAATATGAGTCATCATGTTACATACAGGGACGCGTAGCTGGCGGGCAGGTGCGGCTGAAGGACGGCGGGAAACGCCTCAGGGCGGCCGTGGCGGCAGCAGCCGCTGAGCTGGCGGCCGCGCTGCGCGCGCTGGAAGCCACGGGGAAGGCAGAAGCCCCCTGGGCACCCTCTGCCTTCCAGGGACCCACCCTCTCGTTCATCGATGCTGAGGGCCGCACCCAGGTAAGAGTTCCTCCTTTCCTGTGGATCTCAACATAGTTGGGTGTTAATAATTTGGGGTGGATGCCTCTTGCGCAAGTACCTGTTCTTTTGCCGTGAGGCGGTTGGGGTTGTAACTTTATTTTGAATGACAGGGTGGTGTACTGATCAATAAAAGTGGAGGACAAACTTACAGCATGCATGATATGGCATGCTGCCGGTTTGCCGGATTTCATTGTAAGGAGTCTGCATGTGTTGGCGACAGGGTCCGTTCATGCTGGAGCATCTGAGGCTTCTGGCTGAGGAGGACGTAGTCACCTCCGACACAATTGTGCTCCATGCGGCGCACGGCCCCTCGCTGCTGCGCGCTGTGCTTGCCGTGCCGGCCGCTCAGGGATGCGCGAACTCGGTGCAGCATGCCTCGCAAGAGGGCGGCGATCCGGCAAACCATGCTGCATCCAGTGGGTACGGTCCTCTTTATCTTGCGAGCGGTATTCTGCACAGCACATTTTTTGAAGTGAATTTGCACACGTTGGATCAAGAAATGAAAATTACGAGATATTTGTGTTGGCTTTGCTGCTCCATCGTCTGGATGGGATCGAGCGTGAAGCTGTATGAGTGTTCTCTGCAGGAGTCCTGAATCCCTTGAACAAGGGAATGGGTGGGGCAATCGAAGCTCTGCGAGGAGTCACAGAGACAACCCAAATGCAGGGGCTGAGCGCGCACAGTCCGGAGCCTCTGCAGGCTTCTCTGGCAGGTGTCAATTCCCTTTCTCATCACACTCCTCCTCTGCCCAGTGACCATTCTTCTTGCACCTGAGGATAGTCCAACAAGCTCAGCACCACCTCGCTCATTCCTTTACATGCGCGCAGGTCATCAGCAAATGGGTGGCATGGGGGATCCCAGCATCGGCGAGAGAGGCCACCGGGAAGCCCTCGGCGCCGCGGCCGCCGCTCCCCGTCGCCGGCCCGAGACCGGGCGGCGGCGGCCGAGATGGCCCGCGCGCGGCGCACGGCGGAGGTGGCGGCCCGGGCCGCGCATGCGCGCTCCCGCGAAGCCGAGCAGCAGGACGAGGCGGCCGAGACGTGGGCGCGGCTGCGGCACTCGCGCGCGTCGGCTGCGGTGCAGTCCCTGCAGCAGGAGGTGCTGCCCGGCCCTCGCACTGTGGTCTCACTGTAGTGCAGGCTTGCCCTGCTGCGGCTGCTGGGGAACGTCTACATATGTGAGATGTAGACACTGTAACAGCGTTATAGCTTTATAGAGGAGTTCATAGAACAATTCAGTCTAGATTTTGCAGTGTTCAGACTTCTGAAGAAGAAATCACCACTTGCTGTGAAGAGGATACGCACGCTAGAGTGAGGTAGCAATCGTACGCAGCAGCTGATGTTGAGCACGCATGGAACTGCATGTAGCCCGGTGCCTGCCAGTCCATGCAAGACTGGCGTGCAATTGCTGCTGGTCACAGTTATGTTTCTCCTCTGAAGGCAGCGCTTGCAGAAATATCTTGCATTTCCATTGCCATGCTTACTGGCCCACTCTGTTTTCCATCAAGGTTCTGGAGGCTGAGGCTGCAGCGGAGGGCTGCTGGACATTTATGGGCAAGGACGGCAGGGAGCACGGGCCCTTCACGCGTACAGAGCTGCTGTCGCTGCACAGAAGGTGATGCTCCTCAGCTTTTCTTCCAGGACTGCAGTTGCTCACCTGTGGCAGCACACGATGTCAGGCACGACTGTGGACTTTAGAACTTCTTGATTGATGGTGAGCTCGAGAGTCCACCACCAATCGCTGGAACTATGTGCTGTCATGGCGGTCAGACAGCTTTGAGACCCGGCTGGGTGTAACAAAGGCTTGACAGAACCCTTCTTGTTGTGCACACTGAGGCGTACTTGGTTATGGTGCAGCGGCCAGCTGGCAGCATGCACCATGGTTCACGACGAAGATGAGGGCACGTCAGTTCAGCTGTCAGCGCTGCTACCAGCAAAGGCGGCCGCAGCTCAGTCCTCACGCGGCTATCCCTCCCATTTCAGAACCACAGAAGACATGCGAAAGGTGCCTCCTGGCAGCTTCCTGGCAGCCACCCCTGTCCCAGAGCAGGTGAACATGGAGCTCGAGTCTTTTCACGAGCCAATCAGCCCTGACATGGAGCCCCTCACGGACGACGAGGAGAATGATGGAGGAGCTAAGACGCGCAGCAGCCGCTATGTCACCTCTGAGTCTTGGTCCGGCAGCCTGCGGGATCCTGGCTCAAGGCCCGGCAGTGGAGGGGGGAACAGCGGTGGCTGGGGACCCCCCGGCGGTGGCAGCCCAGGTCCCCCGCCGGCCCCGCCCGACAGCCCACCGCCCCCGCCGCCACACCGGGGGAGCTCATCGCACATTGAACATGTGCAAGGCGGAGAACAGAGCATGCGGACCAGGCACTGCACATCAGTATCTCCCAAGAAGCAGGGGATGCTGCTCGCAAGTCGCCAGAGAGAGCCGCCCCACCATCCGAGCTCAGCCGAGGCAGCCTCCAGCCCTGCAGCAGCATACAGTGTCAGCCTGTCAGGACAGCAGCGCAGGGCCGATCCTGCAGGACAGCAGAGGGGCGCGTGTGGACGAGAGCACAGACATACAGTCACCGCTGACCCGGTGGCTGCGAAGTCAGAGCAAGCATGCTTCAGGCAACCCGGGCAGATACAGGCGGGCAATGGGCACATGCATCCGGGCAGCGGGCACCAAGGTCCTGCCGACTGGGGACAGGGCGTTCCTGCCGGCCAGATCAGCACTCACATGCAGCAGCCCATGCCCGAACGGCAGCCGCACCCGCAGATGCTTCCGCAGAACCACAGCACGCATTCCTATCAGCACATGCCCACCCAGCGGGAGCGCAGCAAGCATCCGCAGCATTGGCAGCCGCCGCAGCCGCAGCTGCTGCACCCAGGAGGGAATCAGGCAGACACAGGCGCGCTGGGCAGCATGCTGCAGGGCATTTTGGAGAATGTGCGCACGGCTGGAAGTGCTGTACGGCAGATGGGCCACCCCCCGGTGCGGCTGGGACCTCCTTCCGATCAGCCAACTGGGCCCGACTCATTTTCTGGCGCGCATCTTCACCCGCAGCAGATCTTCACAGGTCCCGCCCCTTCCTACCCGTTGCAAGCGGCCCCGCCAGAGCCGTCAGGGCTGCTCTCAGGCACTGTCGGGGGGCCGGACCAGCCGTCACATGGGCAGGAGTGGCAGGGTCACATGTACCCCGGGCAGCCAACGCAGCAGATGCTGCCGCCCTTTGGACAGAGCGGGCAGCTACAGCTGGGCAGCGGGCCGCCCAACGGGCCGGCCGGGCAGCCGTGTTTTGGGCAACTGCCGGCAGAGCCAACCCCTGTGTGGACTCACCCGGGGAACCCACAAATCCAGCACCCTGGCACATCCCAGCATGCACGTGCACAGCAGAGCCAGCAGCCGCAGCTGCAGCACCAGTCAGAGGTCAGGCGTGTTCCCCTGGGGCAGACAGGACCCTTCCAAGGAGCAGTTTGGCACCCACAGGCACAGCAAGGTCCTGTAGTGCAGCCCATGCAGGGAGGCAGCTTTAAAGGGGATCAAGGAGTTTCTGGCAGTGTGCATGCAAACGCTCCAGTGCATCAGCCTGTGGGTGTGCATTATGTGTCTGAGCAGCTGCCGCCAGTGAGGCACCCATGGGATGTGCAGCTACAGCAGCCTGGGGCACCACATGCTCAGCAGGTTGTGCATCACCCAGCGACTGTCACACAGCAGAGCGCGTACCCTTGGGGCTGACCATGTTGCAAGGAAATTAAGAAGGGGCGGAATGACTGTGTTAGCAGGTCTGTTTACTTCCATGCGAGCGGGTGACTCGCAAAGTCCTTGTCCAAACGCACCGATTTCGGATTTTAATTGGGGTGCATTTTCATGTATTACGCTCTAAGCTCTCTCTAGACGTTGCGCTGTCAAGAGAGAGCTTGCAGGTGACCATTGCATTTGACGTATGCAAATGGTAATGAGAACTCGAATTCTTTCGAAATGAGGTGTCATGTTAACTGTCGATCATGGAGCTCAAATGCAACTGTCACCGGATGTGACAGACTATGGCAGCAGTCAAATGCCAGTGATGTAATCTCAGCTGCAGCTCAACTGATCCTACGTGACTCCGCAGGGAGGATTTCTGACGTTTGTCATCTCTCCTTGCATATCTAGTATTGTGGGGTCATAAAGAAAACCTGATGCAATGTTCCTGACTTGTTTATATGTCTGCAGTACTCATCATTCCTGACGGGGCAACTCCACCTTCTACAGCAGCTGCCCATGCAGTACAAACATAAGCAGGACAATCGCTCATGATAAGTGCCTAGCTCTTGAACAAACGGTCCTCTAAGTAGAAAGTACGTACAGGCAACCATCCTTCCAATTCAGACTGATGGATAGAATCAAGGTGTGCGTTTTGTATTTCCAGAAAGCTCAGAGTGATGTCTAGGCAGGGAATTGTACACTTGTTGCATTCAATATATTCTTCAAAAGAAGAGCGTATTGCCATCTTGCAAAGCCATCTTTCACACTATCCTCCTCCTGGAAGAACAGCCCTCTTGCAACAACTCGCTTACCCAACACACATTCCTGCTCTTTTCAAGCAGCGCCACAGATTGGAAGCTTCTTTGTGGAAGCTCCTCATGTAGCCTCATCCACAAAGACCGACCCGAATGCATAGTACTTGTTGATGGCAGACACAAGCTGCTGGCAGATGTTGCGAATGGTTTCACGCAGCAGGTCATCCACTGGTTTCTCATCCAGTTTCCTGTGCAGTTGCAGCGCAGCCATCTCAGAGGCCAGCATACAATCTTGGAAGAAGCAAGTTCTGCAACATCACAGTGAAAGGAACGAAGAGAATTCACAGCAAAGCAGGTGGCAACGTATTCACAGTGAGATACAAAATTGTATGATGCAGTAATATCTGGGGAAGCAATCCTGGCGCAAGCTCGTGGCTTACCTGATTTCCAGGTGCTTTCCCACCACCTCCCTCTGCTTGCCCTCCAGGGTAGGGAAGCCATCTGATCCTCGGCCCACCCACTCGTGCTTCATGACCTCCTCGTCGTCATACCATACGCCCAGCTGCGTTGCCACCTCACCATCCCTCATAATAGTGAAGGTGATGCCCCACAGGACGTCCTCCTCCTTGTAGTACGGGTCCACTTTGACGGGAAGCCCCCACATCCCCAAGCCTCTGGGTGCATCTGCTTCGGACATGGCCCAGCGGATGAGCTGGTCCATAAGATCCTGCCTGGGGATGAACGCAGGGATCTCCGTTTTTGTCACAAGTTTTCCTGCGAGAATGCACAGACCTGCGTTTTATACGTGTCGACTAACACCAACAACCGTACGAGACGGTTCCCATTTGAGGGAAGGGTGTGCATGGTAATGCGTCAGGATAACAAAGCTACCTTTGCCTGTCTTCTGCTCTGCTGCTGCACTAATGCACATGAGCTGCACGGATCTGCGCATCCTCAATGCATAAGATCCACGAGAAATCATTTGAAGCGCTTGTGGAAGGCGCAGCGGTCTCATCAGAAGATTGCTCGCTGCAGGAAGGGTGCTTCGAAGACTGCATCTGCACTGCTGTTGCTGGAGGGCACTGTGCAGGTTTACTGTCGTCATAGTGAATCTACAGATATCAACTGTTTCTACTTTTCTGCTGGATTTGTTCTTCCTATGCTCGAGTGATCAATGGTCGCCAGATAAGGGCGAGCAAGCGGCGTCTTGCCTAAATAGGTTTCGGAACTCATGAGTCAAACTCCGGAACGGGTTCATTCGTTTCATGCGTTGCAATGTAGACATTGTGATCCTTCTCCGTTCTCCAGATACAGTCATAATAGTTGAAGCTTGCTTTGTTATATCTCATTTGTTGTGATGGCCGGCGAAGTCATCACGATCCAAGCTGGGAGTTTTGCAAACTTCACAGGAGCTCATTATTGGAATTTTCAGGTATGTGCTCTTGCAATCCGATTCTAAGATTCCAACATAATAGCAATGCAAGTCACTTACCATTTTTTATTTGCAGGACGAGGTATTAGGGCTCTCAGAGAGCGGGGATGCAGCTTACACAGCAGGTCACATCGATCCCGATGTGCTCTTCAGGCAGACTGAAACGAGACAGGCGAGCTTGACGTTATGCAATCCAAGGTTGAATATTACGTGTATTGAAATAAGAGCCTCAAAATTCCGTGATAGCCTTGAAATATATTTTCCATATTGCTGATCGGGTGCAGGGCCAGCCCATCTTCACCCCACGCCTCGTCCTCTTCGATCTCTGCGGAAGTCTTGGAGGTCAGAGCTCCTCTCTCCAACCCACATGCACTTGTAGCGCCTTCTATATCACCTGGAATCGTCTCACCGCGTATTTGCCCCATGTGTCTGCCTTAGTTCAGGAGCCAGCCAGAGCAGTCTTGAGGGCGCCGAGCAGGCAACGCCAGCTGTCACCACGTGGTCCGGGCCTGTGACCGTGCATCGAGCCGAGCCGTTGCCGCGCAGCCGCTTTGCTCAGCAGCTGGAAGTCGAGCCAGATGAGGCGCCAGCAGGACCCAGTGGCAACCAGGAAATTGATGCAGCCTATGACGCCATATCCGAAGCCGCCAGGTGCTTGCTCTCCACTCAAATGCTACGTTAGCTTGGGCCTGAGCATTTCCTGCTTGTATACGGCGTGAGATTCTCCCAAACTTGAGTGGCTTTTGTCATTACATATCTGAGTGCGGTTTTGCAACAAGACAAAGGGTGAACCGTCAGACGCCAGGAGCAAGGCTTTGCATGCCCATCTCAAAATGATACAAGAAAATGGTACAATATGCAAGGAGCTGACAGAAGACCGTGATTCAGAACGGCGTGCAGTCTGATGTTTTGGTCCGTTGAGGTGCCAGTATGACATTTTTCTGCCCCCACGGAAGTCGGCTTTGAAAAGCAGCCTGCTGACATGTGCGCGCATGCAACTGCCATCAGGGAGCTGGACAGGGAGGGAGCAGTGCGCTCCTGGACGGACTTCCTGAAGGTGCGCCTGCACCCGCGCAGCCTGGCGCTGCTGCCGGGGCGCTGGCAGGGCGCGGCCGAATTCTCTGGCTTCGGTCACGGCCGCGGCGCACTCGCGTCCGATGAGGCGCGCGAGGACGCGGCCGACCGCATTCGCGGATTTGCCGAGGAGTGCGACTCGCTGCAGGCACGCCACGTTCCCTGCCTGACACATGCTGTTAAACACATGTGCAAGGGGACCATGGGGGTCAATCTCTGAACATTATAATGCCTAAGGAGCTACTTGTTCTCCAGACCTTCTTTAGCTGTGAAGGTTTGAAATCCTCTCGATTGTCCCTGCAAATAAGGGCCATTATGTCTTTCTGCAGCAAGGGTCTCCTTCAAAGCTGCCTGCTTAAAGGTGGGAATGCTGATTGTGCTGAAGCCTGTCTCTGATGGATGGGAGGATACAGTAACATCGGCACGCTGAAGCATGGCTACTGACAGGCTGGTTGATTCAAAGTGGCCTGGCGCGCGGCAGGGGTTCCAGTACTTTGTGGACGACCTGAGCGGCTTTGGGCACTTCTCCTACGAGCTGCTGCAGATGATGCAGGACGACTACGCGCGCTCCCCTGTCCTGCTCTTTGCGCTGCGGCCCTCCCTGGAGGAAACCTCTGCTCAGCCGGTGCGCGCACAAATCATCTCCTCATTATCTTGAGACGGCGCTCAATCGTGTGTAAGCCTCAGGGAGTTCATGGAAGTACTGCCACCCTAGCTTCTTGTAAAGTTTAGTCACAGCCTGCCTAGAGCAAATACACCAGAAGGGGGATCGGCAGGAAAACTGCTGTCATTTCAAGATGAAGCTGTCAGGCAGACATGCGAATAAGGATGCGGGACTGAAAACAAATGACCGGCTTTTCTTGTCTTGATGTTGCAGCTCACGTAGCTTTGCACCCGCAACCCCCAGGTCATGAGACCACAATGAAGATCTACGCTATAGATCATCTACCACTCGCTGAGGCATTGGATGAGCTAGCGAGTGTGTGCTGTGAGCAGGCGAGCGTCCTGAGGCAGAGGCGTCTGAGTGAGGCCGCCAGCATGGCACGGCTGTCAGAGGTTTCGTCGCTGCATATCCCCATTGCTCCTTCGGCAAATCTCCCCTGTGTCAGGTGGGGTCTCTATGTGCACACAGAACCCCATTCCTTCCCTTCTTATAGCCTCCGCGCTGCCTAGCAGCTATTTTCCCCTACCGTCCGATGCAACTGTATTGAATACAGCAAACAACACTGTTGGGCATTTGTTGACCCCCGCTGATTAGATAAATATAAAGCCAGGTATGTCTTCAAGCATCTCTGCTTGCATGCCATGAATCTGGATCCCCCACTGTGATGGTCATCTGTGGCCTTACAAGATTACAAGAACTAATGAGGGCTGTTGGGCGGCACAGGTGGCGGCCAGGCAACGTGTTCCATGCGAGCGCGCTGTGTGCTTCGGTCATTGACACCGCTACGCTGCCGTATCGGCTGACGCGGACCCCCCGGCCTGGGCCTCTGGGGGTCCCTGTCGGCGGCTGCCACCTGCGCAGCCTCACTGAGCTGCTGGTGAGGAGCCTGCAACCCACCACACTCCCTTGCTGGCTGCAATTTGGGCACTTCTGGCAGACACTGAAAAAGGGCATGCAACAGATTGTGCGATCTCTTGCCGGCGCCCATTGTACAGACACCCTTAGAAATACCTGCTGATGTGAGCCCACCCAGATCATTGACTGGGGCGGCATTTTGGACATGGTGTATCGAGCCCTGCTGGCACACTCTGAAGGGTTATACGACCAGAATTTGAAAATGTAGTGATGGGAGCTAAGTAGGAGAAAGGCCTTTTTGCATCTATTTTTGCAGTATTGTGCCTCTTGCATGGCATCTCCGTGAAGTGCGCACACTTCCTTGCTCAAGTCTTGGGGTTTCTGCTTCAAGCTTGATTCTTCAGACAGCCCTGGATCTATTGATGCCTGTGGGAAGGGGACTTCCTTGGCAGGCATTCTATACAAGGGAACACAAGTTATATCTCTTTTGCTGCTGCTGCAGGGTACTTCGCAGGCGAACAACTACACGGCGGCTTTCGCGGCAGTGCCGTGCCCCGATGTTCCAGAGGCGCACGCGGCCGCGGCGGCCGCCGATGCGCGCACCGGAGGCAACGCCTCTTCCTCGCAGCCGCCGTTCACCATGCAGCGTACCTCCTCATGGACGCCTGGCATCCCTGCAGGTATCCTTTCCTTCAAGTGGCATTGCTGGAGGGGCTAATTGACGGTATAAAGAGAGCTCAGCAAAGAGTAGAAGACAATGCAGGTCTACATTGACGGGGCCGGGCCGACATAATGTATAGCAGCACCAAGCACGGAGCAGTCCAAACGAATTGCACCCTTTGGTCAGGCCATTCCTGAAAACCTATTTAGGAAGCTCAGGGATAGCCAATGCGAGACCCACTTAAGTCAACTAGTTCAACCCAATGTAAGCCGCGGTTAATTGCTTGAAGGGATACATGGTGGCAACGATTGTGCTGCTGATGGGCTGTGATGCGCGGGCAGACATCGTGCAAGCAAAATGATGTGTGCGGGTTGTAGTCCTGCCTCGAGAAAGCGCATGCAAAAACAGCCCTTCCACAATATGACTTCCTATGTTGCTGGGCGCAGATGTAGAAGAGAGGCTGGCAGAGTCAGTCACACTGCGAGGCGCAAAGAGGGGCGGACACCCGCTCAGGGCAGATGAGGCCGCACAGGCTCTCGATGCAGCACTGCTGCAGGAAGGTGAGTCATTAAGTGTCATGCATGACTGGTGCTTTAGATCAAGGCGAGATCGGGCTTGACAGCACTACTCTCTGCATGGTCTTAATGTGACAGTTTCAGTGCTCGAGGAGAAATGCAGACGGTGGGAAAGCTTGAAGAATGTTTCGAATGCTCTACTGTCCATCGTTTGTTAGTCATGTGCACAATTCTTGCTGCCTGCTGATGTCAGCATAGGTACCCAATGATGCCTGGGTGCATGCAAGCAGGTGTTCGGTGCGTGAGGCATCGCTGCGTAGTGCCACAACCCCTGCCAATTCCCCTGCCCTTCCCACACATATTCCAGGGCAGCTCCATTGCGCAGAGCGGCGCACCAATTGGCATGCAAGCGAACGGTAACGCCCTTTTCCTGTGCCCATTCCACTGGTGTTTGCTTTGCAAACCGTTTACCGCCGTGGTTTCAGCTGACGCAAGAATGATAGTGAGTGCTGCCTTTGTCATGCTATATGGAACCTTGTGCGAATGTGGAAAAGGTGTATTTGCAGGTGCAAACGGCAGGCAGAATGGCGGCAGCAGTGGTCAGCACAGTAGACTGCACCAAAATGATGGGCCGGCCAGCATACCCGTTCTTGCCAGGCTGTGTGCTTCTCCTGCTGCTGCCGATGTGGCCAAGACACAGCTGGAGAGGTTTAGAGGTGCGCCTCCGCTGACAATTTAACTCTTTTGGGTCTGTTGCTGCTTCCTGCATGGATACGCAGGCGCCTGTCAACAGATCCTGCAGAGTACTCGCATGTTCAATTAGGAAGCCTGATGCAGTCAGGCTTGTGCAAGTGAAGAGTGTCCCCCTCTGCAGGACAAGGAGATGCACACTGTGTCCAGCACTATATTCACAGCACTGCGCAGGGATCTTTTACGGTCCCTACTTGTGCATCATAAAGGTAGTAATAGAAGTAGTGACTACTTCCTGATATCATTGTGGTGTGGCCAGGTCTGGTGGGCTCTGGAGGGGGCATGGCAGTGCTGCAGGGCTGGGGATACACAGCGGATGATGTCACGGAGATTGAAGAGCGGCTGTTGACCATGGCGTCAGCGTATGACCATGACGATGACTGTTGAGTGCACTGGAAGTGGGCTTGCATGCATGCAACCATTGCCAATTGACAAGAAAGAGTCAGTGTGCACATATGGTGCCACACATCGTGCCGGTGCCGTTGAGATTGCAGCTGGAGTGTACACACTGGGCTGCAGCATGCCTGTACTTTAGAGAGTGTGCGCGAGGTCTTTCAATTAATACTAGATGCTTCAATCCTGGAAATATTCATGAATCAAGAAAGAAAGGGAGAGGAGGATTTGCATGTCACCTCGATGACATTCTGTGAGGATACACGCTGCGTGCTCAAATTACAAAGGGAAAGCACAGCTGGCGAGATAAAAAACACAGCCCGAAATTCATGCACCAACGGCTACAAAATATAGGGAAACCAGAGAGACGCGCTGCGTGAGAGCGGTAAGGCCCTTCTCTGACGTCCGACGTTGTCAGATGCGGTGACTAAGCTAGAGTGTCTTCGAGGTTTTCTTTTTGCTCAAGATCTTTACTTTTGACCATTATTGTATTTAATTTCGCTCGACTTTATTGGTCGGGCATTGGCTTCATTTAAGGGGCTGAGCAGTGCGTGACACACTTCAATGTGTGGTCTTGAGCACACTAAACTGCTGAAGTGCACATACCGAAAGTTCTGGGCGACCCTTTCTGCAAATTTGATTTGAGTACTTTCTACCGCTTATAGTGAGAGCCAGTATGGGATGCTCTCCTTTTTCCCGGACAGCCTAAGGGGCTAGGATTATAGTGCAGCGTGCAAGTATAACCCGTCTAAGTTGCCCATTTTCATGTGTTGTGAATCTCAGGTGAAAGACGTACGTGGTTATACTCTTCCGCTGGCATACTATACTTCTGACACCGGGAGAACAGGAAGTTTCGACTCTATATTGAGAACTGCAGCCCAGCTTTATTAGCAGGGGCATGGTCGCCAAAATGCAGAAGATGAGCTTTGCAGCCGTTCATGGACTCTTCTGCTTGTTGGCTTTGACACAGGTGAGGCACCGGTCTCAGCTCCCTTAGTCCATAAGTTAGAATGCTAGAGGCAATCTGCTGCACACCAAGTATCCAACAATCTTACGATACTCAGCCTTCGAAAAGCGTATTGCCTTATACATTTGGAGAAGTTTAGAAGGGCCCAAGGAAAAAACGAGCAAGACAGCAGATCCACCGTGGTCAAGCATCCAGGCATCCTCGGTGTGGTGTGTCGCAGGTGCAGAGGATACATTCCCTAGGAATTGACCCCATTGTGGATTATGTGTTCCCCATCTGGCCGACCATCAATTGCTTCAATCCGGCGCGGTCTGACAACAGCCAAGTGACCCCAAGTGCCTCCTTCACAAGCTACCTGACAGCAGTGCAGAACAAGGCCAAGCAGTTCACCCAGAGCGGCCTCTTCTTCACTGCACAGTGAGCCTCTCTTTCATCCCTGCTGCTGCCGAACAGTTGACTATATTCGCGCGTACAGAGCCATTCCAATGCAGCAAGCCCTTTTCAAGTGTTGTTGGAATCACCTAAAAGCACTATCTCACGGCGGTACAGATTACTCAATATTAGTTGGTCTCCCCCTGAGTAGCTAGCTGCATGCAATGGTGGGAAGCGCATATCACAAGCGATAGAGGGCATCATGTGAAGAAGGCAAAAATTGGGGCGCAGTAATGAGAGACTGTACATTCCAGAGGGCTCATAGACAATAAGATCCATGTTGCTGCCAGGTCATCCTGCTATACGCGTATGTGCTATTTGTAATCCTGTACGGTGTTGCGCGCAGGTGCAAGGCGAGCCTCATCCTGAAGGGCACGATCGAGTGCTACTATGTCTTCGACAAGACCAGCTACCGCACAGGGCTCAACACCCTCAAGAACACTGCCCCCTACTCGGGCATTTCCCTCAACTTCTGCGCCATCCAGCTGGACGGCGGCCCAGTCAAGACATCCACCATCTGCTTTGACAACTCTGGCATCGACCCCAACCACCCCTATGTCATCGCCAAGGTGCGCACACAAATCATTTGAGCCATTAGTAAGGGGATGACATCTGGATTATGGCACCCTGCAGCATGCAAAGCAGGGGTGCAAAAGGCCGGCTCAGCAGCACCACAGCCTTCGAGTCTGTCAACCTGCATCCTTCAACCTACATGATGGAAATCTGATCATCAGGGACTTCAGGTGTGCAGCGCCTACTTTTGTGAGCTCACAAGCAGAGTCCCACGCGCGATACAGTCCTGGCTGCCGGATGGTAGTCAGCATGCCAATGAATTAGTGTGCACAAGTACATTTGAAGAGAGACACGCCCTTTAGGCTGGTGTGTTTAAGAACAGCGGGTGGCACAGAAGGAGCAGAGATGAATTGATGCAGAAGCAGCTCCTCTGAGCATCGAGCGCTGATTTACATTGTTTTTGCATGCATGCAGGTTGAGACGGCCGGGCCGCAATACAACATCTTCCAGACGCTGTTTGGCGCCAGTGTGCATGACGACAACGTGAGCCCGCCGCAGGACTACACCATTTCCTACACCTGCTACTTTGTGTGAGGGCCGCTGCATGCGCTTCCAGCAAGAGACCGCCAGTCCCAATTGAGGCCGCATTTATCAACAAAAGGCAGAAACAACAGCCTTGCAGGGCACCGGAATTGCCTTGGAGACGCGTCAGGAAAGAGAATAGTGGACAAAATCTCAAAATTGGAAGACAGCAGCAGAAGAGTGGAGTCTTAGAACAGCAGCAGAAAGGAAAGCAGTGGTGTTGCACATGTGAAGAATGGCAGAGTCCAAGGGTGATTGGTAGCCAGGTATGCAGCCTGCGCATGCTTGCATCTCGCATTATGGATTGTGACTCCATAATGGGATTATCTGATGCAGTGATGGGCTTGGGAAGTGTGACAACAGTATCTGCAGATGTGGATGCAAGATGTAAGAGTCGCACTGCGACTTAAAGACATATATTTCAAGCATCAGGATTGCAATGACTCGTTGAGACTGACGACAAGCAACTGAAGGCCATTTTGCTTTCAAAATGTATTGAAGGATTGAGCCAGGAATGCATGGGGACTCTTGGCCCCGGTATCTTGTTGACAGTAGCCGCCACATGTGACGGATACGTAGTGTTTACTTACTGACTTATGTCCGCATGCTCACACCGGCATCTTTCACATGTGATTAGATCAGCTTCAAGCTCAAAGTTGGTCTAGTACTAACGTCGCAAGATTTTGCACAAGAGCTAAGCTTTGCACGAAACTTTGTTGCACCAAAGGCAGCTGCAGAACATTCAAATGGAGAAGTGCATGCACATGACACCCCTTAAAGACAAGGGATTCAATGGGAAAAGCAGTCTCTGAACACAAAGAAGAGCAATTCTAAACCACACAGACTAATACCAATTCAAATCGTGTTCCCTAAAACGGTGTCCTGCCTGACACAGTCAAGCCAAACACTAGTGACATGCAGGATCTCCTGCAATACACCTAGAAGGAACCCATGATCATTGAGACTTGCGGTCAAATAAGCCAGCTAAGCTGGCTTTGTTGATCAGCAATTTCTCTTGCTGTCCTCATTTGTACTCAAAAGAATGAATCGTTGCAAGGACAGTGCTTTCAGACTCTTTCCTGAAATTGAATAAGCAGCCAATTGCACGGAGCATTTGCAGAAGAGTATAGAACATGACACCTTCGAAGGCATGCAACACTCTGAAGAGCCAGGATACAGTATCCTGTTAGTACCAAGTACATGTCCAGGTATCCGAACATCCTGTAATTAATCAGTTCTCAGATCAATGGCAAAAGGGTCTCAGAACCATCCTCACACCTTCTCATCGTTTGGGATTGGCTTGTTAGCCGCTGCCTGCCTCTCCGCTGGCACCGGGGGAGTCTCTCCTACCTTCACTGCTACCTCGTCCTGATTAGGCACTGGCAGAGTTGCAGCAGGATGGATTTGCGTAGTGCACCTGTTGCGCACACAATTTTTGAAATGTTTTGTGACAGTGAGTTACACACGGTGAGGTATACACAACTTGAATTTCTCTGAGACAATCAGGTACACTCAGGACACTCTCCGAGAAACTTTCAACAGTCGTGCAAGCGGCGCTCAGGCGACGGGTGCTTCTCACTCCTCATTGCAGACAAAACGGAGCGTGCAGCAGCCCTTGCAGAGATCACAGCTTGCACATGCCAGCCAAAGGACTTCAAACTAGTGCGGCAAGACTGCTAACTCCAAGCATGCTCGAGCTACACCGTGTGTACAAGCGCTTGCTTGCTTGCGATTATGAGATATCCTTCATGTTCATGATTTGATTTTAAATGTAGGCTCACCACTTGCATCGGGTGGCCCCCTTGATGATCTCCTCCAGGCACTCGGGGCACTTCACCTTTGGCGCCTTGGGCTGCAACCCAACAAAAAAATGTCACCGTCAATATCTGACTGTGGATATATTAGCTGAGCGCTGGTTGCCAGGAAAATGGCTAGCAGGGACCTCCCACAAAATTTGCACACTGCAGATCAGGGCAAAGTATCTTGGAGAAGGTGAGCTGATCAGATTGCAGTCAGATCAATCAGCTGTATGATAGCAGGCAAGCACAAATGGCACAGGCAGACAAAAGCATAGAGAATTGCAGGCTGATCGGGGTACTCACATACAGCCGGTTCAGCGCTGCATTCATGGGGAGCACGATGATGAAGTAGACCACAAGGCATATGATGATGAAAGTAAGGACCTGCATTGGAAGGAACATACATCTCAGCAATTTCTGGTCACGTTGTCTAGTAGCAGTCTCCATGAGTTTTGCTACCGTCACATGTGGCTTGCATGCTGCCCATGCAAGCAAGCTTCCCATAGCAAATGATAACATCGGTCCTGCATTACTGCTGACAAAGATGAAGGCAGCTTCTTCGTGCTTTGTCAGTCAAATGAAGTTGCTGAGAAATTAAAAAAGCAAGTAATGGACTGCTCAGAGGACTAGAGGTGGTCACCTGGTTGAGGAAGTCACCATACAGGAACTTGGAGTAATTGATTGTGAAATAGAGGTCTCCAAAGTAGGAACCGCCCCAGATCGCTGCTATCAGCGGGGTGATTAGGTCCGAGACCTGCATAGCAGACAACCAGTGTCACAAAATACAGGCTTCCAGGCATTACCATAAGCATCCTTGGTGTTTGCACATGAGTTGTCGAGCGAGCTGAGACCCACCAGCGCCTTGACGACAGCTGTGAAGGCCGTGCCGACAACGATTGCAACGGCCAGGTCCACGACATTGCCGCGTAAGATGAAGTCTCGGAAACCTGTGAGGACCTTGGTGCCAGATGTCCTGGTTTTCTTCAGGAATCCCGGCTTGGGGGGTGCCTCGACGGTGCTCACTTTCTCCTCCGCCATCACTGCAGCAGCGCTCAGCACGCTGCACCAGATTTACATCTTTGAGTACTGTAGCGTCCCTTCACCGAAAGTAGATCAGGACTCGATGATCTAAGTAAGGGATTTAACGATGCTTCTGCTCTCCCCACAGTCACTTTTGTCTGACACCTAAGATAATATACTCGTATGAAATGAAATGGTGTAGATTCTAATTTCTCTTGGCTCACATCGGGAAGGGCAAGCTGTCATTGAAATAGTTCGATCTACGGCAGACCGCCGATATCACAGAGGTAGTTGCATCCAGGTCTGAATTCATGGAAGCAAGAGGGCTTTTGCCGACTGCTACAGCAAAGCAGCGGAGTTCAGTAGGTTTGCAATGAGTGTCTAGCTAGCCGTACTACAGGGAAACCCTCTCACCTGATGTTTGCCGCGAGTCGCAGCTGACGCTCGGGCAGAGGAGGAGCAAAGGTGCTTCAATAGGTGTTCCGACTGAAGGAAGAACGAGGAGAAGACTGTGTCCGCAGCTCTGTCGACCATAGCTCATGCGATAGCTCATGCACCAAATTTGGCACTGCATGGCTGGCCCATGGGCAATCAATCACCACACATGGGGTACTGACTTATCCCTCAGCAATTTGTCTCTGGGTGACTTTTCAAAATCGGGGATCCAGAGTGGTCCGCACGTAGGCACTTGCTTAGATAGTTTCCACTGGAAACTTTCCAGTCTCTATAGAGTAGCTACTCTTCATCTACCTGTGCACGTGCCATGCAGTACATTTGCTGTACATGTTGTTTCGAGTCCCCAGCCCCTATTTTGCAGCTCGCTTTGCATTTGGGCAGGCCATAACAAGCATGAGACACATTTCCTCTGGTGCTCCTCTAGATTGGGCGGACTGAACCCAAATTTGTTAGGCATTAAGTGGATACTATTGGTAGTACCAACCGCAGACATGGAACGTTGCCGGTTTTAGACTGGTGATCGTGGCGATATATCTGGTATACCGGTCTCAGACCAGGCTGGTATATCTGGTACATATCACTGGTGGCACCGGTGGAAGTTCCAGCCTGCTAAGCAAGGATTTAATTGCAGTTTTGCCCGTCATAATGAACATTGCATGGAACTTCGTTGACTCAGCCTGAGGCTGAGTCTATGCTGAGCACAGACACATGACATGTCATCATGCTAGTCAAAGTCTCATACATTGTTGTCGCCTGTCCTCTTCTTCTCATTTGTCAGACCAGAGGTCCCAGTTGCTGTATTGTTTGTCAGCAACCCCTGTGGCTGCTCAGCAGCTGCCGGCAGCGCACCAGCAGCTGCCGCAGTCGGCGTGGCAGCTGGCGTCGGCTTCTCGGCAGCTGCTTGGCGCTCGGCCGGCACCGGCGCCGGATCACCAGGTTTCACTGGTACCTCCTTCTGATTCGGCACCGGCAGTGCATCTGCAGGGTCGATGTGGGAAGTGCACCTGCAGCACCGAACCACATGCTCCCTCTGCTGTACTTGCACATGTGAACATACATTGAGTACAGTACTCACGAGCGCAGGCACATGCATGTACTCCAATACCGATATGGACTGCCACACAAGCGAGATGTTCTTTGCAGGGAGGCCCACGTCCAGATGTGTTTTTGGCATTGACATTTCGTTGCAGTAGCAGCAATAACAGGAATGCAGTTTGGCTCTTGTTGAGCTCATGTCTGAGTGAGAAGGAGTGGCAGGTGCAGGTGCTCACCATTTGCATCTGATTGCCCCCTTGATGATCTCCTCCAAGCACTCTGGGCACTTCACCTTTGGAGCCTTGGGCTGCAGTACGCATGAAAGGTGTCCCTCTCAGCATTCAACGAAGACCTTGCTAATCGGTTGATCTGCCAAATGGATGTGCTGTAGAACGCCTCAAGGAGCAAGTGGACATCCAGAAACAGAAACACCAGCGATTCTGGGCTATTTATGCACAGTCAACAATGCAAAGGATGGACTGGAAAGAGCAGATTCACCATGAGTGTGTCGATTATGGCGCTCACAGGAACCACTATGATGAAGTAGACCACCGCACAGATGATGAGGAATGTAAGACACTGCGAGGCACACCATGTTTTCATCAAGTTTTTCCAGAAAGCATGCAGGCAGGAACAGATCGGGCGGTATAATCCCTCTCTTGCACACAGCAAAACCTAGGAGGCGCTCCAGGACTGCAACAACTTATTGAACAGGTTCGTGCTTGGTGTGGCAGGAATGCAAGAAGCAGAGTGACGAGCAAGAATCGAGAAGGAGATTTACATGTCTGAATTACACACAGTCTTCTGACTTACCTGGTTGATGAAGTCTCCATACAGGAATCTGGAGTTGTTGACTGTGAAGTACAACTGTGAGAAATTCGAACCTCCCCATATTGCCGCAATGAGGGGAGTTATGATGTCGCGGACCTACAAGGCACAATGTCGCAGAAGGTGAGCAACCCAATTTCTCGATCAGTTCAGAGTATGGGTCAAGATGCTCAGCAACAGGTGCGCACCAATGCTTGCACGACTGCAGTGAAAGCTGTGCCAATAACAATGGCAACTGCAAGGTCAACCACATTCCCTCGGAGCACGAAATCTCTGAAGCCACTCAAGACTTTTGTGGCTGTAACGTAGGCACTTTCCCCACCCTTCACAAGAGTTTTCTTTAAATTTGCTGCTTCAAGGGTGGCTTTATCCTTCTCTTCTGACATTTTAGAATATATCTGACCAACAGAAGAGAACTGACACCAGCCGCAACTCTGTCTTGAGTTTCCAATGCTCCATCAAAACACTAAAATGCACTGGGAAGAGCCACTTGTGCCTCCCATTTAACCACAGTATGACACAGTCGTCTATTTCACAGTCTCTTAGATGTTATGCATGTATTTTTTTTGCAGAAAGGTGATGCTGAATCCATGCTTTATCATCGCTTCGTTGCAGTGGTTCCGTAGTTCAGACCGTAATTGCGCACAAGCGCAAGTAGGTCTGGGATACAACATCAAGCAGTAGATAACGACTATTACCAGACTACTCTATGGCATTTGAGATCCACACTGTGTCCAGGTCGTTGTGAGGAGGTGGGTGAGAGTTTCAGATCTGTGTGGATCAGTTCTGTAGAAAAGTCTTTCTGCTGGGGATCACGCAGTGAATCACGCAGGATCAACCGCAGAAGGAGTTCGGCAACTATTTGGATTGGCGTTATTTTGGCCGGTGGGCCACATCATGTGACACCCGTTTGTGAGCCTGCCAGTTTCCAGCTGTCAATCATCAGTTTGAACCTCAACACCTAGATCCTGCATAGTCTCTACAAGATGCCATCTGATTCTCGGTAGACCAACAGTGAAAAGCAGCTGCGTCTCATACTTTTGAGACATGAATGTATAGAAGTGCCTTATTTGGGTCTTTGACATGCATGGCGAACAAGCGCTTGTGAAGAAAATCTGATGATCAGAGTGCAAGTATATACTAGGAAAGTACCCCAATCAGTGCGCTTTTCACATGGGTATATCCATATTTCTGTTCTTCCGTGTATTATAATTGTACCATCAGCAATGATTAGCTACTCACTGTACCTACATGCGCTCAGGAGCACGATTTCTCCGAGAGTCTCGCCTCAAGAGGCCTCTGCATCTCTGCCAGTTGTGTCGCCTTTATCTGTGACAGTGTGTGTTCAGCCTCTTCAGAATATTTACATTCATGCAATGCTCTAGAGAAAGGAGCATCCAAGTCAAGTATAGACGCTCATCAGTCCCCTCTCCAATACCCTCCGAACAACTCAGCGCTCACGCTGATGTCAGCGCTGATATCTCAGGTGACGCTGGTTGGGGCATTGTCTCTTCCACGGGAGCCGGCGGCGGCGCATTCAGCGCAGCCGAGGCCTTGCGCACATCGATTGACTTCCCCTGGCCGGGATAGATGCGCGAAAAGCAGGCGGCTATGTAGGGCACGACACTGCCGGTCATGGCCGCGCAGGCCGCCTCAAAATGCTCCGAATAACTGTCCTCCAGCGCTCGAGTCGCCCTGTAGTGCGCCATCACGCGCACTGCTCCCTCCAACGCCTCCTGATGACCCACACGACTGCTCAATGAGCCCTGCGCTTGCTGTGAAAATTTGTCTTACATACGCCTAGAGTGAAAAGCAGAAGAAGCACCTTGCGCCGTGCAAAACATGGCAGTAGAACCTCCTCATCTTCTAGGTCTGGGCTACAAGATGTATGGATCAGATGCCTTGCTTCAATTTAGAACACATGTTTAGGGGCTTGGATGCCAAGGAAAACATCGTACATTTAAATTCCACAGCTTGTCCCCAGGCTCAAAGACAGGCAGGATTAGGTACGCGCTCTTTTCAGGGTATCAAGGCATCAAGATATCTTGCCTGGAGAATGGCCGCAACTGAGTTGCACAGCGACAGCGGCGCGCAGTGTCGCAGCTCATTGAATGCGGCCAAGAGGCCGTTTGTCAGGACCGCCAGTGGTGCATGCTCCAGCAGTGCATAGGGGGGCCCTGCATTCTCCTCTCCTGCAGTGCACCCCTCAACCAATCATTTCGCACAACCTTGTCACAGCGGTGTTGCTTCCTGTGGCAGCTTGACAGCCGGCCATAACACTTGTAATCCAGGGAGAGTCCAGAAACATAAAAGGCAGTACGAGCGCCAAGAAAGAAGGAAGGGCTACCTTGCGGTTTATATGTGCTTTTTTAAGTCATAAAAAGACAGCACTACGCATGCAGGATGTTGGACATGCACGATCATTACGTATCAGATGCGCTGTGGGCTAGATGGGGGCAAGGATGCTTAGTGAGGAACACCTTTGGGGGTGGAGGCGTCTGCTGTGCTGCCAGCCTGGCGCGCCCTGGCGGCGACAGCTGGCATGGCCACCCACTTGTGCACATCCAGCAGCATTACAAACATGTCCGTCGCCGCCTGACGCAAAATATCATCACCTTCACTACTGTGCGTAATCTCATTCTTGATCTATATCACATATGCTCTGTTGGCAAGAAGGATCGGAACATTTGAATACAGCAATTCCGGGAGAACAATTTCAATCCTCAACACCAAGAAATATCCTTGCCGGGTGGACGGCCTTTCCCAGTGCAAATCATGCAAATTTCGTTGACTGGGTCATGCATGACTGGATCATGCAGATTTTGTTGACTAGGTCTTGCTTGGATCTGGCGAGTCTATCGAGGGGTAGGGTATTTGGCAGCCTTTACCACGAGTCGCCTGCAGAGGCACCTTGCCTTTGGCAGGAAGGGGGTGTGAAAAGGAAAGAACGCGAATTACTGGTATTAGCACCCAGGGTGGAACAGTGAGAAGGGCACGGCGCACCTTGACAGAGTTGGCGTAAAGGCGCAGGACCTGGGCCTCAAAGAGGGGCACGAGGAGGCCGCGGAAGTCGAGCCCCACTCGGCCCAGGCTCATGCCGCAGTACATGCAGTGCTCCAGCACGCTCGCCAGGCTGCCCCCCTCACCGATGCGCGGCAACACCCCCGTCAACGTCTCCAGGTAGAACACCCTGCAAATGCACCACACCAGTGTTGTTTAGGACAGATGTTCTGCTGGCGTGCAGGGATCAAACGTTGAAATTATAGGTTTGTGGATGACTGTGGCATGCATTGTACTATGCCGTCCAAGGATGGCACCGAAGATGTTATTAGAGAATTAGAACAGATGCTGTTGGATCCGAGATGCTGAGTACTGTACTACTGGATATAAAGAAGCTGAGCATGGCGTCAGTTGTGCCCACTGGTCACCCCTTCCTGTGGTCGTTCTCAGGGCAGACCCCACTGCATGAAACATGACCCTCAACAAAGTGGCCAAGCAGCGCCACGTCATATGTGGCGAACTCTGGCCTGTGAACAGTTCACTTGGGCTCTGTCGAGAGGCCAGCAGCACTGGACATCCCACGCTCTAGACTGTCAGAAGGGCAGGGGTCACCAAAAAAATTAGAAAGGCTAGGGTAAGGGAGGAATCGCGTACAGGCGGTGCTGGGCCCAGCTGTAGACGGCGCCGCCATCGCTGGGGTCGGCTGCCCCCTGAGCGCCGGCAGAGGCCACGGTCTCCTGGGGCGATGAGTCATCGCTGAAGATGGCGCGGAACTGCATGACCACGTCGAAGAGCTGCAGCCGGTGCACATCCGTCAGCCGCTTGACATACTCGTACACGTTGGAGTCGTCCAACTCGCGCACAAGCTCCGCCAGCCACTCCTCGCGGCACTGCAGGAACCTGCGCTTGGGCAGATCATGACGCTGAGTCAGCGAGGCCAGAAATTAAGCGGTGGTTGAAAATGCTCGTCTCATAGAAAGTCAGAGCGTGTCCAAAGTGAGGCAATGTAGGGCTGCCTGAGCTGGTGGTCTGCAGGCGTGTCACGATATAACATCTCAATTTCCATGCCAAATCCACAGCATCGCATGCCAATCACAAGGCATCCCTTGCCAATTCCATTGTGCAAGGTCACTATGAACACTCTCACTCAACAGATAGTTCAAGCAGGAGCCCGTCAGGGAGGCTTGCGCTAGCACCAGCCCCGACTAAATAGGGGACACAAGTACGTCAATCGCAATTCGCGAGGAATTGGGATAGCTGACGAAGGGGAAGGGAGCAAGATGCGCGCCTGCGCCTGAGTTCGGCCTCGGGGAAGGGTGCTAGGCGGCGCAGGCAGCCGACGATGCGGAGGCACTCGGGCAGCTGGATGGGCCCGCGCAGCTTCGCCATTAGCCCCGCCAGCATCGCCTCGCTGGCAGCCTCCACCTCTGCCACCAGCTGCTGCACTATCTGCGCAACAAAACGGGCCATTTTCACTCCCCCCGACATATGACTGAACGTTATCATCACACGCTTTTCTTGTCAGAGGCAAGGTGCGTCTGCAGACAAGCTGCAGTGAAGCACTGCCATGTTCCCTACCCCTTCTACACACAATTCAATCAACAAATACAATGATCTGCGCCACAGACAGGCCATGCTCACGCCCATCAACATACAGTTACACAACATGAAACAAGCTTTCAAAGCCGACACCTTTTGTTGGGATTTGTTGATCTTTTATCACAAGGCTCAAAGGGATTCTGACAGAGGCAAACAATGAGGATCTACTGCTCGTGGGGGCACAGCACCATTCCAAGAGAGGGAGCAATGTAGGTGACACAGAAGGCTTTGTGGGGTGCATGCAAGGTAATGCATGGGAGGATGCTCTGCCAGCATGCTGCCCCTGTGAAGTGTTCCATGCTTCCTAGCAGGCACCCAGCAAGGTCACCTTGAGGTCGGCGTGCAGGAGGGCCATCTTTGCGACGAAGGCTCGCAGGTCGAGAGCATCATCGTAGCTGCCATTGCGCACGCATGCATCCATCAGCTGCGGCACCTCCAAAAGCTCTAGGAGCACCGGGTGCTGCTCTGCAGCAAGCACAGCCGAGAAAACTTACCACATTTTGCACCTATTGGTCCTTCTGCTGGCCTTGGATAGAGGGTGCAAACATTTGCCCTTGCTGCCTCAATCCTGCCAGTGTTGCTGCACCTGATCATCGATGGAATGGCGCAATAGATGTGCTTGCTAAAAGTGCGTGTATACTGCATGCTGTAGTGGAATAACAAACATAATGTTTCTTGTGTTGATGTGCTTGACAGCATGGACAACATATGGAAAGCAGACATGAAAGACGCATGCAAGAGGTCTCAAAGTAAGAAGCGCATGGCTGACACATTGGTTGTCATCAGTGGAGATGTGGGCAGCAGGGTACTCACTGAGGAGCTGCTTGTTTTCGGCGCGCTTGCTCGCAAACTGCGCAGCGCTCTGCGTGAAGGTGTCGCAGGCCGATGTGAGGGCGGGCAGATCCGAGGCCAGTGCGTCCAGGTGGCAGCTGACTCCCTCCAGCTCAGCGCGAGTGGTCTCCAACCCCTCTGCTGCTGCTATGAATGCTCTGTAGTGCGTCTTTGTTGCTTCCTGTGCGCAGAGATGAGCTTAGGCTGCATGAGCATTGCCTTTGCTTGAGGAACTGGAGTGCACACGTTCACCACTTCACACACGTGAATGTGAGTCCCCTGAGAGACAGAAATCCTGGTCAGGGTCGGGCCTGTGACTGTGAAGCCAGGCATCACTGACCTGGGCTTGCCGCCGAAGTTGTTCCTGATCAGCTCTCAACAGCTCCGGCTCCTTGCTCAGGCGCTCAAGACTGCATCAGCACATGCCAGACAAGCCATTGGACCAGAGTATGGGCGGAGCATCCAAGCATGCTTGGCTTATAATCCAAGATGTTGGGCTCAATCCGATAAAACCTCTCTGATCAGCCACACAATGGTGTGATTTGGCATGATATGATTAACAATGTATCAATAGTCTGCGGGCTTGCCTGTAAGAGAGTAAATCCGAGAAGTAAGCTTCCGCTTGTTCTCTCTCAGCGCCTGCAGCAAGGGACTGGGCAGCACTCATGGACGAGCCTCTGCGACGAGGTGACATGGCCAGAGATGCTGTGCGACTGTACGCTGCTGACATTGATTGCGATCCTGACGTTGAGCGTGGTGGTAAAGCTGCTTTGCCAGGATGGCTGAAAGCAGCAGACGATGTTGAAGGCTGACTATCAGATGCATGCTGCGATCTCGGTGTGTAGGAATCAAGTGATGTCATCCTGCTCCGCTGCCAAGACCCCTTGGGTGGGGAACTTTCTAACAAGACATCATAATCAATTGGCTAATTGGATTGGAAATAGAGAAGAACATGGAAGAGGCGCACTCGCGACGCAGATACCTGACAAGCTGAACAACAAATGCAGTCCATATGCATGTTATTGGCGCTGTGAGAGACTTCACATTGGATGCATGTGTTCTTGCCCAGATGGAGCTTCTGCAGGTTTTTGGAAGGGGTTTTTGAGTTTCGCATGCATGCATCCGGAGAGGGTCCATCATTTGCGAACATATAGCGGATATATTATAGCCTTCTGTAAGTAATCAGGACGCGTGAGCAAGGAAATTAGCGCGGCAGGCTACCGTATGCATGGAGTAGTCCATCTGACACCTTGCGCCAACTAATACCTCAGGGGACGCAGTGCACATATAGATGGCAGGGTTCAATCAATCGAGTCTTGTAGATAAGCTGGGGAAGCTTAATAACACACAGCAAAGCATCGAGACGGTTTCGTCTTGGTGCACCTTCTATCGCAAGGTGAGAGGATCGTCAAGTTTCGCAGGTGTCTGATAGATTGCTGTGATAGATTTTCCTGAGGATACATATAATAGTGCATCATACATACTTAGAAGGAAGTCAGCTGCATCTGGCACATGCATACATCGGCTTGAAGGCTCCGATGAGAGCATCTAGTCGTTCACCTAAAGGAAGGAACTTACTACGTGGGGTTTCCCTGATTGTAATTTAACTTTTCTTTGTCTCTGCATGATAATTTCTTTTTGCAGTGTGCTTTGACAGCAAGTAAGATCTGCTTTTCTGCTGTGCCAGGATGCCAGGAAGGTGGTGCAGACCTGGGAGAGCGAGTTTGTGAGGGCACCAAACATGCAGAAGAAGCTATGTCTCATGTATCTGGCCAATGACATTCTGCAGAACTCGCGCAAGAAGGGCCCAGAGTTCGTCAATGAGTTCTACCACACACTGCCGCGCCCCGTGCATCACTTGCTGAAACATGGAGATGCCAAGGTGTGCAGTGCCAACTGAACGTGAAAGATGCAAGCTGTCTTTGCTCACTTGCCCACTTCTGTGCAAAGGCAACGCGCAGAAGCACGCACGTGGCGCCCCACATCAATGCTTCACCATGGCGTAGGTGCAAAAGTCTGTGGAGCGATTGATAGCGATCTGGGATGACAGGAAGGTCTTCGGTCTGTCCGGTGTCAAGCCCTTGAAGGAGATGGTAGCCGCAGCTGAGACCCCACGCAAGGCAGCAGGTGCATGCCTCATGACAAGCTGACCCCCTTGGTAGTGTCAGGGCACCCCTTTAGCTCCGCTGCATTCTTTTAAGACCTGTACGTGTTTACAACACAACCTAGAACACACAGCTCAGGTGGTTATCCGCTTTGCAATATTCATTTGCTTCTCTCTCTCGTCCTCTGCACCATATCGGCAATCAATGAGTACCTGGCACATTTCGCAGGCGCTTCTCCGGTCGCCATGAATGGCAGGAGCGGGGGAGAGGGAAGGTACGCGCAGCTGGAGCCGCTGGCAGCGTCACTGGTAGAGGCAAACAGTGCGGCTGCGCACAATGGGACCCTTGCAGAGACCTGCTCCAAATCGCTTCGAGGGGTGAGCACCCGCTCGAGCCCTGGTGTGGGCCCTGGAGGATGCTTACCAAGGCACTTGTTTGCAGGGAAAGATTTTATACAGAGCTCATGCGTGGCTTGTGGATGGGCTAAAACTTTTGATGGCAAATTCAGTGCTTAGCTACAATGTTGTCCTTGTCAATTCAACTGCTTCCCTTGCAGACAATGTTTCTTGCTTTGGCAGGATCTGCTGCAGCAGGGAAACCAGAGCGAGCTGGAAGCTGGCCAGCAGCTGCTAAGCGAGTACGCAGCATCTCTGGAGGCGGAAGCTGCTGCGCGCCAGCAAGTCATCGACCTTCTCAACACCATGTTGCAGCAGCAGGTACTGCTGAGCATGCTAACTCTCACTTTTCCAGTAGCATACACGTGAGTGACCCAGAGCAAGGATCCTCGATAGAAAAATTGATCTTCTTTGGGCTGAAGGTGCCACAATTCTAGGGTGTCAGTGGGCCGGAATTTACCTGATGAAGTGGGCAAGTCTGATGCTGAGTTGGGGGTATAACAGGAGGAGGGGAAGCAGAGGGTGCAGGCACAGATGCACGCATGTGGGAAGCAGCTACAACAGTTCACTGCCCACATGTCAGCCGGCCATGACAGTCCACAGGCACCCCTTGGTGAGCCAGCCTCTCTGGTACCACTCCAAGGAGTCATCAATTTCTAGGACATGTCACCTATGTTTCGCACTGCGCGCAAGTATTGCAACAGTCAGCATAGAATGCCAAGTGCACTTCAGCCTCTGGATTGCTGGCTTCTGGATTCCCCTTAGCGACAAGATGTCTAAGCATGGGATAAAGTTTTGAACATCCATGATGTGTCACTCATAATGCTGCGCTGTGAAGGGACGTCTCAAGAGCACACAACATCCGGCTACAGATCTCAAAGAATGAGCAATGTGTGTTGCGCGCGTGCAGCTGAGATGGACGAGGAGTACAGCCCAACTGCTGAGGCGCACATGAATGATGCATGGGACCCCGAAGAGCCCAGCACCAGCGCAGCAGGCGCGCCTCTCAATCTGCATTGGCTAAGAGTCTGGACTACTGAACAGGCTTGATACAAGTGATGAGGACAAGATATTTCGTGACCGAATGCCATGAAAACTTGTCAGAGCAACTAAATCTTGAGTCGAGGCATAAAAACATATCGTACAACAATTGTGGGCAACCATGTGGACAAGCCTTTCTATGTATACAAGTGCTACTTAGGTACCTTAGTATCCTAATTACACGTTGTTCCTGCCAGAGGTAGTGTGCATCTGCAGACAACCTGCTGGCAAAGGCTGCCACAAATCCTACCCCTTGATGGACACACCAGATCCCAGCAAGATGCTCTCAACCATGGGAGCGGTGTGCTGTATTTATTTTTGCTCCCCGCCAGCCGGGTTCAAAGCTAATCAGATAAAACCCATTGGGGGAAAAAGTGAAACATGTGAGTAATTTGTCGCTGGGTCTGCAGGGGCGTCCCCGGGCGCGATTGGAGCGTCGGCAATGGCCGAGAAATTGGCGGCCAGTGGCGGCGCTGCGCGGCTGCTGGAATTGCTCGCGACGCTGCCCAGGGTGCGTGGTTTCCTAGGGACAGCGATCACGCAGGCGCGAGCCATGCGGCATTTAAATCAGCATGACCTTGTGCAGGTCACAGGACACACGCATGTCCTTATCTGATCACAGCTGGGTCCTGCAGTTAAGAGGACGTAGAATGGTGCCTCAAGGCATGATTACATAGCATGCAGCGGCCACTCGCTGTACTGCTTAGTTGCCCATGATCAGCATGTGAGCTTCTCTTGGCCCCATGCGCAGCAAAAGGATCAGAGACCCTCATGCAATGACTGTAAGACGAGAGTGATTGCCTTATGCCTTCTACCTTTGGCCTTTGTGGCTGTAGAGCCTAATTTTGCCCGGGTTGTCTATGGACAGAGCAGACTGCTTGGGATGAGCATGTGTTGTCTGATGGCTGAATGTGTGTCGTCTACTGTCCACAGGATCAGCAACGCGAGATTGGTCGCCATGTAGAGGCTTTGGCGAAGCCGGGGGAAGGGCACGCCCCCGAGCCCAGTGCTCCAGCAGATGACGACGAGTATGACCCAGAGCAAGGGTCCCTTGAATTCTAGGGTTTCCTTGATGATCTGCCTAGTGTCTGCCTTTGGGGATTTTGCTTGCAATGGCTGATGCATGTGTAAGCGCTTCAGCAAATATCATCAGGGGAGTGAAAGTGCTAGTCGAGCTATTGTGAAAATCGCATGCATGCTAAAGCACATGTGATGTATGCTCTCAAGGTTGATACATGTTTTATGAGAGAGCGTGCCTGCCAAGCAATACTCGTTGGGGGGTAGGAGGCTGACCAGGTCATGGATCTCAAGGCTGGTAGGCACATGGAATGTCCTGCATGATGTGCCTTGCATCTGTGAGAACCTAGGTCTTGAATAGTTCTGTGGAACAGTCCTTGGTGGCGGTGATGCTGGTATGCTAATTAGACGGCGCTGTAAAAAAAATGAGGCCACGAGATCCGCAACACTTGTTTAATGTGCTTGCAAGCTTGCAAGCTCTTAAGATCTGCATGTTCAGGATTTCACATTATAAGCAAATGCACTCAGCACAGGCACCACCTATCACTATCACATTTCAGGGTTGCATTGAGAGTGCTGAGACAAGTTTGCAGCTGCCGCATGACTCATGCTGGTGCACATCGCAAATTTCGTACTCGAATTAATTAGATCCACATTCACGCATACAAAGGTGCCATGTGAGTCATACTCGTCTTGTCCAGAATTGCCCAGAACCCAAATAGCAAGAGCGCAGCACAACCCGCACTGCACTGGACGTCACTTTGGTACTCTGTTGAAAGGTGTTCTAAAAAATTGAACAGTTACTCGAATCTCAAATAGCGTCGAATGGCCTGGCTGATGACGGTAGTTGAGACCTGTCGGCAATCATTTATTTGTATATTTGCATGCATTGGAGCAAACGTTTGTCATATATGCAACAATGAGATGGTCAGGCTTCGGCTTGTCAAGCGTGGATGTCTCTCACTACACCATTCTACTGCCACACCCAGAGTACATGCCACGAGTCTGCCTGCAATCTGAACCAGAGACATCCTCGTTCCTTGCTGAACCATGCAGGAACTTCTCTCTCGCTCTCTCTCCTGATGACACATACTCCCCGGCAATGGTTGAAACTGTCCGTGATTTGGGACCAGTGCTTTCGTGGCACAGTGCCGGCACTCGTAAAAGGTACAGGACTTCGGTCAGTGTCTTTCTGTGCTCCAGGCCACTCGCGGTGACTACCAGGCCTGGAAGGAGCCGGTACTGCATAAATTTCTCCACCCATCTGTGCATTGCACAGTGTGCAGTGGTCCCCACAGTCTGCAGAGGGTCCCCCTAGTCAAAGGGAGATGTCAGTTAGGGTCCCCACGCTGGAGGGACGGGTGTCTCCCTCAGTTGGCTGCACGGCGTGTACGTGCGCGAGTCCTCTGAGCAGGCGTGTCGGCAGTGGACGCCAGCCTCTCTGGTGCCAGCCCTGAAATGCGCAGACGGTGCACATTCAACAGGGGCGTCATTACCTCACGTGGCTACTGGAACACCAAAACTCTGCACTTCTGGGCTTGCCAACCCCTGATACAGCGCGTGCAGCGCACTTTCAACGCAATGTTGGCCCCGGCAATGCTCAATGAATCCACTGACGCGGGTGTGGTTGGATAGTAAAGCAAGGACAAGAAGCATGCAACATTGATTGGAGGCATGGCAATGGGCATGCTAGGGCGGGAGGGATCACCTGCGGAGACCGGGGCGGTGCGCGCGGCGCGGCCGGCTGTTGGCCGTGGCGTGGCCGGCGGCGGCATGCTTGCGGCTGGCACCGGCTGCCGCAACCCCCGCCGCGGCGATACCGGCCCCTCCTCGGCCGCCGCCCTGCGCACGCGCCTGCACAATATGCGTACCGTCAAGCACAGGAACACCAGGTAGCACGAATGGTGCACCGTACACACATCACAGTGCCGATTCTCAACTGGTAAATTTGCAAGTAAACAAGCAATCATGTATTATGAATATGTTGAACATAATAATACATGTTACATGATTCTGTTGACAACAGCTGCACACAGCATGGAAGCCAGGCTCTGAGTCTGCACCATGCTCCAAGAGCTAACACGAACAGGTTTTTCTATAATACCTGGGCATTGCAAGCCCTAGCAACCCGTGGCACCAGCGTAGGTGGAGTGCAGGCTGACTCAACATGTACTGTTTCAGAGAATTGGTGAAGTGCTCTTACCTGGAGGTGGTTCTAGGAGCCTCGCGGCCGGGCGCGACGGCTGAGGGGACGCTGCCGGCGGGAGTGGCGGGAGCGGGAACGCCGTCGAGCGGCTCCTGCTGAGCTGGCGCGCCGCGCACCACTGACGTGATGAGCGCTGCCAGGATCCCGATGAGTGTTGCGATCGCCGCCGCCGCCGTTATGCCCTGCCCGTGCGCCTGTGCATATACCAACAGGCACTTCCCATGACTATCTGCAGTAATTGTGGCCGTAGCAGGAGAAAATCTAGGTTAGGCAATGGTGGGCGGCTTAGCAGGACAAGCAATACTACATCAATCTACTTGAAGCAAGGAAATACAGTCACTGACATTGAAAGAATGATGAAATTATCAAGTGGTGCACAACAGGAGGGTGCAGTGCATGCAGCAATTAACTGACAGAAGTAGGGGCAGAGTCGGTGCAACACCTGGAGGGCGCGCGGCAGGGACGGCAGATTTCGCGGCAGCAGAGCCCGGCCTCTCAGCAGCATCCCCTCTGCAGCGTCGGCAGCATCGCGCTTCAGCGCCTTCACCGCTTTCTCTGCAGACGCAGTGAGGCGCCTGGTGGAGGTCCTCACACGTGCCCCGAGCCCCTGCAGCGTGCTCTTGCCTGATCCAGCTCTCGAAGACTTTGGCTCCACGATGGGCTTTGACTTAACAACATGCGGCTGGACCTGCGGTGGTGCCGAAGGCTGCGCTGGCTTGCTGGCAGGGGGAGCCTGCTTTGGCGCAGCGGCTGGAGGCGCCTGCGGCTTTGCCTGGCAAAGCAGAGCACAGTTCAGCAAATCCAGGATGCCTCTTCTCAAGCGCCCGCTCAACTGCTCTTTAATGCCAGTAATTGTGATGTTTCATGTTTAGGTCTTGATGTCTATTTTCAATTTGCGATTTTCACTTAAATTACAATTATTCCAATTTTCCGATTTTGCCCAACTTTGATTTTTTATCTTCATGTCAACATGTTATCATGTATGTATCTGAAGTGGGGTCGACGATAACGTACAGGCACAGCTATGCGGTGGAATAAAACATGAGGCCTTGCCTGCTTGGGAACGGCCGGCGGTGGCGGCGGCGGCTGCGCCGGTGCATGTGCGGCTGGCGCGGATACGGACACTTTGGGCTTGAGGTCCTGAGCGCGCTGCAGAGAGCGCTGCGCCGGGGTCTTGCGCTCGGCGGCGGCGGCCGGCTTGAGGCCGGCGTCGACGGCCGCGCCGCGCGGTGGAGGAAGCTTCCTGGGCGGCTTCCCGGCGGCTGTCGCCGGGCGGAGCCTGCCGGAGATGCCGGACCACCAGTCGGCCGCACGCGAGAGCAGCTTGTCCAGATGCGGTGTCGGCGTTGTGGCAGACGCCCTTGGCAGCAGCCCAAAGAACGCATGCGTGCCCTCTGCACGCAGCGTACACCATAACATCAATAGGTACTCATGAATCAATCATCGACTGAGTTTTTAGCCGTACTCTGGACAGGACGCAGTGTTCAGGCGAGGGGATACTGCTTAGAATTTCTTGCTTGTATATAATGTCCCCGGGTAAGGATACATTGGTAAGAGTGCATGACCAAACTGCTGTCAGGGAGTCTGTGCAGCTGGCATGGCAACATTGATGAATATCTGATGATTGCAGGTGAGAGGAGATTCTCACGAGGGGTCTCCTGGCGGAAGAGGCGGTGCAGGAAGTCTGCAGCGGTGTCCACGGGGCCGCTGGGCGCCTTGCTGGAGCGGGAGAAGAGGCTGGCGGTGGATGTCCATGGCTTCGTCCACCAGGCCGCCCCTGCCGATCTGCCGGCCGTCACGCCCGGAAACGTGGCTGCAGAGCTCAGAGAAGCAGCCTGCGCTCGCACGCGCTCATTGTATCAGCCAATGTGCGTATCAGAGTTGTCGTATGTTGCGCAATCTTTGTGTTCTTTCCTAGATTTGTTCACTTGGTGAGTGCATCTTGCATGAATGGTCACGTTCATGGACACCCAGCTCTAGGAGAGTCTGTGCGTGTGGCTGCAACGCTCTGCTACATCACCCCTTAGTAAAGAGAAAATTTTGGCATTACTTGCAGTGCCTACTTCATGCCCAGGGGGTGCATTCTCAAACCACCTCATGAGGAAGGTAAAAATTGTGGAATATCAACTCGTGCGAAAAACCCCCTATCTTCTTCTACTCTCGTGAGTTTCAACCAATTGCGCGCACCTTGGATGAGGTGGTAGGGTGGCTGCCCAGGTTGGGCAGGGTGGGCAGCAGGGCGGGCATGGTCAGGATGAGCACAAAGGGCGCCAGAATCAGCAGCAGCTGCAGCACCAGAAGCGCCGTGCTCCATGCCAGCGCAGGGCCTCTCCCTGAGCCGCGCTGCTCCCTGGTGGACGCCTGGTTATTCGAATTCAAACATTCCAGGTGAGCAGATAGCGCGCATCAGTCGAAGTTTTCAAATTGGAATATTTGGGTCTGACAACAGCAAGGCCTCCAACTCAGGCATGCTGTGCATAATTGAGACTCTGCATCGCACACTGGAAGTATGCAACCTTGACTGCTGAAGACACTCGATGCTGTTGTTGCAGCTCTGGCAAGGGCCAGCAAAATGGCCGCATGGGAGATACAGGAAGTTGGGGATGGCAGTGGAAATCAAGAGCAGTGGCCGAGGCACCTCTGCGTGGGCGGCACGGGCTCTGCGGATGACAGGTGTAAGCGAGGACGGCTGACTCAGCTGCGCATATGGCGTCGCGGCTCCCTGACGCTGCAGCCACGCCGACGCGGCGCTTGCATCCGCCTGAATCCCCATCAACACACACTTCAGGTGCACAGTCACATGCTGGAAGCATGCAGATGCAGGGCGATCAAGCAGCATCATTTGAGTGTTTTTATGACCCACAAGGACCCCAATCTGACCTTGTTGGCTTCCTTTGGACCCCCCAAAACAGCTGGCCTGGGGAAGATCAGGGAAACCCCACTGTAGAGCAATTCCTGGGCAGCAGCAAGTACCACCAAGCTCGAAGTGTATGGCAGCAAACACAGATGCATGCAGATGTGGCTGTCTGGAACGAGATGATCACCAAAATTGACCACTTTAAGACTCACAAGACCTCTCATCGACCGGACTGGTACTCTTGTTGACCATCAGATTCACCGGCCTGTGCAAATTCTCTCCACGTTCCTGGACCTTGCCGACCTTCAAACGCGATAATTGATGTGCCTGAGAAGGCATTTGATGAGCAGCTAACCTGAGAAGCAGTAGCTGCGTCTAGATATAGAGGTGGCTCTACCCTGGGCCCTTGTGCAGCCTGCACCTCAATGGGGCTCGCGAATGCACCCTCCACCCTCAGGACCTGCCCATGACACACCCCATTTGTCAACATCCTGCCACCATGTATGTAGCAGAAAAGACCACTCCGAGCAGCGCCACAGCCGCCTCCTGTCATTGTTCTGCCTCGCAGCCTCTTCTAGCCTTCCTAAAGGCAGGAATGCTGACTCTCATGTGGTGGTCAAACTCCCTGAAACGGGCAACTCATGGGGCCAACGCAATATGCACCTGACAGGATGTTCTGGCACTGATGGTAGCAATTTTGCAGATCCCGCTTTGCTGCCCGTCCTCTAGGCAGGTAACAGGGATGGTGCATTCAGTAGCAATCTCACAGTATGTGTGATTACCCCTACAGGGTGTAAATCTAGTACCTGGGTCCGGGGGGTCTCGGGCCCCCCGGGCTGCGCAGCGGGGGGTACATCCCCCAGCACGAGCTGCGCAGGGTTGCCTAAGACATTGGTGCGGCCAAAGTAGGTGCGGTCCTCCCGGCGCTCGGGGGTCTCCCCCGGCTCCAGGATGGTCTCCAGCGCCGTTCCCTCCCGCGTTCCCTCAAAGGATGACTCGCGCACCGTTATGTCACTCGTCATGCTCAGCTGCACATGCACATTTCCCCACCTCAGCACTTGGAATGTATCCAGCATGTCTGGTTACCAAAGGTTACCAAAGACCAGAGAACCCGGTTGACTCAATTGTCCTGTTGAGTTGTGGTTTGAAACATCACGCACCTTGAAAAAAGGACGACGGCAACACTTTTGTGGCCATGCTATCCAAACAATGCGACTGAGGTGTGTGGGTAGCTCGATAGCCCAACAATTGGCCCCGTCCAGGTCGCACACGTGGCACATCTAGCAACGTGGTAATATCCGACGGTGTTTCAATGGGATGCAGTGGAGAAGGTGCAGCATTGTGAGGGCCGCACCAGGGAGGCGAGGCTGTCGGAGGAGCCGGAGCGCTGGATGCGGAAGCTGCGGGGAAACAGCTCGGCGCTCGAACGCAGCGCGTCCTCCGTCGGCGGCGTCACCGGCGGCTGCCCGGCAGCCGCCCGGGGGGTCCGGAAGGGGGACGACACCCCCGAGTCCACCGCAGCCGGGCTGCCTCCGCCACCGCGGGGGGCCCTTACCGAGCCGCTGTAGCCCGCCGCGTTCAGCAGTGGCTCTGAGGCGCTGGATGCCCTGTGCGCAGGCGAGCTAGATCTCAGGAGAAGTTAGAAGTCAGTTTGTGCATATGCTAACAAATTGACTGCTGTTAATACTCAAAGTTTCAGATTCCAGATGTGCTCTTAATCCTGCAGCATGTTGCCTGCGGGTGCACAACACCCACCAGCCAGCACTGGCTGAAAATGCGACCTTGACACACATAGCTGCAGGGAGGCGCGGGCGCTTCAGAATCATTGTCATATCAGAATCACAATAGGGCTGTTGTAAGTCAAGAGCCAGGCAGTGCATATCGGCGGCAGGAAGGTTTAGAGCGACAAGATATGAAACGCGCACCTGCTGGATGTGGGGGAAGGTGACCCGTGGAAGGTTGGGTTGGAAATGCGCTTGCGCCAGGACGCAGAACCCTCCTCAGTCTTCACGCGACTCCCTTTAGCGCAACACCCACCCAATTGAAATTACATCTTTGCATTTTTTGGCAACGCACAGAAGGCACTGATTGCAAATGGCCCTGTGGTGATCACCCCTTGCCAGTCAAGAACCCTGCCATCATCACACTCAGCTGCGCTATCTGTGCTAATAGCCCGGTGTCCACGAGATAGCATCTGTGCTTTCTTTGAAGCCGGGGACTGGGAAAGTTCTGGGGCCGCACCTGTCCATGTGAGCGCCAGCTCAGACTCGGCCAGCTCTGCCAGATGGGAGGCCTCCTGAACTGTGGCCAGGTTGGGCAGCTTGGGCAGAGGTGACTGTCCACTGTTGCCCACCTGTGCGCCAAACACCCATGATAAACAAGATCTACCTCAGCACAGAAAGTAGTGGTGCCAGCTCGGCATTTCCCTTCCTGCCAAGGGCCTCATATAATAGCAGATCACTTCCATGCCAAGCACAGTACACTCTCTACTTGTGTGGACAATAGTTGCCTGTGGTTGGTGGGCACGTCGCATGGCATAAATGCCGTGCGGTCACCCAGTAATCACCCAGTAAGAAATAGACCTGCTCGCCAACAAGCTCATCGATGCGGCCCACGGCGTCCCAGCTGGACTGCAGTGCTTCAGCGCTCACTTCTGGCGAGGGCTGCCAAGGCTCCTTGCCTTCATGCCCTGCTAACGCACACAAACAGCCGTTCAGGTACAGCCAGACAGCCATGCACACGGTGCCCTCGACAGTGGCACGGGAAGATTAACATGATGTGGCCTACCTTGCCACAAGGATGCAGTAGCTCCTAAAAGGGCAGCCCGTTGGCCACTTCAGATTGTAACGTTGGGGCTCTTGGTGCCTCCCCCACCATCGTTGTACAACGCACCTTGCCTCATCGTGTCCAATTTGGCTTCCCCCTCCGGAGTACTGAGCTCGCTAAGCCTCCGCACAAAGGCGAGAGCGCCTGGAGTCCTCTGGGATGGCCTCTTCCCAAACGGGTTGGAGCGTGGCGAGTACGGGCTCTCTGATGAGGACGTGAGCACCCCGATGTCAAAGATGTCTGGTGTGGTCTCCCGAGAGCGACTTTCGTTTGGAGAGCAGTTCTCGTCGCTCACACCGAGCCTGCAAAAAGGGTCAAAACGGCCCATTAGCTTCGCACGCGCAAATCCGCTGTTTTCGATGCATATTGAGAGAGGTTATGCGCGATGTAGCAGTTCTGCAGGCATCAAGCCTCGGTGGTAACGGAACGATCTTTTCATAAAACATCTAATCATTCTGGAGGGCAATGGGAAGATGGGGACCAAAACAAAGTGAATACCGCTCCAAAGAGTTTTACTCGCCTCGGCAGATCTGAATTATTGCCCAATGGCTCGGTGATGACTGATCGTGACCCAGGCAACCCTTTCGCTGGGGAGATGTCGCCTTTCAAGGCTGGCAGATTCTCTTGCAGTACAGATGCCTCCTGCGTGTCCATGCTCACCATCCTCGCGCCGCCATTCAATACGCTAGATCATCGTGTGCAGCATGTTTCACACAAGAGACGTTGCTGCTTGCGATTTGCGCTTTGGAGGATTTCAAATGAAACCCTCCAGCTGTTGCCAGGTCACCATAGGGTTCCTCCCGAGAGACCTTCTATGCACTCTCTCCTCCCCTTCAGCAACAGATACAATGCGTTCAAGTAGTGAAAGAGATTGTAGGAATTCCTGAAAGGTGAGGTGAACTTTGAAGACTTGCCGTGATAAGCACAAGGCAACAGGTCTTGCTGGTTACTTCCAAGTCAGGAAAAAGTGAAGTGAACACAGGAAGAATCAGGCGTTTAGTACCGTAGACCAGCTTAAAAATTACCGAAGTTTGTCGCAACGCCTCTCGCTGCAACTGCGGAGAGGTGTCAAACTACTCTGACCGATTTAGTCTGGGCACCATCAAGGACACAGGGAGGACCCCAGGACGTCCCATAATTGCTAAGCATGTCTGAATGGCAGCTGTCCTACGACCCTGCCACCTCTTACAGGTCTGCCCCGTAACAAGTACTGTAGGCCTCCCTGATGAAACGGTGCCACACTTTGATCACCAAGCAAATTAAGCTCTCCAGCAACTTGCTGAGAGTATTTCATCCTCTGAATGGTCCTGCAATCCTATTTTACATGCGACATCTTGTGCGCTGAGAATGTGATCTGACCTTACACAGGTCAGGACCCCCTTCAGGAAGCAGTCAGGTGGAATGGTACCAGACGGGAGGCGCAGACTTCTCAGCCAACAGTGCTGACTACACCTATGACGCCATGGGAGGCACCAGCACCTCCGCAACCTATGGCTCCTTCGAGGACGAGGCCCCTCTCCTAGAGGGTGTGCGCTGCAAACAGTCCTTTTAAAGACAGCTTTTTTTTTCATGCATCTGTGTCCGGGCTGTATCCCCTCCAAGCACAGTGAGAAGCTTTTTACTCAAGTGGCGCAGCACGTCTCAGTGATATGGGACTAAGTCTAATGTGGCTACCGCTTGTTCTGGTGCAGAGCTGGGGATCGATCTGCAGGGCATCTTGAGGCGCTCCATTGCCGTGCTGACTCACCGGCTCGGCTCCAATGTGCTGCTAGATCTGGACTTGGGGGGCCCGCTCTTCTTTGCTGCCATCCTGGGCAGCGTGCATCTCCTGGTGGGCGCTCTTAGCTGCTCTGACACAACACTGCCTCCGGACACACCTGTGCTACCTGCTATCAATAATAGCTGCCGGGCTCCTTCTGTTGAAGCGTTGGCAGCGCTATGTCTTCATGCAGTGTGTTGTCTCTGTCATAAATAAGTGCAATGCAGCGTGCAGCGATCTCACATCTTCTACTTTTCCACAATTGAAGAGCACTGCTTTGAATTAATTGGTCTGATCCAGAAGCAACAGGCGCGCCTATAAAAGAGCCGTATAATAAGGTTTTTTGGGCCAGTTGCGCGCAGACGGGGAAGCTGCACTTTGGGGTGATACTTGGCTGGTCGGTGGTGGGCAGCGCAGCGGTCTGGTTTGTAGTGAGTAACCTGGCCGGACCCGGCGGGCACGCGAGCGGGCACGAGTTGGGCACGCCAGGCATCTACGACTGCTGCTGCCTGCTCGGCTACGGCCTGCTGCCCATGCTGTTGCATGCCCTGATTTCACTCCTCGTCCCCAAGTGAGCCCCTCTTGCCTGTAACATCATAGTCCCTGCCTACTGCCCTTATAAAGCAGCCAGTCCTATCTTTGTCATCGGAAGTGTCCAGGTTCCACTGCCTCCTGCAAGGTTTCTCCTTGTGCACTTTTCAGGAAGCCTGCCATGCGCATGCCGGATGGTGTAGAGGTGTACTCTTGCACAATGACTTGAAAAATCGCCCGCATGCAGTGTATATAAGCACGCTGTCAGTCACCAAATAGAAAGTAAGCGATCTCTGGAGGTATGCAGGTTAAGTCCCAGCGCATGGGATGCATGTAAGGGAGATGTATGCTTTGTGCAGGGGGACAGCGACAATTGCTCTGGCAGTCTTGGCGGTGCTTTGGAGCGGCATTACAGCGGCCAAGCTTTTCACAAAAAGATCACCCGTGCTGGAGGACCATGTGTATTTGATAGCCTACCCCTGCCTCCTCATGTACTCCGCTTTTGCCCTGCTGTCGATCTATTAGTGATGGCAGCGAGGCTCTTGCCTGACTGTGTAGGATACACGCTGTAGATAGGCTTTTCAGATTGATGCTGTGCGGTGCACCAGATGATTGCTGCACGGCCCCAAGGACTGTTGTAAGGATGTACATGCATGAGGCTCATATGAGGCTCTACAGGGCACATATTCCAGGGCAATTATGTAAATATGTACCTCTTGCATGCAGTATTAGCATCAGGCAAAGGACATCTTCTTACCCATTCTCTTTTGCAAAATCGGCCATGTTGTGACCCTTTCATTACGTTGCAGCGCTGCTAGCAGATAGAGTATGTATACGTAGTTTGTGCTATTGCAAATTGCTCCTAAAACACGCCGGACAACAGAACATCCTTCTTGCCAAGTTGACGATGCCAAGTCAATCCAAGAATGGTCACACTGTCTTCTACGCTCGACAAACCGCACAAAACCCCATATGAACTCTCTTGAGAAATGGACCCGCTATACGGGCTTGCCAGAGTATAGTGGTTCTTTTCTTTCTTGCGCAAAGAGCAGCGCCCGCTCACTGGCACTTACCAGTGCTAAGCAGAGAGATCCTTTTATTTGCGCACATATCAGCGCCCGCTCACTGGTAGAAGTCAAAGTCGGTGTCGGACTTTTTCACGTTGGCCTTGTAGCCCTTCTCAAAGTCCTTGGGCAGAATGACGTAGCGGTTCTTGCGCACTGCGTGCATGCCAGCCTCCTGGCAGATGGCTGAAATTTCTGCGTTGCTGATCTTGTCCGGCCGCGACACATAGTCCTCAAGGTCCACCTCCTCGCTCAGGTTCATGCTCGCCGTGCATGCCTGCATGCGCGCACCAGCACATCAGCGCACATTTTTTGAATTTCAAAGTTATCGCATGTGATGCTATCATCTGGGAAGTCCACCGCTAGGGAATGCAATCTGGCGCATGCCTGACCGTGACAAAGTGGATCTTTTGCAAAATGGATCTGGACAGTTGCTCGCAGATAGCACAAAGTAGGCAGCTTGTGCGCCATGCTGCTACACTGCTGGGCCACTTTTTGCAAAGAGATATTGCGCCCCACTGTCAGGGCTGTGCAACAGAAGGAAGTCATGGGGAAGGGGGCATGCGCGCGCCTGGAAGACGAGACGCTTCTGGCGGCGGTCTGGCAGCGGAAACTCGATCTTGCGGTCGAGGCGGCCCGGCCGCAGCAGCGCGGGATCCAGCGTGTCAGCGCGGTTAGTCGCCATGATCACCTATCCGCGCCACATCATCTCGTCAGTCAGAGGTCTGGTCGACTGCTTTCCTTCACTTGTATGTTAAGAACCACTGATGAGGGTAGCAGTTGGTGGCGGCAGGAGGAGGAACAACGAGGCGAGTGGGGTTGCAGACTGGAGGATGTTGGTTCCCCAAGCAAAGTCCATTACAAGTGAGGCAATGGGGATATCTGTCTGAGAGGCGCACATACCTTGACGTTGACGTTCTGGTGAAAGCCGTCCATCTGATTGAGCAGCTCCATGAGAATGCGCTGCACCTCCCTGCATGCATGCACCAGCTGTCACATGCCTGAAACACTTTTCAGCAGTATGGCCTCTTGCAATCTATAAATAAACCTCCGCAACTCCTCTTTGTAAGAAGCGCCTGGCTGCAGGCGGAGTGCTGTATGGTCACCAAATTTAGCTCACAGCAGAGGAGCCGACTTCAGTGTGATCAGCGAGGTGCACAAGGCAGTGCAATAGGCACTTTCAAGTAAATTCTGCGGGACACAAGTAAAAAAGAGCGCACCTGTCTGCGCCGGTCTGCGCATCGAAACGGGCGGTGGCGATTGCGTCCACCTCATCAATGAAGATGATGGCGGGCGCATTCTCCTTGGCCAGCCTGAACACGTCGCGCACCATGCGCGGCCCCTGCAGCACATACGCGAACAGCGCTTCACCAAATGACACAAACAACAAAGTTGAGAACACGTTAAATGAGGCAAATTTTATGTGAGATTTCTCCTGTGCAGTTCACATGTTCGTATGCGACACACATGGTGCAGCGCGTTTGAAGATTGCTGAGATCATGCGCCAGCATGTGTTGTCAAGACCACTCAATACAGCCAAAGTAACACCCAAAGTGGCAGCCTGTTATTACACAAAGGTGGGGAAGGAAAATCACGGAAGAGGAAATTCACCTCGCCAAGGTACTTCTGCACGAACTCGGAGCCGACGACGCGGATGAAGGCGGCGGTGGTGTGGTGCGCGACAGCCTTGGCCAGCATGGTCTTGCCCGTACCGGGGGGACCCCACAGCAGGACCCCCCGCGGGGGGTCGATGCCGATCTGCTTGTAGAGCGCGTGCTGAGTCAGCGGCAGCTCCACCGCCTCCCGGATCTCCTGCTTCTGGATGTCGTTCCCGCCAATGTCCTGTGCAGATGCACGTTGCAGCTCAGCACGACAGCCGTGTCGATACTACTGCAGCTCAGGACAGGACTTCTGACGTTGCGTGTGACAACATTGACAAGCTACCCGACAGCCAGCGCTGAAGGGATGCAGATTGAGCACCAGGCACTATGGAATTAGAGCATAAAGCAGCTTTCACAGACCAAGGCCCATGAAAGGAAGGAGTTCCTCTTCGCCAGGGGTAGCCCAGCCAGGGGAGAACATAAAAAGGCTGGTAGCAGGGAAAGATCTCAAGGAGCGGCTTGCGGGCGCCAACCTGGTAAGTGACATCTGGCCGCTCGGACTGCGTGAGCAGAGAGATGGAGGAGTCGGCCTCTGGAGGGAGAATGTCCACAAGGGCGTTGGAGTGGCGGTGCAGCGCAATGGAGGCGCTGGGCTTGAGCAGCTCGCGGTTGAGGGTGGACAGGATACGCACATAGTAATTGGATCCCGTGGTGGAGCCAACGATGCCAGAGTTGGTGTCCACCATCTCCAGGAACTGGCCTATGACTAGGGGCACCGACTGGATTCGCTTGACCTCCTCTTGCGCGCGCAGCAGCTCGCGCTTGAGGCTGCGCTGCTCCTCCTTGATGTACTCCTCCTGCAGTGGCAATCCAATCACGCAAGCTTCCGTCACGCGTATGTGCTTGACGCACCATTTGACACACTTGGAGATGCACAAATTGTACAAGTTGGAAAGGCTGCAGTGGGTTGTCCCTGCACCAGGAGTTGCATATTCCAACGCACACAGCAGTGGTAAATATCCCAGAGCAACAAACGCAGGAAATTCGTGATAAGGCACGCAGCGCTCCAGTGAGATCCCGCAGAAATTCTGAATCTGTCTGAAGTGTACAACCAAGCTCGAAACGAACACGGCAATCAATCACGTCTCTCCTTCAGTTGATGAAAAGACTTGAGGTTGCAGGAGAAGCTGCATGGTCTTCACTCCTTCTGTGCAAGGCACCCTCAACCATAGAGCAAGTTCAATGTGCCTCGTTAACAGCAGGGTGACTGCTGCAACTCGACAATAAGCTCACCTGGATCTCATAAAACTCCAGTTGCCGCTGCAGAGTTTTAAGGCGCGTGTACAGGTCCTCCTCACCATTTTCTGCACCTAGCTCCATCTCCATATCGATGGGCTCATCCAGAGCCACTCGGGCCTTGCCCGGACTGAGCATTTCTGCTGCCACAGGCTTCTCTACCTCTGTCATTTTGGCTAGTCCGGCTGCACTTCAATGCTGGTGTCCCATGCCCTTCTACTTGTCTGTCGAAATGTTCTCGAGCACTACACACCAGAAATCAGAGTTCTCTGAAGTGTGAGGCATGTGAAGAGAAACGGAGCGTCTCATTGCTTTGCCAGCATGGCACATGTGGGCAGGCCGCAATACACAATTGCTCTCATGGGTTGCATGGCAAGCCGTTGTACTTTCTTCCCCTCTGGCTTCCGTGTCAACGAAAATACTTTATAATGCGCTTATATTGGGATCCAGATGCTTGCTGGACCTGACGAGACAGCTCAACGTCCGGTGAACGATCTACACCATGCTCGGCCAGACCTTGCCGAGCTTCAGCGCAGGTGAGAACGCGGTGCCATCTAGGCTTTGCTCTATTACAAAAAACGGCTTTCGATACATCGGGCACTTGTACATTTCGATGGGCCGCTCTTGTTGCCTACCAGACACCCTTGACACCCACCACGGCACCTGACAAGGATTGATCGGGATCTGCCACCCTAAGAGCATTGGCCGAAACGAGTTGTCATAGCCTTCATCGTTTCACGTCTGGTGTAGCTTGAATTACGACCGGTCCCTGTCTGCAGGGAAATTGAAATTCTTGAAGGGAGAGCCAACTGATATACCACCCAAAGGGCACCCAGCTGTGATCGAGCTCTGGGCAACATGGTGAGATTATTTCTTACGAAATGTTGTAATGAAATGTGCACCTGGCCCACCTGAGGCAGTGTGCTTCAGTCTGAATCTCGCTTGAACACAATATGATGCATGCATGGCTTCGAGGCAGTCTTGGGTCGGAGCTATTACCAGTACAGCTCACCATCTTGCCAATTGATTTCGCAGGTGCGGCCCATGCCGCATGGTGTTCCCGCATCTCTCGGAACTTGCCCGCGCATACAAGGACAAGGGCCTGAAAGTGGTGAGCATCTGTGTGGAGCAAGACTCGCCAGCGCTGCAGCAGTTTGTGGACCAGCAGGGCTCCAAGATGGACTACACGGTGCGCCCTGTGATCTGTGTGCATGCACAATGTATGCAAAGCCTGGCATCACTCATTCTGTCCTTTACTTCTGCTCAGGTCTGCCACTGCTGTTCTCAGCTTCACGGTGTTGCAAGACCCATGCCATGTGGTATGGGAGGTGTGGTAACGGCAATTTGCAAGTAGCCAGTGACAGCCTGCTTAGTCAAGTGCAGAGCACAGTCTGCACATCAGAAACCCACGGCAACCTGTGCAAGCAGAGGTGCAAATGACATGGCCCTGTCTCAATTGCACTGTCAAGTGTGACCAGGACATCCTCGTTGGAGAATATCATACTTTGCTCTCTGATCCCAGGCCTGTCACACAGGTAGCAGTGGATCCCAGCGGTGAGGCGGGGCAGCAGCTGATGGCGGCAGCGAAGGTGTCAGGCATTCCACACGCCTTTGTGGTTGATCGAGATGGCGTTGTGCGCTTCGGTGGCCACCCTATGGATCCCGGCTTCGAGGCAGCCATCAAGAAGGTGCGCTCGCACACTCTTGATCGTGCCAGTGAGCATGCGTCAGAGAAAATGCCGGCGTCATGGTGCTGTTTCTTCTGAACAGCGGCGTGCTTGAGCTTTTGTGAGTGCTGGGTGCAATTTGCTATGGTGCCAGTAAGCATGAAGGGCACAAATGCCACTGTCATGGTGCGTTGTCCTCTCTGCACAGCTGGGCGCAAGTCCTGAGCTCTCTGGACGCAAGATGTGCCTCTGAGAGGCTAAATATTATTGCTCTTCCTCAGAACACTGAGGGCAGCTTGCGCTGGACGTTGCTTTCTGAGTATTGCGCCCTGCGCAGCTAATTGAATATTGCTAACGTGCTGAAAGGAGAACCGAATGCCATGTCATCAGGTGGTGGACGGGGCACCTGCCCCCAAGCAGGAGAAGCCAAAACCGGCGCCGGTGAGTCAGAGCAGGGAGGAGCTGTCCGGGCTGCCGGTGCGCGAGCTGAAGGGCATGCTGCAGGAGAGGGGCGTAGGTATGACCGGCATCGCTGAGAAGGGGGAGCTAGTGCAGCTCATCCTGGACCGCTGCACGTGATAAAAAAAGGCCATGGCCATCATGATGTATACTATATGTAGTACATGTTGGGACTCAGAAACGCATGCTATGGATTGTTGCATTGGCTTGGAGTGGCATTGTGGGTGCTTGAGACAGAAGATTGTGAAAGCCAGAACCAGCAGGGATAAAGCGAAGGGAACTGCAAAAACACCTGTGTCAGCTGTGCATGTGCGTGTACCAAAGTGAACTGCCGCTTGCAGTTCGATCACTATTAGCCTAACAGAGCTTTTCTGGAGCGTGTAGGATACCAGGAACACTCTGATCGTGCTGCGACTTTGTTTGTGCTGTAGCATAAGAAAAACTTTAGTGAGAAGGACCTAGCTAGGCCTGGAAATGCCGTGTGAGATAAACACCTGCCAGATGTCTCTTGGGCTTGTGGCCCAGTGTCAGAGTACCCGCATCTGTAAACAATTTGAATGCAACTATTGAACTGATCTGATCGCTGAAAGGTTTGATCGATTCCGTTATCTCCTCTCGTTGTCCGTCTGGCTGATCAAAGGTGTACGGCACCAATAAAACCCAAACAGCTCTGTTTGCTACCTGCAGATCCTACCTCTCAAATCACTTTCAATACAGTCACTTCACCTTATACCGAAATTTTGAAAGCCAGGCTTAGTCTGCTCATCTTCCGAAGTCCCAACATTAGGACAAACGTCAGCCAGTCAGACTGAGCTAACCTCACCCGATACTGCAGAGGTGGACCCGTGAGAACGCGAGATCAAGGAACTCTCCAGGAAGTGCGCCCGATTGGCAGGACGAAGGTGTTATGAAGGCAGGTTATCTGTCCAATGAAAGAAGAGAAAAACGGGCGTCCGGTACACATATATGCATGATCTTCAGCCCGTTTACGGAGTCTTACGGGTCAAGGCTGCCTCCCCATTTAAGCGCTCCTCATTTCCCCAGTCTGACAAGAAGAAACTCCTGCAGAGCTTCAAAGTGCACCATGGACGATCCACTCATTCAGGCGGAGCAAGCTCTGAGCGATGGGGACTTTGCAGCTGCAGACAGACTTGCTAGAGGAGTCCTGCAAGCGGGAACTTCCTATGAAGCTCTTGTGTAAGTGCTGCATCTCACCTCGTAGATGAAAATGCCTCTACTTTCTGCTTTGTTATAGCCTCACAAAACAGCAGCAAAGGATTTTGTCGTCGAGTATAGACTCCTAGGCAATACTGTATGTTTGTCAAAGTGCTAGGGCCAAAGTTAAAAAGGGATATGTGTTGTGCTGTAAAATGCTGATTAATGTGCAGTAATCAAAGTCATCTTTTTAGATGTGTGTCGACCGGCTCCAAACTGACAACCGTAGGAGTTGCCCAAAACTCGCTTGTTCCTAGTCATCATCGTACAACCATATTAGAGGTCTTGATGTACCTTAGGAACTGTGTCGTACAAAGGCAACATCGTTATCATGAGTGGATAGTATCAGCGCAATATGGAGGGGCCAGTGTCCTCTCAGTCGCCCCATGTCTGACGTAGGTGCCCTGCAGCTCCCAGAGAAACTTTCGTGCCCAAAGGTGATGTGGGGTGCATTGATGTGGGCTGTGTCGAATTTCTTGCTACAGGATCTGTGGTCGGGCAGCGCTATACAATGGAGATTATGCGGGGGCAGAGGAGGAGTACAGACAGGCGACAACCCTCACTCCCAGCGCCCTACCAGCCTGGGAAGGCGTGGCCTTGTTACAGCAGGCCACAGGGGACGTGGTGGATGCTGCGGAGACTTTGGAAAAGCTGGTGCGGCCTTCTTTGAACAGCAGCATACTCCTATTGTCGGGCTGCTCCCGTGGGATCTTGCGATATATTTACTCCTCTTCTCTGCAGTCTGACTGAATGCCTGGCTGTCTTATGTCTTTTCATGGCATTATAGCCTTCAGTGGTGTTCTGCAGCTGGACCTGGCAGCCAGCCAAGGGAATATGGAGAAGCAGCGCGAGTACTTGTGGAGGGTGGCGGACTCCTATGACAAAGCGGGCTACCTGGACATTGCAGAGACCCATCTGAAGGAGCTCCTGTCCCTTGATCTGTCCAAGGAGCAGAAGCTGGAGGCCCTCTGCTTCCTGGCAGACATCCAGGTATGAGTTTGTCCTGCCGTGGGCCACAGAAAACAGCACTGGCTCACCACAGACCAGGCTCCTTGTGAATTCTCTGCACAGGGGCCTTCACATGCATCCCTGTGTGCAATAAAAATTCTGCGCAAGGTCTGTGCATTGTGGGATTGTGAGGCGCTGGCAGGCACAACCGGCGCAAGGAAATGGGCTGGGTGCTGAAGCTCGGTGTGTTGCATTGTGCAGATGAAGATTGAGAAGATGGCTCAGGAGAGCAGGGTGCAGAAGGCAATGGAGGAGCAGGAGCAGAGATTCGGGCGGTTGACCCGCACCATCTCAGGTTCTGCCCGCAGCTCTCACCAGCCACAAACAGTTGCTCACAGCTCACCATAAGACCACTGCTCATGTCCATGGGCACTACAAATGAACCTTGGCTCTATACTCAATAAGCAGTCGTTGGTTCAGAGAAACACAGATGTCCAGCCGTTACGGGCTCAGGCCGGCATGTAGATTCTGTTGCGTTGCATTGGAACACTCGAAAGGGCGCAGACTTTGGCGGGCACGCTTTGACCTTCTGACAGATTTCTGTGATGGCGCTGCGCAGGGGTCAGACTAGATGTGGATGCAGAGAGGGCTGAGGAGCAGGAGGCCGAAGAGGGGGGCCTGGCAGACACGCTCAAGTCCATCGTGCAGCGCACCATCCCCAACCCCCGCTATGTGCGCTTCCATGAAGCCCATGTGCAGCGCTACCTCTCGCGCCTGAAGGCCTTTCCTCCCAGGTGACCTGCCTCAACCACATGCTGTGCGTTGCAGCTTGCTTGCCATGCAAGCGGCCCTAGGCTGCGTGGCAGGGGTGGCCCGCATTTGCATATTGCAGTGTGTCTTTGAGGGTACAATCAGCAGCCAGGTCCAGCACTGATGAAACGGGCAAGAGCAGACTTGAAGGCACATTGGCGGCGGGCTTTCTCTTGCAAGTTGCAGGACCAAACAACAGCTTCCTTTTTCCATTCAGATGTGAATTGAATCAATTCCAAATTGGGCGCAGGTCGGCGGCGCGGAATGAGAAGCGGATGGAGGCGCTGCGCGAGTGCGTGCGCATGATCATGGCCAACGCTGGCGGCTGCACGACGCCCTTCCCTTTCGAGGCCGCCATCTGGCTCCTCGAAGAGCAGGAGGAGCTCTACGGCGGCGCCATCCCCATCTACAAATCGGTGCGCGTGGGGGTCATTAATAGATCAGGCGCACCATGTACTAAGATGCAGATATGTAGATCCTGGTCCTTCAGCCGGTTGACCATAGCGGTCCTGAGAAAGGATGGGGATATGTTAAGTGCTGAGCATTCAATGTCTGCCTGATCCTCCTCAAGACCATTGTGACCACGCTGCTGAGTTTGCCAACTTGCTTGCTGGGTATTTTCAGCATCACATGCATCCACTCGCAGAGACTGGAAGTAAGCTGCGCGGTACCCTTCACAGTGCATGGTGTGCGATGCCTGACGTGCAACGGACTGTGCAGGACTTGCTGGACCTGAGCAAGGGCTCGCCGAGTAGATCGCCGTTGATGTCTCCCACTTTATCACGTGGGCAGGGGGGCACAACACCCCGCGTTGCCACTCAGCTCAACTGGTTCCGGGGCAACTCCATATCCTGCCTTGCTGGCTCCCAGTCGGCCATCCAGCTTCGCAGGGTGAGCCACCTTCCTCACTGACTGTGATCCCTGGTTGTACTCCTGCTGTACACGGCAAACAAATCCTTTGTGAAACATGTATGACAAAAGTATGACTTTTTGCATCAGAAATTCACCTGGGAACTGTCCCGAGCATGTCCTGCACAAAACTTTTGTTGAGCTGCTTCACCGTTCTTGAAAGTGCCGATGCGTAAATGGGCGTTTGCATGCGCAGCTGGCAGAGAATGTGAAGCAGGAACAGGAAGCAGCAGAAAACGGTATCGGGAGCGACGGCCGCCCTGTCTTGACAAAGGTGGGTCTGCTTGACACACTTCACAGCCGAATCGGGCCACTTAAACTCCATCCAAATATCGTTGAGCAGCCTCGCTGGCAAGCCCACGAGCGGACTTGCCTGCACATACACATGGCGAAAAACAGGGACGTGCAACCACCTATCGGAGTAATGGATGGATCCTTGCTTGCAGCGACTGTAACTTTACCGTGTGGATCGGCTCCCCCTTCCGTTACTACTCATTACTGATCATCACTGTTCGCAGGTGGAGGACTTCGGCATGAAGCTGGCGCACCAGTTCCCCTGGGCGCCGGCGGCGGCCGTCGCGGTCGGCCTCGCGCTGCGGCGGCGGTTCCTGTCGGACCCGGACACGCCCTCCACCGTCACACGCCGCCTGCAGGTCACCAAGGTGCGCTGCCATTTCATGTAGCTTGTTTATACTCGACTTCTTTTGTGGAAACTCCACCCGAGTGGCTATGAGTCCAAGATGGGTTCAGCTAAGCAAGATGTACCACTCAACCCAATTCGGTCCCAAATCGACAGCATTCACTTTGAGCATTGTATTCCATTGTGGCAGAGGCCCTTCATCTGACCCATCTTGCTGCCTTGCTCATGTATAGATGCTGTCAAGCTTCCCAAAGCGCCCATTCAGAGCAGCTACTCCTGCCTCGTGTCGCTTGCATCACGCTGCGAGGGGCATTGGCCCCTAATGGAAGGCCTGTGTGCTCAGCAAGGCACGCTGTGCATTGGTGTGATTCTGCAAAAGGGTAGTACCTGCGGCATTTGCTGAGGTTTGCATTCGGGTGTGCAGACGCTCAAAGGTGGCGTGATGAGCGGCGCAGACAGTGCGGCGGGCTGGAAGGCCCTTGCAGAGCTGCAGTACCAGAACAGGTGCCTGCCCCTACTGACCAAAGACTGCATTGCTCAATTTCAGTCTTTTTCTCACTCCTCCTGCTCTTACTGACGCCAGCAAGGAACCCATGCTCATCCTCCGCACACCTCAAGTCCTGTGTGCCTGCAATGTGCTCATCGATTTCTTCGATTCTGGATCAGGCAGGAGCAGGCAGCCGCCCATGCAGCTGATGCATGCACCTAGAGAAAGCTATTTGTCAACGCGCAATAACAAATGATCGATCAAATTAGTTGGAGAATCAAGTGAGAATTTGGATAGAATTCAAGTTGAAGCGCGCATTCTCAGGCAATGGGCGGACGCTTATGAGACGAGCGTGCGCGGTTTGGAGTGGAGCGTGCGGCGGCGCGCGAGCGGCTGCGAGACGCTGACGCACTTTGCGCTGTCGCTGCGGCTCTGCGTTGCGCGCTGCCTGCGCCGCCTCAATCGCCTCGACGAGGCCGAGTACGCCTTCAAGGTCCTAGCGGGTGCGCAGCTTGACTCTGCTCTTTCTTTGCCTACCATGGTTTATGGTCATGTCCACGGCTAGTGTGCCTATCAGCGCAAACGTCTGAGCAGAGGGCTCCACACTTCATCGAGAACCCTATCTGACATCTATGGACTTGAATGTCCTCGTCCTGTTTGTGCCGTTGGCGGCCCTTGAGGTTCTTTCATGGCCATGAAAGGCACCTCAAGGGCCGCCTAGTCTGTCTCGCACGACGATGGATTCATCCTGATGCCGTGTCACGATATACTTCTGAGTATTTTTGTTGCATTGCCAATAAGGCTTCAACAGCACAGACTTGATCTAGGCCCCCTGAGTTCCTGCGCTTCCATGTGCCTGGCCACTATCCTAAGCAGAAGCCATCCTATCCTCGAGACCATTGACTTGCGACGGCCACACATGCCTTTTGCATGCTTGAGGCTAGGCGCCCGACATAGAAAGACAGAGCCAATAAAGCGCCACGCAACACAGAGACTGGGTGATGCCACAATGGTGACTTGCAATGACTAAATGTACCGCGCGCGACCCGCAGGGTGGGTGACGGAGGGCGTGAGCGCGTTCGACGAGCTGTCGGGGTCGCCGCCGGTGTCGATTCGGCAGCAGGTGTAGTTTCTCTGCTTCATGAACACCTGTATGTGAGTAACAACTGCAACAAACATTGGCATCACTACTCCAAATAAGCCAGAAACAGCCATTAGGCTGAAAGTAATCCTTGTTAGACTCATGAAGACACAATCAACAGTGGGCAGGGTGCTCAGCATTTGCACCGTCCCCCGCCAGCCGGGGCCGAAAATAGTTCCATGACAGTGAAGCTTCCGCATGGAATGCTCATCCCCTTGTTGCACGTGTGGCAGGCGCTGCGGGGGCTGGCCAAGATCGCGCTGGAAAGAAATGACCGAGTGGCGGCCAAGGCGCAGTACGAGCGAATTCTGGGCAAGGCGCTAATGGGCCGCGGGCCGCCCGCCGAGCACTGGGCGTACTCCGAGTACGCCTGGCTGGTCTTTGAGGACGGCGATCTTGAGGTGCGCAGAACTGTTTGCGCATGCTTTGGTGTCACATGAGTGTACCTGCGTGTGCATGCTGGGTTTCTGCTCACCAGTAGCCAGTCTGTTTTGTGTAGCAGATGATGCGTACGATGAGCTCACATGTGGGCCAGCTATCGGCTATTCTCGTGAGGCTATTCTGCCTTGCCCCATATTGCTTCCCGCTTGATGTTAGCAATTGCAAATGTTAGCGCAGCCAGTTATGAGGAGCTAAGACCCGGGTGTCCAACCTGCAGCATGTTTCTCGTTTCCTCCCACCGCTTTAAATGAGAGCTCAAGCTCAGGAACAATGATTGTGCACCGGCCCTGAGCTTGAGCATGAAAGCGTCAGTCTGAAAAAACGTAAAAAGCCAAACACTGTGTCACGTGCGCGCAGAATGCGAGGGGCCACCTGGAGAAGGCACTGAAGGAGGCGCAGCGCGAGGGCTGCAGCGTGACGGAGGGCGAGCTGGCCGAGCACCACTACAAGCTCGGCCGCATCCTGTGGACCATGGGCGGCGCTCTGCGCGAAGACCCACACCAGGCGCGCGCGCACTTCGAGGCCGCCTCCAAGGAGGAGTGCGACTCCCAGGTGCGTCCGCGCAGCTTTCGCTGGCACATATCGTAGTAAAGACCGCATTTTATTTTTACAGAGTTGCTCTGCCATCTTTCCTGTTCCTTGCCCTGCCCATCTCCGCGGCAGCTGTAGTCTGTGTTGGTAGTGCATTTGGGTCCTTCTGGAGGCCGTTTCGAGGGGGCAGTTCAGCGAGGGCCAAAAGAGGAATATAACGCTGTTGCCTGTGTGTAGCCTTAGGCGTGTGCACCACTGGCATGACGAAAGTGCACAATGGTGGCCTCATGGGGCAGCTTGATGTGATAACGCTGAAGACCCCATATAAGATCAAATGAGCTTTGGCCAATCGTTCTCATCTGGAGTCTTCATTGTGGTCGCGTGAAGGGTGTCGTTTGTGGGGTTTGCAACTTGACATAATGATTACAAATCGCGCATGTGGCAGGCGCTGGCGTGCGCGTGGCTGGGGCACTGGTACAAGGAGGTGGCGCAGAACAACTTCAAGGCGCGCAATTGCTACCGCCGCGCCCTCATGCTCGACCCCAACGACACCGTCGTCGGTGCGCGCCCCTTTCTTCCTCATTTGCAGGGGACTCTAAAATCTAGAGTCCCCTGTCATTTGCGGCCTTCCTCCTCTTGGCAAACCTGACTTGACCATGCGACCATGTCAGGGCTCTGTTGCCATTTCTTGCTCCAAGGATTCACTGCCTGAATCCTAAGCGTAATTCTAGGCCACCTCTGGCATACTTCACTACAGGGCAGAAGTGCCTTTATGAGAATATGCATCCAAAGATTCTTTACATGCTGCCGCATACTGCAGGGCCAGCTTACTTTACATGGGCTAGTGGCACCGGACATGCGAAGGCAGCGCTTGCCGGCAACTTTGAGAGCTCTCACTTTTGGCGTCTGACGGCGTGTGGTGTGGTTTTGCAGCGGAGAACTTGCGGCAGGTGCAGGAGAAGCTGGCAGAGCAGCGGGTGCAGCTGGTGGAGCCCCCGAAGTCCCCCAACGCCCCCTCGCGGGGCCCCCCGCTCTCCATGGGCCGCGCGCACTCCGCCAACACCGAGCTTGCTGAGCTCTCCATCGTCCACGTCACCAAGGCCAAGCAGTGACTAACCGCAATCCTACCCTGCCGTATGTAGTCACTAAGGGCAAGTAGTGACTAGCCTCAAGCTTGCTTTGCCCTGCCCTGCCGAGCAACTGCCAATGCCAAGCAGTGATGCGCGTGCTGCCGTGGCACGCTTGTGTACTCGCATTTGCCAGCCTTTTAATAACGGGGAGTTGTGATGCCCGGCTGGTGGAGGTGAACTCCTGATTTGGAGCAGGGGAAGGTGGGTTTCAACCAAGGAATGTGACCAGGGTCTTCCTTTTTTCCCTTTATGGGTGGCCAATGTAGCAGCCTGTGACTCTGGCGTGCAACCCTTGCCTCCTCTTGCAAGAGATTTTGATCCTGTCTGGAGCAATGGTATTTGGATGGATTAACAAGTTGCGGTACAATCTGTATCCCATGGCTTGAGCAGGGAATAAAAGGAGGGCGGTAGGCATTTGGAAATCGTGTGGCATTCACAGCACAATCATTGTCCGGGGAGTATTTGCAACTTGCAATCCCTGTTGTGAGATTAGATGAGCATGTGCTCAGTGCTGCTAATCCCCATTCGTCGCTGTGAGTTTCTGCAAGAGAGGCAGGACTGGTGCTTGTCTGTAGTGGCCAATGTAAACAGGGATGTATTGTCAAATGAACCGCTGTATTTTGGAGTTTTGAGGATGTGTTGATGTGTCGCACACGGGTTATCAGGAAGGTCACCTATGAACCAAGCTTAAGCTTGTGTTGCAATTTTTGGCCCACATTCCAGGCTGCATCGAATATATTATGCCTATATAGGGTCTGACAAGGTGCCTCTGCTTGGCTGGAACATTTTTTGCCGAGTCATCACAGCGTGATTGGTTGGATCTGTCAAGACTAGCACTGTGCATGTCTCACGTAATGCGTTGTACTGAAGAAATTCAGCTGCAAATGCCATGTGTACTTGGGAATGAAATCTGGACCTGTGGTCTTCAGGACTTGAAGGTCAGGTGTTGTAAAGCGTTGTATTAACGTCCAGTGATTGATCAAGGCTATCAATTGATCAAGGCTATCAATTGATCAAGGCTATCAAATTTTTAAAAGACTGCAGAGAGAGCATCACATTATAAGAGGCGTTTCCAAACAATGCAGCTTCATTTCTGTGTGCATGCATATGACATATGTGACGTGCAATTCTGCATTCCTGAGTTCAATTCTATTAGCAGGATTAGTCGGCCTTTGCAGTTGAGAGCGGCATTTCACGCCAATTCCTGAGACAGTTCTGCTGCAGAAGATGGATCTAAACCCAATAATGCTAGCACCATGCTGGCCAGTGCTACTTTAAACATGAAACCATGTCCCCTAGCATTACTTGGCATGCCCCCAACTCTGCACGTTGGAACAGATAATGCAAACACAGCAATCAGTCTCATAATGTACACATTCCCCTACTATCAGGGAGACTTTGCATTTCCCACAGTTCTCTGCTCTTGGGAGTCACTCTTGGGAGAAACAACGGTTGTTTCGTGCACCAAATACCACAATTTCCAAATATCACGATTTTGGTTCTCTGATTCCCAGTGATGGCACTTTTGCTGGTCATTAAACTGGAAAAAATTGACTTACGAGGGCGCCCCAAGATATGCCGCCAGCCGCAGGAGATCGCTGAATACACCTCCAGCTGTCACTTCAGCGCCAGCACCGGGACCCCTGCAAATCACCCCACATGTCAGTACTTCCATCGTTTCCAGTGTGTCAGTGAGAATTGCATCGCAACAGCGCAACTCCACCCAAAGGGCAGATCTAAAATCCTCCACTTGCACGGCGGTGCCGCCACTAAGCCTGGCAATCCAAAATCAGGACTCCGCATCCCATATTTGTGCTATCTTCATCAAAATTTTCGCAAGGAAGTGGGTCTCCCTTCCAGGCTCCCCTGCAACTGATACGTCGGCAATCCCTGAAACTCTAATCACAACAATATCAAGATGGGGCAAAGGATCAAGGTTTATCAGTGCTGGAGGACACGGCGAGGTGTGGATCCGCACCTGACAATGAGGGGCTGGTTCTTGTAGCGCTGCGTGGTGAAGGCAATGATGTTGTCGGAGCCCTGCAGCTGCGCGAAGGGGTGCGAGAGCGGATACCGCCGCAGTTCCACGCTGCCGCAGCCCGCCTGGCAGTCCACCACCCCTGCACATGACAGATCATCGTCATGCCAGTAGCCAATTGCAATGTCTCTCTCGCTGCGCCTGACTTGGTGCAGGAGCAGCCTCCCAGCAACAGGCATAGCCAAGCTGGTTGCAGCTAACAGGACATGCCGATACAGTCACCGTCAGAGATGCAGCGATGATTACCTCTAATGCGGCAGGCTCAGTCAAAGCTGACCAATATCCAGAGCCTCTGTGCTAAAAATGCACATGCCAACAGACGCAGCAAGGTAGAGTAGTGCGCCTTTCACACGCATGCCAGACCCAGGCATCGTTTTCACCAAGAGCAGCCGCCCACCATAGCAGGGACCGGGTCCTTCTATGCAAATGCGACTCACAGAAGGATGTCTGACACTTGCTTACAAAACAGTCGTTAGTGTGGCATGATGCTGATGCAAGGGAAGATAGGGAACACCGCGCACCGACAAAGCGCAAGCACTCGCCGGCGGCGCTGGCCTCTTCGAGGCGCGTGGCCATATCAGCGTCGTACTGCGGCAGCGCCGCCATGAATTCGTCGGCCGACGCGATTTCCCGCAGCGGCTCCGGGACCAGGCTGTACACCGGCACATCCCCGAGCTCCACCATCATGCCCGTCTCTCTGTCACATCGCACCATCCGTCAGCCGCTTCCACCGTGGCAAACATCGGGTCTGATTGTCCTTCTCAGTAGAAGAGGTAGCGTTCGGCAATGTCTGCTCCATGAGGAAAGAGAAGGGAAGCAAAGAGTGAGACACGCATGCATACAAGAGAAACATGGCAAAAAAAGCACGATTAGCCTCGCAGCCCAATAATTGGGATATTGAACCTGCAAGAAGCAAATATCGGCTGCGCAGGCTCCTGGCACATCTCCTATGCTGCATGCTCAAGGTTTTTCAACCTTGGCAGCTCAGGGCAAGGCGGGATGGCCAGAAAGAGGCCTGCACCGATCCTCAAAAACTCCAGTTGCGGCCTTGGAAATCTGGAGGGGATCTGCTTGAACTCAACCAAGTCTTGCACAGAATTTAGGAAAAGAGAAGAAGAATCCACCCGGCGAAGATGGTGACCTTGCGCGCGAGCAAAGAGTGCTGCCAGTGCGCCGCACTGACCCTAAACCTTTCCAGCTGCGGCCAAAAAAATCTGGCTGCGACTTTCCGCAAACTCAAAAAGAGATAGGCAAAAGAGAAGAAGAAGAATGCGCACCTGGCAAGGATGGTGACCTTTCGTGCCACATCCATGCCGGCCAGGTCATCGCGCGGGTCGGGCTCTGTGAAGCCGAGCGCCTTGGCCTGCGCGACCACGTCGGAGAAGGGCGTTCCTGGGGCCAGGGAGTTGAATATGTAAGACAGGGTGCCCGAGAAAATTCCCTCCACTCGCAGGATCTTGTCGCCCGTCTCCACCAGATGCCTCAACGTCGCTATCACCGGCAGCCCCGCGCCCACCGTCGCCTGCACAGGCACAGTGGCAATTGTACCGTCAGCAAAAAGTTTTTACTAGCACAGTCACCTCAAGTGATTTATTGGAACGATGTCCTAAGCATGACAAGGGCAAGGCAGACTCATGGTCCTAAATAATAGCACTATGTGAAGACGCCACAGGTCCTCTGGCGATGCGCAAAAAATAGATCTTATGAACAACAAAACACCCATGATGGCGTTTACCAGATTTCCCCCGTATGAGGTCTTCCCTTAGTAAGCTGGTAGACTCTCGGAAGTCTCTCAATTCCGCATGCCAAATCTAGTTAGCAGGATGGCCTCAGTGGTTTGAGTGCGTAGTGTGTCGTCAGCGCTTTCGCTCGGACAAACTGTGAAAACGAGTGTTCATCCTCGGCCAATCCCTTGTGCTACCCAGCTGCAGCCCCTCCGCACAGCTCTAGAACATTGTTGCCTCGCTTTCATTGTCACCGCATCAACCAAAGACTACCGGCTTCACACATGCCATTGGAGTCTTTGGAGAAGCCCCTTGCATGTGTCAGCGGTGGTCTTCAGCTCAGGCGCCAACAGGAAGTCTTTCACACTAATACCAGCCCCTGGATCCAGTTGATCCCAGGCACACTTCCGGCGCTACAACGATCATTGACCCAACTAACCTGGAATTTGATCATACGATAATACCTACTGCAGCAAGCTGGGCGGCTCAGAGCATACATCATCCAATCGTGAAATCAATTGAAAAGTTGCAACAACGGCACACCTCGTAGAAGTAGTGTATGTAGGACTCGCGCTGGAACTGGCGCAGGGCGAGGTACTGCTGCAGGGGCCCGCTGTTGAGCTTCTTGTTGGGAGTGATGATGTGCAGCCCCTTCTGCATCCACTCCAGGTAGTGCGCCGCCGGCACCTCCGACGCCGTCGCGTCGACGATCACCGAGTTGGGCACGTAGTGACCCGCCAAGTGGTCCGCAAACACCCCCATATCCGCCACCTGCCCAGCCCTGCGCACAAGACAACGGGAGGTCACTCTGCCGGTCAGTGGAAGCACGCTTTGGGCCGTGCTCTGGAGTCCAGCGTGCAGTACTGAATGCGCTGCTGTTTCGACTGTCATGCTGGGTGCAGAAACAGGCATTGCGCACGCATGCAGCAGTCAAGATTTTGCAATGTCCCAGGATCTGACTTACGCAAAAGAAAGAATTGCTGAAATGTGAGCTGGGGCGAAAAGGCTGACGGGATGTCGCAAGGCAAGAGCAGTGATGTCAACGGAAGGAAGAAGCTCACTCTTGGAACTGGTCCCTCCAGGTGGAGAGGTCCAGGGCGGTGTCGGACAGCAGCATGCGTGAGGAGGACATGATGCCCAGCACCCTCACGTCGATGTCAAACTCATCGCGGAGCTCCTGCGCATCCAGTGAATGCAGAAAAATTAATGACTTTCAGACAAGTTTCTATGCAGTTGTTGAGCTGTGCTTCAGAGCAAGGACGTGTATCACGCCCTTGCTTTGCAAACGGTTGATGGAAGCTGGCTTAGTGGCATGTGATAAACACAAACGGGTTGATTAAGTACATGCATGCCCAAGACAAGCCAAAACAACACCATCAAACCATGCCAGATGCCACGTTATGCCTACAGGCCCTGGAGCGCAAGAGCCTCAGGAGGACATGCATGAGCCGATGCATTGCTGCATGGCAAGTCTTCTGACATAGCTCTTCTGACATAGAAAAACTTCCACAAAAGGTGGAAGTACAGCGGGGACAGTCTAGCAGGGGTCTTTGGAGAAAGCGCACGGTGATCTGGGCATGGATCTGGTCGAGGAAGGTGCCGCCGATGAGGCCTGGGCCGATGATGCCGACGCCCAGGGGCAGCGTGGCGAGGTAGAATCGGCCATGTACCGCACGCAGCGCCCGAATGCTGTCCTTCTGGTCGATCAGCACCGTTATGTTGTACTCGCTGCACCCCTGCGCGATCGACCTGTGCGCAGCATTTTAAGCATCAGGGTCACATGCAGGCACGCAAGTATTTCCAATCACAGATGCAAGAGGCGGAATGAATGAAACAGGTGCCCGCTCCCATGGAGCTAGCGAGCACCGTGTGAAGCTCGAGCATGTCTGACTGCATGTTCATGCTGCACAAAGTCATTCAAGGACTAGCCAGCATGAGCGCGCAACACAAGGTCCAGGAAAGGAATAGATTTGGCCCGAGTTGTATTCAAGGGTGTTGAACTTCGCTGAGAGCCACTGCACCAAAGGCAGGGCGGCGTACCGGATGTTGATGTTGGCCTTGGCGAGGGCGGAGAACATGGTGGCGGCAACGCCCTTGCGGGAGGCCATCTGGTGGCCCACAGCCGCCAGCACGCAGCAGTTGTCGATCTTCTCCACCCTGCTGATGCGCCCCGCCGATATCGCCTCACCAAACCTGCAATTCGCAGCCATTATTAAGCCCCAAGTATTACATCTTTGCAGGTGCACAAAACATGCAAATGCCATCAGAATATCGCATAATGTTTTCTGCAGCATGCTTAAAGTCTACGAAAGGACATGCAGGAATGACCATATTTGGATTTCAACTAGCATGACATGAGTTGCCAAAGCGAGGCCAACCCAATCCTGCCTCTCTACACGCCAAATCACAAGAGGAGGAGTTGGTCCCTTACTGCGATATCAGCATGTCTGCGACACCAGCCCTCACTGCCTTGTAATAAGTGACCATGCGCACTCCGTTACCACATCTTCCGGGACTCAACGAGCATATGGCTGCTCACCTGGCGTTGAGTGCGTTCACGGCGCGGTCTCCCTCGGCCTGCTTGACAGCAAAGCAGACCGAGTGCTCCGAGGAGGCCTGGCTGATCATGATGACGTTGGCATTCGCGTCCCGCACGGTGCTGAAGATGGCCGAGGCCGTCCCTTGCACTCCCACCATGCCGGTGCCCTCCACATTGATCAGCGCCACGTTGTCAATCGTGGCAAATCCCTTCACCATTACCACGCCCGTTCGGTCCACGTCCGTCTGCGCGTCGCTGATCACCGTGCCTGCAGCGGAGAATGTGATCAGATCCAGTCAGCTAATGGAAGGAACATTTGCATGACATGCAGGATGACTGACACCCCCCACTCATGAGATCACAACACAAGCACGCATGCCACATCTTTGGCCATGCATGTGTGCAAGCAGCAAAGGCATGCCTTGGCCACAAGGGACAGCAGCCCTTGCTGTGGCGCCAGCTACTGAAGCAAAGACATCTCTTCTGTCCAAAAGAATGCAGTGAATGCTCTGGCACCTGACACTGCAGGTGGTCAGTGCAAAGAACCAAGGAACAAGGGTTGCAAGGAGGGAAAAGGTGCAAGTACCGGGGGCCTGGCGGTTGAAGAAGTTGCGGATGGTGATGGGGATGCTGTACTTCATGGCGGGCATGGTGGTGCGCGGGTGCAGCACGCTCGCGCCAAAGTACGACAGCTCCCATGCCTCGTGGTAGCTCAGGCTCTCCAGGCACACCGCCTCCCCAACCTGTGGCATCCCTTCCAAAACTCAGAACACTGCAGCGGAGCCGTCTTATCATCCCACAATCAAACTGCTTCCAGTTTCATAGGACCCTTGCCTTGCTGTGTCCTGTGCAAACAACTGAAGCAACAGAGCCTTGGAGGCAGAGAATGGGAGGCAAATGCGACGTCCGTGTTGTTCCGGTAAGGCGCCGCGTCATTAGCACATGCAGAATTTAGAGAAATGAAACAGGACACAACAGGAATGTTGAACTGAACAGCTGACAGCGCACCTTGCGGGGGTCTGCACTGTAGACGCCGTTGACGTCCGTCCAGATGATGATGTTGGATGACTGGACCAGCGCTCCCATTATGGTCGCTGAGTAATCGGAGCCATTCCGCCGCAGCGTCGTGACCTGCCCTGCCGGATTCTTGGCGATGAAACCAGTCGCCACAACCACCTGTGGAAAAGAAGTCCCCACTCAACAGCAGCCCTGCGAGCTTTCTGAAAAGCTTTCTGGGCATGGGAGACCTCCTTGCCTGGGTGCAAAGGAATCGAATGAAGGTAGGGTGAATTTTGGATGTAGGAAGCGCGGTAAGTGGTGTGCTCATTGAGATCTCACACCCACCCATATGCCACCTTGTTGCTCTCAGCGCCGGTTAATTCCAATGGCTCATTGCCGCATTGCGACTAGCCATCAGTGAGTGTGGACGCTGAATACAATGCCATGCTAAATGCCCAGCCCCAGAAGATTGCCCTTAACACCCTTTTGGCTGGATCTTGTGTAGTTCTATGGACTTATGGCCTCAGATGACATCAAAACGGGGCAACCAATTCCACCAGGTTGGACCAGCAGGTGCCTGGGCATGAAGGGGTCACTGCTGGTCAGGAAAAGCGACAGCGACAATTGGGAAAAGGGGGAGACTTACAGAGGGAGAGCCATGCTTCTGGCCCCATTTGTCCAGGCGGGCGTTGGACTCCTCGTAATCCACGTCAACAGAATTGCCATCGGAAGTGGGAGTCACGACCAGGACTTCTCGCGTGTCCATGAAGGCCGATGAGACGCCCATCTTCTTTAGCGTGGCTGTCAGCAGCTGCGCGCACCAGAGCTCCCCGTGGCCCACCACAAAGTCCGAGAACGCTTCCGCCACCATGCCCGCTGCGCGCATACAATATCTCTGATCAAAATTTTGGTTCAACAGCTTTTCTGTGAAGATGGGGTGTGCATTCCTCTGGGCCCGAAGGCCTCAGAAGACCTCTAAAAGGGGGCGCACTATCACATGAGTTGCAAAGCAGGCACGCTGGAGGACAGCATGATTGTGCATGTGCATTGAAGGCCAGGACATGCATGTCAATTCCTGGAGTTTGATGCCTTGGATGGTTTTGCGCAGTCTGCTTCTGCTGTCTATCCCAACCATGTGCTGGTCCCAAGGGTACACTGGAGTGCTGCCACTCCTACTTGATCATTTCACATCAGCAGGATCAATGCAAAACAATTAAGAAAATGTTCTGTGAGATGCATGAGAGCCGCACCGATGGAGATGGCATGCAGCATGGCTTTCAAGTTGGCGATGTCATCCAGGAGCCGTGACACAAACTGATTCAGCTCCTTGCCCTCGCCAAGGAGGAGCTTTGCTGTCTCCACATGCTTTTCCTGCAGCAGGCAAAGGTCTCTGCTGAGAAGCTTATTCCCAAGTGCCGGGACAGGGCCCGCTTGATCAATGCAATGACAGCAGGACAAGTGAGCTGTAAGTGTTACCTGAAGCGCAGCCAGATCGATCAGGAAAGCCTGGTCTTGTTGGCTGGCCTTGGCTACCATGTTGAGCAGCAGGTCAGTGACCTTGACTGGGGATGTGGGATGGCTACCCATGGCTGACACCACCACCAGTTTCTGCTCAGCTGGATCATCTGCAACTAGTTGTGCAACCTCGCTGATGCGCTCTGCTGCCGCAACACACGTTCCGCCAAACTTATGGACCTGTGATGAGCAAGCACAGAGGGGTCTCAGAACCATTAGTGTAGCGACTTGCCTCTCTTTCAAACACGACCAGGAATTTCTGATGAAGGCATTAATGCATTACAAATTTAAAGAAAGATCTAGACCTATGGTTTGATTGATGTTGCCCAGAAGACACCACAGGCAAGTCACCTGCCATTGGCCGCCTCGAGGAAAAGTCTCGGCTGAAACTTCGAGTGGGGGCTCAGCGATGGTCGCTTGCACCCTGTCTCGTTTGCTTCTTCTGCATACACGGCCCTTGCTGCCCTTCTGTGCAAGTTTCGCTCCCACCAGTGGCTCCAAAAGCACGCTGCTGCTCACTTCGGAAACTCTCGAAGGCAGTACCGGAGTACGTTTGCTGAAAGAAGAACTGAATGTCGGGCAGAAGGACCTGCCACTCACAGTGGCCTTGGCCGTGCTGGTGTGACAACTCATCCTTTCCATGAGTGCCTGACCGTCCAAAAATATCAGTCCTATCAAATACTCAACGCATGTCAGCTGCGTCGATGAGAAACAATCAGCGTATGTCTTTGCAGATTGAGGAATGACAAGCTATGCTCAGGCAAGATCCTCTACGCTGGTGCTTTCAGCCGTCATGATCACGATATGATGTCCTACTTTGGCAGCATGGGCAAAGTCTTTGCCCTTCTCGCAACACTTGAGGAATTTTTTGAAGAAACCTCTCTTTGTAAGAGCTAAAGTATCCTGGACAATATTGTTTGGTCTGCACAATAACCGGGGATTTTTGCTTTGGCAGATTGTTCCATCATTTTTTCAATCAATACGCAAGGACCATACCAGTTTGCCTGTAACCTTGATCAGTCGATAGAACTCTTAAACTTGCAGCTTTAAATCAACTGCGTGCGGCCTGCCAATAGGGGCACCATGGCCGCCCCCGCTGAAGAGGTGCTTTCGATCACCTCAGCCAGATCGCTTCAATTTATTCCGATAGCACTTGTGATTATCTGCGAAGCTTTACATTTAAAAACATTTGTAGCTGTACACGATGCATATTTATATTCCATGAATGCCATTTTGATTTATTTTTGCTTTGCTTGTTCACAAGAAGTTTTATGTGTGGCAACGCAGGGAGCACACAGCACCAAGAGGCGTGATGATCTGCTACAGTGGCAGAGACAGTTTCAGGCAATTTGGGAACAGGAGAAATTGTTCGAGGCGAATGCTCCTGCAGAAGGTGTGCTAGACTATCCCATTTCTTAGGATCACGAACAGCTCATAGTAGAAGCCAAGCGTCTAGCTTGACACAACAGGTGTGACACATGCAGGCGAGGAAGTGCTGGAGGGGAAATTCTTCGGAAATTTCCCATACCCATACATGAACGGCCTGCTCCATCTGGGGCATGCCTTCTCTCTGTCCAAGGTGAGCAGCTCTTTTTCTTGATGAGTCGATTAGCATATTTATGCTGTGCAACTCTCAAGATATGAAGAGCAAGCGGACATGCATGTCAGGCATTCAACCTGATGCTATTTCTACACCTTGCTGAGTGACAGCATCTGTTGGGGATGCAGCTGGAGTTTGCATGCGCATACCACCGGCTCTGCAGGAAAAGAGTGCTCTTCCCACAAGGCTTCCACTGCACTGGCATGCCCATCAAGGCCTGCGCAGACAAGCTGGACTACGAGCTGAAGACTTTCGGCATCCCCCCTCAATTCCCTGCCAAGGATGCAGAGATGGAGGTGGGCAAATGGCCAGTCAGATTGAGGAGAGGCAGGCTAAGCACAGGCTTGGACATGCAAGTGTCATTGCAGATATAACGTCCTTTGCCCGAGCCAGTCTTATCTTTTGCACACACCTGCTATGCATGCTGTAATATGTAACCCCACTCACAGGTTGTCTAATTACTACGCCAGAGAATTACAAATATTTACAAATGTCATCCTCATTGCTCTAAAGATACTGTGGATGTTGCAGGTGGTAGAGGAAGAGGCTGCAGGGCCAAAGGACCCCACGAAATTCTCGGGGAAGAAGAGCAAAGCCACGGCCAAGAAGGGCCAGGGCAGCACTCAGTGGGACATCCTACGCAGCAGTGGCATTCCTGAGGCAGAGCTCCCCGAGTTCAGGTGCCCTTCCCTCACCCCTCTTATGGATCAGGCGGGGGACTGCTAAACAAAAATGGTGAATTTAGCACCCCCCCCTGGATCAGGAGACCCCACAGGATCCTGCAGGTCATCATTATGGATTTTGCATTGCTCTGTACTTTATTGTGTCATCATGATCCACCTCAGAATACTGTTCATGTAATAAATCTACTGGTTCGAATTGAGTGTGAACCAAAGACACCCCCTGGTGGTTGCAGGCATACAGACCACTGGCTGAAATACTTCCCACCCCAGGCCGTGAGGGATATCAGAGCCATGGGGTGTGGCGTGGACTGGCGAAGATCCTTCATCACCACGGATGTCAACCCCTACTATGACTCCTTCATCCGGTGGCAGTTTGAAGTGCTCAGACGACAGGTGCTGCCCCCACTCTGCAAATTTCATCTCTGTGTTACCTTGATTTCCTGCAACGTCTGATTGTTGCAAAGTGCAAGGACATGGCTGTTGCTGCTGTAAATGGCACTACCTGGAAACTGCTTGAGCAGGAGCCTGCATGTGAATCGTGCAATGGTAGTCATCCTTCATGGTGGCGGCGGTGGTGGTGGTGGTGGTGATTCATCCCTCGTGGTGGTCAGTGTGATGGATGGTGTGCAGGGGAAGATAGTGAAGGACAAGCGCTACGCAGTGTACTCGCCAAAGGACGGCCAGCCGTGCGCAGACCATGACAGGGCCTCAGGGGAGGGCGTGAACCCCCAGGAGTACACCCTGATCAAGATGGAGGCCGTGGAGCTGCCTGGCAAGCTGGCAGCGCTGCAGGTGCTTCTGACCCCTGGCCTGGCACCTACTGACTACCATCCTGTCATGTGCCATAGGCGGCGCCAGACAGACTGCCAGACACTGTGCATGTGCATCCTCACCCTTTTGACCACATGCTCACCGGCAAGCAGAGGTGTCCGGACACGGCGGCTGAGAACATGCAGCTCCAGAGCTTCCCTCAAAGGAGACCTACATTTTTTTAAGCCATGCACATTGTCCAATAGTTCATGGAAAATGGCTCTGCACATCATGAATTCGTCATGCGCCTGATCTGGCTGCGCAGGGCAAGGGGCGGGTGTTTCTGCTGGCTGCCACGCTGCGACCAGAGACGATGTACGGGCAGACCAACTGCTGGGCGCTGCCCGAGGGCGACTATGGCGCATTCCGCGGGCCGAGGGACGAAGTCTACGTCATGACGGCTCGCTCGGCGCTCAACCTGAGCTGGCAGGACCGCATGCCCGTAGAAGGGCAGCCTGAGCTGCTGCTGGCGCTCAAGGGGCAGGACCTCATCGGCGTGCCCCTCAAGGCAAGCACCCTGTGACTGGCTGCACTGCCGGCCCTCCTTTCAGACCTGTCTTCCAAATTAGTGTACTGTGTGGACAGTGCATGTCGCTGTGCTGCCAGCTCTCTTGGAATTCAGTCTTCCCCGACAGTCTTCTCTGTCAGGCGCCGCATGCATGGCTTGCTGCAGTGTAAACAGTGGCTGTGATAATCATGCAAGCCTGCATGTAAGAGCCCATACAAGAGCTGGTCGTTAAACCAACAGATCTTTATACTTTAGTATTGACCAATCATTGCATGCCTCTAGTAGAAGGGTTTCTACCTTCGCATGCTGCTTGCTGCAGCCATAGGGCTAAGGGAGATTGCCGGAAACGTTGAAGGGTTTCATGGTTGAGGAAGTCATGCGTGGGTACCTCAATGTTGTACTCTATAGTGACATCAATTTCCCTGCAGTGCTAATGATAAGGAAGCTGTTGACAGGGCATATTCAATGACTAATCTCTGCTTCTGGGCTATGAACTAGACCACCCCATGGGGGTTGATGCCCCTGTAGCGAGCAACTTCATCTGCCAACTTCAAAATTGGCAGGGAGAGACACGCTATTAAGACGCCTACCATGTAAGGTATGAAAAGAAGGTTGATGAATGACTGCATGGTGCATGGGTTTCTGTGCGCAGGCGCCCAACTGCCCGCACGAGCGCATCTACGTGCTGCCGCTGCTGACCATCCTGACCAACAAGGGAACGGGTGTGGTCACCTCGGTGCCCTCAGATAGCCCCGACGATTACGCGGCGCTCATGGACCTCAAAAAGAAGGAGCCCATGCGCAAGAAGTTCGGCGTCCAGGACGAGTGGGTCCTGCCCTTCGAGGTGGGCACATTCTGAGCAAATTCTCCTGTCATTTAGGCCAAATGTATTGTAGTGCGCATTCCAAGCCTGATTTCTAGCTCCATTTACGCGTGAATCGCTTGCATGCAAGCCGACGCATGCCTTCTGTGCTTGCGCACAACAGTGAACGGATGTCATTCCAGGGAAGAATTCCTCCTTGATTCCCTGCTCAATTCCCAGTCAGAAGTGTAACAGAAATCAGGCATCTATGAGGTGACTGTATTAATGTTAAACTCACCACTTCTATGTTGACAATGACATGGTACGTGCGCATTGTTGTGGCTTCCCTCAGGGGGATCCCTGCAGTTTGTGTGTCCCGGCCTGAGCCATAATTATGTACAGGTGATCCCCATCATTGACATCCCTGGGTATGGCGACCGGGCGGCGCAGACGATGTGCGAGCGGCTCAAGGTGCAGAGCCAGAACGACAAGGACAAGCTGGAGGAGGCCAAGAAGGAGGTCTACCTCAAGGGCTTCACCCAGGGCACCCTCATCGTCGGGCCCCACGCCGGCGGCCTGGTGAGCCAATCCTCCGGCCCTAATTTTCCTCGTTGATCAGATGGCTACCCGTTCTGATATTGCTGTAATTGTAAACAGGCTCCCTCAGAATGACTGGTATTGCTGATAAATGTGAGCAGGCTCTCTCATAATGACAATACCTCTTTCCAGGCTTTGCCCCTTGACTGGTTGTCAGAGCCTTGTGAAGATTTAAAGGCTGTTAAATCTAGGGTAGTGGGCGCAGCTTACACGTGCAGGATGTGAGCAGGGTGCTTTTGAAAGCAAAAGGACATCCCAATTACACGGTGGAAAGAAAGCAGAATAAGCGGGGCTTGGTGCGGCAAGGCTTTTCCGACCCCAACTCTGGTGGTCGGTAATAATGTGGGTGGTAAGGTAGGTAAGGTGCAGCAGGTGATAGAGGATAGAGTACGAATTGCAGAAAGCACAGCGAGTAAGCATATTGTGGCGGTGCAGGTGAGCGAGGTGAAGCAGGTGATAAAGGAGGAGATGCTGGCGGCTGGGCAGGCCATAGTATACAGCGAGCCGGAGCGGCAGGTCATGAGCCGCAGCGGGGATGTCTGCGTCGTGGCGCTGACCGACCAGTGGTACATCAACTATGGCGAGGACGAGTGGAGGGACGCCACCAGGCACGCCCCTGCTTGACTACAATCTCTGGAATCCTGAGAAATCCATTCTGAGATGAAAATTATCTGACACAAAGAAAAAATAATGAAAAACAATCTCACAGCTCTGCAGCAAATTCTTGAAGATCAGAAGATGTATCATTGAGCCACCCATTGCATTTGCCCTTTTGCAATGCATATATAGACGCACATTCTAGTGCATGTTGCGTGCAGTCGTATGCTCAGGACACAGAGAAAACGCATACATCGCGCGCGCATACAACGCGAATTATTGCTCGTTTGGGGCTTGTATCACCCTGCGCATTGGCAGGGGTGTGCGTGGATTGTCGCTTATAGACACCATGCATGCATCTGTTCTCTTGACGCTGTTGCTTGGCCCTCAACTTCCATGAACGATCCTGAACGGCCGTTCTGTGTCCCCGATAGGCACCTGCCTTGGCTTGTACAATAAATGTTTCACCCGGCTAACATTACCTGCTGGCCCCGGCTGGCACCGGGCTGGCGGGGGAGGTAAGTACTAAGCACCGTGCCGACGGTTGGGGGCTTGCTTTGATCTGGCAAGTCCATCAAGGTTTAGAATTGAGGCAGCCTCTACCTGCAGCTGGTCTGCGGGACGCACCTTGCCTCTTGGCAGGAAATGTGTTGAGCACTGATAATAACAAAGTTACCTGCGCGAATGGATAGGGGGTGCCTGGAGCGGATGGAGCTGTACCACGATGACACGCGGCGGGGCTTCGAGTACACGCTGGGCTGGCTGCGGCAGTGGGCATGCAGCCGATCTTTTGGCCTGGGCACGCGCCTGCCCTGGGACCCCCAGTTCCTGATCGAGTCCCTCTCCGACTCCACCATCTACATGGCCTACTACACCGTCGCCCACCTGCTCCAAAACGGCGACATGTACGGCCAGACCGGTGAGTGAGTGAACACCAGACTGCTGCCTTACTCTGAGCGCTGGTCTGTTCTGCTCTGCTAAGTGTCACTAGGAAAAACTGCTAGAGGCGCCTGCCTGGAAGTTTGGAATTGCAGGGCACTGTAGGACGCCTTGCAGTTGACAGCGATCTCAGGATGTAAGGATGTCTTGCTTTGGTGAGGCTTGCCATCCAAAGTCCTTGCGCAATGCTGCTGTTTCAATATTCTCTCAGGGGCTTGTTGACCTCCCTTGGACATCAAGATGAGCCCTTAAGCGGAAGAACTGGGATTTTGCATTGCGCCTAAGATTTGGTGGCATACCGACCGCACTTCTGATTGCTCTTTAAGAGCAGCATCCAAGAGCCTGTGTTTGTGACAAAGGACACTCTTATGGTGTCCATTGACGATGCTGACAATGTCCCTGGCATGTGATCCTATATAAATCCTTGATAGTCTGAAAAAATTCAGGTGGTGCTGTGAGGCCGGAGGATGTGACACCGGAGGTGTGGGACTACATCTTTCTGGAGGGCGCGCCGCCGCAGAACAGCGCCATTGCACCTGACACCCTGGCGGCCATGCGGCGAGAATTTCTTTTCTGGTACCCCTTCGACCTGCGGGTGCGCTGCCTCCTGCCCATTCACACCCTTCTCAGTCCATGTTGCTCTTTTGTGGCTCCCAGAACTGTGCAAATGATGTTTCCCTGCTCCTCTGCTTGGTGTGGTTGCACTCAGCCCACGAGGTGCATTCGCGTTGGTACCTCTGTTCGGTGTTTGCTTCCTTTGAATAGTCCCGCTGCACCAATATCGCATAATCATATGCAAAGAGTGCCCTGTGTGGAGGAGCAACACAAGTGGTCCTCTAAGCTCCTGCTCTGTTAAAAAGGGTATCACAGTCCAGCTTTCATCCAAGATAAAGAGGTGATACAGTGATACTGTCAGTCCTGATGTGCGGCTGGTGTGGGTGCGTGGCAGGTGTCGGGCAAGGACCTGATCAACAACCACCTGACCTTTGCGCTGTACAATCACACCGCCATCTGGCACTCTGACCCCTCCAAGTGGCCCCGCGCAGTGCGCACCAATGGGCACCTGCTGCTCAACGCCGAAAAGATGTCCAAATCCACCGGTGAGCTGCAACTGACAAGCACAAATTGCTGCTGCTGCACTCTCTGTGCAATCCTGGCAGTCACCCATGCCTTGCATTGCAATAGTAGAGGTCGGGTGGTCCTGCTTTCTTGTCTTGGTAGAGGGTCTTGCTCACGTTGCTTTTTGGTTGTTTCCGGCGCTGTTACATCCTGCTTTTCATTCCCTCCTCATGATTCGAATCCAATCGGTGGCGCCCCTGTCTTGGCCGGAGTCACTCCTCATCCGCCAATCTTGGCGGCCCAACCCCCTCCGCTGAATTTCAATCTTGATCCTTTTCCTAGCGCCTTAAGGTCGGTGCAATGCCTATACACCGGTGGACAGCCTCAAAAGAAGCTTCACCTTCTGCCGCAGGCAACTTCAAGACGCTGGAGCAGGCCATTTTGGAGTATGGCGCGGATGCGATGCGTATTGCCCTCGCAGACGCGGGCGATGCCATGGACGACGCCAACTTTGAGCACCAGACGGCCAACGGCGCCATCCTGCGCCTCACCAAGGAGGTGAATCATCTGCTTTCATCTACTCTTACTTTGATTTATGAGGCCCCGGCTGGGGGCGGCGGTACAAATACTGCCGCAGGAAAGGCATGGAACAATACAGTAATAAGCATAATCTAAGGGGCTACAATGCTGCCCATCAGTGGTGACAGGGTCCTGTGTGAAGTGCTGCCTTGCATGCTGTGTCAGCCCCCCAATGCTTGGCACTCCTGGCAGTGCGACTATGCAACAGGTTAGGATAAAAAGGGGCATGCACATTTTGCCTGCAACGGACTGGATGCTGCAAATACGAGTAGCCTGGGGGTCTGGCAGCGGCGTACACTGTCCTGTTGTGCTGCACTCTGTGCAATTTCTCATGCCACAAATAGAAATGTCTACTGCTTTGGTGCAGGTTGTGTGGCTGGAGGAGATAGTGCAGACGGCGGCTGCCGGGCACCTGCGCACTGGGGAGAAGAACTTTGCCGACAGGGTGTTTGAAAACGAGATCAACTCGGCCATCCAGGCGACGCAGCAGGTGACTTCATTGTCATCACTGGTCCCAATGTCCCAGTCAGATCTTGACAAATATGTTAAAGCCCCGTACAAGCAAGGATCCTGCTCATGTCATCGGCCTGAAGAGCATCCAATAAATTGACATGGTGCTGACGTATCTACTCAGTAGTCTGAAGAGCATACTGTGATGCGATGGGGTGCTGGCATGTCTTGCTGTTCTAGAGCGCACGTAATGAAGCGATGGGAACACGACATGTCTCAGTAACCTGACATGCATGCACTTAAGCAATGGGTTGCCAACACGCAGGCGTACAATGGGATGATGTTCCGAGAGGCACTGAAGACGGGCTGGTACGACCTGCAGAAGGCACGGGACACGTACCGCTCCTTCGTGCAGGAGGAGGGCATGCACAAGGATCTGGCGCTCAAATATGCCGAGGTAGCATTTGCTCGCACTTCTCTGCAAATTGCTGCTCATCATGACTCAATTGTCTGGAGGTATATCAAGGCCATGACCCCCTGGGTCCTGGTGACTGGACAGGGATAAGCCGCAAAAAGCTATGAAGCCTTGTGATCTTCTGACTTGCAAATAGGAGCATCAGTACATAAAGTGCGTAGCATCGGCAGCGTTACTATGCTATGCTGTGCTGACCCTTGTCAGATGTCTGCCACTCATTTGGACTTATGAAGGCTTCTTTGCGCTAGCTAAATGCTGCTCAGCAGGCTGCCTGGAGGGGGGGATTAGCTTGGTGAAATCTTGCTTGCCATGCAGGTGTCCACGCTGCTGATAACCCCCATCTGCCCGCACACGTGCGAACACATGTGGCGCAACATCCTGGGCAGGAAGGGCAGCGCCCTCAGTGCCGGCTTCCCTGCCGGACAAACGCCTGACTTTGGCCTCAGGTGCGCATCCCACCCCACCAACAGGACATCGTTTTTGCATCCTCTTTTGCTTGCATGATCACATGAGGGATGCCTACATGCAGGAGCCTGTATTTGGTATTTTGGTTTTATTTGGGTGTTATTTGGTAGGTGCGTTGCCATCAACTTTGCCACCTAGATTTGATGCGAGATGTGTAGGAGTGGAGGGAGTATTTAAATCTGGCAAGGCCAGTCCTCAGTATCCTCTGAGGCGGTGTTCAACACCCTCTGAAGAATGCAGCACAGGGGTGAATGAAACATGTGTGTGCAGGTGGGCGGCGGAGTATCTGGTGGAAGAGGTGACAGCGCTGCGCAAAGGCATCGAGAAGGCCGAGGCGCCGCCCAAGAAGAAGGGCGCTGCACAGCAGCCGCCCCCTCCCAAGGTACAGTATGCAATTTAATACTGTCTTTTACCATTCACCTTCAACAAGGTCCTCTGCTTTCTATAGATTCGGTGGGTCTGATGTGCATGTCCAGATTGACTGATTGGCCGGTGCATGAAATATAGCAAGTGCTAGCACCAGCTGGGTAGCAGCGCATCTCCTGCAGACCTGCTTGCCCTGGTGGATACTAGAGACTGCGCTGAGTGCGCCTCGCATGAGTAGATCTCTGCCGCTGCAGGAATCTGTCAATCACTCTCCTGACTCGTGTGGACACCAAAGAGTCTGTGGGTGTGTGTGCCTCACAGGTGGTGCGTGCGGATGTGTATGTGGCAGAGCGGTATGGCGGCTGGCAGGAGGTGGTGTTGAATTCTCTGGCGGCCCAGTTTGACGCGGGCAGCAAGGACTTCCGGGGGGAGCTGAGGGAGATGCAGAACGCCGTGGTGGAGGCTGTCAAGGCCAGCGGCACAGCGGGAACCCTCGCTGACAAGGCGCTCAAGGGGCTGGTCATCCCCTTTGCCAAGCTGAAGGTGGACGAGGCCAAGAAGGGTGGCCTGCAGGTATTCTGTCGCACCCACTGATCACTGCATCTGATCCAGTGCAAGTTGCTCTCCTCCCTTGCCTGCCTTGGCCCTCTGCTGGCATGTTTTCGGCTGATCTACTTTGAATACTGTGTTCTTCTCTTTCTTTTCCTGCATCTGTACAGAGCTGAATCTGTGGCTCTGTTGCCCGGCTGCCAAAACATCAACAGAATTTGCTTCTACAGCTGCAAATTTGTCAGAATCCTCACCCAGCTGCATGGAAGAGCAGCAACAGGCAGCCTCTTGTCTCCATGGCGCTCGCGCTGCTTTGATGCCTGCATGTCTCTTTTGCTGAATTGGCAAGGGGTGGCGAGCTGACATGTGCATGCGTGCTCCCGACAGGTGCTGGACGTGAGGCTGCCCTTTGATGAGGCGGCGCTGCTGCGCGAGAACGCTGCCTACATCCAGCGCAAGCTCGGCCTGCAGCAGCTGGCCATTCACGCAGCCACAGAGGAGAATGCGGCTGAGCAGAGCAAGCCACGCATCCTGGATGCCCGCCCGGGCGCCCCCGTGGCACTATTCAGCAGCTGATGCGTGCATGCATGCGCACATTGGAGGGGACGCAGCATCTCTTTGCGCATTAATTATGCTCTATTTTTGCGACTGATCACTCAGCGATCAAACTGCGAATGTTGAACATCTTATTGAATGGGATTCCGGAGGATCCTGTGGTCTTTACTTGACTGGTGCTCATGGTGATGCCAGGCACTGGTCGTGCTGCTGTGTGAACTCCTCAATTCTCAGAATGAAAGCAGAGGGAATAAGTACATGCATGGACTTTGCACTGCACAAATGAGCCATGCATACACTCTGAGTAGGTGCTGTCCCTGAATTCATTGCTACCACATCAATTCAATGTCTGCTGAAACATCCACATTCATACATAACCATCAATTTGGCTCCTATAATCTGGAAGATCATATAGACTTTGTGAGCCAGCTCTTAGAAGGGGGTTTGTCTGCATATTATCTCTTCATTCCAGGGATATGAGGGTGCATTGGGTTAGGGATGCGGCCATGACTCTTCGTTCGGTTTCTTAAAATATTCTTTGAATCTATTTGCAAAATCAGAACCTTCTTCCTCGAGTGACGTAACGAAATGCTGAATGGTGCAGAGCTTCTTGAGGAACGTTTGGCATCAAGAATTGACACCAAGAAGCTTTCCTCAGCCACGAGCACCATCCTCAGGCTTCCCCGAAAGAAATGAGGCTTTGTATACTTCTGGATGACCTCGTAATATATACAAGAATGATTTGGACAATTAAGATCCCTCTTTTTACAACATTAAGTTTGCAAACTAGCAAGGAAATCAAAGTATGCTTGCAATACTAAATTTGGTGCTTCAACTTGCGGGTAGTGCCCAACATCTGCAGCCAACATCTGTATCCTAGCATTTGGGACAACCTCCTTGTACCTGCAATGCCAAGAGAACCAGCTTAGCTGCAGATCCTCGATAGGATCTGCTTGGCATCCTGTGCTTGTTTGTTGCCATTCACGTAGTTCCTATCTATAGTCCTCAATCCCGACTCATAAATGATGGAGGAAAGCACTCACCCCTCAGCAGCGTGCCGGCCACTGATAGGATCTGCCGGGCCATTAATCAGCACCAGGGGCACCTCTGTGATCTGCAGCGCTCCCACCCAGCGGTCTCTATGCTCCAGCCGCTGCGGTATGTACTTGATCAGCCTGCATGCAGATCAAGCGCTGAACACATTCTGTCTGTATTTGATCGGTCCTGTGTCAAGCCCAGAGAGCAGAAAGGGCTGATACACTCTCCTTCAGAACAATTGCACTTCAAGGACCCTCTGCAGTATGATTAAGGGTTCATACTGCAGAGGGTCCCACAAGAGCTCTCTGGCAGGATATACCATATGCATGCAAAGATGTCAGAGTGCCAGTCATGAGACAAGTGTCCCGATTCCATGCACGCCAAATAGGGGCCAGGCACGCTGCATGAGAGGAGCGCCACTCACTCGTGCAGGATCAGGTTGCCGCCGTTGAAGCACAGTGCAGCGTAGGTGTCGCGCAGGAAGCGCTCGGTCGGGGGCGTGCGTGGCCCAAACACAGCCTTCAGCGAAATAGCAAAGCGCTCATATCGCACGAGCGGGCCCATCAGGGGGCCTATGTAGGCGTTGCCCAGCAGGTGCTGCTGCAGCAGCGGTCGGTGCAGCTCTGGGAGCAGGCCCCCGTTCAGGAACGCCACCGAAATCAATTCCAGCCCATCGCTCGCGCCCCCTGCTCCGGCATATTTACTTTTAGGGTAATGCAAGGCTTTCTTACGTGTAAAGCTTATTTGCATGCAGAGCAATTTAACCCTCTCGCACAGCCTGGCATCACAGCTGATGTCTGCACACATCAGCCAGGTCAAAGAAACACTTTCAAGACAGCGCAACCCATTCACGCCCCAGAGAAGTTCAGGCTTTGCAGCCCCGTTTGGCCTAATCAACCGATTGTGCTTTCATGGACGAGTCTGATGAAAATTTTATTGAAAACATAGGCGAGGACTGACCAGTCAGACCGGCCTCAGACTGCCGGGAGTTGTGCCGCGCCAGGAGCTCCTGCGCGACAGTGTCGCCGACGTCATGTGCCAGCACATGCACTCTGGCCACCCCCAGGTGCGTTAGAAGCTGCTCCGCCACATCAGCATATGTGTGGATGGTGTATGGCGAAGGCTCCAATCCCCTTGGTTTGTCGCTAAAACCATACCCTACACACATCAACTTCTCAAGCCCCCTGTGCATTAATAGACTCTGATGCAGCAAACAAGTGCTTGTCGCCTGCTTTGCCTGGTAGCAAGAAAGCTTGAGAGACTGCAGATGGATGTACCTGGATAATCGAAGGTGATCATTCGGCCGAATCTGGTGAGCAATTTATCAAGGAATGGCCCTTGGAAGTCTTGCGACGAGGAGGGGAAGCCATGCAGTAGCAGGAGTGTCTCATTTCCTGCATGGCTTCCCTGCTGGGACTGTTGGTCTACATAGAAGATGCTAAGTTGCCTGCGTGCAGGGTCTTGACTCTCAGACCTACCACGCCTTAACTGATGACACTCTTCCAAAGTCAGCACAGCTCTGATATGTTACTGCTAGGAACTTTTTAGATAGAAAGAATATGTACAAACCTCCAGTGCTTTGTATCCGTGTGCACGAAGTATCTTCCTTGCGATCGCCACTGTTGCAATGCTGGCGATAGTGATTTTGTATTGAATGCACTTTTCCACACAGAGAATGGGTGCGCAGGAAACAACGGAAATATCGTGCCCAGAGCAACAATTTGAGCTGCTGCGAACAAGGAATTAGTAGAGAGCATGCCTCTATAGTACACGATCTACAAATCCTGCACAAAAGCAGGGGGGACAAACCCTGCGGCACTCTACCAGAGTAAAGCAGAGAGATGTCCAAGTTTTTCCAGAAGTCTTGGTCGTTCTTGTCGACATCGAGGCAAAGTTTGCGATCGAGACAATCACGTGCAGTCGCGTGATGAAGCCAAACTAGGCCATCGCAGTTCAAAAGGTGCATGTGATTCCCCGAAAATTTTCGGACCCGGCGATTGCAGGCGTCTGCTCAGAACCGGCAAATCTTTGGTTGGGTGAGAGTTTCAAGATGGCGGCAGAGCAAAGATGGAAGTGGGCACTTGCGAAGGTGCGGTCTCCTTCAAGTCAAGATTGCCAACACGTGCAGGGTCTTAGTGCCACTTGAAGTGAGCAAACAAAATAGATCGTGGCTAGTAAGTCACTGCGTAACACAAGCATTGGCTTAATGTGAGAAGGGGGACCAGAAAACTGGTTTCTAGACAAGATCGTCCTGCAGATCGACTGCTCTAAGCAGGTGAAACGAGGCCTGATGTTGTCATCTAAGTTGGATACCCTGCGCGACATGACTGAGGAGAGCCACGTGGATCCTTCTTCCCTGACAAATGTCAAGGAGCTTGGAGCTGGTGCCTTTGCCACAGGTTGGCTTTTCGGATCGCCTTGTAACCTGAGTCTGCTCTGTGATGCTTTTGATTGTGTTCGAAAGTGTTATGAAAGCTAGCAAGCTGCACTGGGTTTGTGAGACTCTAGCTTCAGAGTAGTTCGATCATTCTTTTTCTGTGTCACTGGTGCAGTCGACCTGTGCAAGTACACAACCCCCACGGGCGGTGAAGTGATGGTGGCTGTCAAACGATTGCGGCCCAGCATTATCAAAAATAAAGAGGAGCTGCACAATTTTATCGAGGAGACGAAGCTGTTGCGCAAGTTGCAACACAGGTGCCTCGCTGGCCTAGAATTACTCCAATTGTCCTCCTAAATGCGTCACAGCTACGTGTCCGTAGCGCCCAAGCATGTGTTGATCAGCACTCTGCCTGCATGTTGAGAAGCTTTGCTCAATTGTGGTGGGATCACCTTTGCATGCAGGCGCATTACATTGTGGAAATCTATGCTCAAGTGTGGTGAGATCAGCTTTGCACGCAGGCACATAACAAAGTACATAGGAGTTGGGGGCCGCATGGAAGGTTCTTTGCGCAATGCAGAGCAAGCCAAGGAAGTCCTCAATTCTATGTACCTTGTCCAGGAATATATTGATGGGGGAAATCTAAGAAAACAGGTCTTAGAGCAGGTGCGCTCCTCAGAAAGAGCTAGTGTGCATTGTGACTTAGTCTTCCACGAGTTCCACAAAGGATTTGCTCACATAGCACCAGTGTTGCTGACAATAGTAAGGTGCCATTCAATTTGTAAGTGTAGACACTGCACATAGTGGCTTTGACCGGGCATGACGATGTCTTGCAGATGTGCACAAACCACTTGAAGAAGAAGTACTACTCAGAGGCACAGGCGCTACAATGGGCAATTCATATTGCCAAGGGGCTCAAATACCTGCATTCAGCCAAGCCCAAGGTCAGTGCCAGGCTTACTTGAACAGGTTGCACTGTGGCCACACCAAGGTTGCGTGAATCCTGAGAGGTGCACCAAATCACAGAAAGCTTGTGACACAGCACGGGGCTTGATGATGGCTGAGAATTATTGACTGAACAGGTCATTTGGAGGGACGCAAAGCTGGAGAATATTCTGATGCGGAGTAGGTTGCCGCTCCTTTCAATTGAAATGATTAGTTCTCAGAGTCTGAGAACAATCACTTTCCACTTTCCCTCAGCCTTTCCTGACGATTGCAAACGATTTAGCAATATGTTGTCCCTACCTGCTACTGATGGGAGAACCGATGCTGTAGAGGTGGACAACGGGAAGAACTTGGAGGCATGCCTGGCAGACTTTGGCCTGGCAGCTGTCCTGCCGACACCAGGCAACAAGCAGAGCAGCGAGCTGTGAGTTCACCATCTCCATAGAGGCAGAAGTGCATCTGTGCATTTGCACTTTGAGTTTGTCTGCATTCATCCTTGTTTTTATGCAGTAGGGCATCAAAAAAATACCAAAAATGTAAGCAGACTCTGGCCGTGTGTCTGCGCAGGAGGCAATGCGTAAGAGAGTCGCGCAGCACGGGAGATGTTGCCTTGGACAAATTGTCAATGGCGCTGGATGATGTCCTGGAGGGGCACAAGCTGGAAGTGGAGTCCGCAGAGTAAGTTTGATGCTCTCCTATTCTTCAGAACAATTTGTGCGGGCGTGGTCCTCCTCAGAAGCTCAGCTGATGGTTGTCTGTCCATAGTATGTGCTTGATCTGTGCATAGCATGTGCTGGTGGATTTCCCACGATGTGGCCATGCGCTTCTGTATATTGGAATTTAAGATATTGCCCAACCTGCAGGCCACAACACCTCCAAGGCGACGGAGAGATCTTTGAGATGACAGGGAAGACAGGGTCCTATTTCTACATGGCCCCGGAAGTGGCCAATGAGGCGCCCTACAATCAGAAGGCAAGGACTCCTTGGTCTCCTCCCTTTGGCACACATTAATAGTGGCAATTACTGCTCCTGGATGCTCTCATAATGTCAGTGGCATCCCGCGATGTTCACAGCATATATTTCGGCAATGCTTCCTGTGCTGTCTCACTGAGTGTTGGCTGCTGTGCTGTCTGTGCAGGCCGATGTGTTCTCTTTTGGCGTCATCCTGTACGAGCTGTTTGTGGGCGCAATCACTTCACAGCTGGTCGTGGGGCCGACTGGCAACATGAAAGCAGCAGAGATTTATGCAGCCAAGGTGTGCCTCACATTTGTACATTGCTGACTCTCTTCTGTCAGTGATTTTATTCACTGGGAGCATGCTAGAAAATCATGCCTCTGCTTGGTTGGGGCCTGACTAGTGGCATTCACCGGGTGTAAAGGTCTGATGAAGCAGCATACCCCCAAAGCTGCCACTCACCTGAGGGTGACAGTCCACACACAGCTGCACAGGAGTTGTTGGTGGAAACTTCCAGAAATTGTTGTGATGATAATCGTTATTATTATTACGTTTTCCTGCCGGAGGCAAGGTGTGTTTGCAGCCAAGCTGCAATAAAAGGCTACCCCTTGTTGGACTCGCCCGACCCAAGCAAGAACCAAGCATCCATGGGCACGGGTGCGAAGACCTGATACTAATAATATTGGCTACTGACAGGTGGCGAGCGGGTACCGGCGGCCACTGCCGGCGTTCCTGCCGGAGCAGCTGCGCGCGCTGATCAGCGAGTGCTGGGCTCAGGACATGCGCGAGCGGCCCAGCATGGCGCAGGTGCTTGAGCGGCTGAGAGAGATCGAGGCCTCGCGCGTGCTGGACAAGAAGGACTCCAAAAAGGAGGCCAAGGCCAAGGACGCCAAGGCGAGCGACGGCGAGAAGAAGCACAAGAAGTGGCACCATTTCTTCTCCTGACAGCAAAACGGCCACGCTGAGAGCGACTAGTTGAATAGATTTTTTTTGCACATTAATGCGTTGCCCAGAGGGGCCTGTAGTGTCAAGTGATAGTGGTCCCACTTGGATTGTTGTGGTCCTTCACAGCATTTGTGAGCGCAGAGTTGTCGAGTGTCTGCAGTGGTCACCCGTCACTGGTGACCGGTGTGGATCAGCAAGGACTCTGTGGATACTGCGTGCGGTTTCAGATACTTGTACTGACAACAAATGAGCATTATGTAATGAGCATCATGATGACGTTGGGTTCACCGGTCCAGTTGCAACATTGCTGTTCTTAGGTGCGTTATAGGAGACTTTCAGGTGTGATTAAAGTCAGCATTGCAGTCCGAGCATGTGAGATTGTCATACTTCTCAAGACATGTCAGGACTAAATACTTACTTACCAGTAATGAACAGCAACGTATGATGAGTGGGTAAGCCAGATTTCAAAGTATGCATTAATGTATGCAAATATTTGATCAAGCTTTGAATGAATTGACCAAGCAGTATTGCGCAAATGGGTGTCAGTGGACCATGGAAATAATTTTGTTGGTGCCCTCTGGATATCTTTGGTTCCCACATTATTTGTCCTGGGGGGGGGTGCTCGTCAGTGAGCAGTTCCCGCAGCATTTACCTTGTAACATACGCATTCAGTGACCTCCAGGCACCAAATGAGCTTTATTCAATGAGCACTGCGCTGCTACCTCAACTCTGCTGATCCCTTGCGACAGCACTGCTTTTGCAGCTTTCCTTTTGTGATGGAGCCATTGCCGCGCTGACATGGACCTATCACCACCCTCTGGAGCACTGCCCCCTTCACAATCATCAGTACTCTTCACTGACATCATCGTCCTGGTCAGCATCTTCTTCCTCTTCTTCCTGCTCTTCCTCTTCCCCATCCTCCATGCCATCTTGTTCCTCCTCCTGCACATGTGAAATATAAGGATTGCCTCCGGAGATGTCTTCCCATCCTCGCCTCTTCTGCCCTTAGCTAGATGAGCTACAGCGCAGAGGAGTGCAGGAAAAGAGATGAGCCATTATGGAGGGGCAATCTGGTGATGGAGTGCAGAGCACCTCTTCTTCCTCTGTCATCTCATCGTCACCATCGTCATCGTCATCCTCCTCCTCCTCTGTTTGATTCTGCTGAGGAACGCCCAGAGGCGTCTCGCCCCTCTTATAGTCTCGAATCGTCTGCCACTGCATGCAGACAGAGTGTAATGTCGATAAGGAAGCAGAAAAGGGCTCACTAGCAAGTTCTATGCCGAGATCGTATAAACTGCATGAAGCAGTGTTAACAGGCGTGGGAATTACGCACAAAATACAAATACACCTTATTGGATTCAACAAATCTATTATTGAAGAAGGACACTGTAGGGAGGGTGAGCCAGGTGTAGAGACCTTCTCTTTCAATTCTGCCTCCCGTTTCGCCAATAGGGCTGCTTGATCAGGCTTGCTCGCTAGGTCTTCCAAAGTCTTTGGAATCAGACTTGGAAGCAGGAACATTGGATGCTTCAAATCATGCCTTCTCTGCCACTGACACTCCAATGTGATGGCCTAATGTCCATGTGTAGGCGATCGCAGTCTTTCCAAAGGATCACTTGCCCTTCGAGGACAGTTGAGAGACTCAACATTTGAATATTTGGAGAAGAGAAGAGCAGGAAGAAGGAGAGAACGTTGACTGCGCAATCGTCGGCACGTGTTGGCATCATGGCTTGCACGTGACCTTTCAGGCTGGGTTTTCCCCTTTGCTGAAGAATTCACAATACAATGTTGCTGTGAACAAAAGCGTTGCAATCCCAGCATAATAGCTGGTGGGCCGAATCACACAGGGCGCGGCAGTTGTAGGTGAGGAACACAATCCTGGATCGCTGTGCCTTGTGGCTGAGGTGAAACACATCTGTTTCGCAAGCGTGTCATGTGAGGCTATTGCCAAATGTGAGGATCACAATTGGTAGTTTAATGTGAAGTTTAAAGACACAGAGACATTCAGAAGATGGGCAAGGAAAAGAAAGAAAAGCATAAGAAGGAGAAAGACAAGAAGAGGAAAAGGGATCACGATGGAGATGAAGAGCGGAATCGGGAGAAAGCCCACAAAATGGTGAAGCTCTCTCCTTCGACCTGAACATAATGCTTGTCACAACACCAGCTCCCTCTTTCCTGAATGATGGTAACCACAGGTTGATGGGTTCTCTTAGAATTCATTCGCAGCCTTTCACGATATATTTGTTTTCAACGTGTTCAGCTACTTCGTGAAATTCAGCACGCGGCACCTTACAGATCCTTGACAACACAAGTCTGTGGCTACAGGCAAAAAAGGTGATGAAGAACCTCGAGAAGGGTGGCGCATCCGGCCACGGCTACACAGACGCCGAGAATCCCTTTGGCGACGCAAAGGTGACGGAGCGTTTTGTGTGGGGCAAGAAGATCGAGAAGCAGCTCCAGGATGGCGCAGACGTGAGAGAACTCACCTCCAAAGCCGAGAGCCGGCGGCAACAGGAGCGCCTGGTACGCCCTTCCCTTCTTTCTGCAACCTCTTTTCGAAGATAACCCAAGCATTGCAGGCATCTTGAGTTGTTGCAAGAATTACAGGGAGCTTGAAAGCCTGAAAAGTGGCCCCAAACTCTCCTGGTGCTGTGTGCCTGCACTGAACGGTTATCACTGACCTTGTGCGACTGAGATGACCCTTGTTATTAGGCACTCTGACGAGTGCAGAGTGGGTTGCCCAGGCGGAGATAGAGAAGGTGCGGAAGCGGAGGGAGGAGCGTGCTGCGGAGCGCGCGCTGCAGGAAGAGGAGCTGAGCATCATGCAGCGCGAGCGCGCTGTGCTGGAGGGTGTCGAGATGGAGGCTAAGGAAGAGGAGGTTTGTAACGCAATCATGCTCTTTGTATGCCTTCTAATAAGGGGTGCTGTGTCTTTGCAAGAGCTTGGTTTCGACATGGTTTTGAGCACAACAAAGCATCCAGAAGCAAATTTACTCACGGCAGTCCATTGAAGTCAGCAACTGACGGACGATTTGTCTTCACATTTAATCAGTACATGGCCTGTCAGCATGCATGGATGCCATCTGGTCAAGTGACATGCACTCGTAATTGGCTCACATGCACTCATATGTGCTGCATGCTGCCTGTTTTAGCTACCGATGGTCACTCTCATTGTTCCTGCCATTCCTGCAGTTCCACCTGGAGACGGCGAAGAAGCGGGCGCAGCAGCGCATGCGCGAGGGCCGGGCCAAGCCGATCGACGCGCTGGCGATCAACCTGTTTCTCATGGAGGAGTTTGACGTCAACATGACGGCCCCTTACTCGGTCTTCATCGGCCTCACCCTGGACGATGTCGAGGAGCTCTGCGACGACATCAAGGGCTACCAGGTGTGCAGTGGAAGCATCTTTGAATCAAAACACTCCTATGTACCCAAGGCTGCTGTAGAGGGATCCTGATGTTGCAATGATCCTCTTCCCAAGGCTCCTGTCGAGGGATTGAGACGTCCAACTACAGGCTGGTATGCGCAGATGCGTTGCTCTGGTCGTGGTTCACAAAAGGAGGTAGAGGGTATGATTACAAGTCTTGCTGATGCCCAATCATCTCTAGCTTGCGTGGCGCTGATAGTGAGGAGCATGCCTGCAAGCTAGACTTGGCTGAGTGCGTGCAAATGGCAGACAATGTGGCTTTTAGCTGAACCCACCCGTCACTCGTGAGGATGGATATGTTTCCTAATGCAAGCCGTTTATTACTAGAATCTGGGTGGGTAATGCACATTGGCACGCTCCAAACAGGCGCTGGACAGCAAGGACGGAGTGCACAAGGAGTTTTGGGACGCGCTGGGTGAGGTGGCAGAGGTCGAGTACCTGGAGGCGAAACACACGGAGGAGGCCGACCGCGCACGCATGCGCGGCGAGCCGGAGCCGGAGCACCGCGGCGAAGTCGGCCTGCATGCCGCCGTTGACAACGACATCCAGATGCTCCTGGCAGGTGCGCAGACATCCACAGTTTCTTTAGGAGGCTACTTTGGGGCGGCAGAGTGTGGGGCCATGTGTTGTGTGCGTGACAATCGGCGGGACAAGGCACCATTAACCTCTGTCATGTCAGAACTGCATCGGCAGGCAGTTGGCCTGGTGTCGGTCTGTTGTCAGGCAGCTCGACTATATGTGTCCGCCAGAGGTGGGCAAGATTGTGCAGGATCCTTTGCAAGACCTTAGCTGCGTTTTGGGAACTGTGCTGCCATTGGGAACTTTGCTGCCATAAGTGTGTGTAGCCCTCCGTATGTAGATGTAAATGGCCCGTAGAACCAAGCTGAGGCTGACTCCAGCCTGAGGTGGAGGAGATGTGGTCAAAGCATCTGTGAGACTGTGCTGCACAGTAGAAGTGCGCATGCGCAGGCAAGTCGCACATGGAGCTGTCGGAGATGGAGGAGGGGATCCAGGCGCAGCTGGACGGCGGCGACGCGGCCGACCCGGAGTTTCTCGCCGCGGTGCTGAAGCGGCTGGCGCTGGCAAAAGCCAAGGCGCGGCTGCGCGAGATACATGAGGCCCTCCTTCGCAAACACCTCGACCGCATCGTCGCAGCGCCCGACCACGCTGAAGATGTTGCCGCCGCCATGGGCTGGGCCGACGAGGACAATGTACGACTGCTCTGTTGTCCTCTTTTTCAGAACACTTCATGCTCGGCTCTCTTGCTGCGTCGTCCCAATAGATCAGGGACTCTCAGAGGGTATTTCTGCCGCCATGGGCTGGGCCGAAAAGGACAATGTGAGTTTATTTACTGCATGAGAATTTGTTCAGCTGTTCCTTTCAGTTCGTTCCCGCAGATTCCAGCTTTTTTGCTTTGACTGAATACTTCTGTTCTACGGCTGCTGTTTAATTGAACACTGTTGTGCTGTGGCTGCTGTTTGGCACAATGTGGACATCCTGCCTTCTCTTCCTTTTCTACTGCATGTTCAGCTGCCTTGCTAGAGCGTCAAGCTCTGAGCTTTAGCGAGGCTTCACTAGGTGATGTCGAGGTTTCTGAGGGATTGTCCGAAGATAATCTTTTATTTATAATATAAAAAGAGGCTCAAGAGAGGCTGTCATCACGATAATGGTATGCTCTTCAGAAAGAAATGAATTGGCTGGGAAGTGCCCGTTTGGTTGACCATCAGCCGAGGAAATCATTCCTTTTGTTATTACATTCATATCAAGTCCGTCTGAAATGATGTTTTCTGCAACTATTCTATTCCCTGTGCGCAGGGGAAGGTGGCCCCGGAGAGGGACGAGGCAGAGATTGATCTACCGATGGACGAGGACACAGAAAAGGCCGAAGCTGCGGGTCAGCAGCCGGTCGAGCCGGTGCAGGAAACCGAGGAAGACGAGTATGAGGAGCCCGAAGAAGAGAATGTTGGGCAGTGGTCGCCGCGGCCGCTCGAGCCGGAGCACGTGGTGGGACAGGATGTGATTCCTGAGGAGGAGGACGCTCGGCTGCTGGACCTGCTCAGAAAGAAGGTGGGTGCTCTCCTGTGCCCTTGTAGTGCGCTGCATGCCTGTGTCAGACTGGACCACCTATTTTGATAGCGTGGTCGGGGTAGCAGTCAGCTCAGTCTGTGCGTTTGTTGCGAGAGTGTGATGGACGACACTGCATGCCTGTAGCAGTGTGCTTGTTGTTGCAGCAGCGGTGGGAGCTCCATCTGACGCTGCGATAATATAGGCATGCCACATGCATGCAGTGCTGCCCGATGAATATGCCAATGTTGATGCTGAGGGTGCATGCTGCTGCTGTGCGCAGGTGAGGTACCATGCAGCGCAGCAGTTCAGCCGCGCGGCTATGCAGGAGGCTGCGCAGCGCGGCAGCGGTGCCAGCGCTTCCGACCGCGCCTACCAGGTATCTCTCTGGCCCTCCCATTTCAAACTCCAAACTTATGCTCACCTCACCACTTTACCTTTCACAATCGCACCTGCAACTGCGCTGCCCCGCTGCTATAATGCAAGTCCTCTGAGACAAGAGCCAGGTGTTACACCAGCGCTGCGCAGATGACGTTGTTAATTGTGAAGAGTAAGATGAAGTCTATCGCTGGACAGGGCACCTCAGAAACCCAGCATGGATACCACTCTCATGACATGACTGACTAGAGAGTCAGTATCATGACTGCTAGCCTCTCGTTCTGAGTGTGCTGGTGTGGCTGCCCCTGCAGGACATGCTGCAGGATGCAACGACGGCCGGCGGCGTGCACCCCATGATGCGCCTTATTGCCGACGCCGCGCCGCAGAGGGGCGAGATCGCCATGCGCTCAGGGCAGGCCCCAGAGGTGCGCACCACTTGACTCGTTACATCCTCCTCCCCTTCCTGCACCTGCACATGTAGTGTGGTTCACACGGCATTGCGTGTGTTTTCAATCCAGACCGTGTGTTCAATTTGATGAGTGCATTGATGGTCTGGTAGTCTTGACGCATTTTCCTAGCTGGGTGCTTCCAGAAACAGCTGGATTTCGGCTTTTTTATCTCTTAGCACAGGACCACTGCCCCTACAGCTTCTTCAGCTTGCATGCCTGGAACATGCAGAGGGTTGCCTTGACAGTGCCATTGTGTATTGCCCGGGGCATGACATGAGCGCTGACCTGCTCACCGGCAGGTGGAGGATGCTGAGACGCAGCGCTTCAAGGCGGCCTCGGCGCGGCTCATGGGCGACATCAACGACGCCGGAGACGCGCCCTTCCGCGGAGAAGTCCAGCTCGACTCCAAGGTGCCAGTTATCATCCTGATCCCAACTGGTCCTTGTGCTGCGCTGAGTCCTCAGGATTGCAACAGCCACTGCCTGTGCTTAGTCTGCTCTCCGCCTTCTTGATTTTATCCACCTCCTGGTTTGTCATTGCTCGGTCTTCCCCAGCATCATCATCGCCCCATGCTCAGACAGCTCTGTGCTCCTGCATGATCACAATAATCGTCAGTGACGTGGGATGGTCAAAAGTTGGGACAGTTGAAATCTTGGCAGATGCTGTGCATGCCAGGGCTTGCTTGAATCATTTGAGTTTTGCCCCTCACGGCTTTCAATGCGGTAGTTCACAGGTGCTTGGGGCACAGTGAGTGTGATGTTAGTTGCAAAATAAGTATCGCCTGACATGACCTGCATGTGCAGGTGTGCTGATGGAATGAAAATTTACATCTGTGTTCTAGACCATCGGCCTGACATGTGCCGACATGTGCAGGTGTACTGGTGGAATGAGAAGTACCGGCCGCGCAAGCCCAAGTACTTCAACCGCGTGCACACGGGCTACGAGTGGAACAAGTACAACCAGACGCACTATGACCATGACAACCCCCCGCCCAAAGTGGTCCAGGGCTATAAGTTCAACATCTTCTACCCGGACCTCATCGACAAGGATGAGGCGCCCACCTATTCCTGCGAAAAGGTAAAGCTACAAAACAGCATGATCTTCTGGCTTTTCTTCTCTGCATGCCTGGACGTCCTGCCATGCCATGTGGTGCCTTGTGCCTCAAGTAATGTGTTGTACTTGGAGGCTTCTGGTGAAAGGCTGTCTGTGTGCCTGCATCTCCACCTTCATGCGGCAAATCGGCATGGCAGGCCTGATGAAATACTCTGACCTTTGCTGGCAGAGGGAGATGTTGGAAGTACCAAGACAAAGCCGCGCTGGACATATTTGTTCTCTGTCAAAAGCCACTCAGAAAGCGTGCTGGATGGATTGCATCTTGCCTCTTGACAACCCTGACTTCTGCCAACTGGAGGCGACATTGCCTTGATTGGTGTACCACCCTTGCATGGTGATCCACGACAGGGAGGAGTGGACAATAAGAGTGGCCAATATGTGTCCAGGCAGGGCAACTAAGTGATTGTTCGTGCCCCAAACAGGACCCGAACGCGGATGAGCACGGCAGCACGTGCCTGCTGATATTCCACGCGGGGCCGCCGTACGAGGACATCGCCTTCAAGATCCTGAACAAGGAGTGGGAGTACAGCCACAAGAAGGGCTTCAAGTCCACCTTTGAGCGTGGCATTCTGCACCTCTACTTCAACTTTAAACGAAACCGCTACCGCCGCTAGCCGCCCCGGGCTTCACCGGCCGCTGCAGCCGCTGCCTGATTGTCTACTCAGGAAGCCTCTTCTTTGGCACTGGTAGTGTGGGCACCGCAGATTAATTGGCAGGATCACGTCATTGCATTCTCGTGGGAGTCTTGCGTTGGGATGCAGCAATGCTACCGCAGCTTAGAAACAGTGAGGGTTATGTGTGTGATAACTTAAATAGGACATGCGCTCAAGTGAGCATGCTTGGGAAGGTGTTCTGTTTCATTGACATGTCAGCGGTGTTTGCAGAGATTGTGAATTGGAAGTAATATAAAACGTAATTGTAACCGAATTTTAAGTGCCATTTTTTGTGAAAGTGAGGCAACTGCTATTTGTCACAAAGTGCTGGCCATGGTATTTTTATATCTCCCTGGACCATGATTCCAACATCCTGATAATGTACACATGTGTATGGCATAGCCATTGCGAGAGGGTGAGGTAGCATGAGTCAAACAGTGTTGATCTCAATGTTCCTTACATCTTTCCACCAGTCCTTCTTACATCTCTCCATCAGCCCTTCTCTCTTCCTATCAATACACAGCTCAGCAAATCTCAAACACAGAGGCTTTCCCAAAAATTAGCTTGTGTCCTTCCCACAATTGTGGTATCGCAATGTCATGAATGATCGATCTCATAACACACAAAGACAGCCTGAAAACACCACCCAGTTGACATGCTTGAACTTTCACAGGATCCAAGCATCGCAGTTCGGTTGCAAAAGCATCAGTAAGTCATCTCGCAAATATACAGTACGCATCTACAGTTAGCAATTCACCAGATTGCAAATCATCGCCGTTGCCAGTTCCCAAAACAAAACCATTATTGTACAATCTCCTCAGTTCTTCACCAAACTCCTCTCACTGACATGCTTGCAAACGCAGGTGCAAATTCAAATCCATATTTTAAAATGAGCGCAGTTCTCAGTCCTCGTCGACAAACTTGCCAGAGCCCTCGTTGATGGCAGCCAGGAAGGGGAGGATGACTCCAAAGACGAGCAGCACAGCATCCACATCCTTCAGAGGGATACCAGTCTGCAATACAAACATGCCAGTTTTCAGCACACCCCAAATTCCTCCCGAATCAACTTGCATGCGCAATGGAATGGCAGCCAGTGCTCTTGGGTTCTGCCAGAGATCGACAGCAGCATCGCATGGGCTGCATGCACACAAATATGGATTGCACAGCGGACACAACAATAACACAATGCATAAATCTGGCTTCATGGCAGATAGACTAATTCGAGCGAGAATGTTGAGTGTTGATTGCACACCTCAACGTTGAGCTGGCCAAGAATGCCCTTGCCAGTGAGGCCCTCGCCGATCAGAGAAGCCGCAAAGCCAAGCTGCGCCAGGCGGCCTGCGAAGAGCTCGTTGGCCTTGGTGAAGCCGAGGCCCTTGATGCCGAAGAACTTGCCAGGGGTCACCAGTGACACCTTGCTGTCCTGCAGTGCTCCCTTGGGCCGGGGGGTCAGCTCCTCCTCGTCTGGCACGAACGTTCCCTGCAAATGATTAATGACAATGTTGTCAGCACAGGCCGATCTAGCTGCGGAGATAAAGATGGGGAGTATGAATGCATCGCTGTCAGCACAGGCCGAGCTACAGCAGTTCACAGAGACTGCGTCAGCACAGGCCAGGCTGCTGGGATGCACAAAAGCCTGGGAAGCAAGAGGGCATTGCTGTTAGCACACGCCAGCTGCAGTGATGCACAGTAAAGCACAGTACGGTCGGAAGCAGGGGAGCAAGCATAATGCTCAAAGCTGCAAGCATTGGGCTCCCGTGTTCGCACAAACCAGGCAGATGCAGACAGTGTGACAGGAAATGTGCTCTTTGCATGTAGGGGTAGCCGACAGCAATGTCCTTCTGGGCTGTGTGGCGATCTTATCAATGTCCAGCAAGACTGAACTGAGAGAAAGGAAAGGAGTGCGCACCTTGGCCGGGAGGAGGGCAGCAATGAGGTTGAAGGCGATGATGAAAAGGACGATTCCATCCAGCTCTTGAATTGGCAGCCCTGTCTCAAAGCCCAGCTGCTGCAGTGCTCCCTTGCCTGTCAGCAGCTGCAAGAACGCACACATCTCTTGTCAATTTCAAGCTGTAGCATTTTCACATTTTTGTGAGCGGTGAAGAAGGCAATGCCATTGAGCCTTTGCATGTTGCACATGGGCAATCAGTGCCCCAAGTTCATGCATCTTGGTGACCGGTCAAGAGGGCAACTGTCAATAAGCGTTTGCACTTTCACCTCAGCATTCAGTGTCCCATCATCACAAGGATGATCAGGGTGCTCTAGAAGTTGCAAGATGCTTGCTCCCCAAGGAGTGCAGGAAATTCTTTGTCAGGTGTTTGGTGGGTGTGTGGGAAGAGAAAGGCATACCTCTCCAATGATGGAGGTGGCAACACCGATCATGGCAGCGCGGGAGACGAAGAGCTCGTTTGACTTGGTGAATCCCAGGCTGACGGTCTTCTCGCCGACCTTGAACTGCTGTGCCTTGATGTCCTTGCCTGCCACCAGCTTCTTTGCAGGCGCCTTGGCAACGGCTCCCTGCAGCCACAGCCAAGGTTGTTCAGATGAGAGTTCAGATGAGAATCTAACAGATGATGTTTTGCTGAGTGGGGCAGTCTGCAGCTCACCAGTCAGTCAGTTTTTTCCTGAAAAATCGAACCTTGTGAATCGACCTCAACTAAGTATATAGTACACCACGACTATGGGTAGCGCCACTGGCGGATCTTGTGGTCTACACTGAGGTGGGCACAAGCAAGCGAGCCCCAAGTCGGCCCCCCTCCTTTTAGATGAGTGAAAAAGTAGTTCTTTCACTGCAAGGGAAAATTTAGCGCTTCTTGCAGGCCACAACAGGTGTAAGTGGCTCTCACCAGGGCATCGACTGCCCATCTGAGAACCAATTAACTCGCTACAGACAGTAAACGCGCAAGATCTTGCGTGTTCGATGTGAACACCTATGAAAGACTTCACGCGTTTATATGAGAGAGTCCCACGTGCAGCTGAGGGCAGCGTTTCAACGCGCTCAGCAAGTGTCGAACAAGGGCTACGGACTTCGCAAGAATTGAATGGCGATGTTGCACACCTTTGTTGCGCGAGCCTTCAAGACGGCGGAGATCTGGATGGCACGAGGTGCAGAGGCGCGCGACCTGGCTGGGAGTGCCAGTTTCTGCCCGGACAGGAAGGTCGAGGCTGCACCGAGAGAAGAAGTATAAGCTGCGGTCTGCATCTTATGGATGTCTGATATGCTGCTAAAAGGGGACGAAGGGGTGGTCGGGTACTGGAAGTTGCAGCGTGAATAAATCGGTAGAATGTTTTGAGCTCCAGACTTCCTCGGCGCAGTTTAAGTTCCGTTCACTGTGGCGAGCATCGGCCACGTCTACGAAGGGCGACGTGGTCGAATGTGCACCCGTGGATCTGAATGCGCGTCGAGTGGACTCACCCGACCCAGTTTCCGGGTGTGGGGAATCTGGAACTCTCTTCACCTTCTCGTAAGTTCCATCCATGTTCTGAAGGAAGTAGAGGACTGTTGGCAAGTTTCAAAGCAGCAGAGCAGTTAGACCGGTCCCGGTATACCAGGCCTAGGTACGTACCGAGCACCAGGGTCCTGACATGCGGGCAGCAGCGCAAGGATTGCAGGCCAGTCCAACTGCGTCAGCTTTCCACCCACGGGTAATCATCATTGCGTGATGATGATGATGGAGGGTTGTAGATCATGGTGTGGATCACTGATGAGCAAGCATGCATGTGCGCACATCACAATTGAGTCCATTCAACACTTGTCACAAAGTGTTTTAGAGCACTTGCACGAGAGTTGCCGCCTCCGTATCCTGCACAGCTCTGCTGATCAGCTCATGAGGCTCAATTCTTTACGTGTTCACTGATCTGCCTGAAGGTGGAAGCTATACCACTGTGACAGTATGCCGAGTATTGCTCCTCACTTTCATTTCTACAACAGAAAAATCTGAAAATTACCTGCTGAGGTGAGAACACTGTCTGCATTCAGTACGTTTCCTACATTGGCCACATTTTTCCAGGGAATACTTGCACCAAAACAGCGCGAAATCCCAAGCTCTCTCTGCGAGCTGCCACACGACAATCTTTATATCATTCTCCCACATGCTATTCTTGTTTTGCCAGTCACTGACTGGCCTTGCTTTCTTTCACTGACACTCTGCGGTACAAGATAAATAAGATGTGCCCCGTTTCATTGCATCCCTCTCTTTCCTTTGAAGCAGTCTGACTGGATAAATCACACCCAGGACTCCAGCATGAATCCCCCACATGATGATCACATCCTCCATCTATCGGGAGCTAGCGGCCTTGAGCTTGGCATAGAGGTCGTCCATCTGCTTCTGGAAGGTCTTCTGCAGGATGTTGCGCTTGAGCTTGAAGGAGGGCGTCATCATGTTGTTGTCTGTGGAGAACGGCTCGGCTGTAAGGTGCACCGCTGCAATTCGCTCGAAGCCTTTCAGCCGCGCCTGCTTCGCCATCGCTGCCAGCTCCTTGGTCACATGCTCCGCTGCCTGTGGACATGTGACATGCATCAGTCACAGGATCAGTCACAGGCTTGTCGAACAGATGAAATCGCTTTGCCGCCTGTGGACAGGTGACATGCATCAGTCACAGGCTTGTAGAACATATGAGATTGCCCCGCCGCCTGTGCAAAAGGACCGGTGACATGCATCAGTCACAGGCTCCAAACATTGGTGACATGGCGGCTGGCTTCATAGATTAGCACAGGTGTGTGCTGTGATGCTTATCAGTGTCAGCGATTAATGCAATGATCCCTTATGCTGCTGCACTCGGTAAATCCTTCAAGCCGGTAGCTGTTGCAGTTTTTGAGGCATCGGCTGTACCATCTGAGGGGGACCTTCCCAGAGACAAACCCACCAAGGACACAGACATTAGCCACTGCACGGCTGGAATGGCACAAGGAGGAATTTCTCTGCAATAACGGCTCTAACCATGGGCTTTGACAATAGCATGCGACGCAGCTGCGCACCAAGATTTTATCGAGGATTTGTAAAAGAGATATCGCCTGATTTCACGCAAGCATGGTGGGGCACATGTGCACCTTGGGGTTTTTGACGAGGGCGTCAAAGTCGCCGTCGATGCCGTTGTCCTTGGCCCAGCCAGTGAGCTCCTTCCTGTCAGGCACAACCACTGCCACCAGCGTGCTCTCGTAGCTGTTGCCGTACACCCAGATCTGCTCCACCGCGTCGGTGCCCCTGCGCGCGCATTAGGGACCCCGGTCAGACGTGCACAGATACTTCTCCTCCCTGTGTGAAGCTGGAGGCATGCTGTCCATCTGACTCCATGGGCCCGGAAGACTGAGTTGCCAGCACTCTGTGTATTGCAATCTTGCAGACTCCCACCGGTCAGGTTATTCCTTAGCCAGCTCACTACTTAGCCATGCATTTGTTAAACTCCATGGCAGACTCGATACTACAAGAGAGCGCCCTGCACTTGGCGCACGGATGGCATCTCTTTTGAGGCAGGACCATATGAGAAATGTTCACTCTCTAGCATCGGGATCCAGGCATGGGGGGAGCAGGAGGGCGCTCACGAGTAGGTGTTTTCGAGGTGCTCTGCCGCGATGTACTCGCCCTGCGCCAGCTTGAACATGTTCTTGATGCGATCCACCACCTTGAGAGCGCCACCGGGCGTCAGCTCGCCCACGTCTCCCGTGTGGAAGAACCCGTCCTCATCTGCAGCCGCATACGTCGCACGCGTTAGTCAAATGCAGCTGGCTGGTGACGACAGCGACAACTGAGTAGACATGCAGGGCAGCCCTCAAGAGCTGCAGCTTTTCAGTTTCAGCCGTGCAGACCCATGCATCAGCCGTTGTGGGCCACAGTGTTCAACAGCAGCTCGCTTCCAGACAAACGTGTACAGCATTCATTGATTAGGCACTGCAGCAATGACCATAGGGAACCAGCCCCAGGGGTTGAGTGCGACCACAACAGAAAATGCCACAATATGTGCTCACCAAAAGACTCCTCGGTCTTCTTCTTGTCCTCGTAGTAGCCGTCGAAGACAATGGGGCCGCGCAGACAGATCTCTCCGCGCGGCGGAGTTCCCAACGGATCATAGCCCAGCTCCTCTGACCCCTCAAATCGCAGCTCCACGCCTGCATAATTGCAGCCATCACATAAACATGGGTCATATCCTGCATCTGTCAACCACTGCTTGACAACTGGACGCAATATTCTGTTATCCTTGTAGAGATTCATGGCTTGCACAGACGTGCATGCCTCCAGAAGGACAGGGAACAGGTGAGCACAAGCAGCACTCTGCAGGGACTGGAACAAAAGGCAATGCAGACGCTGCAGACAAGGGTGTAAAGCATGCTTACATGCTGTGGGGGGTCCCACTGTGCCGCTGTTGTCCTGCTGGGGCAGCGCAATGAAGGAGGCCGCGCAGGTCTCAGTCAGACCGTACCCCTGCGCAGGTGACCCACCTTCAGCTTTAAACATCCGCATTTGAGATGGCTATGGACCATGCATGCATCACAACTGACATTTGCACCATAAAGAGCAGCCGTGCCATCCCAGACACACTGTCCTGCAGCAGAGTAATACCCACAAGCAGGTTCTGTGCTAAGCAACAGAACAGGACGGCACCGCCGGGAATGGAAAGAGAAAAGTAGCATGGGAAGAAGGGTAGCCCACCTGGAAGACGGGGGTGCAGAGGGTGACTTTCAGGTACTCCTCCACATGGGTGGAGAGGGGGGCTCCTCCGCTGACGATGAAGCGCACGCGGCCGCCAAAGGCCTTCTTGAACGTGCTGAACAGGTACCTGTCCAGCAGCGGGGTCGCCTGCGGCCCACTAATTGTGTCAGCCCATGCTGAAGACATGCCAAATTTCTTTCAGACCTTTCCATCTGGCATGGGATGTGGCAGGAGCTGCAAGGGCGTCCGCATGTCCCTCCAGTTGCTGGTTGCATTGGTGTGCACAGCCCATTCCTTTGAAAACAAGACAGTGAACAGCTGTCCTGTTCTGCTATCACCAAAGACAAAACACGATATGCTATTCATGCTATTATTTTTTGCGGCGAGAAGACTTTGGGGCTCACCCGGTTGAGGGGCACGCCGGCCTTGAGCTTGGAGAGCTTCCAGCGGTAAGCGAGGCTGACAAGGGTGCGCACGAGCCAGGGCTTGGCCTTGAGCTTGGCCTGGATGCCCGACTGGATGCGCTCCAATACGCGCGGCACTGCCACAAACAGCGTCGGCCGCACCGCCGATATGTCGTCCGTCAGCTTCTTCACGTCCCCCTGCAGCGGTCGCGGAAAAGTCAGCCCCGTAATGCATCTGTGTCTATTAATTGTCCCTTTCGCCTGCTTTCGTGCTTCTTGGAGCACTCTGGCCACTGTGCACTGAAATGCACCACTGGATGTGGGGGGAATGTGATACCTTCTCCCCATGCATGAGCAGCAGGTCTGCCTATGGGCAGCACGATATTTCACGAAAGATCCCCTTGTATGGAGGAGAGCAGGCGCGCTGCAAGGACCTTATCACCCTCGATCTCCTTGACAGCACAGAGTCATGGAGCCGCGCCTGCCAGTAGCCGATGGAGGCGCCAACGGAGAGAGCAAACTCCTCCAGGGCGCGCCCGAGGATGTGCGCCAGCGTCAGGTACGACAGCGTGCTGTCATCGCTGCCCAAGTCCAGGCCCACCTCGCGCACAAACGTCTGCAGCGCCGCCACCGTCGCCAGCACGTTCTTGTGCGTCAGCACCACGCCCTTCGGGTTGCCTGCGCGAAAAATCAACCAAGTTAGAAACCACTAGATCTGTATGCTGTTCGTGAATGAGATGTGCCCAGCTTGGGACCAAAACCTGGTCAGTAGGACATACTGTCATGTGTGGCGTCAAGGACGTTGCAGGTACATGTGACATTTCACACTGGTTTTAAGTGCCAGAGGAAATTCTAGCCCAATAGAATGAATTGTGATGCATGCATTGGTGAGGAGCTACTACCTCCCAGCCAACTCCGCAGGCGAAGTCTACCGCACGGCGTGCACCTGCCTATGTCTACTGCTTGCAAAGGGAGATGAAGCATCTGCACAGCTGCAGTTTGTGACTTGAATTTTAGGCAGGAAACATGCGCACCTGTGGTTCCAGAGGTGTACATGATGGTGGCAGGGTCATCTGCCTTGGGGGGCACGGGCGCTGTTGGCTTGCTCTTGCCCAGCTTGTTGAAGTCCTCCCACTCGTACACCTTGATGCCCTGCAGCCATGCATAGGGCTCCTGCGTTAGCCGGCATGCATTGACACAAGTGTGACACCTTGCTGCCCTTGCTTGCATGGACAAGTCCTGGCTTAAGAGAACCTGCCAGTCAGCCGCTTCATAATGCATTCTGACCAAGCATCCAGGATGGGGAGAACGAGTTGGGCATGCATGAACTGTGTGATGCATGCCAAATGTCAATGTCAGATGGCATGACAGGGGCATGCACAGTCTGGCAACCATCAAGTGGGTCATGCCGGACCTCTTTCTCGATGCTGGCAGTGGCATCCTTCACAGTGGGCGCGTCGCCCCAGTACACAACAGTCTTCACGTTCTCCTTCACATTCTTGGCCGCCTTGGCCAGGAAGACCAGCTTGGAGGCCTCTGCGAAGATGATGGAAGTCTCCGAGTGGTTCACTGTGTACTCCACCGCTGACTCGCCCAGTGAATCGTACAGGGGCACTGCATTGACAAAATCCACATGATTTCTCCACTGATCAGACATGATCCCCCTTCAACTTTCAGCAAGGCATGTGCCACCCCTGGCACTTGGCATACGGCACTTAAGATGTTACTGACCTTGCAAGTGAACATGTCAGCCTGACTTCAGCAAGCGTTCAGCCTTGCTACTGCTGGTCAGAAGTCAGCAGAGCTCCTTAGAAGCCGATCTGGCATGCATGAAGACGTGCATGAAGTCAAGAGGCTGCAAAACTTACCGACATACAGAGATGAACGGTTGCAGGCCTGGATGATGAGCATCCAGTTGGGGCAGTTGGGCGCATAGATGCCCACCCTGCCCCCCGGCTTGGTGCCTGAGGCTGTGATGGATGACGCCAGAATAGCGGCCCTATCTGCAGAGCAAATTGTTCGCTGTTGACTACTGTTCTGAGAGATGTGCATATAGTTTGCAACACAATCGAAGATCCATGCACACGAAAAAGCATGTCTGCCTGAAATGCCAGGTGTGTAATGAGATGGCAGGGTTCGATTATGACCACTTTGGGATCTCTGCGTACCCCTCGTCTCTTTGTAAGTCCAGTACTCGTAGGGACCCGCTTTGCCGTTGACGATCGGCCTCCATCCCAAGCATTTGCAGTCACCGTAACGCTTCACGCTCTGCTCAAACACTTCATAAAGAGTGGTGCATCCACCGTCCACACCCGGCCAACCGTCTTTGGCGGCAGAGTTCCTGAAAGCAGTAATGAGTGGTCTTCTCTATACATTTGCCGAAAGAGAAAGAAGCGGAATCAGCTTCCGCGTCAAGCGAGTCTTTGTGTTATAGGCATGGTGGGATCCGTACAGACACGAGGCTTTGTTTCTGTTAGAACCCCGATCAACAATCACCTGTAGATCGGTGAGAGCGCATTTTTGTCTCCTTTCTTGGGCTTTCCCTGGCCAATAGCCACAGTGTATGTACCAACTTGCTTCACTTGCTCAGGCATGGTACTGTTCTGACCAAGCTCTCCTACAGAGAGCAGCCGACCTGCTTGTGCAGTATTGACTACTTTATTGAAGACCTCTGGACAGTGTCAGAGGAGGGAGATTTTCTATCACAGAATCTAGGGCTCCGTCTGGGATGACTTCATCTGGGCATTTGGCACGAGCATGGAAGCTGTCTCATCTCAGCTGGGTGAGTAATCCACCCAGGCCTTGGGTGTGTGTCAAGGGAGGGAAGAGGAGGAAGCTTCTCGTTCGGCTCTCCCCGCCTTCCGGGCTATATTTCCAGAGAAGCCAGAGCACCACCCTGCAGCCTTGCAGGGTAGGTGACATTTTGATGTAGCACTCAGTTCCCTTCCAAGGGTTGGAAGCCAGGAACAGGTGTCAACGTGAGCTTATGGGTACAAGCACGGCAATTCCAATGATGTCATCAACGAGACCAACCTGGCATTCTTAGCCATAGCAGTGTGCTGTTGTAAAACATTTGACTGTACTTTGCATGCTTGTGTCCTCTGCCAATGGCCCATCTCATTCATCGTCATCAGAATCAAGCCCAAAGCCGGCCACAGGCGCCACTGCCGCCTTGCGCGCCCCTCCTGATAGGCTAAATCCCCTGCCCGGTGCCCCAGTCTGTCTCCCAGGCTGCACCCCTCTCCCTTGCATGCTGAACTGCATGGGCTGCTGCTCATTTCTGCCAACACTCATCTGCACTCCGGGCGCACTCCCAAGTTGCGCACCCGCTCCCTGCTGCTGCAATACTGGCTCCTGATCTTTCCTGGATGCCAGTGGCTGCCTTGGGGCTGCCTGCGAGAAGCTGAAGCCACTGAAGCCGGCTGGGGCAGGCTCCGACGGCGGCAGTGGTGGCGGTGGTGGGACATCCGGTGGCGGTGGTGGCGGCTGTTCTTCCGGTGGTGGGGGCGGGGGATCCCAAGCAGGCCCGGGAGGACCTGACGCAGCCTGGCCGCCTGCAGACCCCTCTGCTGCCATCCGCGCCTGGTGCGCTCTTTCGATCCTGGGCACACCAGCAAGCTTGCATGCTTTAATATGCAGCAGTCTCTTCTTCCACATACTGTAAGAACGAGTATGCCAGGTGCAGGTGCAGCTCTACTAGCGCCAAAGGGCTTACTGTTCTTGCAGCTTGGCTGCTTCCTTTTCCTGCCGCCTCTTCTCCTTCCGCTCCCTGTCGCTCCTTGTCCTCTCGGCCGTCATGGCTTTCATCTCTATCAGCCTCTGCATTGACCCAGACACCGAGGATGACTTGTAGAATCATAAGCACTTGAGATCACTGATGGGGTTCTGAGCAACGGGCCGCAGAGGTCAAAGCCGCAGAGGTCTCAAACGGTACCCAGAGTGACACCTTTTTGTGATGATGGTCATAGGAGCTCAAGTGTGTGTCCAGCTCAGCCGCGGACTTGTACTGCTTGTGGCACGTCTGCATGCCAGACCCACAATTAAAACACGAAGAATGAGATTCTCTGCCTACTGCAACTGGAGGCAGGCAGTCTACAGATTGCCACCAAATTCACCCAGGGGGCAGACAGCTGCAGGCGCACCTCACAGTACAGGTTGCGCTTGGCAGTGCTGGTGTCCTCCTTGATGCGCTGCTTGCGTTCGACGGCCATCTACGCATCCGCCCCACACAACCACAACCCGGTAATCCTCTGTGGATGGAGACAGCCCAGCACAGCGCATGAGCCTCAGACCCTTGATCCTTCATCCACTTACTTTGCCCTCACATGTGCACCTCAGCTAGAGTGTTCCTGACCTGCCCTGGCCAAGCAACGCATGCTACCAAAAAATCCCTGCGTGTAAGGTGCATGTGAATAATTGGGATGGCAGTGGCTGTGCACCTCTCTTCGTCTGGTGCGTGCTTCGTCCTCTTCTGCCTGCACTTCCACCTCCAGCCGCTTCCTTACAACATTTTCTGCAGCTGTGTAGAAGCTGTCCTCCTCTGCTTTCCCCAAGCCCAGTCGCAGCCCCGCCTCGACCCCACCCTTGATGGGCTCCGCTATGCCTGGACACCAGAGGCATTTGCCAGCCATGTCAGCTGCCACGCCAATGCATGTTTGCGTAAGGGAATGGACGATATTCAATAAGGGTTGCCTATGGTGGCAGGAAGAATAGAGGCATACCGTCCTCGTTCCTGCCAAGGCCTTTCCCTCCCCACCCCATCCTCTGCAGCATCTGGTAACCCCTGTTCTCAGCGCCAAGAGCTGTGTGGACGCTGGCCATGACCAGATCTGAGGTCTCCAAGGTATTATCTGCTCGGTGGTTGATGGGTAGAGAGTAGTCATCATCAAGGCCAAAGAGCTGCTGCTCCTCCCTCTCCCTCTGCAGACAGAGGGGAATTTTGTCATGCCCTCTAGGAAAACCCGTGAAAAGCAGAATATCAAATTTCAGCCATACAAACAGCAGTCAGTCATCAAGGGACAAAATACATGTCCGCACTTATAGGCTCGGCACTCACGATCCTTGAAGCAGAAAACTCTTCTCCTCGGCCAGCACTCAATTTGTCATCGACCACCTGGTATGGCATTCCAAGACCAGCCATGATTCTGAGCCGTCTCCAGATGCTAATCAATTGGAAAGCATCAGCAATTTCCTAAGGACCGATGATCTGAGGCACCAAACAATGTATCTCTGCCACAGGGGTGAAGCCCCCTCTTCCAAGACGATCTCGAACAACTCCTCGCTCTAGATCTCTATTCTCTGCTGGCACCAGCTGCTTCAGGCACAGCGATGCAAATGACGCGGAAGGTGAGCAAATGGGGCCAGGTTGCCTCCTTTGGCTTGCCATTCGTCTTCTTTTGAGAATCAGAAATGGACCTGGCTCAAGCCAAATGGTCAGATCAATTGCAACTATTGCACTTTACATTGTGAAAGCTTGAGGCACAAGAGTCTTGATCGACGCTCACTGCCCAGAAGCTTTGAGACAGCTTATGTCAATGAGAGGAAGGTCATCGTCTTATAACACAACAACCACCACCTTGACTTATTGAAAAGCAGAATTGTAATCTTACAAAAGAGGAGGGTGAGTTCTGGCATCTTTCATCGCACACTTGGGGTGGAAAGAAGGGTCATCTACATTCCGTTTCGCGTCGCTTCTTTCGAGTATTCCCATCTAGTGATAGCGGTAGAAGCACATCAAATGTGGCGGCAGATAGCCGGACAGCCATCTGATGCGCTGACAAGGCCAGACGACGATGAAGAGGAAGAACCTTTGGCTTCCCACTTCAACACCAATAACTTCGGCAACTTCTTAGATGTAAGCTCCACAGCAATCTAATCAGCCGCTATTGCTGTTGCCTTTCTTTGTTTATTTCTGTCGGTGATGTTGTCTTTCGGTGTACGGCCTCACCTAGCCCTGCTCAGGCAGCACTGAGTGCCTCTTGTCTATACATCTCTGGGGTATTCACTGGTGCGATGAGAATGTAATGAGGCAAACAAATTGTGCATTGCGATGTTAAATGACAGTAGTACTGCTCAATGACCTGCAGCAGCTCATAAGAATCGTGCTCTCCAGACGGGCATGCCACCGCTGCCAAGGCTTCATGCAGCTGAAAGCAATTCTGCTGTCCAGGTGGAGAAGGACAAGCTGACGGTCCGCTACACTGGACAAGGCGCGCACAACAACGACGTAGGAGCCATACAGGGCAATCGACCAGTGCCGCGGAAGCGCAGAGTGTACTATTATGAGGTCACAGTGCTAGATGCCGGCGAGAAGGGTCTCATTGGCGTCGGCTTTGCAGACAAAAACTTCAAGATGGGCAAGCAGCCTGGGTACGTGCACTGCATGCTCCTCAGCCCCTACACCCTCCTGTGAACTCAAAAATCCGCCTGAGCAGGGTTCTGTACCTGCCAAGCTTGCCACATTGTCCACCGGCACATGCATCCACCTGACACCAACCTAACGCTTTCTTAAAAGGGACATTGCTGAGTCAGAGCATGCATTGCGCAGGTGGGAGCCACACAGCTACGGCTATCATGGCGATGATGGCAAGAAGTTCCATCAGAACGGGCAGGGCGAGGAGTACGGGCCGCAGTTCACACTCGGCGATGTCATTGGCGCTGGCATTCACATCCAGAGACAGGAGATCTTCTTCACGTGCGTTGCTTATTGGCGCTGATTCTGAAAAGCACCTTCACAGCAGTGATCTTTATAGGATACGGGTGGCTCACCATTGGAGAATGAATGTTGCAGGAAGAATGGGAAGCACTTAGGAGTAGCCTTCAGGGGCCTCCCACAGCTGCCGCTGTACCCCACAGCAGGCCTGCACAGGTAGTTGTCTTCTTGCAACTATGTCTCACCATCTTTCTCCCTGTTCAGACAAAAAGTTGAGATGCAAGTTCAGTATATTGGCATGCTCTTCCTTCCACTGTCAAGTTATCCTGACCTACAACTGCTGAAATTGGAAATTTCTCTGCAGCCCTGGAGAGTGCATAGCTGTCAATTTTGGCGCCTCTCCATTTGCCTTCAACCTGGAGGCCATGCTACAGGAGGAGAGGGAACAGGAGGAAGCAGCCGTCCAGAGGCGTGTACCAAATATACTCTTCTTCCTATACTTGCCTGACGTTTCACTTGGCCTCCTTGGCAGAGGGCAGAGAATACCAACAGGGACACTTGCTTGCCTAAGGACACACCCTGTCTTGACCAGTCAAACAATCAAAAGTATGGACGTTTGCTTGCTTGGTTTCTGTCCTTTGTCACGCCAGGGCATGCATTACTTAGTTTGAGGTTAGTCATGGGTTTTGCACTGCGCGTGCAGCATATCGATACCTGCGGGGGTGACGCATCGGCTGGTGCGCGAGTACCTGCTGCACTACGGCTATGCCGACACGCTGCGTGCCTTCGACACCGCGGCCGGCACCACCGAGGACGCACCGCAGCTAGGCACCTCTAGGTGCTGCCTCCACCGCCTGTCTGCATCGGCCAGCGCATGCATTGCTTGCCGAATAAAACCTTAGCTTCCATGCAGAGCGAGGCTCTTTTATGACCCACTGGTAGTGCTACTGATGCACTGGCCTGTACAGAGGAGTGGCAGCCTGCCGAAGCTTGTGCAGCAAGAATGGATCTGGGGTGAAGCTACCCTTAGTGGCACCTTGAATTTGTCAAGCAGACATGCAATCGACAGCGCAGATGACACACAAAGGACCTGCCCACGCAGTGTTCGTCAGATAGTCCCATGCAAGATGGGGCTCCTTTCCCAACCCTTCAATGCCATATTGGTGCGCTGGTCTGTGACCAGTTGAGGCAGCAGACAGCGGCAAGTCAGGCTGTTCACTTGCTGTCATTATGCGTGAGAGGAACCTCTGGCTGATTTGCATCCCGGGGGCATGCCATTTTTCACGCGAAGGCGGTCACCATTTCGCAGTTGGAGCGAGCGGGACGCGCCGGCCGTGGCCACGATGGCTCCGCGGCAGGCCATAAGGCAGCGAATGATGGCGGGGGATGTGGAGGGAGTTAACGCGCTGCTCATGGAGCATTTCCCCGAGCTCGTCGTGTCCAAGGGCGGCAAGCGGCCGGACTTAGACGTGTACTTCTACGTCAACTGCATGCAGTTCATCGAGCTCATCAGGTGCGGCTAATGTCACTGAACTCTGTCAATGTTATTGGGTGTTATCAATGGCCGTCCCTGCCACTGCACCAGACTGAGAGGTTGTGCCTGTCGAGCTGTGGCATCAGTTCAATACTGCTGCCATTCCAAGTTTGTGCAAAATTTCATGGCGTGCTCCAAATTGTGACAGACGCTAATAGCGAGACCACCTATTGATAGCAGCAAGGGTCTGCTCTCTGTGGGGACCGCATGCTTTTGGGCATGCAGTACCATTTCTGTGCATTGAAGCAAACTGCGGAGCTAACGTGTGCTGTGTTGGGGGAACGCTGCAGGCAGGGCAAGATAGAGGAGGCGGTGATATTCGCGCAGGCGTCGCTGTCGCCGATGCGGGGGCTGCTCACGCACCGCAACCGAGCCTACGACGCCATGCTGCACGATGTAGTGGCCCTGCTAGCCTATGAAGACCCCCTGGTGCGACCTCCCCTGCCCTCCTGCCTCCTCTTGGCACAATCTTGGCACAACCGTCCACTTGCTGGGCCCTTACGATTGTTGACATGCTCCTCCCTAGTGCAGTGTCTTTAGCTCCAGCTACAGATTCAGCAGATTGGGATACTGTCTCAACACACGCAGGAAAAGCCCTGTACAAATACAGGGCCTCCGTCCTGCTAATTCTCTGAAAAATGTAATGCAGAATTTCCATTGTTGCATGTCAAACCGGTTCCTAGGATGCAGCTGCATGCCCTTGTGGGACCCGTACAAAAGGTCAAGTGCACATTACAACAATGCAACCCTTAAAGAGCAATGCTTTCCAGCAAACATTTGGGCGCTTCCTAGGCGCCCCTGATTCTGAAAGAAACACCTTTTTTCAGTATTATGAGTAGCCTGAAGGCACCGGCCTAGTGTTGAAGCGGCGTGCTGTGCAGGACTCTCCGCTGGCGGGCCTGATGCACCTGGCGCAGCGAGAGGCGGCAGCAGATGTAGTGAATGCAGCCATCCTCGTATGTGGATCGTCAAAGCCCGAAGAAGGCAAGAGGGAGGACAAAAAGCCTGTCCTCCCATCCACACCCAAACCCCAGGTACTGTTTGCTGCCCGATCTTCATTACCCCCAAAGCCCTGCTTTCATATCCATCGTCTGATCCAAGTAAAGTCTCTTTTATTGAGTTTTTCTCCGTTAATTTAGTTTTCCGCAATTCCGCATGTCACAATGATCTCCAGAGCTGAGATAGATGGGGGGTGCCCATCAATTGAGTGTGCACAGTTCTGAGACTGCTTGGCTTGCCAGAAAGCTTTCCTTAGGTGCTCACCAGGCTGTGTCTGTGCTGCTCCCACTTTTCAGAAACTCCAGAAATAGTTGGTCAGGGGGTCCACAAAGAGAGAGTTGAAGGGGTCCACAGCAGCGATTCCAAGTTTCCTAATGTTCTGGCGCAGGCGGCGGTGGAGCGGCTGATGCAGCAGCTGGTGACGGTGCAGAACGAGCTGCTGGCGGCCAACGGCGGCCTCGGCGAGCCATTCCGGCTCTCGCAACACCTCGGCGGCCCCGCTCCCGGCCCAGCGTGCAAGCCGCCGGCGCAGCCGCACCCCAACGGCGTGGCACCCATGGACCGGGACTGATTGCACCGAATACTCCTTCCCTGTGGGCCCCAGTCGTTGGAACTGTGGCTCTTAAGGACTCAGTGCGCTGTGTGCTGAGCGCCAGTCCCTGGAATGTGCTGTGCATGGAAGGGGACTGATTGCACTGCGGGCTTTGTCGGTGTTCAAGTCTCAGTGGCTAGAAATGCGCCGCCATTAATCGGGGCAGACTGCACTGCGTGATGTGGGGCCCTCTGCGAGCCCAGTCACTGGAAATGTGCCTTGGTGTCAGAACTACGCGGGTGGAGACGCAGTCTGCGGGGAGCTCTGCCAGTGCATCAGGCCGCTAGATACTCTAGAATGGTTGCTCTATGGAGATCGGCTGGTGTGAGGACTGCTGTCACGTGGTCCCACATGGGATTTGTCTCTCTGGCGGCGTCCCCAAACACATGCAAGGACTTGCAGCGTCTTTAAAGCCTTGCCAGGGTTCTGTGCTTGCATTGCAGGGATGCTGTGGCTATTTCAAGTTCGAAGCTATGCTCTGCTCAAGTGGCGGGCCTGTGTATGATATATGTGAGTCTCTCGAAAAGCTTGTTTATTGAAGGAGTATCTTTGTACATTATAGCAAATTGACTGTCGCAGGGCGGAAGCTTTGCTAGCTCCTAAAAATGTAACATAGAGGATCCCAGAGTCTGTCTTGCATTTATTTTTAGTACCCATCGCAACATATGATATCAAATAGAGACGAATCTTCTTTAGCATGCACATGTAGACCCTAGCTTATCCCCATCAGAAAGCATCGCAAGCAGAAGATAGGCTGGCGACTTGCCAGGGGCAAGACATATCAAATATAACAGAGTCAAAGTCATCTCCCACACCGTTCTCGTCTAGATATAGCTACTGCGATACGGTTTCTAGGATTGCTTCTCATGATAAGAGCGAGTGGATCAGATTGATTCAACTAGATGTTCTGCAAAGGTGAGTAGGATCCATAGGCTGCAGTGAAGCCATAGCTCCCATATCCCCCAGGCAGTGCCTGACTCCCCGAAATGGAAGTCTGAATCGGTGGATTGACCTCCTGAGGGCCTGACACAAAGCTGGCGCTCCCGAGGAGGGCCGGTGGCTCCTGTTGACATCACCACTCCAATGACAACCTTTACCGTCGAGCCTTGTATTTGCTGCAGTCGATGCCTTGTGGCAAAGAGGGGAAGGACGCAAGCAGCATTGAACACGAAAGCCTCAGTGGTCACTGGCTGAGCCTTAGGAGCTCTCAAAGCACACCTGGTTTGGTGGTGGCAAAGAGGGACTTTGCAGGGTTTGTAGCTGCTTCATGAGTTCCTTGAAAAGGTTGCTGACGTTCTCCTGCTGTAAAGAGCGAGTAGTCCTGCTCCAGGAGGTGTGCTCTGGGCCCACATCTGCAGAGGAAAGAGCCAGGGCAAGGAGAACGAAGGCGAGGACGAACTGTGTGCTCCTGGCCATAGCCTGCGATGGATATTTCGTAATTTAGAGGCACGTCCTGATGAGAATTCTTACGTACTTTCTCCTGAATTTCTTTCCAAGAAGAGGAACACGCCAGTCAACTACCCACTGTCACAGTCCGGCCACCCGGTCAGCCTTGATAGATATGTTTTGTGGGAGTAGAGTGCGCGAAGTACTATTGGAAATACCTGGTCGAGGGGCAAACCCTGTTTTCAATTGTTGCCGCTTGGAAAGACTGCTAGCTTTTACGTTCTATTATTAGACCACGGCTGTCTTTGAGGAACCAATCATAGGCAATTGCGACTTGCAGTGATTTTCTTCCAGCTGCAAATCTACCAGGCGATGCATGAACCTTGCATCTTGGGTCCTGGAGAACAGGATATTCGTCAAATTGATGTCCAAGGAAAGGCACCTTTCGGCCAGGTCTGCTGGGGCGACACATGCATGATGAAGTCCCTGAAATCCTTACGGGCGTTGCCCAGGTTTCATTCCACCAAGCAGATAGAAAATCTTGTAAGCTCGTCTTCATATATGCGCCGACTCTGGAGGTGAAACAGTTTCACCTCTTGCAGATCTTGCATTGGTGAGCTTAACGCTTTGCCCAAGTCGGTTGCATTTGATCTAATGAGGCGATGTACCCTGCTTGAAGATGGCGTTTGTGCAATAATTCATGTAGTCTGCTGGGCATTTTCGGCCCGAATGAAGATATTTCACAAAGGACGAGCGACTGACTGACCAGGCAAATTCACATATAAGCCTTCAATCTAGGGATTTGGCAAAATACCTTCCGAAGCAGCTTTCTGACATTTCACGAGCGATGGCTATCGACCATGCAGGCCTGAGCGTAGTGCTCTCCTTGGAGAGAGCACTCTACACCTTTGTGGCTCTGCAATGAGCGATAGCCCCAGTAAGTCAAGACAACCCCCTCTGTATAATTTTGCGAACGTGTCTTTGGCCTGCTTATCGGACAGCAACTGTGCAGGTGCTTGCAGAACACGGTAGATCACCTCTGCCCACACCTTTTTCACCCGGTGTAGGAAACCTTAAGAGTCAGCCGCGAACGTGCGAAGGCTAATGGAGGCACCTGTGGATAGGGATCTACTTGAGGCTGGTCGCAAGACAATGCGTGATATAAGGTAAGATGCATGTGCTCCTTGCATACCTGTCTTCAGAATCTGGTATCTGGCACCAAAATACAGCAATCTGAAGGTGTGCGGCCAACCTGCAGGAAGGAAGTCAACAAGCAGATGCGAGACTTTGAACGGGAGATGCAAAGAAAAGATAGCGCGGTGAACCCTGGAGACAGCAAGTCCGCAGACAACTCAGCATCCTAGATTGCAAGTCGGACAGGTGACCTAGATTTTAGTATACCCACCAAAAAATCAGCGATGATATCTCAAAACCCCTTTCATCACCAGGTCGCAGCAATGATCAAGATTGCGAGAACAAGCCATTGCTTGACCTAGCATAAACCATATGCAGGGGCTCTCCCAAGAGACCACATGTCAGAGCTCTTACCATACTTTACTAGCACCTCAGTCTCCTCAAGCAATCAAAAGGAATCTTTCGATTGGGAGGGCACACGCTCACGTTCACTGCAAAAGAGCAAGCCCTCACAAATTTGGGGTGCCCAACTGTAGCTGATATCACTGGGGCCCCCAGCGCCGTTCAACACTAAGCACCATCAAATCGCGCGCGGCCGAGACGGCATCGCTGCCGTACTTTTGCGCCGCCGCCTCCACGCACTTCTCAGCAAATGTGTCCTTGAAAGTTCCCAGCCGCTGCCGGCCCAGCGCCGCGTTCGCATGCCGCTGCCCCATCTGTCGCTCTGCACCGGGGGCCCCAGATTGCCTGCCCGCCAGAGTAACGTGAGTATAGAGAGCTTGCAAAACAAGTCCCAAAATTTCGGGAGTGGATACGCTTAGAAGAGGCGTATTTCATAGCGATCACAACCCCTTACAAGGCCAATGCAGTTTGGCAAGTATACTCGATGAAATTTGACGAACCAACCGCCGATCAATGAATTACAAACAAATTTCATGAATAGATTTTGAAAGTGCTGGAAGACGACGCGGGGAAGAAATACAGGAACAGACGAAATGTTATCGGTTCTATATGTCTGGGACCCCTGAATAACGTGATCAATGACCGAAATGTGGCCAGATTGTAGGATCCGCTTTGAAGACAGCGTATTCAAAAAGCACAAATTGGGCTTGTGATATGAGTCTGTCCCTGCTGACAGAGTCTGTCACTGTTGTCGATACAACATACAGAACTGAGCATACCAAGTCTGTGTGATGTGTGACGGTGTTGCGCTGCTAACTATGGCTTGGCTTGGGTGGTTCATTCCAGTAGGGCAACCTGCCCGTGGATGATTGGGTCTTGCTTGGATCTGGCAAGTTCATCAAGGGGAAGGATATTGGCAGCCTTTGACTGGGTTTTATCAGCAGGTGCAAAAAGTGAAAGATTCAATTAGTGACATAAAGGAGGCACCTGTCAAAGGCAGGGGTGGCGGCTGCGGCTCCATTTGAGCTGGACTGGTCGGAAGATGAGCTGTCGCTTGCCTGTGCTTCTGGGAAGCCTGCACCATGAGACGAGCTTTCAAATTCTAATTCAACCTCAGGTGGGGTTTTTATGAGCTCTACAGCCATAATCTCGACAGTCCAAAGAGAGCAAAATGGCATTACAGTGTCAGTCAGGGTTCCATGGGACGCACCTGTGAGCACGAGATGCCTCACATCAACCTGGCTCGCCAACACACCCGCACCTTCTGCACAGCTCCCGCCTTCGTCCATCCTGACCTGTACCATCCCACAAAGCTTCCTCAAGCTCGTCAAACCACAGCCACTGCTGCACGCAGCAGAGAGAAAGCGATACAGCGTGCTCACCTCACATGCGGTCTACCACCTGAATCAAAAACAGAACCACACATCTGTGCAAGCGCTCTACATGCACAGCAGCTGTGCCAACTGATCCCTTGTACCAAATCCAGTGCATGTCTATTCCCGGGCGGTTCTGAGCATGCCGCAAGCCAGACAGGAAGACTGACAGCTGGAGGCAGGGCAGTCACACCTGGGAGATGGCAGGGTGAACCAGCAGGTCACACCCGGTAGCCCATTGCCGCGTAGTGCTGGCCACGGCCTCCCCCAGAATCGCCACGCTGCGGCCGACGATGGTTGGACCCACCACCTGCACAGGCGCACATTACACACTCGAATTCCTGTATCATATCTCAGCAGTGCAGTACATGAAGCATAGCATATCCCAGCATTGGTCCCCAGCTGCTCGTGAGATCTTCTCAGCACCCGGCAATAGCTGGCCTTTGCTGCATCTCCTGATTGGTTCAATTCACTTTGAGGGCCCGTCTTGATGCTCAGCTGCAGCACTCAATCAAAGATAGAAGTTTTATTTTGTTCTTCACATGTGTGCAACCTGGTCCTGATCGGCTGCTGGTGATGGCGAGGGAACGAGGGCATCAGAAGGCAGCGACTCACCTGCTCGGGGCGGATGATTTCGCCGCTGCGGCTGAGCACGCTCTCGCCGGCCTTGACCCGCGAGTAGTCCCTGCCGGGCCGCACTCCCAGCTCCTCACACGCCGCCACGTTCAGCGTCCCCGCCCTACACCAATCAAACGCTCTTTCGCCCATCTGATCCTTCAAGTAGCACCCTTAAAGATTGCAAGCAAGTGATAGCCTGCCTACGGCACATGAAAGAAGCTGCACTGAGCGTATCATAATTACCACTAGAACATGCAAGTGAAAGTCTTGACAAAAGCCAGTGACGCTGTGGGTCATACACTGCACGAAGATTGTAGCCATGCATGTGCTGTGCTGATCGACGGTATCCTTATAGGGCGTGCGAGAGTCGGCAAGTTACTCAATGCATGCAGTTTCGAAGCTTGCAAAGAAAAAGCACGCGACATGATCAGAGACACGCCTGTCGCTCTCGCGTACAACGTAGCCGAAGCTCTGCGGCCGCTGCGACAGAGGCGCCGCACAGACCGTGAAATTCTCGTCACAGCGCACCGTCCAAGTCATCTCCTCAGGCGCCACATCACTCCTGGATGGATCGCCTGCGCAGACACACTCCCACCTTATGCCACTTCCGTCTCTCTTGCAATTTTCCAAGTATCCATGGAGAGGCAGCGCCATGCATACTTCCAAATAATCTACGTGAGTATTATGGCTGTTCTTGCAAGTTGAAGGCCATGTGCTTGATCATTGCATCCTGTGTCAAGCACGACCCCAAATGAAAATTGCTAGGCGTAAGGCATGAAAGTTGCGCACCTGGGTCTGGCAGGCGCTGCTCCACCAGCACAGCGCGCTCGTCAGATCCCTTGCGCTTCTTCCGCCGCTGCTGGTGCCGCTTTGTCAGCTGCATGATCTGCCCGTCATAATACCCCTGGCGTGCAACAACCCACGGGGTGAAGCACATATATTGGGGACCTCATTTCTCAGCCGCCGTGCATTGCCCCCTACTCTGAGCCTGCATGCCTGAGCAGAAGGGAAGCTGTATAGCGCCCTCCAGCCATCTCCCGAGAGTGCCCCATGATGTGCCAACCCCGATGCCAAGACTCTGAGCAAACATGAACAGCTGACATTAGCAGGACACATCACCCTTCAGCTGGGCAGAGCAGCTTTACTAGTTGGTGAAAGTGTTACACACAGACGTCCTTTTCTAGACCCTTCCATCCTTTTTGCTCATCCATCAGGTATGACAGCAAACCTGTCTTGATAGCATGCAAGATGGACAGCTCACCTCAGGAGGCATTCTTATTATTATTACACGCTCTTCCTGCCAAAGGCAAGGTGCGTCTGCAGACAAGCTGCATGTAAAGGCTGCCAAATTCCTACCCCTTGTTGGACTCGCCAGATCCAAGCAAGACACAATCATCCGTGGGCACGGTGCTCAGTATTTGTACCGCCCCCCGCCAGCCAGGAGGCATTGACAACTACAAATATCACAATTCATAGTAATATTTAGCACCCCCTGCTCATGCACATTCCAGGGTCTTGAGAAATCAATAAAGGGGCATGCCTGGGGGTTGAGTTGGTCGGGAGGCACCCGCATGCGGAAGAGGCAGCAGCGGTGCTCCAGCTGCTCTGGACGGTCCATTTCCTCCTCGGGAACAGGGGATGTCACAAATTCGTGCACCACCACGGGCATCACTATGTACGTGTCCGACACCGTCAGGAATGTCCTGCGCGCACGCCAGCACATGCCAGGTCATCAGTCTGTCACCAGACTTTGCTAGTTCCTTGCAGGGCATTCTGAGGAAGAGCGCAGAGAGTGGGACGCTGCATGTGAAGCAGCACAGGCAACACCATCCGCTGAAGACGAAGAGTCTGCAGGTGCAAATGCATCCTCGCTTGCATGTTGGCATACATTTCCTGTACTACGCAGGGTAGGGTATTATCACATCGCCCCCGATTTGCGGCAGATGCTCTAGACATGCTATCACTTACTGCGTTGATGCTTGTTGGCGGACATAAACATCAAGCTGCCCAAGAGTTGTCCACCCACATCAATCTGCTTGCTTACTGAACAAAGATCATCAAAGCTGAATATCCAGGGGGGCCTTGTTATCACAAAGATGGCAGGCCCTCACCGCAGGTACTCTGCCAGGCCCGGGGGACCATAGATGTGCAGGGGCAGGTCCGAGGTGTCCATGCCCACCTCCCTGGCAGCGCTGCAGATGCACATCATGCCTGCACCCCGCATCACACCTCCCACTCAATTCATTTCTTGGCTGCGCAGGAATCATCGTTGAACCCAAAAGACCATCTCAATCTACCCTGCGCCCACCCGGCCGCTGCACTCAGGCTCAATGCCCCCACAATCCGTTTATGGTAAAGAATAGTCATTGGCAATCTGCTTGGCACTCAAACAGCGAACAAAACACTGCTGAAGGAAAAGCAGTCCTCTGCGCTGCGCTAATAAGAAAGTCTGGAGCTGCAGCACTCCTTGGCATCAATGCCGAGCCCCACAAGGAGCATTTACAGGAAAGGGTCACGATGGTTCTCATGCCATTGACTGAAGAGTGATCCACTGAACCCTGAGGCGCCAGCTTGACCTGAAAGTATTAAAACACCTGGTAGGTAGGGCAGGATGCAAAGACAGGCCTGGCTCGGTCATGGGGCCACTCAGTCTGATCAGAATTTAGAGTCAGGACATGGGCAGAAATGAAGCAAAAACGATGTAAGATATACACGTAACCGATAAGAAATGCTGGTGCATGCCTGGGAGGCCAAAGGCTGAGTCGCCGCTGGCGCGGGTGACAAAGACGCGGTCGATCTTGCCCGGCCGCACCAGTGCCTGTTTAAGCAGTTGCCGCTGCGTGTCCTCCCCGCAGTCGAACAGCCAATTGCTCTTGCCCTTGCGCAGCGCCACAGCCCGCGATGACCTAGCACCCGCAAGAAATAAGCACCAGATCCGCGCAGGAGATATGCATGTATTGAAGCCTGGAATTTGAGCATTTCGCCTTCTGTAGCAGCAGGTCTCAGCTTTTGATACTGAGTTGAATGCGAGATTGTGAGCGTTTTCCCCTCCTGTAGCAGCAATTCTGGACTTTCAATACCGATCTGTGGCGCATGCAGCCACGCGGATCACGCGCTCGGCATGCTCCCAGAATGCTTAATCCCGGCATGCTTACTAGTGGGCCTGGTGCGCTCAGTAAATGCCATATAAGTTTGCACGCTGCCGTCTGCTTCGCACGCCTTCTCCGGCCTCGAGCTTGTCACGCAAGTGGCTGCTTCAAGGGACAAAAGCAGGACCAGCAAGGCTTTTGAAGTAGAGGAATCAACCTGGCCTTGGTGGGCCGCTGGGCTGCTGTGCCAAAGAACACAAGCTGCATGTCGGAGGTGTTGGCAACGGCCTCCTCAGAGCTGGGATCAAGCTCTCTCACGGCAGCCCGCTCGGTTTCCTGCCTCTGCGCCAGCTTCTGCTGCTGCTCAAGCACCGCTGCCTGCGGTGGCAGCCGCCCTCTTCCTGGCTTCCTTCCCCTGCTGGGCCCTAACCCTGCCAGGGACATCGCAGTAATACACTCATCCGGAGGGCTCCACTGGATGATTGCAGCCATCTTTGACACTGCTCTTCAAGAATTTCCCCTCATGCATGCTCTAACTACTTGACAAAGACACACCTGTGTTGTAAGGGCCTATTGCATGACACAGTCAGTGGCAACAGGCTGAGCAAAGGATACAAGCTGAGCAAGGCAGCGCACAAGAAGGGAGTCTTTAGTTCGCACCTGTCCCAAAGCTGTTCCGAGGCATCATCCTCCTTTCTGTGATAGGTCCCCTCCTCCTCTTGTTTGGGTGCCTCCTGTGTGGGCCGCTGGCTGCAGCTGTCCTGCTGGCTCCAGCTGGTGACGGCCTTCCTCCCCACGCGAGAGGCCTTTGCATGACTCCTTGTTGCCTGAGAAGCGTGCTGACATGCAGTCCCCGGCTTTCAGGGAGTCTTGGGCTGACAACCAGACATCTGTAACTGCCTAGCTGCTCTGATATGCCCCATCTCATCCCAGGAAGAAGCTGTGCAATTCGAGCATTCATGGGACACTCCCGAATATGAATATTCTGAGGTGTTGCCTTATTGAAGGTGTATTTTCCTGTAACTGTGCACTCCTTTCCAGAGGTAGTCCCAAGCAATCGGACAGTCCCAGAATCGAGGATCGCAAGATCAGAGAGGGTACACGATACAAGGTGTTGCAAACGGAGAATGCGACTCCTCAGCATGCAGCTTTGTCAGCTGATTGACGTTTTGAAACGTCACGACACTGAGAACATCGTGTGCAATCGAGACACCAGAACCTCGCCAGTGAGATTGAAACTTTGATGCCCACAAAAAATCTATTTCTTGTACTATAACGACTTTGGACTCCTGGATGGCTGAAGATTAATCTCGGAAGCGACTTGAACCAAGGTGGTAGGCTCTGTCTGGTACAAATCCCCTCCGACATGAGGGGGTCGATGTGCTCCGTGCAGTCGTTTCTTGGCAATCGATGATAAAAGAATTTGCCTCTGTTGAAATCTGCGCACCTGTTGTATGGTATAGGCTGCGATGCTGCACTTAGATTGAGTAGCAGGGGGAAGCCCTGCGCGTCCATATCTGTCGTCGTTTTTCATGATGACGAACAGAAGCTTTTTGATGAGACCTCGATTTAAGGAAGTTTGGCATTGAAAGCCAGCAGACATTACAGTCCAGGGCAATGACGACTTTGAGGCGTTTCACATGCGATGATCTATTCACGTTCAACAGCGTGAACTTGGACTTTTTTACAGAGACAGTGAGCCTCTTCAGCACAGCTTTGTATTTTATAATGACTCTCAAGTTTGCTTGCGATCAATGAGCTGATGTGTCCCTGATCGACCCTTGGTGCGCAGTACAATCTGCCCTTCTATCTGCAGTACCTGGCAAACTGGCCAGAGTACTGCTTGATGGCGGAAGGGGCGGGCCAGCAGGCTATGGGGTACATCCTGGGGAAGGTGGAAGGCGAGGACGAGAACTGGCATGGTCATGTCACAGCCCTCACTGTGGCACCAGACTTCAGGTGCAGACTATACCTTGGCTTTGCTGCAGTCCTGTCAGAACCTTCGCTGATGCAGCATTACACACCAGAGGGGTACAGTGCGGATCAACGGAAGGCTTGCAAGCCAGCATGTAAATCATTCTCCTGCTCTCAGGCGACAGGGGCTTGCTCGCAACCTAATGGATCTGCTGGAGAGCGTCACACACAAAGTGCACAACGGCTATTTTGTGGATCTGTTTGTGCGCCAGTCCAACTCCAATGCAATTGGAATGTACACAAAGGTGCAGTTCTCCCAGCTTACTTGTCATTGTCACCAAAAGTTCAGCGCTCTGCAATCTGAGACATGGAGAACGCCTGAATCGCTGCAGATGTCTGGCGAAATTTTCTCATGTTTGGTGTGGTGTCTGCGCAGTTTGGATACAGTGTGTATCGGACGGTGATTGGGTACTACAGCGGGGTGGAGGATGCATATGACATGAGGAAAGCAATGCCAAGGGATGTGCGCAAGCGCTCCCTCATTCCTATAAAGAGCAGGATATACCCACACGAGCTGGAGACAGACTGAGTGCGGCGGGAGGCCGCGCCGGTTCAGGATTAGTTTCATTGCTGTGAGTTGCAGCTTTTGTTGTGTTGGACCTGTAGAATCTTTACATGTGCCTGTTGCCAACAGTGTAATTTAAAATGTTGGCAGATCGTGTCAGGTGGCTTCTGCATCACTGGTGCACCAGTAGTACTAGAGTGGCGACTCCAACTTGGCTGAATCTGTGGGTCCTTCGAGTCCTGAATGTCATGAACTGAGTCAAGTGTCAAAACGGACAGGAGAGACGCATTTGTAATCTTGTGATTTGGGCTCAAGCTGCCAGCTACTAACGCTGCTACAAGCAGTCGACTTGTAGATTTCAAGCTTTCTGACATCACCTGCTCGGAACTTGTAAACACTGATTCATTACATGAAAATATCGGCGCCGGGCCGCGCGGCCATAGCAGACGCAGCTCGCCTGTACTTGTTTACATGGGTGTCTGATTCATCTGCTGTGGGACTTTTTCTCTGAAGCTTCATTCAGTGAATGCAGCTGCTAAGCTATCCTATCTATGGAGTCACCTGAAAGAACACTGGCATGGCACAACGGTCTTGAACAGATACAAGTGGAGTAAAGCACCTCTGCTGATGGTCCGCAATCCAAATACACAATGCCTCAGGAAGACTCGGGCTGGATGTTTTGCTGCGCCCTGCTGCCCTGAGGCACCACATTGAAGTCGACATCCAAGCAGAACAGCTGCGGCGCATCGTTCCCCTTGCCCTTGGCTGTGATGCGTACTGTGTAAGGACCCTGCAGAATCAAGCTCCAACTTGGGTCCATCAACTCACTATGGACATCAGTGAGATGAAGTTTGCAGACAATTGCAATTAGAGCGGTGCTGCAATGGTTGATGACTCGGGGTGGCCTAGCCCTGTGCTGTGTTGAGCAGTGTCTAAATCTTACCGGGGGAGTGATAATGGGGAAGGGTTCCTCCAGCGCCACTATGACGGGCCCCTTCTTCACCGGGCAGGCTGTCTTCTCGCACAGATCCTGAGACTGGCTGTAGATTGGGAAGCCATGGTATGCCACGCTGATGTCCAAGGATCCCGAGCCAATCTCGACATCTGCACAAGCACTCCTCACCATTCAGTTGCACAAGAATGCAGTCTGGGCGCATGTGACAAGTATCACGGCCTGGATGTCGTTCCAGTTGTGCAGGATACAAACCTGCTGTGGCATCTATTGTGAACTTCGCAGTGGAACCAGGAAACCTGCAGATCAATAACTTGTGTACATCAGCTATCATTGGCATCATTTTAGAGGAACAATGACTCTGAAAGTCCTGCAACACCAAAATCAAGCATAGAAATGCTATTACTAGGCCTTGGGATGCGAGGCATACGGTGGATCGGGCGTGAGGTCGACATCTTTTATGCTCGATTTGCTCTCGACATCTGTGCAAGGCTTCCAGGAAAAGGCGGCACAGCTGTGCAGCAAGGAGATGCAGAGCAAAGCGATACAAATCTTGGAGATCATCGCAGAGACAGCTGAATATATGACTTGAACACGCTCTTCCTTACTGGCAACCCAGGATTTCGACGATACTAGCTAGACTGAGAAATCATATGACCTGCACAAAGTGGGTGCGATCCTCGCTGGACTCGCCCTTCTGCTTGACTTCTGTGCTTTGCCATGCCGCCCGATCAGGCAACGTACCACGTGGCTCTGAGGGCTTCTTGATGCCGATGTAAACCCTGGGAAGATCACTTGGTTTTGCAAGGTCTAGGAAGCAAAATTCTCTACAGGGAAGTGCGTGTGAGTCCGCCGATTGAGCTTAGATTACGTGTATTGAAGTTTGTGAATGGTGTGAGTGTCCGTAGATTCCTGTGAGAACCAGGCAACTGGTGTTAGTCTGGGTTGGCGCGTGTTGCTTGGTGGGCCCTAAGCACGCGCAGGCGCGATTTGCGCCCGGTGGGGCTTTTGATACTTGTGTTGGTATCACAATGAAGCCAGCCACAGGCGGCAGGAGGGGCTCGAGCACTGGCGGCACGGGTCACAAAGCTTCACGCGGTCAGAGTCAGAGTCAAACAACGCCAACACAGATGATGTCAATGATCCATGGTGCACAAGCTGGCTTGCACACCAGGTGCGAATGTCGTTTTTATCTCATGTGCATCCTGTGAGGTACAAGGGGGACCCCCCAAGGCAGTGGATTTTGCCCTGGACGCAGCCTTGACAACCCTTTCAACGAAGCCACACAGGAGTATTGGAAGACCGTCAACGGAGTTTGGGCTCAATTTAATGATTTGACAGTGACTGCAATGATTCAATCCCCATGATTTTGACAAGCACCTTGTAAAAATGGGGATGTCTCATTTAAGTAGCGCATCCTGCTACTTTAGATATATATACCGATTGCATGGTTTGATGCATGTTGTCCGAGCCCAGCAATGACGGCTGCGTGTTTTCTGGCAATTTGTCGCCCATTTCTACTCTGCCAGGTCGTGCAGTGGTCTAGCACGATCGCACCAGCAAGACCAAAAGCCAGGTCAGGGCAGTTCGGAGCATAACTCAACATTGTGTCGTCTTTGCAATCCAAATTGGCGCACTAACGCGCATGCAACGTTGTGCAGGGGAGATTTTGAGCGGGAGATGCGGGCGTCAGTGCTCAACAAGCTGCCATCTGTGCTGCGGGAGAGGGAGTTCCCTTGTTGGAGGTGGAAGGAGTTTGACAAGGGCTTTGCATGCGTAAGTGACAGCTTGCCTCCTGGGACATTGGCGTTCTGCAGTGCTGTGAACGTGCTAGGACCCGTCAAGGACTTGACTCCTTCTTGATCTTGTGCTTCAGTCAGTTGATCGTATTACAGTGTGCTGAGGCTTTCTTTCTGGTGGAATGCAGGAATGGCTGAACCCTGAGACTGTGGTGGTCGGCACCAAGTGCAACAAGCTTATCTGCCTTAACACAACCACCCAACAGGTACGACTATCCCTGCCATCATCCCTGCTGGGCCCCTGTGACATGCTGCGCTGCAATTTACTCCTAAATTTGCATACAACCAAAGCATAGTCAACTTCACATGTGTCATCAAATGCGTCCAGCAGGTGCCTGAGATCTACATTGTTCACACATTGTTAGCACATGCTCGCAGTGATTGGCGGTGAATGCCACATTCACTGGTTGCTTGTGTTGTCCATCAGCTTTCAAAAGTGTGCAGCACAGCAGAGACATCGACGCGCGTTAATACAATTCATTAGATTGGGTTGTGGCTCCTCGTGAAATTTGAGTGTCCTGCCCTGCAGCTGATCGATTAGATTGTCTGCTGTGCCTAGGCAGGGGTCAAGGCTTCAGACAATGATCAGGACCGGAAATTCGATGATCAATGGGAGCAGGATGATAAAGAGTCAGGTGGAGGTATTTGCCTACATTGGCGTGTAACACATGCCATGACAAAAATTCTTGCACTGCGCAGTTCCAACGAGTGGCGCTACCGCGCGCGCCGCCGCGGCCGCCGGGGGTGCCGCAGCCGCTGCCGGATGCGCCGGCCGTCAACAGCTGCGGCATCCACGCGATAGCGCTCAGCCCCGACCGGCGGCTGCTTGCGACCGGCGGCGCCAACCCCTCCGACTGCCAGATCCTAGCTGTGCGCGACGAAGCCTCCATTGCGGCGGCGCCGCAGGCCCCTCAGCTTGACCCTGTGCAGACTCTAGTGGTGCGCGCCCTCGCCCTTTTACACACTTTGTTCGCAGTCATTTGCTTGATTTGCCCCTTACAGTTGTCACAAAATGGCTGCAAGTGCCCCTGGGAATTGTCAGAAAGTGTCTGCTGCCAGCTTGAGGGGGATGTCGCCGCTGCGAGTGGGCATGCCGAGGTCGTAGCAAGAGCCATAAGCATGAACATAGAGGGCCTGTCACTTGCAGAATGATGTGGCTGCGTGTGCTGCGACTGTGGGTGGGAGAGGCAGTGTGCAAGGTGACAGGCTGGCGTAGGCAGGAGGGCTACACACAGGGCGAGGATACAGGCTCACATGCTAGTCTTGTGTCTAGCTACTTGCGGCGGACAAAATTTGAAAAGGTAGATGGCAAGGTTGAAAGGATGGGTTGCTCAAAGGCACCGGGAATTATTTGATGAGCGCTGCTGGGATTATATGCAGGGCCACACGGACTGGGTGTTTGGGATCGCTTGGGTGACAGACAGGCATGTGGTGACGGGGTCGCGAGACCAGCGCCTAAACCTGTGGAAAGTGGACACAGAGCCCAATAGCAGCCCCAACCTGCAGCCTCTCGTCTCCCACTTCCATGTTATGGTGAGTCACCTCCCAGCCACCCCTGTTGTCACACTGCACTCTGAGCTTTTTAAGGTGTATTTTGGGGGAGTGGGCAACACTATTGTCCTCCTTAACTGACTGACGAAGGCCACCTTTGTCTTGCAGCAGTGTGCATGAAGCTAGCGGCCTTCTTGTTGGCTTTGCAAGGCGGCAGATGTGGATTTTTCGTATGCACATCTGTCCTCACATGTTGCTAATCTGCAGATGGGGGAGTGAAATTGAGGGAAGAAAGGAGTTGCATTTGAGGGAAGTAGATACTTTCACAATCCGCTTTGGTTGCGCCTGACACGTTGCAACGGTGCTGGCTGCGCGCAGGACAAGAGGGAAGAAAAGAATTACAAGGTGAGGGACGTCAAATTCAATCGCAACCTGGGCCGACTGGCGTCGCTCACAACCAACGGCTGCGTGCAGTTCTGGGACCCCCATGCCAACTTTGACAGAAATGTGAGCGCCCCCACCTCTCCTCTTGCGCCGTCACTGGTCTGCAACAGTGCCATGTTTTTGCTGTTCATATTGAACAAGGCGCCCCATGGTTGATTGGGCCTTGCTTGGATCTGGCGAGTCCATCAAGGGGTAGGAGATGTGGCAGCCTTTACCTTCCGCTTGTCTGCAGGCGCACCTTGCCTCTGGCAGGTAAAGCGTGAAATGGAACAGGGACCTACAAGACAGAGACCCCATCAAGGCATAGTCGTGTTTGTACTTGTCATACTGCTTGCACTGCCCTCTGGCATGCTTGCTTCGTCGTCATTTCCAGTCAAGATTTCAGGACTGCCAGCAAGCAGCTCTGGCACTGTCACTGTGTAGCACTTCTGGGTGATCCTGCCGAGGAGAGCACTCACGAAGGATTGGTGCAGGGGCTGTGCGGTGTCACTCTGTCGGATATCTAGGTGACTGTGTCAGGGAGTGGACTGAAGTGCTCATCCTAAACCCGCATTGAATAATTTATATCTGGCCAAACGGGTGTGGATGAATAGAATCCTAACTCCCAAAATGTAAACCCTTTGATGAAATTGAGACTAGATTCGGAAAGCTCTCGACGAGCCCAATCCAATGGAGCACGACCATGGTGTTTATGGAGTCAGGAAGACCCCTCGCTGCTTTGAAAAGTTTCCCGCACCCCCAGTGGTCCGAATCTTAGAATGAGCACTACAGTACTCATCAAGGAGTGTGTGGCGATGGCTGTGCAGGTGAAGTTGAAACACAGCAAGGAGGTGGTGTGCCTGGCGATGAGCGACAACCTGGTGGCAGTGGGCAGCCAGAGCCACATCACCCTCGTGGACCCCCGCCAGAAGACCCCCGTCCAAGATGTGGAGTCCCTAGATGAGGGCCACGGTGCGACCCCTAAAAAACCCCCTCCTTAACCCACACCCCATCACCCTCTTGCTATTCCCCGCATCCTGATATCCCCTCCGGCTTGGATCTGGCAAGCCCAACCAGGGGTGAAATGTGTGGCAGCCTTTAGCTCCAGCTTATGTGCAGATGCACCTAACCCCTGGCAGGAACAGGATGTGATGATACTAATATTTCCTGCATCTGTACCTTGCACCGTTGGCTTCTGCAAACTCAATGCTAGGCTATAGTCCTGCAGTGCCCCTCTTTCAGATTGCGGCGGCTGTAGTCCCCGCCAATCTGCGCGGCTGTTATACCACCCTCTGCGCGCCATGTCATACACCTTTCAATTGCACAAGTACACCCTGTAGTAAAGGCTTTGGCAATTTGCTACCGGCCCTCCTGTCCCAAGAGACCCACTTCACGTTTGCTGCAGCGTCTCTTGCCCTGCAGATGTATGCAATGATTGTGTGAGGTGATTTAGTGTGATGAGAGTCTCTCGGGGAGCCCTTTATCCAGATCATGTAGGATTGATCCTGCCAAATGAAGCAGGCATGCTGTGCATGCTGTGCCTGACTTCCACTGACCACACGTCTTGATCCTGCAGGCGTGCGCTCGCTGAACTTCCTGGACCATCTGCTGTCAGCCGGCAGCGGCCGGGGGCGAGTGTTCTTCTACGACCTGCGCGCATCGGCGTACCTGGACCTGGATATTGCTGCGAAGCGGCAGCACTTGGGCGCCTCGCTCTCCGAGCCGGAGCGTGGCTGCCTGCAGTGCGGGACCGGCTACCTCAACCAGACCGACCCCGTCTACCTGTGCGTTCCCTGCAAACCCCCTGCAATTTCCCTGTTGTCATGCGGATCTATTTTGTAACGTCAGACATCTATCCCTCTGCTGTTCTGCTGCCTTGTTGATGCATCTTTCGCTCGGCAGCATTTCTTGGGCCTTCACTGCCATGAGGTAAAGATCATAATCGTATCTGCAGTCTGCATGCTCCTGTGCATGCTGTGCAGAAGTGCCTGCTGGTGCGGCGTGTAAATTTCCGCATTCATCAAGCAATTGCCAACAATCGCATTATTGTAACCAGTGTCTGGGGTCTTGCAATGAGGCGCGGGGATCCTCATCGTGTGCCACTACCTGGTGCAGGGAGCACTTCAGCGGGGAGCAGGTCTTCAACGCCTGCTACTCGCATGCATGGGATCCCACGCGCACTCGCCTGGCGGCAGTGGGGGGTCCGCTGGCCTACGGCCTCCGCGGCAGTTACATGGCCGTCTGGAATTAGGCCTGCCCCGCCCCAAACCCGGCCGCGCCACGATCCGTTCCGGCAGCGTCTCGATCCGTTTCGGCCACGCCCGCGCCCGGCTCGCCGTCTCTCAAGACTTTTGTACTGCAGCACTGAAGCAGGCTCGTGGCAGGCTGACTGGGGAATGAGTAACCAGCAGCTGAGCTCGCCCTGCGTATAAATTTGCTCTGCATGGACCTGCTTATTCCACAAGCGGGTGCCTCTAAAATGCAGGGCGGCCGCGCCCCCCGGTGATGATGTCAGCACCTGGAGGCGCGGCATGACAAATTCAGTGGAACGGCAATTTTTTGCGTGTGTGTGTACTACTAATCCGTGGTACCTTTGCACTGACACTTCTGGCGACATCTGTACATTCTTGCTGCTCTTGGGGATATTATATCACAATAGCAGTGCCCTGTGATAAATCGCCCCCTGGGATGCATGTAAATTTAAGGGCGGGGTCTTGCAATTGGCTCTGCAGAGTCCCCTTAGAGCTCTGCTGAAGTCGAGGCACTTGTTCTTCTGCCTTTTTAGGTGGACAGGGCTGTTCAACCATGGTACTCGAATAATCACAAGAACCAAATACTTGCTCAGCGTGTGCTTTAGTTATGTAGCAATTGACTTTGACACTGGCAGCATGGAGAGGTTGGGCCTGTCTTATTGACATGAGATGGTAGACTGTGTCGTGGCATACGCTTTGTCTGTGTGTATGCAGCATTGACCCCTGAGCAATGGGATTTATCTGCTCATGAACTGTAACATTGCCAAAGATTGTGTTCTGCAGCTGAGCAGGCTTGAAAATCACAATTTTCTTTCCAAAAACCAGCACGAGAGTTCCTTGTACAAGGAATGCATGTGTTAAAGATTGCAATCACTGTAGTGGCAAATGAGACAGTCCATCTGGACAGACATCTTCAAAATCAGCAAGCACTTGCATCAAATCAAGGATCAGAAGATTTCAGCACTTGAAATCATCCACAAATGTAACACAATTCATGAATGCAAAGCACCCTGTCTGATGCACACTAAACTTGCATAGCACAGACAACATCAGGCGTTCGACAGGCACTGTACTTATCTTTCCTCGGAAAATCAATCAGAATCACATGACACCTTGTGATGACCATCCTATCCACACAATCAGGACTCTCTATCCCCACTTTTGGCATCATGTCTTCTCAACCAATCACAGGATGGCAGAGCAGTCAAACTTCAAGGCTGCAGCACGCGAGTCTGTTCTGAAGAGACAAACATCTCCAGTCGCATCTAAGGGGGCAAACTCCCATTAATAGCTTTGGCCAAACCAAAAGCTAGTGTCAAAAGAAGCTCGCTCAACAGGTCACACCGCAATCCTCCCTCGCTAAGCAAGAGCCATGCTCAGAAGAAATGTCAGGCACCTGCATCAGCAGGCGCAGAAGTACTAGAACTAGCAAGTCTGGCCTAAACATTACAAATGTGACTGTCGCTGCCATTGACAGCGACTCAGCTACCCTGAGGGGTCAATAAATGTTTGGTAGCCTTCCAGCCAGATGCGGGTCTTGACTTGTCAAACCCCAGCATAAGAAAGCTCACTCAACTGTTGTACACTCAGGCAAGGTTTGCAATTCGCACGGTGAACCTGACTATGCAGCTCCGCATGATAATCACCAGACATCGCATCAAATACCGCTAACGCAGTAAGTCAGATCAGGGTACACGTGCAACAAATGCACAATTGAGACACGGTCTCTCTCAACATGCCTGTGACGGCATGGATCTCAGAAGGTGTTGGGACGCTTTCCGTTCTGGTTAAGGAGCTTTGCGTCCGCTTCGCGTACAGCCCTCTTCAGATGCTCTGTCTGGTACAACAACTTTCCCTTCTCCAGTGCGACCTGTGTGCCGCTAGTAAAGTCAGGGAAAACAGTAGTATGGACTGTTGGTTTCCCCCACAGAATGGTCCGCTATGCAACAAGTCTACTCGCAACTTTTGCCGAGATATACCATTGATGGTCATTTGGAAGAGTGAGTAAGAGAATCACCAGCTTGAGTTGGACTTCTTGCATTTCATACTGCTGCTTGCTCGCCAAAAGCTGCACCCTGATCTTTTTAAGCTCTTCGAGGGCGCTGAGATCTGCTGGTGAATTTGAAGCACCTGGAAGAACAGTAATTGGCAGGTAAATTTTAACGCTTCATAATTGCTTCATGAGAACGAAACTCTCAGTATGTGCCAGCAAAAGCCCCTCTTGCAAACAAGAAAGCCAGTGGGCGCCTACTATGTTTGATCGTCAGCTCGGCGAGCATCCGCTCCGCTGCTGCAGCTCGAGCTTCGAAATCATCGAAGGCTAGATCATCCATCCTGAAACCAGTGCTGAGCAGGCCTTGCACGCAGATCTAGATCAGAGGGGTCTTGAGCACGAAGGGATGCTGTGGTGGAGAGCAATGTGGCTACTGTAGAATGTGTATTAACTCTCAATCGTACTGAAGCACCGCGCGGAAACTTGCTTTCGATCTGTGAAGATCAAGGATCATGTTGCAAGGTTGCTCTGCCCTACCACAGGGCCCATGATCACTTCCCTGGAATTCGAGACATTCTGAGGGTATTACACATCTAGTCCTGTGTGCAGCCGTTGGAATCGTTCTCACGCTACAAGAAGGCGATCAGAGGATCACAGCAACATTAAACCTAGATAAGGTCTTTTACTTTAAGAGATGTTGAGTTTGTTGTAGGCACAAGACGTGTTCGGGATGCCCACTTGAGGAGTTGCAGACTGGTGATCGGGTTCTGAGTGAGATATAAATTATCCATCATGTCGTCTGTCAAGACGCTAAACTCCAAGGCCGAGGTCATGGGCCGAGGCGCTGCACTCTTCATGAATATTAATGCAGCTAAGGGCCTGCACGATGTGATGCGATCCAATCTTGGTCCTAAAGGAACCATCAAAATGCTTGTGGGAGGATCGGGAGGTGCGTGTGTCTCGATTCAGAATTGCCTATTTACCACCTGTGCTGTGAGATGGGTGGTTTGATGGGAACTCTATGTGATGGTGTGATGAAGGAGCAATCCTCATCAGGAAGTTGCTATGTCTAGTGTTTTGACTTGATCAGTGTGCGAGTTCAACTTCTAACACCCATGTATGCGTCCAGATATTAAGCTCACAAAGGACGGGAACGTGCTGCTGAGAGAAATGCAAATACAGAACCCCACTGCTGTAATGATCGCCAGGACAGCAGTGGCGCAGGATGATATTACAGGGTAGGGCCATCACGCTTGATTGATTGCTTTATGACAAGGATCCTCCTCTTCACTTTCAAAGCCGTGCAGCAGAAGTGTCTTGACAGCCAGCGTGTTGCTCAGGGATGGGACAACATCGACGGTGTTGTTGATAGGGGAGCTCATGAAGCAGGCTGAGCGATATCTGAACGAAGGCTGCCACCCACGAGTCATAGCAGAGGTGCCGCTCCTCGCTTTCCTCTCAATATCTTGCTGCCTGCCTCTTGAAATCCCTGCCTGCTCGCACAAGGGTTGAGCGAGGGCGTGACCCCTTGCTCTGCTGTTTTGCAAGGGGTACGAGCATGCAAAGAAAGCGGCGCTGGAGTTCCTGGATGGCTTCAAGGAGAAGCTGGATGTGGAGGACAAGGAGATCCTGCGCTGTGTGGCGCGCACATCTCTGCGGACCAAGCTGTATGAGGACCTGGCGGACCAGCTGACAGACATAGTGGTGGACGCTGTCCTCACCATCCGCAAGCCTGATGAGCCCATCGACCTCTTCATGGTGATTCCTACCGCATGCGCTACTGCACACCACACTTGCCTGTGGAGTAGCCAGCATCCCTCTGGTGTTGGACCCCTGAAGTCCGACCCATCGGGCGTGCTGTACATGACAATGCACAGTCCACCCAGTAATCCCAAAGGGGACATTCTGATCTAAACAAGTGCTATGAACGGGAGCAATCAAGAACTGCAGTATCGGTGAGGCCAGTGAAGATGCTGAGAGCAACAGGAGCATGAGAAGCAGCGACAATTCACTCCAGCCTTAGGTGCCAGCTTGACCTACTAAATATGTAGGCACCTGGTAGGGGAGGCAGGGGGGCAGTCCATCTGTCCTTGAGCTTGCATGCATGCATGTGCAGGTGGAGCTTATGCACATGAAGCACAAGCTGGACAAGGACACTCGGCTGGTGAAGGGGCTCGTGCTGGACCACGGCTCTCGCCACCCGGACATGCCCAAGCGCCTCGACGACGCGCACATCCTGACCTGCAACATCTCGCTGGAGTACGAGAAGTCCGAGGTCAACGCCGGCTTCTTCTACAGCTCCGCCGACCAGCGTGAGAAGCTGGTGGCAGCTGAGCGCGCTGTCGTAGACACGCGCGTCCAGAAGATCATCGACCTCAAGCGCCAGGTGCTTCTGCCACTCGTGTCATACTCCTTTGACATCTTCTATGCAGGCCCAGTGTGCTCTGCAGCCATTTTTCCATCTGAAATTAGAGCATTTCCTGCTGCATGTGAGCTGCGTCTCCAGGAGGGGGAGATGGGTGTGGGGAAGATGTTGGCTGTTAGCCTGAGCCCAGGCGGATGGCAGATGCACGTGTTGAGGGAAGTCCATAAACACTGTAGGTGAAGGAAGTTTCTTGTTGAAAATGTATGGTGAGGCGTGTGGTGTGTGCTGTGGCAGGTGTGCAAGGAGACGGGGCAGGGGTTTGTGGTGATAAACCAGAAGGGGATCGACCCGATGTCGCTGGACATGCTGGCCAAGGAGGGCATCCTCGCGCTTCGCCGCGCCAAACGCCGCAACATGGAGCGCCTCACCCTCGCCTGCGGTGGTGCGCCCCCCTATCTGTGTGGCGGTTTACCTACTGGCATGCAGATCCTAGCATGGGGTGTTAATTTTTGCAGACGAATTGGCAAAGCGGACAGAGCCTGCAAGGCACTACAGGCCTGCACGCCACATGATAGCCTTCATGCATTTCGACCCTCGTTTTCCTCCTTTGCGCATTGTATAGTTAAATGCATCAAAGTGACTGCCGCAGCACAGCACTTTTGGGCAGCCTGCCTTCCACCAGTTGCACTCCCGGGCAGTTGCAGCAAAAAGATCTATCTTTTGGCAGCATCAAATGCAGCACTGGGCGGACAATGCTCACGGGTGCGCACGTTTTGTCGCAGGCTTTGCGGTGAACAGCGTGGAGGAGTTGGCGCCGGATGTGCTGGGGCACGCGGGGCAGGTGTACGAGCACATCCTGGGCGAGGAGAAGTACACGTTTGTGGAGGACGTGCGCAACCCGCACTCCTGCACCATCCTCATCAAGGGCCCTAGCGACTACTCCCTCGCCCAGATCAAGGACGCCATCCGAGACGGCCTTCGCGCCGTCACCAACGCCCTCGCAGACGGCGCCGTCGTCCCTGGAGCCGGCGCCTTCGAGGTGCGCTGTTTTGCATTGTTCCTAGATTTGAATTCTAGCCTATTCATAGCCCTACCTTGCACCCCTGTGCACCCCTTGCTGAGTAGAGGAAATCGAGCTATGTCCCTCCACACTTGCCTTGCATCACAGTGGCCTGTTGTTCCACGGTTGCATGATGATCATGATGCGAAGAGGCACACGAACCGTATGTGCCATGGTTTGTGTGGTTACTAGTTTCCGAGCACTTGCAGCCTCTGTCCGCCTGGATGCTGGCCTTTGAGAAGAGGGCACAAATGCGCAGGGTTGGATCTGCGCTAGTATTTACAACTATCTTGACCAAAGAGTAATGGGGTATTGCAGGTGGCGGCAGCGAATCACCTGCAGGAGGTGACCCGGAAGGAGGTGGAGGGCCGCGCCAAACTCGGCGTGGCCGCCTTTGCCGAGGCGCTCCTGGGCATCCCCAAGATCCTCGCGGAAAACTCCGGCTACGACGCCCAGGTGCCGAACACAGTCGTTGCTTTCCTCGGAGTTCTTGCTGTTCTGTGCCCTCTGTGGGCGTGGAGTATGTATCTTGCTCATGCCGCTGGATGCTTACTTGCCCCTTCAACCTGGGCGATACTCAAATGTACGCCTGCTGTAGCAGCATGCCCATATTCCATGTGGAAGCTGCTGATGCATCCTTTGCCAATGAGCAGGTCAGACATCCAGGCCAGCCGGAATGCGGTCACCAAACGACCCTTAACATCCGGGATGCTGCCCCAATGCAGGACACTATCATTGCGCTGGGCGAGGAGGCTGCCAAGGGCAACAAGGTGGGCTTAGACGTGGCGACTGGAGAGCCGCTAGACCCAGTGCTGGCGGGTATCTATGACAACTTCCTGGTCAAGCGGCAGATGCTGCAGAGCGCGCCGGTCGTGGCTTCTCAGCTGCTGCTCGTGGACGAGGTCATCCGTGCCGGCATGAACATGCGCAAGGCGTGATGTCAGCAACAATACTACCGCTGATGTCAGCGCTGCCGGCGGCTGAGATTGGCTGGAAGTGTGAGCGTCGAAGGGATGACTCTGTTGTGTCATCCTGTGGACATCTGCTGCAGAGCAATGGGAGTGAGGGCTCTCCTTTGTCTGCTGCTGCCAAAGTGACGGATGGACCAACAGGATCAAGACTAGCTGGAAAGAACATTCTTGCGGTGAACCTCGGTAAATCTCCCCAGGCGTGCTGTGGGCCACTCAGACATGTGAGCAGAGGCTCCTGGAAGGTGTCAATGGGACAGTTTGACATTTGCATGTGTCTGTTTTGGCATCTAGAGTCAGGGCAGCCGCTGCAGCTGTGGGCTGATCACAGCATGAGGCTGCAAGAAATGCACTGATCATCTGAAGAGCGCATGTGCCTAGTTCTAATGCATGCTGAGCTGCAATCTGCAGCTGCTAATTGCAATGCAGCCTGAAATGACCGCACAGTCCTGAGACTGTCATTCTAATACTACCTAGTAGGCTGCAATGAAATTGGTATTGCTGGTGCTGGAAAGCTCCCACTATCACATTGTTCAATGATGCAATTGCAATGATTGCAATGGTTGCATGCATTTGCAATCAATAACCCAAAGCACTCCAGATGAGCTCTGGGTGCAATAGACCCGAATTTGTGGGAGGGGGTCCCAGGTTCGCAGTGGCACTGCGGGCACTGCCTATATTTAGGGTTGCCTCAGGTCACTTACACATCCAGATGAGATCTCTAGACTTCATCATAATGTTATCTGCCAGTGGGGGGCCGAGTTGATCGTTTATCCCGTTGCTGTTTTGTACATGCACATTCACTCGAAACTTTGAAGAAGTTGTCCTGCCATCCTCGCCATTCCGGATGGGGTAACGTTGGAGGAGCGAGATTATGAAGATGTGTGGGAGTCAGTCCAGTACCGTCACCTGTGAGGAACGCCCCAACAGACCGGTCCCTGCACGATGTTGTATCGACATCGACCCACCCTCAGGCTCCTCCCGAAAAGCCTACCACGATTAGACCATCATCTGGTAACAAAAGCTCGCCAGATAGTAAGAGAGGCTTGGGATTGATGATCTAGAGGAGAGCCGCGTGTGGAGGAATTCGGGGTGTCTTTCCAGTCTGCAGCTCCTCCGTCACCGGTGCTTGTGTGACTGCAGCCACGGAAGCCACAACACGGCATACTTCATCCTTGAATGGCCATCTTCTAGTCTCTGATAGCCTTCCGAAGACTTCCACTGGATGTATCGAGCGTAGCGCTGCTCCCCTATGGTGAGGATCGCGCGAGCTCGCTAGTATTGTATGAGGTTCGCGATCACACGAAGCGTTCAGCGTGTGACGGATTAAACGTGCATTCGATGCGTAGTATCTGCTTTACAATGTTATAAAGGTATATTGGGACACATTGATGCATTTTGTCGCCTTACACCTGGCGCCAGCTGGTACCAGCATGGGAATTAGGGTGCGCCGATTGCAGCCGTATAAAGCATCGAAGATCGAGGTACTGGGCGTGCGCTGGGTATGCGTGGATAGAAGGTTTGCAACATCGGGGGAGGCGGGCGTGAGCACGCGAAAAGGAAAACAATGACGGCGCCTGCTTATTCACAAGACGCAGTTGAGACTCAGGGCGCCTGCTTGCGCTCGTCCTCCAATTTTTCATGAAAGTGCGCGTGTATTCGCAGGGGACACAGCATTACCAGCACGACATATAGAGCACCGAGGCCTGGATTCCGAGCAGGGTCAGGTAGGTCGCGCTCTTTTTCGACAGCTTTGGCACTTGCGTGTTGAGACTCTATCACAACCGATGGAGCATTTTCCATCGTGCACGTACCAAAGCGGTGGACCTTAAAGAGGGATTCTTGCACCTCGGATGCGATCATCGGGCGTTATGAGCTGTCAAGAACGTATGTAGTACAGATGTGTCATGCAAGTATCTGGCATATGCCATCCGCACTTGAAGTGGAGAAATCTGAGACGCAGACCGTTGAGAGATACGTCTTTAGCAATTTGTGGGATTTTCATGCAGGCCTATGATAGCTCGGAGGCGCAGCTGCCTCTCAGCTGCATGGATTCTGCTGCTCTGCCTGGCAGCATCAGCTGCAAACCTACAGGCAGGAACTGGTGAGGCCGCAGCGTGGGGAGCCGCGGATGGGGGCAGCCACGCCAGGAGTTTGAAACAGAACAGGCCCCCCTGCGTTGGGCCAGCTTGCGGACCCCCCGGTGCAGCGGTGGGCCCGGGTGTGGCCCAGCCGGCCGCCAATACCGGCCCGGCCGGGCAGGCGGCAGCCGTGGCTGCGGCAACAGGGCCGCCTGCAACCACCGCAGCGCCTTCCGCACCCGCAGCGGCGGGTGCTGGTACAGCAGCCGCCGGCGCTGCCGCGGCGACAATTGTGCCGGTTCCTGAGCTCAACTCCACAGATGGTGCGCAGACCGCTGTCGCGCCACCGCAGTGACTGCTCTCAGCCTGGCAAAGCCGTAACTTGTAAGGGGTGGCCAAAGAGCCGCCTGCTGCAGGCCGCATGCAGTGCACCTGAACCTGTCTGCTGCACAAGCAGAAGGACAGTGCGCGTATTTTGTATGGAGGGGCTGAGCTATGCTGGGCGTGTGGGGGCTGATCAGGGGTGTGTTGGTGCTGTGCAGTGGCGGCGCTGAAGCTGCTGGCGCAGTCCTTCGCCAACTTCAAGGGGATCGGCCTCAAGGGCTGGGACTTCTCGACCAGCCCCTGCCAGGGCTGGTCCGGCGTCACCTGCAACAAGGACGGCCGCGTAATCAAATTGTGCGCCACCCATCTTCGCATCCCTCAGCACACACTTTTTCACATGGCACCGCCAGCCTGAGGAGTACTTCTCTCATGTGCCAAGGCCTGTGTTGGGGTGTAGGACAAATTGTGCAATGCGGCTGGTATTTCTTGTAATCATCTGGCATGCTGACTTATCAGTGCCCATGTGCCTGCAGGGACCTCGGAGGCTGGAACATTGCCGGCCGTTTGGCGCCAGAGTTGTCTGGCCTCGACCAGCTGCAGACCCTGTGCGCACCTTTTCCAGCTCCCATGTCAATTTTGCCTGCCCCTCATGCAAGCATTCCCCATGTTGTGCATCTGCCCATTATCAGAGTTTGTGTGCTGGCCTAGGGCCTCCGCTTGTCAGGCTAGAACAGTAGTGGGGAGAATTTCTTGGTTGATGACTCTGCTGTAGTGCATGGGGTTTAATGGGAGATGTTTGTGCAGGAATATGAGCGGAAACAACCTGACAGGCGGGTTGTCCTCCTTGTGGGGCGGTCCTGGGGTGTTCCCCAACCTAGTGTCCATGGACCTGTCTGGCAACTACCTGCTGGGAGGCATCCTGCTCACCCAGTGGGGCACCCCTGGATCCTTCCCCAAGCTAGAGGTGCTTCCTTGTGCCTTCCACTGCCTGGATGCTAATCCCATGTTCAATCTTGATCGACCCCTTTGCATCCTTGCAGCCATGTTGCAGGGACCTGGCGGTGTGGCATCACAGATATTGCCATTCTCATTGGCCAGTACTAAAAAAGATCATCTCGGATGGTGGGCAAGAAGGTCTGCATGTTTGCAAGATCAGTCTAGCCTGTACAGGCATTGATGTCTGAAATTGTATTGCACTTGTGCAGACACTGCGGCTGACGAACACTGGGCTGATGGGCCAGCTGCCGGTGCTGTGGGGGGTCAATGGAAGCTTCCCCAGCTTGTCCACCCTGGACGCCTCCAGAAACATCATTTCAGGTGCGCGCATACAGTCGCGCTTTTGTTCTGTCAGATCAGCCCACCACTTGCAAAGCGACCCATCACTGTCAGCACCCTTGCAGCTGCCTGCAAATTGTGTGGCTGTCTGGCTTGCCTGGCAATCGCGCCTGCAGCACTGCAAACGGAGGCATGCAGCTGGCGGGGACTGATTTGCAAGGAGAATGAGAAAATCACGACCCAATCAGAATACAGCAGAGGCTCTTAGTCTTCATGATCCAAGCCGCAGAGCACTGGACAAGATGTGTGCATGAGCGGCTTGGTGCATGCGATTATTTTGTGCTTTTACCGGGAAATCACATGCGCCAAGCTGCCTAATGCGTCCTCCGATTTACTAGTGTGCATGGGCCTAATGTTGAACAAAAAGTATGGATTCAGCTGCTCTTCTTCTTCACGCAGGGCCGCTGCCTGCGTCGTGGGCCTCGCTGGGTGCGCTCCCTTCACTGAGCAGCCTGGTGCTCTCGGCCAACAACTTGTCGGGCAGCCTGCCGCCCGAGTGGGGCGCCAATGGCACCTCCCTCACAAGGCTACGCAAGCTTGATCTGCGCCAGAACGGCCTCTCCGGCTACCTGCCAGACCTGTGGGGCGCCGGCTTTAAGGTGATTTAATTGTGCCCTCTCCCATGTGTTCCTACTGAGGAGATCTTGCTAACAAACCTTTTGCAATACATGGTCCTTGGGGCTTGAGAGGTTTGCCTTGGATCATCAGTTGGCAATCAGAGTTGCCACGCAGGGCTCTATTAGATGAGCTGTTAGGAATTCCTTTGCATAGTCTTGAGTCATGCATCGTCTGTCTAGAGGTGGTTGCTCTCACAAGAGTGGCCCAGTCTGACCTCGGAACACTTTCGGTGTGGAGATGGGAAGACTGAATGCAAGCATGCATGCGTGCGCAGAGCATGGAGGTGCTGTCGCTGCAAGAGAATGACTTCATGGGCGAGCTGCCGATGAGCTGGGCCGCCCCGGGGCGATTCCCAGCGCTTGGCTACTTGGACGTGTGGAAGAATTCGCTCTCCGGCGCGGTTCCCGCCACCTGGGGCAACTGGAACGCCTTCCCTGCCCTCAAACAACTGTGCGACCCATCCTCAATTTGCTCCCTGGACATGCTTGATCTGCTGCTGTGATACTCACAAGCGCTCTGCCAAATCTACTTGAAGATCATGTTGGTATCGACGACTGTGCTGAGATACAAGGAGCGACCCAAAAGAATGTCCTGCAATCTGGACTGCTTTTGGACAGTGTCCTTGCATGCATGCATGGTGGTTTGCTGATGCTTCAATCGATGCATGTGCAGGAGCATCAAGCCGGGCAACAGTGATCTGTGCGGGTGGGTGCCTGACCGGCTGGCAAACACAACCGGTCTCAAGAGCGGCTATCTGGGCAACTGCTCTTTGCTCTCGCCGCCGCGGCCGCGCATCCTGCCTGCCCCCCTTGCCCCTGCGCCAGCACCATTAGTGTCTGCCTTCTCCATCTTCCCTCAGGTGTGTGCCTGCCATTGCCGTCGCTCACCGCTATTCCGGTGACGCTTGTGGCCAGCTCCGTAACTCCATCCCACGCGAATGCCTCAAACAATTTCTAGGGGATGCTGTAAACTTGCATTCGCCAGCCTGAGCGGGGGAAGTAATCTCTTGAGTGGGAGAAGTGTCTGAGCAGCAGCTGTGCATGTCACGTGCAGGGCCCTGTTCTGGCGCCGGTGGCCGCCCCCGCAGCAGCACTGCCGATCACCCCGGTCATGCTGGCGCCGGCAGCCGCGCCGCTCGCCGCGCCGATCCTGCCGGTGGCGACGGCGCCGGCCGCCAGCTCCGTAGTTGCGCGCTTCGCAAACCTTACGGCCCCAGGGAACGCCACCGAAGCCGCGCCGATTCTGCCAGCCGCAGCTCCGGCGGCAGTGTTGGCGCCTGTGGTGCCGGCGGCAAATGCGACCGTGAAAACGGTGGTCGCGCCGATTTCCGCGCCGGTGGCCGCTCCCATGGGGCCTCAGGCGCCGGCAGTCGCCCCCGTGGCCGCGCCCGTTACGGTCCCGGCACCCATAGTCGCGCCCGTTCCGGTTCCAGCGCCCATAGTCGCGCCCATTACGGTCGCGGCGCCCGTGCCCGCGCCTGTAGTCGCGCCCGTCAAGGCGCCGGCCCCCGCGCCTGCCGCGGCCGTAGCCGTGCCTCTTGTCACGCCGCCGCCGACCCCAAAGGTGAGGGCAGCTTGACATGCATGCTGCACACCCAGCCAGCTCTTTGTTCTGCATGTCAGCCATGTCAGCTGTAGAGTTTCTTCTCAAGGATCTGCGTGTGCAAACGAGGAGAGCTTTTCCAGCGAGATGTCCTTGATCGGAGAGGAATTTCTGATCGAGCTGTTGCTGTGCAGAGCGCGGGCTCGGCGGCAATGGCAGAGCCGGATGCGCAGGCGGCCGCGGCGCCCCCGTCGCCGCGGGCGCAGCCGAAGCGCACTCCGGCAGCCGCCTCCGACGCGCCGGCTGACACTGCTGCCGCGCCGTCCCCGCCTGACGGCACTGTTTCCAGCTTCATCCCTCCCTCTAATGACCCCAACACTGTCTACCTGCAGGCACGCCCACATCCCCTTTGCCATCTATAATTGATCACACTACTGAAATCGATTTGTTTCTTTTAACTTGTGAAATTACTACCATTTGGATTTGCTGAAAGCAGAACCAGGATCCCGGTCCCGAGAGCTTCAAGGCTTTTGAGAGCATGAGGTTCCAGCTGAGCTACAGTGCTGATGAGGTGTGTGAGTCACCTGGAATGATGTGGTCGTGTCCTGAGGGATGTTGTGTTACCCACAGGCGTCCTACAACCTGACGGGAGTGGGCCTGGCGCCCGTAAACGCGACCACCCGCAAGCGCATCCAGACCGCGCTCCGCAAAACGCTCGGCAACGGCGTCAACGCGACTCTGCTAGAGGTCGGCTCTGCGGGCTCACCGCCCGCTGACTCATCCTCCTCCGCCGACTCATCATCCACGGATGCCACATCAGTGGACGCGGCGCCTGCCGCTTCACCGGACGCCAACATTGCTGGTATGGCGTCTTTCTTGCACTTTGTCTTTCCACTACTTATTGCTGCTGCTTCACTAATGTTGCAGGAGCTCTGCATTTGCCTGGCTGGTTTGAAGCTTGCAGGCTGTGTGGCCAAGATTCTCCAGGCTACAGGCTGGAGCTCCGCTGTGAAGCATCAGCAGCAACGCCACTGGCTTGAGCCTTGTTTCACAGCATGAGATACCCAATTTGCACGACAGAGTGATAAGTAGGTGCTGTGAGCAAGAGAAGGTGACATCAGATGTCACCCACGGCAGGTGCCGGGAGGCGGCTGCTGCGCGTCGGGTCTGCCATTGCAGGCGTTGGCAACACAGCGGACACGTCAGGCGACAGCTCAGCAGGGGATGCCCCGGCAGCGCCCAAAAAGAAGATTACCGTGGCGGCGCGTTTTGTGCTCACAACGACCCCGGACCAGATGGCTGTGGTTGCGCAGAACGTGGCTGCTGACACCACAGTCACAAAGTTTGAGCAGCAGCTCAAGACCGCAGGTGCGCGCATGCTTCTCTTTTTGTCCTTTTTCCATCTGAGTCTCTTGTCTGCGCAGAGCATCCAGTCTTGCACACCCATGAAGGTTCTCTTCACACTGCCTGCAGAATGACATCCGGCATTTGGACCCAGATTTTGCCGGATAACTCTGCGGGCTTAAACTCTCCCCGAAAATGCTGGGCATGCAAGTTGGGTAGACAGTGGATTTCAGCAGAATTCGGGGAATCGCCAGATGTCATCCTGCAGGTTTCAAAGTAGATGGGAGATTCACAAGGTGCACACCAAACATGCAGCAAAACATGGTGCACACATTTGTGCTTATGGGAGGATTGCTGACAAAGAATGTGTCACTGCAGGGCTGCCCAACACGCGGTCTGTGTTTACGGACGTGTCACAGATCGGCGTAGATGGCACGCTGACCCCGGTGCCGGAGGGTGACTCATCGGCGCCTGTCGCCACACCGGCAACTGCATCGTCGTCATCTCCCTCTGCAACCCCATCAACTCCCCTTGCAACACCCTCGCCGACCCCTGCAGGTTTGCCACCACTGTCTTTCCATCTTTTGCCCTTGCCCAGCAACTCACTCCTGCACTATGCTTGCCATGAGCATGGCAGTTGTCACAAATCTAAACCCCAGATGTACCTGGTCCACAGGACTGGAAGACGTGTAATGACATTAACAAAATGATGATGACGATGATGGGGAGGGGCAAGCGGCTGATGGGGTTTCAGGTGGTGCAGTGTCTGGCTTCCTGACGGGGTCACCCACGTATTCAACGGCGTCTGCATCGGCTGACAGCGGCTCTGGCGGCTCTTCAAAGCCAAATTCTGGCGCCATTGCAGGGGGTGTCATAGGCGCTCTGCTGGCCGTCACTCTTGGCAGGTAAGCCCCCCCCCCCCCCCGAAGTATTGGGCTGCCCTTTCCAGTCTGCGGCATGGTGTGCAGCCTGACAAGTGCTATAAGTATGCATTGGGAGCTTGGTTGACGAGAAATTGCTTTTGCTGAGTGAGTGAGTGAATGAGTGTTCTAACGCCAGAGTGGGTTGCAGGGTTTGGGGCATGGTATTACATGAAGCGGAAGCATTCGAGGGATGATCTGGCGGGGAGCGGCGGCAAGGCAGGGTCGCGTGAGGGGCAGATGCACTTGGCAGAGGAGGATTACGGAGGGGGTTCCATGAGGGGCCCACTGGGGGGCCAGCTGGGGGGCGCACCCCTACCCATGAAGGGGGGGTCCGACTCCCGCGGCGCTAACCCTGACAAGGTGGCTGCCATGCTGGCGGCGACTAAGGCCGACGCCGCTCGCGCTCGGTCTCAGCGGCTGCCCTCGCTTAAATTGCCAGGTGCGCAGAATCGCTTTTTGTCAAGTCTGGGGCTCTCTCAAAACTGGGTGTTTCTCGCAGTGTCGCAGCAAAGCTTAGGGGTGCTGGATTATGGCATTGTGCTTTGCTTCTTACAAGACCTTGGGGCAGTGAAGAGGAAACATGATGCAATTGTGATGTGAGCATGGGATGCGAATGCGCAGATGTGAAGCCGGGGCAGAAGGACGCGGCGCCGGCGGCGGCCGCCGGATACACTCCGCCGGCGGTGGTTGGAGGCAAGGCCGAGGACAGCGCGAACGAGCACGACGACAAATCTGAGGCATCGGACAAGGCTTTGAGTCGCAGCGAGAGCACAGAGCCGTCGCCGCTTACCCCCTCGCAGGCAAGCGCAAAAGCGCTGGAAAAGGGGAAGGGGAAAATGGTGCAGGGGCGGCGCACCGACTCGGCCAGCTCCCTCAGGTGCGCGCAGCCCGCCGACATGTGCCGCCACACCTTGTAGCTTGACGGCCACGGCATGCACACTTGCACTCAGTTGCATGCCTTGTGCAATTGATTCCTCCCTGCATGTTTTACTTATATCCTTGAAATCTGGTGCACAGTTCTGCAGACATGGACAATTCAAAGGTGCACGGAGTGTAGGATATTGAGTAGGTTGTGACCCATGAGAATCCAAACAAACACTCTCTGTGCAGGTCTGTCATTACGGACCCGAGCGGGCAGATGACGGAGGTTGCGGGGCCGTCTTCCAGCTCGGACGCATCCGGGTCCACGGCTGGATCGACTGTGGAGTCCCTGTCTGGCTCTGAGGGCATGGCCCCTATCCAGACGGTGCGAGCACACTACCACTTTCACCTTGCCGCGTCTGTAAATCCACATCTGCAGCTTCACCACAGCTCCTGCAGCATGTCATCAACCCCCTTGCAGAGGATATTGCAATTTTGGTGGCCCTTCTGGCCATGCTCCTGCATCGTCTAATTGCATCCGCAGAGGCTTTAGCAAAACTGGGATTACCTTTCTGGCATGCTAGGGAGTCGCACATAAGGTTAGCTGTCGTGTTTGCTACAAGGTAACTTAGGTTTGGGGCTGAGGAGTGGCATGTGTGGGTGTTGACGGCTCAGATGATGCCGACACAGGGGTCGGGTGCGGGAGACAAGTACCTGAAGGAGGCCGTTACGCCGCAGTCGACGCGCAGCAGCCGCGGCGGCTCCGGCGCTCGGCATGGCGGCTCCCGCGCGCCGCTGTCGCCACACTACGGCGAACCCGGCCGCAGCCGCGAAATTCAGCGGGTGCGCTGCCTTCCTGTTGATTGGGCATAGGAGCCGGTGTACCTGACATGAATGGCTGATGTGCACTCGAACTTTGCTCAGCAAGCTTGCCCAGAGTTGTGCTGCCTACATGTGCTGATGAGCATGTAGTTTGTGCAGCTCTGACTGCCACGGGTCACTGGTGTCATTCACTTCATCGGGGATGTTATTGTGTTGGTGTGTCATGCTGTTGGTGCAGCAAGAAGGGCAAGGTCCCAACAACCTTTGGGTTTGGTATGAGGTGGCAGTTTTGTTTCTCTGTGCAGGGGCGCAGTGGGAACATTCTGCAGCACCTAGCGGCGGAGCTGCGGCGCGCGGAGGCGTCCGGTAACACGGACCGGCTAGTGAGCTCGGGAGGAGGGAACGTTCCGCGCGGCGCCACGTACCCGGCCCCCGGCCAGGGCGTGCGACGGCGCCAGTCCGACCCGGACTTCCTCGCGCAGATTGCCGGCGGCCAGCCGCCGCAGTCCAGGCGCGTTCCCTCCCTTGTCCTCTTTCGTGCTTTATTGCTCGTCTTGTGCTGTGAACTCATGTGTAAGCATCAGGTGCGGACTCTGACTGAATATGACAGAGAAAATACAGAGCTCCTTGGCGTGGGCACCTTCATCATTGTGCTGATCACGCCGAGCACTTTGGGTCAAATACAGTCATTGACCAGGGGTTGTTTGTCCTGGCCCTATTGATGTGCTTGCACTCTCCTGGTTGAACCCATCATAATTGATTCTGTAAGAAGAGGCACAGGTGAGCTTCTGCTGAGGGTGTGGGTAATTGCGCGCAGGGAGCAGACGCTGAGGATGCTGCGGCTGCTGGAGGAGCGTGAGTATCAGGCGGCCAACCTGGCGCGTGCGCGCAGCGGAGGCGGCCGCAGCGGCACCTCCCGCCAACTCATGCGCGACGACCTCGGCATGCCCATCCAGGTGACCCACCCCAAATCACCCCTACAGGAGATTATTGCCTTGCAAGCTTTTCCATCACACTCTTGACATGACAGGTCCAGAATCAGGGCAGATTCGACAGCTAGACACTTCTCATTGCATAAAAAAGAAGATCCTGTGCACACACCTTGCAGATTGTGCGAGCGATGTGCATTATACCATGAACATTTGAGCTTCGATTGCCCCTCTCGGGCAAGGCACTCTGGCTTGCCCCCGCGCCACCGCCAAAAAAACAAGCACCTTTGAACTCTGCTTCTCAGGCGCTCATTTTTACTGTGCACGCGCATGGCACGCAGGGGATGCACGATGCGCGTGGGTTGGAGCACCGGCTGGGATCGCGCGGATCGGGCGTCTGCTTCGTGGACATGCGTCAGCCTCAAGGCGGCGGCGGCCGCAGCCGGTCGTCGGCGCTGGCCGGCATCGAGCGCCTCAACTCCGGCGGCTCCGAGCAGCGCCTCTACCGCTCCCAACGCTCTGACGGTGCGCGCATTATTCTTTTTGACACGGTCCTCTCGTGCTCCCTCCAAGCTCAGTGATCCACCCACGCCTGTGGTTGATTGTCCTTCTGGACTGGCATCGCATAATCTCAGGCAGCCACACAGCAATGGCGCTTGTTTCTTATCAGGCCTCCATCAGGCATGCGCCTTGCTCATCCGCTGCAGGCTTGATGGCAGCATGTTTGTCCAATGCATGCTTAAGTGCCCATCAGCAGGCTGTGTGGTCCCTCCTTGCTCGAAGTTTTCGTCCCTGGAACATTCTGCCCAGTGGTTAAATTTTAAGGGGAATGTCCGGGTTGTCCCACTCCAGATGGCATGTATATGTTTTGGCAACGAAAGCATTTTGCTTTCAATTCTTCTGTTCTCCTTCATCTCAGGATCCCTCTCTTTGGATCAAAGATGAGTAAGGGAAAACGCGGTGCATTCCAGGTCTGGAGCGGGCGAACAGCCAGGGATCGGGCTACGGCAGCCTGGGAGCGCCGATGGAGCCGGTGGGTGAGCACCGCGAGCTGGGAGGCGGCGGCTGGGGCAGCGCCATGAAGATCTTGGGTGAGATGGAGCGCGAAATGGCCGACGCCCCCGCCGGCGATCTCTCCGACCGGTGCGCGCCTTTCACGCCCCCTGGAAATAGTTAAGGGGCAAAACCTACCTGACAGAGTCTGGAATTGTAGTACTCAATCTACACCCCTCAGAAAATTATCATACATATTCTAGCCGCCGAGGTTTCTGAGGCGCCTAGCTCCCACAAACCGCCTTGTTTCCATTCTGACCGCTTTGGCTTCAAGTGCCGCAGATGTTGGGGCCATAGGAGGAAATGCCCCTGTTCATAATATCATATACCATAAATACATGCCGGTTCACATATTTAGCTTGAGATTGCCAGAGATGCATCACGGATGTGTGGTGACAGTGGATTTGGCCTGCCAGACTGAGTTTTGATATAAATTGCTTTCTGTTGCAGGATTGCGAGGAGGTCTCGCAGCAGGGACTTAGACCCGTCATCAAGCTCTGGAGGCCGCCGCGGATCCAGGAGGTGATCAGGATGCCAGCTGGAGCAAAGGGAACACTTTCCATGGGCGCCCAAGTGGACCAAGACATTGAAAAGCTGCAAAGCCACGAGATCACCCCCACAGTGACATAGCCACAGGCGGCACACACCCACCCACCGCTAGACGGATCAACGAAGTGCGCGCCTTCTTTTGAGGCCCTGCCTTTGCGCAGGGCAGAAATAGCTGGGTCCCAGATCGCTAGAGGGGGATTGGAGGGTAGGATGGAGAGGCGATGGGGGCTTCTCCTGATCTCGGCAGTGTGTATTGGGGCTTGCGCAAGGCACGCAAGCTTTGTGTGTAGCATTAGAGATTGGGGCATTAGCGCCTTTCCAGGCAGGTGACTTGGGTGGATTCACATGCACTGTGCATGCGCGAGACGCAGGGCACATTGCATGTGTTCATGAGAAGAACCCACTGAGAGGCCTGTCAGGAAGTCTGTGCAGAGGTTTGTGCCGACATTCGCGGCACAAATTTGGTTATCATCGAAGGAATAATTGATTGTAAGGTTGTCTGATGCCCCCAGTAGTAGTAGGGCCTCCGTCATAATCCCCCCAAGGGTTTCCTTGCCACCGTATAAATTTTGCAGTCGACAGCAGAATAAGTGTCCCAGGCTTGGCACGTGTGATGCGTATCCTCTCCCAGTATGGCACATCCACACCCCATTCTTTAGCTGCCTTTGCGGTAGGATTTGGCGGGATTCGTCTATGCGGTAGGATTTGGCGGGATTCGTCTAAAGTTAAAATTGAAGAGAAGTAGGTTGTCACAAGGTCAAGCAGGAATCAGTTTTTATTGTAGGGGTTGGATGATGTGATCATCTTGATTTACTCGGGGTGAAGCAGTGTATGTCACCCTCTCTGTTCTTGCGGAGCCAGGGCCTTTTGCTCTTTTCTTCCTTCTTGAGCGGACAATGCGCATTCATTACTTGAGCTCGGTTCAACTCTTGTGAGGGTTTAGTTGCTTCTGGTTGATCAGGCATCCGGTGGTGGCTTTGCTGGGAATTCCCCTGGCTGACTTTGTGTGCTCAGGAGCAAGCACTGAGCAGGCACTGACAGATACTTGGAATTGCTCACTGACAGGAAAAGCACTGCCATGTGAATCACACATCCATTCATGTCCCACATTTGTTTGACAAACGCCCCCATTGAACATTCAGAACCCACCATGAACTTTTATCATCAGTGCAATGCCTGGAGATTTCCTTCTATATATGACATGTATGTGGCATGCCAGTGTAATGGATGTATCTGCCTGAAAGTGTCAAACGCTGTGCTAACAGTCAATCCTGCTTGATTGACTCATCACAATCTCAAGCGCTTTTCAATAAATCTCTCAGCGGCATTGTCAGCCTCTGTTTGGGTTCTGACTGCAATTTTGTCCAGGAGCCTGTGCGCACATCAATTCGACTTTGCAACTTCTGCAATCATCTTCACATGCTTGATACTCATGCATGTTCAGAGCGGCCTCCCACTTTCTTGCTGAATAAGCATACTGAAGCTGCACTCCTCCCAACGCTGAACAGGACAAACTTGACCCACACCTTGACTGCTTATATGCTGCAGAACAGCGGCAAGACGAGCTGCACAGAGGAAAAGGACATGGCTGAAGTCAAAACAGAGAACAGAGCCTTATGGCCTCCCAAGCAAAGCAAGCAGCCAACTTTGACCCCAGCTTCACCCAGTGCAAAGCACCAAGCCTGCAGAGGAGGCCTTCAACGCTTTTGTGTGTGAGGCATAATACACGGACCCCGCCACTGCCACTGCCCCTGCATCAGCAGAACTTCCAGCGGTTTCCGCAGTTTGTGCAAGTGACAAAGGTAGTCATGGGCTCATCGGCGCTGCGCGTCTGCATCTGGTAGTACTGGCACTTGCGCTGCTTGCACTTGCCGCACTGGAACTGATCCGTGGTTGCCTTCTTCATGTGCTGCCCTCGCTCCGCCTCAAACAGCGCAGTCTTGCGGATCTGCGCGTTCTCGCTCTTGCGGGCGTCACTCGCCAGCTCCTCCGCTGACAGGTTCACCAGCACGTCACCTGCGCGCACATGCATGTCAGCTAGCGGCACATGCCGCCATCCTGGCTCCTGATTGGAGCTCTCCCAGATATGTCTGCTCGCCGGCTCCCTGGTCACCCGGGGCGCTCACTTTGGGACACAAACAGACTATACGATGACTTTCTGGATGCGCCAGGCCCACCGCAGGACAGCAAGCAGAAGAAGCACCAGGAGTGCCATTATGAAGACCCATTTATCTGCCATGACCACTTCATAACGTCAAGTCTTGCACGGAGCATAAGCATGCAGCTTATGCAGCACATGCGTGTATGCGAAGATTAGTTCATTCTTCTGCAGCGGCGCACCGGTGATCTCGCCGGAGAGCACGCGGCGGCGCAGGTCGGGGTTGTTGGCGTCCTTCAGGTTGAAGATGAGGCTGCGGTACTTGGCCTTGTAGCGCGCGTTCACGCCGCCGTTCTGCCGGTGCATCGCCGACTCCGCCTCGGCCGCCGCCGCGCCGGCGTCCGCGCCCGGCACCGCCTCTCGCGCCAGCAACAGTGCCTCTGCAAACAGCTGCCGCGTCTTGTCCCTGCGCAGGCGGCGATTGGTCATCAATGCCAGCGTGCCAAAAAATGGCGCCAAGAGTTGATTATTTGATGGGCGTAGGCAAGCATGCCCCTGTCCATAGTATGGTGCTGGCAAGTTGTTCACTTGATGGAGGTAACAGGTGAGACACATCACTTGCACAGCAAAGACAGCTTGGGGGGCATCCTCAGGAAAGCTTTATATACAGGCCCAAGATTCAATATTGACCTTCAAATTGGCAGCGCCCGGCATAGCAAAACTGCATGATACAGTGAAGACAAAGAATGCGCAAGAATGGCAGCATCCAGCTACTGGTTATTGTTGCCAATCTGTGGCGCACCTGACGCTATCTCCTGTCTTAGGGATAACGACTTTTGCCTCAATGACAGCAGCGGCGGGAGGGGCAGCTGCGCCGTTGGGAGCGCCGATGGACTTTTGCCTTTTGGCCGGCCGGGGCTGGGTGTCAGCAGCTGAGGGTGCGCTGCCTGCTGCCTGACAGGGCTGCGAGGGCTGTGATGAGCTCTGCGAGCCTTGGCTGAAGGGCATTCCTGAGCCATTACCTGCCTCACCTGCAAAAAAGTGGATAAGAGGTCTGCTCTCATGCTCCCAATTACGGGGGCGCCACAATTGTAATTTGACCAAGCAAGACATTCGGGTGGAGTTACGAGCCTTTAATAAGTGCATGCAAATATGGACGTGCACCTGCTGGTGTGTCGTTGACTGTCTCCTTCGTCACTGCCTCCTTCCAAGAACTGACTGTAGCTGCAGCTGCTTGCGAGACTGCAGCGTTGCCATGCTTTGCAAGTTTGCGGATCTTCTTGCCTGCCTGTGTCTCCAAGAGCAGGTGAGTAGTGACCTGCAGTGCATGGACGCCACGAGTTATCCTGATCACTTTGAGCTTCACAGAGTGCTGACCGGGAATCAAGGTGTATCCACCATTTTGACAATCCTCCGATGCATTGTGACCCTATATTAGCACAGGTATTGTACAGAGGGGGACCTCCTTCCTCACCTGGTATTTTTGCAGATCTTTCAGCAAATCCGTCAGGGCTTGCGCTGCCTCAGGATCATCTGCTGCTTTCTCTGATAATTTCAAAGCTTCTTCGATGCGATTTGTGAGCTGCGCTGCGTCTACGGCACACATGAAGCCCTGTGATCGTGGGCTATAATGCCGAACCTGGCCTACAATATTATTCGTGGAAGGAAATTGGAGCAATAAGTCACACGAGTCTCCCGATACGATATATGTCCGCCCACAATATTCTTTTATTTGATATCGGGCAAAGAACATCTGATCACTCGGTGCGTCACATGCGGTCTGTCTGCGAATTTCAGATGTTCCCTCCCAAATTGGGCAACTCGCCTGGCCCCAAATGTACCAGTTGCATGAAGAGCAAGGTAGAGGGTGACCTAATGAAAGGAACGATGCGTTGAAGCGTGTTTGATGGATTGAAGATGGGGAGGGCCAGGCATGGCTGCCCACCTGACGATAACCAGCGCACGGATACCCTCTTCCGATGCGCCAATTTGTGGAGTCACGCTTGAACCCTATGTCCTTATCAGGAGGCCGGATGGGCAGAGCTGTAATGCAGAAGAGTGTCCGGAGGAGGGCTCTGGGGATGCACGGTTCTCCCTGCGCTTCAGGTGGTACAGAAGTGTAGTCAACAAGGGGGGTCATGTGTGCTTCATCCACCAGGTATTGGTCGACCAAGTCGTCTCTCCTCTCCGTGCTTTCTCGTATCAAACCATCACTCTGGCACATTTAGAGAACATCAGAAACGCAATGGACCTCAGGGGTCTTCCTGAAGCCATGTAGTAGTTGGCCTGGCACAAGCAAGCTGCATACGGTTTTGAACTATTTTATTTTGCAGGATCGAGAGGCCACTTTGCAATGCATTCTCTGCCTCAGAGCAAAGGTGGAACTACGCAAAAGCTTCACCTGCTCTACGGACTGCCTGCGGCAACACTGGAATGTGCACAAGAATCTGCACCTGAACGGTGAGCTTATCTAAAGTGATTTCTTTACAGAATGCATGTATATCTCATTTCGCACCTATGGCACATCTAATATTTTCTGAGAAAGCGAGCCTGTTGTGGTTCGCCTGCAGGTCAGCAGCACAAGCATGAGAATGGGTATGTGCACGAGAACTTCAAGGCCAGCAATACCTTCAGCAATGGAGGGGAGACGTGGATGGAGGTGCGCAATGCTCCTTGCTACGTATGCCATGATGCTGCAAAAGCAGGAGGAGCACATACCTATTCAGCACCTTGCATTCTGAAACAGGTTGGCAAGGGTCGCCTGTACACTCCAACTGAGGACGATGTCGGAAGCGTTCTGAAGTGTGAGGTGGTCGCCATTGATACTGGCTCGCCCTACACTGAGTCTGGCAAGACGCACTCAATCGCGACATCCAGAGTGCGACCAGCTCCATCGCCGCCCAGGCGCTCGCTTTCGGCGATCAACCCGGCTCCCAAGAACATCGTGAGCGCTGGGAAGTTCACGGCGCTGACCTACAACCTCCTGGCCGATCTGTACGCCACGGTGAGAGTTTCTGGAGAGATCGAGACATTTGTTGAGGAGTGATCAGCCCCTGATATCATTGCTCCTGTGTGCATGAAAGCGCGGTGATTTACGTACAGCAACAAGAAGCACTGGGTGTCGACCTCACTGTGTGTTCCTGGCTGCACAGGCAGAGCAATTCAGCTACTGCCAGCCGTGGATGCTGGCGTGGGGCTACAGGAAGCAGAACTTGCTGAAGGAGCTGCTCAACTACAATGCGGACATCATGTGCCTGCAGGTCAGTCTGCAATATCGGTTCTTCATCTTCCTGCTCAATGTCATCTCATCATGACGTGCTCAGACTTCCGAGCACAGCCATCATTTATTTTTCTTGCAAGCGCTGAAATGTCTGCGTCAGGACATGTTGCACAGCCATTGCTATCTCTCAATCTTATCACATTCCGCTCAGATGCTTCAGTGACCACCAGGGTGCCTCATGCGCAGCTTCTTACATAATTCTTTGCGCCATTTGTGCAGGAGGTTCAGAGCAACCACTACACCGAGTTCCTGCAGCCGGAGCTGGCCAAGGCGGGCTACACAGCCATCTACAAGAAGAAGACGATGGAGATCTACACGGGGAACTCCTACGCCATCGACGGCTGCGCCACCTTCTTCAAGACCGACCGCTTTGCGCTCGTCAAGAAGTACGAGGTGCGCCACAAAACTTATTCTTCCATCCTCCTGGCAGCTTACGTTTTGGGATCTCAGCCCTCGAGTAGCTGCTCGTGCAACCCATGTCAGCAGTGCCATGCACCTGTGGAGGTGTTGTTTGGAATGTCTGGCCAAATACTGTGCAGCCCAAATGTGGCTGCTCTTCCAATGGAGAGATGCCACGCACCTCACTGAGATAGTCTTACGTATGTTTCTGTGCTGTGCCTTTAGAGTAATAATGTGTTGGAGTTGGAAGGGTGGCTGAGAGGAGCATGGTGGGGCATGTGTGCAGGTGGAGTTCAACAAGGCAGCGCTGTCCCTGGCTGAGAGCATCCCTCTGGACCAGCGAAAGGGCGCCCTCAATCGCCTGCTCAAGGTCAGCCGTGCAAGTAGCTGCACCGCTTGCAGCTTGCTTTTCCCTTTGCAATGAGCAATAGAGCAGAGACTACTGCAGGTGTCGTTTCCAGAGGCGAAGAAGCTTCAAGCTAGCTCAGCTGCAGCTGTCAAATATCCCTGCCACTTGACGCAGACCAACGTTCGGGAGCATGTCCTGTGTGGTTTATATGATTAGTGGGAGATGTCTTCATCAGCTGCTGCTCAGGCACCCTGGTTTTTATTTCCAGGAATGGTCCAAGCTTCATGCAGTGACTCTGAACAAGTATGGGGCTCTTAGAATGGGCAGCAAGAGAATTTTAAGCTCCAACCCAGACTGGGGCAAGATTGTGCTTCTCAACAGCGGCAGCGAGAGATAATCTTGCACGCAGGACAACGTGGCGCTGATTGTGGTGCTGGAGGCGTTGGACCCGCCCAACCCGGACGCTGCCGCGCAGGGGCGCCGCCAGCTCATCTGCATCGCCAACACCCACATCCACGCCAACCCCGAACTCAACGACGTCAAGCTCTGGCAGGTTTGGCCCCGCACATTCTCTCCGCACCTGCTTCCCCCAAACATCACAGCACACCGGCACGGAGGACGCCTTGCAGCCTAACCTGTGGTGCCGTGACCACAGCCCAGGTCGCCGGCCCCTTCCGGGCTGTTATCTGCGTTCACAGTTGGCTTGTTCTTGAGGACATATAGCGGGTGGAGTACCAGCAGAGAGGGGAATCAGCTTGCTACCTAATGTTGCCAAGGAGGAGTCAGCATGTTACCAGAAATTGGCGACCAGAAATACCGCTGCAGGTCTGCAGCCGAGTACTGGGCGTAGAAGGAAGGCATGTGAGTGGTGTGTGGGCACATGTGCGCGCAGGTGAACACGCTGCTGAAGGGTCTGGAGAAGATAGCAGCGAGCGCGGACATCCCCATGCTGGTGGCGGGTGACTTCAACAGCGTGCCGGGCTCCGCCGCGCACACCCTCCTGCTCAAGCGCGGAGTCGACCCCAATCACCCGGTGCGATGCTGCCTGTGGCATCGATTATGATCTGGCTTGATTGCCGCGCATTCTTGATGAGGATGCCCGTCTGCACTTGAAGATCAGCAACATCAAAAGGGTCTCCAGGCCTGCACATGGATGTCTGTGACTGGAATCCAGGCACTGTGGGTTCTCCACTGGCATCCAAGTGTGGGCGCTTGGTACTCCTCTGTTGTGTTGATTCTGGGACCCTTCTAGCACCTGTAGCTTCATGGGATAATTTGGAGGCCTTTGCCTGTGGAGTGTTTCCTGCATTCTATATCTGTTGACTGGCAAGCTGCCGGGATCAGGTAATTGCAATGGGGCTTTGGGAGTTAGTCCAAAGAGATTGAGGTGTCCTATTGTATATTTGCAGGAGCTGGCGAACGATCCGCTGAACATCTTCAAGGCGCCGAGCAAGCTGCAGCACCGGCTGGTGCTGTCGAGCGCGTACGCGGCCGGCCACGAGGCTGCCGCCGACGCCGATCCGCGCCACCGCAGGCGCAACGACCACAAACACCACGAGCCCAAGGTACTGCCTGCTGCCGCTTCTCTGCTGCCCTTGACCCCATCTGTGATCAAGGCGCAGGCTGCGTGGTTGCCCTGTAGCTGGCAGCTTGAAGGCGTTGGCCTGCGGGCAGGCAGCCTGCCACCTCGCAGCCCTGTCTGCCTGCTTGTCGCCCCTTACAATGCTTGGGGTGCCTGCCCCAAGGCATGCAGAGACACTTGAATGAAGTTTTGTGCCTGCACCAGCTCCAGCGGTGCCTGCTTTCGAGTTCAGTCATGTTGATTCAGCTTCTTCTCGTGTGGTGGTGAATGTTTTTAGGTTGGTGCGGCACCTGAACAGCACAAGGCTCCAAGGCTGGAGAGAATCAACTTTAGCTGAGCACCTGTGTTTCTGCTGCGCCGCAGTTCACCAACGTGAGCAAGGACTTCAAGGGCACGCTGGACTACATCTTCTTCACCAGCGAGTCCCTGGTGCCTGTCTCGCTGCTGGACCTGCCGGACGACTCCCTGGTGCAGAAGGCCAAGGGCTCGGGTCTGCCCAACGAGCACTGGTCCTCCGATCACATCGCCCTCATGTCAGAGTTCCAGTACAAGCAGGAGGCCGCCTGAGAGCCTGCTGCTCAGGCGGAGCGCAGGAGACTCGGACCTGCCTTCTGAGGCCCCCTGGGGAGTCTTCTGCTCAGGCGGAGAGGAGGAGACTCGGTTCTGTCTCTTGAGGCGGGCTGCGGACTTTGTGGCGCACTCCAAGCCAGCCAGTAGGCCTCGGTGCTTGTGGCTGCGCGCATACCTTGTGGGTTTGGTTGCTGGCACGCTTGTGGCGCCTGGGCCTTTGGGAGAAGGATTCTGCCACACTCAGGAGCACGGCATGCCTGTGCTGAGACGCAAATCCGCATCAGGCGCTGCATGTCTCACGGCAATTATTGTGGGACGGCAGTCGGCTGGTGTGTCTGAACTCTGACTGAAGAAGGCGCTTGGAGCCTGACCTCTTCCAAAGGAATGTGTGGAATGTGAGTAAGAGAGCCACTTCTCAGCAGGGTGTTTCAATAACAGCGGCAGTGGGTGCAGCTCTTGGGGCACGTGCACGCCCTGCTGTATGACTGGCTCTGCATGGCAGGTTGCATGAGGTGTTATCTGTCAGAGGTACACTTGATGCACAGCCAGACATGTTGAACAGGGGAATGGCAGTGGAAGGCTGTCCAAAGGGGATCCTGCTGGACATTTTAGTCTTGTGGGAGCGTTACGTAAGGCATGTGAGAGGCGTTGACTATTGTTTGACCAGCGAACATATTTGTGGTTGGGTGTTAATCAGAAGCAATGTCAAGAGAGCTGTCTGGTGCTGACTCGGCAGAAGCACTGCTGAGAGCTCTTCTGTGGTAGCATCAGAGCTATGACCGATCTGTAAGGCCAAAATTAAATGCTAGCAAGCAGTTGCATTGCGTGCGCACGCGCAATGCAATGCATCACTTGAGATCTCCGAAGTCCATGCATTTGCAAGTCCTGGCTACGATTTTCATTAATGGAGGCGCACTCGCATGCAAAAGAGGGAAGTAACATGCGCACACTGTCCTATAATATCATGTGCAAGCAGCACAGCCCGCAGCAATGCCGGCACGCTTGCACAGGAAATGCATTAATGGGATGAATCAAGTTGCTGGCCACTGCCAATCGCAGTTGACTCTCACCAAACAATGCGGCCTATAAGTGCTGCAGTTCAGGGAAAATTTCAAAGCCTCTTAATATATGGGGAGTCTGTCACGCACAAGAAATGTTGCACATCCTGGCAGAGGCGGCCTTCAGACACAGTTTGACGATCCTAGCATCCAACAGCGCACAGATCTGGCTCCAACTGGCCTCAGTGTAGAAGCAATTTGATCTTCGAGACAAAGACGCATCGTGTGCCCAATTACATAAAGTGCAAGGTCAAGTCACAGATGACAGAGTCTTTTCAAGCCACATGCCTGCTACAATGAGCAGCTATGCGGTCTGATGTACTGCGCCGCATGCAAGACTGGCATGAGTAATCATGCGGCATGATGGCAAGGCATGCGCATGCAGTGTACATGGAAGGAATTTTTCATGGCGCCAGGGTACTGAGCTATATTGCAGTTAATACTTGTGGCCCCATTGTCATGGCCGGAAGCACACACTGTATTGCGGAGTGTGTTGCTTAATGCACCAACACCCTCTTCAAGTTGCTTCGAGCAAGAGTCTAGAGTGAAGCAAGAGCAAGTTGCTCAGTACCGCTCTGTGCAAGCGCTTGCATTGCCCTTTTTTTGGCTGCAATGGCGTGCATGCGCTTTCCTAGTTCAATATAGAACCTGGTGCTGGAAGTAAGGGGACCAAGACCACAGGCAACCATGAAGCTGTTTAGCCAGTTGCGCCACATATGCATTTCGCCACGGTTTCTCCCCCAATTGCCACTACAGAAGTGAAACGGAACCTGACCTGCATCTGCTGGCCCAGGTGAAGGAACATGTGCTGTTTCAACCTGCAAATCTCTTGGTACAATGCATCAAAAGTCGTTTGACAGTTTTGCTTCATCTGGTCTAGCCAGTTCACCCTTCAGCAGCCCCCAGTTGGATATCTCTTTCTCACTCTTATGTTGAAGGGGGTGGTCTGCAGAAGACATTTGCTACTATTCCCGATTGACCATTCGGTTTGAGACTACAGTGAAGTCTTGTAACGTATGGGGAAGCCTGGCCCTGCCCTTTCGTCTGGCGCGTGACTAAATAATAGGCGTACAACACATCCACAGAAAGCATCTGCCTATGAACTTGAGGCATGGCGGAGAACGACCGTCATCTTCTCTTGACAGAGACGAGTGCGAATCGGAGATTGCCACTGTGCCCAGCGCAGGTAGGACCCGAGGGCGTATTTACGAGGATACAAGGGGAAATGGCGCGGGGAAGGGGCTCGGGTCTTGTTGGCCAAAGATTGCCAAATCAATACATGGGCGTCATTTAAGCACCAATGCAAGCAGTCGTTCCGTAGGAGATCTGCCAAGGCTCTTGTCATGGCGTTGGGCGTTTGCCCAGGTTATTTTGAGACCAGGACAGCTTGGAAGAGCTTGTCTACCTTCCTGCACATGATCCACAGCCTGTGCTGCAGGAGCTTTTACCAGCGGCGAGTCAGAGCCATATCACGAGGCATGCCTGCGGCAGAAGAAGCAGCAGAGAGTCTACAGGGAGCTTCCCTTGTACAGCATCATGAGGGAGCCCCCAGGCCCTGGGGCCTTCTGCTCCAGAGTTGCCAGGGTATGCTGTCGTCCACCGCGGACGAAAAGCCTATGTAAGCTGCTGGCGCTCATGGTGGGGCTCATGGTGGCCTTCCATGCAGCGTCCTGCGGCTACTTCTTCTGTGTGCGCTTCCCTGGGGTGCTGGAGTTCCCCCGGGACATCTACGATGACATCCGAGACATCTACATCCTTGCAGGTGACACTCCGCATCCTTCACCATGCAGCTATCCTACTAGCCCAATTCAGCCCGACATGACCACCCGGAGATCTGACTATATGCGGCCATGGCGGGGAGCTCTGTCGCATACGAGGCCATGCATGACCCGAGGAATCTATGGGCACTGAATATATTGGAACAGAAGGACTGTATGCTGATGTCAGCGGTGACTCATCTGCCAGGCGGGCCGAGGTGGACTTCTAGGGCGACAGCGGCGGAGGTGGACGACGCTCCAAAACTCATACCGAAGGTCATCCATCAGACATACAAGTCGGGCAACATTCCAGGCAGTCTCAAGCCCTTCATGCACTCCTGGCGGCGCCTTAACGAGGACTGGGAGATCCGTTTCTACGACGACGAGGCTTGTCTCAAGTTTGTTCAGCGTGAGTTTCCAGAGTACATGGACGCCTACCGCTCCCTGGCCAAGGACGTGGAGCGATCAGACTTCTTCAGGTGGGACTGCTTCTGCTTGCATGGATGCAGGTCCTGCATTGCAGGATGCTACCAGGCTGCAGCTGCGTTTGATGGGTGCATGCCTCAATCTATTTAGGACCCCAGGGGACACCTCCTGTGTGATGGATTATTAGCAGGCACATGGGAAGGTCCATTGCCTGAAGGAAGGAGCCTGTGTTACAGCCTCATGCCGCGTCAAGGACTAGAGAGGAATGGGCAGTCTACATCCTCGCTGTGCCATGTGACTGGGTTAAAAGCGTCAGACAGCGCTGATGGCAACAGGAAAGTTTCTGAATTGGTTGCATGTGTTGGCGGTTCAGGTATATGGTGGTGCTGCGCATGGGGGGCATCTACGCGGACATAGACACGGAGTGCAGGAAGCCGCTGAACAATCTCATACTCCCGCGCGACACGCTCGTGGTTGGCTGGGAGAACGAGTTCTCCACGGCCGAGGAGGCGCACAGCCGCAAATACGTCCGGAAACGGCAGGTGGGCATGCATGCATGCCCCCCCTTGCTCAAACCAAATCATGGTGGTCCGGCAGACGGATACTACTGCTACTTACCTGGGTGGACAGCATTCCAGGTTGTACATTTAGAGCCTGTAGCATGGCAATCTGCTATGGTGCATGCAGAGGGAGCGAAACAGAGCTTTGTGCAGCTTGGTTGCCTACCGGTGTGTGCCGAGCGCTGGTGCAGCATGCGGCCTTGAGGCAGCGTATCGACAGGCTCTGCCCAAATTTAGAAGGGACACAAAGAGAGGGAAGAAAGCAAAAGGAAGATCTTCTTGCATCAAGCCCTGTGCGCGTTGCCGGCTGCAGGTGCTGCAGTGGACGTTTGCGGGCGCACCGGGGCACCCGGCGCTGAGGGAGATATGCGATCACATCGCACGCAGCACGGGGACGGCCTTCAGCGCGTCAACCAACATCGACACGCTGGAGCGCACCGGCCCGGGCGTCTGGACCGACATCATCCTCAAGCACGCCCGCGCCCACCCGCCATCCAAGGTGCGCCCCTACATCTCTGCCGTCTGCACATGGTGATTATCAGTGCCATGTACTGGGCTCTCATGTGCCCCGTCCTGCCACCGGGTGGTCAGCATCCGAGGAGAACCAACAGCCTTGAGCTCATGCATTTGAGTTCTCTGCTATTGGGATGTACAACTCCTTGAGATGATTGATGGCGTGCATGCAGTGGAGTTCTTGTCCACAAGCTCCCGAGCGTGGCCTCACAAGTGCCATAACTTTTACTTCTGCTTCTTTGAGTGAGAGTCTGGAAGGCAGGGCAATTGCGGCAGACACAAGGCCTCAGTGCTGTGCGGCTTGCTTCCTGACCGAGCCCCTGCTGTGTGCGCAGAAGGACGACCCGTGGACGGTGCGCGTGCTGCCCAAGGTGTACTTTGGGGTGCACCCGCTGGGCCTGGACGGCGTGGGGCCGGACGACCCGGACATAGTGGTGCTGCACCACTTCTTGGGCTCCTGGAAGGTCCGCGGCGGCTGGAGCGGCGGCCTCGGCATTGGCGCGCTCCTGCACCGCGCGGCGGGCCTCTTCACGCGCGCCGCTCCCGACCCGTGCGTCCCCCGCTGGACCCCTTTGTTTGTCCAGCATTGAGGGGTATAGTCCAAAGAAAACCTGCGAAGCATGGTTGGGTTGTTGTCAATGAATTGTGGAAAGCTGTGTGAAGCACCTGTTGCACGGTGTGAAGCTGTAAGTTGTGGCTGCAGATTGCGTCGCCACAAAATAAGGCATGGCCATTCCTTTCATGTCTGACCTTGCGCGGACACATATGCAAGCCACGATGCATAGCTTCCTTATCAATTGAGAATGTTTGAATGGCATTCAGTGTAGACGCGACTGTCAAGCTGCAATGACATGACCTTCAGCGATGGTACCTTGTTGAGTGTCTGCTGTGTGCTGCAGGGTGCCCAATGTGGAGGAGGCCGAGGAGGAGCAGCCGATGGAGGCGTCGCTGCCGCGCGACCGTCAGAGCGCGCAGCTGTACCCGGTCTCCATGGTCTGGCAGCCCCCCTTCACGCAACTCGTCGACCTGGTCGGCCACGGTGACATGCAGGTGCGTGCAAAGATGACCCATTCCAAGGCATGGTGGTTCAGAGGGTCATATTGCTGTAAGGGTGTGGTCAACCTCCACCTGCGCAGGTGAGGGCTGGCTTCGGGATCTCTCAGCTATGTGATCCTGTTATAAACCTCAAGACAACTTCACGTCAGATTGCAAATGGCCCTGGCAATATCAGAATTATCTTTGTGACCTGCATGCACTCTTTCTAAGGGCTGCTCCTCAATCTGCAGTGAAGGAGGCATGTAGTGCATCGCTGTGTGCTTGCACCAGTGTTTCAGTTGATCTGGCTCTAAATTGACAGCTGCCTTGACAATATGCAGGCGGGAGTGGATGTGGCGGCAACTCTGACGGCATGGGGCAAGTGGCAGCCAGCACTGGCGCCCGGTCGAGGTCCCTCCGTGGCCGAAGCCCTCATCGGTTCCCTTGGTGGGAAGGGAGCTGAGCGCAGGGTGGGTTTGCTTGCACCCAATACCGTGCCTTCGGCCTTATTGTAGCCAATGCAGTGTGATGACCTGTCAGCTGTCCTGAAGGAGAGCAACAGCGTGTGACTTTTACTGCTCTTCAAAGACAATGCACTGCCTGCACGTGATGGTCTTTAAATTCTGGGTTGTGTGCTGTGATCCAGGTGTTGGTGGATATTGGGGCGGGCAATGGGTATTTCTCGCTGGCGGCTGCGGCAAGGGGGCACCGGGCGATTGCGTTTGAGTTATCCAACAACTCGCTGGCGTCGTTCGAGGCCAGCATCGCGTACAACGGGTTTGAGAAGCTGATCACTGTACACAAGGTGCCTTTATAGCCCTTCTTCCATATTGGCAATGCATGTCAATGCTTTGGGCCTGCTTCCTCCGGTGCCTGCGTTCAAATGCAGCTATTTTGTGTACCTCCCACCAATGTACTCTTGCCAGCCAAGAATTGATTGCCTCTTGTTGAAAGAACCGGCAGATGGATTTTGTACTGCGCTAGACACCCTCGTGTTGTCTGGCATGTCTGAATATGCCATTCTTGCACTACTTACAGGTGGCGCTGGGGAGCCGGGAGGAGATAGTATGCGTGGATGGGAGGGGACTTTCATCTTCGCGCGCACAGGATCTGGAGGTGGCGCGCGGCTACGGCCGGCCGGCGGCGCACAATCTGTCGGCGCTGGCGGCAGCGGCCGTTGGGGGCGGCGGCGGCTGCAATCGGACGGCGCTGCGGCGCATCGGCGCAGATCTGGTGCCGGCTGACGTGGAGGTGGGAGCGGTGCGTGTCAGCGTCACCGGCTGGGAGGGATGGGTTATGGAGGGCCTGGCGGTGCGTTCCTCCCATCCTCCTATTTTGAGTTTTAGCGTGACAGCTGCTGTTGCAGATGGGCTGGGATAAACAGTCCCTGCACACTGTGAAGACCAACAACAAGTTGATGGTGCTGGCTTGTAATTTGCTCAGGAGGCATGAGACGCTGTGCGCAAGGGGCATGGCACAAGAGGAGACAGAGCTCTTGCGCGCAGCTGTGATGTCGAGCCAAATCATGCCCATGAGAGTCTGTCGATGGGAGTGTGTTGAGAGCAGAGCAAGAGCTGGTGTGCTGAGTAGGCACCATGTACCATGTTTCACCAATGCGAATGTGTTGAGGGGGATATAATGGCGCGCGCAGGGGTTGATGGCGCGGGAGGCAACACCGCCGCCGGCAGTGGTGCTGCTGGAGCTGCAGCCGCACGCGATGGCGCGCGCCGGGTACGAGGGCGGCGCTCTGAAGCTGCTGCGCACCATGCAGTCCTGGGGCTACACCGACGTGTCCCACTCCGGGTGCGGCCGCGCCCTTCCACACTGCCAGATGACAGACCCTTTACTGCCCTGCTGTCGTATTTGGGCTGCTGCCGAGAGGCTCAGTGCCACCAGGCCTATGCCCCCTTGGGTGAGCACAGCAGCAAGATCTAATGTGTATCATTTTGTAAACAAGTGTATGTGTTGAGGTAAGAGAGAATTTGTGCGTGTCAGCTGCTTTCTGTCTCTGACGTCTTAATGATGGGAAGAGGCTTTTCACTCGACCAGCACTTGCATGTTTGGAGTCAACACGGATGATTGAGAGGTGATGGTGAGCGCAGGCATGTGTGCGATGAGCGATGGCACAACATAACGCGGTCGATCCGGCTGCGCGGAGCTATGGCGCTGGCCGCGCAGGAGGCGCTGCGGCAGCCGACGTGGTGCACCCTGCCACCTGATAAATTTGCGCCCCTGGCGGAACGCGCCTCTCGAGCCTACCCTGAGAACATCCTGTTTGTGTACAAGGTGCGCATGCCAACTCTCTGGCTATTGAAGCAGCCATTTGGATTAGTGAATGGAGTATTTTACAACTTCAACTTCACACCATCCTGTCTAACAATAAGAAGAAAAAAATGGTGACTCCAGTGAGCATGAGCAGCGTGATGTTGACGGCAATTCTGGTCTGCAAGGCGCTGCATGTCACAAGCGTCTTGACGTCAATTTGCTCATGTTTACTGCGTGATTGTTGTTCTGAGGGGCACTGCCTTGTATATCGTCTTGACATACAGATCACGCTACTCCCTGACATGACTTGAGAGGAGAGCGGGACAGACAGAGCGTAGCAGGACTCAGGAAGCATTTTGTGATGCTGCAGGCGCCTTCCGCAAACACTATGAACAGAGTGGGGGCAGCTCCGGCGCTGGCTCCGGCACCGGGGGCGTTGCCTCCCCCGCCTGACACTGCTCTCAGGCCTGACGGCCTCCTGCCTCAAGGGCAGCACACTCTGGGGCCAGGAGGTGTCACAGCAGCCGCCCCGGAGGGTGTATGGAGCTCAGATAGGAGAGAGAATAAGATGGCAGGCGCCCAGAGGGATAGGAAACTAGGGAGTACCCTTGGGGCAGGATGGACACAAGAAGGTGGAGGGCTTGAAGTGGATGAGACCAGCATGGCGGCTAGCGCTGCATAACTCATGACACAGACGTGATGAACATTACCACGAGTCCTAAAGTATCGTGCAGATGCAGTGCGCATCTGGATTAGAGTCTGCGCGAACAGCAGGATGATCGTCTGAGGAGACAGCGCATGCAAGAGCATTATTGCCTTGTGCTCTGCCTCTTTTGACCCGATGGGTTTCTTAAAAATGTTTCAGGGCCCGGCTTCATTTGCAAGTCTTTTTTATCGAATCTGGAAAGAACGGCTTTTAGAGGTATCTTTCCCCAACTGCCGGGCAGCATCACTTAAGGCTCGCTGCCTCATCTCAGTCAATTTTGGCCCAGATGACATTGGTAGGAGACAATCTGTGAGACTCAGCCCTGCATGTTGTGTCCCAAATATTAATCACCCTGTTGTTTGACGAGGGTCGTCCCTGCATGGGCTCTCAAGACGGGCTCTTCTCTGTCTTTCTGAGCTTTCATTGCATTTGAAGTACACTGCACTTTGTCCTCCTGATTGTCACCTCTCTATGGTGATTATGATTATGATATCATATGAGTTTGTGAGGACAATGTCTTCCAGGATTAATGCAGCCAGTCCTGTGACAATTGCTTGTCTGTGAGGTGCAAAATCGGAAATTTGTGAGTGGGGGTCATGACAGGTCGTGACTGACCGGCATACGATTGATGTTGCATGTGTGTTGCGAGTGACTTGTGCACTGCTGACCACGAGCCCCGGGATTGCTTGCGAGTTTTCAGAGTTACTGAACGCATAAAAGGGATAAGACGCAATGAAACATGTAACATGATCTTGAATTTGCTTGCAAGATGGCAGAGTTACCATGCGCAAACTAGTACCAAGGCAGACAACATTGCAGGACAGTCTGATGCAATCTTGCTTGGAATATTGCAATAAAAAGCTCACCATAAACAGAAAAATATTCCTACATGAATGTCAAGTTTTCTTGTCTGTCATGACAGCAGCTTGTATTTACTTGAGTAACAGATCTGATAATGTCAATGGTGATTGCAATTGTCAGGTAACTTATTCAATCACAGCCATGTGACACAACATGCGTTTAGCTGACAGCATGCGTTAAACCTGCAGAGTAGACGAAAGGCATATCCTAGCCCGCCCGGACTAAACTTGTCCTCAATTTCACTTCCATATTCCATATAAGTAGCAAAAGCGCTACAGTGTCACGTGTTCACCTTTGTATTGCAGGTCATTTAACAAGCAGCAGGGACTCATTAAAAAGCTGCCCTTACCCATTTCACACACACTGAAGCTATATGGCACTACAGATACATTCAAAACACCTGCCTGGACCCCACATAAAAAGAGAAAAAATCCTTACTTCCAACATCACATTCCCGGCCCAAAAAGTAGGCAAGCAAGCACCCAAAAAACGCCAATATCAAATCGACAGACTGGTGTCACAAGCATCAGCGACCAAGACACTGCAGACAAAGAACTTGACAGCAGGCCAGGGACTGCACCTCTCCTTGCAATAAGACAGCCAGTTTGTCACTCTAATATCCAGAAGACCTGACTAATGTCTTGGGCCTTGGCTTCGCAGCAGGCGCTCAGTTGAGCTGCGCAGAGCCAAAAGTCAGGCGGGACAGCATTTGCACATCAAATGCCACGATGCCATAGTCAGGTGTTCCCTCCAGGCCCACATACAGCCGCCGACCCGAGGGAGTGAAGCTCAGCCCCGACACATTGCAGGCAGCCTCCTCCCCCGCACACTCCCCCTCACTCGCATCCAGCTTCAGCACCTGGCCATGCAACACAGCCCCTTTCAGCCCTTCGTGTTTCCTAGCTTCCTCGGGCCACCTCCCTCAGAATATTGGGAGGTACACCGTGAAATTTTCTGATTTCATGATGAGAATGCATGACCCCTCAGGGAGGCCTACCCCTCGGTGCATGTCCTCCCTCTCAGGAGGGAATGGCAAGAGCCTCAATCAAGAGACCACACCATTTGATAAGCCGGACTGCGCTGCCATCAAGTATTGGACAGACAGCAGTATGAAACTGCCTGCACGCTCATTCCACATCTTACTGTCACATAGAGTAATCTCCAGCAGACATGGAGGTATGTCTGCAAGATCCAGGGAGTAGTACATAAGGCTGCCAGAGCCAGGCGCCCGGAAGGGTGATAATTTGCACCTGGCGGTCGTGGTAGGCGCGGCTGTCGACAAGGTGGCAGTGGGAGGAGTGCTCGGCGAAGGCCATGAGGTCCACGGGGCCCTCCCCAAACTTGATGCACCGGCACGCGCCCGAGACCCGCCCCTCCGCCACTGTCCTCAGCTTCACCACCCTCTGTGCACACCCCTTGTCCATTCAAACCCTTGCCCCATCCACTGCATCTACCCTGACGATCACGTCAGCACTGCTGGGTCAGCAGGGACTGCTGAATTCTACTCTCAGTATTCAGCACCCCATGCCCTCAGAATTGCTTGTTACAGCAGCCGCGTCCCTTTGCGCCACCTTTAGAACTTCTTCTCCTGATTATCTTATCTGAGCAGCAAAAGGCGCCAGAGAGTCTGGAACAGCACAGGCTATTACTGCTCCTGCCAGCCATCAAGTCATGCATGTGCGGTGCAAATGCATGCTCGTGGAAGGGTCCTCTTGCTACAGGACATACAGGAGAGCAGGCACTCGCTGCAACGAGGCATTACTGACACCAATTAACACCAGAACGTCTGCCAGAAACCACCCTGCTGCTTAAGGCACCCGGTCAGGAACGCATGTGCCGTCTGAAATGCATGACCAAGAAACCTTTCCACTATGAAAAGTACTGTGGTAGTCAAAGTAAAATCCCTACAAGGGAAATGAGATCTTTGGGCTGCAACTTACTTATTTAATGTTCCCGCAAGCAACTTCCCGCACCCCAAGAACCTATTATCAAACCATTCTGGAGGCTCAAAAATCCATGTGTAATGGGGGTTTTGGTTTTAGGTGACCAGAGAAGACGCCTGTGGCCGCACCCGGTGAGCACGCGCATCCCAGACGACAACGTAGCCGTCCTGGCTGCCGGACGCGATGCATGTGCCCGAGGGATTCCAGGCGCAAGCGATGCCGCAGTCCCGGAACTCGCTGAACGCATAGTCCTCCACAAAGCCTGCCGCCAGCATCCTTGCAGCTGAGATTGGCAGCACACGACTGAAATGTCGTTGGGCAGGGAACACTCGCAGGGCTTGGACTGTCTGCTCCATTTCTCGAGCTTCAAATCACCTCTGCCAATGGAGGCCGAGCCTGTTATTATGCCCCAGGCCATCTGCTTTGTAGAGATGAAGATGGTCTCAAGTACAAAGCCCAGAGACAAGAAATGTGTATCATGTCTGACGACCGCACGAAAGGATCCAGAACGCTGTGAAGCAGGTGGCCAGGGACGCAACACAAAGCGGAATTGAGGCTTCCCATAAAGCAAAAAACCATGACAGTGAAAGACGGGGCCGCCAGACCTGTCGGGGCGGCTCGATAGAGGTGTGTGGCGCCGGAGTCCCCCACGCATGCAAGGTAATTGCCGTCCGGAGACAACGCCGCGTAATTGACGGCCACCGGGCAGGTGATTGTGGACATGAGCCGCATGCTGGGCAGGTCGAAAATCTTCACCGTGTGGTCATTGTTGCTCACAAACAGCCGCAGCTGCCCTGTGCCACATCAGCTGCCATGTCAGCACCACACTCCTTCTACTCAAGCCTGGACTGCACCTGGACGATCATTGGCCCACTGCTTGAACACCTAAACCCTCGAAAGTCCTCCCTTCCTGCATGATGAGCTGGAAGACTAGAGCCCGCTCTTTCTTGGCTGAAGCCTGCCTTCACCCCGTCTTCAAGCGGCTGCACAAAGTGCAAGTGCCAAAGACGCAAATTGCCATGAGTGCAACCGTTTCAACAAGGATTGAAGGCAACCTTCCAAAGTCGCCATATCTGTCTGGTCTGGTCTGGGACAGACTGAAGGGCATTCGCACCTCGATTGTCCCGGCCAAAGTGCAGGGCGTTGATGACACTGCCGCCGATGGGCCCCCAATGCAGGCACTCCTCAGTCGCCATGTCCATCACATGCAGCTGCACACAGCCACACACCATGTCACTTCCAGAATGTCACAAGCGGCAAGCATAAACCGGACCACAGATTCTGCAGGTTGTCAGTACACGCTTCATGCACTTCATCTCCAATGCGCTTACCCATGTCCTGCAATTGGATCACTGCATGTATGAGCAAGTTGAGAATGCTCAACCATCTCTGATCCAATTGCAGGACCTGGTCTCTTTTGGTGCCCTACTTATCCTGGTCGGCTTGACTTCTACCATGATACAGTAAGTCATGTCCAAGGCTGACTTTTATTCCCACTTTGGATATGCATAGCTAAACAATGTCGGAGAGGCAGGCAGCTCACCGAGCTGTTTTGGCCGCCTGCTGCCAGGTAGCCAAAGCCGGCTGTCATGGCTGTGGGAGCAAACGCCAGCCGCTGCACTGCCTCACTCTGCAGGCACACATTTCGCATGATGTCAGCGGCAGTACCTGCAGCATTATTCCTGAACCCATGCGGTCCAAAGCACATGTTCGCATCATGTCAACGGCTGTAACCGCAGCATGATTCCTCATCCCATGCGGGGTAAGCATACGCCAATAAAGCTCCTACAAAAAGTCAGATGAGGCCTTGATGCACTGCTCTGCTGAGTGGGGAGAGGCAGTTGACGGGGCAACAAGGGGCAGGACTCACAATTCCACTCTTTGTGTCGTATCGCATGGTGCGGTTGGACTGCACGAAGAAGACCCCATGCTCCCCGTCAGCATGGACCAGATCGCGCAGCTGCCAGTGCTGCACAGTTGTCGCTTGTGCTGCACAGCAAATAAATTCAGCCGGCAAAATGATGAACATGACTGGGTCCGTCATCTTCCAGGCTTGCACACAGCAGTGTAAGACTCCCATGAGTGACGTGCAGAGCTCAAACAGTGCAGAGCTCAAACAGATAGCGTAGTGTCCCTCTTGGAACAGCCAACATTTGAATCAGAGTGCTCCAGTAGTGTTGTTGTGGCAACTCAGGGCTCATCAAGCAACACAAGCAGCCTTAGAAAGATGCGCAACACTTCAGGATCATGCATCATGCAGGAAGGTTTGTGGGCTTTTGTTATTTGTCACTAGCATGTACAGCTGTGCTGATGGCAGACCACTGGCAATAACGGAAGAAACACTCGCCAACAACCACTCACCAAATCGTTTGGAAGGCCGTTTCGACACAAATTGTGCCTCATCGGCGAGATCCAGCCCACCCATCACCATAACGGGATCCCGGCAGACGCCAAATGCCGGTTACTGGTTTGCGCCTATTCCTTGTGGCATCGCAGACCTTTCCTTTTCTAACCTCATCCACGACGACACTAGGTCGGAAGTTCTATGTTACATGTGCCTCAGGCTTCTTTCAAGCTCGTTCTTGTAGGATCTTAGTGGCTGCAGCTGGTGAAAGAAGTATGTTAACGACGATGAACGCTGTGAAATTCTGCCCACGAGGACAGTCAAAGATGCACAGCAAGGCGAGGCAATCAGCCTAAAGGACACAAGGTTTATAAAATGCGTTTACGAAACGGCGCGTGTCAGCGTTGAAATATACAATCACGAAAATAGAACACCCACAACCAAGGCAGGCGTGGACCCTGGCCTGGAGCGCTTGGAATCTAGATGAGCTAAATTTATGCTTTCAGTATGTTGTATGAATTCACCAGGTCCCAATCTTGGTCCCTGAAACCGCAATTTGCTGACTGCATTTGCTGAGGTGGAGAAATTGAACGCATGTGAGCGACTGTTGCCTCATCAGGCTTTACACGAATGGCCCCTCCATGCGCATGCGCCAGATGGCTTGATTCTAACGCTCCAGGAGATTGGTGAATTTAACTGGTGTCATTCTCTGATGTCAAAACTGATGTCCTTCTTTAGATGTCTACATACATTCATTCGAGTCGCCAATCGAGCTAGATCAGTGGTAGATCACGTTCAATTAACAATCTAATGGAGGCATGTAGGAGCACTTGCGACGCTTCAATCAAAACTATATCTAGATGTAGTATTTATTTTGCAACTCATCGACATCGACAACATGCAAGGCCGGCGTCAGCTAGAAAACGACAGCATCCCCAGCCCCTGCCCTTTTTCAGATCATCACGGAGCACCCTACCTCGGTGAGCACGTTTACGTATCAATACTTCTCCATACATGTTTACGATTGTAACACACGGCGTCCTGATAGGCTGCACCATGCGCAGACCACAAGCAACTGCTGAAGAGGCTGGCAGTGAAGGCTTGCAAGCACCAGAGTTCTCCTGCCTAATGGCAGTCAGAGACTACGAGCTGGACCAGTACGGGGTTGTCAACAACGCTGTCTACTCTGATTACCTCCAACACGGTGAGCCGCTCTTCCCTTGTTATGTTTACATTGCAAATGGTGCATGCAAGAGAGGGCATGTGGAGGAATGTCTCAAGAGGAGTGATTTGCATGGGTGTTGGGAAGTGCGGCACAGTGAGGCACGAATTCCTGGAGCACATTGGCCTGGACGCTGATGCAGTCGCCAGGTCAGGCGCTGCTCTGGCCCTCAGCGAGCTCAACATGAAGTTCCTGGCGCCTCTGCGCTCAAAGGACCGCTTCCGAGGCACACTTAAAGTCACCAAAGCAACCGTGGGCAGGGTTGTCATGGAGCAGCAATTCATCCTTACTGCAGGCTCCGACAGCACAGATGGCAAGGTGATTGCATGTCAACAGATATCACTCGCTTGTGGCCGAGGGAAATCTTTTTGCTGTGTCGTGTTCATTTTCAAGGCATGGAGTTCTTTCGCAACCATTTGCATCCAACATCCCTGCATTGTTTTCAGGTTGTACATTGAGAGTTTATCTGGGATCAGAGGATTGCTGATATAAACTATGCATTTTCAGGTGGTGTTAGAAGCACATGTGGTTGTGGTATCTCTGGATACAGCATACAGGCCTCGCCGCATCCCACCACATGTGAGAGAGCTGATGCTGTGTGGCCAGCCACGGCGAGACAAGGATGGCTCCAAGCTGATGAGTGGATGGGACTGAAGAGTCAGCACTGAGCTGACCTGGCTCTGAACATTGATCTGTGTCATTGTACTTCTGGCCGACTCGGTTCTAGAGAGGCCAAAGAACAATGGATGCTGGCGCAGCGCCATGTACAATATTGGGATGCGGATGTAGTATACTGATAATTGCTATATCAATTAAAAAATTGCATAGGAGTACGGTGGTGCATCTCACCTTCACCAGACCAGGCAGTAAATCTTCTGTAGATTTTGAGCTGCTGGTGATTTGCTGTTGACATAAAAATAGCAATCCTTGCAGGGCTAGGAAGTAATGGGCGCAATGCCAAAATGTTCCTGCATTGCAGCCTGAAATTCTTCTGGTGTCTGCAATGTCCGCTCCTCTACATCTCCATTGCTCTTGTAAATTTTTAGTGCATCGTCCAACACTGTCACCCTGCCCCCATCCGGCCTCTGGATCCCCATCATCAAAGTCTGCTCCCCAATCCCCACAAATATAGAACTCAGGCACTTTACTAACTTAACAAAAGGAAGTGCAGCAGGGGATGCATGCGCATACATACATGCATACATACATGCTCTCCATGAGCTCAAAATTATGTGACAGGGGCGCACATGATAGAAGCCTTTCCTGGGATCCGTTGCAACGGCCCAATTAAGCACTTCAAAGTCCCCTTGCGTGGCTACAGTCTCTGTGAAGGAGGACTGGTCCTGCCACTGCTTTATGGTGTCTGAGTAGCGCTGCATGTACCATCCCACAGCATGGCTGTTTTTCTCCAGGTCCTCCTGAGTTGGCACTGCTAGTCTGCCATTCAAGCCTCGTCGCACCCTAAACATAGTTTCCCCTGCGTGGCCAAAGAGCACTGTTAGCCTTGCTGTGCCTTTCATGAGAGCTGCAAGTGTAAGCATTGCAAGGAGGCTGCACCTGTGTAGCTGTCATCTGCAGGATGCTGCAGGATGACAGGTTGAGTGGGAGGGATGCCTCCAAAGCCAGCATCCACCAGGCGCCAGTGGCAATCCTCTGGCACTCTCACATGGAGGACCTCATGATTGAAGCCTTTCAACTCCACCTGGATGCCACATTTCAGGTGCTTAGAACTGATCAAGCTGAGGAGCTTGTTGAAACAGCCGGATGCTGAAAAATGAACCCCGTGTGTTCACCTGACCTTTGGCAGTGGCCTCAGGGTTCTCACGGACCACGTTGGCAAATGTTGCATACAGCTCGTATCCCAAATGCTGCAAAACAGCTGCCAGTAAGCCGTTGTGCTCAAAGCAGTAGCCACCTCTGTTGAACCAAGCAACCATGTCAGAGACTCATTCAGACAATTCTCTGTGTGCAGCGCGGCACAATCGAATCAATTCCAATTGTTTTTCCATTTTTTTTCCATTTTTTATTCCAAAACAAAATTATTGTACGTCGAACTTACCTGTGCTGCTGCACGAGCTTGTTAAAAATACAATCGATTTCCAAAGAAGGTGGTGAGGGATGAAAACCCATGCTGCGGACGTTCCTGTTGTTCTGCACTGTGGAGAGATTATTGAAAGGGAACTTGCATATGTGAGCTTCATGGATGGCTATTAAAGACGATAGAGTGGGAGATATCAAGTGGGCACGGTCGATGTGCTCCAGGTATTGCTGCACATGGCTGTCTGTGAGCATCTGCAGCAGGCGGACGATGAAGTGTGTGCTCTCAATCACAAGAAAGCAGTAAAGGCCAGCCACCACAGCAGGATCCTGAGCAGAAGAAGAAGAAGAAGAAAGGAACGCATAACAGGAGACCCCGGGGAAGTATACGACAAATAAGCTTTGAAAACCGTCGGATCGGGTTTTGACTGACGTCACTCAGCTTCGTCCAGCTTCATCAGTTTTGGTGAAGCTTCCTCCATGGTTTTGAGACACAGAAATATTGAGTTGTAGTATGAGAAAACCAGGTGGTAGATGTGGCTGCAGACGCCCTGCGTGTATGCCCTATGGCCTCTGGCTTTGGGTTTGCCGACCTGTGATAATAATAATAATAATAATAATAAATGAGAAAACCAGGAGGCCCACATAGTATGATGGTGGCCAAAGTGCGGCAACTCGAATATTACTGACATCAATGGTAGTAGGGCGAGGCCCCTCCTGGGAACGAGCTGCAAGTGCATGGTGCACCTGTACAAGTGAACATTGTCTGCGTAATCAAGGAAGTTGATACGCACTTTGACGTCAATAGTCGACTGGACTGGCAGTGTGTTCGCAGTGCTTCGAGGTTGGCATGGTGCCAGCCTGCGCAGCTGCCAGCGATACCTCTGCATATACATTGTCGGCGCATCAATGGCAGTTCGCATGCATGGCCAATTTGTTCACCTCTCATTGGAGTAATAGACACGCTGGCCCACCGGTCTGTGCAACCCCTGCTTGCAACCTAAGTGTACGAGCAATCTCATTGGATACTTTGGGGCTGTCATAGGCATGATGCACCGTGCACGCGAACATTACAAAGAGACAGGAGTATCAATTGACTTCACTGTGTGATGCCTGTCTCCCCAAAGGATACATCCGGAATTAAGTCAATACTTATCTTCTCAGATCGTGATCTTGCCGCCCTTTCCAAATGCTTTGTTGTCATGATTAATCTGCTAACGCCTTCAATCTTGTTCACCAAAAGAATTTGTGCTGCTCATCATGTGCATTCGACTGGTCCGAAGATGACATCCAGCTCACCTTCAAGGTATAGATACTCTGACAACTCAAAATTTGACAACAGAACAACTGGTCCTTTGTGCAGCACGACAGCGCCCGAGGCTCCATTTGGTTATTGCTGAGGATTTTGCCCTTGTTCCTGCCCATGCGCACCCGGATGCGGCTGGTGCTGCTGCTGCTCTTTTTGCTGCGTCGCCTCTTCTAAATTGACGCCCCATTCCTGCTCTAACCGCTCACGTGCTCTGTACACCTTGGACTGCAAGTAGAAGGTACCCTCCTTCTCGTTCCTCTCAAAGAGGTGGTTGTATTTCTGCATCAATACAGAAGCACCTTCATAGTGTGTCTCAATCTGCAGAACGGGTCAGCAAACTCAACAGTTGCTTACCAGTGAAGAGAGCAGTCCGTGCAGTGATATGTGGTTTGCTTGATATTGCGATAGCAGTATCGCCTCACCTTGAGGACCTGGTCATAGCCCATGGAGCTGTCAATGCCCAGAATCTTCTCAGCTTCCTCCAATGTCATCTGCCGTGCCTTTGTCGCTGCTTTGACGGACTCAGCTGTAACTCCGGACCTCTGTGCATCTAGACACACATTATACCTGATCAGTAGCTACCAAGACTAGCGAACCACCTCTCGCAAGAATCGTTTTGCAGAACTCTCAGCTGTGGTAAGCAGGCACATCGTCAACAAAATTTCAAACAGGGGAAGGTCTGGAAACTCACTGACAATCGCTTGCTTGTATGCTTGTGCAGCTGCTCGGATGAGGATGCCCCCACCAGCCACAATCAGATTGGCCAGCACTCGCCCGGCCTGCACAAAGAATTGGAGTGCTTCACACTCCACTACAGTAAAAACGTTTCAAGAGACGTGGCCAGGCATAGAGGTTCAATCAACAAATGCAGGCTCACAATGCTGGAGTCGCTAATTTCAGCAGACAAAGGTAGGCATGCATCCCATGCAACACTCTGATTGTCTACGTGCACTAAAAACTTGCACTCCATCGTCCCTCAGCAGTGTATGTCTTTTTCTATTATACTACAGCGATTATCCCAGCAAATTGATCCCAGCAAATTGCTGTCTCACATGTCATCAGGACATCAACAATATTTTAAACAAAGCAACCCTCTTATGAATTGCGAGTACCAATCCTATATTGACCGCCGGCTAGCTATAGACTTCTAGTGTGGACGTGTCGGTATTAGATGGCGCAGGTGACGGCGAAGCAGACCCACCATAAAATGTGAAAAGCAAGATCACAGAATGCTGTCCAATCGCCTTACAAAGAGCTCGTTGAGATGTCCTACGATTCTTCTGTTCTGTGACACCTTTCCAGAATCTTAGCTGCCAGCCCTCCTCCGGAAGCGCAGCTCGACACCTTCAGATCGCTCACAAATGCCGAGCGTTGCACAGTCGCAAAGACTATGGACCAGTCTTGGAATTAGATTGAGTGATAAAAGTGAGTTTCACAGCAGTGAGAAGCTCCCAAGAAGGGTTTCCCTAGCAAACTATAGGCCTAGGGTTAAACCTAAGGGTAGATTTACTCCAATGGATGGCATGCAGCTCAATTGTGTTGCTCGCTACAATTCCATACATTGGCCGTTTATCAATTTGATTATTTAAGATGCTTAGAGCTGCTACAGCCTTCTAGCCTAAGTACAGTAGGATCGTCAGTACGTAATGTCATATCTGCCGATCAGATCAGTGTTTTTCTTGTTATTGGGATACGGCAAGTCTAAGATCAATCTCAATGCAAGGTGAAACTCGTGTACGTGATGACAACAAATCTACACGACCAGTTCCAAGATTTGGATGCCACCTGGGTCGTCTTGTCTGACGGAACTTTTCAGCAACATCCTTCTATGCTATGTAGGAGACTCAGCAACTTCGCAGCAGGATGCTATCAAGGAGCTGCAGGATAGATATCTTTCTCTTAATGCCGGAAACTTGCTCCTTGAGCAAGCAGAGCTGGGTCAGGACTGTTCGACACATTGGATTTATGAAGTTTCACTGCACTCTCGTTTTTGATTGAGACTGTCGTCACCAACATCATCTCTCTGATACTGCTCCTGTTTGATTTTGACGTATCTGGATTTCGACGCAGGCTACGATTTTAACACGACAATTCACAGGCCCACCCTTTGGACAGAACCCTTCCCTGCATGTGTGGCATTGGAGCCAACATTACCAGACGAGGATGGCGCAGTGGGTGTTCAAGAGATCGTTCTGAACGATGGCCAGGTACCACCTGCAAATCTTTTCAATGATGTCAGTTTCCTCCGTCCCCTTCATTCATGCGAATTCGCCTTGCCTTGGTAATGCCTGCAACTCTGCACTGAACAACAACAGCACTTAAGGTGGCAGGCACTGGTGGGCACTTGCTTGTGAGCGCACATATGGAATAATGCTCGGGTTTGCATTATTCCTTTTGAAGGAAATGTGCGTTGCTCCAGGGTGGCTCTAGAACCCGTCCCGCACATGCAGCCCAAGGCACCCGTGAGTTTGTGCGAGGCAGCATGGCCTCCTTGCCCTTCACTCCTGGTCAGTCCATGCTTCCTGCCACACTACACATGCATGCATGCATCCATGCCTTGTACATCACCCACCACCTGATCATGCCTCCATTTATAGCAACAATGCGTCCACCCAGCAGCGGAGATAGCTGGTGCATTGGAGAAGATGCATGTGTGCAGCAACCTGATCGCATGCATGTTGCAGGCGGAGAGGCCCTGCAAGTCACAACAACGGCGGCGACGCGCGCAGCGGAGGAAGCTGCAACGGGGAAGTGGCTGGAAGAACTGGAGAGTGGCCGCCCCCTGAAGGCGCTGGCACCAGGCATGGACCAAGGAGTCTTTGGTGCATGGGAGCTGTCTGACGAGGCCACAGGTGAGCTGCTGGGCACTTCCATTTTTGAAAGGTACAGTCCTTCAACCGAGAATCATTGTTTGGGGATGAGCAAAAGGGATATCTTGCCGTGTGCACAGGTGTTGCAGCTGTTTCTTTGCCCAAAGAGGAGGAGCGAGCTGGAGCTAAGGAGGAGAAGCCGGTCAGCCAGAATGGAGCTCCTGAAACGAAGCAGGCTGTAGACCTGACAAACCTCTTTGCCGGCATCTTGATGGATGACGAGCCAGAAGACATGGAAGAGGACTCAGCCGCGCTGGAAGGTATGCCAGCCTCACCCTTCAAACACAGTCTTTCCTAGCTGCAAGCAGATTTGTTGCGAGATATATCTGCAAGACCATGTGGGCATGGTGCAGACTTGACACGGGTGTTGCTGTGCAGATGTTCCTAAGGCAGAGGACCGACAGAAGGACACAATTCTGTCACGCCTTCAGGAACTTACAGACGATGCTGACATCCCAGGAGCAGTTGGTACGTTGATGGGTTACTCCTGATGGGTCTGGCGAAACATTGACCTGTCTGAGTTCTCAATGCTATGTCACCTGGACTCAAACTTCTCAGTGGCACACTATCTATGGTTCTTAGCAATTCTTGTGCTTCTTGGTAAAAGTCATGCATGGTCTGCCATTGTGCAGGGCCTTCGGCAAACGGCACAACAGAGCCTGTGCTGCAGAATGGCACACATGCCGCCACAGACACAACTCCTCTTCTGGGGCAGCGCTTTGTGCCGCCTTCACCTGCAACCACCTCAGGGAGAGAGCTGCAAGGGAAGCAGCACACCACAGCGTGGGCAGTGCGCGGGGGAGTGGAGGATCTGGCAGGGGACTTTGAACGGCTGAGGCCCAACATGGCGCACCACTTCCCCTTTGAACTGGACAACTTCCAGAAGGAGGCCATTGTGCACCTCGAGAGGGTGAAGCTCTCCTGCTTGCTCACATTCAGACTTTGGAAGATTTCCCGCAGATGGCATGATCATGCATTGGCGTGCATGCTGCGAAGAGGAGATCAACTCTGGCAAATATTTATCGGTGCTTACATGCATGCATGCGTGACTGGTAACCATCAGAAGTTCCAGGAGGACAGCACAGGCTTCAAGGACGTTTATGGGTGCTTACTTGTCTGCATGCGTGACTGGTAATCATCAGAATCTCCAGGAGGGGAGTGCAAGTGTTCAAGGGAGTTTGTGGGATGCAGGGACACAGTGTTTTTGTGGCGGCGCACACCAGTGCAGGGAAGACAGCCGTGGCGGAGTATGCGCTGGCGCTAGCAGCCAAGCACTGCACTCGCGCCATCTACACTTCCCCCATAAAGACCATCTCCAACCAGAAGTTCAGGGACTTCAGCAGCGACTTCGAGGTGTGCGCCGCACATAGTCAAATTGCATTATTTTCCCAACTCTGAGCTCTTCCATGACATGTGTTCTGGCATAAATACACTCAGACCATCTGTAGATGCAAGACCTTTGTCTGCTTGAAGGCAGGTATCCCTCTCGAGATTAAGTGGTTCTCTTTGCCAGGACGTGTGTTGAGTGCAAATTGTGCAGTAAAGATTGGGGCATGCACTCCTGATTGGCAAAGTTTGCGGTCTCAGCTGACATGCATGAGGTCGGCACATGTGCGCGCAGGTTGGCTTGCTGACAGGGGACGTGAGCATAAAGCCTGAGTCGCCCTGCCTGATCATGACGACCGAGATTCTGCGCTCCATGCTGTATAAGGGCGCCGACATCATCCGTGACATCGAGTGGGTCATCTTCGACGAGGTGCACTATGTAAATGATGCCGAGCGCGGCGTTGTTTGGGAGGAGGTGCGCTGCAGACCTTCCCAGGCTCCCTCCACCTCCAATCTATCTTGAGAGAAGTATTGACCACTCTGCGTCCCACATGTGGAAATGCACACATCCTTTTGTTGAGCAAGGTTTTTTCTTTGTGCCTGCATAAAGGATGCCCGCAGGTCTGCTATTCTTTGCATCCTTGAAGGTGGAAATCATCTGTGCATAGTGATACTTGCGCTGCAGTGTGCAGTGATTTGTGTCGGACAATGTGTGATACGCATATTGTGATACGCATATAATTGGATGCATATCAAATTTCTTCTTGATTGCATGCCATACCTGCGCAGGTGATCATCATGCTGCCGGCGCATGTGAACTTGATTCTGTTGTCGGCCACGGTGCCGAACGTGATGGAATTTGCTGACTGGGTCGGCCGCACCAAGCGCAAGCGCATCTACGTCACCGGCACCACCAAGCGCCCGGTGCCCCTGGAGCACAACCTGTTCTACAACGGCGCCCTCTACACCATCTGCCGCGCCAACACCTTCGCACCCGAGGTGGGCTGCTGAATGTGCCTCTGCCCGCACACACTCGGCTTGCGAAGATTGCATGACAGCGTGGAGGGGGTCCTGTTGAGTGGATCTCCCTGTGACTGCATGTCTACCTGGCATCAGTGAGCTGGTCAGTATTCCTAATTTTTCAGGTTCATGGGTGTCTGCTCATTGACTGTGCTTGAAGTTACTGAGAATATTCCATCCTAACCCTCAATCCTACGTATTCAGGAAAAGAATAAGCACATCATGCTCTGTACTGCCCTCCTGAGGTACTAAATGTTAACTATTGCCAACATATAGGAGTAACTTACATTGAATGCTGCAGAACACACAACAAGCACTCGAGCTTGTAGTCATCCAGGTGGACAAGAGACCCATCGGATCATTTTGCTGCGCTTCAGGGAGTAGCGGCGGCGCGCAACGCATGGAAGAAGAAGAACGCAAAGCCGGAGACGAAGAAGGACGAGAAGCGCGCGCGGCCGACGGGCCGGGGTGATGGTGGCGGTCCAGCCCAGCGGGGCGGCCGGCAGCCGGCCGGCGGGGGGCGCGGGGGGCGCGGCGGGGGGTCCCAGGGGTTCATCACGAGCCAGATGCAGCAGGGGCGCGGCGGGGGCGCCAACAGCAACAGCGGGCTGCGCTCGGAGAAGTCCGCCTGGATGGCCCTTATTGATGACCTGAAGAAGAAGTGAGCCCCCTAAAACCCTAAATAACAAAATAGCCTCACCAGCTGATACCCCCTGCTGCATGGATCACAAAATCTTGCATTCTTTTTGGTCACTTTTGCCAAACACTCCGGCAAACACGCTTGGTGACAGAACAGGCATGATGCTGCAGCAAAGAGCAGCACTGGTGAAGCTTGTTTATGAGGTGATGCTCTGATGCACTTGTGACTATCGCATCTACCATCAACAGATGTAGGGGGGACAGGAGGATGTGTAAATTTGAGAGCAAAGCTGGTGCAAGTGTCTCATGATTCTGTGGGGGCGTGGCAGGGCGCTGCTGCCAGTGGTGGTCTTCTGCTTTTCCAAGAAGAGGGTGGACCTGCTGGCGGACAACCTCAGCAACCTCGACCTGGCGACGGCAGCGGAAAAGAGCGAGATCCAGGTTTTCTGCGAGCGCGCGCTCGGCCGGCTGCGCGGGGCGGACCGGGAGCTGCCGCAGATTCTGCGCGTGCGCGAGATGCTCAAGCGCGGCCTCGGCGTGCACCACGCAGGTGCGCGCACATGTCGCATGCACCCCTCCGTGCCTTTGGAGTCTCTGTTTGACTTGCAGGAGTGCATTGCCTCTCCAGAGATGTTGCCAAACTTGTCTGTGCTGCGACAATGTGACCTGATCGTTGGCGGGAAAGGTACAGACACACGTGCGTTCTTGGACTTGGCAACTTCTGAAAAGTCTCGTCCTCTCAACTGCCTTTTTTTGGAAGTAGGATAAATTAAGATTTTTGGCCAAAATGTGGAGAAATATTTCCTGGTGAAGAAAATGAAAATGGTGCCATGGTGGCAGGTCTGCTGCCGATAGTGAAGGAGGTGGTGGAGATGCTGTTCTGCAGAGGCGTCATCAAGGTGCTCTTCTCCACCGAGACTTTTGCCATGGGAGTCAACGCCCCCGCACGCACCGTCATCTTCCAGTCTCTGCGCAAGCACGACGGCAAGGAGTTTAGGTGGGGCCTGCATTTTGATTTTGTGGAGTTTTGCACCATAGGCATTGTTGCACACAGAATTTCTTGGCCTCCACAGTAATGATGACAGAATGATGTGCATTCTGAAGGACCTAGGTTGGATTTCTGCAAGGGAGACTTTCCGTTACTAGCCCTGGGTAGCAGATTCCTTTTGGATACCTTCCCTTGTGATACCCTCCTCATTGGCGTTCCACATAACCGCACTGAGTTCCTGTTTTGCTGTCAGCTTGGCACCCCTCTTCTTGTATGTTCCTCTTGGTCTGAGGTTGAACCCGACAATTGGTGATTTCCTCAGGGTTCAGACCTTGGATTGACACGGCTAGTGTGTCATTCAAATTCGTACTTTGTTTGCTTGCCTCCCTCTACGTATCACTTGTGGGAAAAAAACCCAGGTGAGGTGAAAGAGGAAGCTTGCTGCAGGAATCTGCTGTCGGGGGAGTACACCCAGATGGCGGGCAGGGCGGGCAGGAGAGGGCTGGACCCGGTGGGCACAGTCATCATCGCGTGCTGGGATGACGTGTACGAGGAGGGGGAGCTGAAGAAGCTGCTGACTGGGCGTGCGACTAAGCTGGAGAGCCAGTTCAGGCTCACCTACTCCATGATCCTCAACCTGCTGCGAGTCGAGGACCTCAAGGTGGGCGCTCACTGAACTGCAAACAGAAATTTGTTGACTATCAGAAAGCAGCTTGCAGGGGTAGCTCTCCGCATGAGGAGTCTGAAGGCTGATGTCTTTTCCTGGAGGCTACATCCACTAGAGAAAAGCTTTCCATCTCGTTGTGGCTGTACCCTTGGGGTAGGAAGTCAGCCCTCATACGCTGCTTTTGACACGTTTCTAAACATAAAAATCCATAAATAGTCCGACTCGTCCTGCAAATCTGGTATCTGTGCGTAGCGCTTTTTCTGAAGCTCTTAATCCTGGTGCACAGAATTTCAGTTAAAAATATTCATGACCTTGCTTTCCTGCAATATCAAGGATAAAGGCTGAGAATCCTCTCCTGGAGTATATCCACTTTGAAAACCTTTCTCCTTCTCCTTCTGGCTGGACCAGCGGGAGTGGACCTTAGCCGTCATGCGCTGCTCATAGCTACTGACAAATTTATAATGGACAACCATGTGATCCCATCTGCAAGCAATAGGTACCTTCCGCATGCAGCAAGATATAGAGCTCTTGATGATGGTGTGCAGGTGGAGGACATGCTGAAGCGCAGCTTTGCAGAGTTCCATGCGCAGAGGGCGGCACCGGAGGCGCTTGAGGGCTTGCGATTGGGGCAGCAACGGCTGGCAGCGCTTCGCGCGCGCCCCTGGCCATCCAGCTTCCTTGGCACCTGCCGGGAAGCTGTCGAGCAGTACTTCTCCCTCTCGCAGCGCATCGAAGCCCTCTCTGTCGAGCTGCAGGTGCCAGTTCACCCCATCAAATTTCCCTCCTCCTTTTTGGTTTGGGTATCCAACTACTGGGGGTTGTGCAGACCTCAAAATGGGCGGAAGAACACGAGTGGTTGGTGCATCTAGAGCTGCCTTGCAACACTTAAGGAATTCGGATTGCTTGTTGTGAAAGAGGATGACTCCGCAGCAGAGTTGCATCTTTCTGACAGTGCCCAGGCGCTGGACCTCTTCCTGTAGAGGAGAACCTTAATTGTTGCAACTCACAGTGATGGACACACAGTGCAATAACAGCGAATTAACAATCTAGGATGGCAATCATATTAGTGGTAGTAGGAATGATACCGGCTTTGTATTGCTGTGTATTAATGCGTGAATGTCCTACAAATATATCTATCAGAATCACAATAAAATTAGTAAAAATGACAGTCAAGAGATGTGCAGGAGAGCGTGATGGGGTCTCGGGCGGCCAGTCAGGCGCTGGTGCCGGGAAGGGTGGTGCTGGTGACTAACAGGAGCACCGGGCTGCCAGAGCTTGGCGCTGTTTGTGGAGCCCCTGCCAGTGCCAGCAAGGGCATCCAGCTTGGCAACACTGTGAGCTCTGGTAAGCAGCAAAATCAAGTTTCTGCTGGCATGTGCATTGCTGTAGTGTAGTAATTGGCCGTATACTTGCACAGATGCATGACAGAAATGTAGCATTCTTTGCCCAAAACATGCTTCAGGAGAGCATGAGAGATGAGAATGACCAGACCAACTTCTCAGGGAAGCGAAGTGACCATGTAAATGTAGACCCCGGAGTGCAGCTTTTCATCTGGACTCCTTGAGGCGTTAGCAAAAGATTGTAGAGTAAAGGCTGCTTGTTCATGCTTTGCCAGGGCCTCAGGGGAAGCAGTATTATATTGTGACGCTGCACAGCGCGAGCCCCTTGGATGAGGTGGAGGAAGCACAGGGTGCTGCCTCCGTCGCTCCTTCGTCCGGCGGCTTCCAGATGCCTTCTGGGTTCAAGCTCAAAGTTGCAGCTCTATAGGACCTTCCCATCACAGTGCCTCAAACTTACGTTACCAGACCAATGCTTGCAGCCCATCTCCCGATAAGCTGTTGCATGTTGGCGAGCTGATGATGCAAGAGCTCGATGCAAGGTGATCTGCATCTGCTGATACTTGATGTTGACGCAGCATGTAAATGTGGGGTTGCATGCAGGCGCGCTCAACAAAGGGGGACCTGTTGGCCCAGGGCCGCTGCCGAGGCGAGGAGACCTCGGCGATGTGAAGTATATCTTGCAAGAGGTGTGCCTCCCTTCTTCTGTATACTGGCAACAAAGATGTCTGTGTAGCTCTGATTGCCTTGTAAGTATGCTCAACAGCACCAATCAAATATGTAATTTTCAGTTGATGTTGCAAGGATGACTCGGAGTTGGTGAGATGGCTTGTTGGAGCATGCAGGTGGACACCAGCCGAATAGAAGCCATCTGCAGGGCCAAGGTGAAGCTGAACCCAGACAGCGTGCTGGACCCAGAGGCCACCCAGGGGCTAGCCCATGTGGTCCGCCAGCTGCAGCAGCTGCAGGTGAGTTAATTTATCTTCCCCTTACCTTGCATGCAAACTTTAGCAGCTGAGAATAGCTCTGTATGCAAGATAACAATGTCCTCCCTTTTGCCCACCCATTGGCAAGCTTTCCCGATGCCTTTGCACGCCAAGTTTGCTCACTGTGCTCAGCCCTGCGCAGTATGAAGACATCCTCCATTTTGCACATCCATTGGCAATCGTTCCTGTTGCCCACCTCACGATGGGTGAACAGCAATTTCTCCTGTTGTTGCTGGTAGAGAGCTCCTTCGGCTGCAGTTCTGAGGGAAAGTTTGGTCAGATGAGACTTTTGGTGAGTATTTGTTGTGTGCAGGAAGAGGCACAGGCGGGGCCTGAGGGGCAGCCAGCGCTGATGGACCCAATAGCAGACCTCAAGCTCAATCAGCTGGACATTGCAGAGGCTGTGCGCGAGCGCCAGCATCTCCTGCAGGTATGAAACTCTGATGATCCACTCTGCCCAGGGCTCACATTGTTGGGGATGCGATGCCATTATTGTTTTATACTTACACGCTGTTGGTGGCCAGAGGCAACGTGCGCAGACAAGCTTCATGTGAAGTGTGCCAGAATCCTACCCCTTGATAGGCTCACCAGATCCAAACAAGACCCAATCAATCAAGGACACAGTTAGTATCGACAATAAGAGTTTAAATATTGGCCCTGTAAGCCTTCTTTCCTCTGCCGTGGGCATGTATCCGTCCGACGAACGCCCTTGGGCTTGCATTGCTTTGCAATGCGTGGATGCAAGGCCCGTTCAACGAACGCCCTTGCCTCCCAGGGGTTCGGCACTTCACTGAACGGGACAGGGCCCCTGCCCGTCCAACGGAACGCCTTTGGGCGTGGGCCCGTTCAGAATTAATGGGCCTGTGCAATATCCCTGCCTATTGCTCACTTCCTGGGACTTCATAGTGCCTGCCATTCAGGCAACCAGGGATTGCGCGAGAGGCTTGTGATGCTTATGTCTGCTCCTGTGATGTCTAGCTGCTCTAATGCAGTTTTGTCACGTATGTGCAAGCCTCGTGTGATCTGCTCTGAGCAGTGAGGCCAGGCCGTGACCATCTTGTCCTGGCGTGTGATAGACTATTTGGAGCTTCCAAATGCTTCCAGGAGCTTCCAATAGCAGCTGACACACGCAGATTGTGTAAGCTCTGCATGGTGTTCACATGGGCTGAGTCATGGGCTGAGTAATGTTGCATGGCACAGGCAAGGAGCAGCATGGCGTGCCACCGGGACCCAGGCATGGGTGAGATGTATGCAATTGTGCGCTCCGAAGCTCTGCTAGCTGGCAGACTCGCTGCACTTGCCCACCAGGTAACCCAATCCCATGCTTCGGTCTCTTGATACTCTGGAATGTAATTCGTAATGGGAGATTTCAGAGATTTTGTGCCCCAGCCAAAGTTGAGCCTTGAAAAAGCACCTGCACCCTTGCACCTTGCACCTGCACCCGGATCTGTATCAATTTGCAGAAAAGGACATCTGTTGTTTGCTTTGAGTAGAACGTTTGAATGCAAGCTTTGGAATAACCACTTTTTCCCACAGGTGAGCGATGCCAGCCTGGCACAGATGCCTGAGTTCAGGCAGCGGGTGGATGTCCTGCGGCGCATGCACTACCTGGCAGAAGACGACACTGTGCAGATGAAGGTTCGCCTGTTTTGCCTGACGTTCGCTGAACTTGCCAGTAGCTGGCACACGTGTGAAGTCCCATGGTGAGCTGGAGACACTGTCGGCCCTGCTCCCCAAATGGAGTAAGCAGAGGGTCAGCATGCACAAGGCAGTGTGGCATGCTTTGTGAAACTTGAGGCAGACCCTGCGCTCGTCAGCAGTACTGCAATGACGCCTCCACAGAACTCGAGAGAGCTTCAACATGTCATAGTAGTGTCATAAGAGATCTTCAAGAAGTCTGGGGTGTAAATCCTGACGGCGGAGGGGTGCATTGCAGGGGCGGGTGGCATGCGAGATCAACTCTGGCGATGAGCTGGTGGCCACGGAGATGATCTTTGCTGGGGTGCTGACAGAGCTCACGCCTGAGGAGGCTGTGGCTCTGCTATCAGCACTCGTCTTCCAGGTGCAGCTTGTGCCTGCCCTCGCGATAACACTTTGGGGAATATCATTGCATCAGACTTCTTGGAGACAATGAGCTTTGACCTGGCCGGGCTACTTCTTGAAGCTTCTTTAGCAGCAACTGTCAGACAAGATGCTGCTCAAGATGCTGCAAGGCTCTGGATCGCCAAGAACAAGTTCACTGTCTCTATGAAAAGCTCAGGCTATTACTTCAGTCCCTTGTCAAGTGATGTCTCACAGCACACCCAACCGGCACCTGTGCAAAAGGACTCATTGACCACGTGTGAACTGACTTCATAAGACGCGGGACCAATTCTGGTGTCAAGATGCCGGCTTGTCCCAAGACCAGCAAACCAATATGAGCCTTTAGAACACCTTGAGTGCTGACTCAAGAGAATCAGATTGGGACTTCAGATCAGTTGCCTGGAAGCAATGGAATCTCACCCTTCCGCATGTCTGTCAGTCAGTCAGTCAGTGAGATTTCATGTGGACAGACGTGTGGAGGTGGTCTGTAATGATGTGTGCGCATGCATGAACAGGAGAAGAGCGACGTGGAGGCGGCTGCGCCAACAGAGGCGCTGGCGGACGCATGCGATCACGCAGTGGCGCTGGCTTATGAGGCCGGCCGCATGCAGCAGGAGTGTGGCATGGACGTTCTGCCGGAGGAGTACGCGCGAGGCGCCCTCAAATTTGGCCTTGTTGAGGTGCGCCCATTCACCTCATGTCTGAAGGCTCAAGGGCTCTGGCAGTGTTGCGCCGCTGCTGTGCCTTGAATGCACACGTTGGGGCTTGCAGACCCCTAGGCTGTGCTTTTCAGTTGAGCAGAGTAATCCTACTGTTCCACATTTGGAGCGGCTGAAGAGCGTGCCCTCCAATGTTGTGCACCCTTTCCGAGCATTTGGAAGTGAATTGACTGGTGTCGCATTGAGGCAGGCTGGAACAAGTCGCATGTCCTTATCGGCTAGAGCAGATAAATAATTTGACCGGTCATTGGGTTGGATCTTGGGGTATCACTCCAACGTCCCCCCGCCTGACAGCAAACAGACATCTGTCCACAGTCTATTTTAAAAGTTAAAATTTGAATTTGTGCTGCATGCGGATTGGTGCGCAGGTGGTGTACCACTGGGCGCGCGGCGTTCCCTTCAAGGACATCTGCGCGCTGACAGACGTGATGGAGGGGTCAATAGTGCGCGCCATCGTGCGACTGGACGAGACCTGCCGGGAAGTCAAGGACGCCGCCAAGGTCATGGGCAGCACCGCGCTCGTTGCCCAAATGGAAGCCGCCTCCGCCGCCATCAAACGCGACGTCATTTTTGCGGCCTCCCTCTATGTCGCCTGATGTGACCCACTTCTATTGGCTGCTTTTTCTGCTATCCCAACGCACTTAAGTTCGAGCTCGAGCTTATTGCAGTAGCAGCCTGAGTGTATGAGGCCTGGTGCCAGTAGCTCTGGTGGCGACTCTGCATGTCATCAAAATGATATATCATATCTGCGGCCTTGCTCTATGTTGCCTGACGGCAGCACCTCTGGTGGTGGTCTTGCGTGTCAGCCAATGGTGATGTCATACTCACAGCCTCGATCTACTTGGCACAACGCCATAAGCTGTGATGGTGGCTCTGCAAGTATTCCGACTTGCGAGTCTTGTTGTCAATTGGGTGTCTGATGTTTGCAGCCTGGCTCTATGTTGCCTGAGGGCAAAATGAACAAGAGGAACCAACGGGAACCAACAGTTGAACCACAAAGAAGTCGCGTTTTTACAAATTGGGTGGAGTGACAAGGCACCTGCACACGGAATAATGACACCAGCAATCCCAGCATGGAATCAATACATATTCCATCTCAGTACTCATTTGAGCGATCTGATAGGAACCTGCACAGTATCTGCTGGTATGTCGCACAGTCAAACATACAGCAACAGCAACAACACCATTGTTCGATGTGAAGAAGACATCTTTAACCTGTCTCTTGAATCTTTTGAAAGCCTTAGGCAAACATGTCAGGGATTGCCACTAACATGGTCCCCACAACCGAGAATGGACCCCGCCCCAATTTTGAATTCAAACATTCCCACTTGTAAACCCTAAACTGACATATTCTGGACACCCAGGCTTGCACAGAGCCACATAAGCTGTACCGCACGTTAGGTATGTGAAGCAGTCATTTTGACACACGTTGTAAAGCTATATCAGCAGCCTCAACAGAGCTGTGGCAGCATGCTATCCTCACCATGGTGCCATAATTATATAATAATTGCCTGCACTCGGGGACGCCACAGAAATGGCCACACTGTACGAAGCAGCAGCGCTAGGGCACAGATGACACCTCGATATGCTCATCCATAAGACAATCAAACACCCTCTGGAGTCTCTTCCAGATAGCAGCCACACAGGCTTGCCCTCCCAGCCGAGACACATTTGACTAATGGTCTGTCTAATCTGACCCCAGAGAGAAGGGACTCAGTCAGCCCACCCTTGCTCTTTCACACCCGTGCCTAGTGTTGTTATACGGAGGGTGCAGGTTCCAATTCAGACCTCTGACATCAATAGCTTGACTTTCCAGGACTTGCACATACTTATGCCATTTTTGAGTGGCCTAATAACGAATTTTCAAAATTTGAATTCGTCAATTATGTCAGCCTGCAGCCTACAGAGAGGTCTGAAGAGTGGTGGTCGCGGCCTTGGAGGTTCCAGACATCACGGTTGGCGTGTAGGGGGTCATGTCGCTCATGTTGAACATCCACTTGGGCACGATGCAGTGGATGCCCCAATTGCCATCCACCACCTGAGCCACAGAAGAGAAAAATGCTCATTATTCTATTATTAATATGAGTGTTACACATTTTTCCTGCAGGAGGCAAGATGCGTCTGCAGACAAGCAGCACTCCATTATATGGATTAAATACCTCTATATCTCTAGACCCACACGTCCTACGTATTCATGAGCAATGCGCATGTGCACATTTTGAGTGGAAGCCAATCTAGCACACTTGAACAGCGGGCTGGGCTTGTTGATGACCATGCCGTATGTGGCAGAGCAAGGCCAGAGGCTTCATGCAGAAGATGTTGCTGTTGCAACACAGCCAACTCGAGAGGCATTGTGTACAGGAATTGAAGCTCCAAAGAAAGCTGGTTTGAGGTGTCACCTGGTCAATGCCAAAGTCCATGCCGACAGTGATGGCTGTGATGGCCTGATCCTCTGTCAGGTCAAAGGCCGTCATAATGAAGTCCCTGTGCCATAAATAATCATGATGTCAGCGCTGAACCCACGATAATCACCGGCCACGGCCCTCTTTGAGCATTCTTCAGCCTCTGCCCCGCACACTTTGAGAAAGGAGCGCAGACATCAAGGCAGAGCGAGTGCCAGAGCAAGGAGAAAGGGCTGCCTTCCCCTTGTGGACCAAATGCATGCAAAAGGCAAGACACCACTGGCCCAGAGTGCAAGATAAAGCATGCAAAAGTGTCATTGAAAACATTAGTCATTTATTACTCGCTTTTCCTACCAAGAGGTAAGGTGTGTCTGCAGACAAGCTACGAATAAAAGCTGCCCAGATTCCACCCCTTAACGGATTTGCCAGATCCAGGCAAAGACCTAATGAACCGTGGGCATGGTGCTGAGTATTTGCACCGCTTTCAGCCAGCCGGGGCCAAAAATTTGAAAACACCAAGGATTACAAAATGACCGATGGCGGTGTCAGGTGGATGCAAAGAGTGGTACCTGGTGTTGTTGTAGGCGACTGTCATTGCCTTGTCCAGGCTGGACTTGGCGTAGACATCTGCGAAGGGGTTGGCGAGCTCCTTCAGATAGTCCTGCACCCGAGAGAGACAGGCAGCACGGTCATCAATTGTGATATGTTGGAGATTGTGATATGAAGATGGGCAGAGACAGACTGCCTACAAGACCAATGAGCCTTGATTGGCTCCCAAAAGGTCTCTAAAATGTAACGATAATCGTTTTAAAGTGATGATAATGATTAATGAATAATGATGATGAATAATGATGATGATGATGAATAATGATAATCATTAGAAATTCCATTCAATCAATCAATCAAATCAAGGGCTTTGCCAGGAGCAGCCTCAACACTTCAAGCATGGCATCAGGGCAGAGAAGCCAGGCGCATATTTCAGGCAGAGGCTGTGTGAAATACTCTTCAGACGAACGATAGCCTGCTCGTGATATGCCACAAGAATGGACGGGACCAACCGAGTAAAGTCTAGTCTGAATCTGGCTTTTCAGTTCCACGGAAATCTGTCAGGCGGACATGCAAGCGAGGTCACAACTGATAATATACAAGACCTGCCCAAAATAATTGGGTCGTATAGAACCCTGCACCGGCGGCCCCCGGGTATATATGACCCAGAAGGGTGAGCGCACAGGATAGGAGAAAATCTGCTGACCCCCTGGATACAGGGGGATAGGATTATGAAAATTTGATGGTTCTGGGACGGGCCAGGACAGGCCAATCAAGTCAAGAGTGAAGGCTAGATATACAAGGCCGTGCGAGCGCCAATGGAAGGAGAAAAGCCCATTGTCAGGGGAGGTCCAGGGGCCTCACATTGTTGGTAAAGCCGTGGACGACGAATTCGTTGGCGTTCTCCAGCAGCGGGAAGTTTAGCTTGGAGACCATTTTGGGCAGAGAGCCCTTCTTATGCAGCGTGATCTTGAGCGTGGCAGTCAGCGATGTCTCGATGGCGGTTCCGTCCAACTCGCTGTCCCCCTGGCTCGTGTGCGCGTCTCCCAGAGACAGCAGAGCGCCCGGCACCTGTTGTGCAATTAATACAAGAACTCTAAGCTCACGGCCCAGACCCACTGGATTTCTTGTTGTAATGCAAATGCATGAACACACTCCCAGCACACGGCCCGACATCAGCAGAATGTCTTGTAGTGTATATTCTGCCGAATTAAGAAGCAAAGGGAAGAGGCAATAGAGATATCATGAAGCACCCTCAGCACACACGGCCCTGGATCTGCCAATTTCTTGAACATGCCATATGCCATAAAATGCAAAGGAAAAGAGACAATAGAAGGTTTGCACGTGCACCTTCTGAGTGGTGTAGCCACTAATGTAATCATGCAAAGCATGGAGGCACTCTTTGCAGATGACCCCACTTCTGCTTATTCCTTTACTGCGCTGTGTACCGCAGGGCGAAGAGAACAAGAGAACAAGAGGACATCTCAGGAGCAACTTCCAACTGGTGCAGCCTCTCAAATATGATGCTAAACCACCCATCCCAGCTTATTGAATGGGTCCAAAAGATATAAAAAACGATATACAGTATAAGATATAACAAGCTAAATATAAGAAATATAAAAAAATGCAAATTTCAGTTCCCTGAAAATTGCCTGCCCGCTGATGACTGCATGGGACATGGCGCAATCATCTGCATCTCTGAGAACTGTCACCTGAATATTCAAACCGAAATTTGACATTCGGACATTTGAATTTCAAATTTCAAAATGGGGAAAAACAGACCTGCACGGGGTAGTACATGGTGGCACCCTTGCCGATGCGGCGATCGTCGATGTTCCCTCCGTGGATGGCCGGGGGGACCGAGTCCACTGTGCCGGGGTAGGAAGACGCCAGGCCCATGTTGCCGATGTGCAGGTTGATGGGCACTGCAGACAGCGCATCAGTCCAGTCAGCACCCGGAAAAAAATCCGACGCCCTGATGATGCCTGAGGCGTGATTTAGGAGGCAGAGGTCAAGCATGCCAAAGGCAACTGCCAGTCAGCACAATGTTCACACATATCACACGGCAGTTAATGGGGCCCCCACATAGAATATCGACAAGCCTGGGCTGAAGCAAGACAAGGGACAAGCTTTGCTGCACATTGAGATACGGGGTCTTAGAAGCAGTAGTGCACAGGATGAAGAATTGTTGAAAGGCCACTGTGAAGATGGCACGATGCTAGGGAATTGGTATATTGTGTACATTGCCACATCAAGTTGAGCAGAGGCGCAGGCACAGGCTCAGCGAGGGCGCTCACCCTTGAATTTGCCGCGGATGCTGTAGTCCTCAGTCTTGGTGGGGTGGGTGGTGACGATGCCCGGGTACCAATACCCCTGCCATGTCTGACTGCCGTTCACGCAGGGCACAACGTTCTGCTCTGCACAATCACAATCCACAGCATGTCAGGCAATTGTTACTCCAGCTCGCCAAACATTGACCAATCACGTTGACCATTCACATACACCCCTTGCATGCACAGCATGCAAACGGCAGCAGATTGCATCAGGTATTACACAAAGTCCAGTGCAGGGCAGCAGGGCGAGTTTTTCATGCATGCAATAATGCATGCCAGGGAGGGTTGCATTCGAAAGACAGGGGCGCCAAGGAAGTATTGTATTCCTCTGGTTATTAGTAACCAGATAAAATATTGCATGGGGCGCACTTCTGTAGGTGCGGTCGTAGTTGTTCCACTCGTAGACTCCGTTTTCGGCGCGGGGCAGCGTTCCGTAGGTCTCTGTGCAGGCAGTTACGGGGCCAACATAGCCCTTGGCAGGGTCGTTGTATCTGCACATGCCAATATACCAGTGTCAATTTTATTTTCAAATTCAATTTCATTTTCCTCCATTTACACTGTAGAATGTTATAATAAATCTTACATGCTGTTGCTGCCAGAGGCAGGGTGTGTCTGCAGACAAGCTGCAGGTGAAGGCATTTTTCAGTCAATGCAGGACAGGGAAAAACCTGTTTGCAGTTGTAATACAGTGCCTATTTCTCTTGAGTATTCTCGCCTCTGACCCAGCAATATGTGCGCAAAAAGAAGCAAGAGAAAAGCCCAAGAAGAAGCAGGCCCGAGTCCCTGCAGCTTGCTTGAAACGAGTCAATGCGGTTGTCAGGCTTGTGCCGTAGACAGTGCTGTTGAGTCCCTATCAAGTGCAGAGTGAACAGGGGCTGTGTAGTCAATGATTAGTCACCTGAACTGGTAGTCGGGCACGGCGTAGAGGAGTTTGTTGCTGGCATCCTTGATGAGCTCGTAGATGGTGATCACCTCGCGCTTCACTCCGTCCAAGAAACCCGCGCGGAACTGGTAGCCCCTGCATGCATGCAAATCTCTTCTTCAAAATTTCTAAGCACACCTATGCAGAGCATTCAGCGCTCTTGCTGACTGCCAAAAAACCCAACAACATGGGCAGAGCCTGAGGCTATCTCCTCATCCAGGCAAGATCACAGTCTACAAATTCAGATATTGATTTGAGATTTAGAAGCAGCACATACCTATATGCAGGGGCTTAGCATATAAAGCACCATTGAATTTGGGGAAAGGCGTACCAGGAGGCGGCTGCATTGCTGCCGTAGGTCTTGCCAGTGCTGGGATTCACGCGAGGCACCAGGTCAACAATCTCCACCTGTGCAGTAATAATGGGTTAGAACATGCTAGTGTTCCAACAGTTCTTGGACATGTGTCCATAAAAACGTGGGTGCAACCTGCACAGGCATGCCCGCAATTTCACCGTCGCATGGAGTTTGAAGCAGAAGAAGACAGTAACGTTGAGTGAACCTGCAGGACATCGCCGGCGTCCGCACCGCACACATAGATGGGGCCGGTCAGGATGTGCACTCCATCTCCGTGACCTGCTCCAGCACAGAAACATTTCACAACACTAGGTTGAAATAATTGCATGGCGCACACCGGCGCCCTTCTTTCTATGCGGCCGTCCTCCTCATGGACCAGAGTGCACCAGGCAGCTCTTCCTTCCCCTCGAGGACCTTGCAATGTCTGGCACCGACTAAATCGCATCAGACCTCCATTGTCCCGGCTGGCGGGGGCCGGTGCTAACACTGAGCCCCGTGACCACGATTGATTGGTTCCTGCTTAGATCTGGCGAGTCCAACAAGGAGTACGACTCTGGCAGCCTTTTTCTGCAGCTTGTCTGTAGGCGCGCCTTGCGTCTGGCAGAAAAGCACGTAATAAAACTACTGAACCACTCCTCTCAGTAAGCAAAATAGTAATCTGCAAGCGCGCACCGGTGCGGCCGCGGAAGGGGACATTCATCTTTGACTGGGTCCATGTGAAGACGTCCTCCATGCCGGAGTCGCCCTTGACCATCTTCTCGTAGTCATCACCCGCGTGATGAGTTGCCATCTCCACCATTACCTCATCCCCACTCATTATCACCGCTGCCGGAGCCACCGCGCCGCTGCAGACCAGCAAACGCCAAAATTCAGCCTATGGCTTCAAATTTAAATGTGGATGTGGATTTCCTGCGCAGGAGCATGGGGCAAGCCGCCTCCCCCAATGCCTTCAGGTCATCGAGAGAGTAGAGTAGATTCCGGATTGACTGAGTGCCTTGAGCAAAGTACTTAATGTTGTCATTTTGCGGCCAGTCAGGTCATGGAAAATCCAGGAGCAATGCAGAAAAAGCAATTACAATCATCCATTTCTGAAACCCGCATTGCAGCAGCAAAAGAAGGGGGGAAAGTGCTTTTGCTGCATGCAAGGACAACAGAATCTGCCGCCTCAAAAGCTCCGCAGTGAAGGCCCAGCAGTTGCAGATGCAATTACACAGACCGGCCTCTGATGCTGAGGATAAGAGCAAAGAGGAGAGGGCTTTTAAGACAGAGGAGAGGGAGTAAAGGACGCACTAGAAGTAGCCCCAGTGGACAGTCTGGGAGGACAGGGAGATGTGGTGGGTGCCGTTCATCATCATGCCATCCTCCTGCAGGCGCCGGCCGGTGGAGGCGACAGATGATGACGAGACCTTCATGCAGCTGGAGGGAACAGTGGTCAGTATTGCCGGCTGCGCAGGGCACACATGCGTGAGATACACTCTTTACCGTTGTTAAGTAATTCACAGTTGTAATGGACCTGATTTCTGGATGTCCAGCAGAGCGTTGAAGGGAGTTTTGGTACTTCTGCAGCACCCTGCCAGGCTGGAGTTGAGCATAAAGAATCTTCAACTAGCTGCAGGCTGACAAGGCTGTAGCACGATGAGAGGATAAAATGGCAACAAAATAAGCTAGGGGCAGCATATGCAAGGTGGCACGTTTGGCTTACCATCTTCTTGGCCATGCTGGGCCCGGGGGCCATCCCCATTCCAGCGCCCATGGCCATGCTAGGAGCCATCTCCATCATAGACATGCCAGGAGCCATGGCCATCTCCGTCGTGGCGGCCCTGCATCACGGCAGACACATGTGATCAGGTTTCTGCCAGGGAGTCCCAGAACGTCGCAAACGAAGGCCGAGCATTCGATACTTGAGTCTGCTTAGAAATGTGGTGTGGCCAACTTTCAGTAGAGATGCATTTGCAGGGCGGCAGTTCCGCCACGCTGCCATCACCGCATTCAGTGTCATCGGATGTGGCTCAAGTACCTGCCAGTCATCCGGAAAATAGCCGCAATGACGGCTATGTACCATTAAGTGACACTCCTGTGGATTGTTAGAGCCGCTAGAGAAAGGTATTGCGCCTACACCTTGAGCTTCCCCACGGATCCGAGGTAAACCCTCGCAGCGATTGCAGCATATCGCAGCGATCTAAAGCCAGATTTGTATATATATAAACGCATGTATAAAGATGTTATTATACAGCTACAAGCCGCCTACAAGCAGAGCCGTTATACCGTTTTGTTAGGGGTGCGCGGCCCCGGCGATCTCGCCATCTAAGAGAATTTATCAAGGCCTGCCCGTCAGGACATGGGAAAGGCTATATGTTGAGCAACACAATGCATCTGAGATCTATACTTTGTGATGTCGTCAGACCATAAAGCAAACGGCCCCGCATGGCACCGCCCAAGGTACTAGACTTCAGCTACGCTAGTATATTCGGTATAAAACGGATCTGCTGCAATCTGGACGTTCGATACACAGTTAAACCTGATATGACGCGTCAAATGGCTCCAAAATGCTGCGATCGCCTTCAAACAGCCTGCGTAAAGTTATGGGTCATGGGCAGTGGACAGCTGTAGAAGCTCGCACCTCCATTGAAGACACAGCGCTAGCAGGGCAGCGGCGATCGTACAAGCCTTCATCTTGCACGCCCTTTTCTGCTGGAAAGGCAGGCAGTATGAAAGAAGTGCGATGGAGCGAAGATGTGGCCCAAACATGTGGGTCCATGTGAAAGGTGACTCATGTGATAGTTGTTTAAATTGCCGACCCAGAGGTTACTCTAATGATGGGGTGCAGCCTTGAACCTAGCCAGCGATGCGATTGTCCCTCTCAGCAGATTCCTCCTGTGAAGTGATATTGACAGCAAGGGATCGCATTGCTTGTGTGAAGTACATACAACTATTCTTGGAACAGCCATTGGAAGGGAGTGTCTTGATCTGCCAGCACTATGTACGCTCCTGTGCACAACTGCACAAATATCAATTCACACACGGCACGATTGATACGCTCGCAATCGTCAGATAGGCCAAAGGTAGGCTTATGCTACTCTATATGCTCTTCCTGGCTTGAAATCACGATCATGTCTTCGGAGTTTACCTCGGATCCGAGAGCGACCTGTGCACTTGGGGATGCCCTGCTCGTGTTTACCATGTTCTCAACTTCATATAACATAATTTGTTGGAATGATACGCAGGTACCTTGCGTCTTACCGCAGCAGAATCTCAGCCGATGCCGACAGCAACTCAGATCACCTCTTGCAAGGTGCCATCCATTGGCACGGAGAGGTGGCGTGAGCGTCCAATGCAGCTCTGGACTGGTGGTCAGAGAAGAGGTATTTGCATGCTCTCCTAGCATCTGACTTGTATATTGAGCAGCCATGGTCGGGTAATTACGGCTTGGCCTGAGGGACTACATCAACATGCTGTTCAATCTCATGCAGTCCACTGGTGTGGAGTTTCCGGAAGTCACAACGCTGTGGGAGGGCGGAAAGATGCGTTCCATGGGGGCTGGGGTGCGCGCAAAGAAGTTTGCATTCGTACCCGTCAAGGTGACCAATTGCCCAAGCTTCTGCTTTGCTCCCCTGTCTCTACCAGCTGCCCTTGCATCGCCTTCATGTCGGCAATCCCTTGAACGCGCCAGAGCAGTTTCTAGCCGTGAAAATTGTCACGTGCATGTATTGACATGGCTGATGGAAAATTCCTCCTGGCATAAGACACCTGTCTTTGGTCAGTCGCGCGTGGCGCTATGGTCAGGGAATGTGAGGGAAGACAGAATGCAAGACATGTAGGCATTGCGAGTGCTGAAGTAGGAGAACAGGCTGCCTTGCAGTGTACACTTTTTAGACGATAGAAACGTTCCTTACAAGGACGGCAACATTCACAACAACTTTACAGTGAGGATGCATTCTGAGACCTAAGTTAGGCTCTTCAGAAGACAGCAACCAGAGGAACAAGAGACTTTCATTTATCTGAGACTGCCAGCAGATCAGAGCAACATAACAAGACTGACTAAGGCAAACGAAAGAAATGATCTGCTATTCTAACGCTGCCTGCAGGTGTACGCAGTGACGGTGTACGTGGAGGCAGAGAAGGCAGCGAGGGAGTTGGGGGTGAGGCAGCGGGGGGGCTTCTTCGATGACAATAGGGACGAGGACTTCACGCTGGCGCTTGTGGACGGCGCCTTTGCCAAGGCACTGGTGGTGCAGCTCGTGCGCAAGGTGGAGGGCAAGCAGTTCTACGAGGTGCGCACACAGCCGCAGCTGGCTGATGTCAATAACCTCCTCTTTTGGCATCGAGTGCATTGTGGGGAGTTTCTCATGCTGCCAAAATTGCCTTTTGGGGCTGCTTGGCTGGGTGACTTCTCTTGCATTGCTGCCAATGCAAACGTGATCTTCAATTTGCCTTTAGCAGAAGCTGTGTCATAAGTAGCACGCAATGTGGACTCCCCACTCAAATGGGCAATGCAATTGCCAGTGTCTTGAAGGATGTTCACGGGGGTTCAGGGGAGTTACATCCCTGCAAAGTTGATGAGTGCTGCAGACATATGAACAACCACACAATCCCTGTTAGTAATGCAAAGAACTGCATGCCCAAGCATCTGCAAACAATCAGTGATCACCCGCCTGTCGATGCTTCTTTATTGTTGGCGCGAAAGTATTCCCATGGATGTGCTTGCTGACCACTCTGCAGAAGGGGTCAATAGAACTAGTGAGGGTCAATAACAATGATGCAATATCCGGATCAGGCGCTTGAGGAGGCGCTGGCGCCGCGGCTGCGGCTGGCGGGGGACACCGGCAGTCTGGCCAAGTTTGGCGACTTTTTGAGCGGGCGCTCGCTGGAGAAGGGCACCGCCATCATCCTCTTCTACCGCGTGGAGGGCGTCCTGGAAGTTGCCCTGATGCCGCCGGGAAGCAGTGACTACTCCCAGGTGCGATTGCTGCATGCAAGTAGCTGGTTCCTGATACCTTATGTGCACGACATCAGGAAGGCATGCCCGTGAATGTTTGATGTCATATATTGTACCCTTTTGTGTCTTGAGGCCTGGTGAAGGCATCACTTGCCTACCGTGCAAACTTCAATGGAGCAATGGGTGCTGCATGGTGGTGGGATAGTTGCAGAACAGCTTGACGTCTACCAATAGCTCTGTTCTGGATTGAGAAATTTTGGCCGAGAACCTGCAGCTATGGATCAACGGGTGCAGCATGGTGGTAGGATAATTGCATAGGAGCCCTACTTCAATCTTCAATTGAGTTGTCCTTTTCTGCTCAATGATAGCCAAGGTCACTGTAGCAGGGTTTGCATCAGCACCATTAACAGTGGCAACATCGTAGCGAGTTGCTGCCTCTTCCATGCTGCAGGCAAAGCCCGAGCTGCGTGTGGAGTCACCGATGCTGTGCCGTGCGCTGTTTGAGGTGTACATGGGAAGTGACAGCATTGTGCCACACGCGCGCGCTGCGTGGGCCGGAGGCGCTCGGACGCTGCTGTCCTCGGAGCAGGTCCGGCGCGACACGCGCAAGAGCGGCAGCTGATCTGTGGCGACTCTCACAGACTGTGAGGCTTTGCCTGAGAAGTTCTGGCTGCCTCCGTGCGTCCAGGCCAACCCCTGAACTACAGGATGGGAGATCTTGCTGTTAGAGCATGAGCCTGTTGGGGTCGAAGGTGTTTGGCACTAGTGGTGTGCATATGTGAGGCTTGCTCAAGCTTGCAGGAATCGATTATATCATCGATGTATGAGATGAGCGGATGTCGCTACTGCAAACAGATACTATGATGGCCAGCCCAGCTCTGTAAGAAGCCCAATTATGATTTCCCTTCCCAAATGACTCGAGCATAAAAGCCCACAGATCGAGGGAACGCCACTGCACCGAACTTGCATGCATTGTGCGTCATGCATTCATTGTGAATCAATACAAAGAGCATTGGACTTTCTCTATATTAGAGCAAATTGCACAGTCGTATGTGAGAGCGCATTCTTCCAAACAAAGGACGAAAGCCCACCGCTCAGACCTTTGGTGCGTCTAGTGCTAAATTTCAAAAGCCTTTGCGGAACATAACCCGGCCAGGGATGGTTCCGACACGATCTGATGTGGCTGTATCCCCACTTCTTCGATCTCTTGCACATCATCGGGCTTCCTTGCGGAAAAGGTCCAGAGCATTTCGTCCTACGCAAGCCATGCAGGGGGGCGAGAGCTTCCCCATCAGGAAGGCAAAGAGGGTGGAGATTGGACCGAATCTTGACTGCAGCAAAGAAGAAGCTGTAATGCTGCAAATCGAGGCAAAGCTTTGATTCCCTCGATTCAAATCGTGGTGCTAGGCATCAAGCATGTAGTCTTGGAGTCTTGGTGTATTGCCTGCAATAACAGAACAATTTTGCCCTTTCAGGCTCTGAAGCACAATGATACGCCCTATCAAGATGCAGGTGTCGAGGTACTGTACAGGTATGGCCTTCCAGGGAGTAGGATCTTCCCTCCACCCCCTTCATGCATGCCTTCAACAATCTGTGTCTGGGCCACTGATGCATTGCAGTTAGACATGCAAGACACACTGCACATTTTCATGGTGACTCAACAATTTTGTTCGCAGATTTGCAGATATTGACCCCTTCGCCAGGAGTAACTATTTCGGCTGGAGTTTAGACCTGGTATGACTGAGCAAACCAATCACAGATAGACAGATAAATGTATTTAACGACTTACTAGTAGCATATCGATGACGTCAGATCTGTGCTTTCCAGGGGCAATTCACCAGATTTCAGCGAGTCTTCCACATGATGCCATACAGGATTCTTTTGCAGCACAAAGAGTCGAGCTTCCTGAGTTCCCTACAGGCAAGCAGCTTCTGTAGCAACCTCAGGAACCCACCTGCCTCATATTAGAAATGTCAAGTGACAACTTTTCCAATGTATAGAAGTAGAAGATCAGTTCTGACATGCTAACGGTCATGGAAAAGCATCAGCCTGAGAAGAACCATAAAAATTGCTTTGCTGTTGCATGCATGCTCAATTATACTGGGGAAGTTGCAAATTGCATGCTTGGCAGGTCAGTGAGTTTGAGTGGCGGCAGCGCATTTTGGTGCAAGGGATAAGCGGGGAGGCAGTTTTTGAGTTCACCATGCTGCAGCGCTTTGGTGGTTGTTATGATGGCGTCTTCTACACCAGATACCTGAGAGCAGATCCTCCTTGGCGGCCGCATTTGCCAGCTGTTCACCGGTTTACCGGCAGCTGAATATACTAGAGAGTGCTAGCACTGTCCTAGAATCACTGGGAAGCATTGCAATTGTACCAACAGTGTACCATCAAGCACTGTTTCATGGCAGCAGCTGATAGTGAGTGGCGCTGCTTATATTATTATTCTCTGTGAAGCTGCTGGAGCAGTCATTGCAATTGAGAGTGAGCGAGCATATGTATGTGTTGGTAGTTCAAGATTCCTCTGAAAGGTCAGATTATTCCAGGGTGAAGACTTGGGTTGATTGAGCGTTGTCTGCGGGAGGGAGTAGAGATTGATATATTTTTGCTGCCTTGTAGGTGCAGCTTGTAGCTTAAAATAGAAATAGGACTTGTGCACAGCTTAAAATAGTAAAAGAATTGCACGAAACAAGACCTGAGCTCTCGTTTGATCGAAGCGCTTGCTCACATGATATCCCGCTCAAGACCACTCTGCTTGAAAGTTGGCTGCAAGCTGCCATCCAATTAGATCTGCTGCAGAAATTTCCGAGCGATATGCAATTGATCGTCTGCACATCAATTACTTCAGAATCTGCCAAATATAGTATAGACGCTGTGCCCTTGGAAATCGCTCGCGTGTCTCATGAGATACGCATGTTCATATTGGGTAGGTAGGAATTCAGCAGCCTTTACATGCAGCTTGTCTGCAGACACACCTTGCCTTCGGCAGGAAAAGCGTGTAATAAGAATAATGAAAATATTGCCAATGATATTCCCCGCTGCCTGCGCATGCGTTCACATAAAAAGACGACCACGTGTGCACAAATATCCCAAAGCAGCTCTTGTAATGCGGCACAATTTATGATATTTTCTCCGCATGCAACGCGCTAAGAGCCATTGTCATGCATCTCTGTCTTCGGTGTCTTCCGACATGGGGCCTTGCGGCTGAGCATCTCTCCAATCTGCTGCCATGGCCTCATCTGTGAGCAGCCCTGCACATAAGCGCACATCTAATTCTCAAAGTACTGTCAGATTTGCATAAGCAGGCAGGCTGCGGGGAGGCCAATTCTTTGGCCTCACCAAGAATGAGCGCATGGGAGACTTATGTGAGGCTTACCGAGCGCCAGGAGGGCATCAGGAGAGAAGCTGCCGAGCAGGTGCCGGAACGGCTTCATCCCGGGGCTGCCGAGCGCTGCGCCCGACAGCTGCTGCAACGAGCGCATCACCGCCGTCAGCTCTGGCCGCATATGCGCCGCCCATGCCGGCCCTTCCGCAATCCCCTCTTCGCCGCGCTTGCCCTTTCCGGCTGCAGGCACATTTTGTCACACTACTGACAATTCTTTTGTTTGCTGCAGGCTCTCTGTGGAGGCTATCAGAGTCACATTTGAAGCAAACTACGGAGCAGTAGCAGCACCGGACACTAGATCTGCTCCTGCCAAAGCAACCGCTGTGACAAGCAAAGTGGTCCCGGAAGTAATTCTTCAAAACCTTTGACTTGCTTCCAGTAATGCACAAGCTGGCTATGCCCCTCAACAAGCATGCAGGTCGTACCTGTGGCCTGCTGCTCACTGCACTCCTTGGCATACACGCGGCTGGGGCAGTTCTTAGCGGTGTGGTGCGCCGAGCCGCAGCAGGTGCACAGCCGCTCATCCTCCCGCTTCAAGACGACTGGCACCCCCGCAGCTTTGCACCTGTGCACACGCAGACAATGCCCAGTTGATCTCACAAGAATTGTGATGCTGCCTTTCCTCAGTCTACGCATGTGTGCACCGTCGTGAGGCGCTGTGCAATGATGACATGGCCAAAGATAAGCGCATGAGGGCCTACTGCTAAATGGGCTTTGAGCTCTGGAATCAGCAAGCAGTCACACACAGCGCTCTGGCCATGACAATAAGGCAGCCTGGAACATCACAAATGGAAGGGATGCCACAAAACGATCTGGCAGCTGCATGATGCCAAGGAGAGTCAAGCGCAAGCTATGTCGCTCGCATCGCATCACCTCTCGGCGTGGCGCAGGTCAGCAGCGTAGTCATGGGGGGTGACAAAGCGGCTGTCACCAGGCCGCGCCCAGTCAGCGAAGCGTCCTGTGAACTTCGTGTTCCAGTCCACCTCGGCTGGCGGCTCAGCCTCCAACATGCGCCGCGGCCGCCGCTCCGCCGCATACCACCACTCCTGCCCTTCCCCTGCTCCAAACCCACTGCACTGCTCATCCATGCTGCTTATGCAATATTTGAAATGCAGAGCTCTTACCTATAGTTCTGGATGGCTAATCATCAAGCACTGACACTCATAAGCAGACCTCATGACAGTGCAATGAGCCCAACCCTCGAGCGGATGATTGTTAATCTGACAGCTGCACAGCATGTGCTAGTTGTTGACGCAGCGCTCTCAGCCAACCACATCTGAGAATCCCGGCAAACCTGACGGCCTCAGCTCCCAAGATTGCAGCTGCTCAGCCTCGGGGGGACAGAAATTTATGCAATCCCGCACCTGTGCCGGCGAGGGCGTCGAGCAGGTGCGCGACGCGCTGCTCCTCGCGCAGCCGCCGCAGCCGCGCGTCCAGCGCCTCAAGGCCGGCTCGCCGCGCCCGATCCCCCTCCGGCCGCCGCTGCCGCCGCGCAGCCGCCGCCAATCGCGCCGCCTCCAGCGCCTTCCGCCCCGACACCGACGCTGCACAATTGAACAAGAGCTGTCACACATTATGAACATACTGCACCTGGGCTATTGTTGCTCAATCATTCAGTGCTTGTTGAGGCAGCAGGCATACAGTGTGAACAGATCATCCTGCTGTCTCTATTAATCAATTCTGCGCCAGGCATACCTCGGCCCGCAGGCTCCTCCGTATGCTCTGCTGTGCCGGCTTCTGTAACTGCCCGCAGCTGTGGCGTTCTGCCGCCAACTATATGCTCAGGGCCTTCCGAAACAGCGTGTGTTCCGGCTGTGTCTGTAGCTCCTGCGTGGATTGGTGAGCTGAGGATGTTCGGAGGCGGCAGCGGCCTTTCTGCTCTGGCCTGCTGGTGTGCTGCCGATGGCGCAGGCAGGCTGACGGGCGACAGCCCAGTCAAGAAATTCTCCAGATCCTTCCCCACCCTCTTCTCCTCCTGCGCTCAAGTGATATGATATACAGTAACGATCAAAACACACCTGCATCATGTCCTGCCATTGTACATGGGGCCTGCAATGCATGTCATGGATTGCGCAGTGCACCTGGTAAGATTCCTTGGGGAAGTGTGTGACAGCTGCAGGGTGGTCTCGACCGTAGAATGCCAGTGTGGCACGATCTGCCGCACGAGCTGCCTCCTGCAGGCGCCATGCTTACATGAAGCACACTTGCAAATGAGTTATAACTTTGCCACAACTCTGAACGTTGAGCCTGCAAGCATAGTGAATGCTGGCCCATCCAAATGTCTTCTACTGTGAGAGCATGTGCCTCTCACCTCCTCATGCAGAAAGTCTCCGATGCGGTAAGGGCTCAGACGATTCCCGAGAGGCAGCAATGCGCGATACTTAACAATTCTCTTCCCATTCACCCTCGTGTAGGACAGTCTTACATTCCGGGGCGGCTGTCTCCATGTGGCTTTCCTTCCATTCTGCGAGGCACAGGCATAGATTTCACCAGCTGACAGCGCATAAGGAGGCGTCATCCATTGTTAGAATTTTTACATCCTTTCTTGGGCTGCATTGAATTTACTCGTACGGGTCTGCACACCTGCTCCTTTCGCTTTGTTGAAGTGGCAGGCGCAGCAAGACTAGATGTGTCGCTGCCCGATGTTTCTTCTGTCGATGATTCTAGGGGCTCAACAGATCCTTCTGGTGGAGCATCCGCTGTTATTCTTTGGGGCTCGACGGAGCCTCCCAGTTGAGATTCTGCTATTGACGTTCTCTGGGGCTCAACAGATTCTTCTGGTGGAGATTCTTCCACCAATGCCCCCTGATGCTGAACAGGCTCAGCAGGTGCTTCTGATGCTGCCTGGGATGCTGCAACGCATGTCTGAGACCCGGCAGGAATATCTGAGGCCAGTTCCCGGCCTGGGCTCCCACTTCTGAGATGTTCTGAGTTGCTTGGATGTGCTGATTCTTCTGGCTGCTCTGCTGCTGTTGACTCTTCTTCAAGGGCTTGTGGGCCTGAGGGCTGTCCTCCTTGAGAAGCTGCAGCAGTGTTCGTGCCTGCTCTTCTCCGTGCGCTCCTTGCCCTCTGAGGCACTTTCCTCCTTGTGAAATCATCTTCTGCTGCTGCCTCACTATGCTGTATGCTACCTGTATGCTCTGAGCCCACAGTGGCCTTGCTGGCAGACAACTTTGATCTCTTAGCAGGTGGTCTCCTTGGTGTTTGGCGCGTTGGTCCACTGTCTTCTGCGTCCAGAACGGCAGTGCTACTCTTGCGCAATGAGTAGGGGCTGGCATGCGGGGCTTGCCTTTGCAGCGATTGTTTTGCCCTGCGTGTCTGCATGGTGGGCACTGTACGAGTTCCTCAAGCAACAGCGAGCGCTTTGTAAATGCAGTTAAACGCTAGCGTACAGATTGCTAGCACCATCCACTTGTGATACGGGAATCAGCAATTTAGGTGAAGGCAGAAGCACTCCTCTATCTTTTTGTAAGTTGCTATCGCCTAAGACACTCAATAGATTGGTGCTCCTGTTATCAGTAAAGATATTAATAATCGAAGTCTTCCTACCGGTAAAGCAATCTAAAATTAAAGCATGAATCGAGAGAAATGACCAGATGCACTGCATGTGGCAGCTGCCCATACAGAGGAAGCTTCCTCTCCGACTCCTAGGTGTGTGCGCGCGTTCTTCCTGATGGATGCAGTTTCGTTGACCTTCTGTCATCCTCATGTGATAGTCTGTCGTTCATGGATGTTATGAAAGCTTGAAGTCATGAGTGTCGTGACTGATTGACTTCTATCATCAAACCTCTGCGGTCTCCCATGGTCTCTGTGCCTGGTCTAATTCTCAATATGTTGGATACTTCGCTATATACATATTTATGAGGGAATACCACACGTCATCCTCCACGTTAGGCGTGAAAGAGTGTCAAGTGTGTGGAAAATCAGACACTGCATGCCTACCCTGCCCTCGTTGTAAAGCCCTCTTCTATTGCTCGGAAGAGCACAAGAAGATACACTTGCTGCAAGGCCATGCTTCAGAATGCGGTCGCATGGCAGCACAGCTGTTGCGAGCACCAGTAGGTTCCCAAAGTCCAACAGAGAAAACTTGCTGTGAGACCTACTTACCGATCGCTATCCCATTCAGAAATTGTGTTCAAATTTTATAAAGCTAATTTGGGCTTCCTAACTGCAGGATCTGGCCGAGTTCCCATTCCTCTGGGCGGACAGGGTCAGTCTGGCACCAAGTGCTCTCTGCGGTGTATTGGCTTCTGCTCATATCCATAGACTTGTGCTTTGGCGGAGGGAATGCCAATGCCAGGAAAGGGGAGATTGGGGGCAGTTTGCACCACCCTTGCCACCAAGCATTTCTGGGGTGCATTTGATGCCCGATCTGGCAGGCATGGTTGGGCTTCCTTTGAGGGAGATGCCATGTTTGAATTCAAAGGTATGGCCCTGTTCTATTCTAGTTCCCTTTTATGCTGCTGTGTGGCAGCAATCATCCCACCGTGCCTAAACACAGGCATGTATCAGCAGGTGGCGGTACAAGATCAGCCCGCTGACTGGGCAGCATACTATAGCCTCCGGGGCATCCCATTTCACAGCTTAATAGGTGCAAGCTATTCCTTGTCAACAGATAAATCACTGCGTTTGGCCATGTGATCGCGCCGAAAGCTTACAATGGCATTAAATTACATCAGTCTAACTGCGGAATTTGTGCTACTGCAGCGATGTTATTGGTCGTGCCTTTGACGCTGTACCACATCATCTGCCATGCCGCTAGGCTGAGACCGGCTGAAGTCTCACTGGCCCCTGGCTCAAGCCTCCTCGTCCTCTGTCTTGGTGCGCACAACTCACTCCCTGCATTTGCAACGCTGAACACATGATGTCCCCGCAGTGAACAACAGTCGAATCTGCAGGCTTTTGATTGTGCCAGGCGGAGCGCTGGTTCCAATAAAAGGGAGCGTGTGCAGGAGTGCAGAAGGAGGTTGAGCAGTGGCCGGTGTTGCTGGAACTTGCCTGCCTGCTGCCACATCTACACTTGCACCTGCTGCTTGTGTCCCCAGACGTGCCACAAGCCTGGCATCGCCGGTCTGCCTTGTTTGCAAGCCCAAACGAGACTTCATGCAGCGGCACCAACTGCAACTGCGCCCATGCACTGCACGATGCTGTATCGGTGAGGCATGCAGATGAAGCTTGGATATTCCTGTATATCTACCTGAGTCTCTGCTGAAATCTACTGTCCTTCAGCTGCAGACGTGATGACATCGGCAAAGATCAACATACCATGGAGTTGGTGCAAGATGACCTCCAGGAAATGTGTCATTCCTTGTGCAGCATCAGGATGGAAAAAGCAGCGCGCCAGGCAGCATGCGCCTGACATTCTTCCATGGGGTGTACAACAGAGGAACGGCTGCGGAGCTGCAGCAACAATATGGAGCAGCCCATTTGGTCTTCGGGCCAAATGCAGGCATGCCACAGATGCTGAGCTAAACAATGACCTTTGGATGATGGCAGCAGCAATACAAAAGCTGCCATGCTGATACACCATTGCAGTATGAGTGTTGGAAGTGGTGTTTCATGTATAAAGGAGTCCCGGACCTTCCTATTCGCCAGAGATAAGGTTATATGTGATGCGGACAGGGCTGGCGGCCTATGATTCCTGGATACCTGCTGTGCGAGAGTTGGTCACCAACGGACGGCCTATCAGCTTCTTCTCTGATTTTTGTGAGGAGGCAGCACTTCGAGCTGCAAACGTGGTGTTGGGAGAGGGGGTTGAAGATATGTCTGTTCCAGTATTTGTCAACCCGTTTCGGCACCCAGCCCGCATTGTCCAGACTGATAACGCGCTGCCAAGTTACAGCAATGGCTTCATTTTTGCATTCAACTGATTTTCAGATGACTGGCTTGACTTAGAGCTGTGTTACCTCCTGCCAGGCCAGGAGAAAGAAATTATCTGTGCATTTGCACGACTTGTAGCTGAGTGACTTGTAAAACATCTAGTTTAGTTTGTCTCTGAATGAATTTTTAAGCTGCCGCATTGCTGAACACAAGGCATAAAATGTGTTGGGGGATGGGTGTGATCCCTTTGAATCAGTTCAAAAACATCTACATAATTGCAAGGTAGGCAGTAACTATTAGCACAATACTGCACATGCCAGATGGCACCACATGCAGGCAAGCAAACCATTACAGGCACAAAATTTTTTCCCCCTCTGCTCCTCAGCTGTCAGTGAAGTGTGGCTCCCGTTTCTCAAGGAAGGCTCGCATCCCCTCCTTCTGGTCCTCCAGAGCAAAGCAGGACCAAAACTCGCGCCTGCATGCATCCAAGCTCGTACATCACTTACACACATCCATCAGGCAACAAGACCATGCAACAGAGCCCCATTTTGCCGAGCATCACTATCATGCAGGCACGAAGAAGCAGAAAAGCTGAGGCAAAGGTCATGCCACAATGTGTAGAGCATGCAACATGTAGCATGCAAGGGTGAAATTTGGATATTTCATCAGACATGACTTTATCAATCTGATAAAGCACAGATGAACATGACTGCTTCAGAAGCAGAGGGCGCACTGTTCATAGCGCAGCCCTTCGGCGAGGCTGGTCTCATATGCGCGGTGGACGCAGTCCTTGGCTTTGGCAATGACAGGCGCCGACAAGGCGCCAAGCTTGGCGGCCAGCCTGTAAGCCTCTGGCAGCAGCTGGTCCTGGGGGACCACCCTGCTGACTAACCCTGCTTGCTCTGCCTCTGCCGCACTCAACCTGCACACCGCAGCTCCATGTTACACAGTTGCCAGCTGTGATTTCGAAAGCTCTGCAATGGTATCATTGCCAATTGCCAAAAGCATACAATCCTTTTACTAGATCCATGATTGGAGAACCAGAGGCTGAAGAGGGTCAACACTACCCAAAGAGGTTACCTCCTGCCACACAAGATCATCTCCATGGCACGGGACTTGCCCACTTCTCTGATCAGCCGCTGCGTGCCTCCCATGCCTGGAATGACTCCCAGCGTCACCTCTGGCTGCACCACAAGAAAAAGTCCTTCTCATCTCTTTGCTCCCAAGATACTGTGCAGTGATCAAAACATGAGACCTTGAGGAGGGTGATCACATGTCAATTTCACTGATTGTGAGGAAAAGTGTGGAAGTCAAAAGATGACGGGCACACCTGCCCAAAGGAGGCATTCTCACTGGCGATGATGATGTCAGCCATCATGGCCACTTCACAGCCGCCCCCCAGCGCATAGCCGTTCACCGCTGCAATGATGGGCTTGCGCACATCCCTCAACTCCCTCCACCCTTCCATGAAGCGCCTCTTGTATGCCTGCCCCAGAATGCATGCACGCCTAGAAAAGGACTTGACAGCACATTAGAAGCTCATCCTTCATGGCTCAGGCTCTGCAACAAGCAGATGCGAGGGAAGATAGCAATCGTATTAGCCTGACGCACTTCAGGGATTGTGCCAGGAGCAGTTGAGGGAAGGTTCCAAATTGGGCCTCTCTCGTCCCCCTAGTAAGTAGTACTGTCAAGATCACCTCACTGTACTGCTGGGAGGCCATCTCCTTGATGTCAGCCCCGGCCGCAAATGCTTTGTTGCCTTCGCCAGTAATGATGATTGCTTTCACATCATCTGTACGATCCAGATGATGGGATGCATGCACGATCTCTTGCATTGCCTGCAGATTAAGAGCACCAGAATGGAACATCTCGTGGACAGGCAATAGACAAGGTAGGCAGGATGCACAAAGCCTTATGATGTAGAAGCTGAGGCTGAGGTATACCTCCATGCTGACAGCATTCAGGGCTTTTGGTCGTGCTATCGTGATCTTGCCTACAGGGCTGTCAATCTCACATCTCAACGTCTGGTATTCTCGTATTGCTTGTGAGCTGAAAGTGGCGCTGGAGGAAAAGGCAGCATTCCCAAGGACCCATTGTACTGGGTTGATGATTTCACCACCATGAGCACTCCTTGGCAAGTTCGATTGCAGAAGGCACCGAGACTGCGTTAAAAACCTCCTAGACATTTTATTGACATTCAAAAGGACGCCTCGAGTGATACAAGGAGACTCATAAAATCAAGACATGCCACATGCCAATGCCTCGAGTTGGTCAAGGCTCGATTCGAACAGCTGACCCCTTATTGAGCTCCTTGCGATCCAGTAGCTTTCAAAATGCCTACGGATTAATTTGTATTCTCTCTTTTCCTTCAATCACATTATCATTACGGAAGGCTTCTTCATGCATGAGTCATGTTCTTTCCGACTCCAAGCCTTGGACCAAGGCTTGACGGATGTAAACTTTCGATTTAATAGCTAAGGAAGTTTTGTTCATCTCATAAAACTCTTAATTTTGACACTTGATGTTTTGTCGTGTTCATTTGTCAGATCACTTTCCAAGGTCATGGCAAGGGAGACAGTTGTTGGTGGCCGTTTCAAGGCATGCTTGTAGCGTAAAATGAAATTCAGAGTCCGGATACATACGTTAGAAGCTATTGAAGTGCCGTTGGAGGAGCATTCAAGGCGGTTAAGGTCAGGGCTAGCAAAGGGGCATGGGACGCTACGTGAACAAGTGGCACGTTCTGGCAGCCTCCATCGTCATCCAGTACACAGCAGGGCTTGGTTACACCTTCTCGATATACTCAGATCAGCTCAAGCACCACTTCTCCTATAGCCAGGAGGAGATACAGGGGCTTGGTTCAGCAAACAATCTAGGAGGATACCTCAGCATCTTCAGCGGCATCATCTATGACTATTCAGCCCATCACCACCGCTGGGGGCCCAGACTCTGCATTGGCGCTGCAGCCGTCCTCAACTTTGTGGGCTACGTTACCCTTTGGACAGCAGCGAAAGGGCAAGAATTTCGCATTTCCCATGCCACATTGAAGTTCAGTTCTATACGATTCAATACCTGCACCTGCATTGCTGCATGATTATGCTGCGCAGATCTGCACTTGAATAGAGGAACAGCACAGTACTTACTCTGTGGGTGCTCATGCAGGTGGATCCAGCCTTCATATTGGCAGGTCATTGGAATCTCCATTGTAGCGCCCCTGGCAGGCACCTTCATGGACACCACAGCCCTCATAACCTGCACAAGAAACTTTCCCACTGAGAGGGGCACCATCATTGGCATTGTCAAGGCATGCATTGGTGGGTTGCACATCGTCCTTGCCTCGATGTTGGCTGTGTCTTTGCGACACTGTGACACAAAATGCAAGAACCCTGAAGTTGTCTGCATGTTTGTTTTTCTTCTGTGCCTGAAAACTGGATGTGTGATTGTTTGCGTTTTCATGCCAGGCCTCAGTGCATCTGTCTTCACATCACTGTACCTAGCATTTTTCCAGGAGGACGTCATTGCATTCCTCCTGTTCCTGGCTGTGGTGCCGTCCGCCATAAACGTGCTCTTAGCCTTTTTCTTGAACTTCGTACCATTTCAGCAGTCGGCAGAAACTCCTGCTAGCACAGGTGATACTTGCCTTCTTAGACTTCACTTGGCCTGCCCCTTGAAGATGCAGTGATGGGCATGATGCATTGGAGTGTTCAGGAGACTGATTATGGTAGTGCAGCATCAACACTAGCTGGTCTTAGCACCCGGACTAATATCCTGAAGGTGGTTCTCACAGAACGCAGGCTTGGCTATGGGGTTCAACTCGTGGGACTTCTGGGCTTGTACCTGCTCGTGACAGCGCTTGCAGATGGCTTTTTCCAACCTGGACAATATGGCCGGATTGGCATGGTGATAGGTAAGCCTTTGCGACGCCTGTCTTCAGCCAAGGCAGAACTGCGCTCCACTTACAATGCTGACAGCTTTCACCTCATGAACATGTGCCGTAGTGTCAAGGGAGCATGGAGCTCAATAGATCTAATGCAGTCCCTGCACGCAGGTGCACTGGTCTTGGTGGCTGCCACGATGCTGCTTCCCTTGGGCACTGGAGGCCTCTGGGCGCAGCCAGCAGATGGTACTTCCTCTCGCGTAGAAACTGAAGACCTGAGCGATCCTCTGCTACAGTCAGATCATGCCACAAAGGTGAGCTTGGACCAGACCCCTGAATGGCGGCATGCGCAGCAACAAATCTTTAGCAAGGAAGCGAATGCTAAAATGTCAAAATGATGCATTGGTGCAGGAAGTAGGAGAGACCGAGTCAGAGGAGGATGCGGCGCGGGCACCCTTTGCGCTGCATGCATTGGAATTGGGACCGGGGCACTGCTTGATTTCTTTGGACTTCTGGCTGCTGTTCTTTGTCTGTGCAGTGGGTGCGCCACCATTTCTACCCCTTTCACCTTGCCAAAACCTCCATATTCTGCTGGGTTTAAAATATCTCGGAGCTTGGCCAACCTGTGTCGTGGTGGGTTCTTGGATCATCCTTGGAGACCAGGAAAGTACACCGGGAGGAGTAAGGACAGGAGATAAGGAAGGGGAGCAGAGGTGAATTGGTGACATATGAGTCAAGCACTGGAGATCGAGGCTCGTGTTGCATGCTGGCTCGTGTGCTGTGCCGGCCTGCCTACTTTCATCACACGACATGGGGACTCAGCTGACAAATATGCGTCATGTTGCGATGCAGGCATGGGGACGGGGCTGGTGTACCTGAACAACCTGGGCCAGATGGTGCGCGCCCTGCACGGCCACGGCAGCGCAGCCGTCTACATCTCCATCTTCTCTGTTTCCAGCTGCGCCGGCCGCCTGCTGCTCGGGTGTGCACCATCCTCTCCCGTTTTTACCCTCGACCACAGCGCAGTCCAGCTCACAACAATGTAAAGACGCCCGTAGCGTGGACCCCATTCACGTGGCATGCAAGCCCATGTTGCATGGGTTCTGAGAAAAAACCAGGACCTGGACAGGCAGCGTTAGAACATTACGTGATGTATGTGATGTTTCTTGTTGAGTTGCATGGTTTATGTCCAGTTAGGATGCGACTCATGCAGCTTCTGTAGGAGCAGAGCCAGGGGCATGCACCTGACCGGTGCAAGCCGGCATTGTGCAGGCATGTGCCGGAGAGGGCGCTGCATGCTGCCGGCGTGCCGCGGCCGCTCTTCCTGATCTTTGTGTCGCTGCTGACGGCGGCTGTGGCCCTGTTGTGCGCGTACGCCTCGCTGGCGGCCCTGTACCCGGCTGCGCTGCTGGCAGGGCTGGCCTTTGGCGGCCACTGGAGCCTCGCGCCGGCGCTGGCCTGTGACTTCTTCGGGCTGCGCCATTTTGCCTCCAACTACTGCCTGCTCCAGGTGTGCGACAAATGCAATACATCTTGGCAAAGGAACAGACACAATGTGCACAGACCAGTGCTTATGACTATCACATCCTCATCATGAAAAGGATCAGAAGGGGATTTTCTTAGGATTAGGAGGGAACTGATTTGTTCCCCCATGCGGGCAAATATAGGGAAGCTGAGTCCTATCCGCCATTGTCTTCTCTCTTGAAGACACTCGTGAGGGTTCTGCACAGATTCATGCCGTGAGCGCTTATGCTGTGAGGCTTGGGCTGTTATGCATGACTGAGGTGCTGGGTATTATATGCTGCAGCTGGCGCCTGCGATTGGTGGGTTCGCGCTGGCCACAGAGCTGGCGGGGTACCTGTATGACCGGACAGCAGCTGCACAAGGGGAGCACCACAACTGCAGAGGGCCCCAGTGCTTCAGGTCTGACGTGCACCCTTCTGACCTGCATGTCTTCACACGGTTCCCGAGCCCATCAGCAATGTATCAAGCACCTCGACTGCATTGTGACCGTTGTAGGAGATTTCTTTCTCCGCTGCTCTTGTAGTAGTGAGACGCTGAAAATCACAACTGTGGTGCAGGCTGGCATTCTTGCTGTGTGCATGTTTGTGCCTCTGCGCAACGGCGGCTGCATCTGTGCTCTATCTCAGAATGCGCCCGTTGTACATCACAGCGAGGAATGCCGATACCACAGAGCAGCGAGGGATCCCTGAGGACCCTCTTGGCTCCTATTTGTACATGTTAGCTCCGAGCGAGGGGGTCCCTTGAAGGGACTTCGGCATGCAAGATTGCGTGTAAGTCTGATACAATGGCATGCATCTGCAAATGTGCTCCATGAGCTCACATTGATGTCTCCTTTGCGTTACATTGAACATCTTCTGTGTCTTCTGGTGTATTCATCATTGCTCCAGGTTTTGAATCTCAACCCGTAGGTAGCTACCTGACGATTGTGGCTTTGTCAGGTGTGCATATATGTGCAACCCAATATGTGCCATATGGCGCCCTCTCAACAGACTGGCCTAGTCTTATTTATTGCCAAGTAAACGCTTGCGCTGTACCTACATATGAGCGCCTTCTGAAAATGACCGGTATCAGAGTCGCTGCTGAAAAGACCAAATACTCAGAACTTCCCAGGGGCCATATCTTACTCTGTAAGCGCTTGACATGCACATACGCTGCTGAACATGTATAAGAAGCAAGCAAACCGCGAAAACCAAAACGACGTGCTAATCTTGAAATGTGCATTCTTGAACGGTACCATTTTCCCTGACTCACAAGAGAATGTAAAGGTGAAGAAATCATCTGCAGTCAGACTGGACAGTTGTCGATGGGTCATTTATTGCACAAGCAGTGGCGCTCATTTGGCTGCACTGCTCGTCTCTCCGTTCTCTGCATCTCCTGGATACCCAACTGACGATGGCTATTCTGCCCGCCAATTGAATCCAAATGCGTTGCTTGCCTTTCCAAGGTCTTTCTTCAGCAAGCTGCCCGCCTTGCCAAGATCCTTCTTCAGCATGGTCCCTGCCTTGTTGAACAGGTCAGACGCCCTGCATGCAGACACCTTTGACTTAGATTCACAGCAGGCATAAGATCATGTAAAGAGCAACTCTTAACGTCCACCGTTGCATGCACACAGCTTTCAATTAAGTCCACGACAGGCACAGAATCACGTGCAGCACATGCATTCACATTCACTTTCATATCCTGACTTCACATGGGCGCAAAAGGATGCTGCTGCGCTTGCTGATCATCGGGTTGGAAGATACATGTAAATTCTAAGTGCAAAACGAAATAACACTAGTATTGCAAATACCCCTGAAAGATAGCAGGCAGGATGGTGCGCACTGCTTGGAGGTCTTGTTGGCGGAGGCCTTGAAGCCGGCCATGGAGAGCCCCTCCATGGCAGAGGGGGGTCCAGCCCAGGCTCGCCTGCCACCGGACGCCTGTGACCCCTCCAGTGAGCTTGACACCTCCTCATCCTCGTCATCTTCCAGGTCGACAACTGCAGACGCAGCACAAAGGTTACCCTCAGCACAGTGGACTGAACACGCAAATGCATACACCCCTTTTGCGGATTCCAAACCTTCCAGCGGCCAAACAGTCTTGTGACTGTGTGTTGTCGTGCCCACACACAGCGCCACGCAAGCACTTGATACTGAAACGCTTCCAAGATCTTAAGGCTGACTCTGCTGTATCCGAACTGTAGGAGAGCCCATAGAGGAGGAGCGGCAGAGGGGGATGCAAAACACTCACTGCTGCCTCCGGAGAGAAGGTCCTCCAGCCGCAGGCCCACCTCGCCCTCATCCTCACTGCCGCTCTGCACTTGCGATGCCGAGCTCCTCCGTGCACTTTCTCCATGCCCCGCCGACCCCTGGCTCCTCAGTGGCGGCTCTTGTTGCCCTGACAGCCGCCGCTGCTCCTCAGGAGAGGCCCACACGGAGGCGGGCGCATCCTGAGACGGCCGCCGCGCCGGGGAAGCTTCGCCGAAGCTGCTGCGCTCCGGAGAGGGCGTGTAGCTGGCGCGCGGCTGCAGCGCACCTTCGCCCGCCTCTGGCAGCCCACCGGCCGCCGCTATGAGCAGATGCGCAGCCGACATGCCCGGCGCCCAGCCGCCCGAGCTGCTCCTGCATCATCATCATGATCATCATCACAAACATTCAAATATTGCAACACCAAGACAATCATGCGTTGAGAAGGTGTTGCATGTGTAGACACACTTGAGCTTGCTGTGAGACAAAAGTCATCGGCAGGTAGAAAGGCTTGAAATCAGTCTGCTGTTGCAGGCATACAGGAGACAAATGTTTGGGGGGTCCTGCCTGTCGTAGGAGGTTCGCTTGGAGGCGCTCGGCATGTCGATGAGCGGAGCCGGCGACGTGTCTCCGAGCGGCAGGGGTGCTGCAGCATCCGCGTCCGCCTCGGCATCCGCTTTGTCACCGTCGTACGACGCAGGAGAGTCCTGCCCCAGCAGCTGGCTTCCGCCCTCCAGGCTGAAGGGGCTCGGCAGCGGCGTGACGCTCGTAGGCGCAATAACAGCCGAGGCGATCGGGACGCGGTCTTGGTCGCTATCACCGTTGCCGGCCGCGGAGCAGGGCCACGGCCCTTGCCCAGAAATCGCGCGCCTGTGCTGCCGGGCGGCCGCAGCGTCGCTCTGCATCTGCGCGATGATGAGCTCGGTTGAGCCGGCTTTTGAGTTTTCCAGTTGATCATCGGCCAACAGCCGTCCAGAGCGCGTGACGTTGGTCTCGATCTGCGGGTACGGGCCGCGCGGCGACACCTGCACCGGCGTCGCCGGTGCGGGCGTCGTCGCGGAGTCCGCAAAGGCGCTGCGTGGATCGCCGGAGCTGCGCTCGGCCGGCTCCGCCGGCACGGCAGCCGCTGGGGGATCCCCGGCACCGGCGGACTCTGCCGTCGCGGGGCACGCCGGCTGGTCGGGCCGAGGGGAGCGCCCCCCGTCCGGCGGCCAGGTGCGCGAGCTCGGGAATTGCTCGGAGGCGGCTGGCGACTGGCCCAGCATGGCCGGCGGGGCGGTCGGCAGGGCGGCCGGCGCGGAGATGCGGGGGCTGCGCAGGGAGGCGCGCACGTCTTCCATGGCAACCACCTCGTAGCGTCCGCTGCTCAGCATGTTGCCCAGCGTCTTGCTGCCCACCTTGAGCTCCTGCAATGGATGTAACAGGTGCTCAATTACGCACGTGGACACCTTCATGTGGGCAATTAAAATACACCTTGGGACAAGTACCTGAGGTGTATGGACAACTACACATCATCCCTGAACGAGATACTGTGCGCCCCAAGTGACCCGCAGAATGTGCCAGGCCCGAAAGGTCACCTGGGCGTTCTCGAACTCTACGCTGCCAGCGCTGCTAAAGGACGGCTGCGTGGGGTCGACCGCGTCCCCGGTCTCGCTCGTTCGGCGGCTGCCGTCAGATGCAGCGTCCCCGAAGCGCACCGACTTTCCCGCGTGCCCCGGATCGGTGTCTCGCCTGTTCCTCAATGCCTGCACAGCGCACACACACACCTCACGCCAGCTCCAAATCTTTGCTTCACCAGTAATCCTCCATCCTGTCCTGTCTCCTGCAGTCTTGACTGAGTTCACTGGGGCCATCATGAGTGGTACGTGCTGAGGGACGGGAGCAGGTTGCACACCGGTTTGGCCTTGAGGGAGGACTGCGAGGGCAGAGGGGTGCTGTTGGGGGGGAGGTCCAGATCACTCAGGTCCTGGCTGCCCATGGCGCCGCTGGCACTGCGCGCACTGCACAGCACAACACTTTCATCACTCCTACATCGAGATAGATGAACCCACCAGATACTTTCATCACCCCTACTCTGACACAGACCAGACAGCTGCTTCTCAGCACACCTGTCAAAGACATATCAAGCTACCCCCTGCATATCTAAGCATAAATCATTCTTGGTTACGATGCAAAAGTACCTCAGCAGAATGGGAGTTTACATTGTCTTGGCAGTCCGGGGGCAGGAACACATTGTTAGAGCTAACAGCATGTTTCTGCCCCTTGACTGCCAAGCAGTAAGCAGGAAGACAGCAAAAGAATCCATGGTCAAACCTGGAGATGCTGCTGCCAGAGTGGGGGGTCCTGAGGGCGGTGCTGAAGCCGCTGGGGGGAACGGGGGGTCCGTCCGAGGAGATGGGACCAAGCAGCGCCTGCAGCCGATCAGCGCCAATGCTGGAGCGCTGCGGCTGCTGGAAGGGGGAGGCCGGCGGCTCCAAGGAGCTGCCCAGATCACTGCTGGGGCTGCTCCTCATGCTGCTGCTGCACACACCACAATGTGCACCCTCTCTGTCAGGAAAAAACTGCATGTGATGTGGCCAAGGCATTCAGCGCCTATATGACCATGCCCTTGCATGCACAAGATTTTGTGGACCTCATGCAGCAATACATGGCAAAAAGCAGACAGCCCAGGATCAAGGTACAAGCCACAGATGTCCAACCACAAAGGTGGTCAAATATGGAGACCCATCCCATGCCCATTGACAAGGGAAACTCGGCATCAGGCTTCTGCAGAGATGTCAGATATCACGATTCCTGGTCGAGGGCATGAGACAACTCCACCCTTGCTCTTCAAAAAGCAAAGCCCCGCATACCTATAAGTCTACTCCTGCACCAGCCTGTTGGCATGTCAGTCAACCGCAGGAAAAATTACACAGTGTGGGGTTCCATTGAGCCGGCTACAGGTATTGTTTGCACAGCGAAGGCAGTTCAGTCGCAATTTACCTGGCAGCGCTGGCCATGGAGCTGGCGAGGGGCAGGGGGCTGCCGGAGAGAGTGCGCGGGCTGATGAGGTGCGATGCCAGCTCAGCGCTGCTCGCGCTGCCCAGCGGCCGCACCATCCCCGTTGGCGGGCGCCCGGAGCGGTCACCCTCCCCCCTGCACCCATATACAGATTGAGTATACGCTCAGATTACACCCACGGTTGATTGGGTCTTGCTTGGATCTGGCGGGTCCATCAAGGGGTAGGATTTTGGCAGCCTTTACTGCAGCTTGTCTGCAGACGCACCTTGCTTCTGGCAAGAAAAGCGTGTAATAATAGTAGTAACAATACGCTCAGAGCAACGACCATTAATATTTTGTGATACTGTATCTATCCCGGACATCACATTGGAAAGGCTGAAAGATGCAGCGCATGAGGATCAGAAAATGCTTTCTGCGCCCTTGACTCTAAGGCCTGGGAAAAACCTGGAAATTCCTGACGGGGTGCTTGACAGGTGCTTGTTGAGACTGGGGCCTTCAATAAAAAGAGATTGTGCAACGCCCTTTTAGAACAACGCGAAAAGATGGTATGGTAACCAGAGCAGATATCAAGATGTTTCTGAAGGACAGTACAAAGATCAGAGTGAACAACAATGGGCAAGGAAATGACTTTGGTCTGCGTGTGCGCCTGGCGCTGATCATGTTCAAAGAGTACAAGTCACCGTCGGAATCAGCTCTAGGTACATCTGACAATGATGAACAGGTGCACACAACGCAAGATATGTTGTGCTATGTTCCAAAAAGTACCAAAGTCCACAGCAAATAGCAAAGAAGTGAAGGTAAAGGACCTGGGGCTGATCATGGCGGCTGAGCGGCCGGCGGTGGCGGACTCGGAGCGCTGCGGCTGGAAGAGCCCGGCCAGGAGCTTGTCGTTGCTGCGCAAGACGCCGATGTCGTCGATCGACGCCGCGGCAGCCGCCGCCGCCGGCTGCATCGACGTGGTCGAGAGGCCGCGCAGCAAGCCGCCGGAGGTGGGCGTCTTGCCCAGCAGCAGCCGCTCCTTCCTCTGCTGCTCCCTCTCCCGCAGCTTTGCCTGCGCACGAGGTCCATACAATAACAATTCTTACAATTATTTGGGGTACCCACAGCGTGATTATCAATAATAATGCTCATTGTGTAATGATTGTGGGGTATTGAAGACCCAGTCCTTGCGATGAGGGAACAACGGCGCTTGCAGAACGCTGGCACTCTTTATGAAAACACCGCTAGCCTTGAGTTTGCACTGCAGCCGCCCCATGCAACAAGTGGAAGCAACATGTCCTATAATTTGATATAGCAAGAGCAATGGATTATGCCACCATCTACGCCTCACGTGGTGGCACGGTGGAGAGGAACAGACTTTTGGGGCGTACGGAGCTTTGAAAACATCATGCCGTAGGCTGACAAGCAAAAGCGTGCACTGGTGGGCAAGGTTTGCTCTAAAGGTGGCACCTCCCTGCCCAAGCTAGCAATCCCCACCAGGCTACCAGCCATGCGGGCTGGGTTGTTGGGTCTAACTGGAGGGAAGCAGGATTCGGAGTTTGCACCTTGAGGGTGTCGGGGTCCTTGGCCTTCTTGCCGAGGCCGCCCAGCCACGACTTGAGCTGGCCCGTGCCTGCGCGCGTCGCCCCATCGCTGTCTTCCGCCTCCTTGGTCGGCATCAGCTCCTGCAACATGTCACACCTCACGCCCTCAGCACTCTCTCTCTCACTCGCACCAGTTACAGCCCAACAATGACCGTATCCCAGTGCGTCACAGCAGCACCTCTGTGCATGCACATTGCAGAATTATATCTTCTTTGAAATACGATATGCGAGGGACGCAAATATGCCCTCTTGTAATCACACTCAGTGGTGATATCTTCGAGCACAGTCGTTTGATTGGGTCTTGCTTGGAGCTGGCAATTCCCAACAAAGGGTAGGACTTAGAAGCAACTTGCCTATCCTGGCAGGAATACTGTGCATTAAGTGAATATAAACTCTGAACGAAAGCGGGCGCGCACCTTGAACTTGCGGCCCTGGAGGCCGGCAACGGATTTGAGGGCGGATTTGACGGTGTCCCACTTGAGACGGTTGAAGAGGTCGCGCCACTGCCCCTCCAGGTCGCGGTACACTCGCTTGTCCAGCAGCACCTTCAGATCCTTTATGTTCACCGGGTACCCCTGCGCCAGCCGCAATTATAAATTACTGTGTCCCAGGTCACTACTGAACTCTTCAACTCTTCAACACACTCTTCAAGGCAAGAATGCCCGCCTGAAGTGTGACCAAAGGCACCATTGCGAGCCCCCATGCAAGCCCCCATGCACGCTGGAAATGCAAGAATCGCTACCGCTGCACCTTTGTTTTGCACTCTGATCTCTTGAACCAGTATCATAGAAGTTTAATATTCACATGACCCCAGGAAGAAAAGGACATTTCTCTACACCCAAGGCTTGAGACTAAGGAGGCCAAGCGCTAAGGCACCTGGGAGAGCAGGTTGACAATAAAACAGACTGTCGGATATCAGAGGAGAAGGCAGCCTGCACCTGGCAGTTGACCCAGCAGCAGGTGACCTGCTAAGCATAGAGGCACAGCAGGAATGTAAAGACAGAACTGCGGGTATCACAGGGGAAGGAAGCCCGCACCTGGTAAGTGACGCGGCAGTGCACGCGGTTGAGGCGAACGTGCACGAAGAGCGCCTTGCGGCCTTCCACAGCATCCTTGCGTTGAGCGGCCAGAGCAGCCTTGTGCTCGGCAGCAAGCGCCAGCACGGCTTCTTCGTCGCCGTCCTCCGCCGCGGCCGCCTCCGCGCCTGGCCGCTCCGACAGCCGCCGCAACGCCAGCGCCTTGTGGCTCTGCAGGATCAAGACATCAAACTTGGCGTTATTTAACACATGGCATGTCGCCATGTCATTCTTGGTGTCTGGAATTTCACGCATGTCAGCATGCCCTTTCTGCTATCGTAAGGCCTCAGGTAGAGGACAGGGCCGTCTCTCAGCTCAGCTCCTAAGGGAGGCTCTCAGTGAAAGGGGAAAATGTAAATGGCTTGCACGGGACGACTTAGGCAGGGAAGCTGCAAGCAGGCAAGAGGCTGAGCAGAGGGGAGGCAGTGGCGGACCTGCTTGAGCATTTCTGCAGCGGAGCTGCCGTCCCAGTGGGGGCCGCGCCGGTGCACCTCCGAGGCAGAGAACGGCCGGCCCGACCCTGCAAGCCGCACTGATCCAAACTGAGAAAACACATCAGATGCTTATATTGCAAGCCTGTGCCTACTCTAAAAATTGCACCATGGCACAGGGTAAGAATCCTTTCTTGTCGAGGTGGTCACCTCAATCAGACCAAGAATCAGCAAATTTGCACGCAATGTGGTGGCAAGAACGCAAGGCGATAATACAAACTAGATGCTAGCAGATTGCAAGTAATACAGTGGCAAGAAAGCAAGGTGATATCACAAGTAGAAACTAGCAATACAATGACAGTGACGCAAGGTGGGAGAACTGCATAAGTCCAAAAATTGCACCTGATGCAGAGGGAACGTGGGGCGTGGTGACGGCGGATTTGGACCCGCCGATGTCCGGCCGGCCGAGGCGCACAGCCGCCAGATCAGGCGGCGCCAGGTCAGCGGCAGCGGCGGCCCCGTCTGCAGAGGCAAACCCTGCGCCCTGCGCGCTCTTGCGCGACTTGAGCTTGGCGTCCACGCTGCGTACCCAGGTCTGCTGCCTCTTGGTTCCGGCCGTGCCCTCCTCCCTCTCCTCGCGCTTGGGAAAGAAGTACTCCTGCACAGGCATGCAGTCAGCAATCAGCACCGTCTCACCCCCTGACCTTTGTAATAATCAGCAGGTGAGTGTGCCCGCATTGTGCTCTGATTGGCTCTCCCACAGCTACTGCCTGTTTTGCACTGCTTGCTGTTCTTTGGCACAAAGGTGCTTAGTGCTACAGCTCTGCAAGCGCCCTGTGGCAGGCTGACAAGACTGCAAAAAGCAAAGCATGGTGTTCCACTTGTATTCATATGAACAGGGACAGTCATTCCCTCCTTGTGCCCATGCTCAAGCTTCCGGCAATAAGGGCACAAGCAGAAACCACACATCCCAGTTCACAAAAAATCCCACTTAAAAGACTATGTAGGACGACATCACAAGGCACTGCAGACCCATAGGGAATGCAACAGGCGGCCGCACCCAGAACGAGGATGCGATGGCTTCGTTGAGGTGGACGCCGAGAGGGTGAACCACAAGCTCAATGTGCTCGTAGATGGTGTGCGTGCGCGTGGCCGGCCCGAGCACAGCGTTCACCCGCAGCAGCGCGTCACGCGACCAGCTCTCGTCCGGATTCCACAGCGTCAGGACCGCGCCGGCGTCGGTGCCGGGGGCCGCCGCTAGCGAGCCGGTTGCGTCGCGCACCGTCGCGCTGTGGATCACCAGCTTGCTGTTGCCTGCATTGCCGCCAGCATCCCACAAATGAGCTCAGCCCGACGTGATACAGTAATACTAGGCTATGAGGCTACAAGAGCCCATCATGCTGGCTTTTATAAACTGTTTGCATGTCCGCACAGACGTATGATAATTCTGGAGCTCTTTTGATTGCCACGTGCAGTGTTGCTGAAATTTAGCGCCGTCAAGCCCACAAACAGATTGTAAAATTGGCGCACCGGACTGGTCGCGGTTGCGCAGGTTGACGAGGGAGATGCCGGAGAGTGACATCTCGATGAAGGGGGTGCGCCCGTGGCACAGCGCCCACGACACCCCGTCAAACTCCAGCGCCAGCCGGCTGGCCCTCTCCAGCTGTGCAGATACACTCCCCCGGTCACCCACCACCCTTACACCTCTCATGAGAAACGGTTCAAAAATCTCAATGCATCCTTGCAACTACGGCCTATCGAGTCTCATTACGCAGTAGTAATAACGCTAATGTCTGCCACAGGCAACCACCAGCATATGTCATCATTGTCTGCCAGGCAGCAATTGAGGCAGGCACATTCCCCGCAAACACGGCAGGAGAACAGAGCAGGGGAGTATAAAACAGTTGATTCCGAGTCCCCTGAACAACAATTCAGGTGGGGGTGGTAAAGGAGGGGCGGAACCTTCTGCTGGCGCTTCTTCTCGACAGCCTTGAGGGCCTGCAGGGCCGAGCGGGCGGCTGACAACGCCTGACGCGCGCCCTCCATCTGCTCACCACTCCATCGCAGCGCCACCGCCTGAGCCTGGTGCTCCTCCCTGCAGCCGCCAGACAACCAGTCATATGTAGATCTTGACCAAAAATGGCAATTCTCATGTACTTGGGTGTAGCGGCGGCCATCAGTGCAGTACTGTTTGGCGGGGAAGTGACCTTCATTGATATCTCGCACATTGACTGCTGCTTGTGACAGGCCTGCAATTTCCAAGGACACCCAGGCATTGCCAAACTAGATGTGCTGATGGTTGAAAAGAACAGACTGGCAAGGTTGAAGCTGCCATCTAGGACGTAATGATCACGTGAGGAAGCATAAGCACAAAGGGGGGTAGGGGCATACGCGGCGCCGGAGCGCAGGTCGTCCAGATAATCCTTGAGCGCCTGGCCCATGCTGTCCAGCCACTGCGGACCCTCGCCGCCCTGCGCCAGAAAACAGTCTCTTCTACCACCGCTCACCTCCATGCATTTACACGCGGCAGGAGAAACAGCGCATTTACCGCCGCGCACAGTATTACATTTATCAAGACGGACAACTCTTCCACTGACCAATATTTTCTTTTCCTTCAATGTCTTCTTTCATTGCCCGGCAGACAGCAGCTTGGACTGAGCACACGCAGGCTGGCAACATGAGCGCAGGTGTGATTGCGCCATGCTTGTCTCAGCAGGTCAAATCACTTGGCGGCTGAGGTCTATACTGGCATAGGGCAGAAATTCGGCAAATAAAGCAGGATTTCTATAACAGAAATAATGTAAGCTCCTTTAAGACCTATATGGCCTGGCTGTCAAGATCATACTGTCTTTCGTCTGTTCAGAACCTTTCAAAGGCAATGCCAGCCTGGAATGACAGCAGGAAAGAGACACAGGCAAAAAGCAGGAAAGAATACATAGGCGGGCAAACGCAGCAAGCTGAAGTCGAGGATCTCACCTGCTGGGAGAGGCCAGTGGACATGCGCGACAGGTTGGATGATGCCCGCAGCGGTGACCGGATTCTGCAAAGGCTGCGGCTGCGCGTCACACCCGGCCGGCCACCGCTCGCCACCGCCAGTGTCTGCAGCACACCAGCCGCACCAATATTGCTGGGCAGTACACAACCTTTCCAAAAGCACATTTTCTTCATCTTTGCTGCCGGCAAGAGCTCACTCCCCTCGTAAGATGCCGGGACGTGCGGCTGGAGTGGCCGGCAACTTGTAGAACATGAAAAATTGAAGGATCGCAGGCATTGGATTCTTGTGGGGTGCATTTGGGGGCGGATGGAGGAGGGTGGCACCTGCAAGATGTAAGGGTATGCCTTGCAAGATGCAAGGAGGTTGAAGGCACAGAGACTTGGGGTTCTTGCGGGTTGTATGTGGGGGCGGATTGAGGGCGGGCGGCTCACCTCTTCCTGCAGGGAGATGACGTACTGCCGCACGGACGCGAATGTGTCACGGGCGACCACCACCTCTTCGCTCTCTGCCTCGTACAGCAGAGCCGCGTCCGTGCCGATACCTTCCACCGCAGGCATCTGTCACACAGTAGCCACAACACGTGAGCCTAGGGTCCAGGCGAAATGTACATGCCCCCAACGGCAGCACATTGCAGGTTCTTGGTGGGGAGGTGATACTGCCTTCCTGCCAGCCCGCTGGCGGCCAGACATCAGTGATCCTTTAATCTCGCTGCAGATGCGTTCCAGCAATAAATTGCAGGTTTAAATTAACAGAATTGTGAATGTGGAATGACAGTGCACCTGCTCCCCGGCCAGGTGGGCGGCGACGTCCTGCAGGATCTCAAACTCCTTGGCGTCCATGGCAACGCTGATCTCCGGCACGCGCAGCCGCACCTGCGCACACATCATCTGACTCAGCACCAACAATCTACCCATCAAGTCGCATGCACTTCGCAAACCCCAAGTCCCTTCTGCATTGCTGCGATAGCGCACCCACCCCCGCACCAGCAACAAGAATAGGTGGACCCATGCATTCTGTTGCTTAAAAAAAGGCAGACAACAAAAAGAAAAAAAGAAAAAAAAATGGCGCGCCTCGTCTCCGCCAGAGCCGGCGGCGGCGCCGCTGGTGCTGCCGCAGATGTGGGACTTGCTGCGGTCGGCGAGGCTCTGGCGAGAGTGATTGGCGACGGCCGCCTGTGAGGCGGCGGGGCCGGCGGTGCGGTAATGGCGCAGTTGCCAGTCGAAGGGATTGAAAACGCGCTTGAGCGCCACGCCGGCGCCGGGGGTCGGGCAGAGGACGCCCTCTCGCACGCGCAGCCACGGCGTGGCCGCCCCCGGGTCGATGTCCGCCTGCGCTATGTGCCCCTGCACCTCCTGCACCAGACAAGCCACCTCCCATGTCAGCGCCTTTCTTCTACTTGACGGCGCGGCAAAAGCTGCTTGTCCTTTGCTTCATCATCCACTGTTGCGAGCAGTGGCGCAAATTGCAGCTGCATATGTGGAAGAAAGCATGGTGCAAGGCTTGTCCGACCCTGCTCTCACCATGAGGTGTACATGATATGTGCTGTGTCATGTCCAGAAGTCACTTAGAAATTGATACAATCTCCTATTCATGCTGTGTGCTGTGTCATGGTCAGAAGTCCATGAATTGAGGATGGAGATTTTCAAGATGGCTGGGGGGCCGCGCCTGCATCTCGACGGAGAGCACGTTGCGATTGGAGAGGGACAGGACGCGGCCGCCGATCTGGGCGCGCTGGGCGGCCAGGAGAAAGCTGCCGGCGGCGCGCTCGGAGCAGAGATTAATCTGCAGCAGCGAAACCTCCACCTCCCACTTGACCACCCCCTGCCGCAGCTCCGCCGCCTCCTCCCGCCGCGAGCGCTCCCGGATCTCCTGCAGATTCGCAGTAGAACATCAGCAGGTGCAGCATTCGGTAATCAACCACCTGATTAATGAATTACTTTATTTACCAGTTTGGAATCCTGCATGACTCAAGGGACACACATGCTCCCTGGGCTGTCCGGTGCATGTGCTGACCTGGAATAACTTGATCTGGGTTGGCATGATCTAGATAATCCACTCATAGACACATCCAAGGGTTTATTGAATGCCAGCACAACCACTGAAGGAGTCCAAGAAGTGCATGTCAGGGCCGACAATGACCTTCTTGAGTGGGTAATTTCAGGCTTGCATGGGTCACATGAGAAGCAACAGGGGTGAAAAATGGCACCTCGTTGTATTCCTGGGCGCCAAGCATGGCGCGCATGGCTTCGTCGCTCGCTTCGTCGCCCCCGTCCTCCATATCGCGCGAGCCCCCGGAGTCCGACAGCCGCGTGGCTCGCTCCGCCATGTCACCCTCTCCACCCGTATCCTCCTCACCTGCTCCCAAGCACAGCGCACATGGTTGTTCATGGCCTCCAGAAATTAGGCCATCAATACCTGGCGGTGTGATCTCCGTCAGAAGTGAATGGCAGCGGTGAGTACCTGCTAGCTCTACTTGTCAGGCCAGCTTGGATAAGTTAAGCTGACCCCTTGATTAGCTGGGGATTAGCCTTAGTTCACCCGCATGCTTTGAATGCCCCTGATGATGTGGGCACCTGATAGTGAGCCCCTCATACCAGAACAGCCCTTGAACAGCCCTTGATCCTGCTTAGCAGGGGGCTCAGCTCACAGGACGGGCCCTAGCTTTGCCATGAGCGGCCATCAATTCAGCCCCCTCTTGCTTGTGCTCCGCATGCAGAGCAAGCGCGGTCTTGCGCATGAGCCTGGCAGCACCACATGTCTCCACTACACACACGAATCTTTCAAATGTGGCAGGAGATGTTCTGGTTCACCTGTGCGGCTGGTGGCGGAGTCGTCGGTGACGCGTCGGCTGTGGCTGGCGATGGAGGCCAGGTCTGCAGGGGCGTTGGCATCCTCATCCTCACCCTCATTCGCGCTCTCCGCCACGCTCGATATCTGACCCCCGGGCGCCCCCGGCACCTGCAGGTCCACATATGTCAGTTTCAACATGCAGCCACTATCTGCCCACACTCTCTGAGCCTATGAGTAAAGCTCATGACACATTCTGTCGAGCTCTCCCAGGTGCCATGGCCTACACCTGATGACTTCAGCCAGAATCTGAAAGACGAAGCGGCATTCTGAAAGCCTCAACATGATGTTTGACTCAATAGGCAATTTGTAACGTATCCTTCCTGTCTGCATATAGTACAAGATACAAATCGTCGTGATTGACCCAAAGGAGGACACAAGGGCCAGGAGGGCAGCACACCTTTTGCTGCTGCAACAGAGTGCGCAGGAGATTTCCCCCAGCCTCGAGGGACGCTGACGGTGCGAGGGACAGCATGGCGGCGCGGCGGCGGCCGAAGTCGCCGCCGGAGGTCGGGCGTAGCTTGGCGGGTAGGTCGGCGAGGTGGGGCGCGGCGCGCGGCGGCTCGGCCGGCGGCCGCGGCTTGGCCGGCATCTTGAAGGCCGAGACCAGGTGCAGCACCATAGCCGTGACTGCGTTGCGCGCCTCCACGTCTACCACCACCCGACAGTCCTGTGCCGTCACCTTCAGCGGCCTGTGTGCACCGATCATCCTCAAGTTGAGGATCTACAACCTTGTGTGTTTATGTATGTGATGACCACATGTACTCTCGCACGCAAGTCTCATTAGACTTGCTGTCATTAGCACAATTCCAAGACACTATGGCAAATAGAATGTGGGTCCAAAGCAGCGCATCACCGGCGTCTCCAAAATTGCTACACCCTCGCAGGCAGTGCACGTCTAGCAATCTGGAAGGCGATGATGAAACGCCGCTTTTCCAGATCATATTACAAAACGGGTCGGCTGCACCCAGGGGTGCTGCTGATGCCCAGGCGCCCAGGGGAACTATTTAGGTAATTCGATACAGACATGGTATTTAGGTAGTCGGGCATAGACTCCCTGATACGCCTCCTCAGAGGGGCACGAAGAGCAAAAAACAAGGGCCGCGCACCGCTGCTGATCAAGGGTGGCGGTGGCGCGCCGGGGGTCCGGCCGCTCCTCGTGCACCTTGCAGGCGGCGATGGAAAGGATGAAGTGCTCGGGGCGCGCGGTTGCGGCCGCCACGCGGCGAACGCCCCCCGGGCCGCCGCGCAAGCCGGCCACGCCGGTGTCGTCGCCAATCTTCGCCGCCGCGCCGGCGGCCGATGCCAGAGTCGCGCTCGCGTCCAGCAGCGTCAGCAGCTTGTCCTGCTCGTCCTGCACCTGCGCAGTGAGTTAGATTATTGATTTCAGATAGAAGAGACGCTTTGAGGACTGCTAATAGGGAAACTTTGCAAACGAAAGATGGGGTATATCAGTTCTAACCGACAAATTTCTCACAGGAAGTTGAGCGCCGGGTGCCAGGCTGACATATAAGTGCAGACAATGGTTGCACTGGGCGGAGGGCGCAGGAAATACGCGCTGCTGAGCAGGAAGAGGTTGCCGCAGAAATTAGTGAGTAGAGTGCACGCACCCCGGTGCCATTGTCGGGCGCGCGCCAGGCGGAGGCAGTGCCCCAGTGGAACGTGACGCCCTCCGCAGCCACGTCAGTCAGCAGAGTTGTCGTTGTTGTCCTGCTCGCCTCCCTGCGCGCCAGATTGACCCCATTCAGTGTCAAGCCGCACCTTCTGCAAATTGTCATCTGGACAAATGCATTGCCCCTTGCACCCTGTGTGCCGCTGGTGCCAAGCCACACACATGAGGAGAAGTGGTCACGAGACCCGTTCATGATACAACAAGCTCTCCTTCATCAGCACAAAGTAAAGCTCCTGCCATCGGCGGCGCAAACAACAGCAGGAAGGGGTAGGCATGGAGTTGGAAGTACGGGCCGAGGCGCCCACCGCTTGCGGGCGATGGATGACATGCCGGGTTTCACGGAGCCGGGGGTGGGCTGGTTCATGAGCACGCGGCCGCCGTAGCGCGCGCTGCCGCAGCTCAGCGTCAGCCCGCAGCTCGCATTGTCCAGGTCCACCGTGTGGTGCACCACGCTCAGCGGCGCCGCCGTCACACTTATCGCAAACCTGACCACCATTTGCGCAGATATCAGCGCCATAGTTTTACTTTCTTAGGGTTTCTTGGGGTATTTCAATGTTTCCATTTGGCATTCTGGTGTTTCCTTAATGAGCTGCTGCAGGGAACTGCATGCATGCGCGCAGGCATGATGCCCCTTGCATTGACAGCTTCCCAAGCTTGAGCATGCTGCACATGCTTGCTGGTTTGTCATAAGTTGTGATTCATAATCATTATGTGATCCCAACACTGCAGGAGGCAGTAACGTTCAAATCCGTACAGGAGCAAGGGGGTGGGGGGCGCGCACTTTTTGAGGAGTTTGGGGAGGGAGGTGGACGGGGGTCTGCGGGGGTCCAGGGGCAGGAAGAAGGTGCCACGCTTGTTCACCATGCGCAGCCACGGCAGGGGGGTCTTAGTCAGCTCTATCAGCGACTTGAAGAACGCCACCTGCGCACGCACACCATGAACGCTTGAAACGACGTGAGGAGATTTGCTACGTCTACAAGACCATTTACCTCCCCTTCTTGTTGGGTATCACTTCCCTAGAAAGGGGTAGGGTCAGAACTGCGCACATGACATCGCTCTCAAAGCCCGTTGAAACAGCTTTCTATGGGTTCCTGAGGTTCTTGCAACAGTCCTTGGGACCGGGGTCATGTACGCTGTTCCACAAAAAGTCACTCAAGGAAGCATGCATGCATGCGTGCCTGGTTGTCGCCAAAGTAGGCCATCACGCCGTTGCCACAGCCGCCCGCACTGCCGCGAATTGACCCCGTCTCCGACCCAGCATCGTCCCCATCAACTTCATCAACCCCTGGAGACCCTAATTTTGCGCCCCTTGGCGGCTCGGCCGCGGGCGCAGCGGCGGCCCACGCATCCTCCTCTCTAGCGCCCTCATCGACACTGCTCGCGGCGATCAGAGCATCCACTGTTGGCCGGTCGCCAACGGTGGCTTCCATGTCCACGTTGAGCGCCACGCACTTGTACTCGGACACCATGTCGATTGGCCGCTGCCTCGCATCCCCATCCTGTGCAGATCGCACCCCATCAGAGCAGCCTGAAGATCATCAGAAGGGGCAAGAGGCTGGTGCGCTTCAAGCATCCACTAGCATGCAAGCATCGCAGGATGCATGTGTGCCAGCGGGCATTTTCGTCAGACAGCATGGCAGCAAGCTGTCAGCATGCAATTGCTGCACCATGCTGGCTTCTTCCTAATACAATTTTGACAGACGCCAAAGTTATGGAGCCGACTAATGTGGCCTGGACCTGCCTGAACCTACCAACATGCACCGACAAAGTAAAGTCAAGGCAAGATGGGAAGTGAGCATCAAATGCGGCCTCACCGGGGGAGTGGCCGGGTGCAGGTGGTGGTCGTCGGCGTGGCGGCCGCGGCAGAGCTCCCACTGCAGCGCCGCGCGCACGTAGCCGGCCGGGAAGTCCACCAGCGGCAGCGCCAGCAACGTACCCGCCGCCTGATCCAGCCCCGCAGCCTGCAGCAGTAAAGAAGATTAATTTCTTCAATCCTCAATACTAAAGTAGAAATATGGTTTTTTTCCGCCGTGACACGTATGCGGCACAATCCAACCTATGCACCTAGCCAAACGGCCTCAAATGAAAGGGCAGAGTCATCTGGGAATTCTGCGCCAGGCTCTGCTGCGATCCTTGCATCCTTTGAAGTTGTAGTCTGTTGAGCGGGACAAGAGCGGTTCAAAGCAGGTGTGGTGTGTGTACCCTGTAGGCGGTGGAGGTGACGCCGCTGAGGGCTGCCTCCAGCACGCCGCCGAACGCCAGCCGCACGCGCGCGTAGTCAGCGCAAACCTGCATGCGCTCCGAAGCTGCGCTGACGTCCGGCCGCGCCGTCTTGCCCATCACAAACTCAAACCGCCTGCGCAAAGGACGACCGGTCAACTCCAGGCTGCAACCTCACGCATATCAGCTGTTCCCTGGAGAAATCTGGCTTGAAACACAAAGAAAGAGGACATCATGGCCGGAAGCACAGAGGAAGAGCTTTGAGAGGAAGGCCAATTTTGGTCCCCTCTCACCATGGCAGCAGCTGATACCGCCATGCCATTGCTCTGCCTATCACATTTGCTAACAGTGGCAGCAGACAGGCACATCACTAGATTACATCAACCCCGCCCGCCCTTACATGCACATAAGAAGGAGCCTGTGATTCAGCAAGATCAGCAAGATCTGCTGCCTGGTGCATGCTTCTCATGCTTCGCAAAAGTTTGTGTTCTGATGGGAGGGACATGAAAAAGGGGAGGCACCGTGCGGTGAGGCCGATGCGGCCGCGCCAGACGAAGCGCATGAGGTCCCAGAAGGGCAGGCTCGCGCTCGGCAGCCGCGTCTTGTCCGGGTCCGACGGGCTCATCCGCTTGCCCGCCTGCGACAGCTGCACACCCCCACCACCGCCACCTCAGCAGTTTGTGACCCAGGTGCATCCAACCAAGCGCAGCATGGCTCACGCACTCCCAGGCAGACCCAATGCAGCAACGACCAAGGGAACATCAATACGCAAGTTTGTGCAGGCACCTGAGAGCGTCATATACACGCGTTTCTTACCTGTTACAAAGCTTCAAAACGCAATTGAAAAGTGCTTCAAAGATCTTTACAAACATGCAAAAGAGGGCTCCATGCTTGTAGCGCAACAGAACATGGACGTGCATGAGGGATGCAAGCGAGGGCGTACCAGGCCGATGGTGGGCTCCAGGCCTACGCTGTACCAGGACTGGACGTCCTCCACTGCAACTTGCAGATCAGTGTACACCTTTACCATCGCTCGGCTACCCTTTATCGCCACCTGTGCAGCATCCCACGGTCGCCAGTTGGTGTCTGCTGTATCAACACTCGTAGTCCCCATACGCTGTCTACAACTTGCCAGAACCCATTGCATTGCCACGCTGTGAAGCACTTTGGAGCCAGGAGCGGCAAAGCAGGCGTAGCACAGCGCCCCACATGCACAAATGTATCCAGCTCTGACTACAGACTTCCAGCAGCACCAAATAAGACATTGCAGCTCCAAGCACCTTGCATACCCTCGCAAATCGGGGTGCTGTTGAAAAGACAAGCAGACTTGTTGGCTTGCCGATGGCTGCGGAAGGAGCGCAGCACTGTGAAACGCATTCAATTCTTGCCAAAAGTTTGGGTAGAACCTCGTGCCCGACAAATTCCCGCTCAATATTTCTGAGAGGGGAAAATCTGCACGCACCGCGATCTCGACGGAGCGCAGTCGGCCGACGGGCAGCTGGCGGGTGTAGAGAGCGGGGGGCGCAGTGACCTGGCGCGCCACGGCCAGCCGGCCAAAAACCGTCGTTGCGCCAGCCGCCGCGATCGGCTCCAGCGCGCCCGAGAACATCACCGTAATGGGGCCCAGGGCCGCGTCCACCGCTATCATGCTCACCTGTGCAACAGCGCCAAACCAGGCTCAATGCCAAGGCAACACCTGCCGCGCAGGCAAGAAGTGGCAATGGCAAAGGCTGCCAGTACACATATTCCACCCCCTGCACTTGACTTTCAGAGAGAGAAAATGGACCTCCTGCCTCTGAAAAAACATGCAAAGCACATCCAGAATATGAGTCAAGCTGCTTTAGAGGGACAGGTAACCTCCTGCCTCAGCAAATCATCTTGAAAAAAATGCAGAGCAATTGCAAAGCAATACTCGTTCTCACCAGTCTTAGCTGGCCCCGTGACACGATTATCAGCACATGCAATGCAAACAGATTTATTCACTCTTCAGAGTGAACCAGTTGACAGTACCTCTTTCAGCTGGACATTGGCGGAGGGCGGGTCCACGGCGACAATGTGGGACAGCGTGGCGCGCTCGCTGGCCGGCCCGTGGCCGTACACAACGAACAGCGCCTCGGCCGTCGTAGCCGTCACGCGCATCAGGGCGGCCCCGTCTGTTGTCCGCAGATCCTCACTCTCCACCTTCAAACACCCCACATTACTCAGAATGACAGCTCCAACAACCGAGGTCCAATTTGCTGTTCTGTGCAGCATTTCACCTTTCGTACTATTTTTTGGTGCAAAATATGCTGTCTTTGACCTGGTCCTTCTCTCTGCAAATTTAGGTCCTTTTTTTGGACATTTCATTCACCCCCGCGGCGGTGCATTGTCAACATTGCACGGTGTCTTTAAGGTTCCGTGCTAGACAAAATTTATTAAAGGTCCTGAGAGCTCTCACCTGTTGGGCGGCGGAGCGGTAGGACTGCGCGGCCTGCTCGCAGATGAGCTCGGCGGGCGTTCCCTCTTTCAGCGCGCGGCCGGCCACGTCGGGCGCGGCGGCCGACACGACCCGGCTCCAAAGCGACGACCGCGCCGCCGCTCCCCGCAGCAGCGGGCCGTGCACCGCCAGCCACGCCTGTGGCAGAAATAGCAGACACCCTCTTTATTTTGCTGCTGAATGTGTCGACATTGACGGAACTTTACAAAGATGCAGGCTGCAGCACTGGCAGTCATGCCTGTGGTTAAGTAACAGATACCTTCTTGCTCTTCCAGGTGGATGTATTGTAACAGATGCATGCTCGACAACCGGAGGTGAACAAGGATGCAGGCTGCAGTGCTGGTCGCACACTGAAGATATAAGCAAGCAAGACATGCCTGCGGCCGAGCAAGTTCTCCAGCCACTGCTGCTGCCGCTTCAGACGCTCAGACTTCACCCCTTAAGCCCTTAGACCTTGAGAACCCTGGAACCTACCCCCGGTGCCTTAAAAGGTGCTTCCTAATGGTGGCTGTTGTTTGCATGGAATGGGCGGTGGCATGCAAACAAAGAACCAAAATGCAGGACAATGGAACATCTGTATACCACATGCCATTGACTCTTTGAATCCTTACAAAAAGAGAGTTGGGAGGGGGAGGCACACCTCCATGGGGTGGTGGTCCATCTTGAAGACAGCGCCTGTTAGGTACAGCCTGGCCTCCACCAGGGCACGCTCGCCTTTGCCTGTTTCCCCCTCCAACTTGGCCGGCTTTGCCTCCTTTGTTGACCGCAGCGCCTCCAGATGCGGCGCCAGGGCCTGCAGAAGAAAAGATGGCACAAATCAGACCTGCTGCTTTGCTGCTCAAGAGCTACATTGTGAACACAAAAAATCAAGTGACTCTCCCTCTCTTGAGAGACTCTCAACGAGACCCTCAATAAGAGTGCACATGTAATTGAGTGCATCTTTCTGTTGAGGGACTGTCAAGAGTCTTGCGAATCTCAAGAAGACACTGGTTCAAAGGGCAGTGGCATTGATCCTTACATGGGGACCAGCAGAGCAAATATGAATATGAAAGTGATGAAAACAGCGCAGAAATGGAGGCAAAAAAACCCACCTCCTTGAAAGCTTTGGCCCAGAGCTCGGTGAAGCGCTCGGCGGTGCCGGGGTCTCTGTCAAATGGCAGTGTGACGCTGGCATCCGACAGCCACGCCTCAATGATTGCCAGCGGCGGCGCAGGGACCTGCTCTGCCTTGCCTGTGGTCTTCTGCTTGGCAGCCTCAGCTCCAGGGGCCTTTGCCAGACGCAACACAGAAGTATTCAGGCAGAGTGACTGGCTGCAGCAGAATGTGCTCAAGGAATTGCTCAAAGTAAATGAAATGCAAACTTGTTTGACGAAATCAACTTGTCACTTATTTGTGGGTGGGAGGACAGGATTGGTTCTTTGCTGCTCGGAAGTGCGTCACATTACAGGAAATCAGTGCAAGTTAGTAGGAAATACAACTGCATGAACAGCATTGAGAAATCAAGCGAGTGTTTCCGCACACCTGTGTTGCCAGGTCGCCTGCCCACGCCGTGAGCCCGGCTCTGCGGTAGGCGGCAGGCAGCCGCTCAAGCCCTTGCCCGAATGGCCGCTGGGGCAGCGGCCCGGTCAGCACCGGCCCCGGCTCCGCCCGCTTCATCGGCGTGGCATCGCCCACCTCCGAGCCCGACCCCATCTCTGCAATGTCCTGCCACCGCGCCGACATGGCCGTCGTCTGGCGCGACAGCGTCCGATCCCCGTCGTCCAGCGTCAGGTCGGTGACCTGCGAGCCAACATGCGACACTGTCTCGAGCGCGGCGTGCTCATCCGCGGCAGCTTCCGCGAGCGGGGAAGCCGCCACGAGGCTGCCGCCGGTAAGCACGCGGCCTAGGTCTGCCGCGTCCCCGGCCTCGGCGCCGCCGAAGGCCGCCCAGGGGTCCGCGGCCGGCGCGGCCGGCTCCAGCTTCCCCGGCAGCTGCACGGTAGCTACCGCCGCCGCCAGGTGCATCAGCGGCGCATTGTTGAGCGTCAGCGTGACACGCTCGACAACCGCGCATCGCGGCGCGTACGCGGCGGTGACGGCGCCGATGTGGACGCCCCAGCAGACATCGTCCGACAGCCACATGTCGCCGCGCAAATCGCCCAGCCGCGCAGCTAGCTGCAGGTCCAGCTTCGGCGCGGGGACCTTCTTCACGGGAGCCCTCGGGCTAGCCTTGGCGGCCGCCGCGCCCTTGCCGGTGGCCGCAGCGACGGTCGCCTTCCACTTTGCGGCCGGCGTCGCGGCGGCCGGGCTCGGCGGCTCGCTGCGCTCCAAGACAGGAGGCAGCTCCGCAGAAGCCGGAGACGCCAGGGCCGCATCTGCCGGCGCAGCAAGCATGCCCTGCACGGCCTTCGCGTCTACGGCGATCTGGCACGCAGCAAAGACGGCCTCGGCATTGAAGTTCGCATGCAGGCCCTCCAGCTCCACGCCCACTTTCAGCCTCTTGACGGCTGCGCCGCGCGGACGGCCGGCTGCCGCCTTGGCGCTTGTCTCCTGGCGCCCCTCTGACGGCTTCACTTCTGCCTGCTGCGACATAATTAGCGCAGCTGCTGCGTCTGAAGCGGAGCGCGAAGGGCCTCTCCTGGCGTCCTGGTCTGCCTCGAGCGCGGCAGCTTCTGCGCCCTGCTTCTTCTGAGCTTCCTGCTCATGGGAGGCGGGTGTTCCGACTTCCGGGAGGAGCTGCGCTGTTGCCAGCATCTCCTGGATGACCAGCAGTGATGCGGTGCGCTCCGCCTCGAGCACTCCCTGCTGATGACTGCCTGCTGAACCTGCAAGCACAGCAAGTCAGACGCTTGTTGGCATTGCACCTTTACATAGGATTGCCATAAATCAATTTACAGTGGCACACGATCCAACGTTAAACATAGAGGTTTAACAGGTCTGGCATATTAACAGTCGAATAAATCAATCCAGCAAGGAAGAGCACGCACCTGACTCTTTGAATTCAAGGTATGTCAATGTGACGTCGGCAATTTCCAGGTCAGCACGCTGGGCGGCAGGCCGCGCGGCGGCCGCCAGCCGGCCGACCCCAAAGCGCAGCTCGCACCGCTCCGCGCCCCTTGCGCTTTTCTTACGGAACGCGGGCGGCACCTCGACCCGCGTCGCGTACGCGATGCTGATGTCCTCAAAGGCCATGATCGCCGTAACAACACTGATTTTCGCCGCGCTCTTTTCCGGCTTGGCCGGCTTTGGCGTGCTGCGCCGGCCGTTCTTCGCGCGCGGCTGCCTGGCGCGTTTCTGCGGCGGGAGGAAGCCGGCCGGGGGTGCCAGGCCTGCCGCCACCTCAGCCACCGAGCGGAGAAGCTGCGCGTCGGCCGCCACTGAAAATGCGCTCGTGCGCACTTCGGCTGCGCAAATACAATTTGCTTTGTTCAAGAGAGCCCATCATTTTTGCTGAAGTACCCTCCCAAACATGCTACTTATCTTTCTGCCAGATACCTCGGAGGTAGCCTTGTGAGATATGACATGCATGCATGTGCTGGGCTCTCGAGGCAGTCGTTAGTCAGAAGAGGTTGCTGAGGACGAAGAATGTGCAACAAGGCCTACCTTCGAGGAGGAAGGGCCCGTTGTGCTCGGCAGAGGGCATGAGTTCACTTTCAGTCGGCTGCACTCCCGCGTAGAAGCTGCTGGCTGACAGCAGGCTCGCCATGCTGTCAAACTTTGGAGCGCCCTCGTCCCCGCCCTTGGCTGCTGCTGGCCGGACGCCCAAGCATATGTTCTGCACACCGCCACACAAGACATCATAAAAGTTCCTGCTGGCCACCTTCTGGTCTCTTACTCATGCATGCATCAACTTGAATCAAAACTTGGCAATGCAATTATGCATGCATCAGGTGAAATCAAAATTGGGCGCTGGAACCCACCTGCACAGAGAATTCGGCAGTGAAGAGGCCGGGCCGGCCAGTCTCCTGCTGCTCATCCTCCTCTTGGAGCGCAGCAGAGCCTCTCCGCTGCATTCCTGCGGCCTCCTGCGAGGGCCGCCGGCCCCGATCGGTGCCGCCGAGCCGCAGCGCCGTGACAGACTTTCCGCTGATCCCCAGCTCGTCAAAGCCGCAGGCCACAAGGACGGCGCTGTCGGGCGCCACAAGCTGCAGCCGGCTGTCAGCGTCCACACGCATGCAGGCCTCCCACTCCAGCAGGAACGCCACGGCGCGGCCACCGCTACCATCCTCGTCGTCCACGTCATCGCTGCCGCCGACGACGTCCAGGCCGCGCCGGCCGAGCAGCCGGTCGGTGGCGGTGCTGCCCATGGAGGTGCGTGGGGACAGCTTCAGGCCGAGCGTGCGTTTGGGCTCGCCGGTGGACGACGCGCGCGCGGGGCGCCACCGGGCGCGCTCGGCCATGGCCGCGGCGGCTGCGCCGCCGCCGGCCGAGGCGGCCCAGGCCGCGCGCGCGGCCTCCGCGGCGCTGCTCACCGATGGGCTCGAGCCGCAGGCAAGGCCGCCCGACTCGCTGCGCTCCCTCCGCGCCTGCTCCTCGGCCGCGTCGTGCGGCGAGGGCGCGGCCGACGGCGCCGCGCTGCCGTCGCTGCCCGCGCCCTGCCCGTCGGGTAGCGTCAGCTGCCCGGGCCGGGCCGACGGCTGCCGCTGCATACCAGCAACCCCGAGCGCGGTCGCCGCCGCCGTCTCTGCAGCCGCAGCCTCCTCATCCGCCGTCACAAGCGCCCCCGATGGCGCCCGGCCAATGCCCTCTGAAGCTGTGCCCTCCTTGGCGGGCTGCAGCGCCTTTGTCACCTCCTGCATGGCTGACGGCAGCTGATACAGCGTTTGTGCGCAGCAGCTGGTCACCAGGCTGTGGACGTCTGCGTCCGCCTGCAGCACCAGAGCCAGCGGGGCGGGTGCTGCTTCTTGCCCGTCGGAGGAAATTGCCGCTGACTCTGTCCTGTCCACGCTGGCGCTGCCCCTGGCTGCCTCCCCCCCATTGCTGGCCGGCTTGCACACGCGCATCTGCGACTCAATCCCCTTGCACGCCACAGAAGCTGCCGGCAACTGCCCCACCACTCCGATGCCACACTGCGCCCAAAATAGAGGACTTCGTCACCACCAACACTAAATCAACACGACAGCTCCCCTAGGCAACCCATGAGCAATGCAGCTGACTAAATGGGCACCAAGACGCAGGCAACTAAATGGCCCAGAAGCAGATGGGGGCTGGGCACCAAGATGCGGGCAAATGTCTTCCACCGCATATGTCAATTTACAACAGTGGGAAAGCCAAGCAGACCTGCAGGGCTCCGGTGCTGCCATCAATGATGTAGAGGGGCTGCTGGAGGGGGGCAAGGTCAGGCTGCTGCCTGGATTTGCGCGAGGGCTTCTTGGGCAGCGGCTTGCGCCCCTTTATCTGCAGAGCGCTCGCCTCTGCAAAGGCCTCTAGCGACCTCTCTGAAGGGCCGGCCCCCACAAAGTGGCACGCCAACTGCTTCAGCCCAACCTCCACCTGCACACACACGCACAATACAGTTCCCTCAACGTTGCCTCAGGGCCTCGTGAGTTGCTCTGTGGGCCTGATTTGCCTCAAAATTAGTCTCTTTTGCCGAGAAAAGCCAGCCTCTGCTAGACAGGACAGTCAGACACCGTACGCCTTGCAAATACCAGGCGACACCACCCCCCCTCCCACTGACCTGTCCCTGCTTATGTATATATGATACCAACAGCTACATGCATGACGGCGAGGGACCTTGCATGCATGCGATGCGCCAAAACAGGGCGCACCAGGTCTGGCATGAGTGCGGCGAGGGCTGTGACCTCGCCAGGGAGGGCCTCTAGCGGCGAGGACGATCGCGGCCGGGGCTGCTTGAGCGCGCGCTTCTGCTTCTTGGGGGCCGCCCTGAGAGCGGCCGCCGCCGCCAGCAGCGCCTGCGAGGCCATCACTACTATGTCCCCCAGCTGCAGCGCCACCGCCTTGCACCGCAGCGTGCTCTGCCTGCGCCGACAAACATCCACCCCTCACAACCCATGTGAAAAAACTAGCAACGCCCCACCGAGTCCTACCATACACGGTACTGAGCTTCACGCCCACTGCTCTCTTCTCTGGATGGCAACGTGATCACGTAGAAAGCTTGAACAACAGAAGAATGTGCTCACTTCATCCACAAATTAGAATATTGGAATATTGAGAATGCCCTGGGAACCGTCTTCACAAGCTTGTTCAGGGGAAGAGTGTGGCAAAAGATGCGCACCCGATGAGCTGCATGGTGGCAGAGACATTCAGGTCAGTGACCTCTAGCACAGGCATGCGTGAGGCAGCTTCCGGCGCATCCGAGGACGGTGCGCCGGCCCCAGCCGCGGCCGCGGCGGCGCCGGTGCCGGCCGGCCGGTCGGTGAGGAGCGAGGCCACCACCGGCAGGATGTGCAGGTCCATGCGCAGCGTGGAGGCCAGCTGGGATGACACAAAGAGCAGCTCCACCCGCGCTACCTCTGCCAGAATGCCCGTGCTCTGCAGTTTATCAAGGACAGGACATCAGACCGTCTATACTGAACCTGCCCCAGGCCTCTATACTCATGTGTTAGAAGGTGCAAAGGATGCCTTGCAGGAGCAACCACTTGAAATTTGCACCACTGCAATCAGCCTCAAACCATGCTGAAAATTGCTCTTACATGCTGCATGCAAGTTGTGGGTGGAAGAGACTGAGAGGGATCACCTTGTGGGCGAAGGAGACGTTCTTGACGCGCACGGGCAGCACCGGCAGCATGACAAACGCCAGACGGGCGGCCAGGGCAATGAATAACCCCCGGGACACGCTCTTGCCCTTCTCCTCAGCCTCATTCCCCACCGGGGCCGCCTTTGCAGGCTTGGGGGGCGCCCTGGCCTCTTTGTGGGGGGCCCTCAGTGCCCAGGGGGGCAGGTCCTCCCCCTCTCTGAGCTCGATGCGCACCCCCCGCACTGTCAGCGGCAGCCTTGGCTTGTAGGTGCTCCACGCCTTTGCCACGCCCTTCACAAGTTTTGTGGCGGACTTGGTGCGCCCCAGGCTCACTTCCGAGATCCATATGTGCTCTATAGGCCCCTGCTCCCACACACAAGCAACCCCCATCGGTTGCGATCGCGGGCTTGAACAAGACGAGTAGCCTTTGCAGGCCTGCGTGTTACTATGAAAATATAAATGTGTCTTTTTGGATTTGAAACACAGGGGCAGATGCCCTGATGGTGGGAGGTGGGGGTTGTGGGTTTTGCGGGCTCCTGAAGTCACCTTGGCTAGGTGGATGTGGATGCCCTTGCTGACCAGCAAGCCGATCTCGCTGACATTCACCCTCACATGGCGATTGGTCGCAGCCCTTGACAAGGCAAGACCCAGCAGCCTGCACCCACAAGCCCTATAATTTTGTTGCATGCCACTAACTTCTTCAGACATCTACCCAGTAAAACTTTTAGCGTCAATCCAAGATGCTTTAGGTTTTTAGTCTTGTTGGACATTTGCGGAAGTCCCACCTCTTAAGAAGTGCATAGATGAGGAATAAAAAAACGAGGTACAGAAGTAACCGATACAGCATCTTCTGTACGTCCTTTCTTGCGCTGCACTTCAGGCAAGACCTGTGCTTGTCCAGCACTGGGTTGACCCTTCAATGTTCTCACATCCTCCAGAAAGCACAAACCCATGCATTTTGGGGCCTTGCATCCCCTCCACCACCTGCACTCAAGGAAGTCGTTTTGGTGACGTGGAATCGGTGACGTGATCGAGTGATGTCACATGGATGGACACCGTACGCGTGGCACACCGCCGTCGAACGTCGGCTCACATTTATCCACACCACAAACCTGCCTGAGTTGCACAGCCCAGTTGTGATACAGAGTGTCTTGCAAGATGGCTTTTTCTGGGGCCTTGAATGCGGGCACTACACCCTGCCTGTGCAATCATCGGACACCCTCGGTACGGTCCCCAGCGACAGGAAGATCTGGCTTGGCAGGCTTGGACAGACGGCGAGTAAGCCCCACATTTGTGAGGCGCCCATCAATATGTACATACGTTGCTGCAATTGAGGAAAGCCCTGCGGCGGAGGCAGCGCCCTCGAGCAGCGGGGAGGACAAGGAGTTCGAGAATGGAATCGACTTCACAAGCACAGAGGACTTGTACAAGCGCTTCAATGAGCTGCTGGAGCGCTCAAATATGGAGATCAAGCTCGGTGACAAGGTCACGGGCACAGTCGCCAGGTAAGATTTTGATTTTCTACAGGCTCGCCTGTTCCTGACGCCTGTAGGTGCTTCTGAGTAGAAGTTTTTTTCTTTGCATGGTGCTAAGACTTGAGCAATTTTTTGATATAGGTATTGAGAAATTGTGATATAATGGATTCCTTCTTGTACTTTGTCAATGTGCACTCACCTGTGGACGATCTGCCAATTGCAGTGTGGACCAACGGGGAGCGTATGTAGATTTCGGGGGCAAGCAGCCGCTGTACTGCCCTGTTGCAGAGATCAGCCTCTGTAAGCTGTCAAAGGTATGTGTCAACCCCTCATCCTTACGGGGCATGGGCACTGGCCCTCGGACATGTTTCCTCATTGTAGCAGTGGACATAGTTGCATGTTGCATCCTGCATGTTGCAGTACAAGGCTATACTGCAGTGCAGCAGCTCGGCTTATACTGCGCATGGCAAAGAAGGCATTGCAAAGAAGGCATTGCATGGCATGTGTGAACACGAGATACCTGCGGGTTGCCTGACTGCGACTGCGTGTTGCCCTTGCAGGCAACACAGGCTCTGCAGGTCGACCAGGTTCGTGACTTCCAGGTCAACTACCAGGACAGGCGGACAGGGGAGCTGCGCCTCTCCATCAAGGTGCCTTGTCTCTCCCAAGAGAGCAATCAGCTCCTTGCACGACCCACATGTCTTGGTCTTACATCGCTTCAGTCAGTCCAAGTCTGGAGCACATGACATGCGTTCCACGCCTTGCTTCTTCCAATGTCTGCCGGTCTGAGGTGCTGGTGATTGTGTTGGAGCACTTGCGCTGTCTTCCAGATTGCCTCAACAGATGCACCTGTGCCTTAGTCCTTGCAAACAAAAAGATCAAAACAACATTTGTTGCTGTGGTCCTAGCTCTCGACCCTGATCCCCCAAAAACAGACTAAGTCTTTCGCCTGAAGTGAATATTGGCCGGTCAACAGTTTGCCTTGCAGTACCAGGATTAATTAAGCGCTACACACGCTATCTTGAAAGCCTCCTTTTCACCGATTACCATTTCCTGATCACCAATCCTGTGCACTTCTGTCTTTGCACAATTTGAGTGTAGCACTGAGATGGGCGGTTTTTGCTTGCCAATGGTGGGTACTTCTGTCATTGCACGATTTGAATGAAGCGCTGAGATGGGCGGGTGATGCACTGCAGACGCTGGAGAAGGCGCTGCTGTGGCAGAGGCTGCGGCAGATGAGCGAGGAGGGCGCCACGGTGGAGGCTGTGGTGGACTCTGTGCGCCCGGCCGGCCTCATCGTGCGCATCAACGCCTCCGACGTCACCGGCTTCGTCCCCGGCTCCCACATCTCCCCGGTGCGCACCCACCCCTGAACCGTATTTCCCCCTGGGGTTTTTATGATGGCGTCAAGTCAAAAGGAGCTTGTCATTTCCGCCGACCCTAGATGTGCCAGACATGCCACGCATCGTCCCCGGTGCGCCTGCAGTCCTGAACACCCCCTAAGTTTTTTATGATCCCTTGGACCCGAAAGGTGCTAGCTTGACCTGCTACACTTGTAGGTACATTATAGGACAGGCAGGGATGCAGAAACAGGCCTGGCTTGGGCGTGGTAGCTGTCATATGTCTGAGTCTTGTTGTCGTACTTTTTGGACAGTTTGCATGCGAACAGTTGGATGCACAGCAGCGGTGAACGACGTCAATTGGATAGCTGATTGCTAGGGAAGCGTGTATTCAGAAGTGCAGAGGGAGCACATTCTAAGATTTGACCCAAGACCCTGTATAATTCATTGGCCTGCAATTCTTTTGGGGTCAGCAAATGGAGCGTGTTAGAGGTGGTGGCCTGACAGAATGTGTGCTGGTGCTGCAGGGCCCTGGTCCGGCCGTGGACTGGCAGACGCTGTTGGGTGAGACGCTGAACCTGAAGATCCTGGAGCTGGACGAGGAGAAGGACCGCCTCGTGCTCAGCAACCGGAAGAACGCCTTCAACACCAGGCGACAGATCAACGTGAGTGCCACCTCGTGTCAAACCTATTTCCAGTCCCATCCTGCAACACAATTTCCTGAACCTTCCAGTATCTTAGCAGGAGCTGTGCTGTGCTGCACTTACTCATGTCATGTGTCATAGTTGCTCGAACGCATGTCTGTTCGTCTCTTGCAAGGACTTGTTTCGTTGTCACATACTCTTTTTTTGTTTATTACCTTTGCACTTGGCGAACAATTTTTGCATGCCATGGAGTGATGACAGGTGCCGCTGGCACACAAGAGGCGCGACAGGAGTCCTCTCACTGTCACCAGTGCAAGCTCTCGCCATGCTTGCAAAGATGCAGGCGGCTGACGCGCATTGGGGTTTCCTGGTGACAGCTGCATGCGCGCGTACGGACCGAACCCCACAAGGACGACAGCAGCACTATGTTTGGGTGTTCAATGGGGCGGCCGGCTGACGCGCATTGTGTTTTGCTGGCAAACAGCTGCAGGTGGGTGAGGTTGTGGATGGAACGGTGGCGACGCTGCAGCCGTACGGCGCGTTTGTCAACCTGGGCGACAACATGAACGGGCTGCTGCACATCTCCCAAATCTCCCATGACCGTATTTCCTCCGTTGAGAATGTCCTGCAAGTCGGCCAGAAGGTCAAGGTGGGCTTCTTCCCCCTCCTCACGCCTGTAATGTTTGTTCATTCCTACCGACGTGGACCTACCTTACCGCCATGCAGGACCCAGAGCAACCTGGTTCGTTATTGCCAGACACCTAGATGTGCAATTTCAAGAACCCCCCTTTTTTGTCAAATATTGTTTCTGTTGGCCCCACCTCATTGCATTGCAGGAGTCATAAGAGCTTTGGCCAATATCGTAGTCAACCTGTTGCCTCGGTTCACTCTGTCAATGGCAGATCATTGCAGCGCAGGAGCCTTGAAGGCTTACTCGCGTTTGCAGCAGCTGCCAGATTGCTAGAGGTGCAAGTCGGGGCACCCATCATGCAAGAAGGTCTGTTGAGGAAGATGAGCCTAGTGAGTCTTTGTGTGGAGCGCCTGTTGCTGGAATACCCAAGGGGTGGGGCTGGTGCAGGTGATGATTCTGACGCTGGACAAGGAGAAGGGCCGCGTGAGCCTGTCTACCAAGAAGCTGGAGCCCACCCCGGGTGACATGGTGCGCGACCCGGCCCTCGTCTACGCGCGCGCCGATGAGATGGCCGCCGCCTTCAGGTGAGCTGCTCTCCCGCCCTTGTCCTGTATCTTACCTTTGCTCATTGCGGCACATCTCCCATGTGCCTTTTGGGCGTTCAAATCGACTCAGCTGCCTTGTTCGAAATTTGTTGAGATTGGAGGTTTCTGCTGATGCAGTGGCCTCAAGAGCATGTCTGGTGGTGTGAGAAAGTGCAAACATACTGGAGTACGCAGAGGGCAATCTGGGCCTACCATGAAAAGCAGATGGAAAAGAGATTGTCGCTGCACTAGCAGCATGGCTACATGTGACAGGGGATCTCAAGGAGTGAGCTGGTGTCTGTGTGCTTGCAGGGAGAGGTATCTGCAGGCAGAGGCTGAGGCCAGGGGCGATGGCGGCTCTGCCAAGCAAGCCGCACCCAGGGAGTGAGGCATCCTCGAGTGTTCTTCTGGGCTAAGCATTGGCTCTTAAGCTGCATGCCGTGTGGGGATTCCCGTTGTTGTGCACCAAGCGAACGCATGGCACTTGATTGTAGAGGATCATGACATCACATGACATTTAGTGGGCGAGTAACTTTTTTTACGATTGCGCTTTCCCGGAGTTTCGTGTCTTATCAGTGGACCCTTGGACCCATAAGACTTGAGGGCATTTACAGAGCAATGTCATACCTGTCTATTGGACATTACTGTGCCTGGCAGCCTGCCAGTGGCAGGGGTTGACAAGATCTCGAGCAGAGAACTTAGACAGCATTGCAAACCATGTGAGGAAAGCCGGCAGGTGTAAAATATCACCTTTGCAAGCTAGTGCAAATATCAACCGAGAAGTTCCCGCTGGAAACGACAGGTATGCTATCGATAGTATCTGTATCCAGGCGCCTGTGATCATGTCAGATTGTTGTCCATCTCATTACATATTTAAGCGAACACACGATGTTACACATTGGTACTCCTGACAGTCCAGCCCGAAGTAGCAGTCCCATGCCCCCAATTCAGAAAGTTATTTTAATTCAAATGCCTCTCCAAAACGCACGTAACTGGGCAACAAATACAGCTCACGAGGAACAGTGAAACAAAACCCACAAAGTGCATTTATTCAACTGAAAGCAAACAGCAAATTATGCAACAGAATGCACTCCAATGACACCATCTGTGGGTGCCAAGGACCTCTAGCAGCTGCAGGTCACCTGCAAGTCACTAACTGACAAGTACATGTCTGAGATTCTCGGCTTGCGGCGCTAGGATTCTTGAGCGCGCTGCACAGCTCAGTACACAAGACGGGCACAGAAGCAGTTGACGCTCCCTCTGCATGCAAATGGCTGTCTTGAGCGCAGGGGAAACCACTACATCTAAAAATGTTCACCTTGGAATCATCCACTTGTCCGGCAGCCTATTCATCTGCTGCAATGGACCCACTAGCTCATTCAATCTCTCCACGCAAGCGGCGGGCCAGCTGCATGTCTTTTGGCCTGCATGCACACCACATTAATTCAAGAATTGCAGAAAGCAATACTGCTTACCCGCATCAGTGTTTCAAAGCCGCTTGCGGCGACTGTGAGCTACCAGAGTAACTGGAAGGACAGACAATTTGATAAGCGAGAAGAACACTCACATGATGGTCACGCGTCTGGCGTGGATGGCGCAGAGATTGCTGTCCTCAAAGATGCCCACCTGGTCAGAAAGGCAGGCCACGTCAGCAATGTCTACCGCACAAACGTTTGAAGCTGCCAATAGTGCAGTCAAACAACAGCCTGCACCACAGCAAGTGAAAGACCAGACTCAAAGAAGAAGCTGCTCAATTTTGCACTTGTGCACTGCTTCTATGGAGAAATGTGCTTCTGCTTGAAAGCTTGAAAGACACCTAGCTAGAGACATCTATATGGCCATCTTCTGCCATGGCATTTGCCGGATTCTCCATTTTGTCAGAGATGACTGCATCCACAGAACTGTGTGCACGTGAAGGGGCAGACAGAAATTGGCTGACATACCAGATATGACTCGGCAGCCTCCTGCAGGGCCTCCATTGCAGACTCCTGGAAGCGAATGCCATTCAAGAGACTTTGAGACAGCTCGCGCACCAGCCGACGGAAGGGCAGCTTCCTGATGAGCAGTGCCGTGGACCTCTGGTACTTGCGGATCTCCCTGCAGGCAAGTCCTCGAGGTTAGTAAGATGCAAAAAAGAGCAGGACAGTGCTCCTGCAAGATGATAATTCTGACTCGCTTGAGCTCTGAAAGGGGATTATGCGTGCACACCTGAGAGCGACTGTCCCCGGGCGGGCTCTCTTGTTTGTGTTGTACAGTGGATTCCTCACCCGGCGAGCCTTGACCACCCCCTGCTGACCCCTGCAGTAACAGTCATTCAGCCCTGTAGCGGCTTTTGGGAAGGCGATCTGATGATCAATGGCAGAAAGCAGGCAAATCCAGTGCAAAGGAGAGTTCTTGCAGATTTGGCAGCAGAAGCAATGCAGCATTCTTACTTTTTAGTGTTCTGAGGAGCTCGAAAAGGGTGGCTCGACCCTGTGTGTTTTCTAGCGGTAGCTTTTACCCTCGCCTGAAAAAGCACACTCAGCCACATCAGGAGGATGTTGAAGAGCCGAGTTTTCGTGTAGAAGACACTATCTAGGTGCCTGGAATAGTACGCAAAGACCCAACCGCCCGGTGATCAAGCGGACCAGGCCGACCATCTTTGCAAATAGTCTGATCCAGAAATATCAAAAGATTTGATCTTTTACTAGACCAGTTCCTGGTATGGAGTGAAGACGGCAAGGAGCGACGACGCACCATTTCCCCCAAGCCAGATCTGCACCACGAATGTTGCTTTCTCGAGACTTTCGTCTCTTGGAAGGTTCTGAGCAACGGCTAACTAGCTTTCTTGCCGCAGAAATGCCGCAACCAGGTCACCCCTGCGTGAGTTCCTAGGCCGTGCTGCGGTTTCCTGCTCTGCCTGCTCTGTGTTTACCCAAGCTTGCCAACGGCGTTCCTTGCTTTAGCTGATTTGCTACTTGACATTGATTTGCTACTTGACATTGCGATCCTGCAACAAATTCCTGCTGCAATCGGTATTTTCGACTTTGTTCGTCTTCATGTGGACTTGTCTGTGTTGCAATTGCTTGTATTCTGCTGTGATAGAGTCTTAGATGTGCACTGCCGATGAGCTCCGTGACACCATAAAGCCAAGGAGGGTGTAAATCCATTCGTATGTCGTATGAAGAAACAGTACCTGTCGAGCTTGAAGCACTTGAGTATACATACGGCTCTTCTGTCTCAGTGATATCTGCAGATCCTCTGACGACCTCAGTCGATGTGGAGCCCTTTACTGGCGAGGATGATGCCCAGATATATGTCCGTGCTGATCTTATCCTCTCACTCACGAAAGAATACCCAGATCGGGCTCCAAACATCGAATTACGGAACGTGAAAGGTGAGCATCCCTGCACACAGTCTGAGGTCCTTCCAGCCTAGTCCTAGACATCAAGTGTGCATGCAACGGGTTTTGAACTGGCCTGAAATCCATTCGTAGGGCTTGGAGATTCGAGGGTGGCAGACCTGCTCAGCAGATTGCGCCAAGATGCAGCAGGCTCAGTGGGCACTATGGTGCTTGGGCTGCTCATTGAAGCTGCCAGGGATGCGCTGACGGCCATGAACAGTCCGGAGGGGGACTGCATCTTCTGCATGTGCAGCCTGATGGAAGAAGCCAGCGGTTCAGGCAGCCGAGAGCTGATAAGGCTACCCTGCTATCACTGCTTTCACTTGTAAGACCCCGCTCTCAACTATGTCGTTTTCACCGCTCATTGCTCAGAATGGATGGTTCATATGAGGCTTATGAACGCTCCTTGCAGTCCATTAGCCTCTTCATTTGGGTATCACTGCCAGGAGCAGGTCAATGAATGACTAAGTGCATGTGCAGCGACTGCTTTGCAAGATGGTGGAGATGGGAACAGCGGTCACTGCATGCCAAGCGCAAGCAGCTCATCGAGGAGCTCAAAGCTGCGGCAGGCCCCAAGCTGCACGACCTGGGCCTGGTGCCCTATGCACAGGGCCTGTTCACCATCCTATGCCCGTCATGCAGGTGAGCTTGTCCATATTTATATCCATGAAGTGTCTGTGCTTCAAAGCTGTCTTTGACCCTTCACACTGGTTGATTGAGATGGACATTTGCTTGGTGTAAAGAGAGTTGCAGCTGAGCTACAGTGGGTGCTGTCAGGTTCAAGGTGGGACCTGATGATCTTGCCAAGTGGATGCCGAGGCTTGTGCCGCGCAAAGGAAATGCAGCAGAAGTGCAGGCCTCTGAGGAGCAGCCGGCGTCCTGCCACACAGTGGAGCTGCCCGAAGCTGACATGGCGCGACTGCGCCATATGCAGCAGACCCACGCTCGCCTCTTTGCTGCGCAACAGCAGAAGGTGCCCTTGCTGTGTGATCCTTCTTGCCTGCCATTCATAGCCCCCTTTCGGCTGTATGCTTGTGCTCTTCCCATGCAGTAAATTAGGCTGGCTTCTCGCCGATCACAGCCCCATGACAAGCTTTGTCTTGCCGGGTGGCTGGACATGTCTGGGCTGATATAGAGCGCATGCGAGTAGTTGATGCTAGCAAAAGCTAGAGGCTCACAGCAACAAATTGTGTGCTGCAGAATGGCATCGTGGATGAGAGCTGGTCGGTCTCTGTGGGGCAGCAGCCCCAACAGCCAGCAGATGCAGTCAGCAGCAGTACAGCTCCTACTGATGCGGCGGCCAGCGCTAGCATGACTGGTGTAACTGGCAATCACAATCCACAATGCCCATGGGAAAGAAGGCAGCAGGAGCAACCAGGCGCATCTGGCAGAGCCGGGCAGATGCACGGAAACAGGAGGCATGGTGAGGGCAATCCTGGTGAAAGAGGCAGGCAAAGACAAAGGGGCCAAGCTGGGAAGCCTCGCAGGCCAAATGGGGCCCAACTTGATCAGGGGATCAAGGGGTTCAACTCTTTGGAACTCAACGATAGCAACAGAACGCGAGAACCTAATGTGAAGCGATGATGAAGCTTGGATAAAGTTATCATATTCATATTCCCTTGTGCAGTGTAAGTGTAGTAAAGTTTTGGTGCTGCTTACAAGTTGTGAAGGACCACATATGACTATCTGTGCACAATAAAAACTATATGCAATTCCCAGCTCCGGGCTAACTTCTTGTTGCAGATTATTGTCAATGTGAGAAAATAGAGACACCTACATGATGCAGGACACCTGCACGACGCTGTCATGGTGAAAGTTGACACTTACAAAAAAAAGCATAATCCCCTTCTGCCTGCCTTCTTGACATGCCAAGGCCTTCAGGAGGCCCTACAAGCAATCACCGGCTAATAAACCATGCAAGGACTCAATGCAGAGGCATATGCCATCTGCCAGATGGTTTCAATCCCTGCCCTTGCAGTGTGCACACGTGACTGAGTCAGCAGAGGCTCAAGCATGCCTTGCAGGTGCGAGAATTTTGGTTGAGCACGTTTTAAGTCATTACAACATGTAAGGCTACACATGCAATAGTCGAGGCTATGAAATTGGTCCAGCAACAGCAACACCAACGAACGATTTAGGGACACCTCGTCACATGCATGGTCTCATGAGATCAATTGTTGATACATCGTTGATCACTTTATCTGACTGATCGCCAGTCATGTTAGTCAAAGGCATGCACTGACTCAGGGAAGGAGTCCAAGCATAATTCTATTCTTAGTTTTGTAGGAATACGTTATGACTTGAATTAAAGTATACCTGGCCGGGGCGGCGAGGGTGCAGCTGAAATACTGCGTACTCTGCCCACGGCGTATTGGGTCTAGAACTTGCTCAGCTGTGGCTTATATCTGGCGATTCATCGATGAAGGGGCAGGAAATGTGGCAGCTTGTCTGCAGATGCGCCTTGCCTCTGGGAAGAGACAGTGTATGTAAGAAGGTAAAAGAAATTACACGTGCAAGTGGTTGCAAGCTTAGCTTTAGCTGTACCCATGTGCATCCACTAAACACCATATTTGTATCCAGGTGACCTTGCCAAGTGTGAAACACTTGTCTTCAGCACTTCTCCACTTGGAGTCCTCAACATGCTCACCCGCTTCTAGATACTTGATTCCCCACCATGCTTCATAATTTCACACAATACACTTCAAAAGTCCAGGCCGTCCAGCTCAAGAGAGAAGATTGAAGTCCCTGTCGCATATTTGCAAAAAAAAACCCAACAAGAAGCAATCCGGAGTCAAGATGCTAATCATAAGAAATAATAGTACATACATGGCGCTCTGAGCTACCTGATAGCCTACAGAATGTTCAAGATGTCATCCAAGCAAGCAGGGCAGCAACTCAAGCTGGAAAAGAAGCACTGCTGCTGGCATGATAGAAAAGGAAGCCTTGTCCCGGCAACACTACAAGTCGCACAAGTGCCCTCCTTCTATTGTACACATCTTCTCGACTGGTGCATAACCGCAATGCCCAGTCAAGGAAATCACCTAATTCCGCAAACCACTGCTTCTCACCATACACACAGAGCTCACCCGTCACAAAGCTGACCAGGGTGCGGCTCTACACACTGTATCACCAAACTGGAAGCAAATCAGTGCTGTTGTGATGACCATGCAAAGAAAAAGTCCTCCGAATTTTTATAGCACTTCTGCCGGGCATGAAAATGGAAGACAGGCTTCATAGCCCCAGCGAGTCATGCACACACAGAGGCAACGCCTGCCCTGTGTGCCATGCAGTTGCTGGGGAGTTCCACATAGTCAGGATTACTGCGGCACCAAATGCATTTTCCTGAAGCTTCCTCCACTGATGCCCCCTGTCTACACACTCCTGAAGCTGCCTCTCTAAGGTCACCCTGTCTTCACAGTCCCGACTCCTGAAGCCTCCTTTTTCTTATGTCACCCTGTCTACACAGTCCAGACTCCTGAACACCTTCCTCTCTGATTCATTCACCCTGTCTACGAAGTTTACTTCCCCTCAGACAGCTGGCCGGTGATGGTGGGCAAGTCTCTGCGCGCAGCCGCGCGGTCTGCCTCTGCCCCAAAAGCACATGGGGACGAGTTGTATCTGAGCAGCGCCGATTTGGTGTGGGCCTTGATTCGGTCGCTGTTCTGGCCCGTGGGCGCCAGGGTGTTGGCCAGCCGAAAGGGATTCATGCTGCTGGGTATGGTGCTGTGCGCGCTGTCTGACAAATTCTCCTTCATTTCTGGTTCCTGCGCGCCTGCACCATGCATGCTCCACTGTCAGTCAGAATTTAAGAAGACCACTGAATGCCCAGGCGCAGGAAACCAGTCAAAATGACCTTTGGCACTGGCAGCACAGGACTTGAGGGGTCTGATGCAAATGGATGCGCGCATAGAGACTGTTTTTTCTATTTTGAAGAGATTGATCTAAGGTCCTTGGCGCCAAAGGCAAGGTGCAGCACATCAGGCAGCCAGGGCAAGATCCAGAAACTGGTATTGTTTGTACTTTCCCCATTTAATTTTCATTTTATCCTGAGGGGAAGCCCCGTAATTCATGAAAGTATGACAGAACGCAGGGTGCAGCCAGGGGGGCATACCGATGGCGCGCAGGACGATGACCTGGGTTTCCATGCTGGCGAGCAGTTTGCGGTCGTCGGTGCAGCGCTCATACTTCTGCAGGTACTGCCGCACGTGCCAGGGAATGTCCAGAGCAGTGTCCGAGTGCAGCTCGTCCAGATCTGCACGCATCACAAAATGTGAACCCCGACTGCAAGTCTCTGGCAGCCATGATGACAAGCCCAGCTGCTTCTTCTGATCAGCATCCTATCGTCCCGAATAAACACTAAATGCTGTAAAGAGAAGCACAAGCAACATCCCTGTCAAGTTTTCTGATTGTGTGCGAGGAAACACACAGGTCTGCGTCAGCACTCGTTGACTTCCCCACCAAATTCAGCTGAGGTCTAGATTTAGACGGGTAGCACGGCCTGTGTGCTCATCTCTGGCTGGCTTTGAGACCCTCAGCCCGAGTGTACATGTTGTAGTGGGGCAAGGGCGTAGCACCAACCCAGGAGGTGATCTCATGTTTCCTTTCAAGTATGAGTGCAGTAGGCTGTGAGATGGGAATGGCAAGATATGCTCACCGATGCCGAGGCGCTGGGAGAGGCGAGTGGTGATGCCTTGGAGGCCCTCTGACTCATCAAGCGCCTGCATGTAGCGCCGCAGCAGCCCCTTGCGCACCTCTGTCTTGGCCAGTGTCACCCGCGCCAGCAGCTCATCCGGGCTCACCCCCTGCAGACGCCACCCAGCCCCTCAATATACCATAGTATTAACAATGAAAATTCTCTCTCTCTCTCTCAGTAACACCCTCGTCCTCCTTCTGGCCTAGGGAAAAATATGTCATAGCGACAAGAGCAAATGGGTAGATTAGTTGGGATGGTGGCTTTCAAAAGAGTAATGAAAGCATGCAAAGGTAGATTCAACCTTGCTTGCCCCTTTCTTGGCCTGCTGCAGTAATCTCTCCATGCCTTAGCTACCCATGCCGTGCAAAGCTTTGAGGCTCGTTGTGCTATTATGCAGCACAGACAAGGGGTACATTAAAAAAGAAGATGCTCCAGCAGTTTGAAAGGAAGTCAGAGCACCCGCCTGGCAGAGCTCGGGAAGGACCTTGGTCACCGCCTTGAGGCACTCGGCCTTGCCGGAAGCGTAGCTCGCCAGTTTGGCGAGCAGGCCTGGGCTCATCTTGATGTCCGACACCTTCATCTCTAGCCCCTGCAAGGTTCCAGGCATGCAGAAACCTCAGAATAGAGAGATTGATGTTTTCCGACCCCAAAACATCCATGCAGCGGAAACAGGTAATCAGGAACCATGATCGGACGGGCTGGAATGGATCACTGACAAGCAGGAGCAGGCGCATGCCTTGTTCGCTACTTTGTGGTCAACAGCTTTGCCTTTAAAAAGGTCGTTCAAGTGTCATGCGATGGCATAAATATTTCAACAAGTGTCATTCAGACAGAAACGCACCGTGTACCAGATGTGCTTGACAAGGATTTCGGCAGCCATGCAGCAGCAAGGGCCGCGCAGAATCCCGGAGTCCAGCACTTTGTCAAAGTAGGCGCTGGCTGCGGGATCGGACATCAGCGCAAATGCCTCCATTGCATTTACGCCCGCCTCCATATAACTCTGGTAGTGGCTCGTCAGCAGCGGCTTTTCCTTGGGTACCTGAGCAAAAGGTGACGTCTGTCATGCAGCTGCAATGACTCAGGTGAACTGGATTGCATTCGTGCAAGAATTTACTGTCAAAGATGGGTGTGAAATAGGTGCTCACCGTCAGAGGGTGCAGGGGAGGTGCACTGGAGTGCCTTTCAAAGCCATCGCTGGAAGTCCGTTGCAGGTTCGCACTTGGGTGCTTGATCAGACAGGTCAAAGACGGATAAATGAGTTCGAAGTCGCAGGCAACCTTCTGGACGCCCTTCAGGGCTTTTCTCAAGGCGTCAGCATCTTCGTCGCGCGTGGCCTCGTTGAGCCGTTCCAGCAGCGAAGACACGCTGCGGACAGTGTACAACAACAAGCTTCGGCCTGAAATATCGATCGTACCCCAAAAATTAGGTCGACAGCAACGTACTCAAATACTTGCAAAATGCCCGCTGTCACGCAGAGAGTTTCTGAGAGAACTTACCTGGCCAAGGTGTTCAGGAATCTTGTCATCTTGGCCTATGTAGGGCGCGTCATTTGGGCGCTGATGCAGCCAGTCTCGCAGGTATAGCAGAAGTAGTCACTGTCAACAGCGACGATGCGGGTATGGGCCTGCAAACATGCATAAATGGGCAGGTTGAAAAGTTGCTTTCGGAAAGCGCGGCTGAGCGCGGACAGACTGTTTGCTCGTGAGGCAAATCTTTCAGGACGCCAACACCCAGGTAAGACATTGTTCGGTACTGGTCAGTACTTGTCGCTCACAGAAGAGTTCATCAGAGGCTCACCTTCTCTAAGGCGAACACCTCGAGCTAATCCCAAAAACCTGTGTACGACAACTGTGCACGCGTTCTCTTGCTCGTCGCTTGACAAGGAGACAGTGTTTGCACGATGACAACTTCTGATACCCCTTGGTTGCTCGTGCTTTGGACAGGGAGAAGGTGTTCCTGGCCCGAAACTGCGAGACAGACTGTGACGTTGTTGCTGACGACACGGGATCTTGCTTCCTCGATATCCAATTCCCCTTGTACTTCAGCAAATCTACACCTATTGAGTGACAACAGTGCAGAGCTTGAGCATTGGAGAAGTGCAAGGGGGATCGTTACAACATTTCTTGATTTGAAACAATCCCTGACCAAATTTTCTATTTGTATTTGTATCATTATCAATGCCATCACTAGAAAGTGTCTGCCCGCGTCAAAACACGAGCTCAGTCTCCCATAAAAATTTCCAACGATTTGAAATGATCGTAATAAGCGTAGACACTTGATTCCCCTCCCCCTCATGCCCCATCTTCGATGATATTCTCAGGCCTCACCCAGCATTGGTGCAAGCGTCCTCCGGCCACCTTGTGGCCTGGATCGGGAACAGCATTACGACGACGATCTTCGTTGAGACTGTTTGCAAGTGCCTCATCAGCGGACAGGCTTGTCCAATGGGTGTCGAGCAGTGGGGGGACAGTGTCACCTACCGTACATGTATCACCCCCAGATTCAGTCATGGGTGCCGGCCTGAGGGCTTCGAAGGTGCTCACCATGCTACTTGCAACCCCATATTGTCTGTTTTGTCATTGCTGACCTCCAAGGCCACCTCCAAGGCCGTGCATGCATGGACCCACCAATCATGTGCTGTCTGCATGCAGGCCTGCAGGTCAGGCGAGCTTCTGGTGTCGCTTCCCAGGTCGTGTCAGCTCTCCTATGATGGCAGCACGGAGCCCAACCTGCTGCAGCTCATCTCCAAAGTCCCAGAAGAGCTCTGGGGCGCCAAACTGGCCCTGAGAGTAAATTCACCCCTCCCAATGTCCCCCTTTCACTGAAAGTCTCAGCATGCTGGACAAGTGCTTAATTTTCCACTGGTTTTATAGCATGAGCTAGCACATACCTGCCTGCTATGCCTCCATGCATGGTATGCCTCACTAGGTATTTCAACTGGGAAATCTTGCAGGTGTTGAAGGAGAGGATAATGGGCCCAGACAGCCCCTTCCACAGCTACATTGACAACCTGCCCATGGGAGTGCCGGGCATCCCCATGTTCTTCTCCCCGGACGCCATCAGGGCGCTCGAGCAGTATCCGCCCCTCAGGTGCCACCCCGCCCCGCATCTAATCTGATGCCGCCACAAGTGTCGAAATCTGCATGCCCCTTGCGATTGCAGCATAGTCGAAAGAAAGACTGTGAGGGCAAATCTAGTGCATGATCTTTGTTGCTCTCTGGAGACTGCTGCGCGCCAAACCCTTAGCTGGACTACACAGTGACCAGTGTAGTTCTCGTGTAATCTTCTGGCTCTAGTAACCAGGTCACACACTTATAGCATGCATAGCAGGTATGTGCAAATGGCAAGCCTGGCTCGGGCAGAGTGGCGACAGAGTGTGGATCTTTCTTGCTTCACTCTTGTCTAATGACAAGTGCGTTCCGCTGCGATGCAGCGAGCAAGTGAAGAAGCGGTGTCGGTGGCTGCTGTCCTTCTCGTCAGAGCACCTGTCGGCGTTGCCAGGCTCCCCAGCCGACCCCTTCCTGGGCACCCCAGTCGATGCCAACATCCTGGGTGCGATCCTTTGGATACCCTGTTCTGAACATTTGTTGAGTGTCCAACGAAAAAAAGGAGTGTCTTCTTAGTCATTGTGTCTCTGAATTGTGCGATTTGTCAACATTGCTGATACAATTCATGAGATGGTATCCACGGAAGAATTTCTTGCTAATCCTGTACCTGTTGATGGCAAGATCAACTTTTGCCCTGAAAGAATGTGCGCATTGGCTATGGCATGTGCATCCTCTTGGATAATTCAGTACCAACTGAGATGTCACAACGGCGTCAAAAGCTTTTGTGTGCGCCGCAGGGTGGGCACTGGCAATGACCACGTCGAGGGCTTTCCGAGTGCAGGGCCCGCAGCACCCGGCCGCGCTGCTGCCGCTCATCGACATGAGCAACCACAGCTTCGCACCCAACTGCGAGGTGCGCCAATTGCACGTTACACCCCATGATCTATGAGTGGTTCTTGTTGCATGCAGAGTTCTGGCTTCATGCAGCCACACAAGTAGCCAATCGTTGGCCAGCCGTTTTTCCATGCACACTGTAGATCAGGGGTGTTTGCAATCGACAGAAGCTTTCACACGGTGACTCACCCTACACCACTGGCAGCCTGCTCGTGTGTCACAAGGCCTTCAATGAGCAACAGGTTAACTTCATGAGCGTTGCAATGTGCTTGCTGGGGGCAGTGTATAATTGGCTGGTTGTGAAGGGAGATGCTTGTGTTGTGGCCGGGCAGGTGAAGCCTGGGCCTGGGGGCTCTGTGGAGATGGTGGCGAGCAGGGACATCCGCGCAGAGGAGGATCTGCTGCTCAGCTATGGGAAGCTGGACAACACCTTCCTCCTACTCGACTATGGTGCCCCACAAAGGACTTTAGAGAGCTTGAAGAAAATTGCCAACATGCGCCCACTTGAGAGAGACTGGCGAATCTGGTTGAGGATTAGGTGCAAAGCAAGCGCATCTTGCGTAATGCAACAGGGTCGATTTCAAGTGGGGGCTTGGATGCGCAGGCTTCATGGTGCCAGGCAACCCCCATGACACAGTGCTCATCCGCTACGACCCCATCATGTTTGAGGTGAGGCCTCCTCCATACGGATCACACTTCCACCAGAGCACAGTTCACACACAGAGCACGCTCGTGTGTATAATGTAATTTACGCAGCTCATTCTGAGGTCCGTTTCACTGTTGGGTCCCTGCGTAGTATTCCCTTGTGCAAAATATAGTAGCCAACTCCTTGACAAACCTTATGTGAGGTTCAGAGTACGGTATACTGTACACTCCATTACATAATTGAGTGATTTTCAACACGAAGAGTGACAAAAACATGCCAAACGGTGTGTGCAGGCAGGACATCTGTTGGCGCAAGGACAGGGAGCGCCGCCTGACAATGCGCCCGACCTGGGATCCGCCACTTTCCAGCAGCAGCTCCTCACAGAGATGAACCTTCTGGGCCCCAAGGTGGGCGCCATAATTTGCATTTCTATTGCTTTGTCCAAACTGCTCATCCCTCCTTTTCCATGCTGCACTCTTCTCCATCTAAACTTGTTGGCACGAGGGCATAACAGTCAAATATAAACTGACTGCCCTCTGCAGGATAGTTGAGCTTAATTCTTCCCGGCTGTGAAAATTGGCCGAGGTTGCAACGATAGATTGCTTTGTTCTGTATTGTAATCTTCCAAGAATGTGCACCGTGACAAAGAAAGCCCTGCACGCATCGAGAGCGGCGGTGTATGACACGCACAGGCTGATCTGGAGCTGGCGTTTGGGCGGAGCCTGCAGCGGTGCAGTCCGCGGCTGCTGGCGGTGGCGCGCCTGTTCACGGCTGCCAGCGCTGCCGAAGTGCGCGGCCGATCCGCCGATGACCTGGGTGCCTGGGATCAGCCCCTCTCCCTCATCAACGAGGTACAGCTTCCTTTCCGTCATTCAGCATGCAGGGGACGTTTGCGGAATACAATGTCAGGCCCAGACTTGTGACCAGAGATCGCCTTGATGGACATCTGGGCTTGCATGCATATCGGGGATTGACGCCTTTCATTTTGTTTTGGGGCAATGTCTGCGACTGCTTCTGTGCTGTCCTCCGTGCATAGGCCCCACGCTCTTGCTGCCATCTGCACTCCTTATGAGAAGCATCACATGCGCAAGGATGTGTCAGTTTTTTCAGCAGCGCTCATGCGCAGCTTGCGATCAAAACTCGTTGATTTGTGTGCGTGTGGCAACTGGAGCGTAAGTCTTCCACAGCACATCCAGAGATCAGAGCCCAGGTGAAGACTTAACGGTGTCTGTGTGGCCACAGGTGAAGGCGCTGCGGATGGTGGCTGGAGTGGCGGCAATGCTGCTAACGAGGTTCCCCACGACTCTGGAGCAGGACCGCCGCGCGCTGGAGGGGGGACCGGCGGTGGCAGCTGAGGGGGGACTGCCAGAGGGTGGACCCCATCAGCTGGCGCCGGATGTGCGCGCGGCGGTGCAGCTGCGCGCGGAGAAGAAGGCCGTGCTCAGCGAGGTGCTGCAGGACATTGGGCACCGCATCAGGGTGAGCTATGCATGCATGCAAGTCGGATTTACTGGCAGAATTTCTTCTAGTTCCGGTAACATCCCCTGCCTGGGCTGTGACTTTGCAAGTGCGGGCTGTTGTGCAGATGGATTTGTGATATCAGTGCCATCAGAGGACAATGTGAGGTTGAGCCACGTGAGTGGTCCACGATATCCAATGTCCTTTGTCTGCTCTACTTTTTTGGGGGCAGTGGCTGGGTGGTAGCAACGCTGTCCGAATGCAACAGGCCACACATGACACTTTGTGCCTTAATAGGCTCAAGAGAATTGATGGAAACAAGGCTTTTTTGTTGTGTGATGCAGGGACTGGCGTCACAGACGGTGCCACAAGGCGCAGCCGAGGCGTACAGGGAATCTGTGAGCCAGGCGAGTGGCGGGCAGAAGAGGAAGTTCTCGACTTCCAGCAGAAAAGCAAAGATGCGAAATGGCAAAGGATTTGGGTAGCGTGAAACAGCTGAAACTGCTTGTGAAAGTAAAAGTTGAGCGGTCTGTGTCTGGTGAAGTGGGAGAATATAGAAGTAATCAGCAGCTGTCAGAATTGAGGTACCGGGTCATTAAAATCGATCTATAGTCCGGACAGGGAGGATCCTCGATGGATCCACAAGGACAGTCCACACATGGAGGTTGTAACTTAAAGATGAAATCACATAAGAAGTAGGCATTCATCACATCCTGTACCATGCAGTTCTCACCCGCAACAGATCAAAGTCTCTTTCTTGACCATTTGTGTCTTTCAAGTCCGAACATAACCAATATTTCCCAGCTATTCTGACATGCATCTAGATTTCAACAAGAAAATGTGTTGCAAGGGGGTATCCCATATCAACAACAGAGGCACTTGCGCAAGCATGCTTGCTCTGCTTGTGCACCTAAACCTCCTGTTTCTGGCTCCAAAGCTGTTCCCATAAAATTAAGAGAGGGCAATTTTCAGTACACTGTTCATCAAATTACTCATCGCCAACCGTCGAATGGCTTGGAATCATTGTCCTCTAGCATGACATGTCCCAGAAGATCCTGCTGATTGGCAGCTGACTCATTTGCAGTCCAATCACAGGCCAGGGCCTTGCTCAACGCTGCCTGCCTGCTCACACCCACCTGCCCCCACTGGAGGACATGCGCCTGCCGGCACCAACCGAGCTCTTGCTGCTCTGGCTGCCACTGCTGGCCATACTGCGGCGGCTGCTGCTGTCACTCAGTGCCGGCTTGCTCGACACAACCTGCTGCAAATCACACACAATTTTATTTTTCGCCTTTGTCCTCATGCTACCACACTGACACTGAAGCATGGCTGCGCCTGAACGCACGGCAGACAGGACACAATCTTGAAAGAACATGGCTATGCCTGGAAGCCGTGCAGACATGCAGCAACCTTGAGAAGCGCTCGACTTAGCAAGCTTCTGTGTGAGGGACAGAAATGCAAGATGCAGCTCGCAGCGCACCCGGCTCAGGGGCAGGCTGCGCTTGCCGCTGAGGGCCTCCTGCGCGGCTGTTGAGGCCGGCTGCGCGGCTGCCGCAGATGCCGTGCGCATCAGGGGTGGCCGGCCGGACGCACCCGGCACGCCGTAATCCCTCGCCGACATCGGCCTGATCACAAAGTAAGGCGTATTTAGTATCCGTCAACAGGCCAGCAATGATGCACCGCACCCCATAGCACGGACAGCAGCACAGCATCGTGGTAGCATGAAGAGTCGAGCATGCAATACGGACTCGTGGGAATTGATACAAGAATCTGGCCCTAGCTCGTGGGGTTAAATCTTTACACAGAGCACCTCCAAGAAGGGATAGAATTTTATAGCAGCCTTTGCCTGCAGCTTGTCTGCAGATCCACGTTGCCTTCCAGAAGGAACAGTGATTAGTAATGATAACGAGAGCAGTTCCAATTTGTTGAATGAATTGTTACCTGGGGATTCCCGAGGAGGGCTCGCGTCGGGGAGTGGTGGAGCCGCGGTGAGTCATGGACCCGCGCATCGGCGCCGCTTCGCCGCGGGCCGCCGGCCGCAAATTCGACAGCGCGGGCACCGCCGCCTTGAGCCGCGGATTTGCGGGCGACAGGCTCGGGATGCGCGAGTGCACCTGCAGACATGCATGCCTTCTTAATATCCCAGCTCTCATGGCATCCTCAATTTTATCGTAGGTGGAAGCAGTGATGTGCCCTGTATTCCTACATCATGTTGTGGGCTTCGGGGCTTGCTGCTTTGGCAATTGGAACCATGTTATTTGAGGCCTATTGATATAAGGTTTGTGAGGAGCCAGGCAGGTCTCTCGAAGAGCAATGATTTGCCAATCAGGTTCCTGTGCCTTCAGCCTAAGGGCGGAGAGAACAGGGCCTTAATTCCAGAAGGCGGACGAGGAAGGACATGTGAAGAGTTGTAAACCACATCCTATGGGCGACTGCAGCATGTAAATGGATTGCATGGTGTAAGCACCTTGTAGTCGGAGGGTGAGGGGCTTTGAGATTATGGATTGGAGTAGTGCCGTGCCCCATTCACAACACCCTGTTGTCAACGTCATGTCAGGATGAAATGGTTCTAATTCACCCCAATCATATGGATCTAAAAACGACTGCAATTGGACGTCAAGGAGTGGGCACCTTGGGGTCGGAGGGTGAGGGGCTGGCGGAGGGCGAGCGCAGCCGAGAGAAGTCGAGTGAGAGGCTGGCGGCCGGCGTCCTGCCCTGGCTCGGCAGTGGTGGCGTGCCACTGCTCCCAAACGGCGACGGCCCCGCCTCGGCCGCTGCCTGGCTCTGCGCTTCCATTGCCGCCTGCCGCATGCACAGACACTGATTTTACACTTAGCCCATGTGATTTCAGGCGATTTGGTGATTGAGCTGCACATGCAGGGCAATAAATCAATCGCCCAAATGATTTCTCATGTCATGTAAGACTTATTAGGTTCAACTGGATCCCAGGGTCCACAGTATCGATCTCTCTGTGTGAAGGTACTCTCTTACTAAGTATGGTCCCAATGTGCCAGGGCTTTGTGTTTGAGAGAGTTTGTCTCTCTGGGCGGCATGGCTGGGAAGGCGCGTGTCGGGAAGCTCCTGTCAAGTGCCTGGACACATGAAATTGTCTGCTTACCTAAGGCCAGAGAATTACACAAACATCATGAAGGGTGGATGAGAGAGGGTTCACCCTGAGCTGCGCGAGTTCGCGCTCGGTGTTTTCGCGGGCGGCGCGCTCGGCCGCCAGCTCCTGCTGCAGCGCCTGTGCCTCCTCCGCAGCATTCCTTGCATCCTCTGCAAACCGCTCCACCTGTGCACCAAACACTTGCTCTAACCGTTTTACTATCATTCGACATAAGGGCATTGCACAGGAAATCACAAGCATCTGCCAGGCAGCGGGTGGTGTTATAAAAAGAGCCAAGGCAGCAAGCTGCATAGTACCCACGATGATCGCTTAAATGTGGAAATCTTCAGGATGTGGATGGGCAAGTCAATCGTTAGCAAGACAGCGGTGTTCACAACCCTCCCATATGCAGCAAGGCAAGTGTCAATATGTCACGGGTGGGTGGGGCGCGTGAGGTGAGGGGTGAGTCAGCGGTGAGTCACCTCGCGGGTGGCGCGCTCGGCCTCGCGTTCCTGGCGGCGGGCGGCCTCCTTGGCCTCAAAGATGGCGCCCGACTCCACGTTTTTCTTGGCAGCCCCAAGGCTTATCTCGCTCACGCGGGACCCGAATCCCAGCGTGCTCACGCTCTCCCCGTAGCTCGACTCCTGCATGTGTGCATGCATCCTCCTGTCAACTCTTGACTTTTGCAATCTGAAAGAAAACACCAGATCAAGAAGAGATATCGCTGGAACAACCTCATGCACTCTCCAAGCAGAATATTGACTCAGTCTTTATTGCCCTTGTTGCACTGATGTGTGCTTCTGGATATTTCTGTAATGCTTTATCTCGGGGCTGCAAATGTCCACGTTATACATTCGAGTCAAGTTTGCATGCGCTGAAATTGGCTTTTCTAGCCTCCAAATTGAGCGCCCGGCACTGCAAATGGCCTATGATTTCGTTTTAAGGTGCGTGCCTCGGGCGCGATGTGGATGAACATCATGGCCTTGGCCTGGCCGCAGAGGGAATCCTGCAGCAGCTGCGTCAGCTTGGAGTTGCGGAAGGGCACGTGCTTCGCGTCGCGCGCTGCCAGAGCCGCCATCACATCTCCCAATGCACTTAGGCTGCGGTTGATGTGCTTCGCCTCCTCCAGCCGCTCCCCTGTCGCCTCGCTCTTGCCCACCCGCTCGCTGCCTGCGCCATGTATTGCCCACCCATTGCTCACAAGCGAGCTCCGCAAAGTGTCTTCGAATTCGTCCAGAGCAGGATTGACAGCACCGTTCGAGTTGCCCTTCTGCAGTAAGTACAGCTGCCCATTCTCTGCATGAGCTCTGACAGGGGCGAATTGAAAATTGCAGTAGGAAATGTTGCAGTCAAAAGGCTTTTGACGTGGTGGGCCAGGGTGCCAAACAAGACAAGTTCTCGCTCAATCTTGGTGGGGTCGGACGAGGGTTCTGCTGAGGCAGGGGGCAGATAAGCAGGGAGCGCGCACCGGCAAGGTCGATGAGGTGGAGGCAGCCGTGGGAGCGCTGGCCGGTGACGTGGGAGACGCCGTCCACGATGACGGTGAGCACGGAGTGGGAGCGGCTGCTGCGCTCGTTCATCTTGGTCTCGGCCACCGCCCGGTTGCGCGCGCCGATCTCCATCACCTCCAACACTTCTTCTCGACTCCCCACATCCACCTGCGGGCACCGCAGCCACCAATGAGCCCTCTATGTTATTGTCATTATTCATGTCACACCCTGTTCCTTCCAATATGCAAGGTGCGTGTTCAGAAAAGCTGCAGGTAAAGTCCACCTTGGGGCACAAGCAAGCCAACTTGTCATTCCAAGCCCATCCAAGGAAAAGTAGCTGGCCTGCAAGCCGAGGATATGTTTCAAATTCTAGCCGCGCAGGGAGATTCATGTGAACCTGAAGGGAAAACTCCTTCGGCCCCTAGGGAATGAGATGGGCCCGGTCTGGAGCCCTCGCCATCGCAGAGAGTTGGCGACGCGTGCTTTCTCAAGCCACAGGAACTGGAACTGTCGCAGCAGCCATGCATATCTGCAGGCCATGCCGGTGGGGGACGTTGTACAAGTCTCGAGGCTAGCAAGCCAAGTAATGGCGGCATTGTGGTCTGGTCATAGGAGGAAGACAGGTTCTGCGCGGGGTGAATGGATGGGCGCACCTGGATGGCGTCTGGGACGTTGAGGCCGGAGCGCTCGGTGTTGCGGATGTCCAGGCGCTTGCCGGAGCGGCTGGTGTCCAGCAGGTCGCGCAGCTGCTCGTTGTATATCTCCAGCAGCTGCACGCGCACGCTGTACTCCGCCTGCACAATACATTGCACACAACAGCCTCAGTCTTTATTCTGCTTGCACTGATCCTTGATCTCAGCGACTTCCTCCTGCGTACCAACTCCCTGCTCATGCTGTGCCACCTCAGGACTGAAGGCAGAAGGCCCTGCTCATGTGCTTAGTGGACATCTCCGTTGCTCGCGCACTTGAGCAGCCGCGGCGATCAGACATGCCATGTCTTGACCTCCAGAGAAGATTGTGGCAGTACTCACTGTCGCAGCATTCCCGCATGCACAAGAAGGTGACTCAAAGAGTGGATCTCCGTCTCCATGGTGATATTATCCAATAGGATACATGTGGTGCAGTATGTGGGCAGAGGGGGTGTAATGAGGGCAGATGTGGGAACTGTCACCTCGCCGCGGCGCTGCTCGTTGATGGAGAAGAGGTCGTCGAGGGCGCGGAAGTTGATGCCGCGGCCGTCGCAGCCCTCAACGTCGCTGCCCGCCATCGTGTGCGTCTTGCCGCTGCCCGTCTGACCGTACGCGAATATGCACACGTTGTACCCTGCGCCGAATCGGTCTCAAATTATAGGTTAGTTAGTTACAAGTAGAGTATAAGTAAAGTTATAAGTAGATTTTGTATATCACCTTGGTGGATTCTGTAAAAGGCCATGCCTTGCACATCGCTCTGGGTGCTTTATACATGCATCACTTTATAATGATGCATGAGTGGGGCGCTTTGATTGTATTGACTATCAAGATAAGTCCAAGCTGAACCCCATTATGTTGTCTATATTGTGCTCAATGTCTCCATCATGTCGTCTATACAAGTCTTGGTGCATGGGGGGGTCTTTGGTGATTGAAAAGAGGGGAGCACCGTCGAGGACAGAGCGAATGAGGGCCTTGGTGTCCTCGTAGACCTCCTCCTGCGTGCTGTCGCAGCCAAAGACCTTGTCGAATTTGTACAGCTTGCGAGGGCCGCCCCGCGGATTGTACACCGCCAGCTCACCCTCCTCGCCGACCTCGCTGCAACCTGTTGGCAGGATACAATACCCCGGCTCTGTCACCGCAAGTTCTGTTCTCACTGCACCAAATGTGGCAGGGTGTGCTATATCTGGTGTCCCCTATATCTGGTGTCTTGGATTTGAACTATCTGAGCATCATCAAGAAACAACTTTGACACTGAGTAGACAGACCGCCTCACAGGCTACCATTGCAACTTGTCCATAGCCAAGTGAGCGGCCAGTGACTTTTGCAAAGAGAGACACTTCAGAAAGGCACGGAGCTAGATCGAGCTGTGCATGCATGGTTGTGTCAAACGGCGCATCCTCAGCCTATTCTGGCAAATGTTCACCAAAAAATGGCATGACCTAGCCAGGCGTGTCTTCGCATCCCTGGCTTCCCTACCAGGTGCTCTCATGTCTGGCAGGTCATGCTGGCACCTTAGGATCCAGTGGATCTCAAAGAAGAAAAAAAGGGTGGGTGAGGGGCCTGCCTGGGGAGGGGTCGCCGGTGGCGCCGGGCGGACGCACACGGCAGAAGACACGGATGTTGCCCTTGAGGTCTTGCACCTCGTTGTAGAGGCGGTAGTTCTCCTCCACCGTCGCCCGGTACTTCTCCGCTATCGCCGTCAGGTGATCCACCTGCACTTTTCCACACAGACCCCTCAAAGAGCAGACCCCTGTCTCTGGCCCCTCTGCACATTGGCTTTTCTCTGGCTTTGAGTGAACAGATGACCTCAAGTTGCGAGTCTGCTGGAAGATTAGGACCACTTTGACCTGCCATAAAGCTGTCTATAACCCTGTTGACTGCATGGCTTCCAAACAATACTGGCAGGCACTTTGTGGAACCTAGGAGGTATGCATCACTTTGACTGGCATGCAGCTCTCATCGGCCAGATCAGCATGCAAACCTTTCTGCCTGCATGCACGACTCGCACTGGGCGAATGGTTCCTTGGGCACCAAAAGCGGCAGGCCGAGCATCGCCATATGGCAGACCCTCAGAATTCACATCCAAATGAAGAAATCGAGCGAGAACAAGGGCTGTGGCGCGTGCCTGCCCCTTCATGTCCTGCCACTGGGCGCGCATGGAGTCGCACTCGGTCTCGCGCTGCTGCAGGGCGGCCCACTGCTGCTCCTGCTCCTCGCGCAACCGCTGCTCCTGCGCCTCCAGATGCGCCTCCCACTCCGCCTCCCGCGCCCTCATCGCCTCCAGCTCAGCCCGCTCCTCGTCCCCCATGCCTGCTTGTGCGCCATTAAATTCTGCCATCATCAAGACAGTCCCGATAGGCAAGAAAACTGCCCCCATGCAGCTCCTCACTGATTTTTTTGATGACTTCAATGTAGGCAGGAAAGTGGTGCTGTCCACTGGCCTCATGCACTCGGTCATTGACAGCTCCCTTAAGCTTCCCAGCCCATCACCAGGAGATTTTGTTGGCGCCTGCCTGCCCAATAATGTGTCAGCAATCCTGGCAGAGCGCATGCTCCTGGCACATTCTACTGCAACGCATGCTTTGAGAGCACATGGAGCAGATCGGCAAGAACTTGGTATACCTAGAACGAGAATGTCAAACATCAATTATGCGCAAGGGGTGCGCACCCGGGTGCGGCTCTGGCGCGGGCAGCATGCGCGAGGTGTTGGCCAGGGCGGCCTCCGCGCCTTGGAGCCGTGACAGCAGCTCTGCCGCCTGAGCCTGCGCCTCCTTCACCTCGTGCTCCTTCTTCAGCAGCCGCTTCTCATACTCCTGCGCAACGACAAAGCCCCACATTCAGACCCAGTCCAGCAAACAATATATCTGCTAGGGGCCTCCCCGCATGCTTGCCTTGCAAGGCCCTCGAGCATGTTTATGTGTCTCCTCTGTGAGGGGATATACTCTCTTCAACCAAGAGTTGTATGTGCTGCTGGCCCATGTCCTTCTTCCATTTGGAACTGTTCATGGGTGGCCCCATATAGAGAGGAACGATGATATGCTTGCACTTAAACACTAGAGAGTTGTGCAAGTCACCTGAGTTAGGCTGCTGAGAAGGGTCTCCAGGACGGGCCCCACGGCTTCCAGAGCAGTGTCTGGCGACCCAAGATTCCCCAGGCTGCCGCCAAACCTGCACAAACCGCCCCATGCAGCCTTTCATTTTTTTTGACCCAGAAACAGGACACCTGAATCCATATTCCTGCAAGGGTGCCGCAAGGGAAGGGCTGGAAAGGCCTGCTGGCCACAGTTGTATGCTGCCATGCAGGTGTCATCGCATCTCTGCTTTTCCTTCCCATTAGATAATGTCTTGTTCAGCTCTTCAAGCTGGCACTCAAGTGTCGAGTGGAGTAGGGGCACTCTTGCTGGCAAGGTGCCTGGGTGTGACCTGGAGGGCGCGGCGTGCTGGGGCGTGCTCAGGCCGTCGCACATGCGCTCGCGCAGCATGGAGGTGCACTGCTGCATGAGCTTGGTCACGCCATTTGCCTTCGCCACCCCCTGCACCTGCGGCTTGGCCGCCCCGCTCCCCGGGCCGCCCCCAAAGTAATGCTGCGCACACAGCCGCACGATGCCTCAGCCCTGAAATTGTCAGTCTGTCAGTCTTGACTGTTCGGGTGCTGTTGCGCACACAGCCTTGTCTCTTTTAGTATGTGCGCCGCATGATAACGGCAAACCCCCGAGATCCTCCTCAAGACAGCCTTTGCGCCACAATGCCAATGCAAAAATGCTGCACAACACGGTAGTTAAATGACAGGAAAATTGCAAGCCTTTGACGACCAATGAATAGGGCAAGGGTGGTTGCGGCACCTGTTGCACTGCCTGGTAATTGAATTCGGGGGTTGCTGCACCGGGCGTGGACTGTCGGCCGCCCAGCTTGAACGGCTGGTGCCCGCTGACGTCCGGCGTGCTCTGCCGCGGCGACAGGATGAACGGCCGCCTCGGATTCTTCGCATTGTCGTCCATCTCGGTCTCGTAGATGCGCCGCAGCGTCAGCAGACACTCCACGACACGAGGCCTGCATGCGGACACCTCAGTCATGCGCTCAGCTCTGCATGACTCCCAGGAAGGGAACTTGTAAATAAGCGATCTATCCAAACACAGACAGGATGCCTGGTACTAATGTTTCGAATCCCTTCGCCTCCAGAACGCCGCTAGGCTTGAGAAACAGCATGCATGCAAGCGAGGTAAAAAACACTCCCTTGCTGTACATGCAGGTTGAGGAAGGAGTCACGCAAGGTGCAAGGGGCTTGCCTGTCCTCCAGGCCGGTGCTCTCAATGTCTGAGGAGGAGAAAATTGCTGAGGTTGGGAACTCCAACTTCTGCAGGGTGTCGATGAAATTGACCACATTCTCCTTGGACCTTATGACCTCGTCCGTGGTGCTCTTGGTGTCATGCAGCTCATAGATCTGCAGCACACCATGAGCAGGTTCATTTCGTACAGCAGGTCAACATTTTACCCAAATAATATAGCGTGGAAGGCCCATCAGGAGGGCCATACTTGAGAAAATGGGCCCTGGGAACCACCTTTGGAAAGATGCCTGGCCTGAGGATGTTGAGTATTTTACACAGGAGAACGCCATCGCGCAGAGCACCCCTCAGCGCGGTGTCTGAGGACGTGGGCAAGGCCACCCCTGTCAAGGATTCCACCCATTCAGCTGCTGCTCGCCTTCTTGCTGCAGCCTGCGCAGCCTTGCTCTGACTGCTGGACGATACGGCATATGGTAGTGTTGATGTCCGTCTTTGTATCAACGCTTCTCGCGCAAGCTGCTGAGCTCGCTGTTTCTGAGTGGGGCTCTTGACTTCTGCATGCCCTTCCTCTGCGTATCTGGGAGATTCCACTCCAAAATCTGGTGGCGTATTCTCCTTCTGCGGTAATACAATAATATCACATTCAGGCTTGCTTCAATTCTCAGAATTATCATGTCGGAAGCAGGACTGGGACTAATCTTTAAACTTGCCGTGAATGGACTCAGTCTCCCTTGCGATTTCCGGGGGCTGCTGCTCGCTCCATGTGAGATACGAGATGGCATGTCAAGCCATTCTGTCGAGCAATCAAGCTGGGGTAGAATGTCAAGTTGAAAGTTGTTGGACATGGTCACATCTAGCTATATACTTCTGATTTTGAAGAGTGTCATTAGCAGATTCTCGACATCACAAAGACTTCCGCAACAATTCGTAGCATCCGCTAGTCTTTCACAAGCAGAACGACAATGCATGCGAGGAAGGTTTGGGTTCGTCGAAGGGACATTACAAAATTCAAGAGTGAGGCTTTCCAGGAACGCCACAGGAGACAGCTTCCAATCTGCATCAGAACGCAATGCAGGGCAGATGGCATTGTGCTGCACAATTTGTGCATCCTTACAAGATTGCTTCACGCACCATTACAATGAGCTTTCAACTTTGCAGCTGGAGGTCCTGATGTACTAAAGATAATAGTCATCCCATGCAATTTGTCAAAAACCGCACAACCTGAACGGCAGGAATTTCTTGAAGTATATCAAATACTTCTTTCAAAAACAATGGATCCAGGTGCATGCATGTAAGGATCATGATAATATATAGGCGCTTGTCCCAGCACCGCTATTCCAGCTCAGACAAAATCATCTACGACACCGCACAGGGCCCCGAGGCCCTGGGATTCAGAAAATCTTTTAGACAAGTACATCATTGTACAAGCAGGTCTGGCCTGTTACGCCGAGATTCTAGAAACGCTCATCTGCTAACAATAGCATGTTTGAAGTTAGATCACATCTGAGCAGCCTTCACCACAGACAAAAGGCTGGCCCATGGGCCTCTTTTTCAGGGCCTCGATTTTAGAACGAATAAGCGGCCACTCATCTCTTCGAGCGCTGCTGGCTGTGGTAGGGCCTGCCATGCCTGCCCCTGTTGTACCTGGTGTGGTTGGTCTGGCCCCTTACTCCCATGGTCATGCCTCGGCCAGCTGCTACGGGCTTGGGCTGCTCAGCGTTCCCTGGCAACGCTCCGGGCGCCATCCCCACTGCACACAGCGAGCCACATCCTTAGAATTTCTGCCAGAGCTTCTTGTAAGACCATTTCATCCTAACGCACCAAACAAGCAAGCCCGTCAAACATTCATACCCAGCTTTACGCAAGACTTGGTAGTTCCACTTTTCACTCCTGACCGACAACCATGTAGCAAGGCGCACAACCATATCGAAATTCTCCCAGGAAAATTGACGGCATAGACATGGTCTTTGCGCAAAAGCATCTCCTACCCGACCTCTTCCCCAGCCAATTTCTTCCATAGGTGGCTATTGGCCGAAGAGTCCAACAGCCACGTTCTCTAGGCCAACCTTGCAGCGGATGCCCAAGAGGACCAGTGCAAGGTCTCAACGGCCGGGGAAGGCAGAGGGCAGCACCTTTGCCGTTGCCGTACTGCAGGAGGTATTTGTAACGGTCGGGCATGTTGCGCAGCTCCTTGAACTCCTTCCTTTTGCCGGTGCGCAGGGACTTCATGATGTCGGTGCAATTGATCATGTTGGCGTCCACCAGTTTGCCCACCTCACCATCGTACTGCCGTGTGTGCGCCAGGTGCAGCGCCTCCCGCTGCCCGTTCAACTGCGTGTGAGCCCGGAAAGGCTTTCAGTCATCTTCACAATATTGCCGATCCTGCCTGTGTTGTGCTGTGACTGGCCTGTTGGAAAGGAGGGCCAACCCACAGCGCCACTTTTAGCGCCTCCCACGGCCCGTTCAGCTGCGAGCAAGCCCGGGCAAGAACACAATTACCACGGGCAAGCTCACAGTTACTTCTTCAGATTCCTGAGCATATTCACTCCATGTCTCGAATGGAAAGCAGACAAAGGGCGACCAATTTTCTCTGCAGTATGAATGCTACCCTCGTGCGATGTTTGCGCATGGGTTACAAGACGACTGCCATCACATCTGAAGGCTGCTGGCAAAGTTGGGAACCACGACAGTGTGGCCTCTGTTTTGCACAAACTTCAAGAGACACGCCAGAGACCTCAGAGACCCAATCTATGATCTCTTGAGGTATGACGGTGTCCCTTGTTTTGTCAAAAGGACTTCAGAGGCAGAGCGAGGTGTTCGGTAAGCACAACAAGCAGCGCACCACAGCCTGCAGATCCAGGCGCTCCTCGGTGCCGCGCTCGAGCAGGTTGCGCAGGCGCTGCGCGTACCACTCCTCCAGCGAGCGCGGCCGCTCAATCTTTACTAGCAGCGGCGCGCCGGCCGGGGCGGCCGGCCCGTTGCCGCGGTCGTCGCGCTTGAACACCGTGAACAGCGCCGAGTCGTGCATCGCCTGCCAGCACTCGCGGGGCAGCCCTGCGCACAGCAGAGCCCGTACTTAGTCAAGTGCATTTATTGTCCCGCAGACCTGTCATGACCTGCACGCACGCATGCATGCATGCATGCATGCATGGCTGAGGTGATGAAGCTTGAGGCTGAGGGGGTCAGGGGATGAGGGGGCCCAGTCGTGCTCACATGGCCTGATGAAAATAATTGAGCTGTCATGACAATACTGTACGCGATGATGACATCAGTCAAAGGACAATGCAACGTTATTCACAGCAGGGGGGTGATCCCCTTTATTGAGGAGAACACTCATTGAAATCTCCTCAATGACTCGTATGGAGCATGCATTGTGACTGCTCTCATGCAAAGGCTGAAGGTGCAAGGGGTTGAAAGCGCACCCATGTCGAGCATGTGTGACTGCAGCGGGCGGGGGGAGCCGGCCATGATGTAAACCATCTCGTCCAAGTCCCCCTTCAGCAGCTCCACCTGTGCACAGATATAGATGCAGTTTTTGCCACTTGCTGTTTCGGATGCTGCTTCACAGGCAGCAATCCATGGAGAGGCGCGTCACAGCTACACTTTTTGTTTTGTGGACTCCACCCAAGCCCAGAGACGTGCGAATCACCCTCTCGAGCACCCGCAGCAGACGCAGGCAAGCACGTAAAGAGCATAGAAGCAGGGCAAGGTTGCAAATAGTTCGGCAGCACCCTGATGAGGACCACACGGACCCCAGTGATGCATGTCAGGTCTTGTTCCTCTGGCGGACACAAAGAGAGGCAAGGCACCTCACCACAATGCAAAGCATGGTAAGCTTCAACAACCTTAAATCTCAAAATCAAGTGACTGAAAGAGACCCCACAGACCGAGCCAGTGTCTTCCAGAATCCATGCCTTGCATGTCATGTACTAGCCTACCCTACTTACAGGTCATCTGAGGCCTTAGGGTTCAGGGGAATACAAAGCAGGGCAGGAGGGCGGGGGCGGGGGGGCACCTGGTAGGGGTCCTGCAGGCGGATGAGGGCGACCCCCCGGGTCTTGCCGGTGACCGGATCGCGGGGGACCTTCACGTCGCGCGCCCCCCACTGCTCAAACGCGCTGCGGATTATCTGCGGGTCCGCCAGCGCTGGGGCGCCGATGCCCTTCACAAATAGCCATGGCGTCTTGAGCGGCGGCGGCGGCGGAACCTGATCCTCGGCCGACACCTGATCCCCTTCCGCCTTCTGCAGGAACGTGGAAAGATGTGTCAGGCACTGCGCTCACACCTGGATTATGAAGATTATTGATTGGATTGGCAGGATGCACTTGAGAGTGCCTCCTGCAGGAGGAGGAACGCCCTCCTTCAGCCTCAGCCTTGTCTTTCATGCGGCCCCAGTGTTCGGATCTAAATGGCTGCCGCTGCCTTGATGCAGGACAAGCACAGATCATGAGCGAAACAAAAGCAATGCTGGAATGGCATGTCATATACAAGCAGATATCTGCTGCAGCCAATGTTATGGGGATTTATTATCCGCAGACTCTGCATTGATTGTGACAGTAATCGTTAGTACCGACCGACACGCCACACCTGCTGCTTAGTAGGTCCTGCGTGGGTTTGTAAGTGCAGGTGCTGGGAAAAAAGGCGCAGATACAAAGCTGTCGAGCCAGGTGACGGCATCACCGAGGCATGGATGATGTAAATTACCCCAATTAGATGTGATGCCCTATCAGCCCGCCGATGGGGCGATGGTCGACTCTTAAGGTGGCTTTTCATGCAATGCCAACTCACCTTCTGGTACATCCGCATGACCTCTGCCAGCTTGGCGGCATGCTGCTCCCGGTGCATGCACTTGCATGCGCGCGTGGCATTCTGCAGCCGCCGCCACTCCAGCGCCGGCTGGTACTCTATGCTGTTCGGCTGCGCAAAATGCGGCGCCACATAGATCTGCGCAAACAGCCCGAGCACTCAGACTCATTCCCTCTCGGCATATTACCTTCTCAGAAGCAACAAGCACAGGTCCTCTTTGAAGACCTTCCTTGACCGCAGTCAATAACAACTGGCAGGACGCCATGCTGCTTAGCTGCATGGTGATGTGAGTGGCCATGTGCTGTGGTGCTGATCAGCCCCAAAAAAAATGTGAGACAGCGATTAAATTCTGGGGTGCCAAAGGGCCCTTGTTAAAGGCAGGAGTATGGGAGGTGACAGTGTGTCTCACCCCCTGGACGAAGCCATAGCCGATGTGCTTGTCGAAGTCATCCTCGGTCTTCCTGGGGTAGTGCGCCAGCAGCGGCCTGGGGAGGGGGATTGAGGGAGTCCTCAGGTACAGGTTCTGCATCCTGCGCTCACAGGGCAACAACTCAGCGTGCTTGCAATGTGGTCTGTGGTGCTCCCGGGCCACAGGTGTCTTGTGTGTTACCGGCAATGCATATACACTTCAAGGCAGTCCTTCTCCCTATTTTGCGCTCGCACTGCCTTGCATGTCTTGCATCTCTCTTTTCTTAATTTGGCACCAACACATTGGACTGCACTCATTGCTGCAACTCCATCTTGCTTGCTTGGATCTGCGCATGTCATCCTGAGGAGTCCAAGGTTTGATAAGCAGTAGTAAAACAGGTTCACGCAGGTAAGCTGGATGTCAAAGAAATGCATACGTTGGGAGGTATTCTGCAGCATCCTGCGCGCTTGGGAAGATGACAGCTGCCCATCCGGCATGGCAGGGGTGGCCGTCCACCATCTCCATTGCAATCTCCACCCTCTGCAAACCACAGCCACTCCCTTCTTCAACACCTTGGCAGCTTCTCATGCCGGCCGTGGACAGCAGGTGATGTGCACAAGTGCTATTCATCATTCGAGAACCAATGAACATGGAAGTGCGGCGCCCATTTGTGTCTTGCTCTTCATGATTCTTGCTCTTCTCGCTGCCCATCTTGCCTTCATACTGGAGCAGTCGATACTGACACGATTCGCATGCCTGAAATCATCGCTCGCGGCGGCACCCCACCCAACTAGGTAGGGGCATGTACATGGAAGTTGGAGATGTCCACAGCAGTGTGCACAGGGTGCAGTATGGGGCCGTGTGACAGGGGTCATAGGTGCGCACAGAGAAGTCTGCCACAAAGGGTCTGAGGGCGGCCTCGAGCTCCTTGTTGGACCTCCACACTTGCCCGATGCCGTCCAGGCAGATGATGTTGCTGGGCCGCGCAGAGCCGGGCCTGGCGCCAGATGCCAGCCGCTTGATGGGCGGGAGAACTCGCACTTCCTCAGGCGTAACTTCCCTGCAGAAAGCGCGCCGCTATTTCAGCTCAATGACATCGTCTGCAAATTGGCAATCTTTTCAATGGACTCTGCTAAGCTTAGCAGTCCATTAAAGACAAGACTCGTTACATCTGAGCCTGGTCCTGGATGCAGTCTACTCCTCCTAGCAGGTCCAACTGAGCGAAACTGACAACTTTATATCTCCCTACACTCCTCGGCCTTCATTTGAGCTGGAGAGCCCTTCGGCAGCAGGGACAAGAGAGCGGATAAGAGACTCCAGTCTAGTAACTGAGGAGCTATCTATGTTTCACAGCAGCCAGACATAATGCGCGGGGTAATAAGGCGCACCGTTCAGGGGATCTGCTGCGCCTCTTGCGGCCGGAGGTCTTTGCTCTGCGCGCCAGCTGCTCGTCCAGCATGTGGGGAGGCAAGTCCTCCACCATCTGCACATCGCCTGCAGCAGTCATGACCCACCACTTCAGATTGCGGCTCCTCCCCATATTTTCATTGAACATATCACAGGGGACCACCGCTGGACATCGATGCTCTGTCATGAGAGATAGGGAGGAAACAGATTCCAGATGAGTTCTGATGACATGCAATGATCAAGGAGAGTCACACCAGCAGGGTCGCTCCGAGGCCAGCCAGGCTCCTGTTGGCTCTGCGCAATTGCAGGCTGTGGCATGGGCACAATGCCCTCACCACGATTCGTCCTCAGTCGGGGGTCAGAGGGCAGCCGCCATGCCGGCTGGAACGGCGACGCGGCATGAGACGGGCCCGCTGATGTCATCGGCGCTGAGGTGGCCGGGGGGCCCGCACCAGGCATGGCATCAATGCCCAGAGAACGGGAGCTCAGCCGCTGCTCCAGACTGGCCTGCCTGTGCCCCAGCAGCATCTTCTTGCCGCCGATCTCCGTCACCTTCTGTTTTTCCGCCCCCCTCGGTGTGTCTGGCAGGGCCTCCTCCTCGCCCCGCGCCTGTGCGGCCCTGCCGGCCGCCCTCTTTGCGTACGCGTCAAGACCCGGTGTTTCGGGATCTGCGGGCTGTTTCACGGCCTTGCCGGCCCCCTTCTTTGCGTGTGCGTCAAGACCCGGCGTGTCGGGGTCTGCAGGCTGCTTGGCGGCCGGCCTGGCAGCCGCCTTTGCAGCGTCGGCCTGCCGTTGCTGCCGCTGCTGTTGCTGCTGCTGCTGCCTCTGCTGCTGGCGCTGCTGCGTCGGGCGAGAGGGGCCTGCCTGGTCTGCAGCCGCGCCTGCCTTCTCTTTCTGGGCGGCTATCCATATGTCATTCAGTTGGTCCTTGTGAGTGCTCCTGAATTTGCGGAGGGAGTCGATGTCGCGATGCGGCAGCAGCGTCTGCATGCCATCACAATGAAGCTCAGTAAGGCTGCTGTGGCAAGCTTGCAAGGTAGTTGTACAGAGCATACACAGCACTTGTCGGTCTTCAAGCCATTGATGAGCGCTCCTCAAAATGCCTGAGGTGCAGGACCCAAGACATGCATTAGGCTCTATTTTTTTGGACAACACTTTTGCCAGAGACGGAGTATGAGCCTGTAATATCTACCGGCGGGAATGTGGTTTTGGAAGCAATGAAAGTGTGACTCACCATAGCCAAGTGTTTTCTGACATTCACAACGGTATCGTTGTCGTAGGCCACACACTTGGCTTCTATGCTATATAGCATCTCAGTTTCCTCCTCACTCCATGATGCCCCCTTCACAGGGTCCAGTGGCTTCCAGCCCTCCGCCTCAATCACCTGGTAGAAGACAACAGTGCTTCAAAATTCCACCTCTCCTGCTTAAAGTAACCCCTCTGTCATGCCATCCTGTGCAGGTGCACTTAGTCTGTAATGGCAGTCTGTACAAAGACACATCATCTGAAGATGCGTTGGAATTAGTCAAAGGTCACACCTTCATGGCCTCCACAAGGTGAGGATTCTCGGCTTCCTGCCCTCTCTTTGGCTTCCCTGCGGGGTCCTTCTTCTTTACCACCTTCTTTTGCAGGCCTTGAGGAGCACCTGCCCCTGCCTTCGCCGCAGGTGCCCCAGCCTTTGCCACAGCCTCCTGCCAGACACAATCAGACATCAGAAAGTCCTGCGTCATGCCCACCGACCAGAAAGAGATCACACAAGTCTCTCTGCGAGCTAGATTGGAAAGAAAAAGATGGAAAGCAAACACACTTCCCAGCCAAGATGACGGCATGATTACAAGGGCAATTGAGAGCCACCTTTTTGGCCTTAGCAGCGCCTGTGGCGGCAATTGTCGGCCGTCCAGGCTTTGCCGGCGGCCGCTTTGGCCATGCCCCGGCTGCTGCCCCCTCGTTTGGCGTCGCTGGTGCTGCTTTTCCCGCCTCTGGAATCACTGCCTCTGCCCCTATCGCAGTGGCCTCTCCCAGCGGATCCAACTCAGCCGCTGCTGCTGCTGCCGCACCGCTCCCCTTCCTCAGCAGAGCCGCCTTGTCCCCCTTGGCCTCCTTGTCAGCTGCCCAGGTGGCCTCCTTCACCTTTGCATCTCCCCTCTCACTCCCCTGCTGGCCTGCACCCTCCTGATCTGCGCCCACCTTCAGCTTCATTTTGAGGTTGGGCTTCTCAGGGGCCTGCCGCCCGCTCGGCCCTGCAGGCTGGCTCGGCCCTGCCTCTGAGGCAGCGCCGGCGGCCGCAGCAGCGCCATCGTCTGAGGTGGTCTCGCTGCCGAATGCTGACAGCTGTGCCGCCCTCTTCTTGGCCCTCTGCTGCTCCAGCTCACGCTGTTTCTGCTCAAAGATGTCCTGCACCATGCTCGCACTCTTTCATGACAGGGACTAGCTGACACTGCAATTACTCTACTCAGAGAAGGACAGGAGGTGGTGAAGTGAAGGAAATTGATGGGGGTGTGCCGCAATGTTCACCTTGGAGACCCTGGTGTCCAGCTGTGAAAGGGGTGGCGAGGGGCGCGGCGCTGTCCGCTCATCAGCAGCCCCATCAAAGCTTTTCATGTGCATCTTGTTCCATATCCGATCCTTGTTGTGCCATTTCCTCCTTGTCCTGCCATTGATGCAGGATGCCCTTGGTATGGCTTCATCTTTTCAACATTTTCCACTTGCAGCAATCAAAGTGCCCATGCTTTTTTAGCCAGCATCATTTGGTTTTGTTGCTGCCTCAAATGCTGATTGGGTGAAGTCACTCGGAGCATATTTCCATGGCAGGCTGAAGGTCTATGTGGGGCACACCTGAGCCGCTTCTGCTGATCCTCGGGTTTATTTGACTGATCATAGGGGATTGTGACAAGGTCTCCATTAGAGGGAAAAAACACTACAAGCTCTGTGTCCCGGGTGATGTGCACATAGCCCTCCCACCATCCATCATCATACCAGCAGTCAACCGGCTCCCCTGTTGCATAAATAAGAACATCCCTCATTGAGTTTTCCCAGGCCAGTGTCCTGTCGGGGGCTTTACCCTGTGCACACAAGAAATTGACAACCACATCGTGGTGCGTACCGCAGATGCGCTCCTGCAGCGGTTTGGTCCTGCTGTCATCATTTGCATAGATGGGACGGAGACGTGTCAGAGACACTGTGTCTGTGTCCTTGTCGCCGTCATCAGTGATGAGCTGCAGGGGTGAATGGTGGTCAGGAATCACACAGTGGAGAAGGCGATTTCGGAACCCAGTGCGCAAGTACCTCTTCGCAACCAATTGTTACACTCTTAACGAAACTTTGTCCCCAACACATCATTCACTAGTGGCTTACCTCGTCATACTCCACTGTGCATCTATGCTTGTCTATCTGCGTGATGGTGGCTGTATACCAGGCACCCGCCCATCCCTGGTCGTCTGGGTCTTGCTGGACCTGTTTTCCCAAGAGTCACGCAGGGATGTCTAGCGTTACTCTGCTGTTCAGCTGCATGTGCTGTGCAGCCTTGGATTACTCATCAAACGTGCAATTGGGAATCGAGACATTGATTTTACCTCCACCCTGTCTCCGACTTTAGGAGGCATGGCCAAAGTGCAATCCACTGCTTGCTTCGCTGCAAGTCAAGTCACACGCAATGTGTGATCCTCCGAGGTGATCAGCACCCAAGGCCTGCCACGAATGAAGTTACGGGACAATTTGCTTGTGTGCTGGGCCCCAGACAATGAATGTTTCTACCCCACATAGACTCATGCCAGTTACATCAAAATCAACCTGGGCACTGCTGGCCCTGCAATTTTGACATAAGCAGAGATTAGAGCCTCTAAAACTAAATTTAGTGGATAATGATTGGGTTTTGCTCATCGACGAGGCTGTGTTTTCGTGAGATGGCCATCCCAAGAAGCCAGGGGTCGTTATGTTGGTGTTCCTTTCACGTGCTGGCGACATAGCATCACGTGCGCTTCCCATCGCTCCTTTCTTTCTTTCCCTTCTGCTTCATCCTGTATGTCACGCTTTAAGTGCATTTGTTGAGTTTGAGTGTATGCCAGGCCCAGCACCAGGTGTTCCTGCGGTTCATTCTGGGGCATACTAAGAGCGCCGTTGTAGACCGTAGCTGCGCTTCATCAGTTTGCTTGACTCCCGATTGCAAGCGCATTTATTGACCAATTGACTTGTTGTGTAACCCTCCTGATTTGCGAGAGGAAGGCGAGCCTCATGATGCGGGTCTCAAATTGTATCACCCTCCTGGTGTTGGGGTGCTGTGCACTGATGGCTCCAGCCCAGGGAGCAAAAGAGGTCACGAGGTTGCAAATAGGGGTCAAGGTGATTATGGGGGAACAACTCTGATGATACATGCTAAGTGATTTGAAACATATCGAGGGGATGTTCAAAGTCTTGCTGTGATCGGACACCTCCTGATCAAAGTCATCACCCTCGTCAATATATCAAGTGTCCTTTATAATGGAGGGTCTGACCGTTGGTGCAAATTCTGCGCAGCACAAACCCGCGACATGCCTGAAGAAGGCGACTGCTGGGGACTCAGTGTCCGTCCACTACACGGCAAGTTCCTTTCTTTCCCAATGGATGCCACAGATCTCTGAAGTGAAGAAGGATGATGAAAATTACGTAGTGCTGGTTTTCTAATGACTTGATATACGGTATGCAGGGTTCTCTGACTGATGGCTCAGTCTTTGACTCCAGCGTGGACAGGGGAACTCCCTTTGAATTCAAGCTTGGCGCCGGACAGGTGGGTCCCTCAGCTTGGAGGCACTTCTATTAAGGTATCTGAGCTTTTCTTCCGCCAAATCTTGTATTCTGCGGGGTCTGAAGAATCAAAACTGTGTTTGGCACAGGTGATCAAGGGGTGGGACCAGGGGATTGCAGGCATGTGGTGAGTGGCCCCGCAAAAGTGCTGCTGCGTGGTTTCCCGCCTCTCTTTGCGCATCACATTCTTTCATTCATGAAGGTGATGCTTGACTGAGATCACCTTTGTTGCAGCATTGGTGAGAAGCGTCGCTTGAAGATCCCAGCAAGCCTGGGTTATGGCGAGCATGGATCACCACCAAAGATTCCAGGTGCGCGCCCTGCTGCCAAGTGGAGCAAATCTGGCTTTGTGACCTAGTACAGGAAGAATTGGCAGAGTTGCCGGGGTCATCCATTCACAGAGTGAGGCTGTTGCTGTAGGAGGAGCAACACTCATCTTTGAGACAGAGCTGATGGGCATCAACGGGGAGACTGCTTGAATGGACCATTATCTTTCGGCATAGAAGGGCTAAACCACAGGCAACTGAAATGAATGTGGGTTCTGGAACACAGCCACTGGCTGCCACTGTGCTGGTGTCCCATGCTGCAATGCACATTTCATGTACCGGGTAGATCAGCTGGTGCAGGATGCTGCACGTGCATACATGCTCAATGATGAGAAAGAATCTGATACTATCGGCTAAATAGCTAGCTAGTAGCGGCTGCTCCAAGTTGTGTAACTGAGCAGGCGCCCGAGGTCCTGCCCTGTGCGGAATCTAGATGATCATGATTCGCACTAGAGCATGGCATGATCGTGAGTAAGCATGATGGCAACTTGCCGTTAACAAGGCTTCCGAGTATTTCACAATTGCAGCTTCAACCTTGAACCAAGATCTTCTAGAAATTAAGCTAAGAAATAATAATCCGCATGTGCTCATATGAGCACCGTGCCTGCCCATGATCTGCAGCTGCACATGATCTCAGTGATTGCCCCCTTGCCTTGCCTGCTGGCATCCGCAGCATCCCAACAAATCGCAGATTGGTCCAGTCACAATATCAAACAAAAGCCCGTTCAGCTGCGCCTTCTGCTTGCATGCCCTTCTCTCCTGGCAATGCCACATCCCTGCTGGGCCTGCTGCAGCTGCTTTGCATGCTGCGCAATGTGCTGCAGTATGTGATGATCGTAGACAGCAGAACATGGCAAATTTCTGTGACTCCAAGCAGGAAATTACAAGTCTTTTATATCTCTCTGATACTCTCAATGTGGTGATTTGTGATCGATTGGTACAATTTTCCAAGTTGGGTGCATGCCTCGGGTAGAAACTTTGCTCTTGGCTTAGGCGAGCCTGATATGGTGAATGGTACAGTGATTCCGGTTGGAAGCTTCGGGTGCTTGACAGTGGATTATTGGAAACGGAGTGCCACGAACGTGCTGTGGGCATTCTTGACACATGCTCATGCTGACCACCTGCAAGGTCTTAGTGATACTTGGACAGGTACGAGACAAGTGCAAGGGGAACTACAGTTTACAACGATGTGATTATAGAAGTATTCGCTCCTGACTTTCGTTGGCACAGGGGCCCCGCTCTATTGTTCATCAGCCACAAGGGAACTTCTTCTAGTGCGGTGGCCTGACTTCAGAGCTCCTCTCATATCCCTGGAACTGGACGAGACAGTCATTCTGCGTGCTGCCACACCATATGGCCATGCCACTGTCCAAGTCACCCCTCTTAATGCGAACCACTGCCTGGTATGAACCAATGCTCTGTGTGCGTGATGTCTTGTGATAATATGTGAGAACTTGCACAGAATCTCTTTACCAGTCATTACACATGTGCAATAAGATGTGCAGATGAACGGGACATTGAACATTCTTTGTGCTGGTGTTGGACAGGGCGCTGTCATGTTCCTTTTTGAAGGGCCATTCGGGCGTGTCCTGCATTGTGGGGACTTCCGATGGGAGCAGGAGTACCAGAAGGAGAACTTGCACCCCATTCTGACGAGTGCCCCTTTAGATGTCCTTTACCTGGACAACACCTATGCACATCCAAGGTGCGCACTGCTCGATGATGCCTTTCGTTAGTTTCCTTACCAGCATCAGAAGAACAAGGCGAAGACACCCAGAAGTTAAGAGCAGGCTGCCCTCTGATTACTTGCCTGTTCCATTGTGACAGGTATGACTTCCCACCGAGGCTGCAGGCTTGCAGCGAAGTCATCCAACTTGTCAAGTCTCACCCGTTTCATCGCATCATTGTCGGAGTGGACAATCTCGGCAAAGGTGATCAGCTGCCATCAGTCTGCCATGATGTAAATGGCGTTCAAGCTGATTTCAACATGTCGTATGCCGAAATTCAATCAATCATGCATGTTATGGGGACATTGCAGAGGAGCTGTTGGCAGCAGTGGCAGCGGCTGCAGGGGAGAGAGTATTCTTGCCGGCTGGCCGCTTTGCGGCCGTCACTCTGCTGGGCTTGCCTGCCCAGCAGCTCTTCACATCTGACAGCACCTCGGCCCGCATTATCGCCATGTCACGGCATCAGGCACGGCGCTTCAATCTACACAAGGTGCTTTGGAAACATTCCACCCTCCTCTTTGTATTTATGACTTTCTTGTCCTGTGGCGTAGGTGACGATTCAGTATGTTGCCAAGCTTAATCGAGAGTGCCCCACCATTGCCATACTACCATCAGGTGGGTGACACTTTTTTTGCTCCCTTCACTTGTAAGACTACACAGCATGCATAGAGACAATTGCCTTGCAAGCTGCCAGGAAGAGACTTGCACCTCACCTGTGAGGGCGTGTGTGCAGGATACTGCACCTACGCGCCCGCTTTGACGGCGCCCACTGCACCCATGACAACAGAAAGACAAATTCTCAATGAGGGCGGAAATACAGGGGCATGCTCTAACAGCCAAGCTCAGACAAGAGGAGAATGGGGCCCTGTCACTGCCCAAGAGATTGAAGCCGCCTCAAAGCTCATCTTCCAGGTGCAACAGAGACGTCTTCCATCCTTCCTAAATTGTGACAGCTTCACCGACTGAACCATGCATTTGCTTTGAATTGTGCGCCTTTCAGTTCGAATGGAGGATTGAGGGAAATAAATCAGGATGCTGTGCGCAGGTCCCTTACAGCCTGCACAGCAGCTATGCAGAGCTGAGATCGTTTGTTGCTGCGCTGCGGCCGAGGCAGCTCATACCCACAGTCAGCGGAGCAGTGAATCCAGACCTGCCCATAGACAACTGCGCACTCTTTGCAGATTTGCTCGCACCAGATTACAGCCAAGAAACACAGCTACTTCACAGACAGAGGTGAGCTCCTTCACCAGATGCACCACGTTGGGCATCAGAAAGCCTGAAAATTATAGATTCACAGCCATTGTTGCAAAAGTTCACCAATGTGGTAGGTTGTAAGAAGTGGTGTGTGGTTGTGTGATCTCAGTGTGCTGGCGCCTTTGGCCCCGGCTTTGGCTGCAGTGAGCGAAGCGGGGCTTGAGACTGCCAACAGTGCTGCTGACGCGCTGCCCTGCACTGTCAAAACATGCTCGAGCACAGATCGTGAGAGACAGCTGCCACTGCTTGTGACCACGTCAGACCTCAAAAGGAAAGGCAGCCGACCCAGCAGCTGGCGGGTGTGTTTTTGATGTTATGTTTTGTTTTCATTACATGCATTTCCTCCCTTGCCAAAAGGCAAGTTACAAGGTAGATTATTGATATATCCTCGCATTTATTGCAGTCTATGCAGAAGGTGAGCATGGGACACAGCATGCTGATGCTGAGTGTGCAATGCAGGCTTTGCTTGCACTCGCAAAGAGAAGGATGGAAGAAGGCATTCCCGGTGGATAGCATCCCGATTGCATGCAGAGCTCGTGTGAGGCATATAATGTGCAGACAATTTATAGCGCATTAAATTCATGTTGGCATCGTGCAATACAGAAAAGATGACAGTACTCCATTTACCCGTAAATATAACAAGTTGCCACCACAACATGTGTAGACATTGAGAACTGGCACATCATCAAGATTACATTAGCAAGCATCGCACTGCTCATCATGTAAGGCAGATCTTGCTTCCTCAAGGACATGCAGTAATTATATACGCCAGAGTAGCATGGAGTAAAAAATTAATGTACAATGAGTACTCCACCAGTCATGTACCAACATAGAGACACGCCAAGCCCATGGCAAAGCATTCAAATGTAACTCACAGCCATGGCAAAGAAGCCAGTTTGATTAATGCAGACAGTGCTGTCTTGTCACATATGCAGTGTAACAAGGTGCTCGAGCACAATTGTGACTTCTACGAGACAGTACTGAAGCAGAGGTCCAATACATATATCATGATCGCTGTGTACCACTTCCTCAGTGGGCGCCAAAACTGAGCGGGCAGATGCTGAAGCCTAGGCTCTGAACCACAAGGTCACGCGACACGACGCTGTATGTCAGGGGTTGGAGCGCAGGCAGCCCTGGAAGGCTGACTGTTACTGTGCCAGTGAAGCCTGCTGGATGCAGCACCTGCACAGCACATAAACATGTGCATTCACACTTCATTTGAATTCATTGAACGTTGTCCCTGCCAGAGCCACGGTGCGGCTGCAGGCAAGCTGCAGGTAAGGACTGCCACACATCGAACCCCTCGATGGAGTCGCCAGATCTAAGCAAGACCCGATCAACGTGGGCACAGTGTTCTGTTACTTACACCGGCCCCTGCTACCCGGGACATTCACAATTGCCTGCCTCTGAGATTGTATACACCTGTTCCCCAAATGGGGTGACAAGCTGGCTGGCTGTATCTGAGGAATGCTCTGCTTTTAATGGAAATGACGTCCTTGGTGTGCTCAGTATTGGCAGTGCTCCCACCTCAATCATGTATGTTGCTGGCTCGTCTGGGAAGGGCTGCACGTCCGACACAGCAATGCTGGCGCCAGCGTCTGAAGTTGCTGACACATCAGACGTGGTGAGAGTGCCCGCAAACAGGCCCAGGGACGCAACAATCACCGCTGTAGGCTGATTTGTGGCCGCCAGCGCTCCAGTGGTCCCTGCTTCAGGAATGCCAGTGCGAGTCTCATGAAAGTGTAGTGCATCCTGGGATTCCCACATGCATCAAAACACAGGGCACCTCTGCTTTCGAAAAAGTGTGCAACACATCTGGGTGATATATTTCGATCGCCTACTGTGACTAATATCACTGCATTTTTGAGACCTATCCACCACGTTGGGAGCACCTAAGGCTCCTGACCATCTTCATATCACTAACCATCTTCATAGACAATGTGACAATGGTTGACACAGACCTGGAAGCTCCATGGAGGTGGCGTACAAGCCGAGGGGCCTGCTTGCGCCAGATGCAGGGCTGCTAGCAGGCGCAACCCCTGCAGCGGTGCTTCCATTCGGAGCCGGCGTCACAGCCGCCGCTGGGTACTCAGCAGCCAGCACCGCGACTGGCGCCTCTGCCGCGGCAGCCCCGGGGCTCTGTGCCGGGCTAGTCTCAACTCCCGCCGATGCAACTGCCGGTTGCGGGGCGTACGAATACGCCGCGGCGCTTGTGGGTGCGTTTGCGGCGGCAGCCGCCGGGGCCGGCGCCGGCACGGCCGCTCCGGTGCGAGCAGCTCCGGCAGAGGGGCTCGGGGCAGGGGTGGTCCCGGTCTGCAGCACGTTCCTTTTGGCCGCCACCGGCGGCGCGGCCGCAGGAGCGGTGCTAGGAGCGGATGCCGGCGTTTTGGCGGCGGCGGCCGCCGCGCCGGTGACTTTGCTGGCACCGGGGGCCGGCGCGGGGGCGCGGGGGCTGCCAGTGGGGGTTTGGGGGGCGGGCGCGGGGGCCTTGGCGGAGGATGTGGGGACGCCGACTTTTGCGCCGCCGAGGGCCTGGCCGGCGGCTGCAGCGGGCGCGGGCGGCTGGCCACAGGAGGGCTCGGGCGGCACCGGCGCGGGCTGGCCGGTCGCCGGGCTGACCACCTCCGGGCACTGGCAGTTGAAGTCGTCGCGCGAGCAGCCAAAGTCCTGCGCGCTCACACTGTGCCAGTCAGTACTACTGATGTGCCACGAGCAAATCCAATTACTGTGAAATCTCACAACGTGCGTTTTCACACAGTGGTAGCTGCAGGGTGTAGTGATTGATGGGGATCGGACACCTGGGTGAAGTAGACTTTGTAGCTCGTTGACATGTTGAATGCGGCCCCCGTGCCCACCGAATCAAAGCCGCAGCCCTGCAGCAAGAGCAGAACTTATCAAATGTCTGTGGTGCACTGTAATGTCTGCGGGTATCTCTCATGCGTATCATCCGCATGGAAGCAATTGCGCCAGTCATCAGTAATGCCATAGAGCTCACCATTAGATTGGTCCTGTGCCCAGGAGAGCTGCATGCAGTGAGAATAACCACTTTCAGTCCCTTGTTTGAAATCAGCTGTCCATGAACCAAATTTGAAAGGAGTCCTTAGGCAGTCGATGTTTGTAAGGCTGACAAGAAGATGGCGGCAGCAGCTCACCACATCCACGCAAGCACTGTCGCGCGCACACTGATATAGCCCGCAGCAATGTTTTCTCCAAGAGGGAATGTATAAAAGTTGGCGTTGGCTGCGCGGTCTTCCAAGCCTGAGCCATCCGAGCCGGTGTGGGAGAAGAAATTGTTCTTGGCCATGTCCAGCGAGTGCTGGTATGCCGCCCTGCATCCCCATCATAGAGATGTCACCCCCACAAACAGAGGCGCAGTCTTGGGGGTCACCTGCACACCATGTTGCAATTTGAGAGGGTGATGTGTGGGTGGAAAGCTGCTTCTCACGATTGCAGCTCCTTGACCGCATCGGTTCCGCTCGCTGCCAGGCCTCCCCTGGGAGGCGAAATGACATCGTTTCGCCAGGAGGAGTAGTTGCACGGGTACTGGCAGGCAAAGGCGTCCGGGTTCTCGCGCACCGAATTAATACACGCCGCGATCTGCCGGATTCCAAGAGTCCTGACTTAGGCCTCCTTTTGTATACTTTTCTGTGTGATTGTTCGTAGTCTCAGAGAGCCAGTCGATAGGCAAGGACACCACGCATAGCCACGATGCCAGTGCAAACGATCGTCGATAAACAATCCACAACGTGGGATACCTGGTCTTCCAGAGAAGTCCTGTCCATTGAAAATCCACTGGCCGTATATATGGGGGTCGTAGGACAAGCGGTGCTTGGATCGAAGGGAGCCTGTGCCCGAACACCGTTCCCGTTGACACACTCTTCTCCTACATTCTTGATGCAGCCGACATAGCCGGGGACTGTAGTGGGCTCGATAAGAACTGGATCGCAACTATTATCTCCTTGCTCGCATAGCGTTGGGACAACGCCTAAAACAACCTGTCCTTCACAACTTTGTGACGTGAGCAAAAGAATGGTGACTCCGGCGTGCACTGCCGACAGTCCCCTTCTGTACGAAAGGAAGGAAGGCGTCTTATGCGGAGACATGTTGGGCTCTGCATATTCCTCGACTGCCAGTTCCGTTTCTTCCGTTTCGAAAGCTGGTAATTGTGTTGGGGCGTTACATGCTACCATCAGGGTGACTAAGCAGGAAGGATGGTTTCAAGATTAAGACGAATAAGTGCAACAGGAGACACAAGGTAAACATCAAAATACGAAGAGCAGTCGACCCCGACGACGCATGAAGCCTCACCCACACTACGATGCATCAATGCATCCAGAACATCGTGATTCTATCCTGCTCAACAAACACTACGTTGTGATTGCATGCAGAATCCATTGGGCCATGCGCATGTGCATGCACGACATTTTCATACCACCAACAGCAGCATTCAATATTCAAGTTGAGGAGAAAGACATCACAGATACCCGGTCTGCCCATGAACTCAAGCTTGTAGCATGTTGATCAGATATCAGGGACATTGGCAAGTTCAAAAAAATCTTGGTCGTGATCATTCTTAAGTTTTTGTACTGCAATTCAGCTGGTTACATTGATCAGCGGCTAGCAGTTCAACTAGTAATTCAGCGAGTTGCACACTCATTAATGATAGCTATGGTACAGCTGCAGCCTACACAACCAACGCTTCTTGCCACCTCTACTTCAACATGTTGTACCAGTACGAGTGCCGGAACACAAGCCTGGCCCCAGAACATTTGAATGCCACACAACGTTGTCAACAGTCAACAAGCAACTGCCAGTGCAGTGCTATTGCTATTGCTTCCTGCCACGACACAACATGACAGTGCCCAATGTGGGCTCAATTTCCATTGTAGGCATTCCTGTAATCATGCGTTGTCTTGCCTACTTCACACAAACAGGTGGGGTGCTCCCTCTCAAAAGAAAAGTCCTTCTAGTACAAGTCAAAGTGCGGCACAAGCTCCAAGCCTGGTCAAAGAGTAACACACTTTTGATACAACAGCACCCCTTGGAGCTTAGACACCGTCGAAAGTACAGTAGTAGAAGTGGCCTTCAATGGCCTACAATCTGTGAAGCAAGCGTATCGACTACTACAAAGTTATTGTGGGCGTGCCCGTCTTGCATGCATTCCCATCAGGGATCTGCCTTGCATTCCAGACTCTGGCATTCTGCTGACAGCTCCTCTTCACTGCCAATAGTATGATCAGAGCCTCCCAGAAACACTGGCAGAACCCCATCCACCTCAGCACTCATGCACCCACATCAGGTGCCGCTGAGACACCAGAGCCCTTCTCTATATAGCTGCAAAGGAATGAAATGAGCTGCAAATCTACTTCCTTCGTATTGCGACTGGCTGTCTTCACAGGAAGTCATCAAAGTCGAGGTTGACAATTTCCCGCAGGAAGTCGCGGCCAAAAACGTCCTCAAAGATGAGGTCCACATTTTTGTCCAGGCCGTCCTTGGCGCTCGACAGGGCAGTGAGGGATGTGAGCACCGAGCTCTGCAGCTTCTGCCCCATCCTCCTTGTGCTCATAGAGGCCAGCACCTGCCGCAGACACCGACCATCAAATGCCAAGCCCTCATCTCAAGAGCGCATGCTGCCATTTTATAATGTCCTCAAGGGACTGTCCGCCAGTGGCCTGCAGCACTCAATGACACCACAGCACAGTCCTTCCAACTGATGGTCCTTGGAAGGGTAAACAGGCTAGCATGGTTGCATACGGTCTAGGAAGCTGCAGTGAAAACAGGGGCTTTACCGCTGCAACCGAGATCATCAGGAGTGAGCTGGCTCCAAAGACGCTCAAAGAATGGTTGTCCCAGGCGCCAAACAATCCCTCAGGTGGCACTGAAAACTCAGCCAGCAGGGCGATCACAAACCCCACCTGCATAAGGTCAGGTAGCATCAGTAAGATGAACACAGCACACGCAGACGCACCACAAGCAGTATCATGAAAATTGCAGGAAAGGCGTCACTTCACATCAAAAGAAACTCACCATAGCCGATCGGCCTGCCAGGGTCTCAAATCTTTGCACAGCAGCCTGTAAACAGATTAAAATCCAGTCAACACCTTGTTGTTCAGGTCAACAGATGCTTGAAACGAAAGTGAGTCAGGCAAAGGATCTCACAATAAGAACATCGCAATACATCATGTTTCTTATACATGAATTATGGGCATTCGTCCATCCATACAAGCATCACGGTTGCCCTTGCACATAACCCTTGATCAGAACTTTAGAATGAGCACTCACGTTTATTGATACGGCCTCACTGATGAGGGCAATCACGGATGAGCGTGACCGTTTCCTCGAAGCAGGCAATGCTGCACATTGCCCGCTTTGAGGCTGCATAGTACACCTAATAAGGGACTGGCGCTGACGGGGCAACAGGTGACCCTCTGAGAGGACGCGCGGCCTTGTGGGGAGGGCAGGAAGAGCCACAAGTCTTGGGCTTGAAACCGTGGAACAGCACCTTGAAGCCATCACCATTACCCCAACCTCGTATCTCACCGCACTAGTATTCACCAGGTGAGTTCAGGTGCGCGGGAAGCGGGACGCGTTCGGAAAAGCAGGCACCTTTGGACACAGCAACTCCTAATCCAATCTGCAGTGCCACAGTGCAGAAATGGGCCAGCCGTGAACTTGCCTGAGTTTCTCGTGATGAAGGCACCAGGTTCATAAAGGTTCACGAAAGGAGAGAGTGACGCAGGACGGCCCGTAAGACGTGGCGCGCTCTGCGCCAGCTGGAGCCAAATTGGGCACCTTTTCGAATTCTATTGTCGCGCAAGCCCGAGGATACCAGGACCTTCTTTGATAATGTGCAAAAACCATTCTGAACATCGGCAGTGCTGCACGAAAGCTAAAGATGCGAGCTGTATCATTAATCGTAATAGTCATTAGCTTGTTTGCCGTCGCTTCTGCAAAGACCTGGAAGGATGTGGACACACTGCAAGTTGGTGTGAAGGTGCGACACTGCCTCAATATTTCCTATCATCATGTGAGTGTGTTTTTGTCTGTAGGATCATTGATACCCACCTCTTGAGCATCGTGCCCCCACATCAACATGTCGTTAGATGATCTGCAGCACAAGCCTGAGGAGTGCATGCGAAAATCCAGACCCAGCGATGAAGTGGAGGTCCATTACACAGTACGCCTCCTCCCTCATACCTCTCAAATTTAGTTATTGCTGTTTGCCACTTGCTATGGCAGGCTTTTGCGGCATCTTGATGTCTAAATCTTGATGCTTTTGCGGCATCTGGATATCTTTCATGATAGCTCACGAGACCAGACGGCAATGTACAGGGGTGGCTCACGGATGGAACACAGTTTGGGACATCAATAGGCGGAGAGCCCTTGAAATTTCAGCTAGGGGAGGGCGATGTCATAGAGGGGTGGGAGCAGGGCCTGCTCAACATGTGGTGAGCCCTCTTCATGATCAACAAACATTTAAAATAAAATAAAGCTCAGAGCTGCCTCCTCTGCTCTGCTTGTGGACAAGCAGAAGCCCCAATCGGATGCATGCCTGCGCAGCTTATATTCATCAGTTTATAAAGTAGAGGTTCCTGTGCAGTGTGGGTGAGAAGCGAAGACTGAAAATACCTGCGGCTCTGGGGTATCGGGATATAGGATACAAGGACCTTGGAATCCCAGGTATGGCCTTGTGAGCGGAATAAATTACAATGTCACTATTCCATCAACAGGACAAGGTGGCGAAGGCATTGCTCCAAAATTTGCACTGACTCATCGCATGTATGCAGCGGGCTCAACTCTCTATTTTGACACGGAGCTTGTATCTGTGGAGGAAGGCCCTGAGGTGCTGCATATCAACGGAGACTCCCTAACAGATCTCTCAGAGTTCTGATCACCGGTGATCTCGTTGCATTCTCTTTACTTGATTTGGGACTTTTCAGCGCCGAGCAACACCCAACAATTAGGCATGAAAGCATGCGCATGCTGTCTGTAAGAAAAAGGGAAAATGCCGCAATAAGCACAAGAAAGCAGTCAAGCTTGGGTCTCAAAACAATGCCGCCGTGCTCGATGATCATGTGTTGCTACTCTTGATCAGCTGCTGCATAAAAAAAATTCATGCAACTCTAGACCAGGATATCTGTGCATCTGTTCTTTAGAGAGCAAGTTGCACGCTGCCTGTCACTGCAATGCAGCCTGCTCCAAACCCGCCTCCGCCGCCTGGAGCTTTTCCAGCATGTCATCGCTGTCAGTGTGCTTGGCGGCCAACCAGGGCCCAAATTGACGGCGCAAAAAAAGGGTCAGCCCCGACCGCACAGTGGCCAGCCCCGATCCGCCAAACTTGGCAAACAGCTGCTCTGCGGCTGCAGCGCTGGCGCAAGAGCCCAGCAGCTCCTCAAAGAGCGCCCTCCAGAACAGCAGCTGCCGAGCACTCATGGCCTCTGTGAAGTCGACCACCTGCGGCAGAACACATCTGTCACATGCAGGGCTTGACAGGGCCTCAACAGAGATCCTGGGCTGCTCAGACAGCATTTTCTGATGTCTCTGGGCATCCCAGGAAGTTTGGATATGTCTAATAAATATGGCGGTCAGAGCGGCAAGATATTTTGGGAGGACCAGACCCCATCCCAGAACCCAGAGGCATAGGCCCAATCCAGGGACCTTCCCCCTGGGATGTCAAAGCCTGCTCACCTGGTCTAGGATCATTTCCACTATGCATGAGGGCTGTAGGCACTGTCTGAAGCTCTGGTAATTGGCAGGCAATGGTCAAATCCTGCCGTGAAACTTTGACAGTGACTGACAGTATGACAAAAAAATCAGGAAAAAAATAGGGGGCACAAACAGAAAGTTGGCAACAGTGCGCACATAAGGACGAGGCTTGCCTTTACAACAGTGATGGGTACTGCCTTCGAAGCTATCAGCATGGATAACAGCCGCGCCAAGTTTGCCAGCCGCCGGACATCCCCTTCATCCAGCTGCAAGTCCCACAGAATAAACATCAGCTGGGCTTCGTTTCGCACAAAGTCGCATATCTCTCTGTTGGGACACATCCAATAATATCGGCTTGACAGCACGCATGTCCACAGGCAATGCAAGGCAGAACAGGCTCAAAGCACCCAGGGGCCAGGGTGACTTTTGCTCGGACTCATCACATGTCTGCATGCAAGCGAGCAGGGGTTGCAGGAGGTGGAGTCATTTGAGCATTTAACACAGCACATAGATCCCTCCTTAAGGTCATAGACACCGAAAATCAAAGAACCTTCAGAGCACACTTAATATTACAGAAGAGGAGGTAGGCACTCTTAAACGTGCCTGCTTGAAGTGGTCCCAGAGGCAGAACTGGAGGGTGATGCGGTGGCCCTTGACTGCGCGCGTGACGCTGGCCAGCAGGTGGGCGTAGTAGGGGTTCCAAAGCCGCTCCTGCAGGCAGCACTCCAGCACCACCCGCACCACCTCCCTCTCAGCCTCCCCCTGCAGACACAGCCCACACCAATCCATTTGCTTTGCCAAAGCCATACTTACAAACCCATGATTTTCCATGCTCAAGCTGGAGAGCCCACCAAGGTAGCTGTATCAGGATGCATACCAGCTTGCAACCATACACAAAGTGCTTAGACGCACCCATGAGCGAGGGATAAGAAGTAAGCGTGCCGGCTTCCAAGCTAATTTGTGGCCAGTGTTTCGATAACACTGCAGGGAGATTAAGCCATACATACTGGAGGGTTACAACATCAACATAATAAAATATAGCATCTACTGGACTGAGACTCCACCGGTGGATTCTGACGGATGCCCACTTGCGCTCAAGTCCGGCAAAAATTGACAGAACATCTGGAGACGCTCACACCTTGAGGGGCAAACGCAGGAGGCGCTCGGAGGCGTCGGCGCAGTCCTGGGCGCCCATCACCACGCAGAAGACGGCGCGCCGCGTCTCCGTGTTCATGCGCTGCGCTGCGGCCGCGCGCAGGAGCTCCGCGCCGCCGTCGCCGGCCGCCTCGGCCAGCGCGCCGGCCGCCCCCGGCAGCGGCCCCACTGCGCCCGCCTCCGATGCCAGCGGCAGCCACCACAGCCCCTGGGACCGCCATGATACTTTGTCACGAATTTGATTTCATGGTGATGAAAGATCTATAGGTAGAGGCTGAGAACTAATCATTCTGGGTTGAGTCGAACGGCAAACTGGGAAAATTCGGGCAACAAAGAGAACGAGAGAAGCATGCTAGGTGATTCAGCATGGTCATGTAAAGAACAAAGCCATGCCTGGAGGATGCCATCCCATACTCCTCCAGGATTTTGAAAAGCAATTGCCGATCCAGATATGCTGGATGTCAGGGACAAATGCAGAAAGAGCAGGAGAGGCTGCCGCACCTTCTTCTTGGGCTGCAGGACTTTGGCCCAGGACAGGGTGCGCAGCTGCACCTCCTCCATGCCGCTGGACTTGAGCCACTTGAGCACGCCAGCCGACAGCACGGATGAGACCGACACGGCCGAGCTCTTACTGCGCTGCTTGTTGTTCTTGATGTCCAGCACCAGGCTCAGCAGCACCTTGCAACACAAGCCAACCGCCCTCAATCGTTGACCATCAGGAGGCACAGTATAGGAGAAATGTGCTAAGGACCCCTGGCAAGTATGCATCATGTTCAGAGCTGCAATGCGGAGGGTATTTGCCAACGTTGGCCTATTCAAGCATGAATGGCACGCATTTCTTTCTTAAAAGTACGATGGTGGCAATAGAATTCAGGGGGTGCAGTGGGAGAATGGCCCCACCTCTGCTCGGCTGCTGAGCTTACCCTCCCCTGACGCCTTCCCGGCGCGCGCATGCACTGCAGTCACAAAGTCCTGCACACCCACAGCCAAGCACAGCTCAATTCTGCTTGCATGAAGCTGCACGCACGCTGCTACTTGCTCACCCCCTACCTTGACATCCAGAGCTGGCAGCCTCGCAACTGCGCAAGGAATGGCACAGTAAGCATTGCGAGAATGGCGTTTGCTGCCCCTTGCGCTGTCATGAAGGCGAGGCGCCCATTTTTATACCAGCGCGCTGACAAGAACATTCCTTGTTGCAGCCGCACTCGAGCACTGCCTAACAAGCACTGTGCTACAGGAGAAAGAAGTGCCGGCGCAGACCTTCATGGCGGCGGGGTCGTCCGAGCGAAGCTGGTAGCCGACACTGTTGAGCAGCGCGAAAATGAGCGCCACGTCTTGCTCGCTGAATCTCTGCCGCAGGTGGTCCAATAGGCTGTACAGCGTGGCAGCCTCCAGCACCCTGCAGCCGTACATGTGCCCCACCACGTGCGCCAGGTTGCTGGCCGCCAGGCTGTCCTCTGCCTGCACTCATAAAACAAGGAAGGTTGAATTTCCCATAAGGAGATGAGACATCCACCATACTGAGAGCGTAGCACCATGTAGTGAGATTAGGCGGGTTTGTGGTGGCTGCAATCTTGAGTGTCTGCCATGTAGATCATGTTACCCCCATGTGGTGGTGCTTAGTGATGGATTCCTTCAAGCTCATGCAGATGGATGCAGAGTGTGGCTCCACTGCCTAGCCGGGCGCTCACACAAATAATGGTGCAAAGCGGCAGACAACTCAACACAAAGAAAAGCAAAAAGCGCGGCGCTCACAGAGCAACCACTGACACCTTGCGCATGAGAGAAAGGACAAAGATTTGGAGAATGCCAAGATGCAACATGCAAAAAGGTGGCCTTGTGCAGTACACAGGGCTGCTGTGGGGCGCTGGGACTGTGAGTAACAAGGCAAGCGGCTGAGAAATGTGCACCTGCACGGCAGCTTCCATGCGCGCGGCGAGCGCGCCCAGGAAATGCGCGGCCACCTCTGCAGCGCGCGCCGTGCCTGCCAGCCCGGCCATGAACGCAGCCGTCACCGCTGCAAACCTGTCTGTCGCTCGCGGCCCCTCCGCCACCGCCTGTCACCGCAGAGCACACACACTTGGCCATTTTATCTTTTCAACCCATGCTATCTTCATTGATGCTGGTTCCCATCAGGTCCATCCCAGTGCTGTGGACTCTATTGGGAAGGACAAGACGACACAAGGACACCTCAGAAAATTCTCAACGAGTGCTGGGCATCGTTTCTTATCATGCCATGTGTGGTATGATCTTACTTTCATGCAAGGGAGTTGCTGCGTTTTCAGAGGGATGGCAAAACGAGCTGTACCTGCAGAAGCTCGTCGGTAAGGGACTGGATGACAGCGCGGCGGCTCTCAGACTGCAGCAGCTCTGCAGCCTGCTCCACGCTGGACTGCAGGTTGGCCTCTGCCAGCCTGTTGAGCAGCCCTTTCACCTGCTTTGTCAGCCGCTCAGAAGACCCTGCATGGGCGGCAGACACGCAATCACTGAGCCGCTTCTTACGCACAATCCAGAATGCAGACACCAGGCTTGCGTCATTTGACCCGTTGGCTCACTGAGTGGTGATGATCAGTGTCGCACCCATGGCATCAGATGTCCTTCCCTGGTTCCTTGCGGCGGGAGGGACATATTTGCCCACAGAAGCCGTCGCATGTCCACTGGTCCCGGCCTGCTGAGACTCCACCCTCCTCTGCTGGTCTGCATCAGCAATGCCTCCTGCAACAAAGTCACCACAGGATCAGTCCAGAGACTGCTCGCAGACAAGCCTTCACACGCCTGCAAAATGGAGCTGATCATCATAGCAGGCATAAAGCATAGCTCACCTTCATGATTGCTGTCTGCCTCTGCGTCTGAAGATTCATCTGATGAGCCATGCAGTGAGTCATCCTCACTGTCAGCAGAGCCTTCTTCATCCTCACTTTCCTCCAATTCACTGGAGAGGTCCCCGGCTGCTGCCACATCGCTGTCACTCTCCAACCCCATGCCGCCTCCCTCTGTGCCCTCGTCATCTGAGGCTGATGGGAATTCATCGCTATCTTCTGAATCATCGGGACCTCCCTCCATGCTGTCAGACAACCCCATCAGTGGGTCATCCTCATTCTCTTTCTGCCCAGGGCCATCATCATCCTCTGCAATGACAGAAACAGCATCAAATTGCCTGCTCTCATCAAAATATGCATGTGATTGGTTTGTGAGATTCAAGAGCAGAATCGAGCAGGTGCCCTGAAAGAGCAACACAATTTGCAGCCTGACAAGGCACCTGCGAAGAGGGTGTCCAGCTCGTCTAAGGCCTCATGGAGGGTGGCTTCTGGCGCCTTCCTCTTCTTGCCCTTGATCCCAAGCTTCTTGGCAAGCTGCCTCTGTAGCGCAGCCTCGGCATCAATCGCTGCCAGGTGAGTCCCCTGGACGAGAGCACATCAAGAAGGATCTCTGTCTGCTGCATTGTGATTTACATCACCTTAGTCTGGTTAATCAAAGCCCAGTTTTCAATGGCCTGCTCCACAAGAGGCTTGGGCTGTACCTTGTCATTGCCCCTGCTCTTTGGGCGGAGCTCTTCGAACTTTGTCTTCTTGCTGCTCTTTGGGCGTTCAAGAGTTGACGGTTTTACCCTCTTCAATGAGGCCCCTGTTGCCGCTTCCTGGTATGAATTTGCACAGAAAATGCTTCAGACTTACTCACTGCCGGACCACTGCGCCATATGAATGGTTAAGGGGCTGTGATTCTGAGATCGACCTTCTTAGTTTCGATGTGTGAGGGTTCCTGCTCATCCTCTGCCCTCCAGGAGCTCCTTCCTGTTGTGGGAGCTGTTTTGCTCCCTGTCGGCTTAGGAAGTCCTCTGCCCTTGTGCCGGGCAGCTTTGCGTTGTTCCTTGCGCTGGCTGACTTTGAACATGCTCCCCCGCGTCTTGGACTTGGGAGTGACCCCATCCCCCAGATCTAGTTCTTTCGTCAGCTTGAAAGGTAAGGATGGCCTGTTGGACGAGCTCCCTCTGCCCCTCCCTCCTCTCCCCTTCCTGAACATCTTTTTATTTCTCAACTTTGCGATTGATTTATCAGTGTGATCAGCCTCGCTGAAACTACTTCGCCGTCACACACTACTAGACGTGATTTGCTGCGCGGAGCCTGGTTCCAGAGGTGCCTTCACCAGACCTGCTTTCCTATAGAACACACGTTATAAAGCAATTGATTTCAACTACTGACGAAGTAGAGCTTCTTCTCCTCTGAAGACATTCAGACGGCGTTCTCTGGCCCATCCAGGAGGAAGCCAATGGAAGCTGCCAGTCATGTGCCATCCTTGTGTTGGATAAGTTGGCTGGCACAGATGCATTTTTTCTCTCTCGGTGATGGTGCAAACATTAAACGATGCTCAGCAGCGATGTAACAAAGAAATGGCACACCTGTCAACATGCATTAAGCTGCACACTGGTAAATGAAATATTACAACAATATTGATAATGTTGTACTACAAGAGTGCTCTAGTAGAGTGCTCTTCCTTGTACAGCCTGTCAACAACCAGGTGTCACCAGGAACCATCATTGCAGCAGTTATATTTCTAAGAGGAGGCATGTGAAGCGGTGTTTGCATCACTACTGCCAAGGGACTTTAACAGATTCCTCAGGAGCATTTAAAGCTGTCTAGTCTTCGATTTGTGGTTTTAATCACATTAATGAACCAAGATTATGGTGTTCGCATTTCAAAGGGACATGTGCATGCATGTGCAGGATGGACGGATGGCGGCCGTGGAGCACGCGGTGGCATTCCTGGCGGACTACACGGATGTTGGCAGCGGCCATTTTCTGGCGCACAGATTGCGCAGGAGGCGTGGCTGCAGCTGGCGCTGCTGCTGCATCGCGGCCCTGACACCGCGCTCGGATCCGATGATGGCGGCCCGGCACCAGCTGTAGTCCAGCGCACGCGCTCAGCTGTGCTAACCTGCCTGCTCAGGTGTGTGCAGGCCTTTGAATGTGTCTCCCATGCCTCTCAATATCCCTTTTCTCTTACAGCATGTATCACATCTGTTGTTGAGGAAGCAGGTCCTGCCGAGTCCTCTCACTGGTATATGGTCCACGAGTCGGCTCATCCAGAAGATATCCCTAACCTGAAACCTTACACTTGCGACAAGACTCCGGGGAGGACCCAGGCCATGCCTGCAACGCGCCTCTGTCAATGTCATATTTTGCTGTGATGACACCTTTCGCCTGCGCAGGATCGCGTCGTCTTCCAGGAGCACTTCAGTCCTGGCGCATATCGTTGCAAAGGTGGCGGATGGTGTGGCCGTGCATGTGGCAGACACTAACTCTCTGGCCGAGCGCACAACAGCCTGTCAGCTGCTCCTTGGCCTGGCAAAGCTGGACGCCGATGCTGTGTGGCTGCTGCTATTCTGCATGCAAGTGAGGGAGTCGACAATTTCATCTGCAAATGATGGTCATTGCTGATACGCATCCTACTGTTGACATCAAGAGCTGACAATGTGTGTATTGCAGGGTCCTGTGAGGGGTGGCGGACAGATGCCCATTCCCTGCCCCTCAATCCTGCCTAACATGCGGAACATCTTGCCCATGAGACTAAAGCTGGGGAGCCAACCCACAGGCGAGGTTGCAGCTATAGAGGCTGTAATGAACCAGGTTGAACAGGGTCATGTTGCCTGGCACCACAGACTGTACAGCAAAAATTAGGCGTCTAGTTGAAAAAAATGGGTTGTACGTGGATTGACTTCATCTGTGAAGGCAGGATTCGAAAAGACAGCTGAGTAGTTTTACTGTGGTATTCTGAGATGGAGCATCCAATTGCAAATTGTTACAAATTGTTGCTAGTTCCTACATCTGAAGTTTGAAACAATCACAACAATCACGAAGACCAAGGTCTTACTTGTTTTAATGCAATAATAGGAGCTCTACTGTGTTCTCCAAGCTACATGCATGAAGAATCCATGCACTGGCATGCGATATTTACATTACATCCGGCATGTGGTGCTTGCACAAGGTTGCCCATTGGGACACTACACATTTGCTTGCACGCCTGCGCATGGCAATACATTCTTAGTCTCCAAAATAGTTTTCAGGCTACAATGCCCCAACACATCATGCCTACATCTTGTTGTCGCAATAAAATAGAGTATTTCACTTGAAAAGTGAAAAGTGCAAAGTGAAAAGTGCAAAGGCGCAGGAGGCCACCTGTTGGCGGTGGCAGCATCCTGTGATGGGCCTTTCTGATGACATCTTGATTGTTCTTTGAAATCCTTGCAGGCTGCCTGTTTCTGCCCAGAGCTGGATAGACACAGCGATAGGGACTCAATGTGCGTCCTTGGTCAAGAAGTGCTACCACAAGACCCTCTCCTGATGGTATGCTCTCGTCTTCATCAAGGAGAATCTGTGAGCAGGAAATCATTCTGTTATCCACCAATATAATCGTTGGCTGAGTAGAAGTGCCAAGATCCCCTGATATTAGTCGTGAGAAGCATCGTGAACGGCACAACGTGCAAGGCAGCCTACCAAGGAAAACGCCCTTATAATCTAGACCGTGAGTATGCATGTGGTATGTCTTTAGACAGGAAAGTCTGGGCATTCAATTCACGCACCTGTCCTTCCACGATCACTCCTCCGGGACTGATGATTTTCAGAGGCACAAAGTAATGGTCCGTGGGAAAGTTGGTGCCAGGAGATTTAGGGTCGGGGAAGCTAATCAATGCGCACAGCGTAAGTCCTGCTCTCTTTCCTGTTGCTTCATCCCTTTTCTCCGTGCCGACAACACCACTGTAAGGATCAGAAGGGACACGCAGTCTGTGGACCATCCGCCGGCTTCCCGGTTTTGTTTCTTTGCTGTAGGTCTCCAAGGTCGAATAATACAAACTTCCTGCAATAAAAATGCAAGATTGCCATCATACTGATAGCAAATCTCCCTTCAAGGTTGACACCTTTCAGCAGCAGAATAGCTTCCTACCGAATTGGGGGCGGACTTCGCAGGAGCTGCTCATCTTGTAGGCCGCCCAGGGCGACTCAACATACCAACATAGACAATCTCCTCAATTTTTTTCAATTTCAGAACTCTCTGCTCTCAGCATTAAAAGCATCGAGAAGTCACCCATCTTGGACGAATCGAATCGCAGACCGCCGCGCTCACAAACTCCTAGGGGGGGACCCGTGGGGGGGCCCAGAGTTATGGGGGCACATCTGGGATAACTGCTGGCGCGGGCAACATCATAACTCTTTGCGACTGGATTCTACGCCGGGCATTTTCGGCTAGGGACTTTATTTTTACCATTTATTTCTTTTCGGGCTAGTTTGGATTCCGGGGTGAGAGTTGGGGAGCTTAATTCTGGGCGCGATCACCGCTGTGCTTCTCCCTCGCAGCCTGTGTAGCCCAGAATCCCTGTATTCCAGCCGTAGTCTCACCCAGATCTTCAATTTATCGCTACAGTAAATGTCGCGACTCCTCTGGGGTGGGCTGCGAGCCTTGTGCTGCAGATCCACAGGTACAGCCAGTAGCAGAAGTCTTCAGACCTCAGCCCAGCTGCGAGCAAGTGCAGCGTACAGCCTGCAGGGATATGACAGCAGGGGAAGGCAGAACAGCAATGGGCAGCCAGGCAGAGCCCAAGCAGACAGCCAGGAGTTCATCAGATGGGGCAGTCTGTTTCCTGCGATCGCAACAGCTACATGCGCTGTCTTGCTGACGGAGCAAGCTGATTGCGCTGGGAATGATCCAAGCTCGTCGCAGAGCCGCTTGGGGGTAGGCTCACTCCTCCTGCGCATCCATCAGGTTGCAAGCTCCCACGTTCTAAAAGGGATGTACTTTTTTAGCATTGAAATGTTCTGGAATACCGCATGACCAACTTGAGCGCCTATGCTCAAGCTTTTAAATGATATATATGACTCTTTCTACGAAAGGAGAGCTCTGGTCTATTGGTTATTGAAAAGTCCTAGAGCACTTTGCGCAACCCATTGTAGTTGCTTGTAGTCGCTACGAGTCAGTACTAACACGAATTTATTTCTGGCACACAGGAAGAGAGTGTGCCTGAGGGCCACCCTCTCTCGCAATGGATGAATTCAGAGGCAAAATCCATGCTTGCCAGAAAAGCAAACGAGACCATTGATGAGAACAGATGGCCTAATTTCATAAGGACACCGCCCAGCTCCCTCTTTCATGGAAAGTCAGGGGTGAGAGCGGAGTTTCTGAGCGACTGCAAGGCCCTCTTCTGGTACCCAGAGTTCTTCTGGCCGCACTTGCAGACCAAGTGTCCACATTGCAAGAAAAAGCCTCAAGGGGACGGCTGGGGCAAAATCAGGAAGGTGGTTGGATTGCGCACCAGCTACTTTGTGAAGGCCAAGAAGTACCGCTGCATTGGCTGCCCTGGTATGTATTTTGGCCGCGCATGGTTGTGCTGCACCACAATAATCCCATTAGAATTGAACGTCATCCCATTAGAATTGAACATCACAGCGCTGTGGTATCAAAACTTCAACACCACATGCCTTCCCCTTGCATGAGGACACCTGTGACCATCATGTCTGTTGCATGCAGGTGGCTAGGCCAACAAAGGACAGAGCGGTGGCCAAGGGGTGGCAACATCCCAGTCTACTGATGACAAAGTGCTGGGGCAGCTACCTGAGTACATTGCAGAGCAGCTGCCAGTCATCTTCACAAGCAGAAGCTCTATTGACAAGGAGTTCTTGGACATCCTTAACTTTGATGTCATGCGCGGCGGCAGCTTTGCAGCGGCAGAAAGACGGATCCAGGCCGCCCTAAGGACGCAGCATGAGCGCAACCACCTCTTGTACCTGCAGCACCACCTGGCTCAGAACCCTCAGGCAGCTCCAGAAACATTTGGAGACAAGCCATTGGGGACCATGCCATCCAGACAATACCTCAGAACCGTTTGGCTTGACACTATGAGGCCCACAATTGACTTTTACCGCCGCTATATCAGCACTATCAGAGGCCGCTTTCTCACAATGGACCATACATTCAGATCAGCAAAGGCAATCAGAAACCCAGATCAGCAGCCCTTGTACAAGGCCATTCTCACGGTGATGAACGAGTACAGTCAGATCGCAGGGCAATGGTTCACACACACCTGCAGCCTTGAAGAAGTGCGGCCTGCACTGGAGCTCATTGCTTCAAGGTACCCTCCTGGACAGGTATGCATCTGCTGCTATTGACTGCACCTTCTCTGTCTCACCGTACGTACCCACTGCTAATATTCCTGCACATCCAGAAAAGATTGCTGAGGTCATGAGTGCCTTTATGGATGCAGGGGCCAGAGTACATCTGGGTGGATTATTCTCCAGTGTGTGGCAACCTGTTGAAGAAGATCTTCCCAACCGTCAAGATTGTGCTCGAGGACTCAACACATCTCATGCGCAGATACATGCGCACACTCACACCTGGCCATGCTTTGAACCGTAAGTCTCAGCTCCTTGGGAATGCAACAGATTTGCAGGCTTTGTGCGTGTGGTACAAGAACCTGACCTTTTCTTTGTGCATTTCAGAGGATTTCATGGCAGCTCTGAGCATGGCTGTCTTCACAATGCATGCACCTGACGTAGCAGCCCACAAGGATGCTCTGCTTCAAGGAGGGAAAAGCCAAGAGGCAATTGATGCCCTACCTCTTGCATACTTCAAAGACAGGTGCGCTGAGTCCATTTCCTGTACACCTGCCATCCTTGCATGCGTGCCTCTTAAATCTGCATGACAGTTACAATGTCCTCAGGCTGGTTTTGTGCTCATGCATCAGGTGTCGGCGCACCATCCCTCCTCCAGCCTGAGCATGAGCTCAACAAGGTTATGAACCGCATATGGGTGGACCATGCAGGGGTGAATCTGCTTACAGACAAAACACTTGAGGTCCATGAGTCCTCTCTCAAGCTGGTCAGAAGGGGTGCTGTATCAGGTGAGCTCTGCAGCTCTGGGAATTGAGGTTCAAACAAGCAATGCAGGACAGGCCGCATGCATGCGTTGCATGATCTTGTCACAGGCTTCCCTCGCACTAAACCATCTTTGGTGAATTTGCAGACCCCTTGCCAGTCTCACAGATGTACTTCCAGACCGCCGATGGAACCTACAAGGCGGTGAGAGGTTCGAGCAAGTTGGAGGGCTACCACCCGCATCTGCACAAAGTGCTTCCAGGGACAGGGTACTCGCCTGACCTGGGTGGCAGCCTCGTCATGCTCTTCAATGGCCAATGGTCCCTGGAGAGGGCCGATGACAATGATGTTGGACCCGCCTATGGCCACTCAGAGCCCTGGATTGTCAGCAGGTTGCATGCAGCAGTCGAGTCAGAATGGCAGTACAAGCTGCCAGAGTGCCTGCATGTACCAGACAGCAGTGAGGAGCAGTTCGGCTGCGACTACAAGCCACCTATGGCCTTGCTTGAAACCGCCAGGCTAGTGGAGGAGGAGCTCTTGTCTGATGCTGACTCAGATGAGGAAGACGAGGATGCTGCCATGGCAGCGCACACGCTCGCAACACACTTCACAGGTAAAACTTGTCACATGCAACTACCTTCTCACTGTGCCTGCCCATCTCTTTAACTTCAACCAAATGATGAATGTGGGCTCACTTGCTCAGTCCTGGTGTGTCAGGCCGCCCCTCTGCATCCGGTGGTGGTGGGCAGCAGCGACGCGGCAGCGGCAGCCGCGGTGGCTCTCGAGCCGTTGGTGGAGCACGCAGTGGCGGCAACTCCCAGCCTCACATGTCCTCTGCAGCACCGCTACCGTCGGTCGGGCCAGAGGGCCAGAGGACTACAGCAAGGACGTGGTCAGGACCTGGAAGTGGGTCTGCAATGAGAAACTCAAGATGGAGGGCAAGGTCTGCCACATCTGCGAGCAGGCCATCAGGTGATGCTCTCAGGTCATTCCATGAATGTCATTTCTTGCTAATTAATTATTCACTCTATTCTCAATCTCCTCCACCTTACACAGCCAAATGTGGGTTGCAGGCCGAATGAGCACATCCGGAGACCATGCACCTGCGTGGATCAACAGGAGAAGAAGAAGGGAGCAACGTGCTGCAGAGGATTTGGCGAGGGCTGGGTGCATGCTGGCTGCTACAATGTGCCAAGTCAGCCTGCTCAGGGTAAGATCAACGCCTATCAAGCTTGGTGCAAAGGCAGTGTGTGGCATGCAGCATTGGCCCTGACAAGATGTGGTCCTTACCAAGTCTATTTCTGCTTCCACAGCTGCGCCCAGGAGCTCGCAGCCACGGCGCGAGGCAGTGCTGCGTCGATCTCAACGGACAGCGCCTGCGCCCACCAGTGATGCCCAGCTCCTCATGGATTATCACTCCACCCCTGTGCAAAGCCCAACAGGTATAGCAGCCTCTCCCAAATCCTTGTTTTGATTTCGTGTGGACCGGCAAGGGATCGCAACAGTGGCAGCCTGGACTGATTGTGAATAACACACTCTCAAAATTGTGACAGGGGTTCAAGAGGAGAGGTCACGTACTCAGGTGGGAATCGCGACGCCAGTCAACCTCTGCACGCCGTCGCCAAACTCTCCCACATCTGGTAAGTCCAGCGTTCAGTTGCCCACTTGACCAGTAGGCTTTCCCAGCAACGTTAAAATTCTCCATTCATGTAATGCACAGACGGTCCTCATGCTACTATTCTTTGCAGGGGGTCGCAGCAAGCAGCGGGGAGCACGGCGGCTCAACACACACGTGGACAATGCCAGGGCAGTCACGACTGTGGCAGAGAGAAGCCTCTACTTTGAGCTTGCTTCACAACCTGATGTCAGGACAACCGGCGGCGCATTCAACTTCACTGTGATGGCTGCGCGATTCAATGCTGCTGTATTCACCCAGGTGATTACTTCTGGTGATTACTTGCCCAAAGTCCTCTCTGAGTAGGTCGACTTGCAATGATTCTGCTTTGCAGATTGATTGAAAGCAAGTTCTGAAGGCGATATTTTTTTTGATGCAGACGCAACAGTCGTCCCAGGGACTTCTGCTCCCAGACGAGATCTTGCACTGGAAGACACCCCAGATGTTGCAGAACCTTGAGGAGGAGCTGATGAAGCAGGCAAACCATCAGAGGGCACTTCAGATGTCAACGTATATGGCGATGGCAGCAACAAATCAGAACAGACCAGAGTCAGCCAGTCAGGCCAGCACCATGATGTCTGCGACTGCCGCTGCGAGCCGTGCCATGGCAGCAACCCAGGGTCCCTCCATGCCCCCCCTTCCAGAGCTGCCACAATGGCATCAAGCTGCAATCATGACCCAGTCCAGCCAAGATGCATCCAGGAAAAGAAGGCTGGAGCTCAGGCAGGATCGCACAACCAAGCGACAGCAGACTGGGAATCATGCAGCCTCTCAACCAGCGGCTCCAAGCAAAAACCCTGGGGGCAAAAACATCCCAAAGATGTGTGGAGCCTGTGGACAGCCAAGAAGTGGCCACCCAAAGGGATTATGCCCCACTCATTGCAGGGAATGCAAGGCCAGGAAGCAGATTGGCAGTGAGCAAGACAAATTGTGCCAGACATGCAAGGCAAAGGCAGCATGAGATCTGCAGGGCAGCTTAGTCAGCAGAATGACTCAGCAGCTGACTGGGAAGATGAGGATGTTTCATTTGGCAATTTTCTTTTCTTTTTCTTTCTCTTTTGTTGTACAAGCATGAGATCTTGATGGGGACACCACTGGTTTCTATTAACAAGGTGTAAAAATATGAAGCTTTTTTGAAAGGGCAGTGGTGGACACGCAAGTGCTCAGCACACTCGAGTGTGCTCAGGCAGTTTTGCCCTGACTTCTGCAACAGTTCTAGAGTTATGGGGTGCTTTCAGCACCCCCCCCTCACACCGCTACAGACCCGGGGGGGCCCCGGGATGCGGGGGGATTGGGAGGCATGGACGTTATTTGGTACTGCACCACTGTGTTCTCGAGTTCACAGAGGATTGCGTGCAGACACACAGGCTGGTTTAAGGCCCAAGCCGTCCACAGTCCATCAATTGTTCACTTTGCAGCAGTTCATTGATCGGCAGGGTCATGCCCACTAATGTTTCCTTGATTTCAAAGGGCGTATGATAGAGTGAACATAAGCTTGCTGTGGGAGGCCTTGCGGCGTCTGGGCATTGACGATTGAACACTCGCAGCCATTCAGTCCCTTTAATCCACGGTGGCAGTAAAATTGGTGACATGACGGGGAAGAGCGCTCTGGGACTTGTCTAAAGCAGGGTTGGCCTTGGAGACCCACTCTATTTTGCTTGTTTGCTGATGGCTTGCACAGTCTGCACAGATAACATATAGCTGCTCTTGAGTAGCAAGAGATCAATAACTTGTAGGAAAGAAAACTAGTCCAGCATGGACGCAAATACAAATCTGCGTTGTAACCAAGCTCTTGATGTTTAGCCTGCGCTTTCTTTTCGGCTGCTGCCTGGATCCGTTCAGCTACCTGCTTCTTAAAAAATGCAGCTCTAATCCTTTCTCGATGCTGCCGAGCCTGGACTTCCTTTCTTTTTTTTCTGGCCAACCGCTCCTCAATCCTCTCTCGAGCCTGCTTGCAAAAGGCCACACCTCGTCCCATTTTGTGCCAAATGAACGATATGCCACCGGCACAAAATGGAGATCAGCAGCAGACAATTGAGCCCACCTCAAGTCTTGTCATCCCTGCGAGCCTCCTGGCGCTTTGTCTGCTCTAGCTCATCCCATTCATCCTCCTCCCGTTTCCTCTTATGCTGCTCCATTTCCAAGTCAGCACTCGTCATGCCTGCCACCGTTCATTGATCAGCTTTGGGCAATTTCTCGAGAGGCACAGATGCACATAAGAAGCTGTACGCTGCTGGCAGTGCTGTGCATACCAGAGAGAAGCAGACACAGCTCCCTTTCTTGTCGCTGCTGCCGCACTGTCAATAGCACCATGCGACTCTGTGTCTCTGTGGGCATAAGGCCCCTTCTCTGGCCCCTCATCATCGAGGGTGCCTTTGCGCACAAAGTACACATTGTACAGCTCATCCTCGTCACCATGCTGCCCAGACGCTAGTCTGTCATACAGGCGCGCTTTGCGCTCCAACGCGGAATTCAGCCAGGCAAGCTACAGGCGTCGACTACATGCAGGAAGAGCTGGTGAGGGAAATTAGGACTTGGTCTCTGCCATTATTGTGAAAGACAGTCAGAATTGGCATTCTGGCGTCGCTATGGTGCAGTAATTTCCTTGATCTGTTCCCTTTCATGGCGATCTCGCTTCTGAACACCAGCATTCTTGTGCGCATGCTGTGACAGGTCAATGCCAGCAGTGCGCCTGGAGTTACGTGCAGCAGCAGCTGCTGGGTCATCTTTAGCCAGCTGAGCCTCCTGCTGCCCCTTGTATAGTGCTGATTTGAGATCCAAGATGCCCGCAGCTCCCACCCCTACTGGTTCAGCAGACTTGACTGAGCGTAACGGGTCGTATCAATTTCCTCACCAGTAGATCCTCAATTTGACAATCTAATGGTTCACACTCATCACTGCCTTCGATCATGAGTCTAATCCTGAGCTGTACCGAGCTCTAGCCAGCCAGCCTAGAAGTTCCCTTCCCGTCTCAGGGGTAGGGTGAGCCTCTGACCTGCTTGCTGATTCCTTTGGTACTATGCGATTATTCCAAACGTGTGGGATGTCTGTTGTGTTGACGGTACGTTTGTTTATTGTAATGAAGTGAAGTGAAGTGAAGTGAAATCATCGTTTGGCTGATCACTGCTCTGTCAGAGCACATACGGCTTCGGGACGTCAGCTTATAATGAACAGATTGACCAATTGCCTTCTGATTTCCTGTGAAATCTGTAATGTTACCTCAAATCAAATTGGCTTCGCAATTGATGCAAAACATAGTGGCCACCCCTGGGTGGACCAGCTTCCCCACGTTCATCTCAGGATATAGGAATTCCTCCCTGACTTTCATTCATAATATAATATGCGAATCAGTACAGGATATAGTAGGCTTGTTGCGTGAAATTTCGCACCTTGCCGACCAAGCTTCAATCTTCTCCATTAATATTATTGGGCTCTGGCCGGGAGGATCTCAAGCATCAAGTCTTGTGCCTCTTCAGAAACGGACATGGTTAAAAATGACATCAAGAAGGCTGCAATGTTATAGATCGAACAATTTACGCTTGAAAGATCATGCGCCCTTATGTCAGCTTGCAGCCTGCTCCAGACCTGCTTTGTCCTGCCAGTGTACGTGTACTGCCTGAGCCCTAGGGCCTGCTATGTTACAGCCACGCTGCGACATCACAGTACTCAGTGGCATTCCTATTGATTGGTCCTCACTGGTGCAGGTTATTACTCTCTCAGTGCCTATTCGTGCATAAGTCTTGGACAGAGGCCTGACGTGGCTTGCAACACAGGTTTTTCCTCGAAGTTCTGCAGGCTCTGCAACATCAGCTCTCTGCTCGCGGCTCAAAGCTGTAATGTGCTGTCAGCAGTTCTGGAAAAGTGACACCTGCGCTGGTCCGTGGCCTGGCTGGGCAGGTCTCCCATGTTGATCTGTACCACTAGTACTACCTCCAAATCAGGCGGCACTCAGTTGAGGAAGAAGACGCCGTTGCTGATGCATACCAGTCTGCCTGCAAGGAGACACAGCTGACCTCAGACGTCCACGAGTTTCGGGTTCACACACTGTACCATCCCCATGATGCTTTGGCAGCTTTGAAAACGCACGCCAGAAAAGCCAGCTCTCCAGCGCTAACATCGACAGATGGTAATGACAGCCAGGCGCTTTACACGGATGTACCGCATGTGACGATTACCTTTAATTAGGTGAGCTGCTTCGCAGTCTTTATTGGCATGATGTCATCAACTTTTCAGACGGTCAAAAGATTCTAGTGCAGAGACACCACTGAGCTTGTTCTACTCTCGCAGGCGGTGGAGAGTCATGGCTGTGTCCGTGAACCCCTGCCTGCTCCAGATGAGATGCCGCCTTTCCCAGACAGCATCCCTGCAGCGGCCCCTCTGCCATAGGACGTCAGGAGCCCGTTTAAGTCAGCTGGAGCAGAAATTGTCCTGGCTGCACTGGAGCAGCTGACAGCATGCACAGATTTGGCCAGCGATGTCAGGCACCCTCACTCTCCCATTCGCCTTGATGGTGGCGAAACGGGGGACCTCAAGCGTCTGCGCCACTCTCTCTATGGCAGCTGTAATACTGGCCCAACAGATACAGTCGAGCCAGCGCAAGTTTCAGAGCATCATTAGATGAAGGCGCCAGCACTGGCAAGACAGAAGAAGATACAGCTGCACCAGTGACATCCACTGGGAGCGCGCCGGAGGGCTAGCCAGGGGAGAGACCTGGATCTAGAAATAATCAGGGGCGCTGGAGGGGACCCCATTGGCTTTGGCGCCGACCAACACCTTCAAGGACACGCGCATGATGGCAGGGGGTATGAACAACAGCGCCAAGCTCAGCGCGTATTTGATGGCTGGGTGTCTCTTGCCGCGCATGGTGTATGCAAAGTTACAGAAAGCGAGGCACCTAATGGCAGAGACAGCCGTCCTGGCTCATCATGCATCTGACCAACAGGCAGGCATACACCCCTATACGCTTGCGCAGATGCCAGATCCCCATTCAGATACCAGCTTGTTGATTGTTGTCAGCAATGTTCATCACAGCAAAATGCGGTGCATGAACCCAATTGAGAACAGGCTGACACCACAGCACATCATGCAAGGGCAAGAACGCGACAACCTGTTCATCATAAGTCCAGATGAGGTAGTGGCTGACCCCAGTGCCATTTGTGCAAGGTTTAGCAATGTCAACCACTGGGCTGACGCATTGGCGCCTGTGCAGGCTGAAGGTGAGCAAGAATGGGTTTGCGGGCCAAGCGTTGGGCGAGTCGTGCGCCGGCCGCTGCGAGGCGCCGCCGGGCGCCATCGCAGATGCAGTCAACGCCCTCATGGATGCGCTCCACTTTCCAGCCGCCGCCACCATCAACTCCCAGGTAACCGCTCCTCCCTCCTCCCTCAGTGCCACAAAATTTTTTCTCCTATGCTGATTGACAGATGTTCCATTGGGGGCAAGCTTCCATATTGGAGCTGGAGCAGCAAGAGGGCATCCGCGGGGAGCCAAGACAGTGGCGACAGAGCGATGAGGAGCTCCTGCGCTGGTGCCAAGGGCGCAAAGGCTTCCCATTCGTGGATGCATGCATGCGCGAGCTGGCCGCCAACGGTTACATGAGGCATCTCAGCAAATTTGTGCTTACTTTCCAAAAGCTTTCTATTCTTGTTGATGTGCCTGCAGAGCATAAAGATTCATTAAGACCATTTATACAAGCGATTGAGCCTTTTTTGTGCGCAGGCAATGGGGCACAAACTGGCAGGTTGGAGCTGCGCGGTTTGAGACATTCTGGTGGACCATCACTGGGCGGTGAACACAGTAAACTGGGCAAACTTTGCTGGGGTGGGAAACGATCCCCGTGACCGTATCTCACCCCACTGTCAGGGAATGACCTACAATTCAGAAGCGCAGCACACCAAGAACTGGGTGCCTAAGCATCATTAGTCTTCCAGGGGATTTTGCGCACAGGCTCTGGGAATTGAAAAAGGGTGCTGCAGAGGCGTGTGGCTTTGCCCTATGCGGGGACTATGTGCCTTCCTTGCTGATGCGTCAACACAGATTGCGGTGAATTACGGCATAAAGTAGTGTAGTGCAAGTCATTATTTCCCCAGAACTGCTTCATTGCTCCCTGTATTTGTACAATATTCACTCATATCGTGCTGTGCGCAGGCATGCCTTCATGAGCTTCAGCTGCATAATGTACTACAATGTTAGAAAGGCTAGTTCCAGTTTTTGTGTCCTTTGCCAGAAAGTGCAGATCCTCAAATCATTGATATCTCCTTTAGCAAGGTCCTAACGTCTCTTATGAACACCCAGACATCCTTGGAGTTCCATGCATGCGCACACAGTTTGCAAGATAACGACAGCCAGTACTGTCACTAGTGTCACTACGGTAGCACGGTGTGCTATGCACATTAGTGTACATGTACAGGCAATTCAACTTATCACTTGCTTGCCATGTTTCAGGGAAATATTGGGCTTACGACGGATACAGGACATTTTGATGTGATTTAGCGCATCTGCTACTGCGACATACAGGATTGGGGGTTATGCTTCTTAAATCCTCCTCTTGCCAAACCAATGAGGGTGGGATCCACGTGGACGATGTGCACAATGTTTATCAAGATGTTTCCTGAGATAGTACTTCATAGCTGCGGTGCCCAGATATAAGGTAGCATTGCTTCACTTGAAATTTTCTTTGTAAGACTTGAAGCCTGCGACTGCAGCCTCTTCGTCTTCATTGGATGGTGTTGCCAATGCTGCTTCCCATGCGGCATCCCACTCTTTGCGCTCTTCCTCAGAAGGCCCTGCAAGGAACTAGCAAAGTCTAAGCAGGAAGGCACAGGATTGGCACATTATCTGCAGCATGCGCTGTTGTAAGACCGGCAACAGGAATCAGCACCATACTTGGGCCGATGCATGGTGTGCCAGGAAACTGGGCCTTCTGGCGCGCAACATACCCCTTCCACCAGTCTTCATCCTGCGTTGCATGAAAGATCAAGCAGTAAAGCGTAACACAGATTCCTGAAAGAGAAGAACCATACAGCCATATCGGTGAAAACGGTACGAGCGCATCAAACTTACATAAATGCCTTCCTTTGGAAACCCTGGATCTTCATCAGCTCCATGGGTGGCAGCTGTCTTTGAAGGAACAGGATCCTTTCCTCTCAAGATCCTGAAAGCGCCCTTTGCCTTCGCCTTGAACTTCTCAAAACTTCCTGGCTGCAAGCAGAAAACCACTGGTGAGGGTCGCAATCAAGAGAGATATAAAGACAGGGAAAGAATCTGCAAAATAGGAATGTTACTCACCGGATCCGGTGATCCAGAGCTGGTTCCTCTTGACATCATTTCCTTTGTGTATGTTTCCCTAGAGAATACGCAAAAATACCTGTTGTACTGAACTATGATCCAACGATATCGCGTGCACAGTCCAACTTTCCCATGAGCAAAAGAATAAAGTTCAAGCAAGGGGCAAACCCTACCCAGACGAAAGGTGATAACAGAGGGGGACTGCTTTTTGGGATCACAATCACGCAATCTGTTCCAGAGGTATGCAGACAAGGCAGAGCGGGCGCCAGGAGATAGAAGGAAGGGCTGCCTCGCAAGTGCATGTCATGCAACAACAACAAAATGATTCCCCGGCCCAGGAGCACTAGATGACCTTACTGCATACTTGCATACAAGCCTTGAGTGTGGCTAGGTGAGGGTTAGGGGCACACAGGCAGGCGTGAGGTCAGCCCCAGGCGGCAAGCAGCGTGGCCGCGAATGCAGTCAATTCCTGGGCCGGAGCAGAAGTGATACGGAGGGCCAATCCCAGTGGAAAGGCAGCAGAGTATAGATGGAGGTGCAGGATATCAAGAGCAGGCAAGGGAAAAAACCATGGTGGAGCGGCAGGAAATAATCGCTGGAGGGCAGCCTGACATGATGTGGAGCAATGCAGGAGCATTTGAACAGACAAAAATAATACAATGCCTAGCAGCCTGACCATTTACAAAGCACGGCAGCCAGCAGTATGTCCGCAGATATGTCTAGACCCAAGCTAACGTCCCAAACTAGGTACTTTAAAGAAATTTCTCGACTTTGTTTCTTTGAGGCTCAGAGAGAAGAGAGAGGGAATTGACGTGATATGGAAATTTTAGCAATTGGTACTTAGTCATCTCTGTGCAGCACAAGAATTCCATATGCCATAGAGGTATTTCCAGGCTGAGCAGCTAGCTGCTGGTTGCCTGACACATATGGGTGCAGGCTGGGGCATGATCTACATGTGGGAAACACCTGAATCCAAGGACGATGATGTGTGCGGCTGATTAAGGGCAGAGGCGGGACGTAATGTGTTTGCAAGTAAGTGGCCTTCCTGAGTCCTCCGAGGAGTACCTACCTATGGAGAGTAAGCACACTGAGCTTGAATGAAGATTTAGTAGCATCTGATTCTGTCTAGAACCTGTATAAATAGACAAAGCTACTCAGTGAAGCTGCAACAACCATAGTTGCACGACACGGCTGGTCAAAATGTGGACATGTGCCAGGTGTCGTGCAACTATGGCAACACCTGTGGTACCTGCTCTAGTTCTTCTAGCCCCATGTGCCAGCAGCCCTGATCACGACAGGCTTTATTGCAAGGTGGTGACAATAGCAACTTTTACAGACTTCAGCTGCTGCAGCTGCACATGCGCAATTCTGATGTGATTTTGTACCGCATCAGCTTCTGGGATTATTCTCAGGACAAGTGTCCCCTAAATGCAGTTTTGTCAGACACTCTCATTCAGCAGGTTTGCATATGCAATGCCAGCCAGACATCTTGTCAATTCATCAGGCAACATCACAGCAGGGTTCCACCCAGATGCGCGAGGACCAGTGCCTGCAAGTCCTGCAACTGCTTGGGTGTCACTGACTTGGGGTTCCCAACCTCATCGGTATAGGGCGTCAGTAGCCGCTGTGCATCCGACCACCGTAGCTTGGATATCAGTGCATATGATTCCTGCAGAAAACGAAAGAAATGTCAAGACAAAAGAGTCTTCCCATTGCCAAATTCACAGCTCTTAGACCACACCTGGGAAAACTTTCAGGTGATGCTAGAATAGCCCTGTGCTGGAAGGTGTCCATTTGCAATGGCATGGCAGTGTCACAGATATGTTTCAGCTTACCTCTTTGAGCTTCATCACTTTTGGACTTGGCATCATCTTCTTTGATGTCAAAGGAACTGTCAAGTAGCGGAGACTGCAAGGGCTAGCCTTGACAACGACAACTGGTCTTGTAGGTTGTGCTACAGTGCCGTTATTTCCTTGTTCGTGGTCAATCTTGCTGCTAATGCGGCACCCGTCGTGGCTGGGAACAGTGCACCCCTGTGTGATATAGTTGTCGCCTTGTATTTTACTGTAAGATTCGTTGTCAGCTCTGGCAACAGAACCTGCAAATCGTAAATTGTCGGTATGCAAGTAAGAAGCCCAAGGAGACCATCACTGGATGAAAGTTGATCCCTTCGTAGATGGGCAAGATTTATCGTCCAAGGACATTGTTGCGTTCACACACCTTCAGGGATCGGATGATTCATTGCAGCACACTCTCAGAATGGCTCAAGACAAGTTGGTATGACCATCAGGACACTGACACATGACCCAATACTCATGGCAAAACCATGCGATCTGCAGTATTTTGGGCAGAGCACAGACATCTGTGCCGTGCACAGTACACGAGTCTAGTACCTTGCATGAACAACAGTACGATAGGTCCTAGATCAGCTCTTGCTGCAAGCCCTGCAGCAGAAGCACGTGCAGTAGCCCTATATATATACGTAGGGTATATATAGGGGTACTCACTAGTAAGGACATGCGGGTCCCAAGAATCAACGTTGTTTGTTCAAACAACAGTGCCTTCCCGCAGACGAGTCAGGAAGTTCTCCCTCGGAATCCAAGCGTTTCGGAAATTTGGAAGTCTTGTATTTTGCTAAAATTCCACCAGTATCCATCGACCTCCAATGACGGGTGGGTCTCTCAGACAGCGAATCCAGAAGCTCAAGGATTTCATCACGGAGCCCACAAGTGTAAGTTACTCCAAATAGATGAAAATCTGTTATTTTCTAAAGGCCCTAGTCGCTCACAAGTGCAGCTTTTGGATGCCTTGCCTGACTGTGTGTTCAGGATCCGGAAGAAGACTTCTGGAATAAACATTACTCGAAGAACCGAAAGAGACTCGAGAGCCGAAACATTCTCGTCATTGGCCCAAGTATGTGGTTGAATCGGCAAAATTTCTTCCCACTCTGTGTCTGCCTCAATCCTTCTGCAGCTGCTTCTCACACAAGTGTTGCTGACAGATCCAACGCCACAGCAGATGGAGGAGTACCGCAAAAGGGAGGTGTACAACTCCGTTCCAGATCAGGAGCAATTCGGAAGGTATATCGATCGAAGTGATGAAGAGGAGACCGCTCCCAAAAAAAGGTTCACAGTGTGTGGAGTCCCTCTGGCAGGCAAGGAATCACTCTCTAGGTGCCCGATCTCTTTACAACGCATGCCACTGGCCATAAAATTGCTGCAAGGGAGTGAAAGAAATTCTGCCAAAAATTTGAAGCCAAGTCATTACATTCCACACGTGTGTGTGAACTGAGCAGGTTGAAGCTCTACTACTTCATGCATGAAGATGATGCCGTGTGTATAAGACACCTGGTGGCCTAGGTGAGGCAATGCTCAGCAATGTGAGTTGTAAGCAGTCCACTGTCCATAGCCGGCAGAATGAACGTCATAGTCAAGCAGAACATGGGGTGTCAGGTCACTAAGGGTTGTCCATGCTGCGACTGTGAATAGCTGAATGAATCATTTCAAACATCAGAAATGTTTGGGCCTGGCAGTGGTATAGTTAGTTTCAGTATTGCCTTCCAACAGCCCGTGTTGAGAACATTTTGGAGCCCACGTGGTGCACCTGCAGTGCAGATTTGCTGCAATGGAAAAAAAAATGCAAACACAAACATGACACCCTCACAGCATTTGCAATTGCCTTGGTTACACGCTCACAAAAGCATAGAGTGCTCTTGAGCTTCCTTGCAAAACCAAAGGATTGGAATACATTGTTTGTTAATGGGTCACAGCGCAGTCCCTATATAGAAGAAAAAGGATTGAGAATTTCAAATTATGGAACGAGAGGTATGTCATCCCCACCAAATATCCTGATGTCACGAACACCGATGGCACAGCGCTGGGAAATATTTGATGAAAGCCAGAACACAGGGCTCAAGCCTATCCTATGAGGAGGTGAAGGGTTGGTAAGAACGCTACAACGAAGATCCGCAATCCACAGGAGACTGCGCACACCGCAGGACAAAGCCCTGCTTAGACAAGAAGCTTCGTGAAGCCACGCCACCTAAAGTCCAGCACCCATTCCTGAGCGTGCCTTGCAACAAGGGCATCCATCGATGCCTGCTTGAATGCTAGACCAGATCAGATGGCATGCAAGTCAAATCATCAAGCAAGAAGAGAATTCACTTAAGGTGCACTGTGCGTTGTGGTGTGCCATGATCCCGCTGCATCTGGTATGCTCTGTGGACCATGTAGTGCAACAGCTGCATGATTGTGGGAGCCTCTGCTGACCTGGCGAAGGGCTGCAAGTATGCAGCACCGCTGGCTGCTCATGCGAGCGCCAGAATAAAATAATGATTCCCCCAATTCCGATTCGAGTCTGTGCCACTCTGCGACATCTTGCTCTCTTCCAAAGTTTGGCACATTCTCATCTGCTAACGCATATCATTCACCTGTGAGCAGGATATCAAACTGCTCGCGCTCCTCAGCAGCATCTGCACTCTCTATCGTCTTTGCCCGCTCGCAATTAAGGCATTTGTCTCATCGGGCCTCACGATGATGTTGGCGGCCCTCACGGGGGTGCTCACCAATGTGCGTCCACGTTTTGTAGCCTGCCCAAATCCAGATCGAAGTGTAGAAAGCACTTCGGAGCACCAGCGAATTCACATAGCAATTGAGGTTGAAATACAAAGGCATTTTTGATGGGGTTCATGTGCGTACCACTCTACTTGGCAGCCGCTCATCATGGTTGGCAACATAGCACAGTACGACAACCTTCATAACAGGGCACTGTCTGGCTCATTTTAAATGCAATGTCGCAGTCACGCAAGAGTCTGCTCAGCAGTGTTCCCAACTTTTACCTCTGCCGACCCTTGACATGAGCCGCTGCCAGGAAGATGCTGCCACCGCCCCAGGTCCGTCCTAGCTCCAGCAGATCCACCACACAGTCCAGGTCGGCCAGCCTCTCCAGAAAAGAGGGTCCCCGGAAGTAGGGCGCCACGTCGCACTTGTCCACATCCCCTGCCTTGATGGCGCACTCCACATTCATGTACCTACGAGCAAACAAAATGCTGTATCGCCGAATATGGGAGACAGTCTCTTCCATGAAATGCTGGGAGAACCTGCATGCGCAGAAGGGCATTGACAGAAGCGCACCAACCAAGCATAAATGGACTGCTTTCTGTGTGGGCGAGGGCCATGCTGAGGTTCAGCTCATCGATGGGCACCAGAGACGGGTCAAGAAGTCGGCTGCCGCTGCTGCTGGTCAACTCAGCGCTTTGTCGTTTTGCCTTTTGTCGCTGCCTCTTCCCAGCCCTCGGTTCACGATCCTTGTCGTTCCTGCGCTTCCTCTCCGGCACCTCTTCCTTCTCCAAGCGTAGCACCTCGCTCTCCGTCATCTTCGTGCGGGCCGGTCACGTTCTTGAAACAGAGGATGCCAGTCTCCTAGAGGACCGCTGAGGAGGGAAAACTCGCAGTGAACAGCCGCCTGACCTAAGGTGTGGGTTTTCATGCGCCTCAAAAACAGTATACATTGTCTGCTTTGTGCGCTGGGGCTTGCCGTGCGTATCCTGCATCTCTTGCTCCCTGTGCACCATGTGGTACAGCAGCATTATGATGGTGGGGTCTGTGGCTGTGCTGTGGAAAGCTCTGGTGCAGCGCAGCAAATTCTGCTGCTCGGGCATGCGCCAGAAGATTACGGTGCTGTCAAAGCCCGTCAAGAAGCCATGCCAGCTTTCATATGCGTCCAGGTATGTGGACACCTGCAGATCTAGATGCACACTTGACTTTATCCACTGAAGCAGCCACATGACGCCAGAGTGCACCAGGTCAACAGAAGGGCAGGACGCACACCTGGTCGACGTAGTGTTTGATGCAGAGGTTTCAGTCGTGATAAGCTGCCTCCACGCTGACACAGAGAAGAAATTTGAGCAAATGTTCCCTCTTGCCTTCCCCAACTGGGCTATTTTGTTGAATCCACCTGATATCGCGGAATAAGCCCAAGTGAGTGGGAGCCTGCGATCACAGATTGTCTGGATCAAGGTCCTTCTCCCAGGTCTTTCTATTTGGGCAAGAACGTGCAGGATCACATATTGATTATAATCAGCGGTTCCCAAGGTCGATGGCACCTGCACCTGCTGTCTTCCTGTTGGAGTGACCGTGGCACCCGTGTTGAGGCCTTCCCTTTGGCAAATGGAATTCAAAGCCACCAGGAAAGCCACATAGAAGGCAGAATTGCTCGCCGCCTCCCCCAATGTGATCTGCACAAGCAGGGAACCATCAAGTTAGTACTAATTGGATGAGTTACTGTAAACTTGTCCTGTACTCGTAATGCTGAACGATGTGTAGCAAACATGTCTGCACAGACGCCTCCAAGCATGTTGTCTGGCACAGCCTGGCAGTCAGCAGGGGACCTGTGTCTTCCCCCAGACATTTGTAGCGCGCAAGAGCTCTGCTCTCAAAGCTGTCGTCCTCCACCAGGCCGACCATACTCGTGACGTAACTGGATGCCGTTTTGCTCTCCGCATAGGGGGTGATTAAGGTCAACTTTGGTGCGGCTGTAGCAAGGACTGCTTCCTTGGGGGCATCAAGTCATCAAGGTGTTGGATCGCTTTACCTTTCTACTGCGCTAATTTAATCGTAATCAAACAATGCCACATATTCTGCTTGATTTGCTAGAATCTCTTGGGGCAATATTGTGATGTATGTTGCACAGGCAGCAGGCTTGTTCTTTAAGGGGAATGAAATTTTCCTTTACGAACGACGAAGGTGATGAATATATCGTGCAGTATCCCATACTGATAAAAATCTCTGCTGTTGTGTACACTACTTGAGTCTCTCAGATATTTTATTGTGAATTTTTTCTTGCAAACCCAGAATGTGACATGCAGGGCATGGATACCGGAGGGTGAAGGCGAATTTGCACATGTGTCAGAGCATACAGTGTGACCAGCAGTGCAGCGCTGGGACAGCCAAACTTTTCCTTGCACAAATTCATGCTAGTGACTCAGTATGGGACAGCCTGCTTCAAGTTTAGAACGAGGGATTCAACTTTGGCTTCAAGACACTCATGCAAGCTTTAATACATGGACACAAGCACACAAGCTCGCATGCCTGTAGCTTGAGTGCGTCCCTGTCACATGGACGGTCCCCCGTTCACAGACACTCTGCATCACTTCTTGGATTGCTTCCTCCGGCCATTGGACACGACAGCAATGCTCTTGCGCTTGGCATTGCTGGTGGGCTGGCTGGCTGCTTCCTTCTCTACTCCTTTGCTGTACTTCAAGGGCTTGATCACAACGCCTGGCGTCTTCAGGATCTTGGGCCGCGTCATGTCCCTGAAGGCATGCAAGGCACAACTCAGCCAATGCCACCGCGTGCTTTCCTCACACCACAATTTGCAACTGCTGAACAGCTTGCTGTCCCAAAACAAACAGAGTGCTGCCCGGGCACAAAAGGATGTATAAAAGTACTCATCTTCTGCATGGGGCCCGCAGGGATAGAGTACGTGCAACAGCACTTTTCATCTACGCCCCCAGGGTAAGCGATTCTGACGAGCGTCAATCAAAGGACCAAGGAGATTGTAAAAGGGTCTTCCTTCATACAATACTCCCTTGGAAGGACATCCGCACTGGATGTTTGTGTGGGCTGGGAATGTGCGCGCACCTGAAGGAGGAGTCTGTATTGAAGTCGCGGCCGAGCGGCTGGCGGATGCTGCGCTCGTAGACGTCCTTGGACCCGAAAGGGAATGGCACCGACGGCGTCGCATACTTGGCCGCCTTCTTGTCGTAGCGCTCCGTTATTATCACCGCCGCCAGCCGTGCATCCTTGCGTTTGCCAATCGCATCCTGCCGATTCCTGCGCACATTGGACTTTGCTTGGATCTGGCGAGTCCATCAAGGGGTAGAATATGGGGCAGCCTCAACCTGCAGTTTGTCTGCAGACGCACATTCCCTCTAGCAGGCACAGCGTGTAAATAAAATTGTGATGCGCACTAACTCAGAGGCAAGGCAATTTCATGATGATCCCTCATGCCATTCCAAGGTGCGATGGCTGCATGTCAACACAGCAGCTCCCTCACAACAGCTCCCTCGCTCACCCACACCACCCAATCTAGACAGGACCGCTGGCGCTTGCAATTTGACGTGTCGGAGTATTACAAGGAATCGCTTTTAGCGCTCAAATTGAATAGCAATATGCAGACTCACGCTTTGCACACAGTACAGGACAGCATGCATGAATTATCCCTTACGCGTCTTAATAGCAACATTCTTGACCACAGTCTGTGATTGAGGACAGCAAGCAGAGACTCATCAATGGCCGGCTTGCAACCCATATCATATGGCTCAAGTTTCAGTGGACTGCAGAAGGGTGTGGGTCGGCTCACCTGACAGCCTTGTCCTGGGCTTTGGCCATCCAGCCAGGGGTGCGCTGCTGCCCCGCCCATGCGCCCCAACCGGGCAGCAGAGAAGGCGCATCCGCTGGTGGCGCCTCTGCCTCCGCCTCGCGCGCCTGCATGCACACTTGCTTAGTGTCATCATATTGCTGCCGGACGAATGAGCCCAACGGCAGATTGCAGCCAGCAAGATGCGGCGCTGCAAGCAACCTCATCTGCAAGCTGCCATCCTTCTGGTAAATCAGCTGGCATCATCGCCCTCCTTACAGATCGTTCAAAAGGTTCACTCCATGGCTGAGAGTTTCTGATATCTGCACACTTTTCCAGGGCAGCGAGAAAGCATGCACACAATTCGATGCGGGTGAGCACCTTTTCCTCGGCAAACTCTGCCTGCACATCGTCCCCAGCGAATGCGCGCGCGATGAGCTCGCGCTGACTCAGTTCCGTGCCCACCCTGATGGGTATCATGTCCTCGTCCTCGACAGCATCTGCGGTGTGCCCGTTGGCCAGGGGCCTGTCCTCTGCGCTCTTCCTTCTCCCTGTCCCCAGTCCTCCGTTTGTGGACGGCTGCTTGGAGGACCTGTGCGACCAGAGAGATTCATCATGGGCCTTTAAGAAAATTTCCCAGCATTGGAAAAGTCAAATGATGATGGCCCATTTGAAGCATCATGTGTTTCGATTCAGCCAAGATGCTACAAAGAAGATGGTGAAGAAGAGAAAAAAGCCCAAAAGCAGGGAAGCACCTGTCAAGGTAGTATCCAAGGCCCTGAGCGCCTTTCTGGAAGATGTAACCCTCTCGCGGCCCCTTGAACTCCTTCTCGGGCATAAAGTCTGCCTCGCCCCTGCTTGCGGCCTGCGCAGCCTCTCTGGCGTCTGCCGCTGCTTCCTGTGCTGGCTTGGGTCCCACGCTCACCTTGCCAGTGCTCATAGTCTTGGCTGCCTTTTCATTCTTCTTGGCACCTGCACAAACCTTCATGTGTGAGCCTATGAACCTCTTTGAGCTGATCTCAAACCTGTGCGGACAGAATACTATACAAGTGGGCTTCAGCTGAGATATACGAACAAGATTCCTCTCGGAAAGGCTATTGTGATGTGGCATCGCACCAGGCTGCGCAGCCAGGAGCTGCTCTCGCTGCTGCCTCGCCACTGCGGCAAAGACATCCCTGCTGCCACCGTTGACCCCACTCGCCACCAGTGCAGCCTCCCCACCAATGTCGTCCACGTCTGCTGGCTGCTGCTGGCTCGCTGACCTCGTGCGCCTGCGGCTGACCTGTTCATCGCTTTGCACCGCGACCGGCCCTTCAGTGATGCACACCCTGCTGTCTCCTGCCTCATCAGGCTCCGTGGTGCCGGCCTCGCTGCGCGTCCCTTTGCGTTTGGCGCGCACCCCTTGGCCCTCGGAGACCGCGGCGCGCACCCGAGCCTCGGCCGCCTGCCTGCCGGATGTGGACGGCTGCGCGCCCTGATCTGTGCCGGCCAGCCGCCGCCCCATCCGCTCCGCCTTTGCATCAGCATCCTCGTCCTCATCGGACACTTCCGCGTCGCTGCTTGCCTCATCGGACTCCTGGATGACAAACAACCACCTCAATCCCACTGGCAGCGTCAGAGGTGCAAGATGCTGGTAGATGCGCAATCATGAACGTTTTGGACAGACAATAGGGCTTGCCATCCTCCAGATGCTTGATAATGCGTGCAAGAACAACAAAGGCAGTGCATCTGCACCTGATCCTGTGGCTGCTGCCGGCCGGATCCAAAGCGCAACCGGCCGCTGCGCTCGGCAGGCTCCGCTGCGGTCCAGTCATCCTCGCCATCTGAGCCGGCACCGGCACGCGCATCGGCCGCCTCCAGCTCGCGCAGCATGGCGGCCGCGTCGGCCTGCGCCTGCGCGCGCCGCCGCTCCTGCGCTCGCCGCATGAACGGAAGCCCGAAGAGTCCCTTGGTCGGCTGCTCCCCCTCCTCGCCACCCCCTGCGCACAGCAGCTCACACCCGTCAGCATGGCCTCCCCAACTGTATCACCCTAGCATGCTCCCGCCTGCACTGCTGACAAATTTCCAGGCATCCCTTCTGAACACTTCAAGACACAGCAAGCCTCCCAGCACACCTGGTTAATGATCTCCTGTGGCCGTAATATACATCAAAAAGACAACTTAGCATTGCTGAACAACGTTGCAGACAGCATGCCTGTTCATAACAGTGAGACGCACCATTGATGATGTCGAGGGCGGCAACCTTCATCTTGGCTGCGGCGCGCCTGCTGTGCGGCCGGGCCTCGGCGCCCTCCGCAGCTTCCTCTTCGTCGTCGGATGCATCGGTGGCGCTGCTGCCTGACTCATCCTCCGACTCTGTGTCTGGCCGCTCCACCTTGCGCCGCAGCTCCTGCCCCAGCCGCAGCTGCTCCGCAATTGCATCCTGCGTCCCTGAAACACCGAGCTGCAAATCTCAGCACTTGGCTTTTGCGCCACTATTTCATACTATATCTCAAGCACATTCCGAGGTCATGACTTGTGCTTGAATGAGAGGCAGCACAGGCCTCCACATGAGCACGTTAGGCCCATGTTCAGAACAGGTGACTGTCATGCCTCTCGTGTGGTCGGCAGGGGGATCAATAAATCGTTGTTATTGTCATACGTACAGTGCCAAGCAACAATGTTGCTGTGGGGGGGGATTCTTTGTGGGTAGGGGAAGGGGGCGCACCTTCGTCGGTGATGTTGATGCCGCGCTTGAGCGCGCGACGTGCCCACTTGCTGGTGTTTCTGTGCTTGAGCGTCAGGCGCTCCTTGGCGCGCGTGAATTCTGCATCCTCCGCCGCCAGGCGCAGCTGCTCGTTGTCCCCCAGGTCCCCCGCCTTCTTAGCCTGGCCAGAACACACATTGATATTAGCATCATATCTTCTCAGCCTAATTCTCACTCAATCTGCACTGCTTTCTTGAGGCTGAATTTGATAGCGGCCCGCTCATGCAAAGTCAGGTCCAGAGCAGCTATAGAGACCATGCAGGGGTTCCAGAAAGAAGAACTGCTTTTGCACTGCGCCTAATGCAACAGAAGGAAGGAGCACATATCTCAGCAGGTAAGTTAATGTGCCTGATCATCGTAAAGTCAGGGGTCCAACTCCCTTCTTGCGCATCAGGGAGGCAGGTAGCAGAAGCACCTTGGTTTTGGCGGCGCGCTGGGCTCGGCGGTGGTAGTCCTTGGACTTGATCCTGGCGAGGTGCTTGAGCTTGATCTCCTGGTGGAACAGCAGACTGCGCATCTTGGCCAGCCGCTCTCTCCGCGACTTTGCCTCCTCCACACTCTGAGCCTGCGCATGCGCCGATGCTGACTCATCAGCAAACCCGCGCAGTGGCTTTACCATCCATAATCTTGAAGCATAGAAATTGCAACGGGATTCTCATTTCTACCACAGAGTGTTTCAGGGTTGAGATGTCTGAGGAATTTTGCTCCTTTGGTTGTGCTGCTCACACAGCATCCAGCAAGATGCGAGACTCTTTCTGATCTACCCACCATGCCACAGAGAACCGGGCAGCCATGAAGAGGAACTGGCCTAGCTATGCATGCATGCCCATCAGTGACTTCACGATGAGCAGAATAAATTATATTTTGTGGGGAAGTTAAAAGTCGAGCCAGGCTCCACCTTGAGAGCGAGGGCCTCCTCGGCCTCGGCCACGGCCTGCTCGTTGTGCGCGCCGGCCGCCTCCAGCATGACGGCAATCTCCCGCTCGAAATCGCGCGCCGGCGCAAACTTGGCCGTCAGCGCGGCCGTGGTGCTGGTGCGCTGCACATCCTCGCGACCGGTCGCAAATTTCAGCGTGGCCGCCTCCCGATTCGCCTTGACGATGCTCTGCCACTTGGTCACGTCCTTCGCCGTCTCCTCGTACCTGCATTGCACAGGTGATTACATGCTAAGCGAGCTGATCATTGAAAGGGCTTGCCACTAGGCAACCCCAGTCAGACCTGCATGTCCTGACAGTCGTGTGGTGCAGCAGACATCCTCCCTCTCCCCATCATCGACCAGCCAGGATGGATGCAGCCTGCCACCCATACTTGATGACTTCGTCTCCTTGCACTGCCCCCCAGAGATTACTATGCTGGGTATATTGGCTTTGTCTGATCTGTCAATCGCAGTCAGGTTGACAAAAAAGAGCACTATATATTGAGTACATCAAGGCCGCATGCTTAACGGTAACGATGCTTTCAAGAAACAGTGATGCTCAGTGTTGGATGCAGTAGGTGTGAATGCGTGGGCGCACCCGGCCTGACGCTGCACGCGGTTGGCAACAACGGGCGGGAGGGGCGCTGCCACAGGTTGCAAGCGCTTGTCAAGTCGCTCCAGCCTCTTGCGCGCGGCGCCCAGCTTGGCCCTGTCCGTACCCAGAGCCTCCACCATGTCGCTGAAGCGCAGCTCTCCCCCAGCATCCCCTGCATGCCCAACCTCATATGTCATGTCCATTAATACACCCCCACTCTTGGAATTAGATGCAAGCATCACACTCAGATCCTGTCCATAGCAATAACCATGCCAGCTCTTTAATCTTCCAAATTGGGAGAACAAAGCCTGTACAGATGCAACATGCCATGTCTGGCTCAAGTCTGGGGCTTACCTGCAGATGCCACGGCGGGCTGCAGGTTGTACTCAGACTCTGGGTAGACCTCGTTCAGCAATGTGGTGGCCCTGCGGCGCTCCGCCCCCCGGGGGCCGCTGCCGGCGACTGCAGCGCTGACATCAGCAAGCATGCGCTGATGTCGGTCTTCGTCCTCTGACTGCTCCTGCTCTTCCTCCTCGTCCTCTGAGAAGGCACCCTCAGCTTCTTCTGGCTCGGCAGCTGCGCCCTCCGCTGCGCCCTCCTCCTGCCGTACACCACAAACAATGCTCGGGTCTTTGCACGATCTCAAATGCTGCAGCCAGACAGTTGAGCTGCTCTGCATGCAATCTATAGGAAGCAAGCTTCTTGTGGGGGTTATCACCAGCTGACTGCTAGATTTTACCCCTCCAGCATTTGTTTGTGCTTGTCAGGGGTCATCAGCCAGCATGCAAAGGCCTCACCGGCTCCGAGAAGTCATCTGTGTTGTACTCCTCTTCGTCTACATCACTCTCTTCGCTCTCGAGCAGGTCAGGGCTCGCGGCCTTTGCTTTGTCCTTGCCCTTCCCCTTCCCCTTGCCCTTTCCCCCGTCAAGATTCCAGTCAGCATACAGCTTCTTGTCCTCCTCTGTGAAAGCAGCTTCCTCATCAATTTCCTCATCCTCAAAGTCTGAGGGCAGCTCGTACTCGTAGTTTTCCACCACCTACACCCCAAGTGCAGAAGGGAAGTCAATGTCGGGCGAGTATCGCGCAATAAGCAAGATAGTGTTATAGACTTCATTATATATCGTTTTCTATACGTTTGATCGTTGCAGTGTCTGACAGGTGACACTGTTTAAGTAAATAACTGGCTTAGTGTTTTACTAACCAGGTTTTAACACATTTCAACTGGACATAAATATCCGAAATCATACAACAAGATTGAATATCTCTGAAAACTTACATCATAGCGTTGACCCGCATGTTTCTCTTCGTCAGGCACCAGGTCATAATCATCTGCTTCGTATAAATCCGCAGGCGGCCCTCCAGCCTTTCTCCTGCCACCTTTCTTCGCCATCTTATTATTCTTTCTTTCCCACAATCCTAAAATTTCTTACATTGCAGCAAGGTGCAGAATGAAGCAGCAGCTTGGCCGCCGAGATCAGGGGTCGGTGAAGTGGAGAACTCCGACACCGACATGGCACTTGGACTCCATTCGGCAACAGAGAAGGCATTCTGGACCAATCTCCAGTATAATTTGTATCTGATGAAGTAAGAGCACAAACACACCCTTATCAATGTAGGCCTGAGCTGCACAGCCTGAATTTCATGAGATGCTCTTTGCTTGATCCTCGTGATCAGCAAGACCCTCGTTCCCGATCAAGCTTCTGACGTGCAAAACCTTTGCACTGGCGTAAACGTCATTGTTGTTGGCAGTGCATTCATGGCTTCCACAATGTTTGTGGAAGTCCTGCCCGATCCCCTTGAGCTAAATAAGTATGTAGGCTTTGTGGAGGACAATGGATCTGGCGCGATCGCCACTTTCATGGGGGTGACACGTGACAACTTTGATGGGAAGAAAGTCTTGAGCCTGTCATATGAAGCTTACGTTCCGATGGCTGAAAAGGAGATGCAGGTGAATGCATGCAAGAGTAGGCAGACCTCGACAATCCCTATGTCCCATGAGTCTTTCATCAGCACTAGCTTCTCACTCCTTGAGCGATGTGGGAACCCAACAGGTAATTTGCAGAAAAGCGCACGATAAGTGGGACTTGAAGAAGATGGCTGTGGCACATCGGATTGGACATGTCGGTGTTGGGGAGCCGAGTGTTATCATTGCAGTCTCATCAGCACACAGGAGGGAAGCTCTGGAGGTAGGCACACCTCTCAAACCAAGGTGTTGTTCCAAGGTACTGTTGCTTCGCCTCCATGTTTCAGTCTATTGTGCTATTGCATGCGCAACCTTTCTGTCCCGGGGTACAGGCGTGCCACTGGGCCATCGATGAGCTGAAAGCCACTGTTCCCATATGGAAGAAGGAGCTCTATGAGGGCGGTGAAGTCTGGAAAGAGAACAGTGAATCCCGCAATGCACAGCGGAGTGATCAAGTATAGAATGGAGTACATTAAAAGCGCCGCAACGGAAGAACTGGTGCACAAACCACCAAGAATTCTTTATGAATGATCTTGTCTTCATTGAGGGAATTCCTTTCGAAAGGCTGAGCAGTGGCAGCGCAAACAGGAGGACCCTCCTGGGTCCGGGAGGAGAGAGGGTTCCTGGATCCAGGCTGTGTTTAGTGACATGACATGTCACTGACATCGCTCGGCTTGCAGTGGACCGAGACGTTGACATTTGTCTACATTGCTGATCGCTACCACATGTACAACAGGAGGCAACTGATTATGATACGAGTAGATGAAGACTTATCCAAAGATGACATCTAATTTACACTACAAGATTGCTCAGGCATATGCTACATAGCTGAAGAGCCAACTACCAAAATGTAATACAAACGCTACAATATGCCAAGCCATGAAAGCAGAAAATCAACCTCCGCAATCAGTTTTTCCCACCAACAAGCCATAGCCATGCACTAAACATACCGCAGAGTATGCATGCAATCTGATGATTTACACATCAGAATCCGCCACGCAGACGCAGCACCAAGTGCAGGGTGGACTCCTTCTGGATGTTGTAGTCAGCCAGAGTGCGGCCATCCTCGAGCTGCTTGCCGGCAAAGATCAGGCGCTGCTGGTCAGGGGGGATGCCCTCCTTGTCCTGGATCTTGCTCTTCACGTTCTCGATGGTGTCTGAAGACTCCACCTCCAGAGTGATAGTCTTGCCGGTCAGGGTCCTGCAGGCAGGAGCAACGACATGTCAGAACATGTTCCAGAGGGATGACAGTAAACCCGACAAACCGTACACCACAGCAACGACATCAGCAGACACAAATCATGAGCAGAGAAACAGACACGCACTTGACGAAGATCTGCATGCCTCCACGCAGACGCAGCACCAAGTGCAGGGTGGACTCCTTCTGGATGTTGTAGTCAGCCAGAGTGCGGCCATCCTCGAGCTGCTTGCCGGCAAAGATCAGGCGCTGCTGGTCAGGGGGGATGCCCTCCTTGTCCTGGATCTTGCTCTTCACGTTCTCGATGGTGTCTGAAGACTCCACCTCCAGAGTGATAGTCTTGCCGGTCAGGGTCCTGCAGGCAGGAGCAAAGACATGTCAAAACGTGCTCGAGAGGGATGACAGTAAACCCGACAAACAGTACACCACAGCAACAACATCAGCAGACACAAATCATGAGCAGAGAAACAGACACGCACTTGACGAAGATCTGCATGCCTCCACGCAGACGCAGCACCAAGTGCAGGGTAGACTCCTTCTGGATGTTGTAGTCAGCCAGAGTGCGGCCATCCTCGAGCTGCTTGCCGGCAAAGATCAGGCGCTGCTGGTCAGGGGGGATGCCCTCCTTGTCCTGAATCTTGCTCTTCACGTTCTCGATGGTGTCTGAAGACTCCACCTCCAGAGTGATAGTCTTGCCGGTCAGGGTCCTGCAGGCAGGAGCAACGACATGTCAGAACATGTTCCAGAGGGATGACAGTAAACCCGACAAACCGTACACCACAGCAACGACATCAGCAGACACAAATCATGAGCAGAGAAACAGACACGCACTTGACGAAGATCTGCATGCCTCCACGCAGACGCAGCACCAAGTGCAGGGTGGACTCCTTCTGGATGTTGTAGTCAGCCAGAGTGCGGCCATCCTCGAGCTGCTTGCCGGCAAAGATCAGGCGCTGCTGGTCAGGGGGGATGCCCTCCTTGTCCTGGATCTTGCTCTTCACATTCTCAATGGTGTCCGAAGACTCCACCTCCAGAGTGATGGTCTTGCCGGTCAGGGTCCTGCAGACGGGAAGAAATATATGAGCTCATAAAGAACACAGAATGTGTCACAACAGGTAATCACAGTGAGCAAATCAAGCCAGCGATACTGCGCAAGACGTGAGTGAGCCACAAAACACTTTGAACTGAGCCACGCAGCACTTGGAACTTACTTGACGAAGATCTGCATCTTTCAAGCTTGTCGATAGCTCTGCAAAACAAATCTGCACAAAGCACACATATGATCAGTTTTCAATGTGCTTCAAGAGCCTTCCAACCTTATTTAAAATCTATACTGCCCATAAAGTGTTGAAAAGAAGAAAGAAGAAAGCTACCATACAAAACGGAAGGCAAGCGAATGATGCATCAATGCTACTTCTCAAACACAACAATTTCCAGCAAAATCGACAGGCACCAGCAGAAAAGTGCCTGACTAAACTGTTCAAAAGTGATCCGCAAGAAAGCTCTTCGACGACCACGGCCGCCTTTAAAAGCGGACCGCCATATTTACCAGATACCGTTATAACGTCCAGAACGACAAACCAGTGCCAAGACAACCTCTGAGGACAAAAAGCCAAGATTAGAGGAAAACCTCTGCTCCACGTCCTCCCGTCAAATCGGCGGGCCAACACTGATGAGCCACACCGTCGGGCTAACTAGCTACAAAAATGCTCTCAATTACAACCTGGCAGGGAATCGAGAAGCAACAGCAGTGGGAAAAGACAATCTGGGTCAAAAGCTACCGCCAAGGCACCCTTGACCATAAACCCACACAGACCTCCAACATGATCACCAAAACCACTTGCACATCACTGTACATAGGGTATAAGGCCAACCATGCATGTCAGCCGCCTCAGGAGCACCTGTCTTGTAGGACAGATTCTGCTGACAAACCCGCGCACAGGAGGACAGAGCACTCTCACCTGATGATGCTCGGGCGCAAAGGACGTCAGGCTTGGCACGAAGCAGGAGCTGAGCAATAAATTTTGGGGCGAGGCTGCTGATTTTCTGAGATTTTGTTTGCGTGTGACAGAAGCTTCTCGGCTCCCACGCGCTTGACGGCGTTTTGGGAATGACTAGAGCCTGATTAGGTTACAGACAGGAGAACGGCACAGGAGACTGGTCAGCGTCCAGCTCCGAGACGAAGCCTGCTAGGATTTTGTTTTCTCGTAGTCGGATCACCGCCTGAAACTTCAACAGGTGACAGAGGGGCTTGATATGCATGAGATCGTAAAATGGTGCTGCGCCTGACGCGTGGTAGCTCGGAAATGAGCTGAGGGTAGTTCCGGAAAACATAGGACAAGATCTGTGGGCCCGTTTGTTCTCCTCTCAGCCGGCAGACAGGCGAAACGGAGCTACAGGAGAAGTATTGATAAACCTAATCTTAACGAACCCCATTGTCCCACGATCGCAAGGTGGGTGAAACAGGAATACGCTAGCTCGTTGATGCCTGTACTATCTTTCCAACACTTTGTATAATCGTTTGAATCATCGAATCAAGGCAGTGCATTGTTTCATCACTGATGTATATACCACTGAACCTCCGATGACTCCACAACTCTGGCCTGATAGCACAGTCAGAACATGCTTGTTCAGTGCACAGGTTGATCACAGGATCTGTTGGTGGTGGGTAGACAATAAAGGGAGTACATGAACACTCGCAGAATGGCTCAACTTTGGAGGACCACTATCGTGGCAGTGCTGCTGTGCACGCTTGCAGTGGGCTCGGCAAAGGCCAGGGAGCCCCATCGAGATTTGCACGGGTCACATAAGTCTGTTGCTGTCGCCGATGGGCGCCTTAGAAGCGCCGATGGGAATACCTACTTTGTAGTCCGTGCGTCCTAACGCCATCCGCTTGCTGTGCCACTCTTGCGCTTGAGCCCCTTCATCGAAAGGTGGCTTGATGACACACATGAATAGGTCAAAGGAATTATGTCTTACATGTTGCTGATTCGCCCAATACGGAGCCAGGCTTGACTTTGCATCCTTGCCTTGATGTCATGCTGCAGGTGTGAGGCTCATCTGGATGCTATGGTCCTGAGGTGTTGAATGGCGGTTGTGTTTCTGTGGGGTGCAGAGCCATTTGGCAAGGGGATCGTGAACGCTCAGCTGAGCGTGCTGAAGGGACTGGAGGCTGCCAAGAGGCATGGGTACATCTTTGTGGTGCCCCCCATGGTGCAGTGGTGGGCGGAGCACGAGCCCAGTTACCTGCTCATACTGCCCTTCAACCACTTCTACAACGCTGAGCACTTTGAAACTTTCGCCAAGGAGTACGGTGAGGCCCGCCCCTGCTCCTGCCCTGGTGCTTTCCTCTGTTGTACTTTCATTGTGTCCTTCTCACATGCAGGAGCTCACAATGCGATGTTCTGAGGTGATGGTTTACAGAAAGAAGAAGAAGGCCAAGCAGATACACCCCTTTGGGATCATCTGTCCAGAAGCACTCTTCTTTCAAAGAGCCCAGAGCAACACTGAGCAGCTGGACGTGTCAGCCAGCACGCTTGCAGATAGGAGGACATCAGAAAACCACCAGGAAGGGGTCCCCATGACAAGCAGAGACAACAAGCAGAAATGAGCACACATAAAAAGCAAAGCGGAAATCACCCAAATTCTGGACGCGCAGTCCCTGAAGTCAAGGCTTCATCACAAGGAACGAAATGAGTTTGTCAGCGCAGGTGCTGAGATCGCGTGGGAGCTGCCGGCAGACAGGACGCCTGCATGCATGCTGCAGCAGCAGCTGAGCGAGAAGGCGCCGCAGGCAGTGAACAAGGCGACGCACCGCGCGTGGGCTCAGGAGTACGGCGTCATCTGCCTCAGCGGAGCTTCCACTTTCTTCACCATCGACGGCGCTGATCAACCCCAGTTCTGGCCGCCCGACAGCCTCCGCCAGGCGCTCAAGCCCTCCGGTGCGCGTCTGCACTGCTGCGCTTGTGCATCTCATGCATTTCATCCCCTGCCGTGCATCTCTTAAGCAGCTGTGCATCTCATGGCTGCTGTGCGTCACATGTGCAGCTGCGCGTCTCATGTGCTGCATTGTATCTCACGGTGCATGTCATGTGCAGCTGTGCATGTCATGTGCTCCTGTGCATCTTATGCGCAGCTGTGCATTAAATGCGCTGCCGTGCGTCTCATGCGCTCCTGTTAATGTCATGCGCTCCTGTGAATGTCATGGCTGCCGTGCGTCTCATGTGCTCGTGTGCATCTCATGTGCTGCATTGCATCTGACGTGCTGCATCGGCAATAACACATTCGGCTGTAGCGAGCTCATTCAGAATGCAGGTCCTGTATGGAGAGACCTTTCAGCATTGCAGGTGTCAGGTGCCCACAAGTGCCAGCCATGTTGAGACTATCTTGCAGAGTGACGAGCCAAGCACTTGGCACTGGCTCGTCAGGAACTCCTATAAATCTGCGAGCGCCCAGGCAGACTCTTCAGAAATGTAATTCAAGGTGTGACCTGGTCGGTGCATGCATGCAGATGTGTACGCGCGCGAGGCGCAGAAGATGCTGGAGGAGGTAGCGCGCCAGTTCGGGACAAAGGAGTTTGTGAGCGTGCATGTGCGCATTGAGGCAGATTGGGAGGAGCACTGCGCTGCAGCAAAGGACCGAAATGACCTGAGCTCTGCCCTTTTCAACAACAACTACCAGTGCTGGGTGAGCCCAACTTCTCAATCATGAGCGCTGCTTTTTCATATGAGGCTGGACGGTGGAATGCCCAGGAGTCTTGCATCTGATAGAGAGTAGATCGCTTCACGTCAAGCACCTGTTGAAATCAACGTCTCTGTATCGCAGGTGGATGAGGCGCAGACTGCTGAGGTGCTGGAGAGGAAGCTGAAGGTGAAGCCGGGGTCGCTGCTGTACATCCAGTCAACCGTGCCCCTCAAGAACATGCAGAAGCTGTGCAGCAAGTACAAGTGCTTCAACCGGGACACCGTCTGGAAGGAGCGCAGCGAAGAGGTGCGCCCTCCTTCTGTCCTTCCACCTTTGCAACTGCGGACTGCACTGAATTTTGAGCATGCAGACTTTGCATCTGCTCCCTGCAGTGATAGTTAAGCATGCAGCCACCTGCGTGCATTGCTTCAAGTACCACCTGCAGGGTGCACTGACACATATCTGGTTGCATGCAGATTCCATACAAGAAGACATCTCTGGTGCTGTCATACCTCACTTCGCTGCTGGCGGAGCATGGCACGGCATTGTATGGCAACATCCATTCAGCATACTACGGCGAGCTGGCCAAGAAGTTCTCAGCTGCGGACAAGCCTGCGCACCATCTGAATGCAGACTGCCCAATGAATGAGCTGTGCAATTGAACAGTAGACAGCTCGGGATGCATAACTACGCGTTTGAGCTGGGAGTTTGCATTTTTTTCTGTTTTGGTGCTTGAACTTTGTTGACCTGTTCGGATCCTGCCAGTTTAGAGGTACCTAGGTGAGATTGACTGATGGAAGGCTTTGCGCAGCCTTGCCTCCCTGACACAATAAAGTCGTCAAAGTCTCCAAATCTACACTGAAGCTTGCATGATGATCTCATCTCATCTCATCTCAAGAGCACAAAGCGTGTGAAGGCGGTTTTGGAAGCAAAATCTAACCCAGGAAATTTAGCAGCAGCCACAGCAGCCAGTGCACTAATGAACATGTGATGTCCCAAGACGTACAAAGTTTACATCTGTGCTATTATAAGCAGCTCTTTGGCTGCAGAGACCATTTGCCTTGTGGCACTTCCCCAGACCTGTACATGATGGTCGCAATCGCAAAGTTCCAGCTCAGCTAGGTTTGGCCAGCAAGCTCACAAATATGTAATACACGTATGCATAGAGTACAAGGTCACCAGGCTGGAAATCCTTAAATTCCTTTTCAGCGACACATGCAGCGAAGTGCACGAGCTGATCCACGAGCTCGTACTTCTCATGTCACTTGGGACCAACCAATTTCACAATGAAGCCCAGGCTCACAGACTTTATATTCTTCTCCCAAACTTCATGCAAATATACGGTACTAAAATATCACCTGCCAGTCTGAAAGCCCAGGAGCCCATGCACTTGCCAACTAGCTCGCACTCCGATCTCACTGTCCTCTTCCTCATCATCATTCTAATGTTGCAGGAGCTGCGCTGCTCATTCAGCAGGTTTAATGGTCGGACAGCTACCTCTGCCACAGCACAGCTGCACTGGGGCCATCGGCGACACATCTGATTGGGCGGGGCGGTGGCTGCACGACACGCTCTGCCTCCTTTGGCCTGACAGCGCGCCTTTTGGCGGATGGCGCTGTGTCACTAGTCCTCAAGAAAAGGTAAATTAGGAACCCGATGGCCACAAAGTGCACCACCATCAGAATGGCTATCAGGGCTCCTGCCCCATGCAGCGCATGTGGGGAGTGCTGGTGCTCAACCAAGTGGAACCCCCTGTGCAGCAGCTGCTTGTGCTCATGAGTGGTGTTGTGCTCGATGAACGCCAACATGTTTCTGTGGGCTACGCCATGTTGCTTCAAAGATCCCTTGCGTCACAGCTCTCTTCTGCAGCAGAGTCTCTCTTTCCAGCGTGTGTCTTTTCCTGCTGCCTGAAGGAGCTTGTGTGCTGCCCGAAAGGGACAATAGGCTGGAGCTCTACTTCTTATGCCTGGAAGCTGTATGATCAAGCTCACAGCGCCTGCTCTCCTGGTCACTGCTGTGTTGCTTTGTGCAATATCGCCACCCTCAGTCTGTCGCCACCTTTCTTGAGGGCCTGTTGCCTCCACGCGCCAGCATGTAAAGCCAGAACAGGAAGGCGACCACGTGAACTGCAATGAGGAAGCCTACGATGTTTCCGTAACCCAGGAAAACGTCCTTGTCCGCTCCCTGAACACATACCACAGCAGCAGAGACTGTGATACGGATGTCAAGTGGACCACTTTAGTTGCAAAGAGCAATCTGTGTATACCAGACCATGCAACAAACAGTACATGCAGATGTGAAGTCCACTTACCGAAGGAACAGGCGCCATTGGCTACTAGTAAATGTCCTCGTCAGTGATCACCTGCTCACAGCACCCAGGTATGTTGATGTTCAAGTCATGAGGTCCTCCTTCAATTTTCCAACAGAAGCATAAGAGAAGCAAAGAGAACCTTGATCCTTTGCAAGCATGTTTCTTCGTCACATGTAAAATTTTAGGCAGCAAAATTCCTGCGAAACGGGGAGATCACTCAGTTTACCTGAAAGGCGCGTTACATGAGTGTCGACCATGCAGCTTTTGGCAACTTCTTCGGATGCCTTTTCTGCTAAACACATACAAGAGGGTTTTGCCAAGACGTGCTTTTCCTTTCAATCGAGGTTGTATGCGGTGAGAAGAGTCAATGTTGAGATGCAGCTTCCACCAACATGGCATGCAAGAAATGTCAAGGCGATCAGAGGCGTTCCTTCTGCATGTCGTGGAATTTGTCAGAGGCTTTCTCGTCCAGCTCAGTGATTACACTGCACAGATCATTTGGGGAAGACTAAGATCTTTATCAAAAGTGTGCTGCTAAGTTGGAGCCCTCCAGTGGAGAAGAAGCTTTTGCAGATAAAAGTCGTTTGGTGATGGTGATGTAGAGCCTGTTCTGGGAAAACGTACGAAATCCAGATTGCTTTATCGCCTCTATTGACTCCGGAGTTCCCTTTACAATACCACAAGGCCCTCAGACATGTCTGAAAATGGTCCAGTGTTTTGGCTGGGACCACCTGCACCCAGAGCCTTCTCTATCTTCACAAGGTTTGTCTTTCTTGAGGTTTTTCAATGTCTGACCTGGTCAACCATAGAAATTGTGACAAGTATTGCGTATGATGTGATAATGTGCACTCAGTAGGGCAGAGAAGGTCCCTGTCCAGTGCTCCATGCCAGGCTACACATTCCAAATTCCATGACGTAATGGCCAGTATTTTCCTGGTGATCATGCGGTTGTCCATCCTGCAGGGTATTGCAGGTAGTCACACTTATACTCGTTGCCGTCTGGGTGCTACATGACCTTGGTGGTGTGGCATTTTCTCCAAAGCGGGTGAGCGAGTGCACCCTCAACTCACAGCATCATATTTCTGCATGTTGACAGCCATGTTCAGAGTACCGCATCATGTCTGCAGCCCTGGCCTTTCACGTGGTGACTTGATGCATTGCAGATCAATCTTCTAGTGAATGACACCGGAGTGATCTTCAACTGGCACCCTCTACTCATGACCCTGGCCTTCCCAGTGCTCATGGGCGAGGCAGTCATAGCCTACCGGGCACCCGTGGCCTCCAACCTGGACAGGTGGAGATGTCAAGCATCTCTAATTGCAAGGCTGGTGTGACGGGGAATGAACATGTGGATCCATCTACCTACCCATCTTGGAAGTTGCTTAGCGCTAATGTACCTGATCAGCAATGTAGAGCTGTGCTTGTGCTGACCTGCATCCATGCGCAGGGGTCAGAGAAAGCTCCTCCACGCCCTGTTGCAGATCATTGCAGTGGTGGCCGCTTTGCTGGGCGTGATTGCTGCCTTTCAGTCGCACAACTTAAAGAAGCCCCTGCCGATCCCCAACCTGTACTCAGCACATTCATACCTGGGCATCTTCACACTGATCCTTCTTGGGCTACAGGTAAGCCTCCCAGGCGGCCTGAATTATGCATCCTACCCAAAGTGCCTGGTATAAATGGCCACAAGTGATGGTACAACAGGTTTGATGATGTGTGACATGTCTTGCAGGCGATTTTGGGCTTCACTGCATTCCTCTATCCAACATTCTCCAAGTCCAACCGTGAAGCTCTGGCCCCCTGGCACACGTTCCTGGGCAGGGCCACCTTCATCATGGGCCTTGCCACCATGGCGGTAAACTTGCTGTGCTGCTCTGAAATTGACCTCCATGATGACAGATGCCTCCGGATGAGATGGCAGCTGGTGATCAAGATTAACAGGAACCTGCAAAGTAGGCTGTAGATTTCATTTGTGTGCAAGAGGACTGATGGTGGGAAGGAGGGGAGTCTTACTTCACTGGTTGCAGGGGCGAAGGGTGATATGTGTTCACATGTGCGCAGGTTGGCATTCAAGAGAAGACGCAGTTTGTGGCAGCAGCAAAGAAGTTGGCGGGGGCGGGCCTGTACTCCAGCGCACTGAGGCTTCCAGCCACGATCGAGATCTTCCTAGCGCTCGTGGGAATGGCCGTCCTGTACCACCATGTGCCCGGCCCCTCCACCCGGCGTGAAGCTGACACCCTTCTGCCCGATGTGCTGCAAGACGCCTGATCGCTGCGCAGCATAGCTCGACTGAAGGTCACCTGCACTCCTGCCCTGCTGGGGGGAACCTCCAACGATGACAAGTTGTTGTGCATCTGCTGGCGAGCTCGGTTGCTAGGATAGGACACAAATATTAGCTGTGTCTTTTTGTAACTGCAAAAGAAAGACCGAAAGGCGGCTGCGTGAATTCTCATGCAAGGGATGAGGTCAGACTGGTCCTTATTGAGGTATGGAAGCGCGTGATTGGTCACGTCATATACCACAGTTGAAGCATTTATGTCCAGGCAACATGCACAGCCATGCCTTGTGGCCTCCTTGATGTGTGAGCCTCATTGTGGCGATCAAGCTTCTCTTTTACTTGGGCAGCAGTGCGAATTTTTAGCTCTGTGCGTCCCAGGAAATTTTGTATAGTTCGGTGTCGTGGTATTTTTGTGCAGGGCGCGTGCATATATGCTATATAGCGCATCAATTCATGCCAATGTATCCACAAAAATACCTCAAGATATTTGCGAGTATAGTCTTTAGAAAATGAGGAGCGGGGACTGTTTTTATTGTACCATGTCTCAGCTCGTAGACAGATTTAGGTTTGAATTTAGGCGTGCTGGCTGCATCAAGCGTGCATGCAAACCAAAAAAATCTGATTTAGTCTAGATCTTGATTTTGATTAAGTCTTGCAAGCTTGAGGGTTTACTTGATGACCGAATAAGCTGTTGCTTCACATTAAATGCTAGTTGTCCTGGGGAGTGCAGCAATTGAGCACACTGTCCTCATTGAACTGCTCATTTTGGATCACATCTTCTCTGAGTGACAGACAATGTACATATGCATATGCAGCTGCAGGCACGAGTCAAGCGATTACCACAGACCTTGCTCTCAGGCCAACAAAAAAGTATATGTTTCGGTAGCAACACCATCCTGTAATTGACTGCCAAACTGTGCACATAGCCCTCACAACAAAAGCCAGCATTGACATCAATGTATCTCCTGTTCTGCTCACACTGGCAAAACTGGCACAACTGGAGAGCGCATCTGTTCTGAGAGCTCAACGCCTCACGGACATATCAATGTGGAGTAAATATGCAATAGAGATGCTTCAAGTGGGACTGCCTGCACAAGTAAGTCCTCCAAAGGGAGTGCAGAGAATTGACCGAATATGGGAGAAAGCTGGAGATACACACTCAAAAGGATACTCAGTCTCATGCGCATGCCCCTCGTCCTTCACCGAGTTACTGCAAAATTGTCACCTCCGGAGCAATGTGTACCCTTCAAAAACTCCTTATCCCACCTCTCATACTCAACAATATCACACACTTCAAGCGAAAACATCAAAGGCAATGAAAGACCTTCAAATACTCATCACTGCTCCTTGTCTTCAAGAAGAGCAAATCCAAAGGGCCGAACAATCTTCAACCTGGCAGCGGCCTCCACAGCAGCCGCCGCAAAGGCAAAGGTGAGCATGCTCTCCCCAGCAGCCAGCGCAGAAGAGCCGAACACAGCTACATCCACAGGGCTGCCTCCGGCTGAGCTTGCAGCCACCTGCGCTGCATCCGCATACGCCAGCCCTCGCACCTGGACACATCACGCGGAAACTTCACATCCCAAACTAGCTGCCAGAGCTGCCGAGCTCCCCAAAACAGCAGAAATTCACACGCCACCAAGTCTCCATTCTGCAAGGTACAGACAGCAACCTTGCAACGCAACACATGTCGCATACATTCAATGAGCTCAATCATAGGACCACAAACAGAAAGAATGGGGCAAATCTACGCACCAGGCCAAAGGCAGCCACGGAGCCGCCCTTGAGGTGCGGGTTGTTCGCAGCCGCCGACTGCACATAGCGGTAGGTGACGCCGAAGAGCAGGCACGAGGCCACCACCTGCGCAGCCGACAGCGCCGCGCTGGCCTGGTTCTGCCCATGCACCGCCAGGTAGGGCAGTGCGGCCAGCAGGCCCCCCATTGCCGCCACTGCTCCCGCCTTTGCAGACTCCAACCGCTCCAGATCCTGCCAGACAGGCAAGTCACACCGATGATCACTTCAATGCGCCACCCTCTGCAGGGAAACAGTCCTTCAAAGGTGAGGAAGGGTCACCATTCTTTCATCTAGACAGCGTCATGCTCATCGTGATGCGCATGGTTCTGCAATTAATTACTTCTTGACAGCTAATTAGAATACCCCTTCCTTCCGTCTGACATGTTGCTGCAACACAGACAAGGCACTGTCACTGTCAATGTGAAGCGCCTCCTTCCTGCAAGGGAATCATTCACAGCTTTGAAGAGGTCAGCTTTTCTCCATCTGACAAGTGGCTGCACACTGATCAACAGACGGAGCTTCTCCTGGGTCAGACTTGGGGTAAATTCTGACCAGCGGGACCTGAATTTTTCTACGACAGTGGTGGGGAGGGTCCAATCACACCTGGCTGCTGCTGGTCAGGAGTGCGTCTCGCTCCCTTTTGGCGCTCTGAAGCTCCTGCTGAGCCTCAAGCAGTGCCCTTTTTGCATCCAGGACGTCTGCCTCTGCCCCCCTCTCTGAAGCTCGCTGCGCCTGCACAAGACAGTGCATCTGTCAACGCTCTGATCGTACATACGTACTAAGAAGTGGACGGATTTGCCACTGAAATCAGGCGACCAGGTGCTTGATGCTTCCAATACTTCAGTCCTCCCCGGGATGTGCAGTGCATGGCTCATGCAAGCCATGTTGGATTTCTTTCTAATGCTTAAGTGCAGTCATGCCCGGATCTGACAAAAGGTGCACTTTCTGAGACAGGATATCTACTTATCTTCTGGGAATTACAGCCTCTGTAAGGACCAGACCCTAGCTCCTTGACGAGAGTCTCCTTATCAGTGTTTGTGTGGTACTTCCTACTCCCGATGCAGTGTGATCCTGGGAGCTCACCTGATCGGCCTCCAATCGACGTGCCTCATCCGCTGAGGCCTGTGCTGCCTGTGCAATCTCCTTCTCAAGAGCTGCCTGCTGAGCCTGCATTGCCAACGCCTGATAGTCAGCCCAGACTCCACTGGACAGATATTATGCATGTCTGGGGAAACATTAGCAGATGCACAGTCAAGCTTGAAAGGCACCTGCAAGCTGGCCACAAGGGCTGCCGCCTCTCCGACACGCTTCAGCCTGTGCATGGGAAACAAGAAATGTAAGGCCTTTTTCAGGTTTGACGGAGGTCTACACATTGAAATGTGCAATTAAAAAAATGAGTGAAGTCAGCAGGCGTCTTCATGAGGTCCACTGAGTCGGTACCTTGCTTGGGCAACAGGATCCAGGTTGAGGAGCTCCTCTGCCACTTCCTGGTGAGATTGCTCGCCCTGCACGAGATCATGATTGTAAATTGGCTGAATATTGCAAATTGCAACCTTCAAATTGTTTGAATGCTATCAAGGGGTAGAAGCAGAAACTACAGAGGCCTGCAAACGCGAGAGCAAAATAAGTCTCAGCACCTTTTCTCCTGTAGCACCGTCAGAATGGCTAGCCCTGGCTTTCGATTGTATCAACTTGCCGCTGCCCTTCCTTCTCTGGTGGGTCTGATGGAGAGAGCAATTTGAAGTGTGGAGGCTGCACTGTCGCGCTGCGGCAAACCAGACCTGGTCCATCGATGCGGCTGATTGAGAAGATAGCATCTTTGCAAAGGTGATGAAAATTCCGGGGGTTGCCGCGTATTTGTGTCTGACGCAGCAACGAAGGGCGCCAAACGTCCGCAAGCAGTCTCTAATAGGTGACTTTTGGACAGACAGAACGAATTTCCAATTGCTGAGCTTACGGTGTAGCTGGGATATATAATGAAGATTTGTGAAATGCTTATTCGTGCAATCAAGGAACACCTTGGATATCGAACAAGTGCGCCCACTCCTGCTCAGTGAAACCGTCGTGGCACCGTCATCACGCGCCAAAGCCACGCCTCTTCTTATCTTCCTCAGATGCGTATCTACAATTTTTTGCTTTTGACTTCCAAGAATTTTCCACGCATGTCTTGACCTTTGCATACTGAAACACAGCGTTACATCATTTTTAAATATATATCACAAGTCAAGCCTCTGCAAGCAGTCTGGAATTGCTCTGCATGCACCCACACTGGCCGGCCACAGTGCTCGAAGCTCAGCTGCAGGCCTAGGCAGCCTAGGCTAGGCTGCAGCGCGCTGATCAGCAGCCGCCGCGGCTAGCGGCTAGCATGCTGCCCCGGGCACACAAACACCCGAGATATCAGTGTGCATTTGCACCCATTCCAATCTCCCTAATATACAATGTTCCCTTGTGCACCAGGGGACCAGCTCCTTCTGGGCAGGCCCCTTTGGCATGATCACTAATGCAGCTCTTGTTCGCTGCATACCCAGTAGCCACCGCACCGCGGTCCCCTAACATCGAATGTTCTGACTCGCTCAATAAATCTCGAGCATGAGTCAGAAGTGGGCCTCCCAAACAGAAAAGCCAGGCCCCGCCAGCGCGAGCAGCCAGGCCTTCTGCCCCACGCTCACGCTGGCCTTCGTTGGGTCCCAGCTTCCCAACCCGATCTTCACTGTGATCTTCCGGTCTATCAGCGCCGCGTACACCTCGTTGTTCGCCTCACAGACGTCCACCTGTGCACACGCAGAGCAACATTGATGCCTCGCTCTTCAACCCCAAGCCATTCCTTGTCACCAAGGCTTGATTGAAGCCATGCATGCACTCAAATTTCGGCCGTCATCAGAATGGCAAAGGCTGGGAGTGCCCATTGGCAGTTCGATCTGGCGGTCTCAGGACAGATTTAGATGCAACTTGTAATCTCCTAGCGCATTGCAAAATGGGGAGCACCCGCAACTCGCACTGCGGGCCAATGCGGTCTAACACATTTCAGATTGAAAGTTAGTGTAATGTGCAGAACGTCAACAAGTGCACGGAAGAATGGGGCGCACCTGGGACTCGCAGTGCAGCCCGGCGCGGCGGCGCAGCGCGAGCAGCTGCAGGATGGCCGAGCGCAGCGGCCGCAGCGCGCTGGCCGCCCCCGGCTGCGCGCCGTCCCGGAGTGTGTGCGACGCCAGCAGCGCGCGCAGCCGGCGCCACAGGCTGGGCTTCAGCATGCCGTCCGTCCACAGGTGGTCGTAGAAGATGCACGGCGTGCCCGGGTGCGTCAGGATGTACGCGTACCCCTGCAGCCACGCATGCAATTGTCTGCCCAGCAATCTTACCTCCAGGCATGCAGGCACCTGATGCCTCTACATATCTTAAATTGAAAGAGAAGGAAAAAAGTGACCACTTCCATACTGCGAGCCTAAACACTTCCATAGGACCTCAGTCAACTGGTGGGACTCCCAATGCTCGCCATGGCACATGCTTTGTGGGGTGCAGCACAATCCACAATGTGATACTAGCTACACCAGCAAGATCCAGGCTTAAGGAGCTGAAGGGCCCACCTGGTGGAGGCTTTGCTGGGGGAAGGGCCAGTGGGCCTGCGTGGATCCGGTGTCGTGGTTTTCCACAAAGGTGACCGCGCGCGACGGCCACCAGCCGATCATGCCGGGTGGCCGGCCGGCGCCGTCGCGCAGGCGCCAGTACTCGCCCTTTGCCACCGCCTCCTGCAGCACGCCCTTCGTTGTGAAGTCGAACGCCGCCGCGCGGCCATCCGCCGCGTCACACCAGTCCACTATGCGCTGCCGGTGTGCATCCTGCATGCAGCCAGGAGGAGTCTTTCAGGTTCTGTACTGTAATGGACTGGGGTGAGGCTAGTGTGCAGTGGTGATAGCAATGGAAGTCATGCACCCTCAAACATGGCCAGAAACACAGTAGAATTCCTCGCATGCAATGGGGCACAGACAGACCTTTATAAGCAGACAGAGAGACTCTAGAACTCTGAACACATCTACCCAGTGCGTCTGGTAGGCATGAATCAAACAGGTGGGGTGCAGGGAAGTGTTCCAATAATTGGCGGGATTTGCAGAGCGCGGGCAGTGGTTTGTGCGCACCTGATCAAAGTCGATCTTGCTGTCGGTGTACGCGCAGTCGTCCCAGAACTCTCCGACCGCCAGAGCAGGATCGGTGGCTTCGATGTATTCCCTCACGTGGTGCCCCCCGTAGCCTTTCACAAAGTCAAAGCGCCAGCCGTCAAAGCCCACATCTGACCTCAGCCAACTCAGCCAGGCCTTGATGTCCTGCGCACACACTCTCTTGTCCTTCAATGGACAACTCCTTTTGCAGTCTACAGCAATTTCACAGCGGCTCAACTACCAGGATGGTCTGAAATTGCTTGTCATGTGCAAGACTGGCTCGATGGTCCAGCTGGGTGCAAAGCACCTGTCGGACGCGCTCATTGGTGTGATCTACGTTGGGTGCTGCTTCAAAGGGAGCACCCTCCTTCTTTTTGCCCGTGCCTCCATAGGCTTCGTGATCACTGCAGACACAGGACTCATCCCAAGGGTACTTCCCCGTGAACTGGTTCCACCTCCCCTTGTCATCCTGCGTACCAACCATGCACTTTGTCAACACCTCCAAGATTTCATGCTATGAGGCTGCGTACCGCAAATCGTGAAGAGCGCGTTTGTGTTCTGGCTACACCAGGATATGATTCATGCAGGCAGCCCACCTGCTTCCCAGCGCATCTGTGATTGAGCACAATGTCGGCAAGCGCTTTCACGCCATGCGCATGCAGTGCCTTTATGCATGCGCGCAATTCTGCCTCGCTCCCATATTTGGAATCCAGGCACTCGTACTCTCGCGGCAGGTACCCCTGCAAGTGCCAAGAAAGCATGTGAGCGTAAAAAATTCCTCTGTAAATCTTGCATAAATGATACAGGAATTTGAGTCCAACCATGACAGCAGTGAGGGACAAGGAGACAGCAGCGAATGCAGCTTGCAGCAGCACCTCTGCACTGACAGAAACGCTGGGCGGGGGCAACCAGACGGCTGTGATGCCAGCTGCTCGCATCTCCACTGCACGCCCAGCCAGCACGGCATACCAGGCAGGTGAAGCTCTTTGGGCGCACTCCCAATTGAAGCCCTGGACATAGAAGGCTAAGTAAGGACAAGCTGAAGCAGCATCAATAATTTCTGCACAAGCATTTTGCTTGAAGGGCAGTGTGACACAGCCCCAGACCTGCAAAAGGACCTCCTTTGTTCCCATGGGCCCTTCACCGGCCCCTTCGGCATCTTCCTCAGGGAGTGTCTCGCAATTACTATTACTTCTGCTAGCACCTATCCTCTCTTGTTGGAAGGGGGGCAGTGGGAACCCAGGAGAATGCCGTCGTCCCAATTGAGCCTGCAACACAAGAAACCGCTCCGCTCTTGTGACTAGGATGCTCTTGTGTATACTTCTTGTTATATGTATTAAAAATCTCTCACATTTTGGAGGAGATACTCAGGCAATGTCCCACCAGAGGCCTTCGAAGTTCACGGATGGATGGTGCGTCAGAGGCATCCATGCTTGGATTTCAACGTGACTCGTCCTGGAAGCACACTTTGTCAAAAAAAATGTTGCACTGGGAGCTGAAGGGTGATCATGTATCCCTATATATCTCGCCTCTCATCCCTTGTATGAAGCAGTCCTTTCCACCCTCACTTGTCTGCCAGAACAGTAATTTCTTCAAGTGTCTAGAAGCAAGTATCACACGCTTGCATCGGAGCGGACTCAAAGGCCTTGGTATCTCTGAGCAATCATTCAAAGAGGAGCTGTCGAGTTTGTTTGGGAATTATCGACGTTTATCCGTTTGACTTTTGAGTGGAAGGTGCTAGGCAGCTTCCCTGCACCCAGACTTGCTTGTGAGAATCTGTTCTGAGGTGCCAATTGCTGTGTGCTCTCTCTGTTCCTTGCTGACAGCAGATCCCGGATTGCTTTTGCAGTGCCTGCTACTAGTTCTTTACAAGCATTAATTGCCGCCGAGGAGAAGCGCCACTAGTGGTCACAGCTGTTGCAGCCTGCACTGATCAGTCATTGCATTCATGCGGCATCGATTGAAATCTGACCATGACCGCCATGATGATCATCAGGCTAGCTAGTGTGCTCAACCTTATTGCAAATTGCACAATCAGCATTAAGATCACCGGTGTACCCATGAGCCACAATGGCAATTCTTTGCAAGGCATGAACCATGAGATGACGTCATGGGATGCAAACCATGCTGAGGGCCAACCAAGTCCTCAATACTTGACAACATTCTCGAAGACCCCCTGTATATCATGTTTAGATATAGATCATCTAGAGCACCACAATCGTTCGGACGTGTAGAAAACCTTTATAGAGAGTGCAACTCAGCACTGATGTGACAATCTTTGCTGCACATGGCAGCTGAATACCCGCTGCATGGCCGGACGCGCTACAGCCATGCAACGCACCCATGCCAGGCTGGCAGCCAGCTTCAAGCCCAGGTACGCGGGTTTGTGCATGCGTCCACCAGCTGTGCCTCAGGGCTGGTTGGGTCGACAGGCGGACAGTACTCCCACCTGCACACAGTCACATCAGTGCCACCGCTTATATTGGACGCTTCACTGCGCACCACCAATCTCAGGGCAGGATCACACCAACAGCAAAGCTGCAGCAGAACAGCAATCCAGAGAAAGAGGGATAAAGAGCCAGTGCCAGACTTCTTCTTATATGAAGATAGCAATGTGCAAGACCATGCAGCAGCCCAATCAAGGGAGACTGACCTGGCTGTCAAGGGGAGGCTCATGAGGATGGACTCTATTCTGCCAGCCGTCTTGAGGCCAAAGGTGGTGCCGCGGTCGTACACAAGGTTGTACTCCACGTAGAGCCCCCTACGCATCTGCTGCCACTCCTTCTGCTGCTCTGTGAAGGCGTCATTCTTGTGCTTCTGCACCAGGGGCAGGTAGGAGTCGATCACGGCTCCCAGCGCCTCCGTGCTGAATGCAAGGATCTGCAGCACAAGCAGTCACTTCTCAGTACAATGTCTCATGCTTGTAGGAGAGTCCCCATTCTGTATGGTCAGTATCTGAGCGCCAGAGGAGTCAAGTATCCCCACAGTGCAGGCACTGCAGGTGTTGTTGTCGAAATAGGCACTCCCCACTATCACTCATTGCAGGAAAGACTCCTTCGGCAGGGGAGGCAAGGAGAGATTTAAAGGCACTCTAAACCAAGTTGAGCTCGTTAAGAGTCTCTTCTGTGTTGAGACATATACAAAGGGGGTCTCACCTCATCCTGTGGTCGGTCGTTGAGGTCATCGAAGAAGATGCCGCCCAAGCCTCGCCGCTGATTGCGGTGCTTGCACAGGAAGTAGTCGTCCGCCCACTGCTTAAACTTGGGGTAGTAAGCAGGGTCGTGGTTGTCACACACGCGCTGCATTTGTCACCAGCACTTCTCAGCACACCACTCCAAGCTCCTTAGTCACTCTGCACGCACTACTGAGGTGCTCCTGTCTTGCGCTGCATGCACTCTTTGTCCCCAGTATTGCACCTCGAAACAATCTCCTGACACACCAGCCGTCAGCTAGAGAGCCAGCTGACCTGACAAAAGACCCCTCACAGGGCAATGTACTCACAGGGCAAGTGCTCACAAAGCCGTGACTGCACAACAGTCCTACAGGACTTTTGAACGACTCTTGAAGACCCACAATCACGCTCACAAGCACACCTTGTAGGTGCCGTGGAAATGCTTCATGTCCTCCTCATTGACATATGATGGTGTGATGTCAGTGCCGCCTCCAAACCACCACTGCCCGGGGATCCCATTCCACTCCTGTGCACACATCAGCACATGTCAGAATTGCTGTGGCAGAAAGATGGGAAGCTATAGGCACACGTGGCACTTCCACGCCTGCAATCACACCATGCATGCACGCATTGACCCTCTGATTCGGTCACTCACCTCTGTCTCAAAGTACCGGTAGTTGAAGTGCATTGTGGGCGCAAAGGGGTTGTGTGGGTGCATGACAGAACTGATGCCAGCTGCAAAGAAGGGAACACCGCCGCTGGCCTGCAAGCAGACACTCACTGTCAGTCTTGTCAAAGCATCTCTCAAGCTGACTTGTCTCACACAAGTCGTTTGATCAGGGCGGTTTCGAAATCTCAAGTGATGTGATCTCTGAGTGACAGTGACATACCCCATTTGAAGCTCCATTTGCTCCATTTGAGGATGTGTGTCCTTTGGCAGCCCTGTAAGCCTCTGGGGGCATGGTCCCATAGACCACAGACACACCCACTCCCGCCTTTTCCCATGTCTTTCCTCCCTGAAGACAGACAACATGACTCAGGGATGCCACTGCAAGAAATCCGCGGCTACAATGAAGATGCAAGATGGTGCAATGCTTTGCCCTTAAGCGCAGATTGCATCCTGTCGAGTGACCATCAATTCCTTTCCAACTGTTGATGCACACATTTACACCGCGAGGCCACTTCCTCCCTTCTTGGCGCTTGCACTGCCTTTCCTGTCTTGCACGTTCTTGGCTGAAATGTTGCTCATGAAACAAGATCGTTTCGAGGAGAATGAATGTTGAAGTGATGGGCACCTGCATGACCCTGGACACACCACCGCCTCCACCTGGCCGGGCCCATGCATCTTCCCTGAACGTGCCACCCCCATCTTCCTCCTCCACTGCTGCGCATATTCTGGTCTGAGCATCCCTGATGATCCGCTCAAAGCGGCCACGGATCCTGCATCAAAGAACGTGCTCAGTGCCCATGATCCCTGAATAATGCTATAATAACACTATGCTGAAAAGGAATGTTGTGTTAAGAGGAAGAGCAATGCAACCATGGGAGTCAGCACACCCTTCGCTCTCTGAAGTGCGTTCGCGCAACAAGGAGTCGGGCGTCGACGCCAGCATCTCTTCCTTCTCGATTCCCTGCATTTGAAAGGGGAGCAGATCAGATGTATGTGATCTACACGAGCTTGACGTGCCCTCATGCCTCACACTACTAGAACCTAGGACAGAGTCACGCACCACTGCAGCAGCACGCAAGACGTGTGACGGTCGCTCCTCCGTTCTGCTCCGCACAATTGGCCTCTGCAGTCATACATATGTTTATCACAAACTGGAAAAAAAAACAGCCCTTGGAAGATTTTGTGGCACTTAGCTGCGACTTACCAGTTGTAAGATGTTGGTGTGTGAGAGTCTCAATGGTCCGCAAATTGGTGCACTTGTTCTGCAGGTAGATTGTCTTTGTGGCAGAGTCGAGACTTTCATACTTGCAAAAATTTGCTAATTGTCAATGTTCAGTCTATGAACGCTCCCTTATAATTATCAGACTTTCTTCATGCGTCCACAATCATCACTAGAGTCTTCGCACCCTCTTCCTTCCAAAATTCTGATCTTATCGCCATCCATCATCTTCAAAGGGTTTTCCAGACGAGGGATAACCCTCGTATACGGGGTCGATTTGATGAAGACAACCATCGGGAACTCGAAAACTGAGACAGGCAGCCAGAAATAATACCTGGACCTTCCGGACAGCTTTTAGAGCGTTCACAAACCGAGGGAAGAAGACTGCAAGATCATCCCAAGAATAAGAAGGCGGGTCTGCCCTGGAAGCACGCTTGCCGCCAAGCTTCGGACTGCAATGGTTTCCTCTGCAACTTCACCTGGTACGGATGTGGCATGCTTTGCACTTGGGTTCTCTCCCACACATCCTGAATTGTTTCCAGCAGTGAATGGCATCCAAAGGGCTTGCTTTGAGCGGAGAAACCATGGGTAGCCTCCACGCTAGTACGTGCTGCCAGAGCTGCAAAGAGTGCATTACCAAGACGTCCGGAGGCTGCAAATGACCTTCTTAAGGGTCTGGATGCTTCAAGCGGAGTATGACTAACTATGGCGAAGCATCAAGTTTCGGGAGTGGCTGTACCGGCTGTAGGATTGTGGCGAGGCGAAGTTCCTATTCTTGGGCGAGGCAGCTGCGCGATCCTCTTTGAGTCTTGAAGAGGGTTTGAAAGGACGATCACAGACCTTTGGATACCATCGGCATGCAGAGCGGGTTGAAACATCCTGCTGCACCTTGTCTGAAGCCACTCGATGCTGCGTGAACAGGTGCAGGATGTTCTGGAAGGTCTGCTTCCCAGGAAGACCGGAGCCCAGCTTCATCTTCCCATGCACGCCGGAGACGGAAATCAATATTCCCAATGGCGGCAGGGCTGCTACTGTTAGTATCTGCCCTTACTGCAGTTGCTGGGAAAGCCCCACCTGCAGGTATGTCCAAAGCCTCCAGCATGACGTCTGCTGCTAATAAAACCGTAGAACTCGTAGTAATAGAATACCAAGAACGAATAAGTAATGCTCAAAATTCCTGGCGCCCTGTTGACTTCGATGTCCCTATGGCTACTGAGCCACCCAGCCATCCTGCCATGATTCTGGAGAACTCAAGCTTGCCCTCCCTGCTGTCATGCAGATCCATTCATAGCACCGGTGGAGATTCCCACACCGCGCATCTACCCCAAGAAGAACGTCACATCAGACGACCTGAGCGCTGTCAACATGACAGCCTTGGCCCCCGCTCAGAGGGCTGCCCTGGCAGCGAAGACCATCATCAAGGCCCAGACGATGGTGGCCAACATCACAAACCCCCCTCCCACCCCAAAAGTTGTCCTCAGCAACTCCCCAGCCGCTGCCGCCTCCCCCACCCCTGCTGTGGACACCCTGCCTGAAGCAGGGAAGACTGCTGTCTCGGTACGTCACTCTGACCCCACATCCCCACCCTTGACTCCATCCTGTACTTCTTTCCATTCTTTTCCTGGCACGCCAGCCGTGATGCAGCAGTATAATTCCGAGGGTGTCGGGCTGCAGCCATAGACATGTGACATGACATGATTCATCTGTGTTGAAAAGGCCACGGGCAGATCCAGCAGAGCAATCTTGATTCAATGCCGTTGTGCGCATGCCGTTGCGCACAACGGCTGTCTGTCTTGAGTCATTCAAGAGGGATGCCAGGTTGCGGCATCCCTCAGGCTCTCAAATCAGACAGATCCAGGCTGCAACCTTCAACTCCTTCTTGAGGGTACTATGAGCAGGTCTGAGGCCAAGTCAGGGCTCATCACATGAAGCCCTAAGAGTGTGTGCACTGCTGTGCTGTGCAGGCTCACATGCGCGTGTCGGGCCCCGGCGTGACCCCGTTCGGCCCCGCCAACCAGCAGAGGCTCATCAACGTCTTTTCGGACGTGGCGCGCAACTTGACACAGGAGCAGTTCCGGGTCGTCCTGGTCTCTGACGCATACACCTTCCGCCGCCGCCGCCTCCAGGTGCTGCCTTCCTTTCCACTTCACGACAAATTAGATGGGCCGCAAAACAAGATGCCATCTGAGCAGCCATGAGCTCCCACCGTACACTTGTGCGGTTGGAGGAGACCCATTGACATGCATGTTTTGATTTTGTTCCTCCTGTGTTGGAGCTGGGTTTCTTTGCCGTGAAGCTTAGCCAGTGTGCATCCTGTGTGTCTGAGGCGGTTTATCTTGAGCACCTTCTATGCTTATAGCACATTTTGATTTATCCCTTTGGTCTGATCCTATCGCACGTCCTCGGTATGGTCATCATTTAATCCTTTCTGCCAGACTTATTTGCCATTCTGCACTCATGAACTCCTACGACCTGTGAGGTTGGGAGGAAGCCCATTGGCATGCATGTCTAGTGCTGGTTCCTCCTGTGCTGTAATGAGTCATTGGCCTGAAATGGCGTGCTGTTTATTTGCAGGCGGATGGCACTCCCCTGTCAAACGTGGCCGACATCGTGATGGAGGTGGATGCTGGCACCGAGGCCAATGCCCCCGGCGTTGCAGCGCAGATCTCCAACATCGTCAGCAACGACACCATTGCGGTAAACCTCTCTTCCACAGTAGCACCTGCCATTTTTAGTAGCCCATCACCACCAATGCTCCTCTGCAGCAGCCAGCGACTCGACGGCACCGCTGAGGTTTGTTTGAGGGTTATCTCCCCGCGCAAGCCCTCCCTGCCTTTGCACAAGTATGGGCACAGATGGCTGTACTTGTGTGATGTGCCCCGGCTTGAGGGGGCGGTATGTATTTGAAGCACTGTGCCCATGGTTGATCGGGCCTTGCTTGAATTTGGCGGGTCCATCAAGGGCCAGGATTTGTGGCAGCCTGTATCTGCAGTTTGTCTGCATACGCACCTTGCATGTGGCAGGAATGGCGCTCAATTATTAAGCTGAAATGAGTGAAGACACACAACGCAGTGCGAGCGCCATGTAGGAAGAAAGGGCTGCCTCGCAGTTTCATGCGACGCGTGCAACATACAAGACTATTTGTGCCAGTGTCCAAAACAGCTGCACCTGCAGATGCAGGCACAGAGCAACGACTTCTTGCATCCAGCATGCATGAATTGATAGAAACATGTGACGCACGCGCAGATCTCCCTGCAGCAGCACGGCCTGTCGTCCTGGTCGATCAAGCTGCTCTCGGTGTCCGTCGTGGCGCCGTCCACGGCCGCGGCCAGCCTGCCGTGCCAGATGCAGTGGGCCCGCTGGTGCCTGGACGGCAGCCCCTTCACGCCGGCGCTCATCTACATGATCATCGCGTTCGGCGTCGCCCTCATTCTGCTCACCCTCGTCGCCGCGCTCGTCTACCGGGAGGTCTCCAAGAACTCCGGCAAGGCAAGCTCCCTCTCTGACCACATGCAGGATACCAGTGTCTGTGGTGACCCTTTGCCCGAGGCAGGCCTGTGTTTTACTCGTCCCTGCTGTGCATGCTGTAATTGGTGCCCCATCTAGAGGTCAAATTGTTACTAACTAACGACCAGAGGAATACATGTCATGCAAGAAGGTTCCCAGACAGACTGCTGCAAGCTTCTCCTGCCCTGCTGGCAAGGTTCCTGACCTCTCTTATCAGGTGTCCCGGCGTCCTGGAATCTGCCGGAGTTTTTCTGGGAGTATTTTATGTTTTTGGATCGCTGTAGGATATTCTAGTATGCTCATGCGCATGCTACATGCTGATCCCATCACTGGAGGGTACCTGAAGGACAAGGGTACATGAGAGCTGGGCTGTGCATTGAAGTTGTTGTCATTGGAAAGACAGGTATTGACCGGCTGGTGCATGCTGTTGCAGACCGGCGAGCTGGAGTACCCCAAGGAAGAGCAGAGCTTCACGATTAGGGAGAGGCTTCAATACTTTGTGACGGGGCACGGCAGAGGCAAGGCGGCGCCTGCCAGCGGCTCAAAGCCCCCCACGCCTGGCGCTCGCTAGGATTGCATTTAGAACATCTCATACCCTGCATTTCATGTTGTGCTTGTGTTTGGCAGCCAATTGCTACAAGCCGACCTCACGATTGATTGCTTGCATGTTAGATGCATGAGCACAATTGCAATCCATTGATATGACTATGACAAGACCTCTGGATCCGTCCATGCATTAGTAGAGATTTTGTCTCCGGTGGGGGTCCGGAAGGGGGGTTGTATATATCTTTGCGACGATGTTGGGCCTTGATATGCGTCAAGTTGACCATATGCGTTGCAGGAAGTTGTTGCTAGTGTGTTCTTCTAGGCTTAATGGTTATTCAGGTGTTCACATACGATTCATTCCTTCATTGACAACCTACCAGTGGTGCACTGCTGGTATGCACCCGAATCTGTTAAATTCTGCTGCATGAGCTTGAGTCAAGGACTCCCCAGACAGCAGCATTGGAATTTAGTGATGGTGTCACATCAAATTGCTCAAGCCAACACAGACTCATCGCTTGGGAATGGCATGATCAGCGCCAATGGCATCATGCACGCTCGCAAACCCATCGCGCTGCAGCAAGGCTGTCAGCTCCAGCTTCATACGTCTGAGCAGTATAGGCCCCTCATACACCAGACCAGTATACAGCTCCACCAGACTGGCACCTGCAGGCAGCATCACGTTTTCATTCCAAGATACACAAGATTTACCCAACACCAGCCATTACACTCAGCCCCTCCCCTGCTGTCATAAGAAGCACAGTACAGGTGTCGAACGGGCAGCCACAGGCAGTAAAAGCATGTTGCAAGCAACAAGAAGAATCACAGGAACAGGAGTGCAGAAGGGGCTGTGAATCCCGCCTGCTCTGATCTTGGCATATGCGTCTGCGCCCGAACTGACGCCGCCCACGCCAATGATGGGCAGCTTGCCCTTTGTGAGGCGGTACATGTCCCTCAGCACCTCCGTGGACATGAACCTCAGCGGCGCGCCACTTAGCCCTCCAGCCTGACACAGCATTCTCAGTGCTTCACTATTTGCATCAGCACCAGACAGTGATTACACCATCCTTCCACGCCCAAGCTTGACAGCTGCTATGCTGCTCAGCTGGCCGAGCGCACCCTTGATTTGAGCACAAAGTCTCAGGGGACATGCAGAGCTACAAAAAGAATTTTGTCAATATCTGGAAAGCAATGCAGCGCAGACTGGGAACCAGAAGGCTTGCCATCACGTGCATCACAATGTCCAGCTTCACTGAGCCATGATGTCAGAAGCAAGTATCAGAGCATGTGTGATCACCTCCTTGCCCTCGGGGTGCTCTGCCACAGCAGGCGGCCTGCAGATGGTGGTGTTGCTGACAATGAGGCCGTCGATGCCAAGCTTGAGGGCAACCGCGGCGATGTCGGACTTATCAGCGTCGGTGATGTCGGGCGCGATTTTGACCAGCAGCGGCGGCGGGCCGGCGGCTCCCCAAGACATGCCGTCGCGCGTGGCCTTCACCTTCCTCACCAGCTTCTCCAGCTCCTTCCTGCTCTGCAACGCCCTCAGCCCTGCACCACACCCGCCCTCACCCTCCATGCAGGACAACCCCTGAAGTGTGAATTTGCGCTTGCTGCAGTGCATGTCATCGCAGTTCTTCTGGCAATTTTCTCGCACCTTCATTCATATCATATTTGGGCAGTCACAGCCATTTTTATTTCCTTTGAATAAAGTGAATAGTGTTGGCCAAAAAAAAACAACTACTTAAAATGGACATGTGCGCATGTGGTAATCGTCCTGTGCGCTCACTGTGCAGCATACTTACCCAGCGCATACTTCTTACATTGAATGGAGCTGATGTGAGCAAGGGAGAGAAAAAATAGGAAGCAGCACCAGGGGTGTTGGGCGAGGAGACGTTGATGACCAGGTAGTCAGCATAGGGCGCCAGCTTGGAGACACCCAGGCAGTAGTCTGCAGCGGCATCCTCACTCAGCTTGTTCTTGCCCAGATTCACACCTACCAGGCCGGGCCCGGGGCCTGGCTGATTTGCCGGCCGGTGCAGCTGGCTCCTCCTGTAGGCGATCAGGTTTGCCCGCACCACATCCAACCCCTGGCTGTTGAAGCCGTAGCGGTTGATCACAGCCCTGCAGACGCATGCGTGATGCAGTCAAAATATGGTGTGGTGCCAATGCTGCAATGAGGTCCAGATGGGGATGAATGTGTGAGCTGCTGGGACATGGGAGCACAGCAGATGTGCATGGTGCTCTCACTTGAGCTCTGGTATCCTGAAAGCTCTCGGCTGGTCGTTGCCAGGCTGCGGCAGAGGTGTGACAGACCCTGCAATCACCGAACGCAAGGATCACATGAGAACAACATGCCGTGATGATGCTTGATAAAGTTTGTGCATTTTTGCAGGCTTGAAGTTTGCAGGGCGCACCAATCTCAACAAAGCCAAAGCCAAGGCCCAGGAGACCCTCCAAAGCTTGGGCATCCTTGTCAAAGCCGGCTGCAAGACCTGCCAAAGGGCAGCCAGTCTTGAAATCCACAAGTCACCCACCTGGAACGAGGAACATCATCGCAATGAGCATGCCGGGACATACAACACTGTGGAGGGTCCTTACCAATTGGATTTGAGAAGTGCTTGCCCCAGACGGTAGTGCGCAGTATTGGCGGGTCGGATCTCTTCTCTATGGGGAGCAGGCCATGCACTGCAGCCCAGATGGCAACGTTGTGGGCTCTTTCAGCATCCAGCTGTTGAAGTGCCTTCTGAGCCACATGCGAGAGATCGAAAGGCAATTGCTCTGGGTCATCGATGTATGCAAGGGCAGTGCCAGCAGCAAAGGCTGCTCCACCAAACACCAGCCTCCTCTGTGAAACACAACTCCAGACGTCAATACAGATCGATGCTCCAAGGTCAAATATGAGGTCATAAAGAGGACACGGCGTCTTTGAAAGTGCACAACATCTCCTATAATGCATGTTGGCTTGGGCAATCAGCCCATGCGATGCAATGCTTGATACAGGCTTTGGAGCTCACCAAGGCCACGCGAACTGCCATTAAACGAAAAGACACGCTTTATCTCCGTTCAGATCGTTTCTGCACAGTCTAAACCTCCGCAAGGAAGCTACCAAGCCCTCGATGCCAGAGCGGGAGGCCTTTCTTCCATATCGTAGAAAAGGCAATCATGCAGGATTATTCTACATTGCTTGAAGTCACTCCTTTAGACAGTACTCGAACATCAATGGACCTCTTCTTCTCATGGAAACAGAGTTCCTCAATCGGTGACTCAGCTTCTGCCCAGGGTGGAAGCCAGTGGGCAGCACTTAATCCATCCGCTCTTCCAAGTTCTGATGCAATCCTGTCATTTACGCATTTATAAAGGAAGAGTTCATACATTGCAGTGTGTGATTTAGCGTGCGACACAATCAGGCGACAATAGTGTTCCCTGTCTGTGTTGCCATCAGATCTAGCATTCTAACTCTATCTCGTATAGTCGTTGCACACGTCCAAGAACCACGTTCCCATACTTTGCTGACTTGTACTTGCATTTAAGCAGGGTTCTGATAGCGTAGTTAGTGCGGATGGCTTTGCACACAGCTGCAAGAGAAGGCAACTTGGAAGACATTCAGGCCCTCATCGACTCTGGCTCGAAATTAGATGATAGGGACAAGCACTCACGAACGCCGTTGCACATGGCTTCGTGGGCTGGGCATGTAAGCTCGGCACTGGAACGTCTCCCTGGCTCATCACCATCAGTGTGTCAGATGTGATGAAAGTATGCCTCCTATACGTTCTGATATCTTCGTGAATTACAGGTGGCTTGTGTGGAGGCGTTGATCGTAGCTGGGGCCAATGTCCATTCTGCAGCAATGGATGATATGAGCAGCCTGCATTTTGCTGCACAGCAGGGCCACCTTGATGTCTGTAGAGTGCTTTTGAATACAGGTAAAAGGCTATTTTTTTAGGAAGTGTCACGCATCTGCTGTGTGCATGCCAGAAAAAGCCCCTGCTCACAGGTGCAATATTGGCGCAGGCGTGAAAATGAACTCAAAGACTAGGAAGGGAACAAATGCCTTACAGTTTGCAGCAAAGAAGGGTCATGTGGATGTTGTGCGGTATCTCATACGCCGCAAAGCGAATGTGTCAGCAAAAGACAGGAATGGCAAGACAGCCATGGACCTGGCATCTGACGAGGCAGTAAAGGCCGTCTTGCAGGAAGCGCTTAATGGCCCTGAGCAGGAGAAGGTGATCAGGCTCTCTTGTTGCCCGCATACACTGGCACATTGGGAGTGCACGAAAAGCATAGCGTTCTCACAAAGCTGGGAGCAACTGCTGGCTGACACGCTTTGTGTGTTGCAGCCTGCTGGACCATCAGAAAGATTATCTGAGGGGGAACCTGCCGAAACAACAGATGCACAGCCCTCAGAAGATGATGCTGCAGAGCAAGGCGCTGTACCGATAGGACCACCAGAGCAGCCAATTGAGAAGAAAGAAAGGGGCAATCTGCGCAAACGCAACGAGTCCAATGGTGTGTCCCTGCACCTGTTTATGCTGGCTGTCCTGTCCTTTCATCATGAGTCATCTAGCATGTTGTGCTTGTCACTGATGTCATTGTCTTGCAGGTTGGCAAGCAGCCGCTGATGGTGAGGAGCCTGCTCCAAAGAAGGTCCAAAGAGTTGCTCTTTCGCATTTGGGAGCAGAGTGTGAAGATGAAGACGTCGAGTGAACATGGGCAACTGGGACTGCAATTCTGCATTCTTCTCGCTATTTGAACGAATGAAAGACGCGTTTAGCTGCAGCTGCCTGGTTCCCCATTGTGTGCGTTTACGTATGAAATAGATGTCTTCCGCGAAAGATAAAATGAAGGCTGTTGACATCAGGCCAAGCAGTAGCCGTAAATTGGAGCAATTGACAACTGGAGCGAATGAAAAAACCCTTCTGTCTCAGGCATATTATCTGGGTCAATTGGTAACGGCAAATTTGTAACATTCTCCCTTACATGAGTGACGTTGCCCCATTATTCCAACGCCAAGCAAGACTGCATATACTGTACACCAGGAAGTCATGTGTCCCAACAAAAGACAATGTTGATCTTTAATCTCAGCAACCTCACTTCTTTTGTTATCTGCAGTATTCAGGAGGTTGAATGACAAGTCACGATTAATGACAGCTAGTTAGTCAGCATGGTCACGCAGCACAGCTGCTGGACACATCCTTACAGGTCACTAGTCTGCGTCAGCCTCCATGGCTTCAAGTCTCTGCAACACAAAGGTCACCAGGTCAGTTATACATGCATTGCAGCTAGCAGCTGATGCAGGAAAATTGATATACACATGGTGCATGACATGGACACAGGAAGGCGCATACCTCATCTACAAACTCCTTTATCTCATTGGCTTGGATCTCATCGATTGAATTTTCCCCAAGCACATAGGACTTCAGCGGGCCCTCATTGCTGGGTTGCTTTTGCTCCAGAATGTACCTGCATGGAACAGAAGTCAAGGTACTGTTGGACTCCAATCGCTCTCAAAACATACAAGTCAACAAAGAGACTGGGGCTGCGCTCACCTCTTCTTCAACATCAACTCCAATTGGTGTTCTGGCTGTCCCAGGGATGGGTGCGGGACCTTGGCCTCAACTCCCACATTCTCAAGATGCCGCCACAAGTCATCTGATGCCAGCAGAACAAGGCCTCTTTGGCAAGAAATAACAATATTGTACATATGCACAGTGCATGCGGGCAATAGACAAGCATAGCCCGCCACAATGGCGAGGAAGGCAACACTCTTGGCAGATCTGAAGTGCAGAATGGGCATGAAAAGCCTGTGATGTCTAAGATACCTTCTGAAATGGCGCCTCCGGCAAGGTTGATGAGGGACAGCACCAGAAGCACAAATGCTGGCGTTGCATCAGCAGAGGCTGACGTGACAAATGTAGTGCGCATTGCCTCAGGCAGCAAGCTGCGCAGCACGTATGCCTTGGAAGGGGTTGCTTCCCCTGCGCACCCAAGGAGCTACTAAGTCCCTCTTCAACATTTCGCACATACATCAGCGTACTAGTGATTGAGGGGTGCTGCTCTTCAAGAATGGTTGGACTTTGAACATATCATGCCTAATTGTATGAGAGCAGCAATGAAACACAGGTCAGGGGTCATGCTATTTCAGTCATCGCCATCGTCGCACAAGGCACCTTTGGCCTTGCCTCCGGCTCTGCTGGCAGGCAGAATCTCGACCATCTTCATCTCCAGGCCAAAGATCACAGGGAACTGTGCCTGTGCCTGGGCAATAACGTAAGCGCTGACGTTACCGGAGCGCCTGCCCCCATCCCTGTGTGTGTTCTGGATTAGCTTGCCCAGCTCATCACGGCGGACAAGCTGGTCTGACTTCTGGTGCTGGCGGAAGAGCATGAAGCGCACGACTGCAGCAACAAGCTGGTCGGACTCCTGCATACACGTTACAGAGGGATGATGTGGTAGGGAGTTGATGACGCATAAGATGCCCTGGAGACAACTGAATTGATGTAAATGCAGAGAACGCACACCTCTCTGGACAGCTGTGGATTATCAACATTCTCAGCTTCTGCCTTGTAGAAGTCCCTCTGCAAAATCATCCGTGCTTGTCAGTATCGATGCAGCTAAATGACCGACTACAGCTAACTTCCAGGGGACATTAGAATTGTCACAGAACTCTTTTCACATCCCGAAGAGTTCTTCCCGATACCTGTCTGATCAAGTGTGCGAGCTCGTCTGCAGTGGCTCGCACAGGGGCTCCCTTCCGCTGAGCACTTGAAGGACCTGCTTCACCTGCAGGAATGCGGCGAAATGAATGAGACGCAGACGCCATTGATCTCCTTTGCAATCCGCAATTCCTGATATCTGCGACCTTCTTATATCGTTCCAGGACGCGTGTATCAACAACTTCGTCACTGATGGAGGTTTCAAACAGGTAACCTGCATCATCGCGCGCAGCATTGCTTCTCATTGCTCTACCACGCGCTGAAGGTCGGTCAACGTCGTCGTCATTGTTATCTTCACGCACTTCAGCGGCTTCCTCGTGTCTTTCTACAGGATCCCTTACCACAGTCTTTCTATTTCCCTTTCTTAGGCGCTTATACCCTGGAGCGGGAGACACCATTCTTGCATCACTGGAGGATCACTTGAAAACAAATGAAGCATCACAAAAAATGATTGAGACTGTTCTCAATTTGAGAGAACATTAAGAACGAGAAGTGCTTTGCAGATCGGCAGGAGATAATAGGACACATGCATGAAGCATATGTTATTTGGACGAGGGCTATCGGGAAAGGAAGATAGGAAGGAAGCACGCCACCAAATCTTTGAGTAAACAATCGTGTGCTCAAGCAGAAGAGAAACACGCTAGAGGATAAAATCAATATCGCGCTTCTCAATGAAGAGGTGGGCAATAGAAAGGAAATGAACCATAATTTCTTTCTGTTCCAGTTGCGAGGGGCAATTGGTTATTTGATTATTAATTTGCAGGGATCCGCGAACTGCCCTGTTGCAGGCCACTGCTGACAGGCAGGACCATGTGCTAATTGGTCGCACAGCCCTTTTGACAGCTCATACGCAGAGCAGGGCCCAGGCTGCCGAGATCTTATCAGATCTGCGCACGCACGGTATCTATGGCGGAAGCATCACCTACGTAACCGTTGGCGACGTGCGGGAGACCAGCTAGCTGCACATAGTGGATCGTCCTGAGCCTGAACAGTAATTTCGTTGCGACTGGTGGTATAAGGAACAATTGAAGAAGCATTGTGCTATAAATGTATGTGGCATACGGATATTTGTGGCATGGCAGGTTGTAAGCTTCCTTTTGAAGGAGCTTGCCGTGGGGTCCAGCACCGCACTCTCACCTGATATTGCAACTCGTGACGCAGCAGAGCAGAGGCTTGTAGAGGAGGTCCTGGCTGAGGTGAATCGCTTAGCTCACTTGTACAACTACCTGCGTCACGATCCTGAGTGGTTGTCTGCCTTGATGCGTGAGGAGAAGCCACTGCAGCATATAAAGCCTCAAATAATGCATGATCATGACTGCGGCATTGCCTTAACTTTCTGATGGTTATGCAGGACAAGGGGCTGAGGGAGCTGCGGAGGCTCCTATTGAATGCCCTGACCAATCAGATCAAGTCTTTTGTTGGGGAGGTCGAGGTGAAATTTAGTTTGCCTGCTGACAGAAAATCACACCACCACTCGAGCCTTTGCAGCTGAGGCCTACCCATTGCAGGCAGCACACTATGGCTGGCTCGGATGCCTCCCTATCATGCCCAGCAAGCCGACAAAGGATAATGCGCACATCACCTATGCCAGGGAGGCGCTTGACATGATGACAGACATCCTTCACATGTTAGGTATGTACAGCAGCGCTGTGTTTGATTTGTGCCAAAAGTTCCAGGTGAACATGTTTGTGTGCGCACTGGCAGGCTTGCTTGAAGGTTGTCATGTATTGTAGATGCGGACAATCTGGACCACAATGAGCTTCCAAGAAAAGTCAGTGCTTTAAAAGATATACTGCGAACTCTGGACATTCGTGGGATGCCTACAGAGGGCCTGAGCGACGAGCACTTCACGGGCTTGGTCTGTACTCTTATCACCTGCAAGTGATCATGCCAACTCGTTCCGGAGGTTGAAAGATCTCTCAGGTTGATTTCGCATTGCGCAGGAGGGCGCTGAGAGCTGGTATGAGTACTCAATTGCGTCGGTGTTGAAGTTCATTCGATATCGCCAAAGCGGTGATATGGCTTCCCTTCAGGTGTGCACCTGACTATCTCAAACCTCAGCTTGATTTTAGTATCAAGCTGACCCAGGATGGTGCTTGGTCAAGTTGAACCCTCTCACAGGCAGCCTGTGCCCTTAGAACTTCTCGTTCAAAGCTCTGAGCTGAGGCAGGTATGCAGAACTTTGTGAGCGAGCAATTCGTTCTCTACAGCTTCCAGCTCGCCTTTGTCAACGCTGTTCCCGCCGCAATGCCTGGGCTGCATGAGGTGCTCCAATTGGACTTCGAGGGCGAGGTGATTCAGGCTGAAAATGGGGACTTGCAAATCACCCTGGGGGAAGTGAAGGACAGGCTAACAGGTGTGCCCAGCAAGTGTTCAAGCTATCCCTGCAGATGGCTGTCATGCCTTGACTCACTGTAACCCGTGAGCACCATGATGGCTGCAGACAATGCGGTTTCACGGGCGAAGGCGCAGCTTCGTATGCGACTGACCTACTTCAAGTGGGCACTGCTGAATCTCAAAGGTGTGGTATGGTTTTGCTTTTGAGGTCTAGTAGCACTGAAAAGGCTCAAAAGTTGTCATGCAATTCACAGCATTTTGCAATTGGGAGTGACCGTTTGTGCGTGTGCAGGTGGAGAAGATGTCCGCGTCAAGCTTAAAGGACACGTGCTGATCCTGAATGCTAGCTGGCCTCACAAGAAGAGGCTCCCAAAAGCCAAAGAGGAGGACGGGATTGAGTATGAGCTCGTATTGATCTAGCCTAGATCTCCAAGAGTCAGAGTCTGAGAGACAATATGCATGGGTTCTTGGCAGCCCAAAAATCTCAATCAGCGCCTGAAAAACAGAGCGTCCCTTTGCAAATTGGCTGACCTCCTATTAAGGAGCTCTGCACATGTTTTCACTTCGGGAGATGCGCAGCCAATGGAGCGCATCGTGGAGTCCAAGAAACAGGAGCTGCTGTCAGCGCTGAAGGAGGCTGGCATAGAAGTGGAGGATGCCAGCCCAAAGCTCGCGCAATGCTACCCTCCCTTTGCTCCACGATTCATTTGTTTGCAGGATTTGCTGTTGCCAATCAAAGACTAATTGGTGACAATTGTAGAGCTCAGCTCTAAGAGCTGTCCCTTTACTGCCAGGTGCTGAAACAATGCAGTTCACAGATGTAAAGAACATAAAGTATTAATCAGTCACCTAGAAAAAGATCAATGCAGACGTCGAGCTTGACGTCTGCATTGATCTTGCAGGTGCAGATGCAGGAGCAGTCACATGTGTTGCACATGTGCTGCAATTGTGACTGCACCTGCAGTCACATGCCGACACATATGACTCATCCCCTGCACATCAAGCCGCCAGAATACCCTCAACAAAGTATTGCTGTGCTCGATTTTCGTATGTAAATACGATATCAATGTTCATATCTTGAATTTGCGCAGAGCAGCTTTGCCCAAGGTGTGTGAGCTGTCTTGAGTGAGATTGCTGTTGTGTACTGCTTAGTATCTCTTCTTTGCCCCTGGTGTGGATATTTTCGCGATCGAATATCTCTTTCGATTGTGTAGCGATCCTGCGTGCTCTGAAAGTGTTGACACATCAGAGACAGGCTAGCTTGCTATTTTGGGGCAAAGTAGTTAAGAGCTTGTCAAGAGCTTGTGAGAGTAGCACAAGGCGCACCAAATTTATGCAGAAGTTCTCTCACGGTACGAACCATGAGAGCTACTTTCAGCCCAGCATCCGCGGAGCTATTAGCTTGAGTCGAAGGAACTAGGGGCCCTCCGTTCCTTGGGACGTTAGAGCTTTTCTCCTGGACCCTGACATCGCAGAAAATCATGTGAAAACAGTTGGGGAAGCTAGCTGGTGCAGAAAGGTCAGCGTGTTGGGCTGAAGGAGCGAATCACTTGCGAGACCTAGGAAGATGGCTCCTGCGCCAGGTTTCCTCCCATCATTCGTCACTCGGAGGCGATACTGGGACGATCCAGAGGTATACTATTCTATTATGGACATCGTCTTCTGTTATCTGTGTTAGTATGAATTACTCACTGTTGTTGCTCAAAGCTGCCTTCCAGCAGAGCTTGTGGCTAAAATCTCATTTGGCAACATCAGGTTGTGAATATTCTGGCTGGAGGCTTGGCCGGTTCCATCACAGCCACGTTTGTGTGCCCTCTGGATGTCCTGAAGACGCGCCTGCAAGTGCAGCGACGAGTGCCTGGTGTCAAGTACAACGGCATCAGCGGTGGGTGCTTGTTGCTTTACAGGAAGTATGTGATCATTAAATCGGCATGGAACGAGCAAACCTTCTATGCTCTGATGACCTTCGAAAAGCCTATATATTTTCTGACGTCTCTTGTGTGTCTTCCTGCAGGAAGCTTGAGCAAAATTCTGGCCGAGGAGGGGGTCAAAGGCTTGTATAGGGGGCTAACCCCTACACTCCTGGCACTGTTGCCAAACTGGGCCGTGTACTTCACAGTGTATGAGCGGCTCAAGATCAGCCTTGGCAACAGGGCTCAAGGTAGAAACTATTTCCCGTGCCTGTGCGTTTGTTCCACCTCACTTCGGCTAGGAACACGCTGTTGTTGACGCCGTATGCATCTCTGTATGCTGATGATGCCAGCAGTGGCTGAAAGGATGTTGTTTTTATCAGGGCATGCATTTATTAAGCCGCCGATGGTCCACATGGCAGCAGCCACTGGCGCTGGTGTGGCGACCATGCTGGTAAGTCCTAATTGTTGTCTGTTCATGTGGAGCCTCCTCAAGCATGGAGCATGCCCTGCATCTCTAATCAGATCGGCTTAGAACCGAGGAGGAGACTCATGCGGTAATGGCACCCATGACAGGTGACCAATCCCTTGTGGGTTGTGAAGACGCGGCTGCAGACCCAACACATGGGCCTGCGAATGGGGCGAGCATCGGGTGGCAGGGCTCCGTTGTACACTGGCACCTTTAATGCCCTCTCGCGGATTGCTAGGGAGGAGGGAATTGCTGGTCTGTACAGGTGAGGCCCTGGAAAGAGGCGCATGCGTGCAAGAACATAGCAAGTGCCCATGCTCTAATGTTGGGTGATGTGAAGGCATGCATGCATGCATGCCTGGCTGCTTCACTGTGCTTCTCGAAATGTGCGTTGTGCATGTGCGACTTGTGCATTATACACCATGAACTGTGCCCCCATGTGGATGAGCATAACTGTATGGCCTTGCTGTGCTTTGCAGTGGACTGCTTCCTTCGCTGATTGGAGTCTGCCACGTGGCCATCCAGTTCCCACTGTATGAGGCGTGCAAGAAGAGGATCGCAGAGCACAAGGGTACATCCCCTGACAGACTTGACCCTCTCAGCCTGGTGAGCTTCATATCTCCTCGTGGACACCATGAACATGCAAGATCGACACTGAGCGCATATGTTGACAGGGCAACTCTCCAAGGGAGCTGTCGATATCATGTGAGTATCAATGCAGTGGTCAGTATCAGTTGTCCTGATGTCCTGGGCGCCTTTGCGTCAAGGTACATGCACCCTAGATACACCAAATGGCAGCAAGCCAGCTGAGATGCCCTTTGCAAAAAAGAAAGCTTTTGCTGCTGTTCTCTCCCAAGATCCCATGAGATGCGTAGAGCTAGAGCGTGTGTGTGTGCTTGGCCTGCGGCCGTCAGGTGGGCATCAGCGCCTTCAGTAAAATGGTGGCATCCACGGCGACGTACCCGCACGAAGTTGTGCGATCTCACATGCATGTGGCCGGCTCCGGGCCCTTCAATGGCTTCCTGAAAACCTGCAAGCAGGTCAGTTCCCCTTGCAAGACATCTCTGCCGGGCAGGTATCCCGGCGAGCTCCCCTGCGCGCCCCCGGCCCCGGCCCTTTTTTTTTCACCCCACGTTTTTGGGAGCGGGGATGCGCGGGGGGAGTTCGACGGGGGACCCCCAAGAAAACATAGAGGGCTGTGGGCAGCCGTGGTGATGCGCGCGCGCATGCGCGGTGCTGTGGCAGGTGGTGTCGAGCTGCACAGCGCAGGTTGCGGCATCCACTGCCAGCTATCCGCACGAAACGCTCCGCTCGTTCATGCACATTGATGGCTCCGCCTCCGTTGGCCTGTTCAGCACTGCCCGTCAGGTTTGCTGTGCCCCCAGAGCGGCCTGCGCGGCGCGCTGCTGGGCACTGTGCCCCCCTGTCTGCCTCTGATTGCATACCTTTCAGTATTTTGTTAGAGTTATCCCAATTTATCCCCTTGCTTCTTTTAAGTTCACCTTGCTAAGGAAGCGTTCTGTCTGTCATGGCGTTAGAGTTCCCCCTTGCTTCTCATTCTAGACTTCCTTACTGGGCCCTAGTGTTCTGATTCATTTGCCTCCGCATGTCAGCTATCCTGTAGATAGGAAGCATACTCTCTATCGTTGCGTTTGAGTCCTGCTTTTTCTTAAAATATGGCGTGCACGATCAAAGTGTGTGAAGGCCAAGAGAGAGAGAGAGAGGGATGCAGAGGCGCATGCAATGCTCCAGCGGTGTCCTGCCGCTCCTCTCACTCACCGGCACTGATGTCCGGCACGCATCTTGGGTGCAGATCTACCGGGAGGAGGGAGTCAAGGGCTTCTACAGGGGATGCACTGCAAATCTGATCCGCACAACACCAGCTGCAGCGCTCACCTTCACGACCTTCGAGCTGCTGTCCCGTCACATGAGGGAGTTGGGATGCCAGCAGAGGAAGAAAGAAAAGGGGGAGGAAGCGCTGCAGCTGCAGAAGGCCTCAGCAGTCTGAGACCCTGTATTTGTCCAATTGCCTGTCACTGTTGGTATTGCCGTGGTGAGCAGCGTCTGAAGGAGGTCTCAGTGTAGGGCAGGAGACTGCAGATCTTACAGAGCTGCGTCCTGTGTGTCATGTGTTCTGCTGTCTTCCTTGTTCAGGTTTCCATAGGATGCCTAGATACTTTGCTTCATGTTCTTTTCAGGTCCCAAATAGTACAGGGGCTGGAGTGTCTGGTCAGCAGATCAGGACAATTCAATTTTTGCCGCATGTCTGGAAAAGCTAGGTTGGTACTTGAGTGGCTCCACATGTGGGTGCTTCATTTGCCAGTGGGATGTTCTATGAATTTTGCGAGCTCGAGGGCAAAGCTTATATTGGTAATGTACGATAGTAGCTTCATATCGATAAGCGTGGCATGCGTGCGTGCATGCTGCTCAGATCACACTGTGACATTGCAACTACCATAACATGATGCGTCTTGCCCAAGCCTGACATCAGTTGTTCAGAGTCATCCGGGTTGGAACAATTGATTAACAGATGGTGATTATGACTATGCAAATGGCTCACATACATGCTGGTGTCTCTCCGGAGGTAGCTATGTTACGTGATGCTACAAATTTTCTGTCGACAAGAACACGCTGAATTTATGGAGGACAGGGCAGCCTTTGGAGAGCCAGCAATATCGCAGGTCAGAGTCTACAGCCATGATCTACTTGTGAAATGCACTCAGCAATAATTCTCAATTTTCGTGATATCTGATCAGGCTCCCAGTGACTGCGCGACCTGCAACGCATATAGACAACGTGAAACAGCACTGCTTTGACGAAGTAGATTTATGACTGCAGAATTTTATCTCACAGAGGAAGGCAGGCGGTCGGGCAATGCACTGAAGCAGCCCAGAACGATCAGTGGATGCGCCAAGTCAAACCTGCAACAGATCGCCGAACACTCCTGCTGCTGTCACCTCTGCTCCAGCCCCGGGGCCCCTGCACAAAAGCTGGGACTAGGACACTACATGGGATTCATCTGAACGTACACCAGCTGCTGAGCTGGGCTGAGTTGACTGCATTCTCCATTGCCATGAAATTAGGCACCGTGTCACAGGGGAAAGTGTGGAATGCCGCACCTGATCATGAGAGGCTGTTGAGAGTAGCGCCGTGTTGTGAAGGCAATGATGTTATCTGAGCCGCTCAGCTGTGCAAATGCATGATCTGCTGGATAGGACTGCACCACAGCGGCGAAACCACCTTCAGCCACTTGCAAAGGTTTCACCTCATGCACAATAAACAAGGTCAAGAATCATGGGCGTGTATGTACCTGTAGGGAGACAGTGCATTTCCCTGCAGCCACATCCACAAGGCCCACATACACCAGTTTGTTGCCGGCCTCTGCTGCCTCAGAAGCGCGAGCCTCCATGTCCGCATCAAACTGCAACAAGGAAAAGAAAAGGAGTAAAGATGGGACCAGACAAGACAATCGCACAGTGGATTTATCGTTCAGCCTTGTGCTGCAAAGGTTTTGAAACAGGTGTCACAAAGCAGTGAGTGAGGGAATGGCTGTCAGACCTGAGGTAGCTGATCCATGAAGTCTAGGACCGATGAGGTGCTCTGCAGTGGCTCTGGGACAAGGCTCTCCACTGCCACATCCTCAAGCTCTATCTGCATGCCGCACTCCCGTGCCAGTATCACCACTTTCCTCGCCACATCCATTCCTGGCCAAAAATACACTCTTCAATGTTCTGCGCCAGCAGTGTATAGCACATCTTCTGCTCTTTCCCACCGATAGATCTGTTCAAGAAAAAAGCCTGCACAGAGCATTTCAACCAGGTTGGAGTGGTAGGATCCTGTGTTCACGCACCTGAGAGGTCCTCTCGGGGGTCCGGTTCTGTGTAGCCGGCGGCCTTGGCTTTGCCGACTACATCAGAGAAGGGCCTCCCTGGCCCAAAGTTGTTGAAGATGAATGAGAGGGTCCCGCTGAAAACGCCCTCAATCTTCGCCACCTTGTCCCCAGTGTTGATCATGGACTGCAGCGTGGACAAGACAGGCAGACCGGCTCCCACCGTCCCCTGCATGCCCGCCATATGAATTCTGCCCTTCAGATTTGCCAGCCTCACCAGAATTGTACATGATGAACTACTTGCAGTTAGCGATATTACGCCAACAGCACAAAGCAACAGCTGCCTTCAGAGCTTGCGCTTGCGCTGGGCAAAGAAAGATTTGTGATCAGGCAAGTAAGCACCTCTGCCATAAAGTGCGCATGGTAATGGCGTTGTGCTTCCTTCACAGCCAAGTAGTCAGCCAAGGGTCCAGAGCCCAATCGCTTGTTTGGCGTAATCACGTGGATGCCCAGAGACAGCCACCTGTGCACACCCGGTGTGATGCGCATCAATTAGCTCCACCAACGTGACACATGGTCATGCCAATCAGGCCCATGATCACACAAGTAGGTCGCAATATTTGCTGAAGCAAGAGGAGAAGGCTCCTGCATGGGAACTCAGAGCCTCACTTTGTGTAGTGGCATGGGACTGCCGCGCTGGCTGTGCAGTCGATGATCACCCTGTCAGCCACAGGGCTGGTGGCAAAATGATAGGTGAACGAGTCCAAGCTGGCTTCTGTGTCCTGTCAGGCGCCCTTTGGGAGATCAGCGGGTTATATCGGGCTTCTGTCGGGTAAGGGAGAGAAAAAAGAGTATTGCTTTCAATACAGGAGATACAATGTCAGGACTGACCTGGCTCTCCAGAGCGGTCTGCCAGGAACTGAGACTTATGGGAGTTGCTGACAGAAGCATCCATTGCGAGTTAGTCACACCGAACACTTGCAGCTCCAGGCCCCATTCCTCCCGAAGCCTGTCAGTCTGGCCATCAGCACACACGCATTGAGTTGGGTGGCCATCCGTTGCAAGAAATGCGTGGGGCACAAGAACCATTTGTCTGTATTTACGAAAGATCAAGAGTTCACCTGTAGTGCCAATTGGGAGAGAAGGGTTTTCCCAATCAATCCTGGACCAACTATACCGATTGCGACCTGCCTCTTCTCCCCATTGTGATCAATGGACTCCATGCCCAAGGCACTCTGTAATTTGGGAAGGGCAGCTGAACTATTGTAAAGTGGCGATAAGCCGTATGAATAGAGATTTTATCGAAGTTGGGTAGAGGATGCCAGTTGTGGTTCCTCGACAAGATACCCACCAGCAAAATGTAACGATTGCAAGGATCTGGCCTACAGAGTGGCTGGTAGCCTCAGCTCAACAACCTCTTGATCATCTATTCTATGCCTTATCTGTTCCTCGTGAACCAAAGAAGCGCATCTAAAGCGTTTGATCGCATTCACGTTGTCTTGCACTTTGGTCCTGCTTGCCTAAGCAGGCAATATGTCGTCCAGTCACGGTGGGCTGGGAATGTGATCGAACAGGATGACCTGCTGGTATTGAGGTGCCTCCAGGTGCATGCATGTGCTCTTGTCCCCAGCGGCACATGCAGGGTCTACATTGATGGCAATTCCATCGTGCTTGCTTCTCAGCACCATGATTCCGGTGTCCACGTCACACACAGCTTCAAATCCTTCCGTGGCATTGGTCCTGGACGTCTGCGTTGCCCAGTTATGGTAGCTAAGATCCGCCCCATTTGGCAACAGTCGTCTGCTTCCAGAAAACACAGCTTCCATTTCCCCCCTTGCTAGCCTGCGCGCATGCGGATCCTCCCCTGAATTCCAATCACACTGAGCCAAATCCATGCAAGGCAGTGCGAATTCCATGTGAAGAGAAAGGGCTGCCTCGTGGTCAACATGGAGTCTGTGCATGAGGATAGCTGGCATCATTGCTATGCCCTGTGAGAAAAACTGCCCTTGAGAACCCATCAGTCATGAGGATCATGGGAGCACCTGTGGCCCAAATCAATGTACCCAGACACTTCCTGCCCTTCTGGATTTGCAGTCCTAACAAAGATGACAGTCTGCAGCTGCCCGTCACGCACAGCATCCTCTCGCTCAGCAAGGGCCTGCAAATACCCAAGCCACTTCCTTGCCTGGTATATCAAACTACCTGCTATCTTCCAAAACGCCAAAAATGGGAGGACAGCAACATCTGTGTTTCTTGCAACACCACTGATACCGGGCGGCGTCCTGCACCTGCAGTAGGGGTTGCTGGGCTGTGAAACTGCAACCTGCACAGGCGAGCCGCGAGATCTGCTTCTCTTTTGAAGCCAGCGCATTCTCTGCTGCAATGCGTTTGTTCTCTGCAAACTCCTCCCTCGTCAGGACCGCGTCTCTTGGCCGCCTGTAAATCATTTCTTAGCTCTCACCGTCACCATAGAAGTCTGCAGTATCGGGCAGTAAGCACCGCTGAGCGGCCTGTCAAAGTGCTGGCGCGCACAATGCAAGTTGTAAGGGGGCTCAGGCAAAGAGAGGGTCGCCGCACACCCGAACTCAAATATTCTACGCGCCACCTCAATGCTCCCAAGGTAGAACAGATCATCCTTATTGATTTTGGAGTCAAGGTAGTCTTCATATCTGCACCCACACCAAATGTGTTGGAACCACAGGTGCTTTTCCTGAGTGTTCGGAATGGAGATTTATTGGCCACTGTTCAGTTGTGGGAAAGTAGAGGCTTCACATAGTACTCACGTTCCGAATGACTCGCAGTCTGGGCTGCTCATGCCTCTCTTTGTCACCGGAGTGCTGTCTGGGTCAAATTGCTGTCCCCAGCAGACAAAGTAGGAGTTTATCCGGTTTCAATGTAGTCAAACCAATATTTCCTGCCTTAAATTCTGTTCGCAAAGCTTTTCTGCCTGTAGGATGGAGGCAGCTACAACATATATTGGTCCAAGGTTGCGCACGTGCTCTATTTTGGGAAATTCCGATAATGGGACAGGTTTCAGCTCGCGCACTATATGCCCCTTGTCACATCACCTGTAAAATATTCTGTCGGTTAATACGGCATCACTTAGATTCAGGCACTGGAGTCATCGCCGTAAAGTATTTCCAGATGGTGAAACGGCATGTCTCAGATTCGTGAAGCATCACCCACTTGTAAACAGCAATCCCACACCAGGCAAACAAAATGATAAACCGTAGATAAAGGGGAGAATTCATAAGAGATATTGCACAAGTGCTTTCAGAGCAATGAAACCATTGTATGCAACGTCAGGCGAGTTGATATTGCCACCTCCTGCTGTACTCTCATAAACGGTCCCTCAAAGTAGGATTGGTAAGTATCTGCCGCCAGTAAAATTTGACATCTCACAATTTCACTTCAGAATCATACTGCAATGCAGGGCGTCAGTTCATGCATGCCGGACATAGCATAGATGCAAGATACTTTGCAAGGGCCAAACCGTCTGCAGAAGACACTGCGCACCTGCTTGCCAGCTCAAGCAATGACTTCGTATCTCTGGACATCAGCAAACCAAAATCTGGCGAGTTCTGTTCTACACTCAACATGTATTATTCTGTCCAGAGCATGTACACTAAGTTATACGTCACCGCTGAATTGTGTGGGAGTGTAAAACCAACATGAAATTTACTGGCAACAGTAGCAGTGCCTGCTTGTGTACAGACAAGTGTTACTGAGAATGAATCTGCCATTGCACAGGATCTATACCGAGAGAAGGGAAGGAGCCACATCATGCGGGCAGCATCAAGGCAATTAGTGCATTTTCCAAAAGTCCTGTAGGAGATACGCTGGGGTCAGACACAGCAAGCAGCTCCGCACCGCAATACAGTGGGTTGCTCTCCCCTTGCTTTGCGCCTCCGTGGCCACGGTAGCTTGGGTCTTGCTTGGATCTGGCCTATCCAAACATTGTGACAAGGGGTAGTATTTTGGTAGCCTAAACCTGCAGCTTATCTGCAGGAGCACCGTGCCTCTGGCAGGAAATTCGACTAATAAATATGTGCACAAATCAGCAATGAAGTCAGTTGCTAGCGCATGTCTGACCAGTCAATCCACTGTGGGCTGCAGGTGAGGAGGAGTTGAAGCAGACAGATTGCATGATAAATCACATGCTGATGTCATACGTCGCCCTCCTCATCTTTGGTTGGGGCCTCCTGTTCTTTGACTGGGCAGTCAATGAAATTGAGAAGCACCCCAAAGCAGAGCCCTGGATCAACGATGGTGTAACCATTGGAGGGGCCAGCGCTGTGCTGTCACCCATCATCCAGTGGGGCCATTGCATTGCTTACACTAACCCACAGGTGATATCCCTATGTGTTTTGATGGGGGAGGACACAATACAGGCTTGCTGGTTGCAGAGTACAGTATATTGATGGATCAGACGAGGCATGCCAACAAACTCTGTAGAATGGAGTGCATGCAACATGCAGCAGTTACAAAGCTTGCAGGGGACTGCATCGCACAGCACTGTACCTGGTGTAGCGAGTCTGTTGAGTTCTAACAACATCTCATGGCTCTCCTTGTGCAGGCTAATGAGATATCGAGGGTGAGGCGACGCTTTTACGTTAGCATGTGGAGTCTGTACTGCAGCATAGTTGGCATTTCAGCTTTGGTGGCTGTCGTGCGCTTCTTATTGGGAGAAGATGGGACTCTGCATCACTTCATCTCAACGACATCAAATCATCTTGTTCTGGTGAGCAATGACTGCATTATAACTATGGTTACAGGTGCCTGTTACATTGAAAAAGTTGAAAGGCTGGCAAAGACTTGATATTCAGTAATCTCAATATCGATTTTGCCACTTGTGCAGGCACGAATATCAGCATCTCTCATCAACTGGGGCTCGGGGAAACTGTTCATCCGCTGGTACAGATATCGTCTTGCCACAGGGCCACTATTCTGACAGAGCATGCCACATTATAGATACATACAGTTTGAGCATCCACTTATTACTCTCCACGGCTGGCCTTCCCTAGATAGGTCCTTGTACTAATACACAGTGCACAGGAGGGCGAATGAGTATTGCATATTATATAATATCAGAACTAAAAAGAGGGCCAAGGCCAGAAATTATCTTCTCCGTTAGTCTCTGCAGACTTGCAATTTTTGCACACATTGCTTGAAGATACCAGGACACTTGCAAGGATCGACCTGAAGAAGGGCACTGAGGCATCTTCTGGTCTGTGAAACAATCTTGTACACTGTCTCTGTCCAGCTTGCCAGACTAGGCTCCCATCAGAAACCTTTCACTTGTCTCTCAATCTTGACGATGTTGGTTCAGCCCGGGACAATTTATCGTCCAATCGGTCCGATGATTGCAGACCAATTAGGCAAACGCCATGGACAACCTTGGCGAGGCGCTGGCCACAGCTGGAGCCTCTTGCTGCGCAGAGCTCCTGATGATGGACTCTGACGCATACTTCTTGGCTGTGAAACGGAAAAAGTCCCTCCAGATGAGTTCCGCATGCATTAAAGACACAACAGTCGGATTGCTGGAGGCCTGCCGAGCCTGCACCTGTTTGCATCAAATCACATCAGATGTCAGATCGCCTATTCTGGCCTACCTAATGAGTAAAAGAGGGGCAACACTCCCCAAGATTTGACACCGGTCCAATACGAAACTCACAGATGGCATCAAACTAGTTTGCTGATCAACAAGGAGCACTAGGGTGGCACAGAAGCAGCAGAGGATCGGACCTCTGCATACATGCGTCGCGGTGAGAGGCAGCCCAAGGCAAGCCAGGGTGACACCTCGTTTGAGAATGCAGCACTGATGTTGCTGCCTGGACCAGCCTTCATAGAGGTTCTGGACAGCAGGCGATTCAGCTGAGCCAAGCCCTCACTTTCCCCTGTAGATGTTAACAACACAAAGGTGTTCGATAATTATAGCAAACAATTTAAACATCCATAGCAGCAATTTCTTGATCCCACGCTGTGAGCTTCATTGCCTGAAAAGTAAGTTCGAGATGGTTGACGTGTGCCCATTTGTGATCACATGTGCCTGAGAAAGGGAGGAAGGTTCAGCAATATGTACAGGACACACCTCCCCTGCACTTGGGAGCGCCAGGGATGTTGGAGAGCGGTTGTAAGCCCAACTGGGCGAGGGTGGGAATGTCACCAGAGGAAATGCCCTGGGACCCCACTGGTTTGCCTTTGAGCTGGGCAGGTGCTTTCTCGGGCTGCTTGACAGCTAGAGAAGCCACCTTGCTTCTGAACTCCCCTTCATCATGCACAAATCCCCAAAATCAGTCATCCTTTGATTTGACCCATACGAGCATTTTAGTGATATTACATATTTCGTATGATAGCAACATTGATTGGCAGTTTCCTGGGGTAAGATAAAAACAGTCTCTCTGCCGGTCAGGATGTTTCCTTTGGAGCCTCAAGGACGGACCATGTGTCGCTGGCAAGTCGCCTAGCTTGAAGGGCAAGTCATCTGGGCTGTAAAGGGTGGATCCCCAGCTGGCCTTCAGCTGGATGTCTTCGACCTTCAGCGCAGCAGCCACCTGCTTCTCTGTCAGGTCCTCCTCATACGTCACTTCTGAGTGGCAGAACACCTTGCTGGCTCCCACCTTCTTTGCCAGATCCGTCAAAACCTGACAGGAGCACACAGAAGGCTGCATTGCAGAATGGCACCAAGTACATTGTCGGGTAGATGATGAGCTCAGTATACGGAAGTGCAGTTCGCAGCAGTAGGAGCAAACTTTAACATGCGTCAGCAATATGGAGCATATACAAGGTGTCAAGGCCATGCTGTTGTTCATGCGTTGCACAGGGATAGACCCTTGAAACTTGCCTCCTCGGGCTTGCCAATGCGCACGATAAGATCTGAGCCAATGGCTCTCAAGCTGTTACGCAGTTCCATCACAGCATCCACAATGAACCTGCAAAGCAAGAAATGCCATGACTGTCTCAGGATTAGGGCCAGGTCTGTGCTGAACAACTCATAATGGAACGAACTCTCAATAATCTTGGTCCAGGAGCACTGTCATGCAAACTTACTGGGCTCTGTATGGCCCAGTACTGTTGATACCATTGCCACTGCTGCTGTATTCTCGAGGATCAAAGCAGTATACTGGGAGCAGAGAAGACGAATCTCTGTTTGCAATGGCCAAGGCTTCGTTGTCGTGAACCCGAAGATCATTGCGGAACCACATGACTGTCACACAGGCAGAGAGACTGTCAGTTTATTTGATGTGGTGGAAATTATAAGGGCCTCATTACAAGAGGACACTGCAAACATGAACTACCTGCCGCTCGGCGTGCTCCTCCAGCGAAAGGCCATTCACTCCTTCCCCCTCTGATTCTTTGGATCGCCTACAGTTGACATGCATTGGTTCTTCATGATGCTTGCACAGCACTGATGATCGAAGTGCTAAAACCTAATACCATTACAAGCACGGAACGTTGCTTACCAAGTCCAGAGCATTCCTGCGTCCTGATATTGGAGAGCTCAACTGGAAGGATCGGGCAGCAAGCCACTGCAGCACGCAAGACAAAGTTGCTCAATGCACAGCTGATGCCCACGAAATGCCTGGGATCCTGATCGATCCATCAAGTCAGCATAGATGACATTGTCCAGTCCGTAACAGGACCTTGATAAATGGGTGACGTCCAATGGGGGAAGCTGACGCTGTCCCTCTCAGATTACCACATTGATGCAGTCTTGAAAGGCCGCGTGCACCAGGGCAAGCGTTGCCTTTGATGCAAGAGTGCTGCATCGGAACAGAGTGTCCTGCGTCAAGATAATAGATCGCGACGTTACTGTGCTTTTTGCTTGAGCAAATGGACATGGTCCTGCATGTCCTTCCAGAACGGGGGGGTCCGGATCCCCCGGCGCTTCGTCTTCAGCTTCCACTTCTTTCCAGACAACGCAAAATAATTGTTCAAGACCATAGAGAGTAGATCCACAATCACCAGAAACATCCCTTTAACAAATCAGGCTGGTGTGGAAGTCAACCGACCCAGTCCTCTACAGGAGCGAGGAAGCAGATTCCCTTCCAGAGCCTTCCCAAGCTGACCTTCAAGTTCGGCATCTAGAGAGTAAAAAGCAGGAGCAAGAGCAGATCCTTAGGGTGAGCAGGATTGTGCCACGGAGCTCAATTGTGCTTTGCGGGGTATCAAAGCCGCCTTTGATTTCCTGTGACTTCAGAAAATTGCGTACGATGTTCTGTGGTGCGACTCCACTCTGCATTGACAACATACACAGTGATTTAGGTCAGTCGCACAATCTGGTGCCGTGATGGCGCTGCCTTACCGACTACGTCCTTCATGAACCTTCCCCCCGTGGTGCTGCAGGCTTGCTCTGGCCTTCCTGCAACAATACCTCCAGTCTGCACAGGGTCGCTTAGACCTTCGTGCAGGCCACAGACGCAACTCTCTGGAGCCTTTGGAAGGGTGAGCGCAGCGGGTGGCGCTAAAAGGTGCTTATTTCATCAGCTGCTTGACCTCGTCCTTCTGTGTGATGGTTCCAAATTACATTTTGGCCTTCTTACTTATCAGCCAGGATTGCAGCCGGGATTGAAGGCTCATCTGTGCTGCAGGACAACCATGAGCCAATTTCGTGCTACCCCGTCCTGCCCCTGGCCCCTTCTGAGCAAGAAGGATGTTGAGGAGGCTTCGCCAAGTCGTAAGGAGGGCATGACTTACGCGAAGGAAATGTCCTTTGTGAGATCCATGTGTGAGCTCATGAAGAAGATAGGTGAGCGCGCTGCAGTCGCGCACACGTTCCCGAATACTCTCTCTCAAACAAAGCAATGTCGTGGTCATGAGTGCTTTGAAATATCTGCTTGCGATCGGTAGGGTCATAGTCCCTCGTCATGTCCAGCCTTGTTCAAAAGCAAAGTTCGTATTGCAGGCGCCAGTATGAAGCTGACTCGAGCGGTGGCCACTGCCATCGTTTTTGCGCACCGCTACTATGCGATGAAGAGCATGCAGAAGAATGACCGCTTCATAATCTCTGCTGCATGCCTCTTCCTGGCTGGCAAAGTGGAGGACGAGCCCCGCGCGCTTTCAGATGTTGCTCAAAACTCCTTCAAGATGCGGTGAGGGGGCCCTGTAGTGCTACGCCATGTCTTTTGAACATTCAAGTCTCACTGAACTGCAGCAAGTGCTGGTCAAGCACAAAGGATGGCTTATAGTTGCATGCAGCTCGGCCAAACTCACTACAGTACAATGCTGTTCAGGTACTTTAACAGCCCTGCAGTGCTGAAGACCATGAAGGATCCCGAGATTGCCTCTGCAATGAAAGAGGCCATCTTGACGGCAGAGCGCGCTCTCCTGTACGCCCTTGGGTTCCAGTTCACCATAGACCATCCCCAGGTCTTCATCCGAGACACTCTGGATCGCTTCTCTGCCCTGCCAGACCCCGAGGGCGAATACTGGAGGCACTTCAAGAAGGAAAAGGTATGGTGGCCCTATTCAATTGGTGGAAGGTTGAGGGAATTGCACACTGCGCGTGCACAAGTGCTGCTGCACTGTCTGATGTCTCACTCCAGAGCATTATGGCTACATGGAAGCCATAAAGGAAACCTGGAGTAGCAACTGATGAGTGGTGCCTGTTGGGGTGCTGCAGATGCCTCTGCTGCAGAACTTCATTAATGACCTGTACAAGGGCACGAAACTGGTCCTGCGATATGACCTGCGGCTGTTGGGCGCCACAGCCATCCACCTGGGCCTCGCCACTGTGCATGCCAAGTTGCCTACATGGAACCACGAAGAGGTGAGGCCCCAGCTGCACAGGCACTGTTGCAATGAGAGCTTGCAGCTTCTTTGTGTGTTAAGCAGCAGTGAGAACTGCTGCGCCGGCTCTGATGTGTGCCTGCGGGGGGATGTCATCTGCAGGTCCCCAAGATTGACGGGAAGCCATGGTATGAGGTGGCCATGATGAAGAGTCAGCCATTTGGGGATGTGGAGGGCTCCCCAATCACTGTCACAAAGCAGCTGCTGGAGGAGATTGGCAAGGAGATCATGGCCCTCTACGTCACTCGCTCGCAGGGTGCGGTCCTAGTGCTGTTGGGGTCATTGTGTATCTCGGCTCTCTGGGCGCTGCCTCTGACAGTTGTTTTATGTTCTGTCCAAAAGTTGTGATGGGCCCATTGAGAAAGGCGGCGAGTAATTGCTGGGGAATGTACTGGCAGAGGGTGCAGAAGCAAAGGATGCGAATGAGGCAAATGAGGCGGATGGGCCAGTGACCCCTCCTCTGGACCATTTCCAGGCCACCACGCCCACTGGCAGCCGAGCAGCAGAAGACAGGTTTGCCGGCGAAGTACCGGGGCATCCGGGTCTGTCGCCTGACAAGGTGGGGCACACTTTTCTCCTCATCAGCCTAACATGCATCACAGCAACACTGTTCTGCAGGGTGCATTTGTGCATGTGGGCGAGGCATCTTGTCGTCTTTGACATGATTTCATGGAGGGTACGAGGCACCAGATCTCGGCCACATGGGGCTCAGTGACGATTAAGTCACCCATGAACAGGACGGGCAGCGCCTGCCTGGCAGCGCTGCATCTGCGGCCGAGGCCGGTAGCTCGGCCCAGCAGGATGCTGGCCCGGTCAGCTCTCTGAGACCCGGCGCTGCAGAGTTCTACCCATCTGCCGAGAAGGCTGCGGCCAGCTCAGATGCGCGCATGGCAGCTCATGTCAGTCCTCAGACCGGCGCAGTTGCCATGTCCCCTGCTGCGCAGCATGGGCAGACGCGCAAGCGCACCTCTGATGTAGCAGGGCTGGACAGTCAGCCTCAGCAGGGCCGCTCACCCAAATCTTTGCGCGGGGTGCCCACTGCTGCAAATGGGGGTGCAGGCACTGCTGGCCGCTCTCCAGCTGAGATGCACCATGTGCCCAATGGCGGGCCGGCAGCAGTGCCCAATGGGCAGGCAGCGGGCAGTCATGAGCTCGGCAGTCCAGGCCTGGCAGCCAGCCTGGCAAAGCATGCAGTTATTCTGTCTCCCGCTCAGCAGGCCGACCCGGCAGGGCAGATGGCTGCCCATAAGCCGGATGCAAACATGGTGGAGGTTGGCACGACCATGCTGGCAAATGGCAGCGGGTGAGAGGTTGGGCAGCTGTCATCTCAGGCGAAACAGATATGTACGCGGTGAAAGCCAGCTGGTCTCTTTGGGCAGCCCATCAGATGGTGCTGCTTTGCTTGTGCTTTGTCGCTTCTCTCCAAGCTGATCGTGAGAATTTCTCGTCGGCAATTTTTTTGGTGGGAGTGAGCCCTTTTCAATTTGATTGTGATCGCTAGTATATAGCTGAGTTGCTTCATATTTCTTGTGGCTTTGAGGAACATCCGTGATCAGGGCTCTATACCTTTTTCTGGTGAGGCTGAAGGGAATGCATTGATCTCTTGAGGAGTATATTAGAACAGCAGTTGTACCCTTGCAATTAAGGAGATATCTGCAGAAGCCAGCAGTGTGTGTGTGTGCCTTCTGATTATCAGCGGTCCAGAATCATCTGATCTGTCCATGTATTCAATTCTGAATGTAAATATGGTTTTGAAAATCAACTTGAAAGGAATGCATGCACTGATCAGTTTGGATCTGCTTGCACCAGACGTTGCAATTGCAATTCAGTCTGAGGAGTTGACTCACAGGCTTCAGTCTTCTGGATATGATGATGGATCAGAACATGCAAGTGTCAAACATTTTACAGGTCCCCTCGACAGCGTTGATGCAAGATCGAGCGAAGTCCAGCTCTGCATGCCCCGAGATTACTAACCCCTGGGTTCTGACTTGGAGATGAGACGCTCTGAGGCCCAGAGCCAAGAGAGCAGTCTCCAGTGTCAGGGTGGCCCATTCAGCTGGCAGCATGAAGTCAGCAATGCAGCTGCGCGCGTGCCCCTTCGTGGGGGCGTCACCAGCGCTGTCCTCTCGCTCGGTGGCGAAGAGGGCACCTAAGAGATGCCTCCAAACCTCCAATGCAGTGAAGGAAATATTCATGCCAGCCCTCAGTTCCACTATGACAGAGGGCAAGATTGTGTCCTGGCTGAAGGGTCCGGGTGACAAGGTGTCAAAGGGAGAGTCTGTGGTGGTCGTAGAGTCGGACAAGGCAGACATGGACGTCGAGTCTTTCAACGATGGTATCCTTGGAGCTATCGTGATCCCGGAAGGGGGTGTCGCCAATGTGGGTGATCCGATAGCATTCATTGCTGAAACTGCGGACGACCTAGAGGCCGCAAAGGCCAAGGCTGGAGCCAGCAGCAATGGCGCTGCCCCTGCACCAGCTGAAGCTCCAGCTCCAGCTCCTGCTGTGGCGGAGGTAGGCTTTCCGACATCATAACTGGTAAAGAATAAGCTGGTGTATTGGCAATTTGTCTATTGAGACCAATTTATCTCAGCTCTTGCCGAGATTGTCCAATCCTAGATCATAGCTTTTTATTGTTTGCAAGCAATCTTCTTCTTGCAAATTTTCGGACCCTTGTTGATCATGATTACGAATCCGAATGCAAAACCCAATCGCTTGCTCATTATTCTTGTAGATAATATAGCCGAAAACATGTGCTCCACTCGCTTCAGGTGCTGGAAAAGGCACCAGAGCCTGCAGTGGCCAACGCTGCCACAGCCACGGCCACTGCTCCGCCGCCGCCCCCGCCGCCCCCTCCGCCGCCGGCGCCAGTGAACAAGCGTGCAGACGGCCGCATCGTTGCCACTCCCTATGCCAAGAAGCTGGCCAAGGATCTGGGCATTGACCTGGCCACCATCGGTGGCAGCGGCCCTAACGGCCGCATCACTGCCTCGGATGTCGAGGCCCTGAAGAACGGAGGTGAGCAGCCTGCAGCCTCTGTACACTTTATGTGGGGTCTGTCCTCCTTGGCATGGTCACAGAGCTCAATTGCCTCCGAGCCTTGCTTCCAAATATTGGTTTGAGGGAGGCAGGAAGTGAATGGTGATGAAGGCAAAAGATTATCAGTATCTGCATGGCTGCCAGCACATGCCTCAAGGACATGTCAGTTGAGCAACAACAGAGATTCTATAATGTCCCGGACTAAGAGGTTGGCCCTTTCTGCACGAGCAAAGCCACTCAGGCTTGGCTGATGCTTGCAGGACCTAAGACAGCGGCGGCCCCTGCCCCAGCAGCCGCTGCGGCAGCGCCCAAGGCGGCGCCGGCACCTGCCGTGCAGGCAGCGGCTAAATTGGCCGGGACGACGGTGTCAGAGCTGCGCGGCACCACGGTCCCCTTCACCTCCCTCCAATCCGCCGTCTCGCGCAACATGATCGAGAGCCTCAAGGTGCGCGCTGCCGCACCTTCTGCCTTCCAAACTCTCTCCCTCGACTGCTGCATGCGAGTTTGCAGGCTGTCATGACATTTGACATGACGTTTTTGTAGTATGCTTTTATTCTTTTGACGGGCGTGTTCCAGCATGAGTCTCACTGGGGCTTCATCCCTCCCCATGGGCCCAAGCAAGTTGGCCCATTCAGGATGTTTCATAACGGTCTGCCAGTTGAAGCCTTGCTGCAAGAAGCCTGTCAATGGTGCCAATGATGCACCACCGAACTGCACAACAAACATGCCGCATGCTGCAGGCGGTGCACTTCGATGCATCGCCTGATTTGAGCAGTGCATGTCTGACTGTGGGTGCGGCTGCGTGTGCAGGTGCCGGAGTTCCGCGTGTCGTACACGATCACCACGGACAAGTTTGACGCGCTCTACAAGAAGCTCAAGCCCAAGGGCGTCACCCTCACCGCGCTCCTGGCCAAGGCCTGCGGCGTCGCCCTCGCCTCCCATCCGCTCCTCTATGCCTGTGCGCGCCCCTGCTGCCTACCTCCTGCACCCCTCAACCACCCAGCCCTGCTACTGCCTGTCAATGCCCTTAACTTTTTATGAGCAGAGCTGCAATGTTTTGCTCCTGGTCGAAGTGTCTAGAGCATGGCTGGTAAAAGACCTTCTGTGAGGTGCTGATCAGAAAGCTACTCTAGCAACCGGCAAGTATTTTTGTGCTGAAGGGTTTTGCGGCTGGCATCGTACATCATTACACAGGGATGACTACCGGATAAAGTGAATCTGATGCAGCACCGATGATTTCACATCAGAAATAGCAATCAGTTATTTGTAGAGCTTGTGTACTGATGGGGCCATATGGGTGCTGGCGCAGCGTGCACGGCGGACGGCAACGGGGTGACCTACAACGAGCGCATCAATGTTGCTCTGGCGGTGGCGATGCCGGACGGCGGGCTGATCACGCCGGTGATCAAGGACGCAGACAGCACGGACATCTACCAGATCAGCCGCAACTGGGCCGACCTGGTGAAGCGCGCGCGCTCAAAGCAGCTGGCGCCCGACGAATTCCAGTCCGGCACCTTCACCATCTCCAACCTGGGCAACTTCGGCGCCGACATCTTCGACGCCATCCTGCCCCCTGGTGCGCGCTTCATCTCCCTTGTCCATGATGGTTCATGCGGCCTGTGATCCCAGCTGCTTTCTGTGAGCTTTCCTGTGGCTGGTGGTGAGTCCTCCTGTGAGTGCCAGCGCTCTCAAGAGGAGATTGGCCTTATTGCAACCGAAACGCTGGCTTGGAAAGGACCTCTGTAAGCAAGCGTTGCTTGTTGTGGGCCGTATTGACTCTTGGCAAGTCGTTGGCCCCGGTGCATGGTTTGCTTCTACCTGCAGCAATTGGGTGGTCCTCCATCACAAGGGACGGCGTCTGTGGTCTTTACCAGTGCTGAGAGATGTGGATTTGCGTGCGCAGGCACGGCGGCAATCCTGGCGGTGGGCGGCAGCAAGCCGACGGTGACGGCAGACAAGAACGGGCGCATCGGCGTGGAGAAGCAGATGCAGGTCAACCTCACATGCGACCACCGCATCGTGTACGGCGCCCAGGCCGCCGAGTTCCTGGTCACCCTCAAGCAGGTCATTGAGGACCCCGACCAGCTCACCCTCTAAAGCGCTCACTCTGTAGCGCACGCCATTTGTCAAGTGAGGGCCCATATTTGAGGACATTCCGAGCTCGGTGTTGGCATGGGCCCTCTTTGCTGCCAGGGCGGCTGGGTAGATGTCACCAGGGCAACAGCAGGCGGCCACTGCTCCCAAGCTTGGGTTATGGCGTTTGCTGAGGTCGCTGCAGGCGCTTCTGTGCTCACCTGCAAGTTAAAGGTTCAGCTGTGGTGACTGCCACTTTTATGCAGACTGACGAGATTGTTGAGCGACGAGTGCAACAATGTTCCTGCCATGTGCCAATGCATGAGAGAGACTGTTTCTGACGTGAGTGTTGAAGCGTGCCATGACATATGTAGACCAGCCAGGACTCTTGTATGGGGGCCTTTGCTCAGAGTGCGGCTGTGCCAACAAGAGAGAGATTCTTTGTGCAAGCTATGCTACTCTCCATCTGGATGAGATCATGACCTGATCAGTGGGATGGTCGAAGAGTAGTTGCTAAGCAACTTCAAATTGGTTGCCGACTGCAGTTGGTCGTTGTCGTTTAACAAATGTTCCTCTGTAAATTTCGTTAGCATGACTTCTAGCATGCAACAAGCAGAAATGCGATACTCGTCATCCAAACATGTGTCTCTCTCAGGGGACTGGCCAATGCAGCAAATATATAGCTCTGGAATATCTTCAGAAACGTTTCTGCACCCTCGACACATCAAATGCCTCAGGTCTCCATGAATCCCTCTATCGCTGCCACACTGGTGCGCTTTCCAGGCTCTGCTGCAGCTCTGCAAACTGCCGGGCAACGCCTTCCGCAGCATCTGCAGGTGTCAGCCGTCTCGCCTCTGCCGCATATGTCTTGCAGGCCTCCACTAGAGCGCCCACCTGCACCCATTCATGGCATGACTGTCATGCCGTGTGAGCGATGTAGCACACTCCATCTCTCTATGGACCCAATAAGCTTTATACATGCAAGTGCATTAAACTGGATCACTCCAACCATGTTGCTCCAGCAGAAGAATGTAAGAATGTAAACGTCGAAGGTCATTGTCACATGCTCATTCGTCCTATATATACACCAGACGAAAGTGAGGTATCTAATTAAAGGTCAAACATGCATGCAACAGGCACAGCGCATGTCCTACCTCTCGAGCGACGCCGCTACGGTAGGCCATGTAGGACAGCCCCGGCTGCCGGTCGCGAAGCCGCTCCGCGCTGCGCTGCGCGAGCCAGTGCAGCGAGCGCAGCAGCCGCAGCCGCAGCCTCGGTGCGTGCAGCTCTTCTGCGCCCGCCTCGCCGCCGCGCACGGCCAGCAGCGTGTCATACACCCGCTGCACCGCCGCCTCCTGCCCCTTGCACGCCTGCACATGCCACACCATTTCGGTCACCTCGCAAACTGATGAGTTCCGGTATGCCACATGACCAGTGAGGAGCTTGCCTTGAAGAGAGGTGCTGCAGACAAGTAAACTCATAAGTTGTCAACGCTGACAATCATAAGCAGCCATGTATAGTACATGGCGGGCAATGGTATCTGCTATTCGCATATGGAGGGCAAGACAGGCTTTCCTGGCACGCATATGTGAATGCATCGTGATCCATTGCAATCAGACAGCAGGGCGTCACAGGGGTCCAAAAATCGCTTGATTTGAAGGAAACCCACGTGGAGCATGGCGGAGGGAACAGCGTCGGAGTCGTCGACGGCTGCGCCGCGCTCGGGCCAGAGCCCCGAGGCGGTCTGCTCCAGGCGCTGCGCCACGTGCGCGCCCGGGAAGGCCACGTCGTTGGGGAAGATGCGCTCCCCCAGCACCTGCGCGCGATGACACACCTCCGCCAGCGCGCCAGCCGCCGCCTCGCCCTCCGGCCGGCCCTCCCCCGCCAGCCGCGCCACCGCCTCGTCCCACCCCTGCGCCGCGCACGTTTATATCACCTGTCTGTGCATGTCCAAAAAATGAGATGTTCTGAAACTTCACCATCGACCAAAACTTTAGCCTTGATGCTAGGTCAGCCTCCTCGTCACTCGCCAGCACCGGTCTTCCAGGTCCACCTTCACTCATATGTACATTGTGTCACGAGCCCCTTGCGAGCGTCCCCTCGTGCCCCTCGGCAGCGCAACACCACATACAAGAATTGCATTCCAGCGTCACCCCTGCTCTTGGATGAACTGCTTTCACTAAATATGCAAGGACCATGCTCCAGGGCAGCAGCATGGAAGCAGATACAACGTAAGGTCCTGCCCCCCAAGCCGGCACCTTGCCAGACAAAGAGAGGGCTAGAACCCATGGTAATGGGTCAAGACGGACAGCCGAGCCTGGGGGTCAGGGTGGCAAGGGAGCATAAGGAAGCTAGGAAGGCAGGGCACCTGGCGCAGGTAGACGTCCCAGAGCTGGCGCACATAGGCGGCGTCCGAGTAGTTGGCGACCTCCACCATTTCCAGCGCGAGGCCCCAGCGCGCCCAGGGGCACACGTAGTCGTTGTACAGGTCCACCAACTCTCGCGGACCCTCCCGCAGCTCCGCCACTGCCTCCTTCAGGGGCTCCCGCCTCTCCTCCTGCAATCCGTGCGAGATATATGTCAGCTACTTTGTGACTCCCGGGAAAAGGGTCTTCAGCAGACTGCATGAGGTGGATGAGAACTTTCTTGGTTTCTGTTATTGCGTCAAAATTAGTTTGAAGCAACTGGCAATAAGCATGTATTTGCAGAATTTGTCTGAAATTTGGCCGCGATCTTCTGAAGGACTCAGGAGAGGCAAGACCCGCAATGCGGCCTCTTGCAATATGCTTGTACTTCAGTTCAGGCATGAGATGTTGGGTTGGTCAGGGGCGTGGCTGGCACCTGGACGGAGGGCAGGGAGGCCTCCAGCTCTGCTACCAAGCGCTGCTGCAGCTCCATCAGCCGCCGGCGCACCTCCAGCCGGTCTATCAGCTCCGAATTGCCCTGGCTCTTTGCCTGCACCAGCGCACTCAACCATTGCTTTCCTTGCTGCCATGTGCATGAGGGCACGTCTCTACAATGCACCAAAGTGCGGGACAGCTTGCTTGTGCTGGGGAATTCTGGAGCTTGATCTTGTGACTTTACTGATACTTCAAAGATGGTGAAGCAGCAAGCAGCAACACAGCCCAGACATTTGAACCCCATCTTCCCGGCCTTCATACAGACTTGACATCATCTGTGGCCCACCATGCATTTCTCAGACCAGACAACAAGCTTGTCGGCAGTATAAGATGAAACATGAGTGGCCGGGAAGCACGCCTGCAGCACAGCGTTCTGGTACAGGTCGAGGCGCTCGGCCAGGTCTACAGCCTGGTCCCCAAGGCCGGCTCGGCGTGCGGCCAGCGCCGCATAGACGGCCGCCGCGTCCGCGTACTGGAATCGCGCTATGTACAGCCGCGCCAACGTGTCCAGGCTCGCCACCTGTGCAGCCGCACTCAACAATAAAGATAGTGAAGCCTGTAAAAGCTTGAACCGCGAGCTCTTGACTGCGTGCACATCCCTTGCATCCGCACTTCTGCCTTGCTTACCAGAAATGACCAGATGTACACACAGGCAAGCTAATGCTCATTTACTGGGCGCCATCTGCCCGTCATCCACATGTTCACACCCAAGAGTGGCATGCAGCAGGATGAGGTCATGTTGGGATGATGGTCAAAGGGCCACCTGAGTGGGCGAGAGGGGCCCGATGGGGGCGCCGGGGGGGACGCCCCCCCGTTCTGGGAGGCCCCCGGAGGAGCGCAGGTGGCGCTCCAGCCTGGGGTTGTCCAGCTGCAGCAGCTGCGTTGTCGCGTGCGCGTCCACCAGTGTGTTGTACAGCACCTCGTGGAAATATGGGTCGTCCGCCTTGGCCGCATGCTGTGCCACCCGCAACCACACACGCTGTCATGGGATGCTGCGTGCTTGCTTGGATGACAGAAAGACCAGGTTCAGTCGCATGGGCCATGCGCATGCAAACAAAGACTCGACCAAATCGGATTTGACTCTTCTAGACTATTTGCGTATGCATCATGCAAGCTGCACGCGTCTGGCGCAGCATTACCCCACCCTTGCCCAGAGTCTGGGCAAAGTTTTTTGTAACAAAAGAGGGTTTCCCGCTGCTGCAAGATCCTAGGAATGCCATGCAGAATGGGAGAGAGGGCACCTGCAGCAGGGTCTCCAGGAAGTCCTTGCGCTCGGCGTCCGAGAGGCTGGACTCGCGCGGCAGCGTGCTCGCGTTGCCGGCGGAGGGGTCTATCAGGTACTTGAGCACGTTCATCACGTGCACATACGCGTTCTCGTAGCGAGCCTGCAGCACGGACATGAGCACACATCAGCGCATGCAGTGGAGCAGCATCTTACAGGACAAATTCACCAGAGATCCGCCGCAGAAAAATTCAAGGTGTGCAATGACCGGGCTTTTGCATGTCTTGCTCCTGATCAAAGGCACTCGGGGCTATGCGCAAATTTGTGTACAAGTGTGGACATGGCATGGAGGAAACGTACCTCCCTGCCGGCGCGGCCGGGGTCGCCGGGCAGGCGGGCGGTGTTGTCGGGGTCGAGCGCTGCGGCCTTACGCAGGGGCAGCTCCACGACGCCCTCGTAGCAGCGCAGGAAAGCCAGCTGAGTCACCGCCTGCGCCAGGTCGCACGACAGCGGCACCTGCGCGCATCAAGCACACAGGTCACATATCATGCTACTTTAATTCAAGATTGTAGGAAGTGGACCAGCCTTTCCTGCTGGAAGTATCCTGGCCATGATGGGAACATGGAATAGTGCCCCCTATCAGCCAAAACTCCATACCTCATAACAACAAGTTCGACACGACATGGACATGGACCCACGTGCCCCACTCCAAGAAACCTTATGGGCATGAAAACTACATAAAATTGCCTCATGGTGGCAACTGGTCAAGAGCAAAGAAATAAAAATCCACAAGACAGCTGGTTTGGTACTTCGTAGGCGTGATGAGCGGAAGGCAGTGACAGGAGGACTATTGGGCAGGAATGCGCGTGCCTTCATCATGAGGCGGAGGGCTTCGCGGGTGAGATGGGCGCGCTCGGAGGCGGCGGTGGTGGCCTCCGCGCGCTGCAGCAGGCCGCTGGCCGCGTAGAAGGTCTTGTCATCCTCCTTGAAGAAGCCGGGGCAGCCGCCCGCCAGCACCGCCGATAGATCTTCCGCCACCCCGCCTGCGCCAGCACACATCAGTTTGCTCATGTTCATATTGTCTCCCCTGAGTAGCACAGGGTGGTAGAATATGTAATCTCACAGCATTTCATAGGGGATATTGTCATCCCTGGGGAAGCTCATGCAATGCGGTAGTCTGCATGAGCTTCCGGGGTTATGAATAGCAAAAGCAGCCAACCGGTGATCCGGGCGCTCGACAACCCATGGAGCTGGAGCACATTTGCAGATCTCTCGGCCCAACTGGTCGTCATGCAACATGATCTCCAACCTCAAGAGGCACACCATTCGCCAGAGTCTGCTGGAGACAAATGGAGACCAGGAGAGAGTAGATGAGCAGGGATGTTTCGGCTGTCACCAAGGGAGCAAAGACAAGGGAGAGCAGAAAATGGCCCACACTTTTCTTGAGACCGGGAGAGAGCAGGAAGGGGCTTTTGCTGCTCTCTGCAAAGGACAGAAACAAGGCGGAGCAGAAGTTGGCCCACCAGTGGCGGAGAGGTGCTCGGTGATGAGGACGGAGATGAGCGCGGCGGCGGCTGCCTCGCCGTGGGCGCCGGTGACCCAGTCGCGCAGCTTGAGCGCGTCGCGGAGGGATCGCTGCGTGGCGTCGTCGCAGCGCGCGGCCAGGCGGCCCAGGTTGTGGTCCCCCAGCTTTTGTAGCAGAAAGCAGCCCTCCGCCGCCCGCGCCACCAACGCCCGCACCGCCCCCACCCTGCAAACAAACGCACATGCCAGCTCAGCATGCTTCTCTGGCACACATTGGTTCACTGGACCTCCTGGGAAGCAATGTTCTCTGGCCCTCATTGCTGCAGAAGGGATCTGCGCAACAGCCGTGCAGCAATTCGCGGTATTGTATAGCACAGGCCGCCCCGCTGAAGGCCGTCATGAACATGGGCTAAGGTGGCATGCATGCACTAGCGATGCAAAACCGGCTGTATGATATGGAATGGAAGTGCTGCTCCGGGTATCTATCCTGTTCTGAGAACGAGCACACGGCACAACCTCAGACGATGGAACAGCTGAGTTAATGCCATTCTCAGCACAGGTGCGATTGAGCGGCACCTGCACTCCTTGTCGAAAAGGCCATTCCCTTTTCATCTGTTTTATTACCTGCCCTCATCTTAAGTGTCTGTTGGAACTGTCTCCTTACATTTCTACAGCCTCACACAACTGCCCCTGGGGCCTCACAGCCCATCTCATGAGACAGTGCAATAGTCAGCTGGTGATTTTTGGGTGACTCACCGCTGGTCCTCCAGCTTGGCTGCCTCAACAAGGCGCTGGCGCTTTGCAGGCCGGCCCTGACTGAGGCCCCCCTGCGCGCCTGCATCCAGGTAGGAGCCTCGCACTGGGTCTGTGGACGCTGACGAGGACGTCGGCTGCCGCTGGCTGCGCAGGCGCCGCCGCTCCTGGTACTCTCGCAGGAAGCCCTCCAACGTCCGCAGCCTGTCCTCCAATGCCTGCGCAGCCGGGAAGTCCAATTCAAATCCAAAAGGTAAAAAGAACACCAGGTGGAATATTTTCAGAAGGACTGTTGGGATGCATCTATATGGTGCTGGCGCCTGCTACCTGGAAATTCATTCAAGGACCTTTTTGCCCATCACATTGATGGCTAGCGATTGGAGATGCCCAGTGTGCGCTGCCTGGGCACATCAATGCGATGATCAAGAAGCATTGAACAAATTCTCAAGAAGCTCACAGAGCCCAATACATCAACGTGCTCGAGCAGATCCTGGTCGCGTGCTCAGCGTGTTTGAAATCCAAAAGAGGCCCAAATGTTGTTCCTTCTATATTTAGAGATACGATAGAGGAAATATGCACTCTGTTGGGATGCACAAAAATGCTGAGCACTGGCAACTACCTGCAGCGTGTCGGTGGGGATGTTGGCCTTCTGCTGGCTGCTGCCGCGGCTGACCGGCACAGTGACGGCCTCCTCCCAGGCCGGCTGCAGCACGCGCGCCACGTACATGCACAGCCCCTTGTACGCTGCCGACCACTCCGGCTCCGCTAGAGGCACAGCCTGCCACAAGCACACACATGCCTTGTCTTTCCTATTCTTGTCAGTCACCACGCACACGTTGCAGGCAAGGGCTCCCTCCAAGAGTCTCGCACACCAGCTTGCCACTTGATAAACGTCTGGGCTGACTTAACGCATGTGGCTTGACAATAGTAAGTTGTGCAGTAGCCAGATGGTACTACAGCAGCAGCAGCAGGTACATCATGAATAAGGTGATGTGTGCAGGAACCTGGCCCATGTCGAAGCCCTGATTGGGAGGCAGGTTCTGGTCGCCGGAGCGCGTGGCCTCGCTCTCCTTCACCTCCGCCTCGCCCGTCAGCCGCGGGTTCTCCAGCGCACTCTTCGCCTGCTGACTCACCGTCTGCACCACACCATAGGACACTGTCTTTAAAGTGCTTCCATACCGCTGCACAGCTCACCCGGCCACCTGGACCACTTCTATCACCAGCAGGAAAACTTAAGAGTAGCTTTGGGATGATGCTAAGAGGCGCATCTGGAGATAAGTGATGGTAAAACGCTGCCCCATATCCAATTCCTTAATGGACTCGCCACATCCACACAAGAGCCAACCAACCGTGGGCACGGTGCTCATTTTATATACCGTCCCCTTGCCAGCCAGTGCCAATGCTGTCAACAGAGGGTAAGAAACAAGCAGCGCACCTGAGAGGCGGCAGATGGCGGGCAGGTGGCGAGGTAGAAGCACATAGCGGCGACCTCGGCCGCGCCGTAGCCGGCAAAAAACTGCTCGAGCTTGGGCGCGGACCGCTCCTCCAGGATGCTGGAGAGCACATCCACCGGCCGCCGCTTCTCCGCCTCCAGCACGCCCGCCGTGCTGGCGGCACCAAGATGAGGTTTTCACACAATGTCACCGTCTTCATTTCTTTCAGATTTAAATTGTTTTCTGCCTTCCATTGCGTTTGATGTCTCCACACGGATGCCTCTGCATGCTTTCTCCGTGCCTTCTTGTCCCGGATTCAGATGCCAGCAGCATCATGCTGCTGGCAGACCTGCTGGGCCTGCAAGCTTCCAGCCATATGATTTGGAGACACTAGGCCTGCTTGACTAAAAGATGCGCTTGCCGGGTCTCGCATTGTGAGGCGCACCTGATGATCACAAAAGGCTGTGGCGGTGCGCTAAGCTGCGTGGTGAGCTCGTCGCGCATTGCCAGCTCAGTCCCAGCCGTCAGTGCCGGCCGGCCCAGCGCCGCAATCGCGCATGTCTCCCCTGCGAAGCCACAGACATGATTTAGCTACGTGCAGCATATCTTCAATTAACGCAACGTTTGTTTTACCTCTTCGACACGCCACTGACAGCCAATTCCCGCGTGCATGCCGGCAGACAATAATCATCAGCATACAAATTTCCTACAAGCATTCAGACAGGTAGACATTATCGGACGAGCCTGGCAGCGCACCAGGGATGAGCATTTCGAGCTCGGCCACGGTCTCGCGCAGGCCGGGCATGCCAATGTAGGCGCCAGTGGCGGTGGCGGTGGGTGGGCTGGCAAGGTCCCGCGCGGCCACTATGAGACGGCTGCGCCCCTGCTGCCCCGCTGCCTCTGCCAGCAACAGCACTCCGTTGCTGTAGTGCGCCACCGCCACCTCCAACCCTCTGCAGCAGCGCAATGTGTTAGGCACTCTTCACATAAGCGCCACAGGTGTGCAGAACTGGAGTAGCCAGCCCGCTCCGAGCTCGACAACAAGGGCAGCATGCGTTGCCCGACAATTGCCCAATGCCTTCCAGTGTGCGCAACAGTTGCAAGAGGCAGGTCCCTGGCAAGACTTAACGAGATGTCTACCTTCCCTTGATGGAGCAAGCACCTCACACAGGGTTCTTATTGCTGCTTGCAGAAGAGGAAGAAGAAGCAGATCGCTCTCAGGTCCGTTTTCAATGCATGCAGTGACAGAAGCACATGGGTCTGCACCTGGATGGCTGCTGGGTGCCGCGTGCGACGGCGGCGTTGGTGGGCTGGGGGGGTGCCTGCCGGGCGATCTGGGCGCGCAGGTGCGTCGGCCGTTGCGAACGCGCGGGGCCGTAGCCGCCGGCATCGCTGGTGCTGAAGTACACGCGGCGGCCGTCCGCGGTGACCGCCAGCAGGTGCAGCCGCGCCGATTCGGCTGTTGAGATCGGCGCTATGTGCACCACAGAAGCGCCCTTGCGGTCCGCGCTGCTGCGGCCGCCAAAGATGTCCCTGCCGCCTGTTGCGTTAGCAAGCACACGATTACATCTTGGACAATTTTCTGACAATGAACAGTTCTTGATTGGTTGCAAGCTGACAGGGTGATGCAAATCTGTCACAGGTGTGACGAGTATGGTGGAATTGCTCCAAGGATCTCACCTGCCGCCCTCTCTGCCTGCTTGATGAAGTCTGTCACCTCAGCCACCTTCCTGAACTCCTTGCCGTCAGCTCCCAGATCAAAGACCTGCATGCAGACAGGGAAACTTGCCTACATGCATGTATCAGAATTCATTAGTACATCTGCCACACCGCAGCACGCAGCTTCAGCAGGTTTTGTTCAAGACTGAGGAAGTCCAGTGCACCTGTATGCTGGAATTCTGGCTGCGGGTGTAGAGGATGTTGCGCTCCGAGTCGATGGCAATCTCCAGGATGGGGCTGGGCCGCGGCAGGAGGCTGTTGAAGTAGGAGGGCAGCGATGGCAGGTAAGGGGTCCAGCTACTCGTCAGGTCTTTCTGCAACACCCCAACCACATTGAGTCGCAATGCGCCACTGCGAAATATGACACAGAACCTATTTCTTTCATTTAATACTATCTGACATGTGTCATGTCAGAGGGCAAGTGCTCCATCACTTCATGCATCATGAATCTGCAATCTGCTGTCATGTAATTGTTTGCATGCGCCACATGCATGACATTGAGCAACAGATCTGACAGTGCTCCGCTGCGATTCACAATGCTTGCACTGAAGATAAGCTTCTGCCAGGGAGGACCGACCTTGTAACATCGCTTTTTGCGCCAGGTGTCGGTGCTGTTGTAGACGATCTCATAGAGGAGGCCGTTGGCGCCGCCGGTGAAGATGCGGCCGTCCGGCGTGGTAGCCACGGAGCACATGGTCACGTTGTCGCTGGAGCACGCGTACAGCGGCAGCGGCTGCAGCGTCAGCTCCTCCCCCGCCTCGCCGCCCGGGCCCGGGCTGACGCACACGCCCAGCAGCACAATCTGCATGCGCACGGCAGACATGGCCCTTGTCAGGTGGTCTCGGCTGTGCTTTCAGAAGGACATAGGGGCATTCGTCTGGCTTGGCACGACTGTGCAAGATCAATGGAGAGGGTGCGCGGAGCACGTCAAATAAGTTAGCATGCGGTATCGCTCCATTCAGGGGCCTCCCACCACCTTTGTATGCAATTGAGCAGGGAATATGCATGCACTTTAGCAGGATAAGATCAACGCTGCTTAGAAGAGTGATCATGTGACCTGAAGAGGGGTGGTAAAGAGTGATGCGTAGGTAGCAACGAGGCCAGGCATCTGCACACTAGTCAAGCTCTAGAACAACTGCTTACACAGCTTTGCTGCAACTATGTTGCTCGATCTGCTTGTGCAGGTGAGCCTGCTGATGTGAGGGATGTCAAGCTGTGAGTCTACTGTGCCTCACAGGGCGAGACGCACCTCCACTGTGGTGCAGAGGACCAGAACATACTGGATTGCCTCCACAAACACTCCAGGCCGCGGCCTCACCAGCCCCACTGCACAGATGGCCTGCTCCTCCCCGCTGTACTCCAGGGGAACATCGTTCCTGTGCAGCCAGTGCATGCATGATATTACCACCCTGCATTCAGTGAGGAGCATGCTGGGAGCAGGAGCACAGAGGTGGCAGTTGCTGGGGCATCCTGCGCACCATCTGTCAAAGCGCCACATGAAGAAGGAGTTGTCCACAGACGCCCAGGCCCTGTTGATTTCAGGGAACACCCCGCAGAAGCACACGGTCTGGCAGGCGCTGTGTCTGTCCAGCACCATGGCCGGCATGTTCCCCATTATTGGCGAGCGCGGTCGCAGCAGTGATGGCCACTGCGCAATACCAAGGCAATACTCAGGAAGAGATTATTGCCGATAAATTCCATCTGAGTTTAAATACAAGTCACCAGTGCAGATCCCAAAGACATCTGACTGGTTCCCAATAAGTGTCAAATGGAATATAGTGGAATGAGCGACTTCCATCATCCCCAAAAGCAAAAATATTAGAACTCATCATCTAATCGGGACATGACGTAGGCGCCCCCTGCAGAGACTCCAAGCACAATCGCTTTTGATGCTCACCCCTGGATACTGCAATGAGTATTGTGTGTCCCTGACGCTGTGCGAAAGCAGATCATACAGGTCCACTCCTTTCCCTCCATCGGTCACGGCTTTGACATACTTCCAGGCATTGGACACTTCATCGACGCTGCCAGCTGCTGATGATGTTGGGCCAGCTGGTGACCTGCTGCTCGATGGCAGCTCGTCACCCTGCCACCTGCCTGGAGGCGGTGGTCCCATGCTTCTCGCCATCACAAAAACATGATTCAATATGTGGAGCAATTCTCTCACCTGACATGCATGGGCAAGATCGCACCTGCTGTCACGTGCAGATTGACTCGCAAATCGAATTGTTTGCGACCGCAGAACAGTCGCGTTTGGTACTTCACTTAGAAGGTGAATGTGAGTTTTTCCGACTTCTTCAGTCACCACGATTCAGATCAGTTAATGAGGCGAGTTCAAGATGGGCATGCACCATCAAAGGAACCTGTCGTACCAAAGCTAGAAAGTGGGCCTTTCATTGAGCTAATGCCTATGTACATCATCATAAATTGGAGTTTCAAATTTTGATATTAATGAATGCTCGCTGCTCTTGACTTGTGACCCTACCACGTGGCAGCATGGCCAAATGGTTCAAGGCTCAGCCAGAATGGCTCAAGGTGCATGGTGATTCTGATCCGATGAATTTGCTCACAGCATACATCATTCTGCACAGATATTTGAAATGCACCAGGCGCAATGCTGAAGATGCTTGCATGATCTCTGACAGTCCTAGGTTCAGGGAAAAACTTGCTAGCTGCTAATCTTGGACCTACTTGAATGCTTGCAGAATGGCGAAAGTGCCGCTGCTGCGCTAATCACTGTCTCTGCAATCCACTCTCGCGTCAGGGAGATGCTGGTTTTGCGCCGCCTGCAGACAGGCTGGTGTCCCAGGACGTGCTTCACCTCGGCAATGGCTGACTCATTGAGAAAGGTGCTTTGAATTTTCTTCAAAAACTCAGCTTTGGAGAAACATGGAATCCCACGTAATATGAACATCTTGTGACATGCAGAGGCCTGCCATCTATGTGGAGAGAAAAGAGGACAGCGCTGTCCTGAGGCAGCTGTTGGACTGTACTGGGCAGACCCCCTCCGGATTTTTTTATTTCTTGACGGGTCCGCCTGGCGGTGGCAAGACAACGCTGGCCCAGAGAGTGATCCATGAGGTGAGCTCATAAAATTGCCCTCACCTTGGACTTTCTGAACTCATGGAACAATCCCTGCATTATATACCTTGCATCATACTTCTGAACGTTATGTTGCATCAGTTGAGGGAGGGGGTCCTCTATGTGGAGGCTCCCAGCGACGCGGGCCAGTTTGGCCAGCAACTGGCGAGCACCCTGCAGCTGGTCGAGCAGCTGCCAAACCCGCTCTTTCTCATCTATGACTACGTCCTCAACATAGCCGGCGGTACTGCTCCTACCACCCTTGCCTCTGTCACCATCACACTCCCGAGACTTCCCCAGTACCTTTGCTTCAGTGCATGTCCACATACTAAGCAGCCCTCAAACAGATATCTCTCCAAGCAGAACAGCACTCTCTTTATTGCATCGGACATTAGCCTGCAAAGAGACATGACATCCCATGGTGAAGACATCACAGGGATGCTGGTGGGCAGGCCCCGAGCAGGAGCGGACATCAAAGCTGAGCTCCTGTCTGAGTGCGCTGGAGACAGCTGCACGCGCATTCCGGGCTGCGCGGCGGCGGCCGGCCGTGTTAGTAATAGACAATGCGGAGCGGCTGGCGGCGAAAGAGTCGGTCATGCGCGACATGCTGTTCGCCGCGCAGCAGTGGGCCGACCGGGGCCTCGTCAGAGTTGTCTTCGTGTCCAGCGACGACGCTCTCATCACACGCCTGCTAGGTGGGTGAGAATTCGTCACCTCCTCCTTTTATGACACAGCCATGGAAAGAAGTTGCCTGGGAAAGGCACCAGCATTGCAAGCCTTGAGGCGATCATGAACAGCTACACACTAGCATTGTGTGAAATCCTGCCTAGTGACTTGCCTGGCCCTTTAAAAGATTGCAGTGCCCTCATCAATCTCCTGCTCCAGCAAGCTGGGATTACTTTAGTGATTGCGCTTTTTGTGACTGGGTGGACACACAAAATACAAAAGCCTTGCCAATGGGGTGGGCTGATGCACTTATGTGTGCTGCAGGCCAGTCGCGATGCAGCAAGGCGGCGTCTGTGGAGATGGGTGACCTGAGTGAGGAGCAGGCGCTGCAGTATCTTGAGAAGCGCGGCGTGGCGGCCAAGGCTGCAGCACAGGTGGTGGATGTCACCGGAGGCCGCCTGCTGCAGCTGATGTCAGCCGTTGAAGTGCTGGAACACGGCGGCACGCCTGAAGGTGGGCAGACTGCAGAGACCTCCACTGGCTTATCAACTTTCTGAGTTTCAGCGAGGCCGGCTTAACATCCAAACTTTTTTCCTGAAGTATCACATGTGCAAGTGATAATTTACAATCAATGTGAACTAGTTCCTGAAGTTTCATGCATCCTGGGCATGCTTCAGAACGCTCAGATGGCTGACACCTCGGTGCTGTTGGTCTATTGCGCTGGACACATCAGCCAGTAAGATGAATGCAAGACTGCTTGATGCAAGGAATTCGTGTCGATTGCTTGTGCAGACGTGAGGCGGCTTGCGCTCGTGGCTGCGGAGGCAGAGTTCCAGAAGGTGGGGCTATTAGATGACACACCGCAGAGTGCTGCCGGGCTGAGAGTCGTTCAGGCTCTGTTGCAAGCGGACAACATTGCCTCTGACCAGTGGAATCGCCTAGTCCCATCCCCACATGTGAGCCCCCTTCAGCCTTTTGGGTGTACACCTTTTTTCCTTTTTTCATGCACATCAGGATGCACGACTCTGAGGGTGAAACTGCTGCATTTCTTGCAGTTTGATTTGCTGCAAGGAGGACCTGGGAGATTTGCAAAGTTGGGAAAGAAATGCAGTGAATGCAGCTATGTGAAAATCCTTAATGGTGAGTGCAGGATAAGGAGGAGCTTCTGCGGGACAATGTGTTTGCCCGGCGGCACAGAGACTGTAAAATTGTTTTCGAGAACAGAAGTGTTGCTGTACTCGCAAGGGAGAAGTTTGGAGCAGCATGCAATTGATTTTTCAGGTCCTTGGACAGCGCGACTAGCCTGCCATTGAAGCTGCTTCCAGGAGGTTTAGTGGAGATTGATACATTATTGAGATGCAGTTGCCGGTCCTGTATTGGAATTTTGCTTTGATAGAAGTCCTGACCATGTGCAAGTTGCTGATTCTTCATGAGAGTGCCAAGTAGAACTGACGTAGCCAACCACACAGCACTGAGAATAACTTATAGTATGACGTAATTACGGGAGCTGGAACCAAGCCGCTTGCTTGCTGTACCATGCAGGCCTTGGCACCGGGTGCTTCCTGCATTTTTGCAGCTCCTGGATCATATGATGCATTTCTGTGCTTTAAATCTTGCCCTGCATTTATATTATTATATAATTACCGCCATGCTGATGAATGTCAAACTCGGATAGGTCTATATTGATCTGGTCAAGCGGATCACCAAAATTCCCACAAAATGTGAAATTTCGTACTGCCCTTGCGGTTACTGATGAAACCGTTGATTTCAATGCGCTTCACCTTTGGATATTACGATCAATCACCGCCCTCACAATTTAGCTGTGTTTTCGGCAAATGAGTCCGCATGTAAAGATGCAATTGCTCGGTAAGAAGAAGAAGGCGGGGCGGTCAATTTTTTGCCTCGCACCAAAGACTCAAAGCCTCGAAATTCCGGAAAACTACCTTGCTCAGGTCTTGGACACCCCGGCAGGTAGCCCTCATGGACTAATCATTTACAAAACTGATTTTGACTATTCTGCAAGATCACTGTCTTTCAACGTTTCGCTGTTGAGACGTGTTAGTCTCTCCATCACGGAAATAGCGCTTTGAGGTTTACTTTTCGATTAATCCGCTTATCTTGTGCTGCCTTCAGAGCCAAAGGCACTTTTGAGAGCCGAGGGGAGTGATCAGTACATTGGTTTGCACTCACCATCAGCACAGACCCCTCCACATGCCTCCAAGGTATTATAGCGCTTGTTCACTCGCAATCAACTTCTTGTTGCGCCCCAGCAAAAGCTGATGATATTTTCGGACAGCCTCTACTGTCCAGCATACTCATGGCTGCCACTGATCCGAGAAAGTATCCACCTGTGCTGTTTGACAGGCATCAACAGCACAGAAGGGTTCTCAGCGGATATCTGTGATCCATGTGGATGCATGGGCATCATACCAGGAGGATGTGTCGGAGCTGACAGAGGATCAGAGAGACCAAGTGGACAGACTGGTCCGCAGTGACTTTGACTTCCTGCAAGATGCCATTGAAGAAACAGACTTTGTGAGGGGCCTACTGTTGTATCAGCACTACTTTGATAAGCATGCCCTGAGCGTCACAGCATGATGTGAATGAAAGGTCTAGGGAATTTTCTAGATACATGTCAGGCTGTGCAGGCAGAACTGCTGAGATCATTCCGAGTTGAACAGCTACAGCATGCAAGATCAATGTTACACGACCTGCCAAATCATTCAGAGAGATACTAACATTGCTGGTGCAATACTTTTATTGTTGCTGACCCACAAACTGAAGGTGAGCTGTAATAGACAGGCGTGCAGTACTGTCAGGAAAATGCCACATTTTAGGCCCACTGGGAAGACTCCAGTAAATATGCGACCGGAGCATTTCTTTCGGCCCATCCGACGGAACACTCGTGCCTCATAAGCCTCACCGCGGGGTACGTCAAGATGGCTGGGGCCTACAAATCATCCTATGAAGCTGACAAAGATATTAATATTGACAGTGCGACCTGCATCACTTCAGAAGGTCACCTGAGAGCCAGGCAATTATTTATTTTGCTTGTCCTCAGGACAAGTTCAACCAGGCCAGCACCTGACTTGCAGAGCTATCGGGTGTATGGGCAAGCCATGCATGGTTTCTGTGTTGCAGTCTCAAACCTCACTCCTCTCTGCTACAGATGTGACACTGAACACCAGCCACCCGGTTAATTGTGCAGAAAGTAGGAAATAGGCAACCCATGTCTTCAAAACACGACATTGTAAGCTATCTTTGACAGCCCTTCTCTGAAGTGCAGACAGTGCACCACCCAGACTGTCAGACAGGCACCTCAGCGACTGAAGGGTGCTCAGAGGTCGCCTAAAAATTTGCAGTGCATGCCCTCTGCCCTAAACTGCGACCACAGCTGGCCCTTCCCAGTCATCACAGAGACCACCTCTGCGCAGAGCCATCAACATGCACACCCAAACCCATCGTTTGGGAATATGCACAATACTGTGCCCCGGCCTGTGTCACCACAACCGGTACACAACAGAAGAGATGCACTAGCAGTACAAGCTGCCAAAACTGGCCCTTGCTGGCCATCCCAGCATGCTGCAGAGCGATAAACATGCATTTCCACACCCATCAGTGGAGAATCTGCATGCGGGCCAGCTCCACAGATGACAGCCACAAATGGCATTTCAGCGGAAGGGCGCCGGCAGCGAAGGGGATTCTGGGACGAAGGTGACAGAACGGCCGTACAGCCCAACGTCGTCCTCTGGCCTGATGTGGGATCCGCCAATGTTGATCTCCGTCGTCTGCGCACACAATTACACAGGTCAGTCGCACACTCTGAGAGCATTCCCCTCTGCTCACTTGTTTGCACAAGATGTGGGTATTGCACCGCAGAGACCTGTCAAGTCCGTGAGAGCTGCAGCGTGCTCTTGGCAGCAGGCTACCCTTCCCCTCCAGAGATTGCAACTTGGAGCCTGTTAACAATTCCAGAGGAAGGGGTAGCAGAAGAGACGTCCAAGGGGCAAGAAAGAAGCTGATATCAAGGTCAGCAGCAAGGATGGTAGCAACGCTGCGGAGAGGTAGAGAGGCAAGAGCTCGGCGTGGAGTCCATCACCCATGAAAGGATGTGACAAGAGGATGGCATCCTCTCACACCCTACACCGCAGCACATGTAGAAAGGGCATGCCAGTTCATCAGTGAAGGTTGGCAACAGTGATGGGGCGTGCCTGGCCGCGGATGGGCATGTCGGGCATTTCGCGCGGCATCGCCCAGGGAGGCACGGGGCCGCGCGGGGGTTTGAGGGCGAGGCCGCCCACGTGGCGCTTTGTAGCGTGGGGGATGTCCTTGTAGACATACCTCCGCGCCACCCACACAAACAGCAGCAGGTTCACAAACGTCAGCCCTGCGCCAGCCCCAGCACATCCTTCTCAGCACGCCGCAAATCTCAACCGTGGCATTTGTCATTGCTTCAAGAATGCACAGAAGTTACAATGGCCTATTCCAGGGCTCGTTGTATACATGGCACATGTAAGGTGCACCAGGATAGCCTGCCAAAATCGGACCTCTTTCCTGCAGAGGTCACTGAGGTGCGCTAAACCTCGTCTGCTGTGCCTAGGAAGCATTAAGACCACTTCCTGAATACTCCCATGTGAAGGGCCAACCTGGTGCACCATAGCCCCCTGATGCTGCAGCAAAGCATCTGCAATCGAGTCATTGCTCTCCGCCCTCTTGCAGCAGGGAGAAGTTCACCTTCTCCTGTAAGGAGTTATTGCCCACTTCAAAGGAGCGGGACAAGGCTCTTCTCCCTCAAAGACACCACAAGAGCAATGCCAAGCATGGATGTGATCGCATTAGCAGGGGCCCCCACCGGCGAGCAGCAGGAAGAAGAGGTCGAGGCGGCCGTAGTTGAGGTCCTGGGGAATCCAATCATAGCCCAGAGAGTCGGTGATCGAGGACACTGCCAGGACGACGGCGCCGGAGAGGTAGGAGCCGATGGCGACGCTGAGCAGCTGCAGGGCCATGGAGCAGGAGCGCATCACGTCAGGCGCCTGGTCGTAGAAGAACTCCAGCTGCCCGATCGACGCCAGCACCTGCGCGCACATGCCCACACATGCCGCTGTCAATGCACAGCGCTTCTACCTCTTGAGCGCTTCTGCCTCTTGGCGTTCCTTGAAAGTCCATGAGCATGTCGTTCTGCAGGATGTTCCCTGTGCCAAATTCTCTCGCGAATACTAGAATGTATTGAAGTTTAGGCTGCTGCGGCATTGTCTGCGGTGCAAAGGGCGGACCTTCCATGGTCCTAACATGACGAGCTTGCATGGGCTCTCATGTCAGCCCAAAGAATGGCCTGCCCTTCGCACACCATGCTTTGCTGCCTGATGGACATACAAATGATAAATCAAGTGAGATCGTGCACAAGGGGGACTTGGAGCACTAGGGAAAGGGGGCTCGCCTCGCTGAGGCCGACGAGGATGTACTGGGGGATCTGCCAGAAGACGCTCATGTCCACGATGTCCGGCTGCGCCTCGCGGTTGGCGTCGTTAGTGAGCACGGCGCCCTGCGCAAACAGCCGCAGCCGGTACCACTCCACCGTCGCGCCCGCCAGCATCGACAGCATGCACACCAGCAGCCCATACCCTGCGCCGCAGCAACTGCCTGTGATCACACTCCCCTCCCGATGCAAATACACATACTCCAGACCCACTTAGAGGCTGTTTTGGAACTCTGAGCCTGCTTTACCCTGACATGTTAGCTTCTCCTGCTAGCCTTTCCAGCAAGACACACTGTGATTCTGCAGGGCATGCACAGCAGCAGATGACAGGCACCTGCATGTGCCTTCTCACATTCAGCCTTAAAGCAGGTTGATCAAACAGAAGGCCTCAAGCTACCCTCCCACACCAGCATAGTCGATACAGAGTTGCACAAGAGCCAGGAAACCTTGCATGGCTGCTGCCGGGGTGAATTCTGTGAAAGGCATGTGGCGCACCGATGCGCTGCAGGTGGGACAGCTTCATGCCGAAGCGGCGCAGGAGGGGGACGACTCCGCGGTCATAGATGGGGATGAGTACGATGATGCTGATGGTGTTAAAGAGCGCCAGGGAGGCCGAGGGGATCACAAAGCCGCCGCCAAACATCACCCGGTCCATCGACGCGCCTTGCACCACGAAGAAGCTGCCCATCTGCCACAGCGTACATAACACTCCTTCAATTCCGACACCCTCCCCGACTTTGATCTGGAAGGGCCAGGTGAGAGGAAAAACTCCTTGCTCTCAGTGGGCATCAATGCATCCGATGACAGCTGACATGGGATGCAGAATCACCAAACATTAAGCACACAATTTGGGACAAATTTCCTCCTGCAGCATCATCCCATTCAGTTGATGCAACCTGTACAACAGCAGGCTGTAGACCAGCTCGTGAGCTTCATGACTGAGCAGATGGGCTGGATGCCAGCTCTGAATGATGGCGGCCGAGTGTGCATGCAATCAGATCCAGGGGGAATGAGGAGTTTGGGGCCGCACCTGGGAGTAGATGGTCCAGTAGAAGATGGTGGTGAGGAAGATGGGCAGCATGCGGACCACCATGCGCACCTCCTCCACCTGCTCCGTGCTGAAGCCAGCAATGCTGCCTGTACACAAGTCCCCCACAGCACATGGCTCAATCGCTGTCCTACTTTGATGAGCTGGCCGGTCCAAATGTTATAGCAGCGAGCCGATGAGACATGTCAGCACTGCCATGGTATACACAGCCACAATGCAGGATGCAGGAGCCCGCCTCAACATCAGAAGCCTTCTCAGGCATGTCAGAACAGCCAAAAGTAGACTTTTGAACATAGGAAGCATACTGGCATCGCGCATTGAAATGGGCGGTGTCAGTAACATCTGACCCAATGTACCCACAGAAAGTAGCACCCCATAGCTTTCTCTAGCACTAGAAATGCCAGATTAGGGCAATGCAACAACCCCCAACATTCGGATTGTGGCGCACCGTCGTCCTCAGACTGCTCGGCGGCGCTGTGGAGCCACTCGTAGCTGTGTACGCGCGCCATCGCGGCGCCGATGCCAGGAGAGCCGTCCAGCGCGCCCGGCGGTAGGTTGACGGGGCCGCTGTAGCCCGTGCGCGAGCGAGCCTCCCGCCGCCGCCGCCGCGCCCGCCACCGGTTCTTCGCCGCCGCCGTCAGCACCTTCACCACGCGCGTCATCGGGCTGCGCGCACAGTCAGCACCCAATCAGTCATTTCTTTCTTGAACACCCCACTTGTCATCTCCTTCATGCACAATATTTTACGGGCCCCAATCTTTCCCTGGCTACTTGGGGAGTCCCCCAAGGGGAGTCTCTCTGGCATCCAGAATGTGTCAGCATATTGCTCCTTTAGAAATGTGCCCGGCACGCGCTCGTGATGCCTCTGCGGATGCGTGACATCCCCATTTCTGCTGGACGGATATCCTAGCCGTATTTCAAGTGACAACATGACAATAGTTGAAGGACTCTCGAATGCAGCCTCCACATGCCTTACTGTCCAAGCAGCCCATTAAGATAATGCTTATGATGAAGGAGGAAGAACTGGCAGATAAGGGTGCGCACCTCTCGGTGGGCTCGACATGCGTGTAGAGGGAGCTGCCGGCCAGGAAGGTGACGACTGCCAGAGCCATGGCGACAGCCGGAATGGCAAAGCCGATGGCCCATGACACAGAGTCCTGGATGTACACGATCACCGTGACAGCCAGGCAGCTGCCCCAGTTGATGGCAAAGTAGAACCAGTTGAAGAAACTCTTCTTCTCCAGCCGGTCCTGCACACCACAGCTGTTGTTGTCAGCTTCGTTCTGCTCCAGATGTGATGCATTCCTGTCATGGATTGTTTGACGAGGAAAACTCTGCACTGCAGCCGCAGGTGCTCCGAGTAAAAAAGCCCTTCAAGAGCTGCTTGCCATGCCTTGTCTTCTTCAAGACCTGGAAGCAAGGCAAATTTTGCGATGCGTCCACATCAATGTGATGACAGATGCTTTGTTCGGCAAATGATGGCATGTCAACCAAGAGAACGCCGACAAGGCAAGGTGGTGGGGCTAAGATGGATACCTGGGGGTCAGACTCATCAAACTGATCTGCACCAAAGGCGCTGACGTTCGGCTTGATGCCCCCGGTGCCGAGGGCAACGATGTAGAGGGAGCCAAACAGGAAGGCGGACTGATACCACTTGGAACTGTCAGCGTCGATGTCAGGGGTCAGCCCAGGGATCCATGCACTCAACGCCAGCGCCACCATGCCCTGCAGAGATGCCCCACTCTCAACATGTGTCATATGCAGACTGGCATGACCCATCGTGGTGCTCAGGTTTTCAACGGAAGCCTGTGCAGATGACTCAGCTCTGCTAAGTGCGCATGAGACCCAATCACCAAGGCAGGAAGAGAAATCTTGGGGTGGAACTTAAGGGATTACGCCCAGATATGAGCAGGACAAGAGTATAACAAAAGTGCACGCAGGACGCACCACAAAGTAGATGATGGAGAAGACGAGGATGCAGTAGAAGCGGCCCCATCTGGAGTCAGCCAACCAGGCGCCCAGGATGGGTGTCAGGTAGCAGGTGCCCTCAAACAGCATGAGCTGCACTGAGGCAAATGCTGGATCATAGTGCATGATTCTGGTCATGTAGATGACCATGTTGGACATCAGCCTGTGCCACACAGACACTTGGTGAGCATGCATACAATTTAGCCATACAGAAAGGGGATGGTTCCCATAGAGCTATGCAGTCTGCACCACACATGGGGATGCAGAGCAACAGCAGAGAGCACGCACCCATAGAAAGCCAGCCGCTCGCAGAACTCATTTCCTGCACGGACATCAGCAGATTAGCCCCCTCTGCACAAGCTCAATATATTGAAGTTTATGACTGCTCGTCTCATCAATCGGCTTACCTAGGATGAAAGGACAGACTGTCAGTAGGGTGGACCTCCTCTTCTCTGGCAGTGGAGCGCTTTCTAACAGGGGTGCCTCCATTTCGCTGTACTCCCTGTCCATAGCTGACATTGGAAGCTCCTACAATGCATCAAATAACACATCCATTGACCCCATATCATGCTAGTCGACCAAGCTGCCGCTGCTGCTCTTCTGGTCTAGTCCTCTAGTCCTGCACTGCTGGCAGTTAGGGCAAAATTTGAGGCGACAAGCAGAGTCGATCACTGAAATATGATCGTTTCACTTTCCCATCGCCATGTCCCTCTGCATGTATTGTTGTGCAGACAGCTGATGGAACAACACTGAGGGATGTCACCTAGTCAAGAATTTGCCCAGCAGTATTTGTACCTTGCTAGTCAACACCTAATTATCGAAATACACACAGTGGAAAACTTCTGAAGTGCACGAAGGCTTGCGCAGCCCACCCACTGTGTCTCAACAGATTCGTGGAGGTTGTGCTGTATCCATCGTGCTCAGCGTTGGCCGCAGTGATTATGGTTATTAGTGTATCCCATCACCAAGACACGAGCAAGCCTGACTGAATGATGGCTTCCATCATCAATTTGGATGCAAGAAACCATGAAGAGAGAAGCATGGGTCTCGTATGACATCAGCACAGGAAACGTCCCATCGAAATGGATCAGGCTAGTTTGATTTCCAAATCTATGAATATTAGCGCTACAACGTTCTGTTTTGTGCTTCTGAAATTACCTTTGCATCTACCCCAGCTGCGATGGCCCTCCTTGCAACGAGTTCTCTTCGTTCTTTGCCGCTGCATGGGCCATCACAACTGCGATGCACAAACAATTTGGTGATAGCTACGAGGTATGCTATTGCAAGCACAAATTACTTCGTTTTCAAGCATATTGCGTAGTCAAAGAACTAAATCAACATGTTATGGCAGGTCTCCTTGTGCCCAAGCACACAGACGCAGGCTATTCAGTTGTCGAGCAGAAGATGTCAGAAGCGAATTTGACACACCAACAGGTGCTTTCCAACAACCGCAAGCGTGAAATGAAGTGATACCTGTGATTCTACATGTAGATGCAGATTAGCATGTCGGGTTCACTGTTACTAGGCCGCTTGCGCAGATGATGAGAAGCTGCTGCTCAGAGATATGGAAAGGTACAAGCAGCTCGATGCCCAAAGGCAAATAACAGACATGCCTGGACCGAGCAGTAGAGAAGAGGTATGCTGACCTTGTCAGTTCTGCCCGACAGTCCTGGCCACCTCCATTGAAGCATTGCTGCACAACATGCTTGATGATGGCCAACGAACCTATTCCTGTTTCCCACAGGAAAAGGACATTTCAGCCATGGCACAAGTAAAGGATCTGCTGGACAAGGTGATTGCTGTTGCAAGAAACCCACACAAACCTTTCCTGGACAAGTGCCACCCCGGCATCAATGGCAGGCAAACTAGAGGCAAATTTAGCGCCCAGCAATTATACCAAAGGCACTCTGGTGTGCCCAGGTGCTTATTGTAGATTTCTTCTTTGTCTGCGCGGCTCTTGCCTGGTTGGTTGCGGGAGTGGGAGCTCAGACTTCATTGCAAAACTCGGTGAGACAGCTCTTATGATCATGTCCCAACCTCACTTCTATTCCACCTGAACCTGATGATATGCCTGCATGCCAAACTAGTATACAGAGGGGTGTGCTCTGCAGGCGCTTCTTGATGCATGGTATCCCCTTTGGCAATGGGTGTTCCAACCAGCGATCGGGGTACTTATGCTTGGCGCTGTGAGTCCACTTCCTCTTGTCAATCTCTCGCACTGACTTTCGCGCGTCATTTCTCTCCTGGTTTAATCCCTCTGCCCTGCCTGCAGCCACCTTCAGTGTGTGCTAGTGGATGCATTACAATTCTGAACTTTCTGGTGCTGTGCAGCTTACTTCAGGGGCAGTGGGCTGGTTGCAAAAAAATTCATCCTAGACATTAGCTTTGCGCAGAGCCTTTGTGCGGAAGTGCCTTAAATACTGCGCGATCATATGCCATCAGGAACAACTCATCTTGAACTTTCAGGGATTCTGACCATGTAACATATCAAGCACAGGCTGGTTGCACAGATTAAAAGCTTCCATTGAGCGCCTAGCCATAAGCAATCTCTGTCAACGAAGGTGGTGAACACCAAAATCAACACAACTGATCACAATCACAACATATAGATGTCTTTGCAACGCAATCTCATATGAGATTGGGTCGACTCAATTCTCTGCAGTGTCCAGTGCTGCAATGCGAACAAGGGACAAACATACACAGCATAAACAGCTGTGGGGGGGTTGTCGACTAATTGTACATGAACAACTGTGCGCTTTGGTACGTCAACTGCACAGAACAGTGAACCTCACAAGTTCACAACCACATTCACTTGCCCCACATGGAGCTTGAATGCTCCCTCTCCCACTGACAACTCCTGTGCATTATCGTGCTGCCACGAGTACCGAGCTGCTGGAGTGGGTAGTTGCGCCTCTCCGCACACCTTTGAGAAAAACACCAAACAAATCAGTCTCTGTGAGCTTCTCATTTCTGACGCTTGTTCTACCTAGAAACGGCTGCTTTCTTCTTTCTCTAATTCGCTGTAAACAGAGCTCAAAGGGATTAAACTCCTTGCTGGACATGACCCACACATTACAGACTTCATGAAGCTTCCCATCATTGGGTCTGCAGCCTTGTGCATGTTGAGTGTGGGGATGCACCTCTATTCCGAGTCCCCTTGACAGCCTGAACTGATGCCGCAGATTGACGTGATTGCCAGCCCAAATGGCAGCGCCGCCGCCCAGCTCGTACTCAAAGCCAAGGTGTGGCCTGAACTGCGGCTCTGCTGACAACAAGCCTGAGGATTGCAAGCATGAGTCAATGACACACACAGCAAACACTCTTCATGAGAGATAGCAGGAAAGAGACTTGTCAATGGCCAAAGCGCCAGACAAACGCCGTGAGAAGGTTTGCAAAGGTGAACCTGCATAGCTGGCACGGGCTGTGACGCCCATATGTCCATTGTAGAGTGGGATTCGCTTCCTGCAACAAAGATGACATGATTAATATGAAATCAAGAGTTGTCAATACCTCGATGGAATGGTAGCACCCAGCACAACAGTTGTTGTGCACTGTGCTAAAAAAAGAGGATGCGCATTTGTGATACCTGTATTCGATTTCTTGTTGAGGGACATTCACCCTGATGCGTCCCCCAAACAAAGCATCCTGCACGGCATTGACCACAAAAGCGACAGTCAATGGTTGGTGCACAGCCGCCTACTGTCCGACAAGGAAGACTCCCACTGCGCTTTTTAATGTTTGATGCCATCAAATTGATGTATACAAATCTGACTATTGACAGCCCTTGCGTGTGCCGATTGCCATACCTTGCATGAGCACCCATACTCAAAGGTTCTGTTCAATTGGCAGTAGTCCGCACGCAACTTGAAGCGGAGGGGCCAGAGCTTGATCTCCTTTCTGATCTTGAGTTTGTCTGGAAACTGTGCGCCCCAGGTGATGACGAACTCCGGGTGATTAAGATTCTGGCAAGCATCACGGGTAGACCGTAAGTATCATGTTGATCCTTGAAAGAATTTTAGGGCTCTGAAAAGAATATGGCTCCCCACAGTGTGAAGCAGGAGCTGCACAGGGAAGTCACAACACAAGTATGAAACTCACAAACACTTGTCGCGGCTCAGCGCGCTGAGGTCTCCTGGTGAGTCTGTTTGGCTGGACGTCATTCAGGATTGCGGTGCCCTCGAGGGCAGGATTGTTGATAAGCTGTGCACTCCTGCTTGTTGTGAAGTATGGAGCGCTGGAAGGTGCACGCTGGGGTAGTAGGACACTCTGTGCTGATCCACTGGCCCTCCCCAGTCTTCCAAAAAGTCCTCTTGACTCCTCAGCCATACAACTCAGCAACGTGGATGTGCGTTCTATTCAGCTCAGGAGAAGAAAGGACGAGAGTTACATCTGCTCTTTTACTACAGAAAATATAGTATAGAGAAATTGAATTGTCAGGTCTCTTCTCTCAAATGCGTAGTGATCACAAAAGAACAGCGACGCTTGCGCTCAAGTTGAGGAGTGACTCAGGAGTCGAAAGAAGTCGAGAGAAGTGCATGAGTGTCCCGAGGGTAGATTATGATCTGCCTTGGAAGTCCAAGAAAAGAACATCTGCATTGCTCAAGCAGTATCAGCTCTGATTTGATATGCAAGATGCCGTAAGGTACCCATTATCAAGCATCCTATTGATGTAGAACTCTACATAACGTGCGGTTGAATGGTGTTTTGTCGCAGTACACAATCAAAATATAGAGTTTTATCGCCTGTAGGGCGCCTTTGCCTTCAGTCACCGTCTCAAAACGAACGGACTCTACAATACACCAGATGCTGTTCAGATGGTGTTATTATCTCAGAGGCCAGCCGAGCGTCAAGTGAAAGAGCAAACTCGCTCGGAGCCAAAACAGGAAGCAATCTCGAAATCGAACACGACAGTTCCGCTGCTGTGGGGAAGCAGCCAAAAAGACCGAAGCAGCCAAAAAGACGTCTGTTCTCAATGCGTTTGGCAAGAATAGGCTTCCCAGGATATCCCCTACAGCTCAGATATACGAGTCTCAGACTCAGTAGTCACAACCAGCGTCACAGCATGACAGGTTCAGAGAAGATTGAGAAAGGCGATACCGTCGCATGGAACTGGGGAGGGTCATCTATTCAGGGCGAGGTGTGTGTCATTGCAATCGTTACTTGCAGCTGACTATGTAGCGTCTGATGAGGGATCATTTTCGTTGTGGTGGCTCCTAGCTTGCAAAGCCGATCATCGTCCGCAGGTGACCAAGAAATTCACGGAACATGCTGAGATCGAAAGCAAAGGGAAGACAATCACCCGAAATGGTGACGAGGAGAACCCGGCTTACAAGGTCGAACGCCCAGGGAAAAACCCTGTCCTGAAGAAGGTGTGGGCATCACATCCGTCTTACTCGGTGGCGCGGACAGGACGACGCAGTGACTCTTCTGTATTTGTGTTCCTCTTTCTGTCCCTTTGGGTTGTTTCATCAGCGGCAGGGTCCACCATCAACGCTCTTTCTGTCGTAGGAGCTCTGACTAAATAATTCTCTCTTGGTTCTGTTCTTGACAGGGCACAGAACTGCATAAGCTGGATGATGACGAGGATCCGCCTAGCAATGAGCATGTAGAAACACGCCGCCAGAAAGCCATGCGTGAGGGCAAGTAGGATCTTTTCGAATGCCCCTTTTTGAAAGACTGAAATGGTGCAGACAGACAAGACCGGTCCTAGATCTAGAGCGAATAATTGCCTGAAGATTTGATGTAACAACAAAGCCCTCCAAGGAATGCCCTATAATAGATGCCTGTGGACGCAATTGCCTGTATGTAATGTTCCGCTGTAATCTTTCACAAAGACTGCTCCTAGCCACTGTACATGTATACATACGTACGTACAAGCAAATTGCAGTGCACTAAGTGCACCCAGTGGTACCACAACTGTCCTCTGGCAGTGGCTGTGCAAAATCAGTACAGAGCGCTAGCATCATAGGTTTTTTGATGTACTTTTGTCACGTGTTCTGTCCTTTGCTGGCAACATAGGCTGCGTAATTGCATGATCATGGCTATTGCTGACAAGGCTAGCTCCTGCAATTTCTTCTACACCTTTCACACCCTTGAGACTCTGCTGCTTCTCTGCTGAAGACGGCTCTCTGTGATTACTGTCACCTGATGCTGCTGAGCTCCACTGTCAACTCCATTTGCAACAACCTGACCCGGAAGCACAAATCCATCTTTTATGGATCCACCTGCAGAACTTGCATTGCTCCCAGCTAAACACCTCTTAGGAGCGCTGCTGTCTCTGGCTGCCGAGCTTGTCTGCTGCTGTTGGGAGACACCTGTACAACCATTCATTGCTCCAGTGCTGGCACTGCTGCCTCCAGAAACCTGGAGGTCCTGCCCTGACTGGGAATTCTCCTCCTGAAATGGGCTCCTGATGCACTGCTGGGCCCCACTCTGAGGCTCCATTGATCCTCCCACCGGGCCAGCAGCAGCACTGGGAGCTGGTGGCAGAGCTGCAGGAACATGCACAGCATTCATTAGCACGCCCAATACTACTGAGGTGCTCGCCAATGGGCGTCAACGATTTATAGCCCGGCCAAATGCAATGCAAAATGCAGAAATTGTTGCTGAGCAATTCGGAGCACCTTGCTGGTCGCAATTACACAGCGATGAGGATTGAAATATTAAGACATTCCTAACGGGACATGAGGTCCAAACGCGTACCACTCTACTTCATACTAAGTCCAAGCAGCAGGAGCTTGTGGGAATCAACAAGGCATGTCTGCATTCGCAGGTGGGAGCAGTGCTAATTCAAAGAAAGAGGAATGCAGACATCAAGGCAGAGCGAGCGCCAGAAGACAGCAGAAAGGGCTGCCTAGCAAGTGCATGTCATGCAACAACAAGACGATGATCCCCCAGCCCAGGAGCACTAAATGACCTTACTGCACACATGCATAGAAGTGTGGCATTTTTCAGAGTGGACCATGAATGCTTCAGGACAGCAGCTGTGCCAGAAGAAGAAGAGGCATCCGAGGAGACCTACCGCCTGGGGTGGCGGGCTGTGACTGTGACTGTGCATTGGCACTGATGCGCTGCTCAACAATTGTTGGGCCCTCAGGTATGCTCGCCATCTCCTGCAGAGCCTGGTCCGCCTTGTCTATGGCGGCCTGGATGATGGACTTGCGCGTAAGGCTCAGCGACGGCCTCAGAGCACGCAGAGAGTCCTTCCGCCTGCATTTAGCAGCTTTGAAGTCAAGTACAAGTCAGCATGCACATGCACATGCTGGGTGACATGTACAGTACCGGGGCCGCACTGATGGGTACAAGCTCTTGTAGAAAGTGCCAGACATGAAGTCTTCCCTCTGCCTTGCAGCAATCAATCCGCACTGTAGTTGCAAAGTAAGGACAGGTGTGATGGAGGCAAAAGTGCAACCTGATGGTATTGTAGTGGACCGGTGAGATGTATGTGAGGAAGAGTTCCTTCACATGCTTCAGCATCTTTGGCATGTAACGCAGAAACCTGCACACCATCACTGCTGGGTGAGTCCACCTGTGAGTAGAAGTCCTCTTCAGACATCAACACCATCCATGAGTCATTTGGCAGAAGCGCGTTATGGGTCGAAAATGTTTCAACGCACCAATTGAGCTGGTCACTCGTGACAACATTGATGATGATGCCATACACATCGCAGACGGCTCTCTGCAGCCACATTGAGAGTTGTGTCAGCCAAGTATACCCATCTCATCCACATTGTCAGAGAAAGCCGTACTTTAGATTCCCCAGGAAGAGCAAATCGTGTGAACTTTGGTGGTGGGCCTGATGCATGTAAAATAAGGAGCTAACCAGTGTGAGCTCATCGCCCCATGTCCCTGAACGCTCCATCTTTGCAGTATACTGTGCAAAGTCCTCACCAAGATAGCACTCAAAATCGTCTTTATTCTCCCTGCAATTGTAAGGGCTTCAAAATCTTTCCGGATACTACAGCACGTGCAGGAGAGCTGCAGGATTCAGCGCTCTGTGCAAAAGTGTCGCGCAAAGCAAGCTGGGCATCTGATATATGAGGGGAACCAGGTGAGCGTTACCTCATGTAAGTAACGGCCTTTCGTCTGACGCTCTGATTGTAGTCCTCAGTACCCCATAGCTCCATGGAGATGGCCCGGAACTGCAAACACAGATATGGATATGACGAGTAGATCTAGTGAGTGTTGGGCAGTGGAGCAGTCTCTGCTTTTACCTGCCTTTCACTCATTCTCCCTGCAAGGAGGGATGCAAACCAACATCCTTCGCCCAAGAAGGTGAGGTCAAAGAGCCAGACAAGACTGCAACTGTTCATGCAAATAGCCAACACCTATGCAGCACATGTGTGCTTTCGAGCCATGAGTATGCCTCACCAGGCAGTTGCCGTCACCCCTGCAGACGCTCATGTCCATGTTGAGCTTGCTGAGGCGCCGCCGCAGCCGGTCTTCCTGTGACAGGAGATCCGGCGCAGATTCCGCATGGTCCTTGCCCTTCTCCTTGTGTATCGCCACCTCCAACTCCTTTCTATGTGCTGTCCACATCTCCGTGAGGGAACTGGCAGTCCCTGCTTCACAGCACAACTGCTCTCCAGGACTGCAACCGGTTTCAGATGCATCTGCTGTCCTGTCAACTTGGTGACTTCTTCAAAGGCCCCAGGGCCCCCAATATCACATGACTACTGTACATGCGATATTTATTAAAGACCATCACCTTCGATTGGAGGCGTGAGAGAGCTCACGCGTCGAAACAGAGGAGGCAGGCTCTTCTGCTCACTGAGCCGGTCAGCTGTGAAAATATTTACTGTGTGCATGCCGCTACGATCAACGGTCAAAGGAGCACAAAACCTCGATATCCTTTCCACCACGTCGCGTGCATGTCTGCCCGACTTCTCATCATCCTCCCAATCTGGGGGATCAAGGCTAATCTTGCTGGGTACACGGCTGTTGGGTCTTGATATGCATAGGGACACTAGCCCTCCCATCAGTACCGAGGCTGCTCCTTGCCACCAGCTGAATATTAAGAATATTTAACCATGCCAACGAAGGCTGATGTGGTGCTGAAGATATCTCCTAGACAAAGAGAGTATAATAGAGCAGAAGCACGAAGTCCTAAAAGCCTCGTTAACCATTGAGCTTCTGCATACAGCACCAATGAGACCTAATAAGATCGCTGTTGCAAATCTATGGATTCAGTTCATGCGAGATCGCGCATTGGGCTCGTAAAGTATGACGTTGTGGCAACTTTGCTTTTCACGCAAGGACAGAACGCAGGATGTCAAAGATTTTCTAGATGCCGGCATGTAAACTCCTCCGAGAGAAATGGCAGTCCCTGCATTGATCGTATGGGAGCATTTATCAGTATCGAAAAACGTTGGACCAGATGCTTCATGAGTCAGTTCCGTGAGTAACCTTACCTAACAGGATCAACAGTCCTTAAACTCTCCGAGTCATTCAGGCCGTTGCAGTGAATCTGGGAGTTCAAGAAGTTCATCTCGTTGTGCTTCGCATTTGCATTTCACATGCAGGCGTTGCTAGGCTTGTCCTAGTGTTGGCTCAAATACCATTCCATCCCTCAGTCTCTCGTAGCTCTGATAGTAGATCTCAAACTAGCTGCACTGTTGACTGTCAATTGGGATAGTGCTGACTTCAACTTAGCTAGCTTGGCGGTGGCAGCTTTTACGAGAAGACAGACACCACTAGAGAAAAGGATGGTGGCACTTCTTCGAGCCCCTGATACATGCCATGACCAGGAAGCAGCGCAATAAGAAGACCCCAGTCTCATCACAGAGGCCAGACGAAGAGCCCGATAAAAAAGTCCCGAAGTTCGGGTTCAAAACAATGGCCTCAGCAGCAGGACTGGTGCAGTCCCCCTTTCACCTCTGTTGGCCCTTTTTCTCACACTCAACAGGCTCTTAAATACATTTTACGCCCTACAGCACAATTCAATTTATCACTGCCAGGCCCTGTCCATCTAATCTACATTTGAAGTGGTACTTGAAAAGTAGATTGTAGATATCAAGATGCCTGTCAGCCACGAATTACCCTTGGATGCCACAGGTTCTGGGACTGCTGTTTGCGGTGGCACTTGTGCTGAGAGCGAAGGCTCAGCTGAACCTCCCAGCCACCCCACAGCTTTTCACCTACGATGTGGTGAAGGAATATCCACACGACCCCGACGCTTTCACACAGGGCCTCCAATTTGACAGGGCTGGGGCCACAGAATTTTTCTGGGAGTCCACAGGTAGACAGCTGTACTTTAGCTTGAAAGTGTGGTCTTGGTCTGTGTTGCGCAAAAGTGGGCAGCCCTCCAACAGTGTCACACTGTACCTAGGAGCTGCCTGTTCTCGACAGATTTCACTTCTGCGCAGGGATGCATGGGCAATCGACTGTGAGGCAGGTTGAGTTGGAGTCCGGGAAGGTGCTCCGCAGCAAGGCTCTTGATCCGAGCGACTTTGGAGAAGGCCTCACAAAGCTGGGGAACAAGTAAGTCATCCTCGATGAGCAACTCCTCCTTTTTATTGATTCCATTCTGCGCCATAATAGAACTAAGAAGCAAGCAGACACTTCAATTCATGCATGCTTGTCCATGCGAGAGTTTGAATGTCACAGGTTGTACCAGGAAGTGTGGCAGAGTGGGAAGCTGTACGAGTACGACACTCTCAACTTTGATGATGTCAAGACCTTGGCAGGACCACTGACTGACGGCTGGGGAATCACGACAGACAACACGTCCCTGATCCTCAGCGATGGGAGCAGCTCCCTTGCATTTGTCGATCCTGCAACTCTGACGGTGCAGCGGACAGTTCCGGTGTGTGCAAAATTCCTATTCCTTGTTGCGCCACCCTGGAATCTGTGCTATTTCGTTTCAGAGTCACAATGCACCAATCGGTGCTGTGGGGCTTGTAATGGCAGGATGAAATATCCACGGATTTCTTCAGGTTGTGCTTTGTACCTTGCAGGTGACTGATGGCGGATTCCTGGTCTATGCTCTGAATGAGCTCGAATATGTGAACGGAGAGATTTGGGCAAACATTTGGCTGACAGACTGCATTGCCCGCATCGACCCAGCCACAGGCACCGTCAAGTGCGCATCCCTCACCCATGATCAACAGCTGACATCTGTGAAGCACTTTGGACAAGCCCTCCCGCAGAAGTATTACATGCAGTCGTTGTGTTGCATGCAGGGCGTGGATCCTGATGTCACAGCTGCGCACCGCGCTGCAAGCTCAGAACATCCAGCAGACCTACCCAATGGATGTCCTTAACGGTGTCCCTCTGTCCTTGGCAGCAACCACCCATCGCATCCTGTTGCCTCACATGGCTTGAGCATCTGCAGTGTGGTGCCCAGTGATCTGAAATGGCAACACCGGTGCATGCAAGTGCCTTACTTTGGCGGCAAATGCTCTGACTATGAGTGTGATGATGCTGCAGGCATTGCGTATGACGACGCCACGGGAAGGCTGTTTGTGACGGGCAAGTACTGGCCGCGCCTGTATGAGGTCAAGCCCAGGCTGCAGAGCGCCAGCCCCAACCCCCTAGAACTGCTGGACGCACGGCGCCGCTGCATAAAGAGCAGCAGCGGTTTCTGATGATATCCGTGGCAAGGAGAGCAATTCTCCGGGTCAATTGATCAATTGGATCTACCTCTCAGCATGGGCGCGGAATTCGGGATGTCCACCTGCCGGAGCAGAGCTACTGGACAAAAATGGTTCCACAGTAGTGTCTAGGATTGGCATGTGCATTTTGTGATACAGCGTGTTGCTTGTTTTACGAACTCTTGCTTGTCCCCGATGGAACGAATGGACAGGCGCTCGTATTGAACTCCACGCTTAGAACTTCAGCAGCTTTTGAATTCACAAATGAGTTGACTGATTGAATCATTGATGTGGCACTGTGCACAGTACTGCAGCAGTCAAGACATGTTGGATGCGAATGCAGCAATTGCAAGTAACTAGGATGCAGATATATGACTATACTGTGAACAGTCAGTGCTTCAGCTCACAGTCCTTACAAAAGGCAAAGGGGCATTATGCTTTTGTTGGTACTAAAGGCAATCATTGGCCCATGATGGTACATATGTCAAGGATCGAGCCAGGTCACCTACGGTAGCTCATGTGCAGCTCAGAAACTTTCAAAAGCCTTGTCTGATCTCATTTAGGAGACATCAAATTGAGGACAAGAAAGGTTGATCTGCAGCAATTCCTTCCACATCAACCTCCTTCTGCTTGCCCAATCTGATCAAGCCAATGACTCGCGAATATGCACCCTCGCACGTGACTGTCAGTTGCCGAAGAGCTCCCCCTGTATCAACATGACGATATGAGCAGCAAGCTTCGGAACAGCAATGCTATATTGCGCTGTACTTGTCCACAGGAATTTCATCAAGTTTATGGGGTGACTCTCGAGCTGCGAGTGCAAACATACCTGCATGGTCATAAAAGCCAAAGTATTGTCCCACTTCTGCCGAAGCACAAATGGAGCTGACATTTTTACGGACAACCAGAGGAAGCGGCCATGTGGCTACAGACACATCGCATGGCACCTGCGCGCACACACACACATGATCTGATCATGATCTGCAATCGATGATATCTGCAGATATCTGCATTCAGATAAGCCGCTAGCGGCCAGGGCAGGCTCGCTTCACTGATGCTATCCTGGACGGTCATTTCTGAAGCATTTCCTGCGGCAGAGGCGGCCCATGCAGCAGAGAGATGAAAATCGCACCGTCACATCAGTGGTACTCACACAGTCAATTGCCAAGTCAATGTAAAAATCCACCGCTCCAATCCCGGGCGGCAGAGTAATGACCAATGGGCACGTTTGCCTCTGCGCTCTCATTCTGGCTGCACATTGTTGTGCATGCAAATTTCAGTGCACAAGATCTTGGAAGTGTCGGGCTGAAACATCTGTGGGCCTGTGCTGGCTAATAAATTGCACTGGAGAAGCAAGGGCCTGTCTGCAATCTCACCTGTACACAATGCATCGCTCCAGAGACTCACAGTACGGCCAGAACGTGGGCTGGTGGTACAAGGCATAGAAGTTCTCTTTGTACAGAGGAGGGAAGAGCTGCAGGGTCAGATTGCCTAAAGGGCCAGGAATGGGGGTGCGGAGCGGCTTGTTGAGTTTGCCACCCTCAAATGGGACCATGTTAAATCTGCGATCCAAAGAATATCAGTGAAGCAATAAGACGAAGATTCAGTTTGCACTTTGTGGCTGCTGCGGGCAATAGTATAGACCCACTACCCCTGGAGGGCGAGCTCATCCGTCCCATTCTTCCAAGCTGGGTCATGGTCCTTGCTGATGTACTCCTTCCACGAATTGTCAGTGAACGTAATATCTTCACGCGATGCACACACAAGTCCTATGCAGAGGCAAACTTGCACAAGGCCAAGCCTAAACAGAGCAGATCGGCCAGGCATGGTAGGGTTTGTAAGATGATGGCAGATTTTCCCGGACACACAAATCTACAATCTCGAATTAAAATCACATTCTCTGCTACTACTTTAATAACGATTGAATTATAGATACTAATGCTTATGAATATGTCAAAATTTGTTTGGGCCACAGCAAACAAGATGCCGAAGTTAGATGCTCACAACGCAGTCAGGCACCAGTGGATGTCTTGGGACTACATAGGATACTGCGAATAAGTACCATTAGAGACTAAGTGTCTATCAAAATTATTAAACGTGAGCTTTCCATCGCAATGATGAAAACGTGAGGAGGGCTTCCCCATACCCCTTCTATTTCTAGATCTGGACAGGGTGTCAGGGGAATTAAATAATATATTCGTGTGCCATCGTCAACGCTCTCCTCGCTTGCTCCAGAACAACTACATCCTTGATCTTAATATCCTGTACTTGCGTAAGAGATCGTGCTGCGAACCTTGCGAAGGTGATATAGTGTCTTTGCGGCCGAGTCTCTTGAACATCTTTATTTATAAGTTCTCCATCAGAATCGATAGAGGCAATATTTCAGAGCCTTGAAAGATTGTACTTCAACATATGGTTACATATGGAGTTTCAATGATGATGACTGTGTTCTAGAAGCGCTGATCACAAGGGCAGAGGAGCTCACAGAAGTTTGGCGGGCACTGATCTACCTGGTGTAGAAACATCAATAGTCACATCAGATTGCCTATAACCGCACTGAGCAACGTTTTCCATCAATGGAGGCTATTGTGCAGCAGGCCCTTGAGAACAGCCTTTTACAGGCAAGTCTTCTTGACCTGACTCAGCAACCTCTTCCATATCCGCTTCCATCATATTTTTAGCTGCCAAGCTCCAATTATTGTTATACATGGAAGTAAACATTCGTACGTAAGCTGAAAACTGGTGTCACATCCTTTCAGGCTGCAAAAAATGTGGAGGACCAGATTGACAACCGTCTGCAAGCTCTGGAAAATCTTGATGCCGACGATATAGAGAAACTGCGGCAAAGAAGGTTACATCAAATGAAACTGGCAGCGGCGCAGAAACAGGAATGGTCTAAGAGGGGGCACGGGGAGTACAGGGAGATCTTCGGCGAGAAAGAGTTTTTTTCAGAGATGAAGGGTGAAGAGAGGATGGTGTGCCATTTCTTCAGGGAGAATTGGCCATGCAAGGTGAGCAGGGAGTGCAGCAGCCAATGCCTGAGAAGGGCTGTCAGCATTTGCTGAACATTCATGCGTTTATGATGATTTGGACCATAAACTTCCTCACTTCAATACAAATGCGGTGCTGTGCAGGTGATGGACAAGCACTTGCAGCTGCTGGCACAGCGCCATCTAGAGACGAAATTTGTCAAGGTGAGCAGCTGCTGTGACGCCAGCATCCTGCATGGCCTGATACCTTCATCACCATTATTCTTTGGTACTCAGACGCGCAGATCTTCTGCTGCTTGCTGCCGGCAAAGCTCCATGGATCCTCTCCTGCTATGGGATGACCGATGAGTGGATGACTTCTGCGTGGATGACTGATGTGTGGGTGGGTGCTTGCAGATCCATGCAGAGAAGAGCCCATTCCTGGTGGAGAAGCTGAAGGTGTGGATGCTGCCAACGCTGGCGCTGATCAAGCGCGAGAAGACTGTGGACTATGTGGTGGGCTTTGGTGACCTGGGCGGCAAGGATGACTTCTCCACAGAGATGCTGGCTGCGCGTCTGGCTGCGCATGGTCTCATCAACGAGCCAGACAGCAGCTACGGCCACCGGGCAGCAGCCGGCCCCAAAAGGAATCTCAGGCATGGGGGGGGCCAGCGAGGGGGGGACTCAGATGAAGACTCTGACTTTGACTGATGTGCATGTTCTTTTTCTCATTGGGACAATCTCCTTGAACATGTTGAATTTCGTTCTGGCTCAGATGTGATGCTTTCCTTACGGTGTCAACAGCAACCAGACCAGCATCATGTGTGAATTTCAAAAGCCAATCATGCCAGCCAACACTTGAAGATCAGATGATCAGCAATGCCATTCGTTATAAAAAGGCAGTCTTACATTGATCGCTGGCTTCAATTCATGTGTTTTTGGAGAGAGCCAACATCATGCGTGTAATGGCTGAGTCAAAGAAATGCTGGAATGTCAGCAGTATGACCCAAGCGCAATGCAGCTGCAATCGCATAGGCCATCAGAACCTTTCAACAGGCGTTCTGTTTTTTACCGGTATACCGGTACTCAAGCAATGCCGTCAACAAAGAAAGAATCATACGTTGAGCCGCCATCATCGTCCAATAGGCCAAGCCGCTTCAATCTTCGCTCCTGCATCATCGAATGAAACAGAACTCAATTGCAATCATGTGGTCCAAAGTCAAGATTCAACAACGGGTGAGGCTGCATGAAGGTGGATTTTCATGAATACAGTGGATGGCTCAGATGCAATCACCTGATAGAATTCCAGAGTAGCAAGTCTGTCATAACGGTCCTCAAAGAAAGCTAGAGTGGCATCCAGAGTCTCCTTCTCGCCCAGCCTCACCTGAACATGGTATTGTGTTATGAAGGGGGGGGCACTTAGATAGTCTCAACACCCTCTGAAGCAGCGCAAATTAACATTTGCCAGGATGTTGATGCCCCACGACATGCCCTGCATGTGCTTCAAGAAACTCCTCAGGTGAAGAGCCTTGTCCCGCCCCTAACTCGCAAGGCACACCCACCTACGTTAGGTCTTCACACTTGCATACCCTCTTCACTCAATCTCAGGGGACATGTAGAAAACATTAATATCATAAATTACGAGTCGTGACCCACCAGGATGGCCTTTTCAAGGCGCGTGCCGGGCTGGGTGTCCCTCAGGGCACGCAGATCGTCGTCGATGCTGGTGGCGTAACCCTGCAGCGCGGCGCGGCAGCCCTCCATCATGGACTCGTACACCGCGCGCTCGTTCGCCTCACTCACTGGCGCCAACATGTGGCCCCACGCCTCGTTCCGGAACAGCGGTTCCAGCAGGAACGCGTCCTGCCCTGTTCCCACCACATGCTCAGCAGTCAGCGCCCAATCGCACAGCCCATTGCCCTATGTTGCCCTACTCAAGCACTCTGCACCGCCCTGACCTGTGCCACCCCGTGCGCAGCAGTCAGCGCCCGACCGCACAGCCTGTTGCCCTAGTTTGCCTTATTCCACGGCTCTGCACCGCCCCAAGGATGGCCACAAACAGCTGAGTTCAGGCCCTGTCATTGCATGTCAAGCCCTGGGCCTGGCAGAAGCCAAGCTCCTAAGCCCGGTTGCCCAGTGCCTTTGAAGTACAGCGGCTGCTGCTCTCACAAATCAAGGGACTCAGAATAGTTCCTTTGTGAAGAGGTCACCGGGTATTAAGCACGGGAGTTTTATATGAAGCACGGGAACAAGGATCAGATGGAACAAGGATGGGATAGGATCACGAACCTGAGAGGTTGAGGAGGCGCAGGAAGCCAAGCAACTGCTCTGAAGGCTCCTCGTTGGCACGCAGGACGAACGAGGCGGCCTCCGACAGCCCATTCAGTTCTAGGATGTCCGCCTTGTCATCATAGTATTTGTCATCCTCCGGGAGCGCCAGGCTCAGAATGAACCCACCCTGTACCACCCCAGGGTCAGCCTCAGCTTAGAAAATGCCATAGCTTTGGCCTTCAGTGTTGTGGACATTTCAAGCATCACTGCTAACCACTGCTTAGCAGAGCTTGGGGGAACAATCCGTGCTGATCGCATTGCACCATGACATGCTAATTGCTGTTGGCTTGCCAGCAAGAGCAAAGAGCCGTCAGCTCAGTGCCTCCTCACCTGCGGACGGTCTGCATCCAGTGCCCCATAGTCCAGTAGCACTTGGCTGTCCAGCTTCTCCTGATCCTCCTCAGTCAGGGGGGCCCCAAAGTCCATGGTGACCACCTCCCCCTCGGCATAGTCCCTCTGTGCCTCCACCACCAGTGCCTGTGCCTTGCTGAAGAGACCCCCCGCCAGCTGCAGCTGCCACCTCGCCCCCTGCAGCTTCCTGTGCTGCACCTGCACCCGCGCAGCCACACTGCATCAGCACTGCCCCATTTGCTTTATGCTGACGTAACCGCAATACTGTGCCAGGCTTGTCCTTGCATCCCCTTCTTGATGGCATGCTGTAGGATATAGGGCCCGTCTGCATTCCAGGGTCCAGAAGCATCCTTGTCAAGCATATCCTCTATGGATGTTATGTATGCATGTGAGGAGGGCATTTATCACCACAGCGCCGGCTAGCGGCATGACAGGTGCAGACATGCGGCAAATGACAAATGGCTGTAAAATTTATTACGAAAGAAAGGGGGCGCACCAGGTCTGCAAGGGGCACGAGGGCCACGTCTTCCCCATCGAGCGGCGAGTGCACCCGGGACCGGACGGTGGCCACAGCCCACAGGAAATCGTCAAGCTGGTGTGACTTGGGCGGGAAGGCTTCGCGGTGCGGCGCAAACAGCTGCTCCTCAAGCTCGGCATACTTGGCTTCGAAAAACTGCCTGCGCATGCCTTGAAGCCGTGAGCCAACTGGGGAGGCTTGTTCTCTCAATCACTGCATGCATTCAGGGCCCAAGCTTCACTCAGGACATCACAGCAGCAGCATGATCCCGATTCCGCACCTGTATCCTTGCACGGAAGACAGGAGCTGCGTCCCTTCAAGCTGTGAGAGCTCTTCCTCGCTCCAGAAAAGGGGGACGTCAGGCGCAGCTGGTATGCTGTCCAGGAAGCCCTGCCAGGCTGCATCTGGCTTGCTGCGCTCGTGCAGGAGGAACAGAGCAATCTGCAGCCACGGCTCCAGATCCTCGACGAGCGAGCCAATGCTTGAGGAGCGGACAACCTGCTGTGTGAGCCAGGCGCTGGAAGGCACTGCCACCAGCGGTTGCCCCTTCTTTGTCGGCTTGGAGACCACGAGGCAGAGATCGCCCTCCACAATCTCCGGCCTTACATTCAGCTTTTTCAAGGGCAGGCCACGCTGCTCCACCCAGGCGCTCAAGGGTGGCAGTGTCTCCACATCAGCCTGAGCCTGAGCTGAACAGACACACCGCCTGCGGACCTCTACGACTGCATGCTGCCTACATGGAAAGCTTGCTTCTGCTCTTCTTGCTGATGAGAATCCAGCATTAGTCACGTGAAGGCGAAGTAATAACGAGTGCATGCCGGTGCTGATGGAGGAGGAAAGCAACCTCGTGATGCAAGCTCGCGGATCCTGGAATTACAACATGAGTAGACACCAATTCATATGTAACCAGTACCGGACAATTGCGAGCTTGCTCTTCTTTCGAAGTGCCAATCTTGCATGGATTTCTCATCACGTGCTGAAGGGCAGGCAAGATTTGAGTGAGTTTCGAAGCTCTCGCAGATTTGCCTCAATCGAACGTCGCATACAATTCGCGATAGACCTCCAAATAAAGATTCTAGCAAAGTGAAAGCTTCATAATTTCGTACTAGTCTCACAAGCATTTGGGGGTGTTGGTGTCGCAAGGGAGGGTCCTTTGCGGTTCGAAAGCTCGCAACAAGCTATCCCGTGCTTCCATTGCGTGCAAAAGTTGCGTTTACACCGTCGTACAAGGCTTTTGAGATTGCAAAGCTAGCCAGCGCTCGACGGGAAACAGCGCTTTTTCTCTCTGGGGAAGCAGACCAGCAACTGACGTCATGGTTCTTGAAGGCTTGAGCTAAAGGAGAAGGATGGCAGAGTTTGGGTACGGAACTGTTTTTCTATGCGCTCCATCCAATCTGTCTGTGCTAAGTCTAGCGTCACTTGGTGAAAGAAAACTCCGGCATTCAAATGGGACGTTTCAAAGCAATGTTGGATTAATGCTTGCCTGATGTGCGCAATGGTCCTGTAAACCTTTCTAACATAGGAGACTATTGTCTCAATGCCATCGCACACCGCGCTTGGGCGGGGAAAGGAGCAGACCCTAAGTTTTGTCACATGTGCTTCAAATGGGTGTCTCTCTGACTCAGCACAGCAGTGTTCCGTCAGGCACTCTGACACGACACTGAGGCGCGGTACTTTATCCTGTTCTTTCGTTCTGAGCAGGTCTCCCCCAAGCCTGTTGGACCTGCCAACCAGTGCACTAGAAGCTGTGGCACGCGCTCTCTCTGGCAATGCAAAGAAGCCGCTGCGAGCAAGCTGTAGGGAGCTGCGGGCTGCTGCCAACGAAACGAGCGACTTCTTGCGCATCGATATCAGTGGGAAGGAGACAATCCCAGGGTACATTGTCTTACATGTTATCTTGGACCCGCTGAGAACCGTCCACAGGCAGCTGTGTAGTATCACTCTTTTCTGAATGTTGGGGTGTCGGTGACTCGCAGGTTCCATCCCATCCCACCCACAATTATGGACAGCCTTAGAATCATCCAGCTGGACATCCCCTGGCACTGCAGCGATGTCAGCCTGCCGGCCAGTGAGGACTTGGGCGCTCTCAACATCCAGGCTGCCCCAAAAATCTGCATCGTGCAGGTTAATCACTGTATTTTCCTCACGTGCATTGCAATCATACCACCAGAGCTCGATCACAGTACCCATGAACGCTTCTTGGGAAAAGAACCTCTCATGCACTGCCCCGGCTGGCGGGGGGCGGTATAAATACTGAGCACCGTGCCCACAGTGCATTGGGTCTTGCTTGGATCTGGCGAGTCCATCATGGGGTAGGAATATGGCAGCTTTCTTACTGCAGCTTGTCTGTAGACGCACCTTGCATCTTGGCAGCGTGTAATAGTAGTAATAATAATAATGATGCTCTGACAATAAATGGTGTGCCTGCAGGTGGCTGTCAGTGTGGACAGCAAGTCACAGGAGCAGACGCGGCTTGCGAGCGTGCACTTTGCGCTGCTGGTGGACGGGCTGAGAAGGGCGGGCATCTGGGGTCAAGTTTGCGAGCTCCACTGCTCATGCGAGCGCTGGCTGGGGCCGGTGCGTCTTCCCAGTTCTCTCGGAGGAGAACGATCGCGTCAAATTCAGCTCCTACCCCATGGCATTAGTACATGTCTGTGCTGCTCCATCATATGTCTGCAATATCACTAAGGCTGCATCAAGGCCTCACATTTCTATTTGATGGCTGCCATCTTTGCGAGACATGATCATCATGTATTCCATAAGTGGACTCCCTGTACTGGTCAGAGAGGCCTTGTCCAGTCTTCGCTGAAATGGGCGAGCTATCCTCATGCAGCGGAAGTGCTCCACAGTGCTTTGCATTGTTCAGGCATCCAAACACAGCGGACACATGGTTTATCGCTTTATGGGAGGCTGGCTGATGTAATCGCAGGAGGTCTCCTTTGGTCCGCATGTAAGCGTGCGCGCACATCTGCGGCTGTCGGAGCGCAATGCGCGCCTGAACAGGAAGCTGCTGCGGGCGATGCTGTCGCAGCCCAACCTGACCGAGCTCACCATCTCCGACATGCTGCCGCACGACGTGGACTCTGACCTGGTGCGAACGCTTGCCAATCTCTCAGCCCTGCTAGCATTGTAGGACTTTGAAGAAGAGCACAGGATTGCTATATACTGTAGATATGGCGGTATTATATGGGGTCCGCCTGCTTTGCATATGCCTAAGATTGATGTGTGGACTGTACTTGTGTGGAACGCCACACCCTGTGACGGTCCCAAGAGTTCACATGCTAATGGCAACAAGGCTTCTGGCAGAGCGGGTGACAGTGCTTGAGCATGCAAACTTATGCTCAGGTGCGCATGCTGGGTGAGAGGCGGGGCAGCCTGCGGCGGCTGACGCTGCGCGCGTGCGACCTCACCGAGCACGACCCAGACGTGCCCCTCATCTTTGACCTGCGCCCGCTCACTCAGGTGACAACCGCATTGTGCTCAATGACAAAAGTGATGACAATGATGATTGTGCACTCCCTGTCAGCTCTTCACGCATGGATCTCTGCATGGACCAACGCCCGGGGACATACACAGCCAGGAGCAATTCCTCCTAACTTATTGCCCTGAGCCCTTTCCGCTGTTCCCTTTGCAGCACCAGCTCTCTTGCATTTAACCCATCCTACTGCTGTTGTTTGCAGTAATCACTCTCTTACGCTGACCCCGTTCTGCTGCAGCTGCCTTTGCAGTACTGAATCTCTTGCGCTGACTCCTCCCTTTCCACTGTGGTTCTCGTTGTTACTGATAGTCTGGGTCTCGGGGGAAACAGGCGAAGCTGGAGCGGCTGGAGCATTTTGCAGTGGACAGTGCATATGAGGGGCTGGTGGCAGTGGATGGCCTGGAGACGCTGCTGACGCATGAGCAGCTGCCGCGGCTGCGCTCGCTGGCGCTGTCGGGCCTCTCCCTGGTCCCCTTCTCCACGCTCCCCTGCGCAGACCACCAGCGCTACCTGCCCCGCGGCTGCGCCGATCGGTGAGGAACCTTGACTGATCACTTTGTCGCTTTGAGGTGACCAAATTGCCAGCCGCTGGCAACCTTCTTTCCTTCTATCGTGCATGATCTCTCCTTCACGAGCAGGTGGCATTGGGTACAAGTTTCTCTCCGACATGCTCAAAGACCATCTTGCAAGCATGTCAGGAGGGAGGCGCTAGCATCCTTTAATCAAAGCAAGAGCAGATAAGCAGACGTCATATGTTCGAGTCATCCATCAGAAGAGTGTGTGTAGCTTGACGCATGACTGATGTCATTCTGCTTCCCAGGCCGCGCACGTACACGACGCTGCAATTCCCCGCCGGCCCAGCCGTGTTCCCGGCCTTTGCCGCGCTGACGACCCTGGAGCTGAGCGCGTCTCACCTTGGCAACCTCAGCAACCTGACTGCCCTGCCCGGCCTGGTAAGCCCCCATCCAGCCACCTTGTGCCAGCTATCCAGGCCACGTGCCATTCCGCTGACGCTCAGCATGTGGGGATTACACGCTGATTCATGGGAGTGGCAAGGTCTGAAAGAGTAAGTGAAAGCGAGAAGGTGGCATGTGCAGGAGCGCTTGGTGCTGCGAGCGTTGGCGCGGCGGAGCATCAGGGCCTACCCCGCCCAGCTGGCCGGCCACGAGATATCCAAGCTGCCCAAGCTCAGAGAGCTTGTGCTCGACTGCATTGAATGCCCTCATGGTGAGGAGCCATCTGCCTTAATTCCCAAAGTGCTCCCTGTCCCAAGCTCACCAAGTAGTCCTTTGGAACCTCCTTAATAACACAAGTTCAAGTCTGCGTCACCTTTTGCCAGCTCTTTGCCTCTGGTTGTCTCCCTGATGGCCAGTCAGCGGGGATTGCATAAAGCTGCAACCTTCTGTATGCTGTTTGCCGCTGAGTCTCTGTAATGGCATGTGAGCGGGGGTGCATGCATGCTGCAGGGCTCCAGTCAGACAGCCTGGAGCACTTGGAGCTGGTGAACAACTGCCTGCAGAATGTGTTCACAGTGGCCGGACCCGGCTGCCCTCCGCGCCTGGCCTCCATCCTTGTGCAGCAGCGTGGCCACGGCCGCGGCCACTCACCCGACACTGACCTGTCTCGCATGTGAGACTGCTAAACAAGACTCGCTGCCAAAATCAGTGGTGCCAGCTTGCGTGCTCTATATCTGCCTCTGAGTGCTCCCTGGCAGAACTCTCAGGTGCCTGCAAGGTCAGGTGTCTCGCAGCTGTTCAAAAAAATGACATGGGAATTGCATGCCATTTGTTTTGTACTGTTTCGGTAAAATTTGTGTGACGGGGGGGCTCCCTTGCAGGTACTTGGGACTGCTGATGATATCACAGCTGGGTAGCAGCAGCCTGCCCAAGAGGGTGCCCTCACTGGCCCGCAAGGGGTTCCAGCTCACTGGACAGAAGTGGAACAGCGCAGCTTCTAGGGGCCTGCTGGTGTCCACAAAGGGGGGCGCCTGGCAGTTCAGGGACCCACAGCCGGACTCTCTGCGCTCTCAGTGCCAAGCAACTGACGACTGCAGCCTGCAGTGCGCTGAGAACTTCTCATTCCGCCTCATGAGACAATCCTGAGGCGCAGCTTTGCATCTTGACATTGGCGTGTCCAGCGCTGACATCACAAAATGCAAACCTTTTGGAGGCAGCAAGAGCAACCTTGCAGTGCCAAGATACAATTTTGAACTTATTGCAAGTAGGGGGGACTGTACGTCGTTTGGAGGCCTGGTGCAGCATCAACCAGAGCCGATGTGTAGATACAGCATAGTAAAATATAGTACAGTATGCTGTGGGGGGCGGCACAATGAGCACCACGCCCAGAATGAGTTGGGTCTTGCTTGGATCTGGCAAGTTCAACATCACATAGAATTTTGTTATCCTTCACATGCAGCTACCCGCAGAACCACCTTGCCTCTGGCAGCAACATTGTGTAATAAGAGTAACAAGAATGCTGTGGGGGGACGGGCACCACTTAAATTTGGCACTGTGATAGGCTGAACAAACTGCAGCTTCAGCATGCACGCCCTGTGTCATAGCAACTGTCCAGTGAGCCTTTTTAGTATTGCTCGAGACTGGCAATCGAGCCAAAAACCATCAACTTTGAAAGACTCCGAGTCTTTCTGAGGAGTCCTCAGAACTCTCTAGAGGAGTTTGGGAGACTGCACTTGCATATTGTAAGCCCTGTTATACATGCGCAATGCAACAGTAAGATTGTCACCAAAAGAACTCATGCCTGGGAATAATGTCTTTGTAGGAGTGAAATGCTGGAGCCCAGCCTGTGTCAGAACCCTCCACATCAGGGGACTCTAAATCAATTTAGAGTCCCCTGTCCACATCCCTTTAATGGTAAATCTGAAGACATGCGACGATCGAGAGAGCGAGTTGTTGCCAAATGGCAGTATGCCCACAATGTGTGGGCCACAAAAGATGCCACAAGATTTGCATCAGAAGGCATATATCCATTTTGAATACATCCGGGGCCATGTTTCCATTAGCCTAATAACAGCCGCTCACTTGTGCACACAATCTGGACATCTTTACGACTTGAGTAATATTCTTTTGGTTGTACAAGTATTGAAGCTCTCAACTGTAAATTGATACACAAAAATCAGTTGCTTGTATTCATTCTCGAGTTTGTACAATTTCATTCCTCTCTATGCAGAGCAGTCTGGTGCAGAGCACCAGACTGCTGTCCTGCTCTGCCTAGAAGTGGAGCTTGCAATGTGTTGTCCTCTATTGCTTCTGTATCATCATCCTCAAGTGCATTTACAGGCCTCCTTCTGCACCAGAGGGGCAGCCAGGAGGTTCCTTGCGGTCCCTCCTTGAGCACGCACAGCAGCACAAGCAGCGGAATAAAAGAGGCCGTCTTGATGCACGCCGTGATCAGGAAGGTGGTCTGAAACCCATAGCGCTCGATCAAAACCCTGCCACCCACACACACAAAGCTTTGGGCCTGATGTCAGAATCATGTACCTCATTGTCACTTCCCCGACAATGAGTGAGAAGGTTCTATCAGTGTTGAGCCAGCCAGACTCCTGCCTCAACAGGATCAACACAGAATACAGTGGGCTCCAGAAGGGCGGCAGAAGCAGGCACTCACCCGCCAGCAGCCGACGAGCCCGACCATGAGAAGGTCCTGACGCTATCCAGGGCGTTCACTTTGCCCCTGTGGCGCTTGGGCACATGCTCCATTAGGATGCTGCGCATGAGGGGCCGAGTGCAATTCGCGCAGGCCTTTCTAAGCAGGTGCACCGCCAGCAGCACCAGCTTCAAAGGGCTGTCTCCCGTGGGTAGGAACGCCATTGTGACCAGCAGTGCAATGTCACATGCGCGCGTGACTAATGTCACTGGCACCTTCCCACACCTGCAAGAGCAGATCAGAGCCATTGGTAAGATAATATCATAGCCGTTGTTAAGATAAAGCCAAAGCCATTGGGGAGGCAACAATCTGACGCATGCTAGGCGGGAATTTTTGAAGAGGGAGACAGGCAGAGAAGTGAGGAAATGGCAGGGGTGCTGACCAGTGTGAGATGGACTGTGCTGCGATCGAGCCAAAGCTGACAAAAATTGGGCTGACGCTGCTTAGGATAGATACTGTCACGGGCGACAGGCCGCACTTCTGCATGAAGAACAGTCCGAAGAATTTGATGGTCATGCCTGCACGTGCACCATGTTGGATCAGCAATTTCATGAACTCATCCCATGCCCACCAAGCACAAAAACAGGTGTACGATTTCCAGCAGAGCCTCACCAGATGCAAGGGACCCAATTAGGTCTGAAGAGGTGATCAGGGCTGGCACAAGAAATGCAGACGAACAGCAGGAACGGTGGCCACTCAAATCCTCATTGCTGGGCACTGTTTTGACCGGAGACTGCTCTGCATCTATCAGAGGGCTGCATGACACCCAAGACTGATTGCTTCTTTTCTCAATTCATGCACCAGAATTGGTTCGACTGCATTTCTCTTTGCTGCAAGGCCTCACCTGACAGCCTCGCTCATGGCACCTAAGGTGCGATCATCATTGAAAAAGCACATGACGCACAGAGGAATCAGCATGGAATTCAAGCCGATGAGCAGCACAATCCTGCAGTCACCGACCTGTGCACAGCAACAATGAGATTGGGATACTCATCAGCAGACTCGCAACAGAAGCTCCACTGAATAGTTTGGCATAATTGTGGCATAGAGATGCTCCAGAACATAGTACAGTTACTCACCTCCCACTGATTTCCAAGAATGTAGAAGAGCACCACACTCACAATTGGACCAAATGCAGACGACAGGCTCGTGATGACATGCTTCCATGTGTAGAGCTTGCTGCAAAACACCACGGAGGCATTTAGAGAAGGCTGTCATGCTCTTGTGCACACTTGCTCAGCCGCGCACAGTAAAGCGCACAGCAAAGGAAAGAGAACAGTCAAGTAGATCCCGGCTTGCAGGACTCAAGTGCCCAGGACAAGAGTCACACACCTTTTGCCGGTCTGTACAGAGTCTGCAAAGATGGACTCAACTGCAGGGTTGTTGAATCCCCTGTACATGCCCATGAGGCCCATTGCGAGCACAAAGTGCCAGATGGGGCCCTCGAAATACAGACCTGCTGCAAGTGTGAGGCCTGCCACAAGGCCAATTGCCGCCGCGACTCGCAGAACTGCATCTCGTCTGAACTTGTCTGCCAAATAGCCTGCAAGTGGGGCTGTCAGGAGCTGGCCCCCACTAAACATGTCAGTGAATCTGACAGCATCAGTAAAGTTGCTGCGCATATACTTGTGTATAGCACTTTCTTGAATGCCAGAGTACCCAAGGTGCTGGCAAATCCCTTGCTGTACGTTCAAATGGTGCACTGGTGATACATACGTTAAGAGGTACAGGCCCACTGAATTGCCTGATGACAGTGAGATCACCTGTAAGATGCCGTTGACACCCTGTATGTAGCCTACAACGCTGTTGCTCTTTGTGTACAAGTAGATGAACGCAGAGAATATGTCTCCTGATCGCAGGCTGGCGCTAGCATTTTCGAATAAGGTCCACCAGAGGGCAAGCTGCACACAAAATATTGAACCAGATGCACGATCATGCACGTCCTGTTCCTAAGTAATAGGAAAGCCAAGAAGATGAACCAGAAGCTGAAAGGCTGCACCGTACAACTTACCTTCACATTGTAGTTCATGAATTTAGGATCAAATAAATTCTGGGTTATCTTTCAAGCTCTCACATACTTTTATATACCCAGATCTGTGGTCCTCCATGCAATTTCTTCCAGATCTCCAGGTAGAGGATGGCCGTTTCTAGCTTCTTTGGCCTAAAGGAGACACATAAGATAAGAATTGCACGTGAACAATCTTCCGATTCAAAGAAGATTGTGGAGATGGCTCGAATCGGGTGTCCAAAAGTCCTTTTGAATGCAGTGGCAAAACGTTTCCAAAATATCTGGCGGAACAGGCGGCAAATGATGGCAAATCTTGCTCCTTTTGGCGAAATTTTACAAATTCCAGGATTTCTGTCGACCACAAATGCCTTGATAAACGAAAGACTCACTAAGAGGGACCTGTCCCCTGTTTATAGAATTGCATCTTACTTCTACCTCATCTCTCTTTGACTACAACAAGCTTCAGCAGCTTCGCTGTGGGCATCTGCACTATCACTGGACCTTAACTTCGAAACGATCGAGGAGATTCTGTTACTATAACAGTAAAGGTATCTACTACAGTAAATCAAGAAGAATATTTGCCGAAAACTTTGTATTTTTACTAGTATTGGGCACCTTCCATTTTCCCGATTTAAGATGGTGCACCTCCTACAGAGTACACATGATACATTGTGGGATTTCTGTGCAGATCGGGGGGCATCAGGAGCCTTGATACATGCTGTCCCGCTTCACCAGCAGGGGCCTTGCCTTTGGACACAAATTTTCCGAGAATACTGCCTTCACAGCACATATTGTCCACCAGGAGTTGCGTTGCAGATATAGAACGCTTGGATCACGAAAAAGACAGCGGCTTTTCGCAGTTGAAGACCCTGTAACTGCAGAAGAAAGCAGAAGTAGCACTTCGAAGTCGGAGGAAACTGGCACCGAGCCACTAGAAATGAAAATGCCTGGGACAAGGAAATCTGGATCCACAGCACAGATGCTCAGCAAAGCAGAGGAAGCCTTGACCAAGCTGGTGTCGAGACATCAGGGGGATATCAAAGTGCGACACAGGGACAAAGCGCTCCGTGCTCTAGACCTTGCAGGTATGAGCCCTTTTCCACTTGCTATCTTCGTGGATCTCCTTTGCTCAGATATTTAGACGTTTACTGGAAGAACCACTAAAGTCTGGCTGCTGCAGGAAGCCCACCGCTGCTATTTGGCTCCGCAATTCTTTTTCTGCTGATTGCTTGGGACGTCTTCGGGGGCACATCAAAGTTTCCCATTCAGAGCTATTACCTTTTGCCACACTACATCGACTGGCCTGTGCACGCGTGGGTGAAGGTACACCACACATGCCAGCTAAACATTGACCGCAAGCTGGCTTATGAATATGTCTGCTATGTAGTCTAATTATCGAACGGATTGCTGCCTACCAGATACCAAAGAAATCTGTGCTGCACAGGGAACATTTTCCCCTGCGCTGCGGGACATGGCTGCAAATAAACTCATGTCCAATCTGCCCATATATATTGGCTCAGCAGGCTGGCTGGCCTGCGCATTTGCAGCAGTCGTACAGAACCCAGCGCGTGGTTCCAGAGGCGTGGGCATCACTGTGTTCGCCTTGTGGGTTGTCAGCGGCGTTGGCTCTGGCCGAAGCGATGTCCTGGTTGTGGACATTCTCAAGCAATACTTTCAAAGGTGTGACAACAATGTTTAAATGTTGTTGTCTACCATGTGCTCTGAACATGCAAAGTTGCTGGATATTATGTGTGCTGGCATCTGTCGCTTGACAGAGGCCTCTGACAAGCTGCAGGATACGACCCTCGGATGTTAAGAGCTCGTTCGCGTTCCCGTCTGGTCACACAACATTCTCAGTCTTCGTCATTGGCGCTCTGTTGTATGTCATTCTGCCGCTGTGTGTCGCTGGTGCGCACCTGGCCCCAGGGTGGTTGACATGCACTACCAGCTTCACTGAGCTTCTGACAAATGGAATCACTGCATGCATGTGCTTCATAAAACACTTGCTTGCGCAATGCAGGTCCGGAGGGTGATACGGAGGGGGGCGACTTGAATGCAAGGGAGGGCCGTTTGCTGGATGCACTCGTGAGCACTGTACAGGTCAGTGCGCTGCCAATCTGGATCCTGGGCGGCCTAGTCACAGCTTCAGGCCGCATCCTGGCAGATGTTCACTGGTATGACTCCATGGCCTTTGTCGCAATACAAACGGTGGAAGGAGCCTGCGTTTTGCTACCGGTCGGTGCAGGACCAGCATGATGAGACTTCAATCGAGTTATGTCTGTGCTGCTTGGTGGCAGGGTGTCGGACACGATGGGCGGCGCATGCCTGGGCGTTTTCATGGTTTCCGCTGCAGCTTATGTCTGCAAGGCAGTGCGTGCTTGACTGGCAGCTAGGTGGATTATGTGGGCTTTGGAAACCAATGCAAGCTCACCACTGCTCTCGGACCCGTCCATAGCAACGAATGCTTGTGTTGGAGATCCATCATTTCCAAGGGAAGGGTTCATCTCTGTACAGTACATGTAGCAATGATGATGAGATAAGTTGCACCAGGGGGAGTCACCTGGTCTTGCTACTCCCCCTGGTTGCGCCATGACGCACTGCAGCCAAGACTTCGGCATTGGTCACAATTGCTATTTTGAGGCGCTTGCCAAAGAGTACAGGCACACTGTGGCAGGTGCTTCTTTGGGGGCAGCATTTGAATATCACTCTCATTCGTTTGCAGTCACCTGACTGGCAGTGCACCGTTTGGTGAATGTGTTAATTGTGGTGTTTGTGTACAAGGCATCAAAGTTGCAGCCTTTGCTAGATGTACATGCAGTTACAGACTCAGTCACCAGCTGGTAACCAGCCTGCAGGCTGGTGAGCGCCGCTTTCCAAAATTGCCTGCGATAACAATTAATTGCAGTATTCTTTGGAGTGTACCTAGGCATTACAGATCTCTAGAGGGATTATTTGGCACTGTTGGCAACCAGGAACTGACGGCATGTTTGCGAGTAGTAGCCTAGCTAGAAAGGCCTCTTTCCAGGACTTCCCCTTTCAAGATCGGGGAATTTGACCTTTAAACCCTCAACTGTAAGCTATCATATCCCTTTGTTGAGGGGTGGGAATAAAGGTGGAGCTCCACGTCAGATAAGCGGACCGCCCAAACTTCCTTGGAACACATTGGGAGGAGACGGAGCAGAGCTTGGACAAGATTCAGCAAACAGTGCTCGTTAATCTTGTTTGTGCATGCAGTGTTCAATTCCTGGCTGCAAAGCTGTGTTTGAGCGAGCAGCACGTTTGTTTCAAGGCTTCAACACCTCGACTTGCAGCACTTACCAATGAATTATCCCGTTCTAATTATGTGGCAATAGAACGCAGTGACAATTTGCAGCTGCTAGTAGCAAAGTTGCTGTAATTTGTTTGACATAAGCAGCGAGCTTGCAGAAGTCAGGTTGAGCGCCAAATCTACAGCAGCAGGATGGGCTGGGAATGACGGTCCCCTCGAAGCAGGACATTGAGAATTGAGACAGAAGATCCGGTCAGTCGCGGAAGACGTGTGCCTGACATTTGATCATCACGTTTTGCCAGGCAATCATACAATCACAGCCGTCAAGGAAGGGAACACTCGGTCAGATAAAAAGACCTTGGTCAGCAATGATGCGAAGGTAGAAGCATGGTACCTCCCAGCATAGGTCCCGCCATGCAAGCAGATGGGAGGGCTCTGGGTGTCTAGGCTTTCTGCAGTGATGCACGTGTTGGTCGCTGGTGTCCCTGGGATCCATCCCTGGATGCGTATGGCATGACAGAAGCCACGGAAGGGAAGTTTGAGGAGCAGCACAGGAAGCAGGGGCCTCTATTTGTGTGCTGCAGTGGTTGTCAAGCAGTGACCAAGGCTGGCTGCAAGGTAAGAATCTTCCTCGTTGTGTGTTTTGAATTGCTGATTAAACTTTGATCCACGAATATGACGACCTTAAGATCAACCTTGGTGATGTGAAGTTGCTCATGTGTGAAGTGATATTCGCAGGCATGCAAAGTGTGTGGCTTCGACCTTACTCGACCTTCGACGGCCCCTCAAGACAAGGCGGATGTTAATACCAGGATCACAGAGGGGACCAATCTATCTGATGAGGTGCTGTCCATTCTTGATCAGCAACAGAATCCCTCATTGATACTTCATTGATGTATTTTGAGAATGCCATGTATTTTCGGTGCGCATGAATGCTTTGGTCACCGATGGAATATGTGTATGCTCAGCAGGAAGATATGAGCTTAGACAGTTCACAATCAGGATCAGACATGCAGGCCAGCAGCGAGGCTGAGACGGGCAATGAGGAGCGAGTACAGAAGGGAAAGGAAGCTGAGACATCTGGCAGGTATGGCAGATCAGAAGCGGTATTTGCCAGTCTGTGGTCCCAGCATCTTTGCTGACGATCTGGCCCATCAATGTTCGGGGTGCTCTCTCCATTCAGGGCTGAGGAGAAGGAACGTGCCAAAGTGCAACCTGGCGAACAGTTAGATCTGCCACCTTTTGACTGCAAGGTGGACAAGCCAATGATGGAAATGGAAGCAGGCTCCAATGTCTGGTACCAAGCATCGATCTTGCGAGAGACTGCAAACGAGATACAAGTCCTGTTTCCAGGTACAGAGTCTTGTAGTGCTCTGATAACAGCGCTCGCAGCCCTAATACGCTCTGAATACATGAATTTGGCAATCTGTGACTGTGTGAATGTCGAGAAGGAATGACGCATTTGCTTCTATGCGTCAGACCCTGAGGAGGGCGATTTAGTGACAAAGGAGTGGGTCAAGAAATCCAGCAGCCGCATCTGGCGGGGTTCCCTGGCAAGGCATGCCTGGAAGTACATCAGCAAAGGAGCCTGGGCGCCCAAGAAGAACCCCAAGCCTGGACGCCAGCGCAGATCGGGCTCTGCTTCCAAGCATGCAGCACCCAGGCAGAAGGCGCAAGGTGGGCCTTGTATCACTCACTGCATAGCTTGAAAATTTCACGCAATGGTGCTTGTGAAAGCAGCGTCAACGAAGCTTCTGGAACTGTCCCACAATATGCAAAAGTGCATCTTGGCGATTAATTGAGCTTTAATGTTACAGATGGGTGTGTTGCAGGTGAGGCGACGGATGGAACGGGCACCGGCGCATCAATGGACCTGGACTCAGCGGCTGAGGATGAGCAGGAGACCCACAAGTCTCCTCATGAGGATGTCCCGGATCAACAGCAGCAGCGACCTCAGCAACGGCGGAAGCGGATGCGCGCAGCTGCACCCGCGGCTGAGACGCCAGCGGCGTTGCAGGGCGGCGAGGACGGCGGGGCGACGCACAGCAACTCTGGCGTGCCTGACACTGGCGGCTTTGGCTTCAACGACGGCGTTGGCCTCTCCTCCAAAGACGAGGCGCAGGTGAGCTTCGTCCCCACCCCAATTGCATACATCCTGCTAGACCTTGTGACAGCCAGCGCCTGGCCTGCAAGGCTCGAGCGGTGCACCGCCGCAGGAGGCATCTGTAGTTTGAGACTGCGTGTTTCTTGGGCTGTGAGTTAAGGCCGGACTGTGGCCTGACATGTGTGAAGGATTACAGCGCCGTGGATATGCTTGAAAAGTATGGGAGGACTGAAGTGCTGAGATGGGGATTGTGTGGCAGGCGCCAGAGCCGGAGCCGGAGCGGCAGGATCCGCTGGCGGCGTGGTTCCGGGTGCACTTTGCGATGCTGGAGGACCGGGGCACGCTGGTCACGCAGCTGGAGGGGGCCGGGCCCGAGGTGGGCGTGGCGCCGCATCATGCGCTGCCCCTGCGCAGGCCGCCGCAAGCCTTTGCGCCCGCGCGCAGGAAGCACGGCCGCAACTACGACGTCAACGAGGGCAGGTGTGACACCGGCGGGTTCTTTTGCGGCCGGCAGTCTTGGCTGGTTTCGTACTCAAGTCTGAGTACCTTTGATTGCACAAGTGCTGAGCAGTCTGCTGAGGGTGAGCTGTTAAGTTTGCTAGCAATTGTCCTGGTGATCTTGATGCTAGGGATAGGCACAGGTTGTTATTCCTTTGATTGTGTATATACTCAGCATGGCGAGTTTGCTGATGGTTGTCCCTGTGATCTTCTTGCTAGGGACAGGCACAGGTGGCTAGTGTGGTGTGGGTCTGTGAATGGAAAGCAAAGTTTGCTCGTGTGGTCTGCAGGTGCACGGATGACGCTGATGAAAAGAAGAAGCCGAATGTGGTGGTGGGGTCTGACTGGCAGCCAGCCAGGAACAGAGGGGCGCGCGTCACGACAAGGACTGGCATAGACAAGTCGCCGCCCCTCAAAATCTTCAAGGAGTCGGAGGATGTCCAGCCACAAGCTCGGAGTGCTGCAGCCATGCCGAGTCAGCGGCCAGCCAAGGTACCTTTTTCCTTTCCAGCATGCTACACGACTATCTGCCTAGTGCGAGGTAGTCTTTGTCTCATGGCTCAGTATTGCGATCTGTATCTTCAGTGTTGGATGTGTTGTGACTGTTGCTGTGGTGCTGACAGGGGAGTGGCAGCAGAGGTGCTCAGCACGGCAAGGCAGGGCTGGTCACCCCGGAAGTGTCTGCAGCAGGGAGCGACAGCGAACAACAGCACCACAAGCAGCGCGGCAACAGCCGTGGGGTGAGCCGAGGCAGCCGGGAGCTCAATGCAAGGGCTGCCAACAAGGATGCAGTGAGTGCTCCCCTGTTCATTATTTCCTCCATTAAGACCACACATAGCTGATCGACTATATTCTTGAATTCTTCAGTCCATTAACTTGTCCTGCCTTCCCTATTATGTGCACTTGACAACATCCCTGTAATTGATTTTGGCTAGCGGCATGTGACAAAGTCTTCAGTCTCTGAGAGAGAGGATGATTGAGACGTAGCTGTTTGAACAAGCCCTGACCTGCTGATTTGTGTGCAGAGCATCCTGAGCGCGCCCAAGTGGGCCTTCAAGGCACACGAGTCAGATGAGGATGACAGGGACACGCGCATGTCTCCAACGTCTTCAGACTCTGGGCGATCTCCGCAGCCGGCGCCCAAGCTTGTGAAAGCAGGCGCCAAAAGCAGCTCAGCCGCAACACGTGACCAGAAGCCTGGCGACCCCAGGAAGCAGCAGGCCAAGGAGAGGCCTCTGAAGGCGGGGCGAGCAGGAGAGCAGCAAGGTCAGAGCAATGCGGGAAAAGGGCCGGATGCCAAGCCAAAATCCAGCACGGCACAGGCGAAGCCGAAGCATTCGGCGCCACAGGGGGCCGCTGCTGCAGGCAAGCCGGGCCTTGAGGGAGGCCAGGGGAGGTCTGCCGCCGCGAGGCCAGACCCGGCACGCATCGCAGGCACGCAGGGCGCGGCGGCCACTCACAAGCGCTCGCCGCTTGGGCCACAAGGACCCACCAAGGCAGCAGCAGTGTGGGCGGGAGAGCCTGCAACCTCCCTCTCGCACAAGCCAGGCGCCGGCCCGAAATTTGCTGCCAAGCAGGGTCTCGGGCCGGCTGCTGGTGTGCCCTCCACTGCCGCTGCAAGCAACGCGGCCAAGAAGCTGCCCGTCAAGGAGCACAGGCATCTGGGTGTGGGCAATGGCAGCAACAGCAACAACAGCAGCGGCGCTGATGCCAACACAGCTGGCGGGCCGCTCATCCTGCAGCCCTCAGACATCTTCATGGCAGACTGAGCGCCTGCTATGTCAGCGCTCAGGCTGAAGATGTATTGTCATGTCAAGAGGGCGGGGTGCTGTTTTGCAGCGCATGCAGCTGGGCCGAAGGCAGCAGGCTGATATGTAGAATTCTGCTGGAGACTGTGCGTATTGGTGGATATGAGCTTATTGCCTTTCGCTTTGGAGATGGAAAGAGCTGTGCAACAGCCGCCAAACATTGCTCCAGCACCCCTGTGGAAAAGGATTGCAAGATGGCAGTGCCAAATGACACAGCTATTTATGTCGCGATTGATTGCCATATGAGCAATTATGTATCGTATTGGCGTGACGATGAGTGTGAAGCGAGAATGTATCAGCGATTGCAATTGCATTGAGGGGATTCAGTAGCTCCAGCGCTGTGTCTTCTTTTGTATGTCTGTGCAGACTGCGGTCTGTCTGTATTCCCTCAAGATCACAGTAATTGCAGAGCATGTGGTGCAAAGCTTTACCCAGATCTATATAGATGCCCTGGCTAGACACGTGCATGCCATTGTAAACATGTTCTCTGATGTCTGGCCGAATGCTTCTGCTCTGCATACTATGCAGTAGTACTTGAGTAGTACTTGACTTGTATTATCTGATTCTCTATGTGCATCACCTGAGAGTTGCTTGAACATGAGTGAATTGCATTGGTTTTTGTTGCACAGTATTGCTTGGTCCGTTGCATGGGGCATTTCATTGTGGCCACTGAGATTCTCTGTCTTCAGTCTGAGAAGCGCTCAGGTCGCTGCATGCATACATTGAATGTGTTTGATCAGATGATCATGAGTCTGCAGAGTACCGGTATACCTCAGATCATTTCCAGGCTGTCAAGCGCTCAGGCTTATCAGATAACGCAATCTGTTGCCACACAGATCAGCATGGCAGGTTTGCACAGAGCAGCACGAAGCAGTGCTGATGTCAACAATTGTCCTTGACTCACAAAGGTGGATGTTGTACCTTGTACAGGTGCCTGAACAGGCTGATGGCATACCAGACGATGAACGATGGAGGAGCGCTTCTACAGTTGCTGCAGTACCCTCCTGTGCAAATGGACAGTGTTGATTTGCAGATCGGAAGTCGTCTACAGGTTGACAGCCACTCTGCGACAGTACGCTATATTGGGGAAGTTGCAGGCCAGGAAGGCATCTGGGTTGGTCTAGATTGGGACGATGCCTCTCGTGGCAAACATAACGGATGCTACAAAGGGGAAAGCTATTTTACATGCTTGAATGGTCGAACGAGCGGCTCCCTAGTACGTCAGAACAAGCTGCTAGCAGTGGCTGACCTCGGAATAAATCTTACAGAAGCTCTTGCTGGCAGGTAGGGCTGGGCTGTTGGATCACAAACTGACAATGATACAATTGTGTGTGCTGGATCGCATTCAAAGTACGATGCAATATCGCAAAGTTTCTACTTCAAGACATCAAGATGGGAGCACTTTCCATAGAAAGTACAGATCATGTGCATTTCAGATCTACATATCCACTGCCAAGACAATTTGACCCTTTCAAGCGTCCTTCCTGACGAAGCCCTCGTTGACCTGGAGCAGGTATCTAGAGGATGCCCAAAATGAGGCTAGGGAGGCATCGGATCAAGAAATGTATGTACAGACTGCATCACGGAGAAAAGTACATGTAGAGCTTCTGGGTGAAGAGCAAATACGAGGTCACCAGGCATGCTTAGAGGCGGCCACGCATGCCACACTGGACAGCGCAAGGGTGTCATCCGTTGTGAGTATCAGCTCCTGACTCTCGCCTTTTCTGCATGATAGACTGCCAGAGACTCTGCAAGTTGCTGCATGGGCAGTAGTACAAGCCAATGAACTGAGATGTTGCCGCAGGGACCGCCCGGGACTCTCAACAGGACAGCTGCAAAGCTGCAGGAGCTCAGCCTAGCTGCGAACCTGCTGCCCAGCTGGAATGAGGTTTCCAGGCTGGCTGAGGAGCTGCCTTCGCTATGCAGCCTGGACCTCAGCTGGAATCGCATGGCCTTCCCTTCGGCATCCACAGACAGTCCTGCGTTCGCAGCTCTGCGCCTGCTTGTACTCAACTTCTGCTGCCTTGCTTGGGAACAGGTGGGGAACCTGTGACAGCTTTGGTGCACTCCTTATACGCTTATCTAGCTCACTTTCAAGTGCGCCTTTCTCTGGGCAGCGAGCAAGAGTACTTATTTATCAGCTTTAACTGATGGTCTGCTACTGCCGTGCTCAGGTCCAAAGCATTGAAAAGGCACTGCCAGCACTTGAGGAGCTGTGTCTTTGTGGGAACGGCATTGAGAAAATTGAGAACAGCATCCATGGGTTTCAAATGCTCAAGGTGAGTCGTCACAACATCAACCTGCACGGATGTTCTACAAGTCATGTTGTCTCTGTCAGGCAATAGTACATTGTCTAGTTGCCGGGCTTAATGCACATGTTGCAGGTGCTGGATCTGAGCAACAATGCAATCCAGCATTGGGATGCAGTGCGGTCTCTGTCACAGCTCCCTTGCCTGCGCTGCATCTCCCTAAATGACAATCAGGTTGCAGAAATCCATACCGGCAGCTCAATAGGTATGGCGTTGTGGCCAGCACACCAATCTGAGATGTGATATATTTCAACCAAATCATGATCGTCAAAGGCGATGATCTGTGCAAAAGGTACTGAAGCTGAGGTCAACTTCACTGGCAGGGTCAGAATTCAAGCAGCTGGATTGTTTGCTGCTCGGCAACAACAAGCTCAACAGCTGGCAGTCAATCGACGCGCTGGCACATTTTGAGCGTCTGAAAGAGGTTCGCTTGTCAGGGAATCCCCTCATTCCTTCGGGCAAAGAGGAGCGATTTGAGGTGCTTCCGGCTTGATTGTATTTTCAGCCCAAATACATTTCCTGCCTGCGCAGTGCATTTCTCATGAGCTGCTATGCATAAAATGGGTGGCATGTGCTCAAACCTCTGCTTCACATGCGGCAGGTGATAGCCAGACTGCCTCATCTGACCACCCTCAATGCCAGTACTATATCACCATATGAACGGAAGGAATCAGAGCTGCGATACATGAGGGCCATCCTGGGTGAGCTTCTACGTCTGTTCAAAATCTGCAAATGCAACTGTACCATTGTTATACGGTGGTTCAAAGAAGGTGTGTTGTGCTGGCAACAGGGGAGCTGCATGGACTATCCAGCGATCTTGATGCACAGACCAAGCTGAATGCCATGCACCCGCGCCTGACAAAGCTGCAAGCAAAGTGAGATCGCTTTCCCGAATGCCTCAAACCGCTGACAAGCTGATCATTTTGCACATGAGGCATTGCAGATGTGACCACTGAAGACATTCGTACAAGGATGTGTCTGCGTGGCAACGACCTGCCAGCTGGGTATGGAATAATATGTGCCCAAAGAGCAGCCTCAAGCAACTTCATCAAGCCTGAGATGAATTCATGCCGCAGGTATGGGGATACAGGCGCGCCAGCAGTTGCTGCAGCGTCTGCCCCAAGTGCCCTGTCCAGCAACATGCTGCAGCTGAGGCTCACCTGCACAGCCAGCAACAGTACTTCCGTGACTAAGAAGCTGCCCAGTGCGTCCCTGCCTATCAAGAAGATGCATGTATTTATTAACTCATTTGGAACAGGACTTGCTCCTACGCCATTGTGGGTGCATTGCAAGCGCTTGCATGCATAGGAACCCTGGAGTGCTGAAATGGTGAGCAGTACTGAGAGAGGATGCACATGATGCAGGGAATATGAACTTGAGGAAGTTGAAGCAACTGTGCGAGCGGCTTTTCAAGCTGCCAGCCCAGCATCAGGCTCTCAGCGCGAGGGGCCCTACTGGAGATGGCATGCTCAGAAGCTTAGGGATCGATGACGAGGCAATCCTGGGAAGCTTTGATCTAGAGGTGAGGCGCTGCCTGCCTTCCTGAGAGCACCGACAAGCGCACATGCTCCACCTACCCATTGGCTACTATCTTTGAAGGACAGATACCCTATGATATCTAGATAGGATGCATGGACAGAGCACATAGCAATAAGATTGCATCAGAGTGATGCATGGAGAGACACCGGAACAGTGGTGCTGACAAGGCCCCTGATATTCAATTCATGTCAACATGCAGGATGGGACAGAGCTGCTTGTGGCAGAGCTGGATGTGAAAGCAGTCGAGCGAGAAGCAGCAGAACAGCGTGCTGCTCTTTGTGCTGAGCACGAGCAGCGCCTCACTCATCAGGCAAAGGTGTGGTCTTGTCTGGCCCATAAAGTCGCTACCCCAGAAATTCTACTAGGTGCTGCTCGCTGTTTCTTGATATCTGCGCTTCAAGTGTTTGACTTGACAAGGTTGGACTGGAAGTGCAGGGCATGGAATTGCTGACAGCAGCGCGAGATGAGCGGCTTGTAGGCACATTGAGACCAAGCTTGATTTAGAACCGCGTGTACCTGTAAAGTCAGCATCATGATCAGTGTGTTTGAAATAGATCTGAGTTTGTCAGAGTTTGTGTACTCAACATATGTCTTATTGCTATTGCCTGCCAGTGGCATGCATGTCAGGGCGCACAGGCATGGTCTTCCGGAGGAATGGATAATGCAGCATGGGTGTGATTGCATCAGTGCACCTGGTCTATAATCAGGATGGATTGATTCATGTCTGAGCCCTTGCATTGTGAAGCGGCATAGGAAATATTTAGTCCGCCCAATCTAGAGGAGCACCTGAGAATTTGGGGCCATCATTGTTATGGCCTGCCCACATGCATATCGAGCTGCAAAAACAGGAGCTGGGGAGCTTGAAACAACAGCAATTCATAGATAGATGAAGAGATTTGATTAGGAATCCTTCAAGCAAGCGCCTATCTTCAAGCAAGCGCCTACGTGCGGACCACTCTAGTTGAAAACAAGAAATATTACAAGAGTGCAGAAATTGGAAAATGTTGACATCAACGTTGACACCCTATATATATGATACTGAGACGACTCCCCATTGGCGCGCCCCTCTGCATTCAGCTTATAGCATTATATTGCAATGCCTGCAAAACCTGTAAAGGACTCATGCAGCTATTAAGGCTTTACTAAATTGAGCTAAACTAGCTATCTGGCACCTTGCCTGGACAAGCTGCGGATAATACTCATGACCAGTTTGCAAAACCCATGCGGACTGCAGCTGCACTGCAACCATGTTGCACATACTCATTGGGTTCTTTGGGATCAATTCTGATCAAAATAAAGTTCTTTGGTGCTGCCAGAGGCCTGCCAGACCAGCTAACCCCACATGGGGAAAGCTACCTGTGAAGCACACCTATCCCGTTTGCCTGCCAACATGGCCTGTTCATTTTGGCTCCCAACATCTTTGTTTCTGCTGCCAATGATGGTTCAGTCATATTTCTGTTGGATGTTCAAGTGAGTTGCAATGCAGCTCATCTGCTCCCCTCTTAAGAACCCCAGATTCACCCAATGCCCGAATTAGCATAGAGTCAAGGGACCACTGCTGCCTCACAAACATAAATGCCCTTTAGGTGGAAATGCTCCCATGTCCACATGCTGATTCGGCTGCATGCCATCTTGCCGCGCACTCCAATATATTGTCGTAGTGTCCCTACTCCTTCTACCGCGAGCGCAGCTGCCACTTCAACTCCTCACGTCAGACAACATCAGTCATCATCATCCAACTTGAGCTCTGAGGCAGCTGCATAAACCTGCACGAATCCGCAGTCTGGTGAGGCTCCTCCCGGCTCACTGCACAGTGCAGCCGAGGCCTTCCCAAGCGCTCACTGCACTAGGCAGCAGCCGGGTCCTCTTTCTCCGTTCACTGCACGATGCAGCACCGGGACCTCCTTTAGCGCTCACTGCACAATGCAGCAGCCGCAGCTGGCATTCTTGCTGGGGGCTGCGGGTTTGGCGGGGGCGGCATGCTGGGCGGGTGCGGGCACGTCGGCCGGCTCGGGGGCGCTCAGGAGGTGCCCTTGAGCGCCTTCCACCACTTTTGCTTCTTCTCCCCCTTCTTCCTCTGCGGCGACTTCCTCGTGTACCACTTCATGATCGGCACCTGCACAATTGCCATAATACACATCCACTCAGCATCCCCACACTCTTGCCTTCCTTGCAATATAGACAATGCTGGAAGAACGCAAACGAATAAACTGGAATGTCACCGACCTGTGGTGAGGGTCACGGCTGTCAGAGCAAGGCTGACTGTTTTGAGTGAAGGTTCTGGTTATGTCAGCACACCAGCAGCCTCCTCTGCCCTGCCAAGGGTGCAAGCCCCAGCAGGTGGAGGCTAGGGCGGCCTATAAGGCTCACACCCCATCTCCACCTGTGGGGCATGCTGCCACAGAGCAAGAGCCATGCAGGGAGCCGGCATGTAGTGAAGGGGCATGTAGTGTTGAGAAACACACGTTCGGCTGTGATGTTAGACCGCCAAACATGCTGTGCACCCGTTCTCTGTGTTCAGAAACACACACATGTGCGTTGCCTGCTGCACGCCTTGCTCTGTGGCGGCAGGGCAAGGGAGGCTGCCGGGTAAATACCTTCTTGTGTAATGTCGGTCACCTCTGGGGCAGACTCCTCGGTAGCTTCCTTCAGCTCATCTGCCTGCTCCGGGACCGCCACCTCAGTGACGGCAGCTGCCTCGGCCGGCTCCTCCACAGCTTCCTCTCCCTGCAACACAGTTGATCACGTTCAAAAATTCATGAGTAATTTATTGACCAGACAGAAAGTGCCATGACTAGCGATTAATAAGACTTTGGGCGGGAGGTAGACATCTGATATGATCATCAAAAGGGTACATGAACAGATGCACTGCGCAGTAGGCAGTAGGAGAGACGGTCATAGCGGCAGGTCTTTTCAGGGTGCGCCCCCTTTGCTGCAGTCTGATCTTTGTGGACAAAGGAATGCAAATGCACAGTTGGCTGCGCACCTTGACAGGCATCTCAGCTGCGGCCTCTGCCTCGGCGGTGGGATGCTCTGCGATGGAGTGCATGTCACCCTCCAGCGCATCGGACGCAATGACCTCCTCGGGCTCAGTAGACGCCTCTCCATCAATTGTCACCGGCTGCTCTGCCACAACCTCCTCTGCCTTCTGCAAACATGCAATCCAATAAGTGTCAGCAATCCACACTTGCAATCTTTACACAGCTTAAATCCAGCTCTGGTGCAGACAAGGAATGTGTCCCCCCTATCTAATAATATTTCTTAGAAATTTGATATGTGATGTTCGTGAGATCTCCCAATTCGTGTGAAGCTGCAATGTGAAAAGAAGAACGGAAAATTAGTGTCGCACCTTCTCTTCAGGGGCCTCCAGGATGGGCTCTTCTGCCAACAATGCCTTCACAGGGGCCTCCTTTGGCTCCTCAACGGCCTCAATGTCATTGGCAGGCTCATCTGCCGCACAAGCCCACACTTTCAGTACAGCAGATGCGTGCACTCATTCTGCTTGGTCCCGACTGGCGCGGGGCGCAACAAATACTGAGCACCGTGCACAGGGACTTGCTTGGATCTAGCGAAACCAACAAGGGGTAGGATCATGGCAGCTTTCTAATGCATCTTTTCTGCAGAAGCACTTTGCCTCTTGATGAAAGTGTGAAATGAGTTTTGCTTGTGAGGTGACCATTGGGCACGCAGGACGATAGCTTCAACAGACGGAGAATTCTGCCCCACCTGTGGCTGTCTCCTTGGGAGTCTCAGCCTCATTTTCAGGCACAGGCTCTGCTGCAATGGGCTCTGAGACGATGGGCTCCTCTGCAGTTACCTCAGACTCAGCTGGGACCTCTGCCTTCTTCTCCTCAACCACAACTGCACCACACACTCCCCATGTCACTCACCGGCTTTTCCTCCGTTGGAAGCCCCATCATCTAGGAGTATGTGTCAATGAAAAGCCATCCTCATGCTGAAAGCCTTTGCCTGTCATGCTATGGCTGCTCCTCTTCAGAAGGATATTTGATATATCCACTTGCAGCGCTGAAATACACACCCCTCATCTTCACCAACTGCCCTCACAATGGGCAGGCCTTACAGGGGGCGTTCCACTGAATGGGCGTTTCACTGAACGAGGCGTGACTCAAGAGAGTCTGGTTGGACGGAAGTTGAGTTTCAAGGTCCTGGCTCCTACCTGGGGCCTCCACAGCCTCCACCTCTGGCTCGGCAGCCTCCACAGCAGGCTCCTCTGCTTCCACTGGCGCCTCAACTGCCGCCTCACCCTTGTGCTCCTCCTCTGCAGGGGCCAGCTCAGCCACGGGCTCCGCAGCAGTCTCCGCCACGGGCTCCTGTGCAGCAACATCAAACATTGTGACAAGATCATCAGTGTGAAATATCAACTTTAACTGTGCCTCAACCAGCATCCCGTTCTCTCTGTCTCTGTGTTCTACTAAGGAGGAGCCCTACAGGCGCGGTGCGCGGTGGTTGGAGTATAAGCATCTATCAAACAGCTGCCTGCATTGTCTGCCACCCACCTGACCTGTCATTGAATCCCTGCCGTTTCTACCATGGCCCCCGTGTGTCCTGTGGATTACACGTGCCGTGCAGGGAGGTGGACAGAATGATTTCTAACGATGCCAGGGGTGTGCACCTCAGCAGCGGGCTCCTCGGCCTTGTCGGCGCCGGCGGCATCAGCGCCGTGCTTCTCCAGGAAGCGTGTGGGCACCGGTACTGCAGCTGCGGCAGCGGCAGTGGGGTTGTTGAAGGACGAGAACCGGCTGGAGTTGGACTCCTTGTTCAGCCTGCGGCCAGCAATTCCAGACAAATTCAGCTCTTAAGTTCCCGCTCTCAGGACCCTCACATTTGCCATCTCTGCAAGGCAGTCTCCCATGTTCCTCAATGGCTACCCTCAGCGAAGCACCTACTGCATGTCATGCCAAACACCTACAAACAATCTCTGGCAACACGCACCGGGGTACAAAGGCTGTGCAGTGCCAAGTAGAGAGAGCCAACCACTGGGGGTCTCACAGGCTCCAGCGTCTCACGGGAGTGTTGATGAAGGGCAGTGCAATGCATTGGCATGGGGAGCAGCACCTGGACTTTGACTTTGATTTTGTGAAGCTGAACCACTTCTTGGAGGGCTTGGCCGGGGACGCGGCTGTGTCGGCCAGGCCGCGGTTGTCAAAGGCGCCCGGCCGGTAGGCGGAGGTGGGGCTCTGGGGCGGCTGCCCGGAAGCTGCCCTCAGCGCCTTCACCGGCTCCGGCACTGCTGTCACATCCGCCGGCGCCACCTTGACGGCCTCCAGGACGCTGTCTGTGCCCTCCACGGGGGGCGCCGCCTTTGCCTGTAAAAGCGCGAGACGCTGGATCATGGGTGCTGCCAGATATAAATCGACACAGGACAGGCCACACCGGGCGCATGCATGCCAGCATCTCAGGTTCCACTGTAGATGCGATGGCTGAAAGACAAGTCTGAATACGCCTGATGTTGAGATCGCTGCTTCGTTTGTCCCTGTTCGATTGCATGGAGGTGTTCACTCTGCATGTGAAGGATGTGTGGGTTTATTGTCCTTGAGCACCTCGCGCCACATGCTTTGCAGTTACTGGTGCGCATGATCAGGACATGAGGCTCACCTCTGGCACCGGTTCTGGCTCTGGGGCGACATACTTCCTGGGCAAAAAGAAGTTCTTGAGCTCCTCGTTGATCTTTGGCAGGTTCATCACCTCGTTGTCCTCTGCAAGAGACAACCAAGATTCTTTCAGGGCAACTAAAAAGGAATTCCACAACAGGATGGCTTGCTGGAGGTATGCAGTGGCAGCACTGCAACAGACAATTTTACTCTAGAAATGCAGTGGTCTCCTGTCTGTTGACGAGGCAAGGAGCAATGGCCACAGGCAAAAATAACAAAGGTAACACAATACCATGAGGTGAAGGGATCACATACATGCATCCATTTTATACCACATCCGACAACAATCTACTTTTTGAAAGGGGTCCGTACGACGAGTATAAAGCAGACTCTGCACTGCTACAAAAGACTTTGTAGTAGAATTAAATATAATGACCAGCTTGGAGGCACCTTGAAGTTGGTGAATAGGGCAACAAGCAGAAGGAGAGGCCGTTTCTTTGATACCAGACGCATCTGAAAGTCTGACCCTGAGATATTTGCTGTCTTCACTGTTAGCGCTCATCGATCGTTTTATGGACCCACCCTCGAGAATATGCACGTCCGTAACGCGTGCCATCGTCCGAATCATGCTTGCACACTCGCTGGGAAGTCCTCCTTCGTCAGTACCAACACAAAAGATGTCTTGACGCACAACGCCACTTCTCCAAAATCCCCTTTGCTCCACGATCGCAGTCGTACACTTACGCAATTATTCGGGTAGCGATGTTTGAATAGGCTGCAGGAAGCGACAACACACCGAATTCCTACGTCTGCTCTCGGTGGTTTTGAAAGGGGACGTAAAATCCGCTGCCCAAGCGGGCAGCCCCAAAATTTTGGTCGCCCACATTGACAAGCCCATGGCACTGTTTCTTCCAATCATCCGTCTCGAGAGAAGATCCTGGGAAACATCTCGAGATTGCAAGGAGCCGAGATCACATGCTATTGGTGTCTGGAAGCCGCAATTGTTGAACAGAGGATGGCATGGCAAGTGTCTCTCTCTAAACAAACTGCTTATATCCCATACCCGACCTCTGAAGCTCGATCTTGTTTGCTGAAGCTAGCACTTTCAGGTTCTTGCTGATCAAGTCTATGTCTTGTCTGTGCCATCTTTATTTCTCTGTATCCGATCTGATCTACTTAGGCATAGCAAGCCAGCAAGAGTTGCAGAGCTTACACGTCCATCGTTCTGGTATTAAACAGGCAGTGACGTTACATACATCCCTTGGAGACCTGAAGATCGAAGTCTTCTGCGAGGAGGTGCCAAGGAGTGCAGAGAACTTTCTCGCTCTATGCGCCAGCGGATACTACAATGAGACCATCTTTCACAGGAACATCCGTGGATTTATGATCCAGGGAGGGGACCCAACAGGTGCGCACCATCCTGCACTGTACGGCTTGTAGTGCATCAGTAAGCGCTTGTCAGGTCAAAGGGTCTGGGTCTCAGCTTCCTCCTGTGTTTAACAGGCACAGGCAAGGGTGGAAAGAGCATCTACAGCACTCCCAATGGCAAATTTCCTGATGAAATCTTTGATCATGCTCTGCTGAAGCACAACAAACGCGGCATTGTGTCAATGGCTAACAGCGGTCCCAATACAAATGGCAGGTTTGTAGCCAAGCAGCATGATTTGCACTCCTTTGCCCCCTCAATCTGTCAACGAAGCCCTGTGTGCTGAGACTGCCTGTGCCCTGCGCAGCCAATTCTTCATTACCTACAAGACACATCCAACGCTGAATGGTGAGCAGCCTTCCTTCAAAATGATCCTGCCTTTCAGGTGTTTTGATGTGATCAGCAGATTCTGATCACAGTCATATGCACTGACATTGGAAGCTGCTTCTGCAGGCAAATACACTGTCTTTGGTCATGTCATCGATGGGCTTGATGTCCTGGATAGAATGGAGAAGGTCCCCACAGGTTAGCCGGCCTCACATCACGTGATTCTTGTCGGCATTGGTGCCACAAGGAACAATGCGCTGTGCTTTCTGGACGCGCTGCCCAAGAGACACATGCTGTTCTGTAGCCGTGCAGACATATTGGCACTATGATGCTTTGAAGTCTGTTGTGCAAGTTTTCCTGTAACCATTTGTTTTGTCCATGCAGGTGCTGCGGACAGACCGCTGCAGGAAATCAAGATCGATAAGATCACAATACATGCCAACCCTCTGGCGGGGTGAAATTGCAACAGACAAGAGGGACACGTCCTGTACCCAGTACTGTGTGACGGCAGGTCTTTGTCTGGCTTTGGCATGTGTTGACAAATATCTGCTTTCACCCATGTCAGGGGAGCTCTGGATATGGTGTGTATGTCTTCAGTTGCCATTAAGGAGTGCTACACATTAACTGTTTAGAAAATGCTCATACAGCATTTAAGTCTTGACCCAAATGCAGCAAATCAAACTCCAGCCAGAAGGGCCTTATTCTGTGCAGCAGCTCAAATTGGGATGCGCAGAAACGTGCCACCAGTGGTTCTTTTCTTCTCCTTTATCTTCTCACAGTGTGCAATGCAGCTGGAAATCTTAAGATCTTTATGTAAAAACAATCGTTGCAACACTTTTGGTGCCACATCATGTATACGTAGTACGCCGTCATCTGCAGCTCTCCATAACCTTAGCGCTTGCGTCCCGAGCGTGCGTCCCTCTCGAAGATCTTTTCGGCTGCCTTGTTCCCGGGGCTCAGCAAGGCAGGTATGCCTGCAGCACACATAGCAGGCAGAAAGTTGTGCATCACCTGTGTTGGAATAGAGATAGCCGAGATATACATGTAGACAGTCGGTATTGATAGGGGAATTTCCCACCTGCTGTGAGGACAATTGTGACAAGGATAGCCCTGCAAGCAGGCACGAGAGGCCAGTTATAAGGCCACCATGCCACCAAAACAAAACACAACCAGCAGGTTAGCAACCGTGTCGTGCAGTGGCGCAGCAGAAAGTAACTCACCCTCCGACGATCAGTCCTGCGCCCATGCAAATTACTGATCAGCATGTGCAATCGGAGCTGTCTGGGGCATGAACCGACTACTAAACAAGTGGTTGCTCTGCAAAGACTGCCATAAACTGTGGTGAACCCAGAACGTTCACAATGAAATGTATCATTGAGAGCGCTCCTCACCAATTGGAGCATCAACATCTCCTGGCTTTGTTGCAACTTCTGCAACTCCCAAAATCCAGGGAGTCACTCCCATGGCACGCACGGGTGCCATCGAGCGGTGGGACCTTCTCGATGTGTCCCGAGGGGCACTTAAAAGTGCTGGAGAGGCCTTCGACCGTGAATGTGCCTGTGGTTTGCCAGTTGAGCATCAGCACTGGCATCTAGCCCTACTCCTAGGGACGAACTACTGATTTTTCCACGCACGTTACGGTAGAAAATTCTCAGCTTAATCTTGAAAACCTTAAACCATGGTTGTGCCGAAAATGGTGCAATTGCCGGGTATGTTCTGTCCCCTTTGCGCTTCCGACGCATTCGCGCATCGTGTTATCTTTGAGAGCAGAAGATATATATTGAGGGATACGGAACCATGCTCAATAAAGTTGTTGATTCACAAGTGTTGAAAAGAGACTGTGCCTGATGAACAATCCGCGAGTGCTGAACGGAGAACAGTGATGGGATATACCAGGCCGGACAGGCAGGTTGCCTTCACTGCTGCTGCAGAAGCCATGATGGACTGCCTTGATTCTGTCTCAATTTCCTCTGGGTTCGGTGATCGATGGTTCTGAGTCTCGCTGTGTCGGACGAGAAGAGCAGCAGAGCACTTCTATTCGTCTGACTCAGCAACCTCACCCTGATGACATCACCGTTACTTCTCCAGGGAGCATCAACTTTGCAAGCACAATCTCTTGCATTCTTAAACTTCTTTCTTTCCTTCGTGACCACTGGCTGTTCTATGCATGCCCACTTCAGTGTGACTACGAGCTGATCATGATAGCTACACATGATGCTAACGGCGGGCCATCCCGGGCTGGCCGGGTATCGATCGGGGCCATGTCCATTGAGATCCTTGTGAGTCATCTGATCAGCAATGTGGAAGTGAGGACATCAGCTTGTCGAAATGGTTGCCAGCATGGCGATATATTGTATCTAAGCTCAATAGCAACTTACACAACGATCATGCTGAGAAGCACTCTGCACAGTCCCCGATCGGGGAGGTGCTCGCGAGCACCTCAGGATCCTGGATGGCATGTGATGATACTGAAATGTCAAGGCACAAGATCTGTCACTAGACACCGCCGCAAGCAGATACATCGCCATGCAAGCTGCTGCTGGCACCAACAAGCACCCCACTGGCATAGATGTTGACCCTTTCGTAATAAGCACTAATCAGTTGATCAAGTAGAAAACGCTCGTCAATTTCCCCAGGTGCTGCAGTGTTTCAATTGCAACAACTCGCTCTGCTTGCAGAGCTGTGGACTAATTCACATATGGGCCAAGTAAGGCAGTGGTCAACTCTCTTCACCTTGGGATGAAGCCATGTAAAAGAGGATACAGCCAAATACTGGAAGCTTGATAAATAGGTGCATAGTCCCTGGCAATTATATTCAAATGAAAACCTCTGCAGTGCTACTGCCCGCGCATGCTCGCTTGAGCAAAAGACGTTCTGTTTCACTGTACCTTGTACCTTGTACAGTGAAACAGGGATCTGGATAATTCTCAATAAAGCATACTCTTTGAGTTATCAATAAAGGAACTACAGGATAGAAGAGCGGTCAGACCAAGCCTGTCCCCACCAACACGTCTCTGCCCCTAATCTTCATGAAGCGCTTGTGCTGATCTTCGGGCAAATGCACACCCAGTCAAAGAACCCAATAAAGGAACTACAGATTAGAAGAGCGGTCAGACCAAGCCTGTCCCCACCAACACGTCTCTGCCCCTAATTTTTCATGAAGCGCTTGTGCTGATCTTCGGGCAAATGCACACCCAGTCAAAGAACCCAATAAAGGAACTACAGATTAGAAGAGCGGTCAGACCAAGCCTGTTCCCACCAACATGTCTCTGCCCCTAGTTTTTCATGAAGCGCTTGTGCTGACCTTCGGGCAAATGCACACCCAGTCAAAGAACTCCAAAGGTTGGTGCACCCAGCAGTGTGCTGACTCAGGGAAACAGTACGGAGCCAAAACCGCTTGATTCCTGCCTTGCTCAGGCATGGCAGCTCCATCAAAAGCCATGCACATGGTACAAGCTACACATCTGCCCCTTTCTTCACATGGGCTTTGGGCCAGATTGGGCTGATGTGCAGACCTTTTAATGTACTCCATATTTCACAGGAAAAAGGGCCGCAGACAGCTGCAATCAGCCTGCCTGCCCCAGTCTGCTCTCGACAACGGCAGGTGCAACAGTGTGCCGGTTGCATAAATTACCATATCAAAGCAGACATGCTCACGATGCCTGGGTTGCAGCGGATAGGAGAGCGGCTGCGGTCAGTCCAGGAAGATGCTGCCAAAGTAGCGGAAGAAGAGGGTGAGTGCGCCGCAGGCTGCGATGAGCAGCGCACTGCCGATGGCCGAGGTGCGGTCGAAGACGGTGGGCGCCACTTTGAGGCCGATGCAGGAGCCGATGTTGTACAGGCTGCTGTAATCGGCGTCCCGCCCCTTCGATCCGCCCTTCTGCTCCGGGGTGAACTCCACGCCCTGCCAACACACCCCCCAGTCACCTCAGCATCACCCCTTGCCACTTGCAATCCTTATGAATTCCTCTGGTCATTATTCACCAGATGATCTCTAGATGGGGCCTCCTATCACAGCATGCATACCAGAAACTACACACGGTGTCTGTATTCTACCGTGATGTTTGCGATTATCTCCAAATGGCTAAATGGCTGAATTGACATGCAGCCCGTCTGCATGCACATCAGACCAGTGCCAAGGCTTCCAGAAATGGGAACTTTGATGAGGGATTGGAGCAGTCAGGGTGGGGAGGGAGGGCAGACCTCGCGGACAGGTGGGACATCGGGGCTGCGCTTGCGAAGGCCGAGGCTGTCGCAGCTCTGGGAGGGCCAGTCAGACAGGAGCGAATTGGCATCGCTGCTACTCCTGCTGGTGCTGGTGTAGCTGCTGCCGTCGCTGCGCCCTGCCTCATCCGGCGACACCTGCAACGCGCACAGAAAGTCAGCGAGGGCACAAGCCATAGTTTTAAAACATTCATCCCAGTCCAATGTTTTCAGCCACAACTACACACTCTGCTGAAACAGATCACAAAATAAAGCATGTGAAAGCAGTTTGGCGCTGGCAGGCTTCCAGGCACAAAGGAGATCCCCGGCACAGAGGCAGTCTGCAGGCACAAAGGCAATGGGGATGGCGTGAGAAAAGTGCAGGGAGTGGGAGGAAGGATACCTTGTGGATTGGCGCGTGCTGTGGCGGCTCGGCAGTGCCAGTGGCAGTCCTGGCAGCCTCGGGCTGGGCTTTGGCAGCCGCTTCAACATGTGCTGGCTCTGCACAAGCAGAAATGCAACACTGATCAAGATGCATACCTTCAAAAATACAGCACGTAACATGCAGGCCCACATGCTCAAAAGAAAAATTTGAGACATTCCCTGCAGACTGCTGAGGGTCGACAGGCTCAAGCACCCATTTTCAAACATGTAATGCACTGGAGACTATGGGCATAATCACCTCCTGAACATAGAACACCTCACAAGAAAGGCAGGGAAGCAATAACAGGCCCGACTCGGCAAACAGAGCAACGGGATGAGGGGTTACCTCCGTTCTTGGTGTGCTGGTGGAGAGCTGCATCCAGGGTGTCAACATCGCTGCCGCCGCCTCTGACTCGGCAGATGATTTCGCTGAGGTCCAGAAGCTCGCCCGTCTCAGAGTCCACCTCAATGTCATCGTAGTCCTCATCATCGCACATGTCTGCGTCCTCCAGCTCCTCATCTGCAATGCACACACCCATGATCTCAGCACCGCTGCTTCCCTGTCCGTTGCCTTGCTCCAAGTTCCCCTCATTGCAGACCTCAGCATATGGGTTTTAGATCACAAATTCCCAGAGAGATAGAGAAGCTGACAAAACCCTCTCATCTCACACTCGGTAGTCAGTCCAGCTGAGAAAGATCCTGTGCAACTCGAGGAGAAGCCTGCATTTGGGTATTTGACAAAGGAATTTGCTCTCACCAGAGGAGCCCTTGGTGCTTGCGGCCATGGTATCGCACAGCTGCTGGTAGACAAGCTCGTGTGTGCCGTGATTGCCCATCGCAATGGCCAGGTCTGCTGGGCTGGCGCCCGCACTGCCTGCTTGGGTCCACGCAGTCGCCCCATCCACGCACAGAGCTGCATCAGCATTTGGGATGAAGTCAGCCCTGGAGCATTGGCTATGTATGATGGCATCCTCATCACCGCATGGATTTCAAGGGTGCCTTTCAGTTGAACACATCTTCACGCATCGACTGACTTTGATCATTGCCTTTCCAGGCGTGCTTCTCCAAAATAGAGCATGAAAAGTCATGGAGGATGGCATGAGAATGATCCAAGGATATCCGCAGGGGCTGAAGGATGGGGATTTTGGTGCACACCCGTGAGTAGTGCAGCAAGCTTGCCGCCATCCTTGAGCATGGCGGCCAGGTGCAGAGCGGTCAAGCCGTGAGGCCCGGGAGTGCCGGCACGCAGCTCGTAGCCTCCCACGCTCGTCCACTCCAGCAGCAGCTCCACCTGTTTGCCACATGAAACGACAATCAGCACATGTACTTCCCCTCTTGCTCTGATGCCTGTGACCCAAGCTTGACGAGACAGTAGGCATCCATTCTTCAGCCCTCAGCAGCTTCCATTCCCATTCCCTGTCCAGCAATCCTCTAAGATATGATATTCTGTACAGCGGGGCCAGCCGCACAATACAGATCAGGGCTTACGAATGCCGCAGGCGACACTACAGAATGTCCAAAGGAGTGAGGACTATAGCCAGCCCAAAACACATGCAGCGATGTGGGACCAATGTTAGAGGAGTGGGGGCCAGCGTACCAGGGAGGCGCTCTGGGAGCGGACAGCAAGGTGGAGCAGGGGGAGGCCGTCTGTGAGCTCCTCAAGCTTGCGCACGGCCTCAGCGACGCTCTTAGCATCCGCCATCGCGACAGGCAGCACCAGCCGCGCCACGCTCAGCCACCCCTGCAACCCCAGGCCATTGCATATCACCTGCCTGTTGCTTACATTGGCCGCCCTGATGGGCTGCTGAGATCTTTAACCGGCCTACCACCTGATTACAACTGTCAGCAGCCACCCACAGCCCTTCACTTGCGCCAGCCAAAATGCACACAGGACAGAATCTCAAGCTTGTCAGCGTGGCATCAGCAAACCACCTCTTGCAGCGAAGCAAGAATGCACACTCATGCTGCCCAAGGGGGATCACAGTAAAATTTTGCGCACCTTGTTGATGGCCACAATGAGCTGCCGGCGTGCGATCTGCGCAATGACGGCGACGTCATCGGCAGCAAAGGTGCGCACGTGCACCTCTGTGCCAAACTTGGCAGCAGCCACAGCATTTTTAAGCTCCAGCACACGGCCCATGTCCAGCAGGAACCCATCAACATCCAGCCCTGTTGCCCACACAAGGATGTTAGTCCAGTCAACATGCCACCCAGCAGAAGCGCGCAATGACATGGGACATGCAAAATTTACTTGTTTTGAAAGCGACCTAGACGGTGAGAAACCTCTGCACTCCTGACACATAGGGTGAGAAAAATTTTCAGTGGGTAGGAGCAGGGCAAGTGGGTGAGGAAACTTCAGTGTTGTGCATGGAGCCTACCGGTTGAGTCGCCCTGCGCCAGCTGGTTGATCTCCTCTGCGGCTGCAGCGTCCTTCAAGATCAAGAGAGGCTGGAACAAAAGACAATCGCAGTCAGCCCTTAAGCACACCTTGGACCCATGCTGACAGGAGCACTTAATCCAGCATCATTTCAGAAGGTGAGGTCAGGAGAGCACAGGGAGGCACAGTGTGAGTGGCAGCACCTTGGGTCCGCTGAGGAGTGCGCCGCGCGCCACTTCAAGGTGCACGACGCCGTTGCGCTGGCCGGCAGGCACCGCCACCTCCAGCATGCTCGACACCTCCTCTGGTGCTCCCTCCATGTCAGCCTCCGCTGACACCACCTCTATCGCCACATTCTCGCCTGCACACAGCAGCAAGGGGCAGTTCAGGCCAAAACGCTAGCATAGCAGAGTATCAGCAAGGCATTTGGCAGTACCAAAGACAAGCACTTTGTGAATTGCGACCAATGAGGAGCTGCCTGATAGAGAAGACACTCTTTGCATGCATGAGACTAATTATCTGCAGTGCACGATCATCTGCGATGCACAAGTCAAAAGTGTAGGGGCTACCGAATTCTGGCACAAGTTATCTCACCCTGGCTCTGCGCGAGGACGGTGTTGTCGGGCGCAGCGATGTTGGAGCCGATCAGCTTGACGGTGGTGGCGGCGGCTGAGGTGACGGCCAGCGGCGACACGCTGTGCAGCCGGGGCAGCACGCCGCGGCTGCCGCTGGCCGACAGCACGTGCAGCACCTTGCCGTAGCGGACCAGGGCCACCTCCTCATACCATTGAATCTGCACAACCAGGCATCCACCATCCCACATCCCCAGCCATATACCGATACAAGTGGTTGCACAACTATACCTTGCCTCTTCCTAAGTTTCCTGATGAGGGCGTGAGGGACCGCGCCCGGAGAGGGGAGCGAGAGCAGCGACAAGTACATGCAATAATAATAGATAGCAACCCAAGGGCTGGCTTGGTCGTATAGGCGCTGAATGCCTTGGCCACATCAGATGCATAATTTTCACTGACAGAGAGGGTTCCTTCCACAACGACAGCCGTAGTGGCTTGTGCACCGGCAATGATGCAGGCAACGACGCACACTCCAAAATGTAAACAACTGCGACTCGACTCACTCTTACAGGAACAGGATTGATCGGGACAGAATATGCGCACCAGCAGCGTCTCGGAGCGCCAGAGCGTGTCGTTGGAGGCAGTGACGAGGTTGTGCACCAGAGCGCGCACGCCCATGCCCTGCAGCCAGTGTTTCTAATGATTTATTTGGCTGGGAGCCAATGTGGCTACAAACATATGCTTTATCCAAATAATAAGGCATGTGTTTTTTTATTTTGTAATTTTATTTTTAAACGCCACAAAAGTGGCTGAGAGAATAAGAATTATCAGGGAACTCCGTTCCTTCGGGTGATTTCCCGGCTAAAAATGGGGCAAATATGGCTCCCTCCACTGATGAGGTAACCCTTGAAAGCCAATCGTTTGCTTTAAAGCGAGACTCTCTCAGGTAATTTGTGCGCCACAAGAGTGCCCTGTTCATTTGTTGAGAGCCAGATTGGCTTCAGGAAGCCACTGAATGACATCCTGCCTGCAGCGCGGCGCCGGCGTCTGGGCCCAGCATGGCGTGCAGAGTGAGATGGACGCAGCCGGGGCGGATGTAGCCCTCCAGCGCGTTAACCCCACACTGCAGCATTGCCAGCAGGTTGGCCTTCAGGTCCGCCGGCAGCTGCTCCGGCGTGCACTTGAACATCTTCGCTGACATCCTGCGTGCACACACACACACACACACCAAGCATGTCAGTCTTGCAGCCGTTTACTAGAAGCCCTGCACGCATATTCCGGTCACAAGGCTACATTGATTGCACATATGCAATCGTCAGAGGCCATGAAAGATACTCGTCCATCCACAAGTCATTCTCTTTTTTCCTCTACTTTCACCAGATATCACAACAATAAAACTTCTCCACGTCCGGCAATGTACAAGTGGATGAGGTGACATTGGAGGCCTCCACTGTGCACGTCAGCAAAGGCAAGAGTGGCGGCGGTAAAGTGAGGCATGCTCACCGTGTGAAGTGCTCCTCTGCGGTGTACTCCAAGGCCTGGTACTGACCAGCGTAGGACAGCAGCGCGCGAGCCTCCTCCACCAGGAATGCAGTCGTGTCCTTGCTTGCTGCAGCCGCCTGGCCCAAGTCCATGGCCGCTGGGTCTGCGGCAAAAGTCGCCTGCGCCGCAGCATGAAGAACACTCTTCCCCGCTTTGCATGGCAAGGTGAACGGCAACGCCAATCGAATGAACAGGAGCACACTGCATGCGAAAGAAACATGGGTGGAGACGTTTGCTGAGGAGAGTTGTTGCCAGAGCAGGACCCCGCACCTGCATCTGAGTGGCCGCCTGATTCAGGTCAGAGTAGTCGGGCATTGGGGAGGACTGCTGGGGGGCGAAGAAATTGATGTCCTGCAGGCAGTCCAAGTTCTCCATGGAGGAGTCTGCGGCATATGTGGATGGCGGGATGTCACCGTAGTTTGAAGAAGGCACGCTTGACTGACCAGCTGTCATAGGCGCCCCGTCCGAGTCGCCAAAGCCGGTCACATGCATCTGGCCGCCACACAGCCCATGTCAGGACCTCAAGATCTGAATGCTTTGTCCACGCACCATTCATGGCCACAGAATAACGCAATATTGAGGGAACCTGTATGTCACTAGCACTGCATATGCTCAGCGAGGCTGCCCTTCCTCCCTACTAAGTGCTCGCAGTTGTATGCCTTGCATCTCTCTTATCTCAACTTAGCTCCTGCAGATATGCCTTCCATATGGCCCCCGGCATCACCTGCTCGGATGCGAAGGAGCTGCTCTGCAGGCGAGCGGCCAGCTGCTGGCCAGAGGGGCCTTCCTCGGGGAGGGTCCTTCCGCCGCGGATCAGCTGGCGGATGGTTCCCTGGCTCTCCATGGATCCGCTCTTTATGCTCATCTGCTGCCGCGAGCTCGCCTCCAGGCTGCCCTGTGGGGTGCTCATCTGGTCCTGGGACACACAACACGAGAGCTTGGCGCCATGCAACTGCTACAAATGGCGGGGTGCTCCATGACGGGGTGCCCACAAACAGCCCATGTGGCGCTGTGCTCCAAAGGAGGGTTTTACAAGGACCCACCATCGTCGAGTCGGATGTCTGCCTCTGCTTGGAGCTGTCGGTGCGAACAAAGTCACGCGAGCCCTTGACCATGAGCGGGGTGGGCGGTGGCTTCTTGACGCCCGGCTTGGCGCCGCTGCCACCACTTTCGGCTGGCTTCTTGCGGCGCCGCGCATTGTGGCGTTGCAAGCGCGCGCGGCAGCTGCGCTTGTCCCCATCAAAGCTCGTCAGGTCGTGAAAGCGGCCGCACTGCTGGCAGAAGCGCTGGCGCTTGCCCTCCCGGATGATGCTGTTCACCTGTGCAACAACAGCCCGGGCCAGGCTCCGCTAAGCGCTTGCACCAACAAGGAAACCCCTGGAAACCACAAGATACAACCATATGTCTGTCTCCCCACTCTGCCAGTGCAAGCTGGTTTCAAGGTGGCAAGCACCCTCAGCCAGGAGATGCCCCACGGTGGGACGGATGGCTGGCAACCATCCCAGACTCCAACGCCTGCTGCGCCTCAACAATGCAAGTTTTTTATGGTGTTTTCGTGATCGACTTGCACACCAGGAAGAATGGTCTCACCTTCAAGTGGAACTCGCATATTTTGTACCTGCAACATCAAAGGCCCTATTCAGACATCACACACATCTGTCGTCCTGCTGCACCTCCCTGAAAGAAGCATAAGCGCAAGCATACATCAAATGCAGGATTGGGGTTGTCAGATAAACAGGGGTCTAGACAATCCAATGATAGGCAGTACGTGTCAAACAGCACCTCTGGTGGTATTCTTTGAGGCCCGTCAGCTCCGCTGAGCAGCCGTCAACCTGGCACACTGCGGGCCCCTTCCCGCGGCATCCACTGCGATTCACGTCATCCAGCAGCAGGGACGCTGCTGGGCCAAGCTGGGGTTGGACGGCATAGGGAAGCCCTCCAAAGACGGCTTTGCCGGCCACGGCGAGGCCCTTGCGATCTGATGCCAGGGCCAACATATTGTAGGGGTCCCAACACCAGTCCTGGGGGTTCCACAGACGCTCTTTGGCGTCCAGCGCGTTCTCGGCCATATCTGGGAGTACTGCTCGATCGCAGCCCCGGTTCCGCTTCTATGAGTCTACAAATCGCAGGCAAAGGAACCGCGTCCTGTCAGTGCCGGCACATGAGGTCCTTCTGTCGTCAGAATACGACCAAGCGCGGTCCCTGAGCCGATATCTCCTCGCATGCCCCTGGTGGAGCGACCTCCAGAAGCTTGAGCGCTCAAATAACGAAGGTTACTAAGTAGAGTCAATCGAACCAAATCAGGCTTGCCAGCTGTACTCCTGATTGAGATCCTGGGCAAGCTGACTTTGACGCAGCGCCTCCTTCAAGATTTGCCGACGAGCAGGAGTGGAATTTACAGTTAGTAAAAAAGAGGAAATCTGGGAGTGAAGACTGATTGAAAGTTTTTTGCAGGCAAAAGCGAACTACTGCAGTGAGTCACGTGGCTGCGCTTTGAAACTTTCTGACAGCCAGTGATCGCGATGTTGGCTCGAGTTCCGCGCGGTGGCCTTGTGCCGTTGCTCCGGCAGACTTGCAGGCACTTTGGTGCATTGCCAGCAGAGGAATTGAGCGGCGCAGCGTCAGCAGAACAGCAGCAGGTACTCAGGCTGACCTGGCGAGAATACGTAAACAATGTCTAGGCGCAAAAAACACGAATATTGAATTTGATCGACCATGTGTGGATGTATTGCACCCTGGATCCCCCCTGTGTTGCTGCACTTGTGAAAATGTTGCCTTTGTAAAGTATCATATGGAGGAGATGCTTGTCAGTGCTGATCACCACCAGCCACGTTCTTGTTTGATCGAGGCCAGTGGTCCCCAGTGACCTAGTGCTGACAGTACAGTTTTGCCACAGTTCATTGACCGCGAGGACCGCTATGGAGCCCACAACTATGCACCAGTCCCGGTGGTGCTGACCCGCGGCGAGGGTGTGCATGTCTGGGACGTAGACGGCAAGAAGTACTATGACTTCTTGTCTGCTTACTCCGCCGTCAACCAAGGTCACTGCCATCCAAAGGTACTGTATGACTTTGCGCTCCTCAGCACTGCTGCCATGGCCCGCTCGCCTTGCGCTGGATGGGCCGCTAGAGGAGGTAAGATGTAAGATGTATGCTTACGAGGTGTCATGGTGTGTGCAGATTGTGTCAGCGCTCATCGACCAGGTGCCGCGACTGTCGCTGACCTCACGGGCCTTCTACAATGATGTGCTGGGAGAGTATGAGGAGTACATCACCAAGCTCTTCGGCTATGACAAGGTCCTCCCCATGAACACTGGCGTGGAGGGAGGAGAGACGGCCATCAAGCTGGCCAGGTAAGGATTTTTGCAGATGTGATGGACGCTGTGCATCTGTATTGCATGTGGGGTGTCGCATGCATCCCAAATATAGCACACTCAGTATGCTGGGCAGGCGCATGCCATCTGCACTTGAATGTATACTTACAACATGCATGTGCAAAACAGGCGATGGGGATATGATGTGAAGGGTGTGCCCAAAAACCAAGCCAAGGTGCTCTTTGCGGAGGACAATTTCTGGGGAAGAACACTGGCCGCTATATCATCGTCGACAGGCAAATACTATTTCTGTTGTCCCTGAAGGTGTTTGGTCGTTTGTGTCCAACTGACATCATGATAGAGATGGGGTCACCTGGAGACTAAGTTGATGTGTTGTGCACTGTGCAGATCCTGAAAGCTTTGGCGGATTTGGGCCATTCATGCCGGGCTTTGAAGTGATCCCCTACAATGATCTGAAGGCCTTGGAAGCCAAGCTGGAGGCAGACCCCAACATTGTAGCTTTCATGGTGGAACCCATCCAGGTGCAGAACTTTCCACTTAATGATCTTGAAGCTTATGCATGCATCAAGCCTGCAGCTGTGCAGACGGTGTCCTGGAATCATGGAGTGACTCACAATGCGCCTTTGCAATAGAAGGACGTGATGTCTTAGACATCTTGATCATGACAAAGGCATAGGTGTCAAGAGTGTCTTAAGGGAAAAGGAGGGGACTGTAAATCAACTTGAAATCATTTAAGGTCCCTTGGGGAAAGGCTTCAAAGGAGATTGCATTTAAAGCACCGCCAGGGCCGGCTCTACTGTAAGAGTACAGTACTGACTCCTTCGTGGCTGCTGGCTGACAGGGCGAGGCGGGCATAGTGATACCGGACCCGGGCTACCTGGCGGGCGCGCAGAAGCTGCTGAAGGAGCACAATGCGCTGCTGATCGCGGACGAGGTTCAGACGGGGCTGGCGCGCACCGGGCGCATGCTGGCATCCGAGTATGGCGGCGTCCACCCGGACATCCTCGTCCTGGGCAAGGCACTCTCCGGCGGCGTCTACCCTGTGTCAGCTGTCCTTGCAAACGACGAGGTGGGAAATATCCTTTTCACACAGCAATGCATGAGCTGCTAAGATCCTTTTGTAACAGCTCGCTTTAACATGAATGACCCAGTGCATCCCTGCTGGGCTCTGCATGGCGCCCTGCCATTCCTGGTTAGATTGACTCCTCCAACTGATTCAATGTGTATCTAATGCAATTCTTCCTTGAGGCCGCACTGCCAGTGTTGGGTACCAGCCTGTCGTGAGCACTCGATGTGACTGAATACAGAAGCATTCCAGAGCTGGACTTGCAAGATGTACTTCTTTTTGTGAGGGCTGCCTTGGGTGTGCAGGTGATGCTGACGATCAAGAGGGGCCAGCACGGCAGCACATATGGCGGCAACCCGGTGGCCGCCAAAGTGGCGCTTGCCGCGCTGCAGGTGATTGTGGACGAGAACCTGGTGGACAACTCCTACAAGCTGGGCCAGCTGCTGCGGCACGAGCTACAGGCCATCCAGTCCAGGATCATCACAGAGGTCCGCTGCAGCATCACCCTCTTCTACCATTGTTGTCATGCAAACGCTCTCCTGTGCTCGTTCGCATGTCTATCTGGCGCGGGTGTCTCTCTGCTGTTCTTCCCAATGCTCCCAGATGTCCACAAGCTACCTTCCAAAACTTCAAAGAATGTTTGAAAGGGCTGAAAATGCTGGTTGCCTCACCATCTGTGTTTTACAGGACTCCCAAAGTGCTACCTGACTTTCAGGTGGGGAACCTTACATGAGATCCAAAGGAGGGATGCAGAGACATGCCGGGCTTGGTCTGGCAGATGCAGTCCTGAACATGTGCTTGCCATGGCACAGGTGCGCGGCAAGGGCCTGCTGAATGCGGTGGTGGTGCGGCCGGATGTGAGCCCGAGTGCGTGGGACATTTGCTTACGGCTGAAGGAGAACGGCCTGCTGGCCAAGCCCACGCACGGCAATATCATCCGCCTGGCGCCGCCGCTAACCCTCACCGAGGAGCAGCTGCTGGAGTGCGCTGACATCTTCCGCCGCACCATTTTGTCCTTCCCCCAGTGACCCGCCCCAGTGCAGCCAGGAATATATTTAAAGTGACTGCAAGACATACAAGGCAGAGCGGAGTATAGAAAGTAGATCTGTGCGCCCCAGGCACCCACGAGAGGGGCAGGTGTCAAAGCCCTATCTGCCTGACTTGCAGAGGCCTGGCATGCATGAATGACCCTGAGGACGTGACGTGCAGTGCGACTGATTTTGGACTCAGTAATGTATGAGAGTTGCACAGCAACTGCTGCTGGGGCATTGCTTGCCAAGACAGTGTCGAATTGTGTTGGGTTTTAGTTACTGTAGTTGTGGACATATGCATGTGTTGGATAGTCGAGAACTTGAGAGCTCAAGTGGTGTTCTTTTTGGGGTTACAGAAGATGTTGCAAGCAGCAGTGACATTGTTAGTGGCTTTGTCGTCATTTTGATTTCTATTCTGAATTTTATCTTGGTATGGAAGACTGAAGGGTCGTTCATGGGATCAGAGGCACTGGTACCCCATCCACTGCTCATTACATGGGTGGCAAGCACACCATGGCCACTGGCAATGAATCAAAATTTCTATCTGGGGATTGTAACAATCATCGCAGACGCTTTACTGGACATTGCAAAATTGACGTGACACTTAGCAGTTCTGAAGGGAGCATCAATCATGAGAGCATTCAAGCAGGCGGGTCTAGATCTGCAAAAGTAATATAAGGCTAATGTGACCAAGTCATTTATGGATCAAACACTATTGCACCAGACTGGTTGATAGAAACCACTCATTTGTTGCAGCAGTTGCATCAGGCTTCCCCTGTCTGCATGCCCTGTGCCACTGCGTGGCAATTACCCACTCGTGTGGAAGACGCATAATATGTAAAACCATTAATGCTGCTATGTCCGCTCAGCACAAACTTCTTCTCCGCCACGTCCTCATCTCAGCCAGCAAAATGGCTGCTGTCTGCTGTTCTAGTAGAATCTAGAAGCGCACAATAATCCAGACAGCGTAGATGATCCTGCGAAACACAAGCATGTTTGCTTATCAGTGTTGGGTGAAGGATGCAGCAGCAGCTGCCGGCAGAGTGAGGCACGAGGAGCTGCAGAAAAAACAAAAACCGTGCCATGCATGCAGCTCAACACAATCATTGTTGTGATCAACAGCCTGCAGCCTTACCCTGGCAAGTATCCAAGGATGGTGAGCAGGACATCAATCCAGAAGTCCCTGTCGCAAGCTCCCTTCTCCTGCAACAAAATAAGTACAAAGTGAGATCAGGCATTCCTCTGCCAACCATTTAGATCCAAGAGGCGCCTTCACCTCGCACAATCGAAGTCCCGCACATTTGACTCTCGGAAACGAATTGAGCTGTCTCAAAGGCCCTCTCCCCAACCCAAGGCTGCCTAGAAGTCGACATGAAGCTGGGGATGGCAGCTGGCAGACGACACCTCAAAACAAGCCGAACAACTCGATATCGCTGCTTCTTGCATTGCTATGTCAATTATTAGAGGCACCTCATGTCGTGTCTATCAAAATTGGGCCAGTATCCCGCCAGAAAATACGACGCATGCCGCTGTACCTCCAACGCCTTTCTCTGAACAACGTGACCTTACTCTCTTCTTACACAGGCATGAGGCTCCTGGCTAAAATCGGGCACAAGAGAGATCCTTCACGTAGCGTGTAAGCCTTCCCGCAAATTTCCAGCCCACCCCCATCCGATAAGGATGACTCGGACAGTTTGTGCGGCAACGACATCCCCTGAGATGTTCAGCGCTTCCTTTCTCAAGCACACAGTAGGTAATGACCCGCTTACCAGGAAGACTCCCAATGGCGGCAAGAGGACGGCCGCAACGAGCTTGAGGATGTCCGAGAGCGTGACTGCCATCGTGAGCTGGACTGTTGGTACCGGGAGAGAAAGGCTGCGAAAGCAGTGAGCTTTGCAACAATTTCAGCAATTGCAGGCAAAGGAAATCAACAGGGGATGCACGTTTGTGCCAGCTGGTTCGGGTCCAACCGACTCAAGACAACGCGTATCTAGCGATTGAGCTCGAGGCGAGGCGGATGAGGATTTTGAACCATCTTTTCCGGCCAGGAGTCCATCCTCTTTCTTTCGTTGCCTTGTCTGATCATAAAAATACTTGAATATTAACTTCAACAACAAATTTATTTGTTAGATCGGGTGTCTAGCTGACTGCGATCATTGCTGATCGCACGTAGACTTAGCAACTAGATAGTGGAGGATTAGTGTGGCTTTTTTTGCCAGCTCCCACTTCATTGATGGGCCACAGAAACCTAAATATATAAAGAATGCGAATGCATTCGACCCATCTAAAAGTAGATAGAATTGCAAATCTTTCTTTTAATTCCACCTGCACACCTTCAGCAAAGTCGTTATCACCAGTCAACGCTCCCTTGGTGTCGGTCAGACATCACAATTTGCCCATACTTGCGGTACATTCAGCTCATCACAGCGCAGTGCGGCATCAGCCTCACCATTTCCTGGGCAGAACAAGCTGCAGGCCAAGTCCTGTACAAGGCAGGAAAATGCATGAGATTTCGGAGCCCAGCTCTTCAACCTGCAGCTCACACCCCTTGGAAACATCGAGAAGCACCACAAGTACAAGCGTAACAAATGGTACTGGTGAGCTTCCTCCATAGTTCCCAGAGTTCTTTACACAATCACATGTCCGTCTTGTCCTCACAAGCTCAAGTTGTGCCATCGCAGGGACACAAGCCAGTCTCACCTCAGGGAATGTATCCATCTCTTCCGGACTGGATCCTGAGTTCAGTGCCGACACGCAAGATTTCACTCTGGCCATCGTCGGTGATCTGCACCTGGAGCGGAAGGGCGCTGTCATGTTTGAGAGGGCCAGGCAGCAGCTGCTGGATGTGCTGGAAGAAGGGGATGGGGTCCCACGTGTGGTGCAGCTGGGAGATCTGGGAGGATACAATGAGAAGCCAGGCATGCTCAACCTTCCTTAATTCGGTGACGAGATCAAGTTGTTGCAACACTGACAAGGTTGAAGTTTGCGAGGTTGTACACAGCGCCCTGAGTCTTTCAGTGGGTGCAGGGTCCATGGCCTGTTTCAGGAGGGCGCACACTTATATAAGTGGGTTCCTGCCAGTGCGCACAGCACTGGTCGTGGGCAATCATGACCTTGAGGGGGAAGACTTCGAGACAGATGAGGAAAATCTGGCAGCATGGAGGGAGGTCAGTCTTTTTCTAGCTTCGTCCTCACCATGATGGGAATGTAAGAAGCCACAAGATCTTGTGGGAGCAGAGTATGTCAGTGGGGTAGAAAAAGCTAGGCTTTCATAGTGACACAGTGAAATGTGAAGACTGAGTCAGATTGTTGACATGTTGCAACTAGATGAAGCATGTACTTGTTGCAGGTCTTTGGGCAGCGGCACTACTGGTCCATGGAGCTGGGAGATGTTCTGTGCATTGGCATTTCCACCGTGCGCTTCAGGTCCAATGCATTCAGGTGCGCATGCATGCTCAGCAAGATGATGATATTGCACCATGCACCATGCATCATGCTGGCCACCTGGCCTCTTGAAGTTTCAGTCGGCGATCTAAACACAAAGTGGCTGAGAAGAATGTGTTGTGTTGCCTCAGTGCGCATGAGGTGTACATCGATGACGAGCAGCTGTCCTGGTTCAAGAATACGCTCAAAGCAGCTGGCCAGCGGCCCATCATTATCTTCTCTCACGCACCTCCCCTGGGATGTGGCCTCACCGTTATCCAGGCAAGCTGCTGGCATTACCGCTACACTCTCTTATACTACCAGAACCATTGCGAGTTCTGCATGAAGTCGGTTTAAAACTGATTTACAGGAACACTCTAATGTTGTCTTTACCCCTATCCATGAAAGTATGCCACTTGGCATTGGCTCACAAGGATGCTGACTGTGCAGAGCGTGCATGTGAAGAATCGCTGCGCCTTCCTAAACCACTCCAGCAATGCTGCCGAGTTCATGCAGCTAGTGGAGCAGCACTCCAACATCTGCCTGTGGTTCTCGGTGCGGGCCTCTGCTCTGCTGCTCTTCAGACATCCTCAGACACTGCTTTTCAGACAATGCCCACGAGCATACATGCTAGGTGGAGGGATGAGAGAGGACTTTTCATGCGTGGCATTGCAGATGCTATCCACATGTTCATGTGTGCTTGTCTTAATTGGCTCTGCTTGTTGCTAGTCGGGGGCGGGGGACATGTGCTCACATATGTGGCAAGGATTGGTAATAAAGGATGCTCGGTGCCCACAGGGGCACTTCCACCTGAGCCACAACTACATGCGCTCCATCTCTGTGGCCAACAACTGTGCCTTTGTTCAAACGGGCGTAATAGGGGACTGCAACAGGGATGGCTATCGCCACAGCCGTGTCATCAAAGGTGCAATTTCGTCCCAATTGCTAGGGCGAGGACTATGCCATTGTGCTCGCTGCTTTACTGGCTCAGATGCCACATTCCAGGTCATGCTCAATGTACTTTTGTTGCTGATGTACTGAGGTATCCTTCCTATTGTATGCATGCGCACAGTCAGAGAGGCTCTCTGTCATTGGGCACCTGTTACTGTACATGTGCAGGCTCCAAGGAGGGCTATCGGCTGTACACCTTTGACCACAACACTGGGGACTTGCGTCTGGACCTAAAGCAGCCATGGGTTTCTGCTTCATCGCCGCGGCCCATCCTTCCCCCGCAGGACCAGCTCTGTGACTCCGAGGTATTTGAGTCCCTAATCAATCAAGTCCCCTGTGATGATTCCCACTCTGTGGATGTTTGCCTTTGCTCTCAAGTCTATGGACCTCATGCCAGGCATATGCACCACATCAGGCTCTTCTGTCATGCATGCAGGAGATGCACGATGAACTTTACTTTGTGTGCAGGATGAGGGATGGCCTCTTGATAGAGCTGCAGCAGCAAATGGCGCTGCTGGCAGGTCGAATGGCTTCGCAGGTGCGCTGTCTAGCCATCCTGCATTTAAATTGCATTTCAAAATCTGTACTAACCATCTTTGATAAGCCCTACGGCATGAGTGGGTTTGCAAGCTGCTGCCTCTCTGGACGGAATTTTGCGAATGCATGCACAGGAGAGGATGGCGACGAGGGCGCATTTGCATTTGAGCGGCCAGCAAATGGCGCGCAGCAGCAGAGGCGGTGGATGGCAGTCGGCCGAGGCAGGCTGCTGTCGCTGGAGGACAGCATGCTTGTCGAGTACAACATTGCTTCAAGGGCACCGGTTGGGGTAGTCTTCCTCAGCATTGGTGCGTTGTGCTGCCCCCTGTCAGGGTCTGTGCAGTCATCTTGAGACACAATTACTGACGGTCACGGTCATGGTCAGATACCTTGCTCTTTGATTCTGAGCAGTCCCAAGGAGTGATCCCAGTGCGGCTCACGGGGCTCTGCCGGCGGCAGAGCTTGACTAGGCAATGGTGCTCTCAGCATTGTGACATCAGTAACATGCTGTATCACATATGCAGATGGAACCTGTCACAGGAAACTCACTGTGTGTGTGCACTGTTACAGAGGAGGGAGAGGAGGTGGTATTTGTGGACGAGGCTGGAGGGGTGGTGTCGATTGCCGGCCCGACAGACAGTGTTGGCGAGACAGTCGCTGCTGTCGAGCTGAGGGATCCATCTGGCCACGTCACACAGTGCGTGTCCTGACATCATGGAAGCTGCATCGCACTTGGCAGATTTCAGCGCTTGGGTCTCTGCGTGTGCTGATGCCGCCCAGCTCATCTTTGCATTCCTTGGTGCTGTCAAGGGCCATGAGAACAGTGTGGGGTGCTTTTGCAGGAGGGTGGAGAGGAATCTCGAGGGTGGCTTCTTTCAGGTGATGCATTGTCCAGCTATGGTTTGCTGAGGTCATCTGCAACATGCGCGTGTCAGCATTTGGTGCCCGCACCTGCAAAATGCTGAGTGGAGACGCTGTCATGCAGGTTTTCCAGCAGAACAAGTGGAGGCTGCGGAAGCAAAGAGAAGCAGCAGCTCAGGCAGCAGCAGCAGCAGTGCCTGTTAGCTAGCGTCCATGCACATGCATGTCCAATTTCTTTAACAGGGAAATGTATGGGAAAATATCTACATGTTATTCAGGTAGATGGGAATCTGATCCAAGTCAAACAAGGATTTTCCAAGGTGCAGTGAACCCGCCTTGAAAGCAGCCTGCCACTGAATGAAGATATCTAGAGCATTATACGTCCTTGGATCTCCGGAGACATTACATACAACCTTATTTATAAACTTAGAAACTGATAAGTTTCTCACAATCATCTCCGGTATTGAAATATATTCCTCAGTAGTCCTGACAACGGCTGACAAGCCACACTGGCCATTGTAAAGATCAGAGCACAACGCTCAACTGAAGCTTCAAGGAAGGCTTCGTGCCAAAGCCAATGACTTCCTCTGGACCCTTAGGCATTAGCCACGGCACCAGATACATGAGCATTGATGTCGCAGCCACCACATAGATATAAAGTTGCAATAGTGACGTCAGTCACAAAACCCATGACATCCTTGCAAGGTGGCACAGCAGGCCCCTCAAAAAGCAAAAAGAGATCCTTCAAGGATGTGGAAAGAGCACTTCTGAGCCGATATCAACATGACAGGTCTGATATATTTCTGCTACTTGTTTCATGCATAGATTGAGCAACAAAACTATTTTCCCTGGCTCCTCTACCAGCTGGGATTACTGGACTTGTTTTGTTCTGTGCACATCATCGATTGATCGATCGGCACTGGATAAAGTCTAGCATTTCTTCTCTCACTGCATTTGGGCAATTGTAAACAGGCAATTGTAAACAATGCTCTCACAAAGTCTTCTGCTCTCAATACTCTCATTCGTTATAATGGACTGCTGCACCCAGAGGGTGCCACAGACGCACTCTGCCGCCGGCAGTGGTGATTGTCTTGGCTGTGCATACTGAGACTGCATAGCAGATTTTCTCTTGAAGTGGTCACATCAGCAAACGTACACAGAAGGGTTGGTGGACTCCACGTAACCCTTCAGGCGCTGCGCAAGCTTGCCATCCTGCTTCTCCATCATCCTGGCCAGACGCTCTGAGGGACCACTCCAGTCGCTGCCTTGCCTGGTTCTGCACTCCACCTAGAAGGCACACAAAGATTCCTGCTGAGGGGCGATAATAGTTCACCTAGTTGAGCAAAAGGCCTGGAGGAAGAGCACAAAGGGTTTATTGGGCCGGCAACATATTGTATGAAGGGCCAGTCAGAAGTCACCATACCTGACAGGAGACGGCGGTGCTCTTGCTGTCAACGCACTGCAGGTGGAAGGTGTACCGGACGACATTAAATCCATCATCCATGACCACGCTCAGTCTCTCAGGCGCCTGCAGAGCACACCCAAAAGGAACGTCGAGCCTGGAACAGAACAATTACACCAGAAATACCAAACATTACCACTAATCACCCTTATTGAGACACATAACACCAACCTACGACTGTATACATGTCCCAGGTTGATCCTGATGATGCCAGTAGGTGGCTTATGTAAGCCTACATCAGGCGCGGCTTGCAGCAAGTAAGGCCGCTGCGGTATCTAAAAATTGCATGTATCAGCCAATTGGGTCCAAAAAATTGCCGCAACCCAGCGTTAGCGAGGCTGACAGAGAATTAAGGACCCACCTTGCATTCGGTGACCTTAAAAGCCAGCACGTCCCTCAAAAACAACGGCTTTCCCCTGCCGGCAAACTCGTTGGCAGATAGCATCTTGAGGCCGCTGGCCGTGGAGGAAAGGTGCTCAAAGTTTCCGACGTTCTGAAGGGCTCTGTACACGACATCTCGGGGTGCCTGGAGTACAGCAGACGACGAGAACACGTGGCTACCGGCAGGCTGCATCTCTGACGGCTCGACCCCAGATCAGCTTGCAGAGCAAAAACGTTGCCTAAGCTATGCAAAACTGTTTACTAGCACCCACAACAGGACCCACAACACCAGCCTCCACCACGTCCAGAGCTCGGGAAGCGGCTGGCGATGAGGGGCTGCATCTGGGAACCGGTGCCTATCATCAGCGTCACAAAGGGGCGGTCTTGACAGGTCGCTGGGAGGCTGCTGCAGGTTGCTTTGGCCACAGATACGAGTCCTCCAGTGCTCGTGCCCAGAAACCCCGAATGTTACATAATTCTCATTACTGATCCACGTCATCTCCAAAGCCCCTTCTGCTGTCGCAGAAACACCACAATTACTGCGACGGACCAGCAAGATAGTCGTTTATCAAAGGACATTTGGTCGTATTACACGCGTATATACGGTGGCACCTGGCATCGGAGCCAACATGGAAAAGAATGTTTTGGACGACGCTCTGGATGACTTTGCACCCACGAGTGCAGTGCTACCTGCTGATGATCGAGATCCTGGAAAGTTCGGCACCCCAAGTGCAGCGGCAGAAGCTGGCAGTTCGAGCAGCGGCGACGCAAGCACAGCTGCACCTGCACCCCAGGCGTTTGATCCCTTGGGAAAGAGGAAAAAGGGCAAGTCACCAGTTGCAGGCGGGCCTGCATTCGATCCCCTGAAGCAGAGCAGGGCAGCCAGGCAGGCGGGCGGTAAGGCCAAGGGTGCTTCCACACCACCAGCAGGCAGCTCAGGGCAGAGCAGCAAAAGCAGCGGAAAGCAGCAGGTCCCGGATGCAAAGGCCCCTGCACAGCAGCAAAATTCTGCCAAGCACAGCGACATCGACGAGGAGCTGGCTCGAGGGGTTGCGCAGCTCATGGCTGATCTGGCGAAGGCAGCACCCTCTGGCGGGGAGGACGCAGCCAAGTCCTCGCCACATGAGCGCGAGATCGCCTCCACTCTGGCAGCCCTGGCGGCTGCAGTGCCCAGCCGCGGAGCTGAAGGAGGAGCCAGCAGCCAGAACAGCGCTGCTCAGAGGTGAGACCAACCCGTGGCATGACACCCGCTTAGCACGGCATTGTACAGCCTTCTTTCAGTGCTCAGGCCCATGAATTTGATCACCAGCTTTATTCATCAACGTCAAGTTCAAGGGGTCAGAGGAATTTTACACAGAGATGTGTAGGTGCTTAATGTAAGTATGGCATCATGCTGCCCACAGGCCGGGGGAGCAGACGGGTGCCAGTGAAGGCGATGCGGACGGCTCCTTCGCGTCCTTGGCAGACTCCATCATGCAGCAGCTGCTGTCCAAAGATGTGCTGTACCAGCCCATGAAGGACATTGGCGCCAAGTATCCTGCCTGGCTCGCAACGCGACGGTGGGTTCCTTTGTCGCTTGCATGCATGGGATGGCTGTGTATCATACCTATGCATGCATTTCACCTTTCTGTACCTATGTCTAAAGGGTTGGTGCCAGTCTGCCTAGAATACATGCATGTTGCAGGGTACTTTGCTGCGGTCAGGTTGCAGCCGGCATTTTAATGTCTTGAATGTGGCTGGCCAGGGATTCTCTGCCCCCAGAGGAGCTCAAGCGCTACGAGGCCCAGTACAAGTACATCCGCCAGATTTGCGCCCTCTACGAGGATGACCCCAGCAACTTTGGCCAGCTCTTCACGCTCATCCAGGAGGTCTGCCTCCTTTTCACTTTGCATGACCACTTAGTGGGCCTTTTGCTGGCTTTCTGAACGAAGTGAACTGGGCATTGTATGCTAGGAGGTTTCTCCTGCTTGCATGTGTCATTATTGTTACTACACCTTTCCAGTCCTTAAGGACTAGGTACGTCAAGCAACACCTGAATTACTGCTCTCCAGTCTTCCAATTCTTGCACTTCCTCCACCAGTCATGTGCTTGCCCAATAGCATCAAGGACACTTCTCACATAGTCCTTCCAGCTCGTGCATGTGTGACGATGTGTAAATTTATTGTGAGGGACAAGTCAGGATGGTTGTGTGGAGTGCAGATGCAAGCGTGTGGGCAACCGCCAGAGGAGATTGTGCAGGACTTGGCGCCCGGGCTGGCATTTGGGGAAGATGGCCTGCCGCAGCTGCCTGCCACAGACAACTGCAGAATCTGCTAAGCTGTCTGGCTGTGAATGGCGAATGGCGAGAGTCATCCCGCATATAGGATTTTGTACATTATCCAGTGTGTGATCTGCTCTTATGTCTTGTCTAGGTGGCTAGGTGCTAGAGCTTTCCATTGTTAGCGCTGTCATCAAGTGAGACCGTGCGGCCTGTGCTCTAGCTAGGGCTATATACATTGCCTTAATATGGCATCCAGGTATTTAAGGTGTACAGTGCTCATTCTTTTGCAGCCTACTTGCTGCAAGCCACGCAATTGTCTAGGATGTGCAGAAGAGTTTCGTGCGCTTGTCTAGTTGGGTTTCAACTTAAGTTGCACCAGGCCTGCATTCTGCTCACAGCTCCATCAGGCTCTGAGCTCTTGGACGTAAGAAGGCAGATAACACTCTCTTCTGTGACTACTTCAATAAGTGGTCCTCATGATCTGCCAGTGCCATCATGGTTGTGCCTGCCCAATAATTGTGCCTCCAAGGCCGGAGTCTGAGGGCGTCTGTGTTCAACTCAGGCTGCCAATGCGGCACGTGCCTGCTGGTGCAGCACTGAGCGCACTGAACGTTGGCACTTGACGCCGATTATGTCCCACCTAATGTTGAGCTCTGGAGTGAGAGAGAGAGAGAGAGAGAGATTACACTTTTTCCAGCCACATAGGGCTGATTAAGCGTCCCACATATCTCAAACCATCAGTAGCACACACGTCATGAATACTCGAAAATATGCATCCCAGCACGCAGACAAGTATCAACTGCCAAAAAGGACTGCAAGGCTGCTTGTGATGTCTTGCTGGGAAAAAAGTAGACTGGACCCATAATGGGGGGATCAAGTTAGGGTGTACACCACCCCTGGGATTGGGGGATTGGTACTATATTCTGATGGAGAGCTGCAAGCCGCAGGGCGCTGTGTCAAAGTTCGTAGAATCCTCGCTACAATTGCATTGCCACATTTCCTTGTGTTTGCGGTCTGTTTAATCACGCCGCTTGACTCATCGCCAGAAAAGTGCGAGGATTCCTGTCCAGCCAAAATGGCCAACAACGAGCAGACCTTCATCATGATCAAGCCCGACGGCGTCGCCCGGGGTCTCGTTGGCGAGATCATCAAGCGCTTTGAGGCAAAGGTGTGCCCAGAATGGCGTAACTATATCGGATGGGGGTTCTGCTTGCTGGGTTTTCTCTTAGATATGGGCCATCCCATTGACTGACCATCACCTTTCTACTGCTGGATTAACGTGTTGCCGAGCTTGGTACCTGTCACTCAAAATTTTCAGGACTTTTAACCCCATCGTAGATGGCTTGATTATGTGCTTCAGCCCATCGACCTTAGGTAAGCCCGTTGACTGCAGGGGTACTACCTGCGTGCCCTCAAAATGATGAACGTGCCCAAGGAGCTGGCTGAGGAGCACTATGTCGACTTAGCAAGCAAGCCCTTCTACCCTGGCCTGGTCAACTACATCGTCAGGTGAGGCTGGCAAGCTCAAATCTTGAAAAACTTCTGTACCTTGCAGCACATGATGAGTTTACTATCTCGACGAGCTCGCTGATCTGTGGACTGCAATTCGCAGCGGCCCTGTGGTGGCCACTGTCTGGGAGGGCAAGGGCGTTGTTGTCACTGGCAGGAAGCTGGTGGGCGCAACAAACCCCCTGGCATCAGGTAAGTCATGGTTCTAACCTGTGTGATCTCTTGTCAATTTATCACATTCATTACACACAATGTTAAGCACGGGCAGGTGAGGGTCATACCCTTGTTGGGCATTTCTAATGTGACTAGTCCTGATTAGTCTGCACATGTGCATCCACCGGACCACAAGTTGAAGGGCAATATCTGAAGCGTCCCGCTGTGTCCTGCAGAGCCTGGCAGCATCCGTGGAGACTATGCCATCGACGTGGGCCGCAACATCATCCACGGCTCAGATGCCGTGGAGAGCGCCAAGCGCGAGATTGCTCTGTGGTTCCCAGACGGCCTCGCTGACAACAAGCCCAGCACACAGTGGATCTACGAGTAGGTGGCTAGATGGCGTGCTGCAAAGAATGACCGTCAATGCAGCGTTCTGCAAAGAATGAATTGCTACCAATTACTCTGTACTGAGCTAGTATCCACAGTAGCTCATTGTTTACGATAAATTTAACAAGTCTTCAAAGGTCCGTCAGACTGTGGTTATAAGATCGAATGCATTGCAGTGCACGGCAGAATGTGCTGCAAAGGTGCAATCGGCCTGACAGTGCTGTGGTGTCAGCAGTAGGCTTTACAATGTAAACCTTTTGTGTGCAGCTCACTTGATAGCATTTGTTCTACTGCACAGGCCTCTAGTTCATGCACTTTCAATCTAGATTGGTATGATTTTAAGCTTTCATCATTATCTTATCATGATCAAGCTTTCCTGTTTCCAGCATCTTCTGGATGTCTACAAACTTCTCGCGAGGCTTTCCTATATTCTGCCCCTGCTGTACTTCTGCTGCATCTATTTGCTGCCATGCCGGAAAATCGACCACCTGCATTGAACACACGCAAAACAGTCACACAGGCTGCCGGTTTGCATTTGCATGATAAGCCCAATGCAGCAGTGCAGAAAACAGCGGTCCTGGCAAGGGTACGAAGCGCAGAAATTCACCTGCACATTTCTGTCCTGCAGACTTTCTCTAAGGGAAGGAGTTCCTGCGCTCTCCACTGTTACTTTTGTTAGGGCAGCTGAATCCTCCACAATTGAACTCGTGGTCTCCTCTGCATCCACTAGATTGGTACCTGGACGTGACCAAGAATTCCATGACAACACATAGGGACTAGAGCAGGCTGATTGAAGATGTGCAGAGGCTGCTAGCACGGCGTGCTAAATGGGATGTCAGTTTCTCACCAATGATGCCAGTGGGCCCTCGCTTTGCCCAGCCCACCACATACAGCCCAGGGTCGGGGCTGCCATCTGCTTGCAAAGCCCTGCCTGCCCTGCACATCCAGCATCCTCTTTAAGCTCCACAGCATGCATGCCTTGCCTCTCCCCTCAGGTCTTCTTTTCATACTCACATGTCACCATGCCGTTGTCATATAAGTGGTGTTAGACTGGGAAGCAAGAATGTACATACCTGTGTATTACTACTCCCCTGGCAGTATCGAAAGCAACGCCCTCAACGGCTTTGGATTTGTACCCAATGCTTGACAGCACCATGTCTGCCTGTTATTACGCACATTGTCTTTGTTTGTTCCTTTCCATGCTCGCAGAATGCAGAGCGTATGAGACTGGCCAGCCAGCTGTAAGACTTATGGATTCCATAGGTTCCTGTGATGATGAACAACCCAAATCCACGCATCTGGGTAAATCAACGCACCCGCAGAACCTCATATTCCCCTGTACCCACAGCCTGCTGAGAACCATCTCCCTTAGCCTGCAGTACATTAGCCTCCAGCTTCACAGCGCCCACTGTAGTACGTTCCTCATCCCTGGGCAGAAGCTCCAACGGCGTGCGCAGGAAATGCAAGTGCAGTTCCCTCTCTGCACCCCTGCACCATGCAGAACCGCTCAGTTCAATATATTGGCCAGGTCCATGATAAATTCTTGTCTGCTAGGGTTTTGTTGTTCTTTTGTCTTGCCTGAAGATAGCGATACAAAGTGCTGACGCCATAAAACAGAAAAAGGAGAAGGGATCTGGGGTGCCTTACTCTGGGGGGCTGGCTGTAGCAGCACCCTTCAGGATGTCAAAGACTCGCTTCTTGATTCTGGATGCTTTCATTTCAGCCATGTCCACGTCGGTGGGATTCAATTGCTCCTCAGGTATCACAATCCGCACGCCCTCCAGCTTAGTGATCTCGCGAAGCTCCTTGGCGGTGAAAGCTGCCTGTGGCATGCATTCAGTCAGAAGCCTGACGCATAGCAATACTGCAGAAAGAAGGAGTAAATCCATTTGCTCCATATTGTCAAGGTCATTCTAATGGCAATATGGGATGGCGAAATGTTCCTAGGTATTCTTTCTTTCCTCCACATGATGTGCGCTGCTCTAGCACGCCTACTATGATGGCATTGGTAAAAAGGAATGATACCTGCACAGGCCCTCTTCGGCCCACAACATGCACTTTTTTGACAGCGCTGGTTTTCAAGGCGTCCAGGGCGTGTTGTGCAATGTCAGTGCTGGCCAGGCTTTCAGGGGTCTTCAGCAAAATTCGCGCACAGTCCAACGCCACATTCCCCAGTCCAAATATGGTCACCTCTTCAACCTGACCAGGTTCACACGATTTCAGCATTTGCTTGAAATTTCATTCTGCACATGTTATACCAGCAGCAATATAATTCTAAGGATAGAAATTACACACCTTTGACAGGTCGACAGGCAGCTTGGCATACTCGGGATGGCCGTTGAACCACCAGACAAACTCCCGAGCAGACATCACATTTCTGAGATCCTGCAGGACATTTGTTGAGCACAACTTGCATGCAATTCACTCGATTCAGGAAGCAGAGCACAAGTGCAGATGGACAAATCAGCTAAGACATGGATCCCACCTCACCAGGAACCCCAAGCTGCCTGTTGCTCTCTGCGCCATATGCTAGTATCACCTGAATGAGTAAGATGCACCATGTCCTGCTCAGATAATTACCTTGCGGCAGGGGTGAAAATCACCAAATGTCCTTTGCATGCCAAGGGCTCTAAGGTAACAGTAAGTGGCAAGAGTCGGCTTACTGCGCTGTAGATTTGGCGCAGCTCGATCAGTTGTATGTCTTGGCCAACGTTCACATTTCCCAAGAAGCGCACTCTCTCATCTTGCCCAATTCGGGTGAATTGATTGATGACATTCTACAGAATATCAATCCCCATTTCACTGATACCATAACGCATGACGCTTGTACTCATAATTTAGCAGTCTGATCACAATGAGAATTCTTACCTTGGTGTCCTGATGATCTGGGGCCACACCAGAGCGAACCAGACCAAATGGTGTAGGCAGCCTGTCTATGATGTCGATTGTTGCCTGCTGTCCAAACTTCTTGAGAAGCTGCAATCCCAACACCATGCCTCATTTGCAAGCGAGACAATGGCATGTTTCCTGCTCTGGCCTTCACTGGACTGATTGTCTCAAAGTGCTGTCACTTACCAAATTTGCAGTGTAGAATCCTGCAGGACCACTTCCTACCACGCCAAAATGATACTTTGTGTTATCATGGGTGCGATCTTCGACTGCAGAGCAGGCACTCCTCAGGAAAGGGAGGCTCACTCCACGTGATATGGGCAGGTAAGGGCTGTAGGGCTTCGATCTACTCAACACCCGCACAAGCGATTGCAGCATTTTATGCAAGATCTACACATGTATAAATGCAAGATGTATCATGATATATTGACCGAAAGGGCCCTTGTGATCATCCAAAATTGGTCAATGATGGCGCCAAAGGGCTTCTGGATGTTGGTCTCCCTACGAGTTGATGCTTACAGAAAGAGATCAAAATTATAATTTTTTGAACGATGGAATTTCATCTGAAGGAAAACTTGCAAAGTTCTGATGACTCAGACGCACGTGCTCCCAAGGTTGACAAAGCTTTGCTTACAGTCTCAAATCTTTCATCTGGATTGTACAATTCTGAAGTCTGATCCTAGATGGGTTTTCTAGGATTGGTCGTATAGTTCTGCCAACTTTCATTTACTTTCTGAAGCCCAATGCTCTACATCTGAAGTCGACCATCCGTCCTTGAAACGAGACATATCAGAAGCATTAATTTATATTGTCGATGAATTTCGATCGTAATAAGGTGAAACTTGAGGACTTGGTGGCGCATGGTCTTTCTGATGCGGAAGCCAGGGGAGTCTTCGTCAGCATTCAACAATTTCTCGACAATCCCGAGCAGAGGACCCCGATGGAGGTTGTTCAATACATACATTCCTTGAAACTTATAAATTTATCTTCGTTCATATGGGTGCCAGTCGTTAGTGATCAGCGCATCTGGGGATCTGTGACTTGTGATGGCATTGGCAGGTCTGGAGGTATTTGTCGAAGTACGTTTTGCAGCCCGATCACCCCTTTGCGCTGCATAGCATGCTCCTGAAGTTGGTGTTCAGCAGCTGGAACGCAGAAGTGAAGGTAACAAGCTGTTTGTTTTTGTTTACAATGCTGATACACTTGACAAGCGCAAGTGTGGATCTGAAGTGTTGAGCGCCCTGTTGGCAGGGCCCTATTCCTGTCTGGATGCCAACATCTGAAGGAATACGCGACACCAACCTGGCAGCTTTCATGAGCAGCTTTCAGGTAAGGACAGACCTGCAATGCTGCCCAAAAAGTTTATGTTTATGCACGTGTTGGTGATGAGGAGCCCATGCTGGCGTCTCGTCAGGCGGAAGAGTGGCTACGGGGTAAGACAGGCAACCCTCAGGTTGACCTCGACCTGCTACAGCGCATATCACACAGCGACCCGGAAGCCTTCTGGCCGCCAGTCCTCGCCCACCTGCGAATCCACTTCCACCAGAGGCCTTCAAGGTGAGTTTGCGCATTCCAAACAATGCTGTTGTCAAATAATAGAGTGAATTGTCGACCTCTCACCGTTACCCGAGTATCAGAGTAGCACTGGCTCTTTGACAAAAGTGAAAGGCATGGCAGCAACCACTGCGCCATTGACTTCTCTTGGGAGGCTAAACATGTGCTGAATATGTACTGCGGGTGTTGGACAGGATCTTTGAGCATGCCAGCAACCCCGATGACATGAGGTGGCTGCCGGGGGCGCGGCTAAACATAGCAGAGAGCGCGCTCTGCGTGCGGGACCAGGATGCCCCCGCGCTGTTGTGGGCAGAGGAGGAGTCTCCGGACATTATTCATGCGCTTACCTTGGGAGAGCTGCGCCTGCGCGCGCAGCACTTTGCCGCAGCCCTCAGAGCGGCCGGCCACACCCCAGGTCGGTTACTATGCCTTCATTCCTACCTCGCATCATGCACAATTTCTCTTGCATTCCTTACATGAGCCTAGAACAGTGCAGATGGACATCGCGAACGGAGTCTGTTCCAGGCTCTTTTGTACCTTGCTGCTCTGGGGCCAGTGTTTTGTATCAATCTGCTTCATTCTCAGTATCATATTTGTGCAGTGTGACAAAGAAGTGAAGTTGTGGGCGGTGCATACACGCAGGCCAGGCTATCGCGATAGACATGCCGATGACCGTGGAGGCAGTGGTGGCCTACTTTGGCATCGTGCTGGCCGGCTGCGCGGCGGTTTCCATCGCGGACTCCTTTGCGGCGGCCGAGATCGCTATGCGGCTGCGCATCTCCAACGCGGCAGCCATCGTCACACAGGACGTCATCGGCCGCGGCAAAAAGCTGCACCGTCTCTATGCGCGTGTAGTGGAAGCCGATGCCCCCCGCGCTATTGTGGTGCCCGCAAATGCGTCAGCCGGCCTGCAGGCAAATCTCTCCACACTTGTAGTGTTGAGGAACTGCAGAGATGTCAGTCGGTCTCCATTCTTGGCCTGTAGTCAAATTTGCTAAATTCTCATTGTCAACGAGGGACTGCAGAGTAGTCCTTGTGTTCAAGCTGCGTTGCTGGCCTGGAGCAGACCTCCTACATCCTTATACCCACTCACAGGCTGTTGAACACTTACAGCATTCAAGCTTGGTAAACTACAGGTAGAGCATCTGTGATGGGTTTCATGAGGGTTTGGTTGGATTGGGGCAGGTGTCTCTCAGGCGTGGGGATGTCAGCTGGGAAGACTTCTTAAAGGGAGCACCCTTACATGCCAGCTTTCAGGCGCATGTCGCCGATGCCTCAGACGTTACCAACATCCTCTTCTCTTCAGGCACCACTGGTATGGTGTCTTGACATCACCTCGGACACTGTTGCTATAAGTCAGAAGAAATTTCCTGTGGGTCCAGTAAATGAAAATTTTGCTCCGCCCAAGAGGAGCGCGAGAGAAATTGGGGCCAACATTTTATGGCCTGCCGAAATCAGAGTCGAGGTGCAAAAGCAGGGGCTGGGGAGATTGCCACAACGGCAAAAGATTTGCCACGTCGACAGTGAGGACTTGTGAATTGCTTCAATGTTTCATGCCACATGAAGTGCAATGTCATTCACGATAAACCTGCCTGGGAAATTAGCGTTTGGCCATAGGGCAAAAATATTTCACAGATAGGTGAAGAGTGAAAGTTCTTCAAGCGAGTCCCTACGTGGGACCACTCTAGCGATGTGGCTGGTGCGGCAGGTGAACCCAAGGCAATTCCTTGGACGCATGTGACCCCGATGAGGTGCGGGGTGGATGCATGGGCGCAACAGGATGTGCGACGGGGAGATGTGGTGGCCTGGCCCACCAACTTGGGCTGGATGATGGGCCCCTGGCTTCTCTATGCTGCCCTTCTCAATGGCGCTGCAGTGGCCCTGTTCCAGGCATGCACACTCTCTCGTTGCAATCCTTTGCACTGGACCTCCTCACTGCCATTGCTACTCTCAAAATGCCTCTCATGAGGCTGATGAGCTCTTATGCTGGTTGGAGGGTTGTTGCTGGAGATCATGAGAAGGCAAAATTGTGTGCAGGGGTCGCCACTGGCGCGGCCGTTTGGGATCTTTGTGGAGAGGGCGCAGGTGAACGTGCTGGGCTTGGTGCCTTCCATTGCCAAAGCCTGGAGAGCCAGCGGCTGCATGAAGGTAATGCAGAGCTTTGTGACCTCCTCCTGACAGGGCAAGTAACACCCCCTTCCATTCCTGTTTCCTCACAATCTATCCAAGATGCTTGAATTATTCATTTGAGAGCGGCATGTCAGTTACGGAGTAAGCAGACCGGTCATCTACCGCTCCTGGGCCGGGGCGCCATTAAATATGTGATCCTTATTACTAAGTTGCAAGAGAGAGTCTTTTGGTGCGTGCAGGGGCTGAAGTGGGCGTCGCTGCGCTGCTACAGCTCAACAGGAGAGGCATCGGCGCCGGAGGACTACCACTGGCTCATGGCGCGTGGCGGCTACAAGCCGGTGATCGAGATCTGCGGCGGCACAGAGATCGGCGGCGGCTTCCTGGCCGGGTGCATGCTGCAGCCGCAGAGCCCCTCCACCTTTTCAACTCCCACCATGGGTGAGCCTCCTTGTCTCTATGTTATGCTGTTCACTTCTGCGTGGGCAGGGGGACGTTACTTCAACCTTTACAGTCCCCTGTGCTTGTTTAAAATCTGGGTAACCTGAAAGAAGAGTTCTGGTCTTGAGAAAATCAACAAAAACGTGAAATTAGTGGATGTGAGGCGTGAGAGATTTGAACTCCCAACCCCCCGATCTGGAGTCGGATGCGCTGCCGTTGCGCCAACGCCTCGAACACTTGTTGATTGAGGTCAATTTTTGCAAAACCTAAAGGAGAAATGGTGGTGTTTATATTGTTCTTCTCAGCATCTACCTGACTTGTATCTGTGGCTGTTTAACATCTTGGTGGCCGATGCAGGGTCCAACTTTGTGCTGCTCACGGCGTCCGGCCGGCAGAGCATGCACGGCGACCGTGCTGCTGTGGTCGGAGAGCTGGCTGTTGTGCCCCCACTGCTGGGCAGCTCACAGCGGCTGCTCAACCGCGACCATCACAGCGTGTACTACAAGGTGAGAAAATTGCCTAAATGGATCTGGAATTTCCAGGCTGCTTCCATAGCATGTCCCTTGCCACTCCTTGAAAGCTGTCGTCCACAGTGCATTGTATGAGCCAGTGCTGAGTGGATTGGCACAAACGTTCTCAGCTGGTTTCTGCATTGCAGGACATGGATGTTGTGGCGGGGACGTATCTGCCGCTGCGGCGTCATGGGGACGAATTTGAGCGGCTGCCCAACGGCTACTACAAGGCTCTGGGGCGCTGCGATGACACCATGAACCTTGGGGGCATAAAGGCAAGTTTTCTGCTGCCTGCCTGCCTGCCTCTTGATGTGCAGTGTGGCCTGACTCGGGCAGAAGCTTTGACTCTGGTGAGGTAATATTCACTTCTTGTGGACACCAGGTGAGCTCTGTGGAGCTGGAGAGGGCATGCATGGAGAGCGTTCCCTCCATCATAGAGGCGGCTGCCGTCAGCGTGCCGGCACCGGGCGGCGGGCCTGAGCAGCTCGTGCTCTTCTTGGTGCCCCGGGGCAAACGAGAAAGCACCGACGCCGTGAAGCGGCAGTGCCAGGCAGCCATTCGGTCCAAGCTCAACCCGCTCTTCAAGGTGGAAAGGGTGCGCCCTGCAGTCTCTGACCAAGACACCAGTGTCAGTGTCTTACGGGACTAGCGGGCTATCACTTGTGACAGTGCCCTCTGCTGTTCTCAGTGGGCTGTGTGGCTGTGCCCCGGATGAGTGGAGAAGTCTCATGGAGGGTTGTCATAATTCTAGCATTTGATGTGTTCTGGGGTGCTTGCATGAGCAATGCTGACTGGGGTCAGGTGTTCAGAGCACACTTACATGAGGGTGTTATTGTATCTAAACAGCAGCGCAAGGGACCATAGGTGTCAAGTTGCATGCCGTTCTGGATAATTGGTGTCTGCCTGCAGAGAATGAGGACAGTGAGGTGTGGTGTGATGCTCTCAGGTGTTGTGGCGTGACAGTCTGCCCCGCACAGCCTCCAATAAAGTCATGCGGCGATTGCTACGGGACGAGCTGAGAAGCCACTCGCGTTTGTGACCGCGTGCGTAAATGCAGCTCAGGAATTGACACTGTGTTGAGCATTTCTGAGTGCCGTTTTCGCCATGACTTCCATATCGAGACTGAGTGCCTAGTCTGCTTTGTCTGGCCCCATCATGACATGATTTGCCACAGGCTCTGTGCCATGAGCTAGAACAGTACTAGTAGTTTCCCTTATAACATTTGCAGAGAGCATGGGAGGCTATGTCGCTCTCTCGAATACCATCTGTACCTTAGACTAGAGTGTACTTGAAAACTGTATCCTGTAATCACTGTACTGTAAGTATTGCTTTTATACAGTTCTTCCCTCTAGGTGCGATCGCATATTTAAGCGAGTCTTAGCATGTAGCACATGCTGTGCGCTCTAAGATGCAGGAGGATTCTGTAGCTAACTGATAAGCGCCTAATTCAACTCTACTCTGTTACAGTGAAGTACACCAATGTCATATCCTGCACTGAAGTATTATCTCCTTTCCAAATAGATGCAATATCCTAGAGTACCGCTTGCCTTGATTATGCAGGGAATAGTCCGATGTGTATTTTGTATAGCTGAATCTACTGATCACCTCAACACTCCTTCCAATCACCTATTAAGGCGTCACGCTACAGTAGTCAGCCTTACGCTGTCAGTCCCACAAAGTCACACACAATGTCTTCTTGATTTCCACAAGCCGCCACCGCTATCCCAGGTCGATCACATTCTTGACCTGCGCCTGCACCGGCGCTGCCTGGGTAGAGGGGTCCTGCGCACGGAGCCACTTGGAAGCCCCTGTCCTGCCCTCGCTTGACCCCGGCTGCGCTCCCAGTGCTTGTGTGAGCTGCGCGCCTAATGTCAAAATGCACAGTCATTGTAGGAGGGAGCATTGCACGCATACAGCCCTAAACTTGCACTATGTAGCATAAAGACAGTCGCTTAGCAGCCCTGACCGTGACATGAGATGATTACTGTCTGACTGTAAAGACTAAACACTTCATTGTTGCAGCCCTGACTGCCTTCATTTGCGTTATCTAAAACATTGAGAAATAGTAAGCAGCCTATCTGAGCATTCATCGGTCTGGCAGGCTACAGCTAAAGTGCCTGTCTGGATGCCGGGGTCTAGAGGTGCAATTACATCTGTGGAGTCAATGTAGAATCACACCTGACAGGCTGCTCAGGTCTGGAGATGCGGCAGCTGCCTGGTTGGAGCTGGGCACATACTGCAGTGCGTTGGGGCAGATGCCTTTGCACCAGGCCGCGGCCAGCGGCACGCACCGCTGCGTGCACTGGCCGCTCGCGTCCAGGCAGGGAGTGTCCAGCGCGCACATGTAGCCCTGCACCCCAGCCCACGTTAAAATATGCCATAAAAAATGTATTCGTGTGTGCTTTTTTTCAAATGCAAATCTGTGGGCATGTGTGCAATTGCATTGCACTTTTCTCCCGCCAGACTCACAGGGACTATCCGTTATGGGTGGCAGATGTTTGTCTTCAGCCAAAAAACTATTCACTTAGTGCCTCTAGTCAAGACAGCGACGAACGCCTAGACTACTTGTCAGTGGCGGCTGACGCCTAATTCCAGCCTGGTGATGTATTGCATCTCTTCAGGAGAGAGATCTTCTGCACTCTGTCTTTATTGCACGCAGAGGAGCTCCAAATGTTTGCAGGACAGTCGGCCACCAATGCAAAATGGTGACAAATGATGACATAATACCAGGGGGCAGTCGGCGTCGACGACGCAGGCTGCGGCGGCGCAGGTGAAGTCGAGGGTGAGGTAGCCGTTGTTGTCGTACGAGTTGGTCGCGCACCGCGCCAGCGTCCCCAGATCCGCGCCCTCCGGGTTGAACCCGTTGCACTGCAGGTCCGGCGCCACCGGGAAGGGGCCCCCGCCGCATGTGTTGTTCGCGCTGCACCGCTCTGCACGCCGGCATGACTCAATCACATCAATTTCTGCTCGTGCCTTCTTGTCAGCGGTGCATGTTGCATCAGATGTTCTAAATCAATGGGCGCTCCTCTGTCCACGGGTGCTGCTGAGTTGCTGCTTGCTTGGCTTCCTTTCCACCATAACAGACCAGCCATATTGAAAATAAAAGGAGGGATGGCTGATTATCAGCTGCACGCACTTTATTCCATGTGCCCAACTGTGGCTTAGGTTATTGCTCCTCAATCACCTTTATGTGAGCAAATGCTCTGGCCAGATAGTAGTCCTATGAACGAGAAATTGTTGAGAGGCAAAGATGAGGGAGCTCAGAGGGTGCACCCGCGTTGGCCATGCAGGAATCGCCGATGTCGCCGCCGGTGAAGCCGGGAGGGCAATAGCGTGCGATGACATACTCGCAGCCGGAGAAGGGTGCGCGTGAAAAGCGCGAGGGGCTGCATAAAAAATGCCTCCTTAATTAGGTGCTCTCGCTATTGTAATTCAAATCAGGTAGAGTGCACAGACATACAAGCCACTGCGAGCGCCAAAAAAGGAGGATGGGCAACTTGAATTGAAATTTGCAAGGCACTGAAACCCAAAAATCACCTTGCTCTGCGTCCCTTTTCTGGATGCCATTCAGTCTTCACCTTTTTGCATGCAAGGCAGTGTAAAGGAGCCGGCACTGTGACAGACCTGCTTGTAGGTATTTTCTTGCCCGGTTCAGGCTGGTAGATGCACAGGTTACCTCCCACACTGTCCGTAACGCCCTTGCATGCACAGGTGTCACCCTCTGCCTGGGCGCACGCAAATGTGGCCACAGATATGTACACCTGCACCCAGCAATGTTGTCTGATGCGCATGCAAGAAAAACTTAAAGATCTGCACGCATGGGTGAGGGATATTGTTAATGTCATTCGTATGACACGCTCTTCCTGCCAGAGGCAAGGTGCGTCTGCAGACAAGCTGCATGTGAAGGCTGCCAAAATTCTACCCTTTGTTGGACTCGCCAGATCCAAGCAAGACCCAACCAACCGTCGGCACGGTGCTCAGTGTATGTACCGCCCCCCGCCAGCCGGGGCTAGGGATATATTTGTGGGAAATTCTGTGGCAATCCATGTAGTGCATATGCTTCTGGGAGGGGAGGGCTTGCCTGATCTCCAAAGCTCAAGGGGTTGAGATCCTTGACATAGGAGACACAAGAGGTGTATGGTGCCACCAGCAGATCCCAGCTGGGGTCTGATCCATCAGTGTTCCACATGCCCTGCACGCACACAGCCCAGCGTCAGAAACATTGCAACATGCCACTCAGACAGTATCCCTACACCCTTTGTCCGAGCCATGCCTGTCTTTCGCGCATCCCTGCTATGCATGCTGAACAGGATGCCCGATCTAGAGGTCATCTGGTTGGTATGACCAGAGGAATACATAATAAAGAGACGAGTGTTACTCCTGTTGCACACTTGCCTGGCGGGACAGTCAGGAGATTTCGACATTTCAGATCCCCAAAAGAGCTGGCACACACAGATTTTACCTGATTGTCCAGGCGGGGTGGAGGCCCAATCGGCGGCGTTGTCTTGCTGACAAACACCCCGATGGGCTTGTTCATCATCCCTTGTGTCAGGGTGATGCTCATGTACAGCGATGAGCTGTCAAACCAGTATGTCAGGTTTCCAAAGGGCACCTCCTGAACCCCAATTGTTGTGTCCAGCTGCCCGATCTCAATCTGCACAACAAACCTGACTTGAATGACCTTTAACATCTTTTAGACGCAGGATAACGGACCACATATGAAAGATCCTACCCTCTATCACACTTCACGTCTTGTGTGGCATTCAAAACCAGTGGTAAGATGTATTTGTGCTCGATTTGAGTGTGAAACCTGTTTGAAGCCATAGCAGGCCTTGTTGGTGGGGGGCGGAAGGCATGCCGGGCAGCCCTGCCAGCACTGGAACCGCTCTGAGCAACCCGCTGGAGAGTCCTTGGTGCATTGCAGCGGGCACGCAGCATTCGCCTAAAAGCACAACAAGCAGAACGCTTCAGAGCGTGCAACAAAGCTACATGTCCTCATTGACAGTCCTCAACGGTCAATCCAAAGGCCTTCACGCCATAAGAAATTGTGCAGGTTTTTTTCCCCTGCTGCAGAGCAATTGCTGAGAAGTGAGTCTGAGAATCATACCTGCGGGATGACGCAGCCGTTCAAGGTGGAGTTACGGGTCCAGGGGTTGCAAGTTTGACCGTTTCCTTGGGGAGCAGGCACATTCAGGTTGCTGTTGCTTGCTGGCAACATCTGGATTCCCGCTGTGTAACTGTTGCCAAGACCCGCTTGACTCTGAAGGCCTTGCCCCGCTGCAGAGGGCACATTCTTCAAGCTATCCCCCTGTGGTGGTGCCCAACCTGCCATGTGCACAGAGCTTGGTTAGAGCTGGCACCCGTTTTAGTGTCCAAGAAGGTGACTCTCAAACAGGCCTTGGACCATGAATATGCATAGTGCCCACCTGCTTGATTGAGCAGTGCGTTCTGCCCTCCTACGTTGGCTTGCGGCTGAGAGGACAGGAATGAAGTGGTCTGCAGGACTCTTCTGACAGGTCCTGATAAATTTGAAGCTGCTGCACAATGGCTTAGAAGACTGATGCCTATTGCTAACACCAATCCTATGTCTACTGAGCGCATCATACCCCTTTGATGCAGAGGCGTCACTGTTTTGAAGCTACAAATCCAACGCATGCTACATTTTCATACGTGGAGGTCTGAACGCACGATCTTCGTCTTTCAACATTTCTGCAAGGCCTTAAATATGTTTATTTCACAGGATTTTGGTAAGTCTCAAGCGGTGCTTGTCCTTTCTTGGGTTTTTGTCACGGGAAGCCCCTTACTAAATGGCAGCTAGTCAGAGGTCGAGAACCCAGACAGCGGTTTGTCTCTCCTAGCTATCCACAAATGTGCTCTTCTGCAAATCACTAGTGTAATTGCGGAAGCAGCTGCCACAACAAATTCAATAGCAGGACGGCATCACACAGAATACATCCACTTGACACACATAAGGTCGAAGTACCAGTAGAGCCCGGTACTATCGGTAATCTTTCGCATCTACTTATAGGGATGTCAATGCTTTTGGTGTCAAGTTGAGACTCTCAACGTTTGTTTCCGGCATTGCCAGCTGCTTCCGGAGGCCTTCAAATCCGAAGCTGCCAGATTTGGCAAGCATTCAAAAGGTTAGTAATTGATGACGTGCCCTCATCCACTCCAGAGCCGCAGCTTTCCAAGGGCAAGGCAATGCACGGGGTGAATTGAGCTCAGACAACCCCCATAAGACTGCCACTCTCCAATGGCGTTCAACATGTCAGCCCTGCGAGCTTCTGTGGGAACCATTCCTGTGCGACAGACTGTCAGACAGCCCCAGAGATCGGCCACTGTCTCTATGCCCTCATTCAGTGGATTGGGGGTTTCTGGAAGGCTTCAGTGCGGATCAGAAGGTATTTTCGACCAACAGGATCAGCTTGTATTTGCATTTTTATGAAGTGCGCTGCGGCAGAGATACACATTGCTCTTCTGTTTACCTTATTGGAAGAGTCTAGCTTGCATCTGTGTCTCGTGGAACAAGAATTCAGTGAAACTGTAGCTCGCAGGGAATTGTCAATAAGAATGTTGATCTCTTTATCGAGTGCTTAATTGACTTTGTACAGACTTTGTCCTTGTTTTGGCCGTGAAATTGTTGCAAACGTCGTGGCCTGTAGAAAAGATTCCCTTTGCGATCTTCTTGTAAAGGAGATCCTATCAAGGTGCAGTGGTTCGAGGCATGATTGACTTGCAGGGTGCACAAGGAACAACATCGTGGCCTTCCCCCAGAATGGAGCCAAGGTTTTTGCCATGCGTCACAGAAAGCGGATCGACAGATTGGGCAGGCCAGCAGACCAGAGGAAGGCACTAGTACGAGGACTGGTGACTGAAGTGCTCCGTCACGGCAGAATCACAACCACAAAGGTGCACCCAGACAGAGCCTCTTGCGACACTTGCTTTTGGGTTTTTTCACTTCCCTGCTAAGCGCCCAAGGATGGGGCATGCGCTCTCTAGTCACAATAGAAAGATCTGGAAAGCCAGCGCCACTGACGTGTGCTCTGTGTGGTGCAGGTAAAAGCAAAGGCAATCAGGAAGTACGTGGACAAGATGATCCAGCTGGCAAAGGACGGGTCTCTGCATGCTCGGAGACAGGTGCGGCGCTTACTACTTGCAACCTTTGGCCCCATCTTGACACCCATTTGCTTGACTGTGCAGCCTGATAGTTCCCATTTCAATTACACGCCCAGATTATCACTGCTGCATGGGTCTGATGCCCAATTCACATTCCATGCAGTGTGCAAGACTGAGATTGAGCTTTTGTGCAGGCGCTGGCGTTCGTCTATGACCAGTCCATTGTGAAATCGCTGTTTGATGAGGCTCCTGCCCGGTATAAGGACCGCAATGGAGGCTACTGCAGGGTCATCGCTGAGCCACAGAGGCGGCGCGGAGACTCCACAGAGATGGCAGCAATCGAGCTGGTTTGAGGGTTCCATCACACAGAGCTGCAACTGGGCCTGCTGCCGCCAGTACAGACTGTCACAGTGTGCTTGTTTGCGTGCATGCAGAGCAGGAAACTAGCTTTGACGTCTTTGACAGACACCTCACGCATGCCAGCAACGCCTGAATCATCAGCTTCTCTGGGATTTGTATTATCTGTAGAAGTGGTGATGAACATTATTTCCCTGGAGTGCTCCTATTTCTGAGAAAGAGGCAATGACTAGTCCTGGCCGGTTGACGTCAATGACTTTAAGAAAATCCACGGAGTGCCTAATCAGACCCAAAATGTCTGTGGCTTGCATTATTTGGCATGCAGTGTTTTCCGGGGCAAAATGTGGCATATGCCACATCCTGTACATACGGATTCCAAAAAAAGGTATTTCTCATCCTCCTAATTCAAGTAATATGCATGGCGCCATATGACGCCATTACTTCAGCTGCCAATGGAGTAATCAATTCAAATTATGACTTCAGCATATTGTCAATATATCAGTCACTGAGAAATTACGGTAACACTGCAATTTGGAACCTGAACAAACATGTGTCTGACCATGCATGCTGAATAAGCTTTTCTCCACACAAGCAGCAGACTTGCAGCAGCAGCTTCAATATTCTTGAATGAAACGCAAGCTCAAGTGCTTCAAACATGAGAATCGGCAAACTGCAAATTGTGTCAACTTGGCACTGGTGGCAGCCAGCTCAATCAGTTGTTGAGGTAAGGATTATAAGCTTTGACATGTCTCATCAAGCAATGACTGTCAGCTGACAAGAGCAGGAATGCAACTTTCAATTATTCCAGTCGATTGGCGGCGCAGTTGTTGATAATGACTGCCTCTCCTCAACAGAAGTATCTATATCCCACCACTGCTCTTCCAAGACCTGAGGTGTGGGCAGCAGTGCAGCAAAGTGAGTAAAGCTTCACACCTCCTCAACAAGACCTAGTGCCAAATATTCACAATGACATCTTAGAGTGAGGTTGGCTTTGTCCTGGCTCACCTGTGCAGACTTCGACTGTTTGATGAATGATTCCCACTCGCGCATGGCATCTTTGTCATACTCCCACCGGGGGTCAAAGACCTCCTCTGTGCTCCTGGAGTCGATGCAGCAGCTCACTTGTGCATACTTTCTTGCGAAAATTGTTCAGTGTGCACTTTTGCGCGTGACAGACTCTCAAGCGTTTGCCACTGAGATGTATGATGATTTACCGACCTGCCCATGTCATCATTGAGTGACGTCTGTGGCTCGTCATCATAAGTCTCTTCCGATGTGCTGGCAAGTTCATCGTCACCAACCACGCCAAGAGCCCGCTCAAATCTGCCGCGCTGTGCAGAGAGGCTGCGCTTGGAAGCCTCCAGGGCCTGGCTGGCCTGTACCTTCTCTGCTTGATACGCTCGCCTTGTCTCCTGCATTCACATCGGGAAATATGTCTGGTACGGCACAGCAGATTTTATCCCTTTGCTGTCTTGGGAGGTCTTTATGGCGTACTTGGACAATAGATAGAGTGCAATGTAATGTCATCAGCCTGCTTCCCTTTGCAATTTGTGCCAGCGGTTCGCATTAAGGGAACGCGTTAATCAGCACCTGATACCAGAAGCTCGCGCGATGCAGGAGCGTTGACAGGAGCATGCCGGCGAAGAATGTCCAAACGTGCATTGGTGCCAGTGACTGAGCACTTCTCCATGCTCCTGTGAGATCTCAGGCAGCTTGAGCTTTATCCCAGCACAGCTTCGCATGCAACAAATGGGCATGTCTCAACAGGCATGTTGATGCCATCAGGCACCCATCATGAGGTTCTCAACAACACAATCGAATAGCGTTGTAAAAACACAGAGGAAACTGAAATGACTGCCATTCATGCACACCTTCTGGGGAGTACCACGGTGCGGGCTGCACCACCTGAATGACCCTGCCACCTCGAAGACCCAACCATCTCCTGGGAGTCCTCTCGTATCGCACTTCTTGTCTCCATTGCAGGTGGGGCACTTTCAGATGGTGCAGTGACAGCACCGCCATAGCAGCTGTGCCCAAGATAGCCTGCATGATGAAAAAAATTGTCACGCGCTGGGAAGCTCGTGCATATTTGCTCCGTAGAACCGATGCCCTCTCCCTGGTCGTGGTTTCGTTCTTTGCGCAAGACTCTACCTGGGATTGGTGAGGACTCTGTGCGCTGGCCAGGCTTTCATCTGGCATGCTTGGGAGGCGTGAGTCTGCATTGCCAGCGCTCTGCACGGCTTCCATGCCTTGTGGCGAATGACATCTCTCTGATGTGTAGTTTTCCCTGAGATGAGCTGCTGAGACCTCGAGTGAGGCGCATCGAGAAACTTCATTGCAGAAGGAAATTTGCTCTCCTTCCAAGGTCCTGCTTTTATGTAAAAACTTGGACGGAAGTGGTCCCTGCATGAACCAACGGTTTTCCTCAAGCTGTGACGGTTGATGCTGCAAGAACGGATATTCAAAGCATCATGAGACCTTATGAAATGATGTCAAAAATTAGATGCACGTACACAAGGTAAATCATGACGATTATATCCTACAAATACCATTCTGATCGCAAGTGCATGCCATCAGGGTTCCATTTCAAAAGCTGTAAGTGTTCAGATTTGCAGCAAACCTGTATTGCTGTGTGCGTGATGGAATGATTGTAATGCGCTTTCTGTATCGAACCCACAGAATATTGCAGATTACCTTGAAGGTGTCCCATACTTCAACGGCAAGCAGTGTCACATCTGAGTTTTGCGAATATGAAGTAACGTGTGCAAGGAATGTAAGCGGATCTTGACGCGATAAATCATTACTAGTCAGCTCAAGAACTTGCGTTTGCAATTGGCCCCAAGGATGTCCAGAGAAGCTTCAATTGTCACGGAAACCCACGTGCAGTCACATGCCTTTCGATCGTTTCAACACACCGTTCCTGCTGGTCCAGGGACATTTCTGAATCAATTCACCAAGTATATATATTGTGCATCTCGATTTCAAGTATGTGCCATGCACGATTTGCTTCCATTGCAAATTAAGTTGTGCTGTCTTCCATGAGCATCAAACTTGTCCAGACTGGGCTAATTTCGCATTGGCCGGTGTTATCCTGGATTATATAATCGCAAGATCCAAGAAAATGAGTTTTTGCTTGATCTGATTGATTCCAGAATATGATTTTCTGCACGGACAGCTGACAGCTTAGAGGAAGTAAGTTCAGGAATTTCTGTACTGTACATTACCAGCACTGTCGGGTGATTGCAATTTTGACTCCGAAATGCTGAGTAGCCAATGGTCATGGCTGCAATAGAAGGTTGCCGGCCTTGATCACTGCTCAATGAACCCTTTAGCGGGACAAAGCTGCCCTGTCATATGAGCATGGTTGACACTCACAACAGAAGGTGTCATGCCCACAATGCCAGCTCTCATGAAACTTGTTGCACCACTAGTAAGGGCTGGCCAGCTTCTCTTTGGACAGCAGAAAGCCGTACAATGGCGGCATTCTGGCTGCTTGGACTCATCAACAACTCAGGTGAGCTGTCGGCTGTCCTTGATGGTAGACTGAATCACTGAGCAACTATCCAGCTCTCCTAAAGAATTCTTTTGAACATTTCACTGGTGTCCACAGCATATGTGATAATGATCGCTGGCGCAAATGACATCAGCGACGGTTCTGTGGGGCTTGTGTATTTCTGCGCAATATTTCCGACGCTGCTGGTCAAGCTGACAGGTCCTTACTGGTGAGAACTGTGACGCCTGGACATGACAGGAGGTGCTCATCTCTCTGTGCATTATTCCTTATGTACGAAGATTCACCCTCACATCACTGCACCATGTGGTGCCAACAACAGGTTCCACTACACATCCTACACCGCGCGCATGTGGCTGATAGCAGTCCTCATGGGCATCGCGTACACCACCGTAGCCTTCAGCAATCGGCGGTCACTGCAGCTGCTTGGAGTTATATTCAGTGCTTTGCAAGGTGGCCTGGGAGAGGCCTCCTGCCTTGCAATGTGCACCTTCTTTGACAGCCGGGCAGCTATCACATTCTGGTCCAGTGGGACAGGCTTTGCTGGTACACTCTCTTAGAGACACCTTTCTCAAGATTGTGGTGTAGCTGTGCTCCTCTGAAAGTGATTTGAATGGATCTGTAAGCCTTATCGGCTTGACATCTCTGGCGTGATATCTCTTTTTATGTTGCATTTTCACAGGGGTGGCTGGGTACACCTGGGTGGGCGTCCTCCACATTCTGTTGGGTTTCAGCTTCAGGACAACCCTTCTGATTGCAAATGCCACCGCGATAGGGTGGCTGGCGGTGTATTACATCCTGTTGCAGCCACAGGTGGCTACCTTGCTCCCATAAAAGTGCCTCTTTCACTCAACGTGTGCAGCGTGCCTCATTGGTGATGGCCTGTGCTGGCACTTGTCTGACATTCTAACATGCGAGACATGACACGTATCCAAATGCTGGCAGCAGGCGCGCTCAAAGAGGAGAAGCGAGGATGTTGTGAGCCTGGAGGCCAGCAGCAGCGCAGAGCAGCTGCAGAGGCTGGAGCTGCAGCATGCCCTGGACAGCAACAGTGCTGGCATTGAGGACCCCAGCCTTCAGGCAGAGCAGAGATCTGTGGAGAGCACCCTGCTGCTGCCCAGCCACAGCCTGGACTCAGGGCCTGCCTCGCCCTCAAAGCAAAATCAGAGTAAGGCCTCACGTACCTGAATATTCCAGCCCTGACCACCATGATCTCACCTGATGAAAGGGCATTAACAGGCAGCTGCTGAGGAGAGAGATTTGCTCTGCAGGTGCACTGGTCCCACAGGCAGCGACTCACCGGATGCACTGGAGGGAGCGTTATCAGAGGACACTTGATCTGTGGCCGTACATGGTTCCACTGACGCTGGTGTACTTTGCAGAGTATGTGATGCAGGTGCGTTCAGAAGCATTGCAGCGGCTTTGAGGGCTCAGAGACGCCTCCCATTCTACTGGCAATGTGCACCAGAGAAAGACGTAAGGCAGGTCTTGAGCTTCTCTTTGGTTGCTGCAGAGCGGAACCTGGACAGCGATTGGATTTCCAACAGCAAATACGCATTCAAGGCATCAATTCTATGAGGCCTCCAACTGGTGCTATCAAGTGGGGGTGTTTGTGTCGCGGTCCTCAGGATTGCTGTATCAGGTAAGGCCAGATACAGACCAGCAAATCTGTGACTTTGTTACCTGAGGCTTTCAGGAAAAATTACCAAGTGTTCAAGTCCTCAGCTCTCTTGCTGCTGAGAAAGCATTTCACCGTGCTTGCAGGCGGACAGAGCCGTTCTTTGGGTGATGCCAGCCCTGCAAATGGGCCTGCTATTCTTCTTTGTAGCCGTCGCCATCCTGCACTTCTGGTACAATTGGTGGTTACTGGCGCCCTGCTTTGTCACAGGTCAGCATTCATGCAGCTTTCCTTACAAATTGGCACAACCCAGTGATCTTGTCCTTCTGCATTTTTAAACCTGCCTGATGGCAATTATTGATGTCGGCATGCTGGATGCTGGCAGGTCTGCTTGGGGGCGCCGTCTATGTGAATGCCTTCACGCTACTGTCCAGAGAGGTGGAGCCACGTCTCAGAGAGTTTTCTCTGGCTGCTGCATCTCTTGCAGACAGTGTTGGAATCGCACTGGCTGACATCTGCGGAGTCCTTATCCAGGTCTACTTCTTTGTTGCCACCCACTGATTTCATGGGAGTTTGGTAGTAGTTCAAAAGCGCATCCTTTATTGTAAAGGGCGCGCTACAGACGCTGACTTTGAGGTTCTGTGTTAACGCTGAGCAAGTATTGAATGCTATTTCCGTGCACTGAGGACTTCTGCATTGCATGCAGGGCTGCCTATTCAAAGCAAATGGGCTTACTGGTGCTGACTTCACATGTTGATAGCCAGTGCAGACTTCATGCTTGTCAGTTTTACGGCGTGAGCGGGGAGCCTTACTGTGTCTGCTGCACGAGTTAGAGAGCAGCTCTGCAAATTGTTTACTGCTCATGCTAACCAGCCTCAGTACCGATGCCCAAAGTATGCTGAAGTACAGCCATCAGTCGTGGTAAGATTGTTGTGGCAGAGAAAAGACACGGATATAATGGATCTGCAATACCTTATTTGGAACCTAAGGCAACGTGCCTTGCGTGAAGCTAGCTTGCGCAAGCTCAATAATTGTAGCTGCAGCGGCTGCCAGATCTCAGAGATCACTGGGAGCTGGCCGAGCTGCGGCAGCTCTGCAGCATTAATGTGCAATATTGTCAGGCGCACGGTAGAGGCCATGGCCATGCGTACGGTGCACCACCAAGTTTGATTGGCCATTTGTGTACAGTGACATTTGACAGCCTGACTTGCAAGGAAGAGGCACATTTCTGGACTCTGGTAGGAGCCTCATCAGCTTCTGCAAGCATGTGCCAAGCACACATGACCCACGTGAGAACATTGGGAGGCCGAGAGTGATCGCCTATCAACGCGATTAGTTTCGCATGCCACGCTCCAATCCCGCACATTGATAGCCTTCTTGAAACAATCAAGCGCTTCGTGATCAATTCTGCAGTCTGCCTGATTCTCGTTGTAAGCTACACGAGTACTTTTGTGTTTATTGTGACTTCACAAACGGAACTTTATACACACTTTATAATCTTACAAAAGCAGAATCCCAAAGTATTTTGATTTTAATGCTCTGTGCACTTGGAAAAGAGGTTAGAACCGCTCAGGGCAAGCGCAGTTTGTAGGGCAAGCTCTTACTATGAATAGCCGATCGTTGAGAGGCTCGCCTGCGGGACCGAGCGGGAGGCTATCGAGCCAAGATGCATCATTTGTTATATGCAGCCGCCTTTTCACAAGGAGTGCTCCCAGAAAGAGATCGAGGCGGGAAGCTGACAAGCAAGTTCTTGCAGCAGCTACTACACCATCTGTGCCCCTAGCACCAGCAGGACTGGAGGTTCTCGCAGGGTGAGCCAATGCTGCCTTCGTGTTCAAGTTTATTGAATTTGTTCATGCATGCTCTACTGCTGGATGCAGTGCTGCAATCTCAGGAGGTCATTTTGCGGTGCAGAGACTGGGAACAGGCTTACCAGGAGCTAGAGATGCAGAGGGGCTACTGTGTGGTCAGCACCAGATACAGCCCTGCCCTCATCCGCGATCGCGCTCTCAGCAGCCCAACCGCATTCTTGCAGGTGGCTCACAAACCCGCTCCCAAACTCACCAGAGTACTTTATTCCTTGCAAGCGCAATGACTCATGCATCTCACGCCATGCATCGCAGGTGGTTGGCCGGGCAGTTGAGATGCTGGCAAGGCTTGGATACTTCTTTGGCAGCCTGGCGTTTGACAGGGCGTCAGGCAACTCGGAAAATAGGAATCGGATCCGGTACAGGGCAGCACAGCTAAGGTGCGACCTCATCCTCATCCACCTGTCACTCAACAACTAATATTCAGTCATCCCTGCTCTCAGTCAGTGCTGCTTGCTCAACAACTAGTGTTTTGACCAAGTCTTGAGCTGGATGTGTTTTTATTTTGTGAAGGGAAACGCTGACAGCGCTGGGGCCCTCGTTCATAAAGGCCGGTCAGGTGCTGGCGAGCCGGCCGGACATTGTGAGGGCAGACTATATGGAGGAGCTCTGCGTGCTGCAGGACGATGTGCCCTCCTTCTCAGATGATTTGGTGCGAGAACCTTTTGCACTTCGCCTGTGTCATGCCTGAAGGCGCAGTGAATGAATGGTCCTGTCCAGACCCCATGCAGGCAATCAGCATCACCTCTCGTCCAAGACTTGTCTTGAAGGAGATTTTTTCTGATATCGCAGGCCTTCCAGATCATGGAGGAAGAGCTTAGGCAACCGATAGCGCAGGTCTTTAGCTCGATCTCTGAGCACCCCATAGCAGCGGCCTCCCTCGGCCAGGTGTGCCAGCAACTCTTTCAGCCTCCCCACCTTTCCTTCTGCCACCATTGCGCCCTTCATGTAGGGCACTGCGAGCATTGCATAAGCTCTCTTCGTGTACATCTCTGGCACAACTATAAATGGAGTAATCTTGTCAGGTGTACAAAGCGGTGCTGAGGGACACTGGGGAGGAGGTGGCGATAAAGGTGCAGCGGCCGGGAGTGGAGCCCGTCATCCTGAGGGATTTGCTCATCTTCCGCTCCATGGCGCGCTTCATCAACCCCATCTCAAAGGTGCAGCAGCCCCTGTCAAGAAAGCTACTCCACAGTGCTTCTGCCGACACATGCCTTTCTGTGTCCAAAATCCTTGTGTAAAAGATCGCTTCTTTCTGTTTGTGTCTCATTGTCGGTGTTGCAGGCTCGGCTGGGCTGCAATTCAGAGCTGATCCTGGACGAGTTTGGGGAGAAGCTGCTGGAGGAGCTGGATTACCAGCAGGAGGCTAGGAACATCGAGGTGCCACTTTCTCCCTTTCCCTTCACTGGCTGCTATTATTCGTTCATTGAAATGCTGCCGAACATGCTGCTCTGCACACCTGAAGCACTGTGTCTGAAGGACTGTCTCTGGGCGTGCGTGATTGATTGTGATGGCTGCATTCCCGCTTGCCGAGAGCCACAAGCTATACTATATCTTCGCTCCAAGTCGAGCTCTGTTTAGATGCAGACGATTAATGCAGAAGGAGTATGGCACCTAATAAGCAGATATCAAACTACAAGGTTTTTTGGCACCATTAGGCAGTCATGATCTCACCCTAGCTGCGATTCCCCTTGCAGGACTTTGGGCGGAACTATGCGGGGGATCCGAAGGTGAAAATCCCCTGGGTGCGGCGGGACCTGTGCGGCTCGCGCATCCTGGTCATGGAGTGGATCGACGGCCTCCGCTGCACCAACCCCGTCGGCATCCAGTCATCCGGCATCGATGTTGACGAGTTCATCCGCTGCGGCGTTGTCTCCGGCCTGCGCCAGCTGCTCGAGGTGCGCCGTTTTTTTGAAAATGCAGCTTGAGCACAGGGTTTTCTTTTGACCATTGCCTTTGAGATCCACTCGAGTCCTTGAAGCTTTGTTATAACTGCGGTGGGCAAATTTGAAGTTTCTTCACTTCACACCGTTTCTTTACACCGTGTTTTGCAGAATTTCCCTTGCGTATAGCAGAGCTGGCTGAACCTCTTGAGGGGTGCTCGAGCCAATCGCACAGGCAGTAGTCTTGGGACACACAAATTTACAGTGGGTGCAACGTGTCCTTGCATCATGTGTGCATGCATGCATGCATGCCGGGCGAGCTTTCACCCGTTCAACATCTGAATCCCAAAGATCATATCCCCTGATGACAGTGTCCTGTCCTGTCATGGCTTCCTCATTTGATGCAGTGACTGCGGTGTGTGCAGTTTGGGCTGTTCCACGGGGATCCGCACCCGGGCAACATTTTTGCTCTTCGGGACGGCCGCATCGCGTACGTGGACTTTGGCAACGTGGCGGAGGTGTCGCAGCAGAACAAGCAGACGCTGATCGATGCTGTTGTGCACGCCGTCAATGAGGACTATGAGGAAATGGCCAAGGACTTTATCAAGCTGGTGCGCCCTTTTCACTGCTCTGAACACATCTGTTGTAAACTTTGCGACTGCTCAGTTGAAAGTGTTTCTATTGTGGATCCTGTGCCCAAGCAGCCAATGCCTCTGCTGAGCTGTCTGCACCATGCAAGTCTTTGACCGAGAGTTTGGAAGCCCTTCGACCTCTTGCACATCAGGGATTTTTGTGCATTACTGTGTATGCTGCACCACTGTGGGGCATGCATCAAACTTGCATGATCAGTGTGAGACTGCATTTTCCATGTAGGGCAGTGAATGTAGTGAGGGGAGCTGTTTTGTGCATGCAGGGCTTCCTGTCGCCTGGCACGGACATCAGGCCGATTGTGCCAGCGCTGGAGAAAATCTGGGCGGACAGCCTGGGCCGCAGCATGTCCGACTTCAACTTCCGCTCCGTGACATCTAAGTTCAACGAGCTTGTGTACCAGTACCCCATCCGCATCCCAGAGCGCTACGCCCTCGTCATCAGGTCAGCTTGCCACACTCCTAGCCTCACAGCGCCATCAATATTTCCGATATTCCCTCTGTACGCATGAGTGGCAACATTTTGACATTGTGACCGTCAGCTTAGTGTCTTGCTCTGATTGGGACCTTGACGGCGCTGTATGCCCATTTTGTCTTTGTGAGAGGAGCTTTCAGCCCGTTATGCCTCACTGTAGAAGCGAAGCAGCAGAGCATTTCAAAAGCACAAGCTCTGGCAGGAACGGCAATGCATATCTGCAATACTAGAAGCACGTTTCGGAATTGACTCAATCTAATTGAGATGGAGGGTTGAGGGTGCGGTTGTGGTGCGCGCGCAGGTCGCTGCTGACGCAGGAGGGCATCTGCCTGCAGCTGCGCCCTGACTTCCACTTTTTGGAGGTGGCCTACCCCTACGTCGCCCGACGCCTGCTCACCGACGAGGACCCTGCCCTCCGGGAACGCCTCTTCCAGGTGCCGCCTCCCTTTCTCCAGCACAGCAGCCCCTATCTCGTCCTTATACTATCTCTTCCACCAGTGTGCATCTTTGCCAGATAAACCTTACTGGGCCAGGCGTCATTTTCCCCAAATTTTGGGGGTGCAGCCCAAGTATCACGTGCTGAAAGTGCCGCATCATCCTGGCTTTCCTCTGGCAGACATGTCTCCCTGGCAACCCTGGAGAGAGTGGCTGCGCTTGGTGGTCAGAGATCAAATGATGAGCCTCAAGGGTGCTGAGGCGCCGTGCCACATGCGTGCGGGTGCTATTCGCCGGGGGACAAGTTCTAGAACCCAGGAGTGCTAGAACTCAGAAGTGGAGCCACAAAACGTGGTGGAGAAATCTTGCGCCGTGGCGGCGCGCAGGTGTTGTTTGCCGGGGGCAAGTTCCAGTGGAAGCGGCTGGAGAATCTGATCCGTCTGGCGCGCGAGGGGTCGGGCGGCCTGGATCTGAGCGACACGGTGGCCAGCGGCGCTCGCGTCATTCTCCTGGACGAGCGCCTGCGATCTCAGCTGCTCATGGCCCTCACCGAAGACAACCGCCTCCACGTCGACGTGCGCGCACTGCCACCCCTTGCCAACGCCTGACGTCACTCTGTGTTCCAATCTTCTGCCATGTGGTATCTCTACTAAAGTTGCCTGTGGGTTCTGTCATTTGGCTTCATGTTTGATATCGCTTAGCCCCCTTCACTCCCATGCTTGCCAGAAGCAGCCCCTCTTTTCTTCTTCCCTGACAGCAAAAGAACCTCACCACCGTCTCTCTTGACAGAGGGAGATCTCTGTCAATTTTCCTAAAAATGTATTCCGTGGCATGCTGATTTGGGCCCAGGTCCCCAGCATGCCAAAATAAATCTTCTTGTCATCTGGCAGCATCATGGAGCATAGTGCACAGGGCTAGACTTTTGCATGGGGTGGAGTTTCTTTGGACAGCCTTTTTGCCGATCAGCCGCATGTGGTCAATTCTGCCTGTACGGCTGCCTATTTAATGGCAAGCGTGCTGGGATGATCATGAGAGGTGTTGCTTTGGTTGCTGCGCAGGAGGTTGCACGGCTGGTGCAGTTGATCCAGGGGGACATAAACCCACAGAAGCTGGTGTCTGAGACGGTCGCGCGGCTGCCGTCCCTGTCGCGCCAGATCATGCTTCAGTGGTCCGACCGTGTGCTGGCGTCTTGAGAGCCTGACAGCAGCCTGTGCAGGACAGATGCCCTGGCATGCTGGGTGTAGACGTGCTGTCTGCCTTCCCAAACTGCCAGAAGAAATAAATTTTGTGCCCGTTCTGAGCAGTTGCATTGTTGAAGAGGAGGTGCCTTGATTGAAGAAGAGGTGCCTTGATATGGTGTATTGAGAATTAGAATTTTGTGTGCATGCTTGCCTTTTTGCCATCACCTTTTGGTGACTCGCCATGTGACCTGTGCTGACTCTGCACAGCTTATCAAGAGTGTTCGGAGGTGTGAAGTTTAGCTCGACTATAGATGAATACATCGTTTACTCTCGGCCCACAATGCAGGCCGCATGGCATTTGCTGTCTTGCAATACAGCCTAAGAATATGACGTGACCCAGGATAACTCAGAAGTCTGATCAGCTCATGAAGCTCTGTAGCACACAAAAATCTGTTGGGGTCCTGTAATATGAGCAATCACGAGCATAGATCAGGGTCAATGTAGTTCTTCATATAGTCTTAAGTAATTTTCTTTGAAACGCTGCTACCAGATGCTATATAACTTTACACTCACAAGTAGCCTTGCACAACAACATCAGCACACTTTGCTCCTTTGAACCACGGGATGCTTCGCAGAGGCGCATCATCTACTGAGAGCCGCATGCACAAGCACATGTTCCAACTCGTCCAAATTCATCCGTTGCAGCTCTCACAAGCTCATTCCTCGTCGTCAACCTGAACTAGCAGGGCAGCCTGGGGTGACAGCCCCAGCTCAGACAGGGACTTGGCCAGAGATGGTCCACTGAAGACCTGGCGAGGGAAAGAAGCTGCCAGGTGGAACTTGACAGCATCCAGCTCCTCGAACGAGCCCACCCAGTCCCACACATCCTGCACACCCACATGCAACCGCTAAGACAAGACTCCTCATTACTGTACCCTTAAATGCTCAGCTCACCTCAGCAGCATGCACTTATGCAATCTGTGCATTCCTACGTCGAGCATTTGCACATGGTTGATCATGCACGCTGCATCCCGGGGGGCCACCTTCACACTTTACAGGACTTCAATGTGCAAGGCAAGCACTTGCGATGCAGAATAAAGAGACCAGCAATCAATACCACCGGCTATGGAAATTATTAAGCCCGGTAGCCTCCATTGCTGTTACAGGTCCCTACTAGGATCAGCACACTGCTAGGCCCAAACAAGGGCCCCAATAGATGGCCTGACCGGGACGGCACTCACCTGGAGAGCGGCGGACGACGAAAATCTGTGCAAGTGGTTGGAGCCGTCGGGCAGCCGCACGCGCAGGGCTGTTGTAGCAGGCGTGCCAGCCGCGGGCTCCGGCTTGAGCGACGCGCGATTGGTCGCTCGCCGCGCCGCCAGCAGCGCTGCCCTATCCGCCACCCTGCGCGCCTCCGCATCCGCCTGCGCCCTGCATGGAGTAATAGCAACTCTCAGCATATGAAAACAGATATGATAAGCGCCTTGCTGCGCATGGCTAGCAAAAACCCCTCGATGGCCTTGCTCCTGCTCCAAGATCTCGGCTGCATTGCAAGACCAACGAACGCCATTTGCTGCAGTTGCTTCACCCGCCTGATGTCAGCCCAGTCGATAATAGAGAATTAAAGAACACTTGAGCGCGCTGTTGGTTGGATGTGAAGGATTGGGCTGTTGGCATGGCTGCTCTTTTCCAAAGCAGGTGAGCAGAGGGTGGCTGCTTTGACACAAGAAATATTGTACTGGGGACTGCCTAAACCAAGGGTATTTCAGATGCGTGAAGGCGGATGTTCCACATCTGTCTGTCATGAATACCTTGCGTCAGCACCCATTGGTCCATGTTTTGGACACAAGACAAATATGGAAGGACGCATGAAGGCTCCCCGCATTTGGCATCTAAATTACCCCTTCATCACCACGACAATCACGCAATTTAGTGTCACACTGTTCTGGGGTGTGAGAGCCGTGGCGCACTTGGACTTGGCGGCTGCCTCGGCCGCAGCGCGCTCTGCCGCTGCCTGCTGCTCGCGCTTGGCAGCGCGCTGGCGTTCCCTCTCCTGGTCCTCCGCCAGCGACTGCTGGTAGGCCAGGTCCTGCTCCTCCCTCAGCCGCCGATTGAAGTCCTGCCACCATTGACATGCACTTGTCAGTAGAAGCAAGCGACACCCCGCGGTCACTTGCCATTCACAAGCAACATATTGGCACCACTGCCGGGGTTGCACTGTACGCTTAAACGCGCGCAAGCTGGAGAAGCTGGGAAGGACAGCAGGGCGGCACAGCAAGAGGCATTACGCTCAGGAATTAGATTCTCTTACCCAGCGACAGCTTCCAGTCCAGCCTCCTTACGTGCAAGTAACCATATACAGTACAAAACCCTTTCTTTACATTTTAAGAGTAATCTGCATGCTGCTGATCTTGACTTGAGACTGCTGCTCATATTGTAGCCTCCTCCTTCAGCTGGCATCCCGAAGTTGAGCTGTACATAAACTATTGACAGGCAGAATGCGCACCCGCTCGTTGGCATCGGCCTGCTCCACGGCGAGGTGGCCGCCGTGGTCGGAGACGGCCTGCTGCAGCACGCCCAGCAGCCGCGCCGCCCCCGGGCACCCCTCCACTGCCGCTGTGAGCTGCGTTCGCGTCCCCGAAAACGCCAGCAGCGCGCAGTACGGGTACCCCGTCACCCGCAGGCTGCAGCACACACATTCATTACATGTCAATCGGGCAAATGGAGAAGACAATCGGGTTTGTCTGATTGTCAGTATCTGACACATCCTTGATACTGTCTTAATCACTACATTCCTTATGCTCTAATGCAAGAATTCAAGTGCCTCTTTTAGACCCCCTTTCTGGGCTTCAGCAAACCTGACTAATATCCCGGGGACTGACTTCAAACTTGAAGACTTGAAGGAACTTCTTTGTCAATCATAGTGTCATTGTGATTGGGGGAGACGCTTGCATTTGAGTATCCTAGAAGCCTGACCTGTTGCTCAGCCGGTATGCATCTGGGTAGCTGATGTCCCCACCCCAGCACACAAATGTGCTGTTCACATACTCCACCAGCTCCGGATTGCACAGAGTCTCGCGGCAGAACTTTTCCGTGTCCTGCACAGCATTGGCACCGTTCGGTGGGTGTGATCTTCAGCATATAATTGCATATTGCCCAGACTTTCCAGACACGCTGATCACAAGCCAACCCGTTGTGCACAGGAGACTGTACTGGACGGCAAGGCAATTCAAGGCACTACCCATTGGCAAGAGACAATGTACGACGCTTATCAATTTTGGCCTGGGGAAAGTGTTGCAGTGCTTGCCTGATGGTGGGGCGCGTGCAGGTAGACAAAGAGGAATTTGAACTGCGAGTGCGCCTGTGCTGTGGCTGCCTGCCAGCCGCAGTCCCGCCACTGCGGCTGCAGCTCGCCGTACTGTGCTGTGAAGCTGCGCTGGAAGGTCTCAGCAGCTGCCTGTGGCTCCACGTCATGCGCACCCCTCATCAACGACTGCAGCGCCCCTGCAACAACAGAACGACACACCTCAACTCAGCCTCATTGAAGCTTCCCTCAAATATAGGGAAAAAGCTTGCCTCAAGACTGTCGTGAGCGCACTGCGGCCCACATGAGGTGCTTTGAGTCATATTGGGGGACTTTATTTTCCAAATCATGCAGGTGACGCAGCAGCAGTGCTTGCGCAGGTGAAGTGGGGCAGCTGCGCACCTCGGATGCTGGACATGACCGATGCAGGCAGGATCCTGTTGCCGAGGAATGCTATGGCTGCTGCGCCCAGGCCCACAACGCCAAACAGCATGCCAAAGCCCGAGGAGAGTGCTGCTCTGGGCATTGACATGATTGCCCCAAGCAATCCCCGGCGCTGGACCTGCCACTGCTGCTCCTGCTGCTGTGATGTGGGCGCAGGAGGAGGCTGCCGTGGCCGCTGCGGGGTAGGCTGTGGGGAAGCTGATGGGTACCCTGGCGCTGCTCTCTGACGCTCTGGGGCTTGGTCTGCAAGGGGCAGAGCGAGGCTCAGGCCAAGGTGACAAAGCTGACCTTGCAGCATGATGAATTGTTTCTAGGTAGTATTGAAATGTAGTGTTGGAATGGATGAAAGCGGTCATAATACCATTATTCTGCATTTGTCAATATACTGGCCAGTATGGCAGTCAGAAGTGCTTGTGTAGACTTCAATTCCAACTTCCAATATAAGGTATCAAGATGCACGTTACAGAGCATCGAGCCAAATAAGCTAGCTGCAGTATGCATGTATGTCAGGAAGAATGATATCTTGCCGAATAATTTTGTTCTGGGAAGTGTCGAATACTCTCATCAGTAGGTGAGTAAGATAAGCAGGCTAGGCGTGGAAGCATGTCATGGAACACATCGACAGAGGATGGTTTCTTACCGTAGTACATTTCGATTGCTCGATCGAAATCACCATTTGTGGCTTCCAAGAAAAACGCAGCTTGTTCTTGAGGGGCATTCGTGAGGGAAACGAATCGCCCGACATCCGAACTGCTTGCACTGTCGAGTCTGTCTGCAGAAGACCCCTCCATGGTGAACAATAAAGCAATAGGTGGCAAGGAACAGCATTCCTTGCAGGTTTCTGCTGGAAGAAGCTGCGTATGCTTGGAGGTTATATCCCTTAAGAAGGGTTATGATGCTAATAGTGCTAAGCCCTGTCATGAAGCGGTGACAGCTGTTTCAGCGAAAACATCCCTGAAATCGTGCTAATATCAGCACGTTGAAGCACTTAGAACTGGTAAAAGTAGCTTTGGGATCTAATTTGGGAAAAGCATGCATGGCAGTGAGTGAGTAGTTGCAATCCGATTCCACACATGAAGTGTTGTGCAAGTTCGGGGGACAGAAGTCGGCCAGACATACGTGGAAAATGTGTTATTTTCTTCTCTAAGGAAGGCCACCTCCTGCAGTGATTCGCCTCATGTTTCTGTGCTTTAGACAATGTGACTAGCATGGCACTGCGCTGGCCTATTGCAGTAAATTCAGTGCTTCTCTTCGACTGCAACGGAAGGAAGTTTTAGTATTGATATGCAATATAAGACTCACCTCCAAAACTCCCGCTTCCTCTTTCATAGGGCGGGTGTCAGCAGTGGTATATGTCAGCAGAGCAGTGGCTGTCTAGCCAGTCACCGATGCTCTTTTCAAAGCAGGAGCATCACAAACTGGCGCAGATACGCATCATGCTGCAGAATAAGGGCTAGTGATTGGAGGAGACCTGAGTCCCACTCTGAGTGTCGACAGCACCGCACGCCGCTTACCCTGAGTCTGACGGCCGGCCTTGCAGCTGTCTGCCTACTGGTCACACAGCCTGCCCATGCAGAGCTTTCCAGCGCGATATCTCCAGTCAGGCAGGGCTTCTAACTACCTGTGCATCATGGGAATCCTCAACAGTCCTGACATGCAAAGCCATATTGGATAAGCACGGAGCACCGGCAGCTGTTAAAGAAGTCCAACCTGTGCTGCAGGCAGTCGGGGGCGGGTAGCACTGTCACAGTGGACAGGGCATGGCTGGAGAGCCTGCTGCTGGATGAGTTGGGATCCCGGTGAGCATCTCTGCGGTCTTGGGTCAGAGGGCCTTCTCTGTCACTACTTGCTGTTGGTAGGCTGTTTTCAGGCGGCTCCCATGCGTGATCCTGTTCGATGTCGCAGGATCAACTCCCTGTCAGATCAGGAGCTGATGGCAATGCTGGAGCAGCTGGTGCGCAGCAGGCAGCCAGGCAGCAGCCAGCGCTCAGCGATCCCTGACAATTCCCGAGGACTGTCAAATCCCTTGCAGGGCATGAGTTTGGCCTGGCCTTGGGCGCAGCGGCAGGCGCCAGAGCTGCAGGGCCAGACGAGCAACGCAGGAGACAATGTGCTGGAGAGGATAACTGGCTCGTTGCCAGGATGGCTCAAGGGACCCAGTGATGCAGTGCCGGATGCAAGTGCAGCCAATCAGGGGCAGATTGACAGCGATGCTCCTCCATCCGCCAGTTATGACAGCCCTACTCAGCCGCAGGATGCGCCCAGATCATCCGCCCCGCTGCCAGAAGGAGTGTCGAGCAGGGGATCACAGCCGATGTCCATGTCCGAACGCCCCACTGTCGGTGCCGTGCCTCCAGGCACACCTTCCTCAGGAGGCAGCACCTCTGAACGCCACAGTGAAGCTCCAGTGGCAAATGAGGCGGAGGCAGCCAGAGCTGCAGGCCAGGCTCGCAGTCCGGAAGCTGCTGATGGGACGCCGCGAAGGGAGGAGGCGGACCTAACAGGAAGTCTGCTGGAGGCTTCGGGCCTGCCCCTGCGCTTGCGTGAAGACGGCCTGCCCGAGGCCAGCAGTGCAGCTGGTGAACAGCGCTTGCTGCAAGGTGGGTCAGAAGCATCTGAGCCGCTGTCCATCTAATTCAGAAACACATTTTTGCGTGTTCACGCGTAACAGGTCAAGCTTGCATCTTGGGGTTCAATTGACTACAGTCTGACATTGAGCTGTAGCAGCGCACTAGGGGTGGGTGTATGACAGTGTCAAGTCCCTTTTTGGTCACTCGCCATAAGGCGAATGTCCTTTACGATCGGTCAACCTGGTACGGATTATCTCTATCTTTTCCCCCTTCCCTATGCCATGTGGCTGCTCGTGAGGCGGCCACGGCAGCTGAACGGAACGCGAGGCGCAGTTTAGAGGCCTTTCCAGGGGGATTGCCCCGTTTTTGGCCCTAGATTATCTCTAAATATTTCCCTGGCGATTGGCTTTACGGGCCTGCGACTTCCGCAGTCATCAGAGAGGTGCTGAGAACTGAGATATCAGGACATATCGGCACTGCAGTGGGTCGTGAGTGTGTTGTAGAATGCCCTGGCTAGCGACACTAACCCCAGTTCGCGTATGACCTCTTCCCCGCCCACGGGCGCTCCCACTTGTTTAAGTCGAGGTTGTCCTGCTCTACTGCAGGCAAGGTCTTCTTGGAGCGTGCATGGCAGGTGGCTGGGACTGCTGCTGCGGCGGTTGCGGCTGCTCTGACTACCGGGCTCAACTCCATTCCAGCTGACAGTCGTTTTCAGAACCTCCAGACTGGCTCGGATGGCAGCCTGCCTGCAGTTGTGGACATTGCACCGCAGATCGCTCTTCTGGCAGGTACATCCCCTTTGATGATTTGCAGCCTCTGTGGCATCCTTTCACCGTTTATTGAAATCTTCTCATGTGAGATGCTCTCATGTACATCAGGTTGTTTGGTCCCTAGGCGACAATGGAGTCTATCTGTCTCTTCAGGGCATGCGGGCAATAATCCGCAGTGGCAAGCTGGTGTTTGCTGGTTGGCCAGGTCTTGGTGTGGGCATCTACACCTTGCTGCGCCTGGTGGGATTTGACAACAGCGACAAATCTGGCGATGTGGATCCGGCTGATGAGGTTGCATCCAATCTGCCCAGGCAGCCAACAGCAACCATACAGCCTCGTTCCCAGGTGAGCACTGCAGCATAGCAAGAGCGCTGTTCTCTTTCCGTTGCATGCACTGTGCATGTGCAGGATATAACTCACAAGCGCGCATGGCAACTAATGATTGTCTGCATGCAGGCTGAGTCAGGTCAGACAGCGAGGAAGTTGCCGTCTGCCTGGGACCTATTGAAACTGGTCCCCAACACTCTGCTGGGCTTCCCAGTCTCCATATCGAGTCCATCTGCACCCGCCTCCTCTGTCATGCCTGAGCCTCCTCCTGACAGCTATGCTCAAGGTCAGCCCTCACCCGCCATTCTAGCTAATGCCATAGTAGCACATCAGTGTGTCTTTCGGCTCAATTCTTGCAGCCATGCTATTTTATATTGTTGCGCATTGCAATCTTCATAATCTTGATGCAATCTTCTTAATCCGCATTCACGATGGTGAGCTGTCTCAAGCCTCTCATTCAATTGTATGCAGGGGGACCTGATGTCATGCGGCAGCCTCCAAGGGGCCCGCCATCTCCATCTGGGCCCATTCTCTCACCAGGCAGACGGAGCGATGCAGGCAGCGAGCACAGTCAGCAGCCAGACACCATACTGTGGAGGCGCGAGGAAGCCCCCAACAGGAGCAGACAGGCCGCGGAGCCTGCAGCTGATGTGCTCTGGGTCAGAGACGAGGGAGCGCAAGCACCAAGGGGCGGGGCAAGTGTGCCAAGGGACTCGGCTGCTCCAGACAGCACGGTGCTGTGGCGGAGGGATGAGTCATCCGCTCCCCGGTCTCTCACATTTCCAGGGCCCAGCTTGAACAGCGCGCGCATTGGCACTGCCTCAGTTCCTCTGCAGAATAGATATCAGAATGGGCTGCCAGATCCAGTCAGCGATGAGGCAGACCCCTGGACGGCGCCGCAGCAGTTACAGCCGCCTGTCAACCCAGACACTGCCACCGCGGAGGAGTGGGTGCGCATGCATGCCGAGCTGCAGCAGAGAGGTGAGGATCCTTGGCGAGAGCCACTCGGCAATGGTGCACAGACAGCTCAGCCAATCAGCGGCAGGCCTGGCACAGCCGAAGTGGGGGGCCGCAGTGCAGCTGTGGGCAGCGCGCATGATAAGGACAGGGGCGAGGATGGCAGGAGACACGGTGCAGTATCGGGGGTGGGCCAGAATGGCGACCAAGAGAGTGGCAGGCCACGCAGCAAGGCGAGAGTGAGAGACAAGAGTGTGCTGTACAACAATGTGGAGCAGGTGCCATACATCAGGCAGCAATCTGCATACTTGAGGAAATGAGGGGAGTGATACTGTTTGCGAAGTAGCAGTGTATATGAGAAGCTTGTATCAACTGGGACAAATTTTGTGAGAGCGGTGTTGCAAACTGGCCAAAAAAAATAGCATGGATAAGATATTGTTTTGTAGCTATATTGACCTGTTTATTGAGAGCTTGATCTGAAAGGAGGATGCTCTTCCCAATATGTTGCTTAAATGTTAGAAGTGTGACGATCCTCTGGGAGACCATGACAGTTGACAAATTCACACACGATTGCCATGAAGCTTCAGAAGAAGAATGCTGCCGTAATCAGCATGTGAGTCAATGTTGTCGCTGAAATGTTGGATTACTAATGCAAGTTCAGGGTCCTCGTTTTGGTGAATTCAAAGTATCAAATCTTGACGTCATAGAAAAGCGCCAGAGGAGCTTCCATCATTCATCATTCCATGGACAGATGTTCATGCATGCAGACCCTCGCCAAAGCTCTCTCATATGATAAAGAGCCGTCACATTGTACACATACTGTTCTGTTAGACCATCCTGCCAGGCTGTAACTTGATTGACTTGCTTAACGGGGAATCATATGTACTTTACAAAGAGATTCCAGTTGGAGATCTCTACCCTGCCATTGTTCTTCTTTACTGCCCCACAAGGTCTCTGTGCACCAGCTTGTGGAAGTGGAACACCGGCTCCTCCACAGACGGTGCATACCTGTCGCAGCACAGGTAACAGATTAGTGATAATAGTGATGCAACTTTATTGCAACCCACCTTGCTGAGATCAACACTTTCCGATGCCAGGCTCAACACTACAGACCCATGGGTGTGCATCCCGCTCTGTTGTCCAGCACATGGGGCAATCAATTGCTGCATGCTTGGCACTCAGAGATGCCACAGCAATATCTTTGTCACTTGTCCTGGTACACTTTTGAGTAGATGCAATAGGTTGACTGGAGGTGTGCCCACCTGCCGACATCATAGGCAGGGGACGCGAGGCCCTTCTGCACCAGGTCGCACATGTGCATGTCCTCCCTCTGCACAATGTCCTCGCCCATCACCACCTGGTCAATCCACTCCTTGTCATCCACCTGCAGCCACACTATTTCATTCAGGCATCAGCAAAATGCAGCTTGTCTGCAGACGTACCAATGCCGCTGGCAGGAAAAGCGTATACGGTAATAATAAAAACAGTGGTTAGCGAAAGCCCCGGCTGGCGGGGGCGATATAAATACTGAGCCCCGTGCCCACGGTTGATTGAGACTTGCTCGGATCTGGCGAGTGTATCAAGGGGTAGGATACGTGGCAGCCATTTCATGCAGCTTGTCTGCAGACGCACCTTACCTCTGGCAGGAAAAGTGTGTAATAATACCAATATTTAGCAACGAGGAGGGACTTAGCAAGAAGTGTGGGGTCACAGCAGAATATGTCCACAGTGCACATGAAGTGTGCACAGAAGTGAGCTTATGGCAAGGCAGCCAAACAAAGCCTCAGCAGTAAAAAGGAAGCTTGTGCAGGAGGACGAAGTACCTTGGAGGTGTGCACGTAGTAGTCCATCAGCACCTTTGTCTTCTTCTCACCCAGAGGCAACACCTGCATGCACCCCAATTATACTGTTACACCCACTGCATCCGATCCCATAAATAAAACAGGAGACATCTACCTCTGTACATCACAGCAGGAGTGCATATTTAAAGCAAACTAAAAATGTGACCGCTGCCCAAAAGGTGTGCAAAGTGGCAATCCTGACCCGCATGGTGCCCATCCAGAGGCTGTAGCGGTTGACCATGATGTTGGGGTACACAAATGTGTAGCTGGGGCCCCGGCCGTCGCCTGCACACCAGGCGCAAGCAAGTCTATCAGACTGCGTCATCATGCAAAGCACTCCAGTGACGTGTGCTCAAGACCTGACAGTACATGCTGAAGGCACGAAGCCAGCACCCACAACAGGGGCGGTTCACCAAGTGGAGAGCATGAATATCAGCACACTTTCTTTGCACAAAGCATGAGAAGTGAGGTGTAGGACTGCAGTCTACAGGCATCGTACGCGCTACAGATAACAGCTGCCTGTCTGCACTGTGCCTTCATCCTGTGAGAGGACAGGTGTTCAGAACGGCACGCCCTTTGATGTTTATGGTCCCTTGCGCTGCCAATACAATTACCCTCACAGAGTTCCCTGCTGTCAGCTGTCAGTAACCAGTGATCACAGTGCGGCACGGGGGTGCATGTGGGATGAGTCACACCCTCGATGCGGTTGGCGGTGATGGTGTCCCACTCGCCGCCCTCCTGCGGCCGTTCCTCGGGCGGCGCGAGCGGAGAGAACTGGAAGGAGTTGTGCTCGTAGCAGACGCTGTGGTACTCGTCCATGTCCAGCGCCTCACATAGGCCCGGGTGCGCAAACGGGCAGTGGTAGCACGTGTCCTGCAGCGCGCCGTTTTTGTGTGAGACCCTCACAGGAAACTTCATGATTGTGTATCGCCCACCTTGAGGCTACGAAATTATTCGTGCTCCTGGCCAATCTAGCATTTGTATGGGACTCTTACAGTGTACCTGTTTAATGTGCCCCAGACAATCTGAGGTCGTGAGATAAGTCCTGTTTAAACTGCAGCGAGGTCTTCATGTGATTTGCAAGGACTGCTGTATTTCATTTGGATCACGCCACCGGCTGCAGCAGAGCATTTTAATAATATAAAATCTCTGTTTCCCCATGCACCCAGCCCCAAGAAGATCATCGCCCATCAATCATAGGAAATGAAACAGGCGGCTGCATGACGAGCATCCACCAATTGGAACAGCCTATACAAAACCCAGGATCTAAAACTGTCAAGACTGGATTGGATCAGTTGTAGGAGCATTGGTCCAAACAGCATGAATGGAGGCTGGGAAAAGTGCACGCACGAGGTAGTTGTCGTTGAAGACCTTCCAGTTGCAGTCGAGGTCGTAGGGCACCGTTCGCACGTGCACAAGGTCTGGTGCCTTCATGTCGCATGCCTCCATCTTGCGCCCGCCCTCTCCCAGCCAGTCTGCTACGCTGCCCCTCTCGCTGCAGCAAAGTCATTATTCCATTCAAACGGGCCTCAACAAGCTTTTAGGGTGGCCTAGATAGAATTATCTGGTGCCCGTTTGAATTCCCAGAGAGTTGCCACCTCCCTAGCCAATGTGGGGATGCAATGGGAAATCTACTGGGCGGACCTAAGCTCCATCTCAGTTCCCAGAAAAATGTAGATTCCCCCTGGCATGTCAAACCCTGATCAGCTTCCCGATCAAGCAGCAAACCAGGCAGCTCATAACCCAGGGATTTTTGGCACCATCAAATACTTGCTGCCATAGAGCCAAGCCAATAAGGCACTGCAGCGAGAGTCACAGAGCTAACCCAGAATCCTTTGAAGTCAGGGTGTTAATTATTGCTCATAATCTGCGCATCTGTGTCCGAGCTTGATGGATGCAGGAAGATAAGTCGGCAGGCATGCAGGGTCAGGTGAAATGACAGACCTGGTGGGGTCTGCAAGGATGAAGACAAACTGGCCCCAGGTGTCAAGCCGGATGGGCACGAGGCCGTAGTCTTGGGCCTTGAAATTCTTGATGCCCTTCAGCTTCGTCGCCCCCCTGAACCGCCCCTCATGATCTGCCACCAATACCAAACAACCTTCAGCTCTAAAATATTCTCAAACGCTTGCGTTGCTCAATTCAGGCCAAAAAGAATGTCATGTGTCACATAAAGCCTCTCCTGCAAGAAAACCAATTGCACCAAAATCACCATACGTGGCCATCAAGTTGCTGTACTTACCGGCCATGACACCAAGCTCACCCAAGGGGCGCCCCACAGCACTGCAAATGTTTCTATGGGCATGGGCAGAGTGCATTTAGCTTCAGCAACAGACGGCAGCGAGCAAGGGTTGCTCACCGTACTGCCAGCCGTGGTACATGCACTCGAACATCTGCACACAGCCGCTGCCCTCCGCCACTGGCGCAGCCTTATGTCGGCAGATCTGCGACACCACACACAATGGTAACTTGCCCACTCCATTCCATCCTCTTTCCCCTGACCTACAGTTTTCTGTATACGCAATCGTGACAAAGAAAGGGTCCTTTGTTATATCAGTGGCACCCAAGCATGCTGCCTTCTGCCCTGACATATAGGTTGTGAAATAAGCAGACATAGAAAGCAATGGGTGCCAGAATAGGTCAGGGGCTCACATTGTGGAATGCGCGCAGCTGGCCGTCCTCCCCGCGCACAACGACGTAGTTGATGTCGGCCACGCTGCCTGTGAAGTAGTCGCCAGCGTTGGGCGCCTGACTCGCGTGCCCGATCATCTGCACAGCAGCCCAGTATCAAGCCCTAGAGCACTCTTTTGAAGGGTGGCATGCACATGGGAAGATCCCCATTGTGGCTCTGGCGCTTCTATTGCATTGTGGTGGGTCTAACTACAGCGAAAGATATCTGAGAAGCTTGCAGGGACAATTGCAGCATGTTCTCCTGCATTGCACAGCGGAAAGCTTACCTGCCAGTTGTTGTGGAAAATGGCAACCTTCTCCAGTTCAGCCACCTGGGGGCTGAGGTACCAAGATGAGGGGGGTGTGTTCGCCTGCACCAGCGGACAGATTAGACAGTACGAAAGCATAGGTTGCGAAGGACAAGGATCCAGTGGACAAGATCGTGCACCACCCCAGCTTGCCACCAGGGCATCGAGGCAGACACGGCATACCTCCTCGATCGGGGCGTAGGCCATGGTCCAGGGCTCCGGTTCGTATGTGGAAAAGGGGGATTTGCTGAGATCGAGCGTCGCTGGCGCCTTCCCATTGCTCACCTGCACAAGAATATGCAAAAGGTCATGGGACAGAAAATAAAATTCTGTGATTGCTGATATACCATACGGCCCATCGGCTGAGAAAAATTTAGTGAATACATGTCTCACTAGATTGGGAGATATTCAGCTCCAAATAATCGGAATTCACAAGTATAACGACGTAATGACGCAAGGGTCATCACGGTGTGAAAAAGACAAAAACACTCGTGTCAGCCATCCCTGGTGGTATGCGAGCAAGGATAGAAAATATGAACGAAGCGCACTTTTTGCGCGTCGCCAAGAAGTGGCTCAGCGATGCAGCGGACCGGAGCTGCGAGTGTCCTGGGTGCAGGACGGCAGACAGGCAATAATGCCGTGAACGATCCACTCACCATTTTGAAAGTGTGAAAAGGAACCCTCAACGGTAAGAATCCAAGGTGTATTTATTCTTGAGGCCTTTCGTCCGAGTCTTCGTATGCCGTTTACGACTCGGTGATTAGTAAACGGCCCACGTGGGTCAGGTGCGTATTCCGGCAAATAGCTTTTCCCTCGCCCTAGCTGCAAGATTCACCCCTTCTACCTGAAGTACATACCTGAGAGAGTCCTACAACGAAATAGAAGAGAGCGTGCTTGGTGAATGATGACGGGGGTTTGTGCTGCTGGTGTTGATTGTATTGTCCGTAAAAGCAGAGGTCAGCAGGTACCGAAATCACTTATAAGATTCCCTGCATCACGAGCAAGAAGATACTTGGCTGTCACCTTACCCAAAGGTATGGCCGCAGACGTCGCTTACAGGCCACAATCAAGCATTGCCCTCGTCCAAGGCGACAGGCCATTTTCCGACAGGTTCGCGACTTAGCAGCTGCGGGGTCATGACACTGATTCGAGCTTGCTTAAAATCGCTCAAGAGCATTTAGACAGCACCTAGCGCGCGTCAACTTGCACATAGCTATTTGTTGTGGAATTGTGAAGCTCAATGCATGGCATTTACAACCTATGCAGTGCATATTCTGACAATTGATTGCGGTGGTCCTCACACTTTGCAGGATACGAAATAAAGCTGCTGCACCTCAGGTGATTCCAAAGCCGAGACAAGAAGCGTCATACAGGGACACGTGCAGTCAATCAAGACCTCACTCGCTCCCTTCTTGGTGGCGGGGGAAGTCTGATTTGGTCTGGCGATCGGCATTCCTTTTCTTCTGTGGTGAGCAGAAGCCCGCGTCACTTGCACATCAGTGGCTAGCGGCCCGGTATCAGTCGCCTGACAATTTTGCATGTCTGCTTCTGCAGGGTCCATTCTGTTTGCTGGCAGCTCTCTATCTGGCGTTTTCACCTATCTTGCCAGCCACCATATCTATAGCCGAGTTACTGTGGCCTACCCCTATGCTTTTGGATCAGTCTTGTATACGTGGGGCGCTTACTGGTCGGTAGTGGCATCGACTCAGATTCTGAAGAGCTTTCCAACCCCAGACAGCCGTGCCTCCTCTCAGGCCACCTCAGCACAGCCATCAGCCCACACCCGCGCTGCAGCAGATCCATCAGCAGCTATCAATGGCAGATCACAGCCCTCAAGCAGCACTGATCGGCTCCATGTTGAGAGACCACCCCTTGATCAGGAAAGTGCGGCATCTGGAGAGGGAGTCTGCTGTGGCAGTGGCAGGGGCTTTGAGCAGGTGCAGTTGAGCAGAAATTGGCACCAGAGATTCAGCAAAGGATGGCGCAGTTTCAAAGCACGCAGCCTCAGCCCAATTATTAGATGCGGCGGGCAAAAAGCTGAGACTCTATCTGATCATGACTGGGCAAAGGTTGACTGGTCAGGTGCTTCCCCAGCATCATAATATTATCACTATTATTATTATTACACGTTTTCCAGTCCTCAAGGCATCATAATATTATGCTTGTGAAACACTGCGCCGGAATATGCAAAGAAGCTGCTATACATGCTGACCCTCTTGATTGAATCTTGCTGTGCATGTGCAGCTTTGATGGGTGTTTGGATTGGGACGATGCTCTACAATGTGTCTTGCATCACGCCAGCAATACTCTGCTCGCTTCCGGCGCCCCTGCCGCCAGACATCCAAGCAGCAGTGCTGAGATGGGCGGTAGATGTCCCCAATGTCGTGGCAGGCTGCCTATTTGTAAGCGGCAGCTATGCATGCTGGGCAGCTGCTGCCGGGACATTCAGCCTCCCCTTGCTGCTCCAAGGATTTTCTCGGGACGACTGGGGCTGTCTGCTGTATCTATTGGTGCGTTCTCTGCCTCATGGTGCTCTTCAGTGCTTGCATATCTGATCCTGTTGCCATCCTGCAATTGCTCTCACTTCTGTGTTCTAGCAGTAGAGACACAGACATGGCAGTCCCACCAAACGACAATGGCTGTGCTGCCTGTGCAGGGTTCAGTGGGGTTTTTGACAGGGTCATTGCTGACTCAGCCCCTGCTTGTCTTTGCTCCAAGTGTCCTCATTAAGGAGTGGTTTGGGATGTTTGCTGGGTACTTCCTTGGATCACTGTGCTTCCTGAGCGGCTCATACCTGACGGTGGCAGCACCTTCTGCGACAAGCTAATTTGTCAAACCTCCGTTGTACGGCAAATGCAATGCATCGTGCAGAATATTGTAAAGTTCGCGTAGCATCACGAACATGCCTAACATATGTAGTGAACAGGCCACATTCTTAGCATTCTGCGCGTTAAATATGTGATCTCAAGCAGCAGCATCACAGAATCATTTGCCTTGTTGACCTGATATTTTTGGTGCAAGATTCCTGGCCAACCCGGCTCGCAAAGATCCAAAGACCACAGATGTCTCAATTTCTCCACAGCAGCACAATCCCACTGTCCCACTTTGTGAAAGTCACTATCTTCCTCGTCCTCTAGACCACTCTTGAAGTACATGGAAGCCTTTGAATACCAAATACATTGGCTCATCTGACCTGCTACCTTGCCTATGTTACCTCAGGTTCTATCCTTGCTAAACTACACAGCTGGGATCAGCCAATCACTTGCTCCACAGCTGTATTTCTCCTGTCCCCAGCGCAAGCTACTTCCCTAACTATGTTACATACACGACTTGCATGTCTTGCATTCCCTCCCGGCCTATATTGCATACACCAGAGATAAGAATGGCATATGCCTTGCACTTCCTCCTGTTCAAAGTGCAATCACCATAGACAAAAATGGCGCTGGCGAGCAGGTACACGGGTCAGAATGAGGCCTCCTTGCGCGCATCTGTTCTGTCAGGGCTGGCCGGGGCGTGCCGCAGCAGGCGCTGGAAGTGCAGGTTCTTCAGCAGCTTGTTGGCCTCCTCGTACAGCGAGTCGAACAATGCTTGCTTGTCTGCCTGGGACTCAGGACGCTGTGAGGCGTTCCCTGCCCCTGTCCTCTCTGTCCTGCCAGGAGTGATGGGCTCCTCTATGCTGTCCAGGCTGCCTCGCCTCTCCTTCAATTCCGATTCTTCCTTGCCTGCTGTGCATGCGAGATAAATCAGGCAGTGGCAAACCTGGAAAATTTTAATTCAGGACAGTGCAGACATTAAGACACCCCTGTACATTTCTATCATTATCATTACCATGCATCATACGCTTTTCCTGCCTGAGGCAAGGTGCGCAAAGAGTGCAGGTAAAGGGTGGCAGCACGGATCCTATCCCTATGTCGGAAATGATCACCTGAAAATCTGATGTGTCGCAATCTTTCAGGCAGCTGGCTGATGTCAGCATCCAGCCTGGAGGGGCCGGCGCCAACTGCTGTTGGCCCATCTGAGCTGTCGTCTTTGCTGCGCTCTGCTTGCTGTGGCTCGGCAATGGGTTCTGCTGCTTTCAACGGGGAAGCTGATACTCTTTGTCGCTCTCCTCCGCTCAGGTCTGTTCCCAGGCTTGGCTGAGTAGCACTGCTTTCTGCAGGCCCCTGTGCCTGTCCAGCAATGCTGCTTTTCTGGAGCGCCTCTGAAATGTCCGCTTGTGGCACGGAAGCATTGGAGGAGGTGAGGTCTTCTGTAACTGACACCCTGGCAGCTCCATCAGCAGCACCCAATGGAACCTCATCTCCAAGCCCTTCTGATTCGCCCAGGTTATGTTTTGTAAGTCCAACGGCAGCTGAGTTGTCCTGCAGATGCAGATTGTCTTGAGCCACCCCCAATCCTGGACCTGCTATGTGATTGCAAGCAGCATGGCTCTTGCGGGAGAATGCAAGTCAGTGTAGGAGAGTAAGGCTGTGCAACCTGTGCTTCAGGTGACTCTGATTCTGAGAATGCGTGAAGGCGCTTGACAGCTTGGCACAGCTGCTCCTCAGTCTGAAGCTGAACCAAAGGCACACAATGTCTCAGTTCTATTGTCAAACCTGCGAATATATGGCCACTCTGTGCTATCCAAAGGAAAGCCGCGGCAGTAATAGCGTTATTCCAGGTCCCTTATCTCTTCTGGGAAGGTCATCTTGGGGTAAGAAAACAAGTATTGACGTCTTGAAGGCCCGTCAAGTGGTCCCACGACATCAATTACGGCTTACAAACATGTTTACACGTTTGTGCAGATGTCTGCTTTCAGGACACAAGAGCTTGAACTCCTAAATTCCAGTCCCGTTTTGGCGCACAGGCACCACCTCAGGGACAGGATAGGCTGTTCCTACAGCCACTTCAGTGAAATATTCTTCACAAAATCAGTATCGAGAAGCAAAATGGCCTTCCTTGCCTATCCCATTCATCTCTGCTCTGATCCGCAAAAGATGGCAGGAATGGTTCACCGGAACACGTGCAGGGCTGTGCTTTCGCTTCGTCCCTGCCATACCTTCCACGCCAGTCCCAGCAGAGGAACGTCGCTGATGCATGCAAACCACAAATCAATAAAAGGTGCTTCACGAAAGGCACAACCATTGAAATGTTCATGCTGTTGCCTAATTAGGACAAGAGCCTAGTCTGCTGCTGCCATTTGCCAGACCCTCATTGGGCAATTCCCAGTTGGCATGAATGTTCCTGGGGTGGATAAATCGCTCTACCAGCAGTCTGTGGCAGCCAGGTCACATGCTTGCCTGCCCAGAGTCTGGATGTTCAATCTGAGACGTCTGACCCTGAGGACGCCAAATACCGTATTTGGCGGTGATTGGGCGCGAACATTGAAAGCCCCGGGCCGCCCTCGGGCCGACTGCCAGTGAGCATCTCACTGCGAGCTCACTGTGAACTCTCAACGATCCAGGACGTTTAAAGGATCCGCCATAATCAGTGCCATTTTAGTGTAATCCATGGGACCCATGGATGCTGCCAGACCTCGTGCATGCACTGGAAGGCTTAAGAAAACATCATGCGGTTTCCCAGTGAGTCAGAATGCTGGATGTCGTGCTGATCATCCTCATGGTCATGCCCCATGGGCCACTTCCCTCTTGCATTGACTGCAGACAGCTGGCAGACAACATGGAAAACATAATCTTCAAGCCTGCCACCGTGTCGTTCATGTGATGTGCATGCTTTTATACAGTGAAAGTGAACACCTCCATACACCAGTGCTAAGCCACAGGGAGAAATCACAGGGCAGGAAATTCCAGCATCAAGCAGCAATTGGTGGCAACTTATTCAGCAATGTTCCGCATGATTGGAAATTCAGGCGGTCTAATCAGTGCCAGCAAAAGTACCAGTGGGGTGCATGTGATTTAAAAAGCGACTACCAGACCAAGGAATAACAAGCACTAGCAGCAAATGATGATGAGGCAACACTGAATTCAAGCTCTTGATATTCTAAAAAAATCGTAGCGTTTGCGCTTGTAAGACACCAATAAGTGTACTAATCCCATCAAGCAATCATTCGGAACCTCTAGTGGAAGTAGTTGCATGTCCCAATGCTAGCTGTTTTTACCCTCACTAGTGACGACGTTTGTACCAAAGATACAAACCAATGGTGGATTGCCTACTACAAGATAGGGACATGACCTTGTGATCTTCATGCTGCACCCCTAATCTTTGCAGACAACCTCTGTCTTCTGCTCACTTCATAGACCCCTGCTTCTACCAACATTATATACTCAGCAGAGCAGCAACAGCTATTTTTGCTGCTACAATGTGTGCTGTACCCAAACCCCAGTAGTTGAGAAGCCAATCAAAGCTTCATTCAATGCTGGGAATTCTCCTACGGCAAGCACCGGCATGTCCCCTGTATGTGCAACCGCTGGCAAATTTCCTCCATAAGAGCAGAGCTGCAAAGAGCAGATTTAGAAGCCTCCATAGGCAATCGGCCGGGGTTTGTAGGCGGCAGGACCGGCATAAGCTGTGTAGGCAGGATAGCTGACAGCGGCGTCGCCGATTGCGCCAGCAGGGATCTCCTGCAGCAGCCGCGGGTGCGGTGCATACCCATAGCCTCCGTAGGAGCCTGGCCGGGCAGCGTAAGCCTGTGGCGTTGAAATGTAAGAGTCGGCCTCCAGTAGAGCGCGCTTGCGGGCGCTGCCTTCTGTGTAGTCCAGCCCGAGGCTGTCAGCTGCATATGCCAGTGGGGAGTAGGCCTGCATGAGTGAGCGGCCGGTCGCGGCTGCCGAAAAACGCCGTTTTGTCTGGTCACACAAACCCCGCACAAAAAAATTCAAGGGAGTGCGGATTCAGGTGACGCTGCTCAGGCAACTGGGTTTGGAAGCTCCGTAACAAGGGGCGCTATAATTATCTCAGGTTGTATATTGCATGTGGAAAGAGCATCAGATTTGTGCTCACTGCAATGTCACATTGTTTGCCGATCACTCTCGGAGGAGTCCTTTTCTGTTGCAGTAAAAGAGAAAGTCACACTACAGCAGTGAGTGAAAGTATAAGAGATGGCATGAGCTGGGAGTGTGCCTTACCTCCAGCAGGTGCCTTCCATTCAGCTTGGGGCCATAGCCATATGGCTTGGATGCTGAGTCAAATGGCGAGAACGATCCCTGCAGCCTTCTGGCAGAGCCTGGGCTGTACGAGGCTGTGGTGGGTGCATATCCCTCATAGGATTGACACTCGCAGGATTTCAAACAAGCCAAAGCAACTGCCAAGCAGAGAAGTTTGATCGTGGCACGCATCGCCGTTCCCCTGAAGACACAGACACCACTTATGAGCTCAGCACAAACAACCAGATCTGATCGTGCTGTATTTTACGCTCTATATTTACGATGGAGGAAATACAATTTTATGAGTTGCTTTAGAATAGACAATCGTGAGGAAACTGTCGATCGGTGATCACAGCGGTTTTCAGATGAGCTGGTGCTGGCATCAGCAGCAAGACAAACCTGAAAATCGCTGCCCTCATATTGAACATCAATGATTTGATCGAATTGATACAGAGGCAACACATCGATATTTCTACTATCTGGTAAGCTGTGCAGTGTGAAGTACCTTGCTCTCGCCAAGTCGCTATTATTGGACTTAAACTACGCCGACCTGTGTCTCCTCCCGGGACTCGGGAGCCGTTTCACAGGTCAATGAAACCTCAATAGAGCCTTTTCAGACACTTATGGCGTTGAGGAACGGCGCTCTAGAGATGAAATCCAAGTTCTCCTGGTCAAAACCGAAACTGCCGATCCGCCAAAGTAGGCATACGGTCCACCATTGCATGCACCCTCACGCTTTCCCTCTGCACAATTGGTCATCCTGTCTAGCTGCGTACTCACAATGCGGTGTGATATGATGCCATCTGCATCATGATGGCACCATGCTGTGGTATCAGGGTCTGCTGTAGCTAGCTCCTGAATTCATTTTGATATTACACAAATTGATACTACCAAAGGGTGCCCCAACTGTGCCACAGTGGGTGCCGTTGGCAGCCGCTGCGGCAGCGGCAGCAGCGCTGTTCAACATAAATATTATGTAATACTCTGCAATAGAGGCAGTCTCAGTTCACAGCTGGCAAGTGCCACATACAGCCCTGAAGGAAATTGACTGTCATGTCTTCAAGCTGCAGCAAGGCCGGCGGGCCGACCGCCGGCGCCAGTCAGCGTTCAGTACTCTGCAGCTGTATGTATGGGACATCCAACAATTGTTCCAGCTTATCATTTGAGAGTCTGTCAACTGTGTAGCACAGTACAAATCGTGGACAATGCTCCCACTCAGTGGCTGCTAGCTGTGAACACATTCCGAGGCTATCTCCGGCGGCGCTTAGTAATGGTGCGAGGCTTGGCAGGGGCAGCTGGGCCTGCAACTGGCATGTCTTCGATTTCCCTGTCTGGCGCTGGCTCCATATCATCATCTGCCACCTCCTGAGACTGCGTCGGCGCGTCCAGCATGGCAGCTGCATTTATGCAAACCCCATCTTCACTGAAAATGAAACTGAACTCCCATTTTGCTGAAGGCAGTATCTGAAGCAGCATGTCACCTGGGAGCAGCTTGTGAACTTGCAGTCAAGATCAATGCACGATCACCATGTTGCTACCAAGCTTGCAATGATCTTTGGAGCCTAGCATCTGCGGAGAGTATCATACCTCGCTCTGCTGGGGTGAAGACGCGACTGGTGGTGGCTTCAGCATCCATCAGGCTGGCTGCCTGCTGAGGCCTTTGTGTCTGCTGCCCAATAGTGTCTGGCATGGGCAGCAGCGTTGCTGCCTCGTTCTCTTCTGAGGGTTCTGTCTCAGCATCATAGACGCTGTTGTACTCATCCAAAGCTCCCCGCGCACCCTGGCTGCCAGCGTCTGTGGCATCCTGTATCACACCATGCAAACAGCACACATAGGCATAACTTTGCTCGATGACCACTCACTTTGAGTGAAACCTCATGAAGACACAAAATGAACAGAGTTTTGTGAGGGAAAACAGCAGTTTTCCTAGAAGAGCAGATGCACAGCAGGATAGTGTGGCTACAATGAAGCTAGGAGGATGCTGGGAAGCGCACAGATCGCTCGTCATCCTGCAGCTTCCGCTCCAGGTCCTCTACGCGGTGTTTCAACTCCCTCATCTTCGCCTTCTTCTCGTTGAGCACAGCTGAAAACTGAGAACACACCATCCATGTCGGTGGGTAACTACCCACGAGGGGCCAATTTCCCAAATTCTTGATTGCAGCTAGAAATTGTCAGCCTGACCTTGGCATACAATTCTTCTTCGCGTGCCTCCTTATGCGTGGCATACTCTTCCACCAGCTTGCTGTTCCTCAGGGCCTCCTCCTTGAAGTCTGCCACGCTCTTTGCATGGGCGTCATGTGACACCTGAGGAACAAGCCTCCAATCTCAAGAGATCAGAGACCAACGAAGGATGAGACTCTCAAAAAGGGCTGGTTGGTGCAAAGGCGAAGCGGCCATGTATAACAAGGCAGTGTGGAGACGCATGCCTGGAGACTACTGAGGGTGCCAAAGAGACAGTCCAGCAATGAGCGCATGTGCTCCGGACCCTCACATAATTGAAGAACTATGTCTGCCTTGACCCTCCCGGTCATTCCAGGCTGCCGCCATCTGATGGTGAACTGCATGGTCGGCACAAGACAGTGTGATTGTCTCATAGAGACAACATGTGAGCAGCGCTGCAACTAACGGCAATTGAAGTACACCCTTGACGGTAAGGGTAGAAGGCGAGCACACCTTCAGATTTCCATCCCGTTCTGAAAACTGATACTCAAAGCTCTCTGCCGTGGGGCTTGTTATGGCTCTGTAAGTATTCGCCATCCATTTGTCCGGCTGTGACAGCCTGCGCTGACCTGGAACAGATAGCTTAGCAAATCAGGATGACTCATCAGTTTGAAAAACAAAAAAGGAGAGAACTCAGGCGGAAAGTGAGGATCTGGTCGCCCTCTTAGGTATCAAGCATTATTCCTGCTAAGTTTGATGGCTTATTGTTTCAGGCTTGGTGAAACCTTGCACGATAAAAACTGAGACTTTTCGTTTTCTTGAAGAAGGTGAAGTGTCCTGGACCTTCGCAATTCAACCGAGATGATGATTGATCTTTCTGGTGAGTATAAGCCTCACCCTCTTTGCGCCAAAAGTGCGCGCCATCAGTGATTCTGACATTGATCTGACTTTCCTCAAAATCAGCTTTGTCCTCCAGAAGCTCCGTGAGGATGAAGTACGGCTTGTCTGTCGTGGGGTCGGATATCCTCTTCGCTGTGATTGTCATCCAGACCCGTTTAAAGAGCGTTCTTCACATTTCAGGGCACAAAGTGCTCCAGCAACGTCACACTGATACTGGGCCAATGCGGTACGCTGATCTGGTGCCAAAATGTTCACTTTGAAATATATTATTACGTTCGATAGCACGTGTCTATGGATGTAGGGAACCAGCCAGACACCACCCCGAGTCTTTCAGATCACTCGGATTAAACCAGTGCGAGCAGCGGTGCTGACTGTCGTGAACCGCATTGCCCCTCAGAACATCGACTACGTCTATCTGCCAGGTGAATTTTTAAAGGCTCTTCAATTTGCCAGGACCCACGTTTGTGTGGGGAGCCCATCCACGGACCAAATGGTCTTACAATGCTGTTGCGTCCATGCTGTGCACGTGCTGCATGCCTCGTGATCCACCGTGCCAATGCTATTTTTAGATCGGACCTCCATTGTGACGCCGTATTGTATGCTCAGTCGATTGATCTTCTACCTCAGGGCGAAAGGAAGGTGAACAGAACTGTTCCACGGACGGCAGAATCACATCAGCACTGTCCGACGATACCCATTCTTGGTGCGACCCTCGGCTGTCTATTTCCTCCTGTCCTGCCGATCGTCAGCTTGTTAGTCCTCTTGCTGTCACGCGCGGTTACAAATCACGTCCACGCAGATGTCGCCGATGTTTTCCGTCTCTGCGTCTCTTTGCCTTATTTGCCGGACCTCCAGGTTCACCAAGTGACGAGAGCAAAGACAGTGACGACAGGAAGGCTTGAGGCCTTTACGACTACGAACGCTTAAAAATGGTTCAACGTAGAAGCGCTTCTGGGCCCAAGACATTCAAGACTGACTGACGAGTGTGGCTGTGCAGTAGATTAACACTACCATCGTCATGGCTCTCGCTGCGATGTATGAGGTTGCATGGAAGCGCGTGGCCGCAGCTGCCATCACCACACCCACCTCTGGAGACTGGGTGCAGGTCGCCTTCATCATTGCTGCCACCTGCGCTGTTTCCCTCCCCATCGGCCTGCAGTCCAGTAAGAGCTATTTTTAGCCTCACACGGCCTTTCAAATTGCTGCCATGCTGCCATGACCTCCAGGTATTACTTGCTGTCCTGAAGTCATGCCATTGCTTTGTGCAAGACACTTACTTGATGCCTTACTTGTTGCCTGATGGTATGTCTTTCTCGTGCAGAGTTCTTCAAGTGGGAGCCCATGAAGCTGGCCACAGTCATTCCTGCCGCCATGTTCACCATCATCGCACCAGGCTTCACTGAGGAGGTGATATCTGCATCCTAAACTTCAAATTTTTGCGGTAGCAGTGCGCACACACCTTTGTGAGCCTCTCGCCGCTAGGAATGCAATTTGACACCTCCAGATATATTCAATTTACGCACATTTCAGGGAGTCCTGTTGGGAGCCACCTGAGGCACATAGGTCTGATGGGCAGTGTCTCAATGTCCACCTTAGAATCACAAATATCTGATGTACCTGCAATGTGCCAGCAATTTTTGCCACTGTTAAACCCAAGTCGTGCGGGCAACAGGCGATCTTCCGTGCTGCGCTGCTGCCCCACCCGAGCGTCAACCCCAAAGCGTTCCCTGCATCCTTCTCCCAATTTGCCCTCACCGCCGCCCTCCCCCTCGCCATCTTCGTCGCCTATCACCTGGTGCGCTACCACATACTTCCACCTAGAACACATGCTCCCCATGATGTTGAATGCTTGATTCGGAGGACAAGCTTGAAGCCTCCCGCCTGTCATCCTGTGATCATGTCCAAGGTGTTGTAAACATTGTGGCATCTTTCCCCTGACGAATGCAGTGCTCATGATATCTGTGTTGAGCAAGAAATGATGCTGTCCAGATGATGCCAATAAAGTAGTCATTTGGGTGATCTGCCAGCCTAATAAGCTGGCATGCGCATCACAGATCTGCAACAGTGCAAGATACATGCCGTTAACAGGAAGACATGTCTCTGTCGTACTAGATTGGTTACAATGCTGGCTTGGCTTCACCCTTTAGTCACATCAAAGAGGTTCTGAACATTGTGACTCGCCGCTGATGGATGCAGTGCTGGTTTGGGTCCGCACATTGGTAACAAGCCTGATGAGAGTCTCACAGTGCTGGCTTGGCTGCTGCATATAGAGAGCAACCCTGATGTTAATGTCATAACGCTGGTTCAGTCTGCACACTGGCATCAGAGCTGGAGAAAATATTGCATGCTGGCTTGGTCTGCACGTGAAAACCAAGCCTGATCAACACACAGGTGAACCCGGACAAGCGCGCCCGCGCCGTGTTCTGGGACGCGCGTTTCCTGGCGCTGGCCGCTCTGCTGGGCGCCGGCTGCACCGCCTCCTACTACGTCACCGGCGGCTCCCTGGTGGCCGCAGCCCTCACCCACTGGCTCCCCGTCAACCTGTGGCTCTTCCTGCTCGGCGGCTGGAACAAGGTGCAGCCCTCCGAGGGGACCAAGAAGGAGTAAGCGCCGCTCAGCACTATGTGCCTCACCAAGCAGCGAGCTGGCCTGTTGGTGCTCAGCTTGAGACAATGTAATGTGCAGGGCCTGGCATGTTGGGGCAGTGATGACATATGTGTCACAGCAGACCTCCTGCAAAAGGTCAAGCTGGGCTAAATTCCAGACTGAGCACTCACTTAATTGGGAATCTTGCATTTGCTTCTGATGACAGCGCTTCAATGAGGGTACTGATGGATAGTTATTAGGCGTGCGTGGTATATATTGCTTTCACCAAGAACAGTTTGACTGGGGTACAATGATGCAGTGCTAGATGCCAAATGCATGTGGGGATCTGTATTGTTCGGGCTACTGGGAGCTCTACAGATTACCTCATTGAGCTTCTCTGGAGCGTTGGCATGATGCGAAATGCAGCTTCAATATCCAGAGCCCTTTGTGACTTTTATACGAATTGTGTAATAAGTGTTACAAGAATAAAAGCAGTGCAATTTTGTCGAGCATGTGCACTGCTGATTATCTGAGTATTACCATTGACACAAGGATTGTTGCATTTTCTTGATTTACAGTACTGGACTCATGTAAGTATTTTTGTTATCCTCCTGCTGCTCAAATGGAGCACACCACAAGCTGCCAGCCAGATACTGATGCCAAGCTAAGCCACGGTCACAAAGTGCTCAAGTAGGAGGCCGGCACGAGGCCTTTCTGGCCATCCCTGGCCCTGGTGACCTGCACCCAGCCCTCTATCTCCACGTGCACCGTCACCTCATCTCCAGGCACCACACTCAGCTCATCCTCTGCCTCTGCCTCAAAGCCTGCGCATGCACGATTCAGAACTTGGCCGTAACAGATATGAACATTAGCATGCATCTCCTGTTGGGAGCAAACACACAACTGACTCCCAATCACCACATGTCCAGAGAGACTCAAACAAAATGCGTATATCAATGTGGTCTATTGGGCTCCTGGGCCGGAGGTGTCTTGTATGTTGAACACAGTGCATCAAAGATACAAGGCAGCCCTTTCTCGCTACAGCGCTCCCCTTCCCGGCATAAAACAGAAGACAGTCAATAGAGTCTGGTGGGGGCTGCGCACCGTAGATGATGGAGGCCTTGTAGGGCTGCACGAAGGACGCAGCATTGGCTAGGGCCTCGATGCTGCTGGTGCGCGAGTGGCGCGGCGTCACGCGTGGGCTGCTGCCAGCATCCGCCATGCTGCCCGCACGCGAGTGCCGGCCGGGCGTCAGTGGTGCGCCTGCATGCATCAGAATTCCTCTCATTCACCATCTTGTCTCACTTTGAACGTCTCTGGGAGCAGATTAGATGGAGACATCAAGTGCCCTTGAAGTGACAGGATTTCCCATGAACCTTTGCAGGTGGACTAAGAATCCCCCCCGCACACAATGGATGGCCTCTGCCCCTACAGGACGCTGTTCACCGCAACACAGAAGCAACCCTGGGTGTCCTGAGCAGGTCGTGGGGAATGCACAGACTCTGACAGGGTGGCCGAATAGGGCACCTATGCAGAGAACTGTGCCAGGGCAGCACTTGGTGCTGGGTTGTTGGAGGTCCTACAGTGTTGAGGGACAACTGGGAGAGGAAAATACCTGTGGAGCTGGCGGCTGATCGTGCAGAGGCTGTCTTGGTCAGCGGCGGGTTTGAGAAGGACTGCCGGCGAGGGGTGCTGATGGGGCCCGGTCTGCTGCCCTCCCCAGAAGGCCGTGGTGACCTGCGCACAATCTTTGACTTATTCTACGTCTTTTGCAAAAACAACGCTGCCATAAAAGCTTCTTACGTATAAAAAATACCATGCTTCTGTTACAGGCATTTGAGATGGGCATGTCGGCGGACCTGCCAGTGTCTGGCCCTGCAGCTGCCCTCGTTTCTGCTACTGCCCTCTGCCCTCCTTTCTCATCTGCTTCTGACTGCGATGCCTGCATTTCAGGCATGCAGTCCTCATTGGCCCAGTTCTGATCACCTCCAACAAGCACCCCGCTCACCAACGCAACTTGTTGCAGGGCACACAACACCCCAGATTATTAGCATGCGCGCACCTTCAGGTCGTCCATCTCTCTATCGATGGCTGCATCGATCTCCTGCAGTGACAGGCTGGGCACAGGAGGCCCCTGTCTGGCCGGGCCGGAGGTGGTGGCGTCTGCCGCGCTCTCAGCCGGCCCCGACCCAAAGTCGGTCTCAAAATGCGCATCCGTCCAGCGCTCGTCACCAGCCTGCATGTCAATCGATCAGAAAGATCCCCTATCCATCGCCTGGTTTGTTGGATGCTCAACACAGCGGCATGACATCAGAACCAAGAACGATTCCAACCAAAGACTTACTGCAACAGTCCAAGTACGCGCTTGGTACCTCAAGCAGCACAGTCAATGCAGTAATGTTGACAGCACTCATTAAGAATCACAAGTCTGGCAGCACATGGCCAAAAAGCACCTGGGAGGTGTTGAGAGAGCGGGAGCTGCGGTCGAAGGCGGTGGAGGCCTCGGAGGGCTGGCGGAAGGGGGACGAGTCAGGCTCGTCAAATGACATCCAGCTGTTGAGCGGGGGCGCCGCCTGCGTCAGCGCTGCCAGCATGTCCGGCTCCGCCAGAGGGTCAAACAACGGCTGCTCCATCTGCGGTGCACAGCGCTCACTTTGACTATCCCAAATTTTTTTGCTGAACCTGAGCTCAACACCCAGCACCGCTGCTTAGGAGTGCATTGTCTGAAAAGGTGAGCTAATCAGCAGTTGTAAGAAGGGCACCACATGGCCTTGCCAAGCACAGAAATAAACCGGCTCCTGTTCTGAAACCCAACATATTAGCATATCAGCTCGACCAAGAATTCTTTGAGTAAATTGTTCGCATGCAATCATCATTGATTAATAGCCCCTCAATTATTCAAAAGCACACCTCAAACGTGGGGGAGGTGGTGCGGAATGGCTGGGACTGCTGGTCTGCATTGAGCAGCATGACATAAGAGGCTGGCACAAGCCCCTTGGAGCCGTTGGTGGCCACGCAGTGGAGCCACCCGTCCACCTCAGCAACCACCTCCACCTGCATGCCAATTGTGTTTGAGGAAGGACTCCTCTGAACTCGAAATGTGCCCAACCTGCATGCAAGTATGTCATGCAATACACTATGGATAAGATACTCTGCTCTGGCTTGGGCAATCGATGAGAAATTCACAAAACACACATAAATGGGGTTAGAAGAAGGATTTGCGCAAGGTACAGTGCAGGACATCAGAGAAGTCCTTGAAGACTTTCAATTGCTGCAGCATGAGGTGGGCGCACCTCCTCGCCAGGATAGACTGAGAGCTCCTCGGGCACTTCAGCATCAAAGGTGTGCTGCACAATGCCCCTCCCATTGACATAGTGCACCTTGTCTGCAGCCACAGAACCCAGCACGCCTCAGCGCCTCCCCAAATATTTTCATTGGCAAGCCCACATGGCAGGACCACCAAAAGCAGGGTAGTTTAAAAACAGAACATGTGGTGTACCTGCACTGGAGTTGCGTGAGTGGCGGCCTGTGGGCACATCCACATCCCTCTCTGTGAAGCCAAAGGCAGGCTGCTCTGCCTCATAGTGGTATCGTGTGCTTGCAACGTCCTCCTCCTCCTCATAGGATGGCTCCGCATCAAACGTGGTCTGCCCAGCATTACATTCTTTCAGACATAAATCATACATACTGCAGACACGAACATGCCAGGATCTATTAAATCAGATGGCTTTGCATCACATGTGCTCTGCTCGACATCACATGATAACACAAGCATAACATGCCAAACAGACAAAGACGAACCAAAGACACTACAGTATTAATTGGTGAGGTTACAAGAAAACTCACGTGCCACGGGGAAGGTCCCCTCTGTCTGTAGGCATCGGCTCGCAAGCGGTCATCTAAGTTGCGCGTCAGCTCCGTCAGCGGATCAGAGCCATTCAGAATCGGCGTCATTGGCACGGACTGCATGCATGCAACAATTATTCAGCCAGAGATACACAGCCAAGCTGAGAATTAGCCAGAAGCCTTATGACTCATGCAAATCTCAAAATGGATATTTTTTCTCGCCACTCTGCTCCTCTATGTTGCACAGAGGGTAGCATTGGAGAATCGCTTGGTGCATGTCAAAGATGTGGCAAAGGTGGCTAGCCCTTGTCCACAGGGGATCCTAAGAGAGGATCAATCGGACAAACACCCTGACAGAGCCTAAGCCCAGGCCTGTATGTGCATACCTGCCTTTCCTACCAGAAGCCTTCATGTTCAAAATGTTGAGCTCAGGGTCCTTAGGGCAATTTAGGGTCCAGGGGGAACCAGTTATAAATAACACCGACCTCGGGTTCGCGCGGCGTTTCGCTGGGGCTCTCCTCGTCGCTGTCCAGTTCGGCGGGCACGCGGTCGTCAAACTGCGGCCGGCCACTGTCGCGTGTCGCCAGCGCGGACAGCGCATCGGGCGCCCTGGCCGCCTCGCTGGGCAGCCTCTCCCCAGGCGCCAGCCCCTCCACCCCAGAGGTAAGCAGCTCCTTGCTGCGTGGACCTACGCAAAACATGCACCCCCGTTAAATACTATTCTGATATGCAGGGCCCTCAGCGGAGCTGCTGCGCGGCCCAACCAAGGCATTAATGAGGCTGTCGCATGGTTTTCTGCAGAAAACAAAGTGCTGAGAGCTGCAAAGATTTAATCCCTTTGTCGAGTCATTGAAGCCAATCCAGAGCTCATCAACTCTGGGCACAGGGTGTGATCAGTACTGTATACCGGCCTCCGGCAGCAGGGGCAACAGGCTCCACCAATGTGCCATTTTGCATGCTGCGCAGCAACAATCTTCACGAGGTAACACTTGAGACAGTGTGAAGGACGCTGAATGCTTATGTGCAGGGGGTCGAGAAGTGAGATGAAGCCTGTGGGCTCACCAATAGGGTAGTAGCCAGCGTTGGCCAGGCTGCAGATGTGGCGCTCGATGCGCGCTGTGAGCTGGTTGTGCCGCTGCCGCAGCTGCTTCACAACGGCCGGCGGCCACTTGCCTGGCTGCTCGCCGTGCTGCAGGGCCAGCTTCTCCAGCACTGCGCGAGTTGAGTACAGCGCGTCCAAGATCGGCAGCACAGGCTGCACGTGGGACGCCAGCCCTGTGGCAGACGGAGGTGATTATGACGAGCAGGTGAAGAGATGGAGTGTTGATGGCAGAGGGATGGTAAGAGGTGTACTAAGGGATGCAGAGATAGGGGCAGGGCCGCACCGAGGTAGTCCGAGCGCGAGACTGCTGCGAGGAAGGTGTAGCACTGCAACCGGTAAGGCTCCTCTGATCGCACTGCCACCTGGGGATTTCAATGAAACGTTGAGCAACAAAGGCATAAAAAGGCCTTATATGTGTACTCAGAAGGGCACTGCCAGTATTGAGCACCGTTGTGAAGGTGACTCACCTTTGCAAGGCCCTGCACCGCGGCAACGCGCACACTCCAAGGCAGCGTTGCTGCGGCGTGCTGCAGGTGTGAAATGGCAGCAGCGATAGGAGCATTTCGCAGGGCCTGCACAGCCATCAAGCACTTCTGCATCCAGGTTATCTGCGAGCTATCAGACAATCCTTGCTTTATATGCTGGCGTGTAGGACACAAGAAGGCACGTGCGGTAATCGGCGAGTCATTGATCTCCAAGGCGCCCCTCGCACCTTCATTGCCAGGACCTCAGCATGGCTGATGCGAGCGGCTTCCTCATCGTCCAGGAGCCCATTGTCCTCCTCCCTGGCCAGGCTCCCAGCCACCTCGCCGGCTGCTGCATTGGAAAATTCACCCAGCCACCATGCCGCCCCTTTCTGCAGCTCAGTCCACGCCGCATCGTCTGCTGCTGCCTTGCTTACAGAGTCTGCGGCTGCGCCTGTTCCATTGCACATCAGTCAGCAACGATCGGTACGCCATCATTTTTTCACATGAGCCCTGGAAACAATGTCTGCAGAAGCACATTTTGCATATTCCAATTGGAGAAGGTTCATGCAAGCACCTGTAGGGGGCCGCGCAGATGCAGGTCCCTGGGGAGAGGAGACGATTTGCAGGGCTGATGAGAAGGCAGCAATCCTGACAGCTTCACCCTGCGTCATCGCTGCGCTCCACATGGCAAAAAGCATCTCCGCCTGCATGCATGCAAAGCTCATCTCAATAGCCTTGCAGGTGCCATAATCCACATACATGCTGCATATTGAGAGATACGAGCAGGAATTTCCCAAGTGGTGCATTTTCAGGCAATGGTTGTGAAGCAGACCTTGACAGCGGAAGGGGCAGCGGCGGCAAGAGCAGCAGCACTGCTCAGCAAGGCGGGTGCGGCTGGCGGGACAGCACGCAGCACCTTCTGCAACGTCTGAAACAGTGACTGAATGAGATCGGCAGGCCAACGATCTGCTAAGCCTCCATCCTCTGCACTTACGTGGCGCACAATCTTGCCGGGCAGCGTCTCAGCCGTCTGCAGACACAACATGCTATCAGTGATCCATGCAAAAAGTAGATACCTGAAGAAGACATGATAAGCTAACTGATCGGACATGCACTGCAGTGTTGCAGTTTATACGGAAGAATGACAGGTGGCCGTGTTGTAAAAGCAAAGTACCTGAGCCCAGATGAGCGCTTGAAGGGCAGCGCAGCGCTCTGCAGGACTGGCGCCGCTTTGCAGCACCTTTCCCAGTGCATCTGTGACGGTTGAGCAGACGCGCTCGGCCTCTGAAGTCCCAGGACCGGCTCGCGCCCGAGCCTCAGTCATTGCTTCTGCACCACAGGCCACCAGTCAATCAACTCAGTGCCTTCCCCTGGAAATTTGCGAGTGCAGTGTAATGAATGAGGCTGTCTTAACACTGCACAGCTGAACATTATGCAGGCAGGCATGTTTGCAGCACCTGCTGTGCGGCTTGCTGCGCACACTGAAGGAGCAGACCCACTCTCCAACGCAGTGCTTATTGCCCCTCCCACTGACCCCATCAAGGTGGCGCTGGCCTCAGGCTGCAAGGCAGAAAAACAAAGCTTCACATTGACATCCAAGGTCACCATTAAATACTGTGACAACACAAAAGAGGGGTCTAGGCACCTCAGGGAGGTGACTAGAGTGGTACACACATGGACCTTGTGTTAGACTTCATTCCTTAATCTTTCCTTTAATACGGTTGACAAATTGAAGAATTGTCAGCCTTGAAGACAATTGACATTTAAGGTTGCTCTCGCTCTAATATGCCAAGCCAGAATTTCTACATTTTGATTTGGATTTGGGCAAGCTATAAATCATATTGGCGAGCACCTCCGGAGCATTGGACACACTGATTAGATCACTGGCACACCTGCAGACCCGGGATGTGAACGGCTGGCTGCTTGGCCTGGGACAACATGAGCGCCCATGCGCGGACGCGCATCTTGGCATCCTTCAGGTCTTCGCTTGCCGCTGATGCAGAGAAGAGAGGGCCAGCTGCAGCCGGCAAAGACCCAAACAGTGACCTGATCGCCTCCAGCACCACCAACTCCTCCTTGTCCCTGCAGGAGCATATGACAGAAACACATATCTAGTGTGTTCTCACACTCTGCAGCAATTGGAGCTCAATGGTCACAAGATGGGGTTTTACATTTGCGCAAGAGGTAGCCTGATCCTGCTCAACAGTCACATTAGCAATCCTGCATAGGACTGTTCATTGATTCCTGGAAAGAGGGGGTGCACCTGGTTGCCAGGAGCGTGAGCATTCTCCAGAAGGGCGCCCCCAGCCCCTTGGCGAATTCAGCGGCTGAGGACCAGTCAGCGTAGAGCAGCGCTGCACAGAGGCGCGCCAGGTACACTCGCGCCCACTTGTCCATGATGTTAATGGACGGCCCCAGCGCCTGCAGCTTGCTCGGGGAGGTCTTCTTGCTGTCGCTCCCCACGACCAGACCTGCCGCCACAAATCACTCTGTCATTTCTGTGTCTCAGCATTGATTTAAGCAGTGTCCTCTTGAAGTGCACAGTGAACCTTACAGCCCAACAGCAAGCGTTAAGAAAAAAGTTGATAAATTGTGCAGGTTCCACACAGGGCGATGGACCATACCCGAAGACTCGTAGGAGACTGCGGCACCATTCACCAGGCTGGCCAGCTCCTTGTGCTGCTCTAGCAGCTGTGTGGCGTTGTGTCTGGCCAGGCCCACCAGCAGGGCCAGAGCATGCCGCGCTACAACCGGCTCCTGGCTCAGAATGCCGTCCATTCCCCGCGTTGAAGCATCACGCAGCGCCTTGCCTGCAACGCCGTGCACATATCATCAGCAGACATCAGGATGAATCTCAGATGCTAGCCTTCACATGCATGGGATCAATGCTCAGTGGTGTGCAGAAATAGCAGCCCTCCCCACCTTTTAACGAGGCACGTGCAGCAGACAGTGCGCTCCATTGCACATCCCACTTCTCTCCCTGTGAGGATCTGCGGCCAGTGCGCTTGGCTGATGGGAGCTGTGAGGGGCTCGAGGCAGCTCTCTCCAGCAGAGCCCTCACAGCCTGAGCCAGCTGTTTGTCGTGCCTGCCATCAGTTCCCCTGCAGCAGACCAAAGTGCATTTCGTGAATTACAATTGCAGTTTCCTGTTGAGCTCTACATGTATACCCTCATTCCTAGCTCACCAAGAGGCTATTCCACCAGTGGCATCGACTAGCCAGTGCCAGAGGATCAAGCACCTTGCTGCTGCGGCTAGGGTGCGCATCTCAAGGTCAATGAAGCGCGAGTCTCCATCAGGTGCCAGCACATTCTGCCATGACTTGGCAGCCACTTCCTTTGGTATCTCTGCAGCTCCGTTATGAGGTGGGCCTGCATCTCACATGGCATGACTGAGCCCTTGTCCACACAGGATGGGCTAGATAGATACACAAATTACAATTTGAATTGAGGCAGAAATGTTGCGCTGACCTGGCACAGGTGATGGTGTCCCTGCTGACCCTGCTCCCAACAGGATCTGGAGCATATATAATACCATCCTTGCCAGGCGCCTGCACAGCTTAACAAGCTCACATGCAAATTCCTGCGCGCCATACTCAAAGCAACCTGACAGTTGATGGCTGTCCTTTTGGCTCGGGAGAGTGAATCTAACGTGCGTGAGGAAGCGCAGGGCTTGCCTATCATCTCCTGTGCCCATTAGTTGCAGCAGCTGCGGGACCAGCATCTGGGCTGGGAGCACCTCAAACTGCGCCAGCCTCGGTAGAACTGTTGCCAGCAGCAGCTTGTGCCCCTTCTCACCGGTGGTGCGCAGCTCCCCCAAGGAGCGGACCAATTCCAGATAAGAACTGGGCTGCTCAAAGCAGAGAAAAGATCTTTGAATTCCAGGCTGATGCAGTGCTCATGAACGAGCTCTCTCTCTCGTTGATGAGACCTTGGCATGCCCGGTGGGGATGGGAACTAGGATGATATCAAGCGTACCTCTCCCTTTGGTACTTTACCCTTAATGTATGCATTAAGCTGCGGTGTCAGATTTGTCCCGTTCAAGGTAGTGCGTCTGCGAGGCATGGGCGCATTCCGCCACACTGGATCATCTGACTTCCCTGCTGCTGCTGCATCTTTGATCTTGGGAGCTCCTGTGCCAGTAAATTGTAACAGGTTGTAGAACATGGTGTCAGAATACGGTGTATCGTTTAGCAAGTACCTCCAAAGGTGCCTGAACTCCATGTCGTCAGGGTCAGCAATCCTGCATAAAATCCCTCCAGCTTGGCGGCGTACTACCCGTTACCTGCTTCACTGGATGCGGTCCCATTTTCTTCTCTAGCTGGTTCTTTTCCAGCAGGTGATGGGATTTTGACAGTAGGTCTGCTCATGCGCAATTTGCTCACTAACGCCGAAGCCATAATGAATGTGATCTCTCGGATCAAGCTTCAGTTCTTTATCTTAGTATGTCTAGCAGTCCTGACCTTGAGGACTGACCTTGATGCCTCAATATTACTTTCACTGTATAAGCCAATGAACAATGCAGTCTTGTTCTAAGTTTAATAAACAATTATTCCTGACTTTCTGAAATCACTTAATCGAGAAAGTACTATGGAACGGCCCGTGCCAGACCCATGTGATGGGCAAGATCGTGCAGTTTGACCTTCCCTAAAATGTTTGGCCTCGTTAGGTAAACAGTGTGTCAAATACTACTTTGCTTTTGCGGCTGCATTTTCGTAAAGTTCACTGACCATTAAAGAAGTATGTCCAGCAAAGCAAGCGTTTGGAAGAGGCCTCACCAGCAGCGCAACCATCCGCTGGCGTCATTCCCGCGCATGCAGCTGCTCGATTGCTTGCATTCAATCACAGATTGGTCGCTTATTATTCTTGTAAATTCCTTGTCCGGAAGCTGACGTCGTTGCAATGGCAGCAACACTAATGGGGAACGGATTAAAGTATCCTCCAAGTACAATGCCGACGAAGGCAGCATGCCGTTTCGCTTCGCTGGAAAGTAGCGCGCCTGTCAATCGCGCTAGAGTAAGGTAATATTGATGCAAAATTCACAACTTTGATCGCCTCATATGCTGCACGCATCGATGTGTTAAGTCCACTACTTCTGCCAAACATAGTATCGCTGACAAGGATGGTGTACTAGCCTTTATCAGATCAAGACAATTTGTTCAGGATCGCTTTAGCAGCAACATCATTACATATAGTATGAAAATCTGAATTGACACCGCAGGCAACTTGGCCATTTGAACACCACAGTAGTACCTAGGATCACTGAAGTGGCAAGGAGAGGGGTTCAAGAGCAGAGAAGACCAGCGATGGTGATGAGGTCTCCTGTGAAATTCTTACAGGAGCTAATGTGCATTGGCGTCCAAATATTTTTGAAGATGAGTTGATGAGTCGGCTATGTCGCACAGGTTTTGGGTGCTTCCGTGACAGCTTTCACATGGGATAGCATCAATGATAGAAAGGAGATCAACAGCATGAGTGCAGTGTCAGCCGCTAGAGAGTGCGCCCAAATTTGCTTTCGGTCAGATCTTTGACTGGGTGGCTGTACACTCCGCACTCTCAATCACCAAATGCAAATCTTGTGGCTGACGCAGATACTTGAACTACTTCAACAACAGGGATGTGGAAGGCATGCTCTCTTTGCTGGCTGACAGGTGTGACTACTGCAATTACGGTTATCATGGTAATTGCCATAGCAAGAAGGTGAGCCTTGCACAGCATTGCTCAGCTGTTAGTACCATACTTTATTGTGTAAGCAAAATTACCCTGGTGCATTTGGATACTGAGAGATTGTGGATTTGCCCGCCTCATGTGCAGGAGATATCACATGTGCTGAGGAACATGATGGCAAATTTGCCTGAAGCCTTCAGGATTGTTGTGGACAGCACAACAGACGACGGGTCTAGCTCGGTGGGCCTAGTCTGGCATGCAGAGCTCAATAGAATGAGGATGCTGAATGGACAGGTGAGCATGCACCTTTCACACACATAGTGATTATAACTTTGCTGAACCATGACGCTGCTGTGCAAGCAGATAGGATGATGGCGTATGCAAACCAATCTTGTAGAAAGTTCTCGTGCAGCTATGTGCTTGACTTCTGAGCCTCAAACTACTGATCTGAGCAGGGCATCACATTCATGAGGATAAATGGGCAAGGGCTCATCAACTTCATTCGCGATGCACCAGAGCACACTGTGAAGGCTAATGTTGAGGCACTGCCCACCTTGAACATGGCTGCTTCTCTCCTAAGCAGGTCACACCCCTCACCTTACTGGCATGCTTCCGAGACAAGGGTGTTGTAGCTTCCTTGCTTGTAAATCGGTATATGCACCTCAAAAGTTGTCAATGCTGATAATTTACTCAGAATTGATGTGCGCCATCCTGTGACAGTGTGGCCAACGTTTTGACCCCTCAGTTCACACAAGGGCTGCAGCAGGAGGCGCCCCCCCTGCTTTATGGCGACAAGCAGGAGTCAACGGTATACTCCAATTCTTCTGTGCAAGTATGGTCTGCTATACCTGGACACAGTCATGGCTGGACATGGCAGCAACTCTTCTTGTGGATCTATGGCCATTAGACTTGCTTGCCATATCAAGAGCGAGATGTCCATTCTTTACCATGCAGGACCGGGAACCTTTGGAGTCTGTTCCCAGATTGAAGCTGGAGCTGAAGAAGGCTCTAGCTGAGAAAGAGGCCCTGGAACACCGTCTGAAGCAGTTGCTAGGGAGAGAGCGTGCTTCATACTTGCCAGGATCTGCATCTGGCAGCTCTGACCAAGAAGCCTCTGATATGGGCGCTCTCAAGGCTGGCATGGCAGCAGATGCCATGGCAAGCAGCAGACCTGCAGGGAGAGGGCCACAAAGGGCTGGCCCTTCAATACAGAACAATTCCCAGGTGCTGCCTGGCTGACTTGCACAATCATGTCATGCCTGCAGGCCAATGAGACACATTGAGATTAATATCTTCATTCCTGCGTGCATGACTGTTGACAAAGTAGTGACGGATGGAGTGACAAAGTTCCACCACCTGCAGGTTCCAGGGCAGCAGAGATCTGGCGCAGCTGCCAGTTCTGAGGCAGCCACTGCATCAGTGTCAGATCTGTCAGGTGAAAATTCCCTCTTCACCACAGCTGACCATAAACTATTATGAAAAGAAGGAGTGCACCCTTCATTTTTCAGAGCATGGCTCAATGAATTGAAGAGCATATTTTCATGGCAGGGGTGTGGATCAAAGACACTGATGCGTCTGACCTGGCCTCCTACGAGCGCGCACTGGATATGATGGGACTCAATGGGCTGCAGAAAACAACAGCGCTGAGGCTCATAGAAGGGCTGGAAATACAGACGCAGGGCAGCACTGTCACGGTGCAGTTCTTGACAGTCGTACCCTTTTTCAAGGTACATCCTTGCTGAATTCTACCACCTTGGCAATTGTTTGGAGATAGCTCAGCAGGTCATGTTAGTAAATGCCTGGATATCTGCATATTTGTACATGGGACTCTCAAGGTTCTCAGGCGCATTTGAAGTTTGCAGGTTACAGAAGAATTCAGCACAATGAAGGAGACCACGATGTCTAGGCGGGACTTGAGGTCAGGGCAGCAGATTGCAAAGGCTGCTTTCACTCCTGAGGGTCTGAAGATCAACATAAAGTGGAGTGCCCCCTATGCATGTGCGCTCCTCTTTCCACATGATCATGAATGATAACATCAAGAGTGTGCAAGTCAGAGACTGAAACTGCCGGAACCTTTGCTTGAAGCTACAGATCTGTGCCTTCCAATGATGAAAATGCGGGAAGCTCGAGAGAAAGATTGCATGGTGCAGGCACTGTGGATGACCTGTATCAGCTGCAGTCCCCCACCACACTGCATGTGGTGTCAAAGGTTTCAATTGGAGGAAGGACAGAGACAACCCTGCAGGTGACTCAAAACTACGATAACATGGCATGACTTATCGTTTAAGCAACAACCAATATTGCTGATTGATGAACACAGCAAGGAAGCGTTTCTTGGTGTGCGCAGGTGTACCACAGACGGGAACAATGGCAGCCTCGGTTCACGTTTGGCTCAGGATTGTTTGGAAGATGATGATTATGCAATGTAGTTGTCCATAGTTCTATGAAGAACAGACATCACGAGTGATCAATGTTGCAATGTGACCAATTGGCAGGCTCGTCCACTCTCAGCTCCAGGAAGTGTATTGGTAGTAGGGAGCGGAACCTCAAACCTGGATTTGAGTGCCAAAGATGAATTGAATACGTCCATAAATGAAATCACGTTCGAATGTGCAAATTTGCAAAGATATGGACATGGCAGACTTGATTTGAGCTGCTCATCTTAATGCGCATAAGCATCAGCATGCATGCATCAGATTCCAAAACCATCGTCTCAATGCATACATAAGGCCAGCTGCACAGCTACTCAGCATGCTGTGCGCACAGGCATGTGTTGCAATCACAGTCTTATGCGTTTTTGAGACCTATCTCACACTGAAATTCGTGATCTTGATCTTGATGTGCACACTTCACATGGAGTACATCATGCTACAAGCTACTGCCTGGTTCCTTGTGATCAACAAAGGACCCCACAATCCAATCAGGTCAGTAGCGCCGCTGGGTGGTGCTCATCAGCAGTGTCTGCTGCTTGTGCCCCTTCTTTGTCTTCTTGCCTGACCCAGGCAGGTTCTCTAGGCCCTTTGCTGACTCAGCAGGCTGATGCCAACCAGCATCACGTCCTCCCTGCATAGCACAGCGCTGTCAGAAACTCACACCAACACTGCTGACTTACTGTTTTGTCATCCTGCAGTACTTCAGATCAGCACAGCGCACAGTACTTCCAGATCAGCACAGCGCACAGAGAGCAGTCGGTCAGTCAAATCAATTCTGTTAGATTTCTCTCAGACCAGCCAGGGCTGACCTGATGCCGGATTCTGATCTCCACCACTCTCAGCGCCCAGCATGGCATATCCAAACACTATTGAGAAAAATCAAAATGAAATGCGCACCAGCTCGCTTGGGGCAGCGGCAGGAGCAGATGACGGCTGCGAGGGGGCAGTCCCGCTGGCTTGAGCAGGCACAGCACCCCACGGGGAGCCGCCGGTGCGGGTCTGAGCCCAGGACGGCGCCGCTGTCGCGGCCGGCGCGGCGGTCGGCTGCGGGCCGGCAGCGCGGCCCCACGCCAACCTCTGCGCGCCGGGGGGACTGGCGCCCGTCATGGTGGCGCCTGGCGAGGTCGATGCCAGCACCGGACCTGCGGTCCACATACCCTGGTTCAGATGAGCTATGTTCTACTCTTGGCTGATCCTTTCCTTGACAAATGAGATGTTTTAGATTTTGATGGTTTTGATGAATTCTATCCAGAATTTTGATCATAATAGGCGGTCCCAGACCAAGGAGCTTGTCGACTTGGGGTAATGCCAGACTAACCAAATCCGCCCTGATCTCACTCATTGGGCTGGGCCTGAAAGGGCCAACATAGTGGCTGCAGGGGGTCAAACCTGTGGCAGCATAGCCCAGCGCGGTGATCTTGGCGAAGGACACGCCGCCCTGGGGAGGCTCCTTGGCGCCGCCGTCGCTTGCAGCGCCGTCCTGGGCGCCCTCTTGTGCCAGCGAGGCGGCCAGCGCGGCGCTCAGGGCCTCGTCCTCGCTGAAGCCCTCGGCCGCTGCCCTCAAGCTGGCCATGGGCAGCGGCATTGCCTGTGTTTGCACAGGGCCATTGCATCTCTTGATGTGAATCGCCCAGTGCAAACACAAAGGAAGGTCGGGATTAGAGGAGAGGTCAAGGTAGACCAGCATAAGGAGGTATTGAGAGAAGGAAGCTACCTTGAGCTCTGCTGCCGTGGGTGCGGCGGATCCGGCAGAGGCGGCAGCTCTGGCAGACTCGCGCGCAGCTTGCTTGGCCTCCTCCTGCACACAGCATCAACAGTCACAGGATGCCCACTATAGCATGACAGAGGACGACGATGCAGAACGGCACACAATTCGAAAATTATGGTCCCTTGTGCTGCCGATTCAAAATGCTATTTGACCCTCACAGAATTCCCATCCAAATATCCGCATTCTGACACCATAATGCCGCCAACGTTTGAAAGTGCTTTACAGTGTTTTCATCTCCGTGCAGCTGGAGCCCTATAGAGTTACGGACCTGGAGCTTGCGCTCACGACGCCGTTCCCTCGCCTTCAGCTCGTCAGCAAACGGCGCCAGCGCTTCTGGCGGCAGCAGCTGCCCCAGGTCCACCTCTGCCACATGGAAGGCACCTGCACGGAAAAGGCATCACCGATTGCTCAATGTTACGTCCTCCAAATCATGCAAAAGAACTGATACCCTTCAGGGTTAAATTCAGGGAGTGCTTTCTTTATTTTGATGCTGTTTGAAATGCACATGACTGCTGGAGCAAATGTACCTACCCGGAAAATGAAATGTTTGAGATACTGCTCACTGCATCCAGTACCTTAAAAAACGACAATGTGTGAGAAAGAAAGAGAGATACTCAGCTGTTATTCAAAAACAAGACAAGGTGGCTGTCGGGGCGTGCCTGTGAGCGGGAGGTGCCCCAGGAACTTCATCTTCTTGCGCATGAGGTCGGTCTGGGTGATGGGGTCAAGCTCCAGCAGAGTGGCGCACACGGCGGGGGGCAGCGCCGCGTAGGACCCCCCGTGGTGCGCTGATAGGATGCGCACGTCCAGCGCGGCCAGGAAGAGCCACTGGCCGTCGGCCGCCTGGTAGAAGTAGTAGTCGCCCGACGTCAGGAAGCTAGGATGCTCGGCCGGCGAGCTCCCTGCCCGACACAATTAATATCCATAACCCGACACAATCGATCGCCATGGCCCGACACAAATCAATCTCCATGACCGTCCAAGCGTAGAAACTATTTTTCCATGGGCTTGCAAGCTCTGTGATCATGACTGAGAATGCACGCATCATAGCAGAACAAGGAAACCCACAACTTGAGGGGTGGATTCAAATTGGCATGCGTTGCCCCAATATGGCATGAGCGATGCTGCGATGCTGACCACCTTGTCGATATTGCTCATCACCCCCTTGGTATGATCGATGACATGCATTGCCTTGTCAGTGAAGAAGCAAGCTGGGATGCTTTGGTACAGTAGTCGGTATGGTTTGCAGCGTGCTCACCCAGGATGCCGCCTGTGTTGCCTGCCGATCCAGCCATGTCAGCGGCGGGCTTTGTGCTGCTGAAGCTCCCAGGGATCGGCAGCCCCTTCTCTCTCGCAGCCTTGCCTTGCTCCTCATCCGCCTGCTGGCAGCCTTGCACTCACTCTTACAAAAGAAATCTCACAGCAACTGGAGTGGTCCGCGCATAGGCAATTGTTTCACTCTGATCTGCATCTATGTGTGAATTTGCTGTTGTTCAAGCTCCCCAGCCTCTGCTTTTGCATGCTTTTGCAGCACAATTGCCATTTGGGCAGGCCATAACAATGATGGCCCCAAAATTCTCAGGTGCTCCTCTAGATTGGGCGGACCAAAGAGGTTCCTTGCATCCGGTCATAAGAAAAGGTCAAAGGCACTGACCTCAAAGATGTCATCCTCGTGGGGTGACACATCGGCGGGGCTGGGGGGTCTGGATCGGCTGTCAATGCCGTCCATGTCAATGCCCTCAAACTCGTCGTCAGAGAAGGCAGGCTCCGCTGCCTGCGCCCGTGCAGCCATCACATGCGCCGCAGCAGACCCCCAAGCGCCTGTGAGTGAAGACCGGCACCTCGTCAGGACAGTTCAATGCATGCAGCATCCAATGAAGTGTATACATCCAGCATTAGGGGCATTTGGAGCGAAGTATAATGCACGTGTATGAGCTGGATTAAGCACGTACGTGGTGGGGGTGTGGCGGCAGCGCGCAGAGAGGGGAATTCCCTGTGCAGCGCGTCCCTCTGTGCAGCCTCCTCCTGCCGTCTTGCTTCCTCGGCCGCCTTCTGCTCATGCTGCTGCTGGGCAGAGTGCAGCGCCGCACTCGTCACCTGCTCCCAAGAAATGGTCTTATGCACCACAGACATTTTGCGTCCCTCACAGCTTGTCTGTTTTCTGTCTAGCGACACTCCAATGTTGAGGGTAGCCCCATGGACGGAGCCAGGAATGTCTTAGTATCCCTGCCTTTCTTGTCATGTAACAGATATCTTTTATCTTACACAGGCAACCTCACATATTCATCACCAAAGTCCTGCTAAGCACACAAGCATGCATGCTGGATGGAACTCTCGTGCAGCACGGACCTCCTTGACGGCGGCGGATGCTGCCGAGGCTGCTTCCCCAGGAGACAGCAAGCTGCCATCTTCTGGGTGGGACTCCAGGATCATGCGCTGCCTGCGCTCAGCCCAGGCCATGGCACGCGCGGCCAGTGCATCTATTGCCGCGTAGATGAACGGCGCTTCCATTGCAGCATCCCGCCCTCCTTCCGCTGTCACCTGCATGATCTCAGCTACTGCAGTCAGACATATCCTATGGCAGGGCTTGGCGGAAACACAGTACAGTGATGATCAGGGAACAGCATAAGATGATGATTTGAGAGCGGCACCTGCGCCGCATAGAGAGCGAGCTGTTCTGCAGCCTGCTTCCAGAGAGCATCTGCCTTGCTGATGGCGCTAAACTTGGCAAACTTGTTGTACAATGCCATTGTGGCAATACTGCTAGCAGACTTCTTGTGCTGTGCTTTGGCTTCAGCTGAGGCCCCTTGCTTCAACAGCGTCTCTGCTGCATTTGATTTCCAGGAGCTTTGAGCACTGACTTGGCCGCTAGGTACCTGCACCACAGCGAAGCAGCGGATTTTGAATTTTGATATGCAATTGGGGGGGGAGTGATATTCAAGCCAGTGCGAACAGGATAACTTTGTGAGTGTACGAACCTTCGGGCTGTCTGCCTCGATTTCCTCCTCATGCGCGTGGACAGAGCCAACCTCTGAAGGTATGATGCTGTGCCGAGGGCGGCGCAGCAGCCTGAATGTCACCTTGTCTCCCACCTGCATTGTTAAAACTGAGGTCAACCTGAGGATCCCCACGCATCAGACCTGCCAAGATCTAGACAGAGGGAATGCAATGGTCACACACTTTGATAGCAAATCCTTCCATTCAGATGAATTTCAAGCAGAGCGATCTCCATGCATGCACCAAACCAAGCGCTTCATATTTCTTCGCAGAATTTTAGTGAAGTCCCAGTCAGGTGAAGACATGGATGTTTTGTAGCATGCCAACATGTGCAGATCTTGAGTGGTGTGTCTGGCTGGCCTACTCAACCTGGTTATAGTGTTGCAGATACTGCGCAACACACCTTTGGCTGCTGAACCTGGTGGATGTGCACCAGGCGCAGTTCACGAGCCACAATGGGCTGGAAGCAGAGGGGGCACGGCGAGGCTTTCCTAAGGCTGTCCCCGCCGTGGGTGATCAGGTGCGCCATGATGGAGGGGAAGGCAAACACGTGGCCGCACGGCGTGATCTGGGGACACACCGGTGCCATCTCCAGAGAGATCGGGCACTGCACTGGCTGCGTTGTCAGCATGTCCACCTGGCCCACAAAAAGTCAAATTCAGCAATGAGACATGCGTGGGAGGATTACCAGAGAGTATCTTGTACCCCCTGGCATCACCAAAACAGGGGACTCTAGAGTCCCCTGACCAGATGGACGGTCATCAATAATTGCGGCCACTTCTGCCTTATACAATACTGGGCACTCATGAGGACAGCGGAAAAGCCCTCAGGGACAAGAGGGCAGGCTGCAAACCTGGACAATGTCTTCCCAGTCTAGCATGAGGTCGGCGTCAGCCTCATGCCTCCTGAGGTCGGCCGTGTCGGACACCAGGAACCTGAAGTTGGCCTGCAGGAATTTGTTGCGGTTGTACGGCTGCGGCCGCGGCGCCCCCTTGCGGCCACCGCGGCCCCTCCCGGCCCAACCGCCGCCCCTGGCAGTGTTCTGCACCAAACGCATAAAAACGCACAATCACACGCCTGCTTGTATCATCGACACTAATCTGATACACTTTGGAGAGTGACATGAGGTTGCCCACCAGATTGCTCCAATGCCGTTGCTTCAGCTCATGGTGTCAGCACCAGAATTTTTCAAAGACAGAGATGAGAAAGAGTACGATGTACCTGGCGAGACTCATACTGGAAATTCAGCAGATGGTTTGCGCTGGTGAATCCAGTGCGAGAGGGACTGCGGCCAAGCACAGCTGCATCTGGCGTGCGATTAGCTGGAGAATCATGCGATGCAGACGCCCTGCGCCACATGCTTGTTATGGAGGTACTTGTTTTTATGCAAGGCGGACACCCAGTAATTTTTTGAGCCACCACAGAATTGATGACAGGAGTTTATGTAGTCAACCTTTCATACCTGTCTCCTGCATGGCGACCGCCGCGTCCGCCACGCAGTGCTGTGCTCAAACCACTATCCCTGTCCTGTGCGACCTTTGTGGCAGGAGTCGAGCTCCCATGGTGTCCGCCCTGCACAACAGTATTCAAGAGAGCATGTGAGATGAAGTCTCAAACATGGTTTTATGTGTGGCCCACACATTCCTGAGTTGTGCAAACCAAGTGGAATGTAAGTAAAACGACACGCAAGATGTATTTGTGAATGTGTGCAAGGAATAGTGGGTGCTTACCCCTCTGCCTCGTCGTCCAGACTGGGGCCTTGTTGCTGGTGCTACGACATGCTTGGTAGAAGCATGTTTCCTGTCATCCTGCATGGTGCCTGCTGGGACCCCATGGTACCCATGTCAAGTAAATGCCACATTGGCGTTGTGAACTTTGCATTTGGTGGAATGCCTATATGCCTTGAAAAATAAAGCCAGTTTCTTCAAAGTTGTCAATCAAAACACTACATAACAGAAGCATATCCTGCTCATAGCTTGTCAGGTACCTGGATTGCTTGGATGGAATGCTGGAGCTTGAGGGTTGAGGTCGGGCCTATGCAAGTCTTCGGCGCCATGGTGAGTGTGATTCTGCTTTTGTGACACAGTTTCCTTTGTCAATTGCTTTGGTCCATTGTAAGGAGTTGACTCTGCAAACATTCACCAAGATGAAAAGCACCAAATAAGCGAACGGTGCTGCGCAAACGCAGAAACACCGTCTTCAGTGACAGTCAAGCAATCAATACGTCTTACAAATTGGGAACACCTTGGCAAGCTCAGCATCCTCACATAAATGTCATAAAGGATTGACCTGAAGCGACATGTCTGGATTCTTGTTGTTGCCTGATTAGTACAGTCCTGATGACATGCAATGCATGCAGCATGAATCTTGTGAGGATCCTGTTTACGTATTGACATCAAGAAAATTCTGGAGTCATGCGTGAAAAACGGAAGGAAGCCAGCAGCTCAGTGCAGGTGTCTACAGATACATCCGGCACCGCGGTCACCGGTCACGGTCACGCCGACCATATGGTGATACGGCAAGCAGCACTCAGCTCTTGAGTCAGTCAGCTGTACATTGTAGGCTGCGCATCCCGCAGTGAAATTTGTGCATGATCAGATGCTGACACATCAGAGCAACCTGAACCCAGATTTTGTTGCATGCCAAGTGTCCAGCTGGCCGCCGCAGGGGATGTGCATTAAGGTGGCGGGGGAGGGGATCCCGTCGGGAGGCACCGAGTTCGAGCCAAGCTTGGTAAGACGGTCTTGGAAAGTTTTGGCCTCTTTCCTGCATTGTAAGTCCTCACTTTGAATAATTGTTCACAGGAAGTGCGTTCGTTAGGGAAGGTAGGCTCGTTCTAGAGGACGTCGTATTGCCGCTGGCTGTTGCAGGGTTGCCGAAGAACAGGGTGAGCACGGCGAGGACCAAGGCCTTCTTGAACAGCAATGCAGCTGTAAAGGCACATATCTTACGTTGGAGGTCGTCCGATCACCGCGTCATTGCATTGGACGGCTTTCAGAGGTATGTGCTTGTCTATTGCTGGAGATTGGCTAGGTTGGTTTTTACCATAAGCGGCTCTTGTTTAACGCTATTTCTCATGTCTTCGGTTTATATTCCAAAAGTTCTACGGCTTGGACGGCTTAGTGCTCAGAAGCTCTCTTCATGCTTCCACAAATAAGAACCCATGGGCACCCTGGGGCTATTAACTAGTATTACCTTCGCTTTCAGCCATTCCATTGCTCTTTGGGCCTCCTGGTGGTACGAAAACAGCATTTGTATAAAGAGACAGCGACAGTGCTCGCACGCGTCTTTTTCAGAACTGCTCGCTGACCTGATACAGTGGGAGGATTGGTCTTGAGGCTTGTTTCATTTCCTCAAGTTGAACCACTGCCAGATACATTGTGCTCTTCTGTAGGCAGATCAAATTGTGTGGACCTTCGCTGAAACGTGAGCTTTCGGAATTGAAATCTGAGAAAACCTTTTTGATTTTCTTCTCTTTGCAGGATCTGTACATAGATAGAGCAGGGAGACAGTGAGAGCGCATGTGCAGTTAGCACGTCCCGGACGCTGATTGTTTTTCAGCTGAGTGGCAGCCTGCATTTGTGTCCTTTGTAGTGGCAGCATTTGGGGCAAATGCAGCAGGATCCAAGCACGCCTCCTAGAGGCACTCACTCTAACGGCAACGGCTTTCCCACAACCCGTGATGGCGAGACACAGACAGCTGGTCGGGGCTCTGCCAGAAAGTCCACTCTACGATTTTCTGACACTGCAGATCTCATGGACACACCTCCATTTCTCAGGTGCTCATCTTTGTGTCCCCATGCTGAGGACAACCCAGTCCATCCCTTTCTGCTTTACGTGCATGCATGTCTAACATTTTATGAAATGCACTTTGCAGATGATCATGTGAACTCCAGAATGCATGGCACTATTACTGATGGGTGTGGCGGACATGATTGCATGCCTACATTTCCAGTGGAGTGACTGTGTTTGGTGAATGCCAGGGCGCCCCGCACACCAATATACAGTGATCGCTTCATCCCCAGCAGAGCAACATCATCCCGCTTGGAAGGCTACTCGCTGTTGGACAGAGCGGGGGTGGCAGATGAAACTGCGCATGTGTCAGAGCGGGAGGAGGCCAGCGGGGCTTACACCCAGCTGCTGCGCACAGAGTTGCTCGGGCTACCCCCCAGCCAGCTGTCCACACCTGACAGACATGGCAGCACCTCCAATGGCTTTGTCAGCCCCACCAGCAGGTGTCTAGCATGGATTTCAATGCATGTACGATGACATTCTGCTGACATCCTGCTAATGAGAGCGGGCCTTGCAGTACACTCTGCATTGACTGATGTCGGCGCTCGTGTGTGCACAGTCCTGCAAGGAAGATCTTTAGGTTCCAGTGCGGAGATGCAGCAAGCCCAATAGCTGGAGCGCCATTACAGTCTCCCTATGCCACGTCAAACATGGGCCGCGACACATCTCTGGGATCCCCATTGACGAGCCCAAAACGGGCACAGCGGAAGATTGCTCGTTCCCCATTCAAGGTGCCCTTACCTCACACGTGTTTCATCTTAACGGGCCTTCATTGCCCCACATTTAACATCATGAGTAAATACTGTAAAGACGTTTCTGGGAAGTTACGGTTGACATGCAAGACGTGTATGGATGGCACAGGTGCTGGATGCACCGCAGCTGCAAGATGACTTCTATCTGAACCTAGTGGACTGGTCAAGCCAGAATGTGTTGGCTGTGGGCCTGGGCACCTGTGTGTACCTGTGGTCTGCCTGCACCTCAAAGGTGAGCGTTCATCAGAACTCATGATCTTTTGCATAGGCACATGACACTAATAATCTGTCAACAAGAAGTTCAATTCCCTTCATATAGAGTTGCACATTGTTGACATGCGCCATAATGAGTTACTGTGCTCCACTACGGTTATGAATGTGGCTGACTGGAGATGTTGTCGCAGGTGACAAAGCTGTGCGAGTTTCCGGCGGGACCTGGAGGGGACAGCGTGTGCAGCGTGTCGTGGAGCCAACGAGGCACATACCTGTCTGTGGGCACCAACAGCGGCATTGTGCAGATCTGGGACGTGGCAAAAGTGAAGATGTGAGTTCTACACCCACTCTCAAAGGCCCTGCTTCATCCGTATACTCCCACTGAGGAGCCATGCATCACCTGGCATCAGGCACATTCGAGACTTGATAGGAGCAGGCTCCAGTCCTCATAATTTGTTTAATTAATTTCCATGCGAGTGTGCATTATTGAAAGGCAGATGCATGGTGCAATGTGCAGGGTGCGGACCATGGGTGGGCACAGGGGGAGGGTGGGCACCATGGCGTGGAGCAGCCACCTGCTCAGCAGCGGCTCAAGGGACCGCAACATCCTGCAGCGTGACATCCGCGCTCCAGAGGACTTCCAGCACAAGCTCCTGGGGCACCGCTCTGAGGCAAGCCCTCTGCATGCAACTGGTCTCCCCCTGGTGCCTGTATTATCCTCGTATCTGACCTCCTTCATCCTCTTGATGAGCTGCTCCTCAAAGCCTGGTGCCCATTGTCTTCATTTGTGGCCTCTTTATTTTTAGATTTGCTCTTCCTGACATTTTGTGCACATGTGCAGGTGTGCGGCCTAAAGTGGTCACCAGACGACAGGGAGATAGCCTCTGGGGGCAACGACAACCAGCTGTACATCTGGGGCCTGCACTCCACCAGCCCGGTGCTCAAATTCAGCAGCCACACAGCCGCAGTCAAGGCCATTGCCTGGTCGCCGCACCAGCATGGCCTGCTGGCATCTGGCGGCGGCACTGCTGATCGCTGCATCCGTTTCTGGAATACTGCCACATCATCCAGCCTCAACAGCATAGACACAGGTGTGCCCCTCATACTTCCTAGCCCCATTTGTTATCTTTTGTGTTTGACATTGCTCCTGGCTTGTGCCTTCTCATCGTGGTGCAAGACATCTTCTACATGGCAATTTGCAAGGGCTAAGAGTATGTGTTGGAATTGCAGGCAGCCAAGTCTGCAATCTGCTGTGGAGCAAGAACGTGAACGAGATTGTGAGCACGCATGGGTACAGCCAGAACCAGATCGTTGTCTGGAAGTACCCGTCCATGAGCAAGCTGGCTACACTGACTGGCCACACCCTCAGAGTGCTGTACCTGGCCGTCTCGCCTGATGGCCAGACAATCGTTACAGGGGCAGGTGTGTTGCTAGACTCAGACACCAATGTAATAGCATGTCTGACCTTCTTCAATTGGAAGAGAGTGCGTACATGAAAAGTAGTGCGAGCAATGTCTGCATGTAAGGTTCACCCACAAGGCTCAGAAGTGAGACGGTCCTCCATGCTGTAATTTGCAAAGCTGTCCCAGAGCAGGCTGAGATGTTTGCTGACAATGCACAGGGGATGAGACGTTGCGGTTTTGGAATGTGCTGCCGGGGCCAAAGTCGCAGGGCTCTGGGAATGACTCATCTGTCAGCTCCATGATGAGGACCCTCATCAGATGAAGACAGATGCAGCCTGTGCTTGCTGTTTCCCTGTGAGTCTGTGTGTAAAGTGTGTCTAGGGGTTCCCTGCAAGTGGCAGGCAGAACATCTGCATGTGCGGTCATAATGATTTTGCGATAGGAACAGAGTGAGGGGTTTAGGGGTTAGTGAGACGTGACAGCTGTGCATAGTGCAGCGTTCATCAATCCTGCATGTGGTCGTGAGACACTTCAATGCTGAACGCTTGCATCAGGTTGATTCATAGCAGACCCTATGCAGTGCTTCATTGCATTAGATGAATCGGCAACACCTGTAGCAAACGCAACCTTGTGTACAAGGATCCCTTGCCTTGTCTATCCTCTGCTATGCAGCTGCAGAAAGTGCAGCACTTCTCAATGAGAACTTCTCGCCAGCCTTTTTGCAGATCTTGCAGCCAATTTGAGATTGATGTCAAATTGCTTAAGGACACGTAACCCTTCTTGAAATAAAGAAAATTTCAAGAAACTGAAATTCTGCAGCGCCAAAATTACAGAGCAGAAATTCTGTGGAGCCAAACTTCAGTGTGACTTCTTTGAGGTACTCATGTTTAGGTCAACAAAGCCGTTGCAATCAACAACACCCTCAGGAGCTGTCACTCTCCTCCCATCCCAACTGACACCAACTCTTCTCTTCACCAAAGCGCTGAACTCCTCTTGACTCTGAACATCACAAGTATTGTCAGCTGCTGCAGCCCTGCTCTAGCTCTGCAGTGGACAACTTTGACTTGAGCAGACAGAGCCTCTCATGGGTCAAAATGATAAGAGACAGAAACATGACGATCACGAAAATGGGACTTACCTGGTTGACGGTGGGCAAACTAAGGGTCTTTGCATACAACTTCTGCACATTCTTAGCATACAGAGTTGGAGAAGCCTTTTCCTCCTCGCTAGGCACGTATGGAGGAAGAACTTCCACGTCAACAGCATTGTCAAATTGACAACACATCCGCACCTGCACACATTTGCAAGTCATCAGGGCCTTTACTACAACCACTGATTAGGTCTGCACCCAGAACTTATGCAGAAGCCATGGGTTGAGAGGGAAGGCATGCAGCCCAGTCAAATAGATGCCCAGGGGGGGCTTACAAAGTGCCAGCCCTCATTCATGATGGTCCAGGCAGGATTATGATGGCGCTTGTTGTAGGACAGAACCACGGGGAGGACTGGGACACCGGGCACAAATGCCCCGGTCCTAAATCGCAGCACGCAGCGCCCATCCCCACATGTGCCCTCTGGAGCCATGAACAACATTGGAAACCTCCTGTCCTTCGCCCTGCAACACCCATGCGCATGCCTTTTCACAGAACTAACAATGGTGGATATGGTGGACCACCATATCAAAGCAACAGACAACTACAGCCTTGCAACTGCACTCCAGGCATCGGCCTTCAGTACCTGTGTGGGCTTTTTCTGTGCGCACCGTTTTGCAATTTTCTCTGACACGCTCTCAGCGCCATTCTTGCGCTTCTCCCCTTCTATGCTGTCCCTGGAGACATATATGTTCTGGAAGGAGCGTATGCACATGCCGATCAGCGGCAGGTGTGCGTTGCTCTCCTTTGAGACTCCGCTCGGAGCAAAGAGAAACATTATCAAGACGGCGTCCACCCAGCTGCTGTGGTTGAAGAGGCCAATCTGCGCACAGCACCCAACATGTATTTTAAAATGTTGTGGCAAGACAGCAGTGGCAGCGCCAGCATGAGGCTTTATATGTAAATCTGGAAGATACAGCATTTCGGACGGATGCTCAAGTGCATCTGCAAGGCCGCACCGCGCCAAGCTCCATGGCTTTGGCTGCGTTCTTCCAGCCCTTCACCCGAATGCGGAAGCCCAGCATGATCAAGACAAACCCAGCACAATTTGCACTGGCTGTCACTATTTTCCTCCTCCATGCTGGCATGGGCTCCTCAATTGGCCTGCAAGGTGCCTTGTCCTAAGCTCCCTAGTAGCACATGGCGGTGCAGGAGAGAAAACCGAATTACAGAGGTATAGTGTCCACGGGTTGATTATCCTACCATCCAAGAGCTGCAAAGTAGCTCATGATTGCCAAGATTGTTAGGGATAGAATTCCTAGGACCACCCTAGGTAGAAGCCATGGGAGGAGAAAGGCCATTTTCACTGCTTCCCTGCATGAAATAAAGACAGCATCAAAAATAATTTGAAAGCTATATTGAGATTCTTCAATTACTTTGAAACGCAGTAGAAGGAGAAAATTTAGGCCCAGATCGATTTCAAGTCCTTGGCTGTGCAAGTAAAAATTGAAAGCTGGAGAGCTGTTACCATGACGTAAAGGGTGTTTTAAGCTCCAAGAATGGAGAATTCTTGGTGTCATACTGTTTCCAGTGCTCCTTGCTAGAGCTAGCTTTTGCCATGACCGTTGAACTCCAAGGTCGGAATGATCCAGCAAATGCTCAGTACTTGTGGTTGAGATTATATGGACGATTCTTTATCAAGACCAATCTATCATGTTGAGCATGCTCCAGCGCGGATCCCTTGCAATTCAGGCTTGAATTGCACGAAGTCCAAGGCAGTTGAAGTTCACCTGAACTGGCTCCCTGCAATGACTCAGCAGAGCATGCAGCACAGTGATGAATACTAAACGTGGAAGAAGTGTCTCCACGCATGATCTACTTATGTTTTTAGATTTCTTTGTGAAGTCTGGATCGTGATATCAACGTTGTTTCGTTCAGCCGAGTCAGAATTATTTCATTACTTCTGTGCAGTAACGTAGTCTTGATCCAACGAAGTGTCTCCTTCGCAACCCATATCTTAGCCTCTGGAGATTACAGTCACCGTAATCTAGCTGAATATCGCATGCCGTATTGCGTCTAGTATCCAGGTCGGCAAGTGTGGAACTTCGCTAGTTCAGACAAGGTCACCGCACAGTTTCAAGGGGTTATCAGACGGGCTGTTCCAATGCACAGTCGCAGACTTGCAGCCAAGTTGTTGCAGAGTGTCCTGATCCGGGCCTCAGAGATCACCAGGGCTGCATCAACATACTGTGCAGAAGCCAGGGGCTCTGTACTATGCCAGCGCGTGTGTCTTCAAGGAACAGCGGAGGTGCAGGTACAGAACAGATTGCAACTCAGGCAGATCGGCAGAAGAGGCTATGCTGCAGAGGCGCAGGAAGTTGACACAGGAGTTCAGATGCTGGAGGATGCAAGGAGGAGGAGCAAGCTGTGGCAGCGGTTCGGGATCATTGGTATGATCATGCATTCCTGCACATTCTCACTATTGCTGAGCGAAAACCTTCTCTGTCTCATCTGATGAGGACATTGCAGAGCATGTGACTCATCATCATGCAAATTCTCATACTGTGTGCTTGCAATTTAGACTCTGCCATGCTGGATGCCCAGGTGCTGCAGCAGCCGGTGTGCTGGCAGTGCTCATCTACCAAAAGGATCTCAACCAGGAATCATTGATGCCTGAGGCAGTAGAGCACGCCATGAACCAGCTTACAGGGGACAAGGATGAGCATCACCTGGTCAACTGGTCCAACACTCATGAGTGCCGGCCCAAGCGCTTCTACCAGCCAGAGACGCAGGAAGAGCTTGAAGCCATTGTGAGGGAGGCGCATGAAAAAGGTCCGATGCCCATTTCTGTTTAATTCACAGCAGCGCTTCCATGGTGTCAAAATGTAGGAAGAACTTCCTTAATGAGTTTGATTGATATTGAAGAGTAGACATGGTGTGCAGGGGAGAAGCTACGCTGCATGGGGTCTGGGCTGTCCCCCAATGGACTGCCCTTCAGTGATGAGGGCATTGTGAGTCTCGCCTTGTTGGACAAAGTGAAGTTTCTGGACCTGCAGCGACGGCGCGTCACTGTGGAAGCTGGCATCCGTGTGGAGCAGGCATGTCTCAGGCTGACTGCACATCAATGCATGCTCCACCCTTTATGTCTGCATCACCTCTGAGGATGTGTTCAATAAGGCTACGGGCAATTGCCGACGGGGTCCTCTATTGTGCCTACCATCTTTCCTTACTGCTTTCTTGAAGTCTTTGAGTGTCTTGGCAGTTGGTGGAGGAGTTGCGGCAGCATGGCCTCACACTCCTGAACTATGCCTCGATACGGGAGCAGTCCATCGGGGGCTTCACACAGGTATTGAGGCCAAATTCATGCTACTCAAGCCTGTGCAACTTTCGACTTCTGGTGTTCTATGTCAGAGGCTTTGTTCGTGAGACGAGAGAGCGTCCACTGGCCACAGGTGAGCGCACATGGGACTGGGGCGACCATCCCTCCAGTGGATGAGTTTGTGGTGGGGCTCAAGCTGGTCACGCCGGGCAAGGGGACCATTTCCCTGACCAGGGAGGATGACCCAGAGAAGTTCAAGCTGGCCAATGTGGGTCTGGGCGCTCTTGGGATCGTGTCAGAGGTCACATTGCAGCTGGCGCCCATGCATCAGCTGCTGGAGCACACATCCGTCATGTCAGCCAAGGCACGCCTCATGCCTTCCTGTGTATGACACAGTACAAAGTCTGACCTGGCTAAACATTTGATCCCTGTGAGTTACATGTATATTGCATGTGCTGCATGGTTGTAAAAATGCTTATAAGTTGTAGTCTGCCTTTGCAGGATATCACACCGAGGAAGCATAACAAACTAATGCAAAAGAACCGTCACCTGCGCTACATGTGGATTCCCTACACCGACTCCGTGGTGGTTGTCACAAACAATCGTGTGAAGGAGGCGAGGTTCTGTTCTGCATGCTTTCATGGAGGCTGTTCTATTCTCCATATATCCTGATGTGTGCTCAAGCCTGGGTGATAAGAAATCGCAGAGATGGAGCTGAAAATCCTGAGGTTGTGCATGCACATGCTGCAGGGAACAAAAGTACCAAAGGTCAAAGTGACATATGCAAGGGATGAGAAGCTAGAGCCACTGAGGCACCTGCTGAGAGAGGCATTGCCTGATAAAGACCCCTCCACCAGTGAGGAGGTGGCATCGCTCTCAAACACACAGCTGCGAGACCGGCTCATCGCTCACAAGCCCCTGGACAGGGACTGGATAGCCCGTATCAACCAGGTGCACCTCCCGTATGAATAAGTCTACTGTCTTGATACATGTGCTAATTTGTTGATGTGATTAGGAGAGTCCAACTGAGCAGAAATGCTCCTCTGATTGCGCATGCAGGCAGAGGCTGAGTACTGGAAGAGGAGTGAAGGGTACAGGGTGGGCTGGAGTGACGAGATCCTGGGCTTTGACTGCGGTGGTGAACAGTGGGTTCTGGAAGTCGCCTTTCCGACCGGCACACTCAAGTGGGCCTCCCTTCCATGCTCACCCTAAAGAAGCGAACATCCGCTCTAAGTGTTGTTCAGAAGAGCTGCCCATTGAAAGCTTCCTTGGAACCCTTCATTGATTATTGTTCCCCTTTTGCATGCAGGAAGCCCAGTCATGCGGACCTGAACTTCATGAAGGATCTGATGCAGCAGATAGAGGAGAACGGCATCCCTGCAGCGTCCCCCATCGAGCAGCGCTGGACAGCTTCCAGCAGCTCCCCCATGAGCCCGGCAGCCGCGCGCGGCCAGCCCGATACCGTGCACTCCTGGGTCGGCATCATCATGTACCTGCCCACCGAGGAGGAAGCCCAGCGGAAGGCCATCACCGACAGGTGAGGATTGACTTCGATTAAGAGCTAGAAAGATACTTTGATAAGATTTTTGGGTCTGCAATAGTTCTCTCTCTGGTCTGTCGCCTTTGCACAGTGCCAAAAACAGGCTTTGTAAACACATGCTGGGTAATGCTTGTCAGCTGCAGCTAGTATGCTACTGTGATATGTCAGATTTAGCTTACGGTTGGATGCACTTTCCCGAATTAGTGCAAAGTTTGCAGTGGTCCTCAGCAAGTGTTACCCATCGAGTATGCACTTGTGGCAAAGACACTGCTCTCATCCTGGCTGTCCGCTCAATCACATTGCCATTGTCAGATATCGTTGCTATGAGGGAACCAGTGGGCAAAACACCGGCCTCTCTTCTGTTCAGGCCACTGAGATGTCCTGCCCTGATGTACATGCAGGTTCTTTGAGTACTGCAAGCTCGTGGAGCAGAAGCTTGTGCCCAAGTATGATGCCACGGAGCACTGGGCAAAGATAGAGGTGCCATACCTGGACAAGCAGGCTGCCAGGGAGCGCATCGCTGGCAGATACCCCGTCGACAAATTCAACGCTGCGCGCCGGGAGCTTGACCCAAAGAACATCTTGGCAAATGACATCATTGACACCCTCATGCCGCGGTCAGACATCCTTGCTGTAGGGTCATCTACTGACGCACCTGCAGTGCCCGCTGCCAGTGCCAGCCTGTGAAAGGGAGAGTTTGATGTTGCAGTTGACGAGGTACACGAGCCCCAAAGGATCTCTCTGCACAGCTTTTGAAAGGCAATGTTCTGGTCAATGTGTCAAGGACTGCCTTCTTGGACTGTGACTGCTAGTTTCAGATATTCTCTTGTGCCGTGCACAAGGCTGTGCTGGCCCATAATGTGTGGTCATTCAATCATCCATGCATTATGCTTGGCATCTGTTGCGTACAAATAAGAGGCTTTCCCAGCCAATGTTCCTAAAATGTCCGCTTAATATATTTCATATCTAGGCTCTACAAGATCAAACTCCAGCGCTGTAACGCATGATAGCAGCTATTTCTAATCACGCCCATTTCGCTCCCAGCATTGTCAATTTCACGTAAGCTTTACTGAAATCCTGGAAGAATCTCTGCTGGTTCGCTGCATACTCCTCGATAACAGGCCGACACTCAGGGTCATCTGGCAAGACATGATCTGATGGCAGCCCGATCATGCTTGCCATGCTGTTGCTCGGATCATCCCAAGGCTTCTTAAGCAGCGCGGTGTAGTAAGCATTATCAAATGTCACAGGATCCCCATAGCCTTTGCTGCCCAGCTGCAACCACAACAACAAGCTCTCAAGCTCAACATTGTGCCTTTACTGAATGGTCAGTCATAGCAATTGGAGTGCATGTCATCATGCACTTGCAAAGGTTTAAAGAGCAGGAGTGCAAAGAGTGGCAGGCATGGCAACGAATCAGAGCCAAGTATGTACCGTGTGTGCCCCGGAGAGCGCGACAAGCTCTTGAGAAGACATCCCCATAGCAGCAAAAGTGAGGCGCAACGCTTCTGCTGAGAGAGTCTCCTCCGGGAGACGGCCTGTTGGGTCCGCCACAGCAGAGTCTCTACGCCCTGTCAACATGCACAAAACCACACCAACCTAATTCATTGGAGCTGGCCCAGCAAATGCCAATTGAAAGAAACCAAAAGAGCGCTGTGCTCTGCAAAATAGGCACTCACCTATGGGCACGTCAATGACAGGACCTCCAGTCACAGACACAGCATATGCGCCACCCAGGGCAATGAGGTCTGCATATGACACGACGCCCTCAGCTGGCGTCCCTTTCAGATTTTCAATGACCTTCTCAATCACCCGCCTAGCAAAGCAGGTATTGCCATCATGTCAGTCTGTGTCTTCATCTTCAATTGCATAGGACCACAAGGAATAGGTGCACGAAAGGGTAAGAAATAAATGTACAGCATCATGCTGCAAATGTACAGATGATCTTACCAGCCCCGCTTCAAGCCTGTGTTTTCAGGGCGCTCAAATTCATACTGTATGGATGCATTTGCTCCTCCATCTCCGCCGGAGACTCTGTGTGTCGCTGCATCATGAAATGCCAATCGCAGCAATACGGGCGCCTGCATTCAGGAAATTGATTTAAGTAAGTACAACGCTTGCAAGAAAGCTAAGCTTGGGCTGACCGAAAAGGAGGTCTCGGACACCCTCCAAAGGCATCTGGTGCCCAAGGGGAATGAGAGCATCACCTTGCTTTTCTCAGCTGACTTCTTGAAGGCTTTAAATACAGCATCCTTCACTGGTCCATCCAGAGTTCTGCCAGCTTCTGCTTGTGCTCTGCATGCAGAAGAACTGGCTACTAGAGCAAGTATACCAATGTGGGCTTGTCTCCTAGAAATAGTTGATCCAGCCTCCAGATCTGCTGGAGAAACAATCGCTCGTCAGTACCAATCACGCCACTGAGGAGAACGCAGTGCCTGGAGCCTCGATCATAGTGATCTGTGGTGACACAGACGCACCTCTCCGCTCTTCCTCATTTGATCCTACTGTACAAGACCTGATCCTTTGCGATATCTTTCGTTGACTCTTGAAAGGGATGCGATTTGTACTCAGCCTCCCAAGCAAAGGATGGCAGGCACTTTTGAAGGCTTGCCAGTCCGACAGAGGCTGCAGGACTGGGGTATGCATTTCTGACAATGTACTTCTATTCCAAAAATAATAAGTCAGCTGGTGTATTGGCTTAAAATATGAGAGGGAAGCTTGGATGGATCAAAAGACAGCCCATCAGAGCGTATCCTTGCGAATGTACAGCTTCTTAAAATAGCTCCTTCGCTTACTTTCAAAAAGTGCGTCATGCATTTCAGTGTTTCCTCTACAGTTTGTTTGCCCCATGCTCAAGTCATAGTTGTCAGAAGTTTCCCAAGGCGAACTTCAACCAACGTTCGTGGCGGCGTCACCCTTGAAGACAGAGCAGGTGATCTGCGTTCTTCCTGTACGAGGAGGTTGGAAGAGGTCATTCGAATGCACTATATGCCTTGTAGGAAGAGTTACAATGATTTAAAAATCCTTCTCAAGATATCCCATGCATCCGCTGGGATAAGTGTTATGTTGGGGCGGCCCCTTGCCAGTGGTGACAATGCATTGCCGAGTCAGGTCAAGATGGCTGTATACAGCTTTTCTGCTTAGATAGATTGCAGCAACACACTTTTTGGTATCTAAAAAAATAGCAAGGTCCGCTCGCGCGGCCAAATTGAACATATTGTGTGCACTTAGTGGGCCAGGTGGCTAACTTTGTGTCAAACCTGTACTACTTCACGGCCTGATTTTTCTCATTCTCACAGGTGTACAAAAATTCGACAAATTGTAAGGACATGGAGGGGGATAACAGCGCTCAGAAGGCAGATGTTGAGGCCGCATCAAAAGAGCATTTCCAGTGGCTTCTTCCTGCAATCACCTACTCTTCCATGCAGCCGTCGAGGACTGAGTAGGCCCAGATTCCTGATGAAGCTATGTTCTTTTAAGGGTACCACAGGATCATGTCCTCACACCACCGAACTTTGCTTCGCGGAATGTGCAGGTTTCCAAAGGACACAATACCGGCTCATGTGGCAAAGGATCTTGTCTTGGACATGCGATCACTGGATGAACAGCCCAGGTCAGCACAAGGGGTCTCTGAATTGATGTAGTTGATTTGAAGTTCCTGTCAGCACCTCTGCAAGGGTGTAAAGTCAGAAAAAGCTCATTTCCATGGTTTGTCCACACAATTACAAGTACGAATCCCTTGCATCTTCTGCAGGATGAACCTGGCGACATTTGTCACAACGTACATGGAGGACGATGCAGAAGAGGTTTTCAAAAAGACCTGGAACGTGAACGGAGCCGATGCCTCGCAATACCCATCCTGCCAGACAATGGAGAAACGGTGTGTTCTGCTTCCGTGGTGCATAGTATGCAGTCTGATCCAGAATCCTGTCGCAACAACCCCTGCACATTCCTGTCTCATGCTTTTGTGACTCTGTTTGCATCGCAGGTGTGTTGCAATGCTTTCAAATCTCTATCACTCCCCTGCCAGCAAGCCATGCGGAGCAGCCACAGTTGGGTGTACGGAAGCATGCCTGCTCAGCGGACTGGCTGCCAAGAAGCTGTGGCAGCGGCGGCGGAGAGCCAGCGGCAAATCAACCGAGCGGCCCAACCTGGTTGTGGGCGCTCACTTTCAGGTCAGACAAGTGCCCGCCTGCAAGCTGCACATGCATGGCCAATCAGAACCACCTGCATGCATGGTGTTAAGTTTGCGTTGCTGACGGTGCACAACCATGCCAGCGACCTGCAGATGCTTGCGAAGAAAATTGGCAGTCAACTGCCTGCATGGGATCTTTCAGAACAGCTTCTTCAAGCCATAGTGATTCCTGAGAGCACTGGGAAATCTCGGCACAGGTCTGCTGGAAGAAGTTCTGTGTCTACTTTGATGTGGAGATGCGCGCTGTGCCTGTGAGGGAGGACTACCTGGTCCTGGACCCCAAGGACGTGCCTCAGCATGTCGATGAGAACACTATTGGCGTGGTCAGCATCTTCGGCAGCACTTACAACGGCCAGTTCGAGGATGTGAAAGCCCTGGATGCTGTCGTGGGTGAGTTGGCACAGCCAGGCTTGCCTCATCTTCACCTTTCACTGCCCAATACTAGTTTTTATGTCTATCAATACTGTTTTTGCATGCCGTCCCTGCCAGAGGCAAGGTGCATCTGCACTGCCCAATTGGCACGGTCTCATTTGGAAGCACTTCACGCGCAGAGGACCTGAACCAGAAGAATGGCTGGGAGCTGCCAATCCTGGTTGATGCAGCCAGTGGGGGCTTTGTGGCTCCTTTCCTGTACCCGGACCTGGTGTGGGATTTCCAGCTGAAGAACGTGCACTCCATTTGCGTGAGCGGCCACAAGTATGCGAGCGCACCTTTTCTGTCATCAGATTGCCATAGAAGGGGCATGTGCGGGTGCATTAATACACTTTCGTAATCTTTCATACATCGCACAGGTACGGGATGGTCTACCCTGGTATTGGCTGGATCATCTACAGAGATGAGAGCTGCCTCCCTGATGACATGGTGCGCAGCTTTTGTACTTGGCACTCTGGTCAAACTTGCATTAACCGACAAGCTTGCTGCCTCATGTGAAGGCCTGAGGCCATGACGGATGCCTGTGCAGGTCCTGACCACCAGCTATCTGGGAAAGCCTGAGCCCACCATGACCATCAACTTCTCTCGCAATGCAGCCCAAGTGGCGGCGTCATACTTCAATGTGCGCCTAATTTGACCAGCCTAGTTTTGTTCAGCTAATTGTTGCGCTCTGCTGTGTGTTGCATGATGTGCATTGTTTACCTGCAACATGTGCTTGCTTTCTCTGCTTGAGCGCTTGTATGATGTGCCTGCTGGGTGCAGTTCATCCGTCTGGGGCGCATGGGGTACACGCTGATCCTGGAGAACTTGCTGAACACAGCCAAGCGCCTGGGCGAGAGCCTTGAGAAGACAGGTGCCTTCGCTCTCTATCTAGCCTTTTTTGAGACGTAACGAATGTTCTAAGTCCAGTCATAATGCCTATCAGCAATCACTTCTTGCAGGGCACTGGTCAATATGATTCCACCCATTGAGGATGTTCTAAATTTCACCAGAATGCCTCTCAGCAAGCACTGCTTGCAGGGCACTTCCGGATGGTCAATGAGCCAACAATGCCAGTGGTGGCCTTCTCGCTGACAAAAGTGGATGGCAAGGATCGGGTGTATGACGAGTATGATGTCATGTTCCGCATCAGAGAGTACCGCTGGATGCTCCCGGCCTACTCCTGCCCAGAGAACGCCAAGTATTGCCCCACCCCTTACCCTTGCATAAACACTGCATTGGCAACACCAAGCTTGCTCATCTGTTGATGCTCTGGGGGTCTCCTGTGCAAGCAGAGTGGCGCTGAGACCTAGCAAATCTGTCGCTGGAGCTTTCTCCGTTGCATCTGCAGGAACATAAAACTGCTGAGAGCTGTGATCCGGCTGGATGTCACTCTGGAGATGGTGGATGACCTCGCGCAGCACCTGCAAGATGTGCGCTCGCCACCCAGCTTCTTGTCACAGCGCTCAAAATGTGTCTTGTATGTTGCACGTCTTGCATTCACATGGCGAGGGAGCCCTTTCTCCTAACTCTCTAGCGCTCGCACTGCCTTGATGTTTGCGTTTTTATGTAGACAAAAGTGCAAAAGTCTGCCTGAATGCAGACTGTCTCTGATCATGACCAGTGGGATTTGGGGTTGTGCGCCTGTGAATGTCAGGGATGGCACCTGTCCTGACAGTGTGTCATTGTGCAGGTTGTGGAGTGGCTTGACATGCACTATGAGGGAGCAGATCCTGCACACTTGAAGAAGATAAAGGAGCGCTTCCACAAGGTGGAGCCCGATGCAGAGATGGGGCTGTAAATCACCCAGCGCAAGGATCCTCAAAAGCTTGCATTCAGCTTGAATTCGAAGTAGCTGCAAGGCAATGGTGTTATTGACTTCATTAAGGAGAAAGGCCTCTTGACTGCGACCGGCATGCCTCTGAATGTTTCTTACCATTTCAACTCTTTTGCTTCCCTTATTTTTGAGTTCTGGACTTTGATGGAAATGGTCAGAACTCCGATGCCCTTGACACAGTGAGCTGTTGCCCATGTAAGTGACATCTATAGCTGGAATCCTTTCAAAAAGTTCCCAAAGAATCCATTGCTGTTTGACCTGTTGAATTTGCCGATGAGCATCTCAAAGCGCTTATCTTCTCTCACTGCCTCCAGATCCGGATCTTCCCGCATCTGCTGATAGTCTTCATACCCTGCTTCGAGAGCCCCTGCAAACACAGTCAAACTCACACTTTGCATTCTTCACATCAAGGCAGCCTTTCCTCCTTGCTTTGGCGCTGGCACTGCCTCCCACGCACGCACTCTCTCCTGGTAAAATTCTCTATAGTCAGGATGAAGCCTGAGCGAATAGCATGACACGGGCCGCACCGGCCAGGGCCATAAGGCCAGGTTCCGTTTTCCCCAGCCTTGACTGGCAGCATGCTATATTGTAAAGCGCTGCCTGCTTCTCCCCATTGCTAATTGTAGGGGGCTTATCCCTGCCAGCACAAAATAAATTACGCCTAATATTGAAACTGAGAACCAAGGCCATTTCACTTGAAAGGGGTACGGAAACAGAATTGGGAGGGAGTGCTGCAGCTTGCCTGAATTGCTTGATCCCTGTTCCTGGCAGATTCATCGCCTTCTCAAAAATACCCAGGGCGGTCTCATACTGCCCTGCATTATACAGTTCCAAGCCCACCTGCAGCAATCACAGATCGTCCCGTTGGCCACCGGTCAAAAACTTAAATACATATCAGTTATTGCAATGAATGCTGATATCCTTCAGAGGGTTCGACCAGCCCTACGGCGCACCGCAATCGCTCCTCTTGCATCTTCCGGCTCGGGCACGTCTTGAATTATAGAAGTGTCCGCAGGCTCGGCTGATACTTTCAATAATTCTGATCTGTGACTCACACATCGAGATCGATTGCTTGCAGGTCTTGCGGTTGTGAAGTGTCTGAACGGATGACCATCTCCATGCTGAACATATGTGTTCACAAGCAGAGATTTGCTGGTCTGCATCATCATGGCGTCCTTACTTGTCTCTCTCAAGAAGGAAAAGTCTGCGGAGAGAAGGAAGAAGGACTCTTTCTGAAGGAGGAAAGAGATAGATTTCGTGATCATGACTGATATCATGTGCCACCTCAGTGAGCTTCCTCCTAGATCCCTCCGATGGCTTCTTCCTCCTTCCAGCTCAATTTATGTTGGAGTCTGAACTTGAGGATATAGCGAAGTACTTGCTGTAAGGTAGGAGGCGCTGCAGCGAATCGTTGCATCAAGCAATTCGTCCTTCTGCTGAGTAGTTTACAGCTACAAGCTCTTCAGAATCTAGCCCACCGCTTTCAGGGATCCAAACGGCATTGGTTTCGTCTTCCTCGCATACAGAGCCAATCAAACTAATTTTCTTTGAAAGAGTCTCGAGCCCAACGTGATCTGATGGGAGGTGATAAGCTGCTGGATCAGATCTTTAACCTTAAGTTTACCAGCAAGCAGCTCGTGAAGTCCAGCAACAAATGCGAGAGGGAAGAAAAGGGCGAGAAGCTCAAGGTATGTCCTGCCTTGATACTGCATCCTTACTTCCTTTCTACTGCTTTGTGTTGCCAAACTTCAAGCTCCAAGGTACTCCACTGCCGTGTCATCCTCCTGTTTCCCTCTTTGTCTTCAATAGAGTCTTAGGTCAACATCAGTTCTGCACGAAACAAGTAGTCACTTTGACGTGTTCACAGGTGAAGAAAGCCATTGAGAAAGGCAACATCGACGGTGCAAAGATCTATGCACAGAACGCCATCCGGAAGAAGACAGAGGCCCTGAACTACCTGCGCCTGGCCTCCCGGCTGGATGCAGTGGTCTCTCGCCTGGACACCCAGGCCAAAATGAACATGATCAACTCCAGCATGTCCCAGATCGTGCGTGCACTCGACAAGGTGATCAGTCCTGCCCAGAAGTTGCCATTTTCCCATCCCACCCTGTGTATGCCTGTACTTGCATTCCTGGCAGTCCTGATGCGCCGAAAAAGCAACCACAGCACAGCAGTGCTGAGAAGGGACGCTTACTCAGAACAGTATGCTATTTGACCAAGACTGTATGGTCCCTTGCGCTGCCGTTTAGACAGAACTTCACCATCCTGGATAGCTGTTCTGGATAACCGTCCTCAGAGAGAACTTTTGCTGCGCAGGCTCTGGCATCCAACAATCTGGAGCGGGTGGCGTCGACCATGGACCAGTTTGAGCGCCAGTTTGAGAACCTAGACGTGCAGAGCCAGTTTGTGGAGGGCGCCATGAACAACCAGGCCAGCCTGAGCACCCCCGAGGAGGACGTCAACATGCTGCTGCAACAGGTGTGCCATGCATACATAATGCTGTTGCTGCATGAGGCTGCTTTCGTGGAGTCTCTCGCACGTCGAGCTGCATGCCGAGGTCGTGCAATTCGTACAGCGCAATAACGCAGAACCTCAGAACTGCAATACCCAGAATACTTGTGGGCAGATTGCTGAAGAGTGGATCTGTGCAGGTGGCGGACGAGCACGGACTGGAGGTCCAGCTGAATCTGCCGCAGGCCGGAGCGGCGGTTCCGGCAGCCCAGCAGCAGGCGGCAGCCGCGCCCGAGTCAGACCTGACCCAACGCCTTGCTCAGCTCCGCGGCAAATAGTCATGATGCCTGGTCCAGTCGTGCAATTGCATTTGCGGGTATAAAATGTCACATCAGGAGCCGCTATGCTATTGGAAATGCTTCCCTGTGTATCACTTGTGCTTTACGTGTTTCTCCTAGCTAGCTCTATAGAGCAAGGAAGTTACTACCTTTTGTGATGAGTTCTGTGCTCCGTGACTGGTGAGTAATATCTCTTGATGGAGTATGGAAGTAACTTCCAGGGAAGTTACAGGCACAACTTTGAAGTAAGAGCGCCGATCCATCCAGAGTATGCGAACACGTTCACAGGGAATGATGTTTCTGACCTTCTAGAGATCTTCAAATGAAAGGCTTGAAATGAAGCAGGTCACTTCAAGTAACCATCAATCTGAGATTGAAAGTCTATCCAGATCCCTTCCAGCCTGCCTAGCCAAGCCAGGCCTGCATTAGTGCACCAAAAGCATTTTCATGCTGCTGGCAGGCATTAAGCATTCTGCTTGCACCAATCGCTGCATAAAGCTGCGCACTTGGGAACATCACATGTCGGACTGCGCCCACATGCGGGCTTCGTTGTTGCTGCTGGCCAGCTCGTTCTTGGTCTTGAACATGTTGGCCTCAAACCCATTGCTGCGGTCCACGCCATCCCAGTGGCGACCAGGCCTCATATTATAGCGGTTCACAGGCGGCCCGATGTTGCGCTTCAGCCAGCTGTGCGGCGGCACTTCCTGCAGCGACAAAGACTAGACACTTCATTTGCAACCCAGAAGAATGCTATATATATGCTACCGGAAGATTGCATGGCAGACTCTACAGATACTGGAGCAAGATTCAGCATCAAGCAGTCATGCCTATGAGCTTGTTGGACATGCCTGGATACCAGATCTCTAGGAGCTAATAAACACGTAGAACTGCTGAAAAGTAATATTTGTTGCTCAGAGGGTGGCAACAATGCGTGCCGCAAGTAATGTCAGCGCACCTGGGGCACAACAAAGCCGGACTTGCGCATGAGCTTGCGCATGTGCTCCGGCACGACGGGCGGCGGCGGCGCGTCCTTCTGGCGCTTCTTGACCAAGTGCGCCATGGGGTCGCCAAAGCGCGTGCGCTCGCGGTACGCGCGGTCGATGTCCACGTCCTCCGCCGTGCGCGCAAACGGCTTGGCCGCCTCCCGCCGCATCTCCTCCGCGCGCGCATCCCTCTCCCGCATCTGCGCAGGTGCACAGAATCTATTACGAGCAGTACAGAGAAGCTCACTCGCCCGCGCGTGCGCAGGTGCGACAGCTCAAGAAGTCAGCACACCTCAACAGAAGCAGTACAGGAATAATTACTCTCTCGCCAATGCGCAGGTGGCACCATTTTTATCACGAGCAGTACAAATATGCTGACTATCTCGGATCTCTGCATAACACACACTAGCACAAGCAGTACAGGGGTGCTAACTTGCCCGCATGCTTGCAAATTAGTACAGGGATGCTCGCTCAAAGATCTTCATATCTGTTCTGGCATGCCGTGTGAGATTGCTGAGCGGAACAGAGCAACGCATGCACTGCAGTGTGGACGCTGCTACATAGCAAAAAGTGTCACAGACGCAAGACGCATGGGCTTTGCAGAGCAGTTTGCGGAGGTGCAGATGTCAATGCTGTGAAATGACAGAAGGCACCTGGGCAATGCCGCCGCCCCAGGCAGGCGTCTCAGACTTGGGCTTCTTGCGGGACTCCTCCAGCGCTTCCAGCTCGGCCGCACCTCCCTCCACACGCTTGCCACTCTGCTTGTCTCTGTACACCGTCTCTGCATTGCGCCCCGCTGCGGCACCCAGCTTTGCAAACCGCTCCTTTTCAGCCTGTGCGCAAGCAGTCATGCATCAACACTTTCCTTCCGTATTGTGACGCTGCTTCCAAAGCTTGCAAGGTAGGCAGGGCCACTGACGCCAGCAATTCAATGGCTCACCTCTCTCTTTTTCTGCATTTCGGCCATGAGGTCCCTCCCACTAATCATTCCCGCCGACGTGCCGTCCAACATCCTCTTCTCCTTCTTCTTTGCATCCCCGGCCTCTGCTGCACTTTGACCTGCTCAGGAACACACACCTTCAACACATTGATCTCTCTGTATGGTGGAGGAAATGCATGAACCATCCATTATCCCTGCACCTGACAACTGCAAATGCAGGATGCACCAGATTCTTATCGATGATCTCAGAGAATGTGCCAGTATACCTCTGCGTGGGGGTGAGGCATCACTGTCCCCGTCCCTTTGCCGACGCGGTGGGGAGGCATCCGGGCTGCCATGCCGGCCAGGCCTGCGTGGCGGCGACGCGTCCGGGCTATCATGCCGGGCAGACTTCCGGGGCGGCGAGGCATCCGGCGTGTCATGTCTGACTCTGCGCCGCGGAGGCGACGCATCCGGGCTGTCGTGCCTGACGCCCCTACGAGGTGGTGAGGCATCTTCGCTTTCCTTTGCCGCAGCTCTGCGGGGCGGGGAAGCGTCCGGCGTGTCGTGTCGCTGCCGCCTGCGCGGCGGCGAGGCGTCTGGGGTGTCGTGCCGGTCTCGCCTGCGCAGCGGCGATGCATCGCTGACATGGCGGCCGCTAGGGCTGGGACCTCCGTTGGCGCCGTTTGCTTCAGCGTCTGCCGAGGTCCAGCCTTGCGCGGCCAAGCCTGCTTTTTCCTGGAATGGCACCCTCAACATTAGTGCAGCACATAAAAACGACAACACCTGTTAAATAAGAGCAGAACAATTAGGACACAGTGCTCACCCTTTCAGCCAGGCGCTGCGCAAGCGCAGCTTCTCCAGGATTGGCAATCACCGGGGCATCTGTCCGCAGCAACAGTGACACTCAGACCTGTGAGATATTTAATGCGCATCAGATGGTGCATGACCCAGTCTGGAACTGGGGACTTTTTCTTTCCAGTACCTAGCTGCATCATGAATCACAGTGAGAGTCCTGCGCACCTTCATCATCGTCATCATCTTCTGCATGATGAGATGCTGGGCCAGTGCGAAAGCCTGTGTTGTCCTCATCAACGATCCTGATGCTGCTCACTGCAATTGCTTTCTTTTTCTTCCGCTTCTTCTTCTCTGACCCATCTGTGGTCTCTGCCGTCATATCATGACACACGTGAGCCATGCAATGATAGACAAGGCCGAACAAGGCAGTGTAGGCGTTGAAGATACAAAGGCTCTGTATCACCTGATGAATACTTTTGCAGGTAATCCTGGAGCTTCTTTGCTTCGGCAGTTTGCTCGACTGTCTTCTTTTCAGCCTTCCGTAATGTTGAGAGCCCTGTGAACATCTGCAGCAGCAACATGGATTAGAGTGAGACTCACCAATATAAGCCGAGTCGTCCAGTGGTGCCTGCAAATCTTGGAAAGGATGGGTCGCAAATGCTGGCCAGTGCTCACCTTTAAATATAGAGATTATTTTAAATGAAAAATTTCAGCTCTTTTCATGCACATTGAGGCGCTATGCAGGCTCCAGATCTACAATATGTCTTTGGCAAAAAAATGGTTCCCAGCTTTCCCGGTTGCTAATGGTGCCAAGCTGACAAATGTTTGCCGATCTTGCAAGATGTCTTCTCGATTGCACCTCTCCGTGATTCTAGGAATGCTGTTGACAACTGAAAAAAGGGCGCAACAACTCAAGCGAGGATGTCTGCAGTAGGATTTACACATAGATATGATACGTTTGTTCTGATACTAGTATAACAGTACTCCTAATGCTTGTGCATCGATTTCTGCTTGCTCCACCCAGCACAAGTACGTGCAGGTCATGGCAGGTCCAGGGTAACGTGATCACCTCACGTCACTCGTCTCTGCGGTCTCTTTCCGAGATCACTTGGAGAGACTCACATTCCTTGGGCGGTGGCGAGCTTGCATTCTCGCGATGCTTGACTTACAAGGCCGCAACATACGGGCAGTAGATGCCCCTTCTTTCTCTGCAGGCCCAAGCCATCGATGCTTCTCTCCCACCGTGAACAGGCTAGCCAGAAGGGCCCCTCGAACTAGACATGTAGCCATGGCCAATATCGCGAACAGACTAGAATTCACGAAGTACCAGGGGCTGGGGAATGATTTCATTCTGGTACGTGTTGAGCAGTTGCCCCAAAACTGGTTGAGCCTTTTTCTTGAGCCTGTACATTGTCTACTTTAGAAAGTCTGAGTAAACAAGTAAAAAGGAGAACTTAAAGCGAGTCTGCTGGTATTGAGAGTCCTATGCTTCGAGCTGCTGCAGGTTGACAACAGGCACCAGACAGACCCACTTGTGACTGCAGAACAGGCGAAGTTTGTGTGTGATCGCAATTTTGGCGTTGGTGGAGATGGGGTGAGGGATGCGGTTCTTCTGATTGAAAGGAGCCAGCATTGCTTTGCCGAGTGTCCTTCACCGTGGTTGTACCCAAAGAGTTACTTGGGAACACCTCGCCTCTGCATGGACCATCATTGTCATTGATTTGCTCCCGATTAAATGCAGGTCATATTTGCCTTGCCGCCAGAGGGTGATGTGGATTACACTATGCGCATATTCAACTCCGATGGAAGCGAGCCAGAGATGTGCGGCAACGGCATCAGATGTCTAGCTCGATTCGTGGCGGAAAAGGACAATGCGGGCCCTGTGACGCACAGAATACACACCCTTGCAGGTGTGGACCTTCCCCTTTCTGTTTCCGGCCTCTTCATATCTGCCTCATCAATGCAGTTTCATGAAGCCTGAGTCATATCATGCGTGGGCGCAGGACTGATCCAGCCGACCTTGCAAGAGGATGGGCAGGTCTGTGTGGACATGGGTGCACCAATTCTGGCGGCCCCTCAGATCCCCACCACCCTGCAGCCCACACAGGGCGAGGCTGTTGTGCAGGCCAATCTGGCTGTCGAGGGGCGTGAATGGCTCATGACTTGTGTCAGCATGGGCAACCCCCATGCAGTCACTTTCGGCACAGCAGATGGCCAGACCATCAAGGTACGAGACCCTCAAGCAATCATGCCAAGAAACTTTACAGATACACTCTATCCAGGTCCATAAGTGATGATGTGGTGACAATGATGCCCAAATTGGAGCATGGCTGGAAAGAGCACTTTGCAACTGCAGGTGGATGAGCTGGATCTGGCCCACATTGGGCCGAAGTTTGAGAAGAATGCTGTGTTTCCAGCAAGGACAAACACAGAATTTGTTGAGGTGAGTTTTGAAAACTTTGTCCTTGAAGTCTTACTCGCCATGAATGTGCTCTTCAGAGACTGCCTCTCTATGCTTGGGAATGACGAGTGTCTCTGCATGCGCAGATTCTCAATCGCGGGCATGTGCGAATGCATGTCTGGGAGAGAGGCGCAGGTGCCACGCTGGCTTGTGGAACTGGTGCTTGTGCCACAGTTGTTGCTGGTGTGCTGGAGGGAGTCCTGGACCGCACCTGCAGGTACGAGAGAATTCAAGGGCTCCCGAACGCAACTTAGCCCTGGCATGGTCAGCGTTGGCATGAAAAGCGTGCAACAATAATAAATCATCAAAAGCTGTATGTACTGTACATATGTCTTAGTTGCAAGCGGGGCTTAATGTGATTGTGAATTGCTCAGGGTGGACCTGCCAGGCGGCCCTCTAATGATTGAATGGCGAGAAGCGGACAATCATGTGTACATGACAGGTCCAGCATTGCCAGTCTTCACAGGCAACATGCAGTTGCCTTGACCATTGATAACTTATTACCTAACAATTACTTAAATGTGAATCACATTTCTGCTCTTTAACCAGTTCAATTCTGCAAGTTCTTGCGATGCAAATATCACACCTTGAATGCAAAGGCATCAATAAAGCAATCAAATCTTCTGCACTGTCTCTCTTGCGTTGTGAAACCGTTATGTTCGTTTATGCTTCAAAAAGTCTTGCAAGTACAGTTCTAAAGAGTAATGAGCCTTGGCATATGCGGTCGCAGCCGTCAATTTTTGTTCTCTGAGAGTGCTGTTGGATGTATACGTCTCAATCTGCTGCACCATCTGATCCATGCCATCCACAAAAACCAGCTTATCTTCCCACTGCGCATCAAGTGCTGACTCCGCCCCTGGCTCTGTAAGGACCTGTCAGTGTGACAGCAGCGTGCTCAGACAGTTGAGCAGACATGTCAGCAAAGCCTGTACTGGATCAAGCTACGCTCTGTAGCCATGCAGCACTGTAGCAGAATTGGTCAAGAGCAAAGATGGGTGAAAAGGTATACCACGATGTCAAAGCTGATCGCCTCCAGGATGCGACAGATCTCTAACACCTTTGCCGGGTAGGCGTGGATGTTCAGAATGACCTTGGTGCGCCGAAGCAGCTTGGTCAAGTCCTCCTTGTACGCATCCATATTTGAGACAACAATGGACAAATTCCTTTCAAATCGGAGCTCGTCCAACATCACGTTCCGGTGACTTCCATTGACTATCCAGCCATAGAACAGGATATCAATGTCCTTCTCAGCCTCTGTCACCGGGGGGTCCTGCATGCATCAATGTGGCAAGGCCAGACACTTTATGGTTTGTGTATGTTATTTTCATTGGTGAGAAACATCCATCGACAAGGCAATGCTGGCAAGTCTGACAGCTGGACTTGCAAAGTCCATTTGAGAAACGCACACACCAGGGGAAACCAGCTGAAAGGCACATGTCGGAAGTTGGCATCCCTCCCCTCAAAAATAGGTTCAAAGTTCTTCAAATGAACCTTGCTGTAGTCCCAAACCTCCACAGCGCCCTGCGCGCATAGCATGCATGAGTGGATCTCACGGAAAGTGATGGAAATTTTGACACATGCCTGGCCAGCGGCTAGCTGCAGCATTGGCATCACCTCAACAAAGTGCACAGAAAGGGCTCACCTCAAACACCTCCACGAAATCAAGCATTTCCTTCTCGTTGCGCTGATTGGCCCATTGGCGGTTGCCCACATGGAGCATGCGGTGGCCCCACTGCTCGGTCTGCCAGATGATGTAGTGCGGAGGCAGGTCCACGCAGAGGTGTGGCGTCATCAGGATGTAGAGAGCCCCGTCGTCTTTCGGGTCCGTGTGAGGAAACATGTACTCGTGCAGCGTCAGCCGCACCCTGTAATGAGGCGCCAGCACACGCTGGATCTCCTTGCACTGGTGGTACACCCCCTGTGTAGCATGAATCGGCATGATGTCAGCAACAGGTGAGCTGAATGGATCAGGTATTAGAGTAAGATTGTGCACCAGCTGACAACGTACCCAGCATGCTTGCATTAGATATGGGCGTCTGGAGGCGTCTGCAGAAGTCATAGAAGCTCACAAGCTCAGGCATCGCACCTTCCAACCCCAGATGATGATGTCTTCAAACGACATGATGGACCTCCGTTTCCTCCTCACATGTCGGCCTGCATGTCCAGGTGGTGCAATTCAGGAGCAGGGGGCTGGTCAAGCACTATTGTGCCAAACCTCAGACTGCTGCATAGCATCACAAGGAGGGCATGTGCTCACCAGTTATCCTGGCCTGCCCACTGCCATGCTGCCTTGCAACATCTATTCCTGATCCCCTGCCCAGCCCAGCAATCCGCCTTTCCTCCTCCATTTGCCGCAGGACTGACCCTCGGTCTGCCGCGGCCTCATTGTGAATCCGCAGCACGTTTGCATCATCACCACCTTGATCCAGTGTGCTCAAGCGGGACTCTGTGCTCTGTGATGATCCCTGCCAGTTGGGACCAAGCCTGTCCAGCAGGCGCGTGATGGTGCCGCGCCAGGCCAGGCCTGGATGGTGAAGGTCATCCTTGTGCACTCTGTCAAGGAAGTTGGTGTTGCTTCCCAATCTGATCTTTGTGCTGGCGGCATAGGCGGGGCTACTCTCCCAAGTAATGCACAACAACAGTGCTATCAGCGGGAGCTTCAGGGTCCCACGGCTCAATTTCCCCATGCGTCTCCAAAGCCATCTACATCCCTTCAGCCATGAAAGCTCCTCCTGCTATCCCAGCGAATTTTGACCTTCTATTTAAAGCTTTTCATGTGGGTGAATGCATGCATGTGGAAGGCATTGATCGCCCAAGCCCTATGTCGCGGCCCGACAAATGCTTGCACAGAAGAAGTCACTCTTGGAACGCATGGAAGAAGCGATCATGGATCTGATTGCTCACAGCGTGTTCTCATCACGGCTATGCATCGTCGTACACTGCCTGATATGCAAGCTGAAAGGGTGATCGTGACTCCTTGCGGTATCAAACAACATGATAAGACCTCTGAAACATAAATAATGCTCTTATGAGACTCCACGAGGCTCGATGCGCCCGATTACGATGCGATGCATAAGTGTAGGAGATTGGTGCACGTATCGTTCTGGCGATCTGATGGAATCCAACAGAAAACAGTGAACCTTTTATTTAACAAGCCAAGTAACTCGAGCAAATTGATCCTCAACTTTCTTTGTCATGAGGCCCAATTAGAAATTTTCAAAGCCAAGGGGTAAACGATAATAGATCCAGAGCCAGCTATGGCCAGCGCACATTCATTACAGGTGGCTTGTTTGCACATGCCAGTCCGCTCTCAGTCTCCATTGCTCACACCGGCTGTACACAATTTCGATTCCATAGTATCACGATGAGGGGCTGTTTCTTCCTGCAGCTATAGTTTACACTTGGAGGGGCGGTAACGCAAGCGTGTAGTGGGCAGGAACTTTGCCAGGTCCCCACTTCAATCCTTCAATCTCCCGGTCGAGCCGAGCGGAAACGGGATCTTGTGAGGCCCTAGCTGTCGCTTTTAATCAGGACGTAGATCAAGCTAGGTTACTGCAGGATTGTTATTGCCGAACAGCTTGAGAAGGCAGGAAGGAAGTCTTGTGATCAGACCCGTCAGCAGCAAGACAGCTTGGCGATCGGCGCCAGAGGCGTCGATGGCTAGCACCTCAAAGCGGCAGCAGAGGCGGCCTTGCTTGCCATCTGCCGCGCTTTGCGCGCTTGTGGTGGCAGCTAGCTTGGGCAGCGCGCTCGTCCGCTGCCAGACGGGAGGGTTCGGGTCCCCATCTCCAGGCCCAGGCCAGTGCGACGCTTCGGGGCCCAGGCAGGAGTGTGGTGCGTCTGCAGATCCTTTCTTTATGTCTATTGATGTCTACACGGGCTCAGTGACACCCTCTGCATCGCGTATAGAGCAGCTTGACACTCTGTACCGTCCTCCATTTAGTCAGGCCCACAACATGCAGCTTCTGCAGTGGGAGTCCTTGTCTTTGCTCCGCTGTTGGAACCATGTTTCTGTTTTGTCCAAGCATGAATTTTGCGACTGCGATCGGAGTTCTGGCCGCGGATCCCGCTGCCTTTAGTAAAATGGGATTGTAATGATGCCCTCACGAGAGGCACACCTTGCTTTGCTTTTGAGCACCTGTGAAGTCATTTCCTGCTTGCTCTGCAGGATGGAATGGCATTGAGGACTGGAAGTGCGCTTCCAAGGGCTGCTGCTATGATGGCAAGACTCCCACTGAGGTTGGCACAGCCAATGTGAAGTACACAGCGCCCGTATGCTTCAAGCCAAACGGCGGTGCCAGCACCTACGATCTGTCTGGAGGCTTCACGGCAGCAGGTGCGGCATCATGGCCTTGTCTGTGCCATTAGCTGATGAGCATGCTTTACTGTTGCTTGAGTACCTACAGCACTATTATTGCTGAACCAATGTGTGCTTGCCTGCAGCCAATGGGAATGGGCTTCAGGGCACGCTCAAGCAGAGCGGTACAGGAACGCAGCCAGAATTAGGGCCTGACATCAAGACCCTGACCATACTGGTGGAGAATGTCACTCCCGACATCCTGCATGCAAAGATTGGCGCACCAGGGCGATGGGAGATCCCGAAGAGCATCTTCCTGACACCCAACGTCACAGGTGCGACGTGGCTACAATCTATGATACATGTTGAGCACATGCATGTAGGATGATTTGGCTGCATGCTCTGGAGTCCGAGCTTGCTGACATGTTGAATGTGCATGCAGCGTCCAACGGTCCTGCAAACTACCAGTTCAACTATAGTGCTTCGCCCTTCACCTTTGCTGTGGCTCGCGCCGACAGCAATGGCGAAGCGCTCTTCAACACTGTTGGCACACGCCTTGTGATCAAGGTAAGTGACATCCTGGCCAAAGACTGCCTTGTCATCCCTGTATCAAGTGACTTAAATATGCATTAACATGTGCAAGCCATGCATGCATTCATGGACAGTGCATTGACACATCTGTGGTCTTACAGGACCAGTACATGGAGATCTCCACCACAGTGCCAGAGACTGCTGCCCTGTATGGCCTTGGCGAGCGGACATCCTCCACTGGTCTGGAGCTGCGCCGTGATGGCATTCCCCTCGCCCTGTGGAACCGCGACCACCAGGCAGCCCTGCCTGACCAGAATGTCTATGGCTCACACCCAATTCTGATGGATGTCCGTGAAGGTAATGCTTTGTGGATTGCATGCATTTGAGTCTGGTAATGTAATTTATTATGCATTCTTGCACTGCATGTCTCATGTGTGTGTCTTGCATCGTTACATGTGCTTGCATGCTTGCGTGGACACCTGGAAATGAGTGCAAGCAAATCTTTGAGTGTCCTCTTCTGTGTTGCAGATGGCTCAGCGCATGGCGTGCTGCTCCTCAACAGCAATGCCATGGACGTCGTGCTGACAAAGACAAGAGTGCAGTGGAGAGTCACTGGTGGCGTGCTGGACTTCTACTTCCTGATGGGTCCCACTCCCAATGCAGTCCTGGACCAGCTGACTACCATCATTGGCCGTCCTGTGATGCCTCCATACTGGAGTCTGGGGCTGATGAACAGCAAGTGAGCTCCTCTGCGACAAGCTGTGTCTCCTCTTGTTTTGTCCCTGTGTGGCTGTGCGCTATCTATTACACATGCATGCGTATTACTCAAGCTGCAAAAACTGGTGGTTGCAAATTGCTGCGCATGCATATCTGACCAGTAGAGCTGTTCGTGCTGCAGATACGGATATGGCTCCGCAGAGTTCTACCACCAGATCCTCAACGGCTATGGAAATGCTAGCATTCCCTTGGAGACCTTCGTGTCAGACTCCCAGTACATGAACCATGATGAGGACTTTACCCTCGGCGACAAGTTCCCTCTTGCTGAGATGAAGGTATATACCGTAATGCATTTACAGCTGGAGTGCAATTTGGATGCGTTGGAGTATGAGAGAGCAAGCTCATTGGCCCTGCATGCTAACATGCTACTGGTGTGGCAGGATTTCATGAACAGAATCAAGGCACAGGGCCAGCGCTGGGTTCCCATTCTGGACCCGAACATCCACATCAGGAAGGGCTACGCACCGTATGACAGCGGCATCAAGCAGGACATTTTTATGAAGGATGTCTCAGGGAAGCCGTATGTTGGGCAGGTGAGCTTCACCTGTGCTCACTATCCAGAAGGTCCCTGTTTTGCAGCACACTTATTGCATGCATGCAGGCAGTGCAAGAATGCCTTTTTCAATCATGACAAAGCTGGTGTGCTTTGCAGCTTTGGCCTGGAGCGTGCCATTGGCCTGATTTCAAGAATCCCAATGCAACTACATGGTGGACCAGCATGATCAAGGTGCTTGCTTCTCCCGCTATCGACATGTTCGCCATGCATGACTCTGCATGTTCCTGTCATGCTTCGTGGTCATTTTCAATGCCTGTGGTACCATCATTTGCTAATTACTCCAGCTCTTTGCAGAGCGTGTACGACGATTTGAAGCTGGATGGCCTCTGGATTGACATGAATGAGCCCTCCAACTACTGCACAGGAGATGTGTGCTGGAACGACGGTTAGTTTCTCCACTCTGCATCCCGGCCATAAGTGTATACATGCAATGCATAGGGATTACACCTGACCATCATCACCAACATCGTGTGGCAAATAAAAACGAGTTCTGTTGGTTCAGATTTACTGAGACTACCATTACCCTCTTCTGCCAACGATAACGGTAATTGAAAAAAGCAAACTGTGCGCATGATGGGAAGAAGTTGATCTGATGCTGTTTGTGTGGGGACATGTGCAGACACTGTGCCGGCGCGCAATGACTTCGTCTGCATGCTGGGCTGTGTCAGCGGGAGGGACCAGGTGATGGCCACAGCTGGCAACAAGAGCATCACGCTCAACGAGAGCTACTTCAACCCGCCGTACGCCATTAACAACGGCGACAATGCGTACAACATTAGCTACAAGACTGTCGCGATCACAGCATACCACTACGATGGCACCCTGGTGTACAACGCGCACAACCTCTACGGCATGCTTGAGACTCTGGCAACCGCTTCTGCCCTCCAGAAGCTGCGCAACAAGCGCCAGTTCATCCTGACCAGGTGTGAGGCAGTCCTGCTGGCAGCATGTAGTCTGGAAGTCTGCAATGCATATTGGAGTCGTCTGTTGACACTTTGAAAGGCTTTCTGAAATATCTTTATTGAATTGCAGGTCTACTTTCCTGGGCTCTGGAGCTTACGCAGCCCACTGGACTGGGGACACCAATTCCAAGTGGGAGGACATGCGCTGGTCGATCCCCACCATCCTGAACAACGGCATTGCCGGCATCTCCTTCTCCGGAGCAGACATCTGCGGGTTCATGATGAAGGCCACTGACGAGCTGTGCTCCCGCTGGGCCGCTGTTGGCGCCTTCTACCCCTATGCGCGCAACCACCACTCTGACGGCTGGCAGGAGTTCTTCAGGTGCTCGTCATGGCTAGTGCAATAATGAACGTCATCACATGACCAGCAGTGCAGAAGAAAAGTTAAGCTGGTACAGCATTTGTTTTCTGTGTATGTTTGCATGCATGTGAAGCTGAAGTGTGATCACTGCTGCAGGTGGGAGTCCACATCTACAGTGGCAAGGAAAGTGCTGGCGACGCGCTACAGGCTGCTGCCATACCTCTACACCGCATTCTTTGACTCGCACACCTACGGGTGCCCTGTCGCGCGGCCGCTGTTCTTCACCTTCCCTGCCGACAACACCACGCGCAACATCGGCGAGCAGTGGATGATGGGCGACGCTCTGCTGGTGTCTCCCATCATGTATGAGAAGACCACCTCGGTTCGCGCCTACTTCCCCCAGGGCACCTGGTACGATTTCTACAGCGGCCGCGTCCTGGACGCTTCTGCCGGCGGCAAGTGGGACTACGTCTCGGTGAGTGTCATTCCTAAGCCACCATTTAGGAAATGCTGTTGTCCCTGCCTTCCTTTTGCCGTTTCTGTTCCAGGTATGAGCATGTGAGGAACACTATCTGTGTGCACCTGTCATGACGCTCAAATTGCTGCTGCGCAGGCTGAGATCACCGACAACGTGCCCCTCCATGTGCTGGGCGGCAACATCGTCCCCATGGCCCTGGGCACAGACTTCATGCTCACAGAGGCCGTCCGCAATGCCAGCCATGCCCTCGTTGTCGCCTTCCCCAAGGCCAACTCCACATATGCAGGTCCGCATGCCCTGCCACTCCCTCTGATTTTCCTAGTATCAGCACCTGTGACATGTTGACTCAAAGGTGAAATTGCAAATTGCTTGACTGGTAAATGTTACAAATGCTGAGACCTTTGCTGTCTACAGGCGACCGGTGCGGTGGGCGGTGCGGCGGAGCTCCACAGGCTGGAGTGCAGAACGCATGTGGCCACATGTACCTTGACCAGGGCGAGGAGCTGAACATGACTCGCAGCCTGAACAACTACCTAAACTTGGCATCTCAGCTGGTTCAGCAGGTAAGCTTCCCTCGATTGTCGTCAGCGCAGAAATGTTCCTCAGCAAAAATGCTATTGTGTAACATTGGAAGCTGCATCGTGGCATTTTGCTCAAATACGTTGGGATGCCTGCAGGCAAGCGGCTCTTACAAGGGATTCCTGTCTGCCACTTTCGCCGGCACACCCGGCGGCTCATCTGGCGCCACCTGCGGCAAGGACACCTGGTCATGGCCCACCATCGACACCGTCATCGTCATGGGTGTTGGCCCTGTGGATGGCGACTCCATTGTCATCCAGGTAAGATGATGCCTTTGCTTTTCAGTTAAATCATATTGATGCTGCAACAGACTTGCCATGCAAATATGTTGCCTCACACCCTGTCCCCATTATGCTTGCAGTGAATGCAGCAACGTGATGCTAAGACAGAGTGTGTTGCGTGCAGGCTGTGAATGCAGGAAGTGCAACGCCCGGCACGGTGCAGACGGCATCAGTGGACAGCACTCCGGGCGTCACAAACCTGTCGGCGGGCACCGCCAAGTACGACGCGGCGCTGCAGAAGCTGACCATCTCGGGCCTCAACTTCCAGCTGACCTGCCCCACCGGCCTGCGCATCAGCTGGAACTCCGGAGCGGCGACGGCCGCGGCCGCGCCCACGCCGCCGTCCACGGGCGCCCCCGCTGCCATCTTTGGCACGGCCCTCAAGGAGCCGGCCTCGCCGCCCAACAGCGTCGTCCCGCCCCCGGGCGGCGGCGCCGCCGGCAGCCCGGCGTCCAACTTTGGGTCTCCCTCCGGCGCTTCCACAGAGTCCAGCCGCTCCTCCAGCGATGCCCCGGCGGCGAGCTCACCCTCCAGCAGCTCACCCTCTGGGTCGCCCTCTGGGTCCTCGTCATCGCCCTCTAGCAGCAGCTCTGGATCTCCCAGCAGCTCTGGCTCCCCAAGCAGCAATGGGGGCAGCTCCAGCTCGCCATCTGGCTCCAGCAGCCCCTCCAGCAGCAGCGGGGGCAGCAGCTCTCCCTCTTACAGCAGCCCCTCTTCCTACAGCAGCTCCCCGAGCTCCCCGACCTACACATCTCCATCCAGCAGCCCCTCCTACAGCTCCAGCCCTACGTCCTCCTACAGCCCGAGCAGGAGCCCTCCCAGGAGCCCCACTGGCGGCGGCGGGGGCGGCCCGGGTGGCGGCCCCTTCTTTGGCTGAGGGCAGGCGTCTGGCAAGGCACTCCACAAGACGGCAAGTCTGTTAAAGTGAAGCTGGTGCAGCTCCAAGGCTGGCGCCTTGCTGGTAGGCTTCTTGAAGTATATATTTGCGATTTATGACACGATGTTGTTCGAGTACTGAGCTGATAGAGTTAGTCTTGATACGAAAGAGGACACGTGGCATTGCGAACATTTGAGAATGTTTTGGAGCAAGATCCAAACAACAAGGACCCTTGTGGTTTCAAAGCAAATGATTGTTGTGTGCCCCCACACTTTGGTTTGAAGTTTTTGCCTTGAGAGGCGGCATAGTCTTTGGTGCGTAGAGCAACAAATGGGCCACTGGAGGAGAGTACCGGTAGCATAGATGCCTTCAGACTTGTGTACGGAAGTTTCATTACAGAGCTGCAGCAATGTATCGCATCAGTGACAGCATGCTTGCCAGAGCAAGGGCTCTGTCAGTATTGCTTAGCTGTTGCTGTTCAGTCTTAATGCGGCATGAGTGGATGCCCCATACTTCTGTGACACCGTGCATGCGCTCTGACACTGCAAATTGAAGTCTGATTTCATTATGCAGCATGTGATTCCTTGGTTTCGGCAAACAGCGGGTTGCACTGCCGGGGATTTGATTATCTGCAGCTTTAAAGTCCTGACTGTGGCTCTTTGCTGGTGTCCTGCGGCTTTTGTGATTTGCAATCTATGATGGTTGTTGTGATGCCATGCAAACTGCAGACCATGTCTAGACCCTACTATGTAATGGCAGAGTTATAATGTCTCTGGCAGAAAGGTCCTGAGGGCAGATCTACTGCGCACATAATATTATGTCTCCATATGCATATGGCCATAGGATTCTGGGAACATTCCCTCAATTTATTATTAACTGTGCAGTGGCCGAACTTTTAATTCATGAGTTCGAAGTGTGAATGACTCATTCATGAAATTCAGAATTCATGCATGCTGCGCAGCCTGATGAAAATTGAAAGCACTCATGAAGTGCAATTGCCTGGAAGGGATGGATTGCATATAGCTGTGTCAATGTGAACCTTCATGATGATTGTCTCAAAAATGCTGGGTGTGCAAGGGCCAACATGCATGCACCTGTCTTCATTACTCTTCCTTACGTCACGCGTCACCTTTAGTTGGTCAGTGGTGATCTGTCGCTTCTTGATGCCACAGTGCAAGCGCATTCTCATTGTTGTACTAAACTCTACCTTCTCGTGCTAGCAGTCATCAGTCGGGGTAAAGTCACCTTCCCTTGGGTGAGCACCGCACGCTTGAATGAAGAATGTGAAACAGCTCTTTTAGACCTCTGCCCATTGTAAATGTCGGAACATTGTTGCTGAAGCGTGCACTAATTGCAGGTCAGATGACAGGGAAAGCTGAGTCTGCCAAAGTATCTTTGGCGAGGGTGACTATAGACGCACCCCCATCCAAGGTAGTGATCCATGGCAGCCCTCATCCGGAGCATAGAACCCCTTCATTTACCTCGGCTGTACATTCCCATGTTCTGTACAATTTTGCTGTCTGAGGCAAGTCTACTTATCTTTGTTTGTTAATGGGGGTTCACTTGCAACCATGCTCACAGGTATACGAGAAGCTTGCCAACGTCGAGAACTGGAACGACTGGCACAAGTCTGCATGGGTTCTCCGTGCTCCAGGCCTGCATAAGCTGACACCTGGAGAGAAGTTCAGCTACACTGCACCCTTCGTGCTGGGGAATGTGTCCTCAGAGGTCACAGTCGCATCCCCTGACCAGGTGCTTGTCAGCCTTGGACACCTTGGGCCTTTTTTGTGTCTGCAAGGGAGGCCACACCACCTCCTCACAGGCTTACAGAGCAGCCCTACATCAGCAAATTGTCAAGACAGCACCCCTTCCATTCACATCACAGCATGGAACAGTGCTCAGGCATTTTTTTGTGTCCCAGACGCTGGAGTGGAGAGACAAAGCGCTGTTTGGGCTGATCAACGGCGGCCACCGGTGGCGGCTACATGGCAAGGGCAGGCGCCTGCTTGGCTTCATTGGCAAGGAACAGACACAGGTCGTCTTGGACCAGGAAGTCACAGGTGCAGTGCCTCTTACTCGAGCCTGCTGCACACCACACACCTGCCGGTTGTGTCAGTTGTGATCTCAGTTGTGATCTGCACAAGAACTGAGCAATTTGGACCTCTTTGGCAATTCCTGTTTAAGATCATATCTTGGTGTCCTCTTCCTCATTGCGCCCAAAGACGAAGCGGCCGCCGGTGCCAACAAAGTAAACCCCTTAGGATTGTCTTGCTGGCATCTTGCAACCGCACCGACTCCATGTCGGTTCACAGGAACGAGATGTCCAAGTCCAGGACCCGCCTCTGATTGCCCAGGCGGTCGCACATCAAGTTTTTGAAATCCAGCGAGTCATAGCGCATGAGCGGCGGGGACATGTTCTGACCCCTAAGCTGAGGGTTTGGGAACAAAGGATGTAGATGAGATCAAACTGAGGCTTTAACATCAGAGTTTCAAATGTGGGAGTTTTGTGCCTGGAGCAGGCTTGGGGCAGCTTCTGGTGAGTGGGAAGGGCCTGGAGAAGCATGGCGCCACATGGCTGACAGAACTGAAGCAGTCGGTTGAGGGAGGCAAGTAAGAGCGGAGGTGGCAGCGTACTGTGAGGCGTCGCATGGGTCAGAACACATCAGCAGATGACATCGTGACACCAAAAATGCATGCATGCTTCTCCAACTCGCCTGCTTTGCAGGCATTGCAGTTTTGCTCCTGTCACGGTCTGCATGATGGTGCAGACATGTGAGTGCGGTTACTGCTGTGAGTCTTGATTCTGGATATTTTTTTTAGTGAGGGGTTCAGCCGGATTTTAAAATTTCAACGGGTCAATCAAGGAGCTGCTTGCTTGCCATCGTCTATCGCATCCAATGGGTCTTTGAAGACCAGTCTTGATAGTGTTGTTTTGGAAGGCGCTCGTTACACTGTACATGGCATGTACACGGAGTCTGGGTGATCATGTTTGTTTTAGAACCAGCCTGATCCTGAGGATGTCTCCTTTACGAACCTTCCTCGTTTTCCTAGGTCTACCTGTTAATATCTCACAAGTGGGTCACTTCCTGGCTAAGAAAGTACACAGATATCTTGTAACCTAATGCCCTGCAGGTGCCTCAACGATGAGATAAGCAGCGATTATCACCCAGATGCAAAAGTCTCAGCAAATGATATCTTCACACAAATTTGCACACTGCCGGTAAGAATTATCACAATGGAGCAGATTGCACCAATTGTAAGTTATTGCTGAAATCATGCATGTACAGAGTGCCTCCCTACACGTGACACAAGCTCATGCTACTAGCAGTACTCAACCTGCGGGATGCCACTCAAATCTGCCATGCCATTCAATTTCATTTTCAGTAAGAATGCCCACATGCTTCATAACCACAGCTGTATACTGAAACCCAGCTCAAATGGATTTTAAAGAATTCTGGAAGCTCCAAGTTCCAGCCCCGTTCTCATATTTCTACAATGTGGGATCACGAAAGCTGGTCTGTACATGTTGCCCAATAAAATAATAAGCCTGCGCTCGCAAGACTGTGTTGTGCTTGGTAGACTGATTGCATCAGACCCACCAATGCAAAGGCATGAAATTCTTCCCTATTGTTTACCCCAATATTGGCCAAAAGGCGCCCATCAGGTCTCTCATGTGCTGGATGGGTTGTCAATGGTGACCTGTGTGTCCTCATCCAGCTTCTTGTTGTCCACGAGCTCTCCATTGCTCTCTGTCCTGAAGATGGCCTTGCCTTTTGGTGCGCTGTTGCCCTGGAACGTGCTCGTGGTAATGTCCCCCTGATAAATAATGAACAGCATTTATCAGATCCCACTGCCCTCCTCGGGACCTGGCTGGCGGGGACCGGTATAACACTGAGCACTGTGCCCACGGTTGATGGGTCTTGCTTGGAAGGTGAGTCCGAGAAGGGGTAGGATTGTGAATGCCTTCAACTGCAGCTTGTCTGCAGGACATACCTTGCCTTTTAGCAGGGAAATCATGTAATGATAATACAGTAATGGTAATTCTGCACTTCCCTCCAGGCAGTTGAAATGCTATTCCCCCAAGGCATTTGTGCATGCAAGCTATTGCCAGAGCAGGAGTCAAGGCAGACACACACCTTTGCATGTGAGTCATAGATGGCGCCTCCGATCTTGGAAGCCTTGTTGGAGGTGAAGACAGATCCAATGATGTCCCCACTGGTTGAACCTCTGAAGATGGCGCCCCCAAAGTCGGCAACATTGGACTCGAAGAGACACTCCCGCACTGTCCCTTGCACCCCCTGCACAGCCAACAGTTCATTACAAGGTATTTGATGGAAATTGTCTTGCATTCCATGCATGCATGCCTCTCATTGCAAACGTATTTTCATTTGTATTTGTATCTGAATGCAAGCATGCCCGTGTGCTGTTGAGGTCCTTGAAATAACAATGGAGAAAGGTTGTTATGGAGGGAAAATGATTTTGGTGCGTGCCTGCAGGTAGAGACCAGATCCCTTGGCACTCTTCCCTGTGCTGAAGGTGCAGGAGGAAATGTCCATCGAGGTGATCTGGTTCATCTCAATGCCGGCGCTGCCTCTCTCGCTTGTGTTGTTGTCAAACCGACTACCCGAGTGCACCACTTTCTTGCAGTTGTTCTGCCACACGCTGCCGCCATTGAGGGCAGAGTTCAGCCGGAAATAATTGGTGTCCATATTACCTGAGAAGCGAACTTCCAGACGTGAGCGCAATATACAGCGGACCATGAGTAATGCAAACTTACTTTCCGAGATCACATTGAGGCTGTCATGAGATCAATGATGGCTAGCAAATAAGCATGTAGGCATTCTCACCGGAGCATTTGGACTGGAAGACGGCTCCTCCACTCCTGGTCGCCTTGTTCTTTGTGAAGGTGTTGTCATTGACAGTTGCTTTCCCACACTGCACTTGCAAGCTCCTTTCAGAGGTTGTGATGTTCTGCCAAATTTTGGAGACCCACAAAGTGACAGGCAGATCTGACAGGCTTTGACATTGGCATGGGAGGGGCAAGCCCACCTCTTCGATGAATATCGCCCCTCCGTTCTCCGCCACATTGCTTGTAAACGTGGAGGTGATAATAGTGACCAAGGAGGCATTGTTGGCCGCTATAGCGCCCCCTGCACAAAGACCCCAACAAATGTCCCTTCTTATCGGACGCACTTTAGCTGGGGTAAATAGCAGAGAGGCCACCATGATACCTCATGTGAATCTGTCAACCTCCGTTCTCCCTCCCCGGAAGCATCCAATGTTAAGCTCAACCTCAGGCTATAGTTTTTCAAGTGACCAGAGCACAAAGATCTGGGGAGATTGCATATTCGGCAAACAGTGTTACTGCCAAAGTATGAAGAACGTACTGCCTTGCAGGACAGACAGAGTTCATCGAATATTCAGACAGGCATTACGTGGTCAGCAACAAGTGACCCAAGCAGGACAGATCTGGGGAAACTGCCACAGGTGAAAGACTGTGCAAGCGCCAAGATTAAGGAGTAAGTGCTGCCTCGGAGTGCACAGACAACACGAGCAAGTGTATGTGAACAGCACCTGCGCTGCGGCCAATGTTCCCCTGGAAAGCAGTGCCGTTGACCAGGAGAGAGGAGTTCCACATGGATATGGCGCCGCCCTGGCCGCCCCCGTTGCCTTGGAAGGTGGAGTCCAGCACTGTCACGCTGGAAGTGTCATTGGCATAAATCGCCCCGGCTGCCACACCAACATCAATTCACATCACCTCTGAATAATGTATTCCGTCTGCCCCTGAGACAATCTAGGGGTAGCATACATGTTGTGCTCAGCATGAACCTGAGCAAATCTAACTCTAGTTGAAGTCCTGGAAATAGGCATCATGAGCACCAGACAAATGGATGCCCCTTGTAGGGGCAGGTCAAGTGTTATTGATCAGCGCATGCATGGAGGAGGTGGGCGCTAGTGGCAGTGTCTAATGGGCTGAGAACTCAGGACACCTGCGGAGTTGTTGTTTGCAGTGAAGGTGGCGTTGACGAAGGTGACGTTGCTGTTAGACAGCACGATGGCCCCTTGCCCAAAGAAGCTGAGGCCAGAGAAGAGCGAGTCCTCTATCGCCAGATTGGTGTCCTGGATCACCATGGTTGCTCCCGGCAGCTCCACTGCCTTGATGTATTGGACACCTGCACAGCAGCATTAATGCAGGGTATGGCAAATAAGATTTGATCGTTCTGGGCCGAAAAAATATCAACTACTGAAAGCGAGATTCACAAAATGCCGCTCCAATTCTACTGGCAGAACTAGTTGAGGGACAAAGCGCGACACCAATTCAGTATTGATTTTGCTTGGTTCTTGTTGCAGGTGTGTGCGCAGTGCTCACCAACAAATGCTGGTGCAAACTCTTCCAGGAGTGGGCCGCCAATCAAGTTCAGAACGCTCCCTCTGCACGTGATGTTGGCTCCCAGCAATGGCCCGGCAGGTCCGTCGGACTGCAGAGACAGTGAGCTGACTCTGTCTTGCCTTCTGAGGCCTGCAGTGAACGCCACACAATGTAATACAAAGAACGCAACACCTCATAGTTTTCTGCATCGTACTCAAGATTATAAATATAACATACTAGTGTAAATGCTTGAAGTGAAGCTTCCTGAAGACAAAGCAAATCGGTGCCATCCAGCTGTTGACACCCTAGGCATCTAGCTGTCGGATGCTTGCCTTGCACACTGAATCGACAGACGGTCCTGCCTCCGCTGTCTTCCGCCCTAGCCTTTTCTCTGAGGCTTCCTGATGGTGCTGATGCGTTTGTCAAGGTAGCTTGCAGCCCTCTACCAGCATGGCCCCTGACGACCGATGTCGTGACAAAGAGCGTCAGTACAGCAACCAGTCCATATAACTCGGGCGAACGCATCTTTCGTGCTGCCAAAAGCTCTCCTATGTTCTCAAATCTTCCGCTCAAAACCCAAGGGGGCCTCTCCAATCAAGCAGGATTGTCAGACACAGGCTCGGCCGTCTAAACAGCTAGCTAGATGCCGATTGATCTGTCCGCGCCTCAAAACCTCCTGCGCTTCTCGTTCATGGGAACGATGATGCGTTCCAAACAACTGCGATCTGGAACCTGAGGTGATGCTAATGGTGCTCTGGATGGGCAGACAACGATGCATCCACAACGCCAGTCTTGCAGCACCTGCCATCCTGGCACTGAGCCAGAAACGGGCTCGACCTGGGTGATCACGTAAGTTTTACGGACTGACGACACGACATTTGCATGCGTGCAGAAATGTTTGTTTGACCAAGGTGTGACTTTTCCATAAAAGCATCCAATTGCAAATGATGCGTACTTTTCATCGGAAGTGATGGGAATGGCGCGCTCTGCGGCCTTTGAGCCGCCTCTGGAAATGTGATCTGCGTCTCGATCGTCACGATTTTATAACTGAAAAGGTCCAATTCACCCGAATAATGGGCAAACTGAATATGATGAATGAATGACATATGATACGCACCCCGCCGAACCCGCATCAATATCTGATCTACGACCGCTGTGCAAACCTGAGTGTAAACGATGGTCATAGCATTGCTCAGATATGCGGTCATAACGGCAGCCCGAGTGCTTGCAACAGCCAGTGCAGCTCTTGTGGGGCTCGCTAATCTTCTCGGCATATCGACAGAAGTGAGCTCGACACCAGCAGGAAGAAAAAGAAAGGCAGACAAACAGCAAAGGCAGATACACAGCCAGGCGTCCACCGAAGACTGCCACTACGAATCGAGGAAATATGACTTCCTGAGGGTTGCTGGCACCCAGTATGGGTACGGGGGAAGGATTGAGGACCTGTCCAAGATTGAGTTCAGCCGCTTGAGAGGCAGGGTGTACGTGGACCATGCCGGCGCCACCTTGTACTCAGAGAAGCAACTAAGAGCCGCTCATCAGGTAATGCGTTGCACTACGTGCCTGTAATCTTAGTAAAGCATTGCATGTGATCCCTGGTTACTTCTGCCGTACTTGACATGTCGAGGGTTTTGCCAAGGGTGGTACTTGCTGTGACAGGACCTGAGCACGCAGCTGTACAGCAACCCCCACAGTGGGCACGTAGCTTGGTGTGGTGATGCAAGCGCGTCCGAAGCCGAGATGCATGCGCGTGCACTCACGCTGGCAATGTGCAACGCCTCTGAGCGGGACTATGAATGCATCTTTGTGTCTGGAGCAACAGGTGGGTCTGCAGCAAAAGCCCATGGTCGTAACACAAGACCCTGGAAGGAATGAGCACAATCTGAGTGTTCTGTCCTTCCTTCAGAGGACGATTGTAGTGGAATAGACAATTCCTGCCACTGCGGGTGTACTTGTAAATGCTAGAGCTTTGGATGTGACAGGCGCTATGAAGCTTGTCGCCGAATCCTTTCCCTGGTCGAGGGACAGCCGCTTTGTGTACACGCAAGACAATCACAACAGCGCTGTTGGCATGCGAGAGCTCGCCCTGAATGCCGGTGCCAGTGCTGTGGCCGTGAACTTCGTCCCAGACATCCCAGAAGGTATGCTTGAGCCTGAGAAATGGCAGCTGTGCAACCCCAAAACCACATCATTGCTCGCTCAATCACTGCTTGGATAGTGCTTTAAATCTCACCATGACTTTCTTATCGCAGAGCCTCTAGTGGTGAGGGCATGTTCAGCAGCAATGAGTCGGAGTATCACCAGGTCAGGTCAGCACAGCGAAAGCAGCAAGCCACAGAGCCACAGCCTGTTTGCGTACCCCTTGGAGTCCAATTTCAGCGGAGCCCGCTATGATCTCCAACATGTCGGGCGTGTGCAGCAGCATGGGCTACAAGTGGTGCCTGTCAACGCTGGCAGCAGCCCAGATCAGATACCTGGTGACCATAAGGAGCGCTGGTATATCTTGCTGGATGCGGCAAAGGCCTGCTGCTCTGCGCCCCCAGATCTGTCCCAATCGCCTGCAGACTTTGTGGTTTGGGCTCTCACACTCTCGATAGATTCAAGCACCGCTTGCCTTGCAGTCAAGTGAAGGGGAAAAGGTATTCTGACACAGCAAGGAGAAATGCTGCTGATTTTGTGCCGCAGGCGCTGTCTTTCTACAAGATCTTTGGGTACCCAACTGGCCTCGGGGCGCTCCTAGTGCGGAAAGAGGCTCTGCAGATCCTTGACAGGGCCTACTTTGGTGGCGGCGCCGTCAGCGCCTCAGTGGCTGATGCTGACTTCTTCAGGTGAGTAGATGACTCCTTCTGACTCAGACCATTTGCATAGTTATAGGAATTTCAGAGCAGCTGAGTTTCCCTTAATGATGACAATTTTCTCATGAAAAAAAACGACGTTCTGGCTGTGCATTTCAGGAGGAGGCCAGGTGCAGCAGGTTTGGAGGACGGCACGCCTGCCTACCTGGCAATCGCATCACTGGCGCATGGCTTTGCACAGCTCAACAAGCTGGGGTCATTCCCTGCCATCGAACAGCACACTGCCACTCTGACCAGGTGGGTTGAGCTCTGTATCCTCAGCATACTCTTGCAGATAGGACCGGCTATTGTACTGTGGTGTCTTCCCCCATCTCTTGGGCCCTGAATTTTCTTTCATGAACAATTGCTTTGGGCTGCGCTGATGTTTAATTACATCCAACAGGTGGCTGGCAGACAGACTGGCACTGTTGCGCCATTCCAACGACCAGCCAGTCTGCGTGCTATATGGTGCGCACGCTCAAAAGGGCGCTGCTGTTCCTGCTTCATCGTGTGGCATCCAGCGCCTGGCAGGAGCTGTCGGTCAGGGCCCTGTGGTAGCCTTCAATGTGCTCAGGCCAGATGGATCATTCGTGGGTTACAGGTGAGCAATTGCCTTACCTCCTTGGCTTGCCTCTGTCATTCTGCTTCCCCAACAGGTTGCAGACACTGTATTGAAATCACGGGTATGAGTTGACAGTACTCTGATGCTTAGTGTTAATTGTCATCGTTCTGATCTGTCATCGCTGCTATGTGGCAGGGAGGTGGAGAAGCTGGCAGGGCTGTGCAGCATCCTGCTGCGCACAGGGTGCTTCTGCAATCCAGGGGCCTGCCAGGCGCATCTGGGCTTGTCCCACCAGGATGTTATCAGCAATTATGAGGCCGGCCATGTCTGCTGGGATGACAATGACCTCATCAATGGCCGACCCACAGGTGAGCATATGCACAAAACCCACTCTAGGCAGCACGGCCCTCAAGGCATTGCTTGTAAGTCCAATCAGCGGACAAGATATACCTGTGAAATCAAAGTCATTGATTGGTGCATGTCAATGCATCAGTGACACGGATAGGTTGGAGCATGCATCTTGCAAAGAGTGATGAAGGTGCTTTCGTCTTGCAGGTGCTGTGAGGGTTTCATTTGGGTACATGTCCACCTTCGCGGATGCAGATGCTGTCTTCAGGTAAGCAGCAACGAGGTCCACTGATTTGTTTCCATGTCCATTGACACCATGTCTTCCCCTAGTACAACAGGGCACCTCTAATCAGATCCTTCATGAATGCAGGTTTGTTTTGGACTACTTTGTGGACGCTCCAGCCAGCACGGTCACTCCTCTGAGCAGCGCTGCAGATGGACAGGAGGAACCAGCAGCATGCGCAGGCACAGCTGCCAGCCCGGAGAGTGAGCAAGTGTCAGTTGATGAGCAGCGTGCAGCTCAGGAGGCAGAGAGTATTGACACCTCTGAAGCACCCGTAAATCAGCCAGGGGCTCAGCAGCTGCAGACAGCACCAGATCTTGCAGCAGAGTCGGAGCTGCACAACGCTGCTCTTGCCCGCGCATTGACCTCCTCTTTTTATGAGCAGACTCTGCTGGCCAGCTTGATGGCAGACAACCCAGCAGAGGTGCAGAACAGCAGCGATGCTGTGCACAGTGACACTGCAGGACAGCTGCCGCCACAACAGCAGCAGCAGCAAGAGCAGCAGCAGAGCGGGGTGTCCTTGGGACAGGTATTTGTGTACCCCATCAAATCATGCGCGGGTTTTGCGCCCGAGTCATGGCCGCTGGGGCAGAACGGTCTGCTGTATGACCGCGAGTGGGCGCTGGTGGATGGGGACGGAGCTGCCCTGACGCAGAAGAAGCTGCCTCGCCTCGCCACCATCCGCCCCACCATTGACATGGATGCAGGCATGCTCCCTGTCCTGCTCAGTCAGACATCATACCAATTGCTTTAAATCGCTTCCATAAGTTGTGACAATATCTTTATTGGACCTACATCATCTGTCTGAAGAAGCAGGTTATCTGAAGAAGCAGGGGATGGGGTGTTTGTGAGAAATTGCATTACAGTCAGCACATGTGTACTGTAAGTGGCACGCACACTGCAGGAATCTTGGAGGTGCACGCGCCAGGCATGGCCAAGTCCTGTGTGGTCCCTCTGCCGAAGGAGCAAGCGTCAGCGCCACCGGCAATGCAGCCTCCAGCCGCCCCTGCTGCAGCCCTCACAGAAACCCAACTGGAGGCGCTGGACAAATACGCCAATGCCACATCCGACACCAGACTGCATCGCGCTGGCAGCACTTCCAGCCTGGGCTCACTGGATGGCAGCTTCACTGGCAGCGTGATCAGCCAGTCAGGCATGTTTCTTCCTGCTTCAAGTATTGGTGGCTTTATGGGCCTCCCACAAGGTTTGACCGGGAGTTGACTTTTGCATAAGCACTCCCTATGTGCTTTCAAAGGAGCATGCAATGTTCACCTTACACCTGGCTTCAAGGGCGCGGCAGACCACATGAAACAGCGCCACTGCTTGCTGATTGGTAGAATAAAAATGACATTGCAGAGGCATTAAGTTGCGCATTTGCGCAGGCGTGAGCTTTACTGGGAGCAGCTTCACCAGCCGGCACAGCAACAGCGCAATGTGGCCCCGGCCGTCCGACAGGTCCAGCGCTTCAGGGCAGCAGCGCCTGCAGACACAGCTGTCCTCGGCTTCCTCCATGTTCGAGCCGGGCGCCGACCCCGTGGGCGCGGCTGCGCTCGCCAGGGAAGCTGCCGACAAGCAGCAGCGCGGGGGCAAGAAGGTGGTCGACCTGAGGGCAGTCCGCTCGCGCTTCAGGCACCTGCGCAACCGCCCCTCGACTCAGACGGTAGTTGAAGAGTCTGCCAGTTCTCAGTCTGAGCCCGCACCCGCAGTCACTCAGCTTGGTGGCTCCGCTGAGCAGCATGTCAGCAGACTGGCGGCCACGGGCAGTTCCGCTACCGGGGTGCCACACCCTGAGCGCCCTGTGAGTGCGGGCGACTCAGCCATGCGGCACGTACAGATATGCGCAGACTCTGTCTGCAGCCTGCAGGTACGCTTCCCCAGTGCTTACTGACTCAATGACACCTTCTGTGTTCAGAAAACTGCTCACAGTTAAAAAGCCAGGCGCAGTGGTAATTGCGTTCCTGCAAGCTTCCCCGGCAGATGTTAAAGGAGGCGGCATCTGATAATGCAGGTGGGCACGTCGCCGGCTCAGAGCGATGCAGTCTCGGACTGGTTCTCTGAGGCGCTGGGAGTGCGCTGCTGGCTTGTGCGGCAGCAGGATGGCAGCCGCCGAGCTGTGGAGCGCAGCCAGCTGCTGCAGCGTGGGCCCCACGCCTTAGCACCCCAGGTAGAGGCGGCGGCCCAAGAGATGAAGAGAGCGGACGGCGGCGGAAGCATAGGTAAGCATAAGTGTGTCAGGCCTGCTGACAACTGCCACGAGGATATGCTGTGCTGCGATTGACATGTCAAAGCATAGGTAAGCATAGGTGTGTCACGCCTGCTGCCAAGTGCCCCAATGGAATGGTGTGCTGTGATGGGCATTTCATGCATCATTTAAGAATATTCTTTGAGGTATATTGCTATTGTATTCTGCGCAGGCTTTGCGAATGAGGGACAGTTTCTGGCAATCTCGCTGAGCAGCCTGGGAGATGTCAACCGCCGCTTGGCTGAGAAGCAAGGTTCAAATGCTACATGCAGCACACCTCCCTTCCAGGTACGTTGTTGGTGCAAGAGGGCCTCCAATATTCTGCATGCTGTTGACAAGGGGAGCAAATGTGTACTCAGGCCTCCTGAAATAAAGCTGAATGCTCTTTATGCTGATGGACTTTGCCAAACTGTTGATTACAGGTGGAGGCAGAGCGCTTCCGGCCAAACCTGCTGTTCAGCGGTGGCATGGAGCCATATGCAGAGGACACCTGGCGGACGCTTCACATCGGTGAATGCCACTTCAATGTCACTGGTAATCCCTCTCCACATCTCTGTGCTTGCCGGCATGCTGTTGTGTGGAGGCTCCAAGGTACAGTGTCCTGTCAATGTCAGCTTGCATCTTACCAAGCTGGCTTGAAGGGTGGGACGAACAAAACTCCTGCTGTGAAATCAGGTTATGCATGCGCCGGTTTGCCTTAGGTAATTTTGGAAGCTTGTTGGGTAGGCAAGGAGGTAGTTGTAATGCTGCAATACACAACTAATCACACAATACATTAGTCATCCCTGTGGAGAAGAGGCGAGCAGTACTTGCAGATGTCTGGGGACAGCGCGCAGGGCGCAGAGTTCAGAATGCAAGCTGTGAGACAAGAGCAATACAGGTGGTCTCAATGTGATAACGGCAATTAGGTAGGTAGTAGTGCTCTATTGTTTACCTTTGCTGTGTGGGGGACAGGTCCCTGCGCGCGTTGCCAGGTGGTGTGCACAGACCCGGAGGCAGGCCAGCGTGGGGGCCCAGAGCCGCTGCTCACACTGGCTGCCTACCGCCGCACGCGCGGCCAGATCCACTTTGGCATCCTGCTGGAGAACGCGTCCCAAGCCCAGCCAGCATCGCAGTGGCTGCGCGTCGGACATCCCGTGCTAGTGTCCCCCTGATGGGCCATGCCAAATGCACTCTTTGTACATGTGTTGGTGTTGCTGCGTTTGTGCAGCAGGCCTTGCTGTTTTGTTTCTGTTGGCATGGAAAGCGTCCCCAGTGTACATCGTTTTTTGGGACTCTTTCTGCCTTCATATTCCCATTCCCCCCAGTTTCGGCTGGTGGTACTACGCATGCTGCTTCAAATTTTGACAGCTTGTCTTGCTGCCAGTGTATACAAATGTATCCAAGGGGCAGTGGACACACTGACGTGTATATCTGTGAAGCATGGTGCAAGGGGACGTAGTGCCTGCCTATAAACTAGGTATCAGCATCAGAGTGAGCTACCCTTTTGGTACGGACGACTTCCCAGGAACATTTGTGTAGGATCGGTTGTCTTGTGTTGGGTTGCATGTGTACCTGCACACGTATGCAGGTTTGTACTTGGAATGCATGTCAGGCACTGTACAGTGTACATGTGTAATGTAACCTCAGATCTGGTCCCCCAAAGCAATGGCCAATGCAATATTCATGAGCTATTGGCCCTGTGAAGTGCTCAAATTGATGCATGACATTTGCCCGAAGTCGACTAAACAATGGGTGGACGTCATTGCATCATGCAATGCTTTGTCAGAGCTCTTGATCTTCCTGAGCCCGTGCCTTGCACTTGGACAAGCATGCATGCCCTGATGCCTAATGGTGGCATTTGCATTGGATGTCATGCATGGCAGATGCCAATATTGGCTTCAACTTTACAAATTCCACAAGGTACATGAGGTTTGAGCCGCATGTGCAAAGAAATGCAACATCAATGCCTTGCACTGAATCGATGTTTTACACACACGAAGAGGAACGCAACATGTACAAGTCTGCGGTCAGCAAATGCCTCCTATCTGCTGCAATGCATCTGATGTATTGTAGTGTGGATGGCGGATAAGGGGCCATGTGTGCGTGCGGGTCACATCGGTGGTGTCATCTGGCCAGTTTTGATACATGATGGGTGTGTGTTCTGGCCAATTCGAGATCTTCTTTTATAGCTTCTTACAAGGACGTCCATTGCCACTATACCCTATTGTTTGCTGTGAAACCCCTCCTAGTTGCAATACATAAACGTTGATAAGCAGATGTCAAGCGATGAAGGGATTTTTGAAACTTACACCTCTCCAGCAAGATGTTCCTCTGGCCAGCTGTGTGCCTAGGTGGAAAGGAACATGAGCTCCCTTCGTCAGGACAATCTAATCGCCTTTAATGTTTCATGTGCAGAGTGAACAAGGCACAAGCCATTTGTGAGAGGTCTACGCTTCAGGAGGGAGGCCTGCTATCGGAGGGGCTTAGAGGAACACTCTACAACAGTGATCTCTTGAACCCCGCATGGGTGGCACCAGAGGACTTGCAAATTCCTCTGAGGTGCAGCTTCATCTGCTCTTCGTGCGTTGTCCACTTCTAGACTGCCTGATGTCGTCTTCTACACTGCTGTGCCTTCAGATGATATTCAGCCCCCAAGCACCCTCCTAGAATGAGACTAATGTATGCCGCGCAGGTCTGAAGACATTGCCGATCAGAGCTTGCGCTACTATAGGGCTCAGTACCCTGAAGAATTCGTTCCCCTTCCCCTGCTTAGAGAGCTCCTAGAGGAGGCAGCCCATCTTGATGACTTGGCCTCAAATGCCAGCCTGTTGGGCAACCGTGTTGCGGCCACCTGGCTTGGCTCCGAGGAGCTGCTCATATGCAGCACAGCTGGAGACATTGGACAGACCCTCCGGCTCTCTGTTCTACATGGCAGCCATGTGGACCAGTTCCAGGTGACACTTGACAATGTGGCTGAGGCATCGTTCGCAAAAGCATCAGCGGCCATCCAACAAGATTTCTGTGTGGAACTCATCAAACATGTATATGCCTAGCATTGGCTGGATCTGGGTTATGAGATGTATTTCCTGTGTGTGAGTGCAGTGCGAAGGTACTGCGCAGGCAGCTTGCTCAGGCATGCCTATCTGGCAAGTCTGCTTCAACCGCCCTTGCGATGCCGATGATGCTTTAATGGTGGCGGTTCGGACCCCATACTGGCTCTGCTTCTTCTCGCTTGAGAAAGGACGGAGCCAAGCAGATGCTGGAGAGGTTCATGATGATGCAGGTGAGGGCAAATAGACGATCACCTGGTCAAATTCCTCACGCTGGCAGCATCCGCATGTTAGGATATTACCTTCTTACAATGTTGCACTGGTAATGCAGCACTCTGCATGTGTAACAGGGCCTTCTAGCGGGCTTTCTGGTGGAGCCAAGAGGTGGACTCTGCAGCCAGTCGGCGCTCTGCAGACCAAACAGAGGCTCGCTCACGTCAGCTGGAACCGCAAGTTGCCAAACCTCGCGGCCTTCACTTGTGAGGATGGCTCCTTACACACAGTTGACGTTGCAGAGGAGGTAAGTACACCAACAAGCTACAGTAAATGATCAGTTCCCTGGAAAACAGGATCTGGACACGTGGTAGCTGACAGTAGAGGATCTTTGCAGCAGGGGCAATGCACAGCCAGTCTTTCAGTTAGCAGCTTCGCTCTGCTGCAAGCGAAGGAAGTGGCGGGCCCCTTGCAGCCGCGCCCACGTTTTGGCCGGCTTGTCTGCGAGTGGGCAGCTCATCCAACTGGCCTGCTGATGGCAGCAGGTACTTGCTACCTGCACATACTCATTTCCTCATGCAATTTGGTGCATTGTTGCAATTTTGGCGATTCATGCAGCCTTCAGGAGTATGTGGCTGACAAGGAATGATACTGTCAACCACGGTAGATGTTCAGACATCAATCTGCTGTGCTCTCCTTGACAGGTCAGCAACTGCTTCGTTATGACATCAGCATGCCGGGGGCGAGTGCCATCCCTCGCACGCTGCACACCCTGGGACCCAGCAACGCGTTCATTGCCCTGTCCGCACCTGCTGAGACCTTGGGGGACCGAGGCAACTCTGACCACGCCCACCTGCTTGCAGCCTCCACACTGAGGGAGGTTCTTCTGCTGGACCTGCGAAATCCAGGGCAGGCTCTGCTGAGATGGCATCATGGTGGGGAATATCCGTCCTAGAAACTACTTTGCATCAACGTTCCTATGCTAATGGTCCTCATTTGCAGCAAGTGGAGGGCATCCCAACCGATGCGCATGCATGAGAGACTCCTGGATGGCTTGCAGGCATGGACAGAGAGCCACCGCAGCTCCTCGCTCTGTTGCCCGCACCGCAAGAGATGGCAGTCAGCAGAGAAGAGCACCCTCAGCCAACCACCCCGGCACCTCAGCCACATTTGCAGCAGTCGCCTCTGCAGCGGGAGCGGGAAAGGGCCACAGGCAATGACCAAGCGGATGTGGGGCCGAGCCAGTTTGACGCCCTCCAGTCGCAGTATGGCTCGTCCAGTCAGCTGCCAGATGACTTGACCCCAGGACCCAGATCGATGCAGCACCACCAGCCCGACACGCAGGCCAGCCAGCTGGGAGGGCTAGATGAGCTATTTGCCCCGCAGGCAAGCCAGATGGGACCGGCTGCAGGCTTCAGAGATCTCTTGGGGACTCCAGCAAGGGAAGAGGTGAGAGGCCAGCAGCAGCTGCAGGAGGGTCGCAGTGGAGCACCCCGGCTGAAGGGGTTTGTGGCAGCAGCCAATCTTGGCGTGGGCGATGTCATCTCATGCGCGTTCGCGATCAGGGCACAGCAGCTTGGCCTGCATGCGCAGCCGCCGGCCGCGCTTGAAGGCGCGCCCAGCACCGATGCCGAGCCCCTCTTTGGCAGGATTCTAGCGTATGCAGGCAGCATGTCCCCGCTGCTAGGGAGCAGGCAGGATGGGGAAAGCGGCTCCGGTGCTGTTGTGGGCGGTGGGGCCGGAGAGGGGGCTCCAGAGGAGCAGGCATTGTTGCGGCAGCATGGGCAGCGTGCCGGGTTCTCGTGGGTGCCTCGCTCCCTGGCGAATGCTCAGAGCCTGGGCTTGCCTCGGCGGATCTGCTGGCCTCTGCAGCTCCATGCAAGGTGTGCACATGCATCACTTCCCAGTCCGGACTTTAACTTCCCTTCCTCATATCACCTCGATGGAGTTCTTCTTTGAGCCACCGTTTTCCAGTGGCAGCGTCGGGGTTTATCGTGGGTTTTTGTGCAAGGGTGATAGCACAGTCAAACAAAGAAGGGTGATGACGCGCAGGCCAGAGGAAGTGGTGGCAGGTGTGGCCTCTCCTGAGGCTGCCAAGGAGCTGGAGGCTCTTCTGAAGGACGCGCCAGACCTGCAGGGCATCGCCTTTGTGGCGCCTGCCCCTGATGACCTCACAGCGTTGCAGAGGCAGCCTGGGAGTGGAGGTCACTGCATAGAGAGCGCCCTCATGCTGAGGCTAGACTTCTTGGGCCACCTGCACCTGCAAGGCTTCCGTCTGCCCTGGGCTACCAAACAACCTGCTGCAAGCTTGAAGGTGTCGATTCCGACCTGCCTCCACTTGACTGGTGTATTTTCGCGCTGCTAAATATGCTTTGCTTTTCTCTAAGCTACCTGCTTTGCATTTGTGCCAGCAAAGCAAGCATGTTGGTGCAGGAGGTTGGGGTGGAGGAGCACAGGTCTGCTCTGGCTTCTATCATTCAGCGCCGGCATCCCAGCCTGCAGGCAGACTATGTCATTGGAAAAGAGGTATGTGACATGCGCGATCTACTGAAATTGCCATGCATTCATCTTTGAGTTACATGATGAGTTGTGGGTGTAGAGAGGTGAAGGCAGTGTCTGCTCCTGTAGGTCTCTCTGGAAAAGAATGCAGAGGAAGGTTCATACAGCGACCTTCTGAGAGCAGCAGAACAGCCTGACGGTCTGACGGAAAAGGATCTCATCTGCGATCTCAGCATCCACCATGGCATTGCTCGCAAGGCCATGCAGGACTGGAAACACTCTGCAGGTCAGTATACTCCATTCCATTGAATGGTTAAGTACGCAGGAGACCATGGCCTGGCACATCTTATAATCTGCAATGCATCACAGGGGATGGTGGCATATCAGAGCATGGCGCATCAAGGTCAGCACAGAGGGAGCTTCTCTCACAGCTGCTGGCTGAAACAAAAGTGAAGGCCTTCCTATCTCCCACACAGGTCATTTGCCGCTGCCTTGGCGCTGAGATACCACAATGCTCTTCAGTCATATGCCCCAGCCGATAAAAAGACGATCTTGGTATTCTCATGTTCTGTATTTCTCTTGCACAGGTGCCCCTGACTGTGTGGGAGGTGTGCATGGAGCTGCAAAAGATGCAGCAAGGCACTGCCCTGGAGGAGGCTTCTGAAGAAGATGCAGGAGCCACATCTCCTGGAATGTTGGTACGGGCTTCTTCTTCCCCTAAGAAACTCATAAAGTGCTTTCACACTCTTGCCTGCTTGCGAATGTCACGGGTATTAGCCACAAAAATGCCTTTGCAAGCTGGTAAATAATATATCAAGTCAACACGTGGCAAGACTACATGCAGCCCACTGCAGTTATTTTGCCTCACAAGAAATGCTGTGCCTGCAGGAATGCAAGGGGGGTGAACGACGGGCTCTGAGGAGGCGCATGGGCTCCATCCGGCAGGGCGTGCAGGCGATCGAGGTGGGCAGGGGCCAGCAAGCTCGGCTGTCCAAGTGGGAGAAGGCCCGCAGCGACCCTCGCAGCATCATGGGCAACTGCTTCCTGAATGCTCACAGGTGCTCATGCGCTCTTGCTCCCCACATAAATTAGCCTTTCGTTGCTCAGGGGCCGCTCTGGCCATACAAATGCATCATTGTGTTGTAGATATTTAAGGAATGAGCTGTATGCGCATCAAGCATGGAGGTGCCGTCAACATGCATGCGTGCGTGCTGTGCCCTATCGTTCAAAGCAGGACCCGTCAAGGACAATGAAGCCTTGTTTTTTTGAGTCTGTTCGTTACTTATAGTTCATTGATTGCCGCTCATTGATTGCCATTGTCCAATGCAGCGAGGTGGAGGAGGATGCAGCAGGGCTCCCCAGCCAGATCAGAGATGTGACTGCTGCACTGTCCGCTGCTCTATACGAGGCTGACCTGCCCCATGGCAAGGATGCGCCCATGCGGTGTGCTTTCACGGATGGGCTGAGCAATCCTGCCAGCACAAGCCTGCTTCATTCTGGAGACAGGAAGGCACAAGCGGAAGCTGAGGTAAATGTGGTACAGACAATCGGCTGAGTTAGATTGTCCACTGCTGTGCAGTTTGCTGAGATTGGAAACTCTGTGATTGTGTCAACGGTTAGAAAGGTCATGCATTTGTGATGCACAGGAGGTGGGCCCAGACTCCCAAATGACAACTGCCAGCCAGGAAGTGAGCATGCACAGCTCCGAGCTTCCCCCTGACAATGTTGCCAGGCCACCTATCGACAGGTGTTCAACCGTGCCTCTTAAATAGGTTTTCAGTGTCAGCCCGGGCTTATGTATTCTCACTGGCTCCAACATTGCCATCCAAAAGCTTGAGACATCACTTTGTGAATGAAATATGCAGGATACTCGGGAATGGGTTGGTCTTGACGCCACAGACGCGGCTGCAGAGCATGTTTGGTGTCCCTGTCAGAACCTCGGTGCTGGAGCCTCAGATCATCATGCAGCGTACAAAGGTACTGTGCACAACACCTGGACTCTCCATTTCTGCACAACCTCCTCTTTCATGCGCAGTTTTTGACCTGATGGCCACGCCTTAGGGCTGAATAATCTTGACAGAATACTGACAGGGTCTCATGCTCTTCCTCAGGTGGTTGACCCCATTACTGCAGACGCATTGGCTGATCTGGAGACGGACTGGCTGCAAGCTGAAGGCAATTTGCAGCCGTCAAGTACGCCAGGGCAGAAAGATCCTGCCTCTGCCCATGGTCACCAGGTGCGGATTCATCGGCAGCTCAGCATCACGATCTCCTGGCCTGAAGCCTATAGTATAGAAATCAATAAATAGTGCCATCCTTTCATGCTCTGTGCATGCTTCCAGGTCTCTGGAGATCGCCTGCTCCTCACACAGCAGAGCACTCCAGCCACACAACAGAAGAGGGTGTCCTTTGCCCCAGGCAGCCAATTGCCCTCTGGGGCCCGGCCAAGCGGACGGCAGGCTAAGAGGAACCGGATCAGTCAGGAAGAGGGCTTCAGCTAATTCTGGTAGTTGCTGCGGATTGGATGGACCATGGCCCACATGGGTCAGGCGTTATCATTGGAGGATATTGTGTGTTGTGTTGACTCATTGAGGACACTGTTGAGGAAGCTGCGGCAGAATCCCCACTGATTGGACTTTGAATATCCCAAAACGCATGAAGATAGAGGACATGGAATGTTGTAGGAACTCAATGTGATCCTCAGCTCAACCATACACAAACGCAACCAGTGAGCTCAACTTGAATCATTGAAACCATCTTTTGCAGAGTGAGACAAGTCTTGTGAGCTTTTTGAAGTTAGTCTACACTTATTATAATATGAGTAATTACAATTTGATGGGCGTTGGCTCACATTGTACAGCAAGCCACTTGCCATAATGCATGCCTTTAAAAGTGACAGCAGCACCATGAGACCCACTTCTGACCTCTCACTTCTACAGTTCTGGATGCCAGTGTTTTAAATTTGGATTTAACAAATTTGAATTGCAAGACCACTTTAAACCATTGTCTTATGGTAATCAATGGCATATCTTCACGGCTGGTTGTCCACGAGGGACTGGAGAAACTCAAGAGGTGTTGGGTTTCACTGCTCACTGTACAACGTGTCTTGCACACTCCTTACCTACGACAAACTGACTGGCGCTCAATACACATATACAACGTTTACCAACCACTCCATATGTACGTCTCACACACCACCTCCAGTACTGATATAAATTATTCTCTAATGCTTTGCAGCATCGCCCTTGATCATGGCTTCGATGAAGAACTCGCCAGCGCGGTAGCTCGACCGCACCAGGGGTCCTGACGCCACATACCTGCGGCACAGGAAGAAAATCCAGAGTCTGCATATCACCTGCATTTTCATTGAGACATGCTGCAAAGAGGAATACCTAATAAGAATCCACTTCCTTTGTACCATGTTGTGATAAGTTATTGCTTCCCCAGAAGTCCACGCACCTGAAGCCAACCACTTCCTCGCCGTACTTGCGCCAGTGCTCAAACTTCTCGGGCGTCACAAACTCAGTGACCTCCAGGTGCTTGGGAGTCGGCTGCAGGTACTGCCCAAATGTGAGAATGTCCACGCCTGCAACCACAAAATTTCCTGAGGTCTATATTTTGTAGCTAACAGTAGGTGACCAAGGCAGTGCAACATGTACTGAGTGGTCAAAGATGTATCATTTGCTGCTTTCAGTGGGACCTGATGTGGTATTCAATTAGTCTCACGTCATTAGCAGCATCTCAGAACTTCATGTACTCATCAGGTCATCTAATATTAAGTAGCTGTTCAGACCATGCTGGCAACAAAGAAGTGGGTACACGGGGTGGTCACCTGCATCCCTGAGGTCGAGCATGGTGTCGACGACCTCATCATCTGTCTCGCCCAGGCCCAGCATGATGGAGGACTTGGTGTACACCCCACACTCCTTGGCCGCCTTCAGCACCTCCAAGCTCTGCACGTAGCCCGCGCGCGCGTCCCGCACCCTCCGCTGCTCCCACCAGCCACTCAGGTCAGCGTGCCAGCATGATAATCAAGGTTTCCCATCTTTACGACTGCCCTCACTGCACATGATGCTGCCATGCGCGCAGCAAACGGCAGCAGCAACCTGCCGTCAAGAGCACACATGCCAACAGGCGAGCTTGAGCAGCCTGCTATGAGGCGCAAAACCCATAGACACCAGTGCAACCCCAATTTTCCCCTTTACCCAAAATTCCCCTCTGGCGTCATTGCGCAAGTCAGTCCCAAGGCCAGAAACATCACTCTCTGTGTTTGCTTGTCAGCTTGTACAGGCACTGACGATAGGATTTACTGCTGATCCCCTTTCTGCTGCACGCGTTCTAGGCACTCGTTTGTACATCAGGAGCCTGCATGCCAAGCCCCTCGTGCAAGTACCTAACAGTGCAGGGGCGTCCCCTCCCACCTGCAGCCGGTCCACAGTCTCCACGTTGTGCGCGTAGACGTCCAGACCCGAGGCCGCCAGGTGGCGCACGGCCGCCAGGTCCCCCCGGAAGTCGGGGGTCAGGCACTCCACTAGGATGTCCGGCCGCAGCGATTTGAGCGTGCGCACCGTTCGCGCAAAGTGCTCCGCGCCGCCGTCCGGAATGTCGTCCCGGTCCACCGAGGTCAGCACCACGTAGCCCACTCCCCACTCCGCAATCGCCTGCAAAAAAGTGCGCTCATATCAATGGAATGCTGCAGTGTTGTTATACGTGCCTGCAGCGCCTGGCGCATGTTGCAGCAAACACGCAGATCAATGCAAAACTGCATCAGTTCAGCAGGTGCCTGAAGCGGCTGGCGCTGATCATCACGCTATTCAGCCCCAGGACTGCCTTGTTAAACAAGACACACGCGCGCATTGCGATGCTGCACTATTTATGCATGCAAAATACTGCACAACTGGCCCAAAGCTGATCGTGGCACGCGTTGCCAATCACGGTCTTATACTACTGAAGGGAAGGAATCTGCATGCAGGGAGGGAGATCTTGATGGCCACCCACCTTGGCTGTATTTTCCGGCTCGTCGTCATCTGCCGGCGCGGGCGTGCGCGCTGTGTTGACCGCGCAGAATTGGCAACCGCGGGTGCAAGTGTCACCTGCACGGCAGCGGCAGAATTGATGAAGGATGAGAATGACACTACTGACTTGTAATGCGTGCACAGCCATGCGGGGTCCCTGCAGCAGCTGATAGGGTGCGAACCTAGCAGCATGATGGTGGCTGTGCCAGTGCTGCCATTCCAGCACTCTCCCAGATTTGGGCACTGGGCCTCCTCGCACACAGTGTGCAGCTCGAGAGTGCGCAGAGAGTCGCTCAAGTACTCATAGCGCTCCCCCTGTGGCGCCCGCTGCCTCAACCAGCCTGGCTTGTTTGACCCTGGCATCTGCTCCACATGAGGTCCTGCAGTCGCAATTCAAGATGTCGAGCAGCAAATTATGCGTTCAAATCTGTTCAGAAAAGGGATGCGACTGGCAAGAAATTGAGCTAGCAGTGGGGTGTGATGCAAGGTGCTGACCCACAACGCTGGCAGCTTCTCCCCGTGCACCAGCCAGCGCCTTGGATCCCTGCTCTGCCAGGGAAGGATCCACTTGTATGGCCATGTGAACCAACTCCGCAAAAGCATCATCTCCTGATAGTTCCACCTGGGCTTCGATCTGCAAATTGAGGCCGAAGGTTCAGTGCCATGGATAGGAAGCAGCACAGCTTAGCTTGCTAAAATAATATTACAGTTTCCCTGATAAGAAGCATTCTTGTCATACAAGTGAAAGGAAGCCTGCATAATGCGAAGGCAAAGGAAGCAATACCACGTCTTGAGGTGTTGCACTCTGTCTGTTTCCCTTGTTTCTGTAAAGCCTCGGAGCTGCTGGGATAGCAAAGAGCGGAATGCCATTTGGATGTAATGCAGCGCTACGTGTGCTAGCTGCTGCACCCGATGCTATTCTGGTGTTCCACATCACGTTCGATACGTTGTTTGCAAAGGAGAGCACCTGCTGCCAGGAACCGATCCTCTAAAAAAGGCACACCTTTTTACACCAAAGTTATTGAGTTCAACGAGAAGAAACACAACCTTTCCTCCCCAAATTTATTTTGTGACGTCAATGGTGAAGTTTGAGCCAAGTGCTCTGCCGTGAGGTCAGCATATTTCATCTGATGAATGGCACTGGTACAGAATTGCCCGGATCGACCAACTGCGCACACCTGCGAGTCTGTTTTAGAATGAGTATAATGCAGACTGATGAAGAGGATTCTCTGTGAAGCGCGTGCTATGCAAGGTTAGGTGCAAGTACCGAACACCGAAGTTCTGCAGATCCCACTGGGAATATGTGGGAGTTCTGGCGGAGCAGGTTGTCAAAAGGCAAGACGCGGCATAGGCGTCGGGCTGGATCAGACGATGACACATTGTCTATGAGCCCCATGACGTCCAGGTGAGCAAGCGGGTTCCCTGCCCTGATGACCTAGGAAATAAAGGCGAGACAAACAGGAAGACATAACTGAGGCTCCTAAAGGTGGGTTTACACATGTTAGTGTCTCATATCTCAGGTGCCACACGTGCAAATGCATGTTCTATAATCTAGGTTCAACAAGCCTATATTCAAGATGGGACTAGTAGAGGCTGCAACCTTATAGTGCAGGGCGGTCCTTCAGCCCTCCAAATCTATCTTAAACGTCATCACAACTAATTTGACCTCCATAGTTCCTGGTAAGATCTAGGTTGAACAAGTGGGTAACTGGTGCGTCAGTTACACCAGCACTCTGCTGCCCTCTTCTGGTCGGTCATAGATGCATGACTCCAACATGGCAATCATTACAATCGTTTCCAGATGAATCTATGACGCTCTACCACAGCAGTGAGTCACATTAAGATTGTGACCGGTCTGCATCATCAAGCCTAGGCCCAATTGCCTCAGTCTTGCAGTTAATATAAGGGGAGATTTGCATGCAGGTCCCTGGGGGCTTCCCTGGAGGCGCCGCTGCCGGACATCCAGGTGGGGGGCCCGCCAGAGAACAGCACGCATGTGTACTTCAAGGACATGATCGTGGCGGCCTCGGACGACAGCGAGGAGGAGTCGGAGCCCAGCGAGCGCGGCACCGCCAACTCCGGCAGCGACGCGCGCGTTCCGCGCAAGGTCCGGCGGCGCAACCGGGTGGACCGCCAGAAGCTGATCATCATACTGGTCGGCCTGCCCGGCCGCGGCAAGACCTTCCTCTGCAACAAGCTCATGTGCTACCTGAACTGGTGCGCGCCAGGAACCCCCTCTGGGGCTCAAGGGAACTCTCCTTCCTTGCCAACACTGGTCATGCAACTGGTCAAGCTGGATAGCTACTCGATCACTGCCAAGCTGTCATTGCTGGATTCAGAGGACTTGTCCTTCCTTAAAACGGGTCATGCACAGCATGCTGAATGGCTGCTTGATCGGTAACAATTGAACTTGCTGAATTTGAAGGGATGGGGTGAAATAAACGGTATCAGTTGAAGCTTTGGGGAGCCTTCTGAGGGAACATGTGTGGCTGTGCAGGCTAGGGCATGATACCCGGCACTTCAATGTGGGGCAGTACAGGCGAGTGCAGAAGGGGGCGGGTGAGGTCCAGGATGCATCATTCTTTGACCCAAGCAATGAGGTGAGGCAAACCCATTTGCCCATTTCAGAAGTGCCCAGATTGCAGCATAGCCAAACAGAGCGCACTTGCATGGCGCTCATGTGCTCTCTGGAATGGACAGGCTGGGCTGAAGGCGCGGCATCAGGCTCTGATGGCTGCTTTGGAAGATATGGATACCTGGCTAGGTGAAGGTGGGTCTCTGGAACAACACCACACATTTTGCAGGCTTGTATTCTCAATTTGCTGCAGCGTGATGGACCTGATGGCTCTTGTGTGCTTGCGTGCAGAGAGCGCGCAGGTAGCCATCTTTGATGCAACGAATTCCACAGAGCAGAGGCGGCAAGTCTTGGTGAGTGCTTATGCAGTCTTTTTACTTCATTTGATCTTTGCTGGTGCATGTGGTCCAATTTTTGAATCACAGTCAGTTGCTGAGAATATAGTATGTGCGCAGCGCAATCGCTTCCATGGCAGATGGCAGTATCTGTTCATAGAGAGCATCTGCAATGATCCGGACGTCCTGCAACAGAATTACCGTTATAAAATGATGTACAGCCCAGACTACAAGTCCACAGAAGCCGACAAGGTAGCCCTGCACCTAAAATCTTGGAGCCATCATCACATTTGGTTGCTTGCATGCAAATTCTAGATGGGCAATTGCCTCAAAACAGAGCTCATGTGCGCTGTTGTGAGAGATATGAGGACGGATGCAGGCTTTGAATGACTTCAGGGAGCGCATTGAGAAGTACGAGGAGGTGTATGAGACCATCACAGACCGCAACCTGCACTACATCAAGCTCATCGACATGTGCGCTACCACAGGGGAAAACAACTGTACACATCTGCTTAATCCGCTGTCTATCGGCCTGAGATGCCACTCTGCTCAAAGACACGTGGTGTATTGTCCAGATGCGTGCTGTAATAATAACAGCTTCTTGGGTGTGCAGGGTGACAGGGCGGGGCTACATGGATGTGAACCGCATCAGTGGATACATCCCTGGCAAGATGGTCTTCTTCCTCATGCAGGTGCACTTTCATTCAGTGCCCCAACTCTGGCGTCTTACCACACTCCCTCATGCACCCAACAGCTGTCATGTTGCTGCTTTGCGCCAACAGTGTCCAGCTTCAGAAGCATCTTGTGGGCCAAAGAATCGGCTGATAAGGGCATGTGCACGAGCGCAATCAAGTGCCATATGACCCATGGCCTTCCCCATGCAGACAGACTCTCACCTTAAAACTGCTGGTGCAGGTGTGCAAGGCGGGAGTGGCGCGCATGCGCAAGATCTGGCTGACGCGGCACGGCGAGTCGGAGTACAACCAGAGGGCGCTGCTCGGCGGCGACTCCAGCATCTCCCCCTCCGGCCAGATCTATGCGCGCCTGCTGCCCGACGTCATCGTCGATCGCATTCCCCTCGTGCGTCACCCTCATATCCCCTTCTTTTTAGGGTTCATGCTTTCTACTGCCCCTGTGGAACAGTTGCTGATCTTGTCCTTCTGAGCCCATGGCCCTATCGAGCTTGGCGTGTTATCATGGCATTATGTTTGCGAGGACAGCTGTGCAAAGGATGCTGTGCATGTCATGTCTCGGTGACGTTGCTGAGTGTGTGGGATTTCCTTGCCGCAGACGCTTGAGGGCGCCACCATGCCGGTTTCGGTGTGGACCAGCACCCTCAGGCGCACCATCCAGACTGCAGAGCTGCTGCCCTTCCCAAAGCTCAGATGGAAGGTGCGCCTCCTCTCCTGCCATCATTGCATCATGCCACAGCAGCAACTTGCCCAACACTGGCTCTTCACTCACCACAAACTCGTGTCATGTGCATCGCTTCCTACTTATAATCTGCCCAAGACAAGCACTGGTCTGCGAGAAGCTCATGTCATCACTGCATTGTGCCACAGCAAGATCTTTGGCCAACAATAACTCTGATCTGCCAGAAGGAAAGGTGGAGCATCGCTATGAGGCTTCCATATGTGTTGCTGTTCCCAGGCGCTGGATGAGATTCAGGCGGGCATCTTTGACGGGTGGACGTACGAGGAGATTGCAGAGAAGCAGCCGGAGGAGTACGCAGCGCGTAAGCGCGACAAGCTCAGATACAGGTGATTCCCACCCTCGACCAGGCCCCGCTACTGCTCACCGGCACTGCAACGTGTTGCTGCACAGCCCTCTCTGCGGCCAATAAGGCTGTGCAGCTTTGGGCTGCAACCTGGCCCTCAATCTCTAGCTGAGGGCTGATTAGATCTCTGTCCCCTCAAAGAAGGTGGCCATGGTTGCCAGGCAGTTCCATAGAACTGCCGCCTTGCAGTGGCTGGCTTGTCACCATGTGGCACAAACAACTTTGCCCCTGACGTACTGTAAGCTTTTCTGTTTTCATTTCATGTGAACCTGAAGGGCACCAATGGCCAGGGCCCCCTTGCCCGCTTGGCGCCCATGGGTGGCCAATGAGCCATCTGGGCGGTGCCATATCAAAACGTGGAAGCAAGTTGTGAAGATCTTCCCGTGCGTGCGCAGGTACCCGAGTGGCGAGAGCTACATGGACGTGATCCAGCGGCTGGAGCCGGTGATAATAGAGATCGAGCGTGAGCGCGAGTGCGTGGTTGTGGTTGCCCACCAGGCCATCCTGCGCGCCCTCTACGGCTACTTCATGAAAATCCCCCTTTCTGTGCGTCCCACCCTTACACGCCCATTTCACTCATTGAGCAGCGATTGCCTACCCTTGCAAACTTCCGTGCCCCTCATGGCTTCACTTTGAGTGTATGGCTCTTAGCTTGGAGCAGAAGGGCCACATTGCATGCGCGCACCTTAGACAGCCGCAGATTGGCGATTTTCTCACCTTGTGCTCAGATGAAGAACATCACGGCCAGGTTTGAAGCAAAACTACAGCAGCGAGCAATACGCTATGCGCTTGTTGGATGCTATGTGCGTGCGCAGGACGTGCCAATTCGTAGATCAAAGCAGCATGTGGCAGTGGTCCTTCATCCTGCATGCAAGCAGCATGGGCAGCTGGGAAGGTGCAGTACAGCGGTGAATATGGGTGTGTGATGTATTTGTGCAGGACGTGCCGCGGCTGGAGATTCCGCTGCACACGCTGATAGAGCTGGTGCCGACGCCCGACGGGCGCATGGCAGAGGAGCGCATCCCGTTCAACGTCCGCAAGTCCATGGAGATGCCCGCGCGCACGCCTATGGAAAAGCAATTCTCCGAAATGATCACCCTCTCCGTTAATCGCGAGCTGGCCTGATATCCCCCGGCATAGCTGCGGCTACAGTCCTGGGGCCGGCGGCGGCGGCGGCGGCGGCGTTGAGGAGGCTCTGAACTGCCGCCCTCCCCCTTTCTGGCAATTGGTTACGAGAGCGGATTGCTGTTGGGCACTGTTGGAGGTGCGGTGAACCGCAGCTACGCTGAGAGGGTGCAGCAGTGAGGCAGTGATAAGCAACTTTCGCCATGACCCATAACTAGCAGGACGACAGGCGCAGTGTCAAAAGCTCCTTGGCTGTTCACAGGGGGGATGTCTTGTTCCTGCAAATGGCTGCTGTGTAATGTTACCGAATGTGCATGTAGATTTGATCCTCTCTTACTCTTTCTTACTCGTATGAAGTCTTTCCGGTACTGTAATTTTTTCTGAGACAGGCCTATTCTGATTGAATGGACGACCAGACCTATGATAGCTTAGTGCATCTCATTATGCACTGCTATTGGTTGTACGCCGCTTTCTGCAACTGTACTTTGTTCACTCTGCTGTTGTAGGGTTGGCATGATGCAATTGCTTTTATGCTGACATGAGGCACCCATATTGAAGTGTGCACAGTTGCGTATATTTCTTCTCCTCACTTTGATAGTGCTTCCTTGGGCCAGGCAGGTGTGAGGGTGTTGATTTTTTTTACTAGTTAGGCTAGGATTAACAGAAGCTTGCTGTGCATGCAGTTGCATACGCATGAATTTCCGAGCGCATGTGATGGCGGTGCAGCAAAATGGGCTATGAAATGATGGGCTACGAATCAAGTTCTCAAGCATTTACAGTTCTCGTCCCAATCTGCACAGGTGATCATGATCATGCATGAGGGACTTGACATCACGGCCGTTCTGGCCATCGGATCACACACATTGGGCCAGCATTGCAAGTCCATATCTAACATAGCCATCCTGTCCAATAAAGTATTTCTGTACCGAATCAAATACCCGCTTGTCTCTCACTATCCAATATGCAGACACTGCACAGCACTGCACATGTCCCTACCCGCGACTCACTACACTATGCACCATCACTTAGAAAAGTTCCAGAAATTTCCCATCTGCCATCTTAGCGAATGCAAGACGGCGTCTTGCCGCACATTGTTGTGCGCAGTGAGTTTACTTCAAAACTAGAAAAAGGGGCCCAGGGGTCTAGTATGAGAGCGCAGTGGAGGGAGAAGGAGCCAGCGCAGCGTTGTCTGCAGCGCTGCCACAGCCAGTAGCGGTCTCGTTTGCGACAATGCCAGCACTCGTCTGGGGGGCACACCGCCCGGCAGTCAGAGTCATGCCCAGGCGCAGCGGCAGCGTCGCCTGCAACGGCAACCACATACACAACTTAAATTTTTGAATTCAAAGCCACTTGCAATGCAGCCACTTGTTAAATGCACAGGGGGTTGCGCTGCTCATCCATGCAAGGCATGTAAGTTCTGTTGTGTCTCCTTCTTTGTCACCCCGCGCAGCTCGCAACGCCTTCGGTGCCGCACAAGAACACTGTTGTCTTCTTTGCAGATGGTGGGCCAGTCTTCCTGCTCTCAGCAGCATGCAGGAAGAACAAGGATAGATTTCAGAAGGAAGCCCAGCAATTTGAAAATTTGAGTTTAGATCGGGTGACTCACGGTGTAGTTGGTGGGGAAGACGGTGGCGTTGGAGGTGCCTGGGAAGGAGTAGGCGTATTTGGGGAGCTTGGAGACGTCCGGGAAGGAGGTCTGGATGAACTGCGCGCCCGCCTTGATGGCGCCCAGCGTGCGGTTCTTGAAGTCCTCGCGCGCCTCCACCGTCTGCGCGCCACCCATGTAATCCCCCTCTGTCAGTACCCATAAAGAAACCCCCAATACTGAGAATCCGCCTCTTTAGACCTTTGGTCCCTCCAGGGCACCATGCCGGTAGACGGCGTCTTCCCTCTCAGCAAACCCACGAGGCTTTCACGATAAATCCCACGGGTGCGACATCTATATTCAAGTGAGATGAAGGCTCCACTGGGCAGCATTGTTGGTGGTCCCATAGCCAGAGCGAAATATCAGGTGCGAAGGCAACCCAGGGAAGAGCGCTCACATGCCAGTCAGCAGCAGCGCGTGCAATGAGGCCCTTGCGCACAGCCGCCTGGATCTGCTGCCTCTGCTGCTCCACAGCCTTGTTGGCAGCCGCCGCGGTCCAGGTCGCCACGTTCTCGCCTCCCAGCGGCCCCAGGAAGTCCACAAAGACCGTTGATGGGTCCAGAGTGGTGTTGGTGCCTGCCCACCACATCGTGTCAGTGCCCTTGCTAATGCCCCATTTTTAAAGGTGACTCTGTCACCTGGCAGCATCTTCTTCGCTCTGTACGTTGGCTTGCCAGGAACAAAATCACCTCTGCCAGCAGCTTGCTATATTTATGTGTCATCATCCCCAGCAGGAGAAGGTCAGATTATCTATCGTCACCTGGCTCTGAGATGAAGAAGGTAGCATTGCGCAGGTCGGGGAAAAGCTTGCGGTACATGGGCCCGTACTTTCCGTACTTGTCCACCAGCACAAAAAGCACCCTGCCCCTGTTCTCGTTCATCATGGGCCACGACCTGCGCACACAGCACCGCACCAATACTCCTCTGACCAAGGCTTCCAGCATGGTCGGTATATTCAAGCATCGCACACCATTCCAGGCCATGCTGACAGCGTGGCATGTTGTAAGCAATGCACACGGCGGGTGCAGTGCTGCAAAAAAGACATGTGTGCAGTGCGATGTGAGCGTAGATCTTCTCATGCACAATTTGCTGGGTATTGCAGGACCAATATGTCGCGAGGGAGCAGAAAGTTGCAAGGGGTTACTCAGCGGCGGCCTCACCCTCCGGAGGCGGGCTGGGTGGCAGCCTGCAGGGAGGAGGCGTTGCCGAGGAGGCCCCCCGGCAGCACAATGGCGCTCTGGTTGAACACGCGGTACACCGTGTTCTGCAGCTCGTCCAAATCCTCTGCTGCGATCGGGTACGGCTTTGCCAGCCTGCACACAACCACCCACACATGCTTGTCATGAAGGGACTTGATGCTTCGGGCACAACTTCTCTCTACAGAGTCATGATAAGAGATGCAGTTTTTCTGTGACACATGGCCCAAAACAAAAATTCAAAATATTCAATTTGTAAATGTTAATGACCCTAGGCCCTAAATATAATAATTTATTATTTTATATTACCCGCTTTATCTGTCCCTACAGAGTGAACAAGAGGCAAATGGATTAGAAAGGGGGCCCATACTCGGCGGGTTTGCCGGGCTTGGAGGCGAGCTGCTGGTTGATGGAGGCCTCGCTGCCGGTGAAGAGGGTGGCTTCGCGCGGCTCCAGGTAGACAGTAATGGGGATGTGGTCCGTGTGGTTCACCGACCAGCTCTGGATCAGCTGCACCACAAGTTCCCACCCCGAGTTTGTCACTGAATGATATTTAAAAATAAAAAGTCAAGAGCCATGGCATGCCTCCTGACGAGGTCAGCTGCTGCACAGTCCCCACATTGTGAGCAAATTGTATTGATCAAATCAATGGTGTAAGAGCCATGTAATGTGTTTCGGCAAGCTCTGCAGCACAAAACTCCCCAGCACATCGATGAGCGAAAATAATGAAGGCACATAATTTCAGCAGGAGATCCATGACAAGGTATGTCAGCATTGGCCAGGCAATTTCTGCTCACCCGGAGGCAGGTCTCCACAGTCACGCAGTTGGACTGCCAGTCAAAGTCAGGGTCGTTGAAGGTCTTGAAGCCTGCACATGCAGGCCCAAGCATTTCATAAGTGTTTCTTCCCTTTAAGATCTCCGCTGGGTAGACAGCCACTAGACAGCCACATGTAAGTCCAGGTCCTCTTTATCATCAGGGGTTTAAATAGGCTCACCGAAGAAGCTGTACTTGGGGTCCAGGGTGGCGTTGGTGATGCCAGCCAGCTTGAGGCCGGCAGGGTTGGATGCCAGCGTGCCATTGGGGTCCTTCCAGGCATTGAAGTGGAACTGGCGGATGCCTGCACGCCACCCAAGGCATGCCTCACTGCAGGGCTCCATGCCTTGCTACATGTCAACTGAAGCTTGCTATCATCATCTTCTTGCAAGAGGGATGCCGCCGTGCTGCCATGTAGGAAACTTCAAGCTTTGCCCAGAGGACGATGTGCAAGCCTTGCAGCCTTGAGACCCAAGCAAGAAAGGTGCAATGGTGGGCTCTGCTTAGTCCACATCCCGGGGCATGCAGCACCCCGGCTGTATAAATTGTTAGCCTGGGAATGACATGCCATGTCGGGGCAGTGCAAGGGGCCTCACCGAGGGAGTCCAGCTGGAAGAAGATGTCTGGGTGTGTGAACTGGAATGCCTCGGGCGCATAGGCCGGGTTCCCGCCTAGCGCGGATTGGTAGGTGCTGCCGTTCAGCAGTTGCACCACTGCCGCTGGTGGCGCCACGTGGTCACTCTGGTATGTGCCCAACGTCTGCAGCACATACCCACATCAGCCAGTGCATCTTGCCTCCTTCACATACAAAGAATGTACTGCCTGCAGCAATCAGTTTGATTGCAGCTTCTTACAGCTCCCGAAGCACGGAATGGAGGTGTCAAGGGCCGCCTGCTGCATTACAGTACACATCGCCTGCAGCCAGATTTCTGAGCAGCTTTGCAGGGCCACAAAGCTTGGAATGCAGGTGATACAGCATGTCGAGCAGAAGGGTTGGGGGTGAAAAATCGCACCTGCAGCTGGTTGAGGGTGCTGTTGGTCATGGCCAGTGAGTCGCTAGCCTTGGGCACTGCCGGGGGGCCCACAGGGGCCGGCGCCGGTGCAAACGCCGGAGTCCCAAGACCCTGCCGAGCAACAAAAGAGCCGGAGATTCAGTCGCGCCCTCGGCATCCATACCGCCCAAGACAATCCATCTGCCAGTGTTTTCAATCTGACAGGACAGCAGCCTTCAGAGAGTCTAGTGGGAGCCTTTGTTGAAGAAAGCTTCACACCTGAGGGGGCAGGAGTCTGGCGGCTGGCGCCTGCGCTGCTGTGCTTGCAGCGCCTGTTTGGAGCACGCGCTCCCAGCGTGACTGCTTGGCATGCGTGCCTGCCAGCAGGCATGCCACGAGGCACAGCTGCAGTACCTGGTTCCACCTCCTCATGCTGCCTTTCCTGCAGGCAGCTAGTGCGACTTAGAATATTTCAAAAAGGGCCTAAGCACGTGCTGGTGGGTCTTCTTTGATGTACTGGTCTGCTGCTTGTGATGACAGCCAGCACTATCGACACCCAAAGAAGCTCCCGAACGCTCCATAGAATCAAGCATCCCTGGAGTAAAATGATCCTGACATATCCAAAGGACGTGCAAAAGCGTCTAATCTTGTGGGCGGCTGAATCTATCATTCGGATAGGGTGCATAGTCATAACTGGCATCGAGACCAGATCACTTTTTCCCAACAAGTTTCGCTTTATGTTGATGGGCTCATCATACCGTTTTAGACCAAAGATAGGTTGGAATGAGAAATATGCACACGGATGCATGCATAAAGCACGATCCCAGTCGGTACATACCCTCCGATCTGAAAGAAGTGCAACATCGGAACCTACTTTCGAAAGTTATATTCCAATGATCAGCGGTGATGGGCTACACCAAAATCAAAACTTTAGGACGGCGATGCAGCTCTCCTGCGATTGGTGATCAGCGGCGTCGTGACAGAATGATGGCTAGTTTGTCGTCCGACTACCCGATGATCGAGCGTTGACCACGAACCCGACACCAATGGACGGAAAGTGAATACTGTGTGTAGGGCGCAATGAACGAAAAGAGTGACGGGGACGCCAGCTATCCACCTGTGCTGTGATCCCATTCACAGCTTTCGGACGCTCACCTTTTTAAGAGGCGCTCTTCGATGCAGCAAGTAGCTGTCTTCCCTGTGTCAGTCCCCTTCCAGAACTCCGATCTGACAGGTTCAGCTTACAGGCGAGTTAAGTGTTCTCCCCGTCACCTCTGATCGCACTGGACACAGAGAGAGCTGCAGGAAAGGCCAGCTGTTCGGAGGTGGCCCGACTGACAAGGAACGCCACTGTATGGGGACCCAAGACATAAAAGATTGCCCAGGAAGCTGTCGAGAAGGCGGTCTCTCAAAGCAATCACACATTCACCTTGGCATCTTTTGTGAAAAGTATTATCCTTCATCTGAGCACCATTGCAATCACCAACCTACGGCAAGGCATGTTGACTGCTGGGGAATTCTGACATCATGCATGACGCTGCCGCAGCGGTATGCATTGGCGTCGCACGGCATTCTGAGAGCAGCAGCGGCTCAGCCTGTCTAGCTGCCAGCAGTCTACTTTGATTCGCAAGGCAGTAATGCTGTCTGTGGTGCTTAATACCGCCAGTCAACACACTAGTACTATGACTGCTCAAGCCTAAGGACTGGCAGTGCCGGCATGGCGCCATAAGGGGAATGGGTGTCCACTGTCCGCTGGCAGCATAGCTCCAATTTGATATCAATATCATCTGCGACATGATGTCGCTGCAAATCGTATTTTACACATAGTATGAGACATACAATTTAGTATACACACCGGTACCTGGCATCAAGTTGTTCAATATGCACGCCTGAGCATAATGTATAATACGGCACAAAATTGTGATATTAAGATCTTGCAAGCTTACAAGACCCCAACAGTGCACTGTATCACGTGATACACTCCACTGTCTACAAGTCATCTTCTGGCCGGGCTTCCCGGACGCCGGCACTTGCCTGCGTGCTCCGTCCAGCCAAGTCCATGAGGTGCCGGTCCTCCTTGAAGCGGTCCAGCACACTCGAGTTGCCAGTAGCTGCTACCTCCTCCTCTTCTGGCTGCTGCAGCAACCAGCATTCCACTGTATCCACCTCAAACACCTGTGGAAACAGACATGCTCCCCCTCAACCCTGTGCTGCTCTACGTGGAGTGACTGCAGAGATTGTCACGTTTGTGCTGCGAGAGGAATATGTAGCGACATGTGGAAGCTGAGAAATGAGGGAGCGCCTTACCTCATCAGCAGCAAGGCAGAAATTGCTGAAGGTTGCTGAAGGCCGACTCATGCCCTTCTCAAAGGAGCTGTCAATGGAGAGGCCATAATAGCCGACCTGACACCCAGTGAAATAACATAAATGCATCATGCTTTCTACACCTTGCAGATGCAGCCAGTCCTCACCGTAGCGCAGGATGTACCATGCACGCATGCAGACATGTAGCAAAGTGGCACTGAAGTTTCTGCATGCATGCATGCATGTCAGCACTTACCTGTCCACCCCATCCCAAGCCGTTGGGTATTTGAGTGAAGCCTTGGCCGCACCACAGCATGTTTGCATTCGCTCCAGTGGCGGTGAATTTCACCGTTTTGGGCAGCAGCCCAAAAATGAAGGACAGTGAGCTGCCATAGAAGACACCATGCTTTGACCATGCATCTGCCGCATACCCTCCAAACAGGTGCCCCTTCTTGTCCCTGATCAAAGTCAGTGTCGGTCCTGGAGAAGCATGCGCATCAACCATCTCTTAGTGTCCCAATTGCACAAAAGCTAAATGGTGCTGTGTGATATATAGATTTTACCAACCTTTTTCTGCAGCTTTTCCCATGAATGTGTTGAAGCTGCCACCATGAAGCCGACTGTTGAAGAGCAGCTCCCATACCTGTGAGAAACATATTTCCATCATCAAGCATCTCAAGCAAGTCACGAATTATCGTTTGTCAATAGAAAAACAAACCAGCCTGACCTCTGTCTGGGCTGCAGGCAGCCCTGAAGCCAGCAGCCATATCCACTCCGGGGTCATAAGACAATCCTCCAAACAAGCCGTGTGGGTGACTGTGCTTGGGAAGAGCAGACGCGGCTGGCCCACTGCTGAGGTCTGGTCCTGCAGAAGCTCATGTACACAATCATGGTGGGTTCCGACCAGATACTATCCATGCCATGTAATGATGTGACCATGCACCTTATCTGTAGTACCCTCCTCAAGCAGCCCATTCGATCCTCTCATGATTGCTTGTATTGTTTTTACAACTGCTGGGAAAGACTTTGCCCATCGCCTGCAGTTTCACAGAAGAACTCTTTGTCTGCTGATGTGCCCCTCAATACATCTGCCATTAAAATGGACCAGTGGAAAGAGATGCACAACCTGAAGTGCTGCCTGCTATAGAGATCCTCTCCAGCTTTCTTGTAATGAGCCATCCCTGCAGCAAATCGATAGATTTGTTTCAAATCCATCCTTACCGAAGCAGGCATGCTGAGGTGTTGTAATGTTCATGATATAGGCTAGGCCAAATGAAGGCTGCCCTTACCAGACACAACCGCTGCTGCAAAGCTTGGCGATGCGACGCCCTGACAGGACCATTGAGCACATGCATCAATTCCTGTTCTGAGTTCCATGGTCTGTTCATGGTCGCTTTGAGTGGGCATCAGGACGTCGCGTGTGAAGTCAGCTGCCTCCTCTGGAGAACCCTGCGGACACGCACTGAAATTTGAAATGCCTTTGGCTTGAAGCTATGGCCATGTTGCATCAACAAGATACACTCCTCACACATGGCCTTCGAGCTTGTGATGTTACGATATGACAGATGCTGGTACCTTCAGGCACATTGCCATTGCCATGATAAGAGTCTCAAGGGTCATTTCCTGCTGGTCAGGGGCCCTCACTGTCATGAAGAGACGCTCAACCAGCCAGGGATCCACTTTTTTCCATCCCAGCAGGGCCTGCATGATGGCAATACAATTCAAATAGAGGATGTCCATGCAGATTGCATCCCGCCAGCAGTTCCTTCCGTCTCTAGTAGTCAGTGGCATCAAACAATCATTGATCAGCTGATTGGAGGTCAAGATATTGCCTGGTACTGTTTCTGAGAGAAGGGAGCTTTGCTGTCATCTGAGATTGTCCTGAAAGCATTTTTCAGATTGTGCAGATCTCTTTGCAAGAATTTTCTGAGCACATTTTAGACACACCAAGTCAGCTCGATTAAGTGCTGTGCAAGCACGATAGTGTTGAACAGGAAAAACAGATACCACCTTTCTTGCTTTTAATTAGCCAAACATACCTCTCTGCTGCAAGATACTCATTACTCTTTGTCTTTGTGTACACGAATGGGGCAATAACATACTGTAGACAAGCCTCTAGGAAGGATGGCATCAGGATTGTAGTGCCTTCCAAACAAGCAAGTGATATTCACTTGTGGATTCCTGTCGATAAGTTGTTGCCTTCTGATAATCCGCTTTACTAAAAGCCAGATCAGCAATGTCATCGGCTGGTTCAGCTGAGCTACACACGGTCCGTATGCACTCTAATACCTTTGATCTTCCTAGAAGATATATTATGTGTCACGGATCTTGAATTGCGTGTGACATTGAAAGTATTGCCTTGGATCCAAGAATTCTTGGGGACAAGGGCCAATAAGGTTGATGGAGGGGGTTTGACAAAACAACAATTGCATGCAACACAACATCCAGACGGAAGAGATCTCCAGGCATCACTCGCAAAATGCTTCCCTAGTTGTCGCGATGCAGCCTTGAGAGAATTTCAGATTGACCAGCACCGACAAAGGAGCACTGTGACCGTGAAGCGGCACATCTGAACACCGACACAGTATTCTCCTTGGACACAGCTGAAGTGCGTAGTGAGGATACCTGACGGGAACTGCAATCCAAAGAGGCCATCCAACATCTCTTGAAGCTTCACTGTCGATCGTGGGCCATCCAAGAGCGCGACCCTTCCTCTCGCGACAACGATGCGTTGTGCCGCTGCGCTCGTCGTCATATTGCTGGCTGTGCTGCTTGCGCGACAGCACAACGGCGAGAAGGAAAGGCACTCAGTTTTGACCACCACGAGCCCGAAGAAGACAGGTGCGGGCATCTCTTGACTAATACTTCTTGCCATGCAGGCCACCTATCGAGTCCGGAACAGAACAAGCTCTTGTCAATCATGTCTAAGCGATTTGGCGTTTCAGAGTACATTACAGAAGCATGCAGAGCACGCTGCAATGCTACGGAAGCCTTTCAGAAGCCATTGCCCATCATGCCTGACCTAAAGCAGGGCACCCGGCCCCAGCAGGTATGGGTACAGCAACCTGCCAAGAGGACAAGTTGCTTTGTTAAAGAGCTGAACCAATGCTGTTTATGATGCTCGATTGTGGAGAAAATGAGCCCTTCTGACACATGTGCCAGTGGACAATTCGAGCCCTCAGCCTTGTAAAGACGACCAAGTTCAGTCCTCCAGCTGTTGCGCGAGCTCTGGCAATTCTAGGGGCGTGCATGTATGAGGCCGAGTCATTGTTTCATGCAGAATGGAGTCCACTGTTCACGTACGCCCTCAGGTACATTGCATGCATGCCAAGCCATCTGTGATGCATGCTCCTGGAGTGATGTCCATGCTGAATTCCATTGATGCAAATGCTTCTGACATGTCATCCCTTGCAGGAATGAGTCAAAATGGGAGGACCAGTTTACCATGAAGGCCTCCATGACCATCAATGAGGCTGCAAATGCCGCCACAAGTGGTGCTGCAGTGAAGGCTCTCACCAATTTGTTCCCAGGAGCCAATCAGACCCAGCAGATCATGTCCTTCCTGAGGGCTACCAAGGACTCACAGGGTATGTCCTACCATGCATGTGCTTGTTCTGCTTATCTGATATGTCAGAACTCCAGTGCCTTGTCATGCATTGTTCATCATGCTGAAGCTTCAGTGATTGCAAAACTTGTACCAATTGCTGCAGTTTCTGCCCTGCAAATGTGAATGCATGGTGTTAATTGCATCAGGTGTGGCCTTCAAGCTGGGCCAGAAGGTGTGTGGGGCATGCATCCTTGCGCGCGGGCAGGATGGCTCCAACCAGTATGGCAAGGACTATGGCAGCGTCAACACTTCTCCATATGCAGATGCGACCAACTATTTCCCTGTCAACGACCCGCAGATGATACCTGGCATCACAGAATGCAGGTAAACCTCGGCAAATCTGCACACAATGCTGAAGACATGCTGACAAGCAACACTTAATGTCCTGATGCTGCAATGTCTGCAGTGACAGCTAGCATGCATGCGGCTGCATGGCAGAGTCTCCATGTGCTTTCCAATGCTTGTACAGGGGCTTGCGGTCTCGCAACAATTGGCAGCCACTGTGTGTGCCCAAGAAGCACTGGGTCACAGAGCAGCCGCTCACGGAATCAGAATGCACTGTCCAGTCCTTTTCTGGGCCTTGGGCCTCCTATTGCCATCCCATGTTCATGACCAGCCCTGATGAATTTTTGAGACTCACACCTGGTCCCCCTTGCCTGGACTCTCCCTCCGGCGATGCTGAGTACAGGAAGCAGGTTTGCAATGTTTCTAGCACTTGGACCTTGAAATGATACATCTCACTGGTCATTCCACAGTGCTGAAGTTTGCAAAATGCCTTGCAGGCATCCACTGGGAAAATTTGCGCGTGTGACATTTGCAGGCCAAAGATGTGCTGGACCATTCCGCTGCCCTGTCAGATATGGAGAAGGCTATAACTGAGTACTGGGCTGATGGACCTAAGACAGTCCAGCCTCCCGGCCATTGGATGCATTTTGCTGCAGATGCTGCTGTGCAGAAGGTGAAGTAACATCCTTGGCTGTCTTGCTGCTAAATCCCAGAGTACCTGACATTGCAATTCCATGTGCTGTTCATGCTCGATGTTGCTCAGGGACTTAACCGATCAGAAACCACAAAGCTGCTCTTTGGAACTGCCTCTGCACTCTTTGATGCCAGCATTGCTGCTTGGGCCGCAAAGAGATTCTACGACTCCGTCCGGCCCCTGCAGATGATCCAATGCCTCTATGCTGACCAACTGGTGCGCGCATGGGAATTTCTTGTCAAGCAGCATGAGGAACGCTTCAACAGGAGATCTTCAGGGACTGACATTGCTGCATGCCTTGCCAGGTGGAGGCATGGCAAGGGTCATACAAAGGCGTGGGCTTCATCAACGGATCTTGCTGGCAGCCATACCAGGTGCGAACAGAGCCAGCATGGATTTGATTTGAGCCTCACATTCATGAAGCCTGAATCAATGCCTTTGACTGCGCAGGAGTCTACCTTTGTGACCCCACCCTTTCCGGGCTATGTCAGCGGGCACTCCACGTTCAGCGCCGCGGCGGCAGAGTTTCTGCAGCTGTACTTTGGCTCTGATTCGTTCCAGGGACCGGCCTGCAGCCTCCGAGAAGAGGGAATGAGCATCTATGAGCCCCGGCTGCTGAAGGGCCAGGCCGGTCATGTTGCAGGCTTCACTGATATCCCCAACACAGTAAGTCGCCCATCCTCTGTCTTATCTCCTCCTAGGGTGACTGTTGCCAGGCAGAGCACCGTGCTCATGAGCAGTGTTAACACTGCTCGCGATCAAACAACATTGTGGCAGCATCTGATTTGCATGTCAATGTGGTGCAGGGCAAGAACAGCAAGGGCTACTCTCCGGCCCAGGATCTGGTCATGTGCTGGAGCACATTCACAGAGGCTGCAACTCAGGCTGGAATTTCGCGCATCATGGGAGGCATCCACACCCACTCAGACAATGTGGACGGCTTGAGCATGGGCCGCGCAGTGGGCCAGCTGGTCTACAAGAAGGCCTCCAAGCTTTGGGCTGCAGCAGCAACTCAAGCTGCCCCTTGAATGATGCATTGCTGTCCATGATGGCTGCACAGAATGATTGCCATGCGAGATATGGCATGCACAGTGGGACTCTATATGTGAACTTGGTTTGGCTTTTTTAGTTTGGGCTTGAATAACAATGATATTGAAGAAGGTACACTTCATGGTGATGGTATGCTCTCAGCTGACCCGGGTAGATAGGCTATTCGGAAGAATTAAATCCGTACGTACTGAGTTCAGTGTACTGAGGCCTGGCATGCAGCTGCATGTATATTCGCAGATTCTGTCCAAACAAAGCAGTGCTTTGTCATAGAGATGGTGGAGAGTGCTCATAGAATGGGTATCATGACTGATTGAGAGCATGCACTGTCTCGCATCATGCATTGATTGCAATCATTTGAAATTCCAGTTCAGGTTCCGCTTAATCAACAATATAATATATCTGAGAGCACGGTGCACACTTTATGTGAGGCCAATAACCTTCGCCAATATTCTCTCACCACTCTTGAAAGTCCTTGGGCTATTGCTGGCACCAGCTCTGCTTGAAGGGTGCTTCAATCTTCATGCCAGCCTGAACAGGCACCTGATGACTAGGCATCACGCACCATCTGTGACTCACACATTCTTCCATCTCAAGGAAAATGCTCACGACGTTGTCCCATCAATTGAATGTATTCTTTTCTTCTTTCTTGTAGATCCTTGACATTTTGTCCCCAGCCATGTTCCGCAGCAGTCTGGATAAGTTGACATTGCTGGTTAGCGTCGCCATCAGCGCGGTCTCTACCCTTGGCGTTGGTAGCGATACCTTGCATATTGGAAAATATACTGGAAGAGAAGGATCAGTGATTCGAGATGCGTCGGGATTCAGATTCGTGGACGATCTGAAAAAGGGTGAGTCAGTCCGGACATCAATATCTCTACTGGAGGAATTATGATCTTGTCATTGGCTTGATCTCTAAACAGAATGACTTGCAACGATGTAATAAAATAAAGATCGAATTGAGCTTTTAATTTCACAGTCCTGTCAATGCCTTTGTAACGCCTGTTACTGATGGACCATCAGGTGCAGTTGCCACTGGACAATACGTAGATGCATCTCAGACAATCAGTAATTGTGGGCAGCTCCACATCCAGACAAGTGGGTCGTACACAGATGAGGATCAGATGTTTGCAGCAGGCTTCCTTGAGGGTTTCATTTCAGCAGGTGCGGTGCATGGCGCCCAAGCCCCTGCTGCCTGGTAAATATTCCCTGTAAACATCATCTTCCTCAAGTTTTGCTACTGAGTAGGCCAATGCCCATTGCAGAGAGGATACATGACTACTGGTCGAACACCCATGAGTATTTTGTTAAGGGGATGAATGCCAGCCTCGAAGCGCCACTGACATGGCTAGAAGAGCAAGAAGGATGGGCTCGCGCAAAGGTACTATCATGCCCATTCGAATGTTGGCCATGCATGCAAACGATGCAGAGACACCATGATTGCATTGCCGCAAGTGATTACCGATAACCTTGCTCCTGTATTCAGGTGGCCGAACACCAGGACTCGGCTTACTGGCAAATGCTGGGCTTGATCCTGCAGCAATTTGACGGCCTATACACAGGCGAGATCCTAATACTGTAGCATTAAAGGGCACATCCTGGCAGGCTGCCAGGAATGACCATATTTTTGTCAGCTCAATGGCAACCTTTTAACATGCCTCCATGCAGGCTACATGGCGAGGTATCGAGCTGAGCCAGATATGATTCTGGAGCTGTCACGAAGGGACTTTGTTTTTGTAAATGGGAATGGTGGGTCTTTTCCATTCGTTACACAATCAGATAAGTCTTACAGCTGCATCATCACCTGGTCATCTGTAGAGGCACCGTGATGGTTCAAAATCCAGTGCTAGTTCTATACATATGAGCTTTACTGAAGGAGATGTGAGCAAGTACAGGGGAGATATATGATCTTTTAGAAGCACAGAGCGCAGGACTTCGCGACTCTGCCCCTGACCACCAATCTGCCACACAAGTATTCCATGACATGGCATTGAAAGGGCGGTGCAGTGCTCTGATCACAGTGACACGTGAGTGCCAACAATCCTGATTCCCTGCCTTGTAGATGCAAAACTTTTCAGCACAAAGTCCTGAATGAATGATTCGCTTGCTGTCTGCGCAGCGGATTTCAGCAATTTGTTCATGGGACACTCCACATGGGACTCGTATTCACAGATGACAAAGGTCTTCAAGCATTACTCTTTCCAGCTGCGCTTGCCTGGAGTGGCGGCTCAGCGCATGTCATTCTCCAGCTACCCTGGCGAGCTGTTCTCAGACGATGACCTGTGAGCTCCCTGATATCCCAAGGAGCTCTGCTTGTTTCAGCCCTGCTAGCCTCATTTGAAGCACAGAGCAGGCTAGTGACTCTGGTGCAATGTGCAATTGTTGTTGATTGCTGATGTGAGAGTTATTTGTTCTGTGACAGGTATATGATGGACTCCAAGCTGGTGGTCATTTCCACAACCAACAAGATGTTCAACACCACCCTGTATGAGGCCCTCACACCTAAAACCCTGGTATGACTTCCCCGTCGAGTGTCCCTGTGCTGGCCTGCTATCATGCAATTTTGCTTGGTATTACAGTAGACCACACATGAGCCTCATTCCGTACATGCAGGTGAGCTGGCAGAGGGTGAGGGTAGCAAATGCCCTGGCTTTGTCTGGAGAGCAATGGGTGTCTTTCCTGGACTACCACAACTCTGGAACTTATAACAACCAGTGCGGACCTTTCTCCAACCAGCCTTTTTCATGCTAGCTTCTGCTCTGAACCCAGGCAGCACTGAATAACATGCAGACAATACAATGACAAGTGTGCATGGAGAAGTAATTGATCATACCATAGGTCCATGCAAGGTGGAGCATGACCTGCCTGGCTTCTGCTGTGCATGAACGCATAGCTGTCTTTCAGCATGGCACACAGGACACAACAGAACAAAATTGCAATCTAGAGCAATTGTGGGTGCCACATTGGGAACGGAAGCATTTTATCCATCGATGACAGAAATTTATTGACATGAGGAATGTGAGTGGTGCCCAGGTACATGGTGCTGGACCTGAAGCGGTTCACCCCCGGCAAGGAGCTGCCGGCAGGGCTGCTGTGGGTGGCGGAGCAGATCCCCGGCCTCGTGGCCAGCGCGGATCTCACCGAGCAGCTTGCGCGCGGCTACTTCCCATCCTACAACATCCCCTACTTCCCTCAGGTGCCCTGCCCTGCCCCTGCATGTAGTGTTGATCAGTGATCATGTGAGCCGATTAGCCAAGTAGTCCTTGTTGAGACTCTCTGCTGCACCTTGTGCTTGCATTGGCATTGATATTAGGCGGATAACTGGCCGGGCAAGTCCTGCCCGTACTCTTCTTCCTCAAACACCTGTATCAATGGACATGTCTTCATACGGTGGTTGAGGAGGGAGAGAATTGACAAGGCTTGCTTTTCGAGAGCATTGAGAAAACAAGAAAACCATGTGAGGATGATGGGTGGATGCAGGTGTACAACCAGTCGGGGCTGCAGGAGATGCGCGAGCGGCTAGCGGCCAGGGGCCCGGAGTTCAGCAACTCGGTGGCCTGGCTCAGCTACCAGCTGACTCCGCGCGCCAGCATCTTCCGCCGAGACGCCGCCTCTGTTGCTTCTCTCGATGACATGCGCCACATCATGCGCTCCAACAACTTCACTAACGACAAGGTGGCCGCTCCCACTCAGATCTATATTATTATTTAAGAGCCATCTTTCGCCTGCAGCTTGCAGGTTGCCTCCCTTGGCACAGTCCTAAGTAGTCTTTAGTACCCCCTGCTTGGCAGGAAAAGCGGGTATATTGCAGTCAAAGATGTATGTAAAATGCATTTCCCTTGCATTGATTCTGTGAGTAAGGGACAATATCTGGTTGCCTCAGAGCAATTCGGACATGCAAGGAATGGGCATTGTGGATATATAAAGTGATGTGTTTGTTGCGCAGTTGTCGCATGGCAGTCCGCTTGCTGCGGTGTGCGCGCGAGGCGACTTGGACACGGCCCTGCCCGATGCCAGGGGCTGCTTTGACACAAAGGTGACATCGTATGACCTCGCGCTGGACCTACAGGCAGATGCCATCACTGGCCCCACCACACAGGTACACTCTCCTGCCTTTTTGAATCATTCCCCTGTGAAGCATCTGCCTGCTAGGCTAATTAGGCCAAGGTAGAACGCAAACAGAAAACCAGAGTAGGCGCCAATGAGGGGGAAAGGGCTTGTGCAAAGGCAGCAGATGCAGGGCTGCTGCGCATGTCATGACACGATAAGTTTTCTTGCAGGGAGGCATGCCTGCGTTCAAGTGGACCGCTCCATTCAGCAGTGTGCCGCATGCTGGGATGCCTCGAGTATTTGACTTTGAATTTGAACGACAGCGGCCCCTGCTCTCCACTGCAGTGGCCTAGTCGGCCAATTGCATCACAAAGACCGGACAAGTCATGCTGTTTTGGTTTTGCTGACCACATTGCAGAACTTTTGACGTTTCTGATCCGGTGATGGGACCTCTTGGAGGGTCTTTCAATTTTGCTTCTGAACTGTTCCGGCTACTTTTTACGTTGGCTGATGATGGAGCATGTTGCTAGCTGCCTGCTGGATGCTTCCCATGCAGAAATTGCAAGTGCTCTTGAGTTGTTGATGGCCGCAATGGATTGACCTTCAATTACCATGCTGATAAATTTTCTTTTTATCACCATGAGAACTTACCATGGTCAGCTGTTGTCTCGTGTCGCAAGATTCTTCATGATCACAGTGGCTTCAGAATGCGCTCAGCTGCTCTGTGGGAACCGCTGACGGAATAGATAGGAAATGAGGACGTGCCAGGCAATGCTGGCAACTTGACGAATGGGTGGTTGACGAATGCATGCGAAAGAAGCTGTGATGTGTTTCCTCCAAAGAGATCAGGGATGAAAGTAATATTTGTGACTGGCTGCTGGGTGATTTACTGACTGTAGTGATTTCTACAAAGTGGAATGCGATTTCTTGTTTATCATGACACTCCTTCATGATGCTGCATATAAGAGAATTATAATGGTCACCATTGTAAATTTCAAGCAATAAATGTGGTAATAAATGTAGCAGACTGTGTTACAATAAAATTTCCTGGAGCGAAAACTGTCGCCGTTACACTTGCCTGTCTAGCAACCTTTTAAATTGATGCTTGGCCACATGCAATGTTCATGTCCTCAAGAGCAGCATTCACATACTGCAGAAAAGCAGGCGACATATGTGTGCCGTCAAAATTCAATTTTGGGTTCAACTTCGATCGGTTCTCACACAAGTACCTATCAGCCACATCCAGCCAGCGCAGGCGGTCGTTCTGGGACTCTGCTTGCTTCACCTGCAGCAACAAAGCAGGAACTTTTGCTCTTCCCACAGCACGTCACAATTGAATGTCAAGAATGAGAGCTAGACAAGACAATGCAGGTGCAGCTTGCCGCCTCTGCACATTGCACTGCTGGCCGCTGCATGTTGCAAAGTGGCTGCTGGCAGGAATGCAAGAGGTGTGCTTCTCTGCAAGGGGCAACCCAAGAAACTTCCACTGCCGACCAGACACAACCTTCCATCACTTGCCAACAACCAACAAGCGGACTACAATTTGGAAATCGCTGGCATTGAAGCGAGAGAGAGCAGATATTTGGCAACATTCTTGGTCTGAAGTAGACTATGGGGACGCACCCGCTGCCTCATGAGGTCATTAAAGGGGGTCACGATGTGGCGCGTCTCATTGAGGACTGGAGGCACCGGGTGCACGAAGATCCGCAGGTCCCGGTCCCGGTCGCGCACAGTGCGAGTGAGGACTTCCATGTAGATGTCAGCCAGCACCCCCATGGCCTCCTGGATGTCTGCGTACTTCAGCTTGTCCACGGCCAGCAGCAGGCCCTCCCTGCAGTCTATCTCCCCAAACATGAAGATCACCTGCATGCATACATCGGCTCTCATGGGCGCTCGTGAGCAGCCTTTCTCTTTAATATTACACGCTATTCCTGCCAACAGGCAAGGTGGGTATGTAGTCAAGCTGAGGTAAAGGCTACCTCCTACACCTTGTTGCACTCGCCAGATCCAAGCAAGATCCAAGTAACCATGATCAGCATATACACCTGCTGTACAAATAAAAGGTACAGAAATAAACAGAATTTCCGTTCACATTTGGATTAAATATTCCCTGCCTTTACACTTGACCGCTGTATGCAAGCCTTCTTATGTTATCTTCATGCGTGATAAGAGAGGTGCTGTTGCTTTAGATTTGTATTCAAAATAGTGCAGCTTCAAAGGGGTCACACCCAGGCTCCGTGAGGGAGGGAGGCGACGGTGTTGGCCCAGGCGGTCTTGGGGTAGAAGCTGCCCTTCTCGCGCAGGTGCCATATCTTGCAACCGGTCACCAGGTTGGGCACAACCACCACATCCCTCCCACCCACACTCAGCCTCTGCCAGCCACCTGATTCAGGCAGATGCACGCAGATCACACATCATGTAGTGCACATGACAGTAATAGCTGCGCAAGACACCAGTGGCTCAGGTCGCTGCTTCAGCAAGCCGCCAAGCATGTGGCGAGATGTGTGCCCGAGACATGACGGCGGTTTCAATGCAGGCAGACAGTTGTATTCTCATTCTCAGTCAGCTTTGCTTATAGTAATATTGAATTATGAATCTTTGCCAAAAGAGACGCCGTCCATGTACCTGGCAGGCAGTGGGAGTCTCCGCAGAGGTAGATGGCATGCTGGGACGGTGCAGTGAGCGGGGATGGCGGGGGTTGTGCCCGCAGCAGCTGGAGCACGCAGCCGTGGTAGGCCGCCTCGTTGCGGATCATCGTCGTGTGCAGCGGCTTGACCGACGCCCGCCGCGCCGGCTCTACGGCCTGCACCACCAGAACACCCTCTCGATAACCTGGCCACATCTTTCAATCAGCCTGCTGTAAAAAATGCCCTCACACTGCTTGACGAAGGTACTGCCATGATTTTCCAGATTTCCTTCGGCTATTTACTGAACCTCAGGCATGTCCCTGAAGCATGTTTTCTGTGGATGAAATTGCTCAGTAAAACTGTGAATCAGGGAGTTGGCGTTTGCGCGGTGGAAAATAGCCAGGTAGGGGATGCGATCGTGAGCTGGCCATACCTGTATGAGCTGGTAGGTACGGCCGATTGCTCCGCCCACGTACAGGACCTTGATGCAGGTGAACAGGATGGCCAGCACATCCAGCTGCGCCGGTGAGTACTCCACCTGCACGCAGCCTCTTGCCTTAGTATCAGAGCTGAACCAGAAAGTAAGATATATTCCATTGTGTTTTCGTTGTTGGTGGAACTGGCGCAGCACCTGACTTGATGGGTGCTCTCTCATCCCTGACGAGCCATTGGCAGCGCTTCCCTTAGTGTCTGGGGAAGCGCATGCTATGACTCCCTGCCAGCCGTCCGCCTCTGCCCATCTGAGCGGGGCATGCTGCTCGGGTAGGCCCGCCAGTATCTCAATTACAGGCTCGTACGCAAGGTCTGGAATTTCAACCCTGCATGCACAGGCAACCTCCTTGTAGTCAAACTCTTTGCAACACCAGAACCCAAAAGATCCCTTAGTCCGGCCAGTGGTATTCTTATCTATTATATTCAATGTACCAAGCCATTGCATGGTTGAGCATAGCGGGTGTAAGAGCGTCACTTTGTCTGTTGCAGCAGAGCCACAGCCACAGCCAGGACCTGGCTGTATCTCTGCACGATCTCCAGAGCATGCATGTAGGCCAGCGCATGCGTGGGGACGCCAGGGGCACTCTCTGCAGCCCGCCTGTCCATGCAGAAAGCTTCTCAGCTCCCTTTGCTACTCCCTTGCGCCGTGCGCCGTGCAGCACAGAAGCGAAAGGCAAATTCAGGTCTTGCAAGCTGCACATTCAGCAGCTGCAGTACAAGCAGGTATCCTGCATTCACATGACTGCAGAGGCATTGTGGGACGCTCATTCCCATCAAATGCTTCTCCTCCCAGCCGTAGTAAGAGTACAGTATGCTGTCTGACAGCGCCATTGTTGCTTATGCACATCAATACAGAGCGGTTCTTTTGCTGGGGGCCCCATCACCTGAAGAGGATGACAGTCAACGTAAGCAGGGGACTCTCACAAAACAGTGACACACAGCGTTTAATTCACAGTCCCCTGAGGTAAGGAAGAAAAGGGGATTTCCCTGATGCCCCCAATGCAGCATGTGACATGTGCAAGTACCAGAATCACAGGCCTATACAAATGATAAAAGAGGGCAATAAGTGAGGATTACCTGAAGAGGATGAGGGACTGGTTGACTGCGCCGTGGTCGCGCGCGATGGCAGCCAGGAACGCCAGCGCAGACGTGGCCGTAGCCGTGTCCCCCACCTCTGAGCACACCAGCTCCACCATGCCCTCCTCCCGAAGGCACTGCCCAAACAGATCCCTGCGCACACATGTTTTGGGGCGTTGGGAAACAGCTGCTGTGTATGCATCAACTGTACGCATGCTCCTTCAGGGGTTCCTATATGTAATACCCCCTGTTCCTCGCTCCCAGCCATTCATGCTCAACGTGCTGCCAAAGCCTTGCCTGCTCAAGGACACTTTGCATATATAATGACATCTGTACCCCTTGTGGGGAGTCTATATCTTTGGTGTGGTTGCAGCGCGTTTTCGAGGCACGACATTTTTTTTTCCCCGGCCGAAAACATTTTTTCCCGGCCGAATTTCGGGTATACATGCTGTGCCCCCTCAAGGACATCACGGCCTGCCCTTATGCAGGACCCACTGAGGTCTGATGTCTTGCTGATATATCTGCAAGCTGCGCTAACGTTTTGGAATTTCACGAGGCGAGGAAATGCTTCGGCATGTGAGTGCCCTGGCATCTACTTTCTCCAGCAGAGGGCGGGAAATGACAAATCGTCTGCAGAGGAGTGGGAGCGCGCACCGCACGCGGGCGTTGCCGTGGTTGTTGACGAGGAGGCGCAGAAGGATGCGAGTGGCGTCGGCGGCCAGGCCGCGCTGCAGGACTATCAGCACATACTCCAGCAGCGCGCCATCCTGGTTGGGGTTGGCCTGCAGCACCTCCGATATCAGCAGCGCCGCCGCATGCGCGTACGGGCCCCCGCACCGCGCCAGCGTCCGCGCCTTGCACACCTACAGGCACCCACATGCCCTTTTACGATTCCATCAATGGGTTGTTTCGTGCTCAGAGACCCTGGATAGATGCCCCATTCATGGTGAATCTCCATTAAGCCCCATCTATTTAATTGTGGTGAGAAGCATGGCTGACTGTTGCAGGGCTATGATGCGACTGTATACTGAAATGGGCAGATGGGAGATAGGAAAAGATTGTCAGGGTCACCTTCAAGCTGTCTTCATCAAAGGTCTTGTCGCCTGTCTGCTTGCCGACTTGAGCGGCGTGATCCAGCTCATCAAGAGCCTCTTCAAAGCGACCACAGTCCCTGCAGATCAAGGCATGTCAACGGGGCCTTGAATTAATTTGTTCACTTGGGCAAAAGGAAGGCATCACCTCGAGCAAATACTATGGAATATGTGGACTTAGGCATGTGCGAGGCAGCGGGGCAGGATCACCGTAAGCAGATGGCATGAAGATAGAGCTGGGAGAAGTCTTCCGGGTACAGGGCTGCTGCTCTGTCAGAAAGCTCCAATGCTTCCTTGTTGCGTCCCACCTTGAGCAGCAGGCGTATGCAGCTTGTCAAGCAGTCCTTGTGCTCCCCATCGATGTCCAATACCTGCAGTGTTTGCATATCAAGTATAGATTTTGAATGGCCAGACCATGAGAAAAGCAGTTTCTAATATGCCAGAGCTCAGTGGGTTTGTGAGGCACCTGCTTGTAGATGAACGCTGCAGCCTTGAAGTGCTGCAAGGCTTCCTTCTCTGCAGCCTTCTGCAGCAGGGGAGCCACGAGAGGGCTCTGCACCTTTCTGTGACATTGTTTCCCACCCGGTTCTCTCTCAGGACGTGAAGCTATGCCTTGCGCATGATGTTTCTGATCGTGTCCTATGGTATTGCTGGCTGCTGCTGTACTGTTGCTAGTGCCTTGAGTACCTTTGGTAGAGCCATTTCCACGGCTACTATGCAGACTTAGGTACACATCCAAGTCCTTCCCAATGGCTCTCTTTATGCTCAGAGTGGGGTCCAATGGTCTGCCTTTGGCGCTGAAAGCTCGCAGATTGTCTGAAATTAATTTATTGTCGCCTTTGAGATCTAAAGTTTTCACGACTAGCGCACACAGTGCTGAAACCGTCACATCACCTCCGACATCATGCAGCACACACGTTTTACGATCCTCTATATGTACGTACAGCTTCCTCGTTTTGTTGGTTGACATTCAGGCCATTAATCAAATCATTAGTTCGAGAAATTGGAAGCCCTGTCCCTTCTTTGCCAGTAGACACTAGATGAGAGCGTCATGTCAGCACGTGAAGGCATCACTCCAAAGTTTTGATGAAAGTGCTGCAAGGACATGCCAGGACAATACCTTCGCCATGCAATGATGATCATGACAACCTCGCGCCCGAGCTTGAGCTCTCAGGCTGCAGCTGTCATATCGAGGCCCAGAATGTCATGCCAAGAATGAAGCGTGCTTCGAAGAATTCTTGCAGCTTTGCCATGTATCCAGAGAAGAGTCTGCCACAATGCGCTCAAGCATTTGACTCCGAGTCAGCAGTATCACATCATCCGTGTTGACCGGTGCTATCATAGCTAGCTAGCTAGCTCCTGCCAAAGCTTGACTTCGGAAGCGCTTCTAGCATGACTTCGGAAGCGCTGCCAGCTAGAGTCTATCTGTTCAGGACAGCACGCTCAGATGGAGTCAGTCAGAAAGCTAATGTGCATCACTGTGGCAGCTGTCCGTCCGTTTGACAGCAAATTCAAATTCGCCGATCGCAAGAACTTGCAAGAGATAATCCAAGCGCTGTCCTTCCTCAGGTTGTCAACCGTCAGTAAGAGCAAGCAGCCAGAGTATGCACGCATGGCATGCATACGCCTTGCTTGAAGCACCTCAAACTTTTAATTGGGTTGGACTCTATTTCATTACATTTGAAAGGGCATTTCACCTGCCCTGTTCAACTTGACACACCAGAGTACTAGCAAGCCGATTTGAAGCCAATGAAACTCTTGCAGTCCCCACCAGAATTAATGCAGATTTTAGCGGAGTGCATCCAGAATTATCCCCTTTCATAGTCCTGTACAGTGCTGCCCAAGCAGTGCAGGCCTCAAAGATTCTTCAGGTCCTCTGCATTGCGGATGTGTGCAGGGATCTCATGCCTCAGTGGGTTCATGATGATGGGCTCATCAGGAGCCCCTTCCCGGTCCTGCACACCAAGCGAGCTCAGCAGCTGAGCAGCATTTACTGTGCACTGACATCAGAATTACCAAAAAATGAAGAACCTTGAGACAAACCCTGAAGTTACACGCAGCCATCCTACAACTGGCAAGAAAGAAGAAGTCAGTCAAGAGCTGCTGGAGGATTCGCACAGGACAAGAGCACCCACCATGCTCAGAAACCTCTCTTTCTCTGCCTCCTTCCACTTCCCATCGAAGCTTGGGATCTGGTGCAGCTCCCTTCCACCCAGAACTCTTCCATGAACCTGGAATAGCAAAGACAGTGGTAATGTGCCCCTGGTCAGTGGTTCGAATGGATATTTGTATTCATCTGATGGAATTTATTAAATTCTTTCTTGCCATATCAAGGGGCCCCTTGCCTGAAGCCACTGCAGAACTCCTGCTAGGGCAAAGGCCGCAATCGTTGGAGGAACAACCTGTACAAGGAAATGCGAATTTTGAAAATCTGTATTATGGCCCACGGCAAGAAATAAGTATGGCTTCATTGTCCATAACACAAATCTTAGACAGGACTTTCAGAAACCACAGACCAGCACAGTAGAATCGTGACCAATCGAACCTGTGAAAGGGGTGCGAACGTCATTTTGCACCGATTAAACGTCCCCAGCAAGGTTGTGATCTTGCCAAGAATGTTGTAGCTGCAAACAACGGTGCATAGCAGAGGAGCAGTTCCTGGACCGTACAGTGGTCCTGATCTGGCACCATGCAAGCATGGACTGCTTTGTCCAAACTCTTGGTAATGCCAGGCGTGCAGAAAGAGCAGAAGAAGTTCGCATTTTGGAACAATGCAGCGGGTTATTTTTTCCACTGTGGATTGTTACAGCCATGCCACCACCGCATTGCATTCACTCCGGCCGCCGGCAGTGCATGCATGCATCAGTGGTGATGGCGCACAATTGTTGCAACCTGTTGGACCGCAGGTCGAGCTGTGCAGCGCAGCTGTCACCATGACGGCACTAGGGCTCCATGCAGCCGTCATGTCCATGCCTTTGGAGGACCATCTATGAACTACTGAGTCCTCTTTAATCGTTCCTTCAAGAGCAAGTGCTGCTGGCGCTGGCCACAGTGCAATGCAGGGTAGATTTGACTGGACAGTGCATTATATGGTGACTTGTTCCATTTTCGCCCACCATCAATGGATCTGTTCACTGGCTGACTTCACAGTTGTCATGGTGATTAATTTTCTAAGGAAGCAAACAAGTCTTACAAATGACTTGAATATTCCCTCTATATACAAAAATACCCAGAAAGAACCCATCATCGTGCTGCGATCAATCGCAATGGGCAGCCAGAGCATCCCTCAGCTGGCAATCACTTTAAAAGACTGGCAAATAAATACAAGGCAACCCAATATGAAATGAAATGGCCACATTCAAGCAACCTGCAATGGCGGATGCTCACAGACAGTCATCTGTGCGGTGGAAGTATCTCCTCCAGAGCATTATTATCCTGTAAAAGACGCTGGGGGCAGCTGAGCCACCAGGCCCACAGAAATATCATCTTAGCGCAGGCGCATCAATGCGTGCTGCCAGAACCTAGAAAGACCAGTAGTCTCCAGGACCTCGTCAAGACAGACGCACTCCCCAGTGTGAAGCAACCAGTGAAATACTTCGTAAAGACTTCATGCATTGTGGATTCAGGAAGAGGCGTAGGAGGTCAGCTTAGACATGTCGCCATCCCTGGCTGCCTCGTAATTGGCGCTGACCTGAGGCCAGTTCACAACCATGAACCTGCAGCAGAAATCACCCAATTCTCACCACACTTCCAATTTTGATAGTATCTAGAAGTGCATCTACTAGGATCAGCAGAACTGCCTGTTCCATGCATTTTGTATCAGCTCTACACGATGTCTGAGATGCGCTAGCTGGGAGTTTACTAGATGAACAAGTCTCAGATAGGCACAGGACCAGGTCTGTCTGGCATCAGCAAGCAAAAAGAATGTGGCGCACCAGTCCTTGATGTAGTTGGCGCGCACGTTCTGGTGCTTCAGGTAGTATGCGTGCTCCCACACGTCAATGCCCTGCCACATCCATGCAGACCAGTCAAGATCCAAGTGCATTCTGCGCAATCCTGTGGTGACAACCATTTGCACTACACCCTGCCAAATGAAGCTCGTGACCCTGAAGATTCTTCACAAACCGCTGCATTCAAGAGTTGAATCTCCGCTTGCTTCAATCTGACAACCCTTGGTAGGAGCCACCTGACAGTTGGTACTGTAATACATATTTTAACTTATCATTACTTCACTAATCCATTTTAGAGCCCTGTTGGGAGCCCCCTGAGGCTCATTGGTCTTGTGGGCAGTCTTCCACTGCCCACATGTCATGTAAGGCAGAGCAGAAGCAGGGGCAGGCAGGGGCTGACCAGCAGGGGGGTGTTGCCGGAGTAGCCCAGGCCCGAGGACAGGGGGTTGTCCTGGTTGGCGGTGGGCTCCACAGCCAGAGCCTTGGTCTTGGGGTTGTATGTGAGCCACGCCCAGCCGCTACCAAAGACACCCAAAGCGGTCTCGGTCATGTTCTTCTTGAAGGCGCTGAAGTTGCCAAAGCTGTTGTTGATCGACTCGGCGATGTCCGCGGGTAGCATGGTGTTGTTGGTCGAGTTGGTCATCTCTGTGGGCATCATCAGGGTCTGCGCAAGAGCACACAGCAGTCCCTGTCAGCTTGATAATAGGTAGAGGTATTTACATCCCATGAGCACCAAGCAAACCCTGTCAGCTCGATCAAAAGCAACGCCAAGCACATGATAGGCCACAGATTGAACAACCAGGGCAGGTATCGACTTGCATTAGCACTTGTCCATTAGCGTACAATAAGTGTCTTGACATTATTACAAGACAGCAGGCGACAATCAATCACAAGCCCAGGAGTGTGCAGAAATGCAAAGTTCATTACTGGGTCAGGCAGGTAGGCATAGTATGGAGCGCAGGGAGTTTACCTTGAAGAAGATGAGGTGGTTGTAGATGCCGCCAGCATTGTTGCGGATCACCTTGGGCGTGCCCATGTTGAGAGCGGGGATCACATCCTCCAGCTTCATCATCTGTGCAGCACACAACCGCTCTTTAAACCTGTGAGCATCTGCAGACCCGCTGCAACTCTTGCATGCTCCGCACAGCCACATGGCAGACCAGCACATGCAGCGCTAAATTTCTGGTGTCAACTTCCACTGTGTTGCAGCCAAGATCTGGGGATACAAGCAGGTGAAAGATTTAAATTTCAAAATTGTGGGCACCCAAACAAGCGGGTGGTGTTGTGTTTCTGCAGCCATGTGGGGCCCTTTTCCAGGGGACATTTGCCTGGTATTAGGCTGCCCTGTCAATATAATGACTAGCCGGCTTGTGTGATTGTTTGATTCTCCTGCAGCAACGATGACTATCAGGAGCGATGGGCGCACCGCCAGGCTGGAGTTGGTGGATGCAGCGGTGTTGAGGTTGGTGTAGTAGGTGGCCAGGTGCTTGGTGAAGTGAATGGTGTTCGTGCGGTTGTCAATGAAGGGCTCTGTGGCGGTGTAAGGGTATGGCAGCGCAGGCTGCTTGAAGGTCATGGGCATCATCATTCCGGGGGCAGGGGCCATGGCCATGGACATGTCCATGCCTGGGGCCGGCGCCATCGTGCTCATCATCATGGAGTCGGCCAGCATGGCACGGCCTGCACAGCAGAGTGGCAGCTTCAGGGCATCGCTCAGGGTAGATGGGTGAACCGAACGCTCGGCGAAGGCCCCGTTAGTGCGTCCAGCATGTGATCGGCAGCACGTACATCCCATATGGGAGATTGATGATCATGCCTTCGCGAAGCTAGGCCGTCATGTATCGGAGAACGCGTGAGGTCGGCAGCGCCTGTTCTGTGTTAGCTGACTAGAACTCTGCGGGCTACGATAGCTGGTACAAGAAAGCAAATGTTTCAAGAAAACGATCTAGAAGCTAATATAGGGGATGGCATCGGTCCTAAGCCTTTCACACTAGAAGAAACACAATCACACCGTCTGTGACTAAAACATCAGTCGTCTCTCTATGGCAGCTCTGTCCCCACAGAATCCACGCGCACTCGGCACGATGAATCAAATGCGCACATGGTGCACATTTTGAAAAGTAGAGAAGGCCCAAACACAAAATATTCCCTTTCGGAAAATGACTTCTACAAAAGACGGAACGCGATTGATCGACTGTCACGGTTTCAAACTTGAGCAATCTCAAGGCTGATCAAAGGGTAACGGAAGATGACCATTCTTGTCTTCGTCTTAGCTTATAGGGGGTCCACTGCGACGACAGCTTCGAAACCTAGTACAGCAGCTATTATGGAACCCTCTGCGTTTCAACGTTGTGCGCACACAGCGATTGCTAAAGAAACTTTTGTAAGGTGAGCAAATGTTAATCACCTTGGGAAGCACTCGTGGAGGTGGCAAACCCGACAAATGCAAGCAAGCCGACCGTGGCAACTGCAAACGACACCATCTTGACTGTGCGTAGAAGATGGGTTGCGCTGTCTCCACAACCTGATCCTTTTGATCTGTCCCAGCACAAGCTCTTTGATGAGGATTGTTTTTAGAGAATCATGATTTTTCATGGATTTTTCCTGGAGTGCACCCACGACAACCCACGTGCACGTCACTCGCTGAGTCATTGTGCGAAGCTGCAGATGAACCGGATGTTTTGGAAAGTATTCTGTTTTGATGCGATTTTTCTAGGAGGTGACTGTACTACTTCCCCATTTCTTGTTAGCAATTGAACAAAGGCGCGTCTTTTGGGGAGGTTTATGAGAATTCCCAGCTTTGGCAAATTTGTGATGGCTTCACGCAGAGCGCTGGCAGTGATCAACGAGTATGGCTCCCTCTTATCTCCTATTTGCTCACATCACAGCGTACAAATATCCAAGCTTGCATTTATTGGGCCTATCTTGAACACATGCTCAAGATCATATCTGGCCATCCAAGGGATGGGAATGGTGGGATCGTGAACCTTGGAGCTGCAACTATGCACAACAGCAGATCGAGGAGCCCTGAGGTTTGTCACTTTAATACCACATGGCATATTTATCCTCAAATAACGAGCGTGAGGAATACTACAACGGGTTCATTACGTCAGACTCTTGTAAATAGGAAAGGGCTCTGCAGGTGTCAAAACGAGTAAGAAGCACAGATGATCCAGTCATGGTGCAAGCCCGCCGCCTCATTGGCGGAGTGCAGGGCGTTGCATCCCTGGCACAAGGTTTGCCCTGGTTGTCCCATTAATTGCGCATCATGACAAGCCAACTATTTGCAGCACTGTGCAGCGCTACGGTTCCCTTGCTACGCACATGCTGATAAGATGGAGGCTGCAGGGGCGGTATTCTGGGGACCCCCTCGGGAGGCCATAGCCGTGGCAGCTGAGCAGGCCTGCAGCGACCCTGCATACAGCCAGTATGGGCCCGATGAGGGCATGCCAGAGCTGCGCGCCGCGCTGCACACCAAGATCGAGGAGCAGAACGGCCTTCATGGGGTAAGTACTCTTTGCATGTTAGTTTTGCGAGCTGCCATCTCGCCCATGAGCAGTCAATACCATGCTTCCGATCATCTCCTCTCAGCCCACTTAATTAGGACACTCAGCATGTGATCCTGATCAAGTGAGCCTTTCCAGTGTCATGGATCATAAAGGCATGTAAGAGTAAGAATAGTTATGCTACTCAGGGGGTGAGTGCGGATCTTGTGTGTGCAGTACAGCGTCATTGTGACAGCAGGGGCGAACCAGGGGCTGACAAGTCTGATGCTGACACTGCTGGACCCCACAGACAGAGCGGTGCTGTTCAAGCCCTACTACTTCAATGCGCTCATGGCTCTCCAGATGACCGGCTGTGGGCAGACAGTGGCATTTGGCCCCAGCCACCTGGACACCTGGCGCCCGGACCTTGACTGGCTGCAGGATCAGCTGGAGGGGGCTAATCCCCCCAAGCTCGTCTATGTTGTCAACCCCGGCAACCCCACAGGTCTTGCTTTACCCCTTGAAGATGCTGGAACAAGGGAATACAAGATACATTTAGCATCCCCCTGGCTGGATTGCATATTGTGGATTAGAGCCAAGTCAAATCCTCTAAAAACTCAAAGATGTGGGATGCCAGATTGGACTTTGTGGATTACAATCCTTCAACATATTTCAGAAATGATGAGTGCCATCCGACAGCAATGTGCAAGGTATCTAAGGGCGAGCGGGCATGCAATTGTGAAGCAAAATTCAAGAAGGCGGGTGTGTGCTTGCAGGAATAACGTTGTCGAGAGAGGAGTTGGACCGTCTCACAGAGATGACAGCCGCGGCTGGGACGTGGCTTGTCCTCGACGAGACGTATGAGGAGTTCCTCTTCAGCGGACAGGAGCACTACTGCCCCAGCGGACCACATGTCCTCCATCTGTTCTCTTTCTCAAAGGTAATCCCCCAGTAAACTCCATGTATTCCGCAACAAATTCCGGCACTGTGCCTCTGCAGTACTGAGAGAAATGCAAAGGCAAACTTGTGCTAACATGTGCCATTGCGTTTATTTACACCAGACAATGGAGGACTGCTTGTGTATGCTAGCAGGCAGTGCACTTCCATGTCATATATCGCAATATATGCATTTAATTCAGAGTCTAGTAAAAATTGTCCCTTATGGCAGCGAGCCTCTCCTGAAGCTCCTTGTGTGCATGCTGCAGGCGCACGGTCTGATGGGCTGGCGAGTGGGCTACATTGCATACCCAAACTTTGATGGCTCAGATTACTTGGGGCTTCAGCTGGTGAAGGTGCAGGACACCGTGCCCATCCACAGTGCACACATGAGCCAGAAGGTTGCCCTCGGGGCTCTGGCTGCTGGCAAGCCGTGGGTGGTCTCCCAAATGGCCAGCCTGGAGCAGAACAGGTGGCAGCCATCACCTGTGCATCCCCTCAGATGTAATATTCTAAGCGTGCCTATACCTGCAAGACAACCTGCGCTGCAATAAACTTGCAATTATGAAGTGTGACTGATGATGAGGATGAGCCTGATTGGGAGGATGACTGCGTGGCGCAGGCAGACACTGCTGGAGGCTCTGGCTCCGTTGGGGACACTGGGCGATGGTATTTATGGCGGGGATGCCATCTACATATGGGCCAGGCTTCCTCCAAGTGTGCCTCTCATCCCATGTCAACTGTAGAAATGCTTGCTGCTCCCGTACTTAAGAATCCGAATTGGCAAGGGAAGCAAATCTCAGGTGCGGCAGCACAGTTGTACTAAGTGCCTTTTAGTACCTTACAACTACAACTCCAGCAGCACCAAGGCTGGAGTCTCTGCTTGGTAAATATCAGATGAAGATCAGATAAAGATCAGATAAGATCAGGTAAAGATCAGATCGTTATCAAGCCTCACATTGTAATCTCATGCCATGCAGGCTGCCAGGATGACAAAGCAGTGGTGACCTGGATGGTGCACGAACACAAAGTGAGCGTCATTCCTGGCTCGGGCTGTGGCTGCCCTGGCTATGTGCGCATAGCCTTTGGCAAGCCGGAGCCAGAAGCCTTCAAGGAGGCTGCCATCCGGCTCAACACGGCGCTGAAGCAGCTCTGTTCTGAGGGATTTCAGGTTGTGAAGCAGTGGCAGCAGCGCAAGCATCAGTGAGTACTGTCTGAGTTGAGCTATGAGAGCAGCATCAGCAAAGTACCATCGCGGTTCGGTTGGATCGATCCTGAAAAAATGATCGCTCCAGTGGAGATTTTGCTTTGTGCTGTTATGAGCAGTATCGTTACGGGAGCAGAATGTTTTCCAAGTCAACATTGTAATAACATACTTTTTGGTAATTATTTTCGTACAAGGTGCACAGCAATGTGCAGCTCACTGCAAACTGCCAGCCCAGGTGTCTCCTATCAGCCTCTGCTAGTCGAGAGATTCTACATATCACTGCATACAACCAGACTCTACAATCCTGACATCATGCTAGCGATACAAGGACCCACCGGAAGTCACCAACTGATCTGAATCATTGCAAGATGAGCAGCCGTCCACCAACCAAACATATCAGGTTTCTCTGTTGTCGCCTCTGACGCAAATAGCAGTGCTGCCAAATCTCAAGCCTCTCAACAAGGCAAATGGCACTCTAAATCACATTTCACAGAAACCTCAGTACAGTACACCAGCGGGACCAAGTGCATGGTTCCAAGGGGAGCACAAGAAGCAATTCTTCCTATCTTTTCACCCCCTTGGTAGCCCAGAGCCTGGCAGATCTGAGAACTCACTCTAATATCTAGGATCTCATTCAGATCGCCCTTCTCAGAGGTCGTCAATGCCCGAGCCGAGCTCGTCGCCGCCGCGGGGCAGAGTGGGCACATTTTTTAGAGTTGGGGAGTGGTCCAATGCGAGCTTGTAGCCAAAGTGGGGGATGGGATTGTAGTAGGTGTCCATCTGCTCCGACACATCCCACTGCTCCCCTGTGCTGGAGTTGCCGTGCTTGCGCACCCAGCCATTGCCAAAATGGTCCTCCCCCCACCACTGCTGGTGGCGGTCGCCCCCCGCCGACACAGTCCACGTCTCGCCCTGCGTGTGCCATCACAGAATTTCCCATTCAGATCTTGCCAATATGGAATTGACTGAGCTATTGTGTCCATTGATTGCTCTACTTCTCACAAATGGTCGATATCCCCGCACCATGCAAACCAGAAGGCCACTTTCATTTCTTTCACAACCTACCGCATTCATTGGATGCTTTGTTCTCTTGCGCATTGAGGCTTGTGGTGTGCAGCACAGGGTTGGCAGTGAGTAGCGCACCTGTTTGGAGCCAGCGCCGTTCTTGAAGCGCTCCTCCCACTTGTCCCCCCACTGCTCGTTGCCGCCGCCCTCCAGCAACCTTTCCGCCCACTGCGCGCACGTGCCCCACACACTCATGCATATTCAATGTCATACATGTAGCTCTGCATACTTCCACACAAAGTGCAGAGCCAGAGCTGGGCGCATGCAGCAGGTAGTGCTGAGTAGTGGAAATGTGCGGAGAGGAGATGCAAAGGCGATGTGGTCCATCGTGCTCCTGGGGCGGAATGTTTATCATATTGCACTCAAACAAGCCGCAAGGCAGCCTTTTCTCCCTGGCGCTCGCACTGTTTACATGCAAATGCATCTTCTGTTGGAGGTAGGAATGGGGGGTGGCGTGCCTTGTCAGTGTATTTGACGCAGCCGCCGTCGCCGTCGTAGTCTTCGCCCCAGCGCTCATGCCAAACGTTGTTCCCCTCCTTGCCCCACTTGTCGGCATACTTGTTGGCACGGCCCAGGCTCCAGTACTGCTCCCCCCACCGCTCCTCCCACTCCTCACCCTGCACGCACCAGCCACCCTTGTTTGAAACCGGCAGACCATGACCAACATGCCTCGCTGATTTGGAAACCTTTGCTGTGTCTGTAATTTCTGAAGCATGTCTAAGAAAAAATTTCCAGCTGGACAACTGCCAAACGGCACAGCCACTTGCAGCTTCAAAAAGTGCTCTGCAGGCCAGCTGCAGGCCAGCCCTAAGGGTCATCATGTCAGCTACAAAACAACACACTGCGCCATTCCGCAAAGTTACATCGTGGCTGGGACTCTGGAAATCAGTTCAGTTGCATTGTGCCAAGTCGCATGCATCAGCCTCGCACACAGCGCACCTTGCCATCGCAGGCCCATTTGTGGGCGGAGCGCTCGACGATAGGTTCGCCGTTGGTCTGGTCAAAGGCGATGGCCTCGCGCCAGGTCTCAAACCAGGCGGCGCCGTCCGCGCGGCAGCCGCTCTTCTCCGCTCCCAGCTCGCGCATGCCCGCCCAGTCGCTCTCCTCCCACCACCGCTCCTCCCACTCCACCTGCAAATCAAGCACAAGCACAGCGCACTTTCATGCTTCTGTCCTCATCTGTGACACTGGGAGCCACAATTACACATACACAAACGTGGGCCACAGCTGCAGTCATGATGTGTAGGTGAGAAGATTTCGTCTCTTTCACACTTGTGAAACAACACAAATGCCTTGAACACCCGTAAATGCTACTGTGACTTCTAGTGAAAGCTCGGAGACACTGCTCTCTTCCCAGTCTGCAGCAGGCATGAAAGTGTCAGAGTCAGTCTGAAGACCTGGCAAATTCTGTTGCTGGTATTTTCATCTGTGTGTTTCTGCAACAGCAGGCACTCTGGGACGTGCTGAGGGTGTGTTGGTTGCGGGCAGGGTACCTTGCCGGCGGCAGATACGCCCTTGAGACAGGTCCAGCGCCGCCAGAAGCCATTGGGCCCAAAGTCCTCCCCACTCTCGCGCAGGTACTTGGTGCCATCCGCCAGCTGGCCCTTGCCATCCTGCATCAGCTGACCTGCACACACCCACAAACACTTGTTCTAAGAATCCCCACCTTTTTTACATCATCTCCCTGTTATTGGGTGATTGAGAGAATGGCGGGTACGCATTCAGCCGCGTGGCTAGGTGTAATACGGGTATGGCTTACCCCCTCTACAGAGGCCATTTGGCTCCTTGACTAGCCAAAGGAAGGCATGAGACAGCATTTGTCTGTTATACAGCGCACCGGAAAGACACCAAAGAATGAGTGGCACTGCACCTGCTGAGGATGGTGCGGCTTCGGCGGTGACGGGGGCCTCCCCCCTCTGCGGCGGCTGGAAGGCCGAGGTGAGGTCCATGACCGATTGCAGCGGCGGCAGCGCCTTCTGCCTGGCAGCCTCTATGTCCTGAGCATCCTGCAGTACCCGAGACAAAGCAAATCGAATAATATAGAAGCATGAAACGGCAACACCCCTGCACTTGCTCTTTGGATTTAATATCCGGTGTGCGCTCATCAACTGTCAACTTCTTAGCTTCCATGCATGTCCCAGCTTCTGACTGCTTCACCCAAGCTTTCAACAATGGCTAGCTACAAAAACCAGCTAGCTGCAAGCTGCCATCTTGCAGCTTAATCGCAGCCCAGCACTAGCACGCACAGGTGCTTGCACAAGGAGGGGCACCAACTCGTGAACAGAAATGAGTACCGAGCAGGCAGCAGAGGGGGAAGGGCTGTTTCCCCTGATACTGACCTGTGAGAGGAAGTCCAGCATGCCGGAGGGCCGCTCGGCCAGTTCCAGCTCAGCGCTGGGGGCATCAGGCACGTTTGCGCGCGCCAGCTGCGGCACCCACTCCTCCGTGGCGCTCGGCCCCGCCTCCCCGCTGCCACCGCTCAAAAACCCCTCGGACCAGCTTGGCTGTGCGCTGCCGGTCCTGCCGGAAACCTCTGCCTCCTGCGCAGCACAGCATGTCTTGTTGACATTTGAATTGATTGCAGAGGCCGCTTCCACCTGCAGGTGAAGCTAGTGGCACGCAAGCAGACTTGGGCCCCTCCAAGGGCAGCCAAGAGCCAGCGCTACAGACCCTGCCTCCTCTGGCAGCACATCAGTGGGTCTCCCAGGTCTCAAGAGTTTCAAGTCTCTTTAGCAGTGAGATGGGTGCATGCCATGTTCATTTCAGGACTGCAGGTGCGTGCACAAGAGTCTGTGTGAGGGAAGGCTATCATGGGCTGGGGAGGGGTCACCTCGTCAACCCAGGACATGCTGCCCCGGTCGGCCGCCAGCAGACGCTCAAGGTCGGCGCGGCGCGCGTCCTGGTCGTCCTCCGGCCGGAACACATCCGCGCTCCTCAGATCCCGCCTGGCAGCGCCAAAAACATGAGAGTTCAATCGACAACCCAATGCTAAATTGGGCTGGGATGCTGAAAACGGCACTGGCAGCGTCACGGCGGTCTCAGTTCTCTGGTTTCTCATTGGCATCTGCAATGCCTGCATTTACGAGGCTGTGTGCCAAGGCAATCTGCGGTCCCGAACATGTGTCGGAACTGGTGAGGGCCCACCTCGAACTGGCATATGAGAATGTTCCTGAGCGCTGGGGCTGCGACTGCTGCCGCTTGGCTTCAAGCGCTGACCGTGCTGCATCCAGCGCTGCTGTCTGCATTCAACAATTACTGATTTAAAGAAAAGAAGGTAGTCAAAGCACATGCTGAAAGGGATTCCAATCCTAAAAGGAACTGCATGGTATTGCCAAACTGAAGAAATAATTTAGCAAGGCAATGTGCACACCGCTCTCCTCAGAAGCTCCTCAGGATCAGGCTTCTTCTCTGTTCCATTGGTATCCCCCCCTCCAGTACCCTTTTGTGCATCTGATTGCTTGGGTCCAGACTGCAGAGGCAACACAATTGTGCTCTTTGCAACATTAATGCAGGTGCACTCTACGATATGATGACTCCTGTTGCCTGCTTTGAGCACGCAGATTTCAGAAGGCAAAATGATTAAGGCAACATCAGCAACATCCTTTTCTAGATGGGTAGTACACACCTCAAACGCAATGAGATCTGACAGCGAAACCGCTTCCTTCTCATCATTTGGAGCAGCTCTGGCTAGGACGACCTCTCTGCGCCCCGGCCGATGTCTGGTCCGTATAATTGTTCGACCGGATGGAGCAATCCATCTTGTCCCCTTACAAGCTAACATAGATCGCTGCAGCATCGTTCTGCATGGTGCTGACATAATGGCCAGCTCTAGCTGCAACCTGTTGGCAACATACTTACAGGTGAGAACGGGTTTTGGAGAACAAAGAGAACTACAGGCAATGACATGAGCCTACAAGTACATTAATCCAGTATAATGATGCAAGCTGAAGTAGCAAGGTTTTAGAGAGCTGCTTCTGGGCAAGAGGAGCGACTTCGGCAAGCGAAGTTAACGCTTTAATACATCAATATATATCATATATGTGTCCCAAATCAATGACTTAGCGCAAATCCATCATATGCAGCAAAGTCTACAGGGCGGACCGGCGATCAGATGGAGCAAAGTGTACTTCGGTCGAGCCACTCACCTCCACGAGCAGACACTGGATTTAGGAAGATAACCGCTTCACAGCTCCCATTATCCTGCACAGGAGGGCTTTAACAGAACATCTAACGTTTGATCCGTCCAGATACCTTCTCCCGTATGCGCTGACCACGAATCGCACAGAGGAGAAGCCATCAGTCAGACGTGACTGATTACTGGCTTCCGTTTGGAAGGAAGCTATGCCTTCGCTCACTGAATGGAAGAGATATTCCGGTTGGTCATAGAGATCTCAGTTCTGCATTACAGTGCAGCCTGCTGTCGCTGGAAGCCAAGCCTTTGGTCCACCCTAATTGTTGCAACGGGCAGCCCCGGCCTTCTGAAGACTCCTCAAGCCTGCCAGGTGAGACTCACAATTCACCACCGTGGTGACCTCGCGCCATGCACGCTGCCAGCACAGTGTGCGCGTGTTCATGCACATGCAGTCCAAGAACCAGTTTCAATGCAGTTGCTAGTGTGCTCTTATTACACCTGATATTGCAAGTCAGTATCTTACGCTCAGATCTGCGACTGAAGTGTGACAGGATTCTCAGCAGCAGGGCCATCGTGGCCGCTCATAATCTCTGATGGTACATGCAGGTTCATGTTAGACAGATCTTAGTTGCTGATGCGCCACTCTCAGTCCCATAAGACTGCAATATCCCATTTCATTCTGCAAGACTCAGATGCATCTGGCTCACTGCCAGATTCTGCTGTCTTGGTGCATTGGACAGCTCATTTTCTAGCTCAGTCATGCACTGCATCACGCCCATTTGAAAAGCATGACGACAGCGGTCACGTTGTCATGTGTTCCTTCTCTCAGCGCTTCATTGACCAGGGCTTGCGCTGCAGCCTTTGCTGTCGAGTCGTCAAGAGCCTTCTTCTTCGCCCTCACCTACAATGCCAACTTCTGCTTCAAACTTTGCCCGCAATATTGCATGAAAATACCCAGGAGCACACTCAGATCGATGGACAACGCATTCAAAACAAAATTAATGCTCAGACAGATGAAAAGGGCATTGCAAGCATGCAGAGCGAAGAGCAAGAACAGATAGATTGACAGGCATCCAAGCATGCACAGCAAAGAGCAAGAAAGAAACACGATAGGCGTTCAAGGCACGCACAGTAGAGCATGAACAGCTAGACAGAGAGAGCATTCCAAGCATTTCCTTCCATTTCCTGGCTGCAGTCTCACCTTGTCAAGGACGGCGACAACGGTTGTGTCTGAGACCTTGTCCCAGAGGCCATCGGAGGCCAGCACCAGTGCAGTGTCACCCGGCTGCAGCTCGATGCGGCGCACATCTGGCATGCACTCCACCGTGTTCTCGCCCTTGCCCCTCTTAAACTGCGGATCCCCCAGCGACCTGCCGCATCGCTCAAAATTCAGTCCTTGACCGGTTTAAAGTTCCAGACAGCATTCTGCGCACATGCTCTGCAGTAGGTAGGATCCTGTTCAACCATCCTGATTCCTGCCGCCAAGTGTGGACATTGGTATACAGCTTTAAAACAGAAGAAGGCGAGGCCTGCTCATAGCCACTGACCCATCTGGCTGCCACTCGCTGCAGGGGCACAGCAGCTGTGTGCGGCATACGAAATGTCCATGGTAGGATGCAGAGTGTTGTGGCTGCAGGCATCCTGCGCTGTGCCCTCTGCCCTCTGGGTTGGCTTTGCCAATCTTGTAGAAATAGCACCAGTGTCTCTGTGTGAACATCGGCTGGCGCGCACCGGGACATGTTGAGGAGGGTGACGCGGTGGTTGTGGGGCTTGGGGTCGCTGACTACGCGGTCGCGCGCCTCGTCAATGTTCCCTCCGGCGTCCTGGATGCGCGCATGCTCGTCCGGCCGGTTTGGCTTGTGGTCTGCCGTCAGCCGCAGCGGGAACTGCAGGTCAAACGCCGCGGACGCCATCACCGCCCCGCTGTCCCCCGTGTGCGCCACGTACAGCACCTGGCATGCCATGGGGTATGAGTTGCTAGAGTTAAATGGGATTGGGTAACTAAAAAAACTGGGGGGAAAAAACTGAAGACAAAGAAGCTGAAAAAGTAAATATATATCCTTAGAACTAAATCATTAATGTCTAATGTTGCTTCACTGCTTACCCTACATGGTGGGCCCTTCAGGAGCATGGCGCTGCTGATCTCATGGCGAACAGGGGAGCCAAGTTGTCAGAGCGTGAAGAAAATGAAGTAGGTGGTCTGCCTCAAACAGTAAAGGGTGGTCCCTGAGTCAAAGAGCAAGAGTGAACTGCCTGACTGTCAGGATTTTTCCTACCAGAATGCAATGATAGTGAAGATGTGCTCCTTGCAAAATTTGAAGGTAGCTCACTTTGTCAAAGCGCAGCGCGAGGAGAGCAGTTGTGCCCCCGTACTGGCAGTCCTTGATGTCGCTCTTGCGGGCATCCTCAAGGATCTCCTTGTCCAGGGTCTTGAAGCTCTTAACTATCGCGCTGCACACTTCGTCCCTGCCGCTGCCCTTGTTGGCACTGAAGAGCTTCGGATCTCTGCGTTCAAAGCCCCTTTCTCTTCAGCTAAATGCTGCCTTTCCATTCCACTCCATCGATCAACACACATGCATGGCAGTTTACTATGTGCAATCACACTTGCACAGCATGCAATCAAAAATGCCCAGTACAACAGTGAGGAAAGAAGAAGGTGCATGTGAGGTACCTTGACAGCAGCTCTGGGAGACGCTTGTGAGCAAGCTCAGCCGCCTGGCACCTTTTATGGCCATCAAATACCGCTGCAAGGCCAAGCTTCTGTGGCGGACCAGCCGCTGCAGTGTCGCAATGTGGCTCAAAGTGTCGTATGATGGTGTGTCGATCCTGTGTTAGCATAGCAGATGGTCGGTAGCATGTCTACCAGTTCCCTTTGAGCAGGTGCCGCCACATGCCTAATATCTCTGTACCTGCTGATAGTCACGATGACCCCTGCTCTTAGCACCACCATAAAATACTTCAAGCTGGCCAGGTGATGATGCACTCTGCCCCACCGATTCATCACCTGCAAACGTCCACAGCCCACCTTCAGCTGCTGAAGTGCCTTTGAAACGCTTACGCATGGGGTAGGAGAGATGATCGTGCAAGCTGTGCGCAGTCAAATGCTACATTACAATACATTGTAGACAAATACAGCACAGCCTAATATGTAATAGCCCTGCACTCAACATACCAAATCTCAGACAGCAGTCAGGACAGTACCTGGCTGCCTGACACTGCTAGACTCCCCTAGCTCCCCAGGCACACCCCCCACACTATGAACAGTGTTTCCCACAGGCCCGCCATGCATGCAAGGGTCCTTGTGCAGCTGCTGCCGCGCCGCAGACTGTGTCAGCAGCTGTTCCTGCTGAGCCACCACTGTTGCTGTGCCGCTGTCCATGAGCCCACTTCCTAGGTTGCTCCCTGCCCCCACACTGCTGGGATTGCTGCCACCGCTAAACAGCACTTCCCTGCCGCGGCCTGTTTTCTGAATCTTTGCTGTCTCGCCAATGTGCCGCCCTGGCAAGGGGCTGCCTGGCAGGGGCCTCATGGAGACTGGGCTCCCACCCAAGCCCCCCTCAGCAAGAGCCACTGGATAGGGGGACATGTTGAGGACTGGCAGGGTGATGGAGCCCATGACCTCCCCTGGCAGTGCCACCTGCCCTGGGATGCTCATGGGGACTGCCAGGCGCGGGTACTGAGCCTGCTGCGCGCTGCTCAATGTGCCAATGCTGGCTTGGCTGGGGCTGGGGCCGGCTAGCATGCTGGCAGGGGGTGAAGACTCTCCGATGAACTGGGGGAGCTGTGGGCGGCTGTCCTGCTCACGCTGTGTCGCGCTGCCTCCAATGCTGTAGCTCACCTGTGCGGGGGTTGCCTGTCCAATGTGGCCACCAGAGGCGTGGCCAGGCAATGCAGTGTAGGCACTTTGCAGTGGAGCACCTGGATGGAGGCCTGCTGCGAGGGACGCCGCAGCCTGCTGGAACGCATCTCCTGCGCATCCGATAGCCCTAATGTCAGAGCTGAGCAGGTGCAGGAACTTGTGGGCTATCAAATCGTGGCCAAAGGCTGTCAGGATCGAACGCCATGGTATGTGTGTTGAATGATATCAAAACGTCGTAATTGCTGAAAAGACCGAGATATTCTGGTCTGGTACAGGAACAAAATGCGCAAGAAGAAAGGAGACATGCTGCTCACTAATGGCCGTTCAGTAATTCGTTAAGCGCCTCTTGGCGTGGCAGGCGATGTGTGACACCAAGACAGGCTGCTAGTTAGCGAGCATCGGCAACGATGGGAAATTTCGTTCCTCACCTCCAACAGCGGGCTTTCTCCGATCCAGCAATGCCGTGTCGCAGTCTTCGCTTTGACCAATTCTTGCATCCGTCATGTTGCCGTGCTCATCCACCACTCCGCAGCTTGGTTAGGAAGTACTTGTGGCCAAAGCTGCACCATGGCAAATAAAATCTGGTACTGTGCTCGATTGCTCTCACAAAACTGCACAGCTATTGTCAAGGTGCTTTTCCTTACCGTGATGCGTAAGTGTGCTGAGCCTCCGGGGGAAGTCAAGTCTTCAAGACCTGTGATTCCTTTCCGCTGGATTCCTCTCCGCTGAAGTTGTTCTTGGTAGGATCTTCGTTTGTACTTGATTATCACCGGCAGCCCGAGAAATTTTTTCGATTGCTTTTCTGCAGTGCACAGATACAGGCTGCCGGAGAGGTGATACTCTCTGTGGTGTGTACCAAACGGAAGTCGTCACCTGGCCACCTGGAGCGAATTTGGAAGTCGGAGATATCTCCCGTCGTAGACACACTCCATGAAGTCCAGTGCAGTACCATTCGGAGCAAGGATTGTACCAATTGCTGTTTTGGGGATGGTTGGTACATAGGTTTCTCTGTTTGAAATGGGAACTGAGTTTAAGGAGCTTTCCAGTTCAGGAGAGGAGCCGATCCGAAGGTGATCTGTCACATCCCTTTCAAGCAATTACTGCCAAAACCAAGCACTAGTAGAATAGCTTGTTGTACGGCTGTGTTTGCAAGCCATATTATCCTAAAATTGGATGATCGCTCTTCGCACAGGAAACGTGGACCAAACTATAGCATTTTATTGCCCCTCATCTATGCACCACTTCTCCCTCTGAGTACAGCCCTCGTGCTTTCTCTTGTTTTCACACCTGAAACACTGCCTTGCAGAACTGCTACATTATACGGTTGTAGTCATGTCTTGCTGCTAAGCACATGCGTGTGTGCAGTCCGCATAGGCCTGAAGAACAGGGTTGCACCTGCCACGCGAGACAAAATCTTTGGAGCTGCAGTTCTGACAGCACTAGCACATGCAGGCTATGTGAGTCCCCTGTACTTGCTAGCCTTCACCCAACATCATGGATGCCCACCTTATATCGCACTCATTGGAAATTTTCTTTAGAGCGCATGATGGATTCCTTCAAAGGTTTTGTGACATTGGAATGTAGGTGATGTCCAGCGACTCGACAATGTGAGTGCCAGTAAGCCACGAGTCAAGCACAACTGGCAATAAGGCTATGAAGCAGGACTACCTTTGAGACATGCCCTACCACTGTTGGCATGGCCTGCGCTTGTCATGAGCCGAGCTCGAGTTACAGAGAAACAATGTTCCCCAAAATTTAATTTACAGAGCAATTACGTGCACACCGTGTGATGTGTCAGATCATATTAATGATTGTCTTCCTGGTGTAGCCCCTGCAGCTTCTGATATTCTGCCCGGACTTCTCCGATAACGAAGCAAACAGTAGTGTCCCAATTCTTTACTCGATATCGCTATGTTCTCAATCCGGTGGACAATGTGCCCAGGAAGAATACAGACATTGTAAAAATGATTTCATCGAATTCGTCTGTGACCGGAAGTTCCTTGCCCTCTAAAATAAGAGACATACCCATCAATTGTGACACATCTGGAGGGCAAAGAGCCGCCCGACATGCTGCAGCAGGCTTCACACAGCGCTTGACTGGGCGGCCACGGAAACGCCGTCCAGGCACTGGCGGCCCCCAAGGAAGGCAGTGGGGTCCTCAGGCGCATGGATTCCAGTGTCGCTGAGCACCACTGTGCGCATCTCGCAATTCAGAAACTCGCGCGTCAGCTCGGCCTGGTTCGCGGGCGGCAGTTCGGGAGCGAAGGCTGACAGCGTGTGCCTTATGAAGCCCGCGTGCGCCACCACAGCTATGCGCGTCTCCGGCCTGCACGCATGCCACACGTGCCCCAATGCTGATCTGCAGTCAACTTGAGAGGAAGAATGCAATAGAAGGCAAACTCTGCGACAAGCAGGAGTGGCTGCCTTAAAGTTGAATGGGAGTGCATGGAACAATACTGCCAATACATAATAAGCTATAGCCTCTTTGAGCGTCAAGGCATTGGGAGTAGTGCCTGTCATTTCAAAGATTCTTTCACAGAGACATGAGTTACGAATCTGCCAAACAGCTGTGGCAATAATTTTGCTGACCTGGTCATGAGCCACCTCAGAAACTTGATCCCCCTGAGTGTGACTGCGACCTCGCTCTCGCCCACATCGTACTCTCCGCTACTGTGCTGCTCATCGTGGATTTTCTCCCATAGCACATCGTCATCTGTCTGCACCGCCGAGAAATCCACACCGGGAAAGTGCTCCTTCGTCAGGTGCAGCGGCCGGCGCTGATCACACAGGTTTGGACCTACAAGCACAGCTAATTGCTCAATGGACGCTCTGTCTTTGCCTTGTCCCGGTCTCTTGGCATGCAGAAAAGCAGGCTCCAGCTTTTATTAATATCTGTAGGAAATACTGTGAGGAATTTGAGGTGGGAGACAAAGTGCAGAAGCCGCACCCATTCGCTCTCTGCACATCTCTGTGGCAACGAAGGGCAGGTTGCTGGGCAGGCCGATGGCATCATGCGCTGACACCTCCCTGGGCGCGCCCGCCTGGCGCAGCATCAGCGGCTGAGCTGTGGCGCTGCCGCCCCCAAACACCCCGGCCGCTGTCTCCAGTGTGCGCATCAGAGGTGACACAATGACAACCTGCAACAACAGAGCGCTGCAACAACTTTGGGGGTATATTTGGGCCCTGGCTGGCCGGGGACGGTACTGATACTGAGCAACGTGCCCATGATCAGTCCGCACAATCTAGAGGAGCACCAGAGGAAATGTGTCCCAAGCTTGTTATGGCCTGCCCAAATGCAAATCGAGCTGCAAAAACAGGGGCTGGGGGCTCGAAACAAGAGCAAATGCACAGGTTGATGAAGAAAGGAGACTTGTAGGTATTTAAGCAAGTGTTTACGTGCGGACCACTCTAGTTGGATGGGTCTTGCTCGGATCTCGTGAGTCCAACAAGAGGTGGAATTTGGCAGCCTTTATATGCAGCTTGTCGGCAGAGGCACCTTGCCTCTGGCAGCAAAACCGCGCAACGCCGATAACAATGTTGACTCCACTATGGCAGTACATGAAAGCAAAGCTGTGGCAGGAATGAGTGACATGATTTGGGGCAGAGAAGCACAGAAGGCCGGCAGAGCTGTAGAAAGCGCACCTGAATGTCCAAGGGGGGCTGGAGGGTCTTGATGTGTCGCTGGAGAGCTTCAGCTTGGTGCCAGCCAAAGGGTGTCAAATGGGCATCCAGGTTTCCCTCATACCCGATGTTGTGAAACCCCTCCCCGTGTCTTATGAAGTGCACCTCCTGTATTGGATGACAGCCAGTCAGCTTTATTGACTTCAGCGTAGGGCTTTGCAATTGTCTGGCATGGCGGAGTTGTCGTACCTTTGTAAATCTCTGAGGAACCACACTTAAACGGAGATCTGAGACGTTGTGATTCTTCTCATCCGAGCTGAAGCTCGCCATGATGGAGCAAGGGAGGCCTGTCAGGCAGCGCCGAAAAATAGTTCCAATTGTGAAGAAACGGTATGTCGCAAGGCTGATCTATGTCACTGAGTCAAGCATGGATTCTTGGACATCGACAAGTCAAGTACTCGTGTCTAAAAAGTGTACAGGAGTGATTGTCCGTCGTGGACAACTTGGGCAATTACCTCTCTCTTTGTGCTTGACCGGTGTTCCTCGAGTGGTCATGCGTATTATATTTTGCTTATTGTTGGTCAGACTGTGGTTTATTGGATGATGAGAGCTTCCCCTACGTTGAATTGATTGAATCCGAAACTGATCCCGACCGGCATGCATGTGGTTGGATTGCACAACTTCGCATATATAGTGATGCAGTGTTGCAACGTGCTTCTTTTTTACATTTTCAAACAAGCAGGAGCGCAAGAAATGAGTCCCTGAGGATCCCCTCAGTGAGGAACCTGCCTGAGAAGATTCTTGCTCACCAAACCAATGAGTCATGTATCTGGCAGGGCCGGCGTTACATTCCTATGGACAGGCTTTTTGCAAGTCTCCATTCCTCTTTCCTCTAATTTCCCGGTACAGGCTGATATGAACATTCTCAATTCCTCCTATCTAGTGAAGTCTGCTGATGATCAGAGTCTGATCTGCTGTACAGCTCACTACCTATCAGGTCTTTGCCTTCTAGTGTTTGCATTGTAGCTGAGGGTGGCTGTTCTGACCCCTGTGTACCCATCGCAGGTTGATGTGTAGCTGTCTGGGATGTCCCGCAGAACAGTATTGTTCCTTGTTGGGCCCCCTGCATGGCAGTCTTTTCAAGAGGGTCTATCATCTCACAGCTTCATGCATGCAGAGGAGTTCTCTGAGAGGAGTCCTCTGAGAGAACTAAGGGAAATCCACTACATCTGGGACACATCTGGGAATCACATCATGCATGCCATGCATAAGCGATGCCCATCTTTGCAAACCCTTTGGTGTCAGTTTGCCAATTGACAAAGTTGGAAAAGAAAGGAAGCAGAGACTCACATGCTACCAAATCATCAACGACGGGGCCAAGGCAAGCAGCCAGCTTCCTGTAACCTTCTGTGTTGGGGTGCAGCTCATCTGGAAGGATCCGCCCATTCACCGTGTTGTTGCTGGGGAAGATCATGCCCTCTCCACAGTCCACATAGTGGATCATGTTGTCCTCTATTGTCAATCCCTGGACACAGCAGAACATTGCAGGCATCGTGTGTTGCACTTTTCTTGTGCAATGAGTTGCTCGGCTCACATGAGGGCAGGCTCTGTGCTGGTCCATGTCACACACCAGGGCGTGTGCCGAACCCCTAGCAATATGTTGGTAGATGTCATGATGTCACATGCAGAGCAGGACGCAAACCTGGGAGGCCGTGTTGACAGCATTTATGGCCGCAGTCATGCGGTTGGGCCAAGTCCATTTGTCATCCAAGGTCCAGGCGCCACGTGGCAGGATGCCAACGATGACCACATGCATGTTGGGCGCGTTCCTCCTCATGTAAGCCACCATGTGCCTCATCCTGCACATGCGCATGCCCTGTCAGCCAGTGGGTGGAAATATTGAATGATTTCAAATGCATGCAATATCTGGTGATGAGAGGTCCCATGCATCTGCGGCCCCTCTGCACTCCCTTTTGCATGTAGTGGATACTGCAAGCTTGCTGCATGAAAATTATCATCATGACCAGTTTAGAGCGGGCTGATCATTATGTACATTTTACGCTGTTTCTGCCAGGAGGCAAGGTGTGCAGGTGCAAGCCCGGTGCAAGTCAGCTGCAATGGTACAAAAGAGAGGGGAGCCACCTGCTGCTTGTCCCTGCAGCTGCTTCCAGCTCGGCCCCGCCATCCTTCAGGCATGTCTCTATGGCGCCCAGATCGTTGGTGCCAATGAGAATGACAGCCACCTTTGCCGGGCTGGTCAGTGGCAGCTCCCCATTGATGACCCTCCACCACAGATTCGCCGTTGTATCACCTGTAAGACACATTCTCAGATATCTCAACATCAACTGCCATTATGCTGGCATTTCTACAAATATTCAGACAGGTTGACGAGCTTTTTTATGCCAGCTTCATCATGCCCTGCGGAGTTCATGATATCGGCACGGGAATGCAATGGTACGGATGGAGATGCCTCGCAATGTGGACTTGCATGGAACAGCAAAGGCCGGCGGGATCAATCTGCAGCTTCTCTTGTCAAGCTTAAGGGGAATTTGAGGGAGCAGGAGACTTACTGCCGATGCCCATGATGCCAGCTGTGTACTTGCTCCTAAAGGTGGCATTGAAAATTCCTGTGGGTGTGCCTCCTGGGGTGTTCGGCGGCAGCGGTTTGTCACCCCAGTCATTTGCCGGCCAGTCATCCCTCCAGCGCATTGTGATGGAGTCCCCATAAAATAGCACATCATACCCCTGCGATGCGGCACTTGTCAAAACACCTGATGGGGCTCTAGCGTCCGGTAACACAGGTAACATAGATAACAGAACTCTGCCAGGGTAAACAGCTGTAATGGCAATTTCTGTGCACGCAACCTTGTAAAATTGCTGACGGCTACTGCACAATCTACTGCCATGCGTGTACTGCTCCAGTCTACTCGATGAGCGCTCTGTGTGACACTGAGCGCTGCCTTACCCCTTGAGCCTCTGCTTCTGCCAGCTCATTGAGCAGTTTGCTGTGCCAGTTGACAACTTCCGGAATGTGAGGCGGTGCTGGCCTCCATAGCAGATCTGAGCAGCTGCAAAGCTGGCTTGGCTGCTGGGCCCCTCTGATGGCTGGCAGGTGCAGCGCAGCAGTCAGCAGAATCAGTATAGGGGCAGCGAGAGAACGCAGCATGCTCGGCATCCTGTATTGCAGACGTGAGACCGCATTAATGATTTCCTTCCATGTCACAAAGCGTAAGGTTGGAGACTGTCCGATGTAGTCATGGAACAGCAGGACAAAGCCTATTGCAGCCTTCCGTTGTGTAATGCGATAATTGCGGCACTATAACAGCTCCAGGTAAAATTGCTTGCCGAAACGTTGTGCGTATTTGTCAGGTTGTGAAGGCCGCGCATCGCAGAAGTCGAGAAACCGACCTGGCTGCCCTGACTTGCCCCGCTAGAGCGACAGGCGCCCTGATCTTGCACCAAGGAGACGGAAGGTGTTTTCGTTCCTCATTCAGAATATGTCATTCTAAAGGTATTTCCTGAAATTTATTAAGATGCATGCCCTCAAGTCTCCAGGCGAGCGGACAATCCGGCAGAGCTTGCTGCCCCTTCGTTGCACAAACAGTAGGTACCTGAACGATGCTAGACAAAACGATGAGATCTGATTGACTCAATCTGTGGCACCAAATCTGTGCGAATCCCTTTCCCATGTGTACAAGAGCCTTGTCCACTCTCCCTGTCGGCTCTTTGTAAGCTGTTCCGGAAAACGTCCGAGGCGATGTCGGAAGAAAGACACGCGCTCCGTCTGTCCTAATAATAGCTTTGGCAAGAAAGGAGGATTTTGGACTGCTATCATTATTGACAATTTCCTCAAGTCGTCTTCAAGATGGCTCAGAACGGCAGCAATGGTGCTCTAAGCACCAACGGTGTGACAACAGGGATTGCGCAGGTGCCAACGACGACGAAGGGCGCCCCTCAAAACCTCGATGAGAAGGTGATCCTTGATTCCTGACCCAAACGTCTGGCCCCTGGTCTTCTAAAAGATCCAGGACTACTGCACTGTGATTATCTCACATTGAAAGATATTTGCATCAGCTTGTCAAGATGCTGACAACACCCGGATGGAAGGCTTTTGTGCAGATGGCGCCTTCATCAATAAGCTCATATGCCTGTCACGACTAGTTTGCTTTAAATGTACTTTATTATAGTAGCATTAGCCAATGAATTGCAAGTGAGAGGCAGAAAAGTAAATAACTGGCTACAGTTCACTCGGACACGGTTCACATAAATATATCGGCGTGTGAATGCAGATGCCCAACCCAGGCCTGCCGCGTGCGAACAAAGCTGTGTCTGCAGAAAAGCCCTCAGGAGGTCCTTCTCCCCAGGACAGGACGGTGCTGCAGCAGCATGTGGACTTCTTTGACTTTGACAAAGATGGTGTGACAGCTACCACATGCATGCATGCATCTTCCGAATAAATCCCTGCAGTACTGTTCTACTGTGCTACTGTGCTGTGTGAAATCTTTTGAGCCACAGCATATCCATATAATGTGCCTGTTGCTGTGCTGTGCTGTGCAGGCATCTTGTACCCACAGGACACCTTCAATGGTTTCCACAAGATCGGCTTCAACATCTTCCTGTCAGCCTTTGCTGTGCTTGTGATTCATGGCACCTTCTCCTACCCCTCTCAGGACGGATGGTTCCCTGACCCCTTCTTCTCTGTGAAGATCAACAACATCCACAAGTGCAAGCACGGCTCTGACTCAGAGTCATACGACACCGAGGGCCGCTTTGTGCCGGTGCGAATCTCCAAGCCTGCACCTTTTGGATCAGATCACCCTTGATCTGCATATTCAAATGTTCTAAAGATGTCACACACTGCCAGAAGCTGAATGTATTCTTTGGCATGACTGATCAGGAGAAAGCAGAGGAGGTGTTTGCCAAGTATGACAAAGGCAACAAGGGAGGTCTCTACTACAAGGACATTCTCACCATGATCAACGGCAATCGCAATGTGTGTCCTTTTCTCCAGGGATTATCTCAGCTTCAGCTTGTCTCTCATTGACATGTCAGACAATCGTCAAGCAGCTGCTGAACATGCGTCCGCAAACGTGAGGGTGGAAATATACTTGTGTGCATGCGGTGCAGATCTTTGACCCCGTTGGCTGGACTGCTGAGTTCCTCGAGTGGAGCGCTCTCTGGCTGATTGCTGCTGATGACAAGGTATGCTCACCTCTTGTTCCATAGCAAAAATGTAACTGTATTCTTCTAGCAATTCTCTGATAGGCCATTGATGCATAAGTGAGCTCAGGCATGAAGCCCTGATTTACTTGCAGGGATTGCTGCCAAAGGAAGCTGTGCGCGCACAATATGATGGTTCACTCTTCTATCAGCTGGCTCGCAAGACTGAGGCAAGGAGAGCCGCTGTAAAGAGGGATACCTCGAAGGTACCTCGCGCGCTGCTTGTCACCACGGGTGCAATCATACTCATCGGTGTTCTGGCGAGCTGCATGTTCCTCAAGTATGGCAATCATGTTGAGGTCACCAGCTGAGGGTGTGATGGTAGAGTGGTGTACTTGCCAATGTGCAGGTGCAGTAGATCGGTCCACAGTGAGCCATGAGGCCATAACTACTCAATTGTGCAGACCTCCGTCATTGAGGCGCCAACTCTCAGTCTGAATTACATTAGACTGACACATACCCGGAGCTAACTCCGGGTATATATTTTACGTAATATCCAGGTATATATATTACGTAATAGCGTCGGTGGGATGCAGATGCAGTCAATGGAGAGACAGATGGCAGGCCACATGTGCAGTCTGGTCAGGTTTAGGGTCCGTCAGTACTATGTTGTTCATCATGCATTAAAGAATGCTATGATGCAGTCCACGCGTTATGGTGTAGGAATGTAGATGTAGATTTGGAGTTCTGTCAGTTTGTTGCTGCGATTAAAGCAGCGATTTTTTAGAGGAATGACCTGTACAGGAATGACATGTGCATTAACTTCTCATTCTGAGACGGGGGATTTTCTCAAATTGGGTTGCATAAAGAGAGGATACTTTTCCATTGGCACGTGGAAAGGGCCGATATAGCATGAAGTACGTGCCTTTAGTGATTTGCCCCATTCGAATGTGGAATTTTTTGCAAACCAGCTGTTTGGTAATGGCTCAGTCAGGGTTGAGCATGGCACTGTACATTATAGAAACCCATTTTAAAAGCTGAAGTATGATTTAGTATCTGCAGGCAGTATGCTTGGACTGTTCTTGTCCAAGAATGGTCGCAGGCATGAAAGCGAGGTAACAGGAAACGGCCCCACGCATGCAACGACTCTATCCTTATGGGATCCCACTAGCCAAGCTTATGCATCCAGAAGGGCTCTACCTAACAAAACAATTGATTAGATTGCCATCAAGACTTGCAGACTTGTGGCGCGAGACAATGGAGAAGACATTCTCGACAACAAGCTACAAGTGGACGGCATCTGTGTGGGAACTGGTGAGGCGCCACAAATTCTGACGGGCGTCCCTGCCGACCTCCATCCACTGAGCAATGAGGCAGTGGAATATCACACCTGCTCTCAAGGTGTCTTTGTTATCTTGGATCTGATGTGACTCAGGACCTTCAGGGCTGGACTTGGCCAACTGGAGCTCAGCATCCTTATCAGCTGTATCTGTGGATTAGGAGGTACATGTACGGGGTTGCAGCATGACTGCATTGAATTGTATAGCATGGATTATTAGGGTTGAGCATTCCATACTGATCAGTGTGATGCCAATATGGCATGGGTGTCCAGGTTCTGAGTTCCAAACAGTGATCTCAGAACAGGCTGTCAGCTTGGCGCAGGAATGTTGAATTTCACATCCTGTGCATCAGATTGCAATTGATCATTCAGATAACGGGGTTGAGGTTCCTGCTATAGCAAGTATGTACAGTAACACAGCATCTTTGTTGCTGACGTGTCCTGTTGGACAGTAGAAGATAGGGCTGCTGCAGACGTGCCTCATGAGTCAGTGGATGCCCTTGTAAGCTGTTGACTTTGAATTGATAGACAGTAAGACAAACGTTTCTATTTGACGAGGAAATTCAAAGCCAGGCAGGGCCTTGTATTCAGCGGCAATTCTTCAGAATAGTTTCTTCTACGGAGATGATATCTGCAGCTGAATCCAGTTTGCGATTCCTGTGCAATATGGATGCACTCTGTCAGAACCGCAAGGCAGCCCTTCCTTCCTTACTCGGCGCTCGCGCTGCCTTGATATCTGCACTCCACTTAGCTCAATATGGATGGTGTCCGAGGTTGATGATGGTGCGACCGGAGAGGTAATGAGGAATATGTCCAATATGCCGACGCATGCAATTCTCGGCGTCCTCGTAGGATCCCAATAGCCTGCAGGCAGCATTCAGAACCTCTCTGGAAATGCGCAAAAAGACCGCATGGACGACATGAGGCAGAATTACGCGAACAACCCGCAGACAGTGGATGGTGTCACTGTGGGAATTGTAGAAGCGCCACAGACACTGAAGGGAATCCCTTCCAACCTCGATCGGGTCCGTCGCGCCGCCCTGGTGCCTTCGTTTGGAATAAGAAAGTAATTTGGACTCTAGTGGAGGTCAGGGGATCATCTTTAAAGATATTACTGCCGAAAAGTTTTGGCATCCGTACATCCGTCCGAGAAAATGCAATGGCCATCAGAAAAGACGCCTAGTTCAGTCTTTGATATATTTCTTGGTTTCAAGATTTCCCTAACAATAGGAAATTCGCGCATTCTGCATCGGTTGGGCCTCCTGTACGGCCTTCAACTTGAGACGCTTGCCATCGGGTGACGGCACTTGCTGTGGCCAACATTGCTGAAGTCTCAGCTTCTCTATTATGACTTGATGTCATGTTGTTGCAGATCTCTCATCCTGAGCTCCCTCATGCGACGAGGGCAGTGTCCACAGAGCGGCCCCAGGGAGGCGACACTGCTGCAAACAACAGGACAGTGCTCCAGCAGCATGTCGACTTTTTCGATCGAGACAAAGATGGTGGGGGCTCTCTTTCCTCCTGCACTTCAACTTTTACAGTCTGCTGTTGAACCTCCTATGCCGCAGTGGCACAGCATCCACTTCGAGCATGGCAGATCCTGGGCAGAGGATTCTTTGTTGACCAGGAGCTTCTGATCAAAGAGGGGGTATTCGTGTTGGCTGCAGGCAAGATATTCCCAAGGGACACCTATGTGGGCTTCCGCCGGATGGGCTTTAATGTCCTGCTGTCAGCCTATGCTGTGCTTGTGATCCACAGCACACTCGCGTACCCGACCCACAACCACTGGATCCCAGATCCCCGCCTGCCCATCATCACAGGCAATATCCACAAATGCCACCATGGCTCCGACTCCATGGTCTATGACAAGGAGGGCCGCTTCATGCCGGTATGCCCTCCTCTGAATTTCAATCCTCAACTACCATAAGAATGGGCCATGCAGCCCATCCTTGTCTGCAGCTGCCTACCTTGCTCAACATATCGACAGACTGCACAACATAGAACCCATTGTCATGCAGTCTTGTCAAAGCAATGGCGACTGCAGCTCCCCAGATCCTGCTGATCTACACGCGTCGCCATCAAATGGCTTGTGTGAGCGCAGGAGAAGTTTGAGGAGATTTTTGCCAAGTACGATCGCGACAACAAGGGCGGCCTGTCCCTCAGGGACATCTTCAATCTGTGGAACAACCATCGCGACGTGAGCTGCTGCTGCTCCTTACTGTCCACTTTGTGCACAGTGAGCAACACTTGTCACATCTGTAGCTGTGTCTGACGAGGACATGAATGCCTGTGGGGGAATGCAGGCCTATGATCTGTTTGGCTGGTCTGCGGAGTTCCTGGAGTGGCTGGCTCTCTACCTCGCTGCCCACAATGAGAAGGTTTGCAGAGACTGCTGCCAGTGCTTCTGTTGCATGATGGATGCTACATCCCACGCAGAACCAAAACCTCAGCTGACTAACAACTCAGATGACTGTGCTCTACATTTCATGCATGTGTTACAGGTTGGGATCATCTCCTGACATATATACCGGCAACATTCATGCATGTGATGAAAAGCAGCTGTTAAAAGTGCCAGTGGTGTGTGCAGGGTGTTGTGCCCAAGGAAGCAGTGCGTGGCCAGTATGATGGATCCCTGTTCTACCAGCTGGCACGCAAACAGGAGGCCAAGGAGGCTGCAAAGAAGGATACAAGGGAGAAGCGCAAATGATGTGCAGCACAGCGCAGTCTGAACCAGACCAGCCCATGCATGTGAAGCAGTGTCAGGCAGCAGCTGCAGGCGCAGGCGGAGAAGAACTGATGCAGGTCATTTCTCTTTTTAAAAATTTGATTGCCTTGCTGCTGTGATCCTAGATCAATCACGAGTCCATGATCCGCCCTTGCCCAGGATGCTGATGCCTGCTGCTGAGCTGCCTGCAGCTCAGAATGAAAGAGTGAGCTTGATGACCCTTTTCACTGCTAGTTAGGTCAGATAGTCCTTTAGGATCTTACATTGTATGGTTTCATGATTTAGGTGGAATAAGGTCATTTTGGGGCACCCAGTATGGGCATGCATTTGTCTACTACAGAGCAACCTTCGCGTGTGTCCGAGACGTAGTGGCGGCTTTATATACAACTTTGATTCTCAAAATGTGTAAGCTCTGCATGGCAGCAGTCGATGCCAAAACGGACCAATAGAATGTACTTTGTGCCAATCCAGTTAAAAAAGCCTCAACCAACCACAGCGATGGCAGTCATCATTGCATTATATGTCATCATTCATGCAAAGGTATGCAAGCACCAACAGCACATTGCAACACCGCTTGTTCTCAAACTAGCACAGGCCCCACAGCGCATCGTGCCAGTCAATAACTCGAGGGCAGACAATCAAGCCCATCAAATAATGCAGCTTGGTGCACACATGCGCACTTTGTTCATCAAACATTCAATTTCTCTCTGATCTCTTGGTCTCCAACAGAAATGAGATTGCTGGCTCTCACTGGCTCTCACACGGTACAAGTGCATCTGCCTTCTGTATTTCACGACACAGTAAACGCAGCTCAGAGGGCAACTACTTGCTGCTGGAACTGCGCCTCGCTGACATGCATGCCGTGGAAGCCATAGGGAACCCGCTGCGGCAGCTGCACGCGCGCAACAGGCGCGTCCGACATTGTGCGCGCGTCATAGACCACCAGCTCGGACTTGTTGCTGGTCTCATCGTGCACATATGTCATCAGGTAGCCATCGTCCTCCGCTGCAGCCACACAGCACCCCCAGATGAACAACAATCAAGACACAGGACTACCACACTGGGACAGGGACAGCAGACTTGCAAAGGGAGCACATTTGTTACACACCATGATGCACGATTGCCGGCAGCAACCAGTTCCTCCTCAACATGCATCAGCTCCAGAAGAACGCAGAGTTCACAGGCAGCATGATGATCTCCTATATCCCAAGCATTGTCTCGGTGGGCAGCTGAACTTTGAATTAGAAGGTTGGGCGGCTGACTAATAGATTAGTAAGTTGTGCAGCACCTGCAGAGGGGCCGCCGGCGCTGACAAAGACCGCCTCGCCGCCCCACCGGCCCTTGCCATGGCTCAGGCGGCCGGCCACAGCGCCGCCGTTGGTGGCACCCATGTCCAGCTTGGCGATGCCCTGGAACTTGCCCGCCATCGCTGCCCCGTCCATGCAGGAGGCATACGTGTAGCGGGTCCGCAGCCCTGCACGACACGAGGACACAGCTTGATGCTGTCACAGACAATGACTTTTCCTAAATGCAACTAATGCAAATTACAGCCCCTTTGCATGGGCAGCAGCAAGCCTCTGCAACATTAAATAAGAACATTGCAGCAGCCTCAGCCATGCATGACAGCCTGAAACATGACGTACAAACCCAGAACATGCAATGCAAGCCCGAAACATGACATGCAAGGGGACAAAGAAGTGCCCGTTGAAATCCCTGGCTGGAAGTGCTTGGCAAAATATCCCGCACGGGCATGCAGAAGCATGCATGTGTATCTGCGCACCAGTGAGGTGCTCTGGGACGCGCGGAAACTCGCAGATCACATCTGCAAGCTGCCGCGTGGTCGCCTCGCCGGTCGCCAAATTGAAGGTCATCTCGCGCATGCGCGGCTGGAATGAGTCCGGCAGATTGTCTTCGGACAGGTCCAGATCAAACTGCACGGACGCCACCCTCTCAATGTGTGCATGTAGACATTCCCAAGAGCAAAGAAAACCAATGGTGACTGGGCAGAGCCGTTCATGTTCAGGGGAATTCTAGAGGGGCAATAGGCGGTCATGGCTCACGTCTTCAAAGCAGCATGCGAAGAGCTTGATCACGTCTTTGCTCTCCTGCCATGCATTGGCCACGTGGAAGATCATCACTGCGCAACACAAAAGAGACTCAACGACCTCCAACTTAGCATCTACAACGAGGCATAAAAGTTCATCTACAAAGACATATGAACATGGAAACTGCAGGTCTAAGCAGATGCCGGTGAGGTCAGGAAGCACCACCTGCGGGTAGCTCGAACCACACAACTTCCTTGCCCGACTTGGGTCGCTTGGGCATCACTCCAAAGCGCGCCGGCCGGCTCTTGTCATACACCAGAGGCAGCCTGTTCTTCGTCACCATCACCTGCGCATTGCCCATCCACCATTATCACTCCTGACAATTGAGGCGCTCCAATTGACCTTTAACTGCAGCTTGTCTGCAGGACACACCTTGCCTCTTGGCAGGAAAAGCGTGTTATAGTAGTATTAGTAACAATTGACCTTTGGATTTTGATGCTGTTTTACTTCAGGGAAATATTCTGGTGGAGGAAGAAGGAGTAGCTTACCTCTGGTCTGAAGACCAGGGGCACATCCAGTACAATAGCGTAATCCTGCAGAAAGCACAACAGATTGTCCAAAAGAGGTCCCCAGTAATCATTCTAACTGAAAGGGAGAATCAGATGTGCCGGTAAGAAATTACAAACGTGCAGCTTGCCTGGGTGATGGCCATGTCATGCATCATGACTCCTTCCTGGAGATCCACGCGCACATCAAACTGCAGCTTCCCATCCTTGTCCAGCCCAGCATAGTGGACGCCGGCTGGCTGCTTGTCAATCTGATACCCGATGAAAAAGAGCTCGCCTGTACAGGCACACACCAAAACGATCACCCATTTTGCCTTCCGGAAAGATCTTCAGAAAGTTTGTGCTGTAGGGATGCATGAAGGTGGCAAAATGGTGGCTTGAAAAGATAAAGCACCTGTGATGGGGTCCACTTTGGGGTGAGCTGTGAAGGGGTGGTTCACTTTGCCTCCAAAAGTGAGGCGCCCGAGGGTGTCCACGATGCCATTGCACAAGATCCTCAACTGTCAAACACCACACACTTGCTCAAAACAGATGCACACTATTCAGCTACAACACTTTCAGCACTTTGCCTCCCAGGATTTTTCACATTGCAGCTGTACAGCAGGTTCCTTCTAGATAGATCTGGATAGATATGTTGCTAGAATGAGCTATTGTACAATCATGACATGGCAGGCCCGTCAGAGCAGTCCAACGGCAAGCAGAGGCACTTACTGCATAGGGCAGGTCGCCTTCATGCAGAGCAAGCAGCTTGTTGGCGTGGTACACGAGCGCAGTGTTGGCTGTGCCGATGCCCTCGGATGGCGGCGTGACTCCCAGCTTCAGCCGCAGCTGGCTCAGACCCGCGTGGAACACTCCCCAGAGGCCCCGCATGTCCCCAAACTGCGCCATTATCACAGGTCTTTGTACTTTATTTACGATATCCACTATGTTTCACTCATCGCCTTCACTCAATTCTTTTTAAATCATTCACAAATGCTGCCTCTTCTTCAACATCGTCAACATCTTCAACACAGGGATCCTCCCAACTTCGTACCTCAGCTCCTTTTCTCAGGATCCTACAAAGTTTGCATATTCTTCCAGCATTTTAACCATGGTTTTGTCATGTGGCAATGACATACCCGCTGGTAGACAGGGAAGCCAAGCTTGCGCTCGCGCTTGAGCCTATTGGTCTGCACCAGCCGGTTGCTGTAGGCCGCCTTGCCATCCTTGATGCGGCATGCATGCACCATTCCATCCCCATCAAACCTGGTAAATCACTAACATCAGGATCTGCTGTGCCCTTGCACTGCTCTGAAGTAAGCAGACCCATGGCAAGCTTGCATCGAGCTACAGATAGATTTCCAGCATCTGCACGTCCCTTACTTGCAATATAGTAAACTTTGCCTGCAAGCCCTAGATGACCTACCAGTGGTAGTCTCCAGATATCGGTAGGACTGGATTTGGTCCGATGCGTGCGTAGACGCCATCAAGCGCCTTGGGAAGTTTCCCAACTACTTTCAGGTTCTGCTGATCTGTCTCTGCTGACACAGGGGCGAAATTATCGGCCAGGAACTTGTTCTTCCTGCGTCGAGCTGATTGTCCCTGAAGGACATTTACGCATCGTTCTACGACATACAGAAAGTATGCACGCTTGATCCAAACGATCAAGACAATGAACGCGTTAAGCGCGATGGCTTGCAATAGAAGCGGAAGGCTCATATGTGAAATGCTGCAATCTAGCACCTGTATAAAGATCAGGATTTGGATCTTAAAAGTCTAAAATGAGTCTAGTCATTTGATGTTCCACAGAACGAAGGAAGGTAAATGGAGTTTGGGGACGGAAATGAGACGTGCCACGGTGGTTATGTTGACAACGCCGTTTACGAACGTGACTTGTCCGAGGAAGCTGGAGAGAGCTGCCAAAGCGACACCCACATCAAGCAAATTCTTTGACCAACACTGCACAAAATTCGCACAGCGGCCTTGCAGTCCTGAATGGTCAACGATCCTGTGCTGGATCGTTGTCACTGCAAGATTAAGGTCTTCACATTCTGATTTTCCAATGTCTGTTTCATCTTCACAATCGCGGACTTGGTAGGATCGGAAAATCATACTCGTGAAGAATGCAGCTTCTACATACTGTGTGCGAATAGCGAGAAATGATATAGCAGTCCTATGGTCACAGTGGACTACGTAATACAAGGTTGCTATCCGCTCTCTAGATTCCCAACGAAGAGCTTGGAAAAGTAAACGAGATTCCCATGCAAATCAATCAATGTAAATGCATCTACTGTAGGGTATTGGTGTATAATAGTGCAGGAAAGCGCTAGTAACAGAGGGCACCGTGCTTCATTTGTGGACCAGATTCCACCAATTCTAGATGTTTGAAGGCCTGACGTCAGCATTACAGCGCACTGGCTCCCAGCAGCCAGACGAAGCTGGAGGCCTCTCATCCTGGACCGCTGTCTCCAATTATCTGTCAGAGGTGTGCCTTGGCTCCACTGCGCCCCAAAAATCTCTGCGGTTAGAAATTCACATTCACAGATGTATATGACGTAAGGTTTGAGGGGCAATTCTGTCAATTAGGTGGCCACAGAGGCTGCGTTTGACCTCCCGCCGCTGCAGAGGGACGCAGGCCTGATGCGCATGTGCCATGTCTTGGCAGAGCTGTGTCACTTTGCATATGTCAGCAAAGCCAGTGACATCGGCTCCACCACCAGCGTGGCTGTCCCCCTCATGGGCCTCAGCCAGCGAGCGGCTGTCTCGGCAAAATTGGTACACTTCAGGTGGGTGCTGTCTTCTTGACATCATCTCACATCCTGTAAATTTTCCACCTCAGACCGAATATCCATCCCTGCTTTGAGGGCCTCTTCCTCTCCAACCTTTCACCTCACCTACCGACGATTAAGTCAAGCTTTAGTGCATAAGAAATTGTGAAGGTTCCACCTCTAAGAAGCGACTGTGAGCACACCTGGCAAGTGCGGTGCAGGGAAGCTGTGATGGGGCATGAGCTGGATTGCCCACAGCAATTTGGCATCTGGGAGGTGGCGGGCCTGGGCCTTGTGGTGGCGTTCAGAGGCACTGCCTCCGCTGAGGACGTGTTCATCGACACCAACATCGAGCCAGTACCCCTTGATGCCACTGGAGGAAGTAGAGGTAATCAGCACAGATAGTCATCTCTTAGATGGCCAAGGCGTGCATTCTTGTTGTTTACCCAATGAGAAGCAGGATAAATTTGTTGTCTCGGTGGAATGCATACTTCTTGAAGGTGAAGTAAAACCTGCTGGAAACTATGCAATGCCAGGTACCCAGGCTGTTGCTCATGTCATAAAGAAGATATCGGCCTGCAGAGCCAAACAAACCAGCAGGCCTGAATTTGCAGCTGCTTGGCAGGACGCAGCGTGGTCAAGGTGCACCGTGGCTTCTACGAGGGAGCAAAGCGCCACCTGGACGAGATCGCGGCAGTGGTGTCGGAGAGGGACAGCGCAGCTTCCCGGCGGCTGCCGGTGTGGGTGACTGGCCACTCGCTCGGCGGCGGCTACGCCAATGCCCTCGTGCTGCACCTGCTCGCCAACCGGGCCACCGCGCAGCTCTTCGGCGCAGGTCTGCACTGCATCGCTCTTGCATTGGACTTTCCTTGTGCTGGTCCATTGGTAAAGTGAGTAACTCGGCTGATGTACTTTGGTCCGCTGGATGGCCACTCCCTCAGTTGTTGCTGCAAGCTGAAGCCAGACAGTGAAGCTCTATTTTACACTGTCTGGGCTAGACAGTCAAGGACACAACATGCGCCTCAGGGAAAGAAAGCACAGTATCATGGAAATTCACATCCTGAAGTGCAGTTGTAATCTTCTGAGGGCCATCGGTGTGCAGGCGGGGGCACGGTGACATTCGGGGCGCCGATGGTGGTGCACTCAGAGGCGCCCGAGCGGCTGTTCCGGCAGCTGGCGACAATGGAGCGGTGGGCCGAGGCGTCCGGCGGGGCGGCCGCGCCGCAGCTGCAGTTCCACAACCTAGTCAACAACGCCGATGTGGTGCCGCGCCTGCTGGGCACCAGCCTCGACATGCTGCACGCCGTCATGGAGAGCTATGTGCCGCTCATCAAGGTCAGTGTTACTCCACTAATGCACTTTGCTCATCTTCAACACTTTCTGCAACATGGCGTGGCTGCCATGCTCTGCCATATGCTGCCGGAGTGGGAGCACATGGGAGACTGCAGGACTGTGGAATGCCAGAGGGTATGGATTGACATATGACATTAGCACATGAGGGAGCTACAGACTGAGTCCTGGTTGTGCTTGCAGAGTGTGAGGGCGAAGGCAGCCAACTACCACTCTTTCGGCACCTACCATTTCATTGTGGGAAGTCGAGTGCGCACGCCGTTACATGGACGTCTATCAGCTGGCAGCCAGCCAGGTGGCCACAATCCTCCTGCTTGAATTATAATGCTTCCTCAGTGACTCAAAATATGCTGTCTGAGAACTGGGGGATCTGCCTCTTCTCTTCTGCCATTCTCACAGATGTGTTTCCACTGCTGATTCTAATGTGTGCTACAGAGGCCTCGACGTCCGCGCCAGTGTACCAGGGCGGGGTGGGGGACGTTGCGTATGCGCAGGAGGTTGCCAAACAGCTGAACAGCAGCAGGATCCTGCAGACCTTCTTTGCAAGCAACGGCAGGTACAGCACCCACTTGTTCTCATCAAATTGTCGCTTGGAGTTTATCTCCCAGGTCTCCCGGGTCTCCCAGGTCTGCAGGATCTCCCAGTCCCAATCATCTGCGTTGCTTGCACCTTGCACCAGTGCGCGTGTTCATTTCCCTCCTGTCTGTCTGGGCATTCTGCCTGCAGCAGGATCTTTTTGAATGACAATGTTCGCAATTGAACCACAGCACCATGCCTGCTGCAGGGGAGGAGGGGTGACGCATCATTCCATCAAGTCCTACCAGGAGAAGCTGGTCACCTACTTGGATCAGCTGGCCCTGCAGCCGCGGCCGCTCGGCTCCGCGCCGCGCGATTCGCCGCCTGTGATTCCAGAAGACCCATGCAGCCTGTTCAGGCTCTCCCCAGCCACAGACGACAGCGGCGGGCACGCCGTTCTAGACGAGCTCGGCCGCTCTGCAGGTGCTGACTTTTAGAATTTAGAATTTAGAATGGATTCTGATACCTGAGCTTTGCCCCTGTGTGCATGCACTCTGCATCAACCTAGTATGAGTGGACATGTTGTATGCATGGATCCATATGAAGGTGAGCAGCAGTGAAGTGGGGTTTTGAGCACTTTGTGGCTGATGTTGGTGGTTGCATGCGGTCACGAAGGCGGGGTGCAAGACTTGTATATGGCGTCATACTGGCATGAGACAGAGGTCAGCATTGCAGAAATCACTCTTAGTGCATGCTTGGATTTGGGGTGTCCATCAAGGGGTGGGAATTTGGCAGCCTTCGCATGCAGCATGTTTGCAAATTTGAAAGTTTAAACGCACCTTGCCTCTGGCAGGAAATAAGTGTAATCATAATACTTATTATTATCTTTGCATGCAGGGAAGCTGGGGGCGGCGGCAGCCACAGAGTTTGGCGCGCTGGCAGCGAGGAGCATAGTGGCCAGGGCGCAATCCTACTGGACATCCACCGCTACCACCCGCACAGCCAGCGGATCAGTCACCACAACAGTCACCGAGCAGCACGAGGCAGTTGCGGCTGCAGGCGCGTCCGGTGCAGCAGCCGGCAGCGGCTGGGTGTCCAGCATAAGCTCCTGGCTGGGCAGCAGCGCTACTAGCGTGCCTGATCAGGCGCAGAGTGAGGGTGGCAGGCGCCGGGGTGTGGCCAGTGGAGCGCCAAGAGGCCGAGGCCGCGGGTGCGGCCGCGCGGGCAGTCAGGACTTGTAGAAGCCAGTAGGGCATAGGACAGTCGAGGCTGTCAAGGAGTTTGATGGAGTGATTTGCAAGCGTGCATATGCCAAGTGCGGTCTGACAGGGACGTGCATGCATGGAGGGGTTGTTTAAACTGTAGAGTTTGGTGTAGAGTGTATTTTAAATCCTGATCCTGCGGTTTTGATCCACAATTGCGGATAGCAAGAGATATATTGTACTCAGAACTATTAGAAACTTGTAGAACTGATTTATGGAGGTCACCCACATGTAGGTCCTGTACATTGGCTTGTTTTTTTAACATTGGGGAAGCCACAGTAGACGGGAGTGCATGTTTACCAGCGCAGTGAAGTCGCAGTGAATTGTACTCGCAGCAACCACTTGATCCATCCACAGTGACACTCTCAGGCGATAAACCACAACTTTGCAGGCAGAGCTGAGCAAGCGTCGAGCAATACGCATGCCGCCATTTGTCTTGGTGTCACCAGGTACTGGACATCCACAGGACATGCATGCACTGGTACTGTGGGAGACATCAGCAAAGCAACTTCTGTGCCTTCTGGTAAGACAATCTGGGCGCATGGCTGCGGAATGGCAGACGCCGCGGGAAAGCCAGCACCGACCGCACAGGCACCATGCCTGCCCTGGGCAGCCGTGCAGCCAATCGAGTACTGCCGGCACCCGACAAGACAGCTTGCAGAAGCTTCTTGCTTCTGCTACCACCCTTCCCTTTGGCCTTGTTGCTACCGGCTTTCTTGCTCTTGCTGCTGCTTGTCTCATTGAGGCTGCCTCTCTTGCTGACAAAGGGATCCTCGGCACTCGGCTCTATGTCATAGGCGGCTGTTGGGTTGGTGATGCCTAGCTGGCGTTGAAAGGCCAGAAATCTTGTCTGCAGCAACAGGCTCCCACGTTGATGTTGCGTGTAAGAACACATGCAATGTTTCGGCAAGAAACAAGGCCAATCATAATACCATTTTTGCAACACAGACCCATGCTTTCCTTGAAAAGCAAGCTTTGCCACTGCACAGCGCAAAATGACTGGTAGCCAATGCGTTACATGTGCCACGGTGCTTGCCTGGACAGCCTGGACAGCCTGGACATCCTGAGGATATGGGTCATCCTTGCTCAGCCAAGAGTGCAGCTGAGGACCATAACGTTCTGTGCATGTCTTGTAAATTCCCTTCCGCATCTGCCTAGACGCGAACCCCGCCTCTGTTGTCTTGAAATTTCCTGTATGCATGAAGGCTGCACAGTCAGCTATTGCTACCTGCCATGCTGAGCATACATTGTTATGTCAGTCTACTTGGAAGAAAGCAAGCATTATCGCTACCCGGTCAAACAAGAGATCCCCGATAGGAGAATCCGGAGTCTTATCAATTAGAAATTCACCTTCCCGCCACTCTGGCACGAATATGGTGAACAGGACACTGCTGATGTCATCCATTTGTTTGGGCGCTCCGCCAGCAGTGGTGACCATTGGCCACGTCAAATTGTCAAGAGCGTGATTCTTTATCCTGTAGTCTTGCTCAGTGTCTGCCTCGAGAAAAAACATTTGAGCAGAGCCTCCATATGTATAGAAGCGAGCCAGAGCCTGCACAGAGAGAATTTGGGATGAATCTCTCAATCACATCAGCCTAGGAGTATTGCTTTTGCGAGAACAAATCATGGACCGCACCAACAAGAAAATGCTACAGCACTCAGTCCCATTTGCATGCTAACATGGTCAGGTGTCATACAGTACACAAACTGGTAAAACATTACCCGGCAAAATAGTCCTTACCGTTTCCTCTGTCACAGAAGGGAAAGCAGGCAACATCTGAAGGACCTCTTCTTCCTCTAGAGGTGGCATGTACCATCTGGCAGAGTCAACACCCCGATGCTGATTCATGAAGTTATTGAGTGCTTTTGGTATCGAGTTGGGTGAGTGGACGACAATAGCCTTTATTGGCTGCATTCCCAGAAAGTCCAATGGGTCCCTCCGGTCAACAAGGTAGTACACTTTGTCGTTGACTAGCACCTGCATCAAAGCTCATGTCATGCGATGTTCACACAGTATTTTTACTTGTTCCCTAATAACGGAAATGACTGATGGATGCAGGTCTACTTTGCGCCAATCTAAAGTAACAGGAGGTATGCAGTCGTGATGAGCAAGCTATCAGGCGTTTAAGCCCCAATTACCTCTTCTGCCTCTTCCAGGTTCAAGGTGCGGACGGTGCTCCCTTCAAACAGGTACAGATACTCTCTCGATGTGTGCCGCCCATGCCAAAGGACTTTGTGCCCATGCTGCACCAGCCTACATATTACAATCCTCAAGTGGGCAATATGATGGAAGAAAAAGAATGAAAATCTAACAGGTCTGTAGCAGTACTTCGACGAATTCTTGAAGCACATCCAAGTTTGTAAATTATGACTGGGCCGTCGCCTTTGGCTGACTAAGTAAGATACCTTATCAGTAGCCACAGTAGCCAATGCGACTTCCCTATGCCCGGGGCTCCAGAGACCACGACACCCTACATACTGCTGCACTCAATTGCCTCCCAGAGCGGGAGGGCAACCTCACGGACGTGCAGACTCTCTCCAAATTCCCCATCAAGCATTGGCGCCCCGAAATGCATAATCCTCGAAGGCGTAATTATATCCATACTGTGGATGTTGGCTGCGAAGTGGTTCAGGATGTCATTAGGTTGCTTTTCTTTCCCTGTCATGTTGGTTTCAGAGTTACTTCTTGCTGCTGTGAAATTGCGAACGAGATCCGTGGAAACCAGAAAGGGTCACAGCAGTATGCAAAGTGCCTTGTAGGGTATCAGCGGGTATCAGCCGTCAATTTACATATTAACCTTCTATAGCAGGGACTCTTCATTCCCATCACGACGATTTCTGTCGAAAGACTGTGCTGTTCACATGAGACGAACCGCATGTCAACAGACCTGGTCTTCGACGGCGGTGTCATATCCCCTGAGAACTACGACGAGATCCAGTCAAAGCGACTTGTCGAGAAGGGGTGGTGGATTGAAGAGGCAGAAACATCAGATAATTGTGTGGTGAGGGCAAAATTATATTTCTGCGCTGTGAAAATCTTGGTCTGACCGACAAAAGAAACGCTGATGTGTTCGAATCGAAAATGACTTTCTACCGTCGGGAAGGGCCAGTAGCAGGGCTCTTGCTCCTTCTCATAGTGGTTCAAACAATATGCACAGCAGCCTTTCAAGGTGAGAAGCCGTCAGCAGTCACCATTCTCCACTTGGACATCGTGATCAAACTGCCTTCATTCCGCCAAATATGTGCCTTTGGCCTGGGTGTCATTGGTATTTCTTCCAAAAAGTGCTGTAGAAGAAATCGTAAGTGCTTTTCCGAAGGCGATCCTAAACCTTACTGCAACTCTCGGTGCCGTTCGGATGTTTTGGGCATGGGTTGACCTGGAAGGATTACGTGACAAGCATCTTGACTGCAGCTGTTGCAGAGGTGGCATCAGGTGCACAGGGTGCACATGTTTCAGCACGTGGCAACATGAGTGCTGTGACTATGCTGCAGGCGCAGGGCAGGGCAGGAAGCTTCTTGTTTGCAATGCAGCAGCAATCAGACAGTGCCCTCGATGCTGTGAAAACGTTCCAAGCGGGCAGTCACTTGTTGGCACGGTCACTTCCACAAGTTATGGGTGGGGCGCTCCTTCCCCGGCCCTGAGCTTGAGGTTGTAATGGCTTGCGCTGTCATGTTGCTGAGCCCCTTTCATCATATTGAGAGTCCTGTTTGCACCCAGGACGACCAAGCAAGCAAACGTGAAGTCGAACCGAAACGTTGTCGGCACAGTCACAGGAGTAAATGGCAACAAGGTTCCTCTGGAGTCAGTGCCGAGTGGACAGCAGGGAGGGACCAGCTTTGTGGACACAAATCTTGGTGGCACTTTTACCAGCACTATGCCGGGATAGTATAGCATGGGGACTTTTGCTGTCAGATCACTGCGGCTGACAGATGCCCTTTTTGAACTGGATGTGTACCATAGCATTGGTGATGCTGTCTTGCTCTGATGTCTAGAGCATATGAGGTGGGCGTGTCAGGCATTTCCGGCTTTGCTGAGCTACTATGACCGATCGGGTCTGACCCGAGGTTGTTGACTAGCATTTAGTCGATGATCAATAATCTTTAGCCAAAAATTGATGGCATCATTTGATTGCCCCTGTTGGGAGGGAGCAAATAAAGCGACTCTGACTGATCTGCATTGTGCAGATATCTGCTTGCACTGAATGTTTTGGTGGCAATAAAACAGTGTGGTTGGATCACTGTACAGCCCGGTTCAGACAATCCTCAATAATGTACTGGACCATACATGCATGGTCATATAAGTATGGTGGCAGACAATCTTGTAGCGAACTTCAGTAACAATGTAGTGCATGCGATTGTCTCAGTTCAACCCCTTTCTTGCACAATCTTGAGAGATACTGGGTACCCATGGCCATGGATGCATCCATGACAGCATCCACAGAGCCAATCATACATCATTTCAGGTGCATGTGCTGATCTGTCATTAAGCTGCGCGCGCTTTCCTTGGCTTGTCCCGGCCCAAGAAAAACAGCAGAGCACCTATCAAGGCGATGTTCTGCAGACCCACACAGAACAGGTCAGCAATCTAACGTTACATTCCCAACCTTTGACATGCATGGTTGTAGGACAATCGCCGCTGGGAGCTTGGGCTACATGTGGCAGAGCACAGAACAGCAACGTGATCACATATGGCCTTGTGACTTGGAGGCAACACATGCAACGCTCACGTTGAGGACATCAGTGTGAAAAACTTTTCATGCCAGCGCCTAAACAAACAGGTGCAGGTAGGTAATTGGGGATCCTTACCTTGAAGAACATGATGAGCTCCACAAGCTGTGCATTCTGATCCTTGATGTCCCAAAAGTTGTGGATCACAGGCGTCACTGACACTGTAAAGAGGAGCTGCACAGCACACAATCCTATAGCATCCTTGACGGCGAGACAAACAAGCAAAGCATACATGCAGAGGGTTTTGCATGCACAGGGCCGAGCACCCATGCCACATCACTGGCATGTTGCAAATGGCGCTCATACCAGGAACATGGCACCGACATTGTAGTTCAGCAGGAACAGAGTCCCTCCCACAATCTCAAGGAAGACTGCTGCGCCCAGAAGCAGGACGTAGTGTTCCTGAACAGCAGCACAGCATCCGTGAGTATCCCTCTGCCTCAGGTCTGATGGTATCCTCTCCTATGCCACAAGACAACACGCAAAAGTCTTGCATACCTTCTCAAGCGGCACAGAAATACCGGTAAAATCCTTGATGTGGCTCAGGAAAATGTCCATCTTTGGTGCCAGAAGGCTCATGACTGGTCCCCCCGTGGCCAGGTTGAAGCTTTGCAGCTTTTGTGCTCCGCTGTACAGACATTTCTTCTTGATAAAACCAGGGAAGTGAGAATGGCCAGCACAATTAATTGTGCAATCTTGATGCAGCCAGTGCCAGCTTGCTATGGCCCGAAAAGAAGCATTGAAAATTTACCAGATGCAACCTCGAAACATTCTGCACACAAATTGTTTGGAAGAGCACACCTTGATAAGAAGAGAAATGAAAATAGCAGTCTCCCCACGAAACCAAGAGTAGGACTTCCCATCTTGATCTGGTGCCGCAAGCCTTCGGCACGCAAACGTGTCCCGCAATGTACCGGGCAGAGATTTGTCTAAAATCACAGGCAGAATATCGTAATTTTCAAGTCTCTGCACCCAGATCACTCCCGATGTTATTCTGAATATTCAGCATGCATGAGGTGGAGCTTTTCCAAAGTGCCCATACACCTCATCACCCTTGTCAGCAAACTCTTGCCACAACTGCTTTCCGGAAGCATTTCCCGTGATCGAATGAGAGAGTCACATTGAGAGCATTATAAGGAGAGTGGATACTGTACTTAGTGTACCTAGAATTGCTGTTGTGCACGCTTCAGAACTGTTGTACAGTAGATTGTAGAAGCGTTGGACATTGTTCCTTCAGAAATTTGATTGCAGAGGGCTATCAGGATGTGCCAGGGAGAGACAGATGAAGCTTCCTGTGCTAGGCCTGTTCAGTACGAGGATCACCTCGGGGCGGAAGGCAGAGCTTGGCAGATGGCGGGCCTCAGGAAGCTGGTTACTGCCTTTGCTGGCGTCCCCGGAATCATCGGCCTACATGGAGGACTGCCACCCGCGTCAGCCTTTCCTATCACAGAGCTGACGTACACGCTAAAGGACGGGCAGAAGATCGTGGTCGATGACCCTGCAAAGGTGTGTTTGTAACAAGCAACGCTCTGCGCACGTAAGCTTCAATGAAGAAGCATCAATTGGATCAATGTCCATGCAAATTCATGGGTTCGATTGCCAAGAGCAGCTCTTTACATAGTTTCTAGTAGGCGCTGCCTCCTCATGCTGTGCCCCGTATTGCCTCTCATGATGCTCACATCCTCTTTAGTCACAGGCATGACACGAGGCAAATAGACCTCTCTGGGTTCCTGATTACATTTCTATATATGTGTGCCCAGTAACAAGCAAGGAGTAGCCTCGATGCTGACCATGTTCCTTGTTGCGCAGCTGGCTGCAGCTCAGCAGTATTCCCTTGTCACATCAGGGTACCCACCCCTGCACAGATGGGCAAAGTCCCACATGCTGAGCATGCATTCTCCCCCAGCAGGGGTGCATGACTTGATCATGACCAACGGCAACAACCAGACGATCGAGGTAAGGAAGCCTGCTGGTCATGATGATTAGTGGGCATGATATTGCGCATGAGACCTGATTGCTTGGGATGTGAAGCCATCCTGTAAGCCCCCCTGCTGCACACCACGGCTGATGACCCTGAAAGTCTGTTGATCTCTGCACTGAGGAGTGACGTGGATGTGGCAGATGGTGATGCGGCTACTCATGGACAAGGGGGATGCCATTCTGTGCGAGGAGTACACATACCCGCACGTGGCAGAGTCCTTCGTGCAGCCACAGGGCTACACTGCCGTGCCCCTCTCCATGGACAGCTTTGGCATTGTACCTTCCCTGCTTCGCCAGACTATGGAGTCCTTCCGAGCCGCTGGCAAACCTCTGCCCAGGCTCTTGTACACTGTGCCCGTTGGGCAGAATCCAACAGGTCAGCCCCCTGTCAACTGCTCAGATTTTTCCCTGCGGCTGCGCCTTATCAAACATTGGCAAGCTCTGCAGCAGAGCATCTGATGAGGTCCTTACTTGCATGGCTGTTCAGGTGTTGTGACGCCGTTCGAGCGGCGGAAAGAGATTTATGCGCTCTGTCGGGAGTATGACATCGTGCTGTTGGAGGACGATCCCTACTACTACCTGCAGTTCTCCCCCGGGGGCGGCCAGCCCAAGGGGCTGTGCGATCTGGGGCGCAGCTACCTCTCTATGGATGTGGATGGCCGCGTCGTGCGCATGGACAGCTTCTCAAAGGTGTGCCCCCATGCCCAGTGCACTTCATTAGAGAGCCTCCTGAGCAAACCTCTTCAGGTATATTGGCAAGGGTCCTCTGCATCAGGGAAGGCTTGTGATGACAGTCCACATCAGCAGAGATTCTTGGAATGAATTGGCAGTGTCCGTTGCAGGAGTCCGTTCGATGGCCCTATAGTGGATCACACAGTACAGGTATCGTGATGTGCAAGGGAGCTGCTGAGGTGGCAGTGTCTGTGGACAGGTGTTGGCGCCGGGAATGAGGCTGGGCTGGGTGACGGCGGCGCCTAAGCTCATTGAGAAGATCATCTACCACCTGCAGGGCGTCCACATCGGCGCCAACAGCTTCATCCAGGTCCGCACATTCACCACTCGGCATCCCCTTCTGCAATGTTCATCTTTGCCCAAGTGTCACTTCTCAGAGCCTGCTGCTCTCTCTGCACTGTGCAGCTGGGCAGCCAACTATGAATGCACCTTAAGAGCTCAAGAGATGCTGGTGTGGTTTGGGAGACTGGCAGGGGTATTTCCTTTTCAGCAGGGATAACCTTTTGTGTAACGTTCCATATCTTACTCCATGAAGGAAGGTGCTGACACGATTGCATAAACAAGTGAACTCGTGACCTGGAAGAGTTGTGCTGAAGAAAGACACGTGGGCGACCTAGCCTTCAAGCAAGCTATCTGGTTGCTGGCGAAGGTGTAGGATATTTGCTTACATATAACATCATGTACAAGGATAATCATGATATCAAGGCAATTCTAAGCTCCAGATCAATCATCAGCATTGCTGTGCTGCCTTAAGCACTCTCCTGTATGTCCAATGGTGCAATGACCCATGACCACAGCTGCCATATGGGTAAAAATCTTCTCAAAAGTAATTGAATGGCTGTGGCAGGTGGTGGTGGCGGAGATGCTGGATGCGTGGGGGGAGGCAGGCTTTGAGGCCCACGTGAGGGCGATGCAGACCGAGTACGCGCAGCGCGCCGCCGTGGTGCAGGCCGCGGCCGAGCGCCACCTGGCGGGCCTGGCCGAGTGGCAGCCGCCGGCCGCCGGCATGTTCCTGTGGCTGCGCCTGCTCGGCATCCCCGACGCGCGCTCCATCCTCGACGCCCTCAAAGACTCTGGCGTCGTCCTCGTCCCAGGTGCGCACCCTCCCCTCATCCCTCAGTGCTGCAGATCATTGAGACAGAAGCCAGCAGGGTGAGTAATGGTGCAGCGGCAGAGGTTGAACGTATGGAGTCATGCTGCAATCCTCTGAATTTCAAAGCACCAGAGGCCCGCTAGGAGAGGTAAGCTATAACGCAAATCTTGCAAAGCAGGGCTGCAAGGACAGGACCTTTGCTCTCGGCTCCTTCTGCTCCTGCTAAATTGCACACCACGCTCTCAATAGCCTGCCACAGAAGCATGGCATGGCTCTGCTGGTGGGCACTGTGATGATCAGTGTTGCAATCTCGTGCACAGGCCGCTTCTGCCACTGCTGCGGGCCGGAGCACCACAAGGCCTGCCCCTACCTGCGCGTGTCCTTCGCCTCCGCCACGCTGGCAGACCTCAGCGAGGGCATGGCCCGCCTCGGCGCAGTGCTGCGCCGCTTCACCTCCCCTCCAGATTCCACGGCCGCATCCTCGAGTGCTGCGTCAGATGGCGTCCCGGCGAGCGTGTTTACGTCAGCAAGCTCGGGTGCGGCGCATGCCGGCAGGGCCGCCGCAGGGGGAATCCGCGCGCTGGACTCGGCGTTCGAGCTGAAGGGTGGCGCGGAGGGGCCGGCAGGGAGGAAGGCCGAGGGGCGGTCTCCGACGCTATGCCTGTCGCGCGAGGGGCCGGGAGAAGTGGTGCCCGACTGCCGCGCCAAAGTGGAACTTGTCAGTGGCAGCGCTGCCGTGTCCGAAGACGCGCTTGCGCCGCTGCCGGCTAAAACCATCGCCGGCATACCCGCGACCCACCTGGGTGCCTGACACAGCAAAGAAGCTTCCCATTTAAAAGCACATGGTCGGGGATCAATACCTTGGAGCCAACATCGTGGGGCTCAGCTTGCTGCCCCCTCCAGTGTTGAGTCGGTATTGAGGGGGAACCAGGTCAGTGGCTCCCTGTCAGCATGTGTGGAGCGGCGGTGCAGAACCAGAAGAGGAGAAGAATGAGATGCACCACCTTGCCATGATGCTTCGTGCATGTTCTGCTCGAGAATTGATCGGCTCATGATGATCATTTTGGTATCTGACCCAGGATAGGAGTAGATTTAGGGCCTTGTACCAACAGTTCTATTTGAAGACGCCCAAATGAGCCCTTGGCAGCTGCAGGTGGTCACTGTGCCTGTCAATGAGGGAATGTCCTAGAAACTGTGTGACAACAACACTTAAAAAATTCAAGAGTGGTTTGCACAGTTGGCTCGTTGGCAGGAGTGGATGTAGCTACTACAGTTCAGCATGTCAAGAATATGGGTTGTGGCCGTCGTGCAATGATGACCTTATAAACAATTAGAGCAATGGTATGCTGACATTTGTAATTACAGGCCTGATCCTCACAGCAACTCTGCCATTGATCCTAGACACACGCGCATGCTGCACATTAAATGCACGAGGTCATCAGCTGAATCTCCTCCAAGTCCAATACTCACATTCACATAGCACCAAAAAAAGCACATGGAGTAGCGCATCGCAATATCACAGAGGCATGCATGCAGCCCCAAGTGGTTAAGCTCAGTCTGCCACATCCGCGGTAGCATTGCTCTCTGTAGAGCAATGCAGAGACCTAAAATGGAAAAGACAACATCACAGTCTCACATGCGAGCCACGAGAACACAGTTTCACCTGACCCACTCGTGCAAGACCTGCTTGTTAGAAGCCTGGACATGAGCTGCTACTTCATGACCCCTCAATTATTTATAGAAAATGCATCTCACACTATGCACCTCTGCAGCTGCCACCCTCATCAGTCACGATCAGAGCAGGAAACTTCTTATTATTGAAAGGTATTCTCAGTAGCGGCTGGCCTTCTGACAGTGCCATAAATCTGCAAGCCTACAAAGCGGATGCTGTATTTGACCAGGGCACACGGCCTCTGGTTCCTCACAAAGACTGCATCGCAACTCCACTAAGCCTCAGTTGCAACTGAAAGACCCATCGCAATGGCCTTCCATCAGTTGCTCCAGGTGTGCAAGCCAATCGTGCAACACCTATCTAGCATGTAATTGTACTTACATGCAAGGCTGCCCCTTGGCAAGGTGTGCAAACCTTGCGTGGGAGGCATCAGTGCAGGAGAGCTGAACTTCCATCTCACATGCCTGCACTGATGCGATCTGGCTGGGGGCATCTATCAGCCCCCAGATGCATCAAATCTTATTTCAAATCCTGCGGGCTCTTGCCCTTCCATACATGATGCATACACCCACACATCAGCAAATTGAGACATCCGAGAGTGCATGCATGCAACCAGTCGTTGTTCGGGAACAACGAAGTTTGCGCGCCAATTGGCAGTCCCTTCCAGAACGTTGGCAACAATCTTGGGCATGTCTGTCTGGTATATGCTACAAATCCTGATGCGATCACAGTCCTCATGAGGCAGTGTCCGACCGAGCTGATGGCGGCTGAAAACAAAGAGCCCACGCGTACTTCAGAGCCTACGCCATTGGTAGGAATGCACTCAAACTCAAGGGGGCGAGAAGGCCTCCAGAGAAGAGTGTTAAAATCAGGGCGCGGATGAAACTTTGACACGTGTGAGGCGTTGCCGCCAGGCAATTCGTAAACAGCACTCTACTTGGTAGAGTCAGCCGGCCACAATTTGGCCGGCATGCGCGCTCCCACCAAGTGGAGAAAAAGGAATAAAACATGCTGGCCAGATTTGAGACTTGATGGACAGACCACACACACACACGCTCACCAGCGCAACTGCAGGAACTGTTTGCACTGGCGGCACTGAAAAGTCTGCCTGAACCCTTGAAAAGCCGGCCACAAAACCTAGTGTACAATCTGTCAGAGCGCACATGTGCATGCTCCTGCAAGATCATAGGCCTGCCATCACTGAAAGCACGCATGTGTGCTTCTGCAGCTGTGGTGTGAGCAGGCATGGATCTCTCGGCGCCACAGTCTGACCCTGGTCCTTACTTTGCCGTCTTCGCCCGTCACTTCCCCAGTCCTGCAGGCGCATCTGCGCTGGATGCAGGTGCAGTGGTACTTCTCGTGCCGCGCCAGGCTGCTTCAGAGACATTCGTCTCTACCTATAGAGGGCCGAGCCCCAGAGGAGCTGCGCCCTCCAGGATATCTGGAAATGGCGTCGGCACTGCGAATACATTTAAAAATAAATAACGACCGCTGGCAGCAGGCAGCTGGCATGGCATGCGCGGCACAGTGAAAAGGTCCAACAGGCTTGGCCTCAGGTCATGCGGGTGACTCTCTGCATGCGCGTGCCCAGCCGCCGCCGCTCAGCGCAGCGGCAAACAACCAAAAATGTCTCCAGCGGACGGCGCCGAAGGGTCGTCTCAAAACCCAACATCTTTCTCGCCCCCGGGGGCGCGAATACTGTACGCGGCAACAATTCTGCAAGTGTCTTATTTCTCCATCTGTGGTGCTGCAGGTCCGACAGCAGCAGCGAGGTTACTACTGTTCGACAAAGAATCGCGCAATTTCAGTAAGCCGCCTCTGCTGCTGCTGGGACTACTGTGGCCCATGAAGGCTGTAGACTTTGTCAAGCCGCGCCAGCTGAGTTTCGCGGGCCTGCTGCAGCGATCGGCCGCCATGTGGCGCGAATGCATGCGTAAATTGTGTGATTACTGTGATTGTGTGATCGTGGCCGGCCGGTGGTTCAGAAAATGGAAGCTGCGCGGCGGCTGCGGCGGCGGTGCACGCGGCTGCCGTGGGCGCCCCAGGCGACGTCAGGTGGCGCGCTGCCAGATCTGGCGCCCCTGCCGGGCTGGAGTGTATCGAGGGTGAGCCCCTCGGGGGGCTGCTTGGCCATAGGCATTGAGCAGCTCGATGCGCTGCAGGCACACATGCAGCCTCAGAACTCCTTTCACAGTGGAAACGGCCAGCTCGCACTGCACTTCTGGTGATGCAGCCGCTAAGGTACTGTCTGAGAGGAGCACCTTGCCCAGACATGGGCCATGAGCAGATATCAAATGGCAGCATGCAGCGTGCACGCTTCTGTCCTTGATGGACACCCGCAGGGGATGCAAGACAGCAGAAGCATCGATGTGGAAACAAGGTCAAGGGTGAGGGGAGGAACCTGGCAAGGAATGGCGCAGCGGGCGGTGGTGTAGAGGGGGCCTTGGGCTCTTTCCTGCCGCGCTTGTGCAGGAACCGGGTCTTGTAGTAGGTGTCGCGAACCTTCTGGATCATGGGCCAGTTCTCACTGTCTCCCTGCGCGTGCATGTACACAGCGCTCTCAGACACCTGCTGCACTGACATGCACCATGCACTGGTGGGTGAAATTCACCCTTGACATGCACCCTGCAGTGAGGACTGCTCTGGGCGCGTCATGTTGTCAGCAAGCTCACCTGGTAGCTCTTGCGCTCTGCCTCCAGCAGCCTGCGCAGCTCCGTGATGTCTCCACCAAATTTGTTGATGGGCTTCTGCAATCCACAGCAGGGTCTAGTCAGCAGCACACCCCAGCTGTTGAAGTCAGGGGCGATGGTCAGGCAGAGAACTCATGACAGACGCAGTGATGATGACATGGGGTCCTTGGCTGTGGTGGGCTGCGTGCAAGTGGCCCTGCTGGGAGTGCTTCCACGTTCCGGTGCTTTGCCGCTAAGCTAGAGCACACTCGCCGCTGGGACATGTCTTTGCAACAGGGCTCCCATTTGCCTTTCATAACAAAATAAGAGGGCCACACCCCCATGGTCTGCGCAGTCTCCATGAGCCGGCGCAGGGAGTTGCGTTTGCGCGAGGGCCAGCGGGTCACGCCCAGCTTGCGCACTGTGGGCTTCAGAACCGCCACGCTCATGTGCAGCTTCCGGGCGGCCTCCTGCGCAAGGATCAGCGATGACATGAGCCCATGCTACTGTGCTTCATGTGATTGCCCAGCACTCTGTCAGGAGCATCAGTTTTGTGTGATGCTAAAAGGCCATGTTGCCATCTGGAAAACAGCCCTGCTGCAAGCTGTGAAGAGACCTCCAAACGCGGCTGGATGGGTGGGAAACCAGGACACTCAACCGCCAGGGGCATGTCAAGGAAGCCGCCGGCCTCAAGGAACTCCATGGTCATCCACTCCCCTGCGGTGTTGGGCTTGCGCGTGCGCTTCTTGCCTGTGCAGCCCTGTGCGGCCTGTTCGCAAAAGCCAATGCAGTGACTCCCAAGTGACAGGGTGCTTGGTGTGTTCCGCAAACTAAACTGCCAGGAGCCAGATGAGTGACTGTTCACATCTTCAATTAATCACTCGAACCAGCTTGGGTGTTGTACTGCCTCCGAATCGGTCAGGAGAAAGCTAAACGGTCACCTGTTCTGGATTCTTCTGGGGCACCATTTCCGGGATGGGGACGGCATTGCAGAAACTGGAGGCTGTTGATGGATGTTGCAACGAGTCACCCTCCGTTTCCCGACCGTGGATTGTCGCAACAGGAGGCGCAATCTGAAGCGGGTCGGAGAGGTCGCACGCGAACTCTGAGTCGCCACTGCGGAGCCAGGCACCACTACTTAGGAAAAGGATGTTCTGGACCGCCGAGGTCAGGGACTTCTGACAGAGAAGACACCACACGCTCAACGCATCGTTGGATTATCAGCCGGGCAGTCACTCCAGAAGCCCACCCAACGACGGGCGGAAGAAGAGCAGCGTTCAAGCCATCAGCGCCAGTTGAAAACTCCAGGAGCAGGTCATCCTCAAAGCCGGTCGAATTCCAGGGTGTGCTGCTAGTACCCTCAAGTAGATCAAAGCAACAGTCCCCTGGCGCATCAAACACAGAGCTATCAATAGCGTGAATACGTCAAAACAACACCAGAGTCTTGACTGCTGACTGTGATCTTCCCTGTGCAACTGATCTCTCAAGGCATCGACGCAGGAGCGCACTGAAGTGGCGGGTAGGCATCAGGGTGTCCGAAGTGTCCCAAGGGATTCCGGGCAGGCCCTGCTCCTCGACAGGGAAGTTGACCGCGGCGCTCTCGCATCCAATGTTGCAAGGATTGAACCTGACATCACGAGGCATTGCTCCCCAAGAACAGAAGGGCGAAGATAGTGCGCCCATCGTGGCGCACGCGTCCCCACCTCCCGCTCCAACGCGTGAATGCAAATCTGTGTGATGCTGCCCGCCCCCCATGATCGTCCACACCACACAGACGGTCTTTACAGCAATACAAGCCACCTGCACCACATCAGTGGTTGCCCAAAATCAAAGCCCTAGCTCACATCCACCTGGGGGTTGAGGCGCAAAGGGAGTGGGTTCTTTCTCTTTCTCAGGCAGAACTGGCTGTAAGATGTGTCCAAAATCACTTGTTGAAGCGGCAAGGGTCATTCACAGCTCTCACGAAGCCACCGGTGAAAACAATCTGATGTGCCTAGGTCGTAAGAGCCCTCACCACCCAGCTTTCCAGCGCCTCGTGTCGATCATGCAAGTCAAAAATGGACCTTTATGATGCACTTCATTCACAGCGGAAGAAGGCAGGGATCCCCCCGCGTCTTTCAACAGATCGAAATCCAGAAGATATGTTGGCCTTCGATTTCTTCCGTGCAGATTCTCAACCTAGCAGATGGGGATCCCTGGCACTCCTAAGCATGGCAATCGTCACTAATTCTCAATCAGAGTGGACTCAATACTTTGGAGGATGCAACCACCACCGCCCGATTTTAATCCATCTTGGGCGACGGCGACCGTAAAAGATTCGTTCACGTGAGATCCCACGTGGAAACATCAAATTTAAAGTGGTCATCGAAGTTGTCACCATCAGCTGATGAGTCTGATAAGCGACTCTGATTTGATCCAGAGACCTCAAGTGCGCGCGCATAAGAGGGCACCTGTAGTGTTTCATCGTTCCACAAGCTTAGTTCGAAGGTCAACGAATCATTCAGACAAAGGTGTCCTGACTGACGTCCGTGAAGAGTGACAAAGAAGCAGGACAGGCTTCTGGCCATTGGAAGAGTTCGCCTCCTTGGGTGCGCACAGGGCCGACACAACTTGCTTCTGGTCATCCTCGTGCACTTGTGCTTCTCATCCCAGTAAGAAAGCCACCTGTGCGGTGGCTCGTCGAACGTGGATGATCTGATCCAAGATCAGGCACGTCAGGATTTTTTGGCGCATTTGATCACGTCTGTTCTCCATGTATGAATGCTTGGCTTCAGGTTCTAGAACGATGAAGAGGAGCACAACAGGCTTGGTGGCTCTCGGAGTCATTCTCCTGTGCTTGACATCCTCGTCGCAAGGTGCGTCCGACGACGTCTTGTCTGGCGAGGCTTAAACGCACACGGCCGTCGATGCTTGCCCAGTCATCCTTCGTGCTAGGAGGCGGCAGCCTTTCACATGTCGAACGGGCACAACCTCCTTTGTCAGCTCGCCTTGTCGTGTGTACTGCCTCAGTGCCTGCCTTCTCACCTGATGGACCCTGACATGATTCCGACATATGTGTTACTCCCGCATGCACCACGTTGCCTGAAAAAGGGTGCTGACAGCTGCCATGGCCCCGTGCAGGCAGCAGAGTTCTCCAGCAGCTCACAGCTGTCAGCACCGGCGGCGGCGGCGGCACTTTCTCAAGCAATCCAGGGGGCGGCGGTGCGAGGGCCAATGCTGGAACCAGCAACAGCACGGAAGTGAGCAACAATGCACGGCCGTTTGGCGGCGGCGGCGGCGGCGGCGGCGGCGGATTGGTTCAGACCAGCCTGGGTGCATCCAATGGGTTCACCTGCGCCACTGCTGCTTGCGCTGTGAGGGGCTGAGGGGCTGCTCTTCTCAGAAAGTCCAGTGGCTTTGCGAGAACCTGAGCTCCAAATGAAATCTCTGCAAGACAGTGTCTGATAAGAACGTGAGGCAAGCCCATCAAGTCTCTGCAGGTACACTGATTGGCGCCCAAGCCTTAAGGCTTGAGCGCTGATGCAGGCTAGCCTTTGTCAGCCGCAGTCATCTGGCTTGATTGGACAGGGAATTACAACCAGATTGGAACAAGCAAACATCACCACTCAAGTAATTGAGGTTTTACCTACCCAGGTTGACTTCTATTGGACCTGTGGAATCACAGAACAGATCAGGTCAGCTTGGCATTTTTTTCATGCGCCGGACACCCCAATTTTTTATTATCCATCTGAATTACAATCATAGGATGTTGGTGGAGATAATTTGCTGGTGATGGGCAGAAGTGATGTCGAGGGGCAAGCATGAACGGCTTCATGTGTACCGACCTGGAGTCTTCAAGACAAATTGTTCTACGTCATCCAAGCGATGCACCATTTTTCTCATTAACGGCGTAGCTGGTGTCAACAAAACGCCACACGCTCTGTAGTACACGTTCAACAGGCAAGCAATATCTAATGAAAGAACATCTTGGATTTGCGTATTTGCAACAAAAACAATTTATTTGGCCAAGGATGATGTTACAAGACTTGCTGCAATGTACCACACTATGTAACATATGCACTTTCTCTAGTTTGAGAAAGGACCTTTTCAGCCTTCATGCACACGTACCTAAATGCCAGTATGACAAGAGCAAGCTTGGAGCCAGGAGCATGGAAGACAGGACAGCAAGTACCCATCAAGCTGTTTGGAGGTGCCTTACTATGGTGACCACATGAATCCTTCTCCAACAACTCTGCCTCACTGCCCCACGGACTACACCCCCAATGCTGCAGTGCCCTATTTCCCCACACGCGCATTCCAGCAATCCAGGGTCCCCCCTTACGGTCCCTTAAAAGGGCAAATGGCTTCCTCTTCTCGCATTACACTTGCGAGCAACTGATCTGGGACCCTGTTCATGCACCATTGGCAATGGCGTGGCGATTTCCCGAATTGTCTATATGCCCAAGCCCGACAACCTCCCTCCTGATGCCGGGTGTGGAAGCTATGTCCATCCAGTGACTTTCAAGCAAAACCAAATCCTTCCCAGCGCGGCCTCTCACAACACAGCACACAGCATGCCTGTGGCAGTGTATCTGGCTCAGCATGCTGGCATTCCCAGCATGGCAAGCAACTCTGGTCCTCCAGGGTCCCTTCAAATAATGGCACTGCAATAGATTCGTTGCAAATTTGATTGTGGGGTGCGGCAAATAAATAGGAGCTTCCAAATGTTTGGATCTCCCAAAATTTGGGTCTCAAAAAAGAGCAGCACGATTGTTGATGCAAACGACGATAAAGTAGCACAGACAACCTTGGAAAGCAAGCGTCTTAGCAATCTAGCCAGCAAAAAGATACTTTGCTTCAAAGGGATTGGACCCACCCAAAGTTATACTGAGCAGTCCTCGGTCCAAGCCACCCACCAGGACGAGAAGCAGCTCTGCATTCTGTGGGCAGCCTTCAGAGAAGAGGGGAATAGCATGCTTGGCAGTGTCTTTAAATCCATCGGGTGGGGTGCACTATTCTGCATGTGGGAGGTCCACGATCGCCATTGGCCGCTAGTGGGGGTACTAAGTAAATATACATTTTAGGACCCCCCGGGAGGCAGCTGCTGGGGGTAGATGGACCACAGGATCTGGCGCTCCAGGGCGCTCAGCTGCGGCAGCAGCTTCATGAGGCACCCGGCGGCGGCCGCGCGCGCCGCTGCACTGCGGCTGGTCTTCAACAGCATGGCCACCACCAGGCCTCCCTGCGCCTGCGCACACACCAGCAACAGACTTTAAATCTTAATCTTAATCTTAAAGAAGCCAAGGATGGTGAGCATCAGTGACCCCGTGTGCAGGGTCGCACAATCAGACCAAGCAAGCTTGCAGAATTGTGCCAGCCTTGCAGCATCCAGGGTGCGCCCGTCAAGAAGACCTCTAAAGAACTACTAAATTCACGCCACCCAGCATCTATCAGCTTTGCTGCCATTCTGTGGTTACAGGCTCATCAGTTTGGAGGTGCTTTCAAGTTAGAGGAAGTGGCAACTGGGCACACCTGGCAGATGGCTTTGCAGGCGTCTGGACTGGCTGCCAGCTCAGCGAGAAGGTGGGCTGCAGCGGCTTGCATGGCAGGCCTGCCCTCGTCTACCATCAACACCAGGCCTTCCAAGAACTTCTCCTGTGGCATAAAACAAGCAGCAGCAATCAGTACAGCACAGATGCGGCAGTGGAAAGTCTAGGCAGCTGACAGAGCCAAAGCCAAACCAGCTCACCTGAAGGAGCAGCTGAGACATGGATGGAGATTCTCGCAGCATTCTCTGCAGCAGCAAGGCTGCAGCAGTCTGACTTCGACGGCATACTGCAGGATTTGTAGACAGCTCGGAATCGGCCTCAATCATCGAGATCAGGCACCGCAGTTCCTCGTTCTGCACAGCACTCCTGAGTGAGCAGTTGCTGACTGGCTGAACGAGCACTAGTCAATCTTTAGACACAAGCAGACAGGTGCAAGTCCTTAGGAAGCTCTACACACCTTGAGAACGTCGACTGCGTCATGCAATGCATCGATGCTGCCGTCCTTGCCTGCAGGGCACCCTCCACTATCAAGCTTCGCTACCTCACAACGACAGGCGGCCGGGTCACGTTTACCCAAGCAGCAGAGAACCCTGACATCACAGGCAGCCTTCAAAGGCTCTGCAGTCTTCTAAGTTACGCACGGCTCACCGCATACGGATAACGCTTCCGCACGATTCACATCCACGTCGAGCAGGATCTCCCGGCACCGCCTGCCTCCCCCCCACCCTTGCTGGCCTAGAGTAACAAGGCTTCCACCAAACATCACCAGATCAAAGGTCCAGTTCGTATCCTGCACAGAGTGGCACCGTGTGAGAACTTCCGATCGAACCTGATCCCGGCATCGTTCAGAAGAAAAACGTTCATACCAGCACTACGACCGCTGGGCGACACGCACATCCCCACAGGCATAAATAGAAAGCAAATTGAGACATTATAGTCGGCGCACGCGAAAGAAAGACAGCGTTTGAGTCAATGGGTGGCCACGCACTCACGTGGAACTGGGTCGAGTACTGCCGACAAAATGCTGTAAGAAATCAGTCCATAAAGTCATGAACTCACAAAATTCTGGTCACCTTGAGTTCGTCTCAAAGGAGTATGTCGGGGAAAAACTATGGGCTTGTCGTCTTGCATGAAATTTCCACACAGGCCTCCCCTGGATGCTCAAGCAATTAGGATGCCTTACCTGGCTCATCGAATGTCAGGCAGTCGATATATTATGCAACATTGGCCATCTCGTTAGCTTCAAGCTTGTCGAGAGACTGACCCAAACGTTATGCGCATTGCTGGACTGGCGAGTCGAGGCCGCCCGCACACCCCAACTGCATGACGGTGATCTTAGATCTCTTCATTGGGACACCGTCGAGCGATAAGAATTCAAACCAGTACAAGGAGATACAATTTACCTCGTCGAAGGCAGCGGCCCCCTTCGGTTCTGGCCCTTCAGGCCCTAAGATTACGAGAGTCAAAGTGCTCATGCCATAATGTGTACATTATGTATACATGCAGCACAGTGCTGCCAGCACTGGAGAGCCACAGAACCATGACCGTAAGTGGCCAGTCTCAGACAGTAGAAATATGGGCGGCTGCATGCATGCCCGCGGTATACCGGTTATATCATATGATGCATCATGCCACAGTGTGGCTACTATGTAGTCTGCACTATGATAGTACCCATTGGACACCCTGAATACAGGCCAATCCCACAATAATCAAACATCATGGTTGCAGCGGCTGCAGCTAATGCTTTGCAATGATCCTCAGGCGGACAATACTGTCGCTGCTCAGCTTGCAAACTCCAGTTGATCACTGATCATGGCATCCATGATGGCATCAGTAGAATTTCCAACCTACGCTAGCTAGCTGGTATACCGTACAAAGCATTGCTGCAGGACCAGTGGTAGTATTATAGCAGGACGTGCGGTTGCAATGTGGACTGTTGCGATGGAGGACATTTGCGCCACAGCCATGTTTTCCGACTGCCCAAAACAGACACGACCAAATGCCATGGCCGCTGCAACTTGTAGTCAATATATGCATCCTTGCAGGACAATTCCCATACAGAAAGCTCACAAACATGCTCTGCCACATCATGAGACTAATCAGCATGCACACATTGTGCAGCCACTAGGTAACAACAGGGTCAAGCCACAACACTTCAAATGATGCAAGAACCCTACGTATTGTAAATACCCATATGGTTCATTTATGAAGACATCAATCTTTAGCAAGAATCAAGAGCAAGCACCAGCACAGTCACACAACCAGTCAGCCTCCTCACAGAGGGGCCCTCTGACCAGCTCCATAAGTGAACGTTCAAGAGAATAATACAGCAGTGCTCAGGCAGCAGGTTGTAGCCTGCAGCAATTCGTTCATTCTGTTTGTCCTCTTTTGATATAAGACCCCCTGACCCCCCCACTTCCCCGCCCAATTGAGGCACATGCTGATTGATCACTGCTAATGGCTGTCCTTTAAACGGCGCACTTCAGCAGCAGATGCATTCTGATGCTGCAGGTGCTGCTGCATGCTGACAGCACACCGGCAGAGCATAAACTCATACGGACAAAGTGAACTGGCTGCTCATAAGCGCTGGCGCTTTGAGCTGGTTGCTGCTGCAACCGCGAGTCTCTCGCCGTCAAACACATCCGGTTCCTTCTCCACATAGCTCTGGCAGCGCTTGCTGCAGTGAATGTAGCACGCCTGCAAAGCACACACCCAGACACTCAAACTTGCTTCCCACCCACCTGGTGCCGACTGACTTTTCAGCACACTGCAAATCCAATAGGCTCCAACAGAAAACGTGTCGCCTGGAAGCTCTGTGCAGGTGAGCAGGCCGGACCCAGCAAATGATTGCCAGGATTCTCTGGATCTGCATCATGTTCCCAGAGCTGACCCAGTTGGGGCTATCCTAAAATCCAGCGGCTGGGCCCATTTTGCGCAACGACAACAAGCTCCCGACAAAGCAGGAGAGTGCAGAGATGTGGCATATAATGAGTTGGAGGGTGCTGCGAGCATGCACAACAAGGGGACATGCAAAGGCAGAATAATTCACAACTTGACAGGTTCCTCGTTCTTTGAATACAGTCTATCATCTTGATTCGAAGAAGTCTGCAGGTTCAGTCACAGGTGGGTTGCAACTTTCAGATCACAATACATACAGCTTTACGTATTGCTATTGGATTGTGATATTGTCTTGCTTGTCTGCAGCATTACTACTCAAGTAACCGTCAGCGTCACTGGAGTCTGTGCGGAAGAGATGCAAGAGATGGGGAGAGAGGGGGAAGTCGCGCCTGCTTGGAGTGGATCCGCATCCGCAGTGAATCCACCGTCAGTGTCACTGTACGGGAGATGCAAGGGGGAGAGAGGGAGGAGCCGTGCCTGTTTGGGGTGGGCGTGGCCGACATGCTGGAAGCGGGGGCAGTCGTAGATGAAGTGGGCGTCGGGCGGCAAGTGGTCCTCACAGAAGGCACGCTCGCACGCCTGGCAGGCAAACAGCAGCCCGCCCGCCTTGCTGGCCGTGCGCCCGCACTCCCCGCAGTGGTGGTGCGGGCACACCCACCTCTTCGTCGCCTCCAGCTCCTGCACACACCCGCCAGAATCAGCAAGTCAGGCCTCACGACTGTCAAAATGCGTACCCGAGTGTTTGGGCATCATGCTGGGAGCAGGGCCAGGCATTGGATCGGCTCTCAGCAGTTGTGATGTGCTCTGGCTCAGCTGTATGTGCATCACAGTGGCAGTACCTCCTCTACAGCCAACACCCCACCAGCTGCATGCTTGAATGCCTCTGCACCTCAGGTTAGCTTGCACTGTTCATCTTCCCTTAAGTCACCCACAGAACGAGTGTGCATGGCTCACCCTCATGGTCAGGCCCAGGCACTCCGGGTGGTACGCAGCGGGGCAGTTGTCGCACAGCACCAGCGAGCCGCCATCCCAGCACACCTGCCGCAAGACACGTACGGTTCTTAGACACCCAGGACTCTTTGTTTACGCCTGTGATACAAGCCTGATACGCCTTACACGCTCCAGGTTTAGCTGTGCACGTTCACGCCAGACCCTCTTGGTTGCACGTGGACTGTCACAAGGAGCCACAATTTAGGGTGATACTGCCATCGAGGAAAAAGAAATGCCAAAAGGCGCACCTGGCACAGCTCTGAGTGGCCGTAATCCACGCCTGCCACCTGGCGCTTGCGCCTGCCCACATAGGGGGCCGCCAGCTTGGCCTCCCTCTCATACACGCTCGGCTCCCCCTGAGACAATGTAACCATTCCCAAGATTCAGGGCCCCAGTCAGACACAACTTTCAAGAACCGGCATCAGCATGATCAGCTACCCGAATATCAACTGTATTACAATGCTTCTGGAGCAAGGTGCAGAGTGTCACAGGCAATCGCACAGCAGCTTCATCTGCCGTCTTGCTGATGCATTAAGATCATTGGTATCTGGGTGCGGGGCAGGCGCAGGCAGGCACACCTGCTCTAGGGAGTAGTTGTTCTCTTTGAGCACTTGGTAGCCGTCGATGGTGATCAGGCGGGTATTCCCGTTCCGCTTGCTCATATTCTTCCACTCCTCCGTGATGCTCTGCACATGTTCATGCATTGCTGAGCCTCGCTCACGTCACCGCCATAACAAGCCCTCGCTGTCTTTCTGCTCGCATGTGTCAAAAGCATGCAAGCTCTGCAATTTGCATGTGACCACCACCGTGAAGAGCTGAGCAGAGGGGAGTAGGGTGGCTACCTTGACAGAGCGGGCAGCGGTGTAGTCAACCCCGTTCAGGATGAAGCTGCTGAGAGGGATCTGCTCCGCATTGAAATCCGCCGCCGTCTGCTTCTTGCTGGTCAGGTTTGAGGGCTCCTCTGCCGCTGCAGCCGTCGGCACTGCCACAGCCCCGGCCTCCTGCGCCTTTATGGACTCCCCCGCACCTACGCCCGCTGCAGCAATCACACTCTTCTCACTCCCCGTTGAACTTGGCACACTTCCACAAGCAGCAATGCTGCATGGGCGGTCGTGGATTTAGATCAAGGGGCACATCCACTCTTGCCCTCTGTGGCAAAAACACCGTTTAAAGCAGGCCCCAGGTATGTATTTCGCAGTGTAATTCTCCGGCCTTGTGGAACCAAATGACCTCTACTTGGGGTTCCGGGTCACAGCATGCATGCTAAATTTCGGTTGCGCCGCAGCCCCAACTGACACGTGCAGTGCAGGCATGCCCGCACACCTGACTGGCCGAGGCTGACGGAGCGGTCGATGATGGCGGCCAGCTCCTTGTCGGTGGGCGCCTGCCCCTCCTCGCTGGCAAAGATTCGGTCCGCGCCAAACTTGAGCATGGAGAGCATCTCCCCCTTGCTCAGCTTCTCCAGCTCCTCCACGCCTGCACCCCGTCACTTCTTTTGGTATGCAAAGAAGTATACCACATCAAATAAAATCAGCAGTGGTGGGCACTGGCGGGACCTGGAACCACTCTCACGTCATCTGCTGTCCTGCACACACTAGGAATATATAATTCTTGGGAGTGTCCCTAGGGGACGCATTCCAGAGCAAGAATGTGCTGCCGACACCAGTGATGGAATGCATGGCAAATAACAAACAGCAGGGGTGCTTCGCACTCTCGGTGTGGCCGGAGTTGACCATCTGGTCGAGGAAGAGCTTCTTCTCGGCGCGCTGCTGCACGCGCTGCTCGATGGTGCCGGACGTGCAGAAGCGGTAGACGTGGCACGTCCTGGTCTGCCCTATGCGGTGCACGCGCGCCATCGCCTGCAGGTCCCACTGCATGCGCCCCAGCAACGCTCCTTGTCAGAGGATGGGTATTAAAAGTGGCAGGAGACTTCACAACTTCAGTTCCTTGCAGTGTAGCACGATAGTATCCTGCCAATGTGGAAGTCGTTTCTGGATACCACACCTCTATCAGCCAGACACAGATGCACCAACAGGAGATTGTGTACAAGCGAGACAATGATAGTTGTAGGCTCCTTTTGCTCGCATGCATGCTCCCTCTCGCCATGGCACCAGGTTCATTGGTGTCTAGCAAGGGCTGTCATCTAAGAAGAATACTGTGAATGTGATGGTGCCACAGAGCATGCAGCACATTCGGGAAAGGACCGTGCAAAAGAGAAGTTTGCACCTGGGGGTTCCAGTCGGAGTCGAAGAGGATGCAGGTGTCGGCGGATTGCAGGTTGACACCCAGGCCGCCCGCCTTTGTGTTGAGGATGTAGATGAACAAATTGGAGCCGGGAATGTTGAAGCGGTTGATGTCTATCATGCGCTGCACGCGCGACGTGCTGCCGTCCAGCCGCACATACCTGGCCAGCAAACAGGACTTCACTTTGCAGCCATAGAAAACAGGGGCTCGGCATAAATTCTGGCATCTAAAGATCCTGCCCAGGCTCTGCAAGAAGGTAGCCTCCTTCTGAACGTGGTGCTTGAGCTATAATATTCCAGGAAGACCCAGCGCTCAACAGAAAGGTGCTTCTCTTCTGCACAAAGCAGTTCCTGGCGAGCGCTGTGGCTTGTTGGAATAGTGTAAAGTGAGCAGGGTGGGAGAGAAGGGGTGGCGCACTTGTAGCCGCGCATGATCATGTAGTCCTCGATGATGTCCAGCATGATGTTGAATTGGCTGAACAGCGTCACGCGGTGTCCCCGCGCGTGCAGCATGGCCAGCATTCGGTCCAGCACCGCCATCTTGCCGCTCGCCTCAACTATGTCCTCCCCTGCACGCACCACCGCCTGCCTCAGCTGAACACCCGAGCATTGGGCATGCAGACCATGGAAAACCAACCTTTACCGCTGTCAGTATGACGGTACTGGCCTGCCAAGCGTGTGGACAGGGGAGGAAGTGCGACGACATTGACTCGGCTCCGGAGGGGAAGGCGTGAGGCATCAGTGTCAACACCGCTCATGTAAAGTATGAAACACTATAATGTATGATGTGAAAAGCACATTGCATGGACTTGAGAAAAGTGAGGTGATGTCAAGCGATGGGGTGTGATGAACATTTGTTGCGTGAGGAGGGGTGCTCGCCTGTCTGGGAGCCGTCAAAGTCGGGCTCTGCGCCCGGGAAGAGGTAGGGGTGGTTGCAGCACTTGCGCAGCTGCATGAAGAGCGCCTGCAGCTTCTTCCACGCGTCATTGCCCTGCTCACACTGCACCACCCCACCAAACGCTTCAATCTTCCTTTTCAGAATAGCTCATGCCCCACCAGATGTGAGCACTGCACACAAATCTGAAGACTTGCTGTCACATTGCCAGCATAGCTGATCATGCACGGAAGGCAGCAGTCAGCATGTCTGGTGACTTAGGAGCTGCAGTCACCTTGACAGCGTCTTCCTTTGTGACCTCGGTCTCCAGGCTCTTGAGCATGGCGCTGTCCTTGAGCAGCAGGCGGCGGTACCAGAAGGTCTGCATGGACGACAGCGGACAATGAATGCGCGTCTCCACCTGCGCACACACCCACACCGGACATTTTGATGCCTGCCAATTTTCAAATACCCACACCGGACATTTTGATGCCTGCCATTTTTCGCACACCCACACCGGGCGATTTGATGCCTGAAATCTTTCATTCTTACAAGGACTTCATCAGCAAAGGGCACAGCTACTGGGTGGTGACCTCAAACCTGAGCAGCACCATTGCACAAGGGGATAGTGGACGAGTGGGCCAGCTACCCTCGTGGCAAAGAGCACGATAGAAGGTTTTCGCAGGTTCCCTGGAAGAGCAACTCACCCTGGCCGGCAAGCTCTTCTCCACATCCTCCTTCAGGCGCCGCAGGCAGATAGGCTGAATCAGCCGGTGCGCTGCTTCCAGCGCGTCATTGTCCACCCTGCAAGCACAGGCAAGCATTATGAATCCACCAATTACCAGGACAGATGCCACAAGAATGGGGTCAGCAGAATTCGGTGAAGCACAATTGGGATGCCAGCAGGGTAGAAGGGTATGCACCTGTTCTTGGTGAGGTCGAAGGCCTGGTCGAAGGGGTCGGAGGTGGTGAAGATGTCGGGGTGCATGAAGTTGAGCAGCGCGTACAGCTCATGCAGGTTATTCTGCAGCGGCGTTCCCGTCAGCAGCACTATGTTCTGGCAGCTGCACACCACAGGATCAGGATCAGGCACATATGCTTGGAAAAATGAAGTGAGCAGCACCAACTATTTCTGATGTATATTGGTAACTTCTATTAGGCATTTAATTCGCAAAATTCACCTGTTTGGAAATGTTTATGAAATTATGGCTACTGGAAGTGCAGGAAGTTGCTAGGACACAGCACAAGCATTTCCAAAGCAATATATATGTGCAAGGCGTCATAAATACCAAGGGCGCTCACCTGACATGGCGCATCCTCTGCGCGACCTGGGTCAGCTCGTTTTTGATCTTGTGGCCTTCGTCGAGCACCAGGTAGCGCCAGGCAATGGTCCGGCTCAAGGAGTTCCCCAGGTCCTTGCTGCTCATCATGTCATAGGTGGTCACCGCCACGTCAAAGGATGAGGGATTCGCCAGCACCTGCACTCGCATGCAGCGGGTCACGCTGAGATGACCCCCATTGTGATGCAAACATCCGGCATCAATTAAGAAAGGACCCATCTAATATCAATTAAGAATGACCCAGCCAATCTAGCATGACATCAGAAACGCCTTTCTGCATTTTCAACCAGGTAATTGTAGGCACCACTGCTGATCAGTAAGGCTGACCGTATGCCTCTCATCACAAATGACCAGGTCAGAAAGATACAGACGGATGAGAGGAGAGTGCCCCAGGCAGGAGGGCCATGACCATGAAACAATTAGCAGAGCAGAGAGCAAGCTTGGAAAGGTGCCCGCCGCACCTCTCGGCGGATGCGCAGCTTGTCCTCTGGGGAGCTGGTGTGCACGCGCACGACGCGCAGGTGGGGCGCCCATCGTGCAAACTCTTTAGTCCAGCTGGACAGGACGGACATGGGCACCACCACCAGCGAGGGCCCCGCCACGCGCCGCACCGTCTGCATGTAAGCCAGGAACGCTATCGTCTGCAGCGTCTTCCCCAGCCCCTGCGCTCGCCAGCCCAGGACACCCCGTCAGCATGCCTTCTCACGCGTGGGCCTCCCAAGCTTGCAACTTCTAACCAAGGTAAAAGATAAGCATGGCTTCCCACCGTGCCTGCAACGAGGATGTGCACAGGAGCAAGCAAGCATGCATGAAAGGTATGTGGGTTAAATCGCAGGCTGCTTGCCACCTCTTGTGCAGGCTGCCAGTGCTCACAGACCTCTTTCCTCGTCAAACTTGCTTGGGGAGGCTGCTAAGCATCCCGCATAGCAATCGCTTGTCTATAGAGTGCAAGCGTCCAGCAGAGGAAATTGACGCTCTGAAAAGACAGGTGCCGAGGCGCACCATTTCATCAGCGAGGATGGAGTTGACGCCGGAGTCGCCGACGCGCGAGACAAGCCAGCGCAGGCCCTCCACCTGGTACTCGCGCATGGTGCCCACCACGCACTCTGGCTGCGCCTCCACCGCCTCCGGCACTGCATCCTTGCTTGCGTCGTGCGCCGCCGCCTTCTCCCTGCACAAGCCATGGAAGCGCCTTCAATTGCCACATCCGCAGAATGCTGTGAACTATCGACGTCTCATTGGCGCCTTCAGACTTCTCCTCCAGACTCTCCTCCGGACAGCAGGCGCCAAATACACCATCCGCTAAAGGTAGCACAAGCACATAGCAAGCCCAAAAAGAGCACTAGGGCACCGTGTGCTGGACGAATGGACAACAATTCTCCGCTGATGGCCCCAACAATGGTTCTGTGCACTGAGCCACTACCTTGTTTGCAGAAGAGCGAGCGCCAAAAACATCATCAGGTGTTACACAGGTGTGACAGCAGGGGTCCAATAGTAGCAAGGGACTTGCCGTATGGCGTTGACTGCACGCGGTGTTATGAAGGGCGCCAGCACGGCCATGTGGCGGTTGAAGAACTGCGCACGGCGGCCCTCCATGGCCGACGCAGCCGAGCGGATGCTGGTATTGTGCTCGTGCCGCACCTGGCACCGCACCCCAGCTACATTTAGTTTGACAGAACAATCAGAGTCGCTAACATTCTTCCAAATTCGAGAATCCGGAAGTCTTTTGCTATGGGAAAGCTTCAACTTAAGGTGTCCCAGAGCAGGAGCAATTGTGATGCAAGGCACATGCTGCATGCCTGATTACTTGCATGAAATGATAGAAGTCTGATTCAGCGCTCACCTGCTCTGCAGCGTTTATCTGCTTGTGCGGCTTCCGAACTACGAATGGCATCTCGCGCTTCAACGACATGGGCCTCTCCACTCTGACCTTCACTTCTGCATCCGACGACCATGGCTCCCCTACCAGCATGCATGCTTGTGAGAACGTCATAAGTATCCACAATTGCTTCTCTCCGGGATTTCAGGGATGCAAATTGAGCGGAGCACTCACTGTTTAGCTCCATCTCAAACACAGACCGCTCCCCGCTCTCCAGATCATAGTTGTTTGACCTCAGCACAGGATGCCCGTCCACCTGGCATGACCATCCAAGCGCCTTGGTCAGTAACACATTGACCGCGTCATTTGGAAGAAGAGACTCGTTGAGAGAAGAGACAAAGTGGCTGTCCAACACTTGTAATTAAAGACACTCTTTGAGCAACGACACACAACTCCAATCACTGGTATCCAAGGGAGACACATCCGCGCTCGCAGCACCATGTAGAGCGCCCACCATGATAATTCTGCTTTTTGACTCCCTGCTGCTTCGCCTGATGAGAGGGGCTCCTGGGTCCGCAGCTTTGGACGTGCCAGCAGCAGCCTGCGCCCTCGCTGTTGCAGCAAGGGCAGCAGCTGCTCGGATAGCTGTGGGTGGCAGCTCGGACTCATCCTTGCTGCAGCACTGCGCTGGCATGGTCTCTGCCTTGGGCATGGGCGGTGCAAATGCTGCCAGCGTCCCATTGCACGCAGTGCTGTGCTCGCCTCCACCAAGAGACTCTGCTTGCCCAGGTGGCCTGACTGTGGCGGCACCCTGACCTTCCTCTGCCTTCATTTCAGCAAAATCTGCATGTGGACACATAGGCTTCACATTTTGATGATCAAAGAGCTGTCCCAGCAGATTGACATCATCATGCTGGTGCAGCAGGATGCATGCATATGGCTCGGCTCACCTGCACAGCTGTGCAGAGCGTCCTTAGCTAGTGACGCCCCCAGCTTCACAGACATGCTCTGGAGCCCGCAAACCTGCAGCATGCGGCACAAGGATCTTTCAGCGCTCCAGTCTTCCCACCCTCCAAGGATGGCTCTCTGTCAAAACTTGCTCACCTGCGACAGAAGGTGTTCCTGATGGGAACCAGCTCCTGGTCAAACTCCCCTGCAGAGGGACCATACAATGCAGTCAAATCACGTGGTCTTCACATCAAAGTGCCATCCCATGTTAAATCGTAGACGAAGTCTCTGCGCGCAGAAGGGGTGTTTGAATCAGCGTTCGCCGGTGGCATATCCTTATACTGCATCGATTCAGGAGGCACTGCATCAAATGAAGAAAGAAAAGCTTTCTACTAAGTTTACTGTCATTTATTATGTGATTCTGCAACTTATTACCTGTCTGAGCCGAGAAAGCGCGTGAGTGATGTTTGGGTCTGATAAAATGCCTTTACATCTCTCGATGTAGCACACCACCTCGATGTTGCACTGTAATCTCTAATTTTTCGGTTTCCTTGCTCCTCAGTGTTTGATGAATTCGAGGCAAGGTCAAACGCGCGCCTCAAGACAGGAGGCCTCATATTACTCAGCGATGACAAGTGCCCACGTGACATGTGCATGCTTTCAGTGGCATCCTTCCGAAAGCAACACAATTGTGCTACTGGGATGCGCCAGATTGGATAACAAAGAAAGACCAGTGGCTTCTGAGTGCAGTGTCTGACAGCGCTGCCCGCTCGATCATGCATGCATGCATCATATGATCATGCATCGTAGTATGATCAGCGGCCGCGGGCGCATCATGCTGGCCGCCCGCGGCGGCGTGATCTCCTTCAATTTTTTACAAATTCAATCAAGCTTATGTGTCATCCTTATGTCCAGATCACATGATGCCAGGTGCACCCAGGCAGACTAGCTAGATGTTTTACAGTGCTGTCTGGCAATGACTCATTTCGGAGCATTCAATGAAAGTTTCAGAGTACCATATGCATACATTTGAACTGTCACAATGGTCCCCGGGGAACTGCCAGCTGGCCTGCAGGCGCAGTGCATTGCGAAGTGTGCATGCGCACACCCCTTTTATATGTTTGGTATTGTTCGGTACTCATTTTACTCGTTCTTCACCCTACAGCAACTCCGGCCAAGGCAACTGCTAGGCTGCTTTGTGTGCTGGCGCCGGCGACGCCGCAGCTGCAGCCGCAGAGCCCTGACGTGAGCGCTTCATGATGAGGTAGGGCTGTGCTGCAGCCGCCATCACGTCCAGCCGCTCTTCCTGCCTGTATGTGAGGCACCTGCAGCAACGGTGTCAACACTGAAAAAAATGCTAATCATGGCCACTTCTACATGTATGCCCACATTCCAGCACAGTCGTTTCCAGGCAATCACATATTGCAGTGGCCATACTGCAATGCATAAGCTGGACACTACTGAGAACAATGCAAGCATTCAAGTGTCAGTTGTGCTTCAGCATGCATGGGATGCTTCAGGACCTCAGCAATTCAGGCGTGGGGCTGCGTACTTGGATATGAACTCCTTGCACTCTGCCGAGACGGCGGGCTTGGCAGGGAAGGCGACCTGGCGCGCGTTGAGCATGATGTCATCGCGCAGGATCTCCTCCTGGCTGCATCCCTCCCCAAAGGGCCGCCTGCCAAACACCATCTGGTACAGCATCACTCCCACCGCCCACACATCCACCTGCAACATGCCCACATCCCCTCAGCCACCTTCTCAATTGAGGGGATAAATCAGGCAGTGTCCTTTTGCCCCTTGGAGTGGCAGCTTTGGGCACTTGGATGGTTTAATTCCGTGCGTTTCTTGAAATAAGAAGGATGCATTGACACCAAGTTGAAATAGAAGCCCCTGTGCCCCTGTGCACACACCCCTCGACCATGTGTGTTGCCCAACAAAGAGGTCAGGGGACACAAAAACAGATTTTCAAGAGTCCCCTGAGGAGGCCAGCACACGGGAGTCTTGTGTGAAGGCAGGGGTTGGTGCAGGCGTGCCTTGTTGGAGATGACCGGAGGCCGGGAGCCGAGCTGGAAGCACTCGGGGGGAAGGTACCAGTAGGTGCCAGCGCCCTGGCTGGTCAGCTCCATGCCCCGCGACTGCCCCTCCTCCACTATCTTGCTCAGCCCAAAATCCTGCGCAGCACAGCCCCTCACTTCCCTTATATCCTCTGAACTCGCTGATGCTGCAAGAATACTCATATTCTTTGATGAACCACAGCAGAAGCTTTGAAACTCTTGAAGCACGGCCTTGGCGGAAAATTCTGAACATTTGGGACCCCAGGATCCACTGTACATCTCCATCATTGTCATGCATGCAGCGGCTCGTGCAAGCGTTGTGGAGGAAAGACAAGGCAGAAAAGACAAAAAGGGGTGAATGGAGGTGGCGCTCACTGTGATCTTGGCCTGGCCGAAGGTGTCGAAGAGGATGTTGGCGGGCTTGAGGTCGTAGTGGATGATGTGGCGGGGGGCCTCGTTGAGGTAGGCCAGCCCCTGCACCACCTGCGCTGTTATCACACGCGCCTCCTTCTCCGGCAGCACCTGCGCGCACATGCACAAATTCCGCTTCGGCACAATGGCCCCAACTGCTGCTGGTCCTGCATCATACTGCAGGGAGTGTTCAACGAGGTAGAGCTTCAGGAAGGCAGGTGTTGACAACTTCTCAATTTCAGGCAGCGCATCTGAACAAGATACGGCGTCGCATTGGTGCATGATGCCGATGGATGTCCCAGCAATTGGCAGGCGTTGGAAGGAAACTATGGGTTCACGACCTACACCAGTGACTTCAAATGAGGCATCAGGGGGACTGCAACGTGCCTGGTGCTCCTTGAGGTGGGTGTCGAGATCGCCGCCGGTGCAGAGCTCGAGCACGGTGGCAAAGGTGTTGGCGTCGATCTCAAAGATGTCCAGCAGCGCCACGATGCGCGCGTGCGCCAGCCCGCGGTGGATGCTGTACTCGCGCAGGGCGTGGCGCACGTAGGACGCCTTCTTGGCCTCGTTCCAGGAGCTGTTCAGCTGGTGGATCTTCACCGCCACCTCCCGCAACTCTGTCAGGTCAAACGCCTGCACATGTACATTGTAACATGCCTTCAGATAGCTGTACACCCTTTAAATCACCATGATCCTACGGCGGTAATAGATGGAGTACTTGAAAAACTGCACTGCAATGCATGTGTGTGCACCATGAAGACAGCAGGCAGCATACTGGCGGTGCACAGTTCATGATATTGCCTTCGTGTCTTCTCATCCTATAATGCAAGCCAGATGTAATATTTAGGACATTGTGGTCATTCTCGCTTTAAACTGACTGGAGTAAGAGGATATAGTGCACCTGGAAGACCTCGCTGAAGCCGCCCTTCCCCAGCAGGCGCAGCAGCAGGTAACGCTTCGCCAAAATAGGGTTGTCCCTGAACCTGCTGCCTTCCTCCTCCTTCAGCCGCTTCAGCTCCCTGCACCACCACTGCCTCAGACACTTGTTCCACAAGTCGTGTTATATATGTAAAAACTGATTCACGTTTTATGGTCCCTGCCATCAAAGGTGTTGCTGTAATAATGAATTCAAAGCAGGCTTTCTCAGTGACCACGGACCTGATGTGGCGGGCCTTCTCCGCCTCCAGCCGCTCCCTCTCCTTGTTCAGGCTGTCCTCCTCACGCTTCAGGGCAGCGATGCGCACCTGCACACACGCAACCAGCAGCCATTAGATCATGCAAAACTACGTTTGCATCCATCCCAAAGTATCACCCTGCAATGATGCATGTACAACATGCCGGCATGGCAAGGGACAGACTCAACTCCAAGAACTTTCATGTTATTGGAAGTATGTTATTGTCACTGTTATTAATCAGAGTTATGAATCAGACATGTCATTAATCTTCCAACAGTGATTGTTCAGACAAAATGCAGGACGGCTGCAGACACACCTTGAAGATCTCGTCCTGTTCAACATATTCCTCTGGCGAGAGGAAGTCCTGGCCGGTGTGCTGGGAGGGCCCCGGCTGCGACAGTGTGTTCTCAGGCGGCGGCAGCTTCTTGCGCATGGCCTTGCGCGCTCCCTCGATGGCCGCGCGCGCCTCCGCCACTGCTGCCTGCCGCCCCGCCAGATCCACAAACGCTCGGCCCTCCTCCCACACCTCCCTCAGCCCTGTTCGCGCATTAATAACCACGTTGCAAACCAAATCGCACCTTAAAATTTTTTACTGTACAGGCAACTGACCATCACCAATGCAAGGAAGTGAAAATCGCTGCAATGCAACGCAAGCAATAGTTTACCGCAATGACAGGGCAAGGCGCATGCCAATCATATACTTGCTGTGCATATAGATGCTGCAATGAGCAAGTAGCACTAGGCAGGCAGTCCTCTGAGCAGGATAGCAGTGCAAGGGATGAACACTGCAAGACCACCCACAGACAATCTGAGTCAGACAGATTCTTCCACTCCCCTTGACAGAGCTGCGGATCAGTGGCTCAGTGGCGGTGGGATGCTCACCAATGGGCCCGGCTCGCATGACGCTGAGGCTGCCCATGCGCACGCCTTCGTCCTGCACGCGCAACAGCAAAGCCTCGCGCTCGCGCCGGGCTGCTTCCATGGCCAGCCGCTGCAGGTGCTGCCGCGAGGCCGCCTCCCGCTGCGCAGCAGCCGCCTTCTGCTTGTCCAGCTGCTGCTGCAGGTCCTTCACCTGGCTGTCCAACTCCCCCGCCTGGCTCTGCGCCGCCTCCAACCGCTCAGTCGTGCCGGCTCTATCCAACCTGCATTACACAGGTTGTTTCGTGTTTCGTTCTATACTGTGACAATAAATGAGGATGCCATTTCTTGGAAGCTTAGCCTCAATTCCCAAGCTCTTTGGCCCTCAGGAGCGGTGTCTGACATGGTCCATCATGGAGACCGCCACTCCCGTATAACGTCACAGAAAGAAGAAGGGCCCAGTAGATATTTGGGGCACCTTAGTTGAGCTGCCTCGCTGCGAAGCTGCTCCAGCTCTGCCTGCAGCGCTTGCACCCTGGCCTGCTCAGCTGCACACTGCGCCAACTCGGTCTGGCAGGCGGCCTCCGCCGTCAGCGGCGATGTGACTGCCTCGGAGCGGCCCCTGCCGGCCTGCCCTGGCAGGGCCTGCCCTTGCAGAGCCTGCTCGCTGCCGCGGCTGCTCGCGCCATCTTGCAGCACCGGGAAGTACTTTGTCATGGTGTTGCGCTGGTGCTGATGCTGCTGCTGCGCTGCCAACCCCTTTGCAAGTGACATGGGCGTGGTCCTCCCAAGTGCCTGCGAGGGCACCAACCCAGTATGAAATGTTTGATGTTGCACTAGTCAAGACTGGAGATGAGAGGAATAAGGCGATGATGAAATACAAATAACAGGGAACGGAATACTGAGGTAAGCAGCAGCATTATACCTTTGGGACGCCTGGGCTGGCATCAGAGATTGCTGCAGGCGCCTCGTGCAAGGGTGGCCTGCCGCCTCTTCCCTGGCCCCCAAGACTCGGGGCACCCGGAGAGCTGCTCCGCCGTCTTTGCCTGTGCAAAGAGCTGCATACCCTCAGATATCACGAATAATTTGGAAGAGACCTTTTCTTTACACTCTACCTGCTGTCACAACGCAATTTTAGCGATGCGACAAATCTCAATGCTTGAAGCTTTCTTGCGCGCCTGCATTTTGCCAAATGATTGTCAGCGACCTGTACCTGCTTGGTTCTGGGAATGGATGAGCACCCATGGCGTCTGAGAGCTTCCTCTTCAAAGGGAAGTCCTGGCGGGACATGACACTGAACGCCCCTCTGCTGGTCTCTGCAGCCTCTGAGTCCTCAGAGGCCGTGACAGTGGTTCTCAACGGAGATGTACCGATGGGCAAGCATGGCACAGGGAACCCTTCGGCTGACACGTCCTGCTCCCACACATATTTCAGCCAGATGCAAGCAAACATGCTCAAATAGATACAATTGACCGAGGACATCCGTAAGGTGAAACAAACTTTCTTCACAAGATAATAGCATTCAATGACAAGAGTCATGCGACTTTGATCTTAATAAAAAGAAGGCCAAGTGAAGACGACATTGGCTCGCCTGTCCGCCGAAGCTGCCTGCACGGAACAGATTCCTGGGCGATGGTATGTCACCACGCAATCGGCGCTCTAGCAGCCGTATCTTGGCATCGTTGCTATTGGCACCGCCGAATAGCGTATGTCCTGGACTCGGTCCGACGTTCTCATTTGAGGACAGCATCGTGCGCACAGCCGCCCCGGATAAGGGGCCCAGGCGATCTGAGACGAGCTCTATGCGCTACAATAACGTAATAAACTCTAAGAGATGGAGCCAGCTTTGCCCGTGGCAAATTAATCAATCACAGGGACAAATTCTGAACGTGTCCCTCGTTTAAGGTGGTATCTGATTAGCTGTTGCAGTCTTCTTAGAGAATAACAGTGAATCTACAGATTCTTGGTGAATGTTCTCTGAAAACAATGGAAAGGAGAAACAGAGATCGACTGGTTCAAACGGGGGTAAATAAAGTATCAGGCCGCTGCAGTGAGTCATTGTATGACTCAACAGTTGGCGAGAATTTTTGCATCATGATTCTGTGTGTAGGGAGGGCCTGCAGGTTTGATCGCGATGTGCAGAAGCGTGAAATGGTACAACTTGTTTACCTGAGTTCGGGCTTGTCTCGATCTTGTGGTACTCAGTGGTATATACCATCCTCATGACGTTTCCGAGGTTTACAAAGAGTGGAATGGACCGAACAACGCCCCACCTAAACCGGGATCAAGGCTCAGGATGCCTGCAGTGTCTTAATTTAAGAGTATGCGAGCCTTCGATGGCCTCATGTGGCACGCCATACCTTAAAACCCTGGTGTTGATGACGTGACTGTGTCCCCCTGGAGACTATCTTGCATAGCAACATACATTCATTGGGTTGTACAAACTACTGTACTGTCAGGCAGCCTATTTTGGAGCGCTCAGCCTCCACTGTACCGAGCTAGGTCTGAGCACACATGTCCATCCTGACCTGGTGGGGGGATTACACCATACGGAAGGACGATCTCCTTTGACATCCCCACCACCAGTACGTATAGAATATTCAAAATGCTGTGCTCCCGCTGAGTAAATACCCTCAAATTGAGCCGACTCCCTCCAGGCAGATGCTTAAGGGTGAGCCAACCTGCCCCGCAGGCTCGGAGGAGAGATATGTCGAGTGGGGATCCAGCGGAGCGAGTGGTGGTGGATCTGGCATCCTTTCAGCCCCTCGCGAATGGTCTATCAAATCAGAGCATCCACAGCGTGCGCTTGCAGCAGATGTGCCCCGCCAAGAAGCGGCGCCGCTTCTTGCGCCGGGGCAACGCCCGGCCTCCGGGCAGCCCAGCCACCAACCACATCCGCAAGGACGCCATCCTCGTCATAGGTGTGCTTCCCCAGCCTTCATATTGGGTATGAAGGTCCATAAAGCCCGCCAAGTGCTCATGCAACTGCAGCTCTACAGTGCCCGCCAGTTGCATCCCAACAAAGCGTGACCATTATGCGGCTTGTTGCAGGCGTCGACCGGCTGATCATCGGGGTGGTGGAGGAGGAGGTGAAGCCGAGCGTCGACAAGGCGTCCGAGAGGTCGGCGGCCAAAGCCATGCGCGAGGAGGAGAAGGCGGCCTTGCGCGCGCTCAAGCAGGAGGAGCGCGCCGCCGCGCGGGTGCACCGGGACGCCGCCAAGGCGGCCGCGCGCGCCGACCGGGAGACCGGCCGGACCGGGCCGGGCGGTGGCGGCGGCGGCCGCCGCCTCGGCATGCTCCGCATGCGCCGCGCGGCCAGCGGCCCGAACATCGGTGTTTTAGTGGAGCAAGAGAACGCAGATTCCATCACGGGCGGCGAGGCGTCCTCGCCGGACCGGGACCCTAGCCTGGGATCCAGCCCCAGCCTCAGCGTGAGCCCCGACGTGCACAGGAGGGTGCTGCAGCACGGCCGCAGCCGCTCGCAGCACCTGCCCGAGGTGCTGCCGGCCAGCGACGGCGAGGTCGAGGGCGGCAGCTTCCGACGCGCCAAGGATGCAGCCGGCCCGGCGGCCAGCAGCCCCCTGCGCATCAGCCAACCGAGCCCTGGCGGCAACGGGCACCCCATGCGCAGCCCCTTCACTCAAGGTGACAGTGATTTCTTATTAGCAATTCTTCACAATCTCTTTTGCAGCCATCGCGCTCTCATCAATCAGCAGCACCAACCGCAGGTCAACTTTGCCCTCCTGCAGCGTGGGTTCTTTATGGTAGAATGTTCAATGCGCAGACGATCTGGCCGCTCCCACAACACCTCAGCAGACACCTCAAGAGGGGCCTTCTCTAGTGCGCTTCTCTGGCGTCGATGTGGAGCAGAACACCTTCTCTGCTGATGTGGCGTACAGCCAGGTGGGACCCTGCTGTGTCCATTTCAGCTGTGCATTGCTGCTACTGTTCAGAGCCAGCTCATCTTTGCTGATGGGGAAGGCAATGGTGTGCGCATGCCTTGCATCCACCAGGAGCGGAAGAGCAAGCACTCGTGTGGTGTGGTAGGTGCTGAGGATAGAGCGCGAGGCGGAGGAGGTGACGGTGTTCTACAGGCCCAACAGCCTGGGAGTGGAGGAGCTGTCGCGCAATCCTGTCGCCAACGCCCTCGCAGTCACCTTCCTGCTCAGCACCGAAACGGTGGGACGAGGCAGCCCCTATAGGAGCAGAAAGCTCCCCCTTGTGCAGGGTTCACTGTCAGGCTCAACAGAGTGTCAAGCATGCACTTGCCCCCACCGCCGTCGTCTCCAACGCCGACCCTTTAGTTTGCATCAATGCTGCATCACATGCGCTCCTACCACCTTGCTCTCATAATCATCATGAAGGGCCCAAAGGAGGTCATCTTAACCCAGGAGGGTCCGAGAGAGATCAGCGAAGTATCCAACAGTGACTCTATGCTGTGCAAAAAAGGTGAGATGTGAGACTGGCGTCACAGGCTGCGATGGAGCTGGTGACGGAGGTGGAGCGGGCGGTGGAGCACTACTGCCAGGGCATGAGCCACCTCGGGCGCCAGCTGCCGCTGCCGGGGCCGCCGCAGGTGCTGCTAGTGACTCACCGCCGGCCCGCCCCGGGCGCCGCGCCGGCGGAGGCCGTCGTGCAGGGGCATCCATCCTGGGGCGTCACCGTCCCTGCTCCTGCCTCCTGGGACAGCGCTCCCTCAGCCGACCCCCAGGTGCTTGCTCTTGGGGGGGGGGGCCCTGCTCTGTCTCTCTTCAGCACACTTCAGCACCCTCTTGGAGAACCATTCACGGCTCATGTTTTCTCCGACATGAACGTTGTTTGCGGTGGCAGTCATTGAGGCGAGACTTCTCATTTGTTCCTCGTTTAGGCGTAGGCTGCATTTGTCCTAGTTGGAGGGAGTTCACAGATGGTGCACACTCCAGGTGTGCCAGCCAAGGCCAGTCAGACTTTGAATCATAAGCTGATGTTGGGCCTGCAATAGGATGGGTCCATGGCAAGTGCGGGAGAAGATGTTGTCGTGGTCTACGTGACATCCCCCCTTGGCAGCGGCGCAGCGCAGATCAGCCTCCCGGTTGTGCGCCACTTCCTCAAGGTGCCTCCCCATGTCCAACCTCCCTCAATGAATGACTCTGTATTGATATTCTAACATCCAAGCGCAAGGCACAGGGCTCAGCACAGAGAATGCTCTCTTTCATGAGTCCCAGCCCTTCCTGCTGTGCTGGCTTCAGTGCTTGGACACAAGGTTTAAAAACAGAGATCTCCCCACCAGAAATGAGGAAAGTGGCGTTGGACCTTGAGTCCTCCGCAATTCTGTGCGTTTTTAGCGGCTGCTAGTCTGTACTGCTGAGCCGCTTGAATAAATCGAAATGGCAATGTGGCAGGGGGAGGAGGCGCATCTGTTTGTGGGGGTGACGTTGCGGCCGCCGCCGCGGTCGGTCGAGCGTCACACGTCGCTGCTGGTGCGCCGCAGCATCCTGCCTGGCTCCGCGGAGGAGGCAGCTGAGGCCGCGGGCTCCTCTGGCGACTGGCAACCCGCCGACAGCATCCTTGAAGTCGAGCCCAGCCCAGCCTCCACCACTTCCACGCCAGGTGCCGCATTTTTTATGTCGCCTGCCGTCCTCTCGCCCTCCAAAACGCTCCTGCATGCCTCTGTAATCTACAGTGCGCGGTCTGTGTTAATGAAGTGACCACAGAGGACGACCCAGCCATACTAACTGGACAAATGTGCTGACATAGACTCGACGGCGGACAGCTTCACGTCGCGCGTGAACGGCGGGGGCAGTGTGAAGATGCTGGAGCGCCGCACGAAGATGCGCAAGTCCAAGCAGGTCCGCCTGCACTGCATCGTCAGCTGCCCCCCCCACCGCGCCGCGCATACGGCGCCCGGATGGCCTCGCACCAACGGCCACTCCCACTCCCCTGAGGGCCTCACTCCAGGTGTGTGGCACTCGCCCCATCACCGGTCACCTATCAGAATTCCTTGGTGCCATCCATGTCCAAGATCAAAAAATTAGTCGCACTTCCACCAATTTAGTCATTGGTCCCTGGAGGTGTACGGAAGCTCCAGGCAGCAGGCTCGTGAAGGTGTAAGGTTCTGCGTGAAACTTCACGTTGATGTTAACTTTTGCCTCTTTCAGCCGAGCACAGGCGAATAAATCATTTGAATCAGCATCAAAAGGCCTGATACGCTCTGCCACAAGTCAAGAAAAAGTCCTGTGAGGGCGCAGGGTCAGGGAGTGAGAGGCACGGGCCGCTGCTGACGGCGGCCAGCTTCTCGGCGCCGGCAGTGCCGCTGCTACTGCAGGGCCAGTGGCTGCTGCTGCTGCAGTGGGCGCTCCTGGCCCTCCTCGTGGCTGCCTGCTGGCACCCCCTTGCCACACAGCGCCTCCTCACCTTCCTCGCCGCCTGCCTGCAGGCCGTGCTCAAAGGTGCAGCGACAACTGCCACCTCAACAAATGCAGCATGCTGCCAGCAGCTGTGTAGAACATCTGTTTTGCACAGTAAAGTGTTTTTGGGAGGTCAATACAATCCTTCAGTTCGTATGTTGCTGCATGTGCAGCGCAGTGTGAACAGCGGTGAGGCTGAAGCGTTTTGGTGATTCACAGGGGAGCGATTCCCGGAGCTGCCGCAGCTGCGCGCCTCGGGGGCGGCTGCCGCGCAGCCGGCGCAGGTGGCGTCCCGAGGGACGGCGGAGCTGGGGGCCCTGAGCGGCAAATGGCAGCTGATTCTGCTGCGGGCAGAGCTTGTGGACGACTACTGGTGTGGTGAGCGTTGTTCCTTGCCTCTCCCTGGAACTCTTGCCCACAAAGGGCCTCAGCAGGGGATGCCATTCTGGAAGCGCAGCTTCTTCCATTAGCCATGCAAATCTGTGCCATTGTGCCATCAATTACACATTTGTTTTCCCAGGTACATTGTAGTGTCCCACTAGGATTGCAAGCAAGTACAATGGAAGAAGTCCTTGCCTGACCGGTAATGTAAAGACTGGATGCAAACAACTGGGTCTGCGTGACGGTGCAGCGGCTGGCGCGAGCCTGGAGGCAGACGTGGGTGCGGCGGTGAGAATAACGCCGGCGGAGCCCGAGTCGAAGCTGGACGTGCTAACGTCAGCGCACGGCGTGTCGCGCGACACAGCGCAGCGCTACCTCATGGCCGCCAACGACGACCTGGCCGCCACCCACCGCCTGCTCCAGGCCAGCCGGGTGCGCGCACGCTCATTAACGGGCGATCATGCCCTGCAACCTCTAGATTATATATATTCCCCCTGACTGCCTTCATCATTGCCCATGGTGGTCAGGGGACTCTAATTGATTTGATTTAGACTTGAGTTGATTTAGAGTCCCCTTTGTTGTTGTGGTACCATGAAAATATTGAACAGAACTTGCTCTTACGTGTCTAGTTTCCTCCCTTTGGTGCATGAGGCGGTACAGCAGCAGAGATGCCACTTGCAGAAAAGTGACTCGCAGGAAAATGGGCATGCTTTAGTGAATGGCAAATGTTTGCTGGCCTCTGGAAAGTTGTGCTTGTGTAGGTAAGAGATGGGGTGACCAGGGGTACTTGATGTGGGGTGCAGGAATGGAGGGAGGTGAAGCTGGAGGCCAAGAGCATCATGCAGCAGCCGCAGCCGCACTACGAGGCCTTCAAGGACCTGTTCAGCCACGGCGTGCTGGGCTTCTCCCACAGCGGCCGCCCCATCTGGGTCATGAGGGTGTGATGCCACCATCTCCTGTAATGTATCGGGGATTCAGGAATCTGGGCACCTTGTCGATACATGTGTCTTCCTCTGGACCCCAAGGCCACAGATGACCTCTAGTGGGGCATCTGCTACATGACATTCAAGGCAGGATGCTTGAAGACAGTCCTGGCTCGATGTGTGCAAAGTGAGCGCGAGGAACATGCCGGGCCAGCTACTTCTTGAGGCTGCGGCTTATCATCGGGGCTCTGTGTTTGCAGATTGGGGAGATCAAGAAGGGGCTGAAGGCCCTGAAGGCAACTGGCGTGACGCCAGAAGACTACGAGAGACATGTCATGTTTGTCCAGGTCAGCCTCCCTTTCTGCACTTCAATTCACCTTTGTATTATTGTTTTATTGTATTATTTCTGTTGTATACAGCAGCTTGTACATATACAGTGCTGCAGCACTTTCAAGCTGCACAAAAAATCATCATAGACATCCCTCATAGACATCATAGGCTTATTGGATGGTTGCGCAGGACTACATGTACACAGTGCTAGACCCAAATAAGCTGCCTGAGGGCCGCTCCATCTGGATCGTCGACATGAAGGGTGAGAACGATGCCACAACCAGACATGCCTCATGTCCGGAGCATCTGCTCTGCAAAGCACATTATGATCACTTCATGGGTATGCACACTACTCTGTGCAGCAAGGCTTTGCACGTCTGATGCAGATGACGCAGCCCTGCAATCCCTGTGCATTTTACATAACTAGCATGCATGCAGGTGTGGGGTTGTCTGACTTGGGCAGCGAAGCAATGTCCTACGTCAAGATCTTTGCGGGCATCGTGGCTGCGAACTACCCCGAGCGCCTGTACAGGTCAGCCCCAGCAGAATCGCTCCTCTCCCATGACGTACATTTCGGATGTTGTCAGCATACTGGTGACAGCTGTTGGTGAAGAAGCCAGTGAGGGAGAGGATGTTTAACAGCCACGGACTTGTTGCAGAGGCACCATTACAACGATAGTGTAGGAAGGCTTTGCTCGGACAGTAAAGCAGCAGCTGTGCTGCTCGAATGGCTCAAGGAAGCTGCCTAAGAGGCCACCAGATTTGATGTGGGCATGGTGTGTGCGCGCAGGAACTTTGTGGTGAATGCGCCGGGGTTCTTTTCGCTGGTGTGGCGCATCGCGGAGCCCATGCTGTCGCCCAGCACCCGGAAGAAGATCATCCTGCTGCACAACAAGCAGGTGCGCACCATGCACCCACCCCCACCACCATGATCCCATGGCTCAATCCTTACTTCACGGTGAGCAATGTTGCCACCACATGAGCAGGATTGTGAGCCTGCCCAGAAAACATGTCCTTCACTTCAGCAACTCACAGAAATGAAGTAATTTTCATGTGCTTAGTTCATAATGTCGCCAGCATTTCTGTTCGCAAGGAGTGCAAATGCCCCACAACGCAGAGACACGCCCATGACAGGGATGTGCGGTGTGCAGGACACCCTGACAGCCTTTAGAGAGGAGATGGATGAGGAGCTCATTCCGCAGGCCTATGGCGGCCTCAACACCCTGCCCCTGGACCAGAGCAAGCCGGAGATTGAGCTTCGACAGCTAGTGCAGCGCTTGAACCAGCAGTGAAGGGCCCTCACTGTCACCATACCTGTCTAGGGATGATCCACCTGTGTATCTTGTCCAGTGTGTCTCCTGCCTGTGTGTCTTGTCCAGTGATGGCAAGGTCCTTTGTCTGAGGATTTGTTGTCAGGCGTAGAAGGGACTGAAGAGTGCTGTGTCAGCATAGTATGATCTGTCAAGCCATCTGCCATCGGTTGGCCCTGTCAATCAGAGGGCCTTCGTGCTCTCTGGGAGCTTGTTTGTCCAGAGCAAAATTGAATTAGACAGGTTGCCCATGTCCTATACGTGTTGCCAGTATGGTTTTAGCATCAGGTAGGTCTCTGCATGTGAGTTGGCTGCATCTGGTCGCTAGAGGGATCAACCGATCTGTAGCATGTTGTGAGGCACATGAGGGTGCATGCTTGCAAGTGGTCTTAGAGGGCAACTGAGCTGCCCGGCTCTGAGGACTGCTAAGGCATTCCTGTGTTTGCTGACACTGGTGGCTGTGTGAGTGCCGGCCCTTGTGTGGTCACAGACTGTTAACGTTTTTATCACAATGTTATCTGCCTCTTTCTGTGAATACTTGCAGACTGATCGACTGATGATATGCATGCACAGAACAAGATCACGTAGGCAATCTGACGCTGAACTAAAAAAAAGTTTGTGAGATTAAAAGAAATTTTTGCTGAATTACAAGTCGCCTTTCGCAGTATATACAGTTCAAGCATGTTTGCCGCCATACAACAATTGTTTGTGGCTGCAACAGATAACAGAAATTGGCAGTCTTTATGATGAACAGAGATTGCTGCAATTAATACAACAGTCCTGGCTGAAGTCCATGCAATTCACATCAGGAACAGCTGCCTGGCGTTTCTTGAAAACCACAGCTCCAGAACTTCCATACCTCTAATGCAAACCATCCTTCTCACGCACACATCCAATCATCTGTCTTTTTACTTTGCTCCTGAGGATGTGGCCCACTCGCTCTCATTCCCACTCACAAGAGCTTTCCTGATTCCCAAAAGTTTCTGCCGTGCAGCCAGAGCTTGCCTCAACCCAGCTGCGCCCAAAGAGCCGCCACGGCAGTTCCGTCATGCTGGCCTCAGCTTTTGCCCGCATCACTGCGCCAGATCAGGCAGCGCCGAGGGAACACCACCGCGCATCAGTACATGCGCCAGATCAGGCGGCTCCCAGGGAACGCCTTGGCGCGTCAGTAGACGCCGGTGACGATGGGGTTGTCGTCCTGGGCCACGAATTCCTCCACCTCCTCTTCAGTGAAGCCCTCCTTGCGCAGGTACTCCTCCTCGGTCTGCTGCTCACGCTCCTGCCGTGCCTCCTCGTCCATGGCACCGCCGCGGCCGTGCCGCTTGGCCAGCTTCTTGCCCAGCGCGTCCGGCATCAGCTTGTACCACGTCTTTATGGTCTGCCGCACACACACACACCCGTACAGGCTTGTTCTGCTGATCATCTGCATGCATGCAGCTGAGCTACCCCTGTTGCTGCTTCCCTAGCTGACATGCCAGACTCATAGAAACTACAGGTTGAATACAGGTTGAGAAATCCCTACTCCAGGAGTTCACTTAATTGTTTACTTTCTGACGCACCCCCGTCAGCCGGCAAGTGAGGCATTTTTGGCAGCAGCAACATGTGACGGGTGCTGTTTGCAGCATTTAGGCGCATGAAGGCCAAGAGGGAGCAGCGCATACCTTGGCGCCATTTCGCAGTGTGCGGCGCTGGGTGCCGTCCGGGTTCCATTCGTAGAGGCCAAACTTCAGGTCCCACGCAAAATTCCACTGCGGCAGGCACCAGGAATGACATCAGACACCAGGCCTAAGTGGGGAGCATACGTCAGCGTTTCTGAGGAGCAGAAAATGGAAGGGACACTATTTGCAGGATATTAAGGGATGTGTCACAGGGCCCAAACCTCAAAATTGTCGATGAGGGTCCAGTAGAAGTAGCCGCGCACATCGTAGCCGTCATCGATCAGCTTCTCCACCTGCACAGCCGCCAAAGCACCATCACCCACCCACCAACACATCCCCTTGCTAGATTGGCGCTGCACATCCGGGGCAAGAGACAGACAGTGATGAGTAGCCAACCACAAGGGCCGTGATCAGCTGCGCGGCTCCAACCAAATTTGTTGCAATGCAGAGTCAAAGGGCGGGGCGCGCCTCGGCGAGGCAGCCGTCGATCCAGTCCTTGCGGCGGTCATCGTCCTGGGCGCAGGGCATGCCGTTCTCCAGGATATACACTGGCACGCCCAGCGTCGACGCGTACGACACCGCGCGGTACAGCGACGGCGGATACACCGGGTCTGCACCCGGCAGCACATCAAGTGTCAACCCACACACCTCTGCCACCTCCCCACAAGGAGGGAGCGCACTTTAAATGGACCCACGTTGCGGCGCTCGTCAAAGCATGGTTGCGGATGGCTGTGAAAGGGTGGGTATGATGTGGAAACAAGGACGGTTGCAAGATAAAGGAAGCGAGCAAATAAAAATGTATAAGCTGAAGCTCGCAGAAGGGGGCAGGAAGGACTCACATCCCATGTCGGCGATGCCCTTGGGGCCCTTGTTGGTGGGGTTCAGGAAGAAGCCCACCACGCCCCTGCATGCACCACAATAGACTGCATCAGCCTGGAAGCACCTCACTCAGCATGCTTGCAAGATGACTTCTGTTGGACATCCCACATTCTTTAGTGGGGAGTGACAGAGCAAGGCTCACCGAGCATAGTGATTGACGCCCATGAAGTCACAGCCAGGCTTGCCATCCGGCTCCTGCATCGTCACATCCGATTGGTAATCAACACAGCACTTGTAAATCATCAGCCCCTTGGGTCCAAGGTGATCTCTGCTTGTTTAAAGAGCCTTGGCAGAGGTGGCGGGCAGAAGGATTGGAAGGTGTACAAGTGAGGAGCAGGGTAGCACCTCCCAGTGGATGACCCCGCCGAGAGGCACCCAGTAGTTGAAGATGCCCGTCTTCAGGAATGTCATCACTGTCTCATTGCCCCAAACACGGTTGCCAATGCCTACCGCAGCCCTGGTCACCACCACAAGGACGCACCGAGTCAATCGCAATACACCCTCACTTGCATGCAGGCGAACGGCGTGATCTTTGGTGCTGCTGTAAGTGTCCGGCTCTGCATTGCAAACAGAGATATGTATAGAATGGTCTTTATCAAATGAAGGGAAGGGTGAAAGGTTGTGAAGACTCACCGCACGTGGGCATACAGAGGGCCACCCCTCTTTGGCTCAGTCCAGAAGACATTGTGGCAGATGCCCACTGCCACCTCCTTGCCACCTGAACACCAGAAAACATCTCCAGCAGTCAGAGACAATGTCCAAGGACAAGTGAGACACGGGTGGTTCCCCATGAGGAACTGCTGAAAAAGGAGCCAGGCTGATGGAAATGCTCCCTACCTGGGAGCGCCTTGATGGCCTTGTACACAGCAGCGTGGGCTCTGAGCTCATTGCGCAGGTACATGCCAGCCTCCTGTTGTTTGCGCCACGTGCACCTCATTAGCATGATGTTGAGGTACTCCAGCTGGTTAAAAATGGAAGGGGGCACTGAGAACCAGTATACACTCAGGAAGACAGTGGAAAAGAAGCACCCACCCTGAAGTGCAGGATCTTGCCTGGAGGGTGGTTGCCTGTAAATGCATGCATGTGTTAGAGTCATAACACTTCACCGCCAATGATATGCTTCTTTCAGGATTTTGCGACGGTCACCTTGTTGCAATTCCAATCTTTGGAAAGAGGTGCAACAGAGAGAGCCCATCGACATATGCAAAGAAACTGCTTACCAAGAATGTGGCCACACATGGCTGCAACTCCAGGCTCATTGAATGTCGTCCAGAGCTTGCTCCTTTTCCCTTTGCAACACAATAAAGCTAGTTTCATGATATATGCTTTATAAAAGCAGGCACTCGACACTTATCATTCTTGCCATGGAAGCAGTCTCAACAAGCAAGTATTATGGCGCAGAGCAAGAGGTTGCCATGGGGCACGGTCATGAAGCAGGGTATCGCACCGAATAGCTTGAAGGCGGTTTCACACCAGTCCACAAAGATGGGAATGTTTTCCACCTTTGCGAAGGCCCCCAGCTCTTGGAACCACTGGGGGTGCACGAACCAGATGAAAGTCACATGCGGCTCCATTCCATTCCTGGAAGAAACGCATCCGCAGCTTTCAGAACGGACAGACCAAGCCTGCAGTGCTCGTTCTATTTAGCAGTAACAGGAGCAGGACCATTGGACATTGTTAAGGATGCAGTCAGCGGGTGAGGGAGCAGCTCTTACCTCTCCAGGGTGTCAAAGATGGCATTGTATCGGTCGACTGCCTCCTGATTCAGCTCTCCTCTGCGAGGGAATAGCCGGCTCCACTCCAGTGACAAGCGGAATGAATTGCATCCTGCCACAATAAGTTTTGTCAGACAAGCTGGGTATGACCAGGTGCAAGACTGCAATGACAAGGAGGTGCATGGGGACTTTGTCGCACCTAGGTCCTTTGCGAGCTGGATGTCCTGTTCATAGCGGTTCCAGAAATCGCTGGCCTCCCCTATGCGCGTGTTCTTCACGATCTTTGAGGGGCCCAGCTTGGGCCATTTGGCCTCCACAATCGTGCCATCAAATGTGCCAGGCTCATTCCACTCTGTCATGTTCCCAGCAGACAGACGCAGCCGCAGGTTGACATGGACCTGCTTCTGTTCCTGAAAGTACGCCCACTGGGCATTCGGGTCCCCTGCGCATCCCACGATCAGGTCAACCACAGTTTGGATATGTGGCTCAACACAATGTTGTAGCTAGGCGTGCCTGGAGAAGGCGTCAGCGAACTGTCAGATCGGTAATGTACGCAGAAGAGGTCAATAAATACTTTCAAGGCATGAATTGCACGACATATGACCATGCTGCTGCGCAATGTTTGCAAGGTTGGGGCGAGGATAGAGTTTGGATCACCTGAGTTCTGGTAAACGCTGACAGCGACACCACACAAGAATTTTGGATCTTTCCCAAGACTCAAGGAGTCGCTGGCTTTCGTGCCCATCGTTGCTGCAGGCACGCTCCCAGCTCACAAAGAAGTCGAGACAGATTTGGGACCAGGACCGGAAAGCTGTAGCTCCAGCTCAAGGACAGAATGAGCAGTACTTACAGTGTCACAATATTATCAATGAACGCATGAATACAATGCTCAATATGGAAGGATTTCAAGCTACCCTTCGGAGGAGGAAACTGTTGCGGTGAGCCACATGACGGGGCGAAGCTACTGCGAAGCCAAGAGGAGGAATTTCGAAATCTGCCCGAACAGGTCGAGTATGTACGCGTCTCAGGGCTCATCCCAGATATTGGTGTAGCATCTCAGCGCTCTATTTGGCTAGATCGCATGAATGCCTTAAGGTCTCCCAAGCGATAGACGAATCAAGTAGACATCTGTCCGCTCCAAGGCAGCACATACGAAAGAAAGACGCTCTTGCATCAGCTGAACAATCACAGCACAGTGTAGGTCTATCAACTCTAAAGTCAAGAAGCTACGTCAACGCTGATGATCTTGCCAAGCCAAACTTCGGCCGTACTAGAGTACTACTGTAGAGTACTACTGTAGAGTACTACTGTAGCTAGATCAGGACAGAAGCTTGTGACACCTTGCAAGCTCCTTCAAAGCAGATCTCACAGTGTCTCTATAGCAAGCTTTGGGGGTTTTAGTTTGTCTCTCTAACAGAGTACAAATTTTACGGTATAGATATCTTGCTTTATTGGAGTGCTTAATACTGCTAATATCATCAATATCATTATCAGGTCACATATGTGATGCATCACTACATAGTGATATGGACAGCGAAACAAGGAAGAAACATGATTGAGAGATGATGAAGAACAGGATAGAACATTCCATGGTCAAATTTCGACCTTGCAGCGCTGCACTTGGTATTAAGAACAGTTGCTACAAGATCCACAGAGGCAGGTACCGTTCAGATTTGACATTGTATGGTCAGCGTCAGTGCAGCTCCAGCTCAAATTTTGGCAGCGTCCCCAGAATGGGTCATGCGTGGAGTGAAACCACGCTGATTACAATATGCGAGCAAGCACAGCACATCACTGTTGCCTTGCTTCGGAAGCGTGCAGGCTGCAGCTACAGGCCCATCCTGGAGCCTGGCCGATCAAGTCACAGCTGTGGGGCTTCTATGATCAAGTCACTGCAGTGGCTTCTATTGCTTGTTCAAGAATTCAACATGCCAACCAATAGTGTGGCATAGACCTTTGATCAGGGCAATACCGGCTCCGAGCTCCGGGCCGAGTGAGTCACCAGGAGCTTGCGCACTTCTTCCCATATATCCTCGCTGTGCAGCAGTGTTGTCACTCATGCGCCCCCGTCGATGCAACAGCAAACCGCTTAAAGGGCACAGGGATATCCGCAGTGAGCTACGCCATATACAGGCTTATAGAATAGAGGATAAACTGTGTCTGCCTCAAAGTTTTCAATCCTGGCAGTGCTTCACTCTTTGCTGGTGATGACAAAAATCCCCAGGATGCCGATCAACAAGTACTTGACATACGGGTAGTCATTCATGATGATGGTCGCCTGACCAATGTATGGCAAGAACCTGCAACACAAGACACACCACCAATCAATCAAGCTGAACCAGGCAGTGACTGAGATGGTTATGTGCTGTGCTCCTGGTGACCAAATCAGACTGCATGGGAACAGAGTACTGTACACAGGAACACAGATCAGAGGTAGTCCGACATCAGCCTAGCAGGAGCAAGGTCCAGGTGCTCACCCTACTACCCGGCCCATGAGATGGTCTCTATTTAGCCACTTCTGCCCCGGGTTGTAAAGGGCCCTGTCATCCCCCCAGTTATTGTCACCCTGCAATGGCACACCAGATTGTAAACACCTACAAGCTTGGACACCGCCCATCTGTCAGCGCGCCCTTTCAGAGGGACATTGCTATCCTACAGTCTGCTTGGCGGAGAGGGAGTCATGCAATCACACCTTTGTGAGGATGAGGACATCCTCGTTAGTTTTTGTCCCAGCCTCCTTTTCGTGCACTTTGATGATGCGATGCACAATGGGGATATCTCGACCATTGATGTTAAACACCACCACCTCCCCAGCTCTGAATGGCTTCCGGCCCATGTTCAGGAACAGGATGTCCCCGCGGTAGAAAGCTGGCTCCATGCTCCCACTCAATACAACAACCACCTGCCAAACTTGATTTGTGAGGACTGCTGGTGCCTTGTGTGCCTGAGTCATACCTGGGTCCTCATCAGCAAGGACATTGTGCTTGCAAATGATCAAGAAGTGTTCACTTGATCTTGCTAGTTTTGGCTTCTGAGAAAACAAAGAATTACCGGAGATTCACTGCCTGTGAACAAAACTAATCCTTTCCATATCATCAATGCTGTTGTGACGATGAGACCTGCGTTAAGCCCAGACAGTTCGTTGACTGCCCCGCTTTGATGGTTGCCAATCAAGAAGCCCAGGCCATCGAGCTGTAACCCCTGTCCAGTTGCTAGTGCCTTATGAGGAAATGGGCACAATTTCTTAGACTTGCAAAGCTATTGGACTTGACAATAGCAAAAGGAAGTGCGCACCCAGGTTCACTCCCTGAGTCAAGAGCTGCCGAAGATTCATATCTGCTAGGCCAAGGGAGGCCAGCAGCCCGTTTAGTTGCTGCTTTAGCATTATACTGTATTACTTCTTCTCTCTAGAGACGCCAAGGTGACAGAAACTTGTCAGTGGATTTGGCCGAGCTATGATTCGATCAAAAGGACAAAAACAAATTGCCACCAGACTACCCAGTAGACTTACTTCGTGTTATTCATACTTAAAGTAGTGATATTTCCTCCTGTGAAGGTGTTCTTGCCTAGATCCATCGAGTCTTGCATGCACAAGAGGCGTATCCATCGGGGTGCAGCGAGGCAGAGCTAATTAGAGCTTGTAAGGTGATCCAAGAAAACATTTTCAAAGTCAATTTCCGAAGTGATCTCTGCTATGTATGCAACCTTGATGACTCGGTCACAATTTTTTAGAAAATATATTCCTTCAAGGCGAGCTTGATTGATTGCATAATGCTACAATGATAATGATCAGCTGATCAGCTTACAAGGAGACCTCTTGTATAGTCGACGTCTTGCCTCAATTAAATGGAATATATATAGCCTACCAGGTAGGATAGTAACCTAGAATGCAAACTTCTCTTTGATATAGCAAGGAACTCAGAACCTGAACGTCCTGCACAACCTTGGGAGACATCTGCCACTGGACACATACACCTTGCTCCAATAAGACAAGACAGGTTCAGCCCCCACACCGAGTAGGCATCGGTTGTGCTATATTTTTGCTTCCTAAGACCTAGTGCAGCGTTCTTTCAATCACACAAGAACTACTATCCTGAAGGTCCTCTAGCAGACCATTAAGATGATCACCACCCAGAAGCTATGACAACATCACTGAGCCACCTAAGCCAATTCAGCGCCCTTGCCTGTCAGCAGTGCTGCATAGCTCGGATCACGTCACAAACTCCCTTACAACCTGTGCTGCAGTCAGCTGTCATGTTGTACAACCGTCCTTTAAAATGGCCCCCAAGGGTTCTTCACTCCTCGCGGAAACCAGTGGTGCCGGTGTGCGGCGGAGTCAAAACCCTGCCAGCCTTGGGTGCGGCTGCGGTGGTGGTCCTTGGCTCTGCAGCAGTGGTGCTCTCATATGGCTTGGGCAGAGGGGAGCCGTTCGGCACTTCGTCCGTGGCGCCGTTGTATGGTGCTGCCATCGGCGCAGCGCGCACTCCCTCTGTGTGGCCCACCTGTGCAGCCAGATCTCACTAAGCCCAGGGACATGGCTAAGCAACAGATACATGGGCACTAAGACTGCACCATCAAGCGCTTGCAGGATCAATCATTGGCCAAGAAAGAACAGCCAAGCGCTTGCTAGACCGATGACAGACAGCCTAAGCCACAAGCAAATCAATAATCTGCAGAACACAACACCAGAGAAATCTGCGGTGTCAGACATGTAAGCAAAGGTGCACATGACATGCGAATTGCAGTGCCCAGCAGGTGAGCGGGGTTTTCGGTGCGCTCACCCTTTCAGGGGTCTTGGGGGCGACGGTATCATGGGCAGCACCATCGGCAGCAGTGTCCTTGCCGGTGATCTTGGCGGCTGCCTGGTGGATCTCGGCGGTGATGCCGTCTCCGCGGAGGGTGGTTGTGTCGATGGGGTTCTTGAGCACGGTGTGGAAGCGGTCTGCCAGCTTGTGCAGCTCCTGCTTGGACGCTCCATCACCCTCCAGGTGGCCCGTCTTGCGCGCCTGTACCACAGCCGCAAACTCTGTCAGATCTTGGACGACGGCCTAATATGATAGAGGCTTGAAGGCATATCAGTTGACACTTATTGGAATGCATGTCTTGGGACAAAGAGAAGAAGCGCTGGCTTGACACATAGGGATCCGCAAGCACGCGCTTTCAGGCACTGGGCAAGCGTCTACATGGCATGGCAGACATCTTAAGATGCATTGCAGGCTTTGAGGGGAAATGGAGAGATGGGTAGTTGAGAGGCTGACCTCCTCCCACAGGTGCGCCTTTGTGGCGTCCTCAGCCTCGGCCTCCCGCTTCAGCTTCTCAAACGCTGCAGCACACAGCAGAACGATTCAAAGAGCCACTCCCTTCACCAGACAGATCGACAGCTGACACAATTTCAGGGAGGGATACACAAGACATCAACAGTACTGACACCGCTTGGGGTGCAGTAGTCAGTCAGTCTTCAGCTGCTGTGTGACTTGTGTGTTGAGATCGGCTGTACCGCTGGCGTGCTTCTCTGAGAGGGCAGCGGCCTCCCTGGCCTCGCGCCTGGACTCCTGCACCTGCTTCTCCAGCAGGGGCAGGCGCTCACTGGCAGCCTCGTGCGCCCTCTTGGCCTTGGCATAGTCGCTCTCCCTCGTCGCCACCAGCGCGTGCGCGGACTTCAGCTTCCTGCACGCACCCGACACACCGATCAACCCTTGTTTCACACCTTCTATTCCCACACTTGCATTGCTGCAAAACTGAAAACCACCTGCCAGGAAGCAACATTAGAGACACCTCCTGTCTCCACAAATTCTTCCCAAGCATCACTGCAGGGACCATTTAGATCCTAAAGTTTGGAATAAACCTCAAAGGAGAGTGTAAAAACCATTTTCCTTGAAAGGGCGTCAGATGGTGCACTTGATGAAATGCATTTGCTGGAGAAGGGCGTACGTGGCATGGGGCTCCAGGCCCCGGCGGGATTCCTCGGCCTGGGTGCGCAGCAGCCGCGTCTCCTCGGCCAGTGCCGCCATGCGCCTCTCGTGCTCCGCGCCCACCCTGTGGTGCTCCTCCACCCTCTTGCCCAGGTCCGCCTCCCTCGTTCTGTACAACACCAACATCAAAGTTTGCACCCGAGTTGGTCTCTGTGAGCCCAGAAGCCCATCCTCAGCAACAGGACAGGCCTGACAGTGCGCACCGATGGCAGACCTGCTGAAATCCGCACTTTTTGCAACCGAAGATCAACAGGTCAGACGCGAACACCCACACACGAGCCCAACCTCAAAGCCTTCCTTTTGAGAACTCTGAAGCTCAGAGCACTTGTTTGGGAACGACAGAATTGGAGATGCTGGGCTGCTTCTTCAGATTGTGAGGCGCAGGGTAGTGTGTTAACCTGAGGGGCCCGAGGTGTGCGTCCAGCTCCTGCAGCTCCCTCAGCAGTGCCTCGCGCCTCCGCTCGCCCTCACCCAGCATCCTGCACATGACCGCAATATCAGTACTAGCACTTTATAAGCACTTGTGACTGTGACATCAAGTACATGACCTTCTGGTAACAGGACTGTCGTTACCAGTGTGTCAGGAATCATCACCAATCATCCAATTTTTTAAATGCTTTATGCCTGTAGTGCACAACAGTTGCAAGCCAGGTTAGGAACTAACAGCGAGTGGCTAACAAGTCGGGGATTTGACTAATCTGAACAGTGCGCACTTGTGGACGGCTGCGTGGTCGGACTGCAGGGGTCCCAGGGCCTTGGAGTGCTGCTCCCGCTGGGGCGCCATCTGCTTCGTCTCCAGCTCTTTTGCAGCTAGCGCCTCTTCCGCCTCACGTGCGAGCCTGCCACACAGACGCTATCTCACAGCGCTTCCCACCTAGAGAATGGAGAGTAACAATTGTCAACGGGCTTTCATTGATCACCGACACAAAATCTTCTCCGAGAAGTACCTGGAGTGGTGGTCGTGGGTCTTTGTGTGCTCGGCAAGGGCGAGCTTGGCATCCTCGTAGCTCTTCTTAATGGGGTTGATGTCGGTCGTCCCCTGGTGGTGCTGCTCCAACTCACGCTCCATCTGCGCGCGAACAGCGTTCCCAAAATGTAAGCAACCGCTGCTCCTGACAACAGCATGATTGTGCCATTTCCCAACAAAAGGAACTGGGTTACTCTCATATGACTTTCTTGGTTGGACTGTATGGGAATGAGCTGCATACGTCTTCAGCATGGCGCTGGGCCAGGTCGGCCTTGTTCTTCGACTCAGATGCCGCCATCAAGCTGGATTGCGCCTGCATCGCCTTGGTGTGCGCCACCTTGGCGTGAGTCAGTGCCTCCAACGTCTTGTCATGGTGGTCTGACCAAGGAGCTGAAGTAAACGTATCCTTGATGACCGTGCCCACACTCCTGTGACCACCCTCATTCGGGGTCGTTCCCGGATGCTCCTTGTTGTCGAAGGTGGCGATGGGGCTGTGCGGCTTATCAACATCAGCACGCGTGGGTTCGACCTGTGTAAGCAAATGAAACAATCTTTACGAGTGCTCGGACGCTGAGGAATGTGGTCTGTCAGGAAGCTGGGAAATGCCCCGAGCGTTCGCACTTGCACAGAATACTAGGTGCGACCGAAGGTACATGATGGGCAGCTATCATTACAAAAGCAAGCATAGACTAGTAAATCGTTCTGGTCCCTTTCATGATCGTGTGCTTTGTGCGCATTCCTGATGACTGTGCAATATTGCTATCGCAGGCCGTTCATAGGCGCACCGGTGATGGGTGTCCATGGGCGCCATGACCTAGCGGCTGGATGTCCTCAGCTCTATCCTTCTTCCCGTTCCCACCAACGTGGAAGGCCTTCTTGAACTTGTCGGTTAGGCTGTTGCCGGGTTCGGAAGACGAATGCATTGGGACCTAGCTGTCGGTTCGTCTGCTCACTTTCTGTCCGCAAAAGATCTAGATCGAATATATAACCTGTTGTTGTGTCACGTCGTTCTCAAACAAACAATCTCCGGTTTACAAATTGATGATCGATGGAAGAAAGTATCCCAACGTTGCCCAACTTAACTGGCAGCTCCAGGGCAGCTTCCCTTCCCTGCGCCTTCATATCCCTTGCGATTGCAAACCCTATTGCGCCTCCAGGTTCTCGGAACCGGAACCAAGGCTCGACAATCAAGCCTTCCCTCAGTGTCGCTAGGGAGAACATCGCAATAAAGAAGCAATAAAGGCTTCGTTTAACTTACTTTAGGGAGTACACTGTGGTGGACGAGCAACATCTCAATAGTATAAATAAGTATTGCTGCTTGCAAGTCTCAGCAGAAGCAAATCAAATGGTGAAAAGAAAAGGGCCAAACGTCCACCGGCAGCATCTTGGCGAAGAGATCGAAAATCCTGCGACTTATGGTGTCAGGGTGGGGGTTCTTTACTGTTCCTTGTGCAATCTGGCCTTAAAGTCAGGGACCTTGCTTGCGGCGATCCGAGAAAATTCCCCCGAAATTAAGACTTTCTGTTGCAGACGAGACCGAGGCCAGGCAAGAGGCGCAAGAATGAGGCTGAAGAAGCTGAACACGAGGAGGTAGGAAACGACGCCAGTACTGACTTCCACAGCACAGTCAATTATCATTGAGACAACAATGCTTTAGATAGATCCCTCTGGCTGACCATTGCGCTCTTGTCCACAGAACTTGACGGAGAAGGCCAGCGAGCATATCCTGAGGCTAGCCAGGGAACAGCAGGCGGAGGTAGATGCAGAGCAACAGCCTGTCACTCGCTATGGACCTCTTCCTCGCACTCAGGTATGCCTGGACCTTTTCCTCGGATTTGAACGCCACTGAATCCAGCAATTCCTCTACACCACAGCACACTCCAGACATAACCCACTGCTGCTCGCAGGGGGCTGCACCGTCGAATATGCGAGCGTATCAGGGCCACGATGCTGACTCCGACGTCGAGTCTGACGACGCGGGGGGATTCAGCGATGTCGAGGAGCACTGGGAAGAGGAGGAGATTGGGTTGGAAGATGAGGCGGCTCTGGCGAGGTTCATGAATCCCGAGGCCGCCTCTCAGCAGCAGCGCACGCTCTCAGACATAATCATGGAGCGGATCAGGGAGAAGCAGGAAGCTGGTGGCATGCCTGCTATACCAGAGTGGGTCTCCTTTCCTGAGGCTTCTCGTCACAGCACCAAGAGCTGGCAAGAGCCTGTGTCACTGGCTTGCAGCAGCTTTGACCAGCCTTTGTGATGTGTTCATGTCTGAGTGTACTAGAAACGTCATCGGGTGGTATAGAGGAATGGGGTGCTCTGTGCAGGGATGAAGAGGGTCCAGGCATGGTCCCTGGAGGCATAAAGCCGGAGCTTGTGGAGCTGTACAAGGAAGTGGGCAAGATCCTGAGGCGGTTCACCACCGGAAAAGTGCCCAAGGCATTTAAGATCATCCCGAAGCTGGAGAACTGGGAAGATGTGAGCATCCTGGATCACTTTACCACCTTCTCCTTACCGCTTCTGTCACATGGATTGTCTGAGTCTAGCACATGGAGCTAGCGCCATCGCTTGAACTTGGTGAGCAGAACTGCACTCGAGACTCTCTACCGGGTTTGAGTGGTCACCCTCTGCCTCGCAGGTGCTGTTCCTGACAGATCCCGAGGGCTGGAGCCCGCATGCGACCTACCAGGCGACGCGCATGTTTGTTTCGAATTTGAATGCGAAGATGGCGCAGCGCTTCATGGCCCTGGTGCTGCTGCCGCACGTGCGCAGGGACATCAGCGACAACCGCCGTCTGCACCACGCGCTCTTCCAGGCCCTCAAGAAGGCCGCCTACAAGCCCGACGCCTTCTACAAGGTGCTATGCTCTTTTCAGCCTTGCTGTCCCTGTGCTGAATATCATTAACATAATACCTGAGATCCCATCCCTGTATGCAGTGCCCGGTGTCCCCTGGCTTTGTAAATGCCAATCTTGTAACAGTATGTATATTAGTGTCAGGGAAGCAGCGCCATATGATCATGCAAGATGCGCACTCAAATCGCCTGAATATGCTTGGATGCATGCCCTTCGGTTATCTTAGAGCTGCATGCCAATCGTGTGTGTCTCTGCAAGATGCAAGTGGGTGATCAATAATGTTAAAATTGTTGACCACAGGGCCTGCTGCTGCCGCTGTGCCAGTCGGGGACGTGCACTCTGCGCGAGGCCGTCATTCTTTCGTCGGTGCTGACGCGGGTGTCGCTGCCGATGCTGCACTCGGCTGCCGCGCTGGCACGCCTGGCCGGCATGGCCTACTCTGGCGTCAACTCCTTCTTCATCCGTGTGCTGCTGGACAAGAAGTACGCGCTGCCCTACAGGGTCATCGATGCGCTGGTGGACCACTTTCTCGGCTTCCGCAAGGAGGAGCGCCAGCTGCCCGTCGTGTGGCACCAGTCCCTCCTCACCTTCGTGCAGCGGTGAGCGCCGGCTTGCTGATCTTGTCCACACTCTGCTTTTCGCCCTGTCATAGCCAATGCGTTAGGCAATCACCCCGATATGCAGAGATCTCTCTGTGTGCCCTGCTGTGCTCATCAACAACCTGCTGCATATGTCTGAGATCCAGGCTCTTGTGCATCATCTACAATGAGACTGAAGCGCCTCGCAAACAAAGCACTGATCAACACTTGCGCCTAGCACACTGGCTGTCCTTGTGAAGGTGTCAGGTGCTAAGATCACATTGTGGCTTGCCAGGTACAAGCATGAAATCCGCGCGGAGGATAAGCAGCTGCTGCACAAGCTGATCAGGCGACAGTTCCACTACCTGGTCACACCAGAGGTCCACCGAGAGCTGGAGGCCTCCAGGTATGCATGCATGCTGAATGGTCATTCTTGCTATTTCTTCTCTCTAGGACTGCAATTAGCTTGCTTGGAGGAGCAATCTGGATTTCTAGAGCACAACTTGAGGAGATCAAGGCTGCTGTAATGCTGAATGAAAGATATGTTGTGAGGCATGTTTTGGATTTGAATTGCAGGTCTAGAGGCGAGAAGAGCAAAGCCGGTGCCATGGAGGTCCAAGCCCGTGTGAGCAGCAAGGTCACAGAGAACATCAGGGAGCTGCCGCCAGTATTGCTTATGGAGGAGGACTGATCGGGACTTATGTTGAGGCCAGCAGCAGGGATAGGAGCAGCATTGCGTGCAAGTTATCTGTGCCTCAAGGACACCTTTTGGTTTGGATTATGCGTTGGCGAATATGCTTGCAGCATTGCACATTTGAGATAGCAAACAGCCAGGGATCTACTGCGGGGTTGGGAGCCCCTGAGTGTGTAACGCGTTTGACATGCTTTTGCGCGTGTGAGTGCGCGTTAGAGCATGTTGCTACAATGTTACAAGTCGGGATGGGAATAATGTAGCATTGATGCATGCATGCCATGGTAGCAGTAAGGATTGCTTACGTGTCCAGGATCAGTCGTACGGCGTTCCTTCAGAACGTCTCGCTTGGCAAGTTGGATTTTGTGTTGAACTATAGAGCTTTAATTGTCTTCATACTTGCGTTCACACCTGCATCGATATTTTGATGGCTTTTCTGAGTGCATACTTAACCGTGTCGATGGATACTGTTGATATGTAACTAATCGACATCTCAAAGCCCGTTGACAGACGGAATTGAGCGCAAAGGTGCAGATTTAGTCCTATCGACGTATTATAGAAATAGAATAATTGTGTCACCCGTCACTATATCGCACTTGTTCTGGGATGATGCTCAAGGAAGGCACGATTGGGAAAGCATGAGGGAGTCACCCTTCAAAATCAATAACCCACCTGACGCACAGGTACCTGTTAAGGAAATTTCAAAGCAGGCTGATTCGTTTTTATATCAATGGCAAGGTGGCACCGACATAGAAAGTCATATCTCAGACTGTCATCACATTCCTCCTCCCCCTGATCAAGAATCTAAGGGTGTAAGCTGTGCAGGTGAAAGGAGACTTTGATGCACTCTTAAGTGTGAGTCCAAGAGAAGGGCCTGCACAGCGTCATAAGCCTGTGGCCCTGAACTTGAGGAAGAGGAGCAGCTTCAATCCTCAGGGATCAGTCGACTCGGCTGGTTCCTTTGTTAGCGCGGCTTCCTCTGCCAGCGAGTCTGAGGGTGTCAGACAGGCCGCAGCAGCTGAAGACAGCGAAGATAGCAGGACCGAGGATGCAGCCAGCATGCCGGTGGCAGAAGAAGGAGCCCACCTTTCCACTGCAGCAAGGGCTGGCCATGCTACCAATGGAACGGCGATAGTGCATCTTGAAAATGGAGCATATGAAGCTCCACTTCAAGGTAACGGCAGCGGTGTGACAGCAAGTGAGGCAGACAAGGAGCCCAGCTCTAAACATGCCTCACACGTGGAGCCGGAAGCCCCTGATCACAGGCCCGCCCTGCCGAATGGGAAAGACTCTGATGCAGCTGCCCAGCTACCGTCAGCGGCGCCTACAGCAAGCCCTGCTTCTCCAGGGCCGGCTGACGGCTTTGCAGATGCGTTGGAAGGCTTGCGGCTGCAGCCCAGAGAGTCGGCAGAGCTGCCTGTCAGCACGCTGAGGGCAGGCCGCTGCCTGTCTGGCTACGTCTCAGCCGAGGATGAGCCCCTCCCCGGCTCCGCAGCACATGCCAGCAGCACCGGCAGAGGAGCTATGCAGGACATCTCAGCAGACGAGCTGGACCTGCTGGCAGCCGCATCGCGCGCAGGCGAAGCAGGGAGCAGTGGGCGCTCAGACAGCAGGAGAGATGGTGAGGAGGCATCTGGGCAGGAGAGCGGTGGCGGGGCAGAGGCAGCTCAGCCCTTGAGCAGTTCTGAGGCGCCGTCATTCTCGGCCTGGGAGCCGAGGGATGCGAGGGGGGATGATGGGTTGGGGAAGGGAAGCGATGAGGAGGAAGGGCAGGAGCTAGGTGTTTGGAGGGGGGGCAGCCAGGACTCGGTGCCCACGACTGCCGCGGGGTCCTCTCTGGACTCGCACGCAGCCTCCAGCTTTGAGCTGCGCAGCATCGGTGCAGAGGCTGCAGAGGTCCACCAGCCGAACCAGGTGCGACATGTGGCTCCATCCTGATGGACACCTGTCAATGGCTTGAAAATCAGCTCTGCATCAACTCTATGCACATTTCTGAGGTCCTTGGCATATGCAGGTGGGCGACAGTCCTCCAGTGCAGGCCTCGCTGGGCACGCGCACAGGCAGCGACGTTGGCACAGCTGGGGGAGACCTGGAGGATGACTTCAGCGTCGTGGATGCCAGTGAAGCTGCCAATGCTGCATCCTCCGCTCCAGGTAAGACTTCTCCTCTGGCTCTGGCAACTTGCTAGCCCTCGCTCCTTGGAGGCTCAGGTTTCTTTGAGCTTGACTTCTGTGGTGATATATGCTTCTACATATCAAGCAAGCCAGCATGTATGAAGCAGTGCAACCCTACGCAGAATGACATGTTGCCAGGCCCATAATGCAATTGTGTGCGACAGGTGCTGAGGCAGAGGCGGCGGCAGCGGCGCGCGCTGCGTCCTTGGGGCGTGCAGCTTCCAGCGCCGCTGTGCAGGTGGGCCAGAATGAGGACAGTGCGCATTGGCGCGGCCAGCGCAAGCACTTCTTCGTCCTCAGCAACGCAGGTACCAAACCCCCGCCCTGCAGCACAAGTGTCCCTCTTGCAATGCAGATGCCAATGCTCTGACATGTCTCACTGATTGGAACGAGTGATGTCGCAGGGTAAAGTCAAAATGAGAACAACGGCTGACTATTCCCGCAGGCCGACCAGTGTTCACGGCGCATGGGAGCGAGCATGCGCTGGCGGGCTTCATGGCCATCATCGATGCCATGATGTCCTTCGTCAAGGACAGGGGCGACTCCTTGCAGACCATCAGGTACGCCCTCACCAGGCCAACCACACAATCCTTACTATCCCAATGACATCTGCCCTTTTGGCTAGAAAAGTACCACAATACACATTGCCACCAACAAATGCAATGTGCTTAGCAGTGTGAGCGATGGTGCAGGGCGGGGAAGCATTTGATAGTGTTCCTGGAGAGGGGTCCGCTGTATCTGGTGGCCGTGTCATCGACTGGGGAGCCTGAAGCCGCCCTGAAGCTGCAGCTGGACCTGCTGCATGCGCACCTGCTGGCCATCCTCACCGACAACTTCGACCGCATGCTCGCCAGGAACCCCAGATTCGAACCTCGCCGGCTGCTCGGTGCGCCATCTTTCAGCGCAGAACATCACTCCCAATCTACCTTGCAGTGACATCTGTCAGATCAACATCCGGCGTGCTGCAGGCACCATCAGGCATCCTTCATCCCTCCCTCTTCTCTGTTATGCATGGCAGCAACGTCGATGCCATCTGTGCCTGGTTTGAAAAGATGCTGCCGTGTCATTGGTGAAGCATGTCAGCTGGGGTGACAAAGCTCTTGTGCACTGGCAGGTGGCACGGAGGATGTGCTGCGCCGTTTCCTGGCCTCCTTCGACACCAGCCCCTCGGCGATGCTGTGCGCATTCGAGCCACTGCGCCTTTCGGCCGATGCGCGCCACACCGTCCTCCTGGCCCTCCAGTCCGCTGTCAAGGTATCTATCTCAGCAGCCTCTGTCTCACTTTCCTGAGTGTGCATGCTCGGGAAGGGGCATGCAGCCAGAAACACATCCTTATCCATCAAGCCTGGACTTGTATGATCTCGGGAGGGGACTACAACACCGCAGGTCCTGCACTGCAATTGCGGCGCCCAAGAGGACAGCTACAACGCTGTGATGCGCACATAGGGCAACCAACACATCCGGGGTGTTCTTATATAGCAGGAGAGTAAGCAGTGGTGTGCGCGTGTGCTGTCGCAGCGCAGCGAGGCGGTGTACGGAGTGCTGCTGGCTGGGGAGAGGGTAGTTGGCCTGGCTCAGCCGCGCGCCCATGCTCTGCACGCTGCGGACCTGCTGCTGCTGTCCAGCTTCGTGCTGGGCTCTGACAGTTTCCGGGCGGCTGCGGAGTCCTTCTCGCCCATCTGCCTGCCGCGCTTCAACCCCTCCGCCTTCCTCCATGCCTACGTCCACTACCTCGACCCCGTGCGCCCCTCACTCTCTTCAAGGACACCTGCATTGAGATGCCACATCAGTCCTGAGAATTGCGTGATGAGACAAGTCATTGTGTCAAGAACAGAATTTCTTTGCATGTAAAAGCAAGCGTGCTGTAAAACGCTCATTGAAATTTGCATGGGAATGAGGACTTGTGGGAGGACCAGAATCCATGAAGTTTGTGGCAGGGTCGGCCCATTATGGAGGTAGTGCAATGCACTGCGCTGATGACTGTGCTGATCGCGGCAGGAGAGCGGGGTGTGCCTGGTGCTGCTGTCGCCGCGGCAGGACGCGTTCCACCGCCTCTCAGACAGCGCTGCCCGCCTGCAGCGCCAGCTCGCAGAGTCCGGCGTGCCCCAGGTGATCCTTTTGGGGTTATTATACAGTCATAGGATGTTTAATCGTGCCTGCTCTTCATTGGCTGGAAATGTTTGAATTCAAGATGGGGTAGAAGATGTGACAACCTTGACCTACAGCCTGTCTCCAGATGCACCCTGCCTCCCTTGGCAAAAAGTCATAGGGGATAGTGAAAAACAGTCATATGAGGATGCTGACATAATGATGTGTCAGGGTGTGTCATGACGGCTGCAGCTGTGTGTATGCAGGCCATCCGGGCAGCGCTGGCGGCTCCAGGGCAGGGGCGGCTGCACATCCCCAGCATGCCTGCAGCGGCCGGCGGAGGCCCACTTGGGACGACTGCGCTGCAGCACTTCCTGTACAAGGCCCCTGCGCGCGGCCAGTATGTCATGCCAGCCTTCACCGCCCCCCTCACTGTACCAGAGCTCCAACAGGTGCATCCTTGCGTGCAAGCCTCCTCACTGACCTACGCTTCTGCTGAAATGCTATGATTGCTTGGGCTGTCCAATACACCCATGCCTGATGAGATAATGCAGATCAGGCTATGTGCTGTGCTCTGTGCAAGAGCTGTGCATGAAGTGTAGTCAAGCAGCCAAAGCTATCTGCAGCGCTGTCTTTTAGGTGTCTGCAGGGGTAAAACCAGATTTTTTTTCTGAAAAAAAGCTTTTCGTGACAGGAGGTCATGCCGGCATATGCGCGGGTGCATGCGGCCATGTTCAGCGAGGCAGGCCATGCGCGGCAGAGGGTGCATTTCACGCGGGATGACTCGCGCGCTGTGTTGGCCTACATTGGCGCGGAGTACGAGGCGTATGCGCAGTTTGATGCCCTGCTGGACAGGAGCGCTGCAGTGGCCACGTGCCAGCGGCTGTGTGCGTGGATCAAGGGGCAGCATGCCGAGCTTTTCGTGCCGCCCTCTTTCTAGACTGCCTGCTGCCGTGGGAATCGCTTGTGCTGTTTGCTGACATGCATGCATGCAACGTATTCTTTTGGTGGTGAAGCCTGTAAAGTCTTGAATTTTCTGTGTGTGAGTCATGCTTGCTTTGTAGATTAGTTGCAGACTGCCTGAGTAATTATAATGAATTGCCTGACAAAGGAGCTGTATGCAGCTGGGATAATTGCCCTGCTCCAAAATGAAAGGCTGATCATGATGGATGGACGGACGCTTTGCCACGAGCGCTGAATCTTGACAGGAAATATTGCATCTGCTACGACATTATATGAGTAAGTTGAAATTGATCTTTAGAAATCTCTAGACACATGGTCATCCTTGCGTAACCTTATCATATGTAGGTCATATGTAGGTCATTCCAAACAGGCAATCTCATTCCTTTCCTCTCTTGAAAACTCTACATTCAAGACGCATGCCTATTTTTCTTCTTCTTGTTGCATTCCCCACCAAGTTGGCGCCAGCATAGCATGCATATGCACAAGATCGCTTGTTCTCCACAATCTACCTCTGCTTGAAACATTCGAGGCCTCACAAATATAAAAATACTGGTACCAGTGGCATAACGATGGTGCATCATTTATGATGCTCAAAGATCAGCTAGGTGGTCAAAAAAGAGATCAATATTTCAATGTCTGGATTGAGCAGCCCTCGTACAGCTTTGAAGCGTCCACAATGCTCTCATCAGTCGCCTCCTCAAAGAACGTGACTATCTGCCGCACAATGCCGCATGACCCTGTACGCCAGCACGACAATCTCAACATCCATCCCATTATCATTATCATTTCAGCTTCCCCAGATGGTACCAGCGCCCCTAGCTTACAATCCCTTCATGCTGCACTCGAGATTGGCTTAATTCCAGGCACCCATTGCTTAATTGAGAGTGAGCATCCAGCGAGCTCGTTCTCAGCAACAAATAGAAAATATTAAGCTTGAAGATACCAGGCACTGCATGGCAGTTCTGGAGCAATGGGAGGGGCTCGCCTCCGCGCTGGTCGGACTCAACGTTGAGAACAAGGAGAGGGTCGTGCAGGCTAGCGCGCAGTAGCGCCCATCCCCTGCGGCCGTCGCCCTCGTCCACCGACACGCGCCAGCCCTCGTGGTTCTCCTTCTCCAGCTCCCACCCCTGTCAGCAACAATTTGAGCCCCTTCGAAGGTAATTGATATCTCTGGACCCTGGCATTCAGATGAGCCCTACATCTGTAGCATGTCAGGAAGTCAGGGATGCAATAGGGAAAGCCTGGCTGTAATTGTCAGACTGGATCAAGCTGTAGCTGGTCAGGCTCCCTGATCCATGCTCGATTCTTACTTATCAATCGATCAGATTCGTGGAATAACTTTGCCGTTAACTAAGAAGTATCCCTGAGGCAGTCCAGTGCTCGCAATGCCTTTCATGTCTTGCACATTATCTTATGGAATCTGTCACACCTGTGCTCCGCCCGCGCCATCCTCGATCCAATCATGGAACCCAGCCAGGATGGCCTGGCCATCCTTCTGGAAGTCATCCCCCTGCGCAGAATGACAGCCTTCTCACAAACTCGATACCACACCTGTGAGCTGCATGCTTTTTGCCAGTATTGCAACGGCTTCCCTCATGCAGAGAATTAGGAAAGTGTCGGACCGGGCTTCCTGCCTGCCTTCAGCCAGGCCTCAACAGGGCACGCATGGAATCAGAAGTTTGCTCTGCGCGACCAAGCACCGGCATGGCCAGCAGGCATTCCTCTGCTGCTAGGCTCACTAAATACACGAAAGTGTGCACCTTGAGCTTGAGCCTGAACTCGTTGGACTCGACGGGCTCCTTGAGGTCGGCGAGCAGGCTGACATAGATGTCCTTGCCCAGGCCCTCCAGGTAGCGCTTCACCATGATGATCACAATCTGGCTCGCGCTGTACGTGCCATCGTCCAGATAGTAGTTCTCCTTCATTGCCCCATGCCCGCTGCATACCACACATAACCCTTTTCATTGCATGAGCGATGTATTACTGCCAGCAGCATTCGCGTAGTACCAGCAGCGGGAACTCGCACAGCATTCTAATGCACCAGACAAGCTCTCTGCTCAGGCGCTCAGAATAGGATGGAGAGGGATGCGCCAAGGAAAGAAATTGGAGAAGGGTGAGTATGCTTTTAACATGGGAGGAATGCAACAGGGAACGGATGGGCAGGATGATGGACCAGATTATTGTGGCAAGTAAGTGACAAAGAGGCGGGCTGGGGGCTGGGTCACCTGGTCTCCATCATTAGCTCCGTGCGCACGCCCTGCTGGTTGAGCTTGACCCCCTGGCCGATCACATTTTTGTAGCCGCGCCGGTAGCGGAAGTGCTTGCCGCCCAGGCCCGTTATGAACTCCGTCAGCCCATTGCTCGTCACCGAGTCCGTCACTATCGTCGTCCCGGGGTACTTCCTGCACTCATTCGGCCACCATGCAGCGACATTCAGCTGTGCAGCCCTTTCTTTTAGCCACCCTCGTAATATGGGGCTGCCCTGCTGCTCAGACCACACCCAATTGCGCTCGTTCATGCATGGCAGACTCTGCAAACTGCAGAGAGTCCAAATGCTGGGCACGCACGCAAGTGGTCTAAGCCAATTGTTCAAGGCAGCATGCGGCAGCAGAATACCATGCGTGCATGAAAGAGGACTGAGCTTGTAATAGGACAGGGCCAATTTTTCCCGGCAGCAAGAGCACAGGAGCAGTGACCAGCTCACCTGAGCGCAATGTAGGCCATGAGGGCGATGTATCGGTTGGAGTTGATGGGCGTCCCATTTCCGGCCACAACGGCCGAGCGGTCCACGTCCGTGTCCACGACGATGCCGAGGTCGGCGCGCGATGCGTTGACTGCGCGCACGCCGGCCGCCATTGCCGCCTTGTCCTCGGGATTGGGCACGTGGTTGGGGAACCAGCCGTCCGGGTCCAGGTACTGGCTGCCTACACCAACCCCAGCTGGCTGCTCTCAGTCCAGGCGCCCACTCTTATCTACACGCATTTCCTGCCAGCTGGTCAGCTCTGCAGAGGCAAGGGGCGTCCACAGTGATGCACTTGACCCCGCTGCAATAACGAAGAATCCTGAAGAGCAAGCCCCAATTTATAGCAGAGAGTTTTCAGAGACCAGGTCAAGGTCTCAAGCTGTGAACCTCAGATCTGAGAGTAGAGATTTGTTCAGGCTAGCGAGGCTACTGCGCAATGCCGTTTGAGAGCAGGTGCACTACTGCAGGAATACTAGAAAGGTGCGCGCCTGTGGTGTCGGCCCCCAGGGGCGCGAGCACGTCGGAGGCCAGGAATCCGCCGCTGCCGTTGCCGGCGTCGACAATGATCTTGAACCCCTCCAGCGGGCGCTCGTAGTTGTCTGGGTGGTCGATCCCCTTCTTTATGATCTCCCGCAGGTGCGCCGCATACACCGGCATGAAATCCACCTACACCCACATCTCCGCCTCTCGGCAGGGTCGTGCATGCCTGCAAAGAACTGGGCATGCGGCAGCATTGCGTATGCACGCGTGCGGGGTGGGACACAGCAGGTCATGTTGCAAGCTACTGCCTCCGCCACAAAATGGAAAAGACACTGCTTGAAATTCCCATGGTGGCTCCAGTGGTTGCCCAGACCAGTAGGAGCCCTGGTTGAGGATGCTTCCGCCCATGTACCTTGTAATTTGGTCCCCAACACAGGGTGTAAAAGACACTGGCAACTGGTGGGGCACGCAACAGAGGGGCGCACGTAGTCTATGAGGCCGGGGTCGGTGTGCAGCGCGGAGGCCAGCACGAAGGCGTCGTCGGTGTATCTGTCGCCCGGGCGCGTGTGCGGCGCGTCCTCGGCCGCGTGCTCGGCAACCGCCAGCTGCAGCAGCTGCGACACGTCGCCCTTCTCGAAGCCGCCGTCGCGCGTGAAGAACTTGAAGCCGTTGCGGTTGTATGGCAGATGCGACGCCGTTATCATCACTGCCCCGTCATACTCGTAGCCTGCGCGCACACATACTGATGCATTTACGGCCCACAATGCAAATATTCTTAGATTTAAGATATGGCATGAGGCCGACAGCAGGGTCTTGAAATCGCTGCCGCTCCGAGTTATTTCATTGCCGCTAGACCGCTGCAGTCCTTGTATGAATGAACAGACAAGGAAGTTTTCCGCCTGTTTCCCTGCGGATGGGGATGACATGGTGTGATCTGCGCACCTTTTGAGATGGTGCTCATGAACATGGCGGGAGTTGTGGCGTAGCCAAAGCGCGCCACATGCACTCCCTTGCTCGTCAGACCTGCTGCAAGTGCAGCCGCTAGGATGGGGCCGCTGATCCGGGGATCCCTGCCTATCTGCATGTCAAACATTCCTGCCTGAGCCTGCCGGGAATCACATCCAAGAGCAGCACCTTTGGGGCCTTTGCATTACGGTCAAAAGGATGGGCATGCACAGCAGCTCAGGTATAGGCGGCCCCAGGGAATCCAACAATAGTCAGCAGAAGGAAGTAAGACCAACCGAGACTCTGAGCGATCCTGTAGGAATCTTCAAGCGCGCAGCAAGTTGCTCCGCTAGACCAGCTCCCAGAAAGAAAGCAATCGTGGGATTGAGATTACGGGTTTCACCCTCGACTCCTGTGCAGATTGCAGCAAAAGCAAAACCTTCACGTTCCTTCCAAATGTTGGATGCCTGGCAATATCCAGCGCGTGCGCGGACTTCAGCTTCCTGCACGCACCCGACACACCGATCAACCCTTGTTTCACACCTTCTATTCCCACACTTGCATTGCTGCAAAACTGAAAACCACCTGCCAGGAAGCAACATTAGAGACACCTCCTGTCTCCACAAATTCTTCCCAAGCATCACTGCAGGGACCATTTAGATCCTAAAGTTTGGAATAAACCTCAAAGGAGAGTGTAAAAACCATTTTCCTTGAAAGGGCGTCAGATGGTGCACTTGATGAAATGCATTTGCTGGAGAAGGGCGTACGTGGCATGGGGCTCCAGGCCCCGGCGGGATTCCTCGGCCTGGGTGCGCAGCAGCCGCGTCTCCTCGGCCAGTGCCGCCATGCGCCTCTCGTGCTCCGCGCCCACCCTGTGGTGCTCCTCCACCCTCTTGCCCAGGTCCGCCTCCCTCGTTCTGTACAACACCAACATCAAAGTTTGCACCCGAGTTGGTCTCTGTGAGCCCAGAAGCCCATCCTCAGCAACAGGACAGGCCTGACAGTGCGCACCGATGGCAGACCTGCTGAAATCCGCACTTTTTGCAACCGAAGATCAACAGGTCAGACGCGAACACCCACACACGAGCCCAACCTCAAAGCCTTCCTTTTGAGAACTCTGAAGCTCAGAGCACTTGTTTGGGAACGACAGAATTGGAGATGCTGGGCTGCTTCTTCAGATTGTGAGGCGCAGGGTAGTGTGTTAACCTGAGGGGCCCGAGGTGTGCGTCCAGCTCCTGCAGCTCCCTCAGCAGTGCCTCGCGCCTCCGCTCGCCCTCACCCAGCATCCTGCACATGACCGCAATATCAGTACTAGCACTTTATAAGCACTTGTGACTGTGACATCAAGTACATGACCTTCTGGTAACAGGACTGTCGTTACCAGTGTGTCAGGAATCATCACCAATCATCCAATTTTTTAAATGCTTTATGCCTGTAGTGCACAACAGTTGCAAGCCAGGTTAGGAACTAACAGCGAGTGGCTAACAAGTCGGGGATTTGACTAATCTGAACAGTGCGCACTTGTGGACGGCTGCGTGGTCGGACTGCAGGGGTCCCAGGGCCTTGGAGTGCTGCTCCCGCTGGGGCGCCATCTGCTTCGTCTCCAGCTCTTTTGCAGCTAGCGCCTCTTCCGCCTCACGTGCGAGCCTGCCACACAGACGCTATCTCACAGCGCTTCCCACCTAGAGAATGGAGAGTAACAATTGTCAACGGGCTTTCATTGATCACCGACACAAAATCTTCTCCGAGAAGTACCTGGAGTGGTGGTCGTGGGTCTTTGTGTGCTCGGCAAGGGCGAGCTTGGCATCCTCGTAGCTCTTCTTAATGGGGTTGATGTCGGTCGTCCCCTGGTGGTGCTGCTCCAACTCACGCTCCATCTGCGCGCGAACAGCGTTCCCAAAATGTAAGCAACCGCTGCTCCTGACAACAGCATGATTGTGCCATTTCCCAACAAAAGGAACTGGGTTACTCTCATATGACTTTCTTGGTTGGACTGTATGGGAATGAGCTGCATACGTCTTCAGCATGGCGCTGGGCCAGGTCGGCCTTGTTCTTCGACTCAGATGCCGCCATCAAGCTGGATTGCGCCTGCATCGCCTTGGTGTGCGCCACCTTGGCGTGAGTCAGTGCCTCCAACGTCTTGTCATGGTGGTCTGACCAAGGAGCTGAAGTAAACGTATCCTTGATGACCGTGCCCACACTCCTGTGACCACCCTCATTCGGGGTCGTTCCCGGATGCTCCTTGTTGTCGAAGGTGGCGATGGGGCTGTGCGGCTTATCAACATCAGCACGCGTGGGTTCGACCTGTGTAAGCAAATGAAACAATCTTTACGAGTGCTCGGACGCTGAGGAATGTGGTCTGTCAGGAAGCTGGGAAATGCCCCGAGCGTTCGCACTTGCACAGAATACTAGGTGCGACCGAAGGTACATGATGGGCAGCTATCATTACAAAAGCAAGCATAGACTAGTAAATCGTTCTGGTCCCTTTCATGATCGTGTGCTTTGTGCGCATTCCTGATGACTGTGCAATATTGCTATCGCAGGCCGTTCATAGGCGCACCGGTGATGGGTGTCCATGGGCGCCATGACCTAGCGGCTGGATGTCCTCAGCTCTATCCTTCTTCCCGTTCCCACCAACGTGGAAGGCCTTCTTGAACTTGTCGGTTAGGCTGTTGCCGGGTTCGGAAGACGAATGCATTGGGACCTAGCTGTCGGTTCGTCTGCTCACTTTCTGTCCGCAAAAGATCTAGATCGAATATATAACCTGTTGTTGTGTCACGTCGTTCTCAAACAAACAATCTCCGGTTTACAAATTGATGATCGATGGAAGAAAGTATCCCAACGTTGCCCAACTTAACTGGCAGCTCCAGGGCAGCTTCCCTTCCCTGCGCCTTCATATCCCTTGCGATTGCAAACCCTATTGCGCCTCCAGGTTCTCGGAACCGGAACCAAGGCTCGACAATCAAGCCTTCCCTCAGTGTCGCTAGGGAGAACATCGCAATAAAGAAGCAATAAAGGCTTCGTTTAACTTACTTTAGGGAGTACACTGTGGTGGACGAGCAACATCTCAATAGTATAAATAAGTATTGCTGCTTGCAAGTCTCAGCAGAAGCAAATCAAATGGTGAAAAGAAAAGGGCCAAACGTCCACCGGCAGCATCTTGGCGAAGAGATCGAAAATCCTGCGACTTATGGTGTCAGGGTGGGGGTTCTTTACTGTTCCTTGTGCAATCTGGCCTTAAAGTCAGGGACCTTGCTTGCGGCGATCCGAGAAAATTCCCCCGAAATTAAGACTTTCTGTTGCAGACGAGACCGAGGCCAGGCAAGAGGCGCAAGAATGAGGCTGAAGAAGCTGAACACGAGGAGGTAGGAAACGACGCCAGTACTGACTTCCACAGCACAGTCAATTATCATTGAGACAACAATGCTTTAGATAGATCCCTCTGGCTGACCATTGCGCTCTTGTCCACAGAACTTGACGGAGAAGGCCAGCGAGCATATCCTGAGGCTAGCCAGGGAACAGCAGGCGGAGGTAGATGCAGAGCAACAGCCTGTCACTCGCTATGGACCTCTTCCTCGCACTCAGGTATGCCTGGACCTTTTCCTCGGATTTGAACGCCACTGAATCCAGCAATTCCTCTACACCACAGCACACTCCAGACATAACCCACTGCTGCTCGCAGGGGGCTGCACCGTCGAATATGCGAGCGTATCAGGGCCACGATGCTGACTCCGACGTCGAGTCTGACGACGCGGGGGGATTCAGCGATGTCGAGGAGCACTGGGAAGAGGAGGAGATTGGGTTGGAAGATGAGGCGGCTCTGGCGAGGTTCATGAATCCCGAGGCCGCCTCTCAGCAGCAGCGCACGCTCTCAGACATAATCATGGAGCGGATCAGGGAGAAGCAGGAAGCTGGTGGCATGCCTGCTATACCAGAGTGGGTCTCCTTTCCTGAGGCTTCTCGTCACAGCACCAAGAGCTGGCAAGAGCCTGTGTCACTGGCTTGCAGCAGCTTTGACCAGCCTTTGTGATGTGTTCATGTCTGAGTGTACTAGAAACGTCATCGGGTGGTATAGAGGAATGGGGTGCTCTGTGCAGGGATGAAGAGGGTCCAGGCATGGTCCCTGGAGGCATAAAGCCGGAGCTTGTGGAGCTGTACAAGGAAGTGGGCAAGATCCTGAGGCGGTTCACCACCGGAAAAGTGCCCAAGGCATTTAAGATCATCCCGAAGCTGGAGAACTGGGAAGATGTGAGCATCCTGGATCACTTTACCACCTTCTCCTTACCGCTTCTGTCACATGGATTGTCTGAGTCTAGCACATGGAGCTAGCGCCATCGCTTGAACTTGGTGAGCAGAACTGCACTCGAGACTCTCTACCGGGTTTGAGTGGTCACCCTCTGCCTCGCAGGTGCTGTTCCTGACAGATCCCGAGGGCTGGAGCCCGCATGCGACCTACCAGGCGACGCGCATGTTTGTTTCGAATTTGAATGCGAAGATGGCGCAGCGCTTCATGGCCCTGGAACTTTGCCGTTAACTAAGAAGTATCCCTGAGGCAGTCCAGTGCTCGCAATGCCTTTCATGTCTTGCACATTATCTTATGGAATCTGTCACACCTGTGCTCCGCCCGCGCCATCCTCGATCCAATCATGGAACCCAGCCAGGATGGCCTGGCCATCCTTCTGGAAGTCATCCCCCTGCGCAGAATGACAGCCTTCTCACAAACTCGATACCACACCTGTGAGCTGCATGCTTTTTGCCAGTATTGCAACGGCTTCCCTCATGCAGAGAATTAGGAAAGTGTCGGACCGGGCTTCCTGCCTGCCTTCAGCCAGGCCTCAACAGGGCACGCATGGAATCAGAAGTTTGCTCTGCGCGACCAAGCACCGGCATGGCCAGCAGGCATTCCTCTGCTGCTAGGCTCACTAAATACACGAAAGTGTGCACCTTGAGCTTGAGCCTGAACTCGTTGGACTCGACGGGCTCCTTGAGGTCGGCGAGCAGGCTGACATAGATGTCCTTGCCCAGGCCCTCCAGGTAGCGCTTCACCATGATGATCACAATCTGGCTCGCGCTGTACGTGCCATCGTCCAGATAGTAGTTCTCCTTCATTGCCCCATGCCCGCTGCATACCACACATAACCCTTTTCATTGCATGAGCGATGTATTACTGCCAGCAGCATTCGCGTAGTACCAGCAGCGGGAACTCGCACAGCATTCTAATGCACCAGACAAGCTCTCTGCTCAGGCGCTCAGAATAGGATGGAGAGGGATGCGCCAAGGAAAGAAATTGGAGAAGGGTGAGTATGCTTTTAACATGGGAGGAATGCAACAGGGAACGGATGGGCAGGATGATGGACCAGATTATTGTGGCAAGTAAGTGACAAAGAGGCGGGCTGGGGGCTGGGTCACCTGGTCTCCATCATTAGCTCCGTGCGCACGCCCTGCTGGTTGAGCTTGACCCCCTGGCCGATCACATTTTTGTAGCCGCGCCGGTAGCGGAAGTGCTTGCCGCCCAGGCCCGTTATGAACTCCGTCAGCCCATTGCTCGTCACCGAGTCCGTCACTATCGTCGTCCCGGGGTACTTCCTGCACTCATTCGGCCACCATGCAGCGACATTCAGCTGTGCAGCCCTTTCTTTTAGCCACCCTCGTAATATGGGGCTGCCCTGCTGCTCAGACCACACCCAATTGCGCTCGTTCATGCATGGCAGACTCTGCAAACTGCAGAGAGTCCAAATGCTGGGCACGCACGCAAGTGGTCTAAGCCAATTGTTCAAGGCAGCATGCGGCAGCAGAATACCATGCGTGCATGAAAGAGGACTGAGCTTGTAATAGGACAGGGCCAATTTTTCCCGGCAGCAAGAGCACAGGAGCAGTGACCAGCTCACCTGAGCGCAATGTAGGCCATGAGGGCGATGTATCGGTTGGAGTTGATGGGCGTCCCATTTCCGGCCACAACGGCCGAGCGGTCCACGTCCGTGTCCACGACGATGCCGAGGTCGGCGCGCGATGCGTTGACTGCGCGCACGCCGGCCGCCATTGCCGCCTTGTCCTCGGGATTGGGCACGTGGTTGGGGAACCAGCCGTCCGGGTCCAGGTACTGGCTGCCTACACCAACCCCAGCTGGCTGCTCTCAGTCCAGGCGCCCACTCTTATCTACACGCATTTCCTGCCAGCTGGTCAGCTCTGCAGAGGCAAGGAGCGTCCACAGTGATGCACTTGACCCCGCTGCAATAACGAAGAATCCTGAAGAGCAAGCCCCAATTTATAGCAGAGAGTTTTCAGAGACCAGGTCAAGGTCTCAAGCTGTGAACCTCAGATCTGAGAGTAGAGATTTGTTCAGGCTAGCGAGGCTACTGCGCAATGCCGTTTGAGAGCAGGTGCACTACTGCAGGAATACTAGAAAGGTGCGCGCCTGTGGTGTCGGCCCCCAGGGGCGCGAGCACGTCGGAGGCCAGGAATCCGCCGCTGCCGTTGCCGGCGTCGACAATGATCTTGAACCCCTCCAGCGGGCGCTCGTAGTTGTCTGGGTGGTCGATCCCCTTCTTTATGATCTCCCGCAGGTGCGCCGCATACACCGGCATGAAATCCACCTACACCCACATCTCCGCCTCTCGGCAGGGTCGTGCATGCCTGCAAAGAACTGGGCATGCGGCAGCATTGCGTATGCACGCGTGCGGGGTGGGACACAGCAGGTCATGTTGCAAGCTACTGCCTCCGCCACAAAATGGAAAAGACACTGCTTGAAATTCCCATGGTGGCTCCAGTGGTTGCCCAGACCAGTAGGAGCCCTGGTTGAGGATGCTTCCGCCCATGTACCTTGTAATTTGGTCCCCAACACAGGGTGTAAAAGACACTGGCAACTGGTGGGGCACGCAACAGAGGGGCGCACGTAGTCTATGAGGCCGGGGTCGGTGTGCAGCGCGGAGGCCAGCACGAAGGCGTCGTCGGTGTATCTGTCGCCCGGGCGCGTGTGCGGCGCGTCCTCGGCCGCGTGCTCGGCAACCGCCAGCTGCAGCAGCTGCGACACGTCGCCCTTCTCGAAGCCGCCGTCGCGCGTGAAGAACTTGAAGCCGTTGCGGTTGTATGGCAGATGCGACGCCGTTATCATCACTGCCCCGTCATACTCGTAGCCTGCGCGCACACATACTGATGCATTTACGGCCCACAATGCAAATATTCTTAGATTTAAGATATGGCATGAGGCCGACAGCAGGGTCTTGAAATCGCTGCCGCTCCGAGTTATTTCATTGCCGCTAGACCGCTGCAGTCCTTGTATGAATGAACAGACAAGGAAGTTTTCCGCCTGTTTCCCTGCGGATGGGGATGACATGGTGTGATCTGCGCACCTTTTGAGATGGTGCTCATGAACATGGCGGGAGTTGTGGCGTAGCCAAAGCGCGCCACATGCACTCCCTTGCTCGTCAGACCTGCTGCAAGTGCAGCCGCTAGGATGGGGCCGCTGATCCGGGGATCCCTGCCTATCTGCATGTCAAACATTCCTGCCTGAGCCTGCCGGGAATCACATCCAAGAGCAGCACCTTTGGGGCCTTTGCATTACGGTCAAAAGGATGGGCATGCACAGCAGCTCAGGTATAGGCGGCCCCAGGGAATCCAACAATAGTCAGCAGAAGGAAGTAAGACCAACCGAGACTCTGAGCGATCCTGTAGGAATCTTCAAGCGCGCAGCAAGTTGCTCCGCTAGACCAGCTCCCAGAAAGAAAGCAATCGTGGGATTGAGATTACGGGTTTCACCCTCGACTCCTGTGCAGATTGCAGCAAAAGCAAAACCTTCACGTTCCTTCCAAATGTTGGATGCCTGGCAATATCCAGTCTTGTTGCAATGCTTGGGGGAGTGCCGTGGGCTCACCATCGACAGCAATGCCTCTCACATCGCTGCCATTCTGGAGCCTCTTGTACAGGTTCAAAACAACCTCGTCAGGCTCTGAGGTGCTTGTAACAGGTGCTTCTGGAGCAGCCACCGCTGCTGCAGTGGAAGCAGGCCGTGGGATCTCTAATGCATTTGGTGCCCGTCTACATTGCCCTGCAAGTAGATGACACATGGACAAATGAAGTTGGGAGAAGTAGGGTTCTGTACCGAGAAGGCACATCACAAGAGCGATCACTAAAAGCCATGCAGACTGGATTGAGTCCATTCGGTGAGCACAAATTTAGATACACTTGCCAAACAAGTTATAGAAGCCTCTCAAACCTGGAATGTGTGAGGGACATGTCCTGCTGAAAACCCTTTGCTGTCCTAATATTCTGCTGTATGTCCTGATACGTTCAACAGAAACTCTTCGTCCATAGCCTATGCCGGATCCTACTGAAAATGCTGACATGACCGCCGTCCTGTACGTAATCACTTCGGTGATCAGTGCAAGATCCAGGTGCCTGTCTCGGATACCAAGTTCGTGCCTTCGATCTGGAGTTATTTGGATGCCAATATGGCAAATGCACTGTCTTGAGATTCAGAAGGAAAGATATTCTGCATCGATCAATGACGAGAAGTATTTAGGGTGAAACTGCCATGGGTCGATGAGGTGTATATCGTGCATTCAAAATTTCCAGTTCCAAGCATGTTCCAAGGCAAACCGATGGTCAAGCTTGACTCTGAGCAAATCTTCCTCAAGGGGCCTGGCCCAATCCTCTCATATATTGTGTTCAATATAGTTTGAGGAATTTGAGGTCAAGGTTGAAATGATGGGGCTTGCAACGCTTCAATTTGAGATGAGCAGAACTCCTGCTGCACTGTCTTTGCAGAGGAGAGGAAGCATCCAAAACTATGTTCGGCCTCAGCTGCAGAATATTGCAGCAATTAGGCATCTGACTAGCGCAGACAAGTTGGGACCGCAGGGCACGATTGAACTTTAGTCGTCGAACGTGCATCACCACAGCTGCAGCGGCAATCAATGCATCTGATGATGGTGCGTCCATGTCAAGTTTGCGAACGACAAAGCACCTTTTGGATCTGCAGAGAGTGTCCCGACGGAATAGAGAGGCATGATTGTAGTGAAGGTCTTCATCAACATCTACTTAAACAACCAGAGCTGCCAATTTGATGGATGCGGCCCGTCATCCTGGGTGAATGTAACGCATTTTGGTTTCAGGTGAATTGAAGCCCACCAAGGGGTGGCTTGCCCAGCAGAGAGAGAACGTTGACTCTCTGTTGCACCCCTTCTCTGACAAAGCCATCAATGCAAAGCTGCTGGCGCTGTGTCTGGCGCAAGCACTTTGCTCCGTTGCAACTCTCATTCATGACACATACCTGCCCATCTACTTGCAGGATGTCCTCGGTAAGGTCTTCCCGCACCTCTTTGACTTCTCTCTCGTACCTGAGCCGCTGTGATTAATACTTATTGGGGGAAGCAGTAACTGGCTGACGGCGGTGTATGATGTGCTGCGCAGGCCTCACCAACACGAAGGTAGGAGTTCTGGACTTGGTAGAATGAAGAATGGATCCAGCTGCCCCATGTCGGTGAGGGCAACAGGCTGGCCTGGCACCTTGATTCTGGCTAACTCACCACCTGTGCGGTTGTTGCAGATTGGCAATCTCCAAGCCCTGGCTCAGTTTTTGAGCAATGCTTCCAAGAGTGTCAGTGGCACTCTGGCAGACATCCTTTCCCCGTCCAGGATGATCATCTTTGGCACGCTGCTGACAACCCTGAACAAGCCTATGTTTGCCGGGTCTGGCTACATCTATGCAACATTTGGCACGGTCGTCACTCTATACTGGGTCACAGCAGGTGCGCTTGGGGATTGAATTTCGCCATAGAGCTCCCGTCCTCCATATCAATATGATTGATCTTGCTGCAAAGTTCTTCTGCGCATTCAGCATGCCGCATGTGGCATGAAAAGTGCTTGTGTCTGCAGGCAAGGTGTTTGACCGCATGAGCAAGGGTGTCAGAGAGGCCCCCGGCAAGGCCCTCATTGGAGAGCTGGCCGCCGCATCAGGGGACAGACCAGAGGGCGCCTTTGGTGAGCCTGTCAACGCATGGCCATTTGTCCTTTACATTTCAAACCAGGAACGTTGCTAGAGCAGTGTTGCAAGAGTGCCAGCTTGTGCACGTCATGCAAGAGGATGCAGGGTGAAAAATTGCACCAGCAGTTGATGAGGAATTGCTGATTGCAGGGCTGCGGCAGGCCATGGCGACTGCTGGTGCTCTTTTGGGAGCCTCTGTGGCGGGGCTGGCGTACAAGCTGTCCGGGCAGAGCTACACTGTCACATTCGCTCTGGCAACCATCCCAGCCACGCTCGCCCTGCTGCTCACCATCTCTGTGCGCAATCTCCCTCTGCATTCAGCGACCTCCGCTGACTTCTCGCAAAATATTTGTGCCAGTGTGGACTGCTGCTCCTTAAATGTGGTTGCCCACGCTGGTTCTTACAATGGAGGGTGGTTGCAGGCGTTTGGTGACTCTGCCAAGGCTGCAGGCGCTGCCAAGAAGGCCGCCAAAGGTGGGCCCTGCTCTGCTTTTAGAAGTCCTTCTCAAATCTGTCGACGCCCTCGTACAGACATCTCCATTGAACGTCTCAGGAGCCTGTCAATGGCGCTGAGTGAGGGCGGCTGGGTGCTGTGAGCGCAGAGGCCAAGGAGGCGGCGTCCGGGGGAGTGGCGGAGGTGCAGCTGTCGCTGGTGCAGAAGGGGCGCGCGCTTGTGGGCGCCCTGCAGCCGGCCTACTGGCAGGCACTCATCGTAGTCTCCCTCCTCTACTTCGCCCGCTTCGACGCATCCTTCATCACCCTCCGCGCCCGCACCGTGCGCCCCTCTCATTTCCCCCTGGACCCTGTGGAAAGCTCTCAACCACCGCAGTGGCATTTCACGTACCACTTGACCCTGCTTGCAGAGTTGCACATGCATTGGTATCCTTTTGCAGACTGAAGGCGGTGGGTTTGGGACACTTCTCGAGGCCCCTCCACTCGAAACCCTTGACCCCTAGGAACCCAATTGAAGCATGCGAGTAATAAGTTCCATCCCGGACTCTGTGAAGGGCGACATGCGACTGCGAATGCTTGCAAAATTCGAAAAGTTCATGTGCAGACTTGAGCTGCATCTTTGAGAGGGTTAGGGGTGCCTGTGAGAAGCGTATGATAGTAAAAAGGGGCGGTGGGTTGCTGGGTGCGCAGGTGATGTCCAAGGCGCAGCTGCCGCTGCTGACGTCGATTATCATGGTGGTGCAAGCCTTCCTGTCCGCGCCGGCCGGCATCCGCGCCAAGCGCTCCCTCAAGGACCGCAACCAGGTGCTGCTGCTGGGCTACGTCGCCATGATCGCCGCCGACCTCTCCTTCGCCCTCGTCCCCTCCATGATCGGTGCGCATCCCTGTTCTTACGCCCCAACCATTGATATTCTGCTCTGGACGCTGATGCACGACATGGCTCTAGGTAGGACTGAGTCACCACCACCTTCGCTCACACAGCGCAGAACTTGATGATACCTGTTGAGCTGGCCCTCCATCATCAATGACCTCACCTCTGTAGCATCTTGAATTGCCCCGATGGCCATGCCAACCCCTTGTCAGCAGGGAAACACGTCACCACCAACACCACCATAGCATGCGCAAACAGCATTGGCACTTGTTTAGCCTGCCCTCCTCTGCTACACCCATCTGCACGCGATATACCCTCTGGCTATGCTTGCACTCTCCAATGGACTTGCTGGGGTGTCCTTTTAAAAGATTGGGATCTGATGCAGGCATGCTGGGGGGCTCGTTCTTTGTGGGGGTGCACATGGCGTTGACGCACGGCGTGACGCTGGGCATGGTGGCCTCCTACATCCCAGCCACCGAGGTGGAGGGCATCGGCCGCATCACCGGCACCTGCTGGTCCTTCACCGACTTCGTCTTCGGTGCGCGCCACGCGCCTCTGAATCACTGGGCAAAGCCTCTGCACAACTCGATTTCCATGCTGTCTGACCCAAAATGGAAGTGGTCAAAAGATGCTCAAAGTTACCGCAAACGCCACCCGACACTGAAATAAGATTGCTCTGCGTTAACTTTGAAAGTGTGTGCAGGAGATGCATTCCATACTACCCATTTGGTGCCAAGGCAGAAGTACTCAGTCAGTGTGGACCTGAGCACTTGGGCCTGTTCACATTGTGAACTTCACAAGCCATCTGACATCTGGGGCGGCTGCTGTGCAGGCATCATTCTAGCGTATAGCAACTCGGTGGCAGGGCGGCTGTCGGATATCACAGTCGCTGCAAGGGCGGGCAACATCGGGTGCTTCTTCGGGGGCACCCTCGCCACCCTGCTCTCAGGGACTGCGCTCATTCTGTTCACCCAGTTTGGCAGCCTGGGCAAGGAGGATGCTCTTACCACCAGAAAGCCTGCAAAGGCATGAGTGCGACAGGAGCTGGCAGCCACTTGATGGCTCTACAAGGGAATTCGTAAGCATGAGAAGATCAATTATGTTTGTGCAGATAAATCAAACACCAAAGGGGACTCCACAAAGAAAAACTCACATTGATTGAGTCACTAAATATGGTGGTCATGATTTAGTGTCAAGAAAGCGCTCTCAGGCAACGTTTTGCATAAAGGTGCTTCCAAATTCATCTTGAAACATTGTTACAGTCTGCAAAGTTCTTGCATGTCTTAGCACCTGTCATACTGTGTCCGGCTGCCCTGTCTAGTTTCTCTCGCATACATACGGTAGTGCTGCACAATGCTGGTCACAATTACTAGAACGCAGAGAAGGAAAAACACTGGCCATGCCCTATACTAGTACTGTAGTAAGACCGTGTCACATTTACCACATTCAAGAAGTAACCTTCCCTAATTGTTGGTGACATCAGAACACATCATCCTGGGTTTGTTGCATGTTCCTGGCAGCATTTGACGACATTAAAATGCAACTCAAATCACTCCACAAACTTGATCTTTCCATACCAGATCGAACATATTAATGAAAGAATAGCATAGGACTTTTGCGTGACTCTGCAACTGGTTCTGTCTCCGCTGCAATTTCATCATGGTCGTGATCACCCAAACCGAATGCCTGAGCCGCATCCAAAGTAGTTGCTGCGGACCCTGTCGTCCCGCCAGACGCCCTGTCTCCCCACGCCCCAGCAGGGGTTCCAGGCATTGCCCCAAGGCCCAATTCCCACCAACGATGTCTTCTGCCTGGCTGCCTGTTCTGGACCCTGTGACCATGCAGCCACATGCAGTCACATGCCAAGTCCCCGGCTTTGACAATGTCCCCGAACGATCATCAAGAGAAGCAACACACGGATGTGAACGGGAAGCTACGAACACCTCGTATCAACACCAAGAGAACATTCCAGCCAAGTGACGCAAAGAGGGCTTGGTTTGAAAATCAAGAGGGGGCCGTGCGCTCACATCCCCAGTGGAGTCATCGATGTAGATGACAATGTCCTTCAAGATGAGCCCCACGGTAGTGCTGTTGAGGCGGCTGGCTGGGTCGCCCAACAGGGCAGCGTTGGCCGTGCCTTCACTCAGCTTCAGGGAAGCTGCCTCCGTCACCGGCTGCACCGCAAAGCTGAGCGTGTCTCCTGAGGCGTTGTAGCGCGGCTCCGACAGGATTGCCACCATGCTGGTCTCGTTCGCTGCGCCGTCCTTGACCCCCCATATCACCTGCGCGCAGCCCACACCAGCACCTGTCAAACCCCATCTACACCTCAGCATATGTCCAACGGGTTCAATCATTGATTCATCCACATGCATGCCTCCACTAGGAGTCTCTCGGCGGCGAAGAAAACATCCCGAGGTGCTTTGTGGTGGTGGGCTGAGCTCGCTGCAATGAGAGAACGTACCCATCAAGCCGCGTTCTTGGGGAGGGTGATGCAAATGTTGGCTAACTTCCACAAAGTAACCACAAAAGCAAACAAGGTAAGCCATTGCAGGGACTCACCGCCTGGGGGTTGCCGAGCCAGGCGCTGCCGGAGGGGTCGCTCTGGTTGAAGGAGGCGCTGAGGAAGTAGTCGAGGCGGAAGCGGCCGGTGCGCTTGCCGCGCTCCGCCAGATCAGCGGTCCAGTCAACGCGCGATGACACACCGGCCAGGAACAGCGTGTTGGCGCGCGTGAACACTCCCGCCCGCGCCTGGATCACATTTGTTATGTCCGCCGTCGTGTTGCCGCTGCCTGTTGTGGCCGGCCCCGGAGCGGGAGCCTGCAACAGAACCAGGAAGTGTATGCTTCATTACCTACCAATAGGGGCCAACACAGAGGCCAGGCGCACTCTCACAGACACAGACTCCCTCTTTGCTGCCGGTAAGGCAGAGCACTAAAGCTCGGACAACCTAGATCAAGTTGGACAGACGTCTCCTTTATCGGCGAGCAGAAGGGGAAAAGACGGAGGCCAGAAGCGCTCTCAGAGACACAGATAGCCTCGGTGCTGCCGGTAGTCCATAGTAATGCAGCCAAGGGGATCATGAATCAATCAGATCTTGCAGCGTCCCAGGGTGCAGCTGTGCAACGGGAACAAAGCAGCTGCGCGCCTGGGATGGGGCGCTGGACTGGAGGGAGGTGGTGCGCGCAACTGGCTTGGGTGCTGGTGCCCTGCTGGGAGCCTTGCTGCTGGGGGCCTTGCTGGGTGCCCTGGCTGGAGCAAGGGCCGGTGCCTTGGGGCGTGCCGGCGCCTTGGCAGGGGCCTTGGCAGGCGCTCTTGGCAGGGCAGGAGCTGGGGCAGGGACAGGAGGAGATGTTTCCACAGGAGAGTCTGCGCTGAGATCGAGCGCTGCTGAGGAATCCTGCACGGTAGCTGCCACTGGTGCTGGAGCAGGGACGTCTCCTGGAGTGTCACCAGCGAGGTCTCCTGTGCTGATCGCAGCCTGGCCGAACGCTCCTGACCATCGCAGAACTCCTAGTTATGGTAAGTAGATGACCACATCTTGCATACAATACCTTAGTGAGCCTTTGTTTGATTGCGCTATTCGTATTCGTCATGTTGAACTGATCTGTCGATTTGCATCACTGAACACGGACACACCTTGTGCTTGCGATGAGAGCAGGATGACGAAAGTAAGCAAAGAGAGATTCATCGTTTGAATGTTCAGGACAATTCCGAAGTATCGGACGGCCACTTGCTCAAAGTGCCGTTGAGTTCCGTTAGTACAAGCGTCGAATGAATTTTTGCACAAGGGTCTGGCCACTTCGTCGTGTCAATCAAATATCCAAACCAATTCTTAAGCTAACATGAGAGAAATTTTCCCTCTTGCACGATGTCCGGACCCTTGATCTATTGGTAACGGCACGTGTGGACTTAGAATAGCACGTGATACAATTTCATGCTTGGCTCAATTTTATGCGAATGAATAGCAAATGAAAGACCGCCATTTCCTTGCAATGTGCATGTCCCCCTGCAGCGGTTCACCGTGAGAACTCAAGTGCTCAGTCAGTTGTACCTACCGGTGACCGCTGCAGCCGGCGCCAGCCGGCCGCGGCTCACGCCATGTCAGTGACCTGCCAGTGACCACTGATCAGCTGGCAGCCGCTTTTTAATTCATGATCACCATCAGTTGCCAGCATGTACTCTACAGCCATGGCGCCCGCAGATGTGGACCTGACATTTTCGGCTGGCTTGCATCACTACACCACAAATATGGACAATCTGCGACTGCATTCAGTTGCTTGAATTTGACTTCAGGACCTTGGGCTTTGCCGTTGCGTGCATGCAATCGCAAACAGGCTGAGCATTACAATTAGTCACCCACAGCCGCACCTGTTCCAGCACTGGTTGGGGTCCTTCTTGCCGTCGTCCTTTTTGCCCTCGTCCTTCTTGCCATCTCCCTTCCAGTCGCCGCCACCGCCCTTCTTGCCGTTACCCCCCCAGTTGCCTGAGGGGCTGCTAGGAGGTGAGGAGGACTTCTGGTGCAGCCGGCGCCCCTGACCCGGCCAGCTGCGCAGCATGCAGCTGCAGCCTGCTTGCAAAATTTCTTGAGCCTATGTGTAGCTACAGTCACTGTAGCTACACGGTGTAGGCCCTACACACACCTCATGCAAACTATGAAGTTCGTAGTACGAACAGAGATTTTGAGGTCAACTTCAACAAGTGAACGCTTTTGGATTGGATCTGGCATAGTCCATGGAGACCAGGATCTCTGTGCGCTTAACAACAGATGATACAGGATGCATGAAAATCAGGAATCATAGTGCTGCAGCTGCATCCGGATGGCTCCCAACAACTGACTCCAAGTAAGCATGTGTGACATGAATAAAAGCAGCCTTGTCAGTTAAATGGTCCAGTGAGACCTTTAATCTTCCCCTCTGTGCATGTCACAAATCACATTTTGTAGTCAGGCCCCCAAGTCTTGTCCCCACATATTTCAGGATGTGCACATCCTGACCACCATATAACACAAAGAGAAGCACTTGTATGTAACGGCACACCGCAGGCAACCAACAAGGGAAGTGTAGAGAAGAGATCCAGATTCTGGCAGGCTGCCTCGGCCGCATGAATGTGTCTATCTACTTGCGCTACCATCTCTCTGCCAATGCTCTCCTTTGAACAAAAGCCTGCTCTTGAAGCAATGCTGCCGGCAACACAGCCGGCCAAAAAGAATGTGTGGTGGCTCCTAAGCCATCACATGATTGTACACGTCAGCGCCCAGATCAGCCGGAGCGGCCGGCAGCCGCGCGGCGCACATCCAGAGCAGCCTTGATGACGTCACCCCTTGTGAAAATGCCCACCAGGCGGCCATCATCGTCCACAACAGGCAACCTCCTCACCTGCAGTGACACCACCGCCATCATCAGTACTTGTATGCAGTCACCATCGATATTTGTGCGCAGTCATGCCTTCTGCTCAGCACGCTGGCAACTGCCTGAACCAGCATCAGACTTCATTGACAGGCACAGTGAGTGAGCTAGGACAGCGAATTACCCGGGTGTCCAGGAGCATGCGGGCGGCTGATGTCATGTCAGTGTTGGCGCGGACGACCACTGGATTCTCTGTCATCACGTCGCCCACCCTGCAACAGGGGCAGCTGACTCAAATGGCAATATTGCCAAAGAGAGGCTGCTAGCTCGACTGGGACGCAAAAAGCACAAAGAAATTCAACAATCATGCAGTCTTGAAAGCTGGCTTGGTGGGCAAGGTACTTACACCCTGCCGGCGTTCTTGAGGACAAGCTTCTGCACTTCGTGGAAGGAGTCCCAGTTTGTGTCTGCCCTTGGGAAAAAGCCGGCTTCCTGTGGCAAGCGGTACACTTTTTCAGATTAGGCGCTGCATCTTTTAACAGTCATATGCATGTGCAGGGTATCCAGCACAAATGAGCCTCCTTGTGCCAGGCTTCACTCGCTTTCACACCTGCATTTTGCCAGAAACCGCATCCAGCGAGAGCAAATCATAGTCTGACACTACTCCAACCTGCATGAACACATAGTCACCACTTTCAACCAGCATTTCATGTGACCGTGAACATGCCAAGGCATAAAGTACTGTATCTAAAAAGGAAATGGGCAGAATCAAAACTTGCTGAAGTAGCTTACCACCCTATTTGACTCGTCCAGGACTGGAAGGCCAGACACTCTGTGCTTGACCATGAGCTCCAGGGCTGGAATCAGGACAACAATGGCTGTCAGATGTTGAGTATGCGCGGAAAGAAACTTCCACCACGCAATTAAAGCAGAAAGAACAGGGGAAACGTCTGACAGGAGTGCGTACCTTCGTCCACAGATGTGTTCACTCGAGCGCTGAAAATCTTACCCTTCGTCATAACGTCATCCACCTTGTGTGGTCCCTGCGGCCACCGCAATGGTAAAAGATGAGTTCTTGGTGCAACAGATGACCCCCTCTAAGTAAGCCTCAAAGAGCCCCTTCAACTGCGAGCTTCACTGCTCTTTCATGTATGAGTCACAATGAGATGAAGACAACTACTACTACTACTAGAAAAGTTTAAAAGGCACGCTCACATTGCACAAACACCACGAGGAAGCAGTACACATGTTAGGTTCAACCAGCTACCAGCTCTCCACCAGCACAAGACTTCTGTAAGCGACGCACTACATGTCAAACAGCTGAAGTATGAAGCTTACCCCGATCTCAGGTAACGCATAATTAGCTAGTACTGCTCTGGGCAATACAAGGGAAAGCCTTGAAACTTTAAGGCGCCTGCTTGGAAGCAAGTATGACGCCGGGCTGGGAACAGGCAGAAAGCGAGATGGGAGCGTGTTATAGGGTGCACTGCATGCTGTCCTTCCGCTTATGCTGGGAAGCCGACCACTGAAAGACGCTGCGTTGGCCATAGACGCCGAGGCTTTTGAAACCGCGAAGCCAGAAAACGTGGGCGCTAGCCAAAGAATCGCTCAACACAAACGAAAGAGCTTTAGAAGTGTTGCTTATTTCGCTTGACACTCGCTCCCTGTTCGCCTGTTCGTTACTTTTGTCCCCAATAGCGCCCACGATGTTCCAACACGTCCAGGCGCCTGCGCTTTCCGGAAGTGCTCCAGATTTGGCTAGCGATCGCAGTCACGCCGTTGGAGGTGTGCATTGTGGGTGTTGAGCTACCTTGGATCGGTTATCCTTCATTTCGTTCACGAAACCCACATAATCTGTGATCTTTATAATACTGCACGATAATTTCCCTGTTACTTGCTGTGCTCCTAGACAGCTGGAAGCGGGTTCTGGCGGCACCTCGAATTTTAGACTCCTCAGTGTATTAATCCGCTTCATCTGGTCCTCACCTCATGGTGTGTGCATAACAAAGAACGATTTGGTGAAAGAAACATTTTGATGTGATCCGTGTTGCGCGACAGACTCTTCTGCACCTGAGCATGTTGGGAGAAAGTTTGTAAGGTGCAATCAAGGGATCGCATACATACTAACGAGTTCAAGAGATTCTTGACTATACAACCAATCATAACGTTTCTCGTGGTCCTGTATCACCAGGTAATTTGCTTGCATGGCGAGCACCGCTGGACCGGATTTCCACCAGGTCCAACGATGCTTGTCAACTTCAACCTGGCGATGGATTATTGGATCTTGTATACTTGGGCTCATCGTGTCTGCCGTTGTGATGCGGGAGGCCGATCATGCGCCTGTTCATCACCTGACGCGGGGTTTTTTTACTCTGGTCCCTCCAAGAATCTCTCAGGAGGTACACCACCATCGCTTGCCCCGAAAATATTGATCAAGCTATCACTGGACTATCTTGATGGCGACCCATGGGTAACACTGCATCGAGCTGCAGAGGGGCATGCTGACATGGAGCGTGCAGTTATCAAAGAATTTTGGTATCTTCTGCTATCAGGAGTTGCCTGTTACAATTGCTGAGGCAAGAACCGGGAGGACACCCACGGAAGCAGCAGTCTGGATGCAGATGCATGAGGACTTCTTGAAGGAGATTCAAGAGGACGCAGTGGAGGTATGACAGGATCTAAATGCATGCCGCCCATGTTTGCGCTGTGTGCTTGCAGCAAATTCCATGCAGCAAAACCCTGAGGCCTCAATTGCTGCAGGGTTTGGATTGCGTTTTCTACGGGGACTCAATTACAGAGTCTTTAAGGGGCACGCAAATGGGTGTCAAGATTGAGAAATTTGTTGGCATTCCGGAGGTCTTCCAAAAGCACTATGGCCACGTGAGAGCGGCTGCATACTCCATTGCCGGTGGGTGCCACCCTGGTCTTTCATTTTCTACAGATGGAGCCAATTGAGCTCTCATTGTAGATGTGGGAGCAGTAGAGGACTCTGCTGATATGATTGCAGGTGACACCACACGGAACTTACTCTGGAGGTTGCAGAATGGAGAGGGGCCGGGTTCACTCTCACCCAAAGTTGCCATTGTCCTTATTGGGACAAATGACATCACTAATCCAGTGTACAACCTGGTGCTGGTTCCCATCTCCAATTGCTTTGTTGCAGTAGCATGAAAGAGCATGCTCTCATTCAAAACCTGCTGAGGGGAAGCAATTTGCTGAATTGGAGATGGCCTGGCGTCATGCAGGATATCAAGGATCCTCTACAGACAAGTGCGGTTGTGGCATCTGGTATCTTTGCTGCTGTATCAATTATGCTAAAGCAGTGTGCAAGGATGCATGTAATACTATTGGCGGTCATGCCCAGGGGAGAGAGGTGCGCAAATGCCTGATCATCAGGTGCAGGCAATGTTCTGATCACGAGAGTCTGCAGTCTGCTCTCTGAAGATGATGTTTTCCCATACTTTCTCAGCCAATTGCAGTGTGGTTGTCACTGAGCTCCAGTTCTTTACAGTTTCTCTGCCTGCAGGTTTCTGTTTGTGGCATTGGAAAAGTACAGGCTGCCTTCACGGTATTCCCCAGTGATTGGCGCTATCAATGCGCGTTTGAAGCGATTTGCAGATGAGCAAGATCGCGTGAGTTTTGTGGACTGCAATGAAGAGCTTGTGGAGATTGGCATGGTAAGCACATTCTCCACACCACCCTCGGGATAAGAGATCTACAGACCAGTCTATTCCTGCACTGCTGATGTGTTTAGCGACATGTGTGTCATTCGCTGTGTGAATTAAGACCTGTCATGCTTTTGGCAGGATGGACAGGGGCAGATGTTGAACAAGGCTTTGATGCCGGATGCGCTGCATCCCAACGCTTTAGGCATGGACAAGGTGTTAAGCTGCCTCGACTCCCACGTGCTGCCATATCTGCCCCGAATGCCCACTCTGTGAAGTGAACGTTGTTGGTTGAGGAACAGCCCAGTGTGCAAGCTTCTGATAAGAACCAGGCACGCAACGGTATTGGAATATTTACATGCCACACACTGTGCTGAGTGGCAAAAAGCACTGCTGATTTTGTGATAAAAAAGGACATTGATGATTATGTGTATCAAATATCTCGTCCTCGGCATTAGTAATTGTGATCATGCCTGCTTTTGTCCTTTGTCCGGATCAGATATGAATCCAAGCAGCCAATTTTTGAGATGTTATGTTGCGATGTCACGTCTCGTTTGGAAAAGTGCTCTCAAGCAAAAGCCTATCTGAACTCGTGCGTTGACATTGAGCCTACAAACTGGGACACAATGTTATAGCTGTAACAAAAATGTGAAAAATTCTGCTGCATGGGCCTACAGCTACCTAGCTGACTAATTAAAAAAATAGTCTTCTCACGATGCATGCGTTAGGCGGCCACAAGCATTGCACTGCCTCAGATGTAGCTTGTGCAAGGCGCTGCGAGCATGTTGTTCCAAGCTGTCCAAAGAGCTGAACGCCCTGTTACACCCCTCATGCCCACACCTGCATAGGCATGCACGTCCCTGTCAGTATACATCCACATGAATGTGCAATGGCCAGGACGCACAGAAAAGAAGCACCCCGTAATAATGCTTCCCAACCATCACTCCTGAATCTTTCCGTGTCCAGCTGCTCAACTCTTGATCTTCTCTGCACTTTTCAAGCCTGACTAACAGAAATTGCAATGAAGCGTTTGCCATCCTGCAATAGTGTGAATGCGAATGCCACAAAGACCAATAATGGAGCGCTCACGTGAGGGTGCTGCTTTGCACGAGGCTGCCGATGGGGCTGAGGCAGGTGCTGCAGGCAGACGTGCTGGAGTGCCACATCCGCAGCGCGCGGAAAATCTGCCCCGTGATCAGAGCATCCAGCGCCGCGTATACAACCTGACCCTGCGTCAGCCGCCGCGCCTCCCAGTTGCTCATCGACACTCGCCGCGACTTGGGCAGCTCGAAGCCAAGCACACGCGCGGTCAGGCTGCCGAGGCCGTAGCGGTGGTAGCCCATCGCCACGCTCACCCTCTGCAGGTCTATAAAGTGGGGGAACGAAGCCCGCCCCATCCTGAAGCTGGCCTGCATCTTGTTCTCGTCTGAGCCGTCCCAGCCGAAGCCGCACAGCACGATGGTTGGATCCCTGTCGCATACGCACGCATGAATTAATACAAGCAGCAAGCTTTCAAATGGCAAGATGAGTGCTGATGTTGTCCTCATTTCTGTGCCCGATTTTGTTGTCGCAGCAGGTGGGTGATGGGTGGCATACATATGCTGCATGAGAGCGTGCCCACCTGAGGAACTCTGCGAGAACTGGCGGCAGCTGATGCTTAAGGCGGCATGTTCTGATGAGCACAGCGCAGGAGCTGGTGGCCAGCTGCATGAGGGCCACTCGGCTCTGGCCTGCCCCAAAGTCTGGCCGCCACTCCAGATCAATAGCCACCAAGGCATCCTACGTGCAAATATGCACTCACACGTCATGATAAGGATTACACGACAAATTTAGTGCCCATCACATAAAAAAACACCCTGCCATACTGGGCGTAGGTGTAAAGTTTCACCTGCATAGAGGTGCGCAGAGCCTGCAGAGCCGCAGGCAGCTCTTGTGAGGTCTCCACCATGTGCACACTGGTGCCCCCAGGGAGCGCTAAACAGCTGCTTCCATGTGGTGGGGTGGCTGCTGAGGCTATTGCAGAGTCGCTGTGCGGAAGGCTGGTGAGAGTTGCCACCACCGAGGGCCAGTCACAATGGGGCAGCTCCACTCTGAAGCTGCACCATGGGGCTACATCCGCTCTTTGTTGGCTGCAAAGAGGACACCCACACCATTGTGTCAGATGCACCTCATGTGGCATGCATGCAGGACATTGCGTACATCTGTTTTAGCAAGAATATGTGATGGATGTGTACGGGGGCTCATCAGAGAGGGATACCTGCTGTCACACTGCCCTGCTGGACAAGGTGGCACAACCGCCGCATCATGTTCGCACGATCTTTGAAGAGTGGTGCTGCATAGATCCGGAAGATTCCTGTGGCTCTTTTTATGATTTCTTGCCAGCAGATCTTCTGCACGTTTCCTCTTGGCAGATTTTGGTAGATTTACTGACTTGCCTAGTGATTCACTACAACAATTGTCGACCAAAAGGCTCCTAGATTGACTGCGAAATAGACAAGATTGCTCAGACTCTGATGAGCAAGGACCTTCCGATGAATCTAGACCTCTGTATGTCTGGTCTAAGCTACACAGAGCAGGGCTGGATGCGCCCAAGTCATCAGCGCCGGTTCTCAACAGCGCGACCATCCTCCTTGTGAGATGATTGCAACACCTACAAATTTATATGTATATGTGCAAGCCACAACTTGTGCCACAAGAGTGTTGCTTACCAGCTGTCGGCGGGGCACGTGAGTCTGGTATGACTAATATCAGGATTGAGGAGTGCAGCAAGATCTGCTTGGGTCCTGGACTTCTCGTAGAAAGAAACTTCCGATTTAAGTGTTCGAGGGCGTTCATCAAGTTTTGGTCCCTGCGTTGCTGCACATTCTCACATCGGTGCCATAAATGAAACAAGATGCACCGCAAGTCCCACAATTTCTCCTATCTCCATATCATTCTACTAATCAAGATATTCTAACAAAGTAACCGATCTGTTGAATTGGTTGATTTGGCTTCAATTGCCAAAAGAGCGGCCCAACCTGCACCTCGAGTACCGATGCTGCTATTCACTGAGATTCTTGACAGCTACACTTCTGCCCTGAAGAAGCTGATAGAATCACAGAAGACTGTCGGGAATCTAAATGGCAATCAAAGAGCAAAAGCAGAGGTATAATGCAGTACCATTGTCTCAAAAGCTCAAGCTGATACCAAGGGTGGGCTCGGACAAAAAGCAGTACCTTTTCGAAGGTGCAGGTGACACGGTCCTGGGTGTGCACGGAGCTGCTGTCCTTGCTGATGCAATACCCTGGAGGTGTGAGCGAAGCAATCAGCATGACAGAGCTGAGCGACCGATGGAACGAACAGGTGCTTGCTCGCTACAACTCCATGATGATCAGGCATGCATTCGCATCGTACAATATTTTTCTCTCATTTTGTATGCTGTCTGATGCATCAGGGGCGCAGTAACGGCCATGCAAATTCCAAGTCGGCCTTTGTACCTGTGCGGCAGCTTCTGCAGCGCAATGCTGTCAGCCAGGGGGACGAAGTTGTGATAGAGGCACTTGTGAAGGGTGTGGAAGGGGGTGATGGCCGGCCAGTGGTTGTGCTGCTGGCAGATGACACCACTGAGAACCAGCCTGTTGGCATGTACCTCCAGTCCCAACTCCTGAGCCTCTGCATGGGACCTGCACCACTGCTGAGAGGTAATCTTTCAAATCTGCTTGCTCACATCGGCCTAGATTAAAACACTTCCTGCCAGTGTTGAGCATGCACTGCAGATAACAATCCAATTCTACTTGTGTCCTCTGCAGAGGGATGCAGGCTGCGAGTGGGCAATTGTGTCATCCATCGAGCGCCAAAGTCCACAGGACTCCCTTTGCGGCTACTGCCCACTGCAGAACTCGCCATTGTTTGCCATCAACCATCAGAGGCTCAAGCCTTGGTTGGGCCACACAAGCTTTTCACACCATCGCAGGTGTGTTCTTAGGCCCTCCCAGCCTGTCCTCTGTATGTGGTTCATCACTATTGCAGAGTGTAATAATGGTGATGTATCCAGGTCCTGGACTTGAAAGTGGAAAGAGAGGAGTGCCGATTGCTTGATGGAGTGCTGCATGCTGTGGTAGCCAGTGTGGGCCCAATGCAGGCTGGCATTGACTCTGAGCATGGCATCAGCTCTAGGTAAATCCACTTGAGGCATCACAGCTCCATTACATGTGCAGGACTTCTCGCTATACAGACGGCAATTTGCTGTTTGAAGACGCCAGAATGCCATTTATTGCAAGTTTTGTGATGTGAATGCATGAGCAGGTCTGGCAACTGGCGCTGCTTATGGCTGGCTGATCCCGATGGTGGGAAAGTTGATGATGGACCTGCACTTCAGCTCAGACTGCTGGACCAACAGGTGTGAAACCACCCAACCCACAGCAATCTACACGCACTAGTTGACTCACAATTTTACCCTGCTTTACCCATTCAACAAAACTATCAACCTTATACATACAGGTGGCATATGGTGAAATGCTGCGACGTGGAGAGCATGTCCTCATTCGGCAACCGTTGCTGACAACCACTCTTGGGCCAGATGCAGCAACCTGCTTAGAGGTGGCAAACTCTACACAGCTGATCTACTGACAGCTTTCCTGCTGGCCCTCTTGAAATAGCAATAATTCCTGTATGGACGCAGCCATGAGAATTTACGATATTCATTGACCACCAGCTGTATATCTGTGGCAGGTGGCAGCAGACTCGCTGGTGATCGTTGTACCAACAGATGGGGCGGCAGATGGGAAGACCGGCAAGGCCTGCATGCAGGGCACACAGATCAGTGCAGATGCCGCCTGCACCTTGTCACTGACAGCAGGGCACCGGTCCAGACATGCAGGAGCTGTTGTGGGCCTGCTGACTTCCATTCAGCTGCAAGTGGAGCAACAGCACAGATCGCTCGATCTGCGCATCCTGGTAAGCGAATGTTGGTACAGAATTGTGTTGTCCGATAAGGCCAGACATGTTGTCAGTGTTCCAGTACACTCTGGCATGGAAAAGGAGTGATGCGTTTCCTCTGGACACAGGATGGTGAGGGAGCTGTGTATGAGGTAACAGCGCCCCTGAGACCCAACAGCAAAAGCTCTCTGCTTTCTTTGCGCGCTGGTCACACTGTCGTGGCAACCGGACTCAGTCTCATGTCAAGCCTTCAGCCTGCGCAAGAATTTGTAGAGGGGAGTCATCCTACAGCCTCCTCTCAGTGCAGATGGGAAGAGGTAAATGTGATGCCAGCTCTTGGTCCTGACGCATGGTGACATCTCAGCATGCAGTTGCGTAATGTGCTGGTTGGTGCCGTTGCTGAGATGCCGACAATGTGCTGCAGGCCCCAGGCGCTCTGTTTTTGAGCCTGTCTGCGCTGCCATCGCTGCTCTACTCGCCGGCCTTCAATGCAATCCATGTCAGTCTGGCCTCACTACGCCGGGCCTCAGCACTACAGCTGAGCTGCTGCCTGCCTGCCCTCTGTGGCGTCTCCCTGGCAAGCCCTCCCTGCATACTGGTCAGGTACCAATGCTCCCCCAGTCTGGCAAAATTCACAACCCTTGGTTGTGCACCACTTCATGTTGTGGTCATTGTTGGCAGGTCAAAAAGCAGGCATGTACATGTGCAGGAGAGTGCATGCGCCATGCCAGAAGTCGTTGCGGCGCGCGTCCTTTGGATTTGACGACCTATTTGGCGGATACGAGGGCGGCGACATTTCATTAAGCATGGCCACAGATGAGGTGAGCCCTGGAGCTCTGCCACTGCAATATCACCTGGCAACAGAGCATTACAGGATGCTTCTTGTAAAAGCAGTACAAAGTTGGATTTTATGCATGCAGACGCCTAGCTCCTCACAGCCAGAGTACATGGCCACGGACAACAAAAGCAGCCTTTGGACCTGCACCTTCTGCCAGTCTGAGTGCGGCTCCTTTGCAACTGTTCCTGTGCTGGAGGCGCGGCTTGAGATCACAGATGAAGCAGGTGAAAACACCCACTCCACACAGGCATTCAGCCGATCATTGCAGGCATTGGTGCATAATTAAAGGGATGCCTTGATGAGTCATTAGGGAAGGCTATTTGGTGATGGCAGGTACATCAGAGCAAGTGACGGCCCAAGGGGATGCTGTTGCTTCTCTTGTGGGAGTGACAGCTTTGGAATGGTATGGCATGGAGGGAGCCGCCAAAGAGGCAAGGCTAAGAGCGCTCAAGGGTGCACGAGTGCTGATGTCCTTCTTTATGGAGAGCGAAGACTTACAAGGCAGCTGCCGGTCGAAGGAGCCCCTCAAAGTAGCATCCCTCAGAAGCTTGAATTGATCAGTACTGCGATGTCAAGTCACCAGACATTCTGCAGTGCCTCTTGATTTGCATGTGCTGCCTACTGTGTATGGCAGTGTAGTTGTGAACATAGCATAACACCCGGGTTCAGGTGCAAAAGACGGACGCTTCAAATCATAATTACCCGACCGACAGGATGTCTCAGAACAGATCTGTTGTATTGGTGTAAAGACACATGTGCAACGACACACAGATGCTGTGCTGCATACTGTCATGCTTTCCTTAGACAATCGCTAGAGTTCCTTAACACTCTTCCCCGCCACAAACTCCAGTACTGGGCTGATGACCCTCTGCAGCACAAATATCACACAAGAGTCACAATTCCCCAATGAGCTGTATAGTCCTCAAATTCCTGTACTCCCCAACTTGTGAATGTATCAAATGGCACAGGTCACATTGTTGTGTTTCTTTCAATGTGTAGAACTTCTTGCATGGGCAAGTGAGGTTGCAGCACTCACCTGCAGCGCCTGGGCAGCAGCGTGCAGGTTTTCCAGGAACTCTTCCTGCGGCGGCCGGTCGCCGTCCACAATGTCGGTGATGCTTTTCAGCGCCAGAAAGGGAACGTTGTGCAGATGTGCCACCCATGAGATCCCCGCCGCCTCCATCTCCTTCACTGCAGCCTCGTTGGCATGCAGCTGATCCCAGTCCTCCTTGGAATAGTCCAGCGAGTTGCCAGACGACACCACTCCTTCCTGTGCAATATCAGGCCCGTTTATAACATGTTTCACAGCAGAAGCCCAGCACCTTTTGCATCATTTTTATAAGAAGACAGTATATCTGCGGTGTACGCGGGACAGAAAGCTGACCTTTAAGCTGAGTGCCTCCCTGAGGTTGGGCGCAGGCACCGCATCTATCCTCCAGACCCCATACTTGTCAAACCCCTGCAATTGAAGCGGAGCAAATCAGGAATGATAGCAGCGCTGGAGCTCAGCGACAGGTTGCTTGAGGCCTGCAAGAACGGCACCCACCGGGATGGGAATGCGCCTGTCATGGTTTGCAAAGGCCGTCGCCAGGAAGACATCCCCGATGGCTGCGCCGCGCGCTTTGAAGCCGCCGGCCGTCCCCACGCTGATCACCAGGTCTGGCTTGAACTCGTGCACAGCCAAGTACGCTGTGACAGCTGCCGGCACAGTGCCCACATTGTCCACACCATGCAGCTGGCACTTGCCTGCATCTCAGTGGCATGTTGCCCAGTCAGGACGGGAAGGATATGGTGCAAGAGAGTGAAGACAGGGGGCACGATCCCTCACCATTGCGAACCACATGGACAGTGATACCGAATTTCTCCCCTGTGTAGGATACAGCTGGTGCAGGGGGTGCGATACGAGGCGGCACGTCTTCCTTCAGGTCCAAGATGTTCACTAATGGAAGAGCTTCTGCCTCCATGGCTGCCATGCAGAAAGACACATTATTCACTTGCAGTGATCACATTTGGGACTTTTTAGGTGGTCAGCAGGAAAGCCCGAAGCAAAGACATCCAGACCAGAGGTGCTGAAGGTCTCCTCACCGACCAAGACCAGGACCGTCCTGATGCTTTTTGGTTCCATATCCGACAAGTACTGCAGTGAGTTTTTGGAAGTTATTGACGTGACACTTGCAAACGATCTGGCAAGTGGTCTTCGATCCCAAGATGTCTTAGCCTACGAGGGGGATGGTCCACCACGATCAGTTGCTTTAAGGGTTATGTAGAACAAATGGCAGCATTTCCAAGGTTCCATTGACGCCGGATGGCAGATCCTGCGGAAGCAGGCGGCACAATGCATGCACGTGAGTCCAGCATGTCGTCATGAAGATGATCATATGCTCTTATCTTCTGAGCCTAATCTGGAAGCATGATATTTTTTGGCAAGGCGCTGAGGACCACACCTCGCGCCCCAAACGAAGAGCCTATACGCATCGGGCGAAACAGTGAGATCTGAAGGTGCGTGCGTCGCTGTGCCCCTTCTCCCCGAGCATCGCCTATTCGTGTACAGGTCTAGCGCAACAGCTCTGCAATGGGGTCTCACCTTGGGTGCAGATCGTACTTCCTTATGCTGGTGGTGCAAGACCTGGGTGTTCATGAAGAGGTCTGCTTAGGCATCACGTCTAATGCAATCGGTATCTAGATGGGTTCACTCTAGAGATAGTCGGTATTACGAGATGTTGCAGGGTAATTTGGGCCAATATCGGAAAAGTTTAGCTTTGGCATAAACTGTAAAGGAGAAGTGACTATCGTGACCCCGTGATGATTATGTAGTCATGCAACAGCAGCACCAGGCAGCCCTGGGCTGTTCTGAGTTGTTATTGTCCTGTCCTGGTCAGTCCTGTTCACCTGGAGCACGAACATCCAAGCAATTGACCGTTTTACTCTTCTATCGCAGATTTTCAGCACAAGATGCAAGCCATGATTGCCCGCCCCATGGCCTGCCGCAGCCCAGCAGTGGCATCCCAGACCACACAGGCCGTGCGCCCCCGCGTGCTCGCCAGGGTCTCCCGCCGATCAGTGCTGACCAGGGCGGAGCCGACCGCGGTGAGCAATCTCTGAGCATTGCGATCGACCAAAGCAGAGAGCAGTCTGCTTCCGCTACTCAACCCTTGAAGGAGAAGAGGTCTTTGCCCCATATGTGCATGCCACACAGAACATTGCGGCACTTCGATGGGGCGCAACATCCAATGTGTCTGTAAGCATACAGGTGGATTTCAAAGCAGCGCTTCATACGGGTCGGGTCGCAAGCAGGCGCGTTGAAGGACAAGGTGCTGTTGTGCAGGCTCAGAAGACGCTGTCCGAGCTGGAGAGGGCCATTGCTGAGGCCAGGAAGCAGTGCGACGAGGCCACTGCCGGCGAGTGCGCCGCCGCCTGGGACACTGTCGAGGAGCTGTCCGCTGCCATCTCGCACAAGAAGGCCCAGGTGAGACAGGACACTCGTTGGTTATTGTATTTACAATGGGAGAACAAAGCTGCACTCTGTCTACCTGCTCAGAGCCAGACCACAGTGTGGCGCTCTGTAGAGCCAGACAACTGCACGCAGCCTTTCTGCCAGAGCCATTGTATGCAGGCTGATCATGATGTATGTTTGACTTCTGGTGTCGCTGGGTGACCTGATTGGCATGCAATGTTGTGGCAGGCCAAGGCTGACCCTCTGGAGGAGTTCTGCGATGACAACCCAGAGGCCGACGAGTGCAGGTAAATCCTAGTCACTGTACTTTGTATTTGTCTCTTTGCCATTTGATGGACATGTTCCTTAGTGTTGCTGAGGGTTGTGGGCTGAGGATGTGCATGGCTTCTGCAGGGTGTACGAAGACTGAGAGCCAGGAACGCCGTTTGAAAATCGTATGTCTCACAGCATTGACCTAGGATGATAATCTTAATGCCAATTAAGCAGATTCTTTATGTGTGGAGGTGGATTGTTGTGTGATGCACGATTCATATGCTCTTCAAGAGTGGTGCGAGTTCAAAATTTTCTTGGAGACGAGAGCGGTATGCGGTTGATATCAATGTAAAGTGTGCTGAATGATATTGCCCGCACTTGAAAGCCACTTCCGCCCCACGAGACATTCTGCATGCCCATATATGCTATATACTTACTGAGGTGGCCCATTGCCATGCATGATGCATATATTATATAACACATGATGTCACATGAGAACAGTGCCACAGTGACAGTGTCAAAAAATCATAAGTAGCAATGTATTCAATACATGCAAATTGCAAACATTACTGAAAGCCGATATATAGCTGTTCATATTTAGCTGTTCATATGAATCCCATCAAAAGGAGGCCTGGGATATGAACCTGGAGTGCCAGCAAATTGTTTCAGACAATATGCTGTAAAAGAAGTGAACACAAAACATGTGAGGCACGATGCTACCCAATCCTGCTGAGTCAGTTCCAGAGGAAGTGCAGAATTCCTCATGGTAAGCATACCAAATCTTCTTGCCCGCCACGCCATACATGCAAATTTATTGAGAAATAGAGTGGGACGCTCAACCAATTATCTGGTACAGATATCCGACACGACCTCTTCCTTCCAAGCGGCAAAGCGATATGCATCTATTACACGACCATTGTTGACTGAGCATAGAGCGCTTCCCGACTGATGGATACTTAAGCTCCCCTTTGATAATCAGCAGGACTGGCATTCAAGTGTGGGCGCCCTTTCTTCAAGGGCCCTTTGGTCCCTGATCCTAGTGCTGGCGAACAGCACTACTATATGCACTTCTAGCTAAAACCACCAACTCACGTGTGATGTACATGTTGCATCTGGCCCCTTCCTCTCACTCAAAAATCCTTAATTGTCTAGCATATTGTATCGCATTATGATATGATTCCCCTCTTTGCATTGGAAATAAAAATACACATTGCAGCATTTGCATTATGCCTGGCAAGGCGCAAAGACCCATACGGGACCCCTCAAACCCCGGGCTGCAAGACAACCCGGTGTTTGAGATAAGATGTGGGCTGCGATTGGGCCGGACCCTGCTCCCCTGGATAATAGTCCTTTAATCACGCGCTTGCAAAACAACTACCTGCATTATTGCTCACAGTCCCTATCCCAGAGACACATTTCACGGCTCCGGGGTGAGGGAGCAGAAGCACCCTCTGGCACTGTGCCTCACCGCCCCTTTGGGGACTCTTAATCAGCGGTTCATCAGAGTCCTGGGCAATGGTGCCTCTGATGCCTCTGTTGCACCCGGGCACCACAGAGGTCAAAGAACGAGCTCTCACCTGCAGGCTGGTGCAGGGCAGCAATGCTGACAGGCGCGACTGTGCCACGCTAGACCACTTCGTAGCATCTCTCATACCCCTTTGGGGCCGCTGCCCAGGGGACTCCAAGTCAGCAGTCGACCAGAGTCCTATGCGCAGCCGGGCTAGACTTCGATCTCAATCACAAAGTCGCCGTGCTGCAGGAAGCCGTGCTGGTCGTCCTCGACCGCGCCGAACCAGAGCACGAACATGGCGCCCGAGCGCTGCGTGGCCCAGTCCTCCAGGGCCTGCTGCAGGCAGGGGCAGACAGCGAGTCCGCGTGCGCGCAGTGATGCGAGGTAGCGCAGGAAGTTGACGCAGAGGGCGATGTCGGGGTGGATGGAGAGGTGCGCCAGGTGGGAGAGGTCCGGGTGCTGCCCGCGGCAGCCCAGGGGGATCCCCTGGCCCCCCGCCGCCTCCAGCGTCAGCCGCCGCAGCGACCCCAGCACCCCCCGGTCCGCCACCATCAGCGCCAGCTGCGCACGCGCCAACCCCACCACTTTGAGATACTGCCTTAGTTATCACCATATAAAGCACACGCCAGCCTCGTACATTGTTTTGACAGCAGACTTGCTGTACACTGAAGTTGGCAACCACTTCCCAAGCAAAAAAGGACACACGGAGTCATCAGCGGCAGCTTCATTTTGGAACGTTTGTGCAGCACTGTAGGGCCTTCTGCTTCTTGGAACGAAATTTAATCCTTGCAAGGGAAAAAGGCGAAAGCAGAGCAAAAGCCTCTGCTTTGTTTGAGATATAGAACAGCAGAACCAGGGAGTTGAAAAGGAGAAGTTAGTGCAGACCTGGACCTCCTCCTCCTCGCGCAGGTGGGTCAGGTGTATGCTCTCCAGGTTCCTGCAGTGCCCCTTCTCGATCGCCTCGCACGTGCTCTCGCTCAGGCTCTCCGCCGTCAGCCGCAGCACCGGCACCTGCGCGCACACCACCCTCTAGGCTCACATCCAGCTATGCTAACCTTAAAATATAAGGCGCTTACTTGATGCAACATTGATAGGCGTCGTACAGGGAAGAAAGGCATCTATGGCAACTCTTCCTGTTTTGACATTTCATTGTTTTGGAGCTATCTGATCCCCGCCTGTGGCAGTGGGCCGTATGGTAATCTATGTGGCAGAAGCCATTCAACACACAGAGCAGGCATGAACACTCAGCTGAGAGACTGATAATGTACACCACCCGCTAAGCTCACACCAGCATTAGCCACAATGTGTCTGTCACCAATATATCCACTGAGAGACAAGCCAGGTAATGCAACACAACATCAGCTTGCAGCTGGCATGAGATCATGGGTGGGGCCCACCTTCTGCAGGGCGCCGGAGAAGTCAGCGTCGATGCAGCAGAGGTCGAGGGAGACGGCGTGCTGCAGCAGGCCGCAGCAGTCCAGCGCTGCCTCCAGCCAGGCCAGGTCCGACGCCGACAGCACCGAATTCACGCACACCCGCAGCTCATACCTACCCGCACAAAGTCGACATGCTCAATACTTCCATCAAGTCATGCACTACCCGTCACAAATAATTCCTCCCTTTCTTGCCTCGCAGGATACATGAGAAAGGGTTTCTGCTGGTGTCAGTCAAGCGGGCAGTTGGGAGCTGGGCAACCTGAGTTTTGGTCAATTAATTTTCAATGGAATGAGCTTAATGATGGTCCCAGATTCTGTATTGTACCTTCTGTCCTTGCCGACGGCGGGGCCGAGGCGGCTGAGGAGGTTCTTGAGGGCGCGCTTGCGCACGCGGCCGGAGCAGGTCTGCTCGAAGGTGAGCTTGCAGATGGCGGGGCGGTCGGCCAGGCAGGGCACGGTCTGCTGGTGCTGGCGGCTCATGGGGAAGCAGAGGTGCAGTCCGCCGTAGGGGATGCTGCTCGTCAGCGCCCGGCAGCCCTGCCGTAGCGCCAGCCGATCCTGCAAGTTCACCACGGTCTCTTGTCAGCCCACACATGCATCAGCAATTTGACCCTTCTACTGATTACCATGAAAAAAACTCTTGCGTTACCTTTTGTATCGACCTGCTAGGCAAATATTCTGGTGGTTGAGTGTGAGTGAAGTAGGTTCCAATGCGTCAACAATTCCGCAGCATATATTCATCGCAGGCCTGATGGTTGGGAGCGCACCGGGAGGGGCAGCTGCTGGAATATGGACTGGAGGACGTCGGAGGGCAGCGCGGCCAGGTCGCTGTGCGCATTGGGTGCGCGCAGCTCCAGCGAGGCCGAGCCCATGCGCGCCAGATGGCAACCTGCCCCGTGGTCTTCCCCGGAGCTGGACTGCCCCTCCTGGCAGCAGGGGTGCAACCGGCAGCACCACGCCTTGGCCAGCGCGGCAGAAGGCTCCGCCGGTGCGCACTGCTGGCGCATGCGCTTGGGGAGTTGCTCTGCGGCGGTGCTGTCGTCCTGCAGTGGGGCCAGAGAGTCATCCGCGGTGCGCTTGCGTTTGAGGAGCATCTGGCGCGCGTTCTGGATGGCGCCGTTGAGGAACGATAGCATCTTAGGCGCTGTGCCTGCGGAAATGGCAATCGGATTGAGGCCTTCAATTGTCTGCTGCTGCCAGGGAGTGGGATTGCTCAGGCTCCCAATAGATGTCACCAGTAGAAGTCGTCCCCAGGAGCTTAATCCTCAATGAATAGTTCTTCTGGTGCGAAAATTCGCAAGTAAATATTCGCTCTGCATAAAATTGCTCTGCTTTGACTATGATAAAGAGACATTTTGTTTTAGTACAACAGATCTTGATGGCACTACCATGTGGAAGCAGCGCTCAACCCAATCAGACTGTGCTTTCTTTTCTTACGCAACTACTTTATAATAGGCGCACTGCAGTCCGCAACACCTAAGGATCGCATCGATAACGCAAACAGATTGGCATGGGAGTCACATGAGGGTACCCAAAGCTGCGCACACAACGTGCCAGAAGCAAAGGCGCCCCGGACAGCTCCTGTTCAAACATTCCAGGACATAGAAACGCTTCCCACCTATGATTTGGACGCCAGCTGAACAAGACTTAGGCCTCTCCCAGAAGACGACGTTCGCTGCTCATCTAGGCAACCTCGTATGCGGTAAAGATGTGATCGGAAGCTGCAAAGAAGAACTGCTATTGCAGCAGATATGCTGCAGAGCAATGAATTTACCTTCTGTGCAGGTTTTCAGCATCCATGGCCATGATCAGGTGGGCAACACACGTGGATCATCACTAACTTCTTTGATAGCCATGCCAATTATATCCTCGATAAATTGCAGAGAAGTAGATGCGTTTCATTGAAGACTTGTATTCCTGATCGATAATAGTCTCAGTTGCTTAAGCCCGCATTCCAATTGTAGCGAACGAGACGGATGCATAGTGCAGAGGCTCTCAGAAAGAAGCAAGCAATACGGAGACCGCTGAATTGCGTTGACAATTGATCAGTGTTTCAGATCTTCATATCCATCTGACACAAGATAATTCAGGATGGGCGTGAAGGGCTTCAACACATGGTTTCGGAAGCAATTCCCAGGCGCTTATGTGGGAGTGAAACGACATTACGACCATCTCTACATCGACATGGCTTCTTACTTGCACGAAGAACTCAGGAGAGGTGAGATGCATCCTGTCTTGATGTATTCTTCTGGTCCGGCAGTGTTGGAGGCATGTGTGGAATACCACGTCGCATATGGAGAAGTCATGTTGCATGAAGCTTCCCTGACAGTCCTCACCGGGTATTTTGCGCAGCCAATGATGTAGATCACTTCCACAAGCTGCTTCATGCGCGCCTGGACAAGACACTGCGGCTGGTGGAGCCTCAGAAGAGCGTCGTCTTTGCTCTGGACGGTCCTGCGCCATTGGCCAAGCTCCTGACCCAGCGGTATGGGAAAATGAATCCACTGCACAGCACAAATGCTTCCACGCAGGGCTGAGGATCCAACTTATCATATCTTTGGAGTGCAGCATGCCGACTGCTCAGGTTGTGCAGTCGTTGTGCCCTGTGCCACGCTGATCATTTGTATGCATGGCTGCAGGTTGAGAAGAAAGAAGGAGGCGCAGAAGGAAGCGAAGTCCGGGCCGAGGCTGCTGTCCAGCCTGGGGTTGACCCCCGGCACACCCTTGATGGCCATGATACAGGAGAGCCTGACGTACTACATCTGCCGCCGCCTGCAGACCTCCGCGTGGCAGCACCTCCACTTTGAGCTGTCAGGAGCCACCGTCAAGGTGGCCCACATGCAGTTCTGCACATCTTGATCCTTTACTTACCACTTCAGATACTCACATGCTCGTATGTGCATACATATGCACTTTCTTGTTGCCGTGTGCTCCTGAGGACGACAATGGCATTTACTGTGGTAAGTTGCAAAGAACTCGACTTCCGGGCTGCCCGACTGATACATGTTTGCACACAAATGAAGGGCGAGGGGGAGGTGAAGATTCTGTCGCGGCTGCTGCGGCCGTGGGCGGACGTGCAGCCAGAGGACACCCACGTGGTCATTGCGAACGACTCCGACGTCGTTCTAATGGCATTAGTCACACCCGCGCGCAACGTATTCGTCCTGGCCGAGCCGGGCCGTGTGGCGCGCCGCGGCGTTGCCTCTCTAGCGGCCGGCTCGGCGGCGGCGGCCAGCAAGAAGGGGCGGCAGGGGCGCGCGCGGGTGGCGGCCGGCGCGCGGGGCCTGCCCATGACGATGGGCTTCACCTGCTTCTCTGTCACCGCGCTGCAACGCCTGTGGCTGCACAAGCACCCCTTCCTGCGCGGCGCCACGTCACAGGTCTGGTACTCGTACTTCTGCAGCACTACTCATGGCTCCACACTCGAGAAGTCGTCATGGCTGTTGGCTTCGTTTGTGTTGTGGCACTCCAATTCTGTGACACTCCAAGTGAGCTTGGAGATGCTTGTATAAGGTGCGTGGGGATTCTTAGCGGTTCAATGATAAGACGATGTGTGCTGCAGGAGACGGCGGAGCGGGTGGCACGGCTGCAGGTGGACCTTGTGATACTGGCCATACTGAGCGCGGGCAATGACTATCTGCCGGCGCTACAGGGCGGCCGCCTGCAGGGCAACAGCCTCTGGGAGAGCTACCTGACGCTCAAGGCCAAGCGTGACTCGTCCCACCAGTGTGTATCCCAATCGCCTGGCGCTCTTCCTTCTCAGCGATGAGTCTGGATCAATTTGGCCATCCCATGAGACAAGTGAAACTAGGGGGCATGCTCCATCAACATCAGAGACCCTTGAGAGCGTCCGGGAGTGCTTATTGAAGTTTAAGATGCTGGCGAAAGAGGCAAGATGAAGACATCAGAATGAATCCGGCACTCCACTGCGGCACAGGTGCATCTTGACAAGAGTGCTACTATGAGTAAGGAGCTGTCCATGCACAGGTCTCTGGTGACATGGGAGGGCAGCGAGGTGCAGCTGAATGCGGCCTGCTTCACGGCGCTGCTGAAGGCGTGGCCCAGGGGGCTGAACCGGCACCGCTCGACATCTGACGACGATGATGTCGTGGTGTACAAGCAGCCTGCAGACCCCCATCGGTACCTGGAGGTGACTGCCTGAAACAAGCCCGCACCTGAACCTCATTCAACCTGTGACCTGCATAGTCTGGCGTTGGCACACACGCATGTCAAGAGGCATTCAGGAATCGAGAAATGCAGCCTGCAAAACCTTTGCTGCAGGTAGAAATTGACACAAGGCACTGGACTTGCTGTGCCAATTTATGATATTGTGGCTACGTGCGCAGGGGATGGAGTGGCTCCTCAAGATGTACCTGGAGGGAGAGTGCAGCGACTACCGCTTCACATACGACGCCTACGCACCCTCGGCATACCAGCTTATCTCCATGTTCCATGCTAACGGCTCTCCTGAGGCGAGCTCCGCAGAGCCAGCTGATCGACAGGCTGACGAGAGCGCTGACGGGGAGGTCCCTGTCGATGAGGCTTCCAATGCCCCTGCCCCCGCTCCCACACCCGTCAACAGTCAGGTGAGTCGCAATGCTCTTCACCTCTGGTGTACAGGTGAACCCAGCGAAGCGTGTCCCACTTCTTTGGCATGCCAGAGCCACCTGAGTCTGCATCCCTTCCCCTTACTAGAATCTCTACAAAGAACCAATCACAGACTCGACGCAGCACAGGAAAATTCTGCCTGGGACCAATCTTGACAAATTCTATGGCCCATACGGGCGATAGAGCCATGCATGCAGCCATAATGGGCTCTAGGCTCAAGGCAATCTCATGTCTCTATTGAGGGTCTGATACAGATAGTGCACGGTCATTCACAGGCGCGTCGGCTGCCGCGCATATCAGAATCAACTGAAGCGCTAGCGCCGACGGTGTGCGCGATGGCGCTGCTGCCGGGCGGCCTGACGGGGCCGGCCTACGCGCCGACGGCTCTGCGCCACCTCATGACAGACCCGGACTCGCCGGTGGCTGACCTGTACCAGGAGTGCTCCGAGTGCCTGTCGCTCAGCCAGGACCGGTCCAGGTGCAACGTCGAGAGCACGGAGGTGAGCGCTGCTGCAATCTGCAAGATTGTTGTGCTATTACAGTACCTCTCCTAGTTCATCAATCCCTCGTAGCAACGTTTGCCGAAGGAGCAAAGCAATCCTGGGCTTTGTGGTATCGGCATGTCTGAATGCTGAGCAGTTTGAGCTACGCTTACCTTCGCCTGCCAGGCCTGGGCCTTGTATCACAGCCGAATGTCAGTGGGAATTCTGCCATGGATGTGCAGGCGCGGAAAGTGCTGGATGCAGCAGTGAAGGCGCACGCCGTGGCGGAGGCCGCAGCGGCTGCCCACAAGGAAGGCCTGGAGGCCGCAGTGGCCCAGGCCGCACTGGAGGCAGCCAGCGCGGCTCTGCAGGATAGCAAGCGCCGCGTGCAGGAGCTGAAGGACCGGAACAGGCGCGCCCTGTCAGCCTTGGCGCCTGCAAGTGCTCAAACTCATCCTCGGAACTCGCCTTGCGATATATAGCTAGATGCAGGGTGATTGCTCATATGAGGTTGCCAGTAAATCCTGTGGCTGGCATTTCTGCGTCAAGCGCGGATACTAATTTATTGGGCAGGCACAGGACTTTGCTTGCGACCTGATCTGAGCATTCATCCTGTCAGTGACGACCACCAAACCCTGACAACAATGGGCAGCGTGATCGTTTGCCGTTCCGTCCTCCAAACAGAAGATGGTTGCCAAAAGCACAAGGTGCCAATCCAAAAACAGCGGTGGGCGTGGCATGCAGGGCGCTGGAGGCTGCGAGGGAGGACCACATGCGGGAGAGGCATCCGTACGCGCCGTTCCCTATTGACAGGCTGCAGGCAGCGGTGGAGGCAGTGCCCCTGGACAGCTTCCCTGTCGTGGAGCGCGATGCTGCCACCTTTGGACCTTCCTATACATTCTGGTGAGTCCAATTACCAACAATGCTTCTGGATGCACCAGCTACTCCTGCAAATTGATGCAAGCCACAGGTCCTGAGGGACATGTGCAATACTTTCAAGGACACTGTGCATGCATGTCTGAGGTGCATAGATAGCTGTTTTGATAATGACAAATGTGATGTCACGATCACTGCAGGTACAGGAGGGAGTCTGAGGACAGAGCAGCCTCGTCAGCCTTCACACCACCGGATTCGCCTTACGAATCAGAGTCAGCCATTGCAGAGCAGCCGTCGCGGATGATCGAGAGGGAGGAAATACCAGAAGAGCTGCCCGTATTGGTGCACTCGCAATCTGCCATTGACCTTGCAGGCAAGCTCACGTTTTTCTCCCTACCCTGCGCATGGAATACCTGTGAGCCCGCGCAACACAAGCTTTTGCTTTATATCAGACAACTGACAGCTGCAAGCAGAAGCGCTCATGTTATAGTTTTGTGTTCTGTAGAAGCAGAGGAGCAGGCAGTGCCTGCAAGCAGTCAGCAGGATGGCAGTGAGCAGGCGGCCTCCTCAGAGCAGCGCAACAAAGCAGCAGTGGAGGGTGCAGCAGAGCAGCCGCCGCCCGCGCTGCATGCAACGATGGGCATGCGACACATGCGCCGGAAGCTTTCCAAATCGATCCGCAAAATTAAGCGGCAGCCCGGCTTGGCCGCCACCGTAGCGGCACCCAGCTCCCCCCTTCCCAGCTCTGCAGAAGCAGCACAGTCTGACCACAATCCCACAGAAAACGGCGCCACACGTGGCGACTCCACTGCATCTGATGTTGATGATACCGATGCCGGCTCGCGGCCAGAGGGGTCTTCAGAACAAAAGGCCCCACAAGAGCAGGTGGTGCACGTCGTGTCAGACAGCGGATTGGTCATGTTGCGCCCAGCGCGCAGAGCCAGCGCAGCAGCAGCAGCGTGCCTTCAACAGAGACCGTCCCAGGTACACCCGCGCCGCCTTTTTGGCATCCCAAGCTTGGCCCCTTCTCTTGTGCGCGGAAATGTGACACAACACACATGCACAAGGTGTCTTTTGTTGATCATGGAGGTGCCAAGATCCGCTTGTTTGTTCTGCAGGGGCTTGCTGGGATGCAGAGGCAAGTAGGGAGACAGCATTGGAGAGCACCCTGGCCGCGGCACACTCCTCAAAAGCCCCTGTTTGTTTCATCTCAACGGGTAGCACACTGTCAGCCTGCCTCATGCCACAGCATGTGTTTGAGGTGAAATTGAGCTTGAAGCTGTGTCATGTTGTTGCTGCTACTAGCCGCTGAGCGGCTAGTTGTGTTTCACTTTTTGGTAATTATTATCCTACGCTAAATACAGCGAACGATTCTGCGATTGTGCAAGAAATTTGCGCTACACTTGCGCTACTTCACTTGTATCAGCATACAGTTAGATTATGTAGTCAAGGTTGCACATTTGCCACTCATCATGCATGAGCTTTGCAAGGGCCGATTTGGCCGCCCCGTGGACCCTCACATTGCATGATTGCACAGCATCAATGTACAATGCAATGCACGACTCCAAGTCAACCTAATTCTACTCACCCTTTCAGACGCATTCTCCCTCCATGCTCGGGCATGCTGACCACAACGCACAACATTCACAGTTGAAACTCTTCTCGTAAGGTACCATTCTACCCTCAGATATCACAGTTGTCAAGTCACAAGATGGAACACTCCAGCGCTAAGAATGGCCGAGAGACGCAGCATTGAGTCTCAATCCTTCAGTGGCGGCGCAGATGGCGCGCTGATATCTTTCGCAGCCCCGACCGCGGCATCAAGCTCCGCCAGCACGCTATGCAGCCCGTCCACAGCCTTCTCAATGCTGGCCAACGCCGGCTGCGTCTCGCTCGCCGCGAGCGCGCCGGCCCCGGGCAGCTCCAGCGCCTCAACCTGCTTCTGAGCAGATTGCAGCGAGCTCGACACCTCCCCGGACTCCGCCGCCTCGCGCAGCACCACCGTGGCCGCCTCCAACTTGCGCACGACGCGGCCAACCTTGTCCCGCTCGACGCCCTCCGGCGGGCACGCCTGCTTCAGCGCCGCGACCGCGTCCTGCAGCTGCGCGACGAGCGCCGGCAGGCCGCTGTTGGCGCCGGAGACAGTCTGAGTGGCCGACCCGAGTGCGGCCTGCAGCGCCTCGGCCGATTCGGCCAAAGCGGCGCGGCGGCCGTTGGCCGCCTCACCGTCGATGGCGGCCGCCAGGCGGCTGATCTCATCGGCAATGCGCCGCACATTGCCCGCGGCCGCGCGCAGCGGCGCGATCACCTGCTCCGTCAGCTGGCTGTTCACGTTCACCGCTGCCGTCACCGCGTTTGTTGCCGCCGCTGTGAAGCCGATGTCGGCCGACACTGCCAGATCAGACAAGTCAAACGCCACCTGCACCATCCGCGCCTGGCCGCTCTGCGCCGCGGTCGTCCAGCTGCCGTACGCCCTTTCCTCCGGCAACCGTTCATCCATCTGGCGAAGGAGGCCCCTATCAAGAATGATCATGTTGGCCTGCCCTCTGCTGTGCCCCGGCGCTGCCCTCTCCGCAAGAGTGGTCAAGGATCCGCCCTCCAAGCCCACAGCAGGGCTCGCCACCTGCAGCCCAATCTGCTCCCTGCAAGCCGGTGCCTCCGCCCCGGTCACAGAATGTAGCCGATCCACCGCGCCAGACAGCCAGCCGCTGACAACGGCGGCCGGCGGCGGCTGCGGCTTGTCTGCCCCGGAGAAGATGCCGCTCAGCCGCTCGCCCAGGCTCGGCAGCGCGTCGCCGATGACTCGCGCCAGCCGGGTGAACAGGGTCTCCAATTCCTCCACCGCCGGGGCAATGTCCGCGCCCGAGAGGCCGTCCAGCGCGCCGGAATACACCTCCTCTAGGCGGTCCTGCTGCGACGTCAGCTCCTTGCCTATTCTGCGCTTGGCCGCCTGCACTGCCTGCCCGACTGCTGCGTCTGCTGGCGCCACCGGGGGGTCTGCTTCTGTGGCCGCCAGCTCTGAGATTACCGGGTGAGGTGTAGTGGCAGGCAGTTGCGCGATGCTGAGGGCACCGCCGGGTAAAGGCGGCCTGAGCCAGCCCAGTGCCAGGGATGTGCCCTGCAGGCAAATCCATACTGCTCAGCATTATCAGCCCTACAGCGGTCAGACTGGCCAAGGAACTCCGGAACTGCCTAGCTTTCCCATCAGTTGCCGCAGACGTGCTTGATAAGAAGAAGGAGACTGAAAATTTCAAGAGGAGCGCGATCAGAAAAGTGTGACTAGTGACCATCCGAAAATGCCCTCCCTTTTGTGCTGAACCTGGCAGTACGGGACATTCTGTTCTAAATGTTCCATCTATCGCAGGAGCGCGCTTCTTGCACGGAGAGCAAGGTGCATCTCTTGTAGAGTGGCGGTGGGGACCTGCCTTTCAGGATTCCAGGATCTCAAACAGGGCATCTACACCCTGGTGTGGCACTGCTGGTGAAGGCTGCGGCAACACCTGCCCGCCAGTTTCCGGCGCAGCTGCCCGCGAGCTGGACGCTGCCGCGTCGGCGACGCTGCTGCTTTGGCCCGAGCGCGCCACCTCCTGCACGCCGTCGCTCAGCCGTGGAGCCTCCTTTGAGGCGAATGCATCGGCCAGCGACCGTGTGATGTCGGAGGGCGATTTGGGGCCCTCGTCCCCGAAGCACTTGGCGTCCGGCAGCGCTGACGGCACATACCCATAATTCTTCACCTGCCGCGCATGCATGCCAGCACAGTATCACAACAGGCACTGCATGGCCTTTTGCGCTCAAGTACGCCAACGCAAGGGCAGGATCCTCAATTAGTCAGCAATTATAGGACCTTCTGTACTTTCTTTCTGGGTCTTGACGGATAGTTCAAAATGGCAGGCACCTGAAGGACGAGCACCACTGCTCCGGCCGCTAGGGTGAGGTAGCTCAGGCCCTCTGCAGCGCCCAAAATGCCTCCAGGACCTGCAAGCCCACAGACAGTCACCAAGGTATCCTTGATGTTGCACCTTAGTTGTGTTCCTGGCAAAAGTCCTAGCCTCACCGTTATCAGGGGTGTTCCGACTCACTCACGATGGCGCCTCACTTTCACTCCGAGTGCCCTGTGAAATCCTTCTCTCCAAAAGGGATCACAGGAGCGCACCTGCCGGCAGGCCCTTGCTGGTGGTGGCCTTCATGCCGATGCTCCAGGCAGCCAGGCCCAGCAGAGTCACATAGCTGAGGCCCTCCAGCGCTCCCAGCAAGCCCCCAGGCCCAGGCGGCAGCCCACAGCCTGAAATTCACACACCGAGCCCAGTGTCACATCACCCCTAAAGTAGAGGTTGTCTTATGCCACTGAGTCACTGTGTCAGTATATAATCCACATGTAGGTTGACCGATGTCCCTGCATATTCTAGACGCTGGACGAGACACTTTCATGTTAGTGTGTCTCACTGCGTGTCCAAAACTTCTCCTTTGCGGCGAAAGGATGTTTCTGCATGTCCTAGGGAGGCACACCTGTCGAGCTGAGGGTGTAGAGCGACCAGGCCACCACGGGCGCAGCAAACAGCCCCAGCGTGCCCACAAGGACCTGCAGCCCGGCCGGTGGACTAGAGCTGTCGCTGGGAGCAGCGTCCGTTTTGAAGACGGCCTGCGCCACCGGCCCGGCGGCCGCGTCCGCCACCTTGCCACCCTCCGCTGCAACCTCCAGAGTGCCGCTTGCAATCTGCGATGCAATACTTCCGTTCATGCAGAACCTTTCGACGGGATTGTGGGAGCAGCTTATCGGGCTCGCCTGATCACATTGTTGCCGGCCCTTGTGCTTACAGGGTACTGTGATAGTCCTGGCGCGTTGCTCCTGTGCATCTCTATCGCATGCCGGAGCGTGAAAGTGGCTATGATCCAGTGTGGCATGTGACTGCAGCACGGCTGAGAGCACAACGCAGGTGAGGGTTGCTCAAGCTGACCTGCTGCGGGGTTGGGGCCGCCTCAAACTTGGCGGCTGCAAGGGGACTGGCGGCAGCCTCTGCCACGCTGCCTCCCTGTGCCTCCACGTTCAGAACTCCCCCGGTCCCTTCCAGCTCCTCCTGCACAACCACAGAAGCGCTCAGCCATCAAAAGAACGATTTAAAACACGCGTGAGTTGACCCGAGGCATCTGCAGCAGCCACAATGTTGCGTGACTCCCGAAAGGGATTCGAAGATGAACAGAGCTGGGTGATCTGTGGGACGCACAGTAGCAGAAGCAGAGGCAGGGGCTGAGGCATGAGAGGCAGGAGGTGCCGGTTCCGGAGTAGCTTCAGCAGGCTGTGGTTCGGCAGGGGTATCGGGCGCTTCTTGGATGTTGTCTGCCCAGCGCTGCTGAACCTCTGAGCGCTCCTGCTTCTCCACATCAGCCTCGTCCACGCTGCCCATCTCACCCCCTCCTGCAGGGCCCCACTCATCCGCACCTCCAGGCACCTGGGCCACCCAAGGGATGACTGAGTGCCCGACCAGGCTGCAGTGTGCAGCGCGCGATTGGCTGCCAGAAGCGAAATACTTGTGCAGGAGAGCCACAAGTCGACAGTGGGCATGCAGAGGGTACAAGAGTGTGTCATTATCAACAGGAGGGTCACATACAGTGGGTGTCTCCTTGTCGAGGCTGGGTGTGGGCTCCTCAAGTTCCCCCTCAGGCTCAGTGGCAGCCTCCAAAGCATTTTCTGCATCGTCCTGCGTACAAGATGTCATCCGAACATCACTCAAATGCCCAAAACTTGGTGCAAGTCCATGCGATCCATGCAGAAGACGTAGAAGCTCATGAAGGATTGAAAAGCGGCAACTGTCCAGTGACAGGCAGAAATTCTTGTGCTGCAGAGGAAAGCTCAGGAGGGGTGGTAATGACCTGTTGGACATCTCCTACAGGCCTCTGAGCCTCTCCGGGCATGACGGCTTCAGAGTCCTTGGGTGCCTTGCTTGCCTGCAAGTAGTAGAGCACCGGGAGCTGAGAGACAGTTTTTGGGACTCTTTTTCTCAGACAGGACGCCAGAGAGCAGCCAGCAAGCTTCCAGTCAGTGGGTTGTGCAGGCCAGGCTTCAGGACTGGGGAAGTCAAGAGAAGCTGAATGGAGAGGGTTGGGAGACCTGATTGATAATCAGAGGCTCTGTCTCCGGAGGCGATGGCTCGACTTCAGACAGAGTGGTGCCGGCGCTCTCTGCCTCAGCCTCTGCTGCTTCCACTTGCGCCGCAGCGCCTTCTGACTCGGTTGCAGGCGAAGTGGGCGCTCCGGCCTTCTCAAGAGACAGAAAGGAGTATTGGTGTCAATTTTCCTAACCGTCACTTTTTCTTGAGCGCCATGTGGGATCTCGGCACAGCCGCTGCCACTAGTAAGGATGCTCACGTCCGCGGTGCTGACGGGTCTGATTCAGGTATTGTCATTTCAGGAGGTGCACATCTTTCTTAAACGAGGTAGTGGGGCGTCCAGGTAATGCCGATTACATTCCATGCTCCAATCACAATCAGCTCTTTAGACTGAAGGGGTGGAGGTGCCTTACCCCATCAATGGAGAGGACAGTGGTGGCCGTGTCGCTCCAGGCGCACTCTGCCACTATCTTCTCATCACCAGCCTCCTCCACCTGCACAGTAGCAAGCTGTTTGCAGATCATCGCAATCCTGCACTTGCTGTTTCTGCCGCTGGAAAAGGGTCTCTTCAGGCACATTTGTCCCAGGGGCAGGTAAAAGATGAGCATATGAGAGCAGCTACCTTGATCTCACGATTGGTGCCAGGCTCCCACTCTGCCGCTGAGCCATCCTCTCTCACCACAACCAATTTGAATTCATAAGTGTCGGGAGGTAGCGCCAGATCCACAGACCATTTGTTCCCTTCCGCCCATGTCAGGCCTGTACAGCTCCCAACTTTTAGTGCCCAAAAGAAAGAGGAAAAAAAGGGAAAGGAACAGGGGAGGCTTGGCCGCTGCCGGACTTTCACCGGCTATTTCCGCTCCTCTTAGGGTGGAAACAGACCCGGCCTCCAGGATTGTATGTCCTAGGTCACCCCCCAAAAGAGGCTGAACGGCCACTTGATGTCAAGTGGGCAGCTCTCAATATCCAAAAACCAAGTCTAATGTACATGTCTTTTGCAGCAGTGCGTCAATGTCCACGGTGAATTCCCTTTCGTCAGCACAATCTGTCTAGAGCGTCAGCAGGACACATGCAGGTATGAGCGGCACCGACGAGGCTAAAACATTGCATGCACATTCAGGGGGGCACCTGGGGCAGCGGCAGGGTCCCAAGCTCCCAGCTGCTCCTGTGTCCCAACCGCTTTGACGACCTCCCCAAAGGCCACCTCATGCTGGGTGGTGATGCGCACAGTGCTGCCAGACGCTGCCTCGCACTGCACCACCAATATTCATCCATGAAAGCATGCAACAGACTCTGAAAGAGCGTGCATAAAGAGCACACAGTATGTGATGAACCATTTCATCCATGCGCTAAGAAGAGGTGCCTTGCCTTGAGGGCTCCCCTCCTCTGTGGCAGACCTGGCCTCTGCAGGCTGCCTGTGGACACAAAAGCCACGTAACTTTTCTAACAATCTGCCAGATTTGTTGTGCCTGTCATTACCGCAGCCAGTGCTCTGTCACTCAAAGGTAGGGCAAATGTGAGGCACGCAGTGATCTGGTTTCGGCCGTGGACACCGCACTGCTTGGAATGCTCTGAGGATAATTAATCGAATAACCAAAAATTACTTGACTGATTCTCACTCAGCAAAAGGTTTCCTTTAAAAAAATGCTGGGCTCCAATGCATTCAGTACTGCTTGGTTGAAGCGCGAGCGCACCAGGAACTTCAGACCGTCTGGTGAAGAGTACACAAGGAATGAGTCCATTGTAACGAACTGAAGTCAATTGCCTATGGCAAGAACGCCCATTCGCCCTTGCGTTTCCTGTTCGAAAAGGTTTTCGGCAAGCTCCGAGCGCGGGCGATCTGAGGAGGTGTGCTTCGCAAGGCTGCGCACCACAAGAGCGCATCGTGTCCAATTGTCAATCAGCACAATGACATCTCAAGTGAGCCCAGATGAACGCCAGTCTGTCCGGAAGCAAGATCAGAGGCCCAAAAGTTGACAAGACCCAATCGCATTAATGTACAAATCCAAGTCAGCTGTGCGCTTTTGGCATGCACTTTAGTAGCACGAGGGCCGCCTTGATCATAGCGAATCCAGACTGGGCCTTGCAGCCATGAACACACTTCTGCAGGGAAGCATGGAGTCTTTACGATCTTCAGCAAGAGCAGCAGCAGGCAGCTGTGCAGGGCTGCGTTCCAACACTGGGGCCAGCCCATCGCACAGGGTGTGCACTACTCCTGTCTGTGTGGCTCGGTCCTCTGCCTCGGGACATCGGCAGGCCAGGAGAGCTACTGAGCCGCTCAAAGCAGCCACTGTGGAGGCAAAGGTGGACCAGGATGGAGATGCGCCCAGGGGCCTTGACAGGCAAGGCAGCATAAGGGACAGGGCGCACAAACGAGGTGAGACATGCTAACAGAGTCTTGGAAAATGTGCAAATGGATTCCGATGCATATTGCAGAGGAGAAGGGTGGAAGGACTGCCACTCCTGTGCCCAACTTATCCTTATGGCCACTTGGCTTCCTATCTCACCACTGTCGATAAGATTTGTTCGACGAACGCAGCAGAATTTTATTGGAATTGCTGTGTGCCTGTGCAGCCCCGCTTGACAAGGGCCACTTGTTCCGAGCGAAGTATGTGCCATTCAAGAGCGTGCTGGAGGGGGATCCCTGGAACTCGGAGGAGTCCTACTCGTTGGACGAGGTGGTCTACCGGGCCAAGGATGGCGGCCTCCTGGACGTGGTGCACGACATGGATGCACTGAAGCAGTATGGGCCGGAGTACTGGCGCGCCCTGTTTGACAGCAGGGTGGGCCGCACAACCTGGCCCTTCGGCTCGGGTGTGTGGTCTAAGAAGGAGTGGGTGCTGCCGGTGCGCTTCCTGCTTCTCTCCTGCCTGCACTGACACTTCACCTGTCGCAGTCTTTCAATCCTGGGTGCATGCCCACCATTGCTTGCATGCTCTGCCAATTCTGGGCAATTTTGCGCCTGTGAGCAAGGAAGCTTTCACAACAATTTTATGACGTTCGCCCAGTGATCACCAACGAAAGTTGTGACTGCCTGACGTGTAAAGTTGCATGGCTGTGCAGCAAATCGAGGACGACTACATCAAGAGCATGTTTGAGGGCAACAGCAACCTGTTCTGGGCGGAGGGCTTCGGGCGCCAGCTGGGCATGTCGGACATGTGGGTGAAGAACTGCGGCATCAGCCACACGGGCTCCTTCAAGGACCTGGGCATGACCGTGCTCGTCTCCCAGGTCAACCGCCTGCGCTCCATCAAGCCCGACGCCGTCCAGGCCGTCGGCTGCGCCTCCACAGGTAATCCCTCGCATCTACCCTTGACTGCCAACAGTGCATTGTGTGTAATATACCGGACCCTGAGATGCCAGCTTGACCTGCCAAATATGAAAAGCACCTGGTAGGAAAGGCAGGATGCAGTGTGAAATAGCCGCTTTGCTTGTAGCACTGCTGTTGCTGAGGTAAATCGGCAGATCCCTGCCCTTGCACTCGGTCACGCTGCCGCTCATCAATGCTGCTCTGGACATTGCGTGTGCTGGCGAGACATGCAGATGTGTTGGGTGCTCCGTCCCGGAGAGGAAGCCTGTGACACATCTGACAGGTGGTGTGTCAGAGCTTGACCTCTTGGTGGATGATGTGGCGCGCAGGTGACACGTCAGCTGCGCTGTCGGCGTACTGCGCGCACGCTGGCATCCCCTCCATCGTGTTCCTGCCGGCCGACAAGATCAGCCTGGCGCAGCTGGTGCAGCCCATCGCCAACGGCGCCCTCGTGCTCTCCATCGACACCGACTTTGACGGCTGCATGAAGCTCGTCAAGGTGAGTGCACGCCTCACTGCCTGTCTGGCACAGAGAGCTCCCTTGTGAACTGGAGACCGCATATGTGCCAACCATTCCATCTGCTTGCTGTTACTGCTTATGCAACATTTTCCTCAAAACCACCCAGAAGTAGCTGCGCCTGGAATGCGCTGATGCTGTCTTGGAAAATCACACTGAATGAAAGCACACTGGGCGTTTGTCATGTGCAGGAAGTGACGTCGGTGTCGCCCATCTACCTGGCAAACAGCATGAACAGCTTGCGGCTAGAGGGGCAGAAGACGGCCGCCATTGAGATCTGCCAGCAGTTTGACTGGGAGGTGTGACTTCCTCCTCCCAGTGCAAAATCTGCCCATGCAAGCCGCCATGTTGTGCATTGCCCTCCATTGTCTGTAGCCGTGGTCTGATGAGCATGGTGGGTGTGCAGGTGCCCGACTGGGTGATCATCCCTGGAGGCAACCTGGGCAACATCTACGCTTTCTACAAAGGCTTCAAGATGTGCTATGACCTCGGCCTCACAGACCGCATGCCCCGCCTCGTCTGCGCGCAGGTGCCGCCTGCCTCCTGTTATCGCAATACCTGCAGTGACACCACAAACATCTTCTTTGCAGAATGGCCAAATGAGCACATATCACGTGTGGCTAATGCCAGTCTCTTGGGCGTCCATGCTACCTGGCTGTCAGCACACAAGGCAACTTCTTGTGCATGCATGCTTGGCACTGGGCTGGGTGATGAGCGGGTGGGTTGTGTGGTGTGTGAACAGGCCCAGAACGCCAACCCGCTGTACCTGGCGTACAAGAAGGGCTGGGAGCACTTTGAGCCGGTGAAGGCCAAGACGACGTTTGCGAGCGCGATCCAGATCGGCGACCCGGTGTCGATCGACCGCGCGGTGCTGGCGCTGACGGCCACGGATGGCATCGTGGAGGAAGCCTCCGAGGAGGAGCTCATGGACGCCTCCGCGCGCGGCGACCTCACCGGTCAGTCATTCACTAGGGACTGTTTAAGCCCAAAACGCAAACCTTCTGACACAGCACCAAATCCTTACAAGGCCTGTGAGGCCCGGCCTGGTTATAGGGTGGCAGGACCTCGCTTCTTGAACGGCCAATTCTTAAGAGTCTGTTCCTTGGTGCTCTGCAATTGAGCACCAGCTAGCAGTGTTCCCTGTTGCGCATCTAGGCTTTCTTTGAGGGCGTGCTAAATTGCTGGCAAGGCTTGTTGCCTTTGCCAGAAGGCGCAGGACACACAGGAAATACTGCATCCCACTAGCGCGGAGAACAGTTGACATGGGGTGTGCGCGTGCAGGCATGTTCAACTGCCCGCACACGGGAGTGGCGCTGGCGGCGCTGATCAAGCTGCGCGAGCGCGGAGTCATCGCGGCCTCCGACCGCACCGTCGTTGTGTCGACGGCCTCTGGGCTCAAGTTCGCCAACTCCAAGGTGGCCTACCACTCGCGCGAGATCGAGGGCATGAAGTGCCAGTACGCCAACCAGCCCACCCCCGTCAAAAACGACCTTGGCTCTGTCATGGACGCCATTCATGCCAAGTTCAGCGCCATGAAGTGAGCGCGGCATCAACTCCATAGTGCGCATGATTTGAGCTATGCACGCTGCACAGCGAGGGCCGTGTTGGGGCACATGCTATCCGCGCCAAGTTCAGTCCATGAAGTGAGCATGCTCGGAGCTCGGCGCCGGGGCATGTGCCGAGCGCATGAGCCTAGGCAGAGCTCTCATGGCTGCAGTGGCGGATGCGTGAAGGTACAAGGATATGTGCTGTCTGTGTCTTCTTTCCTGGCACGATGTCATATGCCCGGTGCTTTGGCTGGATATCAATGAATGCACCTTTCCATGCGCAATGAAGTGTTCACTACTAGTGAGGCTGCTCTGGCGCAAAACTCATCCTGGAACTGATAGAACGTTGCCGGCTTGCTTTTGTACTGCATGTTGGTTTTTAGCAGCAGTACAGTGAATACCTCCAGGTACAACATCAGGATACAAAATGACGGTGCTTATACATGCGGAAGTTGGCCATCTCTCAATTTACTGAGGAGACTGAAACCTTATTTTGTTCCTTGTGAGGAGAACTTAACAGATAATTAAAGACGATATATGGCTTACAATTCTGGCGCAAACTCTCTCTGATCATGAGCAGTGTTATATTCACAGCACCAGAAGCTATAAGCATTGCACTCGCATAGGCTCCTCGCTTACACTCAAAGACAGCAGTTCTGTACATGAATAGCAGGCAATCGCAATACATGTGTGCACCTCTCCTTACCCTTCTTTCTGTGCATTACCAGCACACAGCAACTCTTATATGTACAAAGATCCACAGCAACCAGCACTCATGTCTCTGAATGTCTCAATGAGACTCCCTCGTCCCATGAAAACACACTCTGTCAAATTACTGCATCTGCGGGGGACAACAAGTTCGAAGATGTGCGCAACAGCGCTTAAAAATGGCGAGGCAGTTGCAGTCATACTCTACACTCCTTGAAGTTATGATGAGTCAGGGATTGTCCCCAACGCCATGGCTTCCAGCAGCTGCAATGAAGAATTAATGAAAAGAACAAAAAGAAACAGTGGTGGTTTTGAAACCGGTATGAAAATGCCCAAGGTGGGCCAAAAAGAGTCCCTTCTCTTCTCAGCCCTCCTCAATGACAAGCCAAGCCGTCCAGTGCGGAGAAAAATAGGATTGGACCTAATTTTTGAGCAGACTGGCCAGCCTCCTTCGGCTGAGCAGGTTCTCAAGGGGCTGGCGACCCCAGCAGACATCCCAGGAGTCGCTGAAAGAGTCCCACACCTTGGCTGACAGCTCGCGCCTGCCCTGCGCCTGCGCTAGGGCGCTACGATCGCGGCTGTCTGGTGCCGCAGCGCATGCAGCCCGGCCGCTGCCGTGACCTGCGCCAACACTCATATTTGAATCTCTGTAACGGCCACGGGGTGGCCTGGTCCCATAACCGGTGAGATGTTCCAGTTACCGCTATATATAGCAGGTCGGAACCTAATAATCACCTAAATTCACCCTTTTGGGTCAAGGAGTAGGATCAAGGGGTCCGGTGAGGGCCGGGATGCGATCCCGGGGGTCACCGGTGCAGGGGGTACGGATCCAGGAATGGTCCGTAACAATCTCCTATGACTCATTTAGAAATGACTCACAAACCTAAGCGTTATATTGAGAGTGTCAGCCATGGATTATGGGAAGGATCTGGATTCTGGTTACTTTAGGGATGACAACATTCATGTGGTTCAGGGGCTTCAATGTTCCAAGCCAGGTTCCGTGGTTGGTTTTAAAGATGGAGATAGAGGGAGGTCAGACCTGCGCTCCGGCAGTGCGCTGGCGCAGCCCGGCCGCCGCGGCTGCCAGCAGCGTGCGGCCCTGCTGCAGCGCGTGCGCCGCTGTGTCTCGGCCCCCCTCTAGCTTCCCGGTGATGGCCTGCGGACCCGCCATGTTCCACACCTCAATCCCCACGTGTCATTCATTTGGAGTTGTGACCACTCGAGCATAACATGAAGGAAAGGGCGGATTCAGATTTCGTTCAAGTCAAAGAAAACCGTGAAGAGACGCAAGCTTGGTGGTCTTTGAAGCAGGAGAAGGACTGCAGCAAGCATGTTTGCAGAGGGTGACGAGTAAAAGTAAAGACCCACAAAGTATGCGATGGTGAGGAGTGCGCCAAGCAGGAGCAGGAGAAGCAGCCGCCCTGCTTGGCGCCCCCCGTTTCCCTGCTTCGGCTCTGCTGCGCCGCCCCCCGCTGAGTCCACCTTCAGGTGCTCCAGCAGATGCACCCTGTACTTTGCGTACGATTCCTTCATGCCCTGCATAAAGGCAACCCATCCGAATGTCAACACCATTGACATTCACTCCTGGTCATGACCAGCAGATCAACTCAAATTACATCCGGGGCTCGCACAGTATGATGCACAGTGGACTGTCAGATGATAGAGCGCATGCATGCGCATTGACAGTCGCAGATGTTTCTAGGTCAGGCAGAGAACAACTTGGCAATCACAGGCCCAGTCTTCTGGGTGCTCACCTCCATTGATGCTCGCTTGACCACGCCTTTGACCAGGCATGTGCCTGTGAAGACCACCTGGACACCACAGCATTATGCATGATTTGAAGCCAGTTTTAGACTAAACCTTTCACCGCCATTTTACGTTGACAGCAGAGAAACCCAAGATTCCACATTTATGCCTGGAGCGTTCAAGTGAGTATGCAGACCTCGCAGGAGATCTTGAGCTGGGTGCGCTTGCCATCTATGCTCCTGGCCAGCCATCGCAGGTGCGAATGGAAAGTATTGCCATACGGGACCTGCACACTTCCTTCATTATCAGAGAAACATTCCAAACCTCAACCACCAAACTGTGCCTGACTTGTTTGTAGGCACATCACAAGGAGGACAAAAGAGGACAGGGTGTGATTCCACAGGAATGTCATGACTCGCTAGACTCGCTGCCACATAACAAGCAGTCCAACGGCAATGTGCTAGACATATGCCTTTGAGATAAAGGGAAGGTGCCAATGGAAATGCTCACCTTTGGCGTTTGGACTGTGACATCCACTTGCCAGCCGGAGCCAGGGTGCATGGTGCAGCTGTGGGTCTCTATGCACTGCGCCTCCTTGGGACCAATCATCTGCTTCTTGAAGGAAGTGATGTACTTGACCCTCCTCTCTGCCCCACCATCTGCCCACACACCACAGATACCATCGCTGTCACTCATCCGCTCTGCTGGGTCGTACATTGCCTTGAAGTCATCGCCGAAGCTGCACTTTTCTGCATGCCTATGGAAATTACCTCTTGGCTTGAACTGTACAAGAGCAACGCAGGCAAGAGCGCGCGCACCCTTTGTCATGTGCCAACGGCCCACTTTGAGTTCCCTGTGCTTGTTCAGCTTCTGCACGCTGCTCTGGAACTCTGGGTCAGCCATCACGAGGCGCCAGAGGTCGTGTTCGCCAATGGGCAGTGTCTCGTCCAGCACCACAGTGGACAGAGGCTCAGCAAGGTCCTCTGTTGCCCTGCTTCCTGACCTCTGTTTCGACTGGGATGGCCAAGGGTCATCGATATCCCGTTCTGCGGCCTCCTCGCCCACCTGTGATGTCAAGGCGTAGCTTCAATCTACAAGCCTTGACCCTTGCAAGTCCAAGTCAGCAACTTGTCCATAAATATGGCGTTTCATTGCTGGTGACTTGACTTCACTGCGACAGAATGATACATCTTGGCATGTCACAGGACAGCTGAAAAGTCAATCGAAAGCCTCTGCAGGACAGCGAGAAACATCCTATGGCAGGTGCCAGTCAAATAATAAATTTTGAAAAAGCCTTATAGTTGGCAGTACTTGCCACATCAGTACAACAAAGATGATTCCTTTTGCACGGGGTCTAGTTTGGGGTCAGGTCAGCTTGCTGACAGACCATACGCGATCTTCCTAGTTCCTAGTAATAGATGTAGCCTTACCTCGTCCGCTCCGGCGTTTCCGTCATCATCGATGCCCTGCTGCCGGTTCCTTCGCCTTTTTCTTAGCTTCAGGACAATTACAGCCGCCACAGCACCTCCAACAATGGGAGAAGCACCCAGACCTAACGCTAAAAGGCCCCGCATGGCCTGCCGAGTGTCTCTCTCGCGCAGATTGCATCCAAGGAAACCCATGCTGCCCACTTGGGCTATCTCTGCCCTGTCCTACATCTAAATGGCGGTTGAGGTAGCCTCGCCATTTGGACGATTGATGAGGAGAAAGGGTGCCCGGGCAACGGTTTCTGCCTGTGGATTCGGGAGCGCGGCGTTCCATGAGGAGATTATACTCTTCCTGTCATTTTTTTCTTGGACTGGATGCCTTCGTTTTTTTTGGCAGACATATAGCAGTTTTATTAAAGGCAAGATGCATCATATGATAGTTCACTGCGATGAAGATCATTCATCAACCTGGCAGTCATGACCCGGTAATGGTCACTGTGGTGTTTCCTAGACAGGCCTTCACTTTCAGATTATGCAACTTGAAAAGAATTCGAAATTTGCCCATAATGTTTGAGCATGGGAAATTGTGTTGGTGCATTTTATTCAATGCTTTCAATGTCTAGGTGGAGTTCCGTGGGATACAAAAGGAGTATTTGTCAATGCACTGTCCACATGCCACATGCATAATTCAGTGGTTTCACTTGACTGGCCAGCAAAGTAGGTTATTGTGCCACGTTTCCAAAAGTTTCCCACATTCGCCCCAGATCATCACCACAAACTTCAGAATCCCATGATGCTGCTGAACCAGATACGCAGGATATGCAACAGCTGTGGGTAGCAAGCATTAACCCGCCTTTATGATTACACCTGTGTAACTCCCTGTGTTCACACAATTGCCGCAATCAATTGGGTTCATCAAATCTATAGACTTGCATCTAGTCCAGGCACGGAAGAAGAGCTGCCAAAGCATGACACTTTCCTCTCAACTAGAGGAAGTCCTGTCACATATGCAGCAAGCCCTGTGCACTGCACTGCTTGAAGGCCTGCTATTCTAAGAGACTTGGCGAAGTGCAGGCACCATTAGGATCCTCAGAGTCAATGCACCCCTCCTCATGTGCACCTATTGCATCTGGTGAAGTGTTCAAAGCTACATGCGTCCCGCTCAATTAGTTTTGAGGCCGTCTCCCAGAGGTGGACAACAGCAAAGGCACAATGCGGATGGCAGAAACCTCCCATACATGCATTTGCTTTGTACATGCGCCTCTCTATGCCAGAACATAAGAGCAATACATTTCACGTGTGCCAAAAGCATAGCGCCTTGAAGTGTGCACCTGTCTTTGGGCAAACCCCAAACGCTCACCTCATATTTAGGATCCTTGCATCCCGTTGCCAGCGTCACCTTTTTTTGTGAAAAGAAAATAAATAAAACAGCAGAGCGTGAGGCCCGCTGGCAATTTATGTGTGTCAAATGGATATTCCTCTCGAGGGTAAAAGCTCCCTGAGAGGCCCCTTGCCAAAAGAGCAGCAGCTTTCCCTGCCTTAAATCTACAGCTGCAGAACGTTTCCAGGCTTCGTTCTTCCTCATGCAATATCATCATGTGTTGCTGCCAAAGGCCTTCATATCCAGCACCTCTGCCAGCCCTGGAGCAGACCCATCTGCCATCTGCACAGTTCCTGCACCATGCGCATGTACCACACCGTCAGCTACATACCACATGTCTCTGGCCTTCTCTGGCCTCTCACGGCCTCTGACACGGCTGCACGGTGTCATTCCTGTACCTGACCCAAGGAGGACAAACACTTGTGAAAGATCCACGGGGCAGCGCATTGCCACAGAGTAACAACAACCATCACGTCAGAAAGCCAGAACACTACACAGTTATACGCGCTTATAGCAGAATGCACCACCATAATGTGCTTCGCCTGTGCTGCACAGGCAAAGAAGTTCCCCGCCTCGACGGCCCTTCTCTGTGGGTACTACGAGGTAACAGCGGCACAGCGGCGCACCGTCTTGCAGGCTGGCGAGCTCGGGCATGAGGAGGCAGTTGAAGGGGGAGGTCTGGTGGGAGGCCCCCGCATGGGCGGCCCCCTTTGCCTGCGCCTCGTAGCTGCGCTTGACATCCGCCATCTCACTGGCGGAGGCTGCCAGCAGGTTGCACATGGCCAGCACGTCCGGCGTCCAGGGGAAGGCCAGCAGCTCACACTTGGCCTGCTGCAGCGGCGTCGCCACCTGCACCAGCCCCATCTTGTCACACCAAAGGTACAGCTCCAGTACAAGGCGATTCTACTTAGCCTCTAGGAGCAATGTTACAGCTCTAGAAGCCTCAATACGGTAGGCTGGACTAGCAATGCGACTATGCCGCCTCCTGAGACACGAGGTGAAGCTCATGCGCGTATTGCAGCTTTAGCGTATTGCAAAATTATCTTTCTGATCCTATTTTGGAGGCGGCTCTGTTCTACATTACAGTATTTAATGTGTTTTCATGCTGCTCGTGAGCAAGCATAGCACGCCTGCTGCACGGATGGGAACAAGACTTTGAAGGGCACTGGGGAATTGCCTGCCAATCTCCCTTCAAGGTCTTGATCACTGTGGTGCAGCAGGCGGCTGTAGGAGGGAGTGCACACCTGTCGGAGGGAGCTGCAGCGTGCATGGACCTGAGGCTGGTCAATACAGGGTGGCAAGGGGCGGACCTGCCAAAAGGCGAGGAGGAAGTCGGTGCAGAGGAAGTGTTCGCGGTTGACGTTGCGCTGCAGCCGCTCGGCCGCCGCACTCGCGTTGAGGTAGCCAGCGTTCTGCTGCCGCCCCTCCTCCATCGACGGCACCGCCCCCTGGCATCATTGCACCATGCAACCCTCAGCAACAATCCCCTGACAACACTGAACCTGCTGCTGTGTCCTGGGACACATGCTGACATCCCCAAAGGCACACAGGCAGCGCTGCATTGCGTCGAATAGGTGCATGCCACTTGCCAGGTGAGTTCAAGGCTGCGCAAGGGCATCAGGCAGGACCCATCCAAGAGAGATGCAGCGGGATATCTACCATAACGCAGGCCAGGGCTGTCCCTCAGCATCCCTGCTTTGCATGTCTTGTGATAGACTGCCCCAGCAAGAGATCAAGGTGGTGCATAAGAGTCCAAATGAGGACATATTTGGGAGGGGGCAGGTGGGGCGGGGGCCGCACCTGGAGCATGGAGATGATGAGGGTGCGCTCCTGAATGATCTCCATCATCTGAGCGAGCAGGTAGGTGCGTGCGGCCAGCAGCCGCTCCTTCTGCTCCTCGCTCAGCTGCAGCGCCATCACGATCGACTGCCACTTGGCCAGCCGCGGCGCGTCCGATGCCCCGCTCGCCTCGTTCAGCATCGCGTACTGCATGTGGATCAGCTGCGGCCGGCTCTTCCACGTCTGAAACTCGCTCGCGTTCTGCATTGTCAGCACGACACACATCAGCGCTGCATTTTTCAAGATTTGTCGAAGCAGACGCTTCTTGATGTGATGTTAGCAAGATGAGGAATGCACTCATAAGCTTCGCAACCAATGCATACAGATCGGCAGCGCACTCCCCTCTATTGCCAATTGGAAAATTGTCCGCCACTCTAAAATAACAAGACACAAGGCAGAGTGTCAGGCATGTTACTGCAGGACTCCCGCAGATATAGGGCAGCAAATAAGGAAAGTGGGAGCACCTTGAGGGCGAGCAGCTCCACCAACTCGGCGTGCGCTGGGCTGTCGGGGTCCTCGGCCCCCTGCTCAAACAGCCTGGACAGCATGCTGTGGTACATCTGCACGCACCCACAAAGCACTATTACTCACACCGATTGCACTCCTCCCCTGTCCCATCCGCTGCCATGCCAGTCCAGGGGTTCATCATGAGCTGCCTTTCACCTTCAGATTGGAGTCCTGACTGATAAGAGAACATAGTCTCTGTGAAAAGACATGCAGCCACATCCTCATGCAGCCGTTACAGGATGAGAAAAGCAAGCCCACCTCGACGTTCTTGGCAATGTCCTTGAAGGTCATGTCGCGGGCCTGCTCCCAGGTGAAGGTCTCCCCGCGCACTTTGCTCACAAACATTGACAGGCTCTCAAAGTACGGCGCATCGTCCTTGGTCTCCTCCCCTTGCCCCTGACAAAGGTGAAATTTCCTCATGTCAGCTCCCCCGTCTACAAAGCAAGGGAATGCCACCATCTGCCTATGGCATGCCAACCCTCAAAACCAACCAAAAACATTCTATGGTATTTTTAGGACCAGGTCACCCCTACACACCGATTCTGTATTAAGGTAGAGCTCAGGGATTAATTGAAGCCACAAAAATACACACCAGCATGCAAAAGTTGTGCGCCGGCACCAGATCAAAGCCATGCATCCAAATGTAACGCATGTATAATGCAAGAAATAATTGATCTGAGTCTGCAGGATGTGTCACCTGCGGGGAGGGCGAGGGTGCGGCTTCTTTGGCGCGGAGGGCGGAGGCTTCCAGCTGGCGGTTGCGCACCTCCAGCTCCAGCTTGGCGCGCTCCAGGGCCATCACCTGCCGGCTCAGCTCTCGCACCTGCGCCTCCGAATCCTCCAACTTCGCCTGCGCCACAGCAAAACCATTCAAACTGTTTATTTCAAAAGAGCCAGGACCCTAGAAACATGAAGCTTCGCCGCTGCCACCAATCCGCACACCGGAGCGCAAGATCAGTTTTGCGGTGCGATACATGCTGCAAAAAGAGCCGCATTCTGTTTTAGCTTAATCTCAATAGACTTGCATGCCATCGGCACTTGTGGGGAAAAATGGTGCGGATGATGAGTGGGCAGGGGAGAAGGGAATTTGGGGCGCACCCGTTGGCGGGCGCGGAACTTGCGCTGGTTGCGTCGGTTCTTCTCCTGGATGCGCCGCAGCCGCAGCTCCTCTGTGTCAAGCTCCGCCGCATCCTGCGCCACCGGCCGCCCCTGCAGCGCCACAACCAGCCTATTCACCCTCCGCTCATCAGCTCTGCTCCACCATGACATTTCCAGAAGCAACAAAATAGATCGCGTAGTAGGTAAACGGAGAGTCTGGCTTTGTGCTGCAGTCAAAAGCCAAGAGTTACAATGAGCGGGTTGAGAGGTCGTGGTCACCCCATTAGCTTTTGAAAGGGCGTGGTGATGAAATCAGTAGGTAGGTACACAGTACAGCGAGTTGAAAGCGATTTGATGAGCGGGTGGGGTGAATGTGGCACCTGGTGCTCGGCGTGGCTGTCGTTGCTCTCCCCAGAGAAGCACGCCGGAGCCTCAGCGTCGTCCCGGCCACTCATGGTTGAGTCGTTGGTCGATCTGGCGCGCGCCGCATTCCCTCCCAGGCTCCTCGGCACCGGCGAGGCTGGCACCTGCGCCATATACATCACCCTCAGCAACACTACCTCCTGACTGGCAGGCTGTGTCCTCTGACGCCTTCAAAGGAATACATCATTTGCACTTCAACAAACTTAGGAACGTCGCTTTGTGTTGATCCTCGTCGAAATAAATGGAGTCCCCTGCTCAAGAAGGGGCCATGTAAAAGCAACACACCTGTGCCGAATGGCTGTCTCCGCCCTTGCTGGAGGGGGAGGGCAGGGGGGGCATGCCACTGACGCCGCCGCCGTCCCTGGAGCCACCGGCCTGCGCGGGGTTGGAGCGGGGGTGGGCGGCAAAGGGCGACTGGTAGATGCTCGACTGGCCGCCCTTGGCGCCGTTTGGCGGCGGCTGCGGCGGGAACAGGTGAGCGAAGCTGTTCGACAGGCCCGTCGGAGGGCGGCCGCCGCTGCTGCTACCGCTTGGGCCGGCGCCGGCCGACGCGCCGCCGCCGCCACCGGTGCCGGCTGATGCGCCCTCCGCGGCGCTGGGCTGCTGCGGGGACGGCGGCGGCAGCGAGGCCTGCCCCGGCAGCTTGCTCTGCGAGCGCAGCGCCTCTAACACTGCGTTGGCCCACTCCCGACGCGAGTCCGCGTTCTGCGCCGCACCCGCCTGCGCGCAGTCCCGTTTTCAGCAATAATTCACTTTCTCTCGCGGTACAAACTCCTTATGCCGATTTTCATCTAAAATTAGCTCTGGAGCCCATAGTGCACCTGAAGTATCTTGCATTAGGGCAACCTGAGCTTGCAATGTGCATGTATCAATGCGTAGATCTAAAGGCAGGGTGAGGGCAGCACCTGGCCGGCGTGCAGCTGCAGCAGGTGGTGCATGGCGGCTGCGTTGGCGGCCTGCAGCGCGCTGGGGTCTCCCAGCTGTGCCTCGGCGGCGGCAAGCGCGGCGGAGGCGGCCGAGGGCAGCAGCGAGCCCAGCATGCTGAAGGTTGACTCGTCCTCTTGCAGCAGCGCTGCCACTGTCCGCTCATCCAACGAGAAGGATAGTGACGGGTTCATGGCCTGCATGGGGCGCCTGGTACGCGCCCTTTGCTAGCGTTGCAGTCTCCTCACTGTCTGTAGTGTCCTGCCTACTTGCTCTCCCTGCTCCCTGAACGAGCCCAAGCTGGCAGCATCTTTGCACGTTTGTTTCCTGGTCCTTGATGATCAAAGCTGAAGAACTACCTTACACGTCGGCTACCTGTGGCATCACATCAGAATCGATCATTTTTTGGCCCCCCCCACAAATGGACCACAAAATAGACACGTTTCCTCCGTGGGCTCTATTGTACGAAATAATGCATCAGCAGCAGCTTTTCACTTTCCACAAAGTACAGAAGCATAGTAACGCGACAACCTAGATTCTCTGTGGGCAGGCAGCAGAGGAGCCCAGCCAGCACCTCTGGCTCAAGATCCCCAAGGGTTACTTGTTCGCGTGAACAAAAGTTGGAACCATCACAATCAAAACTTTTCGAATTACGCTGCATGCTTTGTCTCATAAAACTAGGACCGTAATTCAAGGAAAGCAATTACTGCATCGACAGGCGCCAGGATTCGCCCAGTGCATTCCGACTACTAGCGCTGACGGTGACAAGAAAGGACGCTTATTGATAGGGTGGCCCTTCCAATACCATCAAAGCACACTATCTCGCATAAACCCAATGCAGCAATTTTTGCCTCGCAATTCTTCTAACCGGGTTTCCTGCCAGCCTGGTGAACCCGAATCTAGCGACGGAGCTTGAAGCCGCGACTTCTTGGGTCGTTCCGACCGTACGCTTCCTTCAAAAATCCACCAATATAAGACTACGTATATCGATCGCTCACCGATTAAAACCCGAGTCTTGACGTGGGTACAGGTTGCACATTTCGATGAGTCCCTCCGTGGGGAAGACCGACCCGCTAAGTTGCAGCAGCAGCTTGAAATGCGTCACCCTCTTTATTATATTGCTAGATGTACTCATCCGTCTGGGTCACCAGTCTATGGCCCGCCAGGTCGATGGACTTACTGTTTCGTGATCTTCATCACCCACCTGACTGAGAGCTCGGAGCTGAACCAGAAGTTGTGTGCGCTCACGTGAGAGGTTCGGCCCCAAGACCCCTGATGAAGGTTAATACGTTGATGGAGAGAAAGGGTTCTATTTCTGGGGTAGCATCCGAGACAGTGTGATCGGGGTATTACCTCCTTGGAGACGTCGACGTGTAAATAACAAATATACGAACACGTCGTGACTCTTGTTCTCTCAAGCATGGCATTCTGTTCACAGATCTTGCAGCAATGATTAAGCACCATCCTATCATGAGATGATCTTTCTTTTAAATTGCGCCTCAACACGCTTTATTTGGGAATGAATCCCTCTGTACAAGTAAGATCCATCGGGAGAGGTTTCAGTACGCAATCCTAGCTCATAATGATGGAGGCATGCCTGGCAGATCGATATCCTCCTGTGCACGCTGGACTAGATGGTGGCTCACAGCCAGGGGCAACTGGCCCAGAAATCTTGACGTGCACCGGCCCTTCTCAGGAAGTCAAATCTCCTGACGTACAGAACCAAAGTTCAGGCGCAGATTTTGAAGCAGCAGATTTTGAGGTAGCAAATGCAGAGGGCTTATCAGAAAGCCCAATGACTATCCCACAGCACATAAGTGAAGTTGAGGTTCATACAGAAGATGAGATATGCAAGCAGCAAGAATCCTGTCCCCAGATAGAAGCGACAGTCTACCCAGAGTCTGAGCAGCAATCAGCCGATCAGGCCACCTTGGCAGCTTCAGAACAAGCTGATGCCTCTGCATTGCAGCCTTCAGACAGAATGCCCGCAGAGGAAGGCATAGCAGAAGCATCCCCGCACAACAGCTCCCCAGAGCCTTTGGGGCCTGCAGAGAAAGTCCAAATAGGCCCTACCAGGGCCATGCTTCACATGCAAGCAAGAAAGGTGTGCTGTTTCCTTGGAGCGTCCAACTGCAAAATGCATGAGCGGTTAGGCATGTACCTTGGGGCCATCCGGTCACTCTTGCTGGCTGTGAGCCGGCGTCTGAATGCAGGCGCTTGCTGCTGTGCGGAGGGGACAGCTGCTAGCATCAGCTGCCGGAGCTGCAGAAAGCACTGAAGCTCAACTTGCGAGTGCCCTTGCCGAATGGAACATGCTGAAGGGGCAGCTATCGTCCCTGCACTCTCGTCACTCACAGCAATTGGCGTCTCTGAAAGTGAGCTTTGCTTCTGTACCTTGAAATTTCAGGCGGTGGACCTTTGGTTTTCCGTACACTGGCAATACCCCAAGTACTCAGTACTCAGGCTTGAGCTTTGTGCTTGGCTTTGTATGACAGGCTAAGGTAGCAGAGCAGGAAAAGCAGGCAACAGAGATGCAAACCCAATACAAGACCGCCCTGGGAACTATGCTAAGGAAGGCATTTGACCCAAAGACAGGCAAGGTCATTCCTGCAGCGACAATCACAGACTTGGAGCAGTCACTGGCCATGAAGGAGCATGCCGCGGACACTGCACGCTTTAGAGTCCTGCACCTGCGCGCAAAACTGCAGCGAGTGCAGGATTCCCAACGCGAGGTGGGGCCTTGGCAGTGGGGCCTTGGCAGTGGCACATGCACAAGCGCTCCATGTCAATGCTTAGAGGATTAGAGAATTGTTTCTTCCGGCCTGCCGCAGCATCCCTTTTGTGAGACAACACAGTAGAGCAGTAACACAGCATGAGACTTGTATGGTGGATTGCTTGCAGAACGGCATGAAGCGGAGCCTGCATGTGGTTGACTTTGAGCACCTGAAGATGGAGAATGCGATGCTCATGAACAAGATTGAAGTCCGAGGCAAACAGCTGCTGGAGGCGCAGCAACAATCGCAAGCCGCTGTGCATGTAAGATTCACACTCATCCTCAATATTCGGCTTGTTCACGGCAGCAGAGTGGTTCTATACCAGTGTTAATGCCCATTGCCAGGCAAGCCAATCCTGCGAGTGCCATATGTCTCTTTGCGTTTCCTACCCCTAATGCCCTTTGATGCCTTTCTGGCAGGTGCTGGCGCATGTCAAGCAGAAGCTTCATCTTGAGGAGAGAAGGCGGGCAGAGCTGGAAGCGACACTAGCAGTCGCACAAGAGAAGCTACGAGAACGAAAGGAACGTGGTCGGCTGCTGAAGAGGCAGAGGGAGAAGAGAAGGCTGCGAAAAATCAAGATGCAGGAAGCAGAGCTCTTTGAGGATCCCACATTGTTGGCCCATTTCCAGGTGACGGCTCCCTTCAAAAGCTGCATATTGACTGTGGGCGATAGAGTGCATCATTGGAAAATTATCGGCACTGCCAACAGTATAACATTTTGCGAGCAAGGGCCGAATGTTGTGACTGCTTGTTTCGGTGCAGGAGCTCTTAGTTCTTCGAGAGCAGTGGACATCTAAGGTCGCTGTTCTCAAAGAGCACAGCACGGCGTTGCGGGCAGATCAGTAGATCCCCATTGTGAGAGGTTCAGACCCTCAGAGGGCTGTGCGTTCTCCTGGCAAGATATCAGGCTCAGCTGCTTGCGCAGAACAGCTGGGCTATCTCGGACATGCCAGCCAATCCAGTCATTATTAATATGCCATCATGATCACGGTGGCATGCGCTGAATACGTGGCACTGGCGTGCATGGCAAGGCATGTTTGCCGCAAACGCGGCCAAAATATCTGTGACCAGCTAAATGAGCATTCGTAGCAGTGCAGAACTAAAGAAATGTGCACGAAAATGAGTTGACACGGAAGATGTTGTTGAGAATTTTGAAAGCTTCAATTGAAGTACATTGTTTGCATTTACAATGCACTCGTAAATGTCTCCTGAACCACTGTGCATGCGCGATACTGTGCAGCAGCAGCTAGCTAGTTCCTATGCAGCTACCTAGTCAGGCGATTCAACAGCTGGCTAGTCGAATTAATTAGATTGGTTCAATCTGGTGCTGCTGTCCCCTTTGCTCCTGTAAGATCAGGGCTTTATATAGGTTCTTAGATTTAAGAACCTATTCACTCCTGGGCATCTGCCTCTAGAGGCAGATGCCCAGGAGCTGGAAGCTAGTGAATGGCAGAATATAACGCGTTGACCGGAAGTTTCACCTCTCCTCCTTTGATGTTTTTCTCTCCCATGGTTCCTGTGACATCGCAATTCTAAACCAAAGAGAAGATTGTCAATGGTTGTGTGACGTTAAGGTGGAAATACCCCACTCAGAACCGATGTGAGGAATGGCTGAGGAATCTCGTGCAGAGCTTGTGACATTTTCCTGTCGGGATTGTGTTGTGTATATGATCCCTCCTGCCTCGACGGTTGGGCACCGTGCTGAGCTGTGGAATGTAGACAATCCTCTGCAGGTGATCAATTTGTAATCAGCTTTGAGCACTTTCCTCTTGAATTGCACCGTGCAGCATTGCACGGCAGGAATGATGTCACTTATGAGATAGTTGCGATCGGAGTACAGGATGTGACCAGTAGCGTTGTCACGAGTGGAGATGACTGCTGGATCAGACTTCACGATGTGACAACAGGTGCAAAGCCCTGAGTATATCACTGATCACGTGTGTTCAGTAACGGGTATTCGAGCTAAAAAAAGCAATCTTATAGTTCTGAACCATATGGGATGCTCATGCGCAGGTGACATGTTTGCTGAGTGTCCCATAATGAAGGGGAAGCCACTGACCTCGGTGAGCCAGCAGATATTTCCAAGGTGTATAAAATCATTTGCACTGTATTAAATCGTGCTCCGATGTGACCTGCTGGCTGTGGTTGTCCAGAGTGTGGAGCCGGTGGTTGACAGCTCTAGGTACTTCGTCCTGAGGGTGGTGGACAGAGACTCCGGCCGGCATGCCTTCATTGGCTTTGGATTCAGGTGCAATTCTGATCAACCTCTTCTTGCTACAGCCCCAACCAGCATCTCCAACAAGCTCTGCTGTTAAAAGCGCCGCCATGCCGCAAAGAGGCTCTTCAAAGCGCTGTGAGAAAAGAGTGAGTGGCTCTGTGAGCATGCAGGGAACGGGCGCATGCTTCAGATTTTGCAGCGGCGTTGTCCGATTACCAGCAGTACCTGAAGCGATCAGAGGAGGCGGCGGCCATGCAGCAGGCCTTTGCAGCAGCCGAGTCAGGCGAGCAGGGCCCCGATCTGCCAACCCTGGACTTCAGCCTCAAACCTGGGGAGACCGTCAGCCTCAAGCTTTCCGCAAAGGTGACACTCCTTTCGTTGTGCAGCATCCTGATGCTCAGAAGGCCCAACGATGGCTCTGTTCAATAAGCCTGAAAATTGCTTGCTGCACTGCAAAGCATTGCAAAGAACAGCACGCTGCTGCATACTACCTTTTACCGGCATCGGTTTGGTCATCCTAGTGAGATATCTGTTTGGAAGCTGAATGGTGACATGTTGCGCAGGGGCCAGCAGCACGAGGTTCGTTTCTGGGCGAGCGAATGGTGGCTATGCCTACTGCAGAAGCTAGCCCATCAGAGAGTGGCGCTGCAATGCTGCTCGCACCACCCCCAGCTGCCACAGCGCAGCCGCAAGCTGCTGCTCAGACGGTTAGCGGACCTCTGAATTCACCTTCAAATAGTGCTGTTGAAGCAGAGCAGAAAATTACTGCCAAGCCTGACAGTGAAGGGGATGAAAAAGGTGATCTAAGCAGAGCTGATGGGCCGAATGAGAGAACACCTGCAGAAGATAGCAGCATTGATGAAGAGTTTGGTAGCTTTGTAGGATGAGCCCCTCATCAGAGTGTGGTTGCCATCTGGCCCCTATTCCGCCTCAGTAGATAGAGACTTTGCCAGAGGTAGATCTGGATTGACTCTGGCTGCCAGTGGTGCACAGCATTGTATGATAGTATCATCAGGAATGGTTCTTCTTTAGCAATGCGACCATTGCAATAGACCCCCGATATTGTCTATTGAGCTGGAATTACACAATGCAAACGTTACAATAAGCAGCCTTTCATGTCATGCTTACATCAAGTTCACCTTGACCAAGTACCCTAATTAGGGAATTATAATGTACTTGCACAGCCAGCATGTGCCTGTGCAGCAATCAATTCCCAGCTGTAACTACTTATAAGTATCAGGAAAGTGGCTTTCATCAATTTTCATATTAGTACTCGATGCTATCAACATTGTTCACTCGCATGTCTACCTAGTTCAGCGCAAATGCATGCGTATCAATTTTCAATATCTGAAAAATGAGCTTGGGCTAAATGAGAGCCTAGGCATAAAACCAGAGAGGAATGAGCATTGACGGCCTCTGAGCAAAAGAGTGTCAGTCTGCTCACTGCTGCTTGAAGCATTTGATAGTCCCGACGTCTGGAAGCACTGCCAGAATGACTCATCCCAGAGAATGTGTAGCAAGCCAGTTATGAGACCCTCCACTCTACCCTGTCATTGCAGCAATGCCTGCGAGTCCAGGTGCCTTACATAGCAAGCTCGTAAACATGCAATGTGCATGGCAGAGGCAAATCGCTGTCACCTTTTTATGCCCTCCTATGTCCTTGCTGCCAATCCTATGACGACTTGGACAACCTATTCTGCTGCAGCTGGATTGTTTGCATCCTCAGTTCTACTCTGACGTCCTTTGTACGCTTTCCCAACCCCCAAAAGTCCTTCACACCATGACAGATTGGCTGGATTCACTGCCTCCCCTGTGTATGTCTCAGCCTCACCTGCACGCATCCACAGAATTCAAGCTTACTTCCTCTTTCTCCTCATTGACAATCCGTAAAACTGTGCGTGCATGCAAGACAATCAGGAGCCTTACAGAATGGTGCTTGGCCGCCAACAGTTCACGCTGGTGGAGTTGAAGTGTGGTTCGGATCTTTGTTGCTTACCTCTCTTGATGGCCTCCCAACGCATGTCACCATCCTTGAGGTCCAGAGCTGTGATCTCAGGGATGAAAGCAAGAGTCACAAAGACACCCAGAGCGCCAGCCGCTGCTGACAGGAGGAACTTCATTCTGTCATCGACCTGGAGCAGGAACCATCCTCTCATCATCAGAGACATTTCTGCAGGAATATTTTCCACTCCACCATCGCGTCCTCAGAAATCAGGATGGGAAAGGATGGGAATAAAGAGCATGGAAACGAAGCAAGATAGTGCCCTGGAATCACCTGTCCCATGATGACATCAGCAGACAGGGCGCCAAGCTTGCCAACTGCAGCGCTGATGCCATGTGCCATGCCCCTGTTCTCCGTTGGAAAGAGCTCAGAGGCCTGTTGAAGAACAGCAATGCACTTGAGCAACAAACTGAGACTGCTGAGAGAATCACAGTATGGCTGACCCTGGGGCGCACATGCATGAAAGCCAGATGAAGCAGATTGGTCAGCCATCATTGTCAGGCAATATGCAATTAGCTGACAGGAACCCACCAGTAGAAAGGTGGTGGCATTCACGAACTGGGCAAAGACGCTGGAGATGTAGTACATGGCCTGGAAGCCCTGCAGCCCCTGCTGTGTTGCAGTCAGCTGGTAGAAGGCAAGCCCGCAGACGAGGAACAGCACAAACACCACCGCAAAGCCTGCAATCTGTTCACATGGACAACAGCAAAACGTCAACAGCGCCTCCAGGACCACTTGGCTTGGAATGCATTTTTGCCACTTCAAGACGTACCGGCTCCACCAATGATTTGCAGTGTCTTTTATGACCAGACTTGCATTCATGTTTGCACATCACGTTCCATACAAAACACAATGTTAAGACATGCTCGGCAGCTGGGCTGACCTGCATACGGCGGCGGCCCATCCAGACCTTGTCGATGGTGAAGGCTGCAAAGTAGTAGCCAAAGAGCGCCACGCTGGAGTTGAGTAGGTTGTACTCCAGCAGGGGAACCAGGCTCTGGCCCGGGTGGATCACATTTATGAACTCGCTCTGGAACAGCTTGTTGCCATCTGCAAGCCACAGTCCATTCAAAGCACAGGTTCCTGTTTGAGGTGCAAAAGAGCGCATGCATCTTTGCTCCTGACAGCATAGAGAGGACATTATATTACATGCTTGACGGTATCGAAATTGAGGGTCATTGTTCTGGGACTGAAAAATGAGAAGAGGGGCGACGCACAGTAGTAGAAGTCCCAGGCAAACCAGCCAAGCGCCGTCCCGAGCAGTCGGTGCCAGTAGTGGCGCACCGTCAGCCACAGTTTCCTGCGGCTTGCTTTCCTCTCCAGACTCCTGTCCTCGAGCTTGCCCTCTAATTTCATTCTTCTCTGCTCCTATGCGCAATATACCCCAAAAACAATTGCTTCAAGTACTAGAAAGCATGGACACCCTGGTGGCATGCATAGCAAGGTCTTCCAGAAAGCGAGGCACCTGTCATGCACAAACACACATACCGAGGAGCATCAAGGTGCAAGCTCGATGCAGGTAAGCAAGGAGGGCTCACCTGCCACACGCTGGACTCCTTCAGGTAGAAGATCCTGTATACAAGCATGAAGATGATGGGCAGTAGGCCCAGCGCGTACTGCATGCGCCAGGTGATGCTGAGGGCCCTGAAGCTGTACTGTGGCCCTGTCTGGCCTTGGACGCCCAGAAAGAACAGCAGCACTGCCAGGTTCAAGATATTGCCCCAGCCCTGCATGTCGACATAGGGGAAGTAAAGACAGAACTCATGAGCTTCGAATGACAGCAACGGCAATGTCAGCAGATCTTGGTGTGACAACTGAACTGCTGATCTTACTTCAAGATTGCATGCAAATGCATCTTCCTGCTTATTCAAGTGCTGGATTATCTCATGCATTATGAAGTTCAGCCCAATATCCGTGCCAGGTGGTGATCTCGCAGTAAGAAGACAACTGTACACATGAGATTGTGCATGCCGGTGTCAGGGGGGTTGTGGATACCTGCATGGCAAAGACAAGGACAGTGGTCTGGCCGCGCAGGGAGCGGAGCTTCTCGCTTGATTCGGCGCGTTCTGAGGCCGATGCAGCCGCCACTGGGAACTCACCGCCGCAGCCAAAGCCAAAGAGCGCCTGCGCTGCTGTCAGGAGGGCAAACACAGCACGCGCGCTCGGCCCATCCGCTGCTGTCAGCAGAACGCCAGCTGCACACCAGATATGCATCCTGTGAATAGCTTATACATGCAGTGGTATTGGCTCCGGGGCTAGCCTGTTCAGTCTATTCAAGTCAATAGCAGCAAAGTGCTGTGCAATGTCTGCATTTTGCATGGGAACGGACGACAGCAAAGCTTACCTATGAACATTATGAGAGCAGTGGTGACAGATCCCCACTTGCGGCCGATCCTGTCAACGATGAGTCCCAGAGCGATCATCCCAGCACATAGGCCAGCCACTTGTGAATAGTTCAGAGCATGCAGGAAGGATTCACTGCAGCCCACTCCCTCCTGCCATGCATGCCACCGGCTGTCAGATGTGACTCACAGGAACCTTGACTAATGGTGGACGAGTTTCCAGTGGGGGATATGGTACCTTCCAGCAAGCAGGATACTGCTCTGACCAGATGGGCTTCACATTGCCAACCGAGAAGATGTAATAGCTCTCGTTGAACATCCCCAGTCCCGGGACTGCCCAGCTCCATACCCATCGCCCAAATCTGGTCAGCAGGAGTGAGCTCCTCATACACTGCCTTCTATAGGGAGATGAGCGCCAGCTCAACATTACCATTGTGACAGGCATCACATCACTGTAAAAATATTTAAGCGCTCATCCAGACCTAGCAAGCCGTCCTCTTTCTGGAGGGGCCGCTGCAAACACGGAATTCTCCGTACCCTCCATGTCAGCCTCGGCAGTCTTGTCATGTATTTGCTTCATCATGACGCCATTATTACTAGAAGCTACAAATGCCAACTAAAAAGCTTGAATACGCGTACTGGGTAACCAGATCGTAGCGGATGGCATGTGTCAATTGCTGCGGAACTCAGACTACAGCAGGGGCGCTTCTCCGAGTGCTGCACTACCTTTATGAAGCTTAGATATGCCTGATATCAATTTATGTTCTTGCCCTTCGTCCGAGGCGGAACACAAGATTCCGCGCAGTTCAGGAAGCTGGCTGGAAGCAATATTGAGATTAATTATGTGAGCGGTGACGCCATCGCAATTTTTAAAGTGACTGCCTCCATTTTGGTGGTCCTTCCTTGATCAAGTGCGCCATCAATGTGACCTATGATATTTCAACGAAGATTGTCTGTTTATCCAATCACATTCTATCGTACTTCGGAGACGCGATCGTAGATCTGAGCAAGTAACAAAGAACTCAAGGTTCCTCCCTGAGTGGTTTTTGGAATACGTCAAAATTATACTGTTGACACCGTCAATTGCAACTCGACGATTCAGAAAAGAATAATTCTAGCATCTCAACCAATTCTAGCATCTCATCCAATTGACAATCTTTGCCATCGCCAGAAGACGAGACAGCAACAACCTGGTGAGCACCAGTACAGAACAGAACAACCTTCTACAATAGAAGGACGACTCCCTCAGGCTTTCACGGATCCAAGCAGTTTAGAAAACTTAAAAATGCCTTGGAAGCTGTCAATTGATCTCTGCTGCGACATCTTTTTGGCCATGGTGAAATATACATTGAAGAACTAACAAAAACCCCACCTGTGCAGCCTGTGTAGGAAATTCGGCTTCGGGTGATAAATTTAAATTGTGGATGACGAACTGGCGTTCAAGGTCGTGAAGGCCGCCATGCTCAGATCCAGCAGGTGTAAAAGCGCATCTGGCAGCTTCTGAAGTTGGCTTCATAAGGGTATTTGATCACATGGCATGCACATCCCTGAAACACCGTCCAGACTGCCACCAAAATTTGATATAATCACAACATAGCATAAATACTGCGCTGCATTCCAGGCGCTGAAACGCTCGCAGAGAGCAATGGCGGGGCTGGGCCGCGCGCACAGCAGGGCCAGCCAGCTGGAGGACTACAGGACAGCACGGCGCGCTGAGGTGGTGGCCATCTGCTCTCTCTTCCTGGTGCTGCTCTGGGGCGCCTGCCTCATCCCGCTGCCGGCAGCGCGAGACCATGTTGCGGGCGCCAACGACAGCCTTCTCTACCACAGCATGCTCGGCCGCTTCATGGGCAACACCGTGCGCATGCGCCCGCGCGACCCGCACGGCCGCGCCTACGGCGTCGACAGCGAGCATCTCTTAAAGTACGGCGACGGCGGACAGAAGGACAGCGTGACCGACGTCCGCGAGGTGGCCGTGCGGTGGCTGGAGTCCGAGGCCGCCGCCACACGGCCGCTCGACGCAGCGCCGGCCAAGGAAGACAGCAGCGGCGGCGCGGCCGCGCGCATCCGGATTCGCGCGCGCGCAGGCGCAGGCGAAGCCGAGGACCGGGAAGACAGGCAGCAGGGAACGCCCCGAAAGCCAACCACGCTGACCCTGCGCAGCCAGATGCAGGCGGGCGCGTACGCTGCGTCCCGCGGAGAGGAGGGCTCAGGGGCGGACAGGGCGCCGGTAGCGCAGGAAGACAAGGGCGGGTTCCTAGTTGAGAACCCCGGCGCGGCCAACCAGGCAGGGGATATGGAGGCAGGGGAGGAGGAGGAGGGCGGTGGCTTGGGGAGTAAGGCGGCGCAGTATGTGGCGGACACGTTGCAGGCCAAGTCAAAGGCGGCCACGCTGGGAGAGAATCTTGTGGATGCGGAGGCGGCGCGGCTGTCGGGGTCGGATGGGTCGCGCTTCGCCTCCGAGCAGTCACTCGCCAAGGCCATGGAAGCGGCGGCCGCAGGTGAATTTCACCACTTCACTGCTCCATCACTGTCGGGGTACCTTACAACCATGTGAATGTAGGTACACTCTGAGAATGCTTCTGCTCATGTTGTCAAGCTCTCTCAGATGTAGTTTAAGCAGTACAGGCTTTAGGAGTGCCGAGGTGGTGTTCGCTGCTGCAGAGGAGGAGAAAGGGGAGGTTTCTGGAAAGAAAAGCACGGCGTCAGGGGTCACGAAGGGAGGGGCGGCAGGGGCGTCGGAGCGCGCGAAGACCGCGGCAAGGGAGGCATTTGAGGCGTGGCAAGCACGCAACCGGCTGCCTCCCGAGACGGACGAGGACCTGCTGCGGCCGATTCCCCCGCCGCTCGTATTCGAAATTGACTCCCCGCACCTCCTGGACGATGACATGCTCGAGATCCTGGAGATGTCTGAGGTGCGCCTTGCTTCTCAGCCCCTCCCTCCCTCCATGTGTCCAACCACTTGCACAGCAATTCCTCAAGTTATGTATGGCACATAAGATGCATCCAGTGGTGCTCGCTAGCCATGTGCTGAATACCTCTTTTTGAGCATGTATAGCCAAGAAAGCCTCGCATGAAGCCGCGCAAAGCTGTGGATTTTGGGTGGCTGACCGGGATGTTGTTGGTGGGCTGGGCAGAGTCTGGACCAGGACCATCCGGCGGCGGGCGATGAGCCGGAGCATGTGACAGCAGTAGATGCTGACAGCATGGATGGGGAGAGCCTGCAGGAGGCTGTCGGCCTGCTGGCACAGCTGGAGGTGAGCGGCAAAAGCCCAAAAGATTGTGCATATTGCTGTCCAACCTGGCTGCCTTTCTCTTGCTTTTGCTGGCATGGATAGCGGGTTGTCAGACAGAAAGAGGGAGTGGCTGACGAGAGCATGCATGCAGGCATACAAGAAGGAGACCCTGGGCCAGGAAGCCCTACTGAAGGAGCGGGAGGAAGCCATGCTGGCCGAGCGGAAGCGCAAGTTTGGTGCGCCCCAGACATCCCCCCAATATGCCTTGCCTAGCGACACTCTGCATATGCACGCTCAGCGCATGGGTGCATGGTTTGGTGATTGCTTGCGGAGGTTTTGGTTTTGGCTGTGGATGGTTGGTGGCTGGTGCAGAGGAGCAGGAGTACCGGGACAAGATCCGCAAGGACAAGACGGCGGTGTACGACCACTACCTGTGGCGCAAGCTGCTCATGGCCGCGTACGCCAAGCACGTCGACTACATGATGTGCCCAGACTGGGACGCCCGCTTCTCCGCCAAAATTGAGCAGTACGCGCTCTTGCATCATGTGCCAAGCACATCACCTTTCTTCAAGATTGGTCCCGCAAGTCGCATTGCCATCGGCATGCTCTGTCGCAGAGGGAAAGCATTTCGAATTTTCACTCCCATAATTTGCAAATGCCACTGGTGTACCTGCATGCAGCTTCCATGACCCATGCTGTGTACACCATTACTTATATGTTTGGGATCGAGCAAACAGCTGGATAGAGACCACCACATCCATGACCTCTACTGCAATCGTTTAAGCTCGATAAAGCTGCATAAACACTGCTATGGGTCCATGTGGACTTTCAGCTCAGCAGCTGTCTTAAGGGCACAGGTGTGGCTGTGTATGCAGGCTGCAGCGTGGCGGCCTTAGTCGCGGCATAGTCATCCCGGCTGGTGGGAACGTTCTGCTGAACCATGCGTGGGCCACCATCACGGTGCTGCGCGACAGCCTCAACTGCAGCCTGCCCATCGAGATCATCTACAATGGGCCCAATGAGATGGACCCCTGGTCCATCCAGAAGTTCGAGGTGCCCCCTCCCTCACTCACATGTAGATGCATGTCAAGCTTACATGCACCTTCACCCAGTCCTGCAGATGATGTCCTGCCACATGTGGACTCTCATCTGGAATTGATGCAGGGGACATCAAGCAGCATTAGCTGGCTTATTAAGGGGTCATGGCTGCTGACAACACATGTGCATGGTGGGTGCAGAGCTCGTTCAAGAATGTGCGCTGCGTCAATGGCGGCGCTGTGCCCATCCCGGCGTACGGCAGGCAGCTTCAGACTGAGATGGAGGGCAACAATAAAGAGGAAGAGGTGGGCTCCTTTAAACCCACCAAAAACCTTGCTACTCATGAAATGGGGCTTGCTCAAGCATGGGCACTCGCTAATGAATGGTGCACAGTCGGGTGATTGCACTTGCTGACCAATGAATGAGCTGCGCTCCATGTGCAGGAGAAGGATGCTTCGCAGAAGACGCATGACATCAGCGGCTTTGCGCACAAAGTGCACTCCCTCGTCTCAGTCACCTCCTTCGACGAGGTGCGCTTGCTTCCTGCAATACCCCCACATCAGCATCCGGTGCAGGCCAGCATGCCACCTTCTTAGCCCCTTCCCACCTGACAGCACCCTTTTTCTCAGAGCAATCCCCCAGAGCATGTCCAAACCTCTGGACCAAAATGCACCAGCTTGATCTCTAGGTGGGATTGTGTCGTTCACACGATATTCTGAGCATGTGATCTTACTGATGGTGGGCATTCAAGGGGCAGTGATGGGCTGTGTCTGCTGACATTTGGGGTGAATCACTGGATTGCTTGAGAGGAAGATAGTGATCCAGTGTATGGGAATTATCCTGATGGACAGCTGCAAGGGGCACTTATGGCTGTTTCTGTGCTAATGTTGGGTGAATTACTGGGTCTCCTGCAGGTGTTGCTGCTGGATGCAGATAATCTGCCGCTGGCGAACCCAGAGCGGCTGTTTGACTCGGAGGAGTACAGGCACACCGGGGCGCTGTTCTTTCCGGACTGGTGGGACGCGGGCGGCTGGATGCGGCCGGCCGCTTACACGCTCTTCGGCCTCACGCCACCCTGGCTCCTCGACAGCGGTGCCGACTTCAAAACCAGCGAGAGCGGCCAAATGCTCTTCAACCGGTGGGATCTCACTGTGCGTAGATGTAGTTGTATGGAATTTCACATATTTGTACCTGTGTGGCAGTGTGTTATAGATGAAAGCATAGATACATGTAGGTAGCCCACTTTGTGCACTCACCCTTGCCTGCCCCCAGCCTTGCTTGCTGCTCATCATATGAATTGTTTACAAAAATGCCTTGCCCATGATGCCCTGCCTTGACGGCAGTATCAAGCAATCTGAAAGGGTATTATTTGTGGGCTTGTGCTGCTTAATTGTGCCACTGCGAGTGCATGCATGCATGGTAAGAGAGAAGTAGAGTCGGTCTGCTGAGCTGCTGTTGTTGTGACGGATGCAGGCTGTGGCATGCGGATGTGCTGGAGTGGGTGTGGTTCCTAAACAGCTACCCGGAGGTCATCTACCGCACCATGTATGGCGACAAGGACACCTTCCGCATCGCCTTCCACCTCGCCGGCAAGGCCGAGATGTTCTCCCAGGTGCGACCCCGGCGCCTAATTGTTGGACAATCAATACCTTCTTTCATACTTCATCCAGCTCCATACCATTTTTGCCCTGGCAATGCTTCCTTGCAAAAAGGGTTGTGATGGCACCTGATGTTGAGTAGAGGTTGACATGGCGTCTGATGTCTGCGCAGGTCCAGACTCCACCAAGGGCCGTCCTGGATGCGACGCCAGAGGATGTAAGTTCTCCGTGACCCATCACTTGAAAGACACTCCTGAAGAATACCATTCTACTAAGATTTAGGCCTCCGTATGAAAACGCCAAGCTCCAAAGTCAATCTACTGAACAACACGGATGCATCCTGGACAAAAACCAGCAAGCTGCAGGGAGGCAGGGTCCATTGCAGGTGCAGCTCAGGTGTCAGATTTTGCTCGGCAAAGAAGCATATCTGATATGAATGTCCACACGGCTGCGCAGGAGCGGACGGGGCTGATGCTGCAGGCTGACGCGGCGGTGCGCTTCCTGCACGTGGGCATGCTGCAGCACGACCCGGCCGGCCGCATGGCCTTCCTGCACCGCACTGCGGAGGGCAAGTTCCTGCCGCAGCGCGATTCCTTTCGCCGCTTCCACCTCCTCACCGTGCCCCTCTCCCCCACCCGCGCCGCAGCGCTCCTCGGCGGCCTCCACAAACACATGGGCTACGAGGCCTTCCAGGTGACCGCCCACACCCCTCTGTGTCCCAGCTCCTGACCAGGGCAATGCTGTGCAGACAGTGAAATCTACTGACAGGAGGCAGGATTGGGCGTCATCGAGTGTATCCCAAGCATGCCATTCTCAAGATGTGAATGCATACTAGCTCGTGTCCCCTTAGGGCCAGACAGGTGTTGATGCTAGCTGAGGACGTGGCGTGCAGCATGCTGAATTGCGCTCAGGGGAGGATCACATGCAAATGCTGGGCAGACGTTAGCCCTGATGGCCTTTGGTTAAGAAGGGCCTCTGCTCAGCTGTCTGGACATGCATCCACTCCATTGCTGGCACCTCCTGTCAACATATTGCATGCATAGCTGAGGAATAACCTTGCAAGTGCAGATCGACTTCCAGACGTACCGCGACTGCCCCGTGGCGGACGAGCGCAAATTCCTGGAGATCTGCGGCATCGACGTGTCCTCCCCCAAGTTCCCCATCCCGGTGCAGCCGGCCGCCGATTTCCCCGACGTGATGCGCGTCGTGCACCGCTGCGAGGCCGAGTACGAATTCCTGCAGCGCCGCTACAAGGGCACCATCGTGCTCGGCTAGGCTGCGCGCCAGGAACCATCGAACGTGATCAGAGGGCTCTCAGAGGGCTCAGACACCATTGGGCGCCCGTGACACAACAGTCTGTTGTTGGAGTCCCTCGAGGCTCGTGCTCAGCCTGGAAAGCACTTATTGCAGGCATTGCGGCTGAGGCAATGCAGATGGTAGACCTTGCCTGCCAGTGCGTGCATGTTCTGCTCAGGTCAGTGCCGGCTAGCAGCAATTGCTGGCAGCTTCTCTACAAAGGCTCGTATCCTCTCTAAGGGCAGAGAACTGGAGTAATTTAGTGGTCTTGTCCATTGCTGCGAAAATTGTGGGTTGGGTCAGAACGTCTGCGAGGCATTGGTGCCGGCTGCTGTTTTGCTCTGAATTCTGACATCTTTCTGGCAGAGCTCTGGCAACTCTTGTTCCTGGCCTGGGCTGGCCTCAAAGTTGTGCAGGACTTAGATTAGTGCCGAGTGTTTTGGTGGCTGTAGTCTAGATTGTTGCGCATGTCCGCAACTTAGTTGGTCTCATGGAGATTTCTTAGAAAAGTCATATCAATTGACATATGGGCACTAGATGCATCTGCATATGCATCAGCATCAAAATAGTCCTCGTGGGCAGTTCGGTTGCAATTGCAATATTCACTGATGAGGGGCAACAGTGAGCAGCAATGCCATTCGAGTATGAGACGCACCCCAGCCACACATGCACTGAGTAAGAGGGATTGGCTTGCACCCAGATCATGGTGCACAGCAGCGTGCCACATTGTGCAAAGTGCCTAGCATTATGCTTTGAAATATTCACAAGGCATGAAAACTTGGGCAAAGAGGAGAGGAGCACTGCACTAATGCTAGATAGAAATACTTTTACAAATTCTTGTAGATGACATCCTTCACATGCACATCACCATGTTTGTCTGCACCAGCTAATCGTGCACGATTGCTCTTTCCTTTCCTTAAATCCAAGTTCCCAACTTCTATTCAACTTCAATCCATGGCCATGAGGCATATATGAGCTAGATCTAGATCCTAAGTAATCAGCTGCATGCAGTATCATTCTTTCTGCTGCAAGCTTGCTCAGCACAGGCACGAACCCAAACTCAGCAGTTTAAAGCAAACTTCTGCAACATGAATTCCACACTTCAATAACTCACCAAAATCAAGGGGAAACGCAAGCGGGAGCTTCCAGGAGATGCAGAAGTAAGGTCCTGCAGAATACCGCAGAAGACACACCGAAGGTAATGACTTCTAGACGCACACGTGTTGCAAAGGTTGTTTGCCCTTCTTGACAAATTTGTTGAAACAGCCCACAAATTTGGCAGTCGCAGCATCAGCATGCCACATTTTCACTTGTGCCTCTGCAGGATAGCCTGCTCGAGACAGACAAATCAGTTTTCCATCATGCTGAGCATTTTGCGCAGGAACTGAATACAAATAGCAACGCTGAATGTCCGAGCGATGGAATGCCCTTCAGCCATCCCTTGAGCACTTCAGGGCCAGCAATAATTTTAAAAAGTCACGAGCAAATAGTATTCACCAGCTATTCTCCCAAGTGAGTACTCTGCTCAGTTCCACGAAGGGGCCGGTGGCTGAGGACAGTGACAGGGCCCTCGCTGCTGCTGGGCACGTCTTGGGTCGAGAGCCGTGGAGAGACTGTCTCATCGGTGGATGCTGATCGCAGCAGCACTGCGCTCGCGCGAGACAGCAGATCGCTCTGAGGCCGCCCTGATGCACTTCTGCTTGGAGCCAGCTGCAGCGACGGCTTCCTGCACTTCCTTGCCTGCACAACAAATGAGGAAAGTGAGGCTGCAGGCCACTTGTACCAGCCAGCACTGCAAACCTTTGTTGGAGATCACAGCAAAAGAACCGCCGCCCTTGTAGCCTTATTGTCACCCTTAAAAGACCACCCTCAACTGCAGGCACCTTCTTAATGTGTTCGGCTATTTCTGTAGCGCCCTTCAAGTAAGTATCCTCAAAAAGAGCGCCCCGGGGGCCTACCGGTCAAACAACAACAAAACACAGCCTGTGAGCCTTTTCAAATACAGGCAGCTTTTAAGGTGTTTCGGAAGCACGACAGGCAGTGGGAATGCACCTCCAGAGCACAGCCCCCGTCCCAGGTCTCGACTTCGCCGGCGCGGTCGCCGCCGCCATAGTGCTGCACGCTGCCATTTGAGCTGACCACCGCCACCGGCATGCGCTTCAGCTTGGCCACCGACTTGGCCACGGACGGAAAGAGCAGGCTCGAAATCACATTCGACGCGCCGTTCCCCACCACCAAAACTGCATGCACCAAGCAATGTCATCTCAGTCCAACGGAGGTCTTACAAGAATGTTGTAACAAGATGCCTGAGATATTTTGTAATTCTCGCGGCAAATGGAAAACCTGCAGCAGCACAGCCAAAAAGCAAGGCATTTAGAGATGGTTGATGGAAGGAAGGCCTGCTGACCTGAGGCGCCAAGATCGATGGATTTGCTGCCAAGCACCCCAGCAATACAGGCCGGGCCCCCGGTGTATGCTGTCGTCCTCAGGATGTGCGTGCGATGAGCCACAAAGACATCATCCAGTAGAGGCAAAAAACGCTCGGCAATGATCCTCTGTATCCTTGCCTGCATGATTGATCCCACCCTCGCTCAGATGCTTTTAGAACAAGTCTAAAATCCAAGGGCAATGACAAGTGACAGGCAGGGAGACTGTGTGATCTCGGAGCAACAACTCACGTAAGTTCTGCGGGCGAAGTGGTCGTCAGCCAACGTTGTGTCCAGCAGCACGCACAGCAAGTGGATAGTGTCACCAGGCTGTGCAAGCTGAGTGGCAGCATAAGCAACCGCCCTCTGAGAAGCCTGCACACCCCGTGACGATGTTTAAGCAGAGACCTTTAATAATTTGTTTCAGGATCTTGCTATCCCAAGTGAGGATGATGTAGCGCATGCTTGCTCTCCTGAGCAGGTTGGAGAGCCAGCCCGAACGCCCATCATATTAAAGTATATCCAACCCTAATGCAGTACGATAATTGCTAGGCCTCAAGACTTTATTTTCACACGATTTTGGCTTGGCCCAAATTCCATCAACCTATTATTACGAAGAGCGGAGGACCACCTAGGAAGCCTTTAGGAGGTGAGAGCATGACCGAAGGCAATCACTGCCATCTCGTTGCGACCATTACATCTTGTGTTAAATTACCTTCGAGTTTGTAATTCCGACTGCGATCGCTTTCCCCGAAGAAGGGGCCATTTTCCACATTGAACAAGCTCCCGGAAATCTTTCGGTCCTGCGAAGTCTGCGTCGTGCAAAATTGTGTACGCGGTGCTAGGACAAGCTAAGAAACCCAAATGTGAAACGAGTTTGAGTGCACAGCGTGTGCGTATTGTGTAGATTTTCCGTCACGGTTTCGGAGGCATAATCAGGACGTTTTGCTCGCACGTGACGATCCGTGACGTTAGGGGTAATTACTATATTAACATATTAATTACCCCTAGTGACGTGGCGTGAATCGCAGCAGCTTCTCTCTCAATGGACCCTTCATTATGAATTTCAAGAACAATCAAACTTTTATAATAGACTGCAATTTGACTACTGCAGAAGCATGCACCTCATGCACCAAGCTCATGCTGACTCTTAAGAAGCTTCACAAAGACCCACCAGTCTTGTTTTGCAATCGCCCGCGCGCACACAGGCATTCATCAGATTCAATCAAAATTGGGACGTCCCATGCCGTGGTAGTAGCCCTGCTGGCTAGCACTTAGCCGGTTGGCTATCACACAGCAGAACTGGCATGTCATTGTCTCATTCACACACGAGCAGCCTTCACGAGGCACTGCTGGAGACCCTCCCTCAGCACCTTGGCGTCCAGGTCCCTCCCAATGAAGACCATGCGGCTCTTGTGACTCTCTCCTTCTCTCCACGGCTTCCCTGGCGTACCCTCAAACACAGCATGCACACCCTGTGCAAGTACACAGCAATTTCTCACTTAACACAGAGTGGCAAGCCTCTACATCCGTCAAATGGTTAAGGATAAACAAAATTGTTTTCTGTAACAAGTGTGCAAGCATTGGTTAATGGGCAGGATGCTCAGCAAGAGTGACCTGGAAGATGAAGCGGTCCGGCCAGCCATCAATGGCCAGCACGCCCTTGAAGCGGTACAGGTCTTCCGAGGAGTCGATCAGCAGATCCTCCATCCAGTCATTCACCTGCAGCCAAGTCCCACAAACCTCCCTGAGGGTCTCCACACTTCCGTATGGCGCCCCCAACAAATTGCAGAAATACAGCCAGGGCACCTTTGTCAGACGCTACCCAAGAAAGCAGATGCTATCCCCGAATGTGACTCACCAGGTCCAGGTCGAGGTCCCCATCCAGCTCCACGCTGACCGATGTCACCTTGTCATCGTGCATGTGGTCGTGGTGACTGTGGTCATGCCCCTCATGGCTGTGGTCATGGGAGTGGCTGTGCTCATGGCCATTGCCGTGCGCGTGCGCCTCGCTGTGTGCAGCCTCGTGATCATGCTCATGATTGTGGGCGTGTGCGTGATCGTGGTCACTGTGAGAGTGGGAGTGGGAGTGGCCGTTGCTGCCCTCAATCTCCTCAATGACCTGCAACAGACGATGACACAGCCATGTGACCCTAGTCTGCTGCCTTGCAATTCCAAAGCAACCATCTGGCATAAAGGCCAAAGACCGTAAGTCAGCAAACATCAATTGAGCTTTTGCACCTTCTCCTTATCTGAACATGCAGAGTGAGAGTGGATTTGGAGACTAAAATGGTAATAATCACTTGCAGGAGGAGGGGGCTGGCGGCAATGGCACACCTCGTCTGCAACGCGGTCCAGGTCAAAGCCGCCGATGCCCAGCACATAGTCCGCCTTCACGTCGGCCCGCTGAGCGCGCACCACTTGCGCCAGGTTGTTGATGCTGCTCAGCCGCCGCTCCACTGACTCCAGCTCCTCCTTGCTCACCTGCAACGTCCATCATGGCTTGCATATACTGTAGTCGTCATTCTAAAACCCGCACCCTCGGCGGTGCGAATAGTTTTTCAAAGCAACCTTTCAAGGTCTTCCTGACTTACAATATACCAGGGTCGTGCTCCATTGGATTGGGTTTGTCGAGAGCTTTCCCACTCTGGTCTCAAAATTATGATAGGTTTCATATTTTGGGAGATAGGGTCTTAATTATCCACCCTTTTTAGCCAAAAGTGATTATTTATTGCGGGTTTTAGAATGGCTACTACAGTATATTCATGAGCACCGGCCCTGCATGTTAGGCTGCCATGCTGGCATGGCCAAGCAGATACAGCTTGTCCAGAGCCTTTCAAGACAGCAATTCTTCCCTTGAACATGCACCAGTAGCCCCGATTTCCAAGCACAATTCAGTAGCGAGAGGAATCCTCATGATAAGAAAAGACACACAATGAGCGGTGAGGTCCCCACCAGGTCTGTCTTGTTGAGGATGATGCGGTCAGCGTACGCCACTTGCGCGACGGCCTCATTCACAACGCCGTCCTCCTTCTCCTCGTCCAGGTGCTGCCCCACATGCTTGGCGTCCACCAGCGTCAGCACCCCATCCAGGCAGTACTGCTCTGCCACAGGCTGCATGCGCATGTGAAACTTTCACTCTGATGCGCGTCTTCTTGAGTGGGGTACGAGGCGGCAGTTGGGGGTTGGCCCCTCAACAGTTGGCCCCTCAACAGTTGGCCCCTCAAGGGAAGCAGGCAAGGAGTGCATATCAGAACTGGTGAACAAAAGGAGTAGGGCACACCACAGGTGACGGCTAGGAAGTGAGGGATGGGTACCTGGTAAGCACGGAATGTCTCGATGATTGGCTTTGGGTTTGCAAGGCCGGTGGTCTCGATCACCACGTGATCGAATTTGTCGCGACGGGCGACCTGGACAGTTTCAGGTTCGTCAGCATGCTTTCGCCCGGCCGGTGCGGCTCCAAGAACCCAGCTCAGCACAGCCATGAAAAATCGAGGATGCGCATCAGAAGAAAATTGCGATGTCAGAGGTGGTGATGGCAAGAGGGACGCACCAGCTCTTCCAGCATCACCAGCAAGTCTTCCTTGACAGTGCAACAGATGCAGCCGTTGTTGAGCATCATGATGGCTTGGTCTCCTTCAACAGATTCTTTGAACGCCACCAGCTCGCTGTCAATATCTATCTCGCCAAACTGCATGTGGCGAAAAGTCGCAGTCAGAAAGGCATAAGCTTGGAGCATGTCCCTGGATGGCAAGTTATGCACAGCATCACTGCTCGAAGGGGAACGCCAAACAGTACTATAAGGTCCCCACCTCGTTTTCAATGACAGCTATGCGCCTGCCGTGGTCCTGCTTCAGGAGTGCATTAAGCAGTGTTGTCTTCCCGCTACCCAAGAACCCAGTGATCACCTGCAAGTATACAAAATGACTTCAGGATCCTGGCAAAGCAGGGTTGTGCTTGCACCACAGCAGAGGAGTGGAGGCTTAGATGCGCACCGTCACAGGGATCCTATTATCAATGATGTCTCCTTCCACATCAATGTATTCTTCTGTGGCGCTGCAGCAGATTCGCCGCTCTGCTCTGCAGGACGATCTGACGCTGGCGTGCTGTCCCAAAGTAAGCTTTGTACGGCGTGCGATCGCACTTGGTCTTGAACATATTTGCACTTTGCTGGCATTTGGCACAAGAGATCTCCAGCTTTTGTGGCATGTGTGGGCTGGAGAGAGAAGGGGCTGGCTGGAGCAGGCCTTCATGATTGTCAAGTAATCCTGTTCACCTTCCTTCTGACCTGCACAGTGCTGATATTTTTGCTTCTATTATTGCATTATATTCAACGTTCCGATATGAGAAGGCAAATCGAATCGGGGTATCTCAAATGGAAGCCACCCCTAGGGCCTGACGTGGCAGCAATCACGTGCTCTTCTTGCAAATCATGATTATTAGTTCGTCTGCTCGTCTGAGGCCCGCGTACCTTGTTCAAGAATGGAGAAAGAAGAAGGGAGTCCTGACTGACATGAAGGAATGTCTTGAAAGTTGACAAGGCACGGACTTGCGGGTCTGAAATTGTGAACACCGATGTATAGAGCACGATGTTGAAAGGTGAGCTCGCTGGACGAGGCTTGCCCCGGATGCACGGGCATACTAAAGTAATTGCAGCGGATTATTTTCTGATGACAACGAGACCTTGTCAGCATTTCGATAGAGACTAATATTTCAGGAACGGATGTTGTGAGGCAGCTGGTGTTCTTGGTACAGGAGTGTATGTTCAGCTCTCTGGGCGATCGGACTCGCCCAAAACAGTGGACTTGCCAGCATCTGGTACTTTGAAGCAGCTGAAGTCCGCTGTTCGGAACGCTCTTCGGCCTGTCCTGGATGGCAAGGCAAGCTACTCCCTTTGGAAGGGAAAAGACAGAACTGATCTGGACATTTTGCACTTGATCACCATTGATTATTGCATAAAATTCAAGCCATTTTTATGAGGCACTCGCATGCATCGTAGGATTTCCTACTCACTAATTTCACGGTGGATGTCAAGCACGACGAGGATGTGCGGGCGCTGTCAGAAGGAGAGAAGCTGTGGGCTGTCCTTTCTCATGAGACCGACCACGTTGTGCCAACCAAGGTGCCAAAATGAGAGCCAAAAAATTCAGGACTGTAAAATATGGTTGGACTTTATGGTTGCTCTGGTCAGACTTTACGGACCTGGCGCCGATGCATATTTAGTCTGAGCTTTGCTGATGTGCTGGATGCCGCAGGAGCGCGTCAGCTTTCAGCCCCACCCCAATACGCTCACAATGGCGGGAGAGCTGGAGTACTGGGCTGCTCAGGTTGGCAGCCCGCCTGCTCATTCAAGACAGCAAAGCACTGGCTCTTTCGATTTCTCTTTGTGACAACTTGTAGGGGTTGGGAGAAACACGTAGTGCAGAAGGTATATCGATGCTGGCAATGTGATGCAGGGACGCTCTCCCCTACCATACGCACTGTCAGAGCTGATAGACAATGCTCTGCGGGCCACGCGGAACAACACAACTTCCAGGAAGATCATGATCACGCTGGCTACCTCGGGAGGCTCCACGCCCTCTGCTGGGCTCATCTCAGTCTGGGACAACGGTGCGTCCTTCCACTTGCCATGTTTTTCAATACCCACCAGCTGACCCATTATTTCTGCACACTGCGAGAAGCAGCTTTCCAAAGAGGTTTCTTGTTTTGCAGGGTGTGGGATGAGCAAGCGGGAGCTGAATGAATGGGCTGTGATGAATCTGAGCATGGAGGACAGGGGCGAGCAGCCTCAGGAGCCTGATGTGGGGCACGGCCCCACCCAGCGCAATGGCCCAGAGCGCTTCCTTTCTGGCAACCTGTCCTATTTCGGGGTAGGAATAACTCCCCCAGAATGACCCCCTTTTCCCATCTCTTTTATGTGCAGGGATTTGTGTGGATTGCCTCTCAAGCGCAGTACATGCCCTCAGGCACAGCATGCATCCTGTGTAACTGCCACAGCCGGGGCAAGACTGACAACGCAAAAACAGCACTATTGCAATTTGTAATGGCATGAACCAGAAAGAGGTGTAATTCACTCCCAACTGCACCGAAGGCAATATCCTGCATGCAGGTGGGCAGCAAGAATGCAGCCTTCTTCATGGGCGGCTGCACCAAGGTGGTGACGAAGAGCGCGCAAAGCAGCTTCGTGCACGAGCTGAGCCTCGCCGCTCGAGAGCTGGAGGAGCGATACAAAAATCAACAGGTGCTCTGCCACACCCCAGCAACTGTTGCCTTTGCATCTCTGACTTTCCATTTCAAAATGCCGCGCTAATGACCCACCTTACATCCATCAAAGATAAATGCAAGAGGATCTCAGCAGTCCACTTGCTGCGTGTAGGATGTATACGCTGAGGACTTGGTGCACCGGAGCCCTGGCGACGCATCCACGCTGACAGCCATCGAGACGGCCTTCCAGCCGCTGGCGCAGTCCTGGGTCGCTGCAGAGGCGGAGGCCGGGGGCGCCGGCAGCTTCACCCGGGTCATGGTCGGCCAAGTGAAGCAGAACATCCTGGGCCAGATTGCTGATGAGGCGGGCATGCAGCAGCTGTGCCGCGACCTGAGCCACCTGTACCACTACTATTTGCATGGGCCCCAGGGCTGCCGCGGCGGCGGCCGCGCGGCCGGCAGCCCCGGCCGAGACGGGCCCCTGCCGGAGATCACCATCCAGTGCATCTCCGGCAGCCGCACCGTCTGGAGCGTCAACCTGGCCAATATCACCGACGACATGGAGAGCCAGTACCTGCAGGTTGTTTATCACTCTGAACACCGGCGTGCATGGCTACCGCTGCTGAATTTGTCAACTACTCTAATGTTGCATATCTTGTATTTTTTTGGGCAGCTCGTGCCTCTGGGACGTTTGGACTGCCAGTCAAGTGCATTGTTCAATTAATGCATTGCAAACATTTGTGAAGTTTGTTTGTTGGCTGCGCGCAGGCGCAGCAGGCGGAGCTGCAGTTCTCACTGATGGTGCCGGGCAAGGGGATTGTCGCGGGGGCGCTGTATTACTTCCCCTTCCAGGACGAGCGCGAGACCCTGCCGGCCGAGGGCGCTGTTGCCTCGCAGCCGGAGCCCATCACCACCTACAACATGACCCAGCAGCCGATGGCCTCCCAGCTCCCTACCCAGGCCCCTCCACAAAACGATGGTGTGCCGCCCTCACAAATCCAACACAGCCAGTATGCATGCATGACTGACATCGCTGTGGTCTAGCTGGCGTTTTCTTTCTGCCGTTCCAGCATGTAACACGATGCATTGAGGAGAGTTTATCATCATGCGCATGGATTCTGCTTCGCAGGCATGGATGCTGCCGGGGAGGATGCGTCTTTCCTGTGGCAGAGGTCTCGCGCGCCGCTCTTCAGTGCCTTCTGGCAGGCAGGCTTTCCACCACACCACAGAGCTCACAGTGCATACTAAATATTTGCCTTCTCATCCTTTTGCGATCTCTTACACGCGTTCTGCCTCTCTTCCTGCTCATGCATGCAATGTCAGAAACATACCTGTGCGTGCAGGGCCGACTGATTCCGGGAGCACGGATTGAGAGCCTGCCTTTTATAGAGGTCCGTTAAACCTTGAGTACCCCATAACTCAGAATCTCCTGCAGCAAATTTGACAGCAAGGTGCTCTGCTAGCATGTTAATGGGGCTGTGGCGGTTGCAGGCGATTCGGATCAAGCGCAGCTCGGCGACGCGTGATGCACTGCCCGACGAAGCGTTCATGCGGCTGCGAGGCTCGCTGTTCTTCGGGCCGGCTTTCCTGGTGACGCGCAACAAGCTCACCTTCCGCGACAACCTCCAGGAGCTGCTTGCCTCCTCCAGCCCAGGCGCGCCCCAGTTCTCACTGACCCAAACAATTTTATTCAAACATTTATTATTCATCAACTCCCATTCATCTATCATGCTTGATCGAATGTAGCATCCCTGACTTTCAACATCGCCAGGGAGGTGCTTGAGGCTCCCACGATAAGCTGTGGAGCAGCAGGCATCATTGTGTGCAATTTTGATGGGAATTGACACGGATGTGATGGTGCAGGCGAGAGGACAAACCTGGAGCGCAAATTCCGGGAGTGGCTGACCAAGTGCCATACGACGCTGGACAAGCGCATCCGCTTTGTGGGCCTGGCAGAGGCCGCCATGCAGGCGCGCACATTTCCCAGACCATGCTGACATCATGCAGATGGATTATAAATGCTGATGGTGTCCTTTGTAGGCGAGAATATCTGCCGTGGCTGGGTTCTGAGAGGAAAAGCTAATGATCAAATGCAGGCGGCAGTGAGGTCCAGCAAGGGCGAGGATGCGACGGCCTTTGCGCGGATCGAGGACGGTTCGCGCACGGTGAGCCAGGGGGACGTCGTGCGCCTGAATGTCAAGCCCGCGATCATGGGCATGGTCCTCTACTTCTCCGTGAAGGAGGTGTGCCTCCTGGCTGGGGCCCTTTCAGACTGAATCCTTACATAGCCGCCATCTCTCAACATCATGTCAACAGGGCAATGACCAGTGTTAAATGGTGTATGATGGCTCCACGCTAGAAATGGATGCCAAAGTGCCCACCTCATGGCCCGTGCGCCCTGAGCTGATATTCACATTTATGAAGTGTCTGCTTGGCTCCCCTCCGAGCATAGCGCCATCTCCGACACCATATTAGAGGATCCGAGGCGCTTGGCTGGTGCTGGTCGAACAACAATGGTGCCTCCCAACTCACCAAACTGCAGTGTCTGGAGGCATCATAATCACGGCAGCTGCGGTCCGTGCAGGCTGTGAGGGCGGAGGGGGTGTATGCGAATGGCAGTGTGACGGTGCGGCCGCTGCCAGAGGAAGTGCATGGGACTGCGGCCGAGCGCACGCTGCCGCTGCGGCGCCTGGACGGCGGCCCCGTCGAGCAGAGAGAGGTCGATGAATACCTCGGCAAGGAGCTTCTCAAGGTTTGGGAATCTATTAATTTCTGTATCTTGTGCCGTATTGCTGCCTGCCGGGATTTGCATGCACTGCATATCACACACTTGATGCAGCTCTCAATGACAGGGGCCAAGTGCAGATTACATTCCTCCATGTTCTGACGCATTAGCCCATGACAGGGGACTCCTGCCGTGTATGCACCTTTACAGGCTTAGCATGAACGTGGCATACGAATAATGGCAAAAATAAACCGGACTCAGCGGTTTCTCGGGGTGTGGCAGGTGCCGAGCAGCCTTCGCCTGGAGCCGATCAGGCTGGCCACAGGGAACGCTGTGGAGCTGACAGCGGGCGCATCAATCCCTGCAACAGGCGTCACTGTGCTCAACGGCTCTGGGCAGCATGTGATCAGGGGCTTCCTGGCCGGTGACAAGCTCAGCTTCTCCATTGTGCAGCGGCTCTGGCGCCTCACCCCGGCATCAGGTGCATTTTCATACAATTGGCCTGTGCATGCTTGACGCCTCAAATCTTTCCTCAATAATGCCCTGCTCTTATGGCTTTGTTGACGTTCATGAAATTTAGGCCAATTTCCAAATGCAGGTGAAGGAGAACCACTTGCGGCGTCGCCAGAAGAGGAGCCAGGCCTGCCTCCAAAGAAGCGGAAGAAAGGAAGCAAGGGGAAGAAGGCAGCGGAGAGGACGCCTGAGCCGGCGGCTGACAAGGCGCCAGGTGTCCTCTTATTCTGCCCTAAAATGTTTCACCAGTTTCCTTTTTGCATAGTTACACAGGCATGCGCATCCCAATAATGTACTCAAGGGAACCCAAATAATTTGCAATTAAAATACTGAAGAGAACTATGCAACATGTCTGCATGCAGGGACGCTCATCATTGAGATTCCCAACCACACCCCCAACAAGGACAGCTTCCGCTTCGAGCGCATTGAGAATGGGCTGAAGCAGGCCGGCACCTACCGCCTGGAGTATGAGATGCAGCCCCAGCTGCCCGGCAAGGGGCTGCTCACCATTTCGACCGAGCTGATCGTCTTTCCTGGGCCGCTCGCTTGCTTTCACGTGCAGGTGACAATCACAACATGGCTTGCTCTTTTACATTCTCCTGCATGGTGCTAAGGGGAGCACCCCACGTCAACCCACATATGAAATGCACAGAAATTCATACGACAGTGAACATGTACAGCAGGTTGCATGGCTACATTTTTGAAAGTGAATTACCTGCAAATAGCATCAGTTGTCTTCTTGTGGTCAGCGTGGAGCAAGCAATCCCTGAGATGTCATGGTGCTGCAGGGAGAAGGGCGCACACTGCTGGCTTCCAGGGAGTTCATGCTGGGGGAGCATCTGCCCAGCCTCCAGCTGGTCCCAAGGGTGTGCCCCCTGGCCAGCCTGCTGTGTCCTTTCGCATAAGGCCGTCTGCAAATATTAATCTCCACTTAGCATTACCCTCACTAAGCATATTGCTTGCAGGATGCATGCGGCAACAAGCTGGACTCCCATCTGGAACTGCTGAAAGACATTAGTATTGAGGTTGTCACGGGCCCCGCTGATGATGACAGCGCAGTTGAAGCGATTCAGGACTTGCAGGCATCCTTTCAGGTATTGGTGCTTCACGTGCCTAGGCAAAACGTGATTTTGACCTTATCTCATCGCTTTTATGGTCCATAAAATCAGGCGCTGTGGGGAGGCTGACAGATGTGGAATGGTCTGCAGAGGGCTCATGATGCAGGGACGACCTCCATCTCTAGCATACAGGTCCTTGGGTCCACCACGCGCACGGCAACCTCTGTCTTCTGTGGGAGCTCCACCCCAGCTCCAGGCAGCATCCTGCAGGTGCACGCCTGCCTTTGCTGCGATCCGCTCTACCTCATCCCAACCCTTGCATCTTTTGTTGTGTCCATGTGCTCTGGCCAAGGATCCAGCCCTTTGCGAATGCATGTGCAGGCCCAGCAGCAGGCGGCGTCACAGCAGGCCATAGCGGCCGAGACGGTGCAGCTGCGGTTCTGCGTTGCTGGGCTGCAGCCGCAGCTGCTGCCGGTGCGGCTGCGCCCGGGTGCCCCCACAGGCCTGCGCCTGCTGCCTGGCCACCCCTTCTCCGACCACTCCGACCAGGTGGCACGCCCTCTCCCCTTCTCACCCTTAATGGCACCTGTTATGCCTGCTTGGCTCTTCATGCAAACGTAATGCAGCAGAATGACACTTTAAAAGTAAAATCACTTTTGCTGCGTCTCTGGAGTTGCTCGGATTGGAATTACTGCCATGCATGTGTCTCAAAGTCCGGTCAATGGTGATGTGATGGAAGTGCGGCGTGTTGTGTGGCAGGCTGACGAGGCGGCCGCGGTGATGACTCAGCTACCGCCGGAGCGCGCGGCCGCGCTGATGCTATCGCTGGCGAGCGGGGACGCGCTGCCGGGATTCCATGCGCAGGCGGTAGACGCTTGGGGCAACGCCACGGGCCCCGCCGATGCGCTGCTCTGTGAGGTCACCGTGGAATGCGAGGCCCTGTCCCCCGCGCAGTCATCCTTCCAAATCCCAGCCTCTGGCAGGGCTTTCGTCGAAGGTACCAGCCTCAAAATGCCACACCAGGATCACAGAGATCAATCCATCCGTGTGCACTGTTATTGAGCCCGTCAACAGCCCCTTTAACAAGCACATAGCTCTTTTGATGGTGACTGCATGCGACTTGTTTCTGCACCAATATTGCTGGAAATTATACTATATTTCCGTTTGATGGCAGGACTGGTGGCGGCCAGTGAGGGGTCAGCGCTGGGTCGGCAGGTGCCGCTGGCGCTGAGCGTGGCCTGCCGGCCGTCCGGCGCTGGCGCGGAGGCGGCGGTGGCCGCTGCCGGGCCGGCGCAGCCGCTCGTGTGCGCGCTGGAAGTGGAGCCCAGCACCGCGCCCGCCGCCATCGTGCTGCTGCATGACGGCCGACCGCTGCCGCAGCGAGAGCTGGTACTCTATTTTGTTACACTGTGTCCTGGATTGTTTGGACCTATCCCATTTGGCAGACAGTATTCTAAGGGTGGTTGAACCGGTTGTTTGAGAGTATTGAGAGTATATATATATATAGCCGTCTATTGAGTGGAAGAAAGGAGCAACGTACCAGGTCTCACAAGGACTGGGCCACACCTATTTAAGCATAAAGCTCGTACCCTCGTTTTTGGTTGTTTTGCGATTTTGCTGCCAAGAATACTTTGTCGCATTCATGCAGATACATAGGCTTGGTGTTCTGGATGTGTGCAGGAGGGTGAGGATGGGGAGACAGAGACGGTGTTTGTGGTGGAGGACATCCCGGCTGGCGCTGAGCTGGCGGGGCTGGCGATCCAGTGCCTGGACGCGGCCGGGCGGCCGGTGCCGGAGGGGACGGCCGGCAAGGTGCGCGCGACGTGGATCCAGGGCACCAAGAAGCTCAAGTACGGGCCCGACGGCACATTCGGCCTCCTCAACATCCGGGTACGCCTCCTGCCACGTGTTCCTGTTCCAAGGCCATTTCATTTTTTCCGTTCTTGGATTCTTCTGGGTGTCCTACTCCCACGTTGACCATAGACGGGGGAAAAAAGCTTCAGCACGCCTCCCAGCACACCTGCATATCAAGCAATATCCTGCTCCCCTTGTATTGAAAGAGCCCGGCGCAGAACACCATTATCGGGCACAGCTCTTTGTTACAAGTGTGTCCCTGTGCATGTCTGTGGTGGTCACTGTGATTGGCAGATTGGTGATAGCAGAGCCAGACCATGAGGTGCTGAGGTGTCAGGTGTGACTGGGCAGGTGAAGGAGGACGTGACCGAGGTAGAAACGTACGAGGTCAAATTCAAGTCGGCAGGACCTGCGCCGGTCGTGCTGGAAGCCATCCTGCTGGTGCTCAAGGTAGAGCACTGCCCTTCCACACCCTTTCAATAGTCTAGACACTGGCCGACCTTCTGGGACGCATTGTTTGGTCGCTTTGAGTGCTGGAGAGCTGTCAGCGTAATGTGGGGAACATGTATACTGAGATAGTAGAAGGATCTAATTTCCATCCATGCCCTTTTTCAGGTGTTAACGTGCATGACGTGTCAAGCTAGCACCTTGGGGTCCAGTGTATTGAATAAATACGTAACTCTGGTTCCCCAACCTGACGGAGGCACATGCGCGGCAGGTGCCTGCAGCTGCGCACGTGTGGCAGCTGCGGCTGGACGAGGCGGCCAGCACGCAGGCGCGCACGCAGGACGCCGACGTGGATGTCTGCAGCGGCTGCCCCTTCCGACTCGAGGTGGAGGCGCTCGACCGCTTCGGCAACCGCTGCCCTGGCGGCAAGGCCGGCGCGCTGCCGCCGCCGGTGCTGGCGGCCGACTCCGAGCGCAAGCTGGAATATGACGCTGACGCCTGGCAGCGCTCCTGGAGCGCCCAGGTCTGCATGCAGGAATCAGCCTGCTCTTGTATTAAATTACCCTTCTTGCCTGATTTTACTTGACACACCCCCCTTGCACTCTGCACTGCCTCAAAGTGAATATCAATCAGACAACAAAGAATTCATACTCTGAAGAGGACTGAGCTATTGGCCTGTAGACGGCCAATTCAAAGTTTCTGGGGCAGGTTGTCCTGGCGTGGAGGCTGCACCGCCTCCACTTATTTTAAACAAATCTGAGCTTCTGACTCAAATTGTGCATTCGCAGGGGAGCGGGGAGGTGCTGTCAGTGGACGTATTGCTGCGTGGGCGGCCGGGGCTGGTGCGCATGCATGTGTGCGACGCGGCCGGCACGGGCGGCGGCTCAGCGCTGACGCCTGATACACTCGAGCTGAAGCTGGCCGCGGGGCCCATGGCTGGGCTGGCCTTCGAGGGGCCACCATCGCTGGCCTGCGGCATGCGCGCTGTGCTGCCGTCACTGCGAGTCATTGCTGCCGACGACTTTGGCAACCGCACCACCTCCCCGGCATTTGAGGCAAGCTCCTCGCAAGGACATATTTATGAAAAGTTACGAGCAGACAGGGCAAAAGAGTTGCAATCATGTCTTTTGCAAAAGACATAATTGCATCAGTCATGAAGCAGGGATGCTCAACTGGAGCAGGCGGCATGACCTGCCACACTATGTATCATTCTCTGAATGCAGGGGCTCTGACGCATGAAAACTCCACTGCAATTGCGCTGAACCTTACGGTGGGGATGCCCGACCTGCCATGGAGCTGTTCCAATTATAGATGTGTCAGCAAGCTCTCTGAGGGGCGGTGCTGGTACAGGTGAGCCTGGTGCCGAGCGCGCTGGGTGGGGACGGCAGCGGCGTGGCGGCCACCGTCACCGTGCCCGGCGGCAACAAGGTCAAGATGAAGGACGGGGAAGCCCTGTTCAAGAACGTGCGCATCGAGGCGGATGCCCCCGGAGCCTACACCCTCCATGTCAAGTCCGCCTCCAGGAAGGTACTTTACCAGAAGTGCACTGCCTCATGCACCCGTAGTATTATGCATCATGAGCAGGTCATGCCTGCAAGACCCTGTTCCTGAAAAGAAAGTATTCCAAATTTGAATGGAGTGTATTGCCAATGTGCCGATCAAGGTGAGGCTTGCTTGCACAGGTGGCAGGGGATGCGTCGCTTGAGCTGCAGCTGTCTGCGACGAACGCTGTGAAGTCTGTGGCCCTCAGGGAAGACAGCCTGCCAGGCGATGGGTGCCGCGCCGGCAGCAGCATCACACTCTCCGCCGAGGTGCGTCTAAGGGCCCCACTCACTGTCTGAATGTCCGGCAGGGCCTGCTCTTCACTTGTGAAGGGCCATGCAGCACCAGCCAGCACAACTCTGGCAGTGTATTTTGGAATTGCCACAAGACGTCTACATGTGCAGGTCACTACGGAGGATGGAGCCGCACTGGATGCAGCAGCTGCGGCAGAGGGCCTTGCTCTCCGACTTGCACCGCCCGGCAGCGGCCGCGCCGATGAGATTATCCTCTCCCCATGTGAAGGTCTGTACACGCTCCATCTCAACCTTCATTGCAGGTTGACACCGCAGTTATGGCATATCACCACCAAGGTGAAAATTTCTACCGCAGATGCAAAAAAATTGGCTTGTTCCCTCGGGCGTTTGGTTGTCAATCTTCGTGTGTCTCTAAGCCAACACATGCTGTTTTGGGGTGTGCAGACGAGGGAGCTGGCGAGTCGAACATGTTCTCATTTGCAACTGACCCACTCTTGATGGCGGGGGACTGGACGGTAGTGGTGGAGTACGCAGAGCAGCGGCCGGAGCTGTCCAGGGCGCTCACAAAAAGAGAGGCTGTCTTGCGCAGCACCGCAGCCACCTTCCAGGCAAGGAGCTGCTGCATTGGCTTTGCAATTTCAACCCCCCATAATGCCTCCACGCTTATCCAGCCCTGCATGCTAGCAAGCTTAAAGAGTCTGTCATAAGTGAGAAGAGAAGCATTTGTCTCATGATTGAACCTAAGAGGAAGTGATCAATGTTGCACAGCATAAGATGCCCCAGAGTGGGTTCTGCGAGTATTCTCTGGTGGCCCGCATGCAAGGGAGTGTGCCAAATGCAGGTGATGGCGGGACCTGCAGTGGCGCTGGCATTGGACGACGGCGCAGCAGCGGAGCGGCTGGCCGCCACCAACGGCGCAGACGTGCGCGAGCGGCTCCTGCTGCCCGCCGCGGCACTGCAGCTGCGAGATGAGCAAGGAAATGCCGCCCCGGCCGCTGGCCGCCGCGTCCGCCTCAGCCTGCACTGGCCGCAGGACCGCGAAGGTAATGGGTCTCACTGTATTGTTTTGAGACTGTGAGTGGTTTTTTGTACTATCTAAGTCCTCTTGGACAGTACTGATAATGCAAAGGCTTATCCAGCCGCCTCTCTTACGCGCACTTCTTGGCATAGAACAGTACTGCAGTTCCAAGATGTGCGGTCCCAAAGAAGAGCATATGCATCCTGCTTGTGCAGCAGCCCATGTGCAACATGGTATAAGCAACAAGGTAAAAGTGTCTTGAGGGAAGGAGAGGGTGACTGCAGGCGGGGACGGCAGCGAGCTGCCCAAGCTGGAGGTGGAGGCAGCGTCGCGGAGGACGGACGAGCGCGGCCGCGCCTACTTTGGCGACGTCAGCATCGGCGAGGGCTCCGGCCGCGTCGCGCCCGACGAGAACACCGGCGCCAACCGACAGGGTGGCGCCATGGAGCTGCTCCTTGTGGCGGAGGTGGCCGGCCTCGGAGACGCCGACGCAAAGTGCGGCAGCTCGTTTCTTCGGGCCTTTTCCACTTGAAGCTTTCAAAGTACAGAGTATGACGGGTTGTTGGGTCACAGCTACTGGGTGAAGGTGCCTCTTGGTGTGGATAAATGATCAAAAATAGATGATGAGAATTGATTGTTGATCAGCGTTGCACGCAGGACGATGACTTTAGAGGACCTGACTTTGTGTGGCATGCAGGCAGTGGGTGCGAGCGTGGACGTGCCCGGTGCTCTTCTCGGACAATGCGGCCGGCTTTGCGGCGGCAAAGGAGCTCACAGAGAGGCATGCGGCGTTGTCGGCGCAGCGGGATATGCTGCAGGAACGCCTAAGCACGACAGGCCGAGCCGCCCAGGTCTGACACCAATTAGCGTATTTATGTTTATTACTGAAGATCGTCTTTGTAGCCTCAGCACTGCGGATATGTTTAGAGTGGCGACTGTCTTCCTGCAGGCAGCCGCAAAGGAGCTGAAGGCCAGGACGAAAGCAGTGTCAGACTGCAGGCGCCCTCTGGGCAGGAACGCGCCGGAGACTGCCGAAGCTGCAGAGGCCGCCGTGTCGCGCCTGCAGAATGGCGCGCAGGAAGCTGAACAGCCTCAGGTGAGCTTAAACACCTACCCCAATCAGCGCCCCCCCAGGGTATGGTATCAAATTAGTACTTTTGCATCAGTGGAATCTTCGAGTACCCCACCCTGGTACAGTCTCAAATATCCATGACACGCTAGGCGCGGCGCTCTGCATAAATCTGTAAGCGTCTCAGTGCTGCAGAGCAAGAGAGCGGATTTCTGAAGAAGAATACAGTCAGCCGAGAAAATCGATGGCTGCAGGTGGAGGCGCGGTTTGGGGAGCCGGGGGGCCGCTTAACAGAGGCGCTGCGGCGGTGCCTGGCGCTGGAGGACTCCGAGGTGGTGGGCTGTGTGGCGCAGCTGGCAACCGTGCAGGATGCTGCGCTGGCACGGCTGCTGTCGGCCTCGTACAGGACCATCATGCAGCTGCTCGTCGTCAAAACGCAGGCCGCTCAGAAGCGCGTCACGCAACACCTGGCCAAGCACAAGGTGGGGTGGTGTCAGATGGGTGCATGCATGCTTTGCAAATCAGCACTTTAGTGCTACTTCTCTGCAACTGTCGTTGGTTTGCAGCAGAAGTAAGAGATGGGACGGTGCAAGAGCTGGAAGTTTGTGGCCCACCATTTTCTTTGAAGCACTAAGTTGCGGTAATTGTTGGGTCTCTCAGGCACTGCATCTGCCATGAGGTCTGCTCAAGCTTTATGAGATCGAGAAGCAAGAGTCTGCTGTCTGGCATGAAAGGCTGACGAAGACAGTGTGTGCGGCAGTGCGACGTGCCAGACATGCTGAGCATGAACATGTGCGCGCCCTTCACGGGCAAGGACGGCGACTCGCCCGGTTTTGAGGCCGCCAGCGACCGAGCCCGGGCCCTCACGGCCGCCGCCTGCCACGGCTCCGACCCTCCCCTGGCCGTTGCGCTGCCTCACACACGCGCCATGCAGTCGCAGAAGCGAGGCAAGCCTTCACTTGCTCCCTACAGGCTTCAGATCCCTATTTCTCAGGGGACTCTGAATAAATTGATCAGAATTCTTCATTAAGAGTCCCCTGTGCTAGATCATGAAAGGAAGATGAGATCACCCAGTTGTACCACATGGTGCCATTTGGCATTTGGCGTGCAGCCTTCTGCGTGGCCAACAGACAGATGCAGCTGAGAGGTGAGTGTCTGTTTCTGTGATGTATTGACAACAGTTGATTTCTCAGCAGGTGCAGGCAAGGACATGGAGCTGGGGCCGACAGACTGGCCCCAGGGCTGCCTAGGCTATGTCTTCAATCTGATACGGCCCACGCAGCAGGGGCACCGGCGGCAGCTCATGCACTCAGCCTTCAACCAAGTGCTGGTGAGCTCCTGCTCTTCTGGAGCCGCAGGTACATACTGCGTGACCTTGCATATGTGGAAGCCAGTGTCTCAATCGTTGAATGCTGTGTGCAGGTCTTTGAGACGCTGGAGGAGGCCTCAAAATACAGGGAGTTCATGACACAGGTGAATTTGGAATGTCACCTCAATCGGCATTAATGGACCTTGCTCTTGCACCACATGCCTAAGAGATTGAAGTGGAATGAACGTTGCAATCCGTCATGACATCCGTGGGTTGAGGCCTGACACAGCCGCGCTGTGCATTTGCGCGCAGGTTCTGCACTCAAGCATGCCGCAGGTGGTCACAATCCAGGACATGCGCTGCATAACAGCCATCGGCGTTATCAAGGGCTCGTCCTGGCGGGTACCCACGTTGGAGGAGAATCACTTCCGCTTTGGCACTGCGCCACAGCCTGGCGCGGCCGGCGGCAGCGGCCGGGGCGAGGATGCCGCGGAGGAGGAAGCTGCGCTGGAGCTGCTGCTGGAAGCCCTGCGCGTGCGGGACGAGGCGACCGAGCGGCAGCAGGCCGTCAGGGCGGTGAGACCCACTGTGTCAGTCTACCTTTCTGATCGTCTTGGATTCGCACATTCCACAAGATACTGTCCTGGGCGAAGGCAGCTTACAGGGTTGACACGCCATTGTTGATGCGTGTGCTAATGGACATTGCCGCGGATTCAAATTACAAGTTCAATTAGCCTGACCAGCTTACATGGCGGCTGGGAGCTTCTAGGTGCCAAAAGTGTGCATGTGAGGCATATTGGAAGCATGACCGGGTGTTTGTGACGGTGCAGGAGGCGGAGGATACAGAGGCGCAGTGTCGCGGCGAGCTGGAGGAATTGCAGGCGCAGATCCATGAGCTGGATGCCCAGCTCTGCAGCCAACACCCTCCACCAGGTGCTGCACGCAAATCTTTCTTAGGGCTGAAGCCAGAAGCCGTGCCAATAAAGTTTGTGAGCCGTGCCCATCACACCTGGCGAGTTGCTGTCGGGCAATGACTGGCCGTTCGGGTACCACACCATTTCGGATCTGGCGCTGCAGGCGGGAACCGGAGAAAAGCCAAGAAGCGGCCGAGTGTGGGTGGAGCAGGCGAGGTCAGAGCATCGGAAGCTACGGAAGACGGTGACACAGAAACCTACACAGACAGGCGCAGCAAGAGAAGGCGATGACAATTGACAATTTCGACATTGCAGATGCGATAATGTCGACAGGGGCGTATGAATACCAGGGACAACTAAATGTGTTACTTCTGGGAGTAGTCGAACGTCACATTCAGCACCGGACCTTGCAGCGCGCAACAAGCTTCTTTGGTTCTCGCGTCTTGTTTGATTGTGAATCTTGGTGAACAATGTCCTTGTTCTCTTCAGAATACCGAGGTCCAAGGTTTCGGCGTGGAAATTTGAATCAAAGGGGAATGCCGGATCGGGAATCGTCATGCAGTCCCGTAAAATCGTCCGCCAACTTCTTCAATGTGAGGTCGATACTGGCGGTCTTATTGGACTGGTACCTGCATCTGTCGAGTACAGGTGCCTTTATATTAGACAGCGAAGTGTTTCCGAGTCACATCTTGTTGCGATCAGCTGTGCAAGTGACAAGTGGGCAAGTACCACGGCTGTCGTCATCAATGAAGGCCGCCGTGGACACGAACTTGTACTAAACCTTGTAAGGCGTGGTCCAGCTGGTCGGTATTCCAATGGATAGCAAACGAGGCCACGTTGTGGCCGCATTGGCGGAGGCCTTCTTTCCGGCTCTGGAAGAAGAAGCTAACCTTGCGCAAGCTGCTGGCAAGAGCAAGCTTGCCCAGTTCTTGAAGACAGGCGGTGGATCTATGAATTTCATGGTTTTGGAGGCAAGCTGAACCCCGTAGAACCCCCCCTTGACAGTGCAGACGCTCCATTAGGTCTTGGTGTACTGCCTAGGACCATCACATCAAGTCTGGCTGAGCTAGTATTTCGTCAAACGATGCAAGAGGGCCATGCATACTAATTTGGTGCCGGAATTACATGTATTCGAATGATTTTTGGTCTGATAGTGGTGCGCAAATGCTGCTCCAGGTGCTTCATGGCATGACACTCCTGACGCCAGAGTCTCAGCAGGAATTGGCGTTGTAAGTTCTCCCAGCTTCTGATCTAGCTCCTGCCACATGCACAACCACTTGGGATGTGGCGTATGTTGCCTTTTTTCCCGTTCATGCACCTTTGACAATACTTGCATTTTCGCAGCTGAGGCTCTTGTGCACGCAGGCTCTTTGCCCTGCTGAAGACATGGGCTGGCACGATGGCAGTGGGGGGTCCAAAAATGCTCATTCCTAAATGCACCTTGATGCGGCCATTTGCAAAGCTTCCCTTGAAGCAGAGGGAAGCCATCTTGCAGTACTGGGCCACATCTCCCATTCCCCTTCTGAAGAAGGTGTGTTGTAGATCGAGGCTCATTTCCATTTTGCATGCAGGTGCTGTCAACCAAGCCATACATCTGGTGCCTATTACGACTTTGTTCATGTTGCTTGCAGGCTTTCAAGGGCCTGAAGAGCATCATTGTGAGCACCATCTTCAATGCTGCGGACGAGAAGGGCCGCAACCCTCTGTGGCCTGGCATCCTCTATGAAGGTCTGCTTTCAAGCCTTGCAGACACCTTGTCTCACAACCCACGTCACCCCACCTCAATCTGATCAAGCACTCCGGATCACTCTAGCCACTGCCTGTTGGGTCTGCAACAGTGCCCCTAACAAGGTGTTCGCAGAAAAGGAAAGTGAATGCAGAAAAGGAAAGTGAATGCCTGCTCACTCAATCCGCAGGTGGTGATCCGGACCGGCCTCTGGCGCCGCTGCCGGAGAGGCTGAGCGCGGAGGCGGCTCTGGCGGAGGCCATCCTGGACCTGGCTGACGTGGCGTGCAAGAGCGCTGACGAGCTGCGCCAGCTCATCGCTGCCCACGGCTGCCAGGCACGAGCCCTTGGGCCCAACTGGAGCAGGATCCTGCCTCATGACTGAAGGCCAACGAGCACCAATATTTAACATGTGCATGAGGAAGCTGTGATTGAGCTGTCGGCAAAATTCAAAGTTCGTGGGTGATGTGTACATAACTGGACACTTTTATGGGTGTGCAGGTGACATGCTTGGCGGATGGGACACTGGAGGTGGAGTGTGATGCGGTGATTGTCGGCTCCGGCGCTGGCGGCGGCGTCACTGCAGCGCTACTGTCAGAGGCCGGCGCCAAGGTGGGCATGCTCCCACACCAGCACCCCTACATCGTTGTGTGCATCACCCACAAAGCACCTTTCCCATGGCGTCTATGGTGGCATGGGAAGGTTGTGAGTATTGTGCGTGTGGGCTGCAGGTGGTTGTGCTGGAGAAGGGGCGATTCACGCCGGCGGCTGAGCTGCCGCTGAGGGAGCGGCAGAGCTTTGAGGAGATGTACGAGATGGGCAGCCTCATGACCACCCAGGACGCAGGTGCGCACACATGCTCCTACTTGCAATCCTCCTTATTTGGCTCTACTTGCCACACCCGCAAACATGCCAAACCCTTGCTCCCTCCCCACTGCACGGCATGTCTGGACACATGCAAGGCCACGGGAAGCAGAGAGTCAGGAAGATCTTGAATCAGGGCCCAACCTATCATAATTTGCCATGTGGCAGGCGTGAACATTCTGGCGGGGTCGACGCTGGGCGGCGGCACGCGCGTCAACTGGCAGGCATCCTTTGAGACGCCGGCGCACGTGCGGCGCGAGTGGGCCACGGAGCATGGCCTGCCAGCTATCGCCTCTGAGCAGTATGACCGCGCCCTCCGTGCCGTCTGCACCCGCCTCGGCGTCACCACAGGTGCTGTCACCTTCAAATTTAAGTTGTCATCAGTCTTAAGTCTTTGTGGGCTGTGTTCAGCAAGCCGTGTGGGGCCCAGCCTGATCACCATGGCGCTTCTAAGGCCGAGCTTTCTGTCTTTGCCACAGCAAGTCAGAGGCCACATTAAAAATGCAGGGGCAAGCTGTTGAAGCACCCAGGAAAGTTGTTGACGGATGCAATGTGACAAAAAGGAAAATTCATGAAGGATTTTAGTCAATGACGGAGCTCATGAGCATTTGGTGGCGCAGGCATCAAGCAGCACAGCTGCCCCAACGAGAAGCTGAAGGCGGGGCTGGAGGCGCTGGGGGTGCACTGCGGTGAGATTCCGCGCAACTGCAGCCGCGAGCACAGCTGCGGCCACTGCTGCTTCGGCTGCCCCTCCGGCGACAAGCAGGACGCCACCGGCACCTACCTCGCCGACGCCGCCAGAATAGGCGCCAAAATCTTCACCGGTGGGCACTCCCTTCCTTTCTTCCAGCTTAGAAATGCATGGATGTACCTTAAATATGTGAGAGAAAGCACAGATTAAAAGGGAGACTTGGCGTGGTACAAGGTACACTAGCACAGCCGCTGCCAGAGATACTGCATGTTCTCAAGTCAGCATCAGGGGGTGCACGATTATATGTCTCGCCCTGTTCCTTGCAGGGATCTTTGCCGAAAGGGTGCTGATGAGCAAGATCAAGGGGGACAAGCTGAGGAAGCGCCGTGCGACCGGCATTGCCGCGCTGACCACGTCCGCCTTCCCCAATGGCCGCCAGTGGCGGATAGTGTTCAAGGCGCGGTACGTAATCAGCTCGGCCGGCGCGTTGCACACGCCCGCGCTGCTGCTGCGTAGCAAGATCTCCGTCAACGGCAACGTGGGCAGGAATCTGCGCCTGCACCCGGCCACCGCCGTCATCGGCGTCTTCAGCAAGGTGCTCCATGTTTCCATAGCTTTCACACCTGGAGGGATATAATAGAATGGTTCCACCAAGCACATGCACAGGAACACACTTGCACCAGTGCAGTCTGTGCCATGAGGCCATTGCGGATCACCGCCCAGAACACACAATAGTAATAGCATTGAGCGGTATTGGAAACCGAATATTGTGAGAGAAGCAACATAGTCATTGCCAGCCTTTTTCTGAGAGCCCCTTTGGGATCCTGTATAGATCACACCTGCCAGAAATAATGTACTTGAAATTTTGAAATGGTTGTAAATATGCAGGGGCAGGAGGGCGAGAGGGATCCGAATCCGGGTCCCAGGACGTTCCGGCATGCCAATGCGCCGCCGCTGCCGGGAGTGGACAGGAATTGGGAGGGAACGCTGGATGTGCCCGAGGAGATACTGACCTGGAAGGGCTCCATCTTCAGCGTGTTTAGCAATGCCGTCGCAGACTGGGACGGCTCTGGCTACGGTCCCCTCCTCCAGACGCCCTCGGTGCGCCATTCACACCCGCTGCACCCTCCTCTGAAAACATGCAACCTTTGGAGACAAGCAAGACATTAGAACAAGGAGAGAATGCCCAGCCAGGTGCCTGGGAGGATAGATTGCTAATCTGCTTCGAGGGTCCTGTGCCCACACATACTTTGTAGAGGTTGCTGCACATGTGGTCAACCTGCTGATGCATTGCTGGGGGATCTTCTCAGCAATTCTGCAGCTGGAGTAAATCCTTGTGAAGTCAAGGCCGTCTGAACTGCCTCCAGAAGAGACCAAAGCTCAAGTGTGTCTGAGGGACGCCATTCAAAGCCAGATTTGATGCCCACCATCTGACGGGTCAGCCCCATGTTGCGCAGGCGCACCCGGGGCTGATGGCGGCGTCGATACCGTGGCTGTCGGGGGTGGACTACAAGCGGCTGTGCGCGTGGATGCCCTACGTGTCCATCGTGCTCGTGCTCACTCGCGACCGCGGCTCCGGCCGCGTCACCATCGGCAAGGACGGCCTGCCGCGCCTGCGCTACTGGCCAGACGCCCACGACCGCGCCAACATGATGAAGGTGCCGCCTTCCTTCCCCACCATGCTGCTGTGCCGCTGCATGCTATCTGATTGTACTACTGCATCATTACTGTCCACTGAGGCAAGGTGCACCTGTGGAGAAGGTGCTTGCAAATGCTGCAAGAAATCCTACCCGCCTGGTGGGAAACTGATGCCGGTAGGTATCTTTGCTATGCAGGTCTACGCATTGAGCAGAGCCTGCTACCAATCTGCCTGAATGCCTGCCACTCGTCAAAATCCTGCGAGTTTGTAGAGTCGCCGTAACACAAGTGTGCATCACTCAGAAAAGTGCCTCTCGGTCGTGAGCTGAGAGGTGATCAGAATTTGGGGGACAGGGAATGGAGGCCGGGCTGCGCGCGCTGGCTGCCGGGGGATCCCTGATGGTGGGCACGCTGCAGGGCGGCAGCCGCGAAGCCACGCGCTTCGAGGCGGCCCGCGGCACGAACGGCGCCATGACCGACCCGGCCGCCTTTGATGGCTTCCTGGACCGCGTCCGCGCAGAAGGTGGTGCTGCTGCATTCCTTTTCATCCCAGGCCTTTTTACTCCACTTCTAGTTATGAGACTTCTCCTCTTGCTCAGGTAGAATGCTCTTTTATGTTTGACAATTATTTCCTAGTAGTGCCTAATGTCATTCAAAAGATGGCTATCCAGCAAATCGGTCTCTTTCCTTGAGCCCTGCGCGCATGGACTTGGGCAGGGTGAAGTAAGTGGGTTCACATAATGTCACAAGATAGGTGTATGGAAGTCTAGAGTGATTCACCGGGTGCTGACGCGGCTGCGATGCTCGCAGGCATCCACAAGAATGGGATGACAGTGTTCTCGGCGCACCAGATGGGCACCGCGCGCATGGGCGCCTCTGCCAAGACTTCTGTGGTGGACGAGCGCGGCGAGTGCTGGCACGTTGCCAACCTCTACGTCTCAGACGCCTCGCTGTTCCCAACCAGCACCGGTGCGCATTTACCCTTAGATTGTGGCCCCAATTGGGAGATTATCATATTGTTGTAATCTTGCTTCTGCTGCCTTTTCAGTCCTGGCCATTGTTTGCAGCCGCATTTCAGGACGTGAAAAGGTTTGCCTGCCGTGGTGCTACCATCGCGAGGGATACAAGGGTATCAGTTGCTGCCACGGTGCTGGTTGTTTTACAGCAGAGTTTTGAGGGTTGAGGCTGATGGGTGTCGTGCATAGGAAATGTTGTGAGATGAGATTTTTGGTGTGGCTGCAGGTGTCAACCCAATGATCACGGTTGAGGCAATGGCGTACATGGTTGCGGAGGGGCTGGCCGCGGATTTCAGGCAGCAGAAAGGACAGGATGCGCCCCCTGCACAACCTGGCTTGTCTCCTACTGCACCGGAAGAGTGACTGCAAGTTGTCTGGCATAAGCATGACAGGGGCCCTGTCATGCTGAGCAGATGTCAGATCTCAGGTCCTTGCCTTGCAAAACCAGTTCAATAATGGTTAGTGGGTACATGAAGAGAACAGGAGGCAAAAAGTGCCGGATCCTCCGCAGACGCATTGCCTGCACCTGTAAGTCAAGATGCCCATGCGCTTGGAGCGCAGAACGCATGCCTGAGTTCTGCATGCTGTCAAAGCACTCTGCAGATTAGTACTGGCTTAGTAAAGTATTGTGAACTTGACGTGCGGGAGTCACATCATGTCACATCATGTCACATCGATGATATCATTTGCGTCTTGGTGTATTATGATGATAATGCTATTGATATACATGTTCAAATCTGTTCATGACAGATCTGAGGAGCCTCAATTTTGGTTGATTGGCACAGCACCATTGACCTCCAAGCAGCAACGTAGGTAACTCAGTTTATGAGTGCACCCAAAATGTTTTCTAGATCTGTAACTTTAACTCACCGAGTTAAAAAAATGCTGGCATGAGCCCGTCTGCATGCCAGTTTGCATGCTGCAGATGATTCAACAACCTTCTGATAGGGAACCCCTCCACGGAGAGCTGGCTTGAAGGAAGGAAGGAAGGAAGGAAGATTACATCACTCCAGCCGCCTAGGGCTGATTGGATGAACTGGCAGAATCCAAATAATCAAAACAATCCATCACAAAATGTGCAACACCAACAATGTCCAACTGCCACATGAATTGCTGCATCGTCACAATGGCTGCACCAAACAGCCCAGGATATCTGTCCCGAACAGATTGCAAGGCAGGGCACTCAAACACAAGGTGGCGCTCATCCCCAAGAACCTGCTGGGCACAACGCATGCACAAACGCTGGGGCCGGGGAACCCTGGCCCAGCGGCCCGAGACATTGGGCAGACTATGACAACCCATCCTGAACTTCAACAGTATACGCAAGCAACGGGCACTCAAAGGCTGATGAAAAGAAGAAGCAAAACTTCAGGAGGGAACTTCCCAGCCTTTTCGCTCGTATTTTCGGCGTCCAGTCAACCCGGTTGACTCGACCGAGAAAATCCCGACGATCTCGACAGATTTAGAGGCTGACTCGGAATCCTGAGTTCACCAAGACCACTGATCCCTTCCGTCCTCGGCTATAAACGAGGCATGAATAGGAAGAACGGCAGCGATTTCCTGGTAGTTCTCACCAAGCAGTGTGCCCGCCCGCCGTGGGGTCTTGAGCACCACTATAATGGTGAGATCATCAAGGCCCACCAAATTCAACATTAACTATGCACCGATCAGATTGCCTAAGATGTGATACATGTACGACGAGGGAGGAGTTTGCGATGAAATTTGAGCCGGCGCTCCTTCTTACTGTTCGCTGGGGTTTCACTCATGCCGTACGCGGATATCATCGAAAACACGCCCTTTGACGCCCCAAGACATTCTGATGTCTTCTTGACCCAATTGACAGAATATGTCATCATTCTGAGTGGTTGCTTCCCTTTGATTTTATATGAAGAGCTCAGAGTTCCTGTCTTGGACACATATAGAGTCAACTGAGCAAGGAGGTTGTGCGGGGTCGATGCAGGCCTGGGTTCGAGCAATTCTGGGTACGGCGACATAAATCTGCAGCGGAAATGCAGCGAGACGCTGGAGGACTTCTCTCCCAGGACCAAAGCCAGAAACTCCAGGAGGGTGATGCACCTGCCAGAAGGGGGCGGCTTCTCCATGAACATTGGACCATACTGTCATTACGCCCACCGTGATGGCGTCAGCGCTGTGTTCAGCGGCGAGATCGGCTCCTGGCCTGGCATTGACGTGATGAAAGTCAGCCATGATGGTGATTCACCCCTGCATCCAGGACCTCAACAACATTAATGAATGTCTGTAGCATCGCTCCCGCTGTCACCAGCGCTCCTCAATGCAAAGTGCCTCAAGCCTTGTGATTGCACAAATAGGTGTAAAGTCAAATTTCCTGATGGGCAATGCTACGGCTGCAGCATTCATGCGCGGAGATGAGGAGGACAGCATGCGCGACGACGCTGCATTCCTGCTGGACTTCTACGACACTTTCAAGGACTTTGTCGCCAGCGACGTCACCGACATTGCGCTGTCCTCGCTCGCCAAGATCGAAGGCCGCTTCGGTGAGCCACATGCACACAATTTGATCCCATAATATTCTCCATCAGATCTAGGATTGGGTGCCATCGTCAGCCTTTTGAGCAATAGGCTTGCCAGCCTTCAGCTTGTCATGCACAGATACCTGCATGCTGCAGGCATATTGGCATCAGAGGGGCACCTTGGCTGACGCGAGGGTGCTGCGCTGCTGCAGCGTTTGTGATCTATGACGGGGACCAGAAGCGCGTGCTGGCTGCGCGGGACAGACTGGGGTCGCAGGACATGCACTGGGGCGTCACGGATGACGGCCGCTTCATGTTTGGCAGCGAGGACATTGATCTCAAGGACTGCAACCCCACCGCCACACCCTTCCCTGCAGGTCACAGCCCCTGCTGTCCTCGCGCCAGATCTTCCCTTTGGCAGCGTGCGCGCCTTGCGAGGAAAATTCAAGATGCGGTATTGTACAACTCTAGCAACAAAATTGACATCTGAGGTCCCTGCAGGCACTCTGTATGCAAGCGAGGGCGAGAGCATCGCAACATCTCCTGGCGACAAGGTGAGGCAATCCTACCTGTGCCACTTCTGCCGCTTGTTCAATGTTGCCATGATTGCCCTGCAGATTTTTGTTGGGCAAGCATGACAATGGTCATGTCCCCTTCAGGGATGGGTGATGGCTGGCGAGCGGTGGCCTGGGCAGCTGCTGTCCTTCATGCGCACACAGCGCCCTATGGCAGTCAATCATCAGCCCTGGCGTGATGTCAAGGTAAGGGCTGGCAGCACCTTAGATCAATGGACTTCCACTCTGTGCGACCTCTCAAGATGGGCCAAGGTTATCCACTGCCTGCAGAAAATTTGCGGGGCATGCCATGTGTGCTCTGGCCTGCAATATGCTTGTGATAGTCAACAAGTTGTCAGACTTTCTTGCACTTGCCCCTTCCACTAGGGTCAGCTCCGCTCCAGGTGCAATCATGGCAGGTCTGATAAGTACTGGCCCGTGATAAGTACTGGCCCATGATCACTTTGAAACTTTCCTAGTATCCTTGCCAATTGTCTTGCAGGCGATTCCGCGGGTGACAAGCAAGGGCATGCTCTGCGGCGCAGTCTACAGGGTGGCCTCCGAGCAGCAGCTGGCTCCAGAGATCTTCTGAGAAGTGTGCTGAGTCTATGCCATGACGGGCAGTGCCTCCAGCAGCACAGTGAAACATGTAATCTATGTATGCTTTTGTGATGCAGTCAGGTGAGAATACATTATGTATGATATTTGCTTGCATATTTCTTTTTACAGACAGTACTGGCCATTAATGACCAATTGCCAGATCCTTATGACATCAGGTGTGTCCATGCCTCTGTCTGAGCAAAGCTGCTGGTTGTCTGTCATGCATGCATGCGCATGGCGTATGGCAGAGAGTTGCAGAGTCTGTGCCAGACTCCTCTATGTGCTGTTCATGATCATCAGTGCAAGAATATTGGTGGGGATGTATGCCACAGGAATTCCTCTTTGCATGATGTCACTGCGGTTTAATTTTGCTGGTCATGTGGCCTTCCCTAGGATGGATCAATTGCCAGTTGCACAGTGTGCTCTAGAGCTAGCTGAGCGCTCATGAAACCTTGTAGCTGATCTGCTACGTGTGCTGCGGCCGCGCCTCAGCCAAGGCACGGAGAGGTGCCATCACTGGGTACTTTGCGTAATGTGCCACGGCTTCAAAGCAATTTTCCCTGGGCATGCAAGAAATCTTTTCTTGCATCATCATGATGCCTGGATATATATTTACTGCCTCTAGTCCTGATGGCATTCCAAAGCATTCTACATGTAGTCACTCGATTTAGATTTACTGCTAGGCACTATGCAGTACAGAAGCAGCTGCTGAGTGAGGAAGTGGCTCGGAGCCCACCGGGGCCCCCGCTTGGCGGCGCCGGCGATTCACCAAGTCCCACAGAGCTCGAGCACAGACTGATCTTCCATTTCAAAGCGAATAGCATTAAAATTTTGAATCTGCAACTCAGAGTTTATAGCAATGGGAAGGAAGGAAATAATACAGCAAGTCCAGCCGCACAAGCCCTTGTTTTCATGTTATGGCGATGGCTTTGCCTCTATGACACGCATGCAAGGATGCCAAATCTGGGCACGGCCTCGTAGCACATGCACACGCTGTCTCGTGCTGTTGTGAGAACCAAGAATATGGGCAGGATAGCATGAGGAGCACGTAGAGCACCTTAGACATTAAGAAAAACTGCAAATAGAGATGGAGGCCATGTAGGAATTCAAAGACGAAGTCAGAAGTGGCCTGGACTGACTCAGTCAAAACAATCTATCGGGAGTCAGCCACTTTCAATTTTGTCCATATCCTGTGTCACAAATATGGCAATGATTGGCAGAGCTTTACCCAGCGTCCTTTCTCAATGCAGCGATGGTTTCAAGAGCCTGAAGGACTCGCCAAGGTGAGCAGCATCTACGTACTGACTTTGTTCAACCCAGTGCTGCACAGTGCACAACATTATTGTGCGGCGTGAAGGTAATGCGTATCGAAACTCGCATGCCACGATCCAGTCAAGGATTTATTAGTGGACTTCTTGCTGGTCAGACGTCCTGGCCATACTATGATAGGTACTATTTCTTGTGATGCGCAGGGACTTGTACCTTACCTACAGTCTTATGGTGCTTGAGAGTTTCAATTACTTCAGCACGTCGTTGCTGTTTGTGCTATACTTGACACAGGAATTTGGAGTGGGTGACATCGAGGTAGGCCTGTGTTGACCGTCACAACATCAGAGATACAGTGAGCAAGCAATATGGCGTCAGCAGGCTTTAGCAGGCTTTGATTCAGTTGTTGAGCTTTGCAGTTTGGTGTAACAGGCAGGAACCCTCTATGGCTTGTGGGGAACTCTTCTGGTGGCCTGTGGCATCGTCTTCTCCCCGGTCATTGATCTGATAGGTGAGGAGCGGGTGGCATGTCCCGATTTGTCTGCTGTGCATTGCGAGTGCTTTCCTTCATATTCGTTGTACAGGTCCTTTGGTCACCCATTGGTGTGTCTGCATGCACAGGCTTCCGCGGGTCGCTGATCGTTTGCTACATCATCAACATAGCTGGCAGGTGTGGCACTGCTGTTCCATGAATCTTCTGCTGCCCTACTCCGGACCACTCTTGTGTGGCAGATGGTGAGCGCCTGTTTGGTGAGCAGGTTTGTGGTGGCGACCACAACCAGCAAGACGGTGCTGCTGTGGACTTTGCTGGGCCCTGTGACCATTGCAGGGTCACTGGGGACACCTGTTCAGACCATCGCCATCAAGCGCTACACCACTGAGAGCAACAGGGGATTTGCCTTCTCGCTCTTCTACTCGTACGCCGCCCCTGATTCTCTGCTCTTCAACAGATAACTGCCCTGTGCAGATTGCGCACTGAATAAGGTTTGTATTGCATGCTTCATTCCCGCATATCCTGAGGGGGTGAAGGTTGTCTGCGCAGCTTCATGAATGTGGCTGCTCTTTTGTGCGCTTCACTGCTGGACCTGTTCCGGGTGAAGCTGCGCCATGGCTTCAACATTGCGAGCCTGCCTGAGAACCACTTCCTGAACGATGGCAGCCGTCTGTTGCTGTTCATGGGTGGGCGCTGCGATGCATTGTCTCTGATCACTCGCTGTCTCTGGGTTGGTTCCTAATCGATGAATGTGAGCAGTTTTTGGGCATGCACCAAAGGCTAAAGTCAGCGGTGCCTTGCAGGCTGCCTGACCTCCACGCTGGCCCTCATCATCTCCTGCTTCCTGAGAAGCAAAGTGGAGCTGGTGGATTCTATCAAGCAGCACAAGCTGAAGGGACATGCAGAGGCAGATGATGTTGAGGAGGGAGGCCAGGAGCCTTTGCTGGAGGTGAATTCAGCTCCCTGAAAATTCCATGTACGAGTCTATCTATGTTAATTGCTGCCGGAGCAATCAGCGCATCAGCGACTGATTCCCCGTATCGCGGAATTCAGTGAAGAAACTGGAGCTTTTAGCTGCCCGATGCATTCATTGGTGTTGTAGGCTATGGAGGCCAAGGAAGTCAATAGGAAGATTGGAGATGGAGGAGCTGCAGTCACAGAGCCAAGCAGCGACATTGCCATCGCTGACAAGGGCCAGCAAACGTTTTGGGTCTCATTCCTCGCTGATGCAAAGGTTTGCCCCCCTCCTGTGCATATTTTTGCATAATTTTGCTGCTGCCGGTGTTCTTGCAGCGTTCTGAACTGGAATGAGAGAGTCGGAGTGAATGCATGCAGGAGGTGCTGATGTCAAGAGAGACCTGGAAGTTCATGGCCATGTGCGTGATCACTGTCAACCTCAAGCAGATCTTCAGGCACATCGATGCCACACTGCCAAAGTACCTCATCAGGTAAGCACATGCTTGCCACAAATTTTTATGGTCCTCTGGAATCGCACACCTACTGCTTCGTTGCTGGTCACCAGCATCTGCATGCACGCCACTCCGGAAGAGAAATTGCATGTATTTCAAGTGCAATCAAGTGAATCAAGCTCGTATTAAGATCAGTGTCCCTCAGATGTCTGTTCCTGGTTGCAGGGCTTATGGATGCGATGCTCCGGTGGGGCTTGTGTATGGGATAAATCCCTTCATGATCATCTTCATGGTTCCCCTAATTGGGGCGCTGACCACCAACTTTGCACACTTTGACATGATACACTACGGATCGTACCTCAGTGCCTTCTCGCCCTTCTGGATTGTGGCCTTCCCGTCCCACGGTGCGCATTTTTTGTGCTTTTCCCCTCGCTCTGTCTCATCTGGCCCTGTGTTGGCATGTGCTTCTACTTTGCCCTTTGCCTGCATATCTAAATCGTGTAATCGCGGATTGTGCAGAATGGAGCGCTGTCCTGTTTGTGATCACGCTGTCACTGGGGGAGAGCATCTGGAGCCCCAGGTGGTACGACTACTCCATGTCACTGGCGCCACATGGACGCGAGGGCATCTTCACAGCGCTCGCATCCGCCCCGCTCTTTGCTGCCAAGCTGCCAACAGGTGCACCCCCATGCATGCTGGCTCCCCTATTTGCAGGCATCGTTGTCTTGCTGCAGATTTCCTTTTAATGTCATTGGGCTGCAGGATTACAGGATATCAGAATAGGAGCATGGGTTCAGAACTAAACAGGTGCAATGTCTGCTTGTGCAGGCATGCTGAGCGGCGCGCTTCTCCAGGCATACTGCCCCGATGCGCATGCATGCGACAGCGAGACAGGCGAGGAGACAGGCGAGCTGGGCATGTGTGACGGCCGCATGCTGTGGGGCATCATCGGCGCGCTCACCCTCACATCACCCCTGCTCATCCTGCTCACCCAGGCAAGCCACTGCACACCATCCACAATGTCTGCATGCTGCAGGCTCCTGTGGCAAGGACAGCTTGAACTGTTTCCTCCTAAGCTCAGGCAACAATTGCAGCGATTGGGAAATCAGGGGATGATGCTCACATTGATAAGGTCTCTTTGGTGAGCTCGTCTCAAATTGTTCCCTTGCCATCTACCTGTGTGGAAAGCTGCGGTGGCGGTGCCCCATACATGCCTGACAACAGTCCCTCTTTGGGTTGGTGCAGCGATGGGTGCGGCCGGCCGCGCTGCCTGCAACAGAGGAGCAGCCTGAGGCAGAGGGCAAGCGGCTGCTGGGCGCCCCTGACACCCACATCGCTGTGCCAGTGCACGATTTCCTGGAGGAGGAGGCGGTTGTGGACGGCGCTCTGTCCCACATCCAGGAGGGGCGAAGGCGCTGATCTGGGAGGCCAGGCCCGGCCTGGTGTACCATTATCGACTTGGAGCATTTCTCCTTGTCACTGTATACGCGCACCCATTGGCGCTGCCGTGCCGGCAGCAATTTTATGAGAGGAGCTCCTTCCTGCTGTGTCAGCCTGTGGCTTCCCTGGGCAGTGATATGCCACCTGTATGCTTGTATAACAGTGACCTTGTGTTGTCTGTGTGACTGGTAAATTTATGGTCATGGAGTTGAGCAGTAGTAAAAAAGCCGTGTCAGCGGATTCTTTAAAGAGCAAGCCATGGAAAGCACGGTGCAGCGTGCTATGGCTGGTCTGGGATCTTAGTTCCTGTCCTTCTTAAGCCGATGAGCCATGACTGTGGTGATGTCGTCGGCCCACTAGCTAGTAGGTATCAATAATCTGGGAGAGCAGTGGAGACTTCTAGGGTATCAGATGTCTGTTCGCCACATGGACCACTGCACTGCAGCTGTACCACTGGTAGCTGGCAGCTAAAACCGTTTGTGGTGACCTCCTATGAAATTTCAGGTTTAAACCTGAGGGCATGCCGTGCCGCACGGCCCGTGCGCATGCGCATGCAACAGGAGGCTGAGGCACTCCCAGGGCACATGTGAGAGAGGCATGTCTTATATCAACCCTGGCGTGTTGTGATCCAAGCAAACGCACTCTGTTTCCATGGAAAGCACACCTCCCAATTTCCCATGCCAAAGTTGGCAGAATGTAGGAACGCCGTTGTGCAGTTCGATCACCCATCCAAGAAAGTTCCTCCTCTGAAAATGCTAGTCCATCTGATATAAGCTAAGGTGCCTAAAAGGTTCAATTTACATTGGGGGTCTTTTATTTGCTACCGTCCTATCCCCGCGGAATTGGTGACGAGCAGGCCCAGTACAAGATGGATACAATTTCGTAGGACACTGCTCCTGATTTGCGAGCCTTTGACTTTGACTCTCATCCTGTTGTAATGATAATGAGGCGTGTGTGAAAATTCCCATTGCTGGGTTGCATTCTCATTATATGCTGTCGCCACGAGAAAGAGCATGGTGGTGGTTCTGGCGCTCCTCGTGGACCATTCTGGTTGTAACATGGTTCTGTGTGACACATACACAGCAATTCTGTAGGCGTACAAGGCTTTGCGCCTGTCCTGGACCTGTACTAGTCCCCAGTCCTCGACCAGAACCATGGTGTATAGCATACAACCAAAAGCTATTCAAGGAAGTAGCAAGAGCTGATGCAGGGAAGGTAAAGGACCTCTGCAGTGCCATCAACATTGCATCCTTGCATGTGAATTTGCAGCATGCATTATTATGATCAGCATTGCATGCTTGCCTGAGGCTTGCACCCGGGGTGCAGGGCTTCGAGTTGCTGTTTTATGGGGACAGCATCACAGAGACATGGCGGGGCACAGACATGGGCAGGCCATGCAGCCGGTGTGAGGGTGTCCCCGAGGTATTTGGCAAATACTTTGGATCCAAATACAAGGCAGAGGTCCTGGCCGTTGGCGGTGCGCAGCTCTTGCAGTAGCCCTTGTCGACATCACATCTCTTGGCCATTGCACATTTCAGAAGATGGTGCTCTGAAAGGAGAAAATTGAGGTAGGTCGATAGTTGTGGTGCAGGCGATCAGGCTGCCCACCTGATGTGGCGGTTGCAGAATGGGCAGCTGTACACGCACAGCCAGCCCCGCTTGAGTGTGGTCATGATAGGCACAAATGACCTGGGCGCTGCCTCCTGCCTGGGGGGCGCTGCTGGCATTAAGAAGTCAGCCAAGGGCGCAGCTGAGAGGTCTGCCTTTGTCTCCAGATCCCCATCCACCGCTTGAATGAACGGCGCTGCACTTCTTATCAGCCCACCACCTCTCATGTCTAGACTTTAAGGGGGCGTCTCCACACGCAATTGATATGCGACAGACTACAGGCAGCCCTGCGTGCTGCGCAGGACATTGGCTGTATTACAATTTTTCAGGGTAAACAATCCAGGAGCGCACATCATAGCGCTGGCTGTGCTGCCTCGCGGTTGGACGGATGCATGGCATGTCTATGACTGGCCCAGCATGTACAAGGGCGGCATAGACGTGGTCAACCGGGCGCTGAAAGACTTTGCCGCCCAGGACGATGCTGTCACCTACCTGGACTGTGGGCCGGCCCTGCTGCCGGATGGCAAGGTGAGAGTGCAGGACGCTCTGGACGAGCAGCTTGAAAATCTGGACAAAGGCCATCAGACGCACACTTGTGTATGGCGCCACAGATGGTGCTTAATAAGCACTGCTTATCTGCTGTCTGCCGGAATCCTGGCCCAGGACCTTGAGGCTTCACCTGCTTCTTCCTGTTGCGCAGATTCACCCGGAGCTCATGCCGGACGCGCTGCACCCAAATGCCGACGGCATGGAGCTCTTTGCGCAGTGTCTGTCCCCAGTGGTGGACAGCCTCATGGAAGACAGTGCCCACAATGCACCACATTTTTGGGGCCGACGATGATGTTGACATCGCACTGTACAGTGCGCACATGTGGAACTGCTGACTGGATTGGTAGTTTGACTGTCGGCTAGCAGCTGCGCTAGCTTTGCAGCAGAGTTTGCTTTGATATTCGTACGACCGCGTGGCAGACTTGTATTAATCATCTAGGTTGCCTCTGCTGACTGCATTGCCCCTTGTGCTGACCGCCTGCGCCTTTCCCTGAACTTTGAAAGTACCTGGCAGGTGCTTGGCATCTACCTTTAAATTTAGTTCATGATTAAGCGAAGTGATACTCGGTGTGAATATAAGTGCACTCTTGCTGAGGCATCGAAAGATGAACTGAGAAGCAAGGAACGATCAAATTTTATCCAGAGTTCGGGTCAACGCCGTCCAAGGAAGTCAAGGTTTCGGAACCCGTCCAAGGTTGAGTCAACAAGGCCAGATCTGTGATCGCAGGCCAAGGAGGAATTTTTCCTAAAGACAGACAAGATACCGCTTGATCTTTGGAAATCAGAAGAAGAACCTTCTGGCCATTGCACTGTTTCATCGTCCTCTAGTGCAAGGCGACTCTCGCCTACTGCTGAACTCTTGAACCTTGTCAACCGTTACCTCGTCCTGGGCTTTATTTTGCCAGTAAATAGCGTTGATAGCAGATACTGCGTTTTTTGTGTTATAGAAGTCCTATCTCCACTCTTCAAAAGCAGCTCCATGGACCTTGAAGACGAGTCGACCAATGAAAAGGAGCCTATAGTGCCAGCATCAGCAGATCAAAGTGCTGAGGAGCTGCAGATAGATCGTCTGAAAAGGAGACGATTCCTGACATGTGTGGCATGGCTGCTGCCCTGCATTTTAGTGGTAGCGCTTGTTCTTTCGGGAGGACTGTGGTGGGGGATTCACAGATGGCACAGAAGCAAACAAATTCAGGCATCTTACATAAACTGGTGCAGCTGTCCTGGTGTTGCACCCATGCCATACCAGAGGACGGATCCTCTCGCGAATGCCTATTTCCAAAACCTTGCAACGGAGGTGACAGGGGCCGATCAGGGGCAGGTGAGACTGGCCAGCCACAATGCTATGCATGGCATCTCCTAAAAGTCTCGTCACCTGCCGCACCTTCCTGAGATTCTGGGGACCTTGATAAATAACTCAATGCAGGACATGCGTGGGGTGTTGTTGCACAGGGAGTGGACCTGGTCTTCTATGGGGACTCCATCACAGAGTCATGGCGGGGTACAGCGCTTGGCAGTCTCACTGCTAGGTGTGCCGGATCACCCGCCGTCTTTGAGAAATACTTCCAGTCCAGGTACAGAGCCGAGGTCCTGGGGGTGTCATGTAAGAACCGTCACCCACGCTATCATGTGAACTGATTTGTCCTGATCAATATCCCAACCTGCACTGGTCCGCATTTGTGGCTGCAAGGAAGTTTGCTAATCAAAATAGTCTGAAGGAATTCATGGTTTCTTGCCCCAGGTGATCAAGTTGGACACTTGATGTGGCGACTAGAGAATGGAAATTTGTTTTTGCACAACCAGCCTCGAGTGATTGTCGTGCTCATCGGGACAAATGATCTTGCCTGCTCCCATGGAGACCTGGTGAACAGCACAGTCGCAGCTGATGGAGTCGCGACCAGGTTGCAATCTTCCTTGCTGCCTTCTTGAGTTCCTTGGCCCTTGCAGCTTCAACCGGTCAACAGCCAAATCACGGTCTCCCCATGCTGTCAGGGCTATGCATGACCCGTTGCAAGCTGCTGAGAGAGAAAGAGACACAACCTTTGAGAGTAATATCCAGCAAGGCGGATTAGACGGTGATCGTCCAGTTGCCTTCCTGCAGGACGCTGGATGTGTTGCGCTTCTTGAGGGACAGCAACCCTTCAAGCCAGGTCATCGCCATGGGAATCCTGCCCCGGGGCTGGGAGGATGAAGCGCGCCGCTATACCTGGCCCAGCAGATACTCGCCGAGCATTGCATTCGTCAATGCAGCACTGGCGCAGTATGCCAGCCAGGACGACATGGTGCATTATTTGAACTGCGGTCCTATGCTGCTGCATAATGGCACGGTGAGCACTGCTTCGTCCCTGAGCCTTGCATGGTTCAGATTCTTCTGCTTTGTTTCACTCATTTGCAAATTTTTAGTGGATTGAGAGCGAGGACTCTCGGCTCTGTTCAGGAAACGAGTATGCTCGCGCTCTTCCTGTTGAATAAGGGCTGGGCCAACAATCGAGGCACAGACATGACTGCTTTGCATGGCTTCTGCAGATCCTCCCAGAACGTATGCCGGACGGCCTGCACCCCAGTGCTGTTGGCATGGAGCTTATGGCGCAGTGTTTGCAGCCCCTCATTGACCAGCTCATGGCACTTTAAGGTATCTTGATTTTTGAGAAACATAAGTAGCTTCAAGGAAGCTTCCAGTCAGGCTCGAGGTGCATGGATTGCTCTGCGGGTTTCATCATGCAAACAGCCGATATTTTAGGGGTTTTGGTTTAGGGTTTCACACTTGGTGCAAGTACAACATGATGTCAACGATATCTGCATGCCGTGCATGTAAGGGGCTATAGCTACACCTTTCCAAACAAGCAGTGCGATATCGATATCCTCAAAGCAATTGCAATGACAGCTGCAGAGCTCAGAAGGGAGTCGCACAGAGAGGCACCACAAGCTCACAGTCACAGTATTCTTGGACGCCATGGAAAGTCTTTGGACAAAGCCTAGAAATAGCAGGCATGCACTTAATTAACTTTGTGTTGGCATATTTGCACAAAAGATTTTGCATGTAAACAAGACATTCATGCAATCAACATGCAAACAATCACTTTGGCAGCCCTCTTATGCCAGCGGCTGTCAGGTGCATGTCAGGATCACAAATTGCATGAGAGCACATGCAAATGAGCTAAGGAGCTCTTGCAAGTTCCGATGAATGTTCAGAATCAGCACTGTCGACACTGAACTGACGGTAGTGCATCACAGTAATTCGACCAGCAGCTTGCTCAATGATCACACTAGAAGCAAATGTGCAATTTGCAGTGCTACAATGCAATCGGCCATGGCGTGTTCAGAAGCTCCAGAATCTAGGTAAATGAATGAAGTGTCCAACAAATCTATTTCACCACTCAACCCTCAACCTCAACTTTGACAATCAGCGCAACTTCTCCTGACTCTATAACTGCGTGTAATAGGTCTTGCCGTTCCCTGGAATTCTATTTCTTATGCATTTGATGCGTGCGTTTTTGCTTGTCCGTCAAGTCAAGCGTCGCACTACTCGGTGCGCAGCTTTGGGAGCTTGATGATGTCCATGGGCAGGCCATTGACGGGGTGGCCGCCCACAGGGAAGAAGCTGAAGGGCTCGTTGACATCCACTGGGCGCCACTCATATCCACGCGCCATCACTGCCAGCAGCACCTGCGCCCATGTGACCGCATGTGAGAACAACGAGCAGAGGGGGATGCACCATAGCCAATACCCTGCGAGCAAAATGCTGGGCCATCGTGCTCATGACCTGCACGCCATCGGAGGAGGCAAACAGACACCCTCTGGCCCGGGCTTGAAGGAAAAGTGATCATTTCTCTGCGCTCCATCCCCGCCATGTGCGCTTGGAGCGTTCCCTACTCAGGGCGTCTGCTGACAGAGTCCAATGGTCCTGACAAAAGCTTTACTGCAGATCCGCCCATGCTGCATTTGCTTTTGGCAGGATATCACTTAGTCAGAAAAGTAGGACCAGAGCAGGGGTTGCTCAGCAGCCCAAAGGGAGGACCTTTGAGCTCCAAGGCTCAACTGCACCCAATGAGGCTGCGCCTGCCTGTCCCTGCCAGTAATAAATAGGCATGAGATACCATAAAAAAACCAGGAAACTGACCTTCAGCTCAGCAATGGCGAGCAGGTAGCCGAGGCACATGCGAGGGCCGCCGCCGAAGGGCATCCAGGCGCCCGTCTTCTGCCCGGCCTCGTCCAGCCAGCGCTCGGGGCAGAAGCTCAAGGGCGCCCTCTCACCGGCCTCCCCGGCCCAGCGCTCATCGATCTCCATCGCATAGCCCAGAAACAGCAACACCGTGCGCCCCTGCATGCATGTGCAGTAAAAGCTCTTTATCTGCATGCATGCAGATGCTCTTAAGAAGAAGCCAGTAAAACTGGGTGACACCTTGATTTCCAGAGGGTTCGAGGCAGGTTCGCAGATCTTCCTATTTTGCTCTCGTGACACATTGTCCCATATCTGACTAAAAAAGTCATATCTGCAGAAACGCTTGCCCGCTTCAAATCAGCTCATCAAAAGTAGGCGCAACCCACCTCCTTCTCACAGCAATTCAACCCTAGACTTGCAAACATGTGGCGGCGAGGTTTCACGAGCATGGGAAGCCGGAATGATTGGCAGCTTGTGAGGAACGGGCGCGACCTTGGGGACGTAATAACCGAATAGGTCGAAGTCCTGCAGCGCGCGGCGGAAGGTACCGCCGGCAATGGGGTGCAACCGCAGGATCTCGCGCACGACGGCCTCCGTGTATGTCATTGCCTTGACTGCTGCACCGTCGATCTCCGGGCCGTGCTCTGCGGCCACCTGTCATTCACACACTTAAAAGTGCAACACTTTCTTTGAGTGCACCCCTTAATGCGGAGGTCAGCAGGGGACTTGAACTGGTTGGTGAGCATCAGAACCCAAGCATACCTGCATGACATGTGATGCAGATCATTTACTGAAGACCATGTTTAATTCTTGACCTGTTTCATTATCATAAGCTGTAGTATGTACAGATAGTAGCGATACTGCATGCCGAACTTAGATGCAGAGTCCAGAAAATACATATAAATCAACCCAATGGTGTTACCATAAAAGACAGCCCCTGCACTCGGAGGTCTACAGTGAGGGGCAGTAAGGTGCAGGGATGGGGGCACTGTGAGGGCGAAGGTGTCACCTGCTGCTGTTCTGCAATGATTTTGTCCCAAATGTGCGGGTGGCGCGCGATCTCAGACCACAGCCGCATAGTGGCCGACGCCGATGTGTCATGACCGGCAAACAGCAGGGTCATGAACAGGTCCTGCCAGGGAGCTACACACATTCCTGAGCTCTTCCTATGTTGGGCAGCTCAATGTTGCAGCATGTTCGCAGATCTGATTGATTGAACAGCTGCAATGACAGCAAACCAGGTGGGCGGTCCGGTGGTCTACTAAATTACTGCCTAGCATTTTATGCACCTTGAGTTCGTCGTCAGTCAGGCAGTTGCCTTCCTCATCCTTTATATCCAGCAGCCCCTCTGCGCAGGACACCTGCTCACCCTTGTCCGCCGCTGCAGTCCCCCTGGACAGTCGAATCAATCACCCCGTTGAGAGCAATGGTCACGCAATAAACTGTGCATACAATACTGTGCCATATCATTTCAGATGGAGTAATGCGCCTTCCAAGGGGCATTGTGGTGAAATAGCGCACCTGCGCTTTTTCTCCCTCATAATCTTCAGGTTCTGGTCCAAGTAGCCCATCAGAACCTTCTTGCCTTCGAGGGCACTGTGGAATGCTGCAAAGCTCACACATGGATCGGAATCTAATGGAGCCTGTCAATAGAAATTACACACAAGCATACGAGGTCTTCTGTGCTTGGGGGTCACTAGATTGGCCAGGTGGACACCTGTGCCGGGCACGTTGATGGGGAAGCTGAAGAGGCCTTCATTCCACAAGTGGAAAGCATCGGTGCATTTCTGAATCGTCTCTGCAGTCAGCAGTAATTCATCAAACCCCAGCATGATGTCCAGTGCGATCTGCGCCCCAAATACTTCTCAGCAAATGGGAGATTGGAACTGGGAGGAAATGTCAGAAGGCTGCAGATGTGTGCTGCTATGTGAAGGTCAATATGCACCTCGGTGGAATGGTACAGATGTCATATCACCCTTGCATTCACATTCATATCATGACACAAGAGATAGTCAGGTTGGGCAAGACGTTGGCATGTCCTGCCCCTTCGGTTCTCTTTTCAATAAAGAAGCAAATAGTGGCCCACTCACCGAGAAGGTAAACTCCTTGGCATGGAGCAGGCCCTTGCCGCGCCCCTCGGCGGCCCACTTGTCGCAGCACCGCCGCGCAATGGCGGCCATGCGCGGCACCAGGTCGTTGACAGAGCTGACGCTGAAGGCCGGGCGCAGAATCTTGCGCAGCTGCAGGTGGTGCGGGCCCGTCACCACTGCCACCGCATGACGCCCCAGAAGCACCTTGGTCGACGTGGGCCAGTTTGCTGCGCCACCAACCACACCAAGCAATCAGCGCACCGCTGGGTTGCAGCATGGATGCATTTTGCCAGGAGAGGCGTAATCGTTCTGCAGCTGTTGACATCACGATTGCAACTAGTAGTAAACGGAGGAAAGTAGGTACAGTTCACTTCTCACAGCAAGAGAAGCATGTGTAACATCGCAGCAATTACCTTCAAGCAGGTCACCCTCTCTGTTGAGGCACCATTTGATCATGTCTGGCCTTCCAACGACGACTGTTTTCTGCCCAAAAAACCAAGTCTCCCAGACGGGCCCGAGCTTGCCAAAGCGCTCTCGACCAAGGCGCGGGCCATCATAGATGAATCGAGTCGAGTCTCCGATGAATGGTAGCACAATCGCTTTCGGTATTTTCTTGAGCCTGATATTCCGGGCAAGGAAGTCAAGGACGGCAGCATGCAATCGCAAACATAAAGGCACCTCCGCACTAGGCACTTCAGCACTAACACTACTGCGCCATCGCAAACAACGACATTTTGAGCTGCTAAGTTTTCATGACAGAAAGTATGTATCCAACGTGATTGATTTATGGACCTGTGAGAAGGCGTGCTGAGTCCAATTTGTCGCAGCAGGAAATAGATCGAAACCAGTGCTAAAACAGCATACAGGGGAGTGAAGCCCCACTCCTCTACCCCGATGGTCATTATAATGAGCACTTTCGTCGTAAAATCCCCCAAGATTGCCAGCCGAGACTATTGGAATCCGAGATTGCAGGATCACATTGGAAACTCTGAACCTGTGCAATCCTTCTTGAAACTCTTCAGTGGTCTAGACACGGACTGCGAACCGCATCCTTGGTACTTAGAAGGTCATGCACTGCGCGTGGCATATGGTAGAGAACGCTTCGTCTGCAGCTCCAAACCAGTGCGACGGCGTTCCCGTCCAGGGACCTACTGCATGCATGCGCCACGCTGGCAGCATGATGGCTGAAGGAAATTGCACATTTAGCAGAATACATCATCGACAAGGCGTGTAGACAGTAGTTTGAGTATCTTGTATCCTTCCGGTGGTATCGCAGAGCAGGAAAGCACCAGAGGGGAAGGCTAAGTGTCTGTTTGAATACTGGCGAGCCCTTCTCTTGGGGATGGCGAAGCCAGAGCCGGAGAAGGGCTGCGATGCAGCCCCGCTTGTTTGCACTAAGGAGCCCTACAGGGAGCCCAATGTGCCGAGAAAGATGTACGCCATTGCATACGTTCCATGTCAAGTCCATCTTCTGGTAATGTCTGCTCACATTCTCAATTCACTTTGTGTCCTTCCATCGCAGACAACAGATTCAATTTGGAGTCATGTCTCCGGATGAAATCATCAAGGCGAGCGAGCTACAAGTGTACGAGAGGTCGTTGTATAAGGTGATCTGGCTGCTAAAAACACAGATCACCAAAATTTCACTTTACAGACTAATGACTGCAAGGTGACTCGTCATGATGAGATGTTGGGGCATAGATACATAACGACTCATTGCCATGCAGATGCCAGAGAGGAAGCCAGCACCCAACGGCACGCTGGACCCCCGGCTGGTATGTATGTAGACTAGGCTGTGGTCAATTACATTTCCCAAGCATGATTTGATACCCTTGTATGACTGCTTCATGCCTTGCAGGGCGTCAGCAACCGGTCAAGCAAGTGCAGCACCTGCGGCCAGAATTTGGCCGATTGCACTGGCCACTTTGGTGAGCATCTTATGCCCTGAAAAGTCCTAGCCTCAATTTTAGCTCTACTTGGCTGGGAGCGCATTGCACCTCTGCAATGACGAGTCAAAGGACAATGTCAAAATATAGTTGCCTCTCGTGGCCGTGCAGGCTACATCAAGCTGTGGCTGCCGGTATTCCACATTGGGTACCTGAAGAGCACGCTCACAACGCTGCAGTGCATCTGCAAGACCTGCTCGAGCATCCTGCTGCCAGAAGAGGACTATCGCAGGTTCCTGCGCCTGTTCAGGTGCCGTCGCAACCTCTCGTCAGCAAAAATTTGTAGTTCAAAATGCTGGCTCTTCAGCCAAGTGGGTCTTGCACAATTCCGCGGGACGTCAAATGGGTAAAGGGAGGCCCTTGCAATGAGCACTTTGCACACAGATTTCCATCGTGATCTTGTGAACGCAGGAACCCAAGGCTGGAGCGGGTGGCCAGGGCAGGGCTGTTCAAGCGCGTGGCAGAGAAATGCAAGCGCGTGCGCCAATGCACTCACTGTGGCTCCACCAACGGAGTTGTCAGGCATGTGCTTTGCACCGACCATATGCATCTGTTTTTGCCTCCATTCCTCTGTATAGTACACTACGGGCAAGTTGTCTTGAATTGCAATTGGCACTTGGTGCAGGAAGGTGCCGGGTGGGCTGAAGCTCTTTCACGACAAGTATGCGCGGAACATCAAGGAGCATGAGGAGTATGCTGCAGAGTTTGATGAGGCCGTCCTCCACAACGAGCAGATGAAGCACTGCCTGCACAAGGTTGACTTGCAATCCCGCTCGCAATATCAAAATTCCCTCCAAGCAAATTCCCGCCTCGTTGCCTTTCACAATATCGTAGGACCTTGCCTCTCAACAACACTGCTGCCAAAATCTTGCCTATGTATACTTCCTACCACTCCTACCTCTTTACTGCTTGATGGCGCCTTGCGAGCGTCATAGACAACAATGTCATTGTGGTCGTGGCTTCAGGTTGGGGACGATCTGAACCCAATCAGGGTGCTGGCGCTGTTCTCAGCGATCACGGACGAGGCCTGCGAGCTGCTGGATCTGGCGGGCCGCCCAGAGCACCTTATCATGACGCATCTGCCGGTGCCGCCTGTGTGCATCCGCCCCTCTGTCGAGATGGACAGCGGCGGCGGCACCAATGAGGACGACATCACCATGAAGCTCATGGTGCGGCCCCATACTAAATACTGTGCTTATGGTATCTATCTCACATATTGCTGGCGTACAACAGGTTGGCTCAGTGAGAGGAGTGCTTTGAGGGACTTCTGGGGATACATGTTGTTGACTACAGGCTGGCAACGCTTTTGATTATTTAAAAGCTTGGTTGGTGACGTGGTGTGCAGTGTAGATAGGAGCACATCTTGCAAGTCCACAAAGGTATAAAATCCGGAAACCAGAAATCTTCTGACATGTAACAATAGGATCCAGCACAGATGCCGTGGGAGATCAGAGTTGAGGACTCTTGCACACTGTGGGCTGCAGCGGCTCTGTCGCTCCATTCCTATGGCTGCCGTACTGCAGCACATGCAGGCAGATGTACAGACAATGTGAGGGTGCATGTGCGCTGATGTCCGCAGAACATCATCGACACCAACAATGGGCTGCGCGAGGCGCTGCACCTGGGCCTGCAGGCGGACAAGCTGGTGGACAGCTGGGACTTCCTGCAGGTCAACTGCGCCATGTACATCAACTCCGACGTTCCTGGCCTCTCCCAGGCCAACCAGCCCAACACCAAGCCCCTCAGGCGCGCCGCAGCCCCTATAATTTCACCTGTGTTCTCCCTTTTCCTCAAATGGGGGGTGCTCATGTGGCAGATAAGGTTTGTTATAGAGCACCAAGTTCTCCCATTGCTGACATCAGACGACCATATCTTTTGCTGTCCATTTGTAAAGTGCAAGGGTGCCTCCCATGGGTGCAGAGACGGGGAGGTTCAGAAGTCACGAGACGCTGATACAGTACTAATGCAGTGGTGCTTGGGGAGCGCAGGGGTTTTGTGCAGCGGCTGAAGGGGAAGCAGGGGCGCTTCCGAGGCAACCTGTCCGGCAAGCGCGTGGACTTCTCTGGGCGCACGGTCATCTCGCCAGACCCCAACCTGGCGATCAATGAGGTCGGCATTCCCATGCATGTGGCCGTCATTCTCACCTTCCCAGAGCGCGTCACCAGCCACAACATAAGCCGCCTCCAGAAATGCATCATGAACGGTGTGCCTGCGCCCAAATCTGCGCCTGAGGATGGTTGATTATTCTCTTGGGCTCCTGCAGATGTTGCCTGTTCGCTTAAATTTGACCAACCAATTTACAATGCTACTATACTTTGCTGTATCATTGGCTTCTGAACCGAGACCAAGAGAGTGGAATTTTCACGACGCAGGCCCTGGTGTGTGGCCGGGCGCAAACTTTGTGCTGGTGGCAAAGGACGGCGCCCGCAAGTCCCTCAAGTATGGCGACCGCCGCAGGACAGCTGCCGAGCTCAAGGCAAGTAGGACCTGGCAGTCAGATCAGAGCATGATTCCTTCCTAAGGCAGAAATAAAATCTGCAATTCTCATTGGAGATGCACAGAGCTATCGTACAGAAGGGTGATCAGGGCTTGTCCTCGGACGTCGTCTGCTGCTGACCCTGCGCTGCACTGGTGTGTGCAGATTGGCGATGTGGTGGAGAGGCACCTGCGCGATGGGGACATCGTGCTGTTCAACCGGCAGCCCTCGCTGCACAGGATGTCCATCATGGCGCACCGCGCCAGGATCATGCCCTGGAGGTGCCACTCTTGCCGACCACACCTCCAGTTCCGTCATCTCACCCAAACCTGCAATTACTTGATCTGCCACCTGTCATGTCATGGTCCGATGCCAAGATGCCTCTGAAGCTATCATGTTTCTGCAGGACATTCCGCTTCAACGAGTGCGTGTGCAACCCCTACAACGCGGACTTTGACGGGGACGAGATGAACGTGCACGTGCCGCAGACGGAGGAGGCGCGCGCAGAGGCCTCCGAGCTCATGGGCGTCATGCGCAACCTGTGCACGCCCAAGTCCGGCGAGATCCTCATTGCCGCCACCCAGGTGCGCCAGGCTCCTGCCCATTATCCCTCCAATCTCCATCCAGGAATTTTGCAGCAGTTCTGCTATCTTCACACCTTGCAAGTCCACGTTAAGAGCACATCTTAGATATTTGTTTGGCACAAGGCCACACATGCAGCACGCATGATGACAAGTTTTTGTCTGACTGCAAATGTCTGATGCATGACTCTTGTGGTACTGTGTACCGAGACATGAGCAAGAGTCTGATGCATGACTCTTGTGGTACTGTGTACCGAGACATGAGCAAGAGTGTTGGTGGCTTGCAGGACTTCCTCACGTCGGCATTCCTGCTGACGAGCAAGGACCGCTTCTACAGCCGGACGCAGGTGGCGCAGTTGGCCTGCTTCATGGGTGACGGCATGGATGCCGTAGATCTGCCGCAGCCGGCGCTGCTGAAGCCCCTGGAGCTGTGGACCGGCAAGCAGCTCTTTTCCATGCTCATCCGGCCCAACTCCCTCACCCGGTAAGGCTTGGCTGTCGAAATTTTCAGCCCCTGCTTGCATGCCAAGTATGTTGCATGGACGTCACAAAATTCCCCTGGCCTTGAAGACTCCTATCAAGTCACCAGAATTCTTCCCAGGTTACATTGCTGGATCCAGTACTTTGACCTCACCTTCTCAAGCCACATGAGTTTCTGTCAAGCATTCTGCCACCAGCTCATGCAAGAACAGTGCCTGGGCATTACTTAGGAACATGTGCAAAGCACTCACTTGCAATTGCGCTCTGGCGCAGGCTTCTGGTGAACCTTGAGACGGCGGAGAAGACGTACCTGAAAGGGAGCGGCGTGATGTGCCCACGCGACGGCTTTGTGGTGTTCCAGAACAGCACGCTCATGTGCGGCCGCCTCGGCAAGGTCACCCTCGGTGGCGGCAACAAGTCCGGCCTCTTCCAGGCACCGCCCTTCACCTTCTCTTGTATTTCTACAAGAGCGACCCCTGTGACCTTAGGGATCGTTCTGATTCAATTAAAAAAGCCACAGCGCAAGCTCCGCATGAAGAAGGCAATACATATTCTACAGGACGAGTGAACAGGGCTCCGTGCCAACCCTGGACATCCTGGCAGAACTCTCTGGTTCACTTTACAGTACATGCAAGTGGACACCTGCTCTGAAGCCAAGCATATCACCAGGAGAGTCAATGGGTTGACACACAGCCTGCTGTTCTTTAGGTGACCTTCGTCTTTGTTGGTGCGTAGCTGGACCTTCCAGGAGGTTTTGAACATCCGTTTGCATGACCAGGTGCTGGCGAACGACTTCTCTTCTGAAGCTGCGGGAGCAGTGATGCGGCGGCTGTCAAAGCTGAGCGCGCGCTTCATCGGCGAGCACGGCTTCTCCATCGGCGTGGACGACGTCACACCCGCGCTGCGCCTGCTGCAGGAGAAGCAGGCCACCATCGACTCCTCCTACCAGGAGTGTCAGGTCAACCCCTCTACTTCTCCTGTACAGCGACAAGCGCACAACCATCCGGATATAGAGAAACACAGATGGATAGGCTTCACCAGAGCTTCTTACAATGGAGCAAAAACGTGCTTCTTACTCGAAGAAGAGCAGGATTGCCATCATTTTTCTGCTGGCTGACATTAAATCTATCGGGCCGCAGGATAAGATAGCGGAGTACAAGAGCGGCAAGCTGGCCCTGCTGGCGGGCTGCAACGAAGAGCAGAGCTTGGAACAGTCCGTCATGGGCGTGCTCAACCGCATTCGGAACACAGCCTCCGATGTGCGCGCTTGCCTGACACCCTGACCATTTGTATTCACCTGTGGCACCTGGTGACTTGCCTTCCTTTGTCCCAAGTTCCAGGGCACGGCATACGTGTTCATAGGGCAGCTGTGACATGATTGGACCCTATGGAACATCCATATTGACAGCGCAGCTGTGGCATGCTTGGAGCTTCTGGAATGGGCATGTGAGGGATGGATTGATGGGTGTGCAGGTGTGCATGAAGACGCTGCAACACCACAACTCGCCGCTGATTATGAGCCAGTGCGGCAGCAAGGGGTCGCCCATCAACATTGCGCAGATGGTGGCCTGTGTGGGGCAGCAGTCCGTCTCCGGCCGCCGTTGCCCCGACGGCTTCAAGGATCGCACCCTGCCCCACTTCCCGCCCGGCGACAGGTGAGCTGCCCTCTTGTGATTGCGTCCTATATCCTGAACCTCCGATGTTTTCCTGCCTGAGCTGGATGGAAACGCTGCCTTGGAGCATACTAGAGATCGCTGCTGTAAAAGACCGCCTGTCTATAGAAACTATATTTTACTGGGGTGGTTTCCTAGATGGTATTAGTTGTTGCAGTGGGCTGCGTGCATGATCTCAGGACGCCGGAGGGGAAGGGGTTTGTGGCAGCGAGCTTCTACAGCGGCCTGTCTCCGACAGAATTCTTCTTCCACACCATGGCCGGGCGCGAGGGCCTGGTGGACACGGCCGTGAAGACCGCCGAGACCGGCTACATGAGTCGCCGCCTCATGAAGTCCCTGGAGGACCTCTACACTCACTACGACTCCACGGTGCATCCAGATCCACTTTGCCAAAGCCATGTGACTTCAACCCGGCAGCAGCAGAGAATTGGATGATGCTCACATCCTGCTGCTGCAGTTGAAAGCGTGTTGGTGGCCTGCAAGGAGGCGATGATCCCAGAAGATTCTCGAGGCAGAGCCTGGGATGTTTGTGTCACGTCCGCCATGTGCCTGATCAAAGGGTGCGAGAGCCATGTGGGTGCTATGGTCCTCCTGAACTTTGACTGCTGGAATTACAGGTGAGGAACTCGGCGGGAGGCATCGTGCAGCTGACGTACGGGGATGACGGGCTGGACCCTGTGGCCATGGAGGCGCAGGAGGGCAAGCCAGTTGACCTGACCCGCTCGCTGTCTGTAGTGCATGCCACAACGCCTCGACGGCCGCAGCTGCCAGAGAACGCCATGGAGGACGGTGCGCCTGCTGGCCCGCCCATTAAAATGCATGGACACAGCAACATCACATCCCTATTTTGCACTGTCTGATGTCACTGGAATGCAAGGTGAAGAACACCCAATGATTTCTATTCACGCAGAGTAAGCTGAAGTATGGTTGGGGGTCTTACACGTATGCTGTTTGGTGCAGACGACTGGGATGTGCCTCTGCCGACCGACATGGAGGCGCTCATAGAAGGCTTGCTGCAAGAGAATGACCTTGCGCAGGGGTCTGTATTCTGCAGCGCGGCCTTCCAGGCCGACCTGCAGGTCTTCCTCCAAATACAGGTGGCTGTCCATGCTCCTGGCGGGGATGTGCACAATGTAGTTGCCAGATATCCATCACCTGATCATATTGCAGCTCTTGCACTTGTTCAGTTCATTTTAAATACTTCAATGCACGAATTTTTTTATATGTTTTTTCAGTTCACACAAAAAGTGCAGTGCAGAAGATGCACATTTGAAATGGTCAAACTTGTTTCAGCCATGACCGGTCCTTGGTGATTGCTGCAGGTGAAGAGTTGGCGGGCGGTGCGGCAGAAGCTGAGCCTGCCGATGGACGACAGGGGGCCGCGGGCGCCGGAGGCGGCCGCTGCGGCGCAGAGCATCACTGCTGCAGAGCTGCGCGAGTTCCTGCGCCTGTGCGCACGGCGCTACGAGGCCAAACGCATGGACCCCGGTGCTGTCCTTTGCTCATCATGCACATACGCCCCATGTTTGTGATGACTACTCAGCAGTCCGCTTGGCGTGCTTTGTAAGATGGAAATGGAGCAAAAACTTCTTGAGACCCCTGAATGTTGTGAAAGAACAGGGACACTTGAAAAATTCTTTAGTAGCATCAAATTGGCCAAGGCCTGTGTCTTGCACAGATTTGGAAAGGAACAAAAATTCTTGATGGGATATGCAAGTAGACCTGAGTGTTGTGCAATCTGTTTATGAGGATGGTGGCGGTGCACGTGTGTGCAGGGTCGACTGTGGGCGCGTTTGGTGCGCAGAGCATCGGTGAGCCCGGCACGCAGATGACGCTCAAGACGTTTCACTTTGCGGGAGTGGCCAGCATGAACGTCACACAGGGCGTGCCGCGCATCAAGGAGATTATCAACGCCTCCAAAAACATCTCCACCCCCGTCATGAACGTGCGCGCCCGCTCTTTTCATTCTCCACCGCTGTGCTCAAGGAATTCACAATTCGTTAATTCAAAGCAGGTGCCGCAAGCGTGGTTTGAACAGAGGCAGAACTCGCTGCGGGCGTTGCTCTCTGATGAGACACAGATCACCCAGCTCTCTGATCTTTCTCCAGGAGCAGCATGTACCCGGATGCTTGCACAGTGCGTTAAGCCGTTGTCCAACCACCCTTGAATTCGGGCTGTCGGCGGGTGATTCGTAGACGGTGTTTGCGCATGTTGTTGCAGGTGACGCTGGAGGTTGCCAACAGCGAGGCGGCGGCGCGCATGGTGAAGGCGCGGCTGGAGCGCACCGCTCTGGGCCAGGTCGCCAAGCGCATCCGCGCCGTGCTCAAGCCCTCCCTCACACACCAGGTGCTGCCTAGTGCAGGCCCTCTCAACTCCTTTTCTCATTTGTAATGGGTTCCTGGCTGGTGAGGGGAGGTATAATCACCGAGCATTTGCCCTTGGATTCTGCTTGGATCTGACAAGTCCATCAAGGGGCAGCATATGTGGCAGCCTGCCATGCAGCTTACCCCCTTGACGCACCTTGCCTCTATCGGCCAGGAACAGCATCTCTAATTACAATTAGAGAAATTTGAGACATCCGCTGCAAGCTGCGGTGCTGTTGAAGGCCCTCTGGCCTCGCACGCTGGCTTCGACAGTGGGGGCTGCGTGCTCGGCGGCACACAGCGCACAAGAACGAGATTGATTTCTAATTCAGGCGCAAAATGACACTGAGGTGGCGGCCCTGGGCGTGCAGGTCGGCGCGTTTGTGGAGATCCGGCTGGACAAGGTTGTGATCCAGGCGCTGCAGCTAGACATCAACGCGCACACCGTGCGAGACGCCATAGTGGCCTCCAAGCTCAAGGTCAAGGCGCCCCACATCACGTGCGCTCCTGTCCCACCCCTTTCCGCCCCTGGGTTCCTGGGAGGAACAGGCTTACAAACTGGAACTCTCTGGAACCTGTGTTTGGCTTTGCCTGTTGCTGTGCTGCTGTCAGGCGGCATCGACCTACTAAGCTGGATGTCTTCATGGGTTCCAGAATTCATCGGCACAGAGGTCTCCATTCCGCAAGGCATGTTGCCGTGAGAGCAGCAGGCGGCTTTGCCAACCAGCACAAGAATATACTATTATTTATCGAGGCCCCTGGTGAGAGGGTGTTGAGGGTTCCAACTCCACAGGGTGCGGTCGGGAGATGCGCTGGAGGTTCGGTTGTCAGGGGACGAGAAGGTGTCGCAGGTGGGCATGGGCTTTGCGCTGCACAACCTCATGACCGCGCTGCCCCACGTCATCGTCGCAGGCATCGCCTCCGTGGAACGCGCCGTTGTCACCTTCGACGAGAAGACCTGCAAGTGCGTGCCTGCTCTCTCGCTTGTTTCCTTGCAGTCGGCAGAGGTCTCGCAACACTGTTGCTACCTTCAACCTTACCTCATAAGTATGCCAGAGTCGTTGCTGAGGTGTTGTAGTGCAAGAATGGGGCCTGCATTTGATTGTAAAGGGATAAACAACGACTACTTTTCTGGATATCTTGGGTGTAGCATGAGGAGAGCATGCCCTTTTTGGTGCACGCTGAAGAACATCATTGCTGTTGATGCCCCTCATATGCTATAAATCAACTGCATTTGTGCTTGGCTGCTGTTCAGTGGGTACCCCTTCAAAAGCGTGATGGTTGCCTCTTGGGCTGGCCAGGTACTCGCTGGGCGTGGAGGGCATGGACCTGACAGCGGTGATGGGGACGCTGGGCGTGGACGGCTGCCGCACGGCCACCAACCATGTGATGGAGACGGAGCGCGTGCTGGGCATCGAGGCAGCTCGCACCAAGATCATGACCGAGATCCAGACCACCATGTCCTCTCACGGCATGACCATCGACGCCCGCCACACCATGCTCCTCGCCGACTGCATGACCTACAAGGTGCTGTTCCGGGGAAGGGAAGACTTTCTCCCCGCTCGCTGCGCCCTTACATGTTCACCTGTGCTCAATCAAAAATTGTGCAGAAGGGGGTGCTTTGCCTGTGCATTGTGCTGGATATCCTGTCAAGTTGCGCGTTGGGCTCATGTCTGAGCAGGTGTTGAAATAGCATGGGCCCTACTTTTTGGACTTGGAGATGTTTGATCCCACATTTGGTATGTCAAGTATGAGTGTGAGCATAAATTCCTCCAATAGAAGCTGAGGTTGCAACTTGGGCCGTTCTGAGAGCCTTCCAAAAAGGTCTGGTGCGCATGGCCCCAGGGCCATGCGCATGGATTAGGAAGCTGCTTGTGTAGTAAAGACAAGGATAAGATGTCGTTTGTACATTACAGGGCGAGG